TCAAATGAGATTCATTGTACCCAACATTGTTACATTGTACCAGATTCTCCTCTCATGGCAGCTCAGTCTAACTGTGGGGGATTAATGGACGGGCCAAATCTGTCCCAGAAGGCTCTGCGAGCTAATGCATTACCAAATAATCCACAGCGTGATGTGACTCCTTAGACCCTCTCATGTACAACGCAGGAATGTTTAATTTCCCTACAGTAGTAGTGCGTGGTGCGCCGGATGATATCCTTGTGTGAGCCATGTGGCCGAAGGATCAAGCAAGGACATGGGGATGCTGTACTCCATACATAGTTACAGACCGCTAACTAGGCCATGCACCGCCCGAACGAGCAAAATTAGCAACAAAAAATTGCGCTAAATCAGCAAGGGAGGAGTCTAGCATAACGAACCGCAGGGTGTTAGCCGCTAATTTACCCCATTCGGCCATAGCAAGTACAAAAAGGAAAGGGTGTAATAGGCTAGGGGGTCACACTACTGCAGCATCCATGCTAGGCGCTGCAGGCAGCATGCCGGGCTAACACCTTCTGGGTAAATGTAAGAGGACTTGTACTGGGGTGAGTGATCCTGGACCGCTTGTTTCAAAATGCTTACACGTGGACTTTCTACGGCTTCTGCGGGCTTAGGCTGCCGATCATGGTGTATTTCTTTTTATAACCCCCTTTTTATCCTTTGCGGCGCTGTTGGTATGCGGGTTGGTTACTAGTGGCACTTAAGCCTGCATCGTGCATACTGCATCTTCGCTTCTTGCCATGTGTGGATGCTATCTTTACCAACCTGGGCTAACTGTGCGAGGACAGACCACGCGAAGGATGCATGCCCGATCGAACGCCCTTCCAGCCACTTGCTGATCCTGTGTTTCATGTTCTATGTTTGAGGTTTTCTTCCAAGCCTTGTATATCTCTGTCACGTTACTGATAGAGAGATTGAGGGTTGAATATTTGGATGTTGAGTCTTGGTTCAGGGCCAAATTTGGTATTCTATATGCTAACTCGCTAGTAGTCAACTATGAGAAAAGTGCACTACTTCAATCTAGGTACAGAGTACATCCATGGCCTGAACCGAGCCTATCTTGCATGGAAAACAACGGATGCAAGTTGCTATACTGGTCTGCCGATCTACAATAATTTCGAGATAGGGATGCTTCCCTCTACTTCATCAAGTTATTCTCGGAGAAACAGAGATCCGGTTGATAAATAATTCCCATAGTGAGCTCACCAGTAATCTCTGAAATTCCCCCATTTATCTCTTTACTGCTCCTTGATTAACGAGGCACTTCGAGGTAGCAGTACCTAGCCAAGACAAGTTGTCTTTGGTACTAATTGCCACTGATAGGTTCACACACAACCCCAAGGAACACCACCCATTGGGACTTTCTCTAACCTAACCCCGTCGGCCACATGGAGATCACCCCGTTGTACATCATTTGTAGAAGGAAAGTTCCTGACTTGGTCTGCCGAGTATTGGTTGAAGAATTATGATTATTTCCGAGTCAGAGATGTGTTCGAGGCATCAATGGAAGGGGTTTGGGGGGAAAGGTCATTGACCAAGTTCTCCTCTTGCTTCTTCTTGAGTGGCATGGTATTTAGAAATGCAGGAATCAGAGAATAGCTCTAGTTTTTAGGACCAGATATGGCTAAATGCCCTGAAGCCTTCAAATTTCCCTTAAGTTCCCCGAACTCAGCCTTCGAGTTTGGTTATAGGGCAAATTATCTAGCACCATTTCGCTTTTTGGGAATTTGGAGAATGTTAGCTAATAGCTCCAAAAGAACTCCAGTAGTCCCAAGCGCTTTTTATGTCAATTACATTGTCTGTCAAATTGTCAAACTGTTTCCAGTGCAGCCGACACAAACCAACATGGTTCCAACAGAACTATAAGTTCACGAATCATCATATTGCCTCGCCCCCCTCTTTTAATGTGCAAAGACGCTGATGCACTCAATTCATTGACGTGTTCTCCCCGCAGGACCTATCAAATTCATCCTTGACTGCCACCGACATGATCGCCAGGCGCACGATGACATCATGTCCCAGGCGCCAATATCGCCCATCGTCCTCCTAGGCGCTGTTGGATTGCAAGATCACCATTATTCGTCGAGTCTTGCTTTCACCATCTTTATCTGGTCTTATGTCCGATGGCGGTTGAAGAATAGAAGTTTTGCAGGCTCAAAATACAAGAAGTTGTTTGCCTAGCCTGATTTTCTGTTCTGACACAAGATTACTGGGCGCCTGAACCAAACAAAAGAGTACCCCAAAAGGCTGAAGATCCAGACTAGCGGGAGGAGGCTGATAACGTGAGCTGAGTGGCAACGAGTGCTGAAGGGTGATACTCAGGAACCAATGAGCTAGTTCATCCTTCATCGTCCTTTTGTTGCATACCGGGGTCAGTTACCGGCGAAGTTGTGATGGATGGTCTCTGGTCGGGAATTGGCTGAAAATCAGTCTTCGCCGATACTCATTCTCTGAGGATGCATCGAGCTACCGGAGTAATAGACCTAAATGCAGTGAATCAGGCTGAAGGAGAGAGACCCAGGGGAAAGAAAGCTGGTCGGCGCTCTTCGTGGCTTCAGTAGTTCAATCCTTCCACCCAGCCTGTTGGATTATTTGCATCTTTGTACCACCCCGATCAAGGCATCGAATTTTGAACGATCTGACCGCTGATTTGCTCTATCGGAAATTTGCCAGACTCCGGCAGGATTCTTCCTAAACGTGGTTCACACCGTTTGTTTTTTTTCCCACAGCTATCGAACTACTAGATGCCTCAGCTGCTCCTCAGTCTCTCTGTCGATCACAGCTTGGCACCTGTTGACTTGGCCCCCGGGGCCGTGGCTCTCTCTCTCAATGACCTCAGAGGCTTTGTGTCGGAAGTATCGGCATTTTCTTTTCTTGGGAATCAGCCGTTGCTACACCTGATATCTGATGTAATGCAAAGTGAGACCAGCCTTCACAGGTGTCGTCCGGACTCGAGGGTGAGCGGCGTGCCTTGAACTTTTAGAGGAAGGCCGCGAACGTACCTTGTGATAGAAAAAGAGAGTGTGTCAAAAAACTGCCAGATGTATGTATAAGCGCAGGTCTATCAGATGGGTTAGAGAATTAAATCATCAATCGATGCACAAAATCTATTAACGTCGCTTTTAAAAATGCACTCCTTGAAACTCAACTTGACCATGGAGATATCTGGTACCCAGATTCCGAGGTGAAGTGAATCATTCTCAAGAGATTCGCGAATATCAACCTCTTGCTGGAGCGGCACTCTGCATATTGGCAGTCCTCCCATAACGGTTCGGGAGCTTCTGTCTCCGACCTTACCTCACGACATACCTACACTGAGCACGGAATTGAATTTCGAAGCCCGTTCTGCGGTAATCTCTTATTAATCGATTAGAAAATGGTCAACTAAAATTTTGTTATCTTTCAGGCAAATGATAAGGCTCCTCAAGCTTCATCATTTCTGTTCACAATGCTGAGGACTGTTTGAACAGGTTCTTTCCAGCCTCGATTGTCATCCCGGCGATCAGTCAAAACAGCATTGCGGATTATGATGGTGAATGATGCGTGATCATTAGATATCCAAGACGCAATCTCCCCTCGGCACGAGCCATGGAGTAAATCATGGGCTTCAAGGCCGCAAACGATTTCTCTGCGAAGGGATTGCAGAACCTTGATTCCTCATCATTCCTTTCTAATAGACTTAACCAATGGAAGCTGTCCATTCGGTTACAGGCCCAGCTTCCCTTCGCACCCAGGCTCCCACATCCATCATGCCTGACCAAGAAGCCACGGGCCCCAATTTCCCATTTTGGAGTTTGTTCTTGCTAGTCTCCTTTGAATATTCATTTATCCTACTATGGACCTCATGCACGAAGCCATATTTCGCTCTCAATTGCTAATTGTTGGATATTTATGATAGCAAGCTAGATGCCCTCCCGAGAAAGTGTCCGAGAAGAAGTGCAAAGGGAGATAGGGGGTATCTATTCTTTATGATTTCTAGAGAGATTGAATGCTAATCTGGCTTCTTCTTCAATTCAAACCTAGACTCGCACTTTCTTTGGCTGATATGCATTGCCATGGAGCTCTTGAACCCCTCAATTATAGCAAACAACTTTTGTGAGGCATTACCCAACCTCGAATCCGGGAAATTCAAAGAGATTCCTCAACATCAAACGAACTCATGGGAAGAATAGCGCCGCAAGAACCTATTTGCAGAGGCTTTGACGCATCAATGGTTGACCCTCCACTGTACGAAAGGACTCTTGTATCGCAAGATCAAAGCAAATGGATTCGTCCTGTTCTTCCAACTGCTCAGGGAGTTTATAATTCACCTTCCACAGAAAGCCAGATAGGGACCGGGTGTATCAATTTTTTGAAAACACTTATTCCTCTAAGATGGGGGCTTTCCAAGGTGGCACAGATTCATTTTACTACCAGACCTAAAGGCCAGTCATAAGACTAGAGCCTCACCATTACTCTGGAGGTGGCGTTCTGCAATAAGGGTCTATTGAAACACCACACCTATACTATCGCACGAATACCTGACGGGGAGACTATGGCAATGTATTGCGGCAACTGAAAGACATAGTCACAATAGTTTGACGCAAGACTCGGGCATGATCATTTTTTGGCTACTCTTGCCAAGAATGATAAGATGGAAAAAATCGAGGACATGACCACCAACTAGCTTGAATTACTATTCATATTACAAGACGGAGGCGAAGTCATAACCCTCGTACGTTAGGTTGTTTGTTGTTCGCTGGGATGTACTATCAATCAAGTATGTTTTGAACAAACTCTGTATTCTTGACTTTACTGTACTTTCCAAGAGTTTCCAAGGAGTATAAGACAATGCACCAGAGTAAATCAGCCAGGATTCACCAATATCCATCAATCTACTGAAATTCATCTACGGTAGCCAGTGGAGGACTTAGAAGAGTGCATTCATATGTGCAAAGCTTTCCCAGTAGAAACAGATAGTAAACAGATCAACCTTCCCACCTTCACAACTCCCCATTCGCATCCTTCACCCCCAATACCCGCCTCGCAGCCATACACCCAACAATTCCAACCAAAGAACCAACGCCCGCGCCACCAACAAGCCCCCTCAACCCTCCCACTCCCATCACACTCCCAGACCCAACCACCCCCCTCGAAGCAACAACCAGCACACCCAACGCCGCCCCCGGCTCCGCCCAATTATCAATCGCCACTTGACCGGTATTATATCGAATGCGCCAACTCCGATCTTTCCATTCAATCTCCTCCCTCCCCCACATCCGGGCCACCAGACCGGCACCCGCTATCCCAGTACCGATGAGTCCTCCCGTCCCCGCTGAGCGAAGGAGGATAGCCGTGGTGAGTTGTCGTTTGAGGAGGTAGGCGGCGCCGGTGTTTAGAAGGCCGATTGCGGTGCCGAGTTGGAAGCCGCGACTGAGGACGTGGGTTGTGAGGATTGTTCGGGAGAGGGGTTGGTCTTCTGCGTATTCGGATGTTGGGTAGAAGTGGGACATTGTGGTTTAGGATTTGTGGTTTGGGAGTTGAGGGTGCTAGATGGATAGATGGATGTTATTGTAGAGGGGTGGCTAGACTGGGTAGGTAGAGATAAGTGGCATGGGTATTTCCTTTTGTATTGCGGACGGTTGAAATGTTGATGATGATGATTCATGGAAGAGGGAGCGGGGAAATCCCGACGGATCTGAAGGTCTGGCCGTCACGGGAGGAGCTATTGTAGGGGCTTGAAGTATCCTGGTCAAAGGACTGGGGATGTCCAATAATAAGCTCGAGAGAGCTTCGTGCTGACGGGTGCTTATCAGACATTCCTCCGGGGGCGATTGGCTATAAGATGCTTCAGGGACGAGCCGACCACATCATATTTTTCGAAACTTAGCGATGTGAAGGAGGCTTTCTTATGAAGACTGTGGGTACAGCATTTTAAATGTCTGATCAGACTAAATCTACAATTCATAATCCAGATTGATATGCATATCCATTCTCGCATTAGGTACAAGCTAAAATCCACACTCTTCCCCGCTCCCAAGGTCCACGAGGTGCATCATCTGAACCAAACATACCAAGATCTCCTCTGGACCAAGTAAGATACTCGAGAAAAGAGGCTGCTTTACATAAAACCAAGGAAAAATTAAAGGAAAAATGATTCGTGTGATGGACAGGGACCGATTAACTCATGAACAAAGGGCGCAAGAGCATCGATTGAATCAGAGAGAGCCGAAATCAATAAACGCCTTTTCGGATACAAGATATTTCCAGCCAAGTCGCACAAGTCACCGAGAGGTAGGGTCTGAACGAGATGGGATGGTCAGTGTTTCGATGGTCGGTGACGTGTGATTATCTTCCGGAATGCGATAGGCTTTTGTCTGCAGCGGGTTGGGAGACAAGCGCTTTGTTCTCACCCGATACAGCTGCCTAGCAGCGTACATCCAGAGGCCAGTGGAGAAGAGAAAAGAATACAAATTGACCAAATATGGACACGAATAGGGTCGAGCCATATGCCTTTCGGATATCATAACTCCGCTAAAATAACCCGAGGAAAATATGATGGACAAGAAATCAAGAGACTCCCGTAGAGTAGGAAAGAGAGATTGGAGGTACAGGACAGTCGGTGAAGGTGAGGTTTCAAATGGTCAAGGAGAGGGGTGGTGGTTGAACATGGGAGGAAAGACGCCGGAATCCATTAGCGACGGTCAGGGTTGGTGACCTGGGATAAGGTTAGTAAATCTTCCAACGCGACGTATCGAAGAGGTTTCAAGGACTAACCTGCAGGATCCGGCGAGAGAAGTCATGGTCATCGTCGATGCTGCCGTTGCTCTGACGGCGCTGGGCCATGTAGTCTCCATCGAAACGGGAGTCCGACATGGAGGGTGGCTGTGAGTCACGGCCATATCCACCGGTCGTGCCACGGAATCCACCCTCCGCGTTCTGCTTCTTGGAGCGATAGAAGAAGAATGCAGCACCGGCCAAAGCGGCCACACCGACGACACCAACCACCACACCAGCAGCAATGGCGGCGGTGTTGTGGCTGCTCTTGACCTGCGATGACGAGTCGGTGGTGTGCTGCACACTCGGGGCAGTGACAACGACCGTCTGGCCACCGGAATCGGTTGAAACGGAAGCAGCGCCAGAATCGGTCTTGGAGGCCGCGGATTCATTGGTGCCGCTACTAGAGGTTGATGCTGATGCCGAAGAGACGGAGCTCTCCAGGCCGGTTGTGTAAAGAGAGTAGAAACCATCACCACCACCTAAATCAGGGTTGTCAGCCAACATTTTCAAGTATTGCGCGCGATCAGATTAAAATCCGAGGATTGACTTACACATATCTGAGGGCCAACCATCACAGGCTGTGCCGCACTTTCCCTTGGCCACCTTTGCTGATGAAGGAGGCAATTCGTCACCACAGAGGCAATCCGAGCCTGCAGTCAAGGCGAACACGGCAGCGTTCCAGGCAATGCATCGATCGTAGCACCATCCGGAACTCTGGAATGTGTATGATGTCTGGTTGGTAAGGCCTTCACTGCTGCTGTAGCAACCAACGAGGGTCATGGCGGAGCGAGGAACCAACTCCTCCATAGATTGGGCCGTAACTGAACCGGCGGCGAGCAGAATGCTCGAGGCCATCAGGGCGGTCCGCAGACTGAAGAACATAGTGACTCGAGAGAAGAGGAGGGGTTTTTAGAGCGTGTGTATGGAAACGAGTGCAGCGAACGAAGTACCGCGTCAGACACAGTCGGACCGGTTATGAAAATCGAAGAACCAGGAACGACCTGCGTAACCCTTGGGATCTTCTTGGAAAGAAAAAAAGTGTCGATGAATGTCGTCAAGATGAGAATGAAACTCTTCGCATCAAAATCACCGCTGTGTTTGGCGCGTAGCGTTCCCGGTCGGGGGGCACCGTCAGAGTGGACCGGGTTTGGCGGGGAACTGGTAGAAAGGTATGTCGAAGCCGTGTGACGAGCCGACAAGGTAAACGAAAGGAGGAAAGGGTGACAAGATCGAAAGTTGAAAGTGGATAGCGAGAGAACTGGAGTAAACAGGCCGAAGCGAGGAAGCGATGGAATCTCGAGGGCGTGAAGAGTCACCCCCTAAGTCGGGCTGTTTATGGGATCAGGGTTTTCGAACGGCCGGGGTTGGCTCACAGACCAGTCGAGTTAAGAACTGGCAGGAGGTGAGCTCGAAATCGAGGAGTGTCTCGGGGAGTCGAGAGAAAACGAGTGTGTGGATGTTGTTTCGGAAGGGAAGAAGGAGAGGTAGAATCTTCAGAGACGCAGGAGAAGAGTGACAGTGCGTAACGAAACGGGAGTATGGGGGGCTTTCACTCCATCGGTTTTAGTGTGTTGTTCGAAAGTGGATTCATTCAGGGACAAGGGGTCCGGCGACTTGGGGCCTGGGGTACTGTATTGGGATGTAATTTGAATGTAAACAGAAGGTTTCTGATATTTGGAGTACTTTGCAGTACACAGGTTAATGCAGGATCGTGCTATAATGCAGAAGTTCTCTTTTGTACTTGCTGTTTCCTAGATACTACTTCAGTACTTATGCAGGTACACTCTCGAATTCAAAGTACTCGATGATTCTTTATCTTTGTGACTATTTGAGTCAAGCATGTGCTGTATATGGGTGTCCTGTGTAATATCAATACCAGTTACAGTACCAGAAAACCAAAGAAATCAATTTCTCGTCTCCACTCGCTATCAATGGAACCATCTCCTCCATCCAATTATCATTCACCATTTCCCTGACATAATCAGGCACCCGTCTCCATCCCCTTCACCTTCAATCAGCGTCAACCAGGGGCCCCTAAGTCGATCCTCTTCCATTTTGGCTCCCACACGGCTGATGATGGCGCTCCAAAGTGTGCCGGCTTGACGTTGGTGGTGCTTTGTTAGTCGAATCCAACACGGCCACACATTTTTACACCCGCTAGGATCGTCATTTCTCGCCACATCGACCCCTCTTCTCCCACAATGACCGCCCACGCTATGATCCGCTGGCCTCGGGCAAAGACATCATACTGTAGAGGGTATCACAGGTCTGCGATGGAACAAAGGTTTACTCCGTACTGGTCAGCCAGATCATACAGTACGAGGACACCATACAGCTGTGGCTGTCTCTCTGCATGCTGGGCCTTCATCGGGCGCCCTTGGCGACCGATAATTTGAGATACGAACTCGTTACCATCCATGGCGGATTATTACAGCCAAGTGTTCGATTCTGCTTCTCGAATTGCTCCGAAGAGACACCGTTCGAAGGAGAACTTGCCCGATCACCCGTTCTTCCGGGCGCACACATCCTCCTATCAGAAACAGTAATTATCGGGTGGGAACACTGCTGTTGTCCCTGAACTGCTTCCTAAGCAGTAATATTGGCAGGGTCATGCCCAGAGTGAACCCTCGTCTCGCTGTGTACCAGTAATATCCCCCAGTACCGCTCAAGGGAAATGAGAATCGTTAGCGCATGGAGCTCATTGCCCCCGGGTTGTTTGGGTATGGCTGTATCATGTAACAAACGCTACCGGCGAGCCGATGCTCGGCTAGCGATCCTCCTGTCACAAGGAAAGTTCCATCAAATAGATGCAGAGCAAGAACATATCCGACCTTCATCATCAACTGTATTCTCTCCATCATATCAGTTATCTTCCTTGTACAAGACCCTCTGGAATCACCCAGAACCCCCTTTTTTTGTCAGCAGATTATTACCACGGGTCCTGAGCGGCCACTCCCGGAGTGGACCGACATCTGTACCCAAAGATTGAAATCTCTCGGTACCTCTGATACATACTGTACACTTGTACTCCGTACGCTTGTAACGAAAACCCTGGATCTCCCGCACCCTGCAGCAGGCCCACCCCAGAGATATTGAAAACAATCTAACGATGCTCGCGTGCTAGACGAGTCCATTATCGGTGCATAAAGCAATCTTAACGGTTTCAGTTTCACAAAGAAATAATGGAAGCACCTTGAAAATCGAGTGCGAAATGATCCGGTCCTCGTAAAGCGTTCTTGATACCCCGCGTATTATCGTGTTTCACCTGGATCAAAATAGAGCAAGTGCACTGCCACTATCACCAGTCAAAGCAAGGCTTATTAGATTGAATTGAGGATTTGACTACCGTTTCAGAAGATACTACCCTGGTTATAGCAAAGAGAATTGAGACTATCTATTGCGGTGAATATTTCCCTATGTACTTGGAGGGGCTACGGTAGTAAATAATCCCAGCGAGTTTGGTGATGCAGAATATATATCGCGGACCACGTACCTTCTTTGATCGCACACCACCCCAATATTCGGACCTGTCCAGGTAATAGATAATATGTAGTTCAAAGAATACAAAAAGCTGAGTCGATCATTGGTCATGGATATTTGATTGACATCAACGCTCGTTCCTATATTACAAGGTGCCCGGAAAATTGTCGAGAATCCCATGCGCAGTAGAGCCTGATGTGATGGTTTAATTGATCTCAATATCGGAAAGCAGCATAGACTACTGTAATCTTATGGCTTCTGATAGATTCATAATTAACAACATATCGACTTCTTCAGTAAGCTACAATAACTCATCACATATCTAGAAGAATCACACCTTTAGCCGCCCGGGCATAAGTCGCACAGGGAATCCTAAACCGGTATACCGACATACATTTGAACTCAATTTTATAACCCATACATACAAAGCATCTCGATGAAATACAAAAGAGCCATAACACTGTACATACAGCATGCACTCACACAAAGATCTGTCCAAACCTATCCGAGGGCGCCCTCTTGACTCACCACATTGTTATTTATGGTATAGTGGCGCCCACTAGCCCATGTCCATTCCCCACCTGCCAAAAGAAACGGACTTTCGGCTTCGCACTGCAAGTCCCTTGCGCCGCCAGATCAAAATTACTGAACACAAAGCAATCCGTCATCTTGTATGTATTACTCCAGCACCGCCTTGAAAAATAATACTACACACATACTTTCGTATGTATGCATGATTCTGTATGCGCAGAACCCGACAAGCGTGGTGTAATGTCGGATGAACACGGCGGAAATTTACCAGGTCGCCACTTTGTGGATGCAATTAAGACCTGGAGGTTCTGGACTTGAAAAGAAAACTCGATGTGTACTAGGACCCTGCGTGTGGATTTTTTAACTCGCTCGTCAGGTCTTCCGCTGTGGTCTAGAACTTGATGAGTTTTCTTGGGGCCATGTGAGGGTCCGTGATGGTGGTTGTGAGCACACGACCTGTCTAGAACCTGTGACCTATTCGTATAGTCGGGATACTCGGATATGAAGAGAACTTGGGAAATTCCATTATCGAAGTCAATTACCAATCTGGTTGCTTGGCTGGTTGAACGAACGGCTTTGACTGTGTTGATTATTGTCATCTTGTGGTCGGTGGGCTTTCCATACAGCAGATCATTCAGTTGATGGTCAAATTAGTCCTCTACTTCGTTGCGCAGTGAATGGAAGCACCTGTCATCCCCATCTTGATAGTGAAACACGCAAATCTCTAGCACAAGTAAATCTTACCTATATAATTCAAAGAAGTACATAGCTGAGGTTTGACCAGACGTCTTCCTTACTCTATAAAATCGACTCGCAACCCACAGCTTTCTCCTCAATGTATCTGTATCTCTATCAAAAGCAATTCGATTCCCCATTGTTAGACATAATAACCTCCTCATACATAGCAGATCAATAATCCTTCTGAATAAACAATTCCTCCAATCCCTTCCAAATCTGAAGTTGTCCCCCGTCTGTCCCTCTCCACCTCGTAGAAACGGCATTGTCCCCTCGACCATACATAATGACACCCCCGGAATCCGATGTCTGTGTCTATTATTTTGCCGCCGGCTAGGAATGCCGCATAGACATATTGGATTTATAGGGCTGAGGCCGCGTTCGTCGCAAAAGGTGAGAAATCGGCTGCAGGGTAGACACTTGTAGTAGAGCCGGCGGGCGTTGCCTTTGGGGTTGTCTTCACGGACTTCCATGAGGATGCCTTTGAGGCCACAGGATCGGCAGGTCGGGGTGAATTTTGGAGAGAGATTTTCCTTCTCTGGATTGACTCTCATAATGAACTGGAATGTGTTGGTCTCTGTTGATCTTCAAGGATCGTCGAACTCCTTTGTTTGCCTATTTTGATAGGAAAATTGGCATCTCAATGTACGAGGCTTGAGGACGAGTCCATGTGTCCGTTCCTTTTTGTTATAAAGCATTAGACTGAAGATGACGCTGTTTATCAGTTATCTATGTGAGCTTGTCAGAATTGCGTGTGCGCTGCTATATGGATGACCTAGAATTGTATGGATCCCGGCGGATCCGTATCAGCCAACAACTGCTTTTCTCTAAATCAGCTTCAAATACAATCCGGGGTGATATTATTCACTTCTTCTATTTTCTAGCCTATCTCACTGTACCTTAAGACGCTAGAGTCCAGAGTATCTGTTGAAGAATTGCGCTATTCTCATACATTGTGCACATAATACAAAATACCACGCAAGATCTTCTCCCTCACGTAGCCGAAACCCATAGGAAAGAAGAATCATCCTCAATTAAGTATATGGAGATCATGTCCGGCTCACTTATAGACAGCAGTCTCTTATCTCTCGTTCTTTATTTTCACGCTCACCCATCCAAGCGAAGGTGAACAGGGCTAGGCAATTGTCGCAAGAGTTGTTGCCCACACACAAGTTTTTGTTGATATCCCATTTAAGGCTTGGGAATATGTATCGTCTTGCTGACCATAAAACATCCGTGCAAGACGAACAGAAGGACAACGGGGTGGAACTCGAAAATGGTACTCTCGCCAATGACACCAAAGGGAATGTTCTCATGAGTCCAGCCTTGGGACACCCAGTAAGCCATAAGAGATGCAATAGACAGAGTTGTGGGGATAGGGGTGCCTTCAAAGTATTTCGACTTTCCAGTCTTGTCCTTGGGCAGAACAGCCACTGTAACGTTGAAACGAGCCAAACGGGTCAGGCCGCAGAGGACGAAGAAGGCCAGGAAGAAGTGGTCAAGCGAGGTGCGAATACCAATGGCAAATGCGGCGGCGGCAGGAGAAAGACCGAAGGGAAATCTGCGCACGCGCATCAAGAAATTAGTAGGTGTTTCCACATCGACCACTGCATATGGAGGACTCGTACCAGATCCGCAAGCGAGTCAAGCTCCTGTCCCATCAACGAGGACTTCTTGCGCCACCGAGCAATCTTGCCATCCATGAAGTCGAAGAACAGACCGAATGGCATGAATCCGAGGGCGGCCCAAATAGCACTGTAATCGGAGGGGTCACCGAGACAGTAGCGCATGGAGGAGAAGACGGACATGACTATTCGGCGCGGTTAGTAGCAGAACGAGCCATTGGGAGGTATCGACTTGCCTCCGCAGAAACCTATTGCGAGTCATATTAGCCATTGAAATCACCCAGAAAGCTGATTTAGCGGGGCAATGAACTTACCGTTGAGTTCAGTCACCAGATCGGCAAGATGGAGGGCCCTGCGACAGTATTAGAATGGGCTCGAAAGGATAGACAGCGGCAATAATATCCCAGATACTAACTTCACCAAGCTAAAATGACCATGCTCAGAGGAAAGAAGCATCTTCTGCTTTTCCTGGCCTGTAGAGTCTCAGTTAGCACGCGCACGAGGGGTCCAGGCAGAAAGCAAACTAACCTCCGTCGCTGGCGGATGAGACGCCGCTGTTGGAACTGCTCGGGGCCATGGTAGACTTTCTGCGAGACATGCTCAGATGTAGAGCAAGAACCAAAAAAGTATGAATGCTAAGATATTGATATGGCTGCTGCAGGAGGTAGAAAAGGGGGACTGCGGGACTCAGAATGGCAGTCAATAATCCTGCTTCGAACAGTGTTGACAGACGCACAGTCGCAGAGCGGTCAACGTCATTTCCGAGGGCAGTAACCGGGGAGGCGGTGCACCCCAGGCCTGCGCCCCACTTTACTAGCCACACGGAAAAAAGTTTCAAAGCTACAAGCCGAGAGTTGAAGGCTTGACTGTACGTGCGAATACTATGAGACAAAGAATTGGATACCAAGTATAATAGCAGAAAAAAATCAGATGTTTTTGTGTGACTGGATATGATCTACAGTCCCTGCAGCCAGAGAAGCAGTAATTGTGTCAGGATGCACAAGAAGAAAGGAAATATTCCTGCAGAAAGCTCCCGAATCCCCCAAACGCCGTAAGAAGACAAGTTATTCGGCTAGAAAGGTGCTTTAACCACGACCACGGAAGCCACCGCGGGAGCCGCCCCGGCCACCACCGCGAGAGAAGCCACCACCGCGACCACCGAAGCTACCGCCGCCGCCGCCACGGCCACCACCACGAGCACCGAATCCACCACGACCGCGAGGAGCACCACCACGGGCACCGAATCCACCACGGCCACGGGGAGCACCGCCGCGACCACCGCGGGCACCACCAGCACGCTTGGGCTTAGCGCCTGGTGGGGGCTTGGGCTTGGGAAGGAACCTAGATGGGACGAAAGTCAGTTTCGACTATGCAAGAGAAGAAAGACAAAAGAGGACTTAGACATACTTCTCCAGAGGGAGCAGCTTGTCGCCGCCGATGAAGACCTTGTCACCGGGCTTGAACGAGGTCGCGACAATGCCCTCCTGGGGCTTAATGGTGAAGTACACCTGGTTGATGGGACCGAGAACCTCGTCGACCTTGCCAATGGGGGTCTATCGCAACAAAGGTTAGATTCATGGCCAGCGAAAGGTACTTGAAAGGGATATCCGGGGCGGTGTACCTTGTTCTCGAGGTAGATCGGGGCGTTGAAGTAGGGGATCTTGGGGTTGATCGACTCGCAGACCATCTCACCCTCGCAAGCGTGCATGACAGTTCCCATCTCTAACAATGATCATCAGCATTGTATTCGCAAAGTCGTCAATTCGAGTGATAAATACCGAGAACTTGGGCAGGGGGGCCGAAGGACTGCTGCGAAAAGCCTCCGCGACCTGCGTCCAAAAAAATTTCGTTAGCTTCTCCGCACAATCTTGAGCTCGCAGTACGGGGAGGAAAATCGCATACCACCACGGCTACCAAAACCGCCCCGGTTAGCACCTGTGCCACGCCCACGGAAAGACATGTTGAAGATTGTTGTCGTTGGGGGTTCTTTGGCGAAGAAGTTTTCGAGAGGTGGAAACTTCATACGGTAAAGCGTCGCTAGCCAGGGCAGTTTGAAGTCACATGACTCACCGCCCGGCCCGTCCCTCACCAAACAGTCATTTTCCCCTCCATGCAAAACAAGTGAGTCAGGCCAGACTTCTCCCTTCCCTTCAGTCTCTCGACGGACAATTCCTCTGCGACTCACCAGAGAGATTCTACAATGGCTTCTGAAGCTACCAACGACCTGCCTGTGCGCCCTGCTGCGCAGGCTCAGGAAAACGCCAAAAACGCTGCCCCGCCTAAGAAGGCCCCCGCCGCCGATGTCCTCCCAGACTGGCTGATTGAGCGCAACAAGCTCTTCGAAGAGCTTTGGCAACAACATCTGGCGGAGATTCAGTCTCGCCCGCACCCCGAGATTAGCGTCACCCTCGATATCGGCGACGGTAACCCCTCCTCTGTCCCCGCCAAGGCCTACGAGACCACCCCCGGCTCTTTTCTGCGCGATGTTCCCAAGGATGTGAGCGCCGACGTCGTTGTTGCAAAGGTCAATGGAGAACTATGGGACCTGAACCGTCCTTTGGAGGGTGACTGCACCATCTCTTTCGTACCGTTCAGTCAGCACGATGGCAGAATGGTCTTTTTCCACAGTTCCGCACACGCTCTCGGCGAGGCCTGCGAGTGTGAATACGGGTGTCTCCTATCGCACGGCCCACCAGGTATGTGCTTATAACGAAATAAAACAAATTATAATGACTTAGCTGACAAGAATAATTCGCCAAGAGAAGCTAGGTTTCTTCTATGATCAGCGGATGCCTGGAGAGTAAGTGTGCATTGAATTTGCTCTGTTGAGAATCTGCCTCGGTACTAATCAACAATTTTCAACAGTCGTGTCGTGCTCCCCTCCGACTGGCCTGTACTTGAGAACAGGGCCTCGCGCATTTTCAAGGAGAAGCAGAGCTTCGACCGATTGGAAGTCTCCAAGGAGAACCTCAAGAAGATGTTTGCGTACAGCAAGTACAAGCTGCACTATATTGACAAGCTTGTGACTGGGGAGAAGAGTACCGTGTATCGCTGCGGTACTTTGGTTGATCTGTGCCGGGGACCTCATATCCAGAACACTGGTAGGTCCGAGACAATTATAAGTTAAGCAGGACTCTCATTTAACCTCAAAATCTAGGCAAGATCAAGACCTTCAAAATCATGCAGGTTGGTGTCTCATCACGTGATCATGATGCGAAACTAGTCAACTAATTATCTCTTCCCCCCTGCCAGAACTCTTCCGCATACTTCCTCGGTGACCAGAACAATGATTCCCTTCAGCGTGTCCGTGGTGTCGCTTTCCCCGACAAAAACTCCATGAAGGAGCACTTGAAGTTCCTCGAGGAGGCTGAGAAACGCAACCACTTGAAAATCGGGAAGGCACAAGAGCTTTTCTTTTTCCACGATGTCTCCCCCGGAAGTCCTTTCTTGCTTCCCCGTGGCACCCTGATTTTTAATGCCATTCAGAAGCTGCTACGATCTGAGTACCGCAAGCGCGGCTACCAAGAGGTTCAAACCCCGAACATGTTCGACGTCAGCCTCTGGAAACAATCCGGTCACTGGCAGCACTATGCGGATGATATGTTCAAATTGAACGTTGAGAAGCACGAATTCGCGTTAAAGCCAATGAATTGCCCTTCTCATTTTATTATGTATGGATCGCGAGATCGCAGTTACCGCGAGTAAGTCTCTGGCGTCGTCCTCTTCGAGCCTACGCTTGCTAACCTATTTCTCAAAATAAAAAGTCTTCCAGCTAGGTACGCAGATTTTGGTTGCTTACATCGGAACGAGGCATCTGGTGCTCTGAGCGGCCTGACCCGTGTGAGGAAGTTCCAACAGGTAAGCCCAATTATCCTTTAAAGATCCGTGAATTCCCTGCGGAGCAGTTCCGTCGTGAGAAGTGCTGCCGATTACTAACGAGTACTTGTATTAGGACGATAGCCATATCTTCTGCACAAACGAGCAGATTGAGTCTGAAGTCGCTGGCCTGTTCGACTTTTTGGAATCCATCTATGGGCTGTTCGGTTTCACCTTCAAGTTGAAGCTGTCTACTCGCCCTGAGAAGTACATGGGTGACTTGGAGACCTGGAACCGCGCCGAGGACCAGCTCAAGAAGGCCCTGACCCAGTTCAAGGGTAACGACTGGGTCATCGATGAGGGCGATGGAGCCTTCTACGGTCCAAAGATTGACATCACCATTGCGGATGCCCTTGGGCGTGAGTTCCAGTGCGCCACCATTCAGCTGGATTACCAGGCTCCCATCAACTTCAAGCTTGAGTACGTGGATAAGGAGAAGCCCAAGGGGGAGGAGGAGGACGGCGAGAAGAAGGGTGAGGCCCCCAACCAACCCGCACCTGGTCGGTCCCGTCCCGTGGTTATCCACCGTGCTATCATTGGTAGCTTCGAGCGCTTCCTTGGCATTATCACGGAGCACTTTGCTGGAAAGTGGCCTTTCTGGCTCAGCCCTCGCCAGATCATGATCATTCCGGTCATGCCCGCTCTGAATGCCTATTGCGAGGAGCTGCAGGAAATTCTCCGTGCGGACAAGTTCAATGTGGAGATTGATATCTCTGGCAACACTCTCCCGAAGAAGATCCGTACCGCCCAACTGGCTCAGATCAATTTCATCTTCGGTGCGTGCATACGTCTCAGATCCTTTCGTGGAATTAATGCTGACACAACTTATAGTCGTGGGAGGGGCCGAAAGAGATAGCCGTAGCGTGAACGTACGCAACAGAGACGACCCTGAGACACAGAAACTGGGTGTGATGGTGCCGCTTGACGAGATTCGGGCGAAGATGACCGCGCTGCGTAAGGAGCGTCGGTTGGAGAACAAGCTGTAGGCGTGATATGCATTATTGATTTATGAAAAAGTGAGAATACAAAGCATTCGGGAATTCGACTGATTCAAACTTGACTATTTGCGTATTGACTTAGATACTGTATTGCTGATCTTAAGATTGGACGAGCCACGGGGTTCATTCAGTACAGGTAGGTTGAGGCTACTCGAACGCTAAATTGTGCTTTCGCACGATAGACTATTCCATTTCGGACATAATATAACGGGCATATTGAGTACCTAGATATCCTCGTAGCACGTACTAAGCCTTTTACTTTAGCTATCAAGAAAGAGAGTTCATGTGACTGATATACAATGGTGGAAAGGTGATCTTTATTGGCTAAGAAGGCAGGTTGCCCAACGTGACGTTTGGAGTGACAGTTCAAAAGATATTTGGAAAGATCTTTCATAAAAGGGGAAAGTAAAGCATATAAATTTACATTGTAAAACCGTTTATTCGGTCTTGATATCAAGGATCCGGTGACCTGTTCTCTAATATATCCGAAAATGGAATAGTCTGTTGTGCGAAAGCATAAGTCGGCGTGCGAGCAGCCTTAGCCTGTAAGTACACGGGTTTGCCATGGATGTTTGTGCGTTTATCAAGCGAGGAAACTCCATCAAATCTGTTTGTTTGCTTGGTCCTCTCAATCAATTGGAATTGAGAGATATATTGTGGGCATGAGGGCTTTGAGGCGTTCTGGTACGGTTTTTGGGCTGATTTTATATGGCAATACGCCGTTTTCCTATGTATTTACTGTTTCATGCGCGGATCTGGCGTTCGGATCACTCTTGCTTCCGCCGGAGGGAGCGCCCGCATAGCCATTACGCCACTAGTTAGGCTGCAACAGGTTAATAGAGTGTTGATTGATTGATTGCTTGGTCCTCTGGGTCACCTGACCCCTCTGTATTTAGACCCTCTAGACCTCAGATAGATCTTTCCTTGCTACATGCATTTTTCAGGCTGATTGCTTCATCCGTTTCGTACAAATTTGGGTTCCCTTGTCTATTCATCCTCCTCTTAAGCTATGCATGCAGAGGAGACACACGAAGACCCCACGGTCCCTTGCCCTTATGTGGAGGGGTTTGACTGCCACGAGGTATTCGGTACGGAAAAGCAGGCAACAGCGCACGCTAGAAGTGAACATCACAAGGACAGAATTCCCTCCCCCGACGTAGAGAAATATAGCTGCCCGGCTACCTTTTCCACGACATTCCAGGAGTGCCCACAAGAAAGACAGGGTTCCATGCCCCTACCCAGAGGGAGACAATCGCCCGCGAACCTTTGATTCGGTAGCCCATGCAAATTGATGCCGACTATGCACGGCATCCTGGATGCGAAGGGCGTTGTGACAAAGCTTAATGAGTACGATATTACACCAAACACAATGTTCGTCTCATGGAGCAGCTGGCATTTCGACCTCTCATTACTCAGAGAATGGCTCGATGCCGAGGGGCATCATAACGTGCTTCCCAATAACAAACGCCTCTGTTTGCTCTCGAAGAAGTTCCGAGGCAACTTGGAACGGACCATCGGCAAAGACTGCTTTCGCGGCTGTCACTTCCCACTCATATTGCCTTTCGTGTTCCCTCTCTTGTTTGGAGAAGATCACTGTCTGACGGGGCGCAATCACAATGCGCTTATAGACGCCCAACAGCTGGCCCTGATGGCCATTATGTTTGTGGACCTCTGCAAGCCGCCCGAAGAGCGAGTTGTCTAGAACGGCTCAGAAGCCGTGGACCCGTGGACCCCACAAAAAAGGCAGTTGTTGATGGACCTGTTCTGCGATCTTTTTCAGAATCAACGATGAGTCAATGGTTTCCAGTCAGCGACTTGGCGAAGACTCTCGTGAAGGAGCACGCTCGCGAGCCCACTCCACCACCTTCCAGGCTCGTGAGCATTGATTTAGAGTTCAATTTCGGACTCGTCGAGTACTTCAGATTGGTCTGGCCAGTCTGGATGGGACACCCGGACGGCTCCTGGATTGTCTGACCAAGTACAGCAAGGCTGGCCTGGCTGCCATCAAGCCCTCCTCGTCCTCGAATGTCTCTACACCATTGAGACGTTTCCAGAGAGACTTTGAGAATAAGGTTAGAGCGCTGCCATCTGTACATGGGACGCTCGATGCGAAGTGTGTTGCCACGAAGATCCAAGACCTGGGGATCTCCCTGGACACGAAGTTCCTCTCATGGGGATCCTCTGGGTTTGACTTGTCACTTTTGAAAAATTGGCTCCCGGCCGAAGGATTTGACAATGTGCTGCCTGCGGGCCAAAACCTTTGCTTACTCCTTTTGGAGTTTCGAGCCAATGTCGATAGGGTACTCGGACGCGAGTGCTTCCGAGGGAGATCTTTCCCGCTGGGGCTGCCCACCTTGTTCCGTGTGGTGTTCGGAGAGGACGATCCTCTGGTGGGCAAGAACCATCATGCAGTTGTCGACGCGATGCAATTGTCCCTCTTGGCCATTGTGTTCATCGATCTGTGCCGACCGCCTAAGAAGCGGCTTTATTGGGACGGCAAAGCCGTCAAGGGGTTGAGGCCCCCCCATAAAAGACAGAGCTCTTTGGAGGCACCACTCTCGTCCACGTCCCTAGAGAAGAGGGCCAGGACTGAATGATTTCTGTTTTTTTCTTTTGTCATATTTAGATTGAGATTTTTTTTCATGTTTTTACTTTCTTTATGGAGTAGATAGAATACAAATTGCTACGGTGTGACTACTCTGAGTGCTCTCTCCAATGAAATCTCATTAGAAGCAAGAATTACTTTCATGATTTCCTCAGAACTGACTGAATTTGCTCTCACTTGTAAGAGGTAAATTGGAAATATCAATCCATCGAGTCTATAGTTCCAGAGTCTGATAGGGCTGGAATCTGGACTTTGGACTTTGGATCGGCGGATTGTCCAGTCATCCGTAGCGCCAATCAAGTGGACCCCAGAACAACCAACAGAGCGCTGGCTGGGGCTTATGTTTCAAGAGTCTTTGACAGCACAAAAACCCGGAGTTGGGTTATTTTCAGCTTGGAAAACTTTCTTTCAGCTGAAACTCGAGTCTCGTTGGCCTAGTAGACTCGAAGAATTATAATTCAGCTTGTTATAAAAACCCCTTCGTGGCCCAATAACCACCACCACCACAACAACAACAACAAAAAACCCGCTCTCCGATCACCCGCGGGGACTGCGGGGCTCAGCTTTCTTCTCATCACACCTCAACTGCCAACTTCCCCTTTTCTTCTAAGACACTCTCCATTTCTCCTGGCGCGTTCGTTTGCATTCTTCTTCATTACTCGCTTTCGCTCGAACTTTGACCCTCGCCTTCTTTTTGGTCTCCCACTTTCTCTTCGTCTCTTCCCTCCTCTCCGCTTCACAGCCCCCGCCCGCCCGACATGGCTGATCTACAGGGCCGCAAGGTCTTCAAGGTCTTCAACCAGGACTTCATCGTGAATGAGCAATACAATGTCACCAAGGAGCTGGGTCAAGGTGCCTACGGTATCGTCTGGTAGGTCTGCCCACTTTCGAGTCGGGGTGGAAATCGCTATCCAGCCTCAAGTGATGAACGGAATGAAGCTAATCAACAATCCACCTCGTGCAGTGCCGCAACCAACACCCAGACTGGTGAAGGTGTTGCCATCAAGAAAGTCACCAATGTATTCAGCAAAAAGATCCTGGCCAAGCGAGCCCTGCGCGAGATCAAGCTCCTCCAGCACTTCCGCGGCCATCGCAATGTACGTGTCTCCCTCCCCCTCCCCCTCGTGCTCATGCCACACACCCCTCCTTCATCCGCTGATTGGAATCTGCTAGATTACCTGCTTATACGATATGGATATTCCCCGCCCGGATCAATTTAACGAGACATATCTTTACGAGGGTACGAAAAGATCATCCTATCTACAAAAAGAAGAACGTTCCTGTCTGACAACACTGCAGAATTGATGGAATGTGATTTGGCGGCTATCATCCGTTCGGGCCAGCCCTTGACCGATGCGCACTTCCAATCCTTCATTTATCAGATCCTTTGCGGTCTGAAGTATATCCACTCCGCGAATGTGCTGCACCGTGATCTGAAGCCTGGTAACCTGCTGGTCAATGCGGACTGTGAGCTGAAGATTTGTGACTTTGGTCTGGCTCGTGGGTTCTCGATTGACCCAGAGGAGAATGCTGGCTATATGACCGAGTATGTCGCGACAAGATGGTATCGTGCTCCGGAGATCATGTTGAGCTTCCAAAGCTACACCAAAGCTAGTACGTCCACTCCCATGTCCATATGCCTCTTCCTCCTCTTTCCCAAGGTTCCCTGGAATTCATTTAAAAACAGCGAGCTAACCCACGATAGTTGATGTCTGGTCTGTGGGCTGTATCCTGGCCGAGCTCCTCGGTGGACGTCCCTTCTTCAAGGGCCGCGACTACGTCGATCAGCTGAACCAGATCCTGCACTACCTGGGTACTCCCAACGAGGAGACCCTGGCCCGTATCGGCTCACCCCGTGCGCAGGAATACGTGCGCAACCTGCCCTTCATGCCCAAGATCCCCTTCCAGCGACTATTCCCCAACGCCAACCCCGACGCACTGGACCTGCTGGACCGCATGCTGGCCTTTGACCCGTCCTCGCGTATCTCCGTCGAGGAGGCCCTCGAGCATCCCTACCTGCACATCTGGCACGATGCCTCGGACGAGCCCACCTGCCCCACCACCTTCGACTTCCAATTCGAAGTCGTCGACGACGTCCCCGAGATGCGCAAGATGATCCTCGACGAGGTCATCCGCTTCCGCGCCACCGTCCGCCAACAATCCCAGGCCCATGCGGCCCAGCAGCAGCAGATGGCCCAGGCGACTAACGTCCCCATTCCTGAGAACCAGCAGGGTGGCTGGAAGACCGAGGAGCCTAAGCCTCAGGAGGCGGCCGCTGGCGACGGGCACATGAATGACCTGGAGGCCTCGCTGCAGCGCGGCATGGACTCTGTTCACCGTTGATATTGATCTTGTTTTTTTTTTCTCTCTGGCAATGGACATGGATTTGAGAAAATTATCCTTTTGTTTTTGTCCCTCCGATTTCTTTCTTCCACTTCCACCCACCCCTTTCATGCGTGCAATGCGTCCCTTCCTCTCCCCCTCTTTCTTGTTTGGTTCTGGCTCGGCTGGATCTGCCAATAATCAAGTTGCGTTGGTGTTTCGCCCCCCTTTCTGCATGTTGACATAATGAATTAGCAAAGAGATACCATCCGAGAGAAAGACCGGACGACCTGCGTGATATACTTTTTTCTTTGTTCTGTTCTAGTCTCGAAGTCCCTTTTTGTTTTCATTTATCTCTGTTTTGAGTTTACTTTTTGGGTTTCTTTGTCTTGTGAGCTGAACCGAACTCCCCATGCCATATATGGTATTCACTTGGATTGCAGTTTGGCGACCTCACTGTTCTCGAGTAGACTGTCAGCTGGGATTGGATAGATAGATGGTTGTAGTCAGATCCGCCTGTTCTTAAATGGAGAGTTGATTCGAAAGGAAAGTTTTTGAAGCGAATTCCTGCGGTATGATAAGATGGAGAATGCCGCTTTGCATTTGTTGTTCCCTAGAATGATTTACATTCGTGGCTACCAGAAAGGAGAGGCTGGATGAAATGCCAAAGCCTGCTGGGAATTGCAGTGTACTGCTATTTTCACACCCTACTAGATGAATTGGAATAATCAATGCAGCAACGCTTTCAAGCTGGATATAAACGATGAAAACACGACATAAACCAGCATCAAAGAAAAACCTCCGCTTATGCTCCCAGCTAAATAGACCAAAAGAAATTAGAAAAAAACCAAGCAATGAACCCCTACTTATCCACCCCTCATCAATCATCAATCACAAAATCCACCGAAACCATAATACCAGATCAACATCAATGATAATACCCCCTCCACCAAACAGCCATACAAGCCGCAACAACCAAATCCAACATCTTAATCCCCTCATCCTCAACCACCAATTTCCCCAACTTAGCGCTCTTCCCCCTCATCCCACCACCGGCCAACTCCCTGGCCAGCGAAAAGTCCAAGCGATCCTCATCCGAGTCCTGACCCCCGCTGCTCGTGCTCGTGCTACGGCGCGGACGCGGCGGTGCCGCCGGGTATTGGTGGCGGAAATCGGCGTGGCGAGAGAAACGTGCGGTTCGGAGGGAGGTGCGGCGGATGAGGTTTGTTGGACTGAAGGGTGTGCGTGTGCTTGGGGTGGTGGTGTCGGGAGTGTAGGGGGTATTCGGGCCGGAGTGGGCGCGGGGTCGGGAGAGGTTGTTTGGGTTGAGGAATTGGGAGAGGGAGTTTCGTTTGGGTACGGTGTCGGGGTTTGAGGGGTCGGGATTGTGGCGGGGGGAGGTTGGGGTTGCGGTTGGGTTGGAGGTTTGGGAGTAATGGGTGTGGGTGTGATGGTGTGGTTGGTGTTGTTGATGTTGGCGTTGGGAGGCGTGGAAGTGTAGGTTGGCGGCTTGGAATGGTGTGTTGAAGCGAATCTCGGCGACGGTCACTGCTGGATTAGAGTCGTTATCGCCGGGTGGCGCGTTTCCAGGTGCAGAGATCATATGCTTGCATTTGAGACTGCGGCCGTTGACGCTGGAGGAGAAGGTGCATGTGCCGTTCCACGGGGAGTTGAAGACGTAGTAACCACTCTTCAACTTCGAGCCCTCGGGAACATGGCCGTTGCCAGAGTCGAGAGTGCTGCGAATACCTCCGCTGGGGTCTTCAAATTGCCTCGAGACGCAGAGTTGACGGTGGAATTTGCGTGGTCCGGACGGCTGTGGTTGTGTTTTCGTCTGCGGTTGTTTCTCAGTGGGCTTCTCAAGCCCTAACGATGCTGCTAGGGATGATCCTGCTGATTTCAACATTTCCGGGGGAAGATTAGCAGCCAGACTTGCCAGGGACAGCGGTTCATTAGATCCGGCGAATCGATTATATCCAGGCGTCGAGATCTCGATATCAACGGTATTACGGTCCAACCGAGGCGTAGATATCGTAGCGACATTCCATTGCGTGCCCGACGCAGGATCACGTCGGATAAGAGTGAGATGAAATCCAGCATTGCCGCGAGAAGCTTGATGTGATTTTGCCCGGCGGGTGGGAGATTGCCCGGGGCTTCGATTCGGCGAGCGAGAGCTATCGTGTGATGGGCGAGGCGGTAATTGTGGTCTGTTGGCATCTAGACTATGCCGACCTGCGGACATGGTCTCGTACTTTTCTTTCCAAACTTCTTTGCCTCGGGCCTGGACATTGTCCATGAACGCACTCCATCGATTGGACTTTCTTGGATGATCGTCGCCGCTGAAGGCGTCGTAAATGAGTGGCTCCTCGTTAGGAGGCACTGGAGGCAGCGGCCGTCTTGGAACCGGATTGCCCATTGAGTCCGCCGAGCCCTGTCTCCGTTCACTCATCACCTCTGGCTGTACATTTGAAACTGGCGTCCCGACAAAAGACACATTCTCCGCCGAGACTTGCGGCCCAGGCACCGGCCGGCGGGGTACTCGTGGAGGGGCAACATTTTCTTGCGCCAACGCAGGCGCAGTCACAGCCATAGATATAGCGGTATTCTCCTGACCTGACGGCTCTCGTTCTCCACCGACAGGTTTCCGACGGACATTGTTCAGACGAGCAAGATCTCGGTGAGTGGGATCATCTATACTAGCCGCCTCTAGTCCCTCCTTGCGTCGGTGTAGCTGTTTCTCGCGCTCGAGCTCGACTTCCTGTAGTAGCGCATCGTCTTCGGGTGTCGAGGCATGGAGATAATATAGGGATGCATTAATAGCCTCGGCAGAGACGCTGGATTTGGTGGGTGGTTTGACGGGAGAGAGGAATATGTCTGTCATGCGTGCATGCATCCCGCAATTAGCTACAGCTTATCTCAGAAGCACGAGGAAGCGATAAGACCAGCATGAGATGAGGAACATGCGGAGAGATGAGGAACATGCGGAGGGAGATTGAAACGGAGTTATCGGAAGTGATATAAACACACCTTGACTGCCGGGCACCCTCACAATGTATAGTTGCAGGGGATCATGCTTCTCGTGGGTGGGATTGCGTGGATAAGCGGGGGGGTTAGAGGCGATGGCGGTGATCGACGAGAGCGAGCGAGCCTCGACAGGTCCTTGTTGAGTAGTCGCGGAAACAGAAGACATACTAGGCACGGCCAGGGTGTGCCGGCCCCAGGATTGAGCAGAGTCAATATACTTCAATGGATCAAGAGAGTGTCCAAAAGTGAAGCCGGATTCCTTGCGGAGTTTCGGACGGTAAAGTGTAAACAACGGCGGGTCCGTTCGGCAGTGGGCCCAGGGATTCACGTTAGTATTTCTGTCTTGGGATGGACAAAAAGAAATTATTAAAGTTTGGGATGACGAGGATTGAATACGTCGACAAGTGAACACTTGGACCTGCAAGTAAACCTAATTGACGCAAGGGAAGGAAGTACATAATAGTACATAAGTCCATACATACATAGTAATAAATGCAGATGAAGGCTGCCTGATGCCGAGCCCGGGAGGTGTGGCGCAGTCCATCGATGGCGGGGAATTTGGCTGGTTGGGCTTGCGCAGGCACCGATGAAAAGGAGAATATGGATCATTGTACCTAATTATACTGATTCTGTCCAAGATCTACGAGGATCTACAAATTTAGGAGCTCGTGGCAAGAGATAGAAAGAAAAAGAAAACCTTGGTTGTGGCGTATTCAACAGTTGGTATCTCCAATATAGCTACAAGGCTATGGAATAATATAAAGTATGGAGGCAAGAAAGCCAACAAGAAAAAAGAAAAAAAAGGAAGATAAGAGAGGAGGGAATCTCCGCAAAAGGGGGTGTCCAAAAATAAGGGTGAAAAAGAAGTGACCAAAAAGAGACAATGAGAGACGAAACTCCAATGAAGAAAACCCCATCCAGGTAAAACGCCGCGATGGAAGACCCTTTCCAATATCCAATTCCCATGTAACATTAAACCACGGTCTCTGACCTTTCTCCCTCGGCGATGACCGGCACACCCAGTCCTCGATCGGGACTCTGCAAGACCAGTTGCTCGTGACGCCGGGCGCGGAGGAAGTCGCTGACTGCGCGAATCAAGATAAACCATCCGACAATCATGAGAACATATGATATCCACTCGCTGGTGCTAATGCCCGACAGACCATTGCCACCATCACCGCCTGAGCTGTCGCCAACAGAGTTGGGATCAAAGCTGTGGCTGTTGGGATCTGGAGGTGGGACATATTGGTCACCGCCAGTATCACCGCCAGACGAATCACTGCCGCCTTTCATATAGAATCCGTATTGAACAAGGGTAAGGCCGAGACCCGCTCGACTGCCGTTCTTTGCGGCGTGGGTGGTGTGCAAAAGATAAGTCAATAAGAAACCGACGAGTTGGAACGACATGGAAATCATGGCGTTCCACACAAAGGAGAACACTGATCCGACAGGCAGTCCATCGACATATACTTCGTCGGAAGAGATGCCGGGCGCAACAATCGTGGTCTCCCAGTATGGGGGTGTCGCATCAGCGGCAGCTTCTTCGTATGACTAGAAAGTAGCGATCACATTAGTCAAAATACTACAAATCACAGCATCACAACACGACATTGGATATCAACTTACAGGAGGTAGATCCTCGTTCTTCTCGCCACGTTCTGGCTTGGCAGCCAAATTGGCAAACACTCCATCATTCGATTGGGCGACAGATCGACTTCCACCAGATGCTGGGGTCGTGAATGTAGGTAGAATAGTTGGTCGGCGCGGGAGTGGTGAAGCACGAGGCTGTTCTTGTCCATCATTCCTGGCATCCGATGAGGAGGCTGACGACGCCACTTGACCGTAGCCGGCATGTGACCCAGTATCCGGATTGGCGCGCATCAACCGCTGCCTATCGTCAGGCTCCTCATCGTCGTCAGATCCATCTTCATCGCCGAAGGCATCGGCCAGGGTCTGATCATCATCATCATTGTGGAGTGGGTCGCCGTGAAGCAGCCGCCTTGAGGACGGGGAGGATGAACGGGAACCGGACCGGAACGAGGGAGGCGGAGAAGTCGGGGTAAGATCAGATCGAGTAGGATTCAACGGGTAGGACTGTGCGTGGTCGTCTTCATCGTGGGCATTCACCTAAAGGGGCGGGTGTCAGTTCTTGTCGGAGTCATATCCGGGGTGACGTTGGACAGGCGATGGCGCTCCAGCCGGGGCTATGGGATCAGCGGGAGGGGGGAGACTGGGGTTGACGAACCCGTTGATAGCGCTGCGAGCTCATGACGAGCTGAGCGGGAGGAATGGACGAGAGAGCAGTATAGAGGGAAAAATGACTTAGGATGGGGAGAGACAAAAGAGAAGAAAAGGACAAGAAACTAGAGAAGGAAGAACAGGAACCGTGAGCAGACTAGAAGAGAGATATGAGGCGAGGTGGAAACGCCGGGAATCAGAGTAGGAGGAGGTGGCTGCCTCAGGCTTCGAGTCGACTCTCGCTGACCAACCGGGCTTGGCATTCTTGGCATTGGATCTGATCGTTCGAGATGCTTCATGCATAGATTCTATTACTGTACTATTTTTGAGTCATTCTACCACCCACCATGGCTAAGCCACAGGTATGTTAATATCCCATTCCTAGCTCTATTTTCAAAATCCAGTCACCTAAAGATTGAATACCCAAATCTAATATCAAACCCTACAGACCCTCAACCCACGCTCCCTCCAAACTCGCCTCTCCCACATCCTCCAACACTGGCCCTCAGACGCCGTCCGCCCAGCCTCAGTCTCAGTCCAAACCTATCTCCAAAACCAACTAGGCCAGAACCAACCCACAAACACCTCATCACAGTCTCCCTCCACTACATCAAAGTCCACCCCTAAGATCTCCGAGTCCTCCGTGAACGCGCTGTCCGCACTCCTAGAAAACCGCTTCGCAAACAGATACCCCCTGTCGGAAAAGATTCGCTACCCGGCTAGTGACCCGGAGCACTATGATAATCTGATTCGGGAGTTTGCGGAGGCGCCGAATCGGGATTGGTTTGGAAGGTTGAGGAAGAGATTGGGTGGGTTGTTGCGGTTGCAGTGATTGTTATTGCAGGGTGCTGGGTTGATGTTCGATTGTCTATTGTATAAAAATGGGGGCTTGTTTCTCTCTCCTCTCTCGGGGGTATTTGTTGTGTTTGGGGATTAGAGGGGTTCTTTTGACGGATTTGATTTGCATGGCATGTACCAATATTTTGACTTGAAATGTCGGTTTGGGCGGCATTTACTGTATCACTACTCAATACACGGGAAATGATTAGATTTGTGCTTTCTCGCATCTACTAGTAGGAAAGATACTTGTGTTTTCAATGGACAGTAGCTATGCAGAATCAGCGCCGAGTCAATTCGCTTGTATGTAGCATATAGTGGAGCAACTCCACCACATATAACAACATCTTTCATATATACAATGACCCAATTGAAACCTCAATGCACGCTCGGGGAGAATCAAACCTTCCAAAGACAAAACATGCAAAAGACAAAATAGAGAAAGGAAACATTTTTTACAGCATGGGCTTCAGATCATCGGCGACCTTGAAGGGAGCCTCAGTCTTGGCCTTGACCTCCTCAACGGTCACACCGTCAGCAATCTCAATCAGAGTCAGACCCTCGGTGAAGTCAACGTCAAAGACGCAGAGATCGGTGATAATCCGGCTAACACAGGCAGGTCCCGTGAGCGGGAACTCGCACTGCTTGACGATCTTGGGGTTACCCTTCTTATCAGTGTGCTCCATGGTGACAACGACCTTGGTGGCAGAGGGGTTGGACACGAGATCCATAGCACCGCCGAAGCCCTTGATCTTACCGGGCAGCATCCAGTTGGCCAAGTCACCCTTGGCACTGACCTGCATGGCACCCAGGATGGTCAGATCGATACGGCCAGAGCGGATCATGCCGAAGGACTCGTCGCTGCCGAAGACAGAAGCACCGGGGTTGAGAGTGACAGTCTCCTTGCCGGCATTGATGAGATCGGGGTCCTCCTCGCCCTGCTTGGGGTACGGGCCCAGACCCAGGATACCGTTCTCAGATTGCAGGGTCACCTCGACGGAGGAGTCGACGAAGTTGGGAGCAAGCATGGGCATACCAATACCCAGGTTGGCGTACATGCCGTTCTTGAACTCCTTCGCGGCGCGACGGACAATGCGCTCACGCTTGCTGGCGGTGTCACCCTTGCCCAGCGCCGAGGTATCGGCACCCTCCTCCTTGGCGAAAGTGTACTTCTCGATCTTCTTCTCCGTGGTGCTCTGGATCACACGCTTGACGTAGATACCGGGCAGGTGAATGGCAGCGGGATCAATCTCGCCAGGTTCGACAATGTGCTCGGCCTCGACGATTGTCATCTTGGCGTTGCGACCCATGGCACCGTTGAAGTTGGCCGCAGAGTAGCGGAACTGGCAGTTACCCAGCTTATCGGCCTTCCAGGCCTTGACGAAAGCATAGTCGCCCTTGATCGCCTCCTCCATGATATAGCTCTTGCCATCGAACACCTTGGTGTCGCGAGGCTGGCTATACAATGCGACAGTGCCGTCGCTGTTGTGGCGGAGAGGCAGGTCGCCAGTCTGGACAACAGTGCCGAAGGCGGCCGGAGTGTAGAATGCAGGAATACCCGCGCCACCAGAGCGGCAGCGCTCGGCGAGAGTACCCTGGGGAGTGAGCTCAAGCTCGATCTCGCCGGTCAGATACATGCGCTCAAAAGTCTTGTTCTCGCCAACGTAGCTGGCAATCATCTTCTTGATCTGCTTGGACTGCAGGAGCAGACCGAGACCGGAGCCGTCGACACCAGCGTTGTTGCTGACCACGGTCAGGCCTTGGATAGAAGAGTTTGCGCGAACAGCATTGATCAGTGTGTCCGGCACACCGCAGAGTCCGAATCCACCAGCCAGTAGTGTTGTGTTGGACTTCATGTCCTTGGTGGCCTCCTCGGCGGAGGCAAAGACCTTGTTGATCGCAGCCCGGCGGACGCTGCTAGAGAAGTTGCGTGCAAGGAATAGCTGGTGCTGTAGAGAAGAACAGTCAAGTCAGTACTTCAGTAAATAGCTACAGAAAGATCTCCAAACGTACCTTGGCCGGATCAGCAGAGAACTGCCGCGCCAAGCGCAGGCACGTTGTTACTTGAGAAGGCATGGCGAGCTGCAGCAATTGGGGGAGCTGGAGAATGAGAGATGCTGTGTAGGCCGAGAGAAGAGCGGAGAGGAATTATTAAGACCAGCAGGGCGCGCAGCAGCAATGCGGAGGCGAATGAGAGGCCGGCAGGTGGTTGGTCTTATAGTCCCGGGCGGCGGCAATAAATGCGGAATGGAAGCCGGATGTTCTTCGTGTTGCCCTCTTCCCCGGACATTTCCACTTTTCCCCGCAGGAAGCTCCGTTGCCTCTCCAATTTCCGACGGTGCCTCAACTACGATACAATGAGGCAATTAGAACTGACTAGATCATCGGAAACTATAATATATAGCATGAGCTCTTTAATTTTTTTACTTTTCAATTACATTAACTCAATATATAACGAAGACTGACGAGTCCAGCAGCCGAACTGACAGCCGATCCGATTCCGATCCGCGGGCCGCCCGCTGGCTGACTCATCTAAAGGCCTGAGGCAGCATATCCGTACCATGTCTTGACTCTCTCTCGAGTGTTCTGGCCGCACGCCTCAATGGAAAATCTTCAAAGGAATTTGCATTTACCCATTTTACACATCAAGTAAAGGCTTAAAGATTATCGAAAGTTAATAGAGTTCAGTCCCAGCCCGTTCTTGTCAAAGTATCTGGGAGGACTGGACATACAATGATGAGATAAGGTTGCTACTACTACTGCCTGACGGAATAGATTTCGAGAAATTTCATACATATGATAATCATTCATGGTATATTCTACTTATGTACACTGATAACAAATGATGCTCTCGCTCATGCAAGAAAATCACAAGACATGGCACGGTCATGACGGGAATTAAGAGGAAAAGGGCGATGGGATGGTGGTAGAAGCGCCGTGAAATCGCCGACAGGCGCCACGGCAAGGAAACGTTCGGGAAAGTCGTACAATCGTGTTGGAGGATCTTGCCTCCGGTACTCATAACAAACAATGTGGAGAATCTATCAGTACGCATCGTCTTTCTTGGTTGCATCGACAAAGGCCTGCTTCTCCTCAGCGGCTGTGGGCCAAGTTGATTCGACCGACACCACATGGTCCATCGAGGTTGCTTCCTCGTAACCTGGCGGCCCAATGCTGACGGTGATTCCTGGTGACTGAACGTCCTCCATGGCAGTAGTTGCCTCGGTGTCTTCAGTGCCGGCGTCGGTTTGCCATTCGGGGATGTCGCGACAGACAGGATCAACCAGGCGACTCCACTTCTCGTCGTTGATGTAGACGAGGAAGTAAGGGGTAGGTGGGTTTTTGGTGTCGTTATTCTTGAAGATCTCATCCAAGTTCTGGACCTCGGTCACATACTCATCATTGTACTTGCGCCAGATGCCCTTAACAAAGTCGCGAATGTAAATCCAGTAGTGTCCAAACGAGACGGAACCGTGGTGCATGAAGACGGCGTACAGTAGGTACGGAAGTTTGCCGAATCGGGAGAAATGGTTGGAGAGCGAAGCCTGAATGCTCTGGATCTCTTGGTCGACGGCTGCGAAATAAAAGTTAGTGTGTTGCAAGGAAGGACTCTGATCGATGGAGGAATTCTTACAATGGAGCTCAGCTTGCACGCTCTGGCAAAGCTGATCAAGTTCATTGAGCAATTCCGGGCTGATCTCCAAACTTCCGTCGCTCTCGACCTCTGCAACACCTTCAAGTACATTTTTAGTGTCGCGAAGGAGCTCCGTCAATTCAAGGTGATCATCTTCCTGCATACGGCGTCAGCTTGATATTCAATACTCGTTAATGAAGTTGCATCTTACCTGCTGTCGCAATAGCTCCGCCCGACGAGCTTCAAGCAGCTTGAGCTTGGCCTTCCATTCCCAGGACTGGCGGCGACGGTCCATCATCTCCGGCTTTGTGGTATCCATGTACCGGTCCATGTAGATGACTTCATGCAGTTCCAAGTGGTTGGTTGACTTGAAGGAGGTTTTCTTCACCGGATCAAACTGGACCCGCTGCACCTGAATCTGCAGAATCGGAGGAATATTGGTGATGGATCCGTACTGCTCAGCCTCTCCATTTTCGACGCTGATTTTCTGCATGTCGAACGCACCGTCGATGGCTGCATAGATATCGCGCGGGCCGCCGGCCACATCGACCTTGATATCGCACCATCTTTCCTCCTTGGACCGTGTACCTGCGGCAGTGGTGATGTACGACCGAGTTCGGCCATAGAACAAGCTGATAAGATGTTAGCAAATCACCACATCATATTGCAACCCCGGGGCTAGATATACTCACTTCTTGATTAGATCGACCTGCTCTCCGTCGCTGTCGATTCTCAGCGGTCTAATGGCACACTGGCTCTGGAAAAGAACGTTGTTGATCACTTCGGTGACATCTTGCTGAGCACCAATCTCCACTTCTTCAATTAATTGCTTCTGGCGATCTGTTTCCGGGATCGGACGTGGGGGAACCGGTGGCGGATGGCTAGGAGGCTCGGGATGCAGTGGGGTGGCACTGGCTGGCGGAGAAAGTGGGCCACCTTTTCTATCCTCATCGTCTTTGATTCCAGCAGGAAGCGCAGATGCGGCGCTGGGAATGGCGTCGGTCACAAGTGTGGCATCACTGCCGATATCACTGACGGTGTCTTTGGAGGGCGATGGTGTATTTTCCGGTGCTGCCGGCTGATCACTTTGCTCTTCAGCGGTTGGCAGAGGAGGTCCGAGAGGTCCCAGAATGGGTCTTCCATCGACATCGCCGAGACTCTGAGACTTTGAGATGGTGGATCGACGACGGATAGCAGCTTCGCTTCCGGAGCTGATCAAGGTAAGGCGTGCCAGCTCTTGCCCAGGAGCTACCGAAGACTGTGGCGACATGATCATATGGTCGAACAGATTGCGGAGTTCCCAGAGGACTATGAATGGTCAGTATTGCACGTGAGGGTTTGGCAGAGGTGGTCAGTATGCCTGAAAGAAACTTACATTTCAGAGACCGCACCACTTCCTTCTTAGCCACTTTACGGGAGCCAACCTGCTTTTGAGAGATGCTCACTTCGTCATTCACATTCATCTGATATCTCTCAAAGTGCATAACCATGTCGCGGAATGGGCGGATTGTGAAATAGAACTGGAGAAGACTGTTCAGATAACAGGTGTTGCCGATATTTTGCAGACCGACAGGCCACTCCAACAGGTTGCGATCCGGCTCAGTCGAGATTCCGGCCATGTTGCGCAACATGGGACTATCCATGTTCTTTGCGATGATCGACAAAGCTCGATTGTAGAGGTCGGCTTGGCTAGGGCTCTCATCGATGCAAATGGTGTAGGCTGCCATGATAGCACCGTCATCAGCAGTGCGATCTGGAATCTGGAGCAAGCGGTAGGCGTCTCCGATGTCCATTTCTGCCGCAATAGTCTCTCCGGTGGTGAGGTAGTGATTGAGCATCGTGGACTTGCGGCCTTCCGCGATGAGCTTGAGAGCGCGATTGGCAAGGTCCTTGCATGAGGGGTTGTCGTTCAATTTTGCGGTGTACATGGTGATGATGAAGTCATCCGGAGTGTTGTTCTCAACGCCCAAAAAGACCTGGGCCTGCTCGACAGTGGAAACTCGGTCCTCGGAAACGGCCTTGATGCGCTCACTGCCTCTGCTGTCACCGATCCGCCACAAGTTCTGGCGCGATTCGTTCTCTTTCTCCGGCGAAGTCGAGCTCAGGTAAGCGTAGAACTTCCCAATAATGATATCGTCGGTGAGAGAGAAGTCATAATGCCACAGCCCAAAGTACTTGTACGACTCAGCGAGATCATCGTCCGTGTATTTGCCTTCAGAGTAGGCAACTGCCACGGCCTGTTCGATTATCTCATAGTCATCTCCACCGCGCAGAGTGCCAATCGATTTGAGGCATTGCAAATACAGGGGCGCTCGTCCTGGGTCGACGGCAACCTGCTGATTGTATGCTTCAACAATCGCCGAAGCAGCCATATCCTCGGTGGCGCCGAGATCCTCGTAGAACCTATCAGCAAAGTGAGGCCATTAGTAATTTTCATCTCTCACACGCTCGTCACGTCCGCGCAGACTAGGAATACTCACGGAGCAGGCGCCATGGCGAAGTCTTGGGAGCGTGAAGATTTCGGATCTGATTCTTGCGTGAGCTTCAGAGTATTTTGGATTGATAGACAGAGGAGAGAGGGACTAACATTCCAGGGCGTCTAGTGCGGAGAGGATGTCGTTTGTAGATTGTAGGGGAAGCGCAGGAAAGCTGACACCTCTCTTCTCCGAAGCGGGTCGCTGGTGAAGTAAACAAAGCAGCTCCTGGATTATGTCGTCAAGGAAGATCCGCTGCGTATCCTGGTACGGTTGTAATGTCCAGGGCGTGGGACATGGGGGCTGCCAGCTGCCAGCTTCCTATAGGAATGGTTAGTACGAGGCGTATCGTGACGAATGATATAAGAATATAGAAAGCACTGACCGAGTCATATACAAACCCTAGGAATTCCAAGACGTCTTTACACGCAGTTCCCTCCAGTCCAAACGACAGCATGAACCTCTTGTTAGAGGACGAAATTGCCTTACTGCGCTCGTGGCTATGAAGGGCGTTGTGCAAGTACAGGCGCAGGTTGTCTAAGACGGTGATGGGCGTTGGAATCGCCATACCCTCAAGTCGCTCCGGTTGATCTGCAATTGCTTCTTCTGCACGCTCACGAATCAGATCTGGATCGCTTAGCAGCTCCAGAAACTGCGGATTAATAAGAGGAGACAGAATTCGAAGAGATACCATCGCCGAGCAAGGAACATGCGAACATTGATAATGGTAGGTCTCTACCACCTGGCCCTTGTCGGTCACCTCCTCTGCCATTCGACTACCCTGCTGTCTGCCAGATTTGTACACCAAGTGGTGTACATGTCCTGCCATACTGGACAGAGCAAATGCATTGCCACTGATGCTGTGATGCATGACCACCTGCAAGTGGTAACGACATTTCGAGCAGACCGCCGATAGCTTCGACGATATTCCCGGTCTCCGTCTCTGCTCGGCAGTCGCCAGGTATGTTTGGTTCTCCTTTGTTATATATGTGTGTTGACAGGCGAAAGGAGAGACGAAATCGACAGTCTTGTCGGCATCTTCTGGGTATACCGGAGGTACTTGTGAAAGCAGGTTGAGGCCCGTACCCGGAAGATGTACAGGATCATACAGCCGGATGTCCTCCGCCAAGCGGGGAGCTGTCTTGCCTATACATTACAGCAAGATATATGTCAGCATTCCAATCTACAACAGCGCGGTCCAATGAAGCTTTGGTTCTGTGATCGTTACTCACCCGGCCGCTGTGGAGGCATCATGACGATGGAATTATCGACGCAGCTCAGCACGGGTCAAAGGGTTATCTTTTTGAGATGAAGCAGATATGGGAACTGCTAGATGCAGATCACCCATACGGACCCTGCAAGCGGTTTTGGGGTCCCCGCGATGGAGCGATGTCTCGTCGATGAGAGCTAGCTGGTGAATTGACAGCGGGGAACCGCACTGGGGCTGCAGCGGGCGGTAAGCTTGCAACGGATGTCGAAGGAGATACAGCAGCAGCTTTGGAATGAAGATTTGCAGGTTGATATGGATCACAGCAGGTTTATCGAGCAGAAACGCTATAGAAACTTGAAAAATATGAGCAGGCCGTGTTGTTGTGAGTTGTTACAAAGCTGTCTCGCCGACGAAGCTCAATGGGTTCATATCGGCAGGGCGGTATGTAGGGCGGTCTAACGCAGCAGAATATGAATCCCGAAATCCCAACTCAACCACACCTCCGTCCGCCTCCAAGTCTATTCGCAGCTCATCCCTCCCCGCGATACAATGGCGAACCACGAAGAGGACCACCACTACCATCCCCAGGATGCTGTCTCAGCAGCCATCAAGACCACCATGATGACTGGTGGTATTGGTCTGTTTGCCTCGGCCGTGCAGAACACCCTTGTGAGACAGAACGTCGGCCCGCTGGGTATCTTCATGCGCAGCGGCAGCACCATCACTATCCTCGGTAAGAAGGACATATCTACGAAATTGCTGGGTCTGCCATTCCTAACAGAATCATTTTTCTAGCCGCAATGGGTGGTACCTATGAGTTCGCCAAGACCGCTTCGGCCAACCTGCGCGAGAAGAAGGACCCTTGGAACACCGCCATCGGTGGTTTCTTCTCCGGTTCAATTCTGGGTCTCCGAGGTCAGTCATGAACAGCAGATGAGCGATAGCATGGCAATTGGTGTGAATATCGTGGAACACTAACCCCTCTTCAGCTCGCTCCCTCCCCGCCGTTCTGGGTTACGGTATTGCCCTTTCCACCGGCATGTTCGCGTTCGACTACACCGGTGGCACCCTCTTCGGATATAGCAAGGACAAGAACGAGGATGAGTTTGACCGCCGGACAAAGCTGCGCAAGGCTTTCCAGACCCCCGCCGAGCAGACCTTTGCCGAGTTGGGTGAGGGACGTGGTACGTATTTCCCGATTCCCAATGCCAATGTGACCCCTCGTTCTGTGGGAGTTCCGGATTGAGCCATGCTAATCGCTACTCACAGGTATCTACGGCCCCAACTACGAGGAGCGCCGCGCTGAGCGAATCAAGGAGGCGTACGGCATTGAGGTCCCCAGATCCCCAGTCCCCGCATCATAAAAGCCTATTCCCTTTTCCCTCCGATTATCTTCCCCCTCTTATCTCAGTCTCGTTGTGTAAATTACCCACTTTTCATCATGTTGCCTTAGCATGCAGGATACATCAATCCGAAACCAATTCCTTTTTTCGTGAGAAATCGAGTGACGTAGACTGGTTTATACCTCTGTGTGGGTAGAAAGGGAGGGGCTGGAATAAGGTGCTGGATCCCTGCTGGGGTCGGGGTCATTGGGTAGTCATTCTTGGTATAACACAATCCTTGGAGAATGACGAAGTAGAGATTCTGTACATCTCCCAAATCTGATCCTTCCGTGGGTATCGATTAAGCTCGTGGGAGCCGCTGTTTGATCGAGTTTGATGTTCGTGGAGTCGTGGAGGGGAAGACGCCTCAGGCAGCCAATGAGGACGAAGCCATATCAGTCACCCTCAAGTCCTTGATACACTTGGAGCCGTTAGTCTAAGGACATACTTCGAAAGTCTAAAGAACCAACCAGACATGCTTCAAGCACTCCGATTTGGAAACCCCTTGTGAATATCCTTTGAATCATCTTTCTTGATGGCACAAATACTTTTCTGTAGTCTATCGTTCCTACTGGGACAGCCTTTCTCATGATCGACAATGTGAAAAGTTAGAAGCTGCCCAGGGTAGTCAAAACTGGGATTTTGATGCCATGATCCTATCCGACCACGGTCTCTTCCATGGATTATTACGTCGATCTTGATATCTCCAACTAGTCATTGTGTCGCGATGAGCCACCAGACAGGACTATGGAGAGTACTCCAGGAGATCAACTACAGACACGAGTATAGCATGAACTCGAAACAAACTTGAAACCCATCCAATTACTATCATCTACTTGGACAAACCTGTGTCCTTGCAACTGCCGGATGTCTCCCAACTACCGGTCTACAGGGGATCTCCCCAGAGCATTTGCAAAAGGTGACCTGCATCATCGGGCCCTCGGAAGTATCGGACTGTATCGGTACGGAAATCATGTCCTCAGCAAGGGGCAAACACGTTTTCCATCAAAGCTTCAGAATTACGGAGTGCATGTTCCCCAACCTTACATAGGCCGCGACGTCATGCATCAATCACAGGGCAGAGATCAAGAGAGGAGAGAGAACCAATTAAGCGTCTTCCCCCTTTTTTTCAACCTTTTCTCCAAGCTAACAGGCCTCGGGGCTGAGCCACAGATGGCGTGGATCCTTCTCGCATGAACCCAGTCCAGTTGGGCAGAGGCACTCTCCTTTTTTATCCTTTTCAGGGGGAAGTTGGAAGTTTCCTGGGCTTGCAGCAATAACCCACTTCATCGCCTCGGCATGGCGGAGCCACCTTCGTCAGCCACGTTAACCTTCCAGGCAGACAGATATTTAAATGGAGAGGTAGGACTCTATGGAGTGCTTCATACAGAGTCGTTCACCGAAAACTAACCGGCCGAGTGAATCGTCCTCGCAGTGCCAGAAGAGACCAGATAGAGGACGAACATCTTCGCCTGATCGGCCATGAATTCCGCGAGTTCAGGTCCTCGACGTCAACCATCGTGATTCATGCGAATTAGCATTCAGGTGCTGCATCCCCTCAACTCGATAGCCGGGCCTCCCGAAATTGAACCAAGTAGTACAATGTGACTTAGTATACGGAGTAACTAAGTTACTTGGATGTAAACTGGGCGTGATTGGGTTTCTTGGTCGTCATCACTTCGATCGCATCCCCCTCTTCCTCTCGTAGACGTCATTCCCACACCCTCTGCCAGACTATGCGATCGATCGCCCCCCTCAGCTACTTTTCTTTTCTTTTGGCTCTCGGAATAATTACAACAATTCATCTCTCACTTCTATTCTCCATTTCTACATCTTCACCAGACCCCCTTTTTCTTCCCCTCTCCCTATTCCTGCAGGGCTTTCGCAACGATAGTCGTGTGGGGCGAGCAATTTGATCTCCCGGAGTTCCCAAGCCTGTTCGACAGCTCGACGAACTCCCCGCAAAGCAGCCCAGGCCCAAGCCTCGCCGGTCGCTGGGTAACCAGAGTCCCCCTCGCTCTCAGTTCCTCGAGAACAAATCCCAAAGTTCCGGGGGAAAAAACCACTCCACAGGCTTCATCCAGTAACTCATTCTCTGATTCTATTCCCGTCACTGAAATTCTGGAATCTCGATTTCCCTCTATTACTTCAACTCTCTCCAAATCCACCACCCCCTGTCACTCCTGTTGATCTCCCCTCAAACTCCCCGATCTGCATCTCCGACATCCCCGACCTCTCACCCTCCTCCGTTCACCACGTTCCCGTCATGGCGATGGCCGCGCGGCCACAGACCCCCGTGCAGGATGCATACTCGATCCCGCACCCAAATGAGACGGGGACCCTGATCCGCGGGTATAGCACCATGCGTTCCTCCTCATCGCGACCCAACTCCTATGCCGGCACCGGCTCCGCCTACTACAATCACCCCGAACAACCATCCCAACTCGCCCATAACCCGCGCTTCAAGGAGGACTTTGAGACTGCCAGTCGTCGCAGCTCGGTCCTGCTGGACGGTCCCTCCGGTGCCAGTACTGGGATGCAACGCTCAGCCTCACTCATGTCCCCGGGCCCGTCGCGATCAGGTACACTCCGCAAGAAGGCCTCCTTGAGCAAGAAAGGCAGTTTGCGACGCAATGGGAGTCGCCGCTCCATGCGCGCAGGCAGTGTTCGCAGTCTCAGCCTGGGTGACCGAGAGAAATATCACTCCGAGGGCGTGGATGACGTGAACAGCGCATTCATGGTTCCCATCCCGACCACCGGTAACCCGACGGAGGTGTTGGCCAACCGCTTTCAAGGTATGGTTTACTTGCAGTCAGACAAATCTGTTGTCCCTTTTTTGATAACTCAAATTGACTAACTGATCCCATTTTCCTCTCTCTAGCATGGCGCAAGATCCTGAAGGATCTGATCATCTTCTTCAAGGAAGTACAAAAGTCCTACGAAACCAGATCGAAACTCTTCCTCTCCGCCTCCCATGTCATGAACAACCAGGTCACTCCCCCGGCCTTCCTACAATCTGGCGGTCTCGCCGATGCGACTGAGATCCTCCAAAATTTCCACCGTCAAGGATATACTGAGGCCAACAAGGCTGTCGAGGTGGAGGTTGAGGTGATCAGTCAGTTGACGGGTCTCCGCAGCGATCTCCAGAAGAAGACCAAGGAAATCAAGAGTCTCTCCGCGGACTTTAAAAACACCGTGGAGAAGGAGATTGACGGTACCCGCAAGGCCGTGCGCAATCTGCATGAGTCGCTGGGCCTGGTGGACACTGATCCCTCGGCCACCTCCGGCAAAGGCGATCCGTTTTTGATGCGTCTGAATGTTGAGCGACAGGTGGAAAAGCAGATCGAGGAGGAGAATTACCTTCATCGGGTACGTTGCATTCTCACACTATCACTCTGATTGAACATCCACGAACTAACGTTTCATCTCTTTCTCTTACAGGCATACTTGAACCTGGAAAACTCCGGCCGCGAACTCGAATCGATCGTCGTCAGCGAGATCCAAAAGGCCTACAACGCCTACGCTAGCATCCTTAAGAGGGAAGCTGACGAGGCTTACGATACGGTGGAGAAGCTGCGTGCGGGACCCATTTCAATGCCGCAAGACCACGAGTGGAATGCCTTTGTCGCCGGCACCGACGAACTCGTTGACCCGCGCATCCCGCTACGAAACGTCGAGAACATCACCTACGACGGCAAAGATCACCCAGCGGCAGCGGAAGTGCGCGCGGGTATGCTAGAGCGCAAGAGCAAGTACCTCAAGAGTTACACTCCTGGTTGGTACGTGCTGTCGCCGACACACCTGCACGAGTTCAAGTCGGCCGACCGCGTGGAGTGGCAGACTCCCGTCATGTCGCTGTATCTGCCAGAGCAGAAGCTGGGCTCCCATTCGCAGGAAGACTCCAGCTCTCATAAATTCATGTTGAAGGGCCGGCAGACCGGTGCCATGCACCGCGGCCACTCGTGGGTGTTCCGAGCCGAGTCCCACGAGACCATGATGTCCTGGTTTGATGATATTGAGAGCCTCAGCAATAAGACGGGCGAAGCGCGTAATGCCTTTGTGCGCCGACACGTGCGGAGCGTGAGTGGTCGCTCGACCCACAGCGAGGTGATGGAGGACGACGAGGCGGATCGGACCCCGTACTCCGCCGAGTCCGTGGTTCTGGGACAGGAACGGCCCACCTCAGCCACCCGCCAGCCCGGCGGGGCCTTCCCGAGTGACGTCCAGATCGATCGACACCTCCAGGCGCCACTCTCCCCATCCAGCGGCGACAGCTCTGGCAGAGACATGATCGCTGCCGCCGAGGGCCTTCCAGATGGCACTGGTGCCGCGGGTGCATCGCGATTTTATGGCGGTCACGAGTCTGCCACCGCGTCTCCACAGCCCGTCAATGATGACGGTTCGATCAGGGTGGACCGATCGCGGTCCCGGATGAGTCGCCATGACAGCTACTACGGGGACTGGATCGGTCCTTCCGCGATTGTCGCCCAGCAGAAGAAGAGCCAACTGTCGGAAACAGCGAACGCGGACGCTCGCGAGATCCGATCGGACGGAGACCACAACTCTGTCGTGGCCATGTCAGGCGTTCTAGAAAACGCAGGCCGCCGTGAATCTTCTGCACCGGCTCAGGTGGCTCGTCGAGAGAGTGTGTCTACGGTGCCAACCAACACCAACGGTACCGACTACACCAACAACACGATGGCCACCTCTCTCGACGAGACCCCTGAGTTCATCAAGAACGGCGCTGCGGTGGCCAGCGGTTCCATACCCACCAAGAACTACGAGGATGGGTACGCAGTACCTGGCCCGACCAACACGGGTCCTGAACTGAGCCTGCCCAAGCGGGACAGCGTCGTGGCCATTGACATGAAGATTCCTGGTCGTTATCCCCCGACCAACGTGGCCGCATGATCTTAATTTTTTCTTAGATCACTTTCATTTTACATTTCCTTTTCTTTCCCTTTGTTCCCATCTTCACTTCCAGTATCCTTTTATACGCCCTTCCCACTGTACATGTATCCCCCTCCCCAGCACCATGATTATTGTCCCTGCTCTACACTACACTACACTACTATGCGTCCTAGTTTTCATTTAGGCGTTTTGGTTTCATTCGTTCGGTCAAGGAAATATGTCACTGCCACATGAATTCTCGACGTAACCACTACTCAAACTATAGATCCAGAAACCTCTCCGCCGGATGTTGCAGGCGTATGGTTAGCCGGGTCTCCTTTCAATTCTTGATTCCCCTCGGGGGTGCGGAGCACCCACGCATTCGTTTCTTTTTTTTTCGATCTGTGATCTTTTGGGCTTGTTTCTTCTTCTTCTTCTTTTTTTTTCGTGTATGCTCTGGAGTGAAGAAATGAAAACGATTTAGTCTGATCTCTAGATGTGTTTTTGGTGTTGATGGGGAAGTTCTTGTTTGCAGGGTGTAGAACTGGATCGATTCCGGGCTGGACCGGTGGGTGGCTGCAGGGGGGTTGTGACACGGGGCGGCTAGACCGTGCAGGGCTGGATGCTGGATTGTGATGGCGTATGTCGATTTCAAGTATATACATACAGAGGCATGTATGTACATGTATGGCGTATGAAAAGCTGACGGTATTAGTAGGATTTATTGCTGAATGGGTTTGACTGTCATAATTAGGCTAAGTATATATACATCGGATGAAACAGTCTTTCATAGTCCGAGGCAGAATCTTGGGAAATACCAACATTTTGGTAATTACATAGCTATCTACTTGTCTTTTAATTATCCGGATCTTTATCCACATACTCTAATATAGTTTTCTCTATAAAGCCTTACTGGTTCGTGGTTTATTGGTCTGAGGTTATCTTTCACTACAGTATAACGTTGTCCGGCCTCAGGCTTCCAAGTCCCAGCCGGAGAAAGCGGGCGGTGGGGGCCAAATGGGGCTGTCAAGTATCAGAGAATCAACAGCTTTAAATCTGCCAACTTTACTACTGACTACTACCTGGTCCAACTACTGCCAAACTGCCAAACTGCAAAACAACCTCAACCCGCCGTTCTTTCCGTCTGCCTCAGTCCACCTTCTTCTCCTCTTTCCGCCTTCTTCTCTTTTCCTTCTTCCAACCATCCTCCTGTCCACATTGCTTCCCTTTCGCAACGACTCATCGATCCACGACTAAGCCTTGTACCACCATCAACCACCACCATCAAGTCTGGAATTATGGGTAGGTGTCCCCGCTCTTCCTGTCTCACTGCCACACGAACGGCAGCAGTATATGCGGGCGTATATTACTAGAATTACTCGTGTTCAGTACCCTGCTGGTCAGGGCTGTTCTCCCTCTCTGTTCTCTGTTCCACCCCCCTCGTTCCCTTGGGTATTCTGGCCTGGTACTACTTCCAGTACTTCCAGTACTTCCAGTATTCCCAGTACTCCCAGTACATTCTCAGCTCCTCCTCCTCCCCCCCCTCCTTCCCATTATTACTCACTTTCGCCCTCCAATCACCGATCGTCCCCCCTCCCAACGGACCTGGGCCCTTTCATCTTTCCCACCCCTCCTCCTTCCTCCTCCTTTCCTTCCCCTTCACACTTTCCCCTGATCGGTTTCCTTGTTCTCCTTTGCTAATCATCTTGTTTGTTTCTTCTCCCGATATAGCGGACGTCTACCGACCTTATCAAGTAAGTACTACAAACATTTCTTATCTTTCCTATTTCCTACACTTCCCGGCCTTGTCCATTATCGCGGAATGCGCGATGCGCCGGTGCTGGCGCGACCCGTCGTCCAACTATCGTGGTCAGTGCGGGGGCGGACTCCATCTAAGACCATAATGACGACCAAGTTGCGCCGCATCATCCGGACCAAGAAAACCAAAGAGGAGGAAAAAGAAGAATTGCGACTTTGCTTGTCCTCTCTCTGGATTTCCTGCAAACATCCTATCTTTCTGTGTGCTGTGCGCACAAACTCGAAACACAGTGGCCCCAAGGGGACCCCCAGCTGCTCTCCGGGGGTCCTCAAACTGCCCGTCTCAGCTTATACAGCCACTCGGTCACATGACCCAACACCTCTCTCCGCCCCGATCTCGCGGGCTCTTCTTCCCGGGTCCCTCAGCTGCTCTCTAGTCTCGGCTGCGCCTCAATTCCCAATTCATCATCACATACCACTGTTCTTCCCCACTTACCCTGGTCTTTGATCATCTCTCTACTCCCCTCTTTTCGTCTTTCCTCGTTTCGCTCGCGCGATCTTCTCTTTTCTTCTTCCTCCCTTCCTCCGTCGTCGCAATGTCTTCTCAATACCCTGATTACAACTATCCCGACTCTGACCGTATCCAGCAGCGTGAGAGGTCTCGTTCACCCCGACGCCGTCCTTCTCGCAGTCCCCGACGTGCCCGTCGCTCGTACTCCCCGCGCAGTCGCTCTCGTAGCCGTGACGATTACCGTCGCCCTGATCGCGATCGCCGTTCTCGTTCTCCGTTGAGTGCTTCTGGTGCTGCTGGACCGTCGGGCTCCCCCTACGGTGGACGCAATAGTTACGCGCCGGGTCGAAACCCTGAGGATCGTTCTGCCGCCAAAGAAAACATGATGCAATCCGTCCGCGATTCTTCCCAACAAGACCGCCGGGTCTATGTCGGCAACCTTTCATACGATGTGAAATGGCACCACTTGAAAGATTTTATGCGACAGGGTAAGCCAATGGATGGATGCGATGCTGAATGGTGGTGATGGTGCTGCCACGCCATATGACACAGGACAATGGGCTAACCGATGATCTTGGTGATTCTTGTCTTACAGCTGGAGAGGTTCTCTTTGCCGATGTTTTACTTCTTCCGAATGGAATGTCGAAGGTGGGCGCCAATGCGTAGAGTGGCTGGTTCCTTTTCTACTCCCTGATTTTTCGTGGTTTTTTTTTCTGGTTTCCTTGCATGGACTGTTGGGTTGACGGGCTGGGCCTGGTTGTCCGGACACTGTAGGGATGCGGGTAAGTCTTGCGCATGGCAATACCAACTAGGAAGGAATAGGTTGGCTAATCGGTGGATAGGATTGTGGAATACGCTACGAGGGAGCAAGCACAAAACGCAGTCAACTCGCTCAGCAACCAAAGTTTGATGGGCCGCCTCGTTTACGTCCGCGAAGTACGTTGATACCATAATTTTGAAGAGGAGGTTGAGGACGGAGGACAAGAACTGACTGATTCAATTGCAGGATCGTGAGGCCGAGCCTCGTTTCATCGGTGGTCCCCCCCGCGGCGACTTTGGGGGTGGTGCCCGCGGTGGCTTCGGTGGTGGATTTGGCGGCGCTCCCAGCGGTGGGGGTGGCCGTCAACTCTATGTGTCGAACGTTTGTAGTCCCCAATGTTCCCCTTGTGATGCTAAGATTCGTTGTGAGCCAGGACCGTATTGACAGAATCCAAATAGCTTCCATTCAACGTGGGCTGGCAAGACTTGAAGGATCTGTTCCGCCAAGCTGGTAAGTTTAGCATGTGGTTATAAAGGACGATTGACAGCGAGTTCTCTCCGCGTCACTGTTCCTCTCCATTCTGCTTTTTCTCTTTCCCCTTGTGGGCGTTTGGCGAATTGACTTGAACTCTTTCTTCACAGCCCAGCAGGGTGCCGTTATTCGTGCCGATGTGCACACCGACCCGACCGGTCGCCCCAAGGGCTCTGGTATCGTTGCCTTTGAGTCTCCGGATGACGCGCGCAACGCTATTGCCCAGTTCAATGGCTACGAATGGCAGGGTCGTCCTCTGGAAGTCCGTGAGGACCGCTTCGCTGGCGGTGGTCCCGGCTTCGGTGGCCGTGGTGGCTTCGGCGGCGGCTTTGGCGGTCGCGGCGGCTTCCCTGGAGGTGGCCGTGGCGGCTTTGGCGGTCGTGGAGGCTTCGGCGGTGGTTTCGGTGGCCGCGGTGGATTTGCTGGCGGTGCTCCTGGTGTTGCTCCTGGTGGAGGTGGCTTTGGCGGCGGCGCTGGTGGTTTCGAGAATCCCGTTGCTTCGGTGCCCCCGAACCCTTTTACTGACTTTGCAACCTCCGGCGGCGAGCGAAGCGGTGTCATCTATGTTCGCAACGTAAGTTTTGCTTTGGATGATATGCGTTCATCCAATGTTTGATCGGTCTGATCAATTGCTGACTTGTATGATAGCTGCCCTGGTCTACCTGCAACGAGGACCTGATCGACCTGTTCTCGACGATCGGTAAGGTCGATCGTGCTGAGATCCAGTACGAGCCTAATGGTCGCTCCCGTGGCACTGGTGTGGTTGAATTCGACAGCCCCGAACTTGCAGAGACTGCTATTGGTGAGTTGATGCTGGTGGAAATTTGCTCATGATCGTGATCGTCTCGTACTAACTACCTTCTCTCTTACTAGCCAAGTTCACTGGTTACCAGTACGGAGGCCGTCCCCTAGGCATCACTTTTGTCAAGTACCTGAATGCTGGTGGTGCCCCTGGCGAGATGATGGAAGGCGCCGAGCCAACGGACCACATCACTCAGGACCAGATCATGTAATCTCTTGTTGTTTTTGTTTCAACTGGACCTTTGGGCACGTTTTATTATTATTTTGTTTGAGATTATTCTTTCTGCTTCTACTGATTCATCTTCTTGTTGCTTGCCGCCATGATTCCCTTTATTCGCCATGATTCCCCTCTGCCAAAAAGGGGTTTCATGTCGATCTGCGGTGCTTAGAATGGAAAAAACGTCTGTGCTTCGTTTTTGTGGCAATGTGGTGTAGCTGGCACGGGCACGTGCAGATAGCAGATAGCTGAAGATCGGACAATCGCAATCTTTACTTTCTTCTCCACTTGTGCTTCTTCTCCGTAACTTTCTTGACCACACCCCACCACTCAACAACAAGTACGCTGTCACAATGGCATCACTTCAACGTCTACCCGCTCCTCAAAGGGCCATATCTTCTATCCAACTTATCCGCCCAACCCGCCTCATCCATACAATCAACCACCACCGACCCTCTCCATCATCCGCATCTCAATCTCCATCAACCACCCTCACTACCAACCTAAGCTTCAAAACCCCCTCAATCCCAATCCGCACTTACCACTCTCAATTGCACCCCCGCCTCCCACCCCACGAATACACAAACAGCCAAACCGCCATCCTAACCGCCTCCCTCCCGCACATCCCAACACACGGCGTCACGGCCGCAGCGTTAACAGCCGGCGCCCGTGACGCGGGATTCCTCGATGTTTCGGTGCAGCTTTTGCCCAGGGGGGAGTTTGATCTTGTGCTTTTTTGGCTGGCGAGTCGACGCGGGTTGTTGAGGGCTAAGGTTGAGGGGGGTGAGGTTTTTGGTGCGAATGCGGAGGAGTTGAGTGTGCAGGAGAAGATTAAGATTCTTGTTTTGGAGAGGTTGAGGATGAATAGCGAGATTAAGGATGTTTGGCAGGATGTATGCACCCTCCACTCCCCATATTTTACATATCCTTTGATTCTCTTACTAACCTTTTCTTTGATACCTCTAGGCCCTAGCCCAAATGTCCCTGCTCGGCAACATCCCCCTCTCTCTCCTTGAACTCCACGCCCTCTCAAACGACATCCTCACTCTGGCAGGCGACACCGCCGTCGATGCAACCTGGTACGCGAGGCGTATGGGCGTGGGCGCTATCTATGCTAGTGCCGAGGTAGTCATGACGCGTGATCCGACGCCGGATCTGCTGGAGACGGAGGCGTTTGTGGAACGCAGGTTTGAGGATAAGGAGGTGCTCAAGGGGAAGGTTGAGGGGATTGGTTCTTGGGTTGGGTTTTGGGGGAATACGGTTCTTGGGGTTGGGAGGAGTTGGGGGTTGAAGATTTGATTGAGCTTCAAGGAGGGATTAGGATAAGTCCTGGTTGATGCCCGGGCTTATGGGGGTGGAAGGTGTTTGTATTTTTATTTCTGTTTCGGGGGGCTGTGTTCATTGGCTGTTCTTACTTTGACTAAGGAGTCATGTTAGAGGATCAATGGCTTGACACTTCATGTCCAGTTCAATTCATACTGCTATGGGTATGAGCGAGGATGTCGACTTGGATCCCCCGATACTTGTATTCTATCATTTCTATTCTGTCTACACACCTTTGATACATCAGCGCTTAGCGAACAATCCTCTACTTTCTTACTCTGTCCCAAGGATAATATATCTAGGCGTTTCCGTCTGACGAGCTCTGCTAGTCAATTAATCATTGATAGAAAATATAGATGAATATCTATGTATGCATAGGTTAACTCCACCTTGATCACCCCTTCTTAGATACAACTCAAATATCCACGTCAATGCAGCGAAACATTCTGCACCGCCTCCTCAACACTAACCGGCTGTGCAGCCCCCTTCTCATCCGCAGTCGACACAAGCAACGTCGGACTAACCGGACTCGTCGGCGAAAACGGATCAGGCAACATTCCGCCATCCTCGCCAGCCTGCGCATCAGCCGTGCCACTCACAGCTAACGCCACAGCCTCCGAGTCACTTTCCTTCGCCTGCGACCCGGTACTAACTCCGCTCTCGACAGAGTCCGTGTGTGCATGCGCTTGAGCCTTACCCCGGCCCCAGCGGCGTGTTTTAGGCGGCGCGGGTTTCTGGCCGTGCTTGTTGATGCTGATACTTGTGCAAGTGCTTGGAGTAGGACTTGGGCCTGTTGAGGCTGGTGCGGGCCGGTGGTGGCTTGTTGATGGAGTTGTTTGGGTTGAACGACGGGGTGGGGGGAGGGCTGGTGGTGGATTTGAGGCGGAGCGGCGTGGGTGTCCTGGTGGTATGAGATGGGAAGTGGTGGTAGAGTTACGCCGGTCTGTGGTTGTGCCTGTTGCAGTAGCGTTGATAGTAGAGGAGGGGGTTGTCGGGGTTGGCGTGGGCGCTGTATGTGTTGATGTCGGGCTGATTTCGACTCCTTCGGGGATGGTATTGCGGTCACTACTAGTGCCGGTGGAGTGTTGGTCGTCCTCGTCAACGGCGAGGCGACGACCACGCCAGCGCCGGGATTTGGGCGGTTCAGGCTTGATCTTGGGGGCGCGGAGGGTGGGAGCTTCCCCGACGAGGTCGATGGTACGACCGTCGTTGCGGCTGGGTGTGATGACGCCGGGCTTTTCATGCTGCGCGGCGACGGCTTGCACGCTGAGTGATGATGCGGATGCAGGCTCGAGTTGCATGCCTAGTCGGTGGATTGCACTTAGTTTCCGCCGCGACTCGGGTGCTTCGGATGAGCCACGCGAGTCTAACGAGTCCATTCTCGTTGGTGATGTCGTGCCGGGTGAATCGGGGATGGTACTCATGTGGGAGAGGGTACGAGTAACATCGATGGGATCCATATCAATTGGCGAGTCTTGTTGGATACCCTCATCAAGGACTGTGTCGATTGTGGCAGTGACAATCTGAGTGGGAATCTCCTGGACTGGAGTAGTGATGTCCTGATGTTCGCGTAGCCAATCTACTGTTGCACACCTGCCCACGAGTCGCCGTGTAGTTTCGTCGACCTCTTCAAAGTGGATGATCTTCTCTTGCTCGGTCTCGTTTCCATATGAGACTTGTCCTCGGACGAGAATACTGAGCAATCTCCTCAGCTCATCCCGCTTATAGTGTGGTGGAAGTCGTAGCTGGGTATGTGCCAGTAGCGGGTACAAAACACGAAGATAAGTATGTCGCAGTGCAGATGCCTCCTCGGGTAAGTCGAGGAGGTTGCGGATCAAGATATCCACTAAAACGTGCAGATCATTGGTGAAAAAGTATTCATATGTGCTTGGGGTGGTAAAGATCAGATAGAGCAGCTTCAAGGTAAGCAGCTGTAGAGATGTCTCGGCTGTTCGTGTATTAGCTGCGAGCTCTAGAGTTGACATGCAGGGGAGCAGTCTTACCTTCACGGTTGATAAGCAAAATAATGTTCTCGCCAAAGGTCTTGTACAAACTTCCATAGACCGAGAGAACCTTGATCACCTTATTGGTCAAATGACTAGAAGACGACCGCTCATCGACCGGATCGTGAGCCGAAATCATAAACTGCTCGTTGAGAACCAGCTACAAGCAACCAATTAGCTCGACTCCAACATCAGTAGATAACCCAAAACCACTCACCAGCACTCGGATCACAGGATAATGGTACGGATCCGTGACATCGTAGGACAAATCCTCAATAATGTCGAAAAGACACCGGATAAAATCATCATCTACAAGCACTGGACAACCAAAGACACCATATTAGCAACCTACTTTTTCAAAAAGCTATACCTCCCAAGAAACCAACATACCCAAATCTTCAATCTTGATCCTTTGAATCCGCGACATCTCATATAACAAGTCCATGAGCAACTGGTGGAGACCCGCCCCGCCATCCGTATCGTCCCTACGCAGCGACTGAATCAGCTCGAGGAGGCGCGCAAACACGCCCTCCTCATTCATCATCTGTAGAGCCGCTTCATTCTGCCGACCGTCGAAGAGCAGGAACGATGCGATGAAGTGTAGTGTATTCAGATCATCTTCCTAATCACGGAGCAGTGTATATTAGCGGGTTGTTCGCGTGTTCGAGTTGCGCTGGAGAAAGAGGCTGGAGACGGAGGTATGTACCTGCAGGAGACAGTAGACAATCTGTCGGCGGACATAGTCCGCATGAGCCCCGAAGATAGTCGATGCGAAGAGCTTATACGAGCAGCGCGAGATGTCATATTCAGAAGAGAGAAAGTCATCTATACCCGGAGAGTTATACCGTTAGCGACTATCGTTGTGTAAAGAGGTCTCGCAACAAGACACGAGACCGATTGTCGACTCAACTTCTTGTGGCGGGGAAGAAAGAGGGGAGGATTGTCACCTTTGTACTGCGTCGTCAAGCTCAGATACGCTCTAAGAGCGTCATCAATCGAATCCTCCGAGTCACAAGGCTTGGAGACAATCTCTTGGAGTTCTGCTAGGTGGTTAATTGAGAACTGTCGCAAGGGAGTAATCGCCGGCGCCGGGCTTCAAGGCCGGTGTCGGTCCGCAGGATTTGCGGGGTCAGGGAGTAACAAACTCACCATTCCAGAACTGCTGGGGCTCCGAGACCTCGGGCTCCATTTCCCACCGAGCTCGATCTGGGACTTCGGGGGTGGTGAGTCAGGGCACTCATCCCGTCTTGTTGCGTCGGGGAAAGAGAGAGGTTGGAGATGCGGAATGTGTTTGGTGGTGGAGGTGGGGGGAGGTCGTTAGCTCCGGTGTCCACTTTGCGGGCCAAGACTACGAAGACATAGGAAATGCATATGAAAGGGGAAAGTTATCGACGATGTCTACTATTTACTTGTTACTACAAGTTGTTACAGGTATTACGGAGGTCAAGTAAATAGAGGTCAACGGTTATACGGTCAAACAAGCATATATGCATATTTTTCGCTGGTATCACTATGCAGGGCAATTTCCACAAAATAAAACAAAAAAGACAAAACCCCGGACAAAAGAGGAAAATATATCATGAAACTGGGCGTAGTAAGGGATGCGCTTCGGTGTTTCTGTAAAGAAGGTCAGTTTCGTTGTTGTGCGGGTCAATGTAGAAAGACCTCAAAAACTTACAGCACATATTTATCCAGATCCACTACACTGGGATCGCTGAACAGAAGGTAAAAGTACTTGAGCGTTTCCGCTGTCCAGAAGGATTCCATCGCATCCTTCTGCGCGGGCTTTGGCGCCGTGACATCCTTAATGCCAGCGTGCGCCACGGTTGTCCGCGTATACTTGATGATTGTCTCGAACATCTTCCACCCCTTCCGCCGCCAGGTATCGTCGCCAGTCAATCGGTACATGATGAAGACGGACTCGATAGCCTCAGGGCGGAGGAAGTACTCTGGCGCCGAGATGTGGGTCATACCTGAAGGCAAACGGTCATTGATCTCATTGCCCTCAGACTGCGATACGAATGCTGGGCGGGGCGCCTCGCGGTTGGAGGCAGGGACTGCTGCGCCCCGTCCGGCAGTGACGGCATCACGCTTGTTGTAGGCAGCGTTATTGTCATGCGGATTCATGGAGCCAGGCATGGGCAGTGGCACAGCAACGCCGTTCTCGCCGAGCTCTTGGGGCTTGAAATCGGTATTCATCTTCACTCGCTGACCGTAGGTGCTCTCGCCAGTGCGGAATCGCGCTTCGGCCTCCGAGTCCAACACGTGCGAGTATTTCTTGACATCGGCCTGGTAGAGCTTCTCATCCCACTCGCAAGACTTGTCCTTGCTGCAGGGCAACAGGCGGAATCGCTCAGGCATGATTCCGGTGTTGGTCGACTCGTACGCCCAAACACAGCCATCCGTCAGCTTGGCAGCCAGTTCAAGGTCGCTCTCGATGCCGAATGCCTTTCCGCCCATGGCAACCATACCGCCGAGGAAACAGCTGAGGTGGGTGCTCTCGTATTCAAGATCGGTAGAGGAAAGAACACCGGGCTTCGTGGGGTCAAGCGAACTGGTAGACGCCATGAAGCGGAGGTCCCGCTCGCCCTTAACCATGGGTCTGAAAACAAGGTTCTTGCGAGCAGCGTCCATTGCCTTCTTATACATCTTCTTGTACTGGTCGTTCGCACCGCCTAGGATGAGGTACTCCTTGGGCAGATATTCGTAGGTAGAATCAGCCAATCCACCAAGACCGTACCTGTTATCACGGAGTGACAGAGGGAGCTCTAGTCCGCCGTCGCATTTCTCAGTAACGGAGGTCGAGTCCTCAGAGGTAGCCTTGCTAGAACTATCACTGCTGGTACTGCTCGCACTGCTAGCGCTGTTGCCACCGCGGTTGTATGGCGCAAGTTCTGCTTCCGAGAGGTCGATGTCGGTCTGACGCTGAATCAAGCGGATATAGCTGTCGATATCAGTCGGGGCAGCGTACGGCTTGCGGGCGCGCGAAGACGTAGGCGTAGCCACACCTGAAGATGAAGTATTTGTCGCGACAAACTCTTCATAATCGTCTTCAATAGGCTTGCCAGCATCCCGACTGGGTCTGTACTTGGCGCAGCCTTGTGCATTCACTCGCACAGGCCACAGGCCTGGGACACTCGTCGAATCCTGGAATTCCTCGAGGCGGTTGGTAATACGCGCAATTGCATCGTAGTACTTGTCTTGTTTGGTCAATTGGGCCAAGCGGGTGAATTCCAACGAGAGGGATCCAAGCTCGGCCAGGGTGGCCTTGGATGACGCCCGATGAGGGCGCTTAGTATGAGCACTAGAGGAGTCTGTTAGCTCTGTAACACACAAGAGGAAAAGAGACATCTGTTATGCACTTACGGAGTCCAGCGATAGTATAGGACAGGCATGCGGTTCGGCGTGTCAAAGGCGCCAATTAGAACCTCGGCTAACTGCTCAGCTTTCTCCAACAGCACCTCGTATTTCTGCCCCGAAATATCATAAGCACCGAGAAGTCCTCCCAGGTAGCGGATCACAGTCTCAAACACGGGGATATCCTCCCGTGGAGAGGTAGTAAAGTCAATCTTCTTAACCTCATCTATAGCCTCCGAGAACTCATCCTTCAAGTCCATAATCCACAGGGTATCCAGCGAATCAACCAGCGTCGCACCCCAACCATTGAACGGATCGTCGAAACTCTCGGAGAGAGGTTTGATTTCATCATGTCCCATTGCCACTTGTTTATATCCGGCCCAAGCGTGCTTGAACTCGGCCTTAATAGTGCTCAATCGCTGCAGTCGCTCCTGCTTGTCCGCGCTGGTCTCATCCTTGGGCTTGGCCTGAAGCTTGGGCATGGCTTTTGACATATCCTTGGGGAGTTGGATCAGTTCACCTTGTGCAATGGGGAATCGCTCGGGTGTCTTGACCCAGTGCGCTGCAGGGCCGTTGGGGTGCTTATGAACGGACAATCTGCCGGTACCGCCGTGATCGATTTCCTCGGGGAATTCGTCCGATGCATCCCCTATAATTGTAGGCGATTGGTTACTGCTGCTCCCAGGCTTCTTCTCATTTGAGCTATCCGAGCTACCGCTGCCCGGAGACTTCAGTGAAGCATCGGTAGAGGCAGTAGACCCAGATCCAGACCCAGACCCGGACCCATGTGACAATCCAGGTTCCTTATTCTTATCGTTCTTCGCACTACCCGGTCCAACAGGCGACTTGAAGTCATTTTGCGGCGGATACCCAGGGGAATTGCTATTCGGGGGTGATGGAGACTTGCTGTTATCCTGTGCCGGAACTTGCGGAGGTGGAGGTGATTGTGACGAATGATCGCCAGCCGGGGTCTCGATGACGGCGGTCTGTTTCCAATCGCGCGATCGGGCGAAATGGAGGGTCGTGAGGACGAAAACCGCGGCGAAGACGAGCAAGACGCGGTAGCGGCGGGCGCGAAACATGGCGGGCCGTCGCACCCGTCGGTGGGTTAAAAGGAGGGTGGTGGTGGTTAGTGGCCGAGGGGCGATTTGGGATTGAGGGAAGGGAGGAAGAAAGGAAGAAAGGAAGGAAGGAAAGAAAGAGGAAAAAGGAGAGTCGTAGGGAGAGAAAGAATCACTCGTAGACCAGACGAGGAGGAGGAGAGAAGAGTTGAATGTCACGAGACGAAATGATCGAGAGGAGAGAAGCAGGAGAATAATGCGGAGCGGAGATCCACATGTGATGGGTCGGATTCAGGAACCAGTTGTTTACTAAGTGACTAGGCGTTTGGGGTCTAATTTCAAGGGTTTTGTGGCTATGAATAGTCTACAAATAGTAAAACCTACCGTAACGTACATTGTGTGTACTATTGGAGTATAACCATCCAGTTCCAAAAACTTCATGTGCAATCTTGAGGTCATTTTGGTCTGATTACAGTATCAAGTTTTCCAATCTGGCCCTAGTAGTACTGACTAAAACCACCTCCTAAACTTGAAATCCAACCAGGTCTGGCAGCCTGCAACCGGCTCCTTCAGCCCATCAGGTTTCTCGACCGAGCCAAGGACGCCCAGTGTCGCCAAACCCGCGGCTCTCGGCCCGCTCACTGGTGGACATCCTCGGAGCCTTGGATGGCCAATTCAGCCCCCGTAGAGAGACCCTCTCCCAAACATGCAATGTCTTGCATTTAAATGGGTCGTTGTTGTTAGCTCCGACGTGTCTCCGACGTGTTACAGGGCTATTCGACCCTGATTGTTCGTTCAGGGCCGGTGGCAGACTGTAGTTATCTGCTCTACAGTACTTTACTTAGTGCCTAACCAGTGGAGGCAATTGATGGGGCGATCGGTAAGGGTCTACCGGATCGGCCTATCATCGTGGAGTGGCACTTGGACGGAGAGGGGATAGATAAAAGGATTGGTTTATTCATTCGCTGTAAACATGCTAACTAATCAATAACTGCTTTTTTAGCATGAAATTGCCCCTGTTTGGCGTCGTATTCGCTCCAGCAGGGCCGAGACATCCCTGATGGGGCTCTACAGTCTACAGGGCTGGCCCTCGTGAAGATTACGCTTTAGTTCATGGGCTTCCATTCGAGAATAGCTAAACGACGATACACCCCTCTTATTCTGGCTTAGCGTAGTAATAGTATTACCGCAATCTACAGTAGGGCTCCATGAGTTTGAAACGCCGAGAATCTTCGTAATCATCTCAGCAATCACCAGTTGAACGGTATGGGTGCTCTCAAGAAAAATGATTCGAAAGAGATCTAGAAAGACCTTTTAAATAAGAGTGATTGAAGCATATCTAGTTGGTCTGTTTCCTTTGTTTCAAGTCTCAGACTTTGGAACAACTATAAGGATATCCTAACTAGAAGATAGAGATACAGTTACTGCGCTAAACCCCAAATGGGCGTGTATCGTGTGATTAGCAATCTTGTACCGTCGTTTTAGGAATTCCCTTCCATTCAATCGGAAAATAAACTTGGCTATAGAGAGCCTACATTTATAGCAGCTATAAATTATTTTCTACGACCATACACAGTGCCAATGACAAACATACTGTAGACCCTGCGAGTACCTATGCATCCATTGTACAGTAGTGGCCCACTTACATTAGGCCCCCATGTAAATACTTAGAGAGAGACCATGCATCTTGACCCCAAACACCAGTTTAAAGTGGGATGAACTACTCTCGGGTACAGAAGAAACAAAACAATCAAGCAAATTCATGATTCCGTCTACCCTATCGCTAAAAGGTATGTAAGAAGGACGTTCGTGTCGTGACATGTGCATAGCTTCTATCCCCGAAACTGATCATATGCGCGGCAGCAAGAGATTGACTAGATTCCCACTGGGGCCCGTCTACCTTCAGTATTCGCCTTCTGGAACTGCTGAATGAGACCCAGCACACCTGCACCCCCGGCAATAGCGTCAATGTTCTCACCCTCATCGTCCTCATCGGCATCCTCCTGACCAAGAGGATTCATGCGCCATGAATCGCCAAGGCTACTCTCACCAGTACCGGCACCTCCACTAGAGGCACCACCTGGCTGGCGCGATGTGGAATCACGGGGTTCTTGGGACGGCGGGTCTTCGTCATCGATGGTGCTGGCAATGGGTAGTTGTGAGCGTGCAAGTCGAGACCGTTGATGAGGCGCATGACGTGCTGCAGAGCGGAAGCCGGAGCTAGAGGGTTGATGATGGGGATCCAGGAGGATGGAAGGACCTGGCGAGCGGGGATCGCCCGCTGGTGCTGGCCGGAACCTGGAGGCGGCCACGATGGACTGTGGGCCCCATGGTCCACCCGCTGGACTGGGGCGAGTTGGATGCTCGAATCGTTCGGGAAGGGCGCCTAGCTCGGGAGACCCGAGGGTAGGCAAGCCTGGAGGCGGATGGAATGGGCGGCGAGCGTTGGTTTGAGGATTGGTCCCGTAGTGATCCAAGAAGCCATAGTAAGACGCAAGCATCTTGCCATCCTTGGTTGAGAAGTAATCGGCGCGCAGATCCTGGCGGCCATTATCACGCCGTCCTTGAGACATGACATTTGTGCCCTTCTTAAAGTCGAATACCGCAAAGGAGCATAGGTAGCCGACGCCATCTACATGGACCGTGAACTCGCGGAAGAAATCAATCAAGCGGTCGCTACACTTTGGCAGACTGAACCACAGGACAAAGGGCGTGAAGATCATGCTCAATATCTCCTCCAGGAAAATCACGATTTTCAGCTGGTAGGACACGGCAAACTCCTTTCGCACATCGTCACTGTGCAGGCGCCCTTTCCACGTCGAGGGAAAATAATGGGTGAAATCAATCAACTCCAAAAGAGCAAACTCCGGATCAAAAACGTCCGTTTCCTCCGGTGCCATTCCCTGGGCGAATGCCCACACAGTACCGAAAATACCGAGATAGAAGAGCACCGTCCGATCATGGGTGATTTCAAATCCAAGAAATAGTTCCGGATCGATCACCGAGGCCAGTGCGAGCACGGATGCAAGTGCACCAGATATGAAGGCGACGAAACGAGCCAGTTGGACGGTCTTGTCCTTGGGGAATTGATCGATGTAGCGACTGGCAAAGGGGTAAGACATGTTAATGCGACGCTCAAAGAGATGCCAGAGCTCGTTGAATTCGCGGAACTTCCACTCCGCCAGTGGGGTGTATTGACGCGAGCCAATTTGGGACGGATTCTTCTTGAACTCGTTGAAATAGCGGAAAAAGTAATGCATCAGGAAGTAGACGACTATGAATGGGGCGATGAAAATGTTCATAATGCCGGCAAAGATGAAACGTCGTCGTAAGCCATCGCTCAACGCTCTTCGGTGGGTATCTTTGAGGAAGATGGTTCGCAATTGGCCCTGCTCGTTGAACACGTAATCCATAATGCAAAGGTTGAGATTCCATTCCAAAGTTCGCGAAAAAAGCTGTCGATTGCGGAGGAATGGTATCGGCAGTGTCAAGTCCATGATGTTTTTGTTGACGAGTGCAATCATGTAATTCTCCTTTCGCATCAAGCGATTGGCAATATCGTGGGCGTCCATGCGTTGCTTTGACTGGCTGCGCAGGTACTTTCGATGCTTGGCTGATACTGCGGCGGCTGTGGCTGGATTGGCATCTCGCAGTGTCATCAAGCGGCTGACTACCTCTTGCCAGGAGATCGTCTGGACTTCAGCATCAGACACCCCAAGCAGATAGTAATAGAAGTCATGCATGTGCTTGAGTCTACGAATATCCAGCAAAAGCTGGAAGAGCTTGCTGATCCAGAAAAAGCTCAGCAGCCAAAGTAAAAAGGTGGCCGAGCCGGACATCTTGGATGTGCATTTGGGAACGAGAATCTCGTCCAGGGACTTGCTGCCGCGAACCTTGTGGTAGTCAACGCAGTTGGTCAGAAAAGTTGTGAATCCGACCACGAAAGCAAACGTCCTAGAAAGCCTTATTAGTCCAAGGTTTCGACCGCGTCGCAGAGTAAAGACAGGGTAAGTATCTCGGCATACAAAAGGTTCAAGGTCCGACTCAATAGGATCGACCAAAACCCATTTCCTAGGAAATAGGTATACACATCCTTGAGAAAGTTGTCCAGGTTTTCCACGTTGGCCCACCGCCACATGGCTTTCTTCTTGGGGTCAGTGTTGCTTAAGCTCGGGTGTTGTTGTGCAATGAACCAACGGGCCACAGGGTGAGTACTCGCAGTGCCTAGTATGGTTTGCGCTTGACGTGTTTGCCGACGTGGCAGATCAGGTGGAGGTGATGGTCGAGGACTGGGAGTTCTCGATCGACTGGGCATGCTATGAGGTGGAGGAGGCAAACGCGACTTCAAAACTTCGTCGTCATGCCCCTCGACCAATAGTGATTGCGGTACATCCTCATCTCGATCATCAAGCTCATACCCCGGGGGTGATGGCTGGGTCATCCAATGTGGCCGTGAAGGTTTCCGCCGGCGAGTTTGAGACGGTGAGGCATGACGATCTGCTGCCTTCCCAGACGTTCTGGGACCTAACAAGCCGGCACTTGGGCTGGAGGCTTCACTCCGGACTGCATCCGCCAGTGCATCCTCTAACTCCCCGTCACTGAAGTGTTCCCTATAGTCCCCCTCGTGGGCCAACCCAGCGCGCTCTTCGATATCAGAGGAATCGGACCCGGCGTCGTGTTCGCGGATTGCCTCGTATACCGAGGGGGAGTCCGTGGGGGGTAGGAAGCGAGACAAGATATTAGAGGACATCATCTTGCCATCCGATCAGAGCGAGTATATGTGGCCCTAGGAGCTCATCGCCGCAGCTGTTCCTGTCAGTGGTATATGGGTCAACACCTGGGAGTGCGGAGAAAGAAAGGACCCGCTCTAGCTTGACGCCGCACCACTGGTCGTATCAGCCGCTTGATAGTTGAGTCTTGTTTGATGAATTTGATGATTATAGATCAGAGAGGAGCACAGCCGCCTTTATCATTCGCCGCGGAGATTGTGATCCCGCGCATCTGATCGCGTCTCGTGAGAACCGCTGGAGCTCTGCGTGATCTCCAGAGCCGCCCCGTTATGACATAATAAGCTTCCGCCCCTAAGTTAGTTACAGACCTGGCGGCCTGACAGCCTGAGAGCCTAAGATTCATGGCCACAATGTATCTCAGCCTAAGGCATCAAATCACCCATTGCAGCACGAGTCAAGTGGTTTGTGCGGGGTCAGCGATACCGAAAGAAGTAAGGCCTCCTGCACCACTGTCTGTTTGAGGACTTTCCACCGAAGGTTCTACTACTTTTGGGACCGACTAATATTATTGCGAATTACCCAGCAGCTGGCGAGGTTGCAAGTACCAAGTACAGATTTCATTTTGTCTATCTCTCTTTTTAGCTGCATCAGCAGTGGGCTCTCAGAGGCTGGCTGATGCACTGCTGAGTGCTGACGCGCTGACTTCTAGAACACAGCGAGGCACCACCACCACATGGCGGTGTCGTTCGAATCTGGACCTCGTTGGACCCTGCAACATCTTCCGCCAATTCTCCTGGCATGCTCGCACTGACTTCTACTGGGCTCTACAGTCTCAATCTGCCTTCATCCCACGCTTCTTCGGTCGCCTACACGGAGATATGGCGTGTCCCAAGTCCGTCTGTCCGTCCTGATAGGATAGCTTCTCCCTCAGTACCCGGGAACCCACGGCGCCCCGAGCGGCTCCACTCTTCGGGGATTTCCCACGATCAACCTTTTTGCATTTAGGAAACTCGCGGTCAACCGGAAGTCGTTCACTCTTCACAACCAGATCAACGCAAGTTGACTGGCCCATCGACGCAGGTAGCAGTGACCGGGCCCCTGATGGTCGCCTCCACCCCAAAGTTTGTACCAGGAACCTCCACTGCTCTCGGGTTAGTTTTCCCTGCCTCGTGCCAGAGACAGTAGTCTAATTTCCGTACGGTAAATACATTCCCTCCTCTCTCCGTCCCCTGATTATTATTATGGGGCACCAGGATATGAACCTTGAAAATTGAGTGCATTGATCCTTGCTTCCAGTTGTACCTTTGGCCTTGGCTCGTGTGGAGGAAGAGAACACTGGGGACAGGGATGAGGATTACCGGCAGACCGCTGACTGGGGGAGCTGGGGGGAGGGGGGGTTAAGGACAGTGGAGGGTCTGATCGACCAGATCATGTCCTTGGCCTTTGGGCATCCGGTCATGATTCAGGAATGGGTCAAAATTGTCCCAACTTCCAACAATCTCCCGCTAGTCCAACAGTGTGGCTCACGTTCTAGGTCCCTTTGCAAGGGCCGCGCAATTTGGGGGTCATCGCCGCTCTTTCCACCCGGCTAATCAGTTCATGCTGCTTGGTCTCCCGAACAGGGTGGCCCCCATACAGTCTCCCGTCTGGAGGCTAGTGGGGGTTAGGGAATATCGACATTCACACTTGAGCCGTTTAGCGCGATAGGATTCTGCAGTTGGCCCGTCCTATTGGTGCCAGTTCTCGGTATTCTCGGTTCAGATGGATGAACAATGGCGACTAGAAAAGAAAAGCCTCCGTCGGTCGCCGTCTGACGCCCATCGGGTCCATCGCAGTTAGAACTGCCGAATGTCGGCTATGGACTATGGTATGCAGGTGTAAAAGGTATAGATTGCAGATTGTAGATTGTAGAGTTTGGAGATTGAACGAATTGCTAAGTGGTATTCCGCCACTTTCTTGGAATGGGGGTGGGTTTGCGACGGCCGGATTAGTGTCTTGTCCTAGGGCTTATTCCAGCGGGTATGGTGATGCTGGCCGTTAGAAACAGATTGCAGCTAATGCGAAGGCAATCCCTATCTAATTCAATTCAATTGATATGAATCCTATTCAGCCTGAGGTGTAATGTAGAGAAAATAGAAAATAGAACGCGCGCATAATGAAAAACGGCAACCCATTTGTTGTACATTGATTTTATCTCATTTTATCTCATATTACACGGGAGAATGGCAGGACCATATGCCAGCAATGCCAAAAGTATGTTCATTGAATTATCGAATAAGCTAAACAGATCGTCCGAAAGGCCTAACGAGACGGGTTGGAGCAAGTTAGGTTAGGACAGTTGGGTTTTAGTTCACGGAGTCGTAGCAGTGTCCCCTATACAACTCAGCTCATCCATTATCCACACTCCCCCTCCCTCTCCACCCCCTCTCCCTCCCTCTTCACCTTCTACCACCACAACCTCCGAGGGTACCAACATCAACCACCCACCATCCTATCGATCATCGCATCATTCCCTTGCCATTCCTCTCTGCTTCTACTGGTCAGTCCGCTTCGGACCATTTGAGCTGGGGGATCTGCAAAGCACCGCACACAACCCCCCTCTCAAACACCCAACCACAACCCGCCCGGAACCCCAGCGAGACCGACGCGAGACCTCCAATTCGAAAAGGGACTGATGAAGGTGTGTGTGCGTTTCCCTCCTATGTGTCTCCATTTTGATCCGTCAATTCTGCTCGCTTGCCCACCTGCGTTTCCTCTTCGCTCTCTTCTTTTCAACAATAATGATATCACGGCGCCCTGAATAGCCAGCTTTCTGGGCTTCCTGATCCCGCCCGCTATTTAACATCCTCCCTCTCGGCAGCGACACGGTCGCAAGTGGCCTATTAGAGGAGTGGATGCTTACTGTCTCATTTTAGGCCCTGCATCACTCGGACAAACGACGGTGACCTGCGCCTACCTTTGTCCCTATCTCGTCATTCCCGCCCAACCTCGACCGAATGTACGATTCCGAACCCCTTCCTTCTGCTAGACTCCATGTGTTCTCCTAGCAATTTCCTGAATATAAGCGACTCCCAATCGCCCACGCGCGACTGAGCACCGAAACTCAGAAGACTTGAATATACGGGAGAGTACATACACCCAATACCGACCGGTTCGGAGGGTGAGGTTGTGTCGGGCGCGCGGAGTTATTCCTCTTTCTCTATCCGGGCCTTCTTACTTTCTCGCGCTCGTCATCTCGCGCAGAGCTGCGACCGCGCAGAATGGAGTCTGATAATCCGAATGGGTACAAGCGGAGCTCGATGCACCAGGCTTTCTATAGCCGCCCCGTGGAACGACGTCCCAGCAAGAAATCATCCTCGCGGGATCGCCATGGCATGGTCTACCCAGACAATTTTCGTGATACGAGTATACGCACTGTGACCCCGGAGTCTCAGTCCCCCTTGTCCGACGCGGAGTATCTCACTGGCAACAGTGCGAGCGCGCCGTCACCACGGACCACCATGCGATCAAGGACAGTTGAGCGAAGCGAGGAAGAAACGCTCACAGAAGTCAGGAGCCAGCGTACACGATCACGAACTACGACTTTAGAGGAACAACGGGGAGATATGGCGCCGAGTAATTTCAAGGCAAGGACGCGAATCGGATCGGTCAATGTAGCCAGCTCGTCTCAGCCCAAGATGGTGGATACCAGGGTCGCTGAGGAATCCGCAAGTTCAATCGGTTTCCCTTCAATACACTCGCCTAATTACGTTGGGCAGGCCGTCACACGTCAACGACTTAGTAGATCCCAGGGATCCGGCATGGTGAGCACAGTCGCACATAACCAAGCCGCCTTCGCATCGCCCCTATCGAACACCGATGCCGCCAAGATCCTACAATTGATGAAAACGACATGCGGCCGAATGCACGGAATCCTTTCCTTTCGAACCGCGACAAACAACTCATGGTCGGCGAGCTCGTGGACTTCCGGGTATTGTGCCATCAACGTCGCTACTGGTAGTCTGATATATCAAGCAAAGGGCGAACCGGCGCTGGCAAAGACATTGATCCCCGACTTGCGTGGGTGTCGCGTTCGCACATTGTTCGATGCAGAGTTGCAAACTACTTACTTGAGTGTCAATACTTTTACCTCTGGTCTCGGCATTCAACTACGACCCCACGTGAACGAGACCTTCGACTCATGGCTGGCAGCCCTACTTTGCTGGCAGCCCATCCGACCAAAAGGTGTCCAAAATAAGATGACCAAACCACAGGCTGTCGTCATCGGCGATCGCCGCATCCCCGAGCGTCGACGAAACTCGGAGAGTGCTGCACAGAAGGATGCAGCCATCATCAAGGTTGGAAAAATGCTTCTTTGGGATAAACCATCAGCATCTGGAGCTCGTCCTGCTTCAGTTCGTCGAGTATCTACATATCGGCAATCCAGGGCCCTGAACTCTTCATGGCAGCGGGTAAGCTGTACATTGCAGGAGAACGGTTTCTTCAAGCTTTATACCGAGTCGGATGTCACACTCGTGGCAACAGTCCAGCTCTCGCAGCTCTCGAGGTGTGCCATCCAACAATTGGACTCGTCAGTACTGGATGATGAGTTTTGTATTGCGATTTATCCGCAATATACGGCGCACCCTGTTCCCGATCCTGGCATGCGTCCTATATATCTCGCTCTTGAGAGCCGCGTCATTTTCGAGGTCTGGTTTGTGCTGTTACGGGCATTCACCATTCCAGAGCTTTACGGCCCCGAGGCCCCCGGTGATGAAGAGGATCCCAACAAAACGCCCGAGGCACAGTCTCCCACACATCACACCCATGACATGTTCCGAATTGAGCGTATTCTTAACCTCCGAGTCACAGAGGCGAAGCTTTACAAAGCCAAGCCAGAAGAAACCCCTCGCAGTCGAAAAATGTCGAGGTCGCATGGGTACTCCGCCCCATCGCCACCAAAGATCAGCGATTACTATACGGAGGTCCTTCTGGATGGAGAAATTCGCGCCAAGACGGCTGTCAAGTATCGTACGACGAACCCGTTCTGGCGTGAGGACTTTACGTTCAATGACTTGCCGCCAGTCCTGTCTCAAGCCTCTATCGTAGTCAAAACCCTCAATCCGACGCAAAGAGATTGGACACTCATCGCACATGGAACGTACTCTAATCAAGATGGCAATGCAGCGAATATGTTGGACGAGATCGAGATCTCAACCAACGATGCAATCTTTGGGCGAGTTGACCTGCGTCTTGAGGAATTAGATCCTGGCGTTGACACAGAAAAGTGGTGGCCTATTCTGGACGACCAGGACCAGGCTGTGGGAGAGATGTTTATGAAAGCCCGAATGGAGGAGACGGTCGTCCTGATGTCTGAGGAGTATGCGCAGATGCATGACCTACTCCACGCCTTCACCAACGGTCTGACCATCAACATGGCTCAGGTCATGTCATCCGAATTGACTCAACTGTCTGAAATGCTCTTGAACATCTACCAGGTCTCTGGAGCAACAGTTGATTGGATATCTGCGCTGGTCGAAGATGAAATCGATGGTGTCCACAAGGAATCCACTGCCAATCGACTGCGCTATACGACAAGGATCCATTCTAATGACTCTCGCGAGTCTGGTCAAGACCGTGAGATCCTTGTGAGAGACATGGGACGGACGGCTACTGTTGAAGCGAACCTGCTATTTCGTGGGAATTCACTACTCACCAAGGCGCTCGATCTGCACATGCGTCGACTTGGCAAGGAGTATCTGGAGGAGACTATTGGAGAACGAATTCGGGAAATCGACGAAAGTGATCCAGAGTGCGAGGTGGATCCTGCTCGTGTGCCACGTACGGAAGACCTCGATCGCAACTGGCGCAACCTGATTTCACTTACCACGGGTGTCTGGAAGTCCATTGCCATGTCCGTTGCTCGTTGTCCTCCTGAACTGCGTCGTATCTTCCGGCACGTTAGAGCTTGCGCCGAGGATCGTTACGGCGACTTCCTCCGCTCCGTGACTTACAGCAGTGTTTCTGGTTTCTTGTTCCTGCGGTTCTTTTGTCCGGCTATCCTGAACCCTAAGTTGTTCGGGCTGTTGAAAGGTAAGGCTAACAAGATGAAAAGCCAAACATCGAGTTCAAACCGCTAACCTGCATGACAGACCACCCTCGTCCTCGAGCTCAACGTACCTTGACGCTTATTGCCAAGGCTCTTCAAGGACTGGCCAATATGACAACATTTGGTAACAAAGAACCCTGGATGGAGCCGATGAACAAATTCTTAGTTGGCAACCGTACCGATTTCAAGACGTTTGTCGACCAAATCTGCAACATCTCAGCGGAGCGGCCAGCTGCTATGATCACACCCTCTTATACCACACCTCTGCAGATTCTCGGGCGCTTACCGGCTACCTCCCGCGAGGGCTTCCCCAGTCTTCCGTTCCTGATCGACATTGCCCGATGCTTTGCAAACTTGATCCGTATCTGGTTGGAAGTGGTTCCCGAGCGTCTTTCCGAACTCGAGGAAGTGGACCCCTTCCTGGCCAAGTTCCATCAGTTGGCCATGCAACTGCAGGAACGTACCGAAGATTGCCTTGATGAGGCCGAGCAGGCCGAACGACCCAGTGGGAACCTTGAGGTTAAGTGGGAGGAATTGGTCGACTCGATGGAGCGAGCAGTGACCTTTTACGACGAAACCTCAAGTAAACCTGCGACGCCAGCTCCAGAACCACCACTGGCAGGCAACAATCTGCCAGTCTCCTCATCATCAGCATCAAACACCCCTGGCCATCGCGGGTCAATTGGCTTCTTCGCCACTCGCCCTACCATGCCCCGTCGATCAACTGACAATGGGCCGGAAGCAGATGACACGCCGCCTAGCTCATCTTCGGCTACTTGGGATCAGTCTCGCGTGCCATTCAGCATTCCTCGATGGTCCGATCCTCGCGATAGCACCGGCAGTTCTAAAAACTCGTCTACCTATTCTCTCGAATACTCGGAGAACGCCAAGGCTCGTCGGTCGAGTGTCACCAAAGAATCGTCAAGCAAATACCGCTTCTTTGACTTTGTCCCGGCGCCGTCACGCCGCAAGAAGGATCGAGACCAGTCTCAGCATCACTCGCACGAGGATCTCCGGAACGAGTTCTAATTGACAAGCAAGTCATTATGACTTGTCACATTCGTCCCCGTCGCTTTGTTCTCTATATCTATGTGCTCATGAAGTCCACGCTCCATTTCCTTTGCTCACTTCATCTTCCATTTCTCATCTTCAACTATCTCCGCCCTTTCCCTTCTCAATCTCAATTCTCGATCGGATTGAACATCCACTGATCTCCTCAATACTCTTCTCCTCAGCATGTGTCACGGTGTTGATACCCTTCTTTCTTCCCCTTCTCTCGATTCTGTTCTTGTCTCTGAAACCCCCGCTCTTCCCCGCCATCTATCCATTCATCCCTTTTCATGTCATACACATACCTCCCAACCTTCGCCAGCCAGCCAGGTCAGCTAGTCTGCCGGTCATCACTCAACTTTTGGATGAGAGTGAGGAAAAGTTCAAAAGACCATACCCTTATATGATTCAATGGACGCTCGGCTTTTACAAAAGAGGCCTTGAGCTTGTGTTCTATGGGTGTTTTGCGTGGCGATGCACTTTTGGTGTGCTCGTGCGTGTGAGTATGGTCAATGGTTGTTGTCAGCGTGTATATACTTGATTGTATTCCCCGAATAGACGGAATGGACCCTTGTTCTCAGCGTGATTGAATTGAATGCTTCGCTTCAGCTTATATGTACTGTAATTCTGCGGTTGTAGTTCAAGCGTAGCTCAATTCTACTATATTTGAATTCATTTTTTGAAAAAAATTCTGGATTGATGCACCCTGGTTCATTTTCCGGACCAATTGTTATCCTATCCATCTTATAGGGGGAATTGCTATAAAACGACACCCCAAAATTGCTAATTCAACACTCCTACTACTAAAAGTAGCTTAGCTTGTATAACCCGTAGTGGTTTATACTATCCCTCTTTAACGATTGTAAGATTCTTCCATGTCGATTTACCCTCTCCTCTGACATCCCTCTACTGTAATCTTCTACGTCCTAGCAATCCTCTCGGCTCTAGCTAGCTTTCTCTTCTTCCCGAATGCCTAGTAGCTACCAATCCTACTAGTGCTCCTACTAATAGTCTTGTTAAAATTCTACTAATAATTCTGCTAATGATCTCTGATGATTCTGTTGATGATTCTGTTGATGATTCTGTTGATGATTCTGTTGATGATTCTGTTGATGATTCTGTTGATGATTCTGTTGATGATTCTGTTGATGATTCTGTTGATGATTCTGTTCATGAATTGAAGGGGGTATCTAGTAAAAGGGCGCCTGCTACTTACTGCTATAGAGAATCGTAAAATCCTTAAAGTAGATAGGAAGTATTAGAAGATAGTAATGGCCATACAGCGCTAATCTAGCTTCGGTAATGGGGGTGTCGAATTAGCAATTCCCATCTTATAAAATCGTCCAACACTCCTGCAGTTCCCCATCCACTCGGATTCCCGACCCAAAAGGGAAATTCTCTGACTCAGCACCGCCTCGGATGATCTGGGCGACGTCGAACAGGTACGAAAACCTTTCTACTTGTATGAATCTTGTGATCCAGCCCCTCGGGCCTCTTCCAGTCTAATTGAATTACTATTTCTCTCCGGTGTGGCTTATGTTCGGAATGAATGACGACGTTCTGCGTGCCGTAAGTGACCCGACCCAGTGGATCACATGATCTGTGGCAGATCTATATGGATTGAACAGGAAGCTGATGGATAGGCTATTCAGTGTGATCTTTGCCATGCAAGAAAGGTTTAGCGTTTATTTTCCTATTTGAGCCTATACTTGTAACATTGGCTGACTTTGTTATTGCAGGTGCGATGTGATAGGCGGCTACATTGCTCAAACTGTGCCGATGCGGGAGCAGAGTGTCGGCGTCTTCGCCTTGAGCGGCCGGCTCGATCTCAGAAGCCGACAGTGTAGGTTTCAAAAAGGCTAGTCATTTTATGATTTATGTGCTTACTGGTTACTATAGAATTTCGACCTTGGGAGAGAGACTGTTGAGATTGGAGAAAGCAGTATCGGCACCACATGAGTATGATGAGCATATCCTTCTGTTGGTATGGGCATTGCTAATTTTACGAGATAGGATTGAGAACTCCAGTCCAGCTCATGGGGCATATAAAAATGAAATCGATGTTCAACCAAAGAAGAGAAAGCTGGATCACGTCGTTTCTGCAAAGGAAACACCAAAGTCTCCTCTCAGTAATTGCCCGGTTGTCACCCCAGACGAGTCTACTCACCATGCAGAACAGGCTCGAGTTATCATCCAGAGTGAACTTGACGGCAACGAACGCATGAACCGTGAGCGACGAGTGATTCTCAAGTCTGCTCTGGAATTTGTGAATTCTATGGCACAAAGGACGGATTCAGCGTCTGATGACAGTCTGGCGCTGGAAGGATCCCACAACGATTGTCCAGATATCCCTGAATCTATTGAGCCATCGCCAGAGCTACTGTACATGCTTATTCGAGGTACTGACAGCAAAATACACTCTCATACCATTATTTTCACCTCAGGGATTGTTACTAACGAACGGGCAGAGTCCACGACATCAACCGAGCCGTCCCACAATCTGCACTGGCCCGATCATATATCCAACAAAGCTTTGCAGAAAATGGCTTCCAAGTTCTTTACTAGCAATCTCACAGGCCAAAGGTTTTATCAGTATTGCATATGCATCTACATGAGGGCCATCTTTCACACCTACCACATGCCTCGACTCTACAATGATTCGGTCATGAGCGAACAATTCCTCAAGTCGAAGAGGTTATATGCCGCCTCTGCCCTCCATGCGCTACAAAATCTCAACATCTTGAACACTCCCAGTCTGTCTCTTATTCAGGCATTGATATCTGCAGTAAGTCCTATGGTTAATATTTTCAAGTGGATGTTCTGACATTCTCATTTTATTCAGACATTCTTAATGCAATATCTCGGCAACATGAGTCAAGCTTGGGTGTTGAACTCCTATGCCGCTCGGCTGATTGCTGCTCTGAACTACCATGATGTCCAGTCCCAAAAGTGCGATCCAGACCTCGAGGAGGAGATCAAAAGCTCTGTTTATTGGTGTTTCTACCTTGATCGCACCCTGAGCTCCCTTCTTCACCGGCCGCCCTCATTACCCGAACTTCGCAGTTCAGCGAGCGACCTTGTGTGTTGGAATAATTCCCTTCCTCACATGCCCATAATACGTATCCTTGTGGATCTAGCTCAGGTCCAAGGTGACCTTTCAAGTAGTTGCAAGGCGTCCGATACCCGGCAAATTCTGGATAATCACTCCAAGCTTCAAGAAAGAATGAACTCAATATACTCAAGTTTACAGTCGGTAAGTACTGCAAAATCTAACTATCTCACGAGCTTTTTTGACCTCATTTTATTTTCTCAGAGCCGGACCTCTGCCCCCGAGCTGATCAGCTGTGATTGGGTTGCAACCGAATTTTCTTATTACGCCATCCTGGTGGACATTCTCCGATCAAGATTGAAATACGCATTTTCTCCCTTGACTCATAGAGAATGCGTTTCCTATTCTAGGAAAGCGCTGAAGGCGCTGCAATATTTGCAGAACCACCTCGCCAAAAGCCCCGGCTTCGTAGATCCGTATCCAACGTTTCTTACTTGGTGAGTTACCAAAAGCTCGCCGCTTAAACGGGCCATAAAAAACCGCTAACGATATACGTCTGCTTATACTAGGACTGTCTTCTTATACCCCCTCAGCCCATTCTTCGTCCTCTTCTGCAACATCATCGGCGAAATAGACATGGATGACTATCACCTCATCCAAGACATTACCCAGAGTTTATCCCTATTCAACGCCAGTCCGTACATAGCCAAGCTGCTCAAACTCTTAGATACATTGCAACAACTCTGCGAGCCTTTAATCCTGACCAAACAGCATCTCGGTCCCCAGGCCAAGGTTGCCCCTTGGTACCCAGCTACAAGCGACGAACAGCCAGCGACCATGGCTGTTTCTGATGCATCGGTTGCCTTGGATGCCTCTTACATGAACTCTATGGCTCAGACATATCCCCAAAGTGTGCAACAGGATGCTAGCGGTGGAGTACAGCCTGTTGCTGATGAGTTGATGTGGCACTTGTTCAATAGCCAGCCGTCGCTGCAATGGTGCGAGTCAAATGTTATTTCTCTCGACCCGACTGTGAATTACTAACAGGTAGAGATACATTTGGGTCTGAACCTTAAACTCCGCTCAATACAAGACATCTCGGCTTTCCTTCTTTGTGTGTACGGACTGAATATATTGTACGCAAATGATGGCTTGTTGTAGCAGGAAATCCTAAGGTAACAAATATACCAGACAATATCTGACAAGCCTTGGATTTCCCTTGGCACTTTCGAGGAATGGAACAAAAGAGTTACCATCAGAGGCTTCAGCGACAGTTATAGAAACATCGCCTGGCTGGGTCAAACAAAAACAGCTCGAGAAACCCACAAGCGAGTCACCACAAACAGAGCACCCGACAGGGTCAAAGAGACAGCGGTAAACAATTGCATGGGTAAGTAATCGCTCCCTCCGGTATTCTCAAGGAGCTGTCCTGCAATTGGGCCGGTGGCAAGAACCGCGAATGAAGATATAGTAATGCATATTCCTGTATAAGAAATCATACGCACCCATTAGCATGGTGAAAGAGAATGGAAGAGCAGATGTAGTTCTCACCGTTCCGAGAACCAATCACTTCTGGTGCCGGCGCCAACATGGAAATGCAAGGCGAAAAGATTGCCTGGAGCGCGCCCGAGACGATCCCATATGCTATTGCTCACACTATGATACATGCACTGCTGTTCGCACCGATCCAGGCAAAAGCAACTGCACCACAAGCGAGTGTGGCCCTTACAGTCGAATTAAAAATGCCCAGACCAGTGTCAGCTAACATGATGCCAAGCTGCATGAAACCAATGATACGCAGGGTCCAGCTGAACGAGACCCCTTCAAAATTAAAGAGTCGATTCACTAGAACGGGCTATATGACACCTGGTGTTGAGATATGGAATAAGCCACTGGAGTTTGATAATTCAGCAATCGGAATGAAAACATACCTCCAACCATCTGACCAGACATGACGAAGCCAACAACAAATCCACGTCGCTTCAAGAACCATTGGGACTGGACGGCTAAAGCTGGTGTGAATATAAGGCCCATACCAAGAGCCACACAGAAGCCCTGGGAGAGCAAAAACTGATAGTAAGTTGCCGAGAGGGAGGACATCATATTGCCAAACACCATGAAGAATGTCCCCAGTGCAAGCGGCAGAGCTGGTCCATACTTATCAGACAGAGCATCTGACCCGATACCAATGAAGTAACAACCCCAGAATTGCACGCTGCCGATCCAAGCAATATCAGATGTGCTGGAATCAGGGAGAACGATTGTCTTGAAGTAGCTCTGGAAGACAGATCCACCGCTGAGATAACCGATGCTGGCAATGAATGCTAGGAACCCACTAGAAACATTGGATTAAAAGGATAATGCCGGACTGTCCATTTTTGTGGGCGGCAATAAAACGTACAGTACAGTACTACGTAACTACTACGGGTCGTAGTGTCCCAAAATGGAATGGTAGTATTCCCGACGCCGACTCATACTTCCAGATCTGTGCCCCATTACCCTGGTGAGCTTTAGCAATTCTCAGAGCTTGTCTGTCTATATACGCACTGCTTCCATGATGCCGCAACTCCCAGATATTCCTCGTCGCTCGTACGCTCGGATGCCTGAACAATGGCAAGACACAGTTGATCAAAAACGCGCCAAGTCTAGGGAAGCTAGCTTGAGCACTACACTAAGCGCCCGATCGGTCTCCGATTTCTTGGAGGCAAAAGTCCAAGCCTACAATTGCGAACTCGAGTATTTTGAAGCCGCCCACCAAGGGCTTCATCATGCCTACAATGAGCACGTAATCTCGCCCGAGGAGTTCCGGGACACCATGGGTCCGTTTTTGTCGAATGTGAAACAGGTTTTCGAGAAGGTTGAGACGATTTCCAGACAAAGAAAAATTCTCGAGGAGGATTTGGAGGAATTCATGAGCTTGAAGCGTCCACGGCACGGAGAACCAAGCCTTGAAATGCTCCAGAGAGCATACTCCTCTAGCCTGGTAGCAAGAGTCATGGCAGCCTCCGCAAAGCAACAGAAGAAGCGATATAATCAATCGAAATTCAAGAATGACGTGAATGATTATTACGGCATTAATCCCACAAATGGCATCGAGGATGGGGCTGGCTACTGTCATGTACTAGGCAAATTCGATGCTAAGGACATCAAAGCCGCGCATGTGGTGCCGAAAAGCTTGAGTGTGGATGAGATCGCGCACCTATTCGGAGTTGAGGAGCTTGTCCCTGAAGATCCTCGGAACGGTAAGCACCAGAGTCTTGACTATGTTAGTTTTGCTATAGCTGATCATGTTCTAGCTTTAAGCCTGCACAGAGCGCTTGAAGAAGGTCTCGACAGCGGAAAGATTGTGATTGTACCAATCGTCGAAGACAAGTCCAAGCTCGCCCCGCCTTTGAGGTGGAAGTGTGTGCTTACAGACAGTAAATGTGGGAATGAGACCTTGTTCCGACACCGAGGGGTGGAGACTAAGTGGCATGTAAGTTACCCAAGATCGGCTCTACCGAGTGCGAATTTTCTAATATGTTCTATAGGAGATCCACAACAAGGAACTGACATTTCTGAATGCCAACCGCCCCGCTCGGCGATACTTATACTTCCGTTTCATAATGACCTATATTATTCGCAAGAAGGAGAAGGCCGAGAGTAGCAAGGACTTCACCGATGAGGTGGAGAAAGAGGAGCCGTTTTGGCCGAGCCCTGGGCCCTACTTAAAGAAGTCGACTCTTGTGGCTTTGGCGAGAAACATCTCAGGCTGCGAGCTTCCTCCCGCCCTGATCGAAGATACGACCTTCGAAACTCATCAGGAATTTTCTAAGGTCTCCGAGGTTAATTCTATCATGCTGACAGCGCAAAGTATCATTGAAGCTATGTCGACCAGCATAAAAGCCGCTGAGGTTGAGGGGGAGGAGAAGACCAGTAACGACGAGGATGGTGATGAAGATGATGAAGAAATCGTGTATGAGAGCTGCTCCGAGTATCTTTAATTAGCATGTTTACACCTAATGGCTAAACCAATCCTCTTAACTGTCCCCTCTCTGTCCCAAGTGCCACTCCACTATGATAGGCCGATCCAGATATAGTCCAGATCGGCTCGACCTATCGGCTCAATGGTCGATTCTCACTGGCTCTTTCATGTCCCCAATGCCTGATTTAGTCATTGTCTAGGGCATCGTCAAGTCAAACAGCTAGCTTATCATATAATTCGCTTAGACTAGCGAATCAATACTTTCAGCTATAACCTCGCGAGTTTCGAATATGAATACCACCCGTGGCAGCCGGTATTCTAATTTCCTGACCGTCAAGGTAACCCCTGACGAATATCGGAATGCTCATTCAACGCCTAGGCCTGGCTACTAGAGTCGTGAACTGTTGCACTTCTCATATCCGATCTGTATTTATACAGGAATAGCCCGGCTAACGCCCAATGAATCGTGCTTGTATTATCCTAGATTATTAAGTCTCAGCGGTTATGCCACTCGATCTGGAGGACATACTTCTCCTACTGTGCATGGTTGTAGAGGTTGTCGAAGAGCTCCTGCGACTTATCGGCATCCAGACCTCTCGATATGATGTATATGCGAAGCAATGTAGAGGTTCATTCTGCCAGGACCTCTCACGCTGCTGGATCAGCCTGTGCCGCATAAGGGATAATTGTTGGGATCGGTGTCGGCGAAGAACTATGGGCTGGCGAGCTTCTTCGAGTGCACTAGGGAATGGACAGAGATGAAACTGTTGTTGATCAGATACTGCTTCGTGGTTTCGTCGAGCTCGTCATAAGCTGCTGATGTCGATGAATGCAAACCGCGCCACTGCTGCCGTTGGGTGGGAGCTCGTGGACTAACAAGGGGGAGAGTCCTGCCCGACACGGGTTGAAACTCGAATCAACATGAAATAAGAGATTTTCCGGTATAACATTAGACCTAGGAGCCAATACCAAAGCCAAGGGTTACCATTTCAGCGTGACTACCAGGGCTGTTCGGGTCCACGATGCCGCCGTCGATGTCGACATTGCTTACATCGAAGAGCTCATCGTGCTTCAGGCGATGCTTGCAGCCAGCTAGGTTATACGGGGTGACCTCGTCAAGTTCGCCGAAATTGCGAGCGAGCTCAAGGTGGGTTGCGTCGGTCAGGCTAGTCACCTAGTGCCGCGTCCGGCAACGACGCCGAACTGTGTAGCCGGGGTTGAGTACGGGGATGATGTGGGGGTGTATGGATTGGGAAAGTATTTGCTTTAGTCACTGCATCTTCTGGAAGGCGAAAGTCCATACCGGACACCGTGTTTGAAGTTGGCATCGAAAAACCTACTGCCCCCACGAAATGGGGGGCGTGGGGGTGGGGGTCGCCATCTACAACCACCGGACAAGTCTACCAGTATGCCGACTACAGCCGACGAGACATCTCGTCCGTCCGGGCCTCGTGCACCCCTGGAGAAATTTAAATTCTGGCACTGTCTTCCGTTTGAACAGCTCCATTCAGAGCTATTTAAACCTGCTTACAACTAACCGAGAACCTTTGCGTTCACGAGTGTGGTGTTCTATATCCTACCTCCTCCACCTCGATACCTCGTGCAGTTCTGGTTGACATCGTCGTCCTACTATCGTCAACAATGGTCGGAATACCCAACGCAGACGAACACCCATCCCGGGCCAACAAGTCCCACAACAAAGAGCTACTCTCAATGCAGTCACTGCAAAACCTCGATGAGTTGGAATCCCTCGCTACAAGAAACCTAAGCAAAAAAGCTTGGTCCTTCAACTACGCGGCCGCTGGCGATTCGATCTCCAAAGGACTGGACCAAGAGGTCTACCGATCAATCCTTCTGCGGCCACGCATCCTCGTCAATGTCAAAGAATGTGACCTGTCGACGACAATCATCGGCCACAGAGTCGGACTACCCATTTTTGTCTCGCCCATGGCAATGGCCCGGTTAGCGCACCCAACAGGCGAAGCTGGCATTTCGGCCGCTTGTGGAGTGTTTGGAGCCATGCATATTATCTCAAATAATGCGTCGATGAGTCCCGAGGAGATTGTCGCGGGAGCCACGCCTGATCAGGTCTTTGGGTTCCAGCTTTATATTCAGACGGATCGGACAGAGAGCGAGGATGTCCTGGCGAGGATCAACAAGCTACCGGCGATCAAGTGCATTGTCCTTACCGTTGACGAGCCCGTCCCAGGGAAGCACGAGCTCGGACCGAAAGGGTTTGAACCATACAACGATATGCAGACCGAGATTCTCAGCCCACCAGAAGAATCATCCCCGCCAAGCACAGACGTTAGAGTGGCCATCCCATCGGTCTCCGGGCCAGCGTCTGATGCCGAATGGGAGACTACGCTACAATGGCTCACGAAACACACCTCGCTACCGATAATCATAAAAGGCATTCAGACTCACGAGGATGCTCAGATTGCCGCGACATACGCTCCGCGCGTAAAAGGCATTATCCTGTCCAACCACGGGGGACGTGTCCTTGATACTGCACCGCCAGCTATCCACACCCTCCTCGAAATTCGCAAATACTGCCCCGAGGTTCGAGAGAAGCTGGATGTCATGGTCGATGGGGGTATTAGACGTGGGACAGATGTTGTGAAAGCGTTATGCCTGGGTGCGAGGGCAGTGGGTATTGGGCGAGCAGTGTTCTGGGGCCTTGGCGCCGGTGGTATTGCTGGGGTTGAGAGGGCGTTGCAGAGTAAGTGCTTCATCTCCACGCCTATCTTAAGTAGTGTAATTGTGCTGACTTTTTTTTCCTTTTGAAAAAGTTCTTGCAGAAGAGACGAGGAGCTGTATGCAATTGTTAGGCGTGAGGAGAGTCGCGGATCTGGGCATGCACCACGTAAGTCAACCTCGGTCACACAGGTTCTTGAAGCTAACGAGAATTTTGAAGGTTAATGCGAGAACCGTAGAACAGCAGATTTACAACGGGAATTTGATTTGAAATAAGCCGACTTGATGCTGGGCATAAGGTGTGCATGTGTGTAGGAAATAGTATATACCGTTCGGGGGGAGGTTCCGTTCTTCGATCCATTGAGAGAAGGTTGCTTGTCGCTCTCCGAATCCAGTGGGACCATTCGAGTGATTTGGTGACGCGCTTTCATACGCTAAATGCGGTCCGCAGTGGGTCCGATACGCCACAGCGTGTGGCTGGTGTTCTATCAAGAAGCCGAGCTAAAGAAGAAGCATAGCATATTTAAATCGAATACTATCAACAACCAGTAACTTAAGAAGAATAAAAGAAGAAAACCGAACCCGGGCCGCCCAGCCTGGTTCCCGAGGCCGCTAAATCCGCACCACTGGCCGTCAGGTAATCAGGTAACTAGACGATCATGGGGAGAGCGTTGCCGACTATGCGAGTGATCGACCCCACCCGGTTTCGAAACCCTCCCACCCGCTGGAGGAGTGCGATGACCTAGCTATTTTACCAAATACGCCACCTCAGTGGTCTTCTTGAAAGTTTGGGGTTGAGTTCCTACTTAGCCTGTCATGGCAAACAAACTGCGTTAGTTGGACCCACCAACCCCACCCGTTCTCCGCGTTCATACTGGTGTTCGGAATAACGACATTTATTATGCTTGAGCTGAATCATTGCCCGGATATGAATTATGTTAAGCTCTTACAATAAAGTAGCTCCGATGTCTCCAGACTAGCTTGAGGATCTCCACTTGCTGAGCTAACGCATTGCCTTCTCTTACCAATATGATGGCCGACTATAGCCGATGTGAGTCTGCAGCGATACAAGCGCTAATTCGGCGATACCTACCCCACAGAAAGTCACAAGGCGATGGATACTCCGGGGTACTCTGAAGTTTTGTGTAAACTACCGATGGAACACGAGAAACCGCCAAATTTCCTCGGCAATGGACGGACTCGGGTTCCCAAAAACGTGCCATGCCGATGATCCGAACAACCACCAACAAGGTACAAGAATGCACAGATTCTGCAAGATTTTGCACCTACACAACAGCACTCACCAGGATCTTACCCAAATTTCCTATCTATTGCTTCGTAAAGTTGAATTTGCTTCATCATGTCTACCACCATCACCCAAACCGTGAACGCTGGTGGCCCCACCCCGTCGCTGACGGTCATCAAGAATGGATTCGGGGCTGAAATCACCGGCCTGGACTTTGTCAACGGTGTGACTGACGAGGAATATCGCTTCCTTGAGTATGCAGTGAAAAAGGTAGGTACATGTAACACCATCAACATGGACCTGTACTAAAACCTATCTGCAGCATGGATTTGCCGTAGTCCGAAAGACGAAATTGGTTGACGAAACTCATCTCGAGCTGGCAAGGAAATTTGGTGAGCTTGACGATGTGACTCCTTACAACAAGGCCGGTCGTGTGCACCGTTTGAAATATAACGAGTTGTTCGACGTTGGAAACATTGATCCTGATGGCTCAATTGTCGATTTGAGCAGCCCCCGTGGTGAAGCGAACAAGGTATGCCATCCCAGCTGAATGAGCGATATCAGCGAAAGACCCAAACCGAAGCTTACTTATCCAGGGGAATTCCCTCTTTCACACCGACTCCAGCTTCAACCCTCGGCGGGCTGGATACTCCTTGCTACTTGCCCACGAGCTCCCTCCCCCTGGCACCGGTGGCTCGACTGCCTTTACCGACATGAGAGCTGCTTACCGGGATCTCGACCCTGAATTCAAACAATTCCTGCGCGAGAAAAAGTTCATTGCCCGCCACTCGCTTCTACACTCCAAGAAAATGGCTGCCCCCGAGTGCTACAAAGATATTGAGCCCACGGACCATTTCATGAGCCGTCACTTGCTGCTCCAAGTGCACGAGCGCACCGGAATTCCCACGATCTACCTGGCAAAACATATTCATTCGCTTGAAGGAGTCTCGTCTGAGGAGTCTGAGGCTATCTTGAACAAACTGTTTGACCACGCAACCCAGGACAAATACGTTGTTGATGTGCAGTGGTATGATCCTGGGGATATGATTGTGTGGGATAATACATGCACAATGCACCGTGCTGTTAGTGGCGAGTTTGTCACGACGTATCGGAGAGACATGAGGCGAGCGACTGTGCATGACGACAGCAGTCTGGCATGGGGCTTCAATGAGAAGAGTAACAAACGCATGGGTCTTCCGTGAGGGACTTAGGGCTTGGATCCAATTGATCACACGACAGATGTATTCTTAGCTTCAAGAGCTCATTAATAGAAATTCGAGATTTCTACTATCAAGCTAATACTAAACCGCGAGAGAGGATCGGATCAAAATGTAGTGTACGAATCAGAGAAGGAAGGTGGAGACCGGCAACCACTGCCGACTATAGCCGAATGCCTCAACTTAAAGAGGGTGCACTGTCCCATCTATTGCCGACCCGTCATCTATCGGAACTATTGACACCATGACACCAAACACTGGTAAAAGATCCTACCGTGCATGCCTGCGATGCCGCCAGCGCAAGACCAGATGTAACCTGTGAGACCTCACTGCTCTAACTCACTTCCAGCCAGACCTTGCCACCACTCACACTCTTAGTGATGGAGTCGGAGAGCCGAAAAAGGCACCTTGCGTGGCATGTCACGAGTCAGGAAGCGAGTGCATTCTCACAAAGTCCCGTCGCGGGGGGAACTTCCGGCACTATCGAACGAAGCCACGGATGGACCCAGTAGACTCTTGTGACTCTGCAGCTACACCTTCAATCAACCTATCCGGTCCAGAAGGGGCGAAGTCCCCTGGCAACGAAGGCAGCATTGCGAGGGATGATTCCAGCGATGTGTTGGCTATGGAGCTAAGAAATCCCTCCGATGCTCTGCATATTCTGGCCCTTTCGGGGGATCAGCCTCGAACGCGCCGCTCGACGACAAGCCCTAGCGGCGCAACAGATCCTGTGATGCAAGGCAGTATGGAGACAACCTCATGTCAACCACGTGGGACTCAACATCATGCTCAGTCTACAGCCACTATTTTCGATGATTATGAACTGGTCCAAAGAGGTCTACTAAGGCCAAGCCTCGTCTCCGAGCTACTACTTATGTTGGTCTTCCATTTTATTTGATATTTAGTTGGCGTGGGCTGACATGGCTTAGATATGCCCGCTACTACCACCCGTACTGTCCGATCGTGCCTTCATATATGCTGCACGCTTCACGGACAGCAAAGATTCAGAAATCAGACTACTTTCTACTCACTGCCATTCTCACCATAGCGTCAAGAGACGACCCTCATCATTCGCTGACTCACCGTTACTGCTGGGACCATACGCAATGTCTCTTGGTCGACGTCCTTCTCGCTCATCCATGGACCCAGACGCCGAGGACGGTAGAGGGCCTACTAATTTTAGCCGAATGGCTACCTCACATTCAAATACAGGAAACAAAGTCTGAAGCACCAAAAAATCTGTTCAGTGAGGACCGAACAGCTTGGTCCCTCGTTGGGCTCGCTGTGCGACATGGATATCTTCAGTGCCTTGACCAAACTGCCTTTCCAAATAACAGTAGCAGTGAGTCGAAAGAGCGAGCAGACCAAAACAGGCTTGTATGGGCATGTAAGTAGCTGTTCCACTATCTGCAAACTATTGTTCTTTGATAACATTCCTAGATATCTTCATGGCAGACAGGCAGGTATCAGTCCGACTTGGGCAGTCCTTCTGGTCCCGAGGCCCCTCGCTCGCAGCCAAATTCACAGCCCAGGATTTTCCAACACTCAAACCGCGCCCGGGGAACAATGATGAGGATTACGCATCCGTTCTTCAAGCGTCCATGGAGCTAGTCCAGATTCTACACAATGCTCATGCAATCCTCTACTCATCCAAGGAACGAACATTAGCAATGGTCTACGAAGGTCATTATGCGCGGTATTTGGACGACTTTCGCATCGCTGCGACAGCGTGGCACTCGAATTGGTCTGGCTTGCGGGTGTCTTCGAGTCTCAAGAGCACGCTGCTCATCATGTTCGAGTATACTTCACTCTATACGAACGCATTTTCTTTCCAAGCCGTCCTGACACGGGTGTCAGACCCGCGTAAGTCGAAAGCCCAGCGGCAGCCAAGCAAACGTTCATTCGCAGGACTGTTTTCGAACGGGATCATGGCGTCTCCCGACGGACGGTACATCTTTGATGCCATCAGCGCAGCTATGAATCTTCTCGCTCTCATTAACGGTCTAGACCCGTCTCGGGTTGTACGTTACCTCCCATCGCGTTACTACTTGTAAGTGATCAACCACAAACCCCATAGAAAAATGGAGATGGAGGACCCCACATTAACCTGAGGCTAGATATGGTGTCTACGCCGCCGTCCTCCTCCACAAAGCCGACTGCGCCGGCGCATTCCAATCACCCGACCAGCGCCAAGAGATCTCCAGCCTCGCGCGCGAATTTGTCTCCTGCCTTGAAAAGACCCCCTCAACCGAAGTACACATCTGCCGTAGCTACAGCCGGATGCTAAAACAGCTATGGACTACCCGAGAGCGGAAGACAAACTTGGCCTCGACACACACGCCTACAGGCACAATCATGGACCGGGATCATCTTCAGCGGTCAATCGCTCAGAATCCCGAGCAGCCAAACCCATCGGAGAACTTTACCCCGTCCCGCTTTTTCGACTCTTTACCCGAGGAAGATGAGACTGCGGAATTTCCGTATATCGAGGAATACCTGCTCGGATCATTCATGCCTGGCGTGGCACACTTCAGTACCTCTGGGTTTGAGGAGGGCCTTGCGCATCAGTATCCGCTTGGTGAAGGTTTTCAGGATTGGGGGCTCCAGGATAGGACGAATCCTCATGGTCCTTTGTAGACTTAAGTTATTATATGTGTTCTAGATAACCCCGCTTTACTGCGATAGCTGGTAGATTTCAAAACATTATCATTCTATGAGCCGCAACTCACCCTGTGCTTCAGGAGCTGATTACTTTTTCGAGGCGGCACTTTTACTGTCACCTAGATTACTGCGTCAGCCTTGGTCTTCCATTTCCAAAAAGCTACCCCGTACAATGTATTATTGGGTAAAAGCATAGCGCAGCTTCTGACCCGTAACTAAGTTTGCAGTGGAGGGGGTCCATCTAGGATGAATAGGATGATCCATGGATGTTAGCGCCAAACCCAGCAACACCACTTATCTTATCTCTTATCTCTTATCGATTCCCGGGCTTATCAGATTAGCGCCGCCTTCCTGTTTGGGGCACTACTGCGAAGTGACCAAGGTCCATTATTTCGGGCTATGTACAGAGCCGTGGATTCTTCTCTCTTAAAAAGCGTGAATGCTGGGTAGATAGCCAAAGAAGTACAGTCAGAGTAGAATTGATTATTTATGGTTCACAACTCAAATTTCAATTTGCTGAGAAGTGTAAAGACCAACACCGAAAACTACCAATACTGGCAAAAGCCTCCTGATCAATATACCTGAATACTAATACCAGAGCGCCGCAATGACCTCCGCAGTACCCCTGTCTCCAGATCGAATAGCACCTTCCATATACCCTTTCCACTCCAAAGCCGTTTCTATACCCACGAAGTGAACGTTCTCAAAGGGCTTACGAAGGGCGTCTCCACTAGCGGCAGACATCAGCCTGGGTGGCGACGCCGGACAAGGGCTACCAAGGAAGAATTCCTGTTTACTCCATTCATACTCCAAAGCGTTGATCGGCTCGGGGATCTCAAGTTTCCCAGACTCCAGAACGACCTTCTCGAAAGCGGAGCGGAACTGGTTCCAGGCGGACGAATATCTCCCCTCTTGCGACAGCTCGGACCATTTGAGACCACGTCCACCAACAATGAATCAGCTGATTGACCATTGATCATCAGCAGGGATACTGGTGTCCACGGAGAATAGGATAGGGCCGCGGTCCTGTGCTTTGATCTCCCCGAAGAGTCCGGCGCTGCGCCACCACGGCTTTTCGAAGACGAAAATCATCTTGCTTTGATAACCCAGAATGCTTTCCTGAGCGAGATGTTGCTTGTCTGCCGGGAGAGCGGGGGTGAATTAAATCTTGTTGTGGAGGGGAGTGGCAGTAGAAAGAATGACTTTCTTTGCCGGAAAGACGGCTTTGTTGGCAGATCGAACGGTGCAGATACTGGTCTCTGCGCACTGCTAAATATGGGTCACCGGGGTAGAAAGCCAGAGTGAACCCTCCTTGAGCTCCTTGGCGATGTTCTTAGAGATCGTCTGCGTGCCTTTGAAGATGTTAGCTTATTAGAAAGGCAAAAAATGCCGGTGACTCCCTACCTTGTTGGACCCGAAGATACTGAGCGCCATGTTTGGTATCAGAGATCACAGCCTGGAACCCGGTTCCAGACTTGCAAGAATGTAAGAAGCTCAGTGCACTGATATCCTTGCTTTCAATGCCGACGAGGGACTGGCTGACAGTATTGAGGAGAGTTGCAATTTGCTCAGATTGGAATTCCTGAAGGCAGTATTCGTGCAGTGAATCGCTGTCTAGCTCCTTTGCAACTGGTCCTGCCATTGGGTCTTCCAAATTGACATCGGTAGCGAGTTCTGTGAACCTTCCAATGACTTGACCCAAAGCAGCTTGCTCCTCTTCAGTCAACAGAACATTTCATGTCAGCATTCAAGATCGAATCTTTAGAAAAGGAGCAAGGAAGAGAGGTCTACCGGCAAGACGCCATGCGGGGATAGGATGACTCCATCGTCGTGCTCCCAGACATCATTTCCACTGTCCATTTGAACTTCCCCCTGAAGCCCATACTTCTGGATGAGCTTGTACATCTCACTCTGTGTGGTGTCATTGATCCAAGCGGCACCGAGGTCGTTGACACCGGGACCACTCTTCTTGGATGCAAGGAGAGCGTCTTTCCTCCTACTCGATCAATGGCTTCAATCACCGCACAGGAAAATCCTGCTGCTTGAATGAGCAATGCTGCACGAAGGCCCCTCAGCCCAGCGCCAATGACCACTACGTCCACTGACTCTCGTGGAACAGAAACGGAGCTCGTTTTTTATGAACGAATAATTGCTCTCCTGATAGCGAATTTGAAAAGCGATATTGACTGTAAAATGCCACTGACAACCGGCAATCAAGAATATCTTTATAGTTCTCGGACGGCATAATGTAGAAAGCCAAAATGGGGAACATCGCTACCTAGGATGGATAACGTCTCCACTGATGTGGCAAGATACCTTGGATGCAAGCAGCCAACGCAAGGTTTGCCTCTAATAGCACGGAGAGAAGAATCCGAGATCTGCTGATTTGCAAGTAGAAAACAATGGTGTCTTACAAAGGGCCCACTGTGGAAGTCTGCGCCTCGGTAGTCTTGAGACACTGTAGCCTCGGAGTCCGCGGGATTTGCCCCTAATTTGAGGGAGGTGTGTGGGCTGGATAGTGAAATGCCGACGATCCAGGTACGGTGAGTAATGTGGCAGCATTGGCCTTTCATCTCCTCATGTTATACTTTTCCTATCCCGCATCATCTGGTGTTTAAGTTTATTTTGGCGTTCGATAATGTCTTATCCTTGCCGCGCTGCTATGATGTAACTGGGGGATAAGCCGCTCGAACCTGACCTCGGCAATTCCCGAAGGCTCCGCCGTTTGGTTTAGAAGAGTGTTTGATGAAATGGCAGATTATTCCTACGCCTAGGAATGTTATATACCGGGTTTGCTGCCGCTGGTTGAGTTGGGAAATACAATCTTTCTGCGATAGACTTGCCACCACTGCCTTGGTCAAGTTGGTCTCACTGTGAACTAGAGGACATAATGCCATTCAGCACGGCCTTGACACGGAAATTAGGCGTAGCCAGTAAGTTCACTGCCCATTGTGTATGGTACTCTCAAATCTAACCTAGCTAGTCCCTATCATTCAAGGGGGCATGCAATGGGTGGGATATGCAGAGCTCGCCGCCGCCGTTAGTAATGCTGGCGGCTTGGGAATAGTATGTGGAACAAGTATTTTCGACGTTGAAGAAAGCTGACCTAGTATCATGACCAATATAGCTCTCAGCTCTGACACAGCCCACCCCAGAAGATCTCCGGAAAGAGATCCGTCGCTGTCGTGAGATGACCAAGAATCCCTTCGGAGTAAACCTGACCCTGCTGCCCGCTCTCGTGCCTCCAGACTATGCTGCGTATGCCAAGGTGATCATCGACGAGGGTATCAAGATTGTCGAGACAGCAGGAAACAACCCGGGACCTGTGATCAATCAACTTAAGAACTCCAACCTGACAATCCTACACAAGTGTACTACTATTCGCCATGCCAAGTCAGCTATCAAGCTAGGCGTGGACTTTCTGTCTATCGACGGTTTCGAATGTGCCGGTCATGTCGGTGAGCACGACATCACAAATTTTATACTCTTGAGTCGCGCTCGCCAGGAAATCAAGGTGCCATTCATCGCATCAGGCGGATTTGCCGATGGCCAGGGATTAGCAGCTGCACTGGCACTCGGCGCCGAGGGAATAAATATGGGCACACGCTTCATGTGTACGGTTGAATCGCCTATCCAGCACAGGATCAAGGAACGCATTGTCGCTGCAGATGAGAACCAGACCGCGTTGGTACTACGTCGATGGAGGAATACATCACGGCTCTTCAAGAACAAGGTGGCGGAGGAGGCGCTCAAGGTGGAGAAGGAGAGTACGACTGGCGAGTTCAGTGAGGTTGCACCGTTTGTCAGTGGTAAGCGTGGGCGCGAGGTGTTCCTCAACGGGGATGCTGAATACGGTGTCAGTCATCTATTTAGTCTGCTGGAAATTTGTGGATTCGAGACTGACAGATGACAGGTTTGGACTGCTGGTCAAGCTATTGGTCTAATCCATGACATTCCTACGTGTGCCGACCTACTTCCTCGCATAGAGCGGGAAGCATTGGAAGCGATGCATCGTATGCAGTCAATGTACACCCCACCAGAGAGCAAGCTCTAGGATTTTCGGGTTCGGCTGGTCGTTTTCCTTCTCTATGCCGGGAAATACTTAGTGTCTAGTGGGAACAACATAACCAGAAGTACCCAAATAAAAAGTTCAAACATATGTTATCATTTGCTTCGAACCCTTAACATTGAAAAAGAGCGAAGTACATAATTTAGAGTTCGTATTGAGATAGTCGGAGACCTGATTGGGTAAAGATCGTTTCATCGGGATTCCCGAAGGAGGCCAAATAATCAATCCGAAATATTGCAGCCCCGAGAATTTCACTTCCAATGCATCGCTGAGAACGATAGTAAAATCCTCGTATTTCCACCCCATGATTCCTAAATATTCAACAAAAGACGTTTCTGAGGGGCTCGAATTTGTTTCTTCGACCGTCTTTGCTTGTACTTGATAACTCGAACCTTGGACCTGATACCCCTTCAAGGACAGACACCCAATCGTTATTCCACAATCTCTGGAATCGATACCATGGACATATCTTCAAAGGGCTTAACAATGCCATCATTCAAGTGCAAAGATAGCAACATCCTGATTCGCCGCGCACGATACTCAGATATCCCCTTCATGGCAAACATAGCCGCAAACGAATATCGGGATTCTGATCTCAACAAATTCCTCTGCCCATATCGCCATCAATATCCCGATCACTTCACCAGGCGCTTCCTACAGATGTTTCAACCCCGCCATTTTGACCCTCGATCGATTGGCTTTGTAGCCGTGGAGTCTTCCAGTCCGAACAAGCCTGTAGCCTACATTCAAATGACCCGCTTTGGAAACGACGAGCCCGCCAGACGTTTGATTGCGGCACAGGACTCCTTCTGGTGTAGACTATGTCTCTGGGGCCTTCAGATTCGAACCTCAATAGTAAACTATCTTTGGCCTGATCGGTCTACTGATCACGATGCGGCACGTCAATTCGGCGAATCTATTGAGCGCGACAGTGAGAAGTATTGGGATTCTGGTGAGATGAGGGCCAAGTATGGGAATCGCTGGCATGTAAGAGGTCTCGTGGTCTCCTCATCGCATCAGCGTCGAGGAATCGGACAGGCGCTCATGGAAGAAGTTCTACAACGAGCTCAGCGAGAAAATGTTGTAGTTGGGTTGGAGGCCAGTGGGGACGGAGAGAAGCTCTACCGATCGCTAGGATTCGAGATGCGAGGCCCACTCTCTATGGTTATCGGATCACCAGTGGGTGGATGCATGATGTGGAGTCCTAAAAAGACACATTAGGCTATACAGATCATCATTATTCAAGGCGTTCAGGTTAAATTCGATCGTGGCTCTACAATCCCGTTGGTCGCCCTAACAATGGGCTGAGGCTAATCGCACGCCAACTTGTGCTTTCGCACGACAGACTATTCCATTTTCGGATATAGTGGAGAATAGGTACACTGGATCCTGAATAGCAAGACTGGATAAACGGTTTTACAATGTAAATATATATGCTTTAACTTTCCCTTCTATAGAAGGTCTTTCTAAATGTTTTTTGAACAGTCTTTTGAACAGTCTCGGGGAGGCTTAATAGGTATTATGAGAATATTTAGGTACTCGGTACACCTGTTATCCACCATATCCGAAAATGGAGTAGTCTGTCGTGCGAAAGCACAAGTTGGCGTGCGATTAGCCTCAGCCTGACAATGTGAGACTAAGCGGGGCTGGTCCGCGCGAGTTACTCAAAAGAGTGCCCGAATCTGACCAAGTTGACATAAAAGACATTCATCTCTTCCCCTAATAATCGGAAATATCAAGACAACACAGTCCTGTATTGAATAGCATCGGAAGTGGGCCAAAGCATGGCAGGCGTTGTCAAATATGAGCTGTCCGATCTGGACAAGAGCGGGTTCCTCAAAGAGGTGACAGTCGCCATGTTTTATGAGGTTCCTCGTACCGTCGATGTGGAAACTCTCATCTCTTCCTTGGAAGAAGGGTTGAAGAACGCAATCTATCAGTTGCCATTCATGGCAGGAGAATTGCAATTTGAACAGACTGGCAAACTTTGCATCATCAAGTCCCCCGAAAGACAACTCAAATTCGAGGTTCACCGATTCGATTCCACCGAACATAAGCCTCTTTCGACTCTGGCTCAAACATCGTTCGCTCCCGAGTCATTGGACCTAACTCCATTTCTACCAAAAGTCGCCGAAGACAAGAAGCCCGTATGTGCGTTGAATTTGAACATCATCGAGGGTGGCTTGGTTTTAGGACTCAGAGTGAACCATGCAGCCGGGGACTGGTCTTCGATTGACAAGTTCCTCTTTCTGATATGCAACAGCTGCAAAGCGCACCAAGAAGACTTGGAGACACCCACTTTCACGCCAGATCTGGGCAGAGATCCGTACAATACGCCCGCAGATATCTCGAATTACTCGAGACATGATTCCTTAGAGAGACTTCGACTTTTCTACGTTATGGAAAAGAGTCAATTCAAACCACCCTCTTCAACTCCATCGCAGCCAAGAATCTACCAAATCTCGGATGGGGCTATCAAAGATATCAAAGCCCAATGTACTCCATACCTCACTGGAGTGGAGTTTGTATCCTCTTACGACTGCATTTCTGCTCTTCTCTGGACATCAATCACGCGTGCTCGACTTCAACTTCACCCAGAAAGGAAGAACTCCCCATCTCGCTTTATTCATCCCATTGATGTGCGAGCTCGAGACCCAGAAAACAAAACGTCTGAACAATATTTCGGCAACGCTGTTATCGGAGCTCAAGCTGGCCCTCTTGATGCCCATGACTTGGTGTTAGATGCAAACCGAGGCCTGGCAACCGCAGCCTCGCTGATTCGCCAATCGGTTAATTCAGTCGACCTGACTTCGATCAGCCATATGACCTCCCTTATTTCATCGCTTTCGCCGACGGAAACTTTGGGCTCTCACGCTGATTTCACGAACATGGACGTGTTCATGAACACTTGGCACTCCGGGAGCACCGAGAAATACGATCTTGGAGCGGGCGTAGTTCCCGTTGCTTTCCGACTCTATGCACCGATGCCGGGGGCTTGCGCGGTGATATTGCCAAATTTCTCACGTGGATCAACGAGGATCTTTGATATTCATCTGCAAGTCACGGCAGAGGAGCACGAGCTGTTAAAGCAAGATGCTGAATTTACGAAATATTTTGAGCTTGTTGCATAGAGGCATCAAAATACTGGTAATTTTCGAGGTTATGGAAATTCAAAGCACAGTGATCACCGACTCATTCTCATCCTCGGCTTATAGTCTCGGGGAGATCTCTTAACGAACCTTCATTTCTATACCTATATCTCCAATCAACGTCTAATGCACTTCATGAGACCTCTCTCGAACAAGTATGCACGTCTAGTTACCGTCTCTACATATTCCTTTCGCCCTACTTGAGAAGGGTATCGAATTTTCTTGAGCCCACTTCCTACCAGGTTGATTGATCTTTGTCTTGGACTCGTGTCACGCCTTGCCTAGTAAAGAAACTACCAGTCTATAGGCACCTAGGCAACCAAGTGACTAGTTCTTTAGCTTGTTTCATGGCATTTTGCCGTTCTGCCCCACCTCAACCACGACGGTGTGCCGTGTGGAAACACTCTAGCACACAGATTCGCAGGTACTAAGTTTTGCAGCCTCAAAGAATTATGGGAAAGTAATGCCAACATCACTTGGGCACTGGCTTGATCGCTACCAGGACTAATGGGAGAGGGGCACGGGCATCGCTTGAAGTCTCTGAAATAGCGAAGTGGTCCTTGAGAGGATGGCCCATCAGGCGGTTGTTTCAATCATGTTTAGAATCGGGTAGCAAAGAAAGATCCACATGAACAGTCCACTGTACACCAACAAGCTAAAGATACTCAAATGACCAACAACCCACACCAATTAAAATTCCAAAGATTTATTGCGTATTCGAACAATACGGAATAAAATCTTACATCCACAGGCAAACCTTGCCACTAGCTGTACCGCCTGCTACCCAGTTCTTGCTACGGTGGAACACAGCTACTGCAGGAACAGCAGTGATTCCATCACCACCAAGCTGAGCCAGCTGATCGCCGGAGCTGCTGTAGACATCAACAAAGCGGTTCATGTTACCCACACAGAATCGCTGGATATGGGATTGGGGGTTCATCTGCCATTGGGGGCGCAGACTAAGGAAAGGTGTGTTAGTTTGATGTTCGTGTAGAGAATTTGAAATGATTTTGGAAACTCACATAGTCACCCAGCGACCGGTTTGACAGTTGTGCCTCACAACGGTGTCAGGGCGGAACTCCTTATCCGAAAGAGTGTGGCCTGACTTCCATGATGAGATGCCCTTAGCTCCAAGGTCATAGAGCTTGATTGTATCATCATAGGATGTGGTAGCAATTTGGCCAGCCGCATTGAATGCAGCATGTGAAACTGAAAGACGACTCTCATGCTCCGCAACTGGTACAGGCTCAGTAGTCGATAGCTTCCGGAGATCCCACAGCTTCATTGTCCGGTCCAAGCTTGCTGTCGCAAAGTAGTGCGGCTGTGACGGGTATAGAGAGAAGCCTCCGATCTTCTTCTCTGAAAGCTGCCAATGAGTGACAGTCTTCTCTGACAGTTTGCTGCGCATATCATAACGCCCAAATGTACCGTTAAGCGTCGTCCAGTACAAGGTGTTGGGGTCCTCGGGCGCCATATCAATCCCAGAAAGTGCTTCGTCAATGTTTGTAGACTTAGGGCCGTATTTCTCTACTGAAGTAGTCTTCTCGAGATCCAGTTCACGAATGGAACTGTCGTAGCTCGCGGTATACAAGCTAGTGGGCTTTGATGGGTGAACCATCATAGCACTAATTGTTCGAGTATGCGGCTTGAGAGTGGTCAGAACCGGGTCGGGATCGTCGTCATCCTCATCATCTCCCGTGTCTGGCTTCTCTTGAGATGCGTCGAAGACACCGAGATGTCCCATCTTATCACCGGCAAATATCAAGGGCTTAGTCTCGGAAGGGTGGAATGCCATGGCATAAACTCGCTCGGGTGTGATCTTGATTCCTATAGAACTTCCATGTTAGTCGATTTTGTTTGCGCGCAATAGTACGATATAGTTCATACTTTGAGGATCCCATTGACTCCACAGACTGAGTCCATTCATCTCCTCCCGCAAAGCTTTCAAATCCTTGTCGGTGGTTTTCTTGATGTCTTCATCGCCGAAAGTCCGCACATAAGGCTCTGCGACACCCTTGTTCACAACATCAACACCGATCAGACTATCTCCATTGAGCTTCTGCCCAGCAATGAACATATCATTCGCTGAATATGAGTCAGTCCTTCGGACCTTTTTAGCGCGCTCGGCCTCCCTGGCTGCCTCGTACTGCTCTTCGGCCTTGCGCTTCACGACCTCGCTGTCAGCGGTTAATCCCCTCAGACGGGAAGATTGACGGCGAGGCAGAGGCGATTCTTCCTCTTTGATGCGCTTGGGAGGCGCCTTTTTCTTTGGCTTTGGCGCATTACTGCCGGGGGGTTTGGGGGTGAAGAGGCCCGCTGATTGCGCCTCCAAGCTCAACTTCTTCAAGAGGGCATCTCGCTCGGCGATATTTGCCAGACGTTGTTTTTCGAACTCGGAGAGCCCGTGCGTACTATCAGTCGTCATGATGGGATTTCAAAACAGTGGAAATCTGTAAACCGCAGTTGTTGGGTGCCGCCAGAGTGCTCAGCGCGGGAAACGCGTGGGCGAAGGAACGCGAAGTCATGTGATTAAAATGGGAAAAGCTTCGACCAATTCAAACTTCATTTTTCGAACTCGGCTCAATGCAACGAGCAACACCAGAAGACGCAATGGCGACGAATATCTCTCGCGCCTTCTTTTTGTCGGCGACAACAAGCTCGCCAACTCCCTTTCTCTATCAAACTCGCACCCTTGCGCCGATATCGCTGTCGTTGCGCAGAACGTTCGATGCTCGCGTGCGTCAATATACGGCCGAAAACAGAGCCTCCCACGGTTATGAGAGGTCGGAGAGCAATTTCGCATCTGACCAAGATGAATTGAGCCAGGACACTTCTTCTCAAAGATCTGGTTCCGGTTCAGCGGCTGAGGGTCCTCAACCTCGGAGAAGTTACTTGCGTCGGCGTTCTGCCTCATTGACGCCGGAAGCTCGAAACAAAACACAAACTCCCTCCTCAAAGTCCGCCAAAGGATCCAGTACGGTCACTGGTCCGGAACGAAAAGCCTTTGGAGAGCTACTCGGGCAGCTCGGCATCGGACGCGATGACGCAAATGCGCACGCCGGGGACACAACACAGTTTGAAGACCCCTCGGGCGAGGGACAGGAACGTATAAAGGAGCTCATGGTCAAATTTGGCTCGATCTTGAAGGATGTGCAAGAGAAGAATAAGGTTTCTGGGAAATCTAAGCGAGAATTGCAAAGAGCAGCCGATGCTGAAGGCGGGATACCTTTCTCCAGCCAGGTCTCCCTGGACTCCAGCCTGATAGATGGGACATTGGAGGGCTCCATTAAGCTTCGAATCAGTGAACTTGGTTACACCGAGCCAGCTTCAGCTACCACCGTCGAACCCGAGATTACCATGAAGGAGGCAATCGAGTTTGTTGTCAAGAAGGAATCGGAGAAGATTGAGTTTGCGCTGTTCCAAGCGATTGAGGAAGGCAAAGGCGATATGGGCCTGTGGGAAGTGTGCAAAGAGCGCATTTTCTCAGTGTTACAGCATTTGGATGAGGCAGCCGATCTCACAATGCCTGGCTCTGCCAACTCACCGGGTGCAAACGAAACACCAAGTACCAAACCAGCGGCACCCTCATCCGGCCCTCTCAGAATCCCGTCTGTCGTGCCAATTGGCCCGGTAATCACAGCACTTTACCCAAAAACCCTTCTGATCGCCTTCCGCCTGCTCAACACGCATTTCCCGGATTCGCATCTCATCAGCCAGTTCCGTTCTACTATCAAGGAGCAGGGCCGTGCATCTGCGCTCCTGGGATCATCTGTTGCCTTATTTGACGAAATGATTCACTTCTATTGGCATGGCTGCAACGATCTCCCGGCCGTGGTATCGTTCCTTCATGACATGGATGTAACAGGGCTGGATCCTAGTTTCAGAACCCGCAGACTGCTGAAAGATATTGTGCGCCAGCGACAGCGGGATATGGATATTCAGAGACAGTCTGCGGCTGGTCAAGACTCGTTCTGGGATTTCCCTCCGAACAAAAGAGCATTTGAGGAACTTGCTGGGCGTGACGGGTGGCTAGACAGGCTTAAGACTCGCGCGCGAGAGTCCCACAGCCAGCGCGAAGTCCGACGATCAGTTTAGGTGTCTTGTCCTGTTCAAATTTTGTTTCCTACTGCATAATAGTTTTTAAGCCCTTGTACGATTATGTGCACCATAGCATCGGCGTTAATTTGAAATCGAATCTCTCATCATATTCATGATCTCAAGAAAACAGAACCTATCTACATCGCTATTGTGTGAAAAGAACAACAATGTTCCAGCTAGTCATCTAAACTACCGCTGGTAGATGCCCCAGAATCGCTCGGCATTGAATGTGTACCGGTTATCCTGCTTCCAGAGATCGTCGTAGGCAGTGAATAGCACAAGATCGTCCTCGCGGTGCGCAAAGCTGCGACGAATGCTGTCAATAGCCACGCGCTGGTTCTCAGGTGACGGGACAGCCGCGCCGTTTGACTGACCAGCATGTGGCCAGCCGGACTCGGTGATGATTGTGCGTTTACCGCCAGCTGCGGCGGAGACAGCATGAGCTTGCTCGAGGACATATGGGCCTGCGTTGTATGGATGCTGGGTTGCGTCGAAGAAGGCATGGCAGTTTGCAGCGCAATAGTCCGAAGCAATGCATAGCTCTGGGTGTTTGAGAAGGACAGAGAAGGTATCAACTGTCACAACGGGTCCTTGGTACCCTTCCTTGCGGAGCATGGTTCGAGCTCCGTTCACGGCCCTAGTCACGTCTGCGGGTGCCGCCAGACCGCCATTCACTAGTTCGTTGCCAATGGCGATAGTGTGGAATACCGACCAATCTTTCTTCCCATCGGGCAGGGTAGCCGCATCGTTGAATGCCTTCAGGCTCTCGGGGAAGTTCTCCAAGTCGTAGACACCGGCGAAAACTTGCATGTGGTGTTGCCGTGCTGCTCTGGCGACGGTGGTTGTCTGGCCACAATCTGTGCCATATATGCGGACAAAGGCGTATTCCGTTAATTGATCGAGATCTTTGTTAACTTGTTCTTGGTTTTTGCAGCTCCTATCTGCGTTGTATGGTGAGTAGGAGATTCCGAATTTGCGGTGCTCCTCTTCATGGTGGTCCGGGTGAGGGTGTTGAGCCGGATGGGGATGTTGCGCAGGAGGCTGAGGTTTCTTCTGCAGCCTAGGTGCGTCGATTGGCTTCTTGATCTGTGTTGGTTCCTCCTGGGGTGGTGTTGGTGGTGTAGCCCAAGCGTCCTGTGTTGCATCCGGCTCTGGTATCAATATTGTTGTATGGGCATCCGCGTGGCGGGTCTTTGGAAATATATCAACAGCCATCCAGGATAAAGGTCTTGCCATGGATAACAATTTTGTCTACTAACCTTTTCTTGCGGCGCAGGCGTGGCAGCAATACGGTTCGTCTCTGTGCGGATCAGATCTCCATTCTCGTTGACCCAGACAACTACCTCAGTAGCAGATTGAGCCTGAGAATCGTCATCTAGTTCACCGAGGCAATGTTTGGGACCTACGGAGATATTAGTCACAACAGGCCTGGTGACAGGTCTTCACTTGTCTGTCTTACCCTGAGCTTCAGCATAAACACCGCACGCAAAAAGCAGGGCCAGCAGAACACGATTGAGGCCCTTCATCGCACCGTCGAATCCGTGGGTCTGGGTCGTCCGAGCCCTCGATCCTGAACCTAGGGTTAGTAGAGTCGATCACGATCAGACCAAGAGCAACCTGGAAATCCTCCCTGCACACAGGGAAAGTAACATCCCATGCAGATCAGGCAGATTATATTCACCCTGAGATCGAGATGCCCAGAACTCGCTTGTGGATTTGGCCACATAGCGAGTAAACAAAGGGGCATCCAGGCATAGCTACTCAGTCTGGGGTGACATGGAGAATGGGATCAGGGTCCAGATCTGGAGCAGCCGCAGCCCCTTGACATGACGACCCAAGACTTCTCAGGGCCAGCGTGCCCACCTGAATCAGTTTTGGGAAGAAGGCCCAGTCTCAAGTAATTATCCAGAGAGTTAGATCTTTCTCGGAACTTGGCGGGGAATGTCCCTAGCGTGACCGAGGTTTGAGGAATGTTGAGTTCATTCCAGCTCCGTTGCACCGAGACTGAAGGGGCTCGGGCCTTGTATTCATAAACTACATATCGATTAGAGCATTAGAGGAAGCCGATGTCACATTGTACAGGCTGAAGGGATAGGAAAGATCTCACATCGTACCAAGTTGTTATCCCAGTCGCCGCGGTGAAAAGCTCAACCGTTGCATGCATTTGGTGACGCTTCGCTGTTGTCCAAATTGGCATCTCAACCCCCTAGATTGATCAGCGGATTTCAAACATAACCAATACAATATGAAGCCGTTTTTGAAATTGTTGAAATATGCAAAACTTGGCCCAGCGATAAGCCACGGCCAAGGTAGAAATAATAATATTAAACAATCTAGAAACCGAGCACCGATGAAGTATGAGACCGTCCCCGAAGAATACAAAATGATAATAGAATAGGGGACAGCACTGTACAAAGTTGGGTAGCGAAAGTGATGCGTATCAACGGGCGTCTGTAACAATACAATAGACGGAAGGGCATTAGGGCATGTAATGAGATCGCCGAAGAACACCAGCAGATGTACATATGAAGAGTGCCGGAGGTCATTGGAGCATGAGCGGTCATTCGAGTAAAGAACGAAAGGCGTAACAGAACGGGGCTGTTCACTTTTTCTTGCTCATCACCTTCGTGATAGCGTGCCGGATGATAGTGCCAGCTTTCTCAATCTCCTTCTTGGTCAGGCCGATAGTGACGCAAACCTTGAGACCGGCCGGCACAACCTGCTTAGGCTGGAAGTTGTCTTCGAGTGTCTTCAGGCGGGAGATAAGGACTCCGTTGGCAAGGCACTAGAAACGAGCACACACGTTAGTAGATGATCGGGCTCGCGAAGGGAAACGAGTCAAAAAGAATGATACGAACCTCGTCAACAACATCCTGGAGCAGGTACTGCTGATCCTCGTAGGTGAGCCTTTTGGACGTCACGACCTCCGGCTTGATGACCAAAATGAGAATTGGGTTCTCCGGAGCACTAGTGCAGTAGACCCAGTCACTGCGAGGATCCAGCTGAGCACGCATGGCCTTCGTGAATTCCCGCAGCTGTGAGACGGTTTCGGGGCTATTTTGAAGAAGGTTGATAGTCGCACTAGCAGTAGTCGAAAGCAAAGCAGGAAGCGCGGCGGAGAAGGTGTATGCCGCGGCTGAAATCCGTTGGTGGTGAACGATTTCTTCAGACCCTGCGCAGAAACCTCCACCTCCTACAAGGGGACCCGCCAGTGAACCCACGATCATATCAACCTCGGCAGCGTCGACATTCTGGTGCTCCGTGATACCTCGTCCGGTGCGGCCCAAGACTCCGAAGGACCAGGTCTCGTCGAGGATAAGGCGGAACTTGTACTTGAGTCTCAACTCGATCTAGAGTGGACACAACGTTAGCAATGCGCAAATGGCAGAAATGTGCATGGCAAAGAAACATTAACTTACGATCTTAGGTAGGTCGACCATATCACCGTAGGACTCGAAAAGTCCCTCCGTAATAATGAACCGCCGAGTCAGCGGTTTCCGGGCCTGCTCCTTGGTAACCTTGGCAAGAACACGCTCTAGATCCTCCATATCATTGTGCTCGTACCACCGAACGATACTGCGGGAGATCTGGATACCCTTTCGGATAGCAAAGCTAACACCCTTGTCCGCGACGATAATGTCACCACGCTTGGAGAACGCGGGAATGACACTAGAGATGGTGGAGAACGCCTGCGAGTACATGATACAGGCTGCAGTGCCCAAGAAAGAAGCAATGTCGGCCTCGGTTTTCATGTGCACGTCTTGGGTACCGTAGAAGCCGCGGGGGCCGCAAGGTCCGACACCATAGTTGCGTAGGGTCTGGATAGCCTGTTCCTTGAGGGACTCATTCGTGTTGAAGTTATAGAAGTTGAAGGAGCAGAGGTTGTTAACAGTACGACCGTTTGCGAGCTTGGACTTGGGACCGACGGGGCTGGAAATTCACAATGCCTCGTTAGCACAATATCCGAGGGATCCCGGTTGCTGATTCACGGTGCATCCACAAGACAGTGAAGGAGCTTACCCAACAATCACCATCCGCTTGTCCACCTCCATCTCCTCCAAAGCAGTGGGCTGGGCCACCAGCGGCTCAGGAGTCCACTCATCAACGAGGTCATCGATCTCATCCTCGGTCAATGGCACGACACCCGGCTTGGTCGAGTATTTAGGGGCGAGCAGGTAGCGCACGGCGAAAAGGAAAAGGAAAAGCTCGACCGCAGAACGAATTGGATCATCCTGGTAGCTGGATTTCACGTAACGCAGGAAGATTGCTGAGCCAGGCACACGATGGAAGAGGTTCGCGAGTTCATGTAGGTACTCGGTCAGGAGACGTTGCGTCTCCTGGAGGTCCATCGCGAAGTAATTCGAGGCGCTCGGGGCGCAAAAGCAACGATGAAGATAGTTCCAGTGACCAAAGGTCTGCGAAGATCAACTAATGGCTTCAATTTGGCGTGATGGTTGGCGTACACGCCGCCGGGGGGCTCGCGGACAGGCTGAAACATCCATTGTCACGTGACATGCTCGTGACCTGTAATCAGCACAACTACGGAGTACCTACCATGAGATTGGTCGAATTGTGAGGCGATTCTAACTACAGATGCTTTCTTGACACGAATGGGAAGACTGAAAAATGTGTTTCTATGTTGAGTTGAAGCAATGCAGTTTGTATTCCGTGAGTGTTTTAAGAGGATAAGGAAAAAGAGCTATGAGAGCGGTAAACGAAGGTGAAAACCCCCCCAGGGCAATGACAAAACCACTCGAGTTACAAGTGTCATTCCACACAAGAAGCCATTAAGATCAACAAGTGCGCCGGTGATTTCACGAAAGAATGCAGCGAATCGCAAGAAAATAAATAGAAAGGGAAGAAGAAAAAAGAGACTAAACTTTGTACAGGCCATTCTCATACAAGGTCTGATTGACCGTTTCACAGTAAGCGCTGGAAGTTGAAGTCGCCGGCGGTGGGGGTGACGACAGCGTGGGAAGAGAAACCCTTCGGCAAGTGGCTTCCAGTGTAGTAGGTCTGGGTGTCATTAAGACCCTTGTCAAGGGGCTGGAGGAGGAACATGCTGTTACCCTGCTTGACACCAATGGCATTGTACAAGGTACGACGCAGGCTAGTGTCAATGTCCATGTTGCGCACGACGATGGGCGCAGCAATAAGGACAACGAAGAGGACCAGCATGACGAAGTATAGAATGGCGAAACGAATCACACGTCTCTTGCGCAGCTTGGACTGCTTCAGAGAGTAGATAGGGGGACGGATTTGGCGACTATGGGTATGATGTTAGCATATTTGTAATTCTCTGGATAGGTCAAGGCGGTAAAACATACCTGGGACGCAGCCAAAACAGGATGACTGAGTGGAACTTGTCGGCGTAGGGGATGGCAAGAGCCGGCAGCATGAAGAAGAGAATAATGTGACCGAGCACAAAGTCGGCGGCGAAGTAGCCCAGCTCGGTGATCTTGCAAAGGAATTCACGACCGGGCTGCGAGAGCGAGTGCCAACCCATGTTGTACCACTTACCGGTCCACCACGCGATGTTGGACTGGTCGTTCTTAAATTCACGGGTCAGGGCCAGGGAAATGATCAGCTTGTAGATGAACCGTTGGAGGGCCATCATGGCGATCATGCCGGAGACGGTACGGGGCCAGTTGAAGGACTCAAGAACGAAGAGAACCTCGAAGAAGACGATCAGGACGATGACAGCGATAGCGTGGGCGATCGCAGCCAGGACTGCACCGAACTTCTTGCAGCACAAACTGAAGATGGGTCCCATGCAGCAAGCCATACCAAAAAACATACCAGCGACACCGGCATTGATACCAATCGGGGCAAAAGCAACGATGGCAATGCGCGCAATGGCGTTAGGAGCGTACTTGGTGTCGTCGCTGAACATGGTGCGGGAGTTGATGTACAGGTATGGAACGAAAGTGACAGCCACGACGACCAGGGGCGCGACAATCTCACTGAAGAAAATGTTCGTGATGCGAGCGCGGGGAATGTCACCAGATCCTTTCTCAGAGGGAACTCCAAGAACCTTCTTCTTGTAACCAGTGATCCGGGTTCGGGACAGACGGCAGAAGCCAATCCAGGAAGAGGCGTGAGACCGGGAGTTACCGCGCGAGAGCCAGCGGAGATAGTCACGGTAGTCAATGAAGAAGTCATTCCAAGAGAACTGGTGAGGGTTGAAGAGGAAGGGCGAGATGATGAGGGCAAGCAGTGACACCCAGAACCAGATCAGAGCAGGAGTCCAGACAGTGCTGCTTGCGAAGAGCAGCATCAGCAGGAGACGAGCACCAGCGTAGATTGAAGGACCAGCGAAACGAGAGTACAAGACACCGAAGGGAATGCGAGCGGTGGCGAAACCACGACCAGTACCAATGTAGCGCGCACCACCGAATGACAAGTTCTGGTGAACGGCTTGGGCGTAGATCTGACACACGAAAACCTCGAACATGAACGAGAAGGAACCAAAGTGCTTCGCCAGACGAGTAGCCATACGCCAAACACCACGCTCAGTCAACTCCTGGACAGCCAGGGGAACAAACGAGATGAAGAACACAATGAAGATAGAGATAACACAACGGTTCACCCAGTTGACGATGGGAGCAAGGTCGGCACAGTAAGTCGGCTCCAGGGGATCAGTGATGGGCAGGTCGGAGTTGTAACGGCAAGTAATGGTCTCGTGCTTGAGAGCACCCAGGTTGATGAGAACGATCATGAACATCTGCACTGACAGCATAATGAACATGTTGTTGATGTGGAAACCAGGGTGAGCATAGTAGAATGACAAGAAGCGATCGAGAGGAAGTTGAGTGCCGAGGTAGTAGTATTCACGCGAGAGCATCTGCTCACCCATACCAGTACCAATCTTGGTTGTGAAGTTCAAAATGGAGCCGAAACCCAAGTCACGACCCTTACCACACTGGTAGTACTCGCAGTGCTTGATGCGACCACCACGAAGGAGTGCATTCATACCAGCGTAAATATCCTCGTTAAGATGGAGACCCTTTTGAGCCTTGGACACACCACCACGAGTACACATGAAGGTAGCGTTCAGGAAATCGGGATGACCATAATGCAGCTTACCACCGATCTGTGCCAGAGTACGGGCGAACAGGGTACCGAATGTTTGTTCCTTGGAGGCAGCGACGTCACCAAGGACACCGATGCTCTCAGAGAAAATGTATTCACGAGCACCAAGAATGGCAACCGGGTTGGTATCAGGCGAGGGAACACCAGGTGTGTACGGAGAAACATTGTCGGTTGTCAGCTCCTCAAACTCGGCGAGGACGGAACGAATCTTCAGGCACTCTTCCAGGTAGTTGTCTTGGTTGGCATCGATCAGCTGGATGTATTCACCGCGGTAGAAGATAATGGCGTGGTTCTGGTTGTCAGACTTTCCGTCACCGAGAATGGGGTTGCCGGAGAGCTGGATGCGGAACTTGGGCTTGCGCATGCCGTTCTCGAGAAGCTCACAGTGACCATCAATCAAGGCAGAGTACAGGCGGGGGTCCTCGCCCTCGTTGACGGGAGGCTCCTCATCAAGGTAGGCGATTTGCAGATCAGGGTAGGCACGCAGGAGGAATTCGGTGTTTTCACGCTCGTCCTTGTTGAACTTGGCATAACGTTGCATGGAGACACAGATGCGGAACTTGCGACGGGCCATGCGCTCAAGCTCACGCTCAAGCTTCTCGGAATTACCGCCAAACATCTGCACAACCTCGGGGTTCTCGACACGATACAGGAGCTTGATGGCACGGCTGTAGTTCATGAAACCAGAAACAGTTCTGTACAGAGTTTGGGAGCGAAGCGAAGCCCAGATACGAGTGCGAAGGGTATACTCGGGAGCAGCGGACTTGAAACCAATGCAGTAGAAGGGCAGGTCATCGATCTTGCTCTTAGCAGCGTCCTTCTCGCCCTTCTCGTTATATTCCCCGTTGAATTGAGAGGTCTCATCAGCCAGAATCTTGGTGTCCTTGACGAAGCAGTCCCATTCGTGAGGGTGGAGCTGCTTAAGATACTCGAGCACGGTAACGCGGGAGTAGGGCTCATCCTCACGAATGATTTCACGCAGAGACAGGAGAATCTTTTCGCCGTAGTGGGGGATCAGAACACTGAAAGTGGGCATGTTGTCCACCGGCAGAGGCTCAGGCATAGGAGTCGACAGAGACTGGGCGAAGAAGGAGATACGGCGCTCAGCCTCACTACCAGCAGGGAAGAACTCGGTCTTGAAAGACTGGTCTTCCTGGGAGACGAAGAAGGTAGGGGCACGGAGGGTACGCTTACCCTCCTGCTCAGAGGGGACCTGGTGGTAAAGGAGCTTCTGGACATGGTCGATGGCCAAAAGATGCTCGCGATACATCGAGATGATGATAGCATTCCACACCTGGGAGATGAGGACCTTGGGCTTGTACTTGATCTCCATGTCAGTGGTGGCCAGCACCTTAGAGTAGATACGCTTGGGAAGGCGGGAAAAGATGTTTCTCCAAGGCGACCAAATGGAGACACCTAGGTAGAATGAACGAGCCACCGAGAAAATGGTGTTGCAAATAATGTACCACAGGTAACTATCGAGGAAGAAGAGGGTCAAGTCCATGAAGAACATCAGACCCAGAAGGATCTGTGGCTGCTTGTGACACAGGACGTTGCCGAGATACGTGACACCAGTGCACTCGTAAATGTTCATGGGCGAAAGGATACGAATGGGATCCTTCAACGACAGAGTCAGGAAGAAGTAAGACTCAGCCAGCTTGGCACCAAAAACGCAAACCCAAAGGCCGTAGGACATCCACATGTCATTGCCGTGCAGACGGGGAAACTGGCGGTAAAGGTCTGGCTGGCAACGTACTGCCGACCGTCCTTCTTCAAGTAACTGCCGAAGAGCGCACCCAGCGGCTGGATACCGAAGAAGGCTGCGGTCAGGAGAGCGATTACGAAGTGGACAATACCGAGAGCAAGACCGACTGGCTTCTGGATATTTGTGGGCAGCATATCCAAGAAGCCGAAGATGACCACTCCAGGTGCCAGGTTGATGACGAACATGAGGAGGATAAACATGAAACGCTTGCGCAGATGCTGAGCACCAGCCCACCGACGAGGGACATACATCCACTCGCAGATAGTGGCGAACAACTGGATGAAAGCAGCGATGGCACCACCAAAACCGACAGCAGCCAGATACTTAGCGGTAGACGGCTTGTTATCCCACTGTTGTTGGTAGTTCACGGTGTAGAGAGTCGGGGCGTTGTAGGCAGTGAAGAACCAGAAAGAGCATAAGTGAATAACCCAGATACGGTTGAAGTTGGTAACCAAGTGGAACCACGAGCGAGTTTCCTTGTAGGTCTTGAAGAATGCCTTCTTCCAAAGGACATCCTTGAGCTTAGGCCAACGCTGCGCGGGGGGAACATCGACCAGGCGAGTCTTGTCCTCGAAACCGATGCGCTCGATACCCTCAGGGTACCAGAATAGCTGGTTCATATCATCGTAACCGATGATCTTGTTGTGGTCGTGCTCGCGGCGAACGTACTTGCCTTCAAAGATCTCGTAGCCCTGATCACGGCAGTACTGGTAGAGGGGGTGATGATCTCGTTAAGGTAAGTGAACTCCTCAACGGGCTCCACACGGGCCTGGCACTCGGGAGAGGAATAGTAGTCGTCGGCACACTTGAAGATGAAGCACAGACACTCAGGCAAGAAACGGACCTGGTTGGCCTCGCCCCAAATGAGCAGATACAACGCAATCTGACGGGCACGATCGTGCTGGGACATGCGGTTCATGCGAGACTTCCAGCGGTATTCAGCGGCCTCCAGACTGTTGTCACCTTCCAAAGCCTCAAGCGTCTCCTCCTCGTTCTCGGGGTTCTGCTTGGCGGCCTTCTGGGCAGCCTTGCGGGCCTTGCGAGTCTTACGATCGGCTTTGCCCAGCTTCATGTTGGCGAAGCCAACTGCATCGTCCAAGTCCAGATGAGCGGCGAAGTACCAACGGCGGTAGTTGGCGTTGTGGCCACCGATATAATCAGCGTGCAGAGACAGAAGGGCCTGGTTGGGGGTCATGCGAGAAGCACGAGAGTCGAGAAGCGTCATCATGTGGTCGTACATGTTACGCATGCTGTCACGCTGGAAACCGAACTTGTTAACCAGGTCCAAGAAGATGTCCTCCAGCTCCTCCTTGGACAGCGGAATCTGGGCATCCGAGGTCCAGGCAGGGTAGGGTTCCCGCGAACGCTGGCCAGCCGGCAACGCGTTTCCATATTCCATGCCATAGACGGGGGTAGAAGCACCCGATGACCGGTTCCCGCCATATGAGATCTGCGATGATGGCGGACGGTAGCCGTATCCACCACGACCGTACTGGCTGTCGGTGTAGCTGTTGTATCGCTCGTCCCCACGGCCGTAGTAATCCATATCAGCAGCACGCGCGGTCTCCGATCTCATGGTGAAATCACTGAAGGTCTCCGAGTCCTCTTCGGAGTCATTGCCGCGTCGGCCACGGCCATAGCCAGCCTGACCGGCGTCGTAGTACTGGTCGGCGTAGTATTCATCCTGGTGACCGCCGCCCTCGTAGTATCCTCCTTCGGCGTAGCCTTGATGACCACCCTCCTGTTGTGCGTAGGCGCCCGAAGCACTGCAATTCTACGGTCAGCATTGATTCAAATCTCCTTGACGTTTATGGAATTAAGAAGCATCTCGCAGTCCATAAAAAGGTGTCCATACCCTCGGTCATAGTAGCCATCGCCATAATCCTGGTGGTCGTAGTAACCACCCTGGGCAGCGTGCTCGTCCTGATAGTAGGAGTCACCTTGGCCTGCCGGGTGGCCGTAGCCCTCGTCATAATGGCCACCTTGTTGCTGGTAGCCGGACATGACGGAGGAGTCGCAATCGATCGCTTGGTTCGAGCTCTGTTGATTGCAGTCAGTGGACTGCCTGGTGGGACGGAGGTATCCGTCGTTTGCGTCTCGCGTCGACCTGGGGTAGATCCCGGCGAATCCGAAGTGAGGCTCTTACCTCAACCGCGACTCATTCACAGTATTAAGTTAATTGATGAGTCGAGAGACTTGTAGTTGGTGTGTGTTTTTGTTTTTGGTTGGAAGCGAAATTAAGGCAGCATCGACAGGGAACGAATGGCGTTGAACCTCGTAACGGCGTAGGTCAAAAAGGGATGCCGAGCTAAGATGAAGATCCCGAATCCGCGAGTCTCAAACTCGATCGGAGGTGTAACGAGCGAAGTGAATAAACCAGTCGACAGCAATCGCGATGTGGTAAGTCAACACTTCCCTTTTCCGGACCTTCCTCAAGGAAACGAGAGTGTCACCTTAGCTAAAGGAAGATGGATGGGGAGAGGAAGAAAGCGAATGGAATGGGGAAGGGGCGAGTTGGGAGGTTGGAGGGACGGAGGAGAGAGACGAGATTCTGAGGAAGGAGGGAAAATATTGGCTGTGCTGTTATTTTGGGATCTCGGGGGGAATGGTTTCCACCTAATTTCCTAATTTACCGTCACAGCATACGGGTGTGATTTAGTATGTACCGGTACACACCTGTAGCAGGACAAAGCAGGTACCCGGTACTTGAGTGGAGTGTGGGAGCCACTGCGTACGTCGTGGTATCCGATACGTACACGCCATCCTCTACGGAAGGAGAAGAATACCGCACGTGAGGTACCGGTACCATACAGCCAATACAGCCATTACCGCCCGATTATCCATCCTCAGGGGATCCTCTCCCAAGTCTCCTCCTAAGCCTCGTCTTCTCCAGTGTCTCTTCTTCCCACCCACCCCCTGGCTCCAGCCCTCTTTGCAATACACCGTTGTTGTCCACCGGTACCTTACACCAGGACACGCATACACACATCCAGACCTCACTCCACCATAACCGAGATGCTAATGTTATCGGCCAATAAACAACAGTCAAGCTCCCTATCCACACGCTGACTGTGTCCAATGAGACTGTCCAACTCATGTTGGATTCCAAGGGAATTGCGACGGCCCCTGAAACCTGCCCCACCAGCGCCTTCCAGCATGTATTCCAGGTAACAAATTATGTGGTCGGAGCGGGTACCTCCATCGGGGATACCTACGATGGGCCTGTGGCGTGCGCTGATTTGCCCGTGCCTTGTTATCGTTACCACTACGGCATGCAGGGATAAGCGTTGCGCGGGTACTCGTTTTTCATTCCTCGTTTCTATGCGACGACGTTGACTGAGGACTCGCAATTCGGTATTTCGCTGTGGCAAGTGAGGACGAGTATGAGTGATGTGCAATGGAAAAGCAGAGAAGTCCTTCTTTTAACTGACATCCTTTCCTATCGGGGATTAAACAAAGACTCGGGGGCCATCTGGTACGATCCATGGTTTTCAAGCGACAGAACCATCCGATCAGCCAACAATCACTCGGTTTTCATTGCGAATTGGCCTCTCAACGCCCAAATCCTCTTGCTGTTGCTTTTCTGGGATGCACTGGCCTATCTTCGGATGAGGATCGTCCATTAATTTGCTTCTTCTGCTGAGTTCATCCCAGCTCAGACAGAGAGGTACAAGATTTCCACGCTAACACACTCAATTTGCCACCGCAAAAATTACACCCAATACATTTAGGGTACATGAAGTACATTTGACGCCGCACATCGTCTCAAATTGTACTGCTTTGACTTTGCCCACCGTTGGAGCTATCCCGGACTGAGTCCAGCGCGGTCCTATAATAAGACTCCACAGGCACACGACTCTCCACTGCTCGTCCTCGAAAAACCGGCTGTTGTTGGCTTTTTTTCAAGCCACCATCTTCTTTCCTTGATTGGGAGATGCATTGAAAAAGTCTCTGTGGACTTTATTCCATCGCAAGCAAGGAAAACTTCAATTTTGATGTACAGAGTGGCCCATTTAAAAGAGTAGACTCTGCTATCAAAATTGTTTTATTCAAATAGAGTCCCATCATACCATCTGTTTCTCATCACAATTCAATCTGTTCTTTCTCAACTCGCACCTATACGTTTGTTTCAGATGACGAGTCCACAGTTTCTCCGTATGTACAGTATGTACTGACTGTATGCAGTCTCAGCGACCGGTACGGAGTACTGTAAGAAGCGTCGCAGGCCATCTCCACCGTTGGCCCAGCCTTTTCAGCCCGTCCCACCAGTCTAAGTGGATCAGCGATGCTTTATTTTCTGATTTCAAGCCTCGACTTGGGACTGCCTGCCACGGTCCAGCCAAAAGTCGGTCGGCGGCCAGCATACGCAACGCGCTGCGAATATCATGCATTTAGTAGGCGTTTGTGATCTGGTTGCTTGAATTTTCTACCGGTGATTATGTACTTATTTAAACTTGGAGCATGCTAATAAATTGATGGTATTGTTGTACTCAGTGCAGCATATATCTTTAGTTAGCTATGTACGCTTACCGTAGGACGAGGGAATGATGAAATGAATGGACATTCATATACTCCGAGCCTCAACAAGAAGAACATCCTTGCTAGACAGACTTAAACTATCAACTGATTGGGCTACCATCTTGTTATCTTTCAGACACGTCGCGCCGAACGCGCGACCGTACAGCCTGTAATTAGCCCGTTCAGTGGACTTAGTAATTCCAGCCATAACAGGATTCGCTGGTGCTGTGATGCAAGTCGGCCGCAGGAACGATACATCCACTGCATGAAAATGGAGACCAAATCTCCAATTTCCATGTCCAGTTCGCCTGTCTTTTCGTGCTCGACTGCTGGTGCGGAACAGTCGTTGCGACAGTGGTTCAAACCTACTTCTCTCGATTCAATTTCCCCATTCTCCGGGGAGGTAACCAGAAGTCTCCATGATTATTTCAAGCCCGGGGTTCCTCCTTTAATGGCCGATCGCCAATCCCAAAAATAACCTGTCTCGAGCGTAGTCGAGATCGCTGGCGGCGTGGGCTTGCCCTAATGTTGCAAGTTTATTGTATTATTTGGCCCGCTTGTTTTCAATACCCGAACCTTCATACGGTGTTTTTTAGATCCCCCTTGGCCTCTTTGGGCTTAAATGTGGCTGGAGGCCAGGTTTCATGGCCGCGATCGTGAAGTGTTTGTTAGATTCTCGTACAGTACGGAAGAATACAGGACTACCACTACCGTCATTGGCGCTGAAGATGTGTATCTGTATCGCGGATGTCTCCGGGTAGGTTATGCATATGCCCCCTGGTCAGGGGAAGTTGACTATAGTATGGAGAACTGTATTCATGTGCGTTACAACGGAGATTTGTAATGTATGTAGCAGTGCATATGTAGAACGGCTTCGGAATTGAAATGTCACACTGGCCTCCTACGACAATTACATAGAGACAAGAGTCGATTTAGTTAACACATTCAATTTTAGTCATCGGTAAGGCTGTGCCCAAACCAAACTGATGATCCTCCGTCTGTCCCCTCCACCATTTACGTGACATACAGCCAATAGCTTTACTCGTCAGTAACACAATCACGGTCGAAGGATGAAGGACAAGATCGGGGGCAACAGGTCAGATTTGCGTCAACGCTCTGCATTGACGATCAGAAAGTCTCGCCATGCATGCAACATTCAGCATGCCCGAGCATATTTCAACGTGGCCGCCCGAAGCGGGATCTGATACGTGTCTAAATTCTAAATTCGCAGGTGCTGAGCGATTTTATAGCTCATAGTGCTGTACCTCCGATATGAACAATCGAATATCAATGTTACTTTCCTAGTCGTACGCTAGTTCACTTCTTCTTTAATCTTTAATCTTTGCCTTGAACCCAGCCACCACTGGGTGTCTTGATGTTTGTTCTTGCTACGCGATGGAAGACTGAGAGGCAAGGGATGTTGATCTCCGGAGAGGCATGGCGAGAGAATGAAGTGATCGGCTTCCGGTTACGTGCAAACCATGGCGGTCCAAATATGCCCGGAGAGCCGATCTTGCGATCAACGCTTCTTCCCTGTTCAACGCTCAGAAGTCTGGATGAGATCCGCATAATTCGGACGCGATGGTCCATTCCTCGACGCTGCATGGCAAATCTGCTTGGAAATACTCGATTTCGTAAACAAATTGTAGATGGCGACTCTGATAGAGATGTTTTTGCAGCTTAATGGAACCTCGCGTCAGGCAGAGTCTCTTGCAGTCTGTGGGTTTCAGGTCAATCTCGCAATGAGCACCTACATAGTACCCGAGTCAGAGGTATCTAAAGGCTGACACTGAATTCCCCCAATGGGCGATTGGATTCATTTGATGGGTGCATTACATCATTGTGCAACTAAGCTCTCCATTATATGAGGTTCAGGAGGAACAGCCTGGGCGGGCGCGATGTTGGTTCGGTCAGAATGTAGCTGTGCCACCATACGCTTGAAGTATTGGACATGTCCTTTTAGTAAATGCCTTTCAAAGTGCTTGTTTAAAATTTTGGAAAGCCAGGCCAAACTATCAGTCGCTCAGGCGATTAGTAGAGATAGCTCTCGCCTAGGTGAAGCCCGAGTAGTAGAATCGTATAGCAACCGATGGGTGACACCAGATATATATCCCTTCAACCCACACCCGTCAGCTCGTCCTTGACAAAACTATGAGATCATCATTAGGTTTCTTTGCCAAAATGAATAAGCCTTCATCCAGATATTCACTCTCTAGGCTCTACACCATCTCAAAACTCAATTGATGGTTGCTGGAAAAAGTCCAATATGCAATAATTATGGCCTGGTAGAGATAAGCTCGAGTTAGAAGCCGCCGAGGGTAATAGATAAATCACAGGACTTTTACTCTCAAGATGGACTCCCTGCCCGATTTGTAATTACATACCGTAGAAATATTTATTGATGCTGGTGCAGTCGATCAATTCTATGTAACAAGTCACGGAAAGTACCCTACGTCAAGCTGCACGCTTTTGTATGAATCCGATCGATAGGGTGGGAGAGCACTATTATGGCCTCGCGGTCTTCCGCAGTGATGGATCCTTGTCAAATACATGGAAATTTCACCGGTAAAGAGTATCTGACCAATTTTAGTTTTTGATGGATGTACAACTGAGACACAAGACTGATTCCCTTTTCGCTCCCACTTTGGCTAGCTCTCTATGCCGTTCTGCTGTGTGATGTGTCACTAACCTTCACCATTTGCAATTCAGTTGGAAATCAGAGTTGGAATATAGTTGTTAGAATAAATAGAACTCTCCGAGGCAAAAGCATACCGTTTATTCGACTTGGTATGCTGTGTTCTGCTTGATTTGGGTCTCTTGTATACAGAAGCGGCTGAAGATTTCGGTGGCGTATATATTCACCTACGGCCGGCAACAAAGAACAACCCCTTCCAGTACCTGGAAACAAATATCTCCATTTATATCCATTAGTTACCCAACTATTGGATTCATTGTTTGCAAGTTCCCGTACCCCGTTTAATCATTCATTGACGAGTGCTGCAGACTGCGTTGAAGATGTTGGGGCGGCACTAGCGCTTTACTTAAAACGTGGTTACTGGGCCAACCGTTCTCCGTTTGATGGCTCATCTTGTTGAAGAAACTCTGTCCCCCAACCACATTGAACTCCCTGTCCAAAGCAACAAGATACAAAGGCTACACGCTGCCCGGAGAGACACATTTTGTTCTCTTTGGCTTGAACAAAGTCCTTTTCATCCGGAGGTCGCGACATTAGGCCAGTCAACACTGCACCCAAACCCAGCACTCCCCCGCAAGCCCAACCACGATGGCACGACTCAACACGACGAATCCACTCAACAGTGCTATCCAGAGGAAAAAGAGCTTGAAAGAACGAACCGAGCGACTTTCTGCCCACCAACCTTTCACCGATCAGCAATGCAGCAACATGAGGTCTTCCAACGGGAGCAGCACGAGTACACAATCCGGAGCTTCATCGCAACGGCACAGTCGGGGATCCAGCGCCGTCTTTGACATCTTCTCTGATGATAGCGCTATCCTTGAGAGTGGAAATAGCTCGCCTAGGAAGCAAAAGAAAACCAGGACCCTCAAAGCTGCAAATGTCAATTCCCTCCTCCTCCCGGTCGGCCAGACACCGCGCCAGAGGCCTATCGTCAAATTGGAGACAGACGACTTTGAGAAGGAGAATGACATTGGGGAGAACACACCGGAGAGACACACAGCAACAAGGGAAGCCCCTCCACAAGCGTCTCCGACAAGACGAAACATGGCGCAAACTCCAAGAAGAAGCCGCGCAGACAGTACACCTTTGAGCCCCCAAAGCCCCCAGATGCAACAGAGCCCACAATCCGAGACAGGGGAAGAGTGTGAGGACAATAGCTTTGACTCTCTAGATGACTTCATTGTTAGTGACAATGAAGATCTCAGCTTCCATGAGACATCAACTTCCGAGACAGAAGATGAAAAGATTCCAACGCCGCCTCCACCCCCAAAATCCACCCGAAAGAGATTGATGAGAGGGAGAAGACCTGATGACGATACCGAACAGAAGCATCTGAAGGATACGCCGCTGAAAGCACCCTTTCGACTGGAGCCCAGAATCTCCGAAACACTGAGGCTATCTTCATCGACTGAAAGTAACCCTAAACAAGTGTCTCAGGAAGACTTCAACCTCACTTCAAAGCTCAACTCGCTGGATCTAAATGGCGACAATGAACCGACATCTCAGCTGGAAACAAAGTCTACACGGTAGGGTAACAAGATGTCTTCGTCTATTTAGATAAGATGGTTTCTTGCTGACTATCACAATCATGCAGCTCTATAATAGAGCTAGACTGTTCGCCAAAAGAACCACGAGAAACAAGAAAGAAGCTGGAAACACCCCCCTCAAGCCCCAAACAAACCCACCTGCAATCCCCAACAAAAGGCAAGATTCGAATTCCAGCCACTCCTCATCGCGAGACTGTTGATGCGTTCTGGAGCCAAGAAGAAACCAATAAGTGGAATGATCAGTACTCTCCCCGCAAGGAAAAGTCTACTAGTCGCACTGTGATTGAACTGCTACAAGACTTTGACGATTCCGAGGACGAGCAGGATCGAAGCCGGGGATCTAGTTCCAGCAGCGACATCGAGCTCATTCCTAAGACGGACGTGAGGATGCCGACGACACCGAAGCCTCTCAGCAAGACAGCCATCAAAAAGGCAGAAGCGGAAAAGAACCGAGCGGCCAAGGCTCGTCGACTGTCATTCAACAGCAAGAAGGCCGAGTTGGCACAGACCTTCTTCAACGCCCTCGATCAAGCTGCATCTGGAGGAGAGGTCAGCCGGCTTGCAGAGCCTACCGGTGGCGTCACAATCACCTGGTCAAAGACCCTTAACACAACCGCCGGTCGGGCTCGCTGGAGAGGGGAGCGAGTGGTTTCACATGGACCAAATGGCGAGACAAGAGGTCTGAGCAAGATCCGACACCATGCCTCGATCGAGCTGGCCGAGAAGATCATTGATGATGAAAACAGACTCATCAACACACTTGCTCACGAGTACTGCCACCTCGCCAACTATATGGTTTCCAACGTCCACGACAATCCCCACGGCGCCAGTTTCAAGGGCTGGGGCAAGAAGTGCGCGGAAGTCATGAGGGATCACCCTATCTACGGCGGACAGATCAACGTAACGACGAAGCACACCTACCAGATTGACTACAAGTACGTGTGGAACTGCATGTCCTGCGGTCAAGAATATTGTCGTCACTCGAAGAGCATCGACACGGGTCGTTCTCGCTGCGGTGTCTGCCGAGGCGTACTGCAGCAGACCAAGCCTAAGCCTCGCAATGTGTCACCTAAGAAGAGCACAGCCACACCCGGTCAGAGGAAGATTTTGGATGATGTGACAAGAAATCTAGATGGATTTGTCTTCTGAGCACGTTGAGCTCGCACCATTTGAATAACCTCACAACTGCCATTTTCATTTGCTAGAAGCAAGATTTTACGATACTACGCTCTTTACCCTCAGCATATTTGCATTTCGATCAGCTCATGTCCCTTAGCATACCTGCATATTGAATTAGCGCATGCCTTGGCTGAGCCATTTGTTTCATTTGAATACAGAATTGATCATGTACTGTCCTCATTCGATCCAGACAAAGCTATTTGATTGGACTTGTTAATATTATTTGTTGACTATCTAAAGACACTAGCTAATGATTTAATCAACGGCTCTTTTGGACTAGACTCCCAACTCTCATATCCCAAAGTGTCCACCATACCCGTCAAAATACCCTCAAAAACCAATCCATCAATAACCATCCGAGTTCCATCCCATCCAAATCAAACCAATTAAACAAACAAACCCCAATCCCGAATCTCCAACTGACCCACCAACGCACTCACAGTCTCCTCCGCAACATTCTCCTCCCTCGACAATCCCCGCGCATCCCCATTCTTATCAAACTCCTCATGAGGCACATTGAAAAACACCAACAAATCCGTCTCCTGCGCCTCTAACCGCACCATCAAATAATGGCACGTCACCTTAGCGACCGGCGGCGCCCCAGACGTCCCATTCAGCGCCGCCCCAGCCACAGCCGCGTCCGTAATAGCCTCAGTAGTCCCATTAACAGCAGCATGAACCCGCCCACCCCGTCGACGCGAAGTACTCAAGAACTGGACAACGCCCTTGTACGCGCTGAGCGATGAACCGGGTGGCGCGGACGCGGCAAGGCGAGTCGGGTTCACGCGCGTGGGCGGAGTGACGATTTGCATTGCGTCGCCTTCGTCGCATAGATCATTTAGGTGGTGCAGGGCGGCGGCTTGGTCGATTGTTTCGGGGCTGGCGATGGCTGCGGTGCCGCTGTTGGCGGTCAGGTTTGGGTGTTGGTGGCTGAAGGTGGTGAAGGTGCTGAGTGCTTCTTCCTGGGATACGCGTTGGTTGATTTCGATGATGAAGGTTGAGAGTGTTTCTGGGGAGAGGAAGAGCTCTTGGTGGTCAGGAATTTCACGGAGGTCACTATCGTGGAGTTAGTATGTTGATTTTGAAAATCTCTCTGTCTTTTTGGGGCTGTGGAAGGCAGTGAGTTGGAATGGGAGGCCGGGTCAAGTAGAATGACTGGGAAAGTCCAAATCTTGGGTATATGATGTAGAGAACCAAGAAATATATGGTGAAGGGAATACAGGGCCATGTTAAACATTGGAGATGGATATACTGACCTTCCATCAATCCAGCGCTGCGGCACAACCCCGCGGATCGCCCCGCCGAAAAAGTCCTGCTCGGCAACTTGAGCCATGACTGAACAGAGCTTCTCTAGAAAGCAAGAGCAAGTATCTAGCCTATTGATCGTCCTCGGCAGGTCGTCGTTCAGGATATTGATCCGGTCTCAATGAGCCACCTCAAGAGGGTAATTGCAAAGCTCTTCGATTTAGAAGTTTGATGCCAAGCTTCTGCGTGACTTTCCGAGCTTAATTTTCCTTGCGGACTTCTCCGGTTGGCGAATGCTGGATCAACTTGTCAAGGAATTGAATAGCGCACAGAGTGATTTGGGAATATCAAAGGTCGATCAGCTTCAGAGGGATTTCGACTCTGATTTTATGTCGACAGGAGTGTGAGGCAGCAACTCGCGGGAGTCAGTCGTCCGCCCAATGACGTGGTTGTTTGGCTGGCGGTAGAGCGGTTGACTCAATTCTGAGCCTCTCAGTTATCAATTATGGTCCCCACTACAAAATACTCGGTACTACAGTAGTACTACACCTACCCCAGATTTAATTCAAGTCCTGGGTGTTTATATATGAAGTTGTAATTTATCGCTTTTAATATGGTGTTTTGGGGTATTCTACTTCATAGTATGGGTTGACTAAAATTTCTAAAATTTTACCTGGTGATGTCCTACTGCCTTTTGCTACCCTATGGTACTATACTAATTCCATTTTAGGTGACAGTATTGTGCATTTATAGTCACAGATACAGCTAATGAAGGAGTTTGCTCTCTGTGTCCAGTCTACAAGGAAATATCTCTAGCGGTTTCGCTATTCAGGGAGCCTAGTAGCTTACACAAACGCCCCTTACCTTGCTACTTCAATCTTAGCCTCTCCCACTTATTACCGACTGCGAAGAAAACCGCGACGCCGGCGTAGGCTGTGGTAATTAAAAAGACAGCGCGCAGACAATAGAGATAGGCCTGCATGATGCCTGGGACAGCATCAGCGGGGAAAATATGGCGGATCTCAGTAGCACCTGTGGCGATAACGCTCAGCGGGTCGACACTAGGTGCCGTGGAGGGCAGCTTCGATAAGAGGATGTTACTCAGCACGGATTGACCAGCCCCTAGGGAAGTCGATGAGCCGACACAGAAGGAAACTGGAGGTTAGGGCAAGTAATTAGTTAGATTGACACGGCCAGAGTGTGCAGGGCTTGGCCTTGGCCTGAGCCGCGATGATGGCCAGCGGCAGGCCAGACCCGTAGGTGAGCCCGGCCAGGATTTGATAGCACACCCACGCGGCAGTTGGGGACGTCGTACTTAGGGTGTAGATAAGGCCGGAGCCGATGCAGCCGCCAGCACTTGCCCACAGCATGAGTGGGACATAATGGCCATAGACCGAGACGAGGATGCCCGCGAGCCCGGAGCCTATCCCGCAGCTAATGAGTAGTGGGAGATTGTGGACACCAGCCTCGGAGGGCGAGACACCCACGACGACCTGGAAGTAGATTGGGACGTAATAGAGTAGGAGATAAAAAGCTCCCTCGTGGAAGAAGCCGTATGCCATGCTCACAGCGATGACACGCTGTCTGAGAAGACGCGACATAAAGAGGGCATGGTCACCCTGGAGGTACTCTGAGATTACAAAGGCTATTGCAGCAACGAGGCACGCGACGAGCAAGCCAATGACCTCAGCTGAGTTCCATGCCTTGTAGATACCGGCTACCTCGAGGGCACGGGTGAAGAAGATAAGAGAGCCAAGGACGAGCACGATACCAATTGGATCCATATGCGACAATTTCTCCTTCAGCGGAATCTTGGCTTGACGGGTGGATTTGGGGGGTTTGAACAGCAGGAAGACAATGAAAGCAGCGGTGCCGCCAATTGGCAGGTTGATATAGAAGCACCAGCGCCAAGTCGTCCTCTGCGTGAAGACACCGCCTAAGATAGGACCGAGGACGTTAGCAACGCTATAAACGGTGGTGATGAAGCCGGTGAAAATAGGCCGAAGCTGTGGGCGCACAACGACTCCTAGGATGGCGTATCCGCCAGAAGCGATGCCTGCGCCTCCTGCACCCATGATAGCTCGCCCAATAATGAGGATGGTGCTGTTAGGCGCAACACCTACATGATGCAAGCTAGTCAGTTTCGGGGACGTGGTCCATGTGGATTCAGCGTTTGATTGCCTACCTGCAAGCAGTGAGCCCAAGTCAAATATGAAAACGGCGACCAAGAAGGTAAACTTGATCGAGAAGAAAGGATATACCTTGCCTCTGTGAATTTTGAGTTAGGACAACTTGTGTAGGAGGTGCAAACAACTCAATGTGTGAAGAGAAAGAAATGGGTAATTACCAGAAGGGCTGGAAGCAAGCCAGCGCAATAAAGAAGGCCGAAGCGTACCAACCAACGAGGTTGATGCCTTTGAAGTCATCAGTGATGCGAGGGATGGCAGTCGCAATGATAGTCTATTGCGACCAAAATAATAAGAAACGTAAGCACGAGGCGAGTGAAAGAGGGAATGAGCTATCTTTTACCAAATCTAAACCGACCTGGAACATTGGCGTTAGCATTTGCTAGTTACAATTAAGAGCGACGGTTCATACCAAAAAGAGGCCCAGAGCAACACCAATAGAGACGCAAGCTGCCCCGAAGGCGCTGGGATATTCGACAGTATCACTATCACAGGGAGGTGTTTCCCCATTGCAACTACATGGAAGATTAACCGTGGTCTCTGACTTGGACTCCATATCGGCACAGGAGAGGAATAAAAAGAGCAAAGGAAGCGAATGAGAAGGGGGGTGTGAGGAATTAGAAGGAATAGATACTAGAAACAGAGAAAAATTAAGGCATTTTCGATGCGTTATTCGTAATAGAGATGACTATCTCCCAATACACGGAGATAGTGACATGTGGAGTTGCTTGTTATGGGTAGGGCATGGGTGTATATAGGCTCCCAGAATAGGCACAATTAATATGGTCAAGGGTTATTGACCTGTCAGAATCTGTTCTTAGTATTCTAGGCCCTAATCAGCCTAGCGAATGTGAATCATCGGAGCGGACGGACAATACTTAGTCTGAGCCGGTGTTGATATTTGTTCACTGAGCCTAAGCCTGAACATACACGAAGACCGTTAGTCTTACTCTGGGTAACTTCTCTCTATATTGCGCACGCGTACCGGAACACATACTCAACTAAATCCTGTCTCTACGGGCTTACTAGTGCAGTGTAGCAACCGATATTTTAAGCCTGGAGAGTGGTCTGAGCTACCTCAAAACACTAGCGTCCCCGCCTGGGTAGGGGGCCAGGCAGCAATGCGTAGACTGATAGAGGCCTTCCAGGGAAGTATTAAAGTTAGGGTAAGCTAACATAGCGAGGAAGAGGAGGGTGAAAGAATGTGGAGCTTGTATGCTCGTTGTGTGTTTGGCATACATTCTACCTCTGGTATGTCCCGGGCGCTATACATGGACTACTATGCCAGCTTCAGTTCATGAACAAGCACTAATATTCCAGGTGTTGATGAACCACAATTTATTAGATAGGTAGACCCCATCTGTATATTCTCATACGTCCCACCTCGTAGCATAAACAAGCCCGTGTTTCGTATAGGATCACCAGTAGAATCGATACCCTTGTCCCCGCTTATCTGTATGGACAACCTCCCTCTCCAACTCCGCGTTGTCGGCTAACTTTCTCGCGAAAATGCGATTCGCCCACTGGAAGACAATTGTCTGCAAGATTACACCAGCAAGCCAGACGGCGCCTAGGGAGATACAGATTATCCAGGCCTTGCGGTAAAGGGGAGCGTCGCTCTTTTAACATGTTAGCTGATTGTAAGGGCGTCTGAGGGAGGCTAGGTTAAACCAGGGGAGGGCTTACCGCGCGGAATACCTGGTTTCCGTATGTACCGCCTAAGTTTGAGCATCCAACTAAGGGAATTCTCCGTTAATTTGGTTTCTTGGTGCTGATAAAGGATAGAGACTGTAGATGAGTGACCCTTACTATACACCGCATACGCCACCGCACGCTTCTGAGGCGTCTTGAAATTCAGCGAGAGCCAGGTCACGTTGATTGGCTGCCAGCCTCTGTGTCACATGGATATAGGTGTTAGTTCATTTTCCCAACAGGTTATCCGCAAGGGGAGGAAGGAGGATACTCACGGTGCCGCCTGAGTAACGACATACGCCGCGTAAAACGACCACGACGACTTATTCGTAACCGGTAGATGCTGCAATAGCCCACGCTGTCAGTCGCCAGTCCCCCACTTCATGCATGATCAGACACCCAAAATTGACATGAAATGAAGCTTACATAAAGCGCAATAAGCCCCGTAAGCGTCCAACCGGCGGCAAAAATAATCCCGTACCCGAAACGACTATACCGATCGACGAAGCCTGAGAGGATGATACCGAAGAATGCACCCAACAGACTCCCAGGGGCATTAAGGAGGTTCGCGCGGATACTGCTGAAGCCGAGGGACTTGATGATTGTTGCACCCCAGGTGCTTAGCCCGTTGACGGATTGCAGGCCTGTTAGGCAGACGACTAGGTAGGGCCATGTGGACCAGGAGAGGAGGACGTCGGTTCTGTGACACAACGTTAGTGGATTGGCTGGCAGCTAAATTGAGGGCGAGGGAAACCCACATGTCCTTCCAGGTGATTTTCAATGTCAGTCCGGCTACTTGGTTCTTTTCCGCGATGCGTGTTTGGCGCGCGACGAGGATGTCGGCTTCGCGCTCGGTGAGCCAGCCAGGTATGCGAATGAGGCCGCCGAAGAGATGCCCTGTGTGGTGGGGGGACTTGGGGATGACGGAGAAAGCAAGGACACCAGTGGCTGTATTCTGCCTTAGCTTTGTGCTAGGATTTCAAGTTTCTCAAGTTTCATCATTGACTTACCTATAGTAGAAACACCACAGATGATAAAGATCCTACGCTCCAGTGAGTAAAAGCACTAAAAAGATAAAGGTAAAACAAAAAAAGAAACTCACCACTGCCACCCCTTCAAACCCCCCTTAAGATGTAATTCCAGTGCCCCCGCCGAAATCAGCGAGCCAAACGCCGCAGAAATTGATGGTCCGAGAAAGTAGATCGCAGTCCGCTGCGTAAGCTCGTTGGGCAGGTACCACCTAGACAACGTATACAGACCACCTGGAATAAACCCGCTTTCTCCGACGCCCAGGATCAGTCGCGCGACGTACCACCCGCCGGCATTAGTAACTTGACTCTGGAGTACTTCGATCACGCCCCAGGTTATGACCTGGGCGGGGATCCAGTAGTGGGGGCCGATGCGGTGGAGGACAATCTGGGAGATATTAGATAAGACAAAAGCATAAGAAGCCGGTGACTTACGTTGGAAGGAATTTCGAGCAGGACGATGCCGAGCCACAGGAGCGAGACGCCAGTATTAGCTTGATCACGAGTCATGTTTGTATCGGAGAGGAAGGTCGATGTGAGGACGCCAGATACATTGGTGCGATCAATGGCCATCCAAGTGAACATCAACTGTGAGAAGTTAGCAGGAAAAGTGTAGAAATGGACGAAGCTGAGATGAGACAAACAGAGAAGATAGGCAGAAACAGAAGATCGACTTTTCTGACTATGTGGACTTCCTCTTCTTTTCTCCAAGTGACGAGGATTTGTTCGCCATTTTTGCGGATGTGTTGAGAGAGAGTACCCTCTTCTTCTTCATCGTTCTGCTCGCTATTAGGAGGCGCTGTAATTCCAGGATAAAGCTGATCGACTTTGAAGTCGACAACACTTTTTTCGGCCATTTCGGTAGAGTGGTCAATGGTACCTTGCTGGAACTGGAGAGATGGTAGTCAACCAACGGTCCTTGTTAAAGCGCGACGAGGTTTTAACATCAAGTGCTTGACTCGTAACCCCAAAATTTCTGGACCATTGGAGACGACGTCGACATCTTAAATAAAAGGAACGGTCCTGTGGAACTGGAGTTGTTTAACTAAAAATGCACGATAAAAATACGCTAAATGACTTGGCCAACACGGCGACAAGGGCAGCTCGTTGGGGTCGGATATTATCTTATGCCCAGATTATGTCGTGACTGGCGCGGGAAGTATTCCAAAGCCGAGTCCCGAGCTTTTGATGCAGCAAGTTAGTTTGTAATAAGGCTGGCTTTTGATTGAGGGATTGAGTCTGGCTTAGTCGCAAGACTCGATGCACATCCAGCGAGGCGCCGCAAGCCCTAACCCAATGTTGAGGAAAACCATAACACACATAATTAATATACTCTCTAATATGACTTGCTTCCAATATACTCGGATAGAATGCGTATTTATAATCTGTTGCATCCGTTTTTAAGTGCCCTCTCAGATTATCTCCAACTCCGTTGACGCCATACTTGACCAAATATACGCGACGCCCAAGTTCGCTACGACGGCACAATTTACCGACGAGTTGTGGAGTTGCAAATATAAGTAACGGCTGATACAAGATAGAAGTTCTAGTTTTGTCGCCGGATTGAATACAGACAGACACATCCTCAAAGCCAAAGCACGATGCCTTCCACAGTCCAGCCTTCTCAGGCATACCCGGCCTATTTCATCGGTCATGCCGGGGTCGGATTACTGTTCAATGAGTCTTCTAACAACAAAACTGTCCAAGATAACTTGAGATATATTGGGAAGGAGATTCTATCCCTTTCTCCGCGACCCAAGGCGCTTATTGTCTTCAGTGGCCATTTCGAAGCGGGTGAAATTCATGGGCCGGGGGTTATTGAAGGTGAGAACGGGTTGTCTATAAATCTATCCTGCCAAGAAAGAACACACTCATGCAGGGTATTTGAGCACAAACACTGATTCGGAAAAATTAGTAAACGTCAAACGCAATACATACATCCAAGTAAGCGTCTTTTAACCCTATCCCGCCCCTTCACCATAAAAGCCATCATCTAACGAATACCAAAGCACGACTTCGTCAATGACTTCCACGACACCCGCACATCAGTCTACGAATACGACTGGCCACACCACGACGCCCCAGATCTCGCAGTGCAAGTCTGGTCGCATCTCGTCAAAGCCGGGATCAAAGCAAAGCGCGTCGAGCGCGGCGTCGATCATGGTGTTTGGGTCCCCTTTAAAGTTATGTTTCCCGAGGAGACTCCACTAGATATTCCTGTCGTTCAGGTTTCGACGTTTCATGGGTATGATCTGGCGAGTCAGATTCGGTTAGGGGAGGTTGTAGGGGCATTGCGGTATGTTGTATTCGAGCATGGTCCTTTCCTGTAATGTGATGTTGATAGATTAATGATAGTCATGAGGGGTATGTGATCCTCGGCTCAGGTATGGCTGTCCACTCTTTTGCCTCAATCGATGAAATCAGGAGTGCACTGAGCGAGGAGAAGCGTGAAGCCACGTCGGCTAAGGTCCTCGCCGAGTCAAGAGCATTCGACACGCATCTACGAGAGGCAGTGACGAAAAGAGCCGCAAAGGAAAGACGCGAGGGGCTCTTGAAGCTCACGGAGCTCTATGAGTTCAAGCGATCTCATCCAACTGTCGAGGTGCGTACCGTTTATCTATCAAGCGCCACCATATACTGTTTGTTACTGGATCAGCAACTAATGAGTTGAGCCTCTAGCATTTCACGCCCCTCTTGGTTGCCGCCGGGGCGGCGGGTGATGCAGAGGTTGAACCCCTCGGCGTGGATATCGTGGAACCGGGGATGTCATATTTGAATCTACGCTTTGCTTGACTGGAGCTCAGTGCAGTGTGGATTGGCTTCTATCCAACGGGTGCGGGGTTTGGATTGTCTAAATAACGGATACTGTATTACTTGTTGATCAGAGCCCCGCCTCATAGATTCCTGAAGACGTTTCGTTTCAATCATGCTGGGTTGGCAGTGATAAATATCCACGACTTCAAATGTTACGAAAAGTATAGCGTTAGAGGTAACTACAAGTGGATTTATTCTTATGGACAGTAAACTTCGAGTGTGCATATATGGCTAAAGAGACCTTCGTAATTAGCTCGGAAAGCAAGAATTACAGATGTTGCTAGAAACACTATATTCGTATCTAGACCGCAATTTACAGGCATGATGATACCGTAGAGTCACTGATGTAGGCGCGGGGTATTCTCGAAGTAATGACCGAGCGATGCTCGCAGAATGTCAGATTATCTGCTGTCTACACCTTGATATATTTGGCCAAACCATTGTTTGCACATTGCAAGGAGATTAGGTCACCAGATGGACCTGGTTCCGCAAGACTGAACAACTAGCTAGTGTTCAGCAATGCAGAAGAGCAGGGTTGAAAAGCAAGTACACTTTGACTACGCAGACTATCAATAAGATGACACCAAAAAGCTCAGACACTAACCGAGATTGAAAAGGTGCTCAATATATAAAGAATCTAGTTTATGGCGTACTACCTACTATCATCAGGGGTAGACATATAGGGACTGAGGGCCTTTCTTAAGATATCGGTCGAGAGTGGCTTGCCAAGGGTGACAAGGAAAGTATGAGCTGAATATATCTTAAAAGGCGTAGATAATTAGTAGGCAATAGTCCACTAACGACATACATAGCTAATTAGTGCGGATAGATTAACCATATCCACAAGTGCTGAGCACACTGGCCGAGGTTCCACTCTTCCCCAGCGGCCGAATCTACCTAATCTACCTCGGCTTCGTCACAGTCCGCTGAACACTGACTATGTTCAGCGGTCATACAATGAACCTAGCAGACAAACGCAATGCAACCGAAAGTAGCACCGCCCACAAACTCAGATGGCCAGTAGGAAATAGTGCACCAATGACCAGCATAGTTAATCAGTGCAGATAGATTGACGTACCTTCTCGAGTGCTGAACGCTCGTCTCCTGTTCGAGTTCCAGATTGGGGCTAAGGCTTGGTAGGATCCTGGTTTAGGTTAATCCACTGGGAAACGAGATCTCTAACTCGCGTAGCTGGAAAATGGCTACGTGCATGGCAGAAAGTTTAAGCCCTCTATTATTGAGCCATCGTGCCCTAGTTGGTAATTTTTTGAGGGAGGAAAGAGATTGGATGGTTGGATACCTCAAAAAGCAGGGGCATGGTGAAAATGAGGTCCATCAAAAAGTAGGTCAGAAGATAAACTGGACTGTGGGGTAAAGCGCTCTTTTGGGTGTGGGCTGAGCATCGACTGGGTGCTCAATAGATGTCTCCGATGAATATCTGAGTAATCAGTGATGGCCAAGGGCAGCTCAGTGAGTCTGATTCCCGGACTGGAATATACTCAAGTCTGACTTGGAGCGCCCTCATAAAAGCGGCGGCAGCTAAAATAGGAAAGCCTCACATGGCATAGGAAAAATGGTACGTATAGCCGCCTATGTATAAAAGCGGCGGGAGCTTAGATAGGAAAGCCTCACCCGCCAGAAATCATCCGGTCTATAGCTGCATACACCCAACCTTTTACCTAGCAAAACATACACTTTAGGAAGCATAGGATCCCAATAGGGATACCATTAATCTGATTTCAAAGATTATGCAACCATAAGACTAAAAATGGCATATGAGCCCAAACCATAATCGACCTGAACTTTCGCATCATTCAATCGAAGAGTTCCTCCACATAGGGGTCTAACTCGATCAGGCGGAACTGGTAGCCCCATTTCTCGCGGAATTCCTTCCGCCGGTACGCATAACTGGTCACCAGGGAGAAACTGACCAATTCCACACACCAGCCGCGCTGAAGAGCGCGCTCAACCATACGCATAAAACCACCAGAGTATTCAGCGATCGCGGCATCGCCGGTCGCCAGGACAATCGTCGACGGTTCGTCGGTATCCACAATGCTCTCCAGCATCTTCAGGTGCAGAATTTCGTCCACGCCTTGTTCAACCCATCGCTCCCCAGCCGTGCCGGCCGTTTCAGGTCCGGATGTGGGGTTGTTTGAAAACCCGTGGGCCTTGCGGAACTTAGAGGGGCGTGGTTTCGTGTGCTTAGCTTTGTGCACACGATCCAAAATGTTGGCTTCATAACCGAGTTCTTCTGCCTCGGTGATAGAAGGCAGTCGATCCGAACCCACCAAGACTCTCTTGGCAGCTGGACGGCCTCGTTCCATAATCAAAGAGAAGTTGGCAAAGGACATGTGTAGACGACGAATCCGGGTGGTGACAGGGATCTTCCGCGAGACTTTCACCGAATCGTGGAAACCCACCATAATCTAGAGAGAATTGTCAGCTTCGGTAGTGAATGGCAGTTAAGCACAGGAAAGAAACATACATTGGACATGTCAACGAAGACATGGATTGGACGGGGTTCAACACTTTTCTTGGACAACACTTGCGATGCAAGCTGAGCGTACTCAGGGAAATCCCGGAGAAGCATTGTCACCAAACCGAATCGGCGCTCCGATGCAGTTTCGTAAGCAGCGGGAAGGACTTGGATCCCGGCGGAGGTGATAATGATGTTTTGAGCGGTATTCGAGGTTGTGTTCGAGGCGAAACCCCAGTCAGCCTCGTCGTAGGATGATGGCGGAGTGTCCTCGTGGTGGCCTCGTTCATCGCGACTGCCCACCTGGGTTGGAACGAATAGTAGGACTCCAGACTTCTTGGTGATGGGCTGATCAAACACAACAGCACTCGAGTCGGAGTACACGCCGGTGCTACTTTCTGAAAGAATTGGTTCGGGGTTGAGATGAGACTTAGTGACCTTGCCATTATCCTTGGTCCTGTTGTTGACATTGGAAATTTCTGTTGGCTTGGAAGGATGGCCAATCGCCCTTGGTAGAGTCTGGGGAGACGATGTAGCTGTAACATCGTTCTCGATAGGATGGCCGCCGGCAGCGCGCTTTAAGATTGAGATGGGTTGTTGAGAGGGGGTTGGTGGATTACGAGAAGATCGGTTGAGGTCCTTCTCTTTGGTAACAGAAGGTGTCGAAAGCTTTACTACCGGGACAGACTTGCGAGGGATTGAGATTGTCCCTTTGGCGTGTTCATCATGGACAGGTTGCCTCAGAATCGTGAGAGCCGAGTGTCGATCGAGTGAAGGCAGCGGGGACTCTGCAGGCATAAAATCATTATTCGGAGATGGTGAGTCCTTGTTCAGAAGGTCCCAGATCAAGCCAAAATCCCCGAGTTTTGGGTAGCTTCGCTGACGTTTGATCTCATCGGGCCGACTGTTGGCACTGGGGGTGAGGCCATGGTTTGAGTGTCCGTCACTGGACGGAGAACAGTAGCGATTGATCTCTTGAGCAAATCGGGCATTAAAACCGTAGGTGGGAGACTTGAGAATGTCAAACACCTGGGTAAAGTCCCAATTTGAGGCGGACTCGGTGGTCCCCGTTGCGAGCATTGGTAGGGTTGGCGGTGGATTCAGATTAGATTGGAGGTTGGAGGCGGTGAGTTGAGAAGAGAAGGAAAAGTGTGGAGGATTGTGAAGAAGTCACGATGTGAGCGACCAAAATCCAAGCTAAATTGCATTTCGCAAAGATGTAAGAAGCAGAGTGCGAACACACATGTTGTGAGTCAGGTAGAAAGCATTCTGGGCAGCAGATGGGATTGCGGAGATGCGGTGGCGTTGGGTTGGATCGGGGAAAATACTGCATCTGGTGACCGCCTGCTTGTTTCATGCGGACGGAGCTAGTCCATATCGGGAAAGATACCTTTGATGACTCATCAATATGATGTTGTCAGCCATTCAGTCATGTGACTCTGCTTCAATGACTAAGAAATCTTGGCATTTCCAGACGGCTCTAGTCAGCTTGGCATCGCAGTCATTCCAACGTCATGGCCAATATCAACCAGCTTCGGATCCGGGCAGGCTGACAACACGACAACACGTCATGTTGCGGTACTCCCCAGACTCTACTTTGATTCGGTGGTACAGCGATCCACGATTCATGCTTGTTCTTACTTTCGACATCCAGCCAAGGTAGTCCAGGTAGTATGAGCACACTGTAGATCAAACAAACTTGTTATATCCGCAAACAACAGCACGACGTCATGTTGTTTTGTCATTTTGTTTGGTGTCACATGGAAAACATGGGAACCATCTGTGTATATAAACCTCCTAGTTGTCAAGCAAATCTTTCTTTCCTCCATCAACTCTTCCACTTCTACAACCTCAACTCTTCATCAACTTTCAAGATCTAAACCATCCATCAACCATCAATCATCATGTCTGACGCCGGCCGCAAGGATTTCTCCACCAGTACGTGATGAACTTCAAGTGTCTCTGGCCAACTCCTGGATACTAATCTTTTTTTTCTCCAACAGAGGCTAAGGAGGAGATCACTCCTGACTCCAGCAAGTCCACCCAGGACAAGGTCAAGGAGACCTTCACCGATACCACCGACCGTGTCGCTCGCGGCTTCCAGACCGACGACAGCAAGAGCACCACCCAGCAGGCCTTCGACAAGAGCCAGCGTACCCACGACAATGAGGCTCACGGTGGCGCCACCAGCTCCATGTAAGAAAAACCCCTCCCGGCCAAAGGAGTTGTCCTTCAGGCAAATCATCCAGCAACCAACAACAGGCTAACACATTTCTTGACAGTGGTGACAAGGTCAAGGGTGCCCTCGGCATGAACAACTAAGGTGTTTGCCATGCACCCTCCACGAGTTGACCCAGTCTGGGCTTCTCGGCAACTTTGCTGAATTTGCTGTTTTCATGACTCAAGGATGAGTCCCGGACGATACCTTTGCTTTTGCTGTCTTATGACATTACGAACTTGAAATGCAGATCACTGCTACATATTTATTGTCCATGAAACATCGTAGGATTGCTCAAGTTGTAGTTGAATATCGTAGTTCATCGACGCTCGACAAGATTTTCAAACATTGTATCTCGCTGTCGCGTGAGCTGGCCTAACTCGCGCTCTAGTTCTCTGTATCGTGCTCGAGCTCCTGGCACATCCTTGGGTAGATCATGGAAAGCTTTCACACGACCTTCGAAAGACCTAACAATCTCCCGTAACCGGATGACATGCTCTTCTTCCACCATGAGCTCGTCAATGGTAGGACCGCGTGGCTGATTCCGCTCGAGTGATGCAATGCGGTCCTGATATTCCCCAACTTTCGTACTGAGCACCTTCGTGCCGCGCACCCACTCCGACGTCAAGCTCTGAGTATCTGCTGGTGTCTCGTATGCTTTGTCAGACCTGAGCTCTTCTAGGTCTTCCTGCAGCCGGACGAGCTCCTTCTGGAGGTATCGATGCAGCATATCCACCTTTGCCATTTGGTCTTGCACATCGAACTCTTCTGCTGTGAGCTCGACAATTGACTGGCTCAGATCCTCGGGCGTAGGGTTCAAGGTGTCACCAAGGGTAACTGCTGTATCGGTAAGATCGTCTAGAGTGTTTCTGCCTCTTTCGTCAAGGCACATCTCGACTTCGTCCAGAATTTCCTTCTTTTGCCGTTCATGAGGGTCATTTGCTTCGGCTGCTTCACGTAACTTGAAGGTTTGCACGGCTTCTTCATGGGCACGGTGTTGGAGATTCGCTTCCTCGTCTGCAGCATCATTGGCCGCAGCTAATGTCAGGAGAACTTGAAGGGTATTTTCATTGCGCTCGAAATGGGGCACTAATTTGGGTGCATATTGTCGGCTGAGCCAGGAGTTCACGTATGCCCAGTCTTTTGCCTGAATAGCGGCCTGGCGGGCCTTCGTAGGGGAGGCAAGAGAGCCATCATGGAACGAATCCATTGTGCAACCTCTTGTTGAGGGGTCGATTGTTGTTTGGATTAATTAGTGCAGTTCCGATAAGATACGGGGAAGGCGGTCAGACCTTAAGCCATGCCCGCGAAGCTGTCCTTTCTCCCCGCCTGACGAGACCGAGGAGGCATTGCGAGTCAACAATCATGACCAGTTACTTTCCTGCTGGTGCCAGCACTGGCTCGTCGCCAGCGTCATCTCCAATATCCCCGCCGCTGTCTCAACGCTCCACGGCATTGTCTAATCGCCTGAGCTCCGTGCTCTCCGCGTCGTATGCCGACTCCGACATCCGCGATGCCCTGGAAACCTTGAGTGTGCGAGGAATTCACAATACTCCGGAGACAAGGCGTCAGCTGCGCTTAGATGTGCAGAAAGAAGTCGTTGATAGTAATGCGGAGATCGTGAAAGACTTTGGCAATGTAGCGGAGGTAAGAATCTCTCCGCACCGCGTTCGCATCGAAGCCCCCAAAGAAGCTAATGCCTTAGCACAATAGCAATTGAAACGAATCGGAAGCGTTATTTCAGCCCTCAATCAGACATGTGACGAAATGCGGAAACATATCGACCAGGCCAAGCAAGAGACGGCCCCAGTGCTGGAAGAAGCCACCGCATTGATGGACCAGAAGAAGGGCACCGAGACAAAACAACGGTTACTTGATGCTTTCTCGAAGCACTTTTTGGTGCCCGAAGAGGATCTCATGGTTCTTACGGCGGCTGAAGAGCCTATTGATGACCGTTTCTTTGATATACTAGCCCGCGTAAAGCAAGTGCACCACGACTGCGAGCTTCTTCTCGGCGGCGAAAACCAACGATTGGGCCTAGAGGTCATGGAACTGAGCTCTCGATATCTCAACACTGCCTACCAGAAATTATACCGGTGGATCCAAAAGGAGTTCCAATCCCTGAACCTTGAGGATCCTCGGATCAGTAGCTCGATCCGCCGCGCATTGCGGGTGTTGGCAGAGAAGCCGAGCCTGTTCCACAGCTGTCTGGATTTCTTCGCTGAGGCGCGTGATTACGTACTTTCGGATTCGTTCCACTATGCGCTGACAGATGCTATCTCCGGTGCTACTGGAGCCGGCGCCGGAGGCGATCGCAGCGTCAAGCCGATTGAATTTTCGGCGCATGACCCGTTGCGATATGTTGGTGACATGCTTGCATGGGTGCATTCTACGACTGTGTCGGAAAGGGAGGCTTTGGAGGCTCTTTTTGTCGCTGATGGAGAAGAGCTTGCGCGAGGTATTCAGGCCGGATTGAGCAGTGAACCCTGGTCACGTATCGACGAGGACGAAGAGGTTACATTTGATGGCCGGAAGGCTCTTAGCGATCTGGTGAACCGTGATCTCACAGGAGTCTCTCGGTCCCTCCGACAGAGAGTTGAGCTTGTGATTCAGGGGCACGATGACCCTGTGACCTGCTATAAAGTGGTTAACCTCCTTTCCTTCTACCGTACGACGTTTGCCAAACTGGTTGGCCCACAGTCGAACCTGGTCGACTTGATGCAAGCTCTGGAGAAGTTTACCTTTGGTCATTTCGAGACATTGATGCGCGATCAGGCTGGCGCTCTCTCAACCGATCATGCTGCCCTTGCCCCCCCAGATGACTTGTCACCTCCAGAGTTCCTGCTGGACGCTTTGGAGAGCTTATTATCTCTCATGAAATCCCACGAAGCCTCGGTGGGCTCGGACGAGCCGGCTGAAACTGACAGCGAGAATCCGTTTACTCCTGTGCTTCGTGCCGCGTTCGACCCCTTCCTGACGCTGGCTCGTTCATCATCGGATGAACTGAAAGAAACTACTGCGCAGACTATCTACCGCACGAATATTATTCTCGCAGCGCGCGCAACCGTCCAGCCGTTCTCCTTTGCTAGCGCAACACATATCGCACCTCTGTCCACGGCCCTATCTACTCTTCGCACAAACCTTCTCGATGTTCAGCACCAGTTTCTTCTCGAGACGTCAGGGCTACAGACTCTTCTCGAAGCCCTGGAGCCATTTTCCAGGACAGTCAATGATGAAACAGAAACACAGGACGAGCAGTCTGACAAGCCCGATCAACAGAAGCCCCAGCTTGCAGATCTCGCTAGCCTCGCTGCCTTCCAACCTGAGTCTCTGGTTGCATCGAGTCAACAACTGGATGACTTCCTCCCATCTGCTCTCATGGACGCTACCGATAACCTCAAGCGTGTGCAGAGCGCCTCCCTCGTTCAAAGTGTGACTGAGGATGCCGTCGAGGCATTCTGTCGCGATTTCGAGTTTGTCGAAGGCATGATCATTGCTGCTGATGAAGCACGAGGAATGACCCAAGTGACCTTCGGAACGGGAGGTAGTGTCATCAGTGGTCGGAGTGGAAGATCTTCGCGGAGGCCAGGGGCAGGGGAGGATCGTGACGAGGGTGAGGATGATAAAGAGGACCAGTGGAGCTTGCGGTCATTGTTCCCTCGGACCACTGGCGAGATTCGTGTGCTGTTGAGTTGATTCGGTATTGGGCTGGTAGTGTACCTCGACTGAATATAAAATAACCCGAATATTTTGTACATACACCTCTCACTATCTATCATGACCTTTGCTGACTTCCTGCTACCCTAAATTGCGTGTGAAGAAGAGCAGGCACGCTGCATGCCAACAGTATGTCGCAAAATGTTTTCCCTACTATATAGCCAGAATCCCTCAAGCATCTCCAGGAGGTAGTCTTTCCTCACCGGGCCCACCAGGCTGTTGATACCGACTCGCACCCTCTGGCTTCGAACGAAGCAGTCTGTTGCCCTTCACTGCCTCAGGCTTGCCAACATCCTCGAGGTCATATTGAGCTAGACAAGTGCATCCAAAATATCAGCAAGAATTCTACACAGGCTGTTCAGGACAGTGATACTAACAGCGTTTTTCCTGATCAACGCTCATATAGCGAGGCTGAATGCCACTCCAGAACTTAGAATCGTTCTGGCGGACGTCCACATCGGGTTCGCGGGTGTCCTCTTGGCCTTGAGCTTTCGCTTGTTCTTTGGCGGATATGGACATTTTGGAGAGTTTACAACTTGATGATTGCAGGAGGGGTGGTGACAGATCGAGCAATTGCTTGGGAGTTATTCTACGGCCTACGGTTTATATAGGCTCGGATTTGCCGCCGGGCGTCATTGTTACGCTACAGTTACGCTGTACCCGGAGGGCGTTCAGAAATAACATCCCAAAGCGAAAGTCCTCAACTCGAAAGACCAATTGGCAGATAAAAGATTATCAATCGGGGATATCGATGAAGAATAGATGGATTTTGGATTGTGCGAGGAAGCTCAGTTGCTCAAATGATACTGGCCAAAGAAATCAAATATATACTCGGTGGCGTTGAAGACATACTTGCCCAAGGGACACTGAGAAGCCAATCTCTCATAATCATCATTGCCCAACGTGGAGGGCCAACAGTGACCATTGTCTCCCTCACGATAGTGCTGCACAATACCAGTCTTACCAGCGCAATCCCAACTGGCATGCTTGACGAGAGGCTGCTGGAAAACGGTCTCATTCTTAGCCCACTCGGCATTCGCGCCACATCCATTGCGTTCCGCCCAACCGTCGAGGATATCGATGACCGGGAGCTTGGGGTGTTCCTTTGTGTTGCCGTCAATGGGAGCGGTGGTGTCGATAGTGCCATGGAATTCAAGAAACGGGTATCCTTCTTCACGCTTCGCGGGTGCACAGGGGCCTACACCGGGGATATCGTCGGTGTTATACCAGGCACCGCTCACAGCAGCAAACGCAGCGAAGCGGCTACCAACGGTGGCATTGCACGCGATCACGCCGGTAAAGCCTCCGCCATTTGACTTGCCGGCCGCATAGACTCGCCGAGTGTCAATGCAGAGTTTCTCTTCCATATGGGTCAAGAGATCATTGGTAAAGTCCAAATCATTCGGGCGCGAGGCATCAGCGCTGGGGTTGGACAGCCAGTAGCCATTCTTGCTGTTGGGATAGATTGCAATGCCATTGGGGTTGAACTCTGGGTTGGAGAATTGCGATAGTGATTCTTCTTCAAGCATATCCCGGGATGCACCATGGAAAGAGAAGTACAGCGGCGTTGGCTTGTTTTTGTCGTAGTTGGCCGGGATGAAGAGCTGGTATTCACGATCGGTATTTGGCAGACGCAGGGTCTTGCTTTCACCAGGGTTGGGGAACTTGGACGGCATATCTTTGCCACAGCCAGAAGGACTGGCGACACTCATGCCAGCCAATACACCAAGGGAGAGAAGGGATGGGAGGTGCATCTTGTTTCTTGCTCCTAAGGGTGAAGATACAATCAATGGAACCCAGGCGAGGGACAGTGCCCCAATTATAGCACTACTTGAGGAGTTTCCCAAAGTGTAAGGTTACAAGAGTTGATCTGGTAAAAGATCAGTTTATCAACTCGTTGGAGACAACCTGAACGGCCCGTCAGCACCACTTTCTCAACAAGAAAGACTTGCGTTCTCACGTTTTTCGGCCCCGCGAAGGATACAGCCCTTGCGGTCCCAGCCACGACTCGGTGTCTCAGTCAGCACTATCCAAAATCATGGGACACTAATAAACAGGCAGGGCAGTGCAATTGGAGTTATATTTTCGGAAAACCCCCATGCAACAAGTTGAGACTAACCTGATCTGCAGAAGAAGAGACTGATTGTTGATGCTGAAAGTGGAAACTGCCAAATCCATTCTGGCCCCAAGCCAGCAAGAAGATGGATCTACAGAGGGATGCCACTGGCTGATCTCTTGCTTTCTGGATGCCATGCCGCTCCATGCCACTGACTCGTGGGGGCTAGGGCCGGGGCCATTCCGTCACTATATGATAAGCTGCAGATGCCGAACAACCTGCTCTGATAAATGCTTTGAGGATCCCTTCAAGGGTCGCAAGACTGCCATCATCATGGCTACTGAGCCAATACTATGCTCTTAAACCTCAGTCCTCATAGTGTTATCGCCGTGGGTGTACTGCTTTCTACGCTAGCCTCGGTCGCCGTGGGCCTACGATTCTTGACTCGTCATCACCTACGAGTGGCTCTCAGAGAGGATGACTGGACTTTTTGATCTCCGCAGACTTGTTATGGGGACTTGGAATCACAGACATTGCTGGCGCAGCGTTAGGGGCGTTGGATGCTCATTCGGAGCGGCCAGGTCCCAATGCGCCTCATCAGAATACAATTCTTAGAGGACCTGAAGATGAGGTTGCCGAGCAGGCATGCAATACACTAATTTTTCTATTCTCATACCCTAGAGAATGCACTGACTCGGCTTAGATTGTCCTTGGATATAGTATAGTTGAAACGATCACCTTCGGAGTGATCAAGATTAATGTACTCCTAGCCCATCGGAGGATTTTTCGAGGCAAAGCCTTCAATATTGCCTCATTATGCATGATTGTGATTTGCACCTTTCTAGCACTTTCATTCTTGATCTCTTCGGCCTTTCAATGCCACGTGAGAAGTTGGAGTCTCAAGTACCTAGACTGGTCGCATCGAAAACACTGCATCCAGGCAGAGATCTCGTGGTCTGGCTATGCTATCCCGGACGTCATTACCGATTTTATTCTTTTGCGTTCCCCAATACTTCTGGTCTGGAAACTGCAGCTTTCAGTGTCGAAGAAAATCAGCGTGTTATTGGTTTTCCTTCTCGGATCTCTCTCTACTGCAGTTGGAATCACCGGGATTGTAGTGATTTTGTATTTCACCCACGGTATATATCTTCACCGCTAGGGTGCAAATGAAAGCTAACACCTGGTGCAGGCGCATCTAATGGATACCGAGACTTGCTCGACACCATCGCGACGGCTCTAATATGGAGTCTGGTGTAAGCGTCTGTGGCGATCATTGCAGCCTGTCTGCCCTCTATCCGGCCGCTGATCCACAGATCCTCAGCCAGCCTCGGGAGTCATACGCAAACTTATGATAGCAACCTGCTCTCAAAGCCAAGAGGCCCCTAACTCCTGGTACATCCGACGATGTATGACTTTGACGAAATTAATGACAGTCAACAACTGACCTGTCCATTAGATGCGAGGCGATGGCCACAATGAAACTGTGATATACTATGACATGATGTATTCCATAGCAACCCAAGACTCTGGAATTGTTCTAAATTCCCGTAATCCATACAGATCCATTGCAAATTGAAGACCGAAGTGAAGCTGAATTACCTCTGGGGGAGCGTGGCAGCAGCAAATCTATTGACTCTGTATAACGTCCCAAATGCAGTGTGACAAAGTTATCATCGGCTTTTTATTCCCTAGACACAATTTACCACTTGCTTAGATACCTTTTATCGATGTATAAAAACTGCTCCTTTCCCAAATTTCTGCCATTTAAATAGCAGCTAAAGAGCAAGTTCCAACTAATCAGCAAAAGGCAACATGAGATCTCTAACCTTCCTTCCTCTTTTCCTCTCCTTGAGCTACTGCCTGGCACCCAACTCGATCTCCAACCAGAGGCCAGAGAAGATTTATGGGATCAGTATTGTTCTTAGCCTGTCTCTAATCAATTGTAATTAATATATCCTGACTCACCTCTTAAAGAACGATCTTCTCATCACCGCCCCAGATGCCGAAACTGGAGAGACCACCTACTATGGCTACAAAGTGCCTGAAGAAACTTGCCAAGAAATCTCAGATCAATCGTGCGTTAAGTAACCACTCAAGCTTTACCAACACGAGTCCTCTAACTCCCTTATAGCCCCGTAATTAACGAAATACGACTGAACCCCGAATCACGACTAATCTGTCGTTTCTACCAGTAAGTTTCTCCATGTCATGCAGAACGTACCCTAATTTTGATACGAAAAATCTTCAGAGCGCGGAATTGCGAGGGTGTACCAAGGGTCCAACTCTTGAGCTGCAGTGGACCCGATTTTGAGAGAAACGAAATACTCTTGTCCCCCCAATGTGAGCATGAGTACGCATGTGCTGGAGTATACCTAGCCGGAGAGTGGGTCCATGGCTTGTGGAAGGTTAGCAGCAATCAGGGCAGTGGAGCTAGCGTAATATTGGATGGATTATTGAGATCTCTGTGAAATGCAACGTCAACTGCCGTAGACCATACACTACCAGCCAAAGAGTAACATGGTCATCTATGCAGTTTTCATGGAATCAATGAAAGAGCTATGCCAGCACAACAGAGGTTCATTCCGTCTTCCTGCAAGCAGAGAGCAGAACCCCCAAATTTATACATCCTACAACACACAAGGTCCGTAGACAAGTCGTATATTTCATCTAGTGCTCGTTATTCTCCATCACAAGGAAGTTAATCCCACAAGACATGCGGCGCCATCCCTAAGCTCAAAAGAACTTCCCCAATAAGCAACAACCAATCCTCGTATCAAACCACCCCATCCAACGCATACCATGCATGCAATACACCTCGCCGAAACTAGTCGAACACAGACACCAAAGCAAGACACGCCAATTATCCCCAACACCAGAAAAGAAGGCAAAGACAAGCAGAAGCAGGATCAAGAATCGGACCGGCCGAGTATCGGATGAATCCAAGTTGAAACAAGCGAGACAAGAGGTCGTAATCGTCTTTTCATTCCATTTCTTACATGATTCCAAAACACCCGCGACTAAACAAAAACATGTAGATTGCGCGTGCGTGGGAGGGCTAAGGTCATTCATCAAAGAGTACAGGTCGGGAAGGGGTAATTCGCGGAATAAGACGGTGCTAATACCATCTATCCACCACGTTCGCCAAAATCCCGCGCCCAATCCTCGTACTTGCGTAATCCATCTGGTGAGACACTAGGTCTAATAGAGTACAAGCTTGCCTCGAAATCTTCAAATCTGATCGGGCGAATTTGATCCATGGGAGTGTGTAGGAGGGCTTCGCCGAGGTTGCGGAGGGGTCCCATTGCGGCGTCTTTGGCGAGGGCCGTAATGTCGGAGCCAGAGAAGCCTAGAACGAGTGTTAGAAATACATTCAACAAATTCTAAAGAGTGCATGCGGATGGTGAGCGTTTACCTTCCGTGACATGGACAAGGACCTCGGTATCCTCATCACTCAGCTCATGGTGCTGGTGACTTAATAGCTTGCGCAACTGCTGCTCACGAACATGGTGTTCTGGAAGGGGAATGTATTGTCTCCGCACGAATCGGCGCCGTGCAGCCTCGTCAATATCCCAAGGCATGTTGGTTGCCGCCAGGACCAGGACACGACTCGCATCGCCTTCTTTCTTATCGCGGGCACTCTGCTCGCGGCCTGCCGCAGCACGCTGAAGATCCGACCACTGAATCAAGAACTCAGTCTTTGATCGTCGAGACGCTTCGTGTTCGGAACCGGAAGATCGGGCAGAAAGCAAGGAGTCAATCTCGTCGACGAAGATGATGGAAGGGGCAAGAACCTTGGCGAGACCGAAGAGGGCGCGAACGAGCTTTTCGCTCTCACCGTGCCATTTGGAGGTCAAGCTGGATGAGGAGATGGAGAAGAATGTTGATTTGGATTCCGTGGCTACGGCGCGGGCGAGCATGGTCTTGCCTGTGCCTGGGGGACCGAAGAGAAGCATGCCACGAGCAGGTTCGCGGAGGCCTGAGAATAGGTCCGGCCGAAGGAATGGATATACCACTGCTTCTTTGAGTGCTTTCTTGGCTCCCTCTAGACCTGCAATATCGTCCCAGTGCACCTCATCGCCACGTACAACAATGTCGTTGAGGATCTGCCGTGCGGACTGTAGATCCACGCCCTTAGGCAGCTTGCTCAGAATCTTAGTGATATCGTGGCTGTCAGCATCCTCGTCTTCGTCTTCTGCTTCTTCTGACGATCGCTGCTCCCAAGATTCTTGGTCACTCGAGGGAGGCGTCTCTCGCCGCTTTACTGGAGGCGGCTTGCGTCGCACTGCACTGCTGCTTTTCGCTGCTGAGATGGACATCCGATCAACGCCACGCTGAACATCGTCACTTCCTGAGGACGGTGACATATAGGCTGACTGACTGGTCGGAGCGACTCCCGGCGTTGACTTTGTTCGGGACTTGCTACTTGAAACATTGCCGTCCCGATCCTGCCGGGGCGTCGTTGGTCGAGAATTGCCTTCTGATTTCGTAATATGTGTGATTCGGGGCGGAGGTGGAAGTGATGTCCTTAAGCCAACAGGCTTAGGCTTTATTGATGGCTTGGGAGCAGGCGAAGATGTAGGCGTGGGTGTAAAGTCCCTCGGATCCGGCATAGTAATTGAACCCGAAGGAGGACGAGGAAGAGGCCGCCGGCTTTGAGAAGGAGGCTGAGGTTTTCGCGGAGACATTTCAGCGGAGATTCTGGGAGACGGTCTGCTCGGTGATGATGGAAGATGAGGCTCTCGCCAGTTTGCCGAGGGAATCCGATCTGCCGCAGAATCCCTTCGTGGAATATCTGGAAGTTTCCTCCCCAATGATACAGGTTCATCTCCAGAGCTGGTCCTCGGTTCTGCTTCGCGGCGAAAGCTTGGGTCGCTGGCTGCCATCTGACGCGACGAAGCCAGCGTCGCATCGCTGACGGTCTTCTCGCTCGACGGAGTCCTATAGATATTGCCCCACGCCAGTCCTGCTGCTTTGGATGCGGCCGGCCGCATCTCCTTCTCCTTCTTCTTGGCGCTGACTTTGGACTTCTTCCCATTTTTCTTTCCATCCGTGTTCCGTAGCGTCGTCAGCATCGTCTTGCGTCGTTCTGGGCTGGACCCTCGAGACTTGGTCTTTTCGGACGAATTCGAGTTAACACGTAGCGCCGGTGCGTCCAACACTGGACCATCATCCTGCAACGACTGTGATTCGGAGTGGGAGTTGCGTTTGGCCATGGATGGAGCGGAATGGCGGCCTGGTATGGCGGCGGGCTTGGAGAGGTCGGTGTAGCCGACGGCGGGGATGGTACCGTCTCCGATCCAGCCGGGCTGGTTATTGGACGAGGAACGGCGTTGTAAGATGGCGGGGAACTTGCCCTTGACTAGGGTGGCAGGCTCTTTACTCCCGTTGGCCTCGGCAGACTCCTTCCGGCTTTCGCGCAGCGCTTCGAGAAGATCGACTCGCTCGCGGCATTGAACCTCAAGCGCACGGATAGAATCCTGCAGGGCCCTCTCCGTTTCAGACTTGGGGGTATAGTTCGAAGGTACTCGACGGGCATTGTGATGGTAAATGGTTTCAAGGGCGGATCTCCAGGACCTCAATGCCTCGTCTTCGTTGTTCTGATGTCATGAGCGATTGCCCGTGCTGCCCTGCCCGATCGGGGCTGGGGGAATGAAACAACTTACCTGACCCTCGAAATAGACTGCGGTTGAGCAGGCGAGATAACATTCATCGTATGTCTTCTGCAGGGAAGACGCGGGCCGTGGGCGCATCATTGGGAAATTGCAAGCCCGCACCCATTTCACTGCAGACTAGTCGTTGGTGGTGGGGAGGAGGCGAGTCTAGTTGAGGAGGATGATCTCCCGCGGAATTGTGAGGGGGAGGAGTTTTCGCGTGACGTCGTCGGGTCGATGGTTACTGCATGCGGACTGGACAAGAATCACTCGACCATCTCCACTAGTTCCAAATATTGGGATGTTTTTTGATGTCTTAGAAATGGACATCATTCATCAAGTGTCTTGGATCAGAGGGTTTATTATTAGTATGATGGGTCTACACTGACCATTTATGATTACAGTCCCAGCTCAACCAAATGAATAGGATACTACACTAGCGAAGAGATGGCAGGAGAATAAGCCTTTCAGGATGGATTGACAGGGTATACCAAAGAGGGATATGAATAGCCTCAAACCCCTGCTCTCGTATTCGAACGGGGCATATTAAGTATAGTAACAATACTTGATGCCTACAGAGTGATTGTTCTTGCGGGGAAACTTCAATACACAATACAAGTAGCATTGGTTATTGCATTAATTACACGCTAGTACAATTTCGTACCCTAAGTGCATCGCGTCGCGACTCTCGAAGGCCACCACGGGGTGAAGAATTCCAACAGGTCAGATTTGAATCAAGCCCGTCAATATAGCTGACAACTCCCAGCACTCTGATATACCATTTTCACACCAATATTCTTCAAAAACCCGTCTCGGTACTCCTATCCGCAATGACAGACACGACTGAAGATCTCACCCAACTCAACACGGCAATTGTCCGAGTATCGAAAGAAGTCCTGATATCACTGCTCTGGAAAATATGTGAAACGAATCCATCAGCTAGAGACTTCGCGAAAGGCCATCTCTTTGTCCACGAAAATGAAGTCCCTCAACCAATGCCAGCAACTACTACTGGTCCCAAGAGGATGAGAACGCGCTACGCGAACTGCATCAATTGCAAGGAAGAGTTTGACGTCTCCGAAAATACTAAGAAGAGCTGTTCCTACCATCCGGGTACGTATAATAATCCCGGTTACCAGCCTACCTGATCTTTGCCCAAGCTTAGAGGTTACACTTGTGTCGCTAATGAAACGTCAGATCTTGCCATGCCGGATTATGACATGTGGCCTGACCATGATGAAAATTGCCATGGACCGATTGACACGGAGGAAAATCAAAGAAATTATCCAGGATCGTTCATCTATCAATGTTGCGAACGCTATGGTGATGAAGACCCTTGTGTTACGGATTGGCATAGAGAGCGCAAGTACGATTATGAGACCGCGAAAAGGCAGAGGTTCTAAGCTGGAATGAAAAATCGTTGGATTTTTTTTCGGAATCGTTCTGTACTAGAGCTGATGAAATACTCAATTACTCACTCCAAACAAGCAAAGTAAATCCTTTCGGATATCACATCTAGATTCCTCGTGGGGAACGTCTATCAGTACATGTAAAAGTAGAGAAGAGGAAACCAAAATAAGAAACGAAACCATTAACAAACAAAAGACGTATATCGATGCAAACAGAGTGGAAACCCCCAGCCCCGCGCGCATGAAATCAAAAACCCGAGGTTTCCACGTTCCAACGCCGGTAACGAAGATAGGACACACACATCGGACGGGGGGAGGGCGTCGAGAAGAAGAGGATGAGGAAAGGGAAAGGGCAAGATAGAAAAGAGAATTGACGAGGTTGGTCTCCAGATTACAACCCGTCCCATTCTCCAAACTGTACATTCATTACCCGCGTGGCTTTGGTTTTCTTGAAGAGGGGAAGAGATTCAGACAGACAAGACCAGAACAAGAAGACCGATCAAGTTCTTCCAACCCCAGATGCACACCGCATCAAGTCAGAATTGAATGGGCACTGCCGGTATCTTTCAAGACTCTGTCAGAAAGGATGCGGAAGAAAGCCCATGTCGCCTCAGGAATGGGGGTCAGCGAGGGAAAATGTATTATGTGACGTTCATACAACACGGGATATTGCACGGTGGGAGAAAATGGTGGAGAGCGGATCGGGACTGGGATTCAAGTCGGTTGGGTAGATAAAGAGTTCGGGGGGTTGAGAACTCTCCGATGGGAGACGTTTATTCGGAGAGGCCCTTGAAGTAAGCCTTGGCCATCTCATAAGACGTCCTATTTTCCAAAGTCAGTACGCAATACTTCACCAACCACGAGAAACAACCAGAACAGTGATACGTACCAGCAAATAGCTGTGCTGGGCATGGTCGAGATAATACGCGGCCGCATGCCACGCAGGAAACCCGCCCAGCCAAACTGGCGCTTGATGATAGCCGCCGCATTGAAGAGACCCCGAACGGAGCGAATTTCCTCACTCTCGGCAAGACCACGGGTCTGGAGGAGGGTCTTCACTACGTCCAAGGGAGTGGTGATACCGGCGGCAAAGGCACCAGCGAGACCACCGGCCATGCAGTGGGTGAAAGGATCATACTCGCCCTTGGGGTTCATGACCTTGGAGATGGACTCGTATGCGACGAATTGGGTGGCGGTGAAAGGCACGGTCATGCAGAGGGTAGTAGGGTAGGAGATATAGAAGGCTTGGAGACCCTCGGTGCGGTAAACGGTTTTGGCGCATTGCATCAGACTCTTGTGAACGGATCCGTGGACTTGCATTCGTTGTTTGATGACTATTAAATTCCAAATTAGTACGGCTCTCGGTCTTGTTTGCCTGGAGACCACTTACCATCGAAGGGGTTCATCAGCGCATCACTAGCGATTGTCGCAGAAGCTCCGCTCAGAGCTGGATTTCCACATTAGTCACGCGACACCAAAAACGAAGTGAGGCACGAGTCTCATACCAGCTGCCAAAGGATGGTGCCCGTCATCCACATTTCCACCTGCCATTTCTTTCACAATCTCGTATGTGCCAAAGTAGACCGCGTGTGCAGGACCTGGAAATCTCTCATCAGTGTCCGTGTCCCACTCGACCCTAAATCTCCAAACTCATCAAAAACATACCAGCGCCAACAATCACACTCGACACACCCTTCCATAGTGTCCGCCAGCCCTCAATCCGATAAATCGTCGAAACCGCATTGGTCAACCCGGTGTAGAGGCCGCCCGTGGAGGGATGCAAGATTTGCATGCGAGTCTGGTAACAATCCCCAACCTCGTCAGTTAAATGCGCTCTCACCGATTCCCACCGAAAAACAAGAAAGAAAGCACATACCTTGAGCAAGTCAACTGGGTACATCACCGAATGCTCCTGTAAATTCCGCTCATCAGCTCGTGTTCCCCATCATCTCTACCGCCCGACAATTCCCCGCCCAACATACCGCTATCCCTGCAAAAGCACCGGCAAGCATATTGTGACCGAGGCCATAGTTAGATGGCAGAGCCTCATAACTAGATAGTAACAAGATGAATTAGCTCATTATCCCTCGCAAAGTCGGCCAGTCGCCCGAATCATCCCCAGAAAAAAAAGGGAAAAGCGGCGACAGGTATTCTCCCACGGCCTCCAGTGAGCCAGATCGCCCGCAACACCACACACACAATTCAGCCACGGCGGAGCACCAGAAACCGATCATTCGATCAGGAATGGATACCGCGCACTGCAAAGCGATCATCCACCGAGCCCGCTGGGAGATACTGGTCGCCGCGGAGATAGTGCCTGTTGACATACTCATATTCCTGCTCGGAGGCCGCCATGGAGCTCCGCTAGCTCGAGCGCAGCGGGCGCAATTCGGGAAAAGAGGAGGAAAAAGGTGAAGAGCAACGTTGTAAACGATGAGGGTCGGAAACCGAAGTGTTGTCGCAAAGGAAAGAAGCTGATCGGGGCGGCGCTCGTTGGAAGAGGTTCAGCCGGGGGTTCTCCGTGGAGCAAAGCACCAAACAGGTACGAAGTAACAAGATTTCTCGTGGCTCACGGGAAGCACGGGGGGATTGAAGAATCAAGAGAGGAGAGTTATGTAAATGGAAGAATTAAAACAAACGAAGAATGAAAAGACCTAAGAACAAAGACTAGGACAGTTCTTCTTTTTTGTTAGGTCGATTTTTTTTTTCGGAGAGCCCGGAGAAGAGGAAAGGGAGATAGTTGGAGTTCTAAAGACCTTAACACAGACCACCACCATTCACCAGTCCGCCACACTGGTCGACCATCGCTAGATTCCACAGCACTTCTCGTCTCCATTCTTGTTCACCTCCGCCTTCTCTACTTTATTCTAACCATGACTCTACACAGAATACCTCAATCAACCTATCTATGATCTTAAATCCTAGTTAATCATGTCCGTTCTCTTGTCCTTCTCATCGCTGCCTGTATCCCCGATTACTCAGAAACCCGAGTCCAGAATCCCCGACCAACGTTCCTCCAAAGATCCGATGACGGAGCTTACCTAAGAGAGGCCCGGGACCGGAACTACTTACCAGATCGGGCCGCCGGAGATCTTGGCACAACCGAGGGAAAGCCGAGGTACGTGTCCATAACTTACCGAATACTTGTCTCCCACGCTCAAATGACCTGTAAAATGAAGTACCCACTCGGTACTCTGCCCGGTACCGAATTATCAATCTGATAAGCCGCCGAAATGAAATCACCTGAACAAAGGGACCGCCCCCTTCCTGTGATCGGTTTAGTGTGTGCTGGGGCACAGAATTACTGTACGTGCCTAGAGTGGACCACCCATTTTCATATTTTCCAACCAGATGGATCGGATGAGAACTGTCGAACCCTTCCAGAAGAAGATGGTAGATCCACCGTCCGTCCCCTTTCCCCTACGGAGATCGGCTGGACTTGACGTTGGACGGAACGAGCATGTGGCCACCAGAGAAACAACAGAGCAAAACAGTACAGTTTACAGCGGCGCCGGCAGATTTTCCCCGACGCCTATCAGGAACTTTATGCTTTTTCCAATCATTTTTATCTGTCATTCTACTACATAAGAATTCATCCAACCATGGTGCTTGTCCAGCGGCAAAAGGCCACAGCCCGACCACGCGACTCCGCGGAGCGGGCTGCCGAGGCCCGGGTGTGTGACTAAACTCTGTTGGGCCTCGTATGTATGGAGTTTAGAGCTGCCAAATTGCCGATATTGTACGTAGTCGAGTTCCACATGACGGTCAAATTCCAGTAAGGTGAGCATGCTTCCAATAGTGCCGGGAAGTATTGTTATATATGGAGATGTGACCAGGGGAGACTCTCCTGCAGAGTGGAATACACCACTAAGGAGCCCGGTATGATCCGAAAGGAAACTACCTGGAAACCTTACATACACTTCCTTCCTATATAACCATCTACAGCATAACCTACAACACACGTAGCATCCAAGTAATATGATGATTCGCTAGCTGGCTATGGAAAGCAAAGGTGAAACAAAGAAAAGGACATATGTGATCTGCCTTGCCAAAAACCAACACAAATGATCCCAACCCCATTGCGCCGCGACATGGTTTTTCCATGGAAAGAGAGAGGGAAACAGGGGAGACAAAGGTGGGTGGAGTAGATGTCGAGGCTGTCGAGGAGGTAAGATGAAGAAGATGGGGAGATAGTGATGGGAATTCGAAGTGAGGGGTGAGTAGAATGGGTTAAGGGGTAAAAACAATGATTCGTTCACGTGTTCAAGAAGTCTCGTCTGCATCGGCAGTCGTGTCGTGGGATCCCGTATATAGGACTGGCGAGAAATCACCACTCGACGTTGAATGACCATTCTCCTGCGAATCGTGTCAGTAATGATCATAACAAAAGGAGTCCAGGGAACACGCCGTTCATCCACTCACCATTCTTCAAATTCTCGGCTGTATCACTCAACAAGATAACCCGCCGCTTATTGCAGTAAGCCGTCTTGTCGAGAATATCCACCTTGAGCTCGGCCAGTTCAGGCACGGGCTTCTCAAACATCTCACTCAGACTCTCGACCGCCATCTCCAAATCCTTCTGGTTATCTTCGAAAATCTCCGTGAGATTATTCCGCGCTAGATAAAATGCAAATGCATATGTCCACTTCAGCGTCTGGCGGCACTGTTGAAGAGCCTGTGAGGCGGTGTCGAGGAACTGCACTTCGATCCAGGACAGACCAGACGCAGACTGCAGACTGGTCATCTTCTTCTCGGTCTTGAGGTAAAGATCCTTATCCAGCTTGGCGGACTGCTCGTGGTTCGCATACCGGTTGTAGTAATGCAGGTAGCGTTCCAACGAGGCACGAGATTTGGCCTGCGCACCGCGAGCATCGGACCCAGATTTCTCCTCGTATCGGTTGCAGTTGTACCAGCTGGTGCCGTGCTCGGACCAGAGACCCATACACATCCAGCAGAACTCGTGCTTGCACTTGCGGCAGGTCATATGGTTGCAGCCGCCGTTCTTCTCGATCGTGGACTGGCACTTGGGGCATTCCTTGGTATTGGCAGATATCCAGTTGGCGGTCTCGGAGTCATCCTCACACTTTTGTAACCACATCTTGACTAGTGTGCATGGGGTGGGTTGATGATCGTTCAGGGTACAGCCGAAGCAGAACTCATGTCCACAGCGGCATCGCACCGTGGGGACGATGCGGCGAAGATCGCGGGCCTTGACGGAGCAGTCAACCGCATATTCGCATTCAGGTGCCGGGCACCACCGTAGATTATCCCTATCATCCACGTAGGTCCTGGTAAGAAGCGTGCGGTACCTATGTGTAAGAAGCGTCATGTCAGTTCCAAAGTTCGATTCCATTTACATCTCCCTCTGAGATGCAAGGCTGACTTACCGTTCCTGCAAGTCCTCGGTCACCAAAAGATCTAGAGACTTGGAGTCCACTATACGATGACAATTCTCACCGGGGCACTCGATACGAGCAGCCTCGCCCTCTTCCTTGATCTTCTGTCCCAAATACTGCCGATAACAACCCACACAGAATCGATGCCCACAACGCATCGCATAGCTCACTAGATCATCCCCTTCATCACAGCAGATGTCACACATGAACCCAGGGATAACCTCTGTCCGCGCCGTGCCTTGCGAGCTTCTCCCGAGTCCAGCCTCTTCGAGCGTCTCATCCTCATGCTCCATGTACCCCTCGATCAGTTTTTCCTTTTTCCATCGGGCGAACCGGAGTAGGATAGCCGCCGACTCTGGCGGTAACCCGAGGATAGCAGAAACATCGTTGATCTGCACCAGCTGTTCATGATCGATATCGGAGGGAGTCAAGACCTTGAACTTGACCTCGTATGGTTTGCGCTTTTGCGTGAGGAGATCTTTATCGTCGGAAAAGCCCGTATCTAAGTCGCTGAAATCTAAACTCGTGACAAGTGAAAGAGTCAGGTCAGCAATAATCCTAGGACATCATCCTTTTCCTCCGATCCTCGAGATCATGTAGATCACACTAGGAATGCTCTTCTTTGCTTCACGCACCTTCACCCAAACTCTCATCATCACTACCCTGTGTATCCAGAAAATCATCCGGACTCGACACATCACTCATAAAATCATCATCCGAGTCCATGCTGCCCGCAGTCGTCGCCGGCGTCGCGATACGACTCTTCTTCGGATTCAAGCTAGCGTCACTAGTCGAGCTACCCCTCTCGGTATCCTGGGAGGTGACCGTCACGGAAGAAGTGTGCTTGGAGCGTGACTTGGGGTCAGACGCAGCGGTAGCAGCAGTGGCGTTTCCGCAGTGGGCAGCCTTGGTGGCGGCTTCGGGGGAAGACTGGTCGCTGTCCGCAATCGCCGCCTCAGCCGCCTTTCTCTTCCGCGTGAGGCGAGGCGTGGTGAAAGGGGGGTGCGGCAAAGGTGCCGACAATGGTGGGGAAAGGGAGGGTTTTTGAAGGTAGGGGGAGATAGAGGGGAGGGGGTTCAAGACCAAGGGATCGGGGATCGTTGGTAAACCAGTTGAGCCACAACGTCACTAGCAAAATTGGCAGACGGTCGCAGAGACCCAGAGACCCAGAGGGACCAGACGGGAGGGACTTTGCCTGTTGTTTCGGGTGGGGAAGGGGGGCGATCGGACAGAACCGTTCACCAAGAAGTTAAGTTACTTGGGTCACTTACTAGACGGGGTATGTGATTAGGCACCTGATGAATAATAGTTAGCTAGGTAACTAAGTAAGTTAGTGGAAAGGAGTTGATTAATAATGAAACGAAGAGTCGTACACCAAAAAAATGAAAATCCAACGTAATGATTTTCAGATCAGACCTGTCTTCATGCCTACCATCGCCCAAAGCCTAGAACGAAATCTGATTCGCGAGGCTGAAAAGTGACCTGCAGATCCTAGGGCGTGGCGCCTTACGGCTGCCTACCGTCGAATCAATGAGTGCAAGATTAAGGGAAGTTGCAACACAAAGGAGTCATAGATGTAAAGAGTGTAAAGAAGATGGAGATTCAAGTCTTATTTGAGTCAGTCATTCATTTGCTGATTGTTCAACGGGGGTTACCATGCTTATTATTGCCAAGCGTTGTCCACTGGTCCAGCCAAAATGGAGAGCCCTAATAAGCTAACAAGACATACTTACCAACTATAGTAACTTATGTACCTTGTATGACTGACTACAGCCATACTACTCTAATCAGCCAAGTATGCAACCTCGAGGCATACAGCAGCATAAAACAACTACAAGAATACGTGTTTGCATCAGAATCCCAATTAGGCAAGATTATGCCCACGCTTTAGGTCAAGCAATCAACTCCCCCCCTCCGATGGCCTAGTTGGTATCCACCATAAATTGGTGAACCATAGGTGTGCCCTGGAGGAAAGGGCAAACAAAAGAAGAAAGTACTGGGCCAGTGTTGACGCTCCGAACTCCACGGACGGCCGGGCATACCCCTAGGCGGGGGGAGTTCCTTTTTTTTGGAGATTTCTTTTTGGTAATTTTATTTTTCTAATGATTATGTTCATCTTAGACTATTATATTGTATTAATTATAATTCTTGAATAGCCTTTTTGATAGTGTTAGAGGGTGTAAAGGCCTGTATCAGGCGGCACTGAGGACTGGCGATGTTCTTCAATGTCCTCGGATGGTGATGCACTAACAGGGCGAAGTATATAGGGAACGACAAGGGTGAGGGTTCGATCCATGGAGGTGGAGACATAGTCAGGTTAAGTTTTTCAAGGGAATTTGCATGTGGCCAGTGGGATATGGCATTTGAGGAATAGTATGAAAATAATACCTCTGTCCCAGTTTTAACCTCAAAATTGTATGGTATATGAAAGCATCTACTCGTCATCACTCTCCTCCTCCTCCTCCTCCTCCTCCTCCTCCTCCTCCTCCTCCTCCTCCTCCTCCTCCTCCTCCTCCTCCTCCTCATCATCATCATCATCCTCTTCACTACTCTCCTCCTCAGCGTTCGCCAACCAATCCACAAACTGCTGCGTCTGAGCCCGCACAGTCCTCATCTCCTCCGTACTACTAGACCGCTCATCATCCCACCACTGCTCATAGGCCTCCTCATCCACCAGCTCCAGATCATACAGCTCCTTCGCCGTAAACAGTAGGATACTAGCACCCTTGTTCCGGTGCACCAGATCCTGCTGCAATTGAAGCAGGAAGTCCACCTGGTCCTTCTTGACCTCCTTTTTCCGGTCGAATAGAGTGCGGTCCACGACCTCGCGGTACTTGGTGAAGACCTCTTTCACGGCTTCACCGGCTCCCTTGCCGCCCTCCATCAATTGTTGGATGTACTTCATGAAGGAGGAGACCACGGCGCGTCGAACCTGCACATCGGAGGCGTTGGTGGTCATACGCAGACTGACTAGCTCGAGCTGCACCACGTCGGCGGATGTGCCCTCGCGCAGACTGTCAAAGACACTGACAGAGGCGTCGTGGTGGAAGTTGTCCTGCTCTTCGCCATCCGAGAAACTGGACCGCCCGGATCGGGGCCAGGATCCTTCGGAAACCTCGGAGGACAGGGTGGAAATGGAGGCATTGGATAGTGAAAGACCCGGCATGCGGTATACTAAGCCTGACGAGGCCACACTGATATCATCTTCCTCCTCTTCGTCCTCGCCATGAATAAACTCGTAACCTTCGCCGCCCTCACCAACAACCTCGGGGTCACTGGTGCCCACGCTCCCATCAGGCCGAGACCGGGTGATGCGCTTGCCACTCTCGATCTTCACACCATCGGCGATCTTAACGCCGTAGGAGAGAAGAGCGCCCTGCGCGATAGAACAGTTCTTGCCAACTACAACACCATCGGCAATGATAGCCCCGCGGACATCCGAGCCATCGCCGATCACGACATTATCCCAGAGATACGCGCCATCCAGCTGGACATTCTTGCCAATCTTGCAGTTCCGTCCGAGGATTGTGCTGTGCACCGTTGTCCGGTCGCCGATGCTAGTACCCCGACCGATCACAGTACGTCGGCCGAGCACGCACGAGCGAGCCAATGTGACGCCCTGCTCCTGGTACAAGTTGCCCTTGCGGAGGCTGTAAGTATGTCCCGGGAGGAGATTGGTATCCGGGCACAAGGGGTAAGCCCAGCGAGAGACAATGTCCTTGCTGACAGCATCATAGGCCTTCAGGTTGCGTACCCGCGCGGCGTAGTCCTCTTTAATGATGTATGTGTGGATGGTCTTGCCGTTCAGCTCGTAGTCCTTCAGAACTCCGTACAAGTAGTGTTTCCGGGGTGACTGGTAGTCAAAGCTGTCGGACCACAAGCTCAGCACATCAGGCGTACAAATGTCTATGCTGCAATCAATCAAGTCTTGGCGGATATCCAGTTCGGGTGTGGACAAAATGATATCAGAATCGATGTTCAAGCGTGCCGGGTGCTCGTCGGAGTGGTGGTCGATCTCCTCGTAGTGCAGACAACGATCCTTGGTTGGATCGATCACAAAGACGGGGGAGATGGAGGAGGATTTGGCGCGGTGGTTGCGGCCCGCCTCGCGGAGGACCATTGTCATAATGGCGTTCTTATCGGTCTCGCGACGCTTGCGGTGCTTGGTGAGAGCGCCCTCAATGGGCAGGTTGCTGATGACATCGCCGCTGACCACGATGAAATCACCAGTGATGAGATGCTTGCCGTCGAGATCGCGCATGACATCACCGACGGAGGTGGAGGTGGACTTGAGGAAGGTCAATTGCTTGAAGGGTGAGGATGGAGCCCGCCATTTCGAAGTACTGGGGTTAGCGTGTTAGCCGTTTCTTCCCCTACCGCATGACTGGGTATAGGGTCTGTACTTGATGTATTTCTCTAGCTGATCTGAATGAGCGCCGGCATATAGAAAGACCTCTTCGACGCCTGCGTTCGCGAGGAACTCGAGGGTGTATTCGATGAGTGGGGTATTGGCGAGAGGGAGTAGACACTATTTTCGTAGAAGTTGCTGGTCAGCTCTGTGTTGTGTGCAACATGGCTTTTCCATGTACGCGCTTATGGTTGGAACGCCGCATGGCACATACCCGTGGCTTGTCGCGAGTGAAAGGCTCGAATCTGGTTTCGAAAGTATCGGCAAGCACCACAGCCTGAAGTGTCTCCTCGACCTCATCCGCCTGGTTCTTTGGCTTCGAGCCACCACCCTTTTGCTTGGCGCCCATTGCTGCTCGGAGATCCTAGAGCGCAGTGTCAATCAGGATGATTCACACAGGAGCCGCAGCAGTTGAATCACGGGATAGTATTGAATTGATGTCGGATGAAAGGCAGTCGTACCTAATATTCAAGGATCACAGAATGGCAAAGTAACCGGGACTGAATCGCCAAATTCGCTCTGAAATTTGCTGTAGCTCACAGGTCCAATGTGACTCCGCCATCAATGAAAGGCACAAAAAACCCCGCCAAGCCTCGGACTCCCACCGTGTTGCCTAGTTTGCACTGTTTGACCTGTTTGTGCGGTTAATCTCGAAAAGGTTTTCACGTGACTATCATGGCGCAGGGGCCATCTCACCAGCCACAAGCAGCCGCAAAAGGTCCAGATGGTCCAGAACTTCCTGCAAGGCCTGGGCCCTGGTGGACTCCTTTAATTGCCCTACGACGATGGAATTTGGTCTAGACGCGCCTACAAGATGCCCCCTCAAGATCTCGGGTTCGCCCGACCGGCCCTCGTGTGTGGGAATGCGGGTATGGTGGAGATGGCTCGGATGGTTCGTCAGAGGTGGTACGCGGATAAAGCTAGTAAAAGTCAATTGGTCCCATTGTGATACTTTGGATGCTAATGAGTACAGAGTACTTTGTATGATGTTCACCGGAGAGAACAACCTGGGTGGTAAGATCTACCGAAAAACCCCTACATGCCTTGACCTTGCACCATTCTAGTCTAGAGCCGACGAAACTCAGTGCGCTGAAGAGCTTTTCAAGCTGCTCAATCTACCCCTAGATACGAGGAAAACAGGGACACGCCCCGTTTGAGTGGCATATGTAAATGTGTGTATTGTATGTACCTGGCAAAACAATCTCCCCAGTAATGGATAGGGTAAACAAGTGTATATAAGAGTCCAGGGGTGGGTCGACGCTGACGCGTGAATCGAAACCGCACTAATTCGCCACCCAAAATCAGAAACCTTGGAACAATAATGAAAAAAGACAAACACCATGACCTGTAAGGGGTAGAACGACCGTGACCAAGGCAACAAGACAAGCTGAGAATGGCGAGCAAGCAAAGCGAGCAATATACGATCAAAGATCTCATTATAGACAGTGGGAATCGTAGGGTAATGAACAGAGAGAGAAGAAGAGGAAGAAGAAGATGAAGAAGTGTATGGATTACGGAAAGGAGAAGGACAGGTCTTGGTCTTTAGCCAGGTCGCCCAGCTTGTACGGCCATCATCGGTTGAGGTTGAGGGTACATGCGCTGTCGTTTGACATTCGGGTTTTCTGTGGCACTGGCCATCTCCGACATTTGCCGACGATGCTGGGGCCGAGGAGGGGCACCGCTGGAAGGAACAGTAACCGGGGGCGGCGCAGGGAACTGTACGCCGTTTTGGTCCACCGTATAGGCTCCCGGTGGTGCGCCAGGGGCAGCCACGTACTGTCCCGGGACCGCGGTTATGGGTTGTGGCACCGGCGCCATGCCATGGAACTGACCGGGTGATTGCCAATTGTTCATCGATCCAGCCGGAGATTGACCAGGGGAGCTGTTATCCTCTTTGATTGATTGCGTGGCCGATGTTTGAGCCGCCATTGTCACTGCTACTGCGGTAGGTGGGGCAGCTTCGATTCCCTGCGCCATAGTCTTGAGATGCACCAAGTGCTTTTCCAGCATACCGAGAAGACTCTTGCGGGTGAAAGGTTTTGGTAGAACGTCATCCATACCTATTAGTGCACGTTAGTTGAAATTCTACTTGTCGATGGAACGTTGAAGATAAATGTCGCTGCCTTACCATGTTGGAAGTAGAGTTGAATATCATCACTACGGATGTTAGATGTCATGGCGATGATAGGAGTGCGGTCGAATTGGCGAATGAGATGGCAGGCGGATACACCGTCTAGGTTCGGCATGATGATATCCATGAGAATCAGATCGTATTTCGAACCGCCTTGCATCTTGTTTACAGCCTCCAGACCGTCGAACTAGTAAAGAAGGTTAGAGGTTTGCTATAGCGAATTGTGCCGTAAAGGCCATCGTCGGACTTTCCAAACATACCGCAGTATCAACAACACAGTTGAAAGAGTATAGGAATTTGCCGCCAATCTGTCGACAAGTCGCGTCGTCCTCGACCAGCAAGATTTGCGGACTGCGCACCCAACCGGGATCGACGTGGGTGGTCTTCTTCCGGTTGCCGTTGTCTTGGTAGCGCCGAGCCTCAGCAGGATCAACCTCTGGCTTGGCGGGCATGGGGTAGGGCACGTTATTCACGTGGTCGCTATACATCGGATCGATACCATTGGTGGCACCCACAGGGTAAACCACCTGTTCCAGGTCGCCGCCCATCTTGGGATAGACCATCGCCGCAGGGTTTGGTGGTGCGGTAGTCACTGGACGAGCAATTGCGACCCCATTTCGAGTCGTGGGATCCATAGGGGGAGCAGCCACCGGGACTGCAGCCGCCTTTGTAGGATCGTTGGCCGTCGGATCCACGGCCGCCAAGTTGAACTGCATCTCGGAGTTCATGTCATTCAACAGCTTCGATGCCTGCTGGAGAGGCGAGGATGGCTCGTCGTCCACGGCCCCGACCTGAGACGGGCTCACGCCCTGTCCCTGGAATGAGAGAGCCTTGCTGTCCCTCCGTTGGCGCGCATCTACCGAGAGCAGGTAAGTCATGACCTGGTGAATGACATTCTCGTGGTTCAACACGGTCTTCTGTACCCGCATGACCTCCTGCAACATGAGCTGATGATCCACTGTGAGCTGAGCATAGCGATCGGAGAGATGTTGGATTTGCTGTTGCTGGGCGACAATCTGTTGGTTGAGCAGGTCAATTTGTTGCGTGGGAGCGGCCTCGTCGTTGGTCTGGGTCTGCTTGCGGGGGGCAGGGGCCTTGCGGCGAATATTGTCTAGCGAATCCTTGCTGTTGGCTCGGAACTCGGGGTGTTTGAACTCCCATGCCTATTGCGATGTTGTTATCAGCCAGAGCCGGAATGAGGGTTGGCGGGTGACCCTATCAGGGGGGTATTCCCGGCGGAGACGATGTAGCGGTAAATGGACTGTAGCCTTACGTTTTGCCCATACGGTGACTGGCCATTCTCCTCGTTGTTCTGGCGGACCTTGTGGAAATCGTACTTGTTGAGTTGGCGGACGAAACTGGCAAAGTTGCTATGCTTGAAGTGTTTTGGTAGGATGGTCTTGGTGAATTTTTCGCACTGAATTCAAGGTCGAAGTCAGTCTCAAGAGATCGCGACCGTAGCAGACAAGACCAGGGGGGCGCATTTACCTCGAGGACTACAAAACTATCCCCTTCATCACCCCATCGTACGATGGACGCGTAGGAGGGATCCTCCAGCATCCTGCAAGCTTGGTCAATACATGGTCGGAAGATTGCCGCGGTCGGCGACAGGGATGTGGTTCTTTGTGGCGGGCGGGTTGCAGGTTGCAGAGAGGAGCCCAGACGAGCAAAGAGGGGATCGCGCAGACTCACTTATACAGTTTGCGCACCTAACCATGATTACAACAGTATTAGCAGAGGCATAAGGTTAAGATAAACGAGGCTTTTGAAGATCATCACGACATACGAAGTCGCTGGAGTTCCCAGCGGGGGCGGGATTCGACGAGGTCTGGCCACCCTCCATGCTGGGCTAGACGGGTCGCGACCGGTCGAACGAGCAGCAGGCTGGACCCGGAGGCGGGCTGGCGGGTATACAGGTAATAAGCAATGCAAATCCAGCAAGCCCGGGGAGACCAGAAAGCAGGAATAGTATACAAAGCCCAGTCGCGTAGGGAAAGAAAAAAGAAACGAAGATGGGAGGCTGCGAAGCAAGCCGGGGAGTCGTTGGGGGGGTGTGGAAGAGGGAAAAAAAGAAGAGGAAATAATAATTTCTGATCAGAAGCGAACGGAGGTACCGCCTCGTTCGGATGACTACGAGGGGGGGGAGAAGAGTAGGTAAAGCGGGTAAAGAGGAGAGAGAGACCAACGGACACCTAACGAGAAGACATGATTAATGCTTATAGAGAGGATGATAATCGAATAATACTGTTTGAGCTGTTTGAATTCCGAGTTAATTAGTTTCGAAGTTATCTGGTTTCTTCCAGGTATCGTGAGGTATTTGAGGTGGTTTTAGACTATTTCATGAATTGCCTGGGTCCTGTGGAATGATGCAAGGAGGAGGTACATACAAAACTAAAGTCTACGTAAATCTCCTTTGTATTGATCTCTATTGTTCCAGCCCTACTCCGTATATGTTTGTCTATTATTATGGTCTACGATCAATCTCGACTTATCTCTCCCCCCGATGGATACAATCGGTACGATCCCCCCGAAAGTAGACAAACCTTCCTTCGACCCTGCTGCTGCATGATGAAATCCCACCTCATTCATTGGTGAGAAGATGCATCCGTTGACATACGATTGTCAGTGCGCACGAGTTGGAGGGGGCCACCCATGCATTATTGTGACATTGTCTGGCCTCGAAGCTCCTCCAGAGACTGCATGTATACGTTGTATCTGTCGTGGTGTCGCTCGCACTTCAGAGCCCTGAGGGGTCATCCATGGTCCCATCTGGGAGCTATCGAAAAGATTCCGTCCCGAGCGAACCATCAAACTCAAATGTCAATGATTTCCGTTTCAGACGTTTGGTTTCTCTACCCGAATGAAGATGATCCCAATCAGACAATTGGAAACCCGATCAAATAATGCAAATGAAAGCTCCACCGCTCGGAGGAAATCCTTGGGAAGTGGGAAACAAAGTGTGGATCATTGATTTTTGCTGGTTCCCACACGTCCGAGCTTCGTCACTGGTGGCTGTTTCTCCCTAGTGTGTGCTGATGTGCTCCATAGTGTTCACTTTTGGTTGGTGAACGACGGAGTCGTTCCCTCGATGTGTTGGCCAGAAGATCGGGGAGGATAAAATAGGATGTGATTCTTGAATACGGAGAGATCCTCATGAAAGAAGATTCCCAGGCCACATATCGAGTCGAAGTCGTCATGAGGCATTGTCAACAGTGACAGGCACCAAGGTGAGCATTCGCAAGATAGTGGACGGTCTCCATCAACGGGCCAAAGCGCCCTGGTCGGCGATTCTACCGAACGGGCTCGTGGTATATATATTGTACCCTTCAGTGCTCGAGGAGTGAACCATAGCAGCCTAAAGTAATGATCAGTGCATGGTCTCATCGACATCAGATAGAATACTTTGTACTCCGTAGATTAAAGCATAATAATCCTCCAACGCTGGTCCCCAAATAATCAGGGGAAATGGCTTCTCATTTAATGCAGGGCTCCAACGGGCGACGATCGCCCCCAACGGCCGATGACGAAATCACCAGATCTCCAGAGCTCCTCCTCCGCGCAAAACATCAACAACGCGACGTCTCTCCTTCCACCCACGCTTCCTTACCCTGCTCCCTCTGAACCCCCTCCTCTTTACTTTGATCCAGATAATCTTCAATTGATTATCATCATGTTCGTCCGCCGTGTTGCAACCACTCTTCCCCGCGTGAGGGCCGCCCCCTTCCACAGCACCTCGCGCAACCTCGTCCAGAAGGGCGACGCTATTCCCAACCTGGATGTTCTGGTTGAGAACTCCCCCGGCAACAAGATCAACCTCGCCAAGGAGATCAAGGGCAAGGCTGTGATCGTTGGCACCCCCGCTGCCTTCAGTACGTCAATTCGGACCTCACCATGAATGGTCTTTCGAGAGAGAGCTTTGTTGTTGACCAATGTACCTTGTTTTACCTTCTAGGCCCCGCCTGCTCTAGCACCCACGTTCCGGGGTACATCAACCACCCCAAGCTGAAGGAGGCCGGCCAGGTCTTTGTCATTTCTGTCAATGATCCTTTTGTGTAAGCTCGAGCTCGCGATCCGGTGGACACAATTGGGATGAGAAAATGGGGAATGGAAATACAGGTGGACAGATCGCTAATGCGCATTAATAATTCAGCACCCAGGCTTGGGGCGTTTCCCTGGACCCCCAGGGCAAGAGCGGCGTATGTCTCCATACATCACCCCTTGGAAGCCGTGCATTTGTGACTGACACGATCCTCTCAATTCAATAGGTCCGCTTCTTGGGTGACCCAACCGGCAAGTTCACCGAGGCTCTTGACCTGAGCTTCGACAGCGCCGCCATCTTCGGCAACAACCGCAGCAAGCGGTATGCTCTGCTGGTGGAGGATGGCAAGGTCAAGGAGGCCTTTGTCGAGCCCGATAACACGGGTGTTAACGGTAAGCGATCGCGCAATTGGATTGTCGGTGTCATCGTTGAGAGAATCATAAAGACTAACATTATTTGAAATTAGTCTCGGCTGCCGAGAAGGTGCTCGGTTAAATTAAGCTGTTGTACGAGTATGGAGTATGAAATAACTAGATTATCCAATAGTGCCCTTGCATATAGCAATTGATCGACGAGAGAAAAAGCAAGTAGCCATTGAGGCTTCAAAATTGGAATTGGAGCTTTCAAGCTTTGACACCGATAGATCAACACATATCCACCCCTCTGTAGGGACGCTGTGAATAGGACTCCTTTTAGAGCATGGCCAAGGATTTTCAAATCCCGAATTTTTGGGTATCTACATATGAGTATAATATTGCCGTAACCATAGATCTCGCTCTGATTATATGCAGTAGGCACTCCAGATGACTTGCGCTATACGAGCGCAGTACTGTACATTAATCCATTTGTACGGTATCAAAACTGGCGGCGGTCTAAGCGCGAGAGACCAAAAGACTGGGCCGTGCTTGTGAGTCGCACGACCGCTTTTGATAATACCACGACGGCTAGCCATTTCAAGTTAGCGCAGATCTACGATACGACCCGCGTTTTATCGTATCCTAAATACGTTCAAAATAGAGCCCTAAATGACTTTTCCAAAGCAAACAATGTAACTTTTTCGGTGAATCGGAGAGTAGCGTAACTAAACAATATCTCAATAGCTATACGATTCTCAAACTAAGCGAGAAGATTCTTCTAGGATAATTAGTCTATTTTTATTTGTTCTCATACATTCAAGAATATCTAAGGTGATTCTAAGCAACTTCATTCAAACCTTATATTCAGTAAAACTCAGCGCTTTGTAAGTTACCACAACAAACAGGAATGGTCTGTAGTCAAATAGATACATAAGAGTGGACCAATTCCACAATATCAAAAGATATATCCGTGAATGCACCTCAAACATGTAATATCCTGTAGCTCAAGAAATGGCACTTTTAGAAAATGCACACCTCTGGCCTTCTTCATACTCTTACCATCCATCCTCGTAATCCATCACTCACTGGGTAGAGAAGTAAGCGATGTTATTGGTGAAAACACCAATGTTATCACTATAAGACGCAAGGCTCTTTCTATCCTGGTCCACCAATCTCTTGGAGCCAAGGACATTGAGGTTATAAACGGAAATAGCCGATTGTCCCTCAATGCTGAAAATGGAGTTTTGGCAGTTCTGGGGACCACCGTAGGCGGAGCAGGCTAGTTGTTGACAGCGTTAGTATTTAGACAATAATCGCCCTTACATCGGCTCGGGGCAGTGAAACGGAGCGGGGTGAACTTACTGGCATCATAGTTGTTGAAGAATGAGTAGAAGCCTGCACCGTAGACGTGGAGGTCCTCGGAGTCGATCACACGGAGACCCCAGCCAAGAGCGCAGTTGCATGAGCTGACGTTGCAGGTGGAGGCAAAGTCGGGGTCGTGGATGGCTGGGTTCGAGAGTTGAAGGGTGTCAGGGCGGTTGGGGTTGGGTTAGTAGTACCTGCAGATTAATTTTGTGAGAACACCATGATAGTAATCGCCTTCAGGACTGGCAGTGGGTTTGGGTTGCCAATCATGTCGTGTTGTAGTAGTCAAGAGTGGCGCCGAAATCACATACGAGCCCGAGGGGAAGTACACGACTGCGGGCGTGACCGTGCTCGAGAAGCAGTCCTTTCCGCAGCGAGTACCACTGCTGATGGCATTGTTGATCGCCTCAGTGTCATCCGTGACACTATCACCTAGTCTTGATATTAGCATGGGACAAGTAAAGCTAGCAAAAACGACGCAATGGGCTTTTATGCATATCCTTGGCTCCAAAGTCCTTGACATTGCGGAGAACCGTATCCAGAAGGTCCCAAGGGCGAGATGCCCTGGTACTTCACGGACTCCATCCGGAACCCGGGTCCATCCCGAGCTACAATAGAGGAATCACGGTAGTGAATGTCCTCATTTCGAGCGTATATGCCATCAACAGCGGGCTCTGCTACTGGAATTGCACCAGCAGGGGACAGGGACCCGAGTAGAATGGTGAGCGGGAGAAGAGAGGAGATATGCATTGTTGCCAGATCACAAGTCTCAAGCGAATTGTGGTAGGCGACAGTTGTGTGCATGATCATGAAAAGTGAGAGGCGAAGGCCATCTTTATATGTCCTCGAATGGTGAAAATTCTGGAGATTGATGCGAGATCGTCATGATCCTGAAGAGTCCCCAGCGCTGAGACTGCTCATCTCCCTCTGGGGAACAACGATTCCACTCCGCCAAGAGCTCCTGGAGATGAGGGCTATCAGGCCGCGAGTGACTGTGCCTGACATGTAGATGAAAATTCATATAACTGCCGTGTTAAGGGTCCCATGGGATGCGGAATCTCGGACGAAGCGCCATATCTCCACATTCTCCGCAGTCCGCACAACTGATGAAAGAGGCGTTACGCCCAACAAGGGGAGGCGGTGCGCCCAGTTATGGGAGGCGTTGCGCCTAATTAGGGCTAATTCTTCGGCATCGACCGAGGTTGGAAAAAGGACTGTCCCCAGGGTAGCGGGGTGCGCTCGTTTGGGGTAAAGCCAGGTTAGTTCCTGCACTATAGGATTGCGGGGAACGGATGTCGGGCATCTCGCACTAGCAGAAGAGCGTTAGCCCTTGCAATATGACCTGCGCTTCAGCAGAGGCATTTTACACCAATTGTGACCAATCTACATTTCCTTGTTTCATACCCCGCTCCAGAAAGAGACCCTGTTCCTGCGTTGGGAGATTCTTCAGCTTTCTACGCGATAATTAGCGGCTTGGGTAACTTGACGGGAGTTTAATGTATACTCACTTCCTGCAAAAGCCGACAAAAGACTAATGCAGGCACGGCCCTAGGTGGTTTAGAGTGGTTTACTGCTTGACTCGTGTCGTGCTTTACGGGGTCCCCACAACGGTTCGGGGTTGTAAGTCGGACGCCCGCCATCACGCCTGATTCGCCATCATGCCCGATTCGTCCGAGGCGTCAAGGGCGTTGTCAGAGGCGTTGAAAGTGCCAAGAGGCGTTGCTAGAGTCACTGCCAGAGGCGTTGTTGAAACTACACGAGCACTGCCCTGCCGGCTTGAGAAGAACGCCAACTGCGGGGTACTCATGAGACTCTGCTGGAGAAACTTCGTCGTGGAGGGTAGACCGGGAACGAGATCGGAATGAAGTTTTTCGTACGTGTTTCTAGCGTTTTAGATGAAAGTATGCTTAACGGCAAGTTCTAGAATCAGCTCCTATTGAGCTTTGAGGAAGATAGAGGAACAGGATATACGATATTTAGAATAGATCACTTAGAAATACTCGATTTGTACAGAAATCATAGGTTCCATTTGAGTGAGTGTGTAGGTACACGAGTAACAGTGAACAACGGATGGAACAGTAACAATATCCAAGAATCGAAATCAACATCCACCTCATCCTCCTTACAAATTTGCTCTCAACCCACTTATTGATCATTTCCAGCTCATTTCACCAGAGCCTTCATTGGTTGTTGCAGGCTAGTGAGGAACGACGGGGTACTGCAAGTTGTTGCAGTTGCCCTGGCACTTCTGGTACAAGCCGATGAACCCATATCCTCCACAGTTCTGGAGTTCATCACCAGCACATGTCATCAGGCAGTTACCCATAGGGGTAACCGTGGGCATATCACCTGCGAGGCTGTTGCCACAGAAGCACTCATGCTGATTCTCAACACCAGCAATAGAATAGCCAGCAGCATTGCACACGTCAACGCACTTTTCCGGGGTCATATCAGAGATTCCGGCCATTGAACCAGTCAGGACACGCACGCCGCCAACGTTATCCCGAGTGCATCCCATCCACTGCCATCCCTTGCTTGTCAGATCGGTGTAGTAATGCAGAGGCTGGCCAATCTGAGTAGGCGCATTGCATCCAGTCACAACATGAGCATCCCCGGGGCCATCCTGGATAGGATTGCATCCAGGGAGTGCATCGAGCCAACCATCGACCTGCTCGTCGATTGAGCGCTCAACGATACAGCCATCGGTAACCCAGTCGGGCTGCATGTGAATAGGCGCACACTGCGTGATATCACCACCGCCATCATTGCAAGTATCGATCGCTTGTTGGAGGACATTAACGTCCCAACCATTAAGCTAAATCCGCGAGAATAACGTTAGTCACTGTTCTTCAGCATCAGGGAGGGTAACTCGGGCTACTTACGAAGTCTCCGTGTATTCCGTATCCAGTGGGATCACCGAACGAAAAGACAAATGGTTGCTTGTCGCCATACCACATGTCATCGAATTGCTCGGTGTGCCAAGTGACCTCGATGAAGATCGAGATAATGCGAACTGGGTGGGTTGCGGGGCAAGGGCCGTTGTCGTAATCCTGGGTAGGATAGGCCATATGAGACTTGTGGTCAGGGCTATCCAGGTTGACTCCGTCCCAGCACGAAGGGAAGTAGACCTGAGCGCGGATACCATTGGGACACTTGGTAGTTGGGAAACCGTAAGTCTGGGGGTGCCCGGGGCGTTGTAGTTAAGACAGGCAAAGCTTCGAGCGTGAGTCTCGATTGTGCCTTTGTCGCTGCGGTCGAAGGGACTTCCAGCGATCATGCGGAACCCAGCTGGTGGTGCAACGATCTTACCGTTGGTAGACGGATCAGGTCTCTGCCTTGGATCAAATGTTAGATAATAGTATAAGGCAGAATTTCAGTACGATTGAAACTTACTCGTAGTAGATGAGAGCTCCACCATTCTGAGGCACTTGATGGAAGCTTCCATTCTGGGCATGATAGTACAGCGCGGCAACCCAGTAGTTGGACTTGTCTTCAATCGCTGAGCATGAGTTGCACTTGGATGTCTGAGTCATGTCGTAGTTCATAGTGAATCCGAAGCCGGATCCACCCATGATAGTGTGAACATGGTTAGACGCAACACCAGGTGAGACGATTGGGTCTGCTCGTTGAATCACCAGGGGTGAGCTGCAAGGTACTTTGAAGAAGGCCACAGATGGATGCGCAGAGCAAACGAACATCCAGGCCAGGGAGGCCTGCTTGAAGAAAGGCATCCTGGAAAAAGGCTGCAGCTTAGCAGAGGGAATTTGAGAATATTGATCCACTTTGGTCTCCGAGAGAGGCAGTTATCGGCCCTCTTAAATAGGAAAAATATTGAAGACATTTCTTCCCTCAACATGGATAGAGTGTAACCAAGTGATTTTATCTCGTGAGGGGCTCCAACCATGCCAACTGCCAGCTGTCAGGCGGGAGGAAACGAGAACGAGGTATTCGGATTTAGACCTCTTCACCGACGCCGGAGAGAGTAAACGGATGAGGATAGAGACCCTTGGTGGTTTCACTTTTCCCCACACATGTCCCTTAGTATCTTGATATAATTCTGCAAGGATTCTTCATGGAGAATATGGGGATAAGCTACTTGTCTCATGGGTTAGCGTCCGATATTCCGCGTCCCCGAGTTTCCGCGCAACCCCGGACTTCCACCAGCAGATCGAGAGAACTCGTATAGAAGATTCTGGATGCGTGATATTGATCTTTATGAAGAAAAAGTCTTGCGCAAAGGAGGGGAATTCGTGTGAAGAATCTGGGGTAGTCTGGGGTGCAGCCACATACGTCCACATACATCATCTGCATAATGTACATCATCTGCCGAAATACATGGGGCATCAGGGCTGCAGAATGTCACCGAGACACAACAGGGGTACGATCATCCCAGGCAATCTTCAATTCTTCAAAGTCATCCACATGTTATCCATGTCTAGTATAATTGATATGAAACATCATGGATGTAACAGCAGACATATTGAGGGAATTTCCGTGACCGATACTCCGCAACTAACTATCATCTATGCGAGAGAAGAACATTACTCTTATATCGAGTGGCATGAAGAGATGAAACTCGCACAATATACTGAGTCCATGAGGAATCCCACTGCAACAAATTTAACTATATAAAGGCGTTCAATGGACGCCTCAAAGCCAAACTCAAACCACGGCACCAATCCATCTCAAGCCCAATTCAATTGTCTATATCATTCCTTTCTCTACCAACAATGGCTCCCAAGACTGCCCCCTTCGTGCTGCTATCTCTAGCTCCAGCAATTGCCCTGGCTGGTAAGCGTGGTCTATCCTACAACAACGGCACGCTCGCAAATCTCTTCAGCGAGTACAGCCAAGTGTCATGGGTCTATAACTGGGGCTTCGATCGAAACGGCGCCAACAACACTTTTGATTTCTCACCCATGCTTTGGGGCCTTCCCTCTTCCGACAACCCCGAATGGACTGCAGCAGTTCAAGTGGAGGGCACCAAGGAAATCCTTGGCTTCAACGAGCCCGACCTTGGCTCGCAATCCAATATCAGTCCGGCCGACGCTGCCGCTGGTTACCTCAAGTTTATGGAGTCATTTGCTCATGATGTCCGGATCGGGACTCCTGCAGTGACCAACGGGCCTCCTCCAGGCATGGGAATTGGCTGGATGGACCAGTTTTTCCAGGACTGCTCGTCTTGCACACTTGACTTTGTTGCGATCCATTGGTACTCGAATAACGACCCGGAGGGCTTCAAGTCCCATGTGCAGCAGTTCTACAAATACAATCGCCCGATTTGGATCACTGAGTTCGCGGCTAGTGGTACGGAAGATGAGCAGCTCTCGTTCCTGCAGGCGGTTCTGCCTTGGCTTGATTCGCAGGCCCAAGTTGAGCGATACGCTTACTTTGGCGACTTCCCTGGCTTCTTGGCTAACCAGAATGTGGACGGTCTCTCCGAACTTGGCCAGGTTTATGCCACTTACAGTGGTTAAGATATGGGCTTTTTCTCTGTACAGCTAGTTTCATGTTCTATTCGTTCATGTTGTCACTGTTCTAGTTAGGTATGAGATAGGTTTGCCTCACATTCAAACCATGCTGTAACTGAAACACCATTCTTATTAGTATGTACAATGGCAATTCAAAAGTCTTGAATCCGAAACCAGAGAATAACGGACCAACCAGAAATGCTTTAAGCACTCATCTGGAAGATCTTTTTAAATGTCTTTCGAAATCTTTTTTGATGGCACAGGTACAATCTTTCTGGTCGGGGTTTGAAACTTATGGAACCTCGCTGTAGTTTGATATTGAGAAACGAAATATTCTCCTAAATTACTCATTGTTTCACGCCCTACGGGCAGACCATATCAGGAAGTTAATCACACACTGCATGCTCTACAATAGTGGATTTCGTGAATTCGTGGCTGGGAGCATGACTCATGAATATCACAATAACTAATTACATCTTAGCAACTTACCAAACTAGCTTCATCGGCATTATATCGATATTGAATAAAAACCGCGATGTAGAGAGCTAAAGCTAAAAGCTGGTGCTAAATCCATGAACTGACAGCCCTGCGCTAATATCGTTTGGGTACAACATTGGAAAAGAATATGACGAATAAGAAGCCAAATACCGTGCCACTGTTGTTTCAGATCGACATACTACTGAGTAGCCACTTTCGCAGGGTATTCCCAAGTTGGATATCACAGCCAAGGCTGCCTGACAGCCCTCGCTTGTTTCGACAGACTCGTTTTGGGCAAAACTGTGAGATCGTTAATTTGTTAGGCCGTGGCCCCGCGCCACCAACCCTTCCACAAATGCCGGGGCCGCCGCCACTTATCGTTTTTGTGGACTTCTGAGTCGTCGATTTGTTTAGACGCTAAGCTGATTTGTGGCTCGCGCATATACCGAATTAGGTTTAGTGTCTCGGGAACTCGAGATGCCGGCCTTGGTAGGCTCGAGCTCGGGTAGGATGATAGGCTCGGGTAGAACCAGTCTCCGAAACTCTAATATACTCCGAGTCGACAGCTGTCTCATCCGAGCCAAGCCCTAGCCCTGCTGGAAACCTTACTCATCTTCTTAGGTGTGGTGTTCGCCGCGCGGGAGAGATCCATGCAATCGTGGCGTCCAGGGTCTCTTGGCTTTGCACCTATTGCTAGGGAATTCATCCCGCAAATCCGCGCTCGTTCGTTCAGGCAACTGGCTATCGTTTAGCCGTGCGACGGTTGGGAGGCGGGGTACTTCTGGGGTAGACACAGGGGCCACCACCACGGAAACCTGGGGTTCTTTGACCACGACTGCCGGCTGTGGAGCTCTACCAGGTTTAGTCACACTCTTTGGGGTCTATTATTGTGACTACTTAGGAAACCCGGTGCGAATCAGCTCCGGATGTGATGTTAACACAAGAACTACCTTAACAGTATTCTCCTCCGATCGGTTTGGCCCAGATTCAGTTCTATATCAATCGCTGAGCTTCCGGTTCAAAGTTCACGTCTTGGTCGAGACTATCCATGGATTTCATGAGCTTCTCGGATACTGTTCCTCGTGAGAAGGTCTGTCCTCCGTCTCTTGGGGAGTCTTGCTTCTTAGGTACACATAATAAACTTTGATTTTTTCTACATCTATCTCGCAGTGCCTAAGCTTGGAATCTCTAAAGCTATGTGGTATACTCTCTTGTTAGTTCATGCTTGTGGTAATCAACATTGCCAGAATGCATTTGCCCGATGGTTACGTTTCTCGTCCTACCGATCCAGACGCACTCGTTTTGGAGACATGAGGTCAGGGACTGATGGTTGGATCGCTCGTGGTCATGACAGCGACCATCCGCAACCGCTGGAACCGTTCTTTCGGTACTTCCTCCCCTTGTGATTTTACACTTCCATACACTGATGTTTCTGCTTCTACAGAGATCCGTGTAAGTATTTAGTAGAGGTATATTATTAGGGGATTGAACTGGTACATAGAGGACCATGGAGGTGGTACCCGGGAATACTATGAAACCTGGTGGTTGAATCGATGCTGAGAGGTCGGAGGTTGAGCCCATCCATGGGCTTGCCACCAGAGGGGTTGGTACCCAAAATTTACATCCCCATATTTGTACGCAATAGATAGGGTCACAATAACTAGGTTCTCCAGGTACAAAAACCTCTCTTTCTGAAGATTTACACAGCTATCAAAAAACCTCTCACTTTCTGTACGGATTTTGGATGAAATTCTGTCTCTTGTTCGCCAGGTTAGACCAATTTACATTCAAAATAATACAGGCACTAGCTAGCAAACTGGATCGAAGACAATGCCAAAGGGATATATACTAGTCAACATTAATCATTCAGACAAAACACGACAGCCATCCATGGTCACTTGTATTTCCCAATCATGATTATTCAAAACCTAGATCCAAACCCGTTCTGCATTCCATGATCATCAAGTGGCCACTAATTCGGTAAGGATCCGCAACCGGTCACGCGCATCCTCCGCCTCATCCCGCCAATACTCCAGCATTTCCACAGCGCCCATAACCGCATCCTTCCAACCAAGGGGAAGAAGTTCCTCGGTCGCGCCGCAGCGGCTAGCAGCCAAGAGGATGAGGGCGCTGCGAGTGCACGATCGCAGCATTAGCCAGACGCCGTGATGACGGTGCTTAAATCCCTTTCGGTTTTTGTGAATCCGCTCGGCAGACATTTGTAGACCTTTGATGACGAATTCGTCTGTTAGGGGGTCGCGGGTTTGATGTGCGATAGCCTCGAGCATGTATGGGAAATAGATCCACTCGTAGCAGTCGAGGAGGTGGCCGCGGAGAACGAATTTGAGGACGTCGTCGTCCATTTCGGGGCTTGCGAGGGAGAGGATTGGTGGGAGTGAGGCCGTCCTGGAATCGAGTGTTAGCATATCTGAAAGTTTTCTGCTCGTTTACAGGCATCGAGAAAAACGTTTAGGGACATTACCACTCGGAGGCTTGAACTTCAAAATCGATTGAGGATTCTCTCAATTGGTAGGCGTCTGGAAACCGACCCTGTATCTGGTTCCGGAAGAATAGTTGTATAATTCGCATTGTTAATCGCCGAACGGCGGTTTCGGCCAGGTAGAAGTACCACACCCGTGATTCCTCGCGATTTAGTTGCTCCATTGGAAGTGACGGGAAGAACGTCGGATATGTGAAGCCAAGTGGGTTGGGTTGGTTAAGACCAAGCTCTAAGCGTAACTCACTATAGGAGGAAACCTGGTCAGCGCAATTCCAGTCCAATGTGAAAAGAGCAGCCCACAGTTCCGATTTAAGACAGGCCCAGTGTGTCGTCTCCAAGCAAGGCATATCATTATTGAGACCGGCATTATAATCAGGTAGTCTCGTTGAGAAGACCATCGTTTCTGCCATTGCCGCAGTCTGTACAAAGCATCTCCAAGCCTTGATGGGCTGGAAAATAGCCATGAGGTAGACCCCTGAATAGAAGAAACATTGCACCTCTATTAATCCATGCGTGCGCAGAACTACACCGAGCCTCATCTGCGCTGCTTCAAAGTATTTTTGTCCGAGATGGAAGGACGGGGATCGCCGAGCTGTCATTGAGCTAGCTTCATGGTGCTCCTGGAAGCTCTCAGAAATAGCGCCTAAAGCGCATATGAGTAGCTACATGAATTCAGTCCGCGTTAGTGCTGGTTCTTTGATGAATATAATCGTGCAAAAATCCAACAGATGATCAAGAATCAAGGATCTCACCACGAGGCACGAAGGTGCGTCCCAACCTATCCCATGAACGCACGCTTGGTACAAATAGTTCGTAACCAGGGGCACATCAAGGATGGGATTTGCAATATGCACTTGCTCTAAAAAGGTATGGAAAAGCCTGGTACAGACGTCGATGTCGAGATCCAAGCGTTCGAGACGGGGATCAGAGTTGGCAAGGAAAGGCTCTCCAGACAGGGTTGTTGAGGTGACCAAGGCTTTGAGGTCGGTGTTCGAGTCATATTTGCCCTCGAAGACATTCCAGGAGAGAATAGTCTCGATGGTGAGTCGACTTAGATCCGAGCTGTAGTACAAAGGGCTGCCAATGAGGCTCGTGGTGTCGCCATTTGCCACCGCAACCCCTGAAGAAGCCCTCCTCCGGGTTACCAGAGCATGTTGGTCTACAGGCGGCGGCTTTGCTGGCTCAGCTTCTTTCTGTTGTTGGATGAGCAATTCGAGCTGATCCAGGCGTTGGATAATCACTAGACTCGCAGGATCAAATCTATAGCGGCAATTAGTTGCGATGGTCTGTAAAATTTTTTTTCAAATTGCATTAGGGGGTGTATGCCGTACGCTGACAGGTCGGCCGGGTCGTTAACCACGCAATTAGCGCCGATTCTCTCGCAAAACGAACATGATGGCTTCTTGTTGTCGCACTTGGTCCTCCTAGCCCGGCAGGTTTGACAAGCCCTAACAGCTCGTTTGCGAGGATACGCGCCACGAGGCTTAGGGGTTTGTTTGGTAGGTGTTGGGGCATCAGAGGTAAGTATGTCAGAAGTCAGTAGTGGTGGTAGCAGGGTCCTAGTGCGGGAGGAGCCGAACCGATACTCCGCGGATGCCAGCGGATCTAGAACCCCAGAGGACGAGAGAGCCATGATTGTGGGTTGCAGATGCGGAGTCTCGGTCAGGGCGTATTATTTTGCGGGGGAAAACGGTGTCTTAAATCAATCACAGGTGGCGAGTGGGGTGCCAGAGGTGATAGACGAGGCACAGACTAGACAAACTGGACGAGCTTGTAAATCCATTAGCCTTTCTCGGTTGGGGTAAGCGTCGGATTTTGGTTCCAATCCAGAACGTGAAAAATGGCGGGGAAAAGACCCAAAGGGGACACTGCTAAACTCCAGCCCAAACCAGCCTAAAACTATCCACCGAGTTTTTCACCCCCCCTCTCCCCCTGGGGTGAGAGACGCAGGGGTCTCGCGCGACTTTTTCTTTCGCTTCTGCTTCCCATTGGAGAGACCCAAGTTTAGGCCAATTTGATGGTTTGATGGTTTGATATCGCTTAGCATAACCTGGGAATCGTGATACCTTGGAGATCTGCATTGACTTGGACTTGCTTAACTTCCTAGCTTCACACTATGCACGGAAGTATATAAGTCGTGGACTCGTCCGCGGTGATTGTCATTGACTACTCCATCTCGTCAATCATTCTCAGCTTCACCCATCGATTCTTCCCAATCGTTCAAGCTATGGCGACCGAGAAGTCAGTCGAGCACTCCAACATCGAGACGGTCGATAGACCCGATGCCGCCAATCACGATGGCAAGTCTGCTCTCATGTCCGATAATTTCTTCGAGCATGAGCAGACTGTCTTTCAAGTCATCCGGAGTCATCCTGTCTTGATCTGGTGGGCGTTCTTCTTCAGTGTCAGTGCCATTGGATGGTAAGTTCATTTAACGAATCGGTTTCCCTTCCCTTCAATTCCCCAGCTAACGCAGCGGCTCTATGTAGGGGCTTTGATGCCCAGGTCAACGGAGCGGTGCTCTCCATCCCCTCCTTCCGACGTGACTTTGGTGAAACGTTCGAAGGTGGCTATGTGGTCCCTGCTCCCTGGCTCAGTGCCTTCAACTCGATTTCGTCCGTTGGTCAATTCTTCGGCGGCTTCCTGTGCAGTATCTTTGCCGACCGTTACGGCCGCAGACTTGCCCTGGCCGTTGGTGTTCTGATCACTTGCGCGGGTATCTTTGGTGAACTCTTTTCGTCCGCTAGGGCTGCATTCCTGATCAGCAAATTGATCCTGGGAGTTGGCTTGGGCTTCTACCTCACCATTGGACCTCTGTACTCCTCTGAAGTGAGTTCGAGTCATCGTCCACAGTAGGAAAGAGAATTATTCACTAACATCTTCGAATAGGTCTCCCCTGTTGTGATTCGTGGTATCACCACCGCAGGTGTCAACTTGGGAATTGTTATCGGCCAGTTGCTGTCCAACGCAGCCATCAAGGGATTCGGTGAACGAAATGATCACTGGGCATACCGGGGCCCATTCGCCATTCAACTCTTCTTTGTCGGTACGTCTCAATCCGTGGCTCACAAGGAAACCCTTCCGGAGAATGATTTCAAAGGCTAACCTAAATTTGAATCTAGCCTTCCTCGCCATTGGCCTTCCGTTCTCCGTTGAATCGCCCTGGTACCTCGTCCGCCATGAGAAGATCGATGCCGCCCGAACTGCCCTCCAGCGCCTCTATGGTCGCAACACGAGCATCGAGACCAAGCTTGTGGCCATTCAGATGACTGTGGCTCAAGATCTGGCAGCCAAGGAGTCCAAGTGGTCCGATCTTGTTCGTGGTCCCAACCGCCTTCGCACTGCCATTTCCTGCGGTGTCTTTGTTTGCCAGCATCTCGTCGGTATCATCTTCGTCCTCGGCTTTTCCACCTATTTCTTCCAGCTCGCTGGTCTGCCCACCGAGAACTCCTTTGATCTCGGTGTGGGAACTACTGCCTGTGGTGTTGTTGGAACAATTATCTCATGGACCATCGTCAACCGCCTCGGAAGACGGATGATCTTCAACTGGGGCATGGCCATTCTCAGCACCATCAATCTGCTCATCGGTATCCTGGACGTTGTCCCCACTAGCGGTGCTAGTTGGACTCAAGCAGCACTCACTGTCGTTTGGGCTTTCTTCTACCAAGTCAGCATTGGTGCCGTTGCCTTCGTCCTTCTCGGTGAAGCCTCCTCGCCCTCTCTGCGTGCTAAGACCACCGCCATGGCTACCGCCACCCAGGCCGTCTTCGGTATTGTCATGAACATCGTCATTCCGTACATGGTGAACCCTGATTCGGGCAACATGAAGGGTAAGGTCGGATTCGTATTCGGCGGACTCGGTGCGATCGCAACCGTCGCTTGCTTCCTGTACATCCCCGATTTGAAGGATCGCACTTTCGAGGAGATCGACGTCATGTTTGCCAACCGTGTTCCCCCACGCAAGATGGGAGAGTACGTTGTCGAGCACTAGGTCTGAACTCGAAGAGGATGCACAGCATCATGTCTTCTGGATCAGATGGTTGTCTTTGGAGTGCAGGTATACTCTGTATCTTGGTGTTATTCTGTCCTTCGTTCGTGGCCGTGTCTATTGCTACAGATCGTCTTAAATCTACAGACAAGATTATTTAGTTGAGAGGAAGTTCCATAATTAATGAGCGTGGGTCATCTCTTTCTGTGGCACAAAGGCTTACACTTGAAGTAATACTATGCGCCTATTTTAACTCGCGATCGCTTGAAAGGAACACAAGACTATCCTATAGACATGAATACCAATACAAGATGGTAGTTAGCCTTTGAGACCGCTGAATAGCCCGCTACCAAGTTCTCGTGCCAAACTCATCACATCAGACCACTCCCAAAATCTAATGCCTCGTACTCGTTTCGGCTCATGCGACGATGTAAATCAGCTGTCAGCATAATCGGGAATCCATGCACAGAATACATTAGTTGCTAAAGGTGGCGCGAACACAACAATTCCTTCGAAACTTCTAACTATCCCCTGCATCCTATATAGACATGATAGGCTGATGCACGTCGCGCGATGTTTCAAGGATGCATGTAATATACCCCATGGGGCTGGCCATGTGACATCTAACTGGTAGCCAATCAGAAGACAACGCGACACTCCGCGGCCGGATCCCGAACACCAAGCCCCTTCTGCATTAGCGTCAGCCGCACCGCTGCACTGCACATCGGGAATGGCTGCTCGTGCTCGAGTACTCCTCGGGCTATCGAAGCGTATTCAACTCCGTTCCACGAGTTCACGAGTTCCTTCACGATGACTCGGTTAATCTTACAACAAGTGGAGCAGACACATATGGGTTGTGTTGTTGTCCGTCTACGACCGTTGCACTCCTCGCGGAGATGCCGTGCCCCCACGACTATGCCCATCACTTCTTGTCCAAGGGGATATTTCCGGATAGCTGGCAATTATTATAACTATATAAAAGGTCCGGATGTAGCCTCGTAGATTTTTTGGATTGTTTCAACCATTCTCTACTACCTGTCTATCTTGAATTGGTCAGAAGAATTGGACGAAGCAAGACCACCATGGCTACAATGGACATTGACCATATTATTTCCGAACTTTCTATAAACGAGAAAGTAACTTTGCTCTCAGGTACCGTCCTAGCTCAGACTCTAAGAATATTTTTCTCTTGTCCATTCTTACTAATATCCGTGATCACAGGCGTTGATGCCTGGCACACCTATGCGATTCCTCGCCTAGGCGTCCCAGCAATCCGTACAACAGATGGTCCAAACGGCGCTCGAGGGACCCGGTACTTCAATGGCGTACCCTCTGCCTGTCTCCCATGTGGGACAGCCTTAGGTGCTACATTTGACACGGATCTGTTGTTTGAACTTGGCCGCCTTCTCGCCGCAGAATGCAAGGCCAAGGGTGCACACATTCTACTGGGCCCGACGATTAACATCCAGAGAGGCCCGCTGGGTGGACGAGGCTTTGAGTCGTTTTCTGAGGATCCAGTCCTTTCAGGCCTTGCGGCGGCGAGCTACTGCGCTGGCGTGAAAGACCTTGGCGTAATTCCTACGTTGAAGCATCTGGTTTGCAATGACCAAGAGCACGAACGCATTGCGGTCAGCGCGCTGGTGACTGAGCGTGCTTTGCGCGAGATCTACCTATTGCCTTTTCAATTGGCGATCAAGGGCGCGAAGCCAGGTGCTTTGATGACCTCGTACAATAAAGTGAATGGAATTCATGCGAGCGAGAGCCCTCGGTTGCTGACGGATATTGTCCGGAATGAATGGGGCTACGAGGGGTTGATCGTGAGTGACTGGTTCGTCGATACCCACCAGCTCCGTGTTGCTTTCTATCATCTAACAGAAAATGTGGCAGGTTTGGCACGTATAGTGTCGCAGGAGCAATCAATGCGGGTCTCGATCTCGAGATGCCGGGCCCATCACGGTTCCGCGGCCCAGCACTGATGCACGCGTTGACTTCCAACAAGGTCTCGGAAAAGACACTCGATGACCGCGTACGGAAGGTGCTAGAAGTGGTGAAGCTTGCTTCGAAGGCCGGAATCCCCGAAAATGCCCCGGAAAGCAAGCTGGACCGGCCCGAGGATCGCGCGCTTCTCAGACGTGCTGCAGCAGAATCAATCGTGATGCTGAAAAACGACGATAATATTCTGCCTCTTAACCCAGCAAAGAAGACCCTGGTTATTGGCCCCAATTCGGATGTATCTACCTACTGTGGTGGTGGATCGGCGTCTTTGCTGGCATACTACACAGTCACCCCGAGGCAGGGTATCGCCTCGAAATGCGAGGTGGAATTCACACAAGGTGTCTATGGTCACAAGGAGTTGCCACTTTTCGGAGAACATCTGAAGACAGAGAGTGGAGAGCAAGGATATACCTTCAGTGTCTTTACTGAGCCCCCGACATGCGAGTCTCGTCAGCCTGTCGATGTCCTTCATATGACCAACAGCTCTGCCTTCTTGATGGATTACAGCCATCCCAAGGTGTCCGGTGACACCTACTACGCCACCATTGAGGGAATCTTTCAGCCTCCCGAGAGTGGTGTCTATGAATTCGGACTCACTGTCGCGGGCACTGGACTACTTTATATCGACGGCGAGCTTGTCATTGACAACAAGACTGAACAGCGGGCCGGAACATCATTTTTTGGAATTGGAACCCTGGAAGAGAGAGGCTCCCGCTATCTGGAGGCCGGCAAGCAACACCGACTGTTTATCGAGTACAGCACCGCCCCAACCTCAAATCTGAAACATCACGGCGTTGTCTCATTCGGACCCGGTGGTGTGCGACTCGGCGGGTGCAAGAAGCTCGATGCAGACCTCGCGATCAAGGAGGCAATGAAACTGGCGGGAGAAGTGGAGCAAGTCGTGGTTTGTGTGGGATTGAGCGGCGACTGGGAAAGCGAGGGCTTCGATCGCCCTCACATGGGCCTGCCACCGCGGACAGATGACCTCGTCAAGGCCGTGCTGGAGGTCCAGCCCAATGCAGTCATTGTGGTGCAGAGCGGCACGCCAGTTACGATGCCCTGGGCTCCTCAGGCCAAGGCGCTGCTCCAGGCCTGGTACGGAGGCAACGAGGGTGGAAATGGAATCGCCGATGTGCTATTCGGCGATGTTAACCCGGTATGTATATCCGAAGGGGACAAAATCAATCCTGAATTCTTCCGCCTAGTTGACTAACACATAACTAGTCCGCGAAACTCCCTCTGACATTCCCCGCGGATGTTGCCCACAACCCATCCTATCTGAGCTACCGCTCTGAGCGAGGTAGAGTTCTTTACAGCGAGGACGTATACGTCGGATATCGATACTACGACAAAGTGGGCACCGCACCACTCTTCCGCTTCGGCCACGGACTCTCCTACACAACCTTCGGTCTATCCAATCTCACAATCCGCGAGACAAAGGTGCCCAACGCAACAAATATCAAAAATGAATCCATCGAGGTCTCCGTATCCGTTGCCAACACTGGCGATCGCAGTGGTGCAGAGGTCGTCCAGGTCTATGTGGTGCCTCCTGCTACTGCGTCCGTGGGACGCCCTGTGCGGGAGCTCAAGGGGTATCGGAAAATAATGCTGCAACCTGATGAGACGAAGGAGGTTTCGGTTGTGATTTCAACTGGTCTGGCGACTAGTGTGTGGGACGAGGCTCGAGATGCATGGTTTAGTGAAGCGGGGATGTATACTTTTGAAGTCGTTGGAACTGGAGAAGGGAATATGGTCTCGGCACCGTTTGAGGTGCGGACTTCGAGGCACTGGAATGGGCTGTAGTGGGTTGCTCGGCTTGACTTCAAAGAGTAACGTCGATAGCTAGATCACTGAACTCAGTACGAGTGTGATATTCTTAAAACAAAACATGGCTTTCATCTCTTTTTATGCGTGTTTTGGATATTGAGATACGGTTTTTATACAGTAGATTCGCGCTAACCTGAAATAGCTAGCGGTCGTGCCATAAACGGCGAGCCTCGTGCGAATAACCAGAGTTTAAAGACTGACGCGGCCCTCTTGCCACAATTGTGGCGCTGGTCACAACGTGTCAGCCTGGAAATGAACCGCGTTCGAGAAGACTTGAACCCTGCAGATCCACTGTTGGACCGATATAGGTAACTTGGGTTGAACTGGTCGCAGTGTACTTATAGATCTTGCGAATGACCATGAACATGTTGGTGATGCCTTCATCTATCCTAGTATTCTACTACAGTAGCACTACTAGCGCCTCTAACTAAATTTCATACTTTTATTATAGAATGTCCTCTAAATGACACTTGTAATTTAATACGCTCATGAAATCAAACCAACTACAGTATGGTTGCGCAAGCGAGGCGGGATGACCGGCAACAATGAAATCTCAGCTTATACGCTCTATCGTTAATGTTAAAATGTCAGATTCATTTGTCATATAAAGCCAGGTACCTCTAGACACAATTCTATCAACTCAAATCAATTCATTAACTTATTTGCTATCAAAATCCGTACTCTTTTAGTACATTTTGCACCTCCAGGCTCTTTCGGGCTCCCGCTTCGTCATAGCCTAGTGCCAAGGCTCGTGCACCCCGTTCCAGCCACAGTCCCCTCTCTGTCTCTCTCCGTCTCTGGACACTCTCATTCTCTCCATCTGTCCCCTCCCTATTCCCCCTCCTCTCACCTGTCTCGGCTCAAAGTCCAGCATCCAATTCTTGTCGCATCTTCCTCTAGTAGCCGGACCGCCTCCCACTCTTCCGAAGACGCTACCAGTGAGCCTCGACCTCCGCACGCCTGACCACTCCCTACTCGGCTTGGGCCGCTATCCGGAGCGACGACATCGAGTGGGCTGTGAGAGCTTGGCAAAAGGCTTTCCACCATACCCTACGAATCCCTGATCGCCTTCTTCTCCTCGGTCGCATCTTTCTTTGTCTGTGTTTCACCGCGCTCGTCGCATTTATACCCGCCACCATGTCCAAGGTCGTTCGCAGTGTCAAGAACGTGACAAAGGGATACTCCTCGGTGCAGGTGAAGGTCCGAAATGGTATGCGTGACCCTTTTCCTCTGCCTCAATCCCCCGCTATCATTATATCTGCGCCTGTCCTCTCCTTGCCACTGTCTCCTTGCTTTCGCCAGTGGCGATGAGAAGAGGGGGCGATTCGGCGATGGGGCCTGCGATGTGATATCATGGCGCTAACTTTGCTGTTCTTCTAGCTACCAGTAACGATCCATGGGGCCCGACGGGCACTGATATGTCCGAGATTGCGGCTATGACATTCGGGAGGTAGGAGTTCACTCGATTGATACCATCTGGATGAAAGTGGGTCTAACATCGTCACCTTGCATATAGCCCGAACGAGTTCTACGAGATCATGGACATGCTTGACAAGCGCCTCAACGACAAAGGAAAAAACTGGCGCCATGTACTCAAGTCATTGAAGGTCCTGGACTACTGCCTTCACGAGGGATCGGAGCTGGTGGTGACTTGGGCCCGGAAGAACGTCTATATCATCAAGACCCTGCGCGAATTCCAATATGTAGATGAGGAGGGAAGAGATGTTGGCCAGAATGGTGAGTTGGTATTTAGTGCCGAATGTCTGATGGTTGCTAATGATGGGCTTTAGTACGTGTGGCCGCAAAAGAACTCACCGCATTGGTGTTGGACGAGGATCGACTGCGCAGCGAACGATCAGATCGCAAGCTTTGGAAGACTCGTGTGAGTGGACTCGACGATGGATATGGAGGAGGCAGCGCCAGCGAGCCTTCACGCCGGGAGCGCCGGCGACCCCGCCGTGACGACGAGGATGACACCGAATACCGATTGGCGATTGAGGCCAGCAAGGCCGAGGCCGAGGCCGAGGAGCGCAAGCGACGGGCGAAGGAGGCCAACATTGATGACGACGAGGATCTGCAAAAGGCGATTCAGCTCAGTCGGGAAGAGGAGGACCTGCGGAAGCGCGAACTGGAGCAAAGCAATGCACACTCGCTGTTCGATGAAACCCCGGCCCAGGTCCAGCCCACTGGGTTCAATCAGGGATACCAGCAACAGGGTGCTGTCGACTGGTTCGGCAACCCAATTAATGTCCAGCAGCCCATGACGACAGGCTTCTTGAACAACCAATATGCGCAGCCTACGGGATTCCAAGGCCAGCCGACTGGCATGGCCAACCCATATGCAAATGGATACCAGCAGCAGCAGCCCTCTGCTTTCGACCAAAACCCCTATGGCCAGGCCCAGAACAACTTCTTGCAGCCACAAGCTACCCTCCAACCCCAGCACACTTCATTCAACACCAACAACCCCTACGGACCTACCGATGTTTTCGGCCAGCAACAGCAACAGCAACAGCCCCAAGAGAACTACTTGTCCGCTGGTAGCAACAATCCTTGGGCTGGAAATCAACCTGCCGATGCATTGAAGCCCATGGCAACGGGCTCGAACAATCCGTTTGCCCAACGCACTCAGCCCCAGTTCAACAGCACATCAACGAAGCCCGGCCCTCCGTCCCTCAACACTTTGGCCGAAGACCGTGCCACTTCGCAATTCAACAACAACAACAACAACCAGTATAACCTCAGCCAATACTCCCAGCAGCCCGGCCAGCCGAACCCCATCGCCAACTTCCAAGCCCCTCAGCCATCAAAGAGCACTCCACCTCAGCCTGCAGACCCTCACCATGCCCGTCTCAATGCGCTTCTTGCATCGGGCGAGGGCCAGGACACCTTCGGAAATGTTGGCGACTTGCGTATCCCTGCGCAGCACACGGCGCCGGGTACGTTCGTCAACTCCGCTGGTCAGGGTCTGGATCGTCTCCATGCGGCCCAGACCGGCAACAACCCCTTCTTCGGCCAGCAATATACCGGTATGCCCCAGCAGACCGGTTTCATGCAACAGCAGCCTACCAACAACCCCTGGGGTGCTCAGCAACGACCGCAGCAGCATGGCGGTAGTCTGATCGACCTCTAGATCCAACATTCTTGGATACCACTTCTCATTTTCATTTCGCCCCTTTCCATTACGCTTCGGGTCTCTCACGAGAAGTCTTGGCTAGGATCTCCATAGTATCGACCTCTTGCTTCGCCTTTTTTCCTTCTTCCCTTTTCCATGTCACGCCACCTACATGGAAACCAGAGCGCAGTTGCATTGTGAAGCCTCGCACCCCAGATCCCGAATTTTCCATCTCACAATATGCTTGTCTCCCTTTTCTCACTTTCCTTCTGGGTCACAGAATATCCCCTGGTCGTTTTTTTTCTTTTTGTCCTCCCATGCTTTCTTCGTGTCCCGTCTCCTTTTTTCCCTTCTCTTTTGTCTCCTCCGTCTCGTCGTTAGGATATCCTTCTCACTTTCTCAATCGGGCTTATGGTCTTTTTTTTTTCTCATCATTTGTTTTCTCCGTGCTGCATTTTGTAGAAATTTGTAGATCTGCTAGGGCTGTTGATTGTTCAGGCTGTAGTTGTGCTGCTGCCTAGATTGATTCCAGATTCTTTTAATTGTGCTGGAATGACGGGCATAGTTGAATCCCGACCTAGAAATAAGTTAGGGCTTCGGGCACGATATTTTGGCTTCTCGCACCATATACTATACCCCTACATATGCTTCTACTTTCTATTTTTCAAAATGTCTTTTAAAATGTCTTTTGAAATCTCTTTTGAGATGTCTCTTGAACAATTATTCTTAACGACCTAGGTTTCGAATTTAAATTCTGCCAGGGCTTCAAAGTTATAAAAGCCCGCCTACTGCAATAGTCGAGTACATACTATGTAAAGAACTCGATGTACATTTTCCTTAAGATCATCTAAAAGGCAATAGCGTGTTATACGAGAAGCCTCGACCTGAATAAATTGGACTCCGAAATTTAGTTCAGATGGGTATACCATATCATGTACATGCATAGCTCGTTGCCAGAGATGGATTGCCCACCCTATCGTAAGACGCTGTTTTCGGGTAGGGACAAACTGGTCTCATCCATGACTCTCCATGTACTGAAAAGGAGATAGAGAGAGAGTCTGGCTTGATATCATTTTCGACCCAGTCTCGCAAAGCATCGAAGATGCCCATTGGTTGGTTTGTACTATGTCCGCCGCAGTGTCCCAAGCCTGGGACTTCGTAGAGACGGTAAAAGTCATGGATATCGGGGATCAGTGCGGCCACTCTCTTGTAGTAGTCTGCAGAGCCTGCTGTGGGGATGGTCGGATCAGACTAGATAAGAGTTAGCATCATACCAGGAGAAATATGAGGGCCCTTGCTCAATCAGAGAACTAATCACATACTAATCCATGGTAACTCAGTATTTTACCACCTGTTTTTTTGAAAGCAGAGAGATCTGGATCGTCGGTACCAATAATTGGCCCATACTTGGTGACCGAGACATTAACCAGCCTCACGAATTCAGGAACAGTTAGTGCTTTGAAATCGAATGACGGGTCATTCTCGCTTGCAAAATACTGAAGCCACTGGGCACCGAGTGCCAGAGGCTCCCCGATGCAAGTACCGTTAGGAAGACACTTGGTGACAGCATTTGCATCCCTGCCAGTAAGATCACCCGATATATCTGCGCCATAATTCAGCCCGTACCAAATGAACTTTCCATCAGTATCCCGTGGACCCGTCCATGTCGCATTTGCCACTTTAGCTGCTCCATAGCTGAGAGCTCTCAGAACTCCGGTAGAAGAGCAATGAAACCTTTCACCAATATGCGAAAATGGATCGAAAACGCATTCATCCATGGCAGAAATAATGCCGTCTTCCACGCCATCCAATGCGTCACAGGCAGATATAGCCGCCTGGCCGAGGTAGTCTAGCTCACAGCCCTCGGGATATTCGTTCAAATTATCCATCACCACTTGTGGCCAGACTCTAGAAGGGATGAGTTGACCCCAGTTAATGTCCGGTGCAGATGCGACGATGCCGTCGTACATGTCCGGGTATTTCTGGGCCAGCATCAACCCCTGGCGGCCACCTTGAGAGCATCCACTGAAGTATGAGTAAAGAGGTGCTTGGCCATAAAAGCTGTTTATAAGACTTTTGCCGATCAAGGCTTCGTCACCGAGAGAAAAAGACGCTAGATTTCTGAGAATGTTGACGTTCGGTTTCCCATTCTCATCCAGTGCCCAGCCACTCATGTCGCGAGTATTGTTGACCTGGCCGGCGTTGGTACTGATTGTGGCATACCCCTGTCCCACAGCAGCGTACATCTCGTAGGTAGAGATGCTGTTCAAGCCGGCTGAAGCACTAGCACCGCCAACAGCTTGGAATCGACCATTCCAGGATCCGACTGGCAGCCACGCCATGACGGTGATTAGGTCGTTCACTCCAGGGTGGGTGTACTCGATGGTAATGTTGCATAATGAGATGTCGGTAAAGTTTATAGTCGGGTGGTTGAAGGTTTGGGACGATGGTGCCGACCCAGAGAAGTTGGTGAGTAGCGATGAGTTGATGGACAGAAATTGGGCATTGGGTACGACGGGCGTTGGGAAGCACTGAGAGGTACAAAGCGATATAGAGCCCTCAGGAAAAGGCATGGCTTCTCTACGTGGCCCCTGGCTGAGCTGCTGCCGGCAATGAATAAAATCAATGTAGAGAGTGGACTGTTCCGTTGGGGCGCATGCAAGATAACGTGGGACCTGGGACCGAAAGGGCGATGATCCCTGCATTAAGCCCCCCTTGCCCCTCTCCGTGGACATCACAACCTTGCGCATTGTGCCTAATATCGCAGGTTGCCGCCCACTGAACAAAATCTGAGCTTGAAATACTCTGTTGAATGACCTGATCGTTGATTTTACAAATTTCATTGCAATATGGGAGATTTGTGTGAGACGGTTCCCTACTACCTATGGCTTCGAAAATATTTCACAGGGATCTTGATCGAGATTAGACAAACCGCTCAACAACCAAGGCCGTTGTAATAAACCTTTCTACTGTACATAATTCTTATTGATTACTGAATAGGAATGTGCAAAACGTCCAATTTATCTGGCGTTCTACTATGTGGTGTCCAAACTGCAAGAATCCAAATCACCAGGCTCAGCGGCAGTCAAAACGGTAAAAAACTAGGTGCGTTCCAAAGGTCTATCACACCGGAATGATATTCAGGTGTGCATAGCGCCAAAGCCTGTACCAGGCTTAATTCGCCGCCACTCTATACCTAAGGCCGCAATAATTGATAGCGCCGACAGTGCAACCGACACATACCACACGTGAGCCAAGACCGAGTTATAGGTTTCTTGCACACGAGCTAGCAAAGCCGGAGGAACACTACGAGTAATATTGGTCACTCCCGAGCTCAAGAGCAGAGAAGCGTCAATGGTGGGAGCGATTTCATGAAGTCCACTCACGAGACCATTGAGAAAGATACTCTCACCGACAGAAGTAAAAATAGCGCCCCCAAAGGATTGAAAGAAAACAATGAAAGCTATCCCCAGAGGCAGATCAGCTTCATCCAGCACGACTTGGCATGCGATGACTGCAAGTTGGAATCCAGCCCCGATGCCAACGCCGTAAATGACCTGGTAGCCAATCCACTCGTTTGCTCCGGAGTGAACTTGCAACGTTGTCAGTAAACCCGCGCCAACAGCACAGAAAATGGCTGAGACAAAAAGAGGGGCACGTAGTGTCCCCAAATGGTAATCACGATACCAGTTAGCAGCGAAAGCACGACTGATGCCAAGATCAGTGGGATACACATAATGCCTGATTTCATGGCGGACACTCCCTTGATCGCCTGAAACCAGATTGGAATGAAAAAAACCATAATGAAGAAGGATCCCCCCAGAAGGAATGTAAACATAGGCCCAAATACCATGCTTCTGTTCTTGAAGATCCGTGGCGGGAGAGTCGCTGCCTCTCCTTTCCAAACTTGCACGACGCAGAATATGATCATCAAGACACCGAAGATCACAAGCAGAGCAATGATCCGGCCATCGGACCAGTTGTACTTTGACCGGCCCCATTGCAGTGCGAGCAGTAGACAGACAACCCCAGGAATAAACGCGCATGTTCCAATCGGGTCGAGTTTCGAGAGAATCGTGCGCCAGGTTTCTTGCGACTGTGTTGGGTTTTCGTCCAACTTTAGAATAAAAAGAATAATGAGGACTGTCACGGCACCGATCGGAAGGTTGATATAGAAGCTACATGGCTTTAGATTAGTGCATTCGTATGACTACCCCGAAGAATTGGACCCAACTTACCACCACCGCCAGGTGACGTGATCAGTGAATGCCCCTCCCAGCAAAGGCCCAACGACCGAGGCAATGCCAAACATCGACAGCAAAAGCGCATTGTCTTCAATTGAGCTGTATTAGCTAAAAATATCCAGCAATGATTCATTGTCTAAAGGCGCTCTTACATGTCGGTCGCTTGTCCAGTGATACGCTCAGCGTAATGATAATAAGCGACCCCGAGAAAACCCCAGCAGAACCGAGACCTGCAATTGCACGTCCTATAATGAAGGCAGTGGAGTTGGGTGCAGCACCACATACGGCAGACCCGATCTCAAAAAGAGCAATGGCGACTAGAAAGACCTGTTTTACTGGGAAGATTTTGTAAAACGTCCCAAACATCAATTGAAACGCGCACGTAGTCAGAAGGTACGCCGAGGCGTACCAGCCGACTGCGTCCAACGCGCCAAATTCATCAGTGATCTTTGGGATCGCAGTCGCGATAATTGTATTATCCTATTCATGTTTAGAAGTTTGGCAATTATCCAAAGATACAAAACACTTACCAGCGCTACCAGAAAGACGGCGAGGCACAAGCCAACACATATTGACATCAATCTTAATCCATTTTGGCAGGGGTGTTTATCGTCGCTGAAAGCCGTGCACGACTGGTCTTCGTTAATTGTCTCGCTGTTAGGGAGGACTTGGGTTTCGGGCTTTTCTTGGGTTTCGGGCTTTTCTGGCACCATTCTGTCTGGCATCTTATCAAAAGTTGAAAATAGCCAGCCTGAAATATGACGGTGCAATGATTATGGACTTAAACGAGGAAGCAAATCGTCCGGGAAATAACAATGATCCTGATTAACGCCTTGCGGGTGATCTGCGAGCCAAGCCAATCAATGTTTGAGCATACATCCCTTGTCTGAAATAAAGCCAGATACTGTGGCAGTATGCTGTATCCTATTGCCAGTCAGTAAGTCTGCATGATTCTTGTGGGGCCCCAATCTTTCAAGCAGGTTTAGGCACTATTGACGCATTGACCTCCCAAATTATGGAGTTGAAGAGGTAAAACAGCAAGGGCGGGACTGGAATGTTGGAAGTATGTATTGGTCAAACTGATTCAGAGTAAAGATTGGCAATTAAAAACCAAAAAACAGAGGTCACCATGCAAGTTTGGGACGCCCATTACCGTACATGATTAGACGTATACCTCTGAGTGAGCAACAAACAATCGATGCCAGGCCCATATTTATGGTGACCCTACATATAATGGCCGTCAGAGCGCTTACACTTGGGAAACAGGGAAGCGGTCCATTCAGACCAATTTAAGATTACTCGTTTTGAAAGAAGTTCTTGGTGGATCTATCCTGAATCACTTTAAAAGATGAGGCAATGTCTCCGAGACTGCCGTTGCGCTCATGCTTCATCATATGTATAGTTTTGATTTTTTTTGGTCGGGCCCAGGGTCCTCCGTGCTCGTGGGTGTTAAGTACATGAAATAAATTCAATTACTCCGCCTTCACACCAATGTAGTAATACAAGGTGATGAACGGAAATTGGACTGTCTTCTGTCCGCTGTGGAAGGTCCACTTGGAGAGGTCAAGTCCTGGCTGATCCAGCAATGCTCGGACTTCCTTTGTGGTGCGAGTTCGCAGGCAGGAGATGAGCCCATCTACCCAAATTGCCAAGGGCGCTATGGGCAGAACAAATGTGAAGAGAAGATGGATGGGCGAGTTCCAATACCAGATAAGTGTTACGTAGAAAGCCCAGAAGAAGACCAATGGCGAACAGAGGCAGGTCCACACCTCGCGTGCAGTGATTTCAAATATGCTCGATGCGCGTCAGTGTGACATTTATAGACAGCGAATGTACGGATACACTCACATGAATGCGTCGGCAGACTCGATCGTATTTCTCAGAATACCTGCCGCATCTTTATCTCCGAAGTGATGGAAGCAGATATTGAAGATTCGACATTCTTTTTTGCCTTTTGCTGCAACTCGAGGGGCAGCTCGTGCATCGACAGGAGTCTCGATGTACGTCACATTTTGCTTTTTTTTCGAGATCCGACTCCATTCTTCACGATGAGGAAAGAGATCACTCAAAATGAACTGAATAGGTTCCTTGGCTTCGGACTCAAGTTTTTTATTGATCTCGGACTCAAGAACTGGGGTAGGACCACCAGCACCGGCGCACACATCCAAAATTGTGTACGAAGAAAGGTCCTTTAAATGCTCTTGGACCACTGCACACGCCTGTGTTGCCAGACTTCCCCGACTCCATCCGGGTATTTTAAGATTCCACAATCGAGTGAGTGAAAATTGCTCGTGTTGGTGAAGCCACGCAGGGCACCATGTTTGATCACCAATCTCCAAGAGCTGCGATCGAGGCCACGACATGTTGAAATCCTGGTCGATATTGAAATTCAAAGGTCCGAATTCAAAGGTCCGAATCAAATAATGTCGGTGGTTGGGGTTGGGATTGGATTGGAAATTGCCGATCCCGGATTGTTACTGGAGATGGTCCGTGCTTGCCAAAGTTTCAATAAACCGCCACAGGGTGAATACAAGGAGAGATAGTCGCTGCCAGCCTGCCGGTAGTGGTCAAACATGTTCAGTTTCTCAGTCGGCAAATTTACTTTCTTCGCCAGAAAATGAAAGCTACGTCAAAAAGTCAACGGATCGGCTCCATTATCTTCTTAGCCTCTTAGCGTGCTCTAAGTCAATCAGGCTTCCTTTGTGTAGATCGCGTGCCCCACTTCACGTCTATAGAAAAATAGCACTGCTGGGTTGATATCCACGACACTAAGATCTCGATTCGATCGCGGGAAGAACCTTAGTCCTAATTGTATTTGTTACGTATGAGTTATCGTACGGTAATTGTTGTCGTGGCGGTTGCATGCATCTTTAGTGTCCTATCAGGCTATTACAGCCGAAGCTTTAGCGAGGACTCATGAAAACTCAATTCTGTAAATTTCTGCAATTCGAATGCATTGAGGGTCTCATCTTTAAATGCTCCACAAATCATAGGAAGGAAGCAAAAACCTTGAATCTTGTACTCCGTACAATCTGGACCAATAAAATACACTTGACAGTTGACCAAACTATGATATTTTGACATGGCAGTCTTGGATATTGACACATCATTTTCTCTCGCTAATTTTGAGATTCTAAGCACTACTGTAGTAACTGGGTCTTGCATGCCCTGCATTATCTGAAAACGAATAAAGTTTAAACAATAAATCAAGTCGATATTTCTCCAATCCTCTCAAGATCGAGGTGAATCCAGCTGCCATTTAAGTTATTGGCCGCAAAGAAACACGTGGAGGGGGCTAAGACCCCCCTTGACAGTGGATTGACATTCAAGGACTGAACGGATGTCAAGAAGCCCACGGAAAAGATTGAGCCGAGGACAAACTGCGGATAATAGGTGAACTGCTTGGCGAATGGGTAGATATCGAGAGCACGACAACCACAGGGAAATAGCGCATACAGGCAGATGGTAACCGGAATAGGATCACGAAGATAGCCAATGCCTGAGAAATGCCCCACATATAAGCTTGAGAACGTGTCACATCACCCCGAGCGATAGGTCGAGTTTTGCACCTGGCCACATTCTTGTCGAAATCACGATCGACAGCATCTTTCCATGTGCAGGCTGCTCCACGCGCGAGGATACAGACAGAGAAGTAAAGTGATAGTCCGATCAGCAATGAAAGCAGGAGGAGGTTGAACAGGGATCGTAATTGCGGCATAGAATACACCAAAGAGGCATGGAATATAGAGGGCATAAGATCCACCCGGTCTATCCAAACGCATCAACTCAGTGTAGGGCACCCATGATGCTGGTATATGGGAAATGAACACAGTAGTGGGCGGTTGGTACTTGGTATTCCGGACTCTGCTCATATCCTTGGTTGCCATAGTGCAGGTGTTGGTGGTATTGAGAAGATTAGCGATTTCACGGACGAGTCCACGGGCCTGTAAGGGTCTTAAGCTTACTCTACAGGGGGGATCGGTGGATACAGATGAGGTGTCTTCATAGGCAATTGATCTCACTGAGCACGTCCCACTCAAGTTTACCGTGTCGTGCTTCATGGTTATTAAGACTCCATTTCGTTATGAAGTTAAAACAGACCTCCACAGCTAACTACATATGTACAACCTAAGTGACTTATGGAGAACTCCAGGCCCGGAAAAAAACTTCTTTTCCACTCACCTGGCTGTCAGCATACATACATATAGTACGGAGTATACCCTCACTAAAGGCGCTCATGTCCCTTGGAGCGCTTTGTGTTGGATTATTGAGTCCACAGTAATTGAAGCCACATTTGATTTCATATCGTTGATAGCGCCGACTTGTTCCTTATTAGGAAAGTGGGGACCATCCGTCCTATCAAGAATATCCGCTGTTCAGCCATCGTATTCCGCTAGTATTAGCGTGTTTTCATGAAAGCGGTGAATGGAGATAGCTATGCAGCCCTTGAGGGACTGGTATATCTCTTTTTGTGAAGCACCCCATCAGCAACAGCAAACAAAAGTCAGAATGAAGGTTGTCATTGTCGGCGCTGGCCTGGGTGGACTGGCTTGTGCAATCGCTTGCCGCCGAGAAGGTATCGATGTGGAAATTCTTGAGCGATCTCCAGAAATTCACGAATTCGGAGCAGGCATCCAAGTGCCACCTAATGGAAGCAGAATCATGCGGGAATTTGGGCTCCTGCCACAACTGCTCGAGAAGGGAAGTCAAGTCCAAGATGTGCATTTTCGAAGATATAAGGATGGTCGACTGTTGCGAACAATGCCATGTGGAGATGATATCACCGAAGAATATGGGACTCCATGGGTGTATGTTGTTGATTGATCTACATTCATGCTTATTAAGATCCTAAAGCTTGTTTAGTATTATTCACCGTGTCGACTACCATCGCATACTACATGACGAAGCAATGCGTCTTGGTGTGGTCCTCCGACTGGGAGCAGAGGTCACCGATATCTCTACCGATGAAACAACAGCCCTTCTTGCTGATGGGACGATAGTAGTGGCAGATGTTATCATTGGAGCCGACGGTATTTGATCAGGCTTCCATATGTTTGAATTGTCATTTAAGCTGACAGCAGCAGGCCAAATGTCTTCAGTTAGAGCAGCGGTTCTTGAAATCCCTGTCTCCCCGGTTCCGACCGGGGACATGGCGTATCGAGCAGTGTTTTCAAGGGAACAGCTTGAGGGTCTGAATGATGACAGTATCAATGAGCTCTGCCAGAAAGTTGCCGTAACTAGCTGGCTGGGACCAGAGAAGCATACTGTATTCTATCCTGTCCGCGGCGGTCAGGAGTTCAACCTTGTGCTCCTCCGACCAGATAATCTATCATCAGGCGCCCGGAAGGAACAAGGCGACATTGATGAAATGCGTGCCAGCTACGCTGATTGGGATCCAACGTGGGTATTCCGGGAGATTTCTCCCCGTATTATAGGGAAAGGCTTGCTAGCTAACTGTTCATATCTCCTTGGCAGTTTACAAAAAATAATCTCCTGCGTGCCGTCGGTTTATAAATGGAAATTGACTCATCTTCCTGAACTTAAATCATGGACAAAGGTTGGTAACTCCTAATGTCACTTATCCTTCAAGAGATTGACCTGGTATGATCAGGGATCTGTTGCCATTCTGGGTGATGCATGCCATCCCACTCTGCCGTATCAAGCGCAAGGGGCTGCTATGGCAGTCGAGGATGGAGCGGTCATTGGAAAGCTTCTTGGCTCCTTGCAGGCCCATATCCTCAAGCCAAGAATCTCTGGAGTAAAACCATCTCAATCGACGATTTCTTCGGCCCAGAAGCTCACCGCCGAGGTGTTGGCCCTTTATGAAAAGAATCGGAAAGAACGCACAACACGAAACGTTCAAGCGGCAGTCAAAAACCGACAGCTCTTTCACATGCAGGATGGAATTCTACAAAAGATTCGAGATTTTGTATTGAGTTACGCTGGGGTAACTCGGAAAACTGATTGGACATGGGTCTTATCATCCCGACAGAGCCAGACTTATGGTTGGGATGTGCTGGAAGACTGTGGAAAACTCTTTGAGTATTGGAAACTGTCCATTGAATAGGATAAATGAACGTAGCAAACAATGCTGACCCCGGACTATTCCGAGTCCATGCATTTGATATTGTTGTCAATTCTGCTCTTGGTGGTCGGCACATAGTTTGAGATGCTTGCCCATTCATGGGCGCCTGAGGCGTCCAAGGCGCCCCATTGCTTGTTCGAAAGCTGTCTGTATTGAAATCAAAACAGTATCATTACGCTGGCAGGGGTTCATGACCCACTCTAGCGCGACAATAAAGATAAACTTTAGTGTATCGAAAATAACGATAGTTCAGGATTGGCAAAAGCTAGTCCTCGCTTTGATTCTGCCGATCTCTATTTTGCTTGTTCGAACGACATGTCTGGGAGAGATACATAGCTCCAATGGCACAGCACAGTCTACCGGTTTATCTAATTTTATGCGATGACGCTTGGTCTGAGTTGAATTTCTTCGAATTCCCCTGGCAAATTTCTACGTCCGACTAATCGAACATCCTCGGCGACATGGCTACCCCATCTGGCATTGAAATCGGCATTTTGACAGGAAATTGGATGCTTGTTGGTGTCTATATTCGTGGAAACATTATTTCCGACCAGTGATTGATGATATATAACTGGATAAACGCCATTCAAAAGGTCCAGATGCCGCATTAAAGCTGGTATGTACACGATTTTACCAAATAGAGATGGAATCTTGACTAGGGCCCACGGATACTGAACAGTTGATATTTCCCGCAACGCGTCAACTGGATGCTTCGAAAGGCAGTTTGTTTAGCCGCAGTGACTTTACACATATCGTTGCAAGGAGCACAAGTTGACCAAAATGAGAAGATCTCTGAGCTTGGACTTCATCTAGATGTCCTGCAAATCCCGACTGGCGGTCTGGCGCAAATTCCCGAGATTAGAATTCTGGATGAAAATGAATCAACCCTACTCAAAGACTTCATTTTTGCCGCCAGGCGTTCGCAAAATCGGCTGATTCGGGGCATGAAAAGTCCCCACAACCGAATTGGTCCCGATCTCACCCCGAGGACGTCGATCCCAAATGTCGAGATTGGAAAATATCTCAGAGGAGAGATCAGCGAAGATGGAGCCGACAGTGGCGGCTTCGTCACCAAGGAGACGGGGCTGTGGATTCATAGTTTCGATGAGCGGGAAGACGGTGCATGGACAGTGGAGCAAGTGAGAAATCTCTTTCCAAACGCAAGTACGGAGTATATCGTGCTATATTCAGCCTGCATATCACTAGATTTGGGGTTCAAGGTCATTGGGAGGGAGAGATATCACACCCGAAAAGTTGTAGTCGCCCACAAGAGCGGTGCTTTTGAGATGAGCCAATTTGTTTTCTCATATCTGGGGCCGTGAGGATCTGCAAAATGACAGCTTATAGATCCACTTTGTTGTAGCATGTGTCACTTAGTTTCTGATCTATCGGCGGTCAATTTCAATAGCGTCGATTGAGATTGGAATCTTCGAACTCAAACATTGGCATTTCCAGGCTACTCCAGGTCCTTGCCGTAAGTCTGTATGTGCAGGAGCGGCTCGTGCACTTGACAAAATAAACACAACAGTCTGATTTATCGTCATCCTTCTGCTAGGGTATGTTTTCTAGTCTTTATCAATAATTATTTGAGTTCGTCGCCCTCGTTCTCTGAAATCATTCCAAGGCAAGACACTCTATACCAGCCCTTTCCCCTGTGTCCAATTTCAGAATGGATATCCTTCAACGCACGAGGCTATTTCGCAGAAGATTGGCTGCAAAGAAAACTTCACAATTGCTGTCAACAGCCTCCAAGTCCGACTCAACTACGCGAGAATCCTCGACACCCTCCGGCTCTAGCAATGTGACGATAACCACTTCCCCCAGCTCGGTCAGTGACAGTCTGGTACTGGATTATTCAGCCCTCACGGCCCCTTGTGACTACATACGATCATTGCCTTCCAAAAATGTCCGGAAGAAGTTGATCGACGCTTTCAACGTGTGGTTCCAGTTGCCCGACGATGCGACTACTGGCATTGAAAACATCATCAGTGACCTTCATAACTCTTCCCTCATTTTGGACGATATGCAAGACAATTCTTTGCTCCGGCGTGGACGTCCTGCGACACACTGTATTTTTGGAAACGCCCAGTCAATCAACAGTGCAACATACATGGTCTTGAGCAGCTGTCTAATTCTCCAGCGCATGCCGCCCCCGGGTTTAGGGGTCATAGACGTGTTGCTCAATGGGTTGAGAGAGCTTTCCCTTGGACAAAGCTGGGAACTCAAGTGGAAGTTCCATCTTTCTTGTCCATCTGTGCAAGAGTACACGGCTATGATTGATGGGAAGACAGGCGCCATGTTTGTCCTGCTGGTCCGTCTGATGCACAGATTCTCTCAGCACAATCTCTCCCTCCCAGAATTGGACCGTTTTGCAACCCTGTTGGGCCGCTTTTATCAAGTGCGAGATGATTATCTCAATCTCCAAAACGATAGTTATTCAGAGCAGAAGGGGTTTTGTGAGGACTTGGATGAAGGAAAATTCTCCTTTCCGATCGTCTCGTGCTTCAACTCTGACCCCGTTGCGCGCGATATCATCATTGGCATTTTCCGGCAGAATGGTAACAGTGAAAGTACTCTCTCCAAAAACACAAAGATATACATCCTTGGCCTCATAAAGAGATCCGGAGCATTTGAAGCTACTCGGGAGCTATTGGATCGCTCCATGCACGAGCTCAGGGCGGCACTTTCGAGTCTCGAAGAGTCAACCGGCCAGAAGAATCCCGGATTACGGGCTATCTTGACAGCTTTATCCATGTTCTAGGGGCTTGATTATAGCTTGTTACCGATTTTTCTCCAAAGGAAGTGCAGCTTCAACGGAGAAGGAAGATCATGTTAGCGAATAGTGGGGACAGAACGCTAGTGAATAATGGGAAGCGCATGTACATCTTTAGGTAGAAAAGTACAATGATGAAGTTGAATAGGGCTTTTTGAGGTTTCATGCTAACAGAACACTGCACGCGCTAGTAATGCATTGAGTAGGACAGTACAAAACAGGACAGATAATCGTACCAAATAATTAAGGAAACAAAAGCAGATATGCGTATGCGCGACTCGGGGAAACAAATGGATGATAAGAAGGTTATATGGATGATAATGGGCAAGCGCGCAAAAAGAACAAAACTGAAGGGTGCAAAAACTGAGAGATATCACTGAAAAGAAACACCAAGGTAGGTTTCCTGTACGCCATATTAAACTGCCTCGATCTTTCCCAACACCATTCCCAAGTGTCAAATTCTGCGTTCAAAATAGTCTTGTTGAGGAGTCCGCTAATTTTTGCTTTTTCCCTGACTTCTGTGCCTCAGTCAATTTGCCAATGTCGGAAAATACCTTTTAGTCTTGCAATCCGATTTTGACCCTAGAAGGTAGGCAACACTCGATTGTATCGCATTGTTCGGATGTACTTGTAAGTTCGTGGTAGCGGCCGGTATTCTATGGCGCGATTGACCTGGTGCTTGCATGATTGTAAATTCATGGTCCCATTCAGCAATGCGTTGATCTTCGGCGTCTTATGCAGCTATGCGTTCATTCCCTGAAAGTGTTGATATACGATCTGCTTCTTCGCCTCGGCGAACAAGTTCCAGGTGCTGAAGGTCTGCAAGAGCGTAGGAGTGTTGATTCGCTAAGAGATTAGAGTCAGCGTACTTCCTGAACTTGGGAGAAATACCTTGAAGTTGGTCCTGTCTCTTATCAATATCAATGGCAAAGAAGTAAGTCTCCGTATCCTCGTCTTCAAATTCCTCGTCATCGTCTATCAATAAATGCTGATATTTCGAAAATACTTCGTTATCGAAGAGGAAGGCGTCGCTTAAGATGACATCTGCCGGTGAGTCTCGCAGAATACGAAAGTCAAGCTGGTGAACCGGGTCGGGATAGCCCAAGTAACCAAACCGCCATTCAACATTGTATGCCATACCCACGGTTTCAGCAACCGAATTATCAGCAAATATCACTCTCCTTCGATGACGGTGCCCAGTCTCAATCTTCACACCAATCTGTCGTGCATAAGTCTCGCTCATCGCTAAAATCTTTGACCCGGAGTCCGCGAGAGCAGCCTGATAGTCCTTATTCACGGTCCCAAAAACTCTTGCAGTTGATGCCCCGAGATACAGAAAGCGAAACTGTGATATACCCTTGATAACTCTCTCTTTCACACGACGGCCGTAATTGGCCAAATTTGAGAAGGTTTCTGTGAGTTTTAAGAATTGCTTTCCAATGATAACATCTTAAAGGCAGTCGGGTAGAATATGAAACTTCAGGGTGTACACGTTTTGCTCCTTTCTAAATCGAAATGGCACTGTAGTAGTCCCCACGGTTGCCATCTGCTTTCCACTCCCAACGGTAACTCGGCAGGAGGACGATAGCGTGATGGTCAGCCCCAGGTTTATGGCAAACCCCCTCTCGCAATGAATTTCTCTTTGCCCCATAATCTCCCAGTGCGTTTGCTGAATGCTCCGCAAGTTGACAAGGTATCTCAAAAACTCGCGTATTGCCATCATCGGGAGACAAAGTTCTGGGTTTCAGACTTTGCCCTTGACTTCGCCTTGTCAGTTGCATCAGCTCCGTCCTCAGAGCCGTAGTAATCATGAGCCCCATAGTGGGCCGTCGAATAATGCCTTTTTAAAGCTGTTAGAATTTGGCCTCGCTCGATCTGCTGTCTTTCGACATCAATGCATTTCTTTTCCAGCATGACAAACCCCGTATAGATCTCCCGAACCTTCTGTATCAGTTGCTATTCCACCAAGTGCGGGGGATCCGTAGCTTTGACGGCCGAGGATTGGTCTGGATTGGGGGTAGGCGATTCGGACAGAGTTAGACCATCTGAAACAGGACGTTCAGGCGGTCTCCTGAGGAGTGTCATCACAAGGCTTTCAAATCAGGCAGATAGGGTCATCGATAGCATACTTTGGAAGTTCCAATTTTTCGTCCTCCATGTTGATGGAACGCTCCCGAAGTTGACTTATTTTGTTGATGAGCTTGACGACGCTACGTGAACGAGGAGTTTTAGGCTGGATCCCATCAAGAAATAGATTAAGAATGTCGAACCCAAATTGGGGTGCTGACTGTGCGGCGCTGTGGGCATCCTCACACAGCCACCTCCAGTTGGGCACACTGAGGGGGACGAAAGCCAACATATCGGTGCTCTTACACGGGCATAGATATTACTTTGGCAAGAATATCGAGTGCGCGATGATATGGCATCACCTAACGTGATGAAAGGTGATGATAGCGAACTTGGACACGTCCGAGATGGCTATCCTGCACTTGCTACTTGGATAGGCGGGGATCCCGATGGTGAAACACTGGTATTTCGATGGTTCAGGCGACTCAGCGCACGCAATATACTTCACTTGCAATGCCAGTTGATCTAACTGGAACAAGAAATAGACGATCTTGATATGCAAGCGCGGAGAAGTCCCGACTCAGACGCTCGCCAAGCATCAAGACGATGGGAGACATTTACACAGCTTGCTGCGGATCCGGGGAGACCAGAGAGGGTACGCATGGAGAAGGTTAATGAGTTATCCGTCAAAATGAAGGAGTATGGTAAGAGACTCGCGCTGCTTATCCATTCGTCTACTCTAACATCATCTTCTAGAAGAAGCACTACTATGACAATCTCAGATCGCCGGTTTAAGCGGGCCTAGTAACCGCGTGCTAAGCACTTATCGTCACTACCTCAACGGGGATGCCTGGAAAGGCCCTTATATCCCATCAGTGCGGTTGATCAGTGGGAAAGCCAAAGATATGCTCAATGAAGCGGACGATCTAGTCTCACTGAAACGTCGCACGGACGAGGACCTTCTTACAAAACTTCTGCAAGACCATTGGGCTTTTCAGAGCCGCAAAGCCAGAGATCCGCTGGACCGCACGACGTTCTACAAAGGCAATCACGTCAAACAACTCGTTTCCGTAATAAGTATACTCTTCGCAGCAATTCTCTTGGTTCTCGCGATCGTAAGTCTTTATATCGCTAAGCATCCAGCTACGAAACTGGGTTTGGTGGTCCTCTATACATTTGTCTTTGCTTTAAGTCTTGCTCTTTTGACAAGCGCTAGAAGGGCAGAAGTTTATAGCACTGCGGCTGCTTATGATGCAGTACTTGTCGTGTTTATATCGGGTAATTTGGGTTCAGGATGACAGTTGAATCGTTTTGGGCCAGTTCCGAGGGAAATTAGAAGGTATTCAATGCATTTTTTTCGAGAGTCTCCGTTGGCCTGTCACTTTATGAATTCAAGTGTATTATCCACATGCCAGAATGTAGCAGTATCTCGTCGACTTTTTTGATAATCTTATGCCTCAATAAACTGGGTTAAGATCGCCAAATCATAATTCCATAGGGATCGCGATCGGCATCGCTGACAGATACCTCAACGCTGCCGTCCTTGTAAACTTCCTCGCCGAAAGCTGAAGGAGTGGCTCCACCCTGCTTTGCAGTCTCTTGGGTTGCCTGGAGTGCGGCTTGCCGGTCGCTGTCCCAGCGCTTTGACAAATCGTCCTGCAATTTCCGCTGCATCACCGCGCGGAGATATCCGCGCTCAGAGTTCGTGTGAGCAAGTGAGATAACCACCGATCCACGCTCGGTGGCAGCAAGAGCTTCATGATGGCTCATCTCGCCAGTGAAAAGAAGGTCGGGGATATCATTCCCGCGGAGAAGGACGCCCGATCCAGAACCGGGGCACATGCCAACGGTGCGAATACGGATGTCATCGACGGAACGCCCTTGCGGAATAGCAATGGGAATACCCGCCTGGAGGCCGACGCCACGGCCGATATGATCAATCAGGGTGGTGAGAGGTTGGGCGTCGTTGAATTGGACTAGGCGGCCAGCACCGGCAGACTCGAAGCCTTCCGGGATGGAAGCTGGGGGTGATGGGTGAATTGTGGACCGAGTGTGAGGCAGTTGCTGAGATGTGCTTTCCGAGCCAGTAGTTGGAACAGATTCAGACCGCGGATAAGTAGGCGCAGAGTATAAGGTCGAGGAGCAGCCTTTGATAGAGGCCTTCAGCTCGTCTTTGGATGACTGATAATTGCCAGTCACCACGTCGCACAGCCAGTCAGCCATTCCACCAGGAATGGTGTCAACAGCCGTGTGAGGCGAGTAGACACTGATACCATGCTGGGCCAATCGCAGCAGAGACCGCTGTTGGGTGTCATCAAGAGTAATAGACTTGAGACCACGGAAGATAATGGGGTCTATTCGAAGAAGTTAACAAGGGCATATAGGTAGATTTTATATATTCAATCTTACGATAGGCAACAACAGCAGAATCCTGGCGCTTAATTGCCTCGTCTGCGACAGCTGAGGTGAGATCAATGGCTAGGAGAACCGAGTTCTTCTGTCGACGGGTTGGCTCAAAGGGAGCTTCAAGGAGCACTATAGGTTTGGTGAGCACAAAATCATGAAAGGGCCACCCCTAGAATCCCCAGACTAGGAAGGAATCAACTTACAGCCAGTGTTATCGAAGCTTTTGTCTGCCAATGCCTCGGGATACCTGCATACATGTTAACCACCAAGCTCTATCAATTTTACAAGGAGCTCTCCTTTCAAGAAAACAACGTACAGCTTTCGCATTGAGGCCACAACGGCCTGTGTGAAAGGCGAGCAAGAGGTTTGCATTGATGCCATTGTAGAAAACCGACGTGCAGCAGTCCGCAGGGAATTCATGAATATTTGAAAAAGAATAATTGAATAGACAGAACTGAAGCAAGCAAACGGGACAGTAACAGATAGTGACGGGCGGTGACGCTATCGCTATCGCTATCGGTGCGCCACAGGCCACAGGGGGTGCACGTGCCACACCAGCCACACCCATCGGAACAGCCGAATTTGTAATGCGACCTCATCGCGATCCCGCGGGCTTCAATTCCTCAGACAGCTTTCAAGACCCTTCGTTCGTGCTTCATGTTCTCCCGCGTTTCATCTCTCACAAAGCTGAGCCGGGGCTGTCGCTATATCCTCCGCCCTAGTCCTACCTACATCACACAAACACCGTTCTCCCTTACCGCGCGCTCATTCTCCGCTGTCAGTGCAGCCATGGCGGACACTTCCGGTGTTACGGCGGAATTGCTTCAGAAGAAGCTCGAGGATGAACTGGAGGCTAAGACTGTGAAGATTGAGGATCTTTCTGGTATGACGGTTTTCTACCTCGGTCGGGTGCTTTAGCAGTTGGGTATATGACTCTATGTACTAACTATAAGTTCTTCTCTCGCATAGGTGGCTGTGGACAGGCATTTCAGGCTGTTATCGTCTCCGACAAGTTCGCTGGAAAGACCCTGCTTGCCCGGCACCGTCTCGTCAATGCTGTCCTAAAGGAGGAGATCCCCAAGATCCACGCTTGGACCCCGAAGTGCTACACCACTGAGCAATACGAGGCCCTCGGAGAGTAAGCGTCTCGAGCCGACACTACAGGATATGACATGATACAAGAAAAATGATAAAGAGGGGCTGGAAAGGTGTCAATGACGCCTACCTCAGGGCAAGGACCGACCGATATCCCTTGATTTACTGCGAAATACGGATTGGTAGCTACACAGGATGTACCTCCAATCAACATGCCAGATCGTTTCACATGGAATCAATCCCCAATGATATTCCCAGGTCAGCAACTACCAAGCCGAGGTAATTGCTGCCAGAATTTGTTTGTACGATAGAACTGAATAAAATGCCCTTTCCTTGAAAGATTGCCGCTATGGATGCTTGTATATACAAATCTATCAATGCAAAGTGTTATATGACATCACTTCTCCTCAACAGATCGAGCTTTAGCATTCATGTCAGCCTCGGCCTCGGTCTCTCGCTCAAATGTTGACCCAATAATTCCATCAATGTCACCAGCTACAGTACCTGCCAGGACACCCACGCCGATGATGCCGCCATCACTTGCTTCCCGGAGGAAAATGCTTTTCCCTTCGCTCTGAGGTCCCGCGCTAATGACGAGCCGGTCGACGTATCGTTGAACGGTCTCTTTATAATGCGGATAATGCTGTATAACTCCACCGTTGACAGCCACAACCAATTCCTCTGGTCCCTTGAGCCAGCCGGGCGTTGATGATCCGAAGTCCGGCATCCTTTGCTCTTGAGTTGATTCCTGCGGGTCCCCATTTGAATCCTTTGCTTTTGTCTCGGGATAGTCTTTGTCCTGTAATTCGATCTCACGAATGCAAGCGAGAAGTCCAACTGTGGCGGCGGCAATCAACGCAGCAGACCGGTCCTGCACGGCGGCTGCAATCGCGCGAATATGACCAGCATACTCGGGCGTCCACTTCCAATCACTCGACGCTGGTGGGGGCAATTCTCGTGTCAAGCTCTCTGCCAACTTCTCATCTGAGTAGCTTGATGCCACCACCAGGGAGAGAAAATTTGTCGTAAGAGCATATTCGCTGATTAATTTCACAGGCATTGATGACCGCGGTACGCCCTTGATTTCCTTAAACCAGTCGTAGCAGATGATTCGCACCAGCTCGCCAATATAGCGACCGCCGACCATATACTCGAGGGGCTGGAAACCGGGCCGATTCGAATGGGTGTCCAGCTCAGTATCCCACTTGGTCACAACATCGAGTTCCTGCAATGGCCCCGTTGCACCTCGAAGCGTCCATTCAGTGGAAACAACTGATTCCACGGCATCGGGGTCTTTCTCTCTGATATGGCGGATTTTGGATTCTTGTAGGTCGGTGAGTTTCATCGGCACGGCAGAGTTGCAGCCCGCGCCTACAAGAAGGCCCATCACGACCCGCGTATTTGGCAAAGCACGAATAGAATAAGCCAGCGAGGCAAGCGTTGAGATTGTATCGTTAGTCATGACGGAGATTTTGAGTTTGGGTAGACAATATTTCTTTTGTCGTTTTGCGGGCATCTCGGCGGGGTCATCATCCGCCGAGCGCCGGGTGTGGCATTCATAGCCGTCTAGAAGGGCTTGATGGAGATTGAGAGAGGACCCCAATGCAAAGCCTTTGCCAGTTGGCATGAGAATAGCCTCGTTGACGGAGTTTTGCCTAGAACCTCGTGTTAATTTCAACTCGCTAGATGGCGTTCATACGCTATGAGAGGAATTGTGTACTTAATAGGAAAACAAAAGGAAATACCCATGGCCAGCTCTGCAGGCGCATCATCTTTAGAATTGGCCAGATCATCGTGAATCACTTCTGCAATGCAGTCTCCAATCCAAGAAAACAGTGAGTCAGGGTGGTCTCGGCGCAACCGGTCCTCGATCGGCCACGCTTTCTCTAGCGTACGTCGAACATGAGGGTGTTTGCCTATTTGTTCTTCACCTAGTAGGTCGATGAAGGCCACTCGTAGATAATACAAGCCGAGATAGACGGCCAGATAGCGGCCCGTTTCTTGTCCTGTAGGCAGACGCGTGGTGGCAGTGGGGAAGAACTGCTCTGAGGAACTCGCGGCCAGTTCGCGGTATGTCAGAGAGAGGCGATATGACAGGCGATACAGCCTGTCATGATCAATTTTCAGTGGTGATAGGAAATCTTGCAACGTAGGGTCGGTTCTGGCCATTTTTGCGATTGCCTGTCAGCCGTTGCATCGGTTCTCCGGGTGTGTTGTAATTAGTTAGTTAAGCAGCGCCCTTGCAGTAGCTTTTTTTGGGTTGGGTGGGGATGGTGAAGCCAATCAGGTCAGCCATTGAGACGGATGACTCGCGTGCCCCAGATAGGCATTGAACAAGACGGCAAGATGGGGGATAATATTGGAGAATATTCAATTTAGATCTGTAGCAAAATATGGTAAATTATGTTATACAGATATGTCATTTGTTGTCAACAATGTGAAAAATTGATGTTGTATCTGTCGTTCGCCCATCGTATCCATCTACGGAGATCTTGATGTTCGATAACTCCAAGACAACTCAGATGTCAAACTTCAAATTCTTGCTTATATTGGAGGCTAGGGGAAATCCTTCCAAGGTTTCCCACCAGTCCCACGACCTAAATCTGTCAGACTCTCCCATTTCCACAACTCTCCATTAGGATTCACAAGCTCATTGTCATCCCCCAACGCTCCAGTACTATGGTTGATTTTATTCTCACCCATCAAAAACCGTAGATACCGTGCTGGATCCCATGAAGATGTAGAAGTGACTTCTTTCTTGTATTCTTGAAGTGAAACTTCAGATACTTCAATCGGCCCAGCCCCAGCATCTCTCATAATCTCGGAGATTTCATGGAAACTGCGCGTATCCCCCCCGACGTGAACAGTGTCGGGAATCTTCTCCTTTGGCAGAGTGGCCAGCGAAGCAACTACCTTGCCCACATCTTCGAGCGATGTAAACGAGATAGGCGAGCTAGCCGATCCCACACTCTCATATCGGCCATTCTTGGTATCAAAGCCAAACCACGGTCCAATACTATCCTCTAGAAAGAGTCCACAGAAGACGCGACAGATCTTCCTGTCGGGGATCAATTTCTGCGCCAGAGCGAACTGCTCTTTCTTTGTATTCCATTCTGAATGTGGGAAGTCATGGACATAGTGATCCACGCCGAATTCAGAGGGGAAATAGACTTGGACGTCGGTATGTGGGAGGGCGTGTAGTAGCTTCTCCTTGAATGAATGGCCGGAGGGTCCGACGGTGTTCACGAGGATTTGAACTCCACGGAGAGCATCGACAAGGTTGTCCTCATCGTACTTTCGGGTGGTGTATCGCCCACCGGTTTTTGGAGTTGATTCTGGTGAGGGTTTGTTTCGAGAGAGGAGGATGACATCAGAGAATTGTTCGTTGAAGGGGGAGGAGAGAAAGGCTGATGCCACACGGCTTCCTAAGTGGCCGGTAGCACCGGCGATCGCCACCACTGGTCGTGAGATGATGGAAGTCATTTTGCTTTGGTTTTACTGTATGATTTGGAGGGGTTTTAGCGTGAGTTATATAAGTTCAGCTGGAAAAGAAAGATCATTGATTAACAATTGATTATCAGAGAGTCCGGAATCAGTCCGCTGCAATTTGCCCCACTCGAAAGGTGTGAAACCTACTCTCATTGGCTGAAGCGCGGGTTTGTTTCAACTGCAAACCATCCAAACAGACTGATTACCCAATCATACTACGAGAAACGGAATGCAGTGAGATGTTTGCACTGTTTAGGGGCTGCACAAAGGGCTTTAGTATATAGATCAGACGAGTCCTTCATTTTATTGCTTCTCAATTATTTTGTTTGTTCTTAAGTTCAATTAAGATCTACCCTTTCATTCATATCACAATGGCTGAATTCCCTTATTCATCCCGACTCGAAAGAGTCCTCGGCTACCTCTTAAAACACCAGCATCAACCAACAACGCATACCGAATGTCAATGCACCCACCATCACAATCCCGACTGGATATTCGACGCAGATACATGGTCCCAAATTGAAACCCTTCGTCGAATACTATGCCAGCGACCAGCACTGCCCAGACTTCCCACAGATATCTTGGAAGACATCGATGCAGTCATTACCTACCGAAACAGCCACAGCCTTTTTACCTCGACAAGGTCAATTATCCCCAGCATCACAATTCAAGCCCAAAAGCCGGAATCTAGTTCTGTTAGAATATCATGCTGGAAAGGCGATATCACCACCTTAACCGATGTCACAGCGATCGTCAATGCAGCGAATTCCCAGCTCGTGGGATGTTTTCGTCCTGAACACCGCTGTATCGATAATGTGATTCACTCCGCGGCAGGGCCCCGACTTCGCGATACGTGTCACGATATTATCGAGTCGCAGGGGTATCTAGAGCCTGTTGGTTCTGCGAAGGTCACGCCGGGATATCTTTTACCAGCAGAATATGTCATACACACCGTGGGCCCACAGCTACACCAAAAAGTGAAGCCACAGGCACACCAACAGGCTCAACTTGCATCGTGCTATCAATCTTGTCTCGATGAGGCAGAGAAACTGCCTCCACTTGAGGATGGCCGAAAGGTCATTGCCTTTTGCTGCATCTCAACCGGTGTCTTCGCGTTTCCATCTGATATGGCAGCGAAAATCGCCGTGGATGCTGTGCTTGCCTGGTGTGCGTCGCATCCGGACAACAGTATCACGGATATCATTTTCGATACCTTCCTCGATAAGGACTGGACTTTGTACAGTGACATCCTATCCAATATCCAGATCAGCCGTTCCCAGACGAATATCAAAATCACCAAAGAACTCACCCTCCCCCAACAAATCCCCCCAAAACCACAACTATCCCCCACCCTCCTCAAAGCCCACACCTGGCTCAACCAAGCCACCACCCTCATAATCACCGCCGGCGCCGGCCTCTCCGCCGCAACAGGGTTGGACTATACATCACCCACCCTCTTCGCAAAACACTTCCCCGCCTTCCTGCCCAAAGGCCTCCGCAAACTCTACGACGTCTTCGGGTATACAGGCTGGGACAGTCCTGCCCAGAAATGGGGGTACTACTTCACGCACATTGACATGGTGCGTCGGTGGCCTGAATCACAGTGCGGTGTTTACCATGCCCTGCGCGGGTTAACGGACCGCTTCGGTGAACGCTGGTTCGTGCGGACGAGTAATGGGGATGGATTCTTTGTGAAGAATGGGTTTGATGCTGGGAAGGTGGCGACGCCGCAGGGTGGGTATAGATTCTTGCAGTGTTTGCGGAAATGTAGACCCGGTGCTGTTGTTGAGACGGGGCCGTTGGTTGATGCTGCGATGCCGATGGTTGATCCTGTTAGTCAGGTACTCATGGATGAAAGTATGATACCGAAGTGTGAATTTTGTGGTGGGGAGATGACGCTTTGTGTACGGGGTGGTGGATATTTTGATGAACGGCCGTGGCGGGAGATGGAGAGGAAGTGGGAGCGTTTTTTGAAGGATGAGATATCATCGTCAAATTCTGGTTCGGTGGTCATATTGGAGTTAGGGGTGGGATTGAATACGCCTGCTGTGCTGCGGTGGCCGAATGAGGATCTTGTGTCTAAGTCGGAGAGGAGGCAGTTTCGGCTTATTCGGGTTGGGATGGAGGCTTCTGGGTGTGTTCCGTGGGAATTGGAGGAAGAGGACCTCGCTGTGGGGATTTCGGGGGATATTGAGGCAGCTTTGGATGCTTTGATATCCTAAAACATGATTAGTTGTAACAATCAGAAACGGAATAACCCGAATGCTCGATACGGTTAAACCATTGGAATTTATTAGATTAAATACTGGATTAAAAAGGACAATCAAGATATGCATCAATCATAGAAAATGTCTTCACTATCAAATCGCTAGGAAGTATGCCAACGTATCACACCGAAAACAGCTTTGCTTTACACCTCACTATTTTAATCCTCTATCAACCTCGCTCACTTCGAGCCAGCATCAGTCTCCATGCTGAGGTACTTTTCCTCCGCACCACGGATACAGGCAATATTCGCGCCGAGCTTGTTAATAGTCTCGATATACTCATCATACGGGTCCGAGTCAAACACGATACCACCACCAGCTTGGAGGTACGCCACGCCGTCCTTAACCATCATCGTCCGCAGGGCAATGCACGTATCCATCGCACCGGGCATCTCACTCGATCCATCCGCGTTGGCAATGTTGTACCCGAAGTAACCCACCGCACCGGCATATACACCACGCTTCTCACCTTCCAACTCGGCAATGAGCTGCATGGCACGCACCTTGGGCGCTCCGGACACTGTGCCGGCCGGGAAGATGGAGCGGAAGGCGTCGAAGCGAGTCTTGTCCGGTCGAAGGACACCGGATACTTGCGAGACGAGGTGCTGCACGTGCGAGAACTTCTCGACGACCATTAGACGGTCCACCTGGGTGGTGATCGGGTCGCAGACGCGGTTGACGTCGTTGCGGGCCAGATCAACCAGCATGACATGCTCGGCGCGGTCCTTCAGACTGCTGCGCAGCTCGTCGGCCAATGCGGCGTCTTCTTCCGGGGTCTTGCCGCGCATGACGGTACCCGCGATGGGGTGGGTGATGATGCGGCCGCGCTCTTCCTTGACGAGGAGCTCGGGGCTGGCGCCGACGAGCTGGAAATCTTGGCAGTCAATATAGAATAGGTAAGGTGAGGGATTGACAGTGCGGAGGTGGCGGAAGAGGTTGAATGGGTGGAGGGATGTCGGGCGGGATAACCGTTGTGAAGGCACGGTCTGGAAGATATCACCCTTCTTGATGTGCTCCTTCAATCGGTGGACGTGGTTCTCATAACCCTCCTGTCCAATGTTGGATGTATACTCCTGGTTGGGAATAATAGGACCCTGATGGGGCAGTGGCGTGCGATCTTGCAGCAGAGTCTCGATTGTGGTCTTGATCACCTCCTGGCCCTTGAGGTACTCGGCCTCGATATCGGCATCGTTGTCGGGAATAGGGACATAGGTGATGATCTTGACAACCTGGAAGAAGTGATCAAAGGCCACAATTGTGTCAAACAGCATGAACAGTGACTCCGGCACACCCAGCACATCCTTCATGGGCCGAGCGGTCTTGGGCTCGAAGTATCGGACACAGTCGTAGCCCACATAGCCGATGGCTCCGCCGGTGAGTGGCGGGAGAACTAGGCCAGGCACAGAGGCGACTCGGGACTGGGAAAGTTCGGCTTCGAGGATGGGGAGGGGGTCGGCGGCAGGACCATGGCCGGGGCCGGTCTTGATCACTTTTTTAGGGTCTATACAGAATAGTTCGTGAGTGGTATGACTCGACAAAAGCCAGAGCGATATCGGTATCGAAGATCTCAAGTCACCCACCTGCGCCAACGAAGCTGTATCGTCCAATAGTCTCTGTAGTCGCCGCACTCTCGTACAAAAATGACATGCGCGAGCTATTCCAAAGTCAGTGATCGTGATCCCACCCAGTACTTCCTTTCGCCAGCCCACCCCGCAGGCCCGGCGCAATCTGCTCGGGACCGGCTACGTACTTCTCTGCAAGCTTGAGATAGGCCAATGTCGGGGTCAACAGGTCGGCCGAAATCGACGCCGTGATAGGCAGCAGGTTTGGAGGGAATTGGGAGTTTCTCGACTTCGAGATGACCTCCCGCGCCGTCTCGAGCGACGGGACATTGGCGATCTGAGTCATAGCAGATATGTGTGTTAGTTATGAGCAGGTTTCGGCAGAATTCGACTGTATGGCGTTCAAAGGAGATTTTCTTGCATACCGGAGGTGCCATTGTCAGTTTGTAACCCTGTGTGGTATTCGAGGCACAGTAGAGTCGGGGAGTCTATCGCAATGACAGAGGGATTTGGCGGTGGGAAAATGAGTAACTGTGGGGCGCCGTGGGTGGTTTGGCTAGCAGATATGTACCTGTCAAGTCGGCGTCAATCCCGACAGCTCGGCTCGTATCTGAGTCAAAGTAACAGTCAGCAAAGCAGAATATAACCAAATCCTTCAATTTTTGCTTTTCATCACAATAGCATACCAAATCCACCAGGAAACACTCCAACCAGCAAGTCCATCAACGACCCGAAACGGACTAGCGCGGGGATTCGCTATCGGGACTCATCGCTTATCGATACGCCATCAGATAGTTTGTTAGTAAATTATTCCGCCGTGCGACAGCAACAAGTGATCGGCGCGCAAACCTCCAGATCACGGCGATGCTCGACTCTACATATCTCTAACTCACACATCAACCTCCTCTATACACACCTCACCTATCTCCCATGTCTACCTCCACACTCCCCTCACAACCTCTCCCAAACGAAACGGGCCAGCCCGCCGAGCCGCGCGCCCGCGGTTCCACAACAGACGGGCTCGGCCTCGATCTCGACGCACCAGCCACCACACGGACGCCCTGGCCTGAACGGCTTCGAGAGCTGTCGCACTTGGCGGCGTCGTCGCCTGGTACCGTTTATATCGAATCCGAGACCGAGGAGACCATCCATGCGCATCTCGATGCGGTCGAGGCGATTCTGCGCGATCCGCGGCCGGCGCTCACAAGGGAGATTGGGAAGTGTCGGCGAAGGAGCCCTGGGGGTAAGGCGAGTGTGAATGTGGCGGAGAGAAAGACTATGACGGAGGAACTGGAGGAGGAGAAGCCAGTATTGGAGCAGGAGAATGGTGTCGACCATGTGGCTGTCTTGGCGCAGTTGATGGCACTGTTGCGCGAAGTCACGCTATTGAATGGCGAGGTTGAGCGGCGCCGCGAAGAATCGAGGGAGATTCGCGATCTGTTCGAAGAAAGGTGTCGCGGGTTATCAAGAACTATTGCCGAGCTTGAAGACGAGGTGCTAGAATTGTAAGTTTAGAAGTCATCCGTTTGCTTAGCTGTACCAAACCATGCTAACAGTTGTCATTTCTAGACAATCCGATCTCGTCGAGGATGCGGTCGAACTGGAAGGTATACAAGGGACTGTCCACGGACTGCATGATTGGATCGACCGGATAAGGAAAGAGCAGAAATTAGTCCAGACTTCAAGAACGCTTGCCTACCAAAAGTCGCGACGATCCTGGATTGGCCGGAAGGGTAAGGAGGACCGGGCTGTTGAGACGGACAGCGAGATGATGCTGGAAGGTCTAAATGCTTGGATGCGCGGATGGAGAGATGTCGAGGAAGGCTTCCAGGTCCGAGCGCGGGCACGACAAACACGAAGGAATCAAAGGCAGGCACAGCTCTTCCAAGCGGGCGAGAAGATCGGGCCTACACAGCAAAAGTCCATATCTCCACTAGAGTCTTTACCTTGTCCGATAGTTACTTAGTGCTGGCAGTGAATCGTGTATTTTTCTTGATATACACAAAACAACGAAAACCCGACGTATGCCGCTTCTAATACGAGAACTGACTCGAAAGTGCATCAGACATTTTTGGATTCGAGATTCACACGAAAAGAGATACAGACCACCGACCAACCCCAAGGGAAACGAGAAAATAGAAAAGGCCACTCTCGCCAGAAATCCGTAAATCGTTCGCCGTACCCAACCTAGTTCCCAAGCAAATGCATGCCATAATGCATCTTCTAAATCAACGTTGTATGTTCACAGAAAATATGTAGAGAAAAAAAAAACGGGGGTCCAAGAGGCCACCGACTGCATCCGCTTAGGGTGAAGATGACATTTCGGTGGGATGTCATCGAATGGTTGGCCCTCATGCGGTATGGGCCCTCCGTGGCTCTTCCTCGGGGCCTCTGCGTGGAGATTAATCCCAAGGCACCTGGTTTAGTCGCCGCATGGACGCAAAGAGAATGAGACAGAACGAAGACGCGGTAGAAAATCCCGAGATCAAGTCCCGCCGTTCAGGGTTCAAAATAAGATTATCAGACAGAGCGACTAGAGAGTCATGTGGTCGGAAGTAAAAAGATAACTAAGCGGTGTTCGGAGGTGAGATGCAAAGAATACCCCAGCGACGTATCGTCAGGCATCTGTCAAGACAAACTGACGGTGACGCTGTCACCGCTGGAGGTTCATAATAGCCATCTATAAGCAATGTCAGCACTTCATCATGTGTTATTAAGAACAAATCGCCATACTTGATTTCCTAAGCCGCAGGCGAGTTTTTTCCCATCGGGATCCCATGACAGAGCACGGTCTGGGATTGCTGGTCCATGACCATTCTGCCCGTTGATTGCGCGATCAGGTTCCTCCTTGACCTGTGCCCCGCTGGGAGCTTTCCATGTGGCCATTGGATCACCACCACGCTCGACATTCCAGATGAAGACTTGATCTTTACTGACCGCCCCGAGGGCATAACCATCGGGAGAGAAACTGCCAGTAAGGGCAGGTATTGAGGCGCCCAGTCGCAAGCGATGAACTGAGGTGTATTGTTTCGTATCCAGATTCACCTGCCACACTCCGACTGTACTATCGGCGGAGTATGAAGCAATGGTGATGGAGCTGCTCCCTTGTTTCGCTTGCAATGCCGACTGGTGTTGAATGTCGATGGCAGTGATGGCGTCTTGGTGGGCGTTTTCGATCAGAATATCGTGCGTGGGAATCCAGATCGAGGCTTTCGTGGCGCTAGCTGTGACTGCAACAGAATAGCTGGGGGTATGGGCGCAGCGCAGGAAAGTCCACTCCGTATCACCCAGCTGCGAGGTATGTGTCTTGACCAATCGAATATTGTTGTCTATTTCACATTCGTACACGGCACCGTTTCCACACGCAAACACCTGGTTGCGTCCACACCAGGCGAAATCATAGATCTGATTGTCAATCACCTGGGGCGGTGGGTAGACGTCGGGTCGCTGGCTGTCATCCCACAGGGCCAATTCGGAGGTGCGTTCATCAGATGCCACAATCACCAGTTGCGGGCTTTCTTCCGCCCAGTGTAACCCACTAATCACGCGGGGAAGTTCCGGCAACAAATCCACGACGTTACCGTCTGCATTATACATGGTCACATTTCCCTTCATGTCTCGGAAGGAGGCCACGGCCAATTTCGCGCCAATGCCATCCCATGCCACCGTGGATACATATGCGCCTGTGCCCTTGAGGTTCAAAAACTTGTTCTGAGCAGGTGCCGATGTTGACGACAGCTTCCAGAGGCTACAGAAGGTGTCCCCAGCAGCCACCAGCAAGGAGGGATCTCGCGGTCGCCAGCTGGCGGAGAGCACGTGATCTTCATCGAGCAAGGCGGTGTCGGGGGTCAAATCGGCGGCCTTGGCGGGGGAGATCTGGATGCCCACACTGCTGCCCGTCCTGAGAGTGGGTTCCTGAGGCACCTCTTCCGGCTCCATGGCCCCCATGCTCACGTCCCCGTCGCCGTCCAGATCGGGCACATGTGGATGTGGGCTAGCCGGTTTGCTCTCGGCCTCATCGACTTCCATCGCCTCGTCGCCATTAGTAGTCTCACTGGGGTGAATTTTCTTGCTGGTCTCCACTGGGTGACCATTCGTCACGCCGTCATGTGCCGGCTCTGGCGCTGGCTCTTGCGCTGGCTCTGGCGCTGACTCTGGCGCTGACTCTGGCGCTGGTGCCAGGGCCGGGGCTTGGTCTGCGCTCACCTCATCGCGGCTTTTTAATGTGCTCACTTCAAATGGCTCCGGTCCGAAAAAGTAGTTTGAAGGTGTAAAAGTAGTTGGATTGCCCTCCTGCGCCTCGTCGTTAGAATCCTCAGGACGAAAAAACGTAGGCGTCGGTAGGGGAGGCGGGTCAAATGAAAAAACGCATGCCCCCATTGTAACACCAAAAGAATAGGTCGCGCAAACATACCTTGTCGATAGAGGACTCGAGCTCGTGGTACTGCAGACCTTTCTGGACCAGCGAGACCAGCGCATGGGTTTTAATGTGGCGCGCAAAGGGTAGCGCCTGGGGATCGGGGTACCATGCGCGCTGCAGTGATACAGCAGCATCGCCATGACCTGTGAGTGGAATTGGTTAGAAATGGGACCTGCAAGAAGGAGATTGGAGGCGCAAGCGTTGACTGCATGGCAGCGATGATGCGACAACAAAGAAAAGCAGAGCTTGGGGTCGGTACAAACCTGATTCTTGGAGGTACCTAGAAGCGCACGGAGGCGGGATTAGCGAGCTGCAGGGCGCGCATCGGGGAAAGCTTCGGGGAAGGGGAGAAAGAACGTACCTCCATATTAGGTAGTTGACGTGATGCGAGGTCAGGTCAGGTTGTGCCATGATTACATGTGCGACCAGTCAAGTGCCGCGAACATGCCAGAGATGGCGGGTGGGAATGAGGCGGGCTTCCGCAAGGGAAGATGGAAAATCAAAAGTGGAGGCTCTGGGCGGCGGAGACCAGATGGAGCTTCCAGGAACGCGAACACGAAAAAGTTGGGCCTTGGACAATTGTGGAGGGTGTGTGGTAGCTTAGTTAGACCGAGCGAGCCGAAAGCAGAAAGGGGGCAAATGGGGGTCTTCCGAAGTGCCGTGGGGGGAACTTCAGGTTAGGAAGTCCGAGAGGTGCAGGTTGGTTGGGGTGGCTGAATGGGGGGAGGAGGTTAAGGGAGAGAGAAGGTTATAGGGTGCGGGAATTCAAGATGGAAATGGGGAGGTTTGAAGATGGACCGGGCCAGATGAACAAGACACAAGGTCAAGAAGAGAGAGAGAGAAGGCGAGACGGGGGGAGGTTCCAGGCGCCGATAACTAGCAGAGGCGGCAGATGGCAGGTGGCAGGTGGCAGGTGGCTGTCGAGATTGGTCCGGTGAATTGGGAGGGTTCACGTCGGAGATCTCGATCGTGGAACGTGGAGAGAGGGAAAGGAAGACAAGAGAGTTGGGGAGATGAGAAGGAGGAAGTGCAACTGGATGGTGGTAAGTTGGTTTGGTGGTTGGCAGAGACCGAACCAAAAGAGCAAGACCAACAACCAGGAGACGACTTGGCCAATGAACCCAAACCCTGCGGATGTATTTTGGAGGAATGAGGAATGGAGAATGGAGAAGCTGAAGAAGCCGAACGGCTGTGACAGCAACGAGTCACGACCAGAGGCTAAGCGCACTAGCCACCACTGGTCAAAAAGGCTAAAAGTGGGCTCAGGCTCAATCTTGAAAATGCGTGAATCCTGCGGTGGCGTCCTCCACACAGAGAAGATGAACAAACGGGGGAAGCTCGGTCGGCTCGGCTAGGCAAGGCCGATGAGAAGAGAAGAGAAGGACAGGGATAGGGATCTACAAGGCGCACTATGGGATATATCCAGTACAGTATATCATCGACACCTTGAACGGAACTTCTTGCATTTGAACCTTCAGCCTCCCAGGCTTGTCTCTCTCTGTGGGTTTTCCCAGTCCCGTCTGACTAACGCTTTTCGGGTCAACCAGTGGATCATCTCAAGAACATCTGAGAACTGCACATCATCGGAACTCGTCTCCACTCCGGAGCCTTTTGAACCCGTGACCCGATATGACAGAAGTATTAAGTCTTGTCTATTATTATATGCCTGGATTATACTACCTCTATATTAATGTTATTATTGATCTTTGCATAAACACAAGTCAGCTTCTACATTGATTCTGCACTATTAGACTATCATGCCCTCGTAAGAAAGCTCCAGGGCTACTTGCTGGATCGCCACAGCCACAGAGTAGTACTTGACTCGTACTGGCATCTTCTACCCAAACTACCTTCTGCTTACATTGAGACTTAAAAAAACAGCCTGTCACAAACAAGCTCATCGGGATAAAGCGCCATCATCTTTAGTTTCCCCGTTGAGGCGGGGTTCCCCTGCGCCGCTCGGCGAGATATATACTATCGATACGGGATGTAAGCACTATAACACATTTCTCAAGGAAGCTTAACTTAACAAGCACTTACAGGGCTGTAGCTCACTAATCCTGCCTCTCAATCCAGATGTTACAGATATTTCTGGACACTGCTTACCCTATAGTATATACCACAGCCAGGGGTTCGACTCGAAATACGTAGAACAATGATGCCACCATGGACAGAGCTATAAGCGCTTCGATTAATCATGCCCCTTCATATAAGCGAGGGCTAGGTAGGCATAGCCCTGAGAATAGAGAGTCTGTCTATAGATTCAATCAAAAATTTGAAGGAATTAAACCTATATTTCAACCTCATCCACGCCTTCAGTATACCTACCTACACCTGAAACGGGCTGTTCAGCCACTAGTCTAAGCTAATCGGTCCGCCGCCCTTCCAGGCGGGAACCTCAGCCCCCAACGTAACACCGTTTAGAACTTCCTCTTCGCAGCCAAAACCTCTGGGCTTCTGGTCAACAAGCCCTGCGGTCTCGCGTCCGCCGCGAGAACGAAATGCCCCTCCGAGTCAATATTCCTCCGGCCACTCGCGCCGTCCTCATCAGCCTCCTGGCCCTCTCCCTCCTCTACAACATCGCCAGATGGCGGCAACTTGACACCTCCGCCGGCAGCGTCCAAACCAGCCCGATCATTCCCTACCTCACCCTCGTTCCCTCTCTCTTCTATTACTACCCCTGGACCCTGCTCACGGCCACCTTCGTGGAGCAGAATATCTTTACCGTTGCCCTCAATGCTGCCACTATCTTCTATGGCGGCAAATACCTCGAGCGCGCGTGGGGGTCTCGCGAATTCAGCAAGTTCATCGTTGCTGTCGCGCTGATTCCTAACATTGTGATTGTTCCGTTTTATCTGATCTGGGGCGCCCTCGGGGGTTCTTCAAGCAGAGCGTAGGTTTTGTTCATCCTGTCCAGTGTGCTGGGCTAAAATATGGTAACCGAACTGACCATTGAACCCCCTTCTGTACACAGTCTCACCCAGATCTGCGGCGGCGTCGCTATCCAAGGTTCTTTCCTTGTCGCCTTCAAACAGCTCGTTCCCGAACACACGGTCGCCATTTTCAAGGGCTTGGTCAAGATGCGCGTCAAGCATTTCCCCGCTCTATTCCTGCTCCTCAACACCATCAGCGGCATCATCATTGGAACCGATACTGCCGCCGTCCTGGCCTGGCTAGGCCTCCTATCTAGCTGGACCTACCTCCGGTTTTATAAGCGACAGCCTGATCTCACCGGTACCTCCACCAATGGCCTCGGTATCAAGGGTGATGCCAGCGAGACTTTTGCTTTTGCCTGCCTATTCCCCGATGTGATGCAACCCCCTATCGCATTCGTCGCCGATCAAATCTACGCCCTGCTTGTCACAGTGAGACTCATCACTCCCTTCTCGGAGGATGAAATTGCTTCAGGAAACCAGCAGGTGCTGGCTCGTGGTGAGGCTGGACTCCCCACACTCCTTAGCAACCAGCGCGGAGGAGCGCGGGGCTCTGGCAAGCGGGAGGAGGCTGAGCGGAGACGTGCGTTGGCCTTGAAGGCTTTGGACCAGCGACTACAGGCGGCGGCGGGTGGACGACCTCATGCCGGTCCGTCGACGCTAGGCGAGCCTTCTTCTTCTCAGCACCGCCCGACTACACCGACACCGTCGACTGGGCAAGGTATGCTGGGAGAGACCAGTTATAACCCTGATCATGCATGAAAGGGGCGCAGTATTGGGGCTGTTTGGACATACTTGCATGAATAAAATGGGGCCCTGGGGCTGAAGAACTACCTCACCTGCCCCTGTTGCTCTAATATCTCCTTCTGATGATGTATATTGCACACAATTTTCTCATTGATATTATGCCCTGGACCTCGATCTTCCGTTGATCTGACCTCCTCGGCATATGTGTGACTTTGTGATGGTCACTGATTTCTTTCTTAATGACGACCAAGCGAGATTGCGATTTGTATTTCTTGCAATTGGGATCTTTCCCTTAGTTTTATACCAGCCAACAGCGAGTGTCTTATAACGAGAGCTTCCAAAACAGAACTGGTCAATGCACCTTCCGAATGAGTTAGATAGACTTTCCAAAAAATACATAGTCGTAATGAAAACAACCAGAAAAGCAAAGATGCAAGTATACTATGCTACAGGTGATCTCCCCAGCCCACCCAACAGGTAGGGCAGACAAGAAGAGACCAGAAAGGTATAGTGAACAAACCACACTACACCAAATCGTCCCCTAAAAGAACAGGACAGCCATCTTACAGCTCCCTCATCTTCTCAACCTCACCACGAGCCTCAGCCAACATCCGCTCCTGATCCTTCTTCGCCTGCCGCATAGTCGCTATGCGCTCACGATCCTTCCCAGCCTTAGCCGTAATAGCCTCCAACCGCTTCCGCTCCGCCTCATCCTCTGCACTAGCAGGGACCTCCTCCGCCCCCGTCGACGCCTGCACCCGACTCCAAATCTCCTTGTAGTTGAGATCCTTCAGGTCCACGACGGCAGTCTTCTCGCCGCTCTCGGCAGCCGGCGCGTGCTTGTCGGTGATATTTTTGGCGCCGACGATCGCGGACGCGGTGCTGCTGAGTCGCTCGGCGAAGTAGATTGTCAGTGCGGGAGGGGCGGCCTGGTCGTCTGTTTGTTGGACGGTCATTCGTACGCCTGGGTTGTGGTACTTTAGGCGGGGGAGACAGTTGCGCCAGAAGTGGCGGGCGCCTTGGTGACCGTTGTAGATCTTGCGGGCGTATGTGAGGTGCAGGCGGGTTACCGGGGGGAATTCTTTTGTGGCGGAGGTTGGGCTGGGGAAGATGGCGGCGCCGGTGCCGGTTCGGATGTCGAGGATCTGGGGGGTGGAGGGGTGGTTAGTTTGAGAGTTTCTTGAGGGATTGGAGGGTTCAATTGAATGGGTGTCAATTGGAAAGGGTTGTGGTTGTGTCGAGATGTTTGGGTTCGATGTTGAAAAAGATTCGGGGGTGTGAATGTTTAACGGGGAGGAATGGGATGATTTACCCTCTAGAAAAGATTAAGCAATTGAGTTAGCCAATGATCAACTCATTCATCCCAGTTGCAGGAGTTAAGTATCACAACTCTGCTATTCCGAGTCACTTACAGTCTTCAGCTTCCGCATGCGCTTGAACAGGTTCACCATGAGGGCAGAGTGTGTCGCAGAGGGGCTGGCCCTGCTGCGAAGGAACTTTTGGAATCGGCAAAAATTAGAACTGGACCGAGAGTGAATATCTCCTTCCTCAATGGCCTGGATCAGAGCTTGGCGTGTGTTGTCGTGGATCTGGGGAAATTTGACTGCGGAAACTCTTGCGCGTGAAAGTTGCTCCGTGATATCGAATCACGTGATATGTACATTCTATGTATCCTTTCTGACCACCAGATCTACTTGAATATTTTGTTCAATATTCTCCTAGTCCCATAGTCTCATGAATCAGTGAATCAAATTCTACCTTATCGACTCTTGACTCACTTTCTACATAGCCACCACCGGTCTGATTCAAGTAGATAAGAGGCACGTGCGGAAATCCCGGCCAGTCACAGCCGCAGCGGCTCGACCGCCTTTGAGTCACTGGCACAATTCGATTTGAATTTATATCACCCCGCGATCTCTTGTTTCCCTGTCCCTTGGGAGTCTTGCAATCAGGGTTCAATCCGGTTGAATTAATCATGGCAGCCGCTGCTGCGTCCGCTGCTGCGCTCGACCCGAGCAACAGCACAAAAAATACTCTGAAGCTTGAAAATGTGACCATATACCCCTCCCCCTCCATTTAGGCCGCTTTTCCCCAAATTTTTAGATCTATGATCGCAAGTTGCTAACTCAACTTTTACTCTTCCCAGACCGAGAAGCGTGACTCCCTTATTGCAATTGAGAAGAAGTACCAGGCACAATGGAAGGAGAACAAGGTCTTCGAGGTCGACGCTCCGTCCTTCGAGGAGGTCCCCCAGGGCTCAATGTCCGCCGCCGAGCTGCGTGAGAAGCACCCCAAGTTCTTCGGTACCATGGCCTACCCCTACATGAACGGTACCCTGCACGCCGGTCACAGTTTCACTGCCAGTAAGGTCGAGTTCATGACCGGTTTCGCCCGCATGGAGGGCAAGCGTGCTCTTTTCCCGCTTGGCTTCCACTGCACTGGTATGCCAATCAAGGCCTGTGCCGACAAGCTGCGCGACGAGGTGAAGATGTTCGGCCAGAACTTCGAGGGATACAAGGAGGACGAGGAGCCCAGCGCTCCCGCTGCGCCTACCCAGGAGTCTAAGCCCGAGGCTAAGGCCCAGGCTGAGAAGTTCTCCGGCAAGAAGAGCAAGGCCGCCGCTAAGACCGTGAAGATGAAGTACCAGTTCCAGATCATGTTGGCCATTGGTGTTCCTCTGGAGGATATTCACAAGTTCGCCGATGCCAACCACTGGCTGCACCACTTCCCCCCTCTTGCCATCCGCGATCTGGACAGCATGGGTGCTCGAGTTGACTGGCGGAGACAGTTCGTCACCACCGACGCCAACCCTTACTACGATGCCTTTGTCCGCTGGCAGATGAACCGTCTGCATGAGCTCGGCAAGATCATGTACGGTAGCCGTTATACTATCTACTCGCCCAAGGATGGCCAGCCCTGCATGGACCACGACCGTACCGAGGGTGAGGGTATCGGTCCGCAGGAGTACACTGCCCTGAAGCTTCAGGTTAAAGAGTGGGCCCCCGAGATTGCTCAGATTGTCAAGGGTAAGATCGAGGATGATGCCAAGGTCTTCTTCGTTCCTGCTACCCTGCGTCCTGAGACCATGTACGGTCAGACCAACTGCTTCGTTGGCCCTAAGATCAACTACGGTCTGTTCAAGCTGAAGGAGAAGGAATACGTTATTGTCACCAAGCGTGCTGCCTGGAACATGGCTTTCCAGGGCCACTTCTTCGAGGACGGCTATTTCCCCAAGACCCAGGCTGAGCTGCCTCTCGTCCTCGAGGCTCCCGGTTCCGCCTTTGTTGGTACTCTTATCAACGCTCCTCTGTCCTTCCACAAGGAGGGTGTGTACATTCTGCCCATGGACAGCGTCTCCGCTTCCAAGGGTACTGGTGTCGTTACTTCCGTTCCCTCGGACAGCCCTGATGACTACGCTACCCTGATGGACCTGATCAAGAAGGCCGACTACTACGGTATCAAGAAGGAGTGGGCTGAGAAGGAAATCTTCCCTCTGATTGATACCCCCACATATGGCAACCTGACTGCTCCTGCTCTGGTTAAGCAGCTCAAGATTAACTCTCCCAAGGACGTCACACAGCTTGCCGAGGCTAAGGATCTTGCTTACACCGAAGGCTTCTACAAGGGTACTATGATTGTGGGCGAGTTCAAGGGCGAGCCCGTTAGCGTTGCCAAGGACAAGGTCCGCCAGTCTCTGTACAAGAGCGGCGACGCCTTCCCCTTCGCCGATCCCATGGGCAAGGTTGTTTCTCGCTCTGGCGATGAGTGTGTTGTTGCATACCTCGGCCAGTGGTTCCTGAACTACGGTGAGAATGACGCCGAATGGCAGAAGGAGACCCTGAACCACGTTGCCAACAAGCTCAACACCTACGCTGCCGAGACTAAGCACGGCTTCGAGAAGAACCTGGACTGGCTGAACCGCTGGGCCTGCGCCCGTACCTACGGTCTGGGCTCCAAGCTGCCCTGGGATACCCAGTTCCTGGTCGAGTCCCTGAGTGACAGTACTGTCTATATGGCTTACTACACCATTGCCCACCTCCTGCACGGCGACCGCTACGGCAAGACCACCGGCCCCTTGAACATTACCGCCGACCAGATGATCGATGAGGTCTGGGACTACATCTTCACCCGTCGTGAGATCAGCGACGAGCTGATCTCCAAGTCTGGTATCAGCAAGGATGCCCTGCTCAAGATGCGTCGTGAGTTTGAGTACTGGTACCCCCTGGATGTCCGTGTTTCCGGCAAGGACCTGATCCCGAACCACCTGACCTTCTTCCTGTACATTCACGTTGCGCTCTTCCCGCCCGAGTACTGGCCCCGTGGTGTTCGCGCCAACGGTCACCTGCTGCTGAACGGCGAGAAGATGAGTAAGAGTACTGGTAACTTCCTCACCCTGAAGGACGCCGTCGACAAGTTCGGTGCCGATGCCACCCGTATCGCCTTCGCCGATGCTGGTGACGGTATTGAGGATGCCAACTTCGAGGAGGCCGTCGCCAACAGCAACATCCTGCGTCTGTTCACTCTAAAGGAATGGATCGAGGAGGTTGTTAAAGACACTTCCCTGCGCACTGGTGACTCTGATGCCGCCTCTGGCAAACTCTTCGACGAGCTGTTTGACAACGAGTTGAACAGCCTCGTCCGTGAGGCTCAGAAGCACTACCAAGAGTAAGTCAGGCTCCTTTTTGACCTGGAGTACATTACTAACCCTCTCATTTAGTACTGACTTCAAGCTTGCCCTGAAGTCTGGTCTGTATGACTTCACTGCTGCTCGCGATACCTACCGTGAGGCTGCCACCGCTGCCGGTGTTGGCATGCACCGCGATACGATCCTGCGCTACATTGAGCTGCAGGCTCTGATGCTCGCCCCTATTACTCCTCACTGGTCTGAGTACGTCTGGCTCGAGGTTCTCAAGAAGGTCAGATGCTCTCCTCCCTTTATAACATCATGTGAAGGAAAATCTAGTCTAACTAATCCACAGCCCGAGTCCATCCACTTTGCCAAGTTTCCCACCGTCCCCGAGCCCAAGGTGGACCTCACCGCTGCCCAGAACTACGTCCGCAGCACCGCCTCCAGCATTCTGTCCTCGGAGGGCCAGTTCACCAAGCGTCTGTCCAAGGGCAAGGCCTCGAGCTTCGACCCTCGCAAGCCTAAGAAGCTCACCATCTTCTATGCCGAGAACTTCCCCGCCTGGCAGGATAAGTACATCGACCTAGTTCGCGAGGCCTTTGACTCCCTGACCGTCACTATCAACGACAAGGAGCTCAACGCCAAGGTCGGCAAGCTCGGCGAGATGAAGAAGGCCATGCCCTTCGTCCAGACCCTGAAGCGCCGCCTGGTTTCCAACCGCGAGTCTTCCGAGCTCGTCTTCGGCCGCAAGCTGCCCTTCGATGAGCTCAAGTATCTGTCTGCCATGATCCCCGGCCTGAAGCGTACTTCTGGTTACAAGGAGATCGAGCTCATTCATGTTGATGAGGGTGGCAAGACTGGCAAGGTTGTTGGCACTGGTGAGGCTCGTGAGGGTCTGAATGCTGAGAATGCTGTGCCTGGTCAGCCTTCCTTTACTTTTGCTAACGTTGATTAATTCGGTCTGTTGTCTTGAGGATATGACTGGGTTGTCTGTCCTGTTTCTTGTGTCTGTTCAAGAGTCATGTTTGATGAGCTTATGCTGCTAAAAAGGAATAAATGCATTTTCATGGTTCATATCGTACGCTATCCTTCATGTTTAAAGCACTTTCGCAAGATGGTCAAAACTCCAGGCAGGGGGTAGTAGTCGAGATAAGTAGGGACGCATATGACACGAAAAACCTCTCCGATTCCATTATTCTCCAAGGTATGCAGGGCAATGGTGACTGCGACTTCAGGGGAAAACGGTAAAAGCTCGATCCGATCACGCGTTTCACGGCGAAGATTGCAGCAGATGTGGTAAATTGAGTACCACAAACAAAAAGGAACCTCGATAACGAGTGAGCAGAGCCTGATAATCTCCATGAACAGCATAGTGACTTCCGTCTTCCTCAATTCTATATGCTGTCTGCCAAGGGAGGTGCCGGCCAAAACTGGATACTGAAAGGTCAAGTATGGGTCTTTCAGTATGATGATTTGGAAAGCTTTGAGATCCTATACCCTCGAATTTTAGCTCTTTATTATTGAGTCTACATTATTCCTTCCCTTCATTACCAGGGTTCTACGTCTCTATAACAGTTTTTGAACCATCTTTTGAACCATCTTTTGAACCATCTTTTGAACCATCTTTTGAACCATCTTTTGAACCATCTTTTGAACCATCTTTTGAACCATCCTTTGAACCATCTTTTGAATGACCATAATAAGCATTTAGCTATCAGAGCCAACCAGGCAGTGATTAACGTTAACGTTAGGAAAGCACTAGGCCAGGCTTCCTAGTCGAAGAAGCGCCGATAAGGCGTTCCCACAACTTCTTTAAACATGCTCAAGCCACTCAACCGCTTTTCGGACAGACTCGCCGACATGAACGGCGATGATTCTGTCATCCGATCCCGGGCGAGTGAGTAGCTTGTAGTATTAGCACTCTCTTTTGAATCGTCTTTGGAGTTTGATGTATATCTAACTGCCGTGAAGCAGAGTTTCGCGAGTTTGCATCTACTATGTGGTGGTTGTATCGCCTTTGGACATGCTGCCTTCCATAAGGTCTTTCCCCTTATTGTGGTCGATGAGGAGACAGCTGGGGAGTTAGTGATATTATCATCCTGCCACACCCACACACCAAATCCTGGTGGACGCATCATATGACCTGGCAAAAGGTTTTCTCGATTTGGGCCAGATGCATGAGGACGAATCTGGCCTGACTTCTTTCTGATGAAGATTATCAAGTACGTTGGTCTACATTGGGGTTCCATAAGTTTGAAACCCCGACAAATTTTCAGAGTCATCTTTGCAGTCACGAGTTGAAGGATAGGCTACAGAATGATACCTAATCTACCGAAAAAGACAATTTAAATGACCTTTAGAAAGACCTTTCAAAAACCAAGAGGTGGAAGCATATCTGTTTGGCAGTTTCTCTGGTTTCTAGACTCAGACTTTCGAACTGCCACTGTATAAACCTAACGTCGAGCTATATACTAACCTATGTCTCACGTAGCGTCGTGAACGACAAACTTGACGCTTCTTCAAATTCTGGGTGTGGCCGCATTTCTCATTCCTTTTGGGGCTGTCCGGCAACTTAACTGTGTTACTAGGAGTTTTATGTGTTGATAAGGTTCCTCCCTCTTTCATTTCTACGCAATTCATAATTCATTCCTAAATTTTCTTACTCTCAACATATCTGCTCATACCTGACCGGCCCCTTCTGAGTCATTAGACTCGACTAAATATTTCAAAATGTCCATAGATTCTACTTTTTCCGCACAGCGCTTCCAGTTTCCGTCGAAATTTTCAGACTTTGCCCTGTACCTTTTCAAACGTAACGAGACAAGCAAGGTTACTTTTACGGATGTACCTCCTTCTTGGGGAGAGGCGGTGTTTCAACGTAGTGACCAGGAAATTTGCGCAAGGTCAGACAGGGAACTCATCTGTTAATCCTCTAAAAATTAATCTTTAGCAGGCAAATTTGGAGTACCGTCACCCGAAAGATTACCGTTATCATACCTGGGGAGATTCACGATTGTGTTCAAGATTGGTTGAATGATTCAATGATAACGTGGGTCGAGAATCGTACCATCCCATTCCAGGAGCTACGGAACCTCGAGGCACGCGTCGGTAGCACTATTCGACTCATAGACTCGAATTCCGATTATGTTCAGAAGCAACCCGATTTCTCCATCCGACCTAAGCATTTGCTTTATCCAACGCTGGCGGTGGAAGCGGGCTGGGCGAAGTTGGGAACACAGCTCTTAGATAGTGAGGACTTACGACTATACAGTAGTGATGGGGTCTAGACTGTTCTTACTGTTGCTTGGACACAACAGGGAGATCGCATTGCAGGCACTGCGACACTATACAAGCTTGATTCGAGTGGGGTTCCTACTAAAGAGCAGAAGGAGGTAAGCATATTGTAGCCTTAACAGTGTTCTTCAGCGTGGCCTATGATCTCATTTTTCACAGAAAATTTTCCCTGTACGCTTTTCTTCCATCTGAAATCCGCTGCGCTTTAGAGTCACTCGGGGTGATCTTTTGGGAACGAACCTCCAAGAGGATCGCGACGCGTCAGAAACCTTATACTTCGATATTGGTCATCTTCAGAGGGAAGCTATACGCAACTTCGCTAAAGTGGGGTATAAACCAGCGTAGTCATGGTTTATGATGGCTGGAATTTGTTTCCCCAAAGATCTGGTGGACCTTGAGGCCCACCCTTGCTTCGAATGGTCTTTTTAGATGTGTTTTATATCGTGTTTCGTGATAGCCTAGGCATCATCTCAGGATCTATTGCTCAAATTTTAATTGAGAGGATGGGTTATAGCCTCGTCATGGTTCCGAACTTAAGAACCTACTGGACATTCAAAACTAAGTGGGATCGTAGCAAGTAACAACAGAATAGCCTGTGCCTTATTTCTTCAGAATGATTGCAACCTTCAAGGATCCTCATCGCTTTAGCATCTATCACAGTTTGTTTAATAGTAGACCCGATGGTAGCCTTCAAAGTGTTCCTGGATCTTTGTGAACTGCGAGATCTTCTTAGTCACCGGGCAATTGCCCATGGAATGCCCATGATTGTAAAGATGCAAATAATCTTTGACAGCCCGTATCAGGACATTGAAAACCTGCTTTCCCCACTCACGGACACCGTCAGGCCGGCGCCGACTATCGCTGGAATAATCGCTAGAAATGACGAGGCTTGGCGGGAGAATGAGAGGATGCGGACACAAATGGAGAGCTACGTGTATATTATACAAGGCAAGACTATCAGAACACCAGTCGCTATGCTAACGATGCTATGGTACATTGTACTTCTCCAAAAGAATAAGGCTAAGTGCCAAGTGTATGAAGTACCACTCAACTATATTGGTGTCTCAGACGAGGCCTCTTGCGTTTGTCCGCCTTGAGCTTTTCGGCAATGAAATTCCAACATTCAATCGGTGGTCGAGAATCGACATGCTTCCCGTTAGGAGTGAAGACTTCAATCTGGGGGCAAGTCTCCGTCTCGGTATCCGGATTGCGCTTGTTGCGGATTTGAATGCTGACTTCGACCCAGCCGCAGCCTTCAACGAGGATATCGGCCGACATCACGCGATACGGGAGTCTAGGAATAGGAATTCCCCTGTCCTTTACAGCCTTGGCAATTGTAGAGGGCAGATTCGATGCAGTTGTGTCCCACTTCAAGTCAAACTTTCCAGCCGATGCGATTGTTTTGCCAGTGCCTTCGTTCATGAGGACCGTTCCTGCATAGGGTCGCTGCTCAGTCTGCATTTCAATTGCCTTCTCTGTTTTGGTGACATGCGATTCGATGGGTACAAAGCATGCAGCCAGGATGGTATCTTCTGGATTCACGGCTGTGATACGCACAAGACCACCACCAAGGAGAAGAGACTGGCCGGGCTTGATGGTGCATCGATCAGGTTTGACCCGCTTGGTCATGATCAAATCACGCTTGTGCTCATCACGCACGTAATCCTCAAGCTCGCCACGTTCGAGACCAGGCAAGTCAATGACTTCGCCCTTGCCGCGGCCAAATGGAATTCGGATAGGCGATACTGTAGTTCCCGGCATGGACGACACCACTGGGAGCACCGGAAACACTTCCTCTCGGGGAGCCGGGGGAAGCAGACTATCGGGATCCAACAAAGAAGCCTGTCGTTGGTTAGGAACCTCTTGCTCCTCCCGTTGACGCTCGATCCATTCGGCCATATTCTCGATAGTTCGAGAGTCTTTAGGAAAGCAGGCCTCGATAAAGCTGCTCTTTCCCACATTTGCTTTCCCCACTACCCAGATACCTCCCCCATGCTCTTTAATCTCTTCTTTGACTTGCTTGGTCCACCATCCACGGTGGGCACTAATCATGTGCACATTGCCTAGTCTCACATCTCTTCCGGCCTTCCCTAGGGCATCACGGAGCACGTCGCGGACATATTCCATCTTGGAGTCTACCTGTTCCTTGGTTGCTGCCAGCAGATCAGACCGTGTAATGATGAAGCTCAGAGTAGGCATCTTTTTGCCTCCGCGGTACTTTTCGTTGGCTGATCGTCGGTTTTTAGAACGCTGCTCTTGAACATATAATGCCCAATGGATGCGTGGAATGAGAGACATGGGAAAGTCGGCTGCATCCAAGATATGATAGACACGATTATTCTTGTAAGGTGATTCGTTCATGAAGTCTCGGATTGAATGGACGGAAGGCTTGGGGGAAGAAACTGCCTTGTTGTGGTGTATTAAGTCGTGGCAGCGATCGCAGACATGGGTAACACGCGATGGAGATTGTAATGAGTAGTCGTCGGGTACAACGGCATCATCTGGCAGTGCACCGCCTTTAAATTGATCAGTAACTGACTTGTAGCATTCGCAACGGGGCATGTATTGGGGAACCAACCCTGCATGGGTATAGGGGCTGTAGGTTGCGCATCCTCGCCAAGACAGCCCTGCTCTGTGTTTGTGCTTGTCGCATCCTCTGCCGCATTGCTTTGCTCGATGGCCTCTCTTTTCGAGGCCAGGAGCTTTCGGGTCTGCTTCCGGCTTGCACTATAGTACCCTGGTTCATCTGGCTCGATGGTTTGTGAGAAAGCACCACATCCAGGACAACATATTGGCAAGACATCGGTCAGGTTCTCGATATCGGCTTGTTCTTTTAGTCGACGCGATGACGAAAATGTGCGAAACTGGTTGCGATTTCGGTCGGCGAGGGAGCTAATGTTTATTGAGGGTGTTGCGGCGCCGCATCGTGAATATATCGTATACGTCAATCGCTGAGAACATGATCTCGAAGTGGACCTGAGGCTGCCGAGCCTCAGAGTTCTAGACAATGCGCCACGAGCGCAAAGTGACATGATTGCGTACAACCGTAAGTTGCGGAGTTCGGGCGGAGCTTTTTTTTTGTCGGCCAGGCGTCTTATCGATAAGGCGCTTGATCTCCCGTCTTATGTCAACCTCTATCGACAGCAGAAGCGTATACTCCGTACAGCATGTATTTATCATAGAAAGTACACAGTCGCCCACAAAAATTTCAATCATTGTATAGTCAAGGACTTAAGCTTGCCTTGAGGAAGTCACATAAGTTGATGGCCTGGCGTGAGTCGCCGATACTACAGGTTTCTTGATCGGTCCAACATTTATGCTTCGAGACGATACATTCATTCAGGTTTTGATTAGGATATTCAAAGTCAAGAGGAGCAAGAATAGTAATAGAATATTGACACAAGAATTTTCGCTTAAAAGAAATGCACTTATAACCCTTTGGAAGTAGGAACGCCATCGTTAACCGTAAACCAGAGCCCCGTCGGTACCCATTCAAGCGCGAGCTTTGCCCTTGCCCTTGGAGTCGGATTCATCTGCCTCATCCTCGGAGTCACTCATGAACTCGTCATCGTCATCAAACCCGATGAAACGACGAGGTGCCGGCTTGGCTGCCGATGTAGAAGGCACCGCGGAGCTCGAAGATGCGCCATTGTTTTCTTCCTCCTCATCGTCCTCCTCGGAACCGGATGAGCTCGCATGCTCGCTACCTTCGCTAGCACTGGTGCTAGATCCACCCAAAATCGCATCGCGTAGGTTGTCGGTCCATGCGCCGTCCTTCATTGCGAGAAGAACCGCCTCTCGTGCCTTTTCATTCATCTCCTCCTTGTCGTCCATCCATTGACCATCGATCTTTTGCTTTCCACCGCCGTTCTTGATCTCATCCTGTCGCTTCTCTGCCATCTCTACCACAGCCTGCCACCGGCGGCGGCGCTCCTCCTTTTCTTGCTTATCCATCTCCGGCTTGACGGCGAGATACTCGGCAAGTGCCTTGGCCTCATTGACCGTGCGCAAACGGCGGCCGTCGAGGTTACGGCTTGAGCTGTTGTTGTCACCCTGGTTGCGCTTGCGCTTGCTGGCCATGCGGCCACCGGCGGCACGAAGCTGAGATCCGAAACCACCCTTACCACCACACATCGGCGCGGAGAGGCGGATGGGGAGAATGGTATTGGCGGAGCCATTGTCGCTACTGATCAAAGACTGAAGAGAAGCAGGAGAGGCGAATATTTGCTTGTTGTTGGTGGTTGTGAGGATGAGACGTTCGAGAGAAAGCGAGGTAGGAAGGTATGAGGAGACTTTGTCTGTAAGGTCTGAAACGCTCGCCACGGAGGGAAGCGCAAACGAGAGAGTGGATGGGAGTGAGAGTCCCGGGAAGGAGGAGAGTAGGACGTTGATGTTTGACTGCGCCATGTTGTATGAGTTGTTGAGGCGTAGAGCTGGGCCGTAGAGATGATAGACCGTTGGATCAAGTTTATCGATCGACGCCATCGAGATAAGCCCGGCGGCGGCTGGAGACTGCCAATCATGTGATCAGGGTGATGGATGACTCAGCGGTCCAGCAGCTCCAGTCACATGACCTGTCCCAGCCGGTTTGATTAGGGCGACAACCCTAGCGAGCCCTCGATCAGGAATATCGCACTTTTCTCACGGCGCAGCTCCACTCCCTGATCTTTAAATCACCCATCATCCCCTGACGTTGTCAAAGCGATTCCACGAATTGCGCCAGGAACTCGCGACAATGTAAGATTCAACCCCAGAGCCTTTTCGATGCCGCCAATTTACTAATAATGCTCCAGGCTTATCCCCAAGGCCGACCGCAAGAAGATCCACGAGTACCTCTTCCGCGGTATGTAATCCACCACGTCGCCGACGCATCGACCTGTCCCGATTATGCCTACCGTTGGCGCGCTGGACGAAATTGAAGCAACACCATTTACTGACTTTGGACGTACAGAGGGTGTGCTCGTGGCCAAGAAGGACTTCAACCTTCCCAAGCACGGTGACATTGACACCAAGAACCTCTTTGTACGATGAACCCGACAGCCCGCCATTGCACCCCGAACACGCGCTAACCATTCGCTCCCAACAGGTCATCAAGGCTATGCAGTCCCTGAACTCCCGTGGCTTCGTCAAGACCCAGTTCTCGTGGCAGTACTACTACTACACCCTCACCCCCGAGGGTCTGGACTACCTCCGCGAGTGGCTCCACCTCCCTGCTGAGGTTGTCCCCGCCACCCACATCAAGCAGCAGCGCTCCCACGCTCCCCCCGCGGCATGATGGGCGGTGAGGACCGTGAGCGTCGTCCCCGTGCTCCCCGTGAGGGTCGCGAGGGTGGCTACCGCCGCCGTGAGGAGGGTGGCAAGGAGGGCGGTGCCCCCGGCGAGTTCGCTCCTTCCTTCCGTGGTGGCTTCGGCCGTGGCCGCGGTGCTCCCCAGCAGCAGTAAAGGACTCTTCCTTGATGCCTTGGTGTCCTGTCATCCACTGCTCGGTCATCCTTAGGGGCTGATGTTATCGACTTCCGGTCCGGAGTAGGGATACAATAAAATGTTACTGAAAGGGGCTTGTCGTTGGTGCATCTTCAACGGTCCCCGGTTTCTGAGACTTTGGGGATACGGAAAAAACAAAAAAGTTGAAATTATGTCGCTGGCTTTATGATGTAGCTAGTCTTAATGGCAAACTCATGACTCGGTGCAATCTTGTTCCTTCTTGTAGATGCTTCGTACACGTGGACCCGAATATTGGAGAAACGACCTCGAGACTACGAGAAGGGTTTATTAAAATGGTATCATGATTTGGGCTCGCTACGTAAGTATTCGACTACATCCAAGACCTGTTCATGCGAATCTCTTCCGATCATACCGCACCACTGCCTGCAGAATCACCGATGCTCCAGTGGCACAGTCGTCCGCAGAAGAGAACTCCTCGGGGTGGTGACTGAGTCCATCCTTGCAGGGCACAAAGATCATACTAGTCGGAACTCTCTTCGACGTAAACACGCTGTCGTGGCCAGCACCACTCATGATGGGCCGAACCAGGGCTTTTGTATCAGCAACAGGAGCATCTGCAACAACAGCATGAGCCGACTGCTGGACACAATCGATGCAATCCTCGTGGAACTTGACAGCCGGCGAGTCAAAGTCGAGCGTCCACTCAACACGACATGGCTTGCCAATCCCAGCACCTTCTGTCGCAGCAATCTTGTCGAAATCGCTACGCAGCTCCCTCTCAACCTCCGCAACTAGTGCTGTCTCTGGGCCGCGAATATCCAAACTGAAACTCACTTGCCCAGGAACTGTGTTCACGCTTCCAGGCGCGACTTCGATGATACCAACGCTGGCGAGACACCCTTTGGCAGCGGCCACCTCTCGTGCTCGTACCATCATCAGTGCAAAGGCATATAATGCATCGGCACGATGCTCAAATGCGGTCGTACCAGTATGAGTGTCTCGCCCGATAATCTTCAATCGGAACCAGCGATAAGCTTGAACTGCTGTGACAACACCGACTCGTTGACCAGCCGAGACTAGGTGAGGACCCTGTTCAATGTGCAATTCGAAATGCGCTGCCATGGGTGTGGTCTTGTAAGAACATGGTACATCACCCAGGTAGTTGATCTTCTCCAAAGCAGACTTCATCGTCTCCGGGGCTGATGCAGCTGTTGGAAGTGAGGCAACAGTCGGTACCTCCTTAAGGTTATGCGCTTTTGACAACGGGATGCATTCAGCCCAGACTCCCGATGCGATCATGCTCACCGGGAACCGCGCGCCCTCTTCGCTGAAGAAAAATTAGTATATCATATCGGAAAGTATGGTAACATTATTCCATACTTGGTCCAGTTCACCACTCCAACTCCTCCCTCGGTCTCTAGACCCATCTCATCCATTCTCTTTAGAGATTCCACGCCCGACAAAACGCCAAGGATTCCATCGTACCGCCCTCCTGTGGGCTGTGTATCAAGGTGACTGCCGATAAATGTAGCGGGTACATCCTTTCGTCGACCCGGACGCACGGCGAAAATGTTGCCCATTTCATCAATGGTGATCTCGCATTTGAGGTCCTTCATAGTTTGAATGAACCAATCCCGAACGCTCTTGTCTTCTTCACATAGCGCAAGGCGCTGCATTCCCGTGTCTGTTGGATCACTGCATGCTGTTAGCTACCTCAAACCATAATCGATGGTAGGATCTGTAGATAGTAGGATCTGTAGGAATAAAAAGACTCACTCGCCCCATCTAATCCCGGATCCCCATTGGCAGGAATGATGGAGATCCTTTGCCAGTCGCTCCTTATTGACCCTCAATGCCGATACTTCGGCTTCGGAGAGTTCTGTGGTCAACATAGCGAGATACCTTGACGTGGAGAATGGGCTGGTAAAACGTCGATGAAGTGGTAGCTTGGCTAGTCCCGAAGGTATCGTCCCAAGAGATGGTCGTGTCAAAGTCATACGAGGTAACTGAAACCTGTACATGGTGAAACGTAGATGTACTTATAGGGAAGAAGTTCTCCAAAATTGGGAGTCGGAGCTGTTATTGATAAGAGAGCGGGGAAGGACAGCGGCACAAAGTCCGCCGGTGATAGAACTGATAGCCTGATATACATGCAGCCCCCGCTTTGGGGTAGATGGAGTAACTATCGTCTCCCAGTTATGGTTTCGTGCACGGACCTACCTAGTTATTCAGTTCTTGAATTTGGCATGCCCAAGACTACTTATGATCTCTCGAGAGACGAACGCATTGATATTTTTTTGGCTAATTATGTTTCGAGATACTATGAATAACGACATATTGGCGTATTTCTTGAGGATTTCATGACAGTATCCATTTGATGAACTTTGCCGCGACCATTTCAGTTCTCACAATATGTGTCCATGCTATGTAATCAAGCAAAATATTACTTTCCCAAAAACTAAGAACTTTCTCTCGGCGTTATGCATCTCCAGACCTTTGAAAAATTGTAAACTTGAATTGGGTTGACGGGATTGAAATTGAGAGCGCTTTTAAAAGTCCAGAGAAGCTCCCAGAGATAAGCGAGGATTGAGCCCCAGAGCATTTCTTATTCAAGTCTCGGGCAATGAACATAGAAATTAGAACATCATTTCAGAAACATTTGCGCCCTTATCTAGAGAGTCCGCCTCCCTTCGAAGGACATCAGCTCTGAACCTTCTGAAAGCACTCTCAATGCGCCTTTTCCGTTCCGGATCAGCTGTGATACTACGGCTTCCACTAGCCGCTCCACCCGCAAAGCCTAGTTCTAGGAGTTAGATGAAGAGCAAGGGTGCGTTAATGGGTAAATTGACATACCGAGTTCACCGCCCAAGAAGAGACCACCGAACGAGGCAAAGAAATAGGTTGCAACATCTCCAAGAGTTGTGGGCTTGAGCAGTGGTGTCAAATCGGGAATAGGCTCTGATATATTGTCAGTCTAACCCCCGATGCTGGCAAAATACATGACTTATGAGGTCGAGGTTTGGGAACATACCGGTGCGTCCATCTGCGAAAACGACCTTGGTTGGTCTTTCCTGCGCTCGAATAGCGGCAAAGAAAGCCTTGCGATTGCTTCGTAGTCGAATCGCAGCATACAATCCAAGTCCAAGGCCTACTGCAGATCCAACTGTAGTCCACAAGGAAACAGTCGAGGCAGCCGACTTGAGCACATCCCGGTCGTCAGCCTGGAGGTCGTGCTGTAGATGCTGATCGGCAAGTTTGGCGAGCTCATCGCTGCGGCGCCGGCGGAGAAGGGCAAAGGATTCAGACATGATGGAGTAGCTATCACTGATGAGAGTAAATTGCAGGAGAAATCGAAGGAAGAAATACTTTATGGAAAAGGCGAAGTTCGGCTCCGACGAGCCGGTTTCAACCAGCCATAAGCAGCCTGCCTGGAAGGAGCTTGGAGTGATGACGTCACATAGCTCTGACCCACCTACAACAAACGAATTATGAAGTACGCATTTTGAGTAAACCAATGGAACTTCTTGGTCACCATGGAAGAAGCTATTGAGAGATACGAACTACAATAAGTTGAGCTATGGGAACCGGTGATATTGTCCTACTGTAATATCGGCGAATAGGCAAATTGATCGTCAGGACATTCATGGCACACCCGCGCCACACTTGGAGCGTTCCATAGATGGGTTGCGGCTCTGGCTGTTTTTAGACAACTTTGCTGGCAGTTACGAAGGTATCCCTCTGACAGAGAATTGAAGAGACACTGTGCTCCTGGAATGTATGGCACTTTGTAAGAACCTGAGTTGACCGAGTTCCGTTCGGCACCTATGTTTCATATTGTTTGCACCCTCCACAGATCTCGGCACTCCCAGGATGGCCGAAAACCCAAGAAATTGGTAGCATCGATTTGGGTGCGCTCTTTTCGCGTGGTATGGGCCTTTATGATATACATTATTACTGGGATAACCATGTTAGAGCAGCTCCAATGAACCGACGCGTGGCGGCGAACCTTATGAAATGTGGGGCCACGCCAGATCGCTGCATCAGTGCATCCATGTTGCCTTGTCCATTCTACACCGAATATCTCCCTAATCGCGTGTGTCGGGCATAAACCTAAAGCTGGCTTTTACCCAGAAGCATACCCTGCTGTCGCCTCTACACCGAAAATTGTGATTGTTGCTTCTTCCCTGAACTGTACGTCATCTTGTTCGTTTGCTTCGTTTCATATTCTTGACCGTGGGGCTAAGCGTGTGCTCAAGCCTGCTTCTTCGACTCGGCGCATGAAAGGAAGTTGAAAGATGGTCCTGGCTAAGACTGTACGAGATCAAACTCTAAAACGCCTCGTTGATGGAGGCTGATTTGACTATTCTTGTAGATGAGCTCCTAGAGACTGATTGGCTAGAAATCTTATCAATCACACACGACGAAGCGCCCATGGACGCCAAGCTAACACGCACTAATTTAGAGTCCGTCATTCCTCCAGCCGAGGCTCAGGTAGTACGATACAACTTTTCGGAGTTGAAGGTTCTCAATATTGTGTCATACTAAGGATCCTAGCCCAAATAATGGCCATCAGTACAAGGTTTGTCAGACATACCGAAGTTGATCTACAATCCAGAATCCAATAAGCTCCGTGTTCTGACATTTGTGTCTTCAGCTCCACAGTTTCAACCTTCAAAACATTCTAAAGAGGCAGCTAGCATTGCACATGGACTAGAAGTGGCGAAAAGGGGCACATGGCACAAGCCCTTGCTTTATCATGTGTCCAAGAGGCGTAAGGATTAACCACAAGATCTGACTTGTTTTGCTTTTGCCTGTACACCGCCCGAATGTTGAGGTTACACCATCCTGTTTGCCTGCATGGGCTGAAGGGATGTTCCCCTCGTAGGATGTATGCAGGTTGGCACGTAAAACGTGTCGAAAAATTCCCTCGCGACTCATATGAGCCGAGCGATCAGCTTCTTCTCCACTTCACTACTTAAGGTCTGATCGCAATGAGATTGCCTTCCCCATACCAAGTTGATTGGCCTCGAGTTGGACTCGGTCATCGAATCACCTTCCTTGTCACAGCATGATCCTGCATGATTCTGCACATTATCTGCGGGCCGTCTGCGTAGTTCTCCCGCTTCCCCCTCTATGAATCCTGGGCAAGAATAGACGGCGGCAATTCATGATTTAAGACGAAGCCTGGCCAAGGGTAGTTTCATGTAAAATTTTAAGATTGTGAGGACTCGAATGTCCACATAGTTCTCTATTCTTTTGCCAGGTTTTATAAGCCCAATATGGCGGACGAGACTATCGCTCGTCAACTTCGTTACGAACCCCGCGCTGTCACACTAGATGAGGAGAAAGATCCCAAAGTTTTCCAGTCACCAAATTCTTTTGAAGATGGCAGTCTTTCACCACGCAATTCCCCAAACGAGTTCGAACAAGATCGGGCTACACAAGGAAGCAAAAAGTTTAATCGACTTGGCTGGAAACGCCTGACCATTTGCCTGATCGTGGAAGCCATCGCTTTGGGCAGCCTGAGTCTTCCTGCAGCGTTTTCAACGCTAGGCATGGTTGCGGGAGTCATTTCTTCTATTGTCATCGGTCTCATCGCCACTTATGCTGGCTATATTGTTGGAGCCGTGAAGATCAAATATCCAGAGATTGAGAATTATCCCGACATCGGGAGGTTGCTGCTCGGAGAGACAGGTTTTTGGATTATAACCTGTGCCTTTGTGGTTGGGATAATGCTAGGCGTGGGCTCTCATTGTCTGACAGGTATTATTGCCTTTGTGCGGATCACTGAAAGTGATATCTGCACAGTGATCTTTGGGTTGATCTCAACTATCATCCTACTATTGGCTGCTATTCCACCATCTTTTGCCGACCTTGCTATACTGGGCTACATTGATTTTGCATCAATTATCATAGCCATCAGTATCACCATAATTGCCACGGGAATACAAAGCTCTAAAAGTCCGGGTGGTCTATCAAGCCCAACATGGTCAGCCTGGCCCAGGGAGGACGCCGATTTCCCCAAAGTGATGGTTGCTCTCAACAATATTGTCTTCGCCTACTCGTTTGCGCCTACCCTGCCATCATTTATGGCCGAAATGCATACACCGAAAGATTATGTCAAGTCAGTCTACGCTATTGGACTGATCGAGATTGTTCTTTACACTCTGATCGGTTCTCTTGTCTTTTACTTCGTTGGTCAGGATGTGCAGTCCCCTGCATTGCTCTCAGCTGGACCTCTGATCTCCAGAATCGCCTTCGGTGTTGCCCTGCCTGTCATTTTTATCTCCGGCTCAATCAATACCTCTGTGGTTGCTCGATACATTCACGGTCACATCTATCGAGACTCCGTCGTGCGTTATGTGAATACGAAAACGGGCTGGGCTACCTGGATCGCCCTCGTGACTGTCCTGACTTTGATCTCATGGATTCTTGCCGAAGCTATCCCTGTGTTTTCGGATATGTTATCTATCACAGCTGCCTTACTCAATTCGGGCCTCTGCTTTTATGTTCCTGCTGTCATGTGGTTTTTCCTTCTGAAAGAAGGTAGTTGGTTCTCAAGGAAGAATATTCGAACTGCGTTCTACAATGGAGTCGTGTTTCTGCTTGGAATTGGAATTCTTGTTTGTGGCATGTACGCCAATATTCTGAACTTGGTAAGTGAAGTCATAAACCGACGGAACATCTGGCTATTAGCTAACCTGGCGGAAACAGATTGAAGAGTCCAAGACTGGAATTGTTGGTCGTCCCTTCGCATGTTCGGTGGCTGAGCTGGCTTAGCCAAATATTGAGGCGCACAATGGATTGAAGGATATATGATATGATGTGATCTGATTGAAGTAGAAATTCAGCCTTGCATGAACATCGGACGGGGTCAATTGATGGATTTATATTCGCATGACAGCAACATCTTGTCTATGGGTGTCTAAAAGAACACCATGGCTAACATTAGTAACAACTAAGGGGTTCTCAGTTGATTTCAGACTAATTGGATGGCTGCGTTGTGCTTATATATCGTTCCACTACTTATTTGACATAGCAAAGATTAGATAAGTGATTTCATTGTTAGCCTATTGAGTATCGTCCCACGCTCTTCATCCTTGGAGATGCATAGCTACAGCTCCGGCTATCTTCCTCAAGTCTTCCCTGCTATCGCAAGATGCAAATATGAATCTATCCGGTCGCACAATGGTGAATCGCTTTCTTTTCAGGGCCTTCCCCAGATAGAATGGATCGAAAAATTCGGGCCTGGGCCTGTTTGCACATAGACGAGACTGGGCGAACTCATCCGCGGAAGCAAGCCGGAACACATCTTGGCCAGTTTTGCAAGGGGCATCGGCCATATCTTCCACAAGAATCGTGACCTCACTAGCAAGAATCTCACCGTGGGACATGTCATCAATATCTGACACCACCTCCCTGGCTGATGAAATTTGTTCAACTGTCTTGACGTAAACCAGGAGCTGGAACAAACCATTCTTTCCTGGTCTAAAAATGACATCGTCCGTAAAACGGACATCAGTGTCAGAACAGTTCAATGACCTGCAATAGACCTGGGGAAGGCAGAGGCCACCATTGTGCTCGGGAATGAATGGCATCCCAGATGAATGCTCGTAACGCACAAGGCCCTCCTTGCGTCTACCAAGAGATAACTCATGGCGCCAGGATGGGACCAGCTGTACGAACCAAAGGTACACGTTTCGAATGAGAATTTTCAAGGGGTCCCCTTCCGTGACAAATTTCCCATTTTCAATGGTCGAGGCCAATGACTTCTCGAGTTGTTGCTTTCGCTCCTCATACCAAGCCTTCAGAACTTGCTTGTGGAAGCCGGTGTCTTTAGACTGGGTGCGACAGAGTAAGGCAAGGCGCCAAGCAAGAGAAACTGCATCGCGGAAGCCAGATGCTATCCCTTGACCCCCAACTGTGTGAACCTTGTTAGCCTGGTCCAGACCTCTTGCGGCATGACTATTTTATCAACATACACGGCGGGAAAACATGGGCTGCATCGCCACATAGTACGACTCGGCCATCAGACCATCTGTTGCAGCTTCTGGCGGCGAACCTGAAAGGTCGCGATCGAAGGACTGTAATACAATCCTCTGGAAATGCAACGTCTTGCAGCAGACTGGATACATTGTTAGCGAAGAATTCTATGATGATGGTTTATAGTGAAATATAATTACCCATAGCGACTCCCAGGGTGGGTAATATAGGGAAAGACCACTTTCTTGATCATCGCTGGCTTCGCCATTTCGTCTCCATCCTCACCATTCTGGACGACAAATTCAAATCTCCATAGTCGGTCTTCTGGCAATCCGAAACGTCCACAGACTGAGGGTCGATTTGGGTTGCATATGAACCGGAAATTGAGTGGAAAGAAAAGATCGTACACCTGTTCAGGTGTATACCCGAGTCTCCATAATGGAAAGTTGGGATGCGTCTTCTCATTTGGAAGGCTGATTTTCCAATTCAAAGCGACCCAAGTCTCTTCATAGAATGACCTAACATCAAACATTGTGAATGGGTTTGCTGAATTGCTTTTCAAGCTGACTTACTGGTGGGCCTGCTCCATGAGAATTCCTCGGGGCTCAAGGTATTGCTTTCGTGTGAAGCCAGTCTTGCCATCGGCACCGATAAAGAACCTTGATCGGATCTGGTGTTCTTCACCTGTCGCATCACGATATTGGCAAATTGTTCCCTGGTCGTCCTCTGAGAGACTGGTGACTTCGCATCCCGACCGTAGATCGCAATATTTTGATGATGCCATCGCATCTCGCAAACATTTCTCCAGTGCGGGCTGTTTGTGACAGATAAAGCCTACATGACCTGTACCACCTTCGGTCTATTTGGAGGCAGCCGAGTAATTAGTTGGCCTCTTCTGTTGAAACGGGGAATGAGATGACCTTACAGTTCCGTAGTCCATCTCAATAAATGCTCGCTTATCCAAGACTGGGTCCGTTCCACCAATAAACTTGAATTTCTGCATGCCTGGCATTAATTAGCCAGCTTTCTTTGTTTTGATCAAATGTTTGACTTCATCGCTCATGTTGTTTATGGCTTGGAGTCTAGGGGAACCTTACAAGTCCCGATTTCCGAGTACACAGACGAGTATAAGCCCGCACCCTGCAGGAGGCGGATACCGTCTTCATCCAAAGCGATACCTCGAGGGTCTGTCGTAATCTCTGCCTCCTTCTCTAGCACAATGTTGGAGATGTTCATCTTGCCTAGATATGCGGAAAGCAGGGCGCCTGTTGGGCCACAGCCGCAAATAATCACGTCGGTCGTTTCGCACGCCATGCTGGATCCCTTGTAGCCGGTGTAGGAGTGTGGTGTCTCCATCGACTCAACAAGTTCTAACTTGTCTTATAGAGATTCAGATAGCGACTTGAAGGTAGAATCAAATGGGACCATCATTGTTATCCTCTCCACGGGGATGCGGAGGTCCCGCATTCCCCCACGGGTCCCGCCTGGGGTCGCTTCAAAGCTCAACCACAACGACACAAGATCCACTTCGTAGACATACTTTGAGGATTATTCCGCTCGGCTATGTTTATTGAATCATGAGCCGAAGTTTGAGTTTATATCCGGCACCCACTGGTCAGTAGGGGTGACTACCTGAAGCCAAGTATATCCGGATTTCCATGGGGGCGCTGACCCCGCGTCCCACACAATGAGGGGGGTTAGATGCGATGGCCTTCTAGTTAAGTACGGAAAATATCCCTGCTTGCTCTCTTGTCTGAAAGTGAATTTACCCTCAAATATTCTCCAAGAAACCCGCACGCCATGCCAGACTGGACCCATTTGATTCGCTTCATCGCGGTGGAGGATAGCCTCATCCACCTTGGTCAACTTGTCGATGTGACTCGTGATATCGGTCGAGACAGCGTTGATGGCGTCGAGATTGCAGCATACGTGATTGAAGGAACTATTTTCGATGGCAAGGTCACTAAGGATATCTTGCATGTCAAGCAAGTATGAAGGCATCTCAAAGCGTCTCACAACTAAAAGGCTAATGTATCTAGCTGCTGTCTCCTGTCTCGAGGGAAGAGTGCAATTACATTCGTTGCTTGGGGCTTAACTACACAGATCATGCCAATGTAAGTTGGAGATGCCCTCGTACTGCATAATTGCATTGGCTCACAAACATCAAGGAAGCGAGCATGGCTCTGCCCAAGGCGCCGATTCTATTCACCAAGCCCCGGACCGCCTTGATCGGACCGTACCCCGCCGCCATCAACGTTCCCAAGTGTGCGCAAGACGATACAAGTGACTACGAAGCCGAGCTGTGTTTGATAATTGGCAAGAGTGGTCGCGATATCCCGGAAGAAGAAGCACTCGATTATGTTCTCGGATACACAGCGTCGAATGATGTATCTGCCAGGAATCTGCAAATGCTTACCACCCAGTGGTCCTTCTCCAAAGGCCTTGACGGCAGCTGCCCAATTGGTATGTCAACCCACAATCCATTTCTCTGGATACCCTCACTAATCCAGCTTTCTTCTGTAGGACCCGTTCTGGTCGCCCCATCTGTGATCAAGGACCCTCAGACCTTGTCTATCAAGGCAATTCACAACGGCGCTACAGTCCAGGACGGTCATACCAAGGATATGATCTTTTCCATCAAGAAACAGATCTCGTACCTCTCTCAAGGTACTACTCTGGAAGCGGGTACCATGTTCTTGACGGGAACACCTGCTGGTATTGGCTTCTTCCGTCAGCCCAGAGTGGTTCTGAGGGATGGCGACGAGATTTCAATCCAGATCGACCAGATTGGAACTCTGGTCAACAAAGTCCGTTATGATACACGGTGATTGGTCTTGCGATGATACCTATCCTGCGGCGTTAGTGGAGGGGTGAGAATGGAGAGGGTCGCAAATTATTATAGAGCGGTCGCACTTTTTACGAAAATGGATGAAATAGATCTCAAATGTGAATACTAGAAAACACAATTTATTCTTAACTGCATGTAATACCTGGTTCTCAATCTGAATTAGTAGGAGGTCATGACAAAAATAAATGCTCTGAGACCGACCATAGTTGTCCACATCGCATAGTTCGTACATCACTTACGTGAGATGAAGTAAAACAATCTCCATGAAAAGAAGTGCGGTATAACTGAATATTAGATTGCGCAACTGCAATGGTCAGAAAATTTCAGTCCTTGCATGCACGCTTCTCCTTGTGCATGATGTTCGAGATCGCTCTATAGCAATCAAGGGATAATGCGCATTGTCTCGCAACGATGCAAGTTGAATGCCTTGAAAAACTCCAGTACTTTATTGCCGAGCTACTCAACTTGTATGAGGTGAAAATTGTGGAAATAGAAATTGAAAAGTATTGCTAGAACTCAATGACAGGTGTCGTTCACTATTTCAAAAACCAAGATGGAACTTCAGGTCCCCAAACCGCTAGAGACTCATCCCCCGCCGGACCATAACCAATAGGTGTCTGGTCATTAACCAGATCACCATCCGCATAATGCTCAATCATATTACCAGTAGTATCCCACCAGTAATCAAAGATCTGCGACCCAAGAATATGTCTGCCAACGCCCCACACAGATTGATATTTCTTGTCGGCAAGCCACTGATGTCCAAGCTTCTGAGTGTCAAAGTCATGAACCTCGAATGAGCAGTGATGAACATGCGTTGTAGCATTCGTGCTTATGAAGAAGCTGTGGTGATCAACATAATCACTACCGCGATCAATGTGAGCGAAAAGCGCGACGTTCTTCTTCTGGCCATCATTTTCCACGTAGAGGAAGTCAGTCGGCACGATGTTGAAGTTCGAGGTGTAGAAGTCGACTAAATCGGTGAATTTCTGGGTGCAAACTCCAAAGTGTCCCAGCTTTTGTCTGGCTGTCAGTTTAATGTACTTGAAGATTTTCTTTTTTGAGTATGCGTACCTTGTGCACAGCTGCAGGACCAGGTTGGAACCGCTGGAACCTCCGAATACGAGGCTTTTCCTCTTCATAATTGACGGTAAGTTTCTCTGGATATTTTCCCCGCTCGGCCTTTTCCTGTCCGAATATCAAGTTGACTGGAAACCCTTCAGGGTCTGTCAATGTCACCATATAGCCGCCACCAGGAGCATCGGATAGGTCCCGAATTTTACTGGCTGTTGGAAGCTTTGCAGCCCTACCAAAATCTTCGTTAGCTGTGCGATGCAGAAAGATGAGAGCTACATACTTCTCTAGATCTTGGTATGTTTCCACGGCAAATGTACCTCCGAGATACTCCTTGGGCCCCTTGCGAGCGTAGTACACATACTGATCCTCTCCATAACCTCGATACCAGATCTGATCTTCCGTTCTCTTGGCGACCGTCATGCCGAAGTCTGAGTGTTTCCATGTGAGATAAGATTGAGAGCGTGAGATATCAATGAATCGCCTTCATACCTTCGAGAAAGGTCGTAATCTGATCCAAATCAGGGTGTTGGTATCGCATATGTGCTAGCTTGACCAGACGAATCTGGTTCTGCTTTTTGATTCCACGTTGCTCTTGCCACTGGGTCACATTCTCCTGTTCGCTGCCGATGGCGACAATGTCGGGAACAGAAGCTCCATGATTTGGTTGCACCATAGCTAATGGAGTACTGAGATTCAGTCTGGGTTCCTAAACCAATGTTGGTGTAAAACCTTCTTGCACGAGACTCGGAGCCTTTATGATGTATATTATGGGTCTACTAAGAAGTACCGCACGCAAGCTCCTCCTTGGCGACGTAAGTCTTCCCCATACCCCACACTTGTAGGTCCCACAAGACAAACCGTCCCACGCTGCTTCCCTTACATCCGAGTCGGATGTAGCCCCACTGGCTTGGGGAGGGGACGGTGATCAACAGACTGACATCCTAAAAGAAGATACAAGGGTAGGAATTTTGGTAGAAACTGAGAATTGAAGATTGGAAACTATGAGAAATTCGATTTGGCAGCCCTGACTTCGTTATATGATGTTCTACGATCGGCTTCTCTGGGCCCACGTTTTTGTTGTATATCCAAGCGACCGTGGACTGATATCTCATCGGGTAGGAGGGCGGCTTACCCGAGTTTACGAAAGATGATGTTTGTCACACTCACTGAGGTATAGTTATATAGTTACCGACCGGTATTTAGCTCATCATCTTCCAATATCATCTTGTTCTTCACCATACAATTACTGTAGTTGTGCGGGTCGTTGTAATGACATGACAAAGCCGTGGGGGCCAAATTCGGTCGTCCCGCAAAGACGAACCTCCATCTCCGATATTTCCTCATCTTTCATTCGTTCCTGTAAAGAAACTGGAGGTGCTTTCAGAATATTCCGCTTGGTTGGCTCTTGAGGTTCTGATCCAGTCTTCTGACCTTTCCAGCTGCAAGGACGTGGGACGAACCGCTGGCCCGGTCCACCTCCGTTCATCATGGAAGAGCCAAGCGGAGTCCGTTTACCGAAGGCCTGCAGGACATGCGCTAAGGCCAAAGTTCGCTGTGAGCCCCAAAGTGGAGGTGGCCCTTGCAAGCGGCAAGTATCTGTGACCTCTGAAATTTGTATAATAGAACTTCAAGCTAAGAGCTTCTAGATGTCGTCGTCTCAATAAAGACTGTGGGGGTCAGGCCCCTGGGGCTCATCGGCGACAAAACTCCAAACCTGCTACCTCGTAGGTTGCTCATAGAGCATGGTATGGCCGATTTAAAACCTGGCTAATTGAATAGTGAGGTTGCTGCCTTGGAAGCTAAATTAGATCGAATGGTCGCTTTATTAGCTACTTCTGAGCGAATACCCAAGGATCTCGCATCGGATATCGCGATGTCGCCTGAGTGCTCCTCTGGCACGGCTAGGAGCACTGATGCACCCACGCCAGTGAATATGGACGGACAGGCTCTGTTAGAGACCTATGCCAAGATGATGATCCCGATGTTCCCGTTCATTCCAATACCATCCCATATGAGTGTCGAAGAGCTACGTCGGGAAAGGCCATTTCTCTATCTGAATATCTCCATGATCACCAGCCCGAATCCTGCACGCCAACAAGAGCTGTCCAACACTATCAAAAAATATTTAGCCGACCGTATAATTATGAGAGGCGAACGGAGTTTAGATCTTCTTCAAGGTCTACTTGTCCATCTGACTTGGTTCATTTCCGTTTCGCGTTTACACCAAACCAACTTTTCTGGTCCGATCGACGGCCCTGCGCCTAATTCAAATCTACCCCCAAAGCAACCTACTCAAGGGACAGCTCAATTGGACGCGTTTCTACACCTTGCAATGGCACAAACAATCAGTTTGGGTCTGAATCAGGATCCGAGCAGCACGAAGACTATGAATCAGCCTATCGCATACCTAAGTCAGGTTGATCTCCATCGAGATCGAACTCCGTCTCGCACAATGGAAGACCGCCGGACCTACTTGGGGTGCTACTATACAATGATGATGTACGCACTGGATCATTCCATATGGATTTTGTCAACGATGCTAACAATGCCTATAGGTTATCAGTCTGCGCCAAAGATATGGAATCGTTCCGTTTTACGAAATACACGGACGAATGCTGCAAAATATTAGATGAGTCTCCCGAGTTACCTTCTGACAGGTATTTGGTTCAACTCGTGAGAACTGTTCATCTTGCCGAGAACATCAATCATACGATTACTGTGGACGAGGTTCACCCAGCGCCAAGCCTGTCAGCTCCGCTTAGTATGAGCTTGAGATGGCATCAAATTGAGCTGCAAAAGCTGAGGGATTCTTTTTCATGTGACCAGCCCCACGCATGTATGTCAAAAGTGTGTTCCCTAGGCCGTGGAGTACTCAATGCTGATCACGCTGGGTAATGCCAAAGCCATATTATCTTTCCACTACGACACACTCGAGATGCTGCTCTATCACAGCTCCCTCAGCAGGGAGATCTCAGACACCGACTACGGAAATTATCCTGTAACACGGCTCGATATCCTGTATCGCTGTCTCGAAGCCACAAAGTCCTTTTTCCACCATCTATACACCCTTCCAGCTGTCTATTTCCGCTTCCTCCCATTTACAATATCCAGCCAATTCGGTCAAGCAGTTGTCACATTATCACGATTGACCCTCTACCAAAGCGAGAACGGAGCTTGGGATACTACGTACGTTAAAAACACCATCGAGTTCGATCAGACTGTCGATACACTAGGACAGAAATTGGATGAAGCTCGAGCTCTGCTTGAGCAGGATCAGTCATCTTCCACTGAGCCACCCGAGATTTTCAAGAGACTCGCTACTAGAATAAAGATGATGAAGGATATGCATCGACGAAGGCAAGATGCCCAGGAGAAGACCGCGCAGTCACAGGCTGTTGAGCATCCTTGTGATATGAATTACATGTTCAACATGCCGGCTGACTTTTTCATTACTGATGCTGACTTCTTCGACTTTGCCGAGTCTTTTTACGCTGCCGGTGTTATGTGAGAGATGCGCTTTGGCGTGGCGCTACCTTGATACGCCACGACCCACGGAGACGGAGTTCCGTTTCATGGCACTTCAACATTGGGTGTAATGAGCACTTGCCTCCATGTTCTAAGCCACTAAAAGAGAAAAAACATCATTTTCGAGTTCGAAGGTCCTTGAAAAGCTGCTGCAGGCTACGATGTGAGAATCCTGTCGTGATTGCAATCAAGTCTATCTTCTTTTCGAGGATGGCAGAAAAGGTTTATAATTCGTTCTTTAACATTAAGAAACTATGTATTTCCGTACAATATCTTAGTATTACAGGGCAACAGCGCCCACTGCAGCGGCAACAATAGCCATGACACCAGCCAGGCTGGTAACAGCAAATCCACTAGCCGCACCAGTGTGGACAGCATTTGTAGCAGAAGCGGTCGAGTTTCCAGAGACGGTAGTGTTTCCAACCTTGGAGGCAGCCGAAGTAGTGGTGGTCAAAGAGACAACGGGCGAGCTGGTCGGCGCAGCAGTAATCATGCTGTTACCGGTCTCAGCCTGAGTGGCGGTAGTGGTTGTCTTTTCGGAAGATTCGCCAGTCGCCGTAGTCTGAGTGGAGGACGTGGTTTGCGAGATGGTGGTGGTAGTAGCGGCCAACTTGCCGTTGGGACCCCAGCCGGGCATGTAGCTAGGTGTCACAGTCTCAGTGCCCTTGTAAAGAGGGCAGCCGGGCACTGTCGTCTTGGGAGGAGCACGACCGCCGCCGCAGTCGACAAAGTCACAGATCTCACCGGTGTCGGGAACCCACCAGATCATACTGGCTTCGTGCCATTGATTGGTGGTTTGCGACGAAATGCAGCCGGCGAGGTCGGTGCGGGCAGTCGCGAGGCTGGCCAGGCCGAGAATGATGGGCAGGGCAAAGGTCTTCATGTTTGCGGGTGATATGTAACGAATGGACAGTGAAAAATGCAGTTAACGAGCGGTCCCGATTGACGGGTTGAGTGAGCGACGGCGGAGAAAATGAAGAACTCGCGACGAAGAGCCACACAAAAACGGCGCGTGGGCGCTGTCTTATATGTCAGTATTCCTGTTCCTCCGGTATTGGGGCCTGGATTAGATCTAGCACCAAACTCTGTGGCAGAGCCACTGGTCACAAAGATGTTTTGGGCCCATCTAGTCTGCCCCAAAACGCGAAAAGCGGCACTTGGGGTCCCTGCCAAGGGGCGAGTGGCGGCCATTACCGACGCACTATTGGACTGTCGGGCTCGAACCGAACCTGGTAGAAAGGGCTATGCCACGATAGGCACTTCGTGAGCCTCAGGGTCTGGTTTTTTGGGCTCAGCTCTGCATCCTGACTCGGGGTGCCCGACATGTTTGATTGGCCTGGCTGATTTTGCAATTTGGTGGCTCATTCATGATTCAAGATGCCCCGAGGCCCCTGGAAGACGATGCCGAACCTCCGATTTGGGGAGTTATTTTTAGCGCCAGACTCGGATCACAAAATGTAATTTGATAGAAGAAAACGGCCATTGATGTTGATCAAGTCGCCTGAAAGCTTTTTTATTTTTCCAGCCATAAGATCCCTGGATCGGGGCCTTTGAGGTGTTGGAGGGAAACCCCGGTGATGCCTGGTTGCACGCGCTAGGCATTTGCCTGCCTTACTGCCTTAGAAGTCCGCTCTATGCATCTTCGATTGACGATGTTTATGGAGGTCAAAATACGCTGATGGTCAATAATGCAATCTAGTGGCATATATTATTAGAAACTACTCTGTGATCCTGCTAAATCTTTACTTGTCATATGTGAGGTACCCCTAACCCGTGAAACAAAGGAGATTCAAGAGCACCACACCTTCAAGTGCGTTGAGCACGCGCAATAAAGACCGTCTTGTGGTGAGTCTTATCTCCCTTCTTGAATATCAACTGATCAGGGATCAACTCATATTCAAACCCAACACCCAATCCAGCATCCTTGAACAACTTCTCCATGTCATCCCGCGAGAATCCATGCACCTTCACTGTATGAGCCGCATCGCCGAAGTCGTGTCCTTGCTTCTTGGCATGGCCATGTCCGTGGTCATGATGTCCATGACTATGTCCATGACCTTCACCATGTCCATGATCGTGGCCGGAGCTGGGGATCAAGTCGATGATCATGAATGAGCCACCCTTCTTCAACCGGGATGCTAGCTTTTGCAGTGCAACATCCGGATGTTCAAAGTGGTGCAAAGCCATGCTCACGGCCACTACATCGAAGTTGGTGTATTCAGGTCCAGAGAACTCTTCTGGGGCAGTATCGGCAAGGAGGTCCGCCTTGTAGCCGATCATTTTGTCGGCGAGTCCGATAGTGCTGGCGTTACGGTTGAACTCGGCCACCATTTGTTCGGAGACATCGATACCGATCACTTTGGTGAGAAAGGGTGCCAGAGTCTTTGAAATCATATCAGTATCTATTTCCGGTATAACATCACACCAATGGAGATCCTTACCATCGAAACAACTCCAGGCCCGCAGGCATATTCAAGGAGCTTCACTTCCTGGCCCTTGCCCGATTCAGTGTCTGTCCAACGATCACTAAGCCAAAGTCGGTGCTTGAGCGTCTGCTCAGCAATTATCTTCATGGAGTCGGCAAATTTGCTTTGGTAGGTAGATGCCATTTGACTGTGCAAAGCCCAGGTTAGCCAACGGTATGTGGATATCCAACTAGGTCTGGGCAAGGGGTCCTTACTCGAAGTATTCTCGATTAGCCTCCGTGAATTCAGTCATCTTGGCGTAGATGGTAATATCAATATTGTCGATGTGGGTAAATTGTCTCTTTTAATGAAATTCGAAAGGGTTGAATCGAGTTGAGGTTAGGCGGATGAGGAAACAGAGTTGGGTCGATGGAAGGAGGTTATTTATGTAGTGGCTCGGAGACATCTTCGGACACTTTTAGTAGACTTAACTTTCCCCGTTGCCCATCACCAAACCTCTCGGAGATATTTCTGGCCTACTAGGTATATCAAAGTCTCCGAGCTCTGTCACGAAATAACACCTTATATTCTTCAAAAGTTTACAACAGTCCTGCGAGGGCTATACATAGTTGAGGCCAGAGTGGGTATCCACAAAGCTGATGGGGCTCAAAATACGATAACCATCATCTATCCAGCGCATGACCTTTCGTACAGCTAGAAATAAAGTTGATATACTGAATCGCAAATTTAAGAAGCACAGCAACACCAGGACTGTTGACTGCTACTGTAAAGGGTGGAGCATCTAATAACTAACTGAAAATCATGCCTAAGAAGTCAGGAACAACCAGCTCCCCTTCACCGCCCGCCGAGCTCCAAACTGGCAAAAAGACATCATCAGCTCCGTTCGCCGTCCTCCAATCCCCACACCTGAACGACTCCCCTTCCTGATCCTCTATCCCTTGTCCTGATTATCATCTCTACTTGCTTGAGATCTGGTCAACAAACCCTCATTCGCCCCCCGCCTCCCGCTCTCCGCCATGGACGCCTCCAAGATCCCTGATTTCCTGGCCGAGCAGCAAGCACAAGGCACGCCCGAGACGCAGACCTACTTCCTCACCTTTGAAGACTTCTGGGAGCGGAAACTATGGCATCAGCTTACCGATTCATTGGTTGAATTCTTCCGTATGAAGGAGAGTGCTCCGCAGCGCTTGCCTATCTTCAAGGCCTTTGTGTTGAGCTTCGCCGATCGGATCAACCAGCTTAAGTTTGTGGCGCTGGGATTGATGGCATCAACAGAATGTTCTGGTGAGTTTAAATGGGTTTCGGGATTACAAGGCCTTTCTTCTTTTGTCTTGGGTATTCAACGGATTGCTAACAGTCTTCGGGCACGATAGATGACAACGAACGGCTCGCTTTCCTCACAGCTCTCTCCAACAAGGTCAACAAGCCCGAATCACAAGATGCCTACGTCTATGCGCTCGCCGACGTTGCCAATGTCAAGTTGCGAGTACCGGATCTGGATGGGGCACAGAAGGATCTGGCCGCTTGCCAGAAGGTGCTGGACTCGTTCGACTCGGTCGAGACCGTCGTACATGCGTCATTCTACAAAGTGAACGCCGATTATTATCACGTACGTACCCCCGCAACCAATATTAAATCCCGGACATGCCGAAAAGGATGCGCAGGGTTGGAATAAAGCAGACGGAACTAACAATGTCCCAGACTAAGCAAGAATTCGCCTCCTTCTACAAAAACGCCCTCCTCTACCTGGCTTGTATCGACCTCGAAGAACTCCCCGAGACCGAGCGCGTCTCTCGCGCCTACAGCCTCAGCGTCGCCGCACTAGTCTCAGACTCAATCTACAACTTTGGCGAGCTCCTCCTGCACCCGATCCTGGATTCCCTGACCGAGACACCACACAACTGGCTGCGTGACCTCCTCTTCGCCTTCAACCGGGGCGATCTGACCGCATACGACGTTCTCGCCGGCAACATTAGCAAGAACAAGCTGCTCGAGTCGCACCGCATGTTCCTCTACCAGAAGATTTCGCTTTCCGCGCTGACGGAGATGGTCTTCCGGCGTCCGCCGCATGACCGCTCCCTCGCGTTTGGCGATATTGCCTCCGAGACTAAGGTGCAGCCTGATGAGATTGAGCATCTGGTTATGAAGGCGCTGTCGCTTGGTTTGTTGAAGGGCTCTATTGATCAGGTCGGACAGGTGGCGCATATCCACTGGGTGCAGCCTAAGGTGTTGGATATGAAGCAGATTGATGGCATGCGGAACCGTTTGAAGGATTGGGATGCCGGTGTCAATCAGCTTGGTCATTGGATCGAGGGTGTTGGCAAGGATGTCTGGGCTGCATAGATGGTGTACACGTATTCTCTCTAGCCGCTTTTTTATCTATAATGAATGAAGAGGGTGGTTCCTGCTTGCATGAAGCTAATGGTTCTTTTGCGTTCATTTGTAGAAGTCTTGCTTCTCGAGAACTCGATGATAATGCCATAGATATAGAAAATAATTAGAACATAGACGATCCCAACAGGACACATCCAATCAACCAGGCCGGCCACCACACACACCAGACCACCACTTGCGTCCACATGCCCCAGACATCCCAACCAAACGCAGCTTGCGTCAAGACAGTCTCAATAGGCACGCCGGTATACCAGCAGATGCCAATGAGGACGGCAGGCGGGGAGAGAAGGTTCAGCAGCGCTAAGCCCAGAATAGAGATGGGGTAGCGCACTGCTGCAGGGCCTTGAATGCGAGTAATGAAGGAAAGAGGGGCACAGAGGAGGCCAATCATGAAGGAGAGGGAGAAGTTGAGTGTGGCAAGGGTAGACAGGGAGAGACCAAGTAGGAGCAGGGCGAAAGATTTGATCAAGAGGTATTGTTGGGGAACAATGGGCCTTGCAATTCCTAGGCCATTGGACAGTAGTGCGGCCAGAATCAAGGGGAGGACAATGTCCACAACGACAAAGATATAGGTTGCAGCGGTGAAGTACTATGAAAGCAGTTAGTATGTGCTTTATGTTCTGTGTATGTCATCTGAAGAGCTCACCTGGTGGAAGATCGTGTTAAATGTCCACAGTGGAACGAGGCCAAGCAAATGCAAGCCGCTGACCAAACTAAGTGGCAAGGCTAAGACACGCTCTGCGACGGCACTTCCAACGGTCTTGGTCTCAGCCACGTCCTTTTGAACGACCGAGTCAGACTGCTTTTCGCTCTTGGATTTAGGACCCTCAGAGCCAGCGGGAACACTGGGCTTAGAGTCCGAGTAGTAGCCAGTTCGCATCCACAACGCAATCGCCATGATAGTAAAATTACCGGCAATCAGCATAGCACTAGGCAGATAAGTTCCGATGCTAACGAAGCGATTGGACTGCATGAGTAGATAGAAGAAGAAACTCTGGTGCAGATGCTCGAGTAAGTTGTTCAAGCTGCGACAGAGACTCTCGATCGTCCGACCCAGAGCCATCTCATCTTCCCAGCCCTCGCCCTTAGGCTGAAGAGTGATAGCGTCAATGTGATATGGCATGAAACTGCTGTGAGCTCCGGTGGCATAGCCGAGGCCTTGCTTGGTCATACCGCGCAGAATCGTTTTCAGACGGTCCCGGTAGCTGTCGTCGTGCTGCCACATCTCTTGCAGGTTGGCACCGATACCCATCTGTCCCCCTGCAATGGCTACAGCCGTGTTGAAGAGATCAAGATTCGGTAGTTGACCATTGACACCATCATAGACAATGTGGAGTGTATGGAAGTGGTTCTCGAACGGGTATTCAATAACCAGCGCGCCTTGCAGCGCACCACTCTTCAATGGCAGCGGTTGCACTGACGCAGGGTGGAGGTCATGATAGGCATCGATCCATGCCTGAGTTCCGGTTTTGCTGTCGGGTGGGAAAACGAAGATAATATCCTTGGACCAGAGTGACCAGCCTAGTAGAGACGTATCAGTGCTTGTTCGAGTGTACGCGGTCCCAAGTTAATGGAAACTCACGTTTAAAGTATCTCGCCAGTGTCAAGGCAAGGGTCACACCATTCAGGTTCAACTCGTCATCCGCAGTCTTCCATGCTGCGACCAAGACTATTGCCTCTGTCGCATCACCCCGCGGCGCATGGATGATACCATAAACGTTTTCTCCCTGGTACCCAATTCCTGCAGAGGTATACTCGTATTTCTGGGTCGCGACCTTCAATCCAGCAGCTTGCAGGATCGAATAGATCTTGTTGGTGATTCTGTCTTTACTATCAGCACTCTATTCTCGAGTTGTCCCCCAATCGCTTCACATACGCTGGAGTCGATTCCACCTCGGGGTTCTGAGGTCCATTCTCACGACCCTCTTGAATCAATGCTTGGAGTTCCTTCTTGTATCCTCGAAAAATATTCTGCTCACTACCCGTAAAATAGGCATGAACTTGGCCTGGTAACAAGGCATTCTCGGAGATGTAGGTTTGTCGGGAGTAGTCGTTCAAGGGAAGGAGGAGTAGCCAGACAACGCCGACAACAACGCAAAGGAAGGACAGGATATTTGGAAGGCGGACAAAGAGAAGCTGAGGGTTTTCCCGCAAGTTGCGGATCGCAGCTGGTAGTAGTATATAGCTGTTAGGGACTCGATCTTGACCTCCGCGTAGCCTGGTGAGGGGAAGGGGCGTTGTGGCTCGGGCTCACATCTTTCTCAAATACTCACATTTTAGCGCCATTGGGCGAGAACCATTGGGGAAAATCTCCCAATCCACCACGACAAGCAGGTTCAAATGAATGTTCCGTCGAGTGGACGGTGAGAGGCCAGCTTGTTGCGGAGCGCGGAGCGCGGAGCTCGGCGTTGTTTACGGGGAATTTACGACGGACGGAAGAGACCAAATGCGCAGAATTATAGATGTAGTCGCTATGCTATGATCCAAATTCCCCCAACCTTGCACCCGACCAAGACAATGAGAAGTAACCATGAGAGAATATACACGTAAAATTAGGTAGATGTTGACATAATGCGAGGCGTTCATGCGCCGAGGCGCTGGTTGGTCCCCAAGAAGCTCATGGGAACCTGGTTTCCGCTACTGCCAGCGGCGCTGCTTGAAGGCAAAACACCATACCGGCCGTAGGTCTTTTGGTCGACAGACACGTAATGCGGGAGTCTTCCAAGGAGGTTGAGCTTTCCCTCAATCCACCGAAGGACCTTCTCGGGGGGCACAAGAACCTTGAGATAACCGAGTCCGACTAGGTCAATTAGAAACAGGATTTCGATGAATACAATCAAACAAAGCGAGAGAGAACTTACAGAGATAACCAATAAGTATGGCACAGAGATGGCCAAGGAAGCTGACGTTTGAAACCAGGATAGAAAGGACAGCACAGGCAAGGAGAGGCGAAGTCCAAGTGGGGATCTTGTACGGGCCCAGACTAGAATTTTATTAGATACTGCAAAGAAAGATCTTGAGACTTTTGACTCACCTGAAGTAGGGGTTAGACTTGAAGGTCCGGATCGCCTCGCAGCCCAAAAGGAGAAAGACCCAAACACTTTAAATCCTGTTAGACACATCCAAAAAGAGATACACCGTGGGAAGAACTCACCTCGACCCAACAACCTGGGTGTTCCTGTGCAAAATCACCTTTTCGATCAAAATGTACAACCCAGCCGGCAAAGTAGAGAGCGCTGTAAATCTAGTCAGAATATGATAATTCCAAAGTAATCGGGCTGCAACATATTGCCCATCGAGGTCAATTCTCCACAGGCCATAGAGGTACTCACGTCCAACAAACAAGGCAATCGAGGTAAGTGTGCCGTGTTCCGCCTCGAACCGTTCCAAGAGAGGCGTCAACGCCAGGGCATTCAAAAATGCGTGGAAGAAACCGGTATGAATGATGGGGTAGGTGTTAAGTCGGTACACTACATGGTGTGTTAGCCTGGTGTTCTTCAAAATACTGTTCAGTGCCGAGGCACCCGGCGGAGCGGCGCATACTAGTGCCAAGGTTGATTTCGTTGGGGATCAAGGCACCCCATTCTACCACGCTCCAGATGGTCTGTAGCTCTAGCAACCAGAATGCAAGTATCACCAGAAGAACAAGTCGGGTGAACAGCGGCAACCGCACGAGGTAAGATCGAACCCGGCCCGGATTGAAGGGCAGCGGGGGTAAAGCGGCCGGTGTAGCCATGTCGAGTAGCGGAGGAGTTTAATTAGCACTTAACGGACTAGCACAGCGCGCGGGTACCCGAGTGACGAGAATAGGGGATCAGATGGCAAGCTTGTGGACAACAGTGCGGTCACTGTGCTCTGGACTCGGAATTTCGAGGGGCAGGTGGGACAATCGCAGATGGACGCGACGGCCAAATGAACAGATCTCTGCTTATAAGAGATTTTGTCGCTTGAAGATTGCAAGATCGGATAGACAACTGTGTGGTAACAAGTACAGTTAGTGAGTGCACAACATGTTACCACCGAGCGTTCACAGTCAGAATCAGTATTGTCCTGCCAGGGATAAACTGACCAGACACGCGATCCGTTTGTCGGGCTTCAAGGACGCGACCGGCAGAGGAGGATCAAGCACAGGCCACAAAGCAATGAATAAATTCACACGGAGCGACAAACCAAAGCAAACAACAGACTTCCCACGGCAAGATAGGAGGTAGCAGTAGAAGGTTGATCGTGAATCCTCTGGCGTCCCGTAAACTCGGAAAACCGTGGCCGGCTGGCCGCCGCCGCGACGATCCCCGCTATGCCTATTTAGGAACTGGTCCACTCTGGGATCAACCGATACGAGACTATGCTTCACAATAATACGACGATGATCATCTTGTGGTACCGATATATGAAGAACACTTTGAATATCTGATGAGCAAAAATAGTGATCTGTAATATCTGTAATTAGTATGTCGAAAGATTATTTGCCAAAACGAACAGCAAGACAATTGTGCTATTCTTGTTACCATTCAGGCTTCTCCAGGGCATAATCAAGACCTACCAATTAACTTAAGAGGTAAAAAAATGACCATCAAATCATAGATGACTTTCGATTGACAATTCCTCGCTGATAAAGCAATTCTAGGCAGTTCTCATAAATACAGATTGTGTGCCAACTCTAAGACGCCCCTCCTATACTTGCCAAAATACACCATAACTCGATTTACCTCAAGTGGATAACCTAGGCGTTGCTAGTGATACTTGGACCTGGATTAGATGACCCAATCGTCTCTCGGGGCCCTTGAGCTCCTCGTGGTGAACTTGCAGCACTAGACTGGCCCTGGCCAGGACTACTTAGGGTTTTCCTCCATGAGCGGCCCGATCGAGATCCTCGAGAAGCCCAGTTTCCCCGGCGAGATGCAGACTGCGAGAAACGTAAGCCAATGATCTTTCAAAGTATATTGCGACAGGTTAGGGGCAGATATTCTCTACATACCGGTGGTTTTTTGTCGCCGGCTTTCCTCTTCCAACGATCAACCATTGATTTCAAGCCTTGTTTAGTGCGATCAACCCCAAATGCTCTGTTATATTCCACAGTAATCTGATCCCAAGTAGCCTTGGAAGCTTGTTGGTCTTTGACAAACTTGTAGCCGTTTTTGGTTTCCTCTTCTGTCGAATATATTCGCGGGTGCCGCCTCCGTCTCTGGGCAACTGGCCTGCTGATACTGCTAGAGTCTGCCTCGTCACTCTCGTAGAATGCAGCGGCACTGGCCAGCAATTCTTCCATTGACAATTGTGGACTGCTGGTAAGTGTCGGCTCATTCAGTAGGGTGACTTCGGTTTCTCGGGTTTCTTCCCTCTGTGGTGTATCTGGTAGAACCTCCGGTAAGATGTCCATACTGGGCTCTTCGGGTCTCTCGTGGTGGGCGTCCTGCATTTCCATGTCTTCGTCTGAACTCTGATCAGTACTAGAAGAGTCATCGCTAGAGACCGCAAATTCGATGTCGCCTCTCGTGTCTTGTACGATGGAGTTCACGGGAGAAATTTCCCTGGATACCAAGGGCCTGGACACCAAAGGAGAACCCCTAGGTTGAGGAATTTCCGAAGGCCCGGATAAAAGCTCCAGGTAGCGACTGATCATGTCACGGCGCTCGTTGAGCCTTCTCGCGATGTTTCTCTTGCATTCGATTGCTGATAGCAAAGGTCAATATCCATCCAGTTCAGAATTTGCAGACATAACGTACCAGCCATCAGTGCATTTTCATATTGTCCCAACTCTTCCACCACTGCTCCGATAGCCTCATTCTCCTTCTTCATATCCTCTGGATGAGGCCACGGTTTCAGAAGGTTTCGAAGCCGAATGACGTAACCTCTTTCATGCTCAGACAGCCGAACGAGTCGTCCTCGATAGTTGTAGTGGTAGGCGCCATCATCCTGAAGGATCAGATCGCTTTCCTCTGCCTCTCGAATAATATCCACCCAGTTCAGAGAAGGGGCGGGGCCATTCTCTTCGTTTTCGTCTACCACTAGGCAAGGTCCGCGGTGGAATTCCTCTCGTAGATTCGCTTCGAAATTACTCCAATGGAGCGCATAGGGGTCAGGGTTTCTGTGTCGAACAAAGCTCTTTTTGTCGTCAACGAGAGCTTTATATCTATCGAGCAGATTGATTGCTTGCTGCAGGATGGGATGATTCACAATATCGCGGACTTCCTGGTCTTCGTGGTAAGTCACAAAGTCTAGGTCCGATGGCTGCATCGTGGTTCCCAAATCTGTAGAAAATCTGTCGAATCTCCACGTCAGCCTCTGGCAACGAGATTTGCTACCAAGCGATATGATGGCCCTTGGTTTTGCCGAGCACGACGGGGAACTGGGAATAAGGCGGAGGAGGTAATTTCAGCGTGGAAAAGTTCAGATTTGAAGTCGATACTAGATAGAGAGTAGACCGAGGGCTAGATACCCTTTATCTAAATTTTTTCCCCGGTCGAATGATGGAAAAGGAGGCTGGAACTCGAACCTTGGCCGGGCAGTTCTTCTCTGGTTAGTAGGACTTTCTCGCCCCTATCGGCTCTGGGGAAACAGGCAACCACCTCCCATGGGAAACTAATGCAATGAATATGAGCATTGACCGTTTCAGCTCCTACCATTTGTTTGCTACGCTAATGCATGAGCTAACTCTCGTTCTTCCCAGGGTGATGCGTAGAGTTCCCAAAAATAAATCTTCCTCCTAGACTTTGAGGTTTCTGCTGTTAGCACGAGTCTACCAAGATAATCTGACGCTTCTAACCACAGACTTTGATAATGTTCAATTAGCCGCCGCTAATCGCGTCGAAGCTTGATTCCCAATAAAATCGAAGGGTGGAGAACGGCACTTCGCCCCATGTTTGGCCCCCAATTTCCATGGGATGTCCATCTCCAATAGATATCTCCGTTTTTTCTCCTTTCAAGACACGCCTACCCAGAAATATTGTAGCTCCTGTATCAGATCTCAAAAAAGAGACTTTTGACTGTTTCAGTAGCTATACATTTCAAATTTTGATATAAATGTGGAAAATCGACGAAGGCTGGGCTGGGCTGGGACCACGAGGGGAATCGCTAGTTTGGGAGAGTCGGTACTTTTGCATGCATGAGAACTTGTCTCGAAACAGGCATTCCAGTGTGCCTCGCACTGCCTCATTCTTTTTAGTTCGTTTCCATTCCCCCTGGTCTTCAGCTGCTCATGTGATGTGGTGAAATTTAGAGGACTGTGGCTTATCACAAGACGGTGACAGCATCCAGGAAATAGTGTCGCAATAGATTCGAACTGTGAAGTATGGAATCTCTTATGGCCCGGCCCAGCCACGTGGAGGTATTTTGGAAGTCAAATCAAAAGGCGGAGAAGCCTCTTGTCTGATTCTAAAATCAAGCCTGTATAGCTGAGAGATCTTTTTAATTTCACTGATTTTTCACATCTTCTCGGAAGACTTCGTGAAACTGTAGCAGTGAACCAGCCCTGTAAACTGCGGCTGTGGCTGCACTAGTAAACTTTGAACCCACTTGCTGCACAATATTTTGAAATTGCTTGAGAATGTGTTCTCGCTACACTACAGGCACAAAAGGCTTATAATATTGGGGATATTGACCAGTATCGGACGAAGCCTATCATTTCTCGTCCTCGAACTCCGAGAAGGCCTGACGATCACATTCGGGCGTTGTATTTCCGTTGGTGGGTGGCGGGTTTGTGGTTTGATGCAGGGCGAAGAGGGGCCTTCTAAATATGGTAAGCATGGCCATATTCAACAGCTCACCCAAACCATCACAAACAAAGTTCGAGAAAAGAAACCTCTTCTCCATCCATGAATCGAACCCAGGATTTCCCGTTCCCCCATACAAACATACAACTGTTCTCGCTCTGTACTCAACGATTCCCTAACGGCATTTCGAAATGCTTCATCCGGGCACCACGCCAGACAAGAACACGCCAATACAACGACACACTTCTTTGAAAAGCTTCAAAAAAGACATTATTAGATTGCCGTAGCTTAGCTGGTTAGAGTTTTATAAGTAAAGAAAAACAAAAAGATAACCGCAGAATTCAATCTGTCTTCCCACCCGCCCAACCCCAGAACCCACCCGCTGCCCAGCCGAGCTCCACAGAAGCTTCACGGCACACTAACTAGACAGCCGGCCAACGATTGTTAGAAACGGCTACCAGAGCAGCTTCGCGAGACCTTTCGGACCACTAGGCCACCGGCGAGGAGGGTTACAATTTGGTTTTGAATCCCATCATAACCTCTCTTGACGACCAGATTTGCTTGTGTAATTCTCTATCCCCACGTCCATGCGAACCACCTACTTCCTTCGATATCAATATATTGTACTTGGCTTGTTATGATTTATTGCGTTTCTCATTATCATTATCATTCCGCAGCATACGCTTCGTTTCCCCTGTCGCCAACCACGCTGCCTTTTCTCAGCCCGGCATATTAGTACCAAAGCTCCGTGATATTGGGAAAACCAAGGCGCTGGAAGCATACATCTCGACTCCCATCTTGGAACCTTCGGCCCAATTAACTACCTCCGCCACAGCCTCGTGATTCCCACTTTCCCCATCTTTCTCAACAACGTCGAGGCTTCTCGCTTGACATGCTATACCTACCTGCCAGATATGCTTCGACTTTCTGGAAGTCTTTCAGAACACCATTGTTGATGGAACTGACGTGTACCCCGATGATTGCAGGCCCATTCGTCCCAGTGCTCGGGCAAGGTATCTTGGCTAGCCTCCCCCTACTATTGATATTCCGTTATGTGCGTCCTCAATAGTCTCGCACTTAGCCACAGGAATGAGCAGGTTCAGCCCATACAGGCAAGTTGTCCCGGTTTGAGTTCTTTTTGCACTAATCAGATTCTTCTATCCGCAAGATCATCCTTCGATGGCCAAACTCCATTTCCTCATGAACCATGGCTTCGCTTCCCAACTCCTCGAATGCCAAGGATGACAAGCCCCATCATCCAGATACCGCCGACAAACAAGAGCATGCCGAGTATAAATATCCAACTTGAGATCCCGCAGATCAAAGATATCAGGCATGGCAAACGTCATCATAATGGCACGCTCGCGAAGTAAGGGCAGAGGTATTAGGTCAAGACTGGCATGATGTGGAATGAGGATCTGGGCCATGGTTGGTTGCAAATGTATGGGGATTGAGGTGTTGAGAGAAGAAGCGACCACATCCCGGGCGCTGTCTTGTGTGGTGATTGATCTGAAGAATGGTGACATGTACGAGGTATTACATTGTGCAAGCTTCTTGAGATCAAAGCCCAGACAAAGGGCGTTGTTGAGGACGGCCAGCCAAATGGTATCTCGTGTCGTTTGGAGGGTGTTTGCCAGTGGATCAGCGCATCTTATTTCCAATGTGTTGGTGCGAGCTTCTGCGTCGCCGACAACTGAAGCAGTTCCTAATTGACAGTCTGAGACAGGCACATTCTCAGAGATTTGGGGTTCAGGAGGACTATTTGACCGCGAGCTTGACAAGGGTCGAGGTGCAATATTCCTGACACCTTCGCGGCGAGGAGCAGCACTCTTTCGGCGGTCCCGTTGTCTCTCGCCTGGTCACTGTTAACAGCCAATAATGACGGTAGGGCTCGGGAAGTCGGAACATACGATATGCCCGCTGGGCCTTTTTATTTTGTTCTCTTCTCGCAGCGGTGACAACTCTGTTCCTGACTCGACTGGCTGTGTTATAGGATTCGTGCTGACGATTGCCTTCCAGGGAGGAAGGTGATGATTCGCTGGGGCATTCTGAATCGGGCATTGGGCGAGATCTTATTCCTGGGGCTAATACCATTTTCGCACTATCGAATTTATCATCCTGGTTGCAATTAACAATGGCAAAGCATGAGGGTCGTTGTGACAAGGTCGAAGGTGCTTAACTCCGTCTGGCCCGAGAGAGTGGGGAGGGCCCAAAGAGGAAAGGTGAGGAACACTTCACGGCTGGCTTACCCGTGGCTTACGATCAACAGCCAATCAGATGAGATGGACTATATTCGGTCATCTATGGCATTGACTCCATTGTTTCCGTGTCTCTCGTCTATAAAATGGCCGTGATCTCTTGCAAGTTCAGCAAATCATTATCACAATCCATTTATTCTCATACCACAGCTATCCCAGACAACAAAAATGACCACCGACGCAAAGAGAATCATTGCCGTTGTTGGAGCAACTGGTACCCAGGGCTCCTCAGTTGCCCGTACATTTCTGAGTCTTACCAACTGGAGCGTTCGTTGCCTGACTCGAGACCCAAAATCCGACAAATCCATTGAACTGTCTGGCTTGGGAGCCGAAGTAGTGAAAGCAGATCTGGAAGACAAAGAATCTCTTCGTCAAGCATTCAATGGCGTCCATGCAATCTTCCTCAACACAGACTTCTGGCATCCTTATCGAAAAGCACTCGCCGCAGGCGTTGATAGCCTTACTAGTGCCAAAGAGGGCTACGATGTGGAGGTCTCTCATGGCAAGAATGCCGCTGATGTGGCTGCGACTGTCCCAACCCTCGAGCGATTCGTCTACTCTGCGCTCGGTCCTATGAAAGCCGCGTCTGGTGGAAAGTACTCGCTTTCATACCACTGGGAGACCAAGGCGTACATTGCGGATTATATCCAAGCTCAGCCTGAGCTGGCAAAGAAGGCTTCCTTCATCTACATTGGGGCCTATATCACCAACCCTTTCCTCTATCCCAAGTTCCAGCCCGAGAGCGGAGAATTTCTCTCAGTCATCCCAGCCATGAAAGAGACTATGATGCCAATCATCAACACGACCGAGTCGACGGGGCCATTCGTCCGCGCTCTGGTGGAGGATGAAGAGTCTGGAACAAAGTTGCTGGCGTATGACGACTATCTCAGCCTTCAGGAGATCACAGATATCTGGTCTAGAGCTCTGGGAAAGCAAGCCAAGTTGATCTCGATGGCTATGGAAGAGATGAATGAGAAAATGGGAATTCCGTTGGAAATTCTCCATGGCCCGGCTTTTATTAGCGAGTATGGCTATTGCGCGGGTCTGGAGAATGTTATCGAGCCTGGTCAGCTCAAGCAGCGTGTGCAACACCAATCGTTTGAAGGCTGGCTCAAGGATCAGGATGTCGAGGACTTGCTTGATCTGAAGAAGGAGAATCGTTGGGATGGCCGGGTTCAATAAGAGTTCTCAGGTTTGGGAGATATCTGGCATCAGTCGTTTATTCTTGCAACTGGGAGAATCTGAATTCACGTGCGCTTTGGCTTGTAAATATGCTAAATACACAGGTACTGTAGACCCTTAATGGACAGAGAGCATATCCTCGAAGTGTCGTCCCCATGATTGTTCTCCAGTCCACTGTACTACGTTTGTGTGTTCCTATGTATCATCAAGCCACCAGTACGGAACCAATGATTCCGATTTTCCTCGTATTGTTGGGTGATATGTGGGGCGTGGGCGACGCGCATCCTTCGCCATAGACTGGACCTTTTACTATACAAGATTCTGCACGTAGGTATGACAACACCCTAGAAAACTACCAGCACCAGCCATTATAAATGGGATAAATGAACACTTGACTCGAATCCATTTGCAACTTTGCTGGCTGGCAGACAATTCTCTTCCAAGAGTCCTTAGTGGGTCAAGCCCAACAGAGGCGCCATGTTGGCTTGCCAACTCTTACGCTATTGCCTTCCCGTGCCTCTCGGAACTTGGCCGCTTACAAGCCTCCGTATACTTACTCTCCATATAACCCAACACAACAAGTTAAGCATTCATGCGAAATTCGGCTATAGCCCGGCTACTCCAGGAGCTCCTGGGGCATCCCCGCATCAGCCACCCCAGGATGATTTTCGGCCACCAAACCGAATCATGTAATATCAACATAATCAGACGCCTCCTTAATCGATCTAAGTGGCGTAAAACAGACTCAAAGGCTCCACCACTCGGCGTTTCGGGTTCGGAAGTGGGAAGTGGAGAATCCACCAGGAAAGGCTCAAAGGCTAGCATCGGGCTCGGTGGGTCGGTCCAGCGTTAGGGCATGTCCTACCATGCCGTTTTTTGAACCAGATGCAGTCATCGTCCGATTTTCCAGCACTTTCTGAATTTTCTGTTACCTAACACCCCGAATGTGTGCCCCAGATCAAGTTTAAGCTTCTTCTTTTTTTCCCACTCGTAACCCCTCAGAGAATCCCACAATCTCCTCTTCCTGCACGCTTTGTTCGCTTGAGTATTCGATCGGCGAGGGCCAGTGACGGGCTTCAAGGTCTTTTTGGCTTTTGAGTGGATAAGTTTATACGTGAGGGTATCTCGTTGGCCGAGGAAACTCCCGAATTCGCCCGTATTTAAACGTCAGCGTTTTCCCTCTGTGAAAATCCTTGGTTCCTGGTCAAATTTGGGGATTGTCCTGTCGTTGTCTTTTCAAACACTGCACTCTCTTCGACGCAGTCCTCGTCATCATGAACGCCGACGAGATATCCGCTAACCGCGACGCTAATGCGGGCGCGGAGGAACGCAAGGTCCAGCCAATCCCGCCTTTGGATGAAAGAGATATCAAGCTGGGATACATGAGCGAAGCCGACCGACATGTCTACGAAAGCGGTATTCAAAAGTTCAGTCGTCTCGGTTGGAAGCGTCTTACTGTCGTTCTCATCGTTGAGGCTATTGCATTGGGTAGTCTGTCGATTCCTTCCACATTCGCTACACTGGGCATGGTTGCTGGTGTTATTTGTACTGTTGGACTCGGCCTTGTCGCCATTTATACAAGTCATATCATTGGCCAAGTCAAGCTTGCCTTTCCCGAGATTACTAGCTATGCGGATACTGGCCGATTGATGGGAGAAAGACTCGGATGCCCTCGTTTTGGTTATGAATTGATGACTGGCATGCTTGCGCTCCAACTACTGTTTCTCACCGGGTCTCACTGCTTGACTGGAACTATTGCATTCTTGAATATCACAAAGAGCGATGTCTGCTCTGTGGTGTTTGGTGTGGTCTCTGCGATTATTCTTCTATTGCTCGCTGTGCCTCCTAGCTTCACTGAGATGGCTATCCTGGGTTACGTCGATTTTGCCTCGATTATCATCGCGATTGGTATTACCGTCATCGCTACGGGTATCGATGCGCACCACTCCCCCGGTGGACTTTCGGGAGTTAATTGGTCTGCCTGGCCTAAGGAAAACATCACCTTCTCAGAAGCATTCGTGGCTTTGACGAATATCATTTTCGCGTATAGCTTTGCCCTTTGCCAATTCTCCTTCATGGACGAAATGCATACTCCTCGCGACTACGTCAAGTCCATCTGGGCTCTCGGTATCACCGAGATTGTGATCTACACCCTTGCCGGTGCCTTGATTTATGCTTTCGTGGGACAGGACGTGGGCAGTCCTGCCCTTCTCTCAGCTGGTAGCTTGATGAAGCGCGTGGCATTCGGTGTTGCATTGCCCGTTATCTTCATCAGCGGCTCTATTAACACCGTCGTGTTCGGTCGTCTCATTCACGGTCGCATTTTCGCCAATTCTCACATTCGTTTCATCAATACTAAGATGGGATGGTTGACGTGGCTTGCGATCATTACCGCTGGCACGATTATTGCATTCATCATTGCTGAAGTTATTCCTTTCTTTAATGATTTGCTTTCTATTTCCTCGTCGCTGTTTATCTCTGGGTTCACCTTCTACTTCCCTCCCATGATGTGGGCGTTGCTTCTTAAGAAGGGCAAGTGGTCGGAACCGAAGAACATCATGCTGGGACTTGTTAACTTGGGCGTTTTCCTGATTGGCATGGTTACGCTTGTGGCTGGAACGTATTCCAGTGTTGATGATATTGTAAGTTCATAACCCTCGATCATCATTTCTGCAAGGTCCTAATTCGGGTTCATTTAGATGAACAAGTACAAGGCTGGTACAGTTCATGGTGTTTTCACCTGTGGTTCGCCCGAGTAAAGTGCTTGGGTCGGGTAAACTATATGAGTTTTAAGTTGATTGAAGCACATGATTCATCAGTCGTGCAGGTTTGATCTTGCTGTTTAGCATGGATGACGAGAGCATTTTAACGTGAAGATGATCTACATAAAGCGGGTGTTCGAATAGATTTTAGATTACAAGTGCCATTATAGAATATTTCTATTTTACTTGATTGTCCACTTAGGTGAAGCGATTAATGTCCTGTGGCGTAACTTTGTTTATGCAGGCGGGTGATAACTGCCAATGTGCCTGGACACCTGTTCTGGAACTACGTCATCCTATAACCACCATTCTATAGGGCGGGAGAAATGAATCAGTACATCCCATGACAGTCCCCAATAGAAAAATCTCCTATATCCAATTCAATTCATAAAAAATGATATCAATTCATTCCTCATAACTTAGCCATCTCAGATTCGTCAGCCCCATCTCTACAGAAACCAAATCAGCCCAATCCCAGCCGATCCAAGACAAAAAAAAGAGACCAATGTCCTCAACAGCTCCAATATTCGTCTAAACCAGCATATGCATATTTTCTTACAAGTACTGGTTGAACCAAGCAACGGCCTGAACGAACGCCTGCTCCTTAGCCCACTTCTGAATCTTGACGTTCAGATCGCCGCGGACGGCGAAGCCGTGGGTCACGCCGCTGAAGAGGTTGATTTGCCAGGGGTGGCCGGCTTTGATGAGGGTGTCTTCGGATTCGTGACGGAGCTTGGTGGTGAAGATTGAGTCGGTTTCTGTGGGTGGGGATGTTAGTGATATGGACTATTTGATCAAAAGGGTGGAGGGTGGAATTGGGGAACGTACCGGCAGCAGCGATGGAGAAGGGACCCTGGATAGCGCCGAGTTCCTCGTGGGTGATGAAAGAGGGGTGGGCGGCGAAACCAACGTCGACCTTGTTGGTCTTCAAGAAGCGGGTGACGTACTAAGAAGAGCGCATGTTAACAAGCCACTCTCATCGCCATTGATATCCATAATCCGGGGGATTGCAGAAACATACCTTAGCACCGAAGCAGTACCCAACAGCACCAACGCTCTTCACACCCAAAGTCTCACGGACATACTTAATAGAAGCCTCAACAATGGGATCAACATTCGCGGGCTGGTGCTTAGGCAACCAGGAGGGCAAATCAGCCTTGCCAGATTCCATATCCGCGACGCTGATCTGGTCACCCGCGAACAGGTCCGGGATGACGGTCAGGTATCCACTCTTGGCGAACTCATCGGCGAGGAGCTGGGAGTTGGGGAAGATGCCGAAGATGTCGGTCAAGAAGATGATGGCCTTTTCGGGGGTCTTGTTGTCCTTGGGGTAGGTGATGTAGGTGTTGACTAGAGGAAGGGGGGAGGTAGATGTTAGCTCGGGGTATTTTTTGATGCAGCTGCAGCTTTCGGGGCATTTTCTCTCATGAAGCTAAGCTGGATGAATGACTACCAACAAGAGCTGCTGGTTTCTTTTCCTTACTTACCACCGTCAATGTTCTTCACCTCGCCGACAGGAGTACCCTCATGCTTGAAGCCAGTAGCACAGCAGGCGGCAGGGGGGTTGGAAGCCATGATGAAGGTTGTGGATTGGGGTGAATTAAGTGTATTGAGAAGGTGTAGAAAGCAAGTTCAATTATTAAATCGAGGAAGTGAAGAAATATTAAATCGTCGGGAATTGGAGCAACTATCGCCCATTAAATCTTCAACCGGGCCCCTCCCCTCCAACAAGCACGACACGGTCCCATTATCTTTCTGTAATCTTCCATCATTGCTCTTGCCATTGGTCCAATCACAGGCGGTATAGAGGGGAACCGATGGACACCAAGTGGCCAAGCTCTTGACAGAATTGATGTTTTTTCCCTTTCCCCTCCCCCTCGATGTTGGTTGCCGATCTCCACTTTGCCCCTCAGCTTGATTACCAATGGCTGGGTGGCCTTGCCTGGTTGTTGAAGTGATACAAATGAAACGCAACACCGACTGTATCTGGCTATACCACGCATTATTATCACGGACATATAATTTGTAATCAGCACTCATATTTATATCAAGGGTCTATCTCGTATCCTTGTCAATGGTGCAATTCTCACTACTTGAGCAGTACTGACAGCACAGTAAAAATGTTCAACTCGGTACTCGGCACGCGTCCCGCGGCTTTAAGCCACGTTAGCTCCGACGTCGGCTAAAGGCTAATTTATGTCCACAATTAAGCATTCGGGAGAACCACAGCTCAGGGACATAGCCGTGTCCTTCCCTATTATGAACATTATCAGTTACTATGGTCGATACCGAGTACATTCAACTGTTCAAGGTTTAAAATGGTGTCATGGCATATCTGCACCATACATTCAATTCCAATACATCACCGTCTTCTGCAGCCATATGAAATATCTGCGAAAGATGGACCAACTAACTATGAATTCCACCAGTCATTGGTCCAGGTATTTCAGCCTCATTAAGTCCATAAGCATTCATTCCGATCATTAGTGTCGGAAATGTTCCGACCATCTTTTCCCCTTTCGTCAAGGAGATTGATCGCACGAGGGAGACACCACCCTCACGATCCATCCCACTTGACAGTCATTACAATAAGAAATTTGCATCCACATTCAGTCCAACGTCCACATAATATCCATATCAAAATCAAATGCATCTCCCGAGGTGTACAGGGGTATCAAAGGAATAAATAAATCATAATAACAGCAATTGCGCCGTGTGTGAGCATTCAGGATTTCACGGGAAGCGGTATCCCAGCTGAGGACGGTGCTCGCGCTTCACAGCCCACGCCTTCAAGGCGATGAACATGATCTCCAGGGCCATGACGAATGCAGTGAAACCCATGGCCACGGTAAAGGTGAACATCGCATCCACGTCATAGTACTCCATGGTCTCGATCACATTGCGCGTGCTCAGCATGAACACCAGACCACCCGCCATCAGACAGAATGCCGCCACAATCTCAGTTGGTGGACGAGCAGGCAGGTATGAGGTCGGTGGGCGCAGGAACATCAGGACATAAGTCATGCCGCGGGCCAGCGCGAAGCCCACCAGCATGTTGCCCCACTGCTTGTGCACCATGGTCGAAGTCATGCTGGTCTGGTGGTGCGAACCCATCATCATACCGAGTAGCAGGATGATCAGAGCCGGCATCGGGTTGAGAGACACGCCCTGCGATCTGGGTACCTGCCAGTGCTCATCGCGGGTGTTGTGTGCGGGGGATCGAAGGATGGTGTTGTTGAGAGTTTGACGAATACGCGAGGATTCAAAGAGCATACCAGCCTAGTGAGAGAGAAGTTAGCGCGCGATTCACTGCCAAGTTTGGCAAATATCGATCCTTACCAAGCCACCACCAAAGAACATCACGGAGATAGACACGTGCTCCAGATCAGTCGCAGACCAGGCACGACCAGTATTAGACAAGTGCTCCAGGAACACATTGGTGACACCATACAACCAGATCACAAAGGACTCAGTGAACTCGCCAGTGGGAACCTTGGCCTTCCAGCCCACGACAGACGCAGGAGGCTTCTTGTTCCACGCCCAGCCCAGATCTGCCCAGCATCCCACGTACCGGCCCAAGGTCAGGACACCATACCAGAAGAAGATGCCACCCTTGATGAAGTGAGCCAGACCGTTGAAGATCTCGCGCTCCCGCATGATACCGCCATAGGTCACCGCACCAGTCGCGATAGCAACGAACCCGAATGGCAGAATAATGCGATCAATAACATTGTACACCCCATTGAAGATGCGCAGTACGCGGTTGGAGACCATTCCCGGAACGCGATTCGACAGGAAACGGTCCACAAAAGTGCTGTGCAACCACCCGCGCGGTGCGGCCGGCTGTGCCGGAAGGTCCTCCTCCGGCTTCTCAAAGCCATCACATTCAGAAGGTGACTCGAAAGAGAGCGATCCGGGGCTGTGGTTAGGCGAGTTTGGCTCAGTACCTTGGCCACTGTCCCTGGACCAGCGGTACTCGTGCATCGGGCCCGTCGGGAACGTGTGCTCATGCTCGTCCGTCGCGACGGGCAAGAACGAAGCATGCTCATAAGAGAGCTGGTCTGCTTTTGACTCGCCGCGGCCCGCATAAGCAAAGATCAGAGCTAGGATGATCTGCGCGCTGATCACCCACGTCGCGATCCAGCCAATCTTGTGGTGCGCATTGTTCTCGTACAGATCGGGAGTCTGGCTGTTGTAGACGATGCCGAGCAACAGACCGAATGCATTGACCAGCAAGAAGAGGAACTGCGCCGGCAGCGCAAGTCGCGAGCGTCCAATGCTAAGCATGACAGCTATCGCGAACCCGTTAACTGCTGCGCTCACGCCCTACGTGGGACTAAGATTCTCAAATGGGACTTACCTGCTGGCAGAACAATACACCAACCAAGCATCATCAGGGCAATGTGCGCCATGATAGCACCCGAGTGCTTCCCATACGCAAAGTAGCTCATGGGACCCTCGCTATTGGCCTGTACCGTTGGCGATGGCGTTGCGGAAGCACCGGAACTCATATCCATACTCATACCCATATCTGAATGCTCGTCATCTCCATGAGGAACTGCTGTCGCCAGGCACGCGAGAAAAATTGCCGCGTAGGCAGCGCGGGAAGCTAACAGCCGCATTGGGCTCAAGGGAGACGAATCGCAAAGCTCTCGAGATTGGAATTATGTACTACTCCGAGAAACGAAGAGGAGTGCGCTTGTTACGGAAAGGAAAATAAAAGAAAGAGATGAGAAACGAGTCAGCAGGAGCTTCGAAGCTTTATCGAATCGTGACGTAACGTCGCTGCCAAACCCGAGGGAATGAGCGAAGCTCCCGCCTGTTTCCTGATCTCTGTTCGAGTCAAACGGAGCTGTCAACCGAGGATATGGGATCCACACGATGAACGTCCAGTGTGTATCCGGGGTTGGACCAGCCTTGGGAGGGAATTGGAGAGGGATGTAGGGGGTGGGTGGTGGTTGACGCAAGGAGAATGGTAGGGCTGAGAGAGAAGTATAGGGAGGGAGGAACGAACAAAGTATAAAGAAGCTGTGCTCGGGGGTGACAGTGCATTAATAATAAGGCAGAAGGAACGAAGCACCGGGAAGCTGGTCAGATATAACTGGCAGGGTAGTTCAGGATTAATTATTTGAATTATTCTGAATTTCTGGGTTGGAAATAATATTTTTTTTCTTCGCTGATTTCCAATGCTTTTCGGGGGACGGGGATAAAAGATGCGGTCGCCGATGGGTGCGTGGCAGTTATCAACAGCTTCGGCATTAGTATTAGTAGCATTAGTACTCCGTACTAAGTACGAGCTGTCCCTCTCTTATTCTCTTAGTCTGTTATTTCCGCTTTTCCACTCTTCCTCTCTTCCTTGGCCTTCCGGGCCCCGTGCCTGGTGGATGATTCAACCAACTTGGTCCGACTTTGCCGTTCATATTGTGGGTATCTAGAGAAGACCCTAGCCTATTTTATGTCTATGTACACCTGTTAAGGATGAATAAATAGTGTACATTATGTCTGCTATCAAGTGCTCCTATTTAACACTTCCTTTGTCCTCCCCTCCCCCTCATTCCTTCTTTGACACACTGCATCCTCGCTTGACTGTGACCACAGGAAGCATCGGCATGGATCTGCAGTCATATGCATTGCATTGCGGACTGGAGATGGAGGGGCTTGGCAATGAGTACAGACCAATTTCTGTTCTTCGGAAGTGACGAATAAGAAATCAAAGAAACTCAAAATTTTTCATTCTCGGTTCGGATGAGCCGGGATCTAGACTATTCAGAGCCCAGCTCCATCGGCATCGAATCCCAACGGGCTGGGCCTAAGTGACCTCATTTCCACGGGACTGTCCGTCGGAAGGAAAAAAGCGAAACAGGAAAAGAGAATAATGGACGAATAATCACTCGAGAAGATAGGCATGCCTCTTTAGTGTCTTTGGTGTCATCTGTATTACTGTACATTGTCGTGGTGTTATACACTTTTTGGTTGAACTTTGCCCTTGCGAGGATTTTGGATGCATAGGCGCCCAGTTTGCCCATGACGTAGTCGATCGCTTCCCCGTTAGGCAATTGCGTTCACCGCCAGGAGGATTGACGAACTGCTGTCTGAGTCAAGGTCATAATCAAAGTGAACTAATTATCAAGTATTATTTATGAATCATCAAATTCAATATCTAATACTTCATTGGATCACTTCATATCTTACATACTTCCACCATGGCACCATCACGAGTGCTTTCAAGGTCGAGGTCGAGGTTGAGGACCCGCGTAGTCCAGCCTTGTAGGTACAGTATAAGTCCGGTTCTCACCACCACATTATGTCCGAAGATCCTGCTCCCCAAAGATCAGACGATCCCTCTGGAATCGCGTCCACCCAATTACCTTTGACTTTTTGTAGGTCCAAGAAACCATCATATAGTCACTGTCTTTGTTAGAACAGAATCAATCCCGAATACTAAAACTCGAGTACTGTCCAGCCCCCTGCCTCGGTGACTGGTCAGCAGCCATCGGACCCCCCGGGATAGCCAACATCCTAGAACCATCCCTGTCTCGGCCTCGCGCACCCTTTCCATCCGAGCCGCACTTTTGAGTTGTCCACTACAAAGTGGGGGTGAACTAGCGGTGCGCTAACCCCCGATGGCCCCGGTCGGACCATGTCCATGTCCACATCTGAATAATGTATCGCAAATGGCAAGATAACGCGCATGTGGTGGCTGACATGGCCATACACGGTGTCACGATTCACCCAGCCATGCTGCCATAGTGCTATAAGGTGGAGAAGATCAGAGCATGGGATGGCGCCCTTTTGGCACGAGCATGGCCCCCAGGTGCGGTGGGCTTGGGTCGAGACATGTCCACATGCATGTTCGTACAGTCCAGGCTTGCCGTGAAGGCATGAATCATTTCTCGTATGCAGGATGATGTTATCTCCGAGCGAGACTGCCTCGCAGGGCTCCTTGTTGGCGTTCGTATCACGGGGACAGATAAAAGGCAGCAAATAGCCCATAATTATGGCTATATAACAATCATGTTGTTGTTATGATCAATCAGAATGCGCATCAACATCGGCCAATGCCAATAATATTGAGCACGGTGGCTGATTGCAGTCCCAGCCAATATCTTCAACTGCCAGGCTGCAGTGCACAGGCCGTAGACTGAATCATCATTCGTCTCTCAGCTCCAGTTAGCTAAAGAGCCCCAAGAAAGAGGATGTGCAACTATCTCGAAAAAGGTTCTTGGCCTAGGAAAACCCGTCATCAGAGCGCCGCTTAGTAATGTTTACTTCGGCCATCCTGGAACTTGATAACTGATCACTGCCAACATTAGGCCACACTCTATGGAGTACGTGCCAAGAGACTATTCTGATGCAGGCGAGGCTGCTGCCTTGTATGCTCGAATCACTCAGTACTCTTTTTTGAGTGGCCGTCAAAGTGTGAGAGGCGATCGAATCCACGGTGGGTTACCATTCACAGTCCCAGTTGGACCCGGTGCAGCAATAGAATAAGTCTATAGTGTGTACTTGGGGGGTACTTTATACATATATAGGTAGATCTCCAAGGATGTCTGTTTCAGTTCGCGCGCGCGGATGGATGCTGGTTCCGATGGTCATCGTCCAGTCAGTTTGAAGAATGAGCAGAGATAGGCGCTGGGGCCCGTATCAGACTATGCAGGGTGCATGGACAGGACTGTTAAATTAGGCGTGTCCTTAGCTATTGAATTGTTATAGGGTCAAAGCTGCTTATGATTGCCTGTGAAAATGCCGAGTCCCTCGATCTTTTGGGGGCGTAATCAAAAACGCCCGTCCATTGTATATATTTGTACCGGGGTACTCGGGTCCTTTCTGGCAACTGCTACTCAACATTACAAATTGATAGATTGATCCACGATACTGGTGACTAAATGAGAGCAGAGATAAATAGGTCTAGAAAGTTACAGTTCTTCCGTATCTTGTAGCAGCATGGATTAAGTCTTTGCCCTCCCAGGCGTTGGTGATGGCAACTAGATTTTCAAGTACAAGGTCTGGCCACATTGCTCAGCATGTTGTTGTGCTGTCGAGTAGGAGGTGAATACCAGTACCAGTGCATTATTAAATCACTTCATATTTCACTCTTTCCATTACCATGATGAAAACTCTCGGCCTTTTATCCTTCTTGGGATCTGGCTATCTGCAGGCTAGTGCCCCGCGGTTCGTAATGTTACGATGCGGCTCTGAGCCTGTTTTGATTCGCGCTTGGGTTAGCTCCCCACTACGGATCTAAAGACCCTTCCATTTTTTCTAGACGTCTAACCCCACAAATAATTAGCCTTCTAGGTTAAAGATGATGTTCATCGATTGAAGTGTTTCATGTGGCATCTATGGGTTGATACATGGTTACACGTGTCGGCAAATGTATGTCAAATTAATCGTCTTCATCGGAGGTATCGACAGATCTGGGCATTCGAATCCCTGAGGTATGCATTAAGATCTCTGAGGTGGTGTAAGTCTTCTTATACCCATTGGTCAATTAGGAAATGTGGGAGGGAGAGTGGGGAACGAGGCTGACACTCTTCTATATGATTCAAAGATTCACTAAGCATTGTGGTTTGAGAATCTGCAAACACGGCTCTTTCAAAGATGAGCAGCAGAGATAAAGGAGACTTTCTAGAATTACATGTTCTAACGTTGAGGTTTAGATCTTTGATTCGTATTGAAATATGTACGCCCAAGCGCCGAGTAGATCGTGCTCCGCCAACGAGGTGTTATGGATGGGGAATGCGGCTCTCTTCAACCTGTTAATAAATCCATATAAATCTGAAGAATAGATTGTGATTAGCATGAGTCTAAAGTCGAATCTAGTGTTTTCACATTGTGCTCCCTTGAAAATTATCGAGTTTTGTTATTCTATCGACAGCCCTTTTTCGGTTTGATTTCAGTGGGAAAAGACCATGAGGCCTAGACTTTCCAAGGGAAATGCTTTGGCATTGGTCTTGGGAACCTCCAGTGCCAATATCATCAACTCTACCAATGCCAGTTCCATCAATGAAACCCTCTCGACCAACATCATTAACCCTATTAACATTATTAGCCTCACAACCTTTACCAACACCAATCTCACCGGTTCTATCAACAAGACCATCTATCCCAACATTATCAACTCTACCTATCTCGCAACCTTTTTCAACCTCACAGACTTTATCAGCGGTACCACTTCCATCAACAAAATTATCTCTACAAACATTATCAATTCTACCAACCTCATAAGCATCGTTTCACAGAATTCACAAACATTCCCAGTTTAATCAATCAGACCATCTCCACCAATATTATCGACCCTACCTTCCTCATAAAGCCTTTCAATCTCACGAATTCCACCAACAACACCAACCATACCAAAGAATATGCCGAGGAGATTCATTGCTATGCTCTGCCCTATGGCGGGACCGGATTCGCTACCTATATTTTGCCCTTTATACCATCATAATTCTCTGGTATGGAAGAAGGACCCTCATGCCTTGGAGACATCTTGATGAATCCGAAGAGGGAAAGGGACCAGGTTTCAGTGCATTCAGATAGCAGGCAGGCTTTGTGAAAATTATATTCACAAATATCCCTGCGATTGTCACGATGACTAAATGCAGACACGCTTGGTATGAAACAGCCTCCCCTTATCCTCTCTGGTTCCTTGAATCTAAGAGCATATCCCGATGTCCAGGGAGTTCGAAGCAATCGCTGGAATGAAGCTCGCCTTGGCCCTCGTATCTGGTCTTAACACCATTATGCCTACCCCTTGGTGGTGTCTTCTCTATCTTCCTGGAACCATCGCCGGGATAGCGGGTACAACAAAACTTTCCTTTGACAGTGGTGAGGTGCTCTATTCCATGTTTTTTGTGTGTCTTACTGTTGCGATTGGAGTACCAATTCTCCTCTGGTCAAGGGTTGGAAGTGTCCTTCTTGGAGGATCAACTGTCGAGTTGAGGGATGATCTACCGAAAGTGGTACAAATTCCTCCGGCAGTGGGAGTTATCACGCTGGTTTTGGGCGCGCTATATTCGGATTGGGCAATAGCTATTGTCCTTAACAATAATGTTGGATATCCATATGATGCGAAGGCCCTGGGTCAGAGCACTGTGGAACTTTTATATGATCGGGAAGAGATTGGACAAGTTTGTCCTATGAGAGTTGTTTGAGTGCCTTCTTTTATCTCCTTTTTTCCTAGTTTTTGAGTACAGTTTGGCAAGGGATAGGAAAAGGGCTATATCAGGCAAATTACTTTTCTGTTAGGAGTAAGCTTCTATGTCAGACCTTCCGCGTTAGCATACTGTGATAATATGAGTCGATCTCTAAGTTACGAACAAGCCACAAAGGCTAAAGCTAAGTCACTGACTCACTGGATGTTTAGCTCGTTGCTAAGTCTGTGTCAGACAAATAACAAGAGATTAGTAAGATGATTTCTAGCCAAGAATCATACCGAAGATTCGGACCCGTTCTAACATATAAGCCTGACTATCTTCGTCGTGCCGCGATTGGGCGTGATGGAATTGGTATCCGCGGCCTTCCGGGCCTGCAGCCCAACGCACACGCACTTTCACCCACGCACATCCCCGAGTCCAACCCGAACTTATTTCGTGCTCGTACCTTCTCATGCGGAATACAAAGCCCGGAGACTTGATCATTTGGTGATTTCATCGCAGCTATCATATGACACATTCTTGCTAATTAATTTCTCTCGGCGATTAATAACTAATTAGTATGTACTACTAACAGTAGGCTATTACTCTGATCCTCACTGGTCGCTTCAACAACCTTTAGGCCCTTGCTCCATTTCCCCTCCTCCATTGCTGCATTTACATACATACTGTAGACTGGTCACCTTGAACGTGCTGCTTCCGTGCACCCCAGAATCGAGACTTCTGGCGCTACAAGATCATACGGTGTGACATAGGCACCTGCAGCTATCCGGTCTTGTGTCGGTGGCTTGAAAGACTTGATGAATAGCGGGCCTGTCTGTAATCCCATAGTCAGTTCTAGAAGCTAGTTTGATACTGCCAGCTTCCCAGCCTTCCTAATAACCTCTCTCGTAGTAATAATTTACATTGTCCTCTTCTCAACGATACTCTTTCTCTATATCCGGGGCTTACCTACCACAGCCCCGCCATTCCGATCAGAAGATCGACATGCATCCCGCGGGCTCGAGCGATATTACCATCCTAAGTAGAAACGTTCTGCAGAGCGTCGGATATTCGGCACTAACACCATCCGCAAGCCGTGTTCCCATCTAAGCGTTCCTGAGGCACGACGGGCGTCCAATCAGAGCTACCTGAACCCTGGTCTCTTCCCGCGCGATCAGCAAGGACCTGGTTAGCTCGGATGAGATGTGAACGTGAATAATTTGCATAAAGTTAAATGCTTGGGGTGTCACTAGCAAAGTTAATAATGTCGTACAACTGATTTGTGCGACGATACCTTAGCATCATTTCTACCCCGGCTTTTGATTACGTGGTAGGATAGACGCGATTGACACTTTATTCTGGGCTGTTTCTGACGTCGCTCTCATCGTCAGATGTCGCGGATATAGATCGCACAGGGCTGATCTGAGAGAGTGACCCACAGCGTTGATTCTCAACAACCAGTTAAGGAGAAAGACACGATTGTTAACCTTAGCCTTCCTTTCAATACGAATGCCATGAAACAGCTCATTTCTGAACAGTGGTCTCCGTACTTCTTTCGACAGGCTTTCTGGGCCAGTCCCTTATTAGACAATTGCCTACATCTGAAGAAATGTAACATTCATGTCAATACCCGTGGTTAAACGAACTCGACTCGACTGATAACCAGACTTCCCCGAATTGCCACGCTATAACTAGCATTCATCCTATAACGTTTTATTAATACACCTTCCCTAAATTAACCACGGCTGTTCGCCTCCTCGAACTCGACATGAGATCTAGGTAGTTGATAGAAGCTTTCTAGTAGTATATCTCCTTGAGCGCATGAAGTCATCGAGGTTAGAGGGGGTGGCAATCAAGTAGATAGCAGCGCTATCCCTGTCCCGGTATTAGAAGTTGGGCAGATGAACTATAGGTCACAATGTTTGTACGTATCATGTATATTCCTGTCTCTTTCAAAACGTGGGCCGTGTTTGATGAAACCCGACTACAATACCAAAAGTTTCAGCAAGATGGCGTTTAGGAAACATGCTCTTTGCCAACTCCTTGTATCGCACTCTATTTATGAGGAATTCTCAGCCCTTTTGAACCTTCGGGCTCCAGGGGTGAAAGTATGTGTTGTAGGATGGCCCCAGCATCTGAATGAACAACGTTATGGGCCCTTTTATGGGCCCTTTTCTTGAGAGAGAAAACATTATTTGCGGAAGCCCCAGAAGAATCTAAGCAATTTATCGACTGATCTAAGATAGTTTCACTTGGTTCGATCAAACTCAAGAAAAAATGGCAGGTTGGTTATCGGCGCTTTGACACGATCAATGGGCGGCTTCAGAGGGATCTGAATAGTCCGGTCCCAGGGCATTTTCCAAAACTCAGCAGCTTTTTGGTGTATTCAGGTATTCTAACTTCTATTATTCTTGTTAGAGGACGACATTGTATCATACATAGTACGACGACAAAACTTTAACCTCCATATGCGCGGGAAGGCCATGCGACAGTCTGTGTGTAATGAACTTAACTCGATTTTCCTGATTATGATGAAAAATGTAATTATCGAGTAAAAGTCCGACATTTCGATGACTCGCCCTTATCAGCATTGAGGCCAATTGTAGAATCACATCCCAAGTAAATGGATATGAGGCTCAAAGTTCCTTGTTCCTGGAGCGGATCCTAGGATCCTAGGAATCAATGAATGATGACATAAGCATCCACACATGATCACCTAAAACGGACTAGTGCCGGGTCAAGCGAGCTGGCCCGTGCCCTGTTCCCCATTGGGGCAGCACACAACGAATTTCCAACCCTAAAGTGCGATTCGACCTTCGTCCTTCTTCAACAGCGCCAACGACCCTCGTCCCCGTCAACAACCCCCCGTCAACTCCCCCCTTCGACAATCAAGATGACTCACGAGTCCGTTTGGTACTCCCGGCCCCGCAAGTAAGTCAAATTTTGAGCCCGATCGCTGAACAAATGTTGGTGAATTAGTGACTGACTCTGTTTCTTCGCACAGGTACGGCAAGGGCTCCCGCGAATGGTGTGTTTAACCCCTCTCAAAAACTACAATTCTCCGATACGAGCGACGATATGGAAAGCGAGGGACGGAGAGATATCTTGGACCGGATATTGAAATTGGGAATCTTGGGGAGATCGGAGTGCTAATTCATATTTCGCTCGACTACAGCCGTGTCTGCTCTCACCGCGCCGGTCTGATCCGCAAGTACGGCGTATGTGGAATCTCTCCCTGATGAACTTGATGAGCGCACTTCGAGTGCGGCGTTTCGTGAGAGCGAACTTTGGGCTAACGCGGGTTATCTTACAGATGAACATCTGCCGTCAGTGCTTCCGTGAGAAGTCCACCGACATCGGTTTCAACAAGGTTCGTGCCTTCATCTTCTACCTCTGCCGACTCGAAGAACAACGCACCAGCACACGGGATATCACGTCGTTGGAGCCTTCTTGAGACTCAGCCCCAACCTGGAAATCAACATCAAAACTAACTCACCACTCTCACCTACAGTACCGTTAAACAAATCAAAAACCATGTCCACCTTTTAACGTCCTTCTCGACCCGTCCTCGTCTACGATCCGTTCACTCGTGTACGTACCCTGGCGCTCCTCGATCTCGATAGTGTCCGGGATGGGAAAAGGTTTCGAAAGTGTCCGGGACAAAACAAAATCAAGAAATTGCGCCCGCACTCCCGTTTCTTTTCGCATGACGGCTCCAAAATTGGTTGTTGTTTTTCTTTGATGGAGGAGACATTCTTTCATCTTCGTTTGCTTGGTGTCTCGGAAGGATCGGAGGGGACTGGGGTTGTTGTGTGAAGAGTTCGCAAAACGAGGATGTCATGTTTACCCTCATCCTTTTTTTCCTTATCCAATATCAATGACGGATTTTCTTTACTGGGATTTTCACTGCGTTCTTGATATTGAGTATCGGAGTAGCATGGAGGGTGTGATGTGGTTTTCAATGACTTTCAACGGTCTACCTACACGCGGTGACTCGACCTCCGCCTTGTTTCCTCGGAGTCTTGAATCTTCGTGTGATTCTGCGTGTGAACCGGATGATATTGAAATCCGAGACCCGAGTAGCCTGGCCGTAGAGAACGATCTACGCGGGTCTGGGAAGCCGTCAAACGGTCTAGATCTGCGTACATCAAACACTCGTAGTCGGTATCAGCTGGGGATATACAGTCTCGATCTTGGCATCCCACGTACTACGTCGAGCTACAGGCAGAATGGCTTCACTATTGCTCCCCATAACCGTTATCTGGAGAAGTCTATCGAACCCGTGTCTTTGTCCATGTAACGGCATATTGATTAGCCTCATAGACTCTGCGAACACATCAAACTGGTTCAACGATCCATCCATTGTTATCATCCATACCCTTTCTCCCTTATGTACATCAAACAAAAAGAACCAGATAGTAAACACCGTAAACCCAATAGCCAAACCAAATCCTCATTCTGATCACGCACATTGTTCGTTGTCAAGAAAAAATCCTTCTCGGGATCAATCGATCACTTCTCGGAATCAATCGAGCGAATGCCATAGAACAGGAGGTAAGCATTCTGCTTGAGAACATCCGGGATGCTGGCGACAGTGACTTTGTTGTCATCCATCAACACCCACTATATCATCGACTATTATTATACCGCAACGTGTATATATTCAAGTTGATATTGATGGCGGATCACATACCTTGTCACCTCCCAGACGAGTGTAGGAGTAGTAGTGTCCAGAGTCCATGGAACCCTGGTGGACCACGACAGTCGAGAGATCGTACATGTACTTGGATGTGTCGACACGCTCCTTGTCCTTCTTCACGGTGAAAGGGAGCATGTTCAGGGTAAGGGGGAAGTCGATGTGGCCATCCATTTTCTCGGAGGAGGCCTGGTTGTGTTCATAGCGCTGAGAGAAAGAGACATGTCAGACTTATCCAGCCTCCATTAGATTCTCGAAATACATACCTTCAGCTGCATGCACAGGATACTTGGGAGCTTGTTGATCTGCAGCCGCTTCGACGCCCGCTGAGGGGTGTTGCCGCATTTCTCGCAGTGATAGGCCGCCTCGGTGTGGTGCTGTAGGTCCTCGACTGCAATAAAGCTCTCCAAGCAGCTGAGCAGGGTCCCGGTACCGGTGGCAGTGGATCGGCCCAGCTTGCGCTTCTTGTTCTGAAGCTGCACGTCGAGGCTCAGATCCGCCATCGGGTCGTAAGTGTGAGTGGTCTTGCCGCACTTGTGGCACATCACGCTGCTGCGGAGTTCGCCGTAGAAAGTGCGATGGAAGAAGCACTCGCACTTGGTGCCGTAGCTCTCGGAGTGCCCGGGTGTCGCCGCGTGCAGGGCATTTACCAGGAATTGGAAGTACTCGTGGGCATCCTGCTGGCGGTAGCCTGCCATTTCCTGTGATTTGAGATTAGCCGAATACTCTTTCATCTATATCATCAGTCTCGTGGGCATATCTCTTACTCGTGAGGCATCCCATCCATGATACAAGAGGGTAGCCGCCGACACTGCATCGGTCTTCTCGCCACTGTTGAATTCCATAAAGACCTCAGTGGCGGCGCAGGCCATGCAAAATGGCCTCTTGCAGGTGTGGATGTCATGACCTCCAGCCAGGAAATAGGCATTGAGGGTTGGGTCATGCAGCAGAGCTTGGAGGATGACAGCCTGGTAACAGGTCTGTCCCATGTTCCAGACACCACGAGCACCACGACGCGAGCAAGGGTTCTTGTATGCGTTGCTCTTGACATAGACCTCAGACGCGGAGTCTTCGATCCATCGGTTCTTGCCGTCTATCAGATAGTCAGCTACTCAACCCGTGAACATTGAAAGGGACCAAAAGGTGATTTGAGACTCGCCTTGGTACTCAAACTTTCCGGAGGGGCCACAGAGTCTCTCCAGACCATGGTCGTAGACAAAATCTACACAAGTCTCACAGAACACGAAACGGTTGCGGGACTCCAAGTCTAGGGGACCTTGATTAGCTTCCAGTCAGAGCATTTCAGAACAGATGGGTACTTACAGAAAACATGGCCGGTCTTCTTCGTGTGCGCCTTGCGCTCCGAGTTCAAACAGACCTCTGTGCAGCTCAAGCAGTGGTACTTTGGTTTCAAGGTAGCCACAGTCCGCAGGCCACTTGTCGGTACCGCAGCCGTTTCAGGCTTGGTGTAAGGTGCCAGGGCTTCAAACTGCTTGCGGTAACCATTCTTGAACTGGCCAGCAGTCGATTGATCCTGCATGATTGTAGCAAGATGTTCTAGTGAGGGGTCAGCGGTGTCTAGGGTCAAGGTGGAGGTCAATGAGGGATAGACTTACCGCAGCCAAACGCCGCCTCAGACAGGATTTGGACAGAATCAAGAGTCGCCATTTTGAATAATAGGCGAGATGGTGGAGGGGGGTGGGGGGTTAAAGAGGGATTGAAGTGGATAGAGGGTGAAAGGTGTGAAGGGATAAGGGTTGGGAGGTGTGAAGGTGTGAAGTGGGAGGGGGAACGAAGTAAAGAAGTAGAGAGGAAGACCGTCAGTAGAAGGACCCAGCCCTCAAGGTAACGATAGGAGAAAGAATAAAACGAAGGATTAGGCAAAGACCAAAGGTCGCCAGTTCAGATACAAGGCTCTTTCTGGCCGTAAGATGCGCAGCGATATCCAGATGAGCCTCAAGGACTTCCCCTGAGTAAAACGAGCATTGCACTGTCGGACGAATGATCAGTATCCCTTTGCAACAGTCCGTACACAATTTTCGAGTCCGGACTTACATATTCAAGATCAGGAGAGTCAACGAGGGCGCGTGAGGGAGGTGGATGAAGGAGAAGAGCTATAGGGCTCTCCGGTCACCGAAGGGTTGCCGCGGCAGCTCACGTTGCCAGCAAGGCCGCAACCCTGCCCCGCCGGATTTCAATGAATGAACCGCTGAATGATCAAGGCAGCAATAGACTCGGAAAAGGCAGAAGGAGTTTGACAAGGCAACGAAAGGTAATGATCCCCGGGATATCGAGGTCCTGGAGTGCGGGCAGAGGGTTTGTGGTTTGCCATCGGGACCTTTTTTTCGCCTGAGCCCCCGATTTACCGCCGGATCAGCGATCGGAGGTGCCGCGATCTGCTGTTCCGCGCCAAGGAGATTCGATGATCAGAGTACAACCACGACATGTTAAACGAATAGAGGATATAGGATATATTGGGCCTATAGAAGATATTTCTGGATTGGAATTGATCCTATCATTCTTTCTATTCACTAGAAATACTCGTGTGTTTCATGAATCTTGCTTCGTTTCAAGTCATAATAAGTACAGCCCATGTCTATGTACTCCATCTTCATCCCTCGAGGAGCAACGGTAAAATAAACGGCCCTCGAGCGTAACAAGTGCCAGCCGTTTCTTTCGGGTGAGGCAGACTTGGAGACTTGGAGAAATTCCCAGGGTACTGTCTGGCGGGGTACTTTTCGAAAGGTTCATGATACTGCCAATTCTCAAGTCCCTGCCATCCACCAGCAATGACAAGTAGATGTCCAAATTACACGCCTAACCTGCTGTTCACCGCACACCACGACCCCGGGGCAGCGCACTTGGCCGCCCCCGGTCGGTACCTCTCGTGGTGTACAGGCCTGTCGCCGAGCCTCGCGTGGTGCCTCTCGTGGTGCCTCTCGTTGTGCCTCTCGTCGTACCACCCCGTGTCGTCCCTCGAGTCGTACCCCGGCTAGGAGCGGAATATCTCGACGTTGGCTTGGAGGAGACGGTACTAGGCGGGTGATCGACAAAGGAAGTGTCGGTAGTCCTGGGAGAGAGTCAGCTAGAGGATCCAGGTTGGAGAGCGCAGCCATTACTACTCACAGAAACGTCATCTCGCCATCATCCGCACGGGGTACTTCGTTTTCCGCCTCTGTGTATGGGTGTTAGTGAGTCGGCCTCCATCAACGTTAATGCGCAAGCATACCTTTCTGGGCCTCCGCCTGCTTGGCTCTCTTGAAAGAGTCGGTGATTGGGGCCTAGCAATGGTGAGCATTGATTTCCCCGTACAGGTTCCTCATCCGACGCGTCTCCGAAGCGCAGACGGGCATACCTCTGGGAAATCCACACAAAACGCGTTCATATTCATGCCATACAGGAAACTCGCAAAACTCTCACTGAAGCGCGTCAGACTCTCGTGCATCAGCTGCAGGTGCATGAAATTGGCCTCCAAATCAGCCATGGAGTCTGCGAGTTCCGCAAATTGTGGCTCCAGAGCATTGATGGCAGGTTGGTTGTATCCGGCTTGGCTGATGCTGTGACCGTAGCCGTGAGCTTCCCGGAGCGACGAGCGCGAACTCGGTCGTAGAGGAGTTGTTGGGCGAGAGGAGGGCCTCGGTCGCGAGGAGGATCGTGGTACAGGAGCGTCCATGACTGGTGGGAGATGTAGTCGAGTTGTTTGTTTTGGAAGAGAGAGGGGCAAAGCGGAAGTGCTGAAGTGGGTATCGCGAATGGGCTATCACGAGCACTTGTTTTTTTGGCGTGCAGCAGATGGAAAATGGGTCTGCGGCGCGGACGAGACAGAGTGTTCTCTATATAGAATCAGGAGGAGCTGCGCATGAAATTTGGGAGAATTCTCAAGGGAATTGGAGGAGTTGAAGATACGTCGAGTGTTGATCTCCCGAGTTGTTTGGCCCGTGACTTTTGCATGACTTCACCGGACATGCGACCATAACAATTCAATTGACTCCGAGTAGAATGGGTAGGGACAATAGTACCCACCTTATGTCAACATAGGATATCTAGAATCAATATACTATAGACAAACAGATATCATATATATGAATTACTACTACCATCATCCAGTTCACAGATAATTGAGCCTTTTCCCCGCATTACCAGACCGATCGTCATCGGCCTTGATTTTGAGCGAATCCACTCGTGATCTCGTCTCGACTTCTCGCCTTGGAAAAAGGACTCGGGAATCTTTTCCTCCTCAATAATCCCACGGTTCCTAGGACTACATTGTTGTATATTGAGACTCTCTCACTCTCTCGGACTATCCATTCAGGCCCACTGGTTCATTTTCTCCGCCACATGCGGGCCTGCTCAATTCTGCGCCGCATCTCTCCCTCGGCCAGTTCCCTTTCTGTTCCTTGTCGTATTAACTCCGCTGTTGCTTCCCCGGAAAGAGGCGCTCAGATCGCCTCCCAATACGCTCGTCAGGCCCGAATATTCCCACTCGTGCGACCCTACTCCACACGGTCGCAATCTCAGCATCAACCGAGGGAAGCATCCTCTCTCTGGACTATCACATTCACCCTGCTGGCCGTTGGCGGAGGCGCCTGGCTCCACGATAAGTACTTCACCTCGACGGATAACCCGCCGCCATCGCATCCCTCCCCGACCACTCGACCGCAAACACACTCCTTCCTCGAAGTCATCGATACCCTCTCCACCATGCCTATCGAACCGGCTCCGGGTACCGTCGGGAACCTGACCCCGGAACAAGAAGTCAAGTTGCAGGAGTTCTGGGTGCTGACCCTGAAAGTTTTTGGCGTCCCCCTCGATGTCCTCGAGGCTGAGCATGCCAATGGTAAAGCCAATGCCGATGCTGCGGCCTCCAGTTCCTCTCAGGAAAAGAAGAAGTCTTCCAGCAAGCGCAAGGGATGGTCGCTCTGGGGCAAGGGCAACGAGGAGGACGACGACGACAAGAGCGTGTCGTCCGCGAGCGGTATCACTTCGAGTCTGGCCTCGATCAACATCACCGACGGCGATGATAAGCACGGTCAGTCCAAGGAGTTCCAGCGGGCGCTCGTCGAGCTGCAGCCAGAGGAGATCCGTACGGCCTTTTGGAACATGGTGAAGCAGGATAACCCGGATTCCCTGTTGCTGCGGTTCCTGCGCGCGCGCAAGTGGGACGTCAAGAAGGCACTTATCATGATGATCTCGACGATGCGCTGGCGTTTGCAGGATGTCCACGTCGACGACGACATTATGAAAAACGGTGAGGCCCAGGCCCTTCAGCAGGCGTCCAGTGCGGACCCCGCGAAGAAGCAGAAGGGCGAGGAGTTCTTGAAACAAATGCGCATGGGCAAGAGTTTCCTGCACGGTGTTGACAAGTTCGGCCGGCCTATCTGTGTTGTCCGGGTGCGGCTGCATCGGGCTGGGGATCAGGAGGTGGACACGCTGGAGCGGTTTACTGTCTACACTATTGAGACTGCCCGGCTGCTGTTGGCGCCCCCAGTTGAGACTGCGGTAATTCACTACCATCTAAACCCTGACTGGAGACCTATTGCTGACGACGACAGACTATCATTTTCGATATGACCAACTTTCAGTTGGCGAACATGGTAGGTTTCTTCCACTTTGTTGTGGATCTATACACCACATACTAATATGTATTTTTAGGACTACACACCCGTTAAATTCATGATCAAGTGCTTTGAAGCCAACTACCCCGAATCTCTCGGATCCGTCCTCATTCACAAGGCACCCTGGATCTTCTCGAGTTCGTCTCCCTCCACTGCAAATTTATACTCTGCTCCAATCTAACTCGAACAGGTATCTGGAGTGTCATCAAGGGCTGGCTCGACCCCGTCGTCGCCGCCAAGATCCACTTTACCAAGAACCGCGAAGACCTCGAGGCCTTTATTGCCCCAGGCCAAATCATGAAGGAACTCGAGGGTGACGAGAACTGGGAATACGCATACACCGAGATCAAGGAGGGCGAAAACGCCAAGATGGAAGATACAGAGACCCGCGACAAGCTGGTCGCTGAGCGTCAGGTTTTGGCCAAGGAAATCCAAGACGTCACCATTGAGTGGATTCGCGCCAGCTACAAGAAGGAGACTGATGCTGTGAATGCTGCCAAGGAGAAGCGTCACGGCTTGATTGAAAAGCTGCGCGACCAATACTGGGTTTTGGACCCGTATATTCGTGCCCGCTCGCTGTACGACCGATTGAACATTATCAAGGGCGGTGGCAAGATTGAGTTCTACCCCGAGGCTGAGAAGAAGACTAGCAGCGATGCGGCCGCGGAGACAGCGGAGGCTGTTCAGTCTGCGTAAAGAGGTCGGAGTAATTGGTGGCCTGTTTGGGTACAATGTTGGACTTCATAAGTGTGTGGATATTGGCGGCTGGAATTGTGCGTGCTACATGGGTGTATAGTATCGTATATGTACCGACAGATTTGGCGTCTGTCCTGGATAGCCGGTTAGACAACATAGAGGGGGGTCTATATGTTTGGGAATAATCTTGAAAGGAATTGGCATTTCGTGAATGTTTCCCAATTTGACTGAACATGGTATTTGCCTTTGAATTAGACAATCCAGATTTAGTAGGGGAGGCAATCAATGGCATTTTGAACAGTACTCTATCGTTAGCCCATCAACCATAGGGTGCCTGTCACTCAAGATATAAACAAGTGAAATCACCGTTTACATCTTGGACTTGATCTCCTCGTGCAGAGCCTTCAGCTTATCCATATCCGACTCCTTGGCGGGCCAGCTAATGCCCATACCCTCATGCTCGTTGGGCTTGGGAATCTATACAACAGTGGTGAGCAGATAATTCTTGTAAACGGAAAGGGTGGCAGTCGAGAGAGGGTTGTCGGCAATACGGAGAACATACCATGTGGAAGTGAACCTGTAAATGTACTTGGTCAGAATTTCGCTTTCCTCCTTGGAAGGAATGGGCATGGGTGTACTTACGTGGTCAACGACCTGGTGCGCAATGCGCCCGTTGTTCTGCAGGATATTGAAATCCGTGGCGCCGCTGGCGATAGCAAGCTTCTTTGCGACGGGCTATATGGGAGAGATCGTGTTAGCCGAGTGACTTGCGAAGCTACCATCATCGCTTTTGATTTCATTGAACCCCCAGTTCCCGTAGAGTGGTGCGCCTGGACCAAGGACCTTGGGGGCTGGGGTGGCTCCTAATTCCCTACCAACATTCAATCTGCAAGATTGACTCTCCTTCTCACACACCCCTATCTCGTCGGACTTTATATCCCTTCGCAGTTCTAGTTCTACCCACTCACCAAGATCTCAAGGAGGTCCTCGTCGGGAATGTCGGTCAGCTTAGCGCCGTGGTACTTGGGGATGACGAGCTATGCGACAGCGAGTTAGCATCCTTTTCGACACACAGCATTTCTATTTAACGCAGGACTAGATTCATGATATATCCGCGAGCGAAAACAGTCCCACAACGCGGTTCAAGGTGACCTGCGATCGGTGCGGGGAAGGATACGACAAGGGGCGAAGAACAACATACCGCATGGCCACGGCTAAGAGGCTGGATATCGAGGAAGGCGAAGACCTTGTCGCTCTCGAAGACCTTGAAGGAAGGGATATCACCTGGATTGAGAAGGGAGGGTTAGCGATCCATTGCATCAAGTCCACCCGGAAGACAAGAGCTTTGTGAACTCGGAGTAGGCGTCGAGGGGAGCTAGCTACCCACCCTTGATAATCTTGCAGAAAATGCAGGCAGCGGAGGAGGACATTTTGTCTACTGGTTAATTGTTTCGGTGGAACAAGAATTCTGTGAGATTGAAGGGAGCAGTGTAGCTTGTTCACGTAGAATCGAACGTCAGTAATAATTGGAAGTCATGAATATGCGGGGTCAGCTCCGTCGACCCGGTGGGGAAGAGAACGACAAAAGAAAAAGGAAGTGTAGGTGTCCGGGTTCGAACTGCGGTCATCCGGTGGCAGCTGGCAAGGTTATGAGGGAAATAAGTTTCTTTCCCCCGAGGAGTGGGACAGGCTAGTACAGAACCCATTTCTTGCCTTTTACCAGAGATGGCCGTGGTTTGCCCACTATACTCCTCTACTCAATCTTTGGAATAACCTGCTACAACATAGTCGTTGTATCTTTTTGGTTTTTTTGGTCTTTTAGACTATGTTTTTACTATCGAATTAATTCTTTCGCTTTTTTTCTGAGCTTTCTCAGTCTTCTGGGGCGTGTTTTGAGGTGGTTGGTGTTTGGTGCGTGTGCGTAGCGTGGCCAGGTGCGGTGTGCATACAGGCATCCCTTCTACGCAAGCAACATCTACCGTGACAATCTACAAGAGACGGTCCAAAAGACTTGACTAACATTGTAAATATTCATACGCATATCTTAATTCATCTCCTTCCCTTCCCTCACTCACTCACTCACTCACCACCTTCTTCTCCGAAGGAATCAACCCAACTCTATCCAACACAAAAGCCACCGCATTAACAACTCCGTAAAAAAGCATAGGTATGAGACCAAAAAAGATATTCCCAAGTATCCCTCTTCGAAGAATCGTCTCCGCCAGCTCCGTCCGCGCAATCTCCGGCGCAACGGGTGACTTGAACGGACCAAGTAACCGATAAAACGTAACAAAAGATGCACCAAAACAGTAGATCAGAAGAATCCGCAATCCATGCTCACGATACAACTCCATCAGTCCCGGCGCACCGCCAAAGTCTCGAGCTAAAGTGCTCATGTATGCGCTGTGGTCGACACCGTAGTGGATACGTGAGGTTTTGGCGGCTAGGAGGTGATAGTGTGGGGGATCTGTTGGCATTGCCATTTTGCCGGTGATCAGAGCTGTCCACCACATAGCTTGTTGCTCGGCGATTGGCGGGATAGCACCGACGCCTGGACGGACGAATCCGATGAAGGCGATATCATGGTGGGATGGATGGATGATGTTACGGATTTGGGCGTCGGATGCCGTGGGATATGTGCTGTCGAGGTAGGGGAAGGTTTGCTTGTACCTGTCACTGTATTAGCTTGCACAACGGAACATCGAGGTGAAAAGACTGACCCGCTACAGTATACCACACAATCCGGCTCGATGACCCTATTCTTCAGCCGCTGCCAATCCTTTCGCTTGGGGTTGGCTTGGAAATGGACTCGTCCCGAGTCATCAATATACTCGGGCCATGTACAAGTATCGACGACTCGGTTGGAGTTCGCATCGTCCGGTGGGTCAATGTAGCGATTCCCGATACAAGCCAGAATGGGGTTATGCTTTTGATAGGGTCGGTTGAGGTACGGCATCGCCTTGTTACTCTTGTTGAGGAAAACGAATGCCCGACCCAGTCGTTCCTGTGGCAGACCACCAACGTGCTGGTTCATGCCAGCTTGTGTTCCTGTCAGGAACCACAGTACTCGCTTGATGACAAAGTCGGAGACGAACCAGCGTAATCGGCTGTGGGCGATTGCTCGATGCACATATGCGGTCTCGAACAGGTTGGTGATGAGACCGTCGATGGGAAGACCTCCGCTGAAGGTCTTGCCAAATACTTGGAAGCGACTGAGTGACTTCGGGAAGGAGAGAAATCCTGTCCGGAAGCACATGGTGACTGATTGGGCGTCGGCTTTGATAGATTCGTAGGCGATATCTTCCAAATCGATTAGTATGGAATATTGATACAACGATATAACAACTTACCCATAGCTGTTTCACCGCATCCAAGAATCAGGACATTGCGCCCTGCCACCTGGGAGCGATCCTTGTAGAGCGATGAATGAAACACATCCCCTTTGATGTGTTCGATTCCAGGGATAGTGGGGATATTGGGTTCGACATGTAGTCCCGTGCATACTGCGATGTGAGAACAGTCATAAGTCCTTTCCTTCTTCTCGTTCGCGTCTGCTCTGTTCGTGTAGCTGACTCGATGCTTCCACTCTGAGCCTTCTGGTAATCGCTCCACTCGGACGACGGGGCTGTTGAGCTTAATGTGGGCATCCAGATTGAATTTAGCAACATAAGACCGGAGATAGTCCACATATTCGGGAAGTGAGATATGATCTGGACTATCCAGTGGCAAGCGATGATCCGAAAATGTTGTCAACTGCTTGCTGCTGACCAGTTCTGCATTCTGATAAGACCGATAGTTGAACGTGCCTCCGATATCCGACTCGCTGGGTGTTATTGTCAATACTGAGCCATTTCTCCTGATAGTAAATGATTAGGGACGTACGCTTCAAATAGGCAGGCTTCGATCTGCTGCTCTGGTGTCGAGGACTCTAGCAAGGTCTTGAGGGCCACTAGGCCACCGGGACTATAGATAGTGACTGATTAGAGGCCATGCTGAACTGGAGGGCGACGGGAAGAATCGCTCACCCTGCGCCTATGATCGCTACTTTAATCGCCATGTATAATGGTGTTTTATTTGAATGTCTGAATCGCGATAGAGGAAGAGTCGTGGTGTGAAACCAACTGCACTGCGGAAGGTTAAGTGCTCAGGCACTGACCGGTTTTCCCGCATGAGCGCCATGACGTATCGGGAAGATCCATGCAAGCGATCGATCATAAAGTAGTTGTGCTAATCCCTTTCAACTAATAACTCAGAAGGGATTAAATAAAGTTCTGTATAAACCAGGGCATCTGTTCCTAGGTGGAATTTCTTGATCTGATATTGCCAAGAAATAGGGGGACGATCTAGAGTCCTTCTGCATTCGCTAGGTTATATATCCGTACCGCACGAGAAGCTGCTCCTGTGGAGTTCCATAAGTTGGACACTGAGAAATTTTCTAATTATCTCTTAGTCAAGAGTTGATGCTCAAGTTACCAAAAAGATCAATTGAAATACAATCAGAAAGGAATTTGAAAGAAAGGAAGCTGAGCATATCTGGTAGGAGTGTTTTTCTGGCCGCTCAGGGTAGATTCAGGCTTAAGAAATACGAATTTATGGTTATGGAAGATTGCGATAACGAGATAGAAGAGGCTGAAAACCGAATACTTAGAAACTAATCCAGTGAGATGAAATCAGTATAAAATGCCATCGATATAGCAATATAGACTTAGCTCAAGACGGTTTGGCAGATGGGGGAAGTGGCTGTCCAATCAGATTCGCTATATTGTCAGACCTTTAGTGGGCGATGGAGGTCGAGGTGCTATTGCAAACACAGAGCAGGCATTGTGATATAATGAATAACAATTCTAAATCAGATTCAAGCTTATTATTCTCCCACTCTAATCAGAAAGTGAAAGTAAAGTACTCATCACCATGTAGAAAGAAGAGGACTGTCACGACCCTTCCGAATCGGGACTAGCGCCAGAGTCCCGTGTTCCCGAATTGCAGAGGGACACTGCGAAAGACCATCCAAACTGCTCCTCACCACGCCAATCGGCAACCACTCCCCTCCAACAGGTCTCGCGATTCGCACGCAGAGACCATGCACAAGTGCCGGTCAATCAATCCCGCTTCAGGGTCGCGGGCCTTCACCCCCGCCCCGCGGGTTCAGGTTCAGGTCCAGCGCCGCAACCTCCAGGATGTCGCTATCACTCGCACCGGAAGGCCTGTTCTGAAGGTCCAGGGTGGCCGGTAAGCATTCAATTGGGTGGATTCTGGGCGGTGCTTGTTGCTAACATCTTCGCGCTTGACAGCTCGTCCCTCGGAGGTACAGCTCGGCCCTTGACGACTCGATACGATCCATACGTGCGATATATGCTCACCATTCATCTCTAGGTCACACTGCGACTGTCTTCGGTGCCACCGGTTTCCTGGGTCGTTATATTGTCAACAAGCTCGGTAGGTCGAGGGGGTTCCGTCTGAGATATGGTTGAGAGAGGTGGGAGAACTGACATCCCGCAGCTACCCAGGGATGCAATGTCGTGATCCCCTACCGTGAGGAAATGACCAAGCGTCACTTGAAGGTCACTGGTGATCTGGGCCGTGTTACTTTCATGGTATGGAAACAATTGAAGTGAAAACTTGGACCGAAGACGCAGGTTGCCTGACTCGTCCATAGGAATACGACCTCCGCAACACCCAGTCTATCGAGGAGAGTGTCCGTCACTCCGATGTCGTCTACAACTTGACTGGTCGCCAATACCCTACCAAGTGCGTGCAATTGCAATGAAAAAAGAGAGCTGGGATAGTCAATTGACAGGTCATCTAGGAACTTCTCCTACGCCGACGTGCACGTTGACGGTGCTGAGCGCATCGCCGAGGCTGTCGCCAAGTACGACGTGGACCGCTTCATCCACGTTTCCTCCTACAATGCCCGCCGGGACTCTCCCTCTGAGTTCTTTGCCACCAAGGTTGGTTGATATTGTGGGGTTTGCACTGTACACGAAGATACTGATGCAGCTACAGGCCTGGGGTGAGGAAGTCGTTCGCTCCATCTACCCCGAGACTACCATTGTCCGTCCTGCCCCGATGTTCGGTTTCGAGGACAACCTCCTTCACAAGCTCGCTGGCGTGTCCAACTTGTTCACTGCCAACCACATGCAGGAGCGCTACTGGCCGGTTCACGTAAGTCGCGTGACAATTTGACTCGACCAGAATTGACATGACTAACTCCCTATTTTCCAGGCCATTGACGTCGGTGCCGCCCTCGAGAAGATGCTGCACGATGACAGCACCGTTGGTCAGACCTTCGAGCTCTACGGTCCCAAGAACTACTCCACCGCGGAGATTGCCGAACTGGTCGACCGTGAAATCATCAAGAAGCGCACCCACATCAACGTCCCCAAGGCCCTCCTCAAGCCCTTCGCCTACTACCTCAACAAGTACCTCTGGTGGCACACCATGTCTGCCGACGAGGTCGAGCGCGAGTTCATTGACCAGGAGATCGACCCCACGGCCAAGACCTTCAAGGATCTCGGCATGAACGAGGTTGCCGACCTGGCGGACCTGACCTTCCACTACTTGCAGGGTTACCGTAGTGCCTCGTACTACGATCTTCCCCCGGCGACCGAGCGTGAGCGCCGTGAGGAGAAGAAGTACCTGCATGTGCTGGATGACCAGTAGGTGTGTTTTTAATGTGTACATAAGCTGCTTCCTAGACGCGAATCGTATTTCCTTGTGTTGTCTGGATTCGATCAAAATCAGAGTTTCGTTTGTCAATGCTATATTTGTTATACAATGAGTCTGGTGTAATTCTCCAATCTACCTCTATGCATTGAGTAAATACTTGAGTACTTCGTGATGCCCCTGCATAAGCTCCCAGTGGATGCATAGTCCAGACACGCTCCACCCCGCAGTCCGCAATCGGATAACATTATCATCTATCTACTTCCTCCCACTCCATCCCAACTACCAACCACTCCCACCACCTAACAACCAAAATGTCCTCTCAACCCCAAATACCAATCCTACTCCTAAAAACAAAATCCTCTCCACACGACGGTTACGAAGATTACTTCTCCACAAACGGCTACAACCCCACCTTCATCCCCGTCCTCGAACATCGCTTCCACAGGGACAACCTAGCTACTGTCCGCGATTTCTTTGCGTCTGGTGCTTTCAATGCAGACACCACCACTACCACGAGTACTACCACAAGCCATAATGGGAATAATGAGGATAATGGCAGTGATAAGAAGTATGGCGGTATGATATTTACCAGCCAGCGCGCGGTGGAAGCTTTTGCGGAGATGATCGAAGAGAACGGCCGTATGTTACTCCAACCCTAAACTACACGCTCTACAATTGTCTAGCTATACTTCCTCAATTGATAATACCCAATTCAATCCAACTAACTTAAACTATCTTCTAGTCCCATTCACTCCCTCAAAACAACCCCCACCCCCTCCCCCTCTACACCGTCGGCCCCGCCACAGCCCACGCCCTCACAACCCTCCGCAACAAATACCTACCCAGCGCAACAATCCACGGCGCAGACGCCGGTAACGGACAAAAATTAGCATATTTGATGTTGGAGCATTATAATGGGTTATACCCAGACACCACTACCACCAATGCTACTGCGAAACCATCCCTCCTCTTCCTAGTCGGCGAACAGCGCAGAGATATCATACCGAAAACACTCATGGATCCCGCCAGACCGGAGAGCCAACGGATAAACGTTGATGAAATCGTCGTCTATGAAACCGGTGAAATGGATTCTTTTGAGAATGATTTTAGGGATGCGGTGAGCAAGGAGGTACACGGCCAGCAAGGCCTAGGAGGAAAAGGACCGCTTTGGGTGGTTGTTTTTTCGCCGACGGGGTGCGAGGGGATGTTGAGGGTTCTTGGGATGGGGCCGTTCAAGAATCAGGACCAGGATCAAGGTTCGGGTGCGCATGAAAAGCAGCGGGATGTATTCATTGCGACTATCGGGCCGACGACGAGGGATTACTTGAGGGAGACGTTTGGGTTTGAGGCGGATGTTTGTGCGGAGAAGCCGAGTCCGGAGGGGATCGCGGAGGGGATACGGAGGTTTATGGATGCGAGGGGGGATTGAGAACAGGCTCTTTTCGGTTCCTTTGTCCATATGTTATAGAATTGTATATATCAGGTACAGCACAGTGTACAATATTCCTTGGAAGATACTCATTACTACTGGACTTCGTTCGTTTCAACGTTGATTGGATTTTGAACATTGACAGATCATCCCCGTGGATTGCTATTTTCAGATTTGTCCTTGTTATCTAACCACGGCGAAGTCGCATCCAGGCTGACAGTCGATCGATTGATTGCATGCTTAAACAGAAAGAGAAAATAAAAACATTGCCACGGTCCCTCGCAGCGCGGTCCTTACCGCATAATCTCCTCATAGATCAACACTAGATAAATATCATCAGTTAGCAAGTGGTTCCATCTAGTCACGTCTATCCAAGGGGAGAGGATGAAACAAGAGTAAATCCAAAACTCACACTTCAATTGCTCCTTGCTCAGAGAATCCTTGTTCTTGTCGAAATCAAAGAAGCCCTCGGGAATGGGCGGCGCCGTCGGCTCATCCTCCGGGTCGTGGTATGGTTCGAGGTACGGGTGGCGCAGGGCGTCCTCGACGGAGATACGCTTGGCTGGGTTGAAGGCCAGCAGCTTCTCGAGCAGGTCCAAGGCCTGGTCATTGCTCTTGGGGAAGAGGGCGCGGAAGGGGATCTTCTTCTTAAAGGGGAGAGAGCGGATGTACTCGCGGGCTCGTCGAGATTTGATACCGTAGTAGTCTTCCATTGTTGGTGTGCCGAGGACATCCAGGATGAGGGTGAGCTGGTGGTGATCTAGATGATCAGAGTTAGTGGATAGTCATATTAAAAGGTACAGCGATTGAATGCCGTCACGTACAATCCTTTCCGGGGAACAGTGGCTTGCCGCTCAGCATCTCAGCTAATATGCAGCCCACACTCCACACGTCAATGGCCTTGGTGTATTCCTTGAATGTCAACATAATCTCCGGGGCACGGTACCAGCGAGTAGCCACATATTCCGTCATGAAACCAGAGTTGTCATCAGTAGAAGCGGCCGAGCGGGCCAGACCGAAATCACACACTTTCAGATCACAGTTGGCGTTGAGCAGGAGATTGGAGGGCTTGAGATCACGGTGCAGGACGTTGGCGGAGTGCATAGCCTTGAGGGCGCGCAGCGTCTGGTAGATGAAGTATTGGCAGTGATCGTCGGACAGATCTTGCGTGCGGATGACACGGTGCATGTCGGTTTCCATCAGCTCCTAAAGACGGGTCAGATTGATCGAAGCAAGTGATACCATCACTTTCTTCTTGGCATACCTGAATCAAATACACCTCGTTGAAGCCCTCGTAGTTGCGAGGTCGTTGGATATCCAGAATGGAGATAATGTTCTCGTGGTTAAAGTAGCGCAGCAGCTTCATCTCACGCAGTGTCCGCAGGCAGAACATGGAATGGTCGAAGGGAGTGATCTTTTTGATGGCGACCTTCTGGCCAGAAGGCTTGTGAATGGCGGAGCTACATTTTTATGAGCCGCGATGTCATGCATGCTTAACTCGCGGGGGTAAGAAAGAGGGCTTACCAGACGACACCGTATGCGCCTTCACCGATCACATCCTGGATCTCATATTGATCGGAGACGTTGAAGGAGATCTTCCGCGAACCTCCCTGTGCAAGGTTCTGTTGAACCATCGTGCCGGTTCTGTGGGACTGAGGTTCATGGTCAGCTCGATTGATCGGGCCAAAAGCCCAGCATAGGGCACGGGAGAACGGGAAGCATTCCATGATGCGGGGAGAGTTAATGCAAACAAAGCTCAAGAGAAGAGAAAAGCTGAGCTCCAGAGCGACTGGCACAGCTCAAACAGGGACAGTGGCATGCCACTCAAACGGGGGAAGTTGCGAAAGCAATCGAAAATCCAAAATATGCCAGCAAGCTGACCAAGAGTATCCAAATTTGGGAGGACAAACGGCGCATCCACAGAGGAAAATGCAAGACTAGGGTAAGGACGAGCTTACATTTGTTTGCGCGCCGGGTATGAATGCGGGTCCTATTCGATATTGATCTCCGTCCTCGTTGTCTATCACCCGTTCACACAATCGGAGGTCGCGAGATTGGGAGGAAGGAGGGTTGAAGAGCTCTGGTGACGATGCGATCAGGGGCGAGGAAGAAAGAGGGAATCCGCGGCGAGTAGAGCAAGCGACCGAGCTCCGAGGGGGTGTGTCGGGAGGAAAGAGCACCACCAAGGAAGTGAACAGGTTTCGGGAGGCTGAGAGGAGGTGGTGTCTTGGGTTAGTGAGCTGTTGGAGGACGGTGAAGATGAAAGGTGAAGGAGGAAAGATGAAGGCGTGCCGAGGCGGGGGTTTGGGTTTGGCGGGTGATCGCCAGCAAAGTATCACAGTTGATAGGGACAGCCACGAACGCGTCTCAAAGTACCATGGATGAGCAGAATGAGCACATACCTGATTTGTTTGTTTGTTGTTCAGTTCTCCTTTCGTCCAGTATCCAGGTTCAGGGCAAGTTTTGGGAAGATGGGAGGTGTGTTAGGTGGGGAGAGGAGAGGAATCAGCGGGACTCAGCCACGGGCCGCTGTGTCGGGCGTGGTGGGGCAAAGAAAGACGAGCAGGGGGGAGGTGTTAATAAGGGAATAGATGAATGGATAAAAAGACCGGAAACGAATTGCTGGAGGAATAACCTGAGAGCGATGAATGAGATAGTTAAGATGGAATGGGTGATGGTACGAAAAGTACCTCCACTATGGAGTCTACTCGGGGAGAATGACTCTCTTTATGATGGAGGAGGCTGGTGGCTATTCTTATTGCAATCTCTATTGGTATAGATGCTCATCCAGTATGATATTATGAGATTGTGATAGTTCGACAATCTTAACAATGGACTGTTCTGGTCCTATGGTTTTATATACTTAGAATGACTATACAGGAATGATCGCCTTGGATCTATCCAGTCTGTCTAGGATGATACCTTCTAGACCTTGACACCCTGGTTCTTCTGTTTCTAATGTTTTAGTTTTCTCCCAGTGTTTCGTCTGTCTAATCCCCTGAAATCAATTTATCAATTGATCACTTTAACTGATTATCTTTTCTAGTGAACCTTGGCTCTGGCCGGGGCCTTTTCTCCACACAATCCAAGAAACCACCATCACCCAATTACTTCAAGTATGAACTCCCAGCGAATTGCTAAATATGTCCATGATTCATATCACACATACCCAGTAACTACTGAACAAAAAAAGAGTTCCCGCCACCAGCGCCAAATGGCCTCAACCCAACCTGTCTCGAGCCAGACTGAACCGCGCTACTGTCGGAACTGGTCACAATCACAGTTGACTTCGCCGTCTCCACCCGCAGACCCCTCAGATGCCACGGTGATTGGAGCAACAGCCCTCCTCTGGGTTTCACCACCACCAAGCCGGTGTCGGATGCTTTTGATTGGCGTGATGATCAAACCTGAGCACTCTAAACACGGAATGGGTGGGAGAGACAGAGAGACACGGGATACATACGAAAGGATCACGAAGGACCAGCCAAATACAGTACATAGTACTCCGTACGGTAGCTCAGGCAGTTCAACTGGAAATGGTACACACCACCCGGGACTAGTGAAACTAACGCCCATAGGACCAGACCACTAAGGCCACTAATGAAACTATTGAGGCTGAGGCGCAACGTGGGATACAAAAATAACATCAAACATTCGATTTTCGAGGGAACTACTCATGGCCGGCGTAGATGGTTTGCGGGCTTTCTAGGCGCCCTGTAGGGAGAACAGTTGCAAATGAAATGAGGAACATAAAAAAAAAGGAAAACGAACATAAACCCTGGTCTACTTCCAAAATTGGGGGTGTGAGAGGATGCCCGCACAGAGAAACCCGAGCCCTTCAATCCGTAATGGTACAGGCGGGAGATCGAGCAAGAGGATAGAGAGAAAAACGTGGAGGATTCATGAAAATGGGAGGTTTGGAGGAGGAGAATGAGGTACAGGAGGAAAACGAGCAAATACAGAGAACAAAAGGAAGAGCATGTTACTGCACAACCTGGTAGAGCAGAGGAGTCAGTCGGGGAGAACGACTTGAAGCAGAGAGGAAACTATCCAGGTCATCAGCATACCTTCTCCCGCAGCGTCGTCATCCATTGATCCAGGCTAACGCTCTGGTCCGCGCGGTCCTCCACCAGCATCGTCTGGGCCCAAAGGCGCAGACCCGGCTCACCATCCTCGCGCACCACATACAGGTGAGGCACGATCATACTGCCCACACCCTTCGAGTGGTGGTCCCGACTCTTCTCAATCACCGCCCGCACCCGCTGGTTGAACTCGTTGTCTACCTCGGGCAAAGTCGTCTTACCCACCCGCAACTGGTTCCGGTCCGCTACACCAAACACATCCTCAATCAACTGGGGAACGGCGTCACGGCCGACCCACAGGAACTGTGTCTGACCATCGTCGATCAGGTACAGACCGTACGAAGCGATGCGGCCTGAGGAAAGGTTGACGGTAGGCGGCAAGGTAATCTCGCCGGTCTGCTCGTCGGGCACACCTGCAGTGTCGGGCATGTCGTGGAGAGAGTACATCTTGGGGTAGATGTATTGGATAAGGAGAGGCAGGGGCAGAGTCGACAGAAGGCAAAGGGCGGCAGACCGCATATCCGTCGGGATCTGAGCCGACTTGCGAAGACCAAGCTATAGAGAGTTAGTTAGTAACAAGATATGCAACTATGATATCCGCGCACAGATAGTTTGGAGAACACTTACATTCTTGATCAAAGCAAGGAAGAGGACGGGCAGACCGCGAAGGTTGGCTGGGAACTGGAGACCACTACCGCTGACGCTGCCACCGGCAAGCTCCTTGCGGTAGGTCGTCAGCAACTCGATAATCTTGGTCTGCAGAGCCTCGCGAGCGGGCTCGAGACCGCTGCTCAGAGCGCGCTCAACAGCCTTGTGGCTGAAGAAGGTGGCCACAGCCTGCTGATCAGCCGAGGCATAGACATCAGCCAGGTTCGTGGTGGTAGGCAGAGCAACGGTGATGACCCGAATGCGACGTTCGCCGTTGCAGGTGGTGTGAAGAACGGCGGCCTGCAAGCACACAACCGGCTTGGCCACGGTCTCGTCGATAGCAACCTCGACAACATAAGCCTGGTCGCGGGGGAAAGCAGGGAACGCGCAGAGATCGGAGCTGCGGTTAAAGAAGTTACCATAGAAGGTGCTCATGCGGAGGCCGGTGGTAGCACGAACTCGGAGCACAGCCTCCAGACCAATCTCAGAGGAGAGATACTCGGAGAACTCGCGGGCAAACTTCATAGCATCTTCTGACCGGGCGGCGTTCCAGCCGGGGTAGAAGTAGGTCTGACCACCAGTGTACCGAGGCAAGCAGCTAAGAGAGGCAACGTCCTGGTATTGGGACGAGAAGAGGAACATATCGACAGACACCTGAGCCTTGGAGCATTCAACTGCAAAGCTCTTATAGAAAGAGTTGGCGGTCTGCAGAAGAGCAGACTCCTTGCTTGTACCTAGCACCTTCTTATCCTCACGCATAGTGAGCGCCCCGTGGCCGATGTTGGGCAAGGATGCGCTCAGCACGGTCATCTTACCTCCAACGGGCGAAATCAGCTTGTAACCGGCACGCAGAGCCGAACCCATGGCGCAGCTGTTGTTCTGAGTGTTCTGGAACATCGTCTGCAGCTTATCCAAGAATGTCTCAATGTTCTCCCGGCATTCGCTCAGTGTCACCAGAAGATCGCCGGGGATGGGAAGGAAGGGCTCGTCGAGGTCGCTAATAACCAGCATCTGAGGGTCCGAGCTGGGCGAGCCATCGCGGGGGATGCTGAAGTAGTGCAGGCTAGAGTCCACCGCGACGAAGCCAAGACGGGTCCGTCGGTCTGCGTTGGGAATGCGGTCGAGGCTTTCCTTGATGCAGCGTGCGATAACGGCCAAAAGACCGCTCGTAACCGAAGCATAGCTCACATCGATCAGGAAGAGGTAAACCAGCGGTTGGGGAGGTCGGACCATGTATTCTTGAGGTGCAACAAACTCGACCATGCTGTGGTTCAGATCGGCGCGGAGCGCACGATCAGCGGGCCTCTGGTGTGTGGAATCCCAATCGAAGGCCTGGGGCACATCATTGGTGAGGTTACACATATTGCAGCGCCAGCGGTGGCCATGGTCGAGGAATGTAACGAAAGGATTGATATAAGAGCGGCAACGTCTGCATCGTGAAATGACTTGGTCCGGAATGACAGGAATGGGATCCTCGGCGTCGTGAAGAGCGGCGTAAGGCTGAATGACGAGAGCAAAAGGCAGCTTGGACTTCTTGAGGAGGGAATTATTCGTAGGGACTGCATTCAAAGTGGACCGCATATATTTGGGAGGGCAATTGGCGGTGGGAGACTCGAAAACACTGGTCTGCGGGGTTGTCAGTCATCTTGGGCGATCCTCGCACGGCGGGGGAATGCGCAATGCACAGAGAGCTCCGGACGTACCTGCGGAGGCAGAATGATGGGAGGAGGGGGGTAGTCCAACTCTGCGACATTAAAGGGTTGAGAGATGAGGTCCGTTGGGTAGAGCTGGTTAAGTTGGACATTGCGCTGGGGCTGCGCCGCAGGCTGAGGCTGGGCTGGGGGCATGTGGTGCGGTTCGCTCATACCCATTCCGCCGAATTGCTGGGTCATTTGCGTAACATTGTCTACAGGAGCGGCGTAGCCGGTGGCGGCGGGCTGCATCTGAGCTGGGTCGGCGCCGTAGGTCGGCTGTTGATATCCCGCAGCTTGCGGCTGCTGAGGATAGCCACCAAAGGCGCCTCCGGCAGTGGGCTGACCTCCGAGCGCGGCATTGGCACCAGAACCAAACTCAAAGGCCTCACCTGCGTATGCTCTCTTCTTCTTGGCTGCGGCGCCAGTAGGCGGCGCTCCCTGCGGGGGGACGGCCGACTGTTGCTGTTGTGTGGGATCCGGGGAGACATAGCCGGGCTGGGCGTACCCCTCCTGTGGAGGGTAACCCCCTTGTGGAGCTGCCATGAAGATCTGCTAGAGGTTGAAATATCTCGGGGTGAATTCGTTAACGGGATTGGGAGGTCGGGATAGGCGACAAATTTCGGGTGGGAGGGTGGTTGTGGTTGGTATGGGGTCGCGGGTGACAGCTTCGCTAGAACCCCACAATCAGCTTTACCATCGACCAAGTTGGGATCAATATGGAACGGGCTAACACAGGTAATCGGTCCGAAGGAAAGCAGACAAGCACCGAGAGGGGTTTAGATCATACCAGAGACACAGGGACGGAGGGGGAGAGAGAAGCGAAGGAGGCGGTGATGGCGAAGGTGGCCTTTAGGTTGTGGCTGGCCAGCCAATCACGGGGTCGCAGGCACATGAGAGCTCGGCCACAGCGAAGTCGGAAGTATACAAAGGAGATGACAATTAAAGAGTGGATATATTGTAAGGAAAGAGGAAGAAAATATGGTTTATTGACATTTAGAATGACATGCAAGGTGAATCATTTGTTTCTAGCATTAATATTTCTTTTGTTGGTTATATATCTGCTAATTAACGCTCCTGGTCAAAGCATCCTGGTACTCGATCTCACTAGCCTTAGTCCATGCAAATTAAGGCACAGACCAGGCGATCTGGGTGAGTTTTGAAGGGCTGATCCCTGAATGAAGCCCTTTTATATTTCTTCATAAAGACTATGCTGCCCTTATGCTTATTTCCATATCTGATCTGGCTGCATAGATGAAAGCACTCATGGCAATACTCTAAGAATGTGGCCGAGTAAGGGTAGAGTGGTTGCCCGGCCAACACGACGCACCACAATGTCTTCCGCTGCACACGAACACCTCCACACCTTCAATCTCCGGTCTTGCATCATCCCCTCCGCCAACAGCAGTAGGTAGTCGTTTTCTCTTCTTTCTTTTGGAGGATTTTGTTTATTCTTTTTGATTCCTTTTCTCTGCACGTGCGTTCCTGCGGTCCGTTTAGCGAGGGATTGGAACACCGGCTTGGACCAGAAATCTCGAAATCACAGCACAATTGGTCCAGCACCGTTGAATGTGTGAGTCGTCACAATGAGCGTTCGGGTCGTCGCACGAGTACGACCACTTCTCAAGTCGGAACGCGATCTCGATGTCATTCTTCGCACCGGTGCCTCCGCTGGTGCTGCCGAAACCAAGTCGCGCGAGTCTTTGAACGGCGACCGAAAGCTGGCAGCGTTGAGGGACAGAGATAACGTTGTTCGCATTCCCAACCCCAAGAACGAAGGCGAGGAGTATACTTTCCAGTTCAATGCGGTCTACGATGCGGATGTGACACAACAGGAGCTGTTTGATGCAGAGGGTGAGTGGTTTCTCGAGTTGGGGGCTTCGTGAAGGGCTCCGTGTGGCATGTCAATGGTCAAACGCTCATTCGCTGTCTTGCAATAGTCGCGCCCACGATAAAGCACCTGTTCAATGGATTTGATATTACTCTCTTCGCCTACGGTGTTACTGGAACCGGCAAGACACACACGATGCGCGGCGGTAAAAGTCTCGCGGACCGAGGTGTTATTCCCCGACTCCTGAGCGGCATCTACAGACGGAGTCGAAAGATGGAAAAGGATAGCAACGGAGAGACTACCGTGCAGGTCTCTCTGAGCTACTACGAGATTTATAACGACAAGGTGTATGATCTGTTTGAGCCGCCCGAGAAGCGCACACTGGCAGGGCTTCCTCTTCGGGACAACGGAGGCAAGACAGTAGTCTGTGGGCTGACCGAGAAGCCGTGTACGAGTTTGAAGGAGTTTGAGAGCCTCTATGATCAGGCAAACACTAACCGTTCGACTTCGGCGACGAAGGTTAGTCAAAGGACTTCATTTGCGCTTTCGGTTTGAGTTGCTGACGATTTTGTTCATAGTTGAATGCCCATTCGTCTCGTTCCCACGCGGTCCTTGGAGTAAAGATTACGGTCACAACCCCGGAAAAGACCCGCACCAGCACTGCTTCTGCCATCGATCTTGCAGGCTCGGAAGACAACCGACGAACTGAGAATGACAAAGAGCGCATGGTGGAGTCGGCCAGCATCAACAAGAGTCTCTTTGTTCTCGCACAATGTGTCGAGGCAATCACCAAAAAGCAACAACGCATCCCGTATCGCGAGTCAAAGATGACTCGAATTTTGTCACTGGGACAAAACAATGGCCTGACTGTCATGATCCTCAATCTTGCACCCGTCCGATCATACCATTTGGACACGATTAGCTCTTTGAGTGTTGCCAATCGCACCAGGAAGATTGAGGTTCGAGAAGTCGAGAATGACCCGATTTTCAAAGGTCCTGCTAGACCCGCCGTTCGACCATCTTTGGCAGCAACCCGGAAACCGCTGCAGCCCCTCACTGCTTCAGTTCATGTCAACATGCCCGCTTCTGTCGTCAAAGACCCCGCTAAGAAGGATGAGGAAAAGCCCCTGAAGGCTTTCAGTGTCTACTCCGATCGATCCCAGCCCAAGGCTGTGACTCAAATTCGGAAGTCTGAGATTTCCAAGTTGCCGTCTCTCTCCGAGGCGCATCCCATTCGAACCTTGAAGCCACCCCGTCCGAGCATCGTCCCACCACAGATGAACTATGGTGATATCTACGCGGCTAAGATTGAGGAAATGGTTGAGAAAAAGGTCGAGGAGATACTGGCTGTTCGGGCTGTGAGTGAGCAATCAAGACAGACTGAGGCCCGTGAGTTAAATGAGCAGCTCCAGCGTCGATTGGAACAGCTCGAACAGCGCATTGAAGGCACCGAAGACGCTCGTGCAGAGGGTCTTTCATATCTGCTCATGGCCAAACAGCACCAGGCGCGTGGCGAGAGCAGCTCCGCATTGAGGATGTACCAGCTGGCTCTCCCGCATTTCCCGCACAATGAGAAGCTTGCAGCTAAGATCGCAGCTCTGAAGGAGCGCCTTCATGGGAAGGTTCAACCTCGTCAGTCCGCTGCTCATGTGTCACCTCCCAAGGGCAGATTCGGAAGCATGCTGTCTCTCAAGAAGGAGCCGACTCTTACCCTAGGCAAGCGCCAAGCAGAGGATCTTGACAATGAGTACATGGATCAAACTGGTGGTGACGGGTTCTCAAGTGGCGAGGATAGTATCCTGCCAAAGTCAAAGAAACGCGCTACGTCCAAGGCTCTCCGTCACAATGGGGGTGACCTGAGTGTACTGGATGACTACGAGGATCCCTCCGTATCCCCACGCACAATCCACCTCCTCTCCATCATCAACTCACGGGATGTAAGCCAAATCAAGTTATTGAAAGGCGTTGGCGCTAAGAAGGCAGAGGCTATCGTTGACTGCCTCTGCGAGATGGACCAGTCGTTGGTTACCAGCGACGAAAGAATCTCGGACCAGCCACAGTTCCAGGTGAGCAGTCTGGCTGAGCTGAGTACGTTGAAGGGTGTGGGTGTTCGTACGGTCGAGAACATGCGGAATGGAGTTTTGGTTTGATTTTGCATTTTGCATTTTGCATTTTTGCATTTTTGCATTTTTGCATTTTCCTGTTTCATGTCTTGGGCATTGACTTGGGCATTATGTTGGTTTTTATGCATCTTCCTTCAGCGACGGTGCTGGGGCGTTTTTGGTTTCACTTTTGCTGGGTTGGGGTTGTTTTGAATTAGAAGAATGAAGTCTTTCAACATTGCACATGGATAGTTTCTCATCTGAGAGTGTGTAGAGACATGTCAAGTAATTGAAGACTCTTGGCCAGGATTACTTTGAGTCGTCGAATAGTCATCCTAGGACTTGGTCAATCAACGGGCCCTATTGCGCATCTTGGATGCATCGTGTCAAAGGCTGATTCCTGTAATCAAGCCACAACTCTCTGTCCTCGAGACCAGCTTTAAGGTTGCGAGATACTGGATATTCTATGAATTTTGCGAGTGACAGCCCAATCATTGTTGATTAAACCTCTATGTATGAGCATATTATAAATTCAGCTGTCCCCGTGGAACATGCATGCATCCTGTCTATCAATGCTAAATTAAATCATCTTAAATGCACCCGTAGAGCTAAGAGGCTCTGCTAATTCAACTATCCCCATCTTTTCAAACCTAGACATTATACCTTGCCCATCTTCACTCCGCCAACAACAATCCTAGCGACAACAAATAGCGATGCGCCAGCAAGCATGACCACGCCACTGAAGACCTGCAGTCTCGTATACGAGCCAGTCAAAACATCAGGAACCAGAGCACCGCCAATCGGGGTACCAGTGAGAGCAGCGAAGGAGATAATCGAGAAACAGGTACCATTGCGGACACCGACCTCGCGCAGATCAGAGATTTGGGCAATAAGTGCTGGGGCCAGAGACACGAAGGCACCGGAACCAAAGCCGTACATTGCGCTGAATACGATGGCGGGGGCGTTGCTGCGTGATGGGAGCCATAGGGCTAAGACGAGGATGGCGGAGAGATAGCTGAAGAAGATCATGACGTTGTAGCGGCCAACGCGGTCTGCCATGTAACCCGGGACAGTACGACCGAAGACACTATCAAAATATTAGTATGATAATCATAGCAGGGCAAGAAAAGAAGAGTAAAACGCTTACCTAGCCGCATTCAAAATCGGAATGAGATACTGCGATAAATGCTCCGACATGCCATATCGCTGCGCCTGCGTGATAACAAACGTAAAAGGCAAGAACATACCCCAGAAGAAACAGAAGCACGCAGCAACCGTAACAACGAATTTCACATCCTTCAGCGGACGAACGAAATTCATAATATCGAACGGCTTCTTAGTATGCTTCAGCCTCGACTTGAGGGTGATATTGGAAATGCCCAGCATAAACAGGATCAAAAAGGCACAGATACGCATTGCCCAGGCGAACCCAACTTTCGGGATCAGATTCGACACCATGATTGGGAAGATCACACCTCCTAGACTTGATCCGGAGGCTGTCACGCCTAGTGCGAAGGCGCGACGTTTGGCGAACCAGGTGCTGACTGAGTTTACGCTAGCGTTGAAGATGGCGCTTGCGCCGAGGGGACTGCAGATTCCTTGGGCGAGGATGAATTGGTAGTACTCAGTCGAGAGGGAGGCCATCATGAGGCCAAAGACGTGGAAGAATGTACCGCCTAGGAGGATCCATCTGGGACCATAGTTGTCGAAGAGGGTGCCGAATATCGGGCCCTAATAGATATCCATGTGAGTATAAGCTGGAGTTGATATAGAGCTGAAGCTGATGAGAAAGAACCTACAGCAAAGAACATGACGAATGTCTCCAATGATGTGATCCATGTCACTGTACTCGTGGACATGTCGCTAAGTTGGTGAGTTTCATAGTAGGTCTGGAAGACACCGATACCTACACAGGGTTAGCATAGTGTTGAGAATAGAAGATACCGGCCACACATACAGTTGATCCAGCCAAAACTGACGAACAATCCGCAAAAGGCTCCTAGCACGGACATCCATGCCTCGGCTCCTCCATCTGGCGGAGGGCCAGGGCTTGGAGGACCAGCCAGAGCTGGAGTGACGGCTTCGCTTTTCTCCGATAGAGGTTCTCCATTGACATCACGTCCCTCTGACTCGATGGGATCGGCTGTGCGAGTTCCCTTCTCGAGATCATCATTTACGTGATCGCTCATGGCTGGCGTTGAATTGTCCGACGGCGCGATGTTTGTTGTAGCACTGTCAATCGAAGGAGTCGCATGCTCATGATTGGCGCCCATTTTCCAGTCTGCTGTTTTCCACAGACAGTAGAGCAGTCACTTTCCACGTTCTATTGACGATTCCAAGAGTGTATCGGCTCTTAAGTCATGCGACTGGGTTCAAGAGTAGTCTGTGCGACAACGATTGTGTCAGAAGCTTGTATACTCGACGTGCCGCTCAGAAGGAAGATATCCCAGGAGCACATTGACTATCAGGGGTATTTGACAAGTCGGCACGATGATAGCAAGAGTATGCGACTCCATTCAAAGGGGAGATTGCCATTGAACCTAGGATGCGATGCAGTGCGAAGCGACTCACTTTGAAGCTTGATATTCCCCAAGCAAAGACCAGAAACTCTAAAATCAAGTTTGATATAGCCTCGGCCCGCAACTTGATTTGTGAGCGTATATGTACCGGACTAAGGAGTACTGGATACTAGGCGGATAATTTGGGGGCGGCAGTTGTTGACGGGATGTAGAGATGCAGATGTACTCGCCACAAGGAAAGAGCAAGAGAATATATACAAAAACCAGAGGAAGAATATAATCACCAGCGACTGCAAGAGTGAAAAAACTCCCCGGTCGGACTCGGTCTGTCTTCGGCCATCGCGCCAGGCTAAACTCCGAGTGCGAATCCATGGGCTCATCTCGCGATTGTAGGAGTGCACTAACCCACGAATAGTAGGGAGTCGACAAATAGCGCTCAGCCTGGTTTAGTTCGCCTCGGAAGGGCACCAACTCGTCTCCACTTTTTGCTTGGTTTATCATCCAGCAGATGTTCTTTTCTGGACTCCGACCGCTTAGCTCCGGGGGTGGGACTGGACACTCCGCGGTCAGTCCGTGGGGCCTAGTTGGGGCCAATTTGCTGGTTGGCTATCGAGATGAGGGGCCGAAAAGGGTGTGCTCATATATTGATCCTGTCTAGAGGCATGGTAATTGTTTTAGTGTGTTAATGTCATTAGTGAATGCAAACACCGATCCGATATAGACAGCAATTGGCCGAGGTCAAGCTTCGGGAATATCTACATGGAGTAACAGTACTTGTGTTGAATAGTCTGGAGGGGCTACTATATAATCTGTTTGTAGTCGGATACGAGCAACGTGTATCTGCCGTGGTTTGTCACATCTCGGGAAAATTGCCGGTTGGTCCAATGGCGTTTGAAACGGTGATCCCTCGATTTTTGTGATTTATTCCCTGTAGTGGCTTGCATACAGACCAACAATGAGATGTATCAAGCCAACCATGTGGGAGGGAGACACGTAGAACCCCCACTGGGCTTCCAAATCTTTTGCGGTGAGGGAGGCGCATCACGTTTAATACTTGTTTCATGCCTAGAGCCCAGCCTTACTAGCTATTTCTCATCGTCAGTATTTAGGATCTAGTTGTAAGCCCATGGGTGTGAACCAGTTCGCACCATAGCTGAAGTGCCCATGTTCCCCTGGTACTACAACCTACTAAGCCTTTTTGATCTTTCGGGTGTCTAATTGGGATGCGGGCTTGAGCACTCTTCTAGTCTATTTTGGTAACAATTGTCTGACCTCTGCCTCAAATACTTCGATCTTTCTCTTCAATTGTTACTCGCTCATCTTATCTCAGTAAACAGAATCCTAAGAGCTATTTGCTCCGAAGCCTTCGAAAATGGCCCCTATCATCTCTCGTTGATCGGACCTTGGGCTCTCTTACGCATCCCCCGTAATCCTAGAAGACAAGGGTGCCGATCCAGAGTGCGTCGAGCGTTATTTACGAAAAAAAGATCTCAACCAAGGGCATTGAACGACGAGGCAGGCAAGCTAAATGCCACCGACGGGCAAAATAGAAGAAGTCGTGGATCCAGCGATGACATTGGATATTTCATATCTGATGGGTTCAGCAATGAGGATCTACGAGTCGGTGGCCCTTACTTATGCTCGCTTCCCGCCAAAAGTATTCCTCAGCATGACCTTGAGGGATATGATGACTTTCAATATTCAGTGATAGGCCAAGTGTATAATATCATGCGCAAGCATCTTGTGCAACTCGAGGAGATGGGTTACACGGGACGGATATCCATCTTCAAATTCCAACCATTGTGGTTGCAGCAACACGTGAAAAGGTGGATGATGGATGACTCGAGGCCGCTAGGGAAGCTCGGCCTACCTGGTTAACGAAGGTCTTCCTGGAGATACGAGATCTCGAGTGTTACAAGTACCCTTGCATATCCCCTGTCCTCGAGACAGACCTTGTGTTTGAAACGTGGGATAATGTTTTGCACGATATTATCCACGAAGTCAATGTAACCGGCATCGAAACAATAGGTTGCTACCGCCGAGGTAGAAGCTCAATGAAACGCAATAATCAACCTACGGTCCTTGTTACCGTGAGCTCCAAAAGCAAGGAAAGTTGGAAATCTACACGAGATTTGATCGTCAAGATTTTGGACCGACATGAACTTCCTACGGTTGCGGTTGAAATCATAAAGGATGAAATCTGGCGAGGTCCCCATAGGTCCACTGATATTTACGGATGGCCAGGTTTGGAGAGAGAAATTCTGCAAGAACCTGGATTGATAGGCCAGAGTATAGCCCCTTATTCGACCAAAACGACTTCAGGAAGCCTTAAGGGCTTCCTTAAGCTGCAATTTTCCGACGGTCAATGGCGTGAGTTTGCGCTCACAAGTTTGCGTTGTGTGTTTCCCGTGGAAGACGATGGGATTGAGCCACAATATCTCGAAGGTAAGGGCCGGGGACATTTCGAGCTACCTGGAGAATATCAACAGAAATATCTAAATAGTATAGTAGAACCGACTGCTGACTTTCATTCTAGTCATGAGAGACCTACGCGAGCACGGAGTGCCGTGCAACGAGGATGGAACCGAAGCTCTGCGAGTCGATCATCCTAGTAAAAGGGCTATGACCCAACATATCAAACAAATCGAGCAGGACATGCGGATCTATACATCGGATGATAGGTGAGAAATGTATCAAAGGTGAATCGCAGAAGGAACTTTCGTAATTATGTCTGAAATTGATCAGGAGGAGTATCAAATACACAAGACGATAATGGATAAGCACCAGGAATTTCTGGATGAGCTTGAAAGCTTTCGCAAAGCCCAAAACTTTGATTTTGGTCACATCTGGGCCGGATCTAGCTTAAAATATTAAGTAGGCGTCCTTAATGACCAACGATATTGCGACTATGCTTGACTGGGCTCTCGTGAAATTCCCTCCCAGTCGGATGGGGACCAACAAGGTGAGGACGCTCGTCGCCTATGACTTCTTGGTTATAGCTGACATTAAACCTCTAAGCTCAAAGATGGCAGGGAGATCATCCAGATACGACGTCCCGAATACCCTCTTCGTCATTCCTAGGGCTAAGAGATCGAAGGATATTGCTCCGAAGAATCGGTTGGTTATTATAATTAGCTAAGAGTTGCCTATATTCACGAAGTCAAGGACGAATTTGGCCATCGCATAGGTACAAAAATGACATTGGAGCATTTTATTCTGCAAATCTTTTCTCCACAGAGCCGTGGTAGAGGACATGCCCATTGGTCATTTTAACCTTGTAGACGTTGAGATCAAGAACCAGAAGCGTAGGGGCTTGTATCGGGGGTAAATAAAACAGCGTCAGATGGTCCCAAAGTCTGATATTCACCGACAGGACATGGGGAAAGAGCAAACCATCCAGGATCTGGGTCTGGTACTTCGAGGACGGGTGCCGCACTTTAATGAAGCCTGCATAGAATTGTCTGTGTTCTATAGGCATCTGTTTAAGCGCCTTCAGCTTTTCCCATGTTAAATGACTCCAGAGATGGCGCATAGTCTCGCAGAACCAGAGATGATTGACGCTGGTGCACTTGTAGAGAATCACAATATTTTGCCTCTCGATGCCCTCTGGAAGATTGTCCGCTGCGGTGAACTCAAGAATCAGGGCAAGCAGCTCTGGGATCGCAAGGACCCGCTGGGCGGCCCGCATGATGACTGTACTAATTAGCGTATCTTACTAATGTATGCTGTCAGTCAAAGACGACGTGAAAGGGGAAAGTTAATCGAGGGTAAGGAAGAGAGAGAAGTAGAAGATAGAGCAAGAGAGGATATAAAAGACGGAGTGGAAGAGGACGTACCTGTGGAAGAGGATGTCAAGGGTAGAAGAAGGGTGTCAAGGTAGAAGGATATACCTAGTGATAGAGAAGTGAGGGATATAAGAACGAGAGGACCTTCTAGAAGACCAGTTTGATGACCTTATCTCCGAACTCGTTAATACTGACGGATCATGGCTTCTCACGCGTTAAGACCACAGGTTTCAGGGGCGAGAGGTGTCGGCGAAGCAGTGTTTTCGGCGCTGAAAGAGCTTTCGTCAGTTTTCTTATGTTTTTTCGTAGTTGACTTTAGTGTTGCCAGCTTAGGGGCATTGTCCTTTGAAACGGCGTCATGTGGGCCCTCTGGGTTTACAAAGCAGAAGCTACGTAGCTAGGTGGCGGCCATTACAAAGGCCAGTGAAGCGCAAGAAAATCTACTAAGCATGGAAGTTGGTACTTAGTCTAGCGGTATAATCCTTTGGAGTATACCGGCAGAATAAACGCATTACTTACTAGCTTTGTTTGGAGAGCTTTCTGGTAGGTACCCCTGGACCTTATAACAGCTGTCATCTCTCTTCCACTGAAACCCCTTATACACAAACCGGGATATGTCTATATCAAGCATCTATGAATACGCCGTGGATAGTCCTGCGCAGAAGGGGCTTCCTAAGCTGACGGCGTAATATATGTTCAATGATTGCCGTTGGAGCGTAGGTTCCAACGCTACAACACTTGAATGTCACGCTGGTCCTTTATAAAAACCCAAAAGGTATTCGCGCACCAAATCACCCTCCCCCAGTCCGGCACAGCTCGGCGTGGTCAGGAATCCTGGCTCCGACGTTGGCACTGGTGAACTCAATAATGTCTACGCCGGTGACGATGTCCAAGTGCACATATCCTCATCCATTGCCGTGATCCAAGAGAATGATCCCTCTCACGATACCGACCGAGCACCCAATGACAAAGAGGAACGCGAGAGAGAAGAGGCTACTCGTGTCGCTTCACTGGATCTGGCGAAGAAGCGCTTCGCTGAAGAAAAGAAGCGCCGTAACTCCCTGACTTAATATATAACGATGACTTTTCTGATACTAAGCAACGCCTCTCCCTTCTCTCATGCTTAGCCACGCCCCCTCTCTTGTACCTCTTATATTTCCTCTTACTCATCTGCCTCTCCTCGTGACTTCTTCTCTCACATCGTCGTACACCATCACCACAACCTCCGGGTCAGCAATCTACTGAAATGACTGAGCTTTCCTCGTGTTCATGCAGCAAAGAGTATGTATTGGAAGGGACAGGAGGCAAGAAACCACTTCAACGCAACGCTACAAAACCGGGGTCGTCACAATTCGGCAACCCCTAACGGTCAAAACCCCGGCACCCAAGAATTCCATTGGGTGGCATCCCCATTGTGCAAGCAACTTTGAAACCCCCGGGCTGCTCTACCTCCCCCAGATTCGAGCTCCCGCGCTTCAAAGTCTGAATCTCCAATAGCATGAGGACGAGACCAACGATGAAGACATCCTTGTTGTGGACCATATTGCCCGACAGTTGGGAAAGCGCTTCAAGGTTGGTTTATTTGATATGAGTTTATTAAGTACCTTGTGTCGGTTCTCTCTGACACACCTGCAAGACATATTTTCCAACTTGAGAACTCTAATCCTATGACTACCACCAGTTCCGGGATCCCAAGACACTTTATCAAAACGAATTTCAGGCTTTCGTGTTACATCTTGAAGGAATTCAGGATATTGTTGGCCCTTTGGCTTATTAGGATGAAGAAAGTTGGCGATTGCACCTGGATGATCACGCGCCTGCTACCAAGCTCGGTTCAACTCTTGGACAACCCTGCAGGGCCAGATCAGGACCACCAACCTGTGATTTAAGATCAGCACACTTCAAGGGTCTCCTGGCATAGTCGGACCAGGTCATCTCGATTCTTCTCGCTATCGAAGCTCTACATCAACGTGTTCCCCCGGACTATGAGTTCTGGCGCATTGCGTTCTTGGATCACACCAGTCTCATTGAATATAGTACTTTGCTCGCATCGGCGAAGGGGCCATATAGGTTATCTGCGCTCTTCGCGCCACTCTAAACGCTCCTGAGCTCATGCGTGATGCAGTCGCGCTTGCCGAAGGTCTTCTGCTTTTCGACCACTATCTATAAGCCATCTCGGATCTAGCACTGAAGGCGACAGTGGAGAGAATCACTAAATCCTTGCGTCCTCCACTGTAGAATCCCCTCCATACTATCACCTACACAGACCTATTTCTGTATATTCTTCTATCACTACATCCTTCCACCACTACATCTAGATCCTTCGAACACCATCCTCCGAACACTCTATCCTTCGACCACTATATCCTTCGATCATTCTCGTCCTTCTGTTACTTCCTCTACCAATCTGTCTTCTATATCATCTCTCGCTTTATCTTTCACTTCCATAAACTCCTTGCCCTTGAAAAACCCACCCATTACCGTGCCTTTCACAAACAACATACACAGGTACAAGCATCATAACTGCTGCACAGCGTGTCTGCGCCATCCCTGAGTTGGCATCTACGATGATCGGGCTTACTGATTCCCGAGAAACTCTCTACAACTGCGCCAAAGTCAACCATCTCTGGTTCTGGCTAGCAATGCAACACCTTTGGAGCTAGCTCCATTGGAAAAAGCTCAAGTCGCTGGAAACCATGCCTATGGAGCGCAAATAGCTATATGCGAGCTTCGTCAAAACTCTCAGCTTGGATTGTCATCCGTGCTCAAGATACCAAGCTCAGTTCAAATCCTAGACGAACCTACAGGGCGACCATCAACCTGTCTATACCGACGTTATCCTTAAAGAAGGCCGATACAAGCTACCACCACCAGCCGTCAAGCTATCGGATGAACACGTGTACATGGTCATCAAACACCTCTCGATCAAGGAACGCAATGCAAGGTCCAAGGTTGGACGGACGGAAGACTTCCATGCCAACGGAGACATCCGCGGCGAACGTACACCAACCTACCCAGCCCTAATCTTCTACGCCTGGAACCTGCCATTCATCGCCATATGGCCAACCTGCGATTCAAGATCAGCACGGTTTAAGGTGCCTCCGATTTAGTCGGACCAGTCCAGTCATCTCGCTTCTTCTCACCATCGAAGCTCTACATCAACGTGTTCCCCCGCCCTACGAGTTCTGGCGCATTGCGGTCTTTGATTACTCCGGCCTTATTGATTATAAAGCTCGCTTTAACGAATGGGCTCCGTGGGTCATCTGCGCTCTTCGCACTACCCTATCCGCTCCTGGCCTGAGCTTGTCCGTGATGCCGTAGGTCTTCTTCTCGACCACCGTCTATAAACCATCTCACTGAAAGCGACAGTCGCGGATATTGCTAAAATCCTTACGGCTTCCGCCATAGACGACACGGTCCCGGTTGCATTTTGCCTTTCGAGGAATGAGATCCTAGGACTGGACTGGACGGATTGACCGGTTGGTTGTTTCTGGGTTTCTTGTTCGCTACCGAGGGCGGCAGTGTGCTTTCGATGGGGGCACCTGACCAAAGACATCTTATGAGAATTGTTTTCATGAGCATCGAAGCCCAAGAAGAGATTTATATCCACCAAGCCGAATATCATGATCAGCACGAGCTCGGAGGCTTTTACTCGTGCTAGATCGGTGCATGTAGATTATTCCCTGACAGTCCAAGCATCACTTGAGAGTATAGATCTACCTGTTATCCGGAACCCATTAAAGTGTATCAGAACGAAACCCACAGGGGTATTCAATGCTACCTATATATAATATGGACAAAGAAGAACAAGCATGAAATGCAAGCTGGATAACATGAACAAGGGAAGTGAACTAAAAAAAGAGAGAATAGAATGCTATATGCTCAACAGCACAATGCAAGAGAAAGAAAAGAAGATGATGGTGAAAAAATTGCACAGACATGAAGCAGGCATCTCCCAAAAAGCCGAGGTATCAAATCAAATCAAATCCCGTAATCAAGAGAGAAAAGAGAGAGAGAGACCCCAACTTTTGGCGATAGTTTCGCCGATAACGATAACGTAATCCAGAATCATGGCTCAGCTCAGGCGATTGCAGAGCCTAACGGAGGTGGAGGTAGGGACAAGTAGGAGAAAATAAAAGAGAACATTCCAACGGAACAGACGTGGCGACTAAGCACGAGGTCGTCAAGGCGGGTAGAGTCAAGGTCAAGGTCGAATCTTCGCAGGTACATCACGCGAAGAACGGGGGAGAGGTGCCGGAGCCGGTCAAAAAGCAATGCTAACAAGCAGAACCATAGGGGGGCCCGAAATGGATTTGGCGGGTGTATGTCGACGAGAATAAAGCAATGAAAAGCGCTAGAATCGGTCGGGCCGAGAGTAAAAGGAGAATGTGAAAGTTATAGGTGCGCATGTCATGAATTCATGTTTCACCTCCAGCGCGACTCTTGTGACCCGCGCAGTGCAGATGGGCGCCAGCTACCGGTGGAGTGCTTGGAGACCGTGCTGGTGGGGGAGTTTGTGCCTGTGTTGAAGACGTATTCGCCATCGACGTATTGAGCGCCCGTGGAGAATGTGCTGCGGTGCTTGCGACGAGCATAGCGCTGTTCGAGGCGGTACAGCTCGAGTTCTAAGGAGGATAGATGTTAGAGGACGAGGTTCTAGGACATTGTTGTTGCGGATGGTGCTGTGATGCGCGACATACTGGCTTGTAGCTTATCAATGAGACCCATTGTGACTGTGTAGATGCGAGATCCTGGCGATTATGCTGATTGTAGGAATTCGACAAAAGAATTGTATGTCGTACTTATTCCTGGCGAATATCTATATACGGAAGTGCAGCGACAATCGTTCCCACATGCAGCGAGTGGAGCGTAACGTGGTTGACAGGTGAGATGGCCGGCAGCGGACAGAGAAGAATTCGAGGTTACTGTAGAAGCTAGTCAGTCCTGTTGACACTTTCAACTACCACCTCAACAGCTCAATTGGGTCATTTCTCACCAGTATACAGGTATACAGCAGCAATGACACCAGGCAGAATACTGAAAAGGGGGTACGATTGTGGCGGGATGGGGTGGTATATTTGCAATCGCGGAGGAGGGAGGAGGGGAGGGCGCACACGAGGTTGAGGGGCGCACGAGGGCAGTGGAACTGGTGCCACAAGGAAGCCACCAAGAGTCCGACGAAGGGGTTGCAGGTTAAGGTGGGATTGGATTGGCTGTAGCGGGATGCAAGGAATGTGAGATGCCCGGAGAATTCGGAGGAAGTGACAGGAGGTTGGGACGCGGTAAAGAGAGTGACGAGCGACGAGCGACGAAAGCGACAGTGGAAAATGGAACAGAGTGGGAAATGTGGTCCCGGAGAGGAGAAAAACGAGTGGCTTGCAGGACGATAAGAAGGAATACAATAATAATATGGAAGGAAATGAGAAGAGGAGAAAGAACAAACAAGCTAACAAACTCCGCGTCCGAAATGGTGACAAAAGGAGAGACGCGGTGGGGAAGTTAGCTTAAAGGGAATTAGCGCCGAGTCTACAGAATCAACAGACTTCGAGACTTCGATAGTCCAAGCGTCAAAATAACAAAAACTTAACCGGCACGCGAGTTTAACCTGGTTGACTTTGGGTTCAGTTGGTTCGCCAGGGGACGAGACTTGATCATTGGGTTATCCCAAGTCTTCTCTGGTCTTTCCAACGGCGCTAATCAGCCACTAGCGATTGACTGGACTTCATGACCCGCCTTCTAGACTTTCGTCGGTTCAACTTGACTGGAGAACGGGAAAAACGAGGCCGTGCGCCCGTGTTTCAGGTTGATTTCCCCTTGCTTTAGTCGGATTATCGCGTGGTCTAGAGTCTGAACTGTAAGACTACAATGTGTACGGAGTACAGACAGCATGTATGTAGTAGTTCACTCCGTGCATCGTGCATGAATCTGCTTTTTATCTATCCACTGTCCACATGGCGACATGCTGCACCTGGCTGAATACAGCTAGACATCATAACAAATCATTGGTCCTCGCTGCTTTACAAGTCTACTCGACCTTCTTCTCCTCGGACGGCGTCTCGCCCTCCTCGTGGGAAAGCGACAGTTCCTGGGCTAATCATCGGCATGTCAGAAATGGCATCAGATACCGAACCCACTTCCCCAAGGTCCGCGGGGTTCTATTCGTGGAATTGACAGGGAGTACTGTACTTACCGTTCCAGAGCTCCGCATAAACTCCCTCTAGATCCAGTAACTCCCGGTGTGACCCCATCTCCGCCACCTCTCCATCCTTGAGCACCAGGATCTGATCACTATCGTAGATCGTCCGCAGCCGGTGCGCGACAAAGACGCTTGTGCGGCTCTTTTCTTTCAGAATGCTGTTGATGTTCTGCAGTAGCGCCTGCTCCGTGTATGTGTCCAAGGCCGAGGTCTGTATCATTCCCCGGTGTCAGCCACATTACGCACGCCTGGGGAAAAACCCCTCCCAAAATGAACCACAAACAATTCATGATCTTGCACTTACCGCTTCATCGAAGAATAACAGCTGCGGGTCCTTGAGCAACAATCGCGAAATCGCCAACCGTTGCTTCTCGCCGCCCGAAATCATCATGCCGCGCTCGCCGACCGCGGTCTCGTATCCATCAGGAAGTCGCTCGATCAGCTGGCTGATGCGGGCGCGCTCGGCGGCATGGCGCACCTCTTCATCCGAGGCATCGATCCGACCGTAGCGAATGTTGTGTGCGATGGTGTCGTTAAACAGTGGCGTGTCCTGGGGCACCACACCGATGGCCTGCCGGAGGCTGTCAAGGCTTACATCACGTACGTCCTGGCCATCAATCAAGATCCGACCGGACTGGGTGTCGTAGAATCGGAAGAGCAAACGCAGGATGGTCGATTTGCCGCAACCACTGGGGCCCACGATGGCGAACTTGGAGCCAGCGGGAATCGTGAATGTCGTGTTCTTCAGAATTGGACGGTCCGGGTGATAGCCGAACGTGACGTTCTCGAAGCGAATTTCACCGCCCTTCTTCAGCTCGAGCGGCTTCGCGTTGGGCTTCTCCTGGATGGTGACATTCACCTTTTGCAGGTTGAAAAGAGTCTCCATGTCCAGCAGAGACTGGCGCAGCTCACGGTAAACCGAGCCCAAAAAGTTGAGCGGCACGGAGAGCTGGAAAACCAATTGGTTGACCATGACCAGATCGCCGACTGTCAGGGCACCTGTAGCCACGCCGTCGGCCGCCAGATACATCATTGCGGCCAGCGCAGTGGAGAAGATCATGTTCTGGCCAGAGTTTAGCAAGGCCAGGGAGGTGGTGACTTTGATCGAGGCGTCTTCGTAGTTCTTCAAGGCCTTGTCGTAGCGAGCGACCTCAAAGTTCTCATTATTGAAGTACTTGACAGCCTCGTAGTTGATGAGCGAGTCGACAGCAACGGTAGCACCGCGGTTGTCAGCGGCATTGGCCTGTCGACGGAACTTGGTGCGCCAGGCGGTGGTGGTAATGGTGAACGCTGTGTATGCTACCATGGTAGTAGCTGTGATGGCGGCGAATTGGAAACCATATTGGTAGGTCTGGTGAGGGGATGAGCCGGCAATCTTATCACCATCAAACCGAGAGACTTACGAGAATACCGCACACGAGCGAGATCTCAAGTGCAGTTGGTACAACATGGAAGACCATGGAGGTCAGCAAGAAGCTGATACCTTTGGTACCACGATCAATGGCTCGGGTGAGACCGCCGGTCTGGCGTGAGAGGTGGAAGTTGAGATCAAGTCGGAGCAAGTGGTCAAACACATTCCGGGCAACCTTGCGAATTGCCTTTTGCGCAACACTGGCAAAGACTGCATTACGCAGTTCTTGGAAGAAAGTGGCTCCGATACGGGTGGCGCCATCTATCGAGATTAGTTAGGACAGTTTTGACAAGCTAGGATGAAGGTAATTTCGTACAAGCGATGATCATGGAGCCTGCCACGGTGTATGCTGTTCCACCAAGGGTCGCGAAATCGACGTTCATGGAGTCCACAATGTTCTTGAAGTAGAATGGAACCTCCACATTGAGAATCTGGAGACAACTACTGTCAGTTCTCAGAGATAGATGTGATAAGAGATGAGACCAATACACACCTTCGCACCCACAAGCAGTGAAAGTGCAGTTCCCACTCGAAGCTTGGTACCCCAGTCATCCTATCATACTCGGTCAGCACTTCCGATGCCATGTTATTACTTCCATCTTTGAAGCAATACCTTAGGCCACAAATATCTAGCCATCTCTTTCATGATAGCCCAATCTGCACTGCGCTGTTCCTTCTTTGCCATAGCTGCCTCACTCAGCAAGTCCTTCTTCGGGGTATTCTTGGCCTCACCGGCCTCCGGTTTCTGGACAATAGCGGCATTGGCCACTTCGGCGGCGGTAGCAGCGGGCAGGGAGTTGTTCCTCGCAGAGGTCGGGTCTTTGCCATCGGTGGATTGGTTGAGCCATGAACTGCTAGAGGTGAACACTCGTAGCTGAAGTGTGTGCTGTTGAATGCGATTCGGGCTCGTCCACCGTGCCTGGCCGGCGAAGCTCGGATATAAGTACCGCGCTGTGCGCCAGCACGGCGATCGTGCCGCTCTGAGCAGCATGGCTGCGAGATGAAAGGAAATTTGACCGCTAGAGATGGTTCGGCGCACGAATTGGGCTCACAGGGGCATAGTGAAACGCAGGCGAGGAGAATGGTGTGCTCGTGTGTGCTTGCGATAAGCTCGTGGGGGAAGGCAACCTTGGGAGCCGCCGGCTTCGGAGAAAAGCGTCAGGTTGCGCGAATGAGTTCGGTGGTCGTCGCGGAAACAGATGAGTGAAAAGAGAGGGTGTATTAGAGGAAGAACAACGAGACCCGCCCCGACCAAACGAGTTCTTCCCTTTATGCGCGGGTGGTATAGAAGGCAATGTCGCAATCGAATGCGGGCGTGGTGTACCTCAGTACCTCCGCTCGCCGCGACGCCGCACCGGTCACTGGTCCTGAGCTTCGGCGCCACAATTTCCCGGGTTGAGTTCCCTTGCGAGCTCCAAATCTGACGTAAAGTCCTTCAGCACCACGCGGTCTTCGGTCTTTACTTCAGGCACAATGAGTCCAGCCCTCCAGCGAGGTGTCCGGACTCTGTCTTGGACACGAGTTGTTCCTCGCGCCCGGCAGGCCAGATGGATTCAGATTCGTGCGGCGCCCTCGGAAGAGCCTACCGTCAATGGCGACCATCTGCCCCTCGCCGGTACGCCTAGTTCCGCCGCATCGCGAGGTATGTTGAATTGCAAGAGTTGGATAGAGTATTGTGTCTTTGAAATTGGACTCAACTGACAATTCTTGTTGATAGATGCGCGCTTCGATGTCGTCGGCACTCCATATTCACTCCTCTCGGTATCGCTTTCGGCTTCGCAAAACCTGTATACGCGCCGGGGAACATTGGTGGGACTGAGCGGCAAGGCGGATAATGTATGTGGCTCTGTTGCGGTGGACGATATGCGATTGGATAACGCGCTGACAGTCATGATCGCTACAGGTGGTTTCGACGTTGAGCGTCCTCGAACCCTTCCGCAGGGCCCCTCTGGGCGTGCCCTTCCTCTATCAGAAGGCATGACACGTCTGGTTCCGAGTGATGGGATTGCAAGACCGTCGCTAACAAGAACTTAGGTCTCCTCTGCGAGCCCTGTCACAGCCCTCATTTCCGTTCGGTCTCCAACGACCTCATTCGCGGTCGTGAATCTCAATGGCTCAGTGGATTGGATGGTTGCCCAGCGGCGCGCGCTGCTGGCATGGACAGGCCGGTCCTTGTCCATCAAGCCAACCATTAACGCCAGCCTGGTTTGTGGTACCCCTCGATCGTGACTTTGAGATAAATGGCTGATTTTGATTCTCGTACAGAGCTTGGCTCATTGGGGTAGTTCTGCGGTCACTGGCAGAGGATTGATCGCGTTGGTAGGCCAAGGCCAGGTCTACTCCGTGGAGTTGAAGGACGGCGAGCAATACGTCGCTCACCCTAGGTACGTCGCGACGATTAAGCACCGAGCCAACGTTTGATAGCTCTAACCCATATGTTACAGCCACATTGTCGCCTATACCATGTCTTCCAACCCCCCTCGCCCCTACCGCTTCAAATCCACAACTTTGAGCTTCCAGGTTCCCGGCCTGAAGACATTGCCACGCCTCCTGCAGGGCAACAAGTTCATCCGGGATGTGTCTGACTCTAAGGCCTGGAAGAACACCATGAGTTTCCTTCACAAGCTTCGTACATGGTCTCGCATGACCATCTGGGGAGATAGAGTATGATGTTTGCCTGGTTATCCTTTGACGTGCAGCTGGCTAACAATCTCCTTCTAGCTTTTCCTGCAATTTGACGGGCCTGCAACAATTCTCATGCAGTCTCGCGGACCCCGCGTCAACGACATTCTCTCTGAGCGTCAAGTCACTGAACTCGCCGACGCCCCTCGTGGAATCACCACCCTTGCCCCGGAAGAGCCTAGCAAGCCAACCCCCTCAGAGGCAGAGATCTCTCGTTCGGTCGAGAACTTGAACCAAGAGCTCCGGGGAATCCGTCAGAGCGTTGCTGAGATCCGAAAGGATGGCACCGTCGAGATCAAGGAGGTTGGACGGACAAGCCCTAAGGAAGCCTAAGGGCGTCCTATATCGCTCTCTTTATCTCTCTCCGCACTAGAGGTGGTTTTCTTTTGGAATGGTTTACTTTGCATCTTGTACAACATTTTGGGCGTCATGAAATCACAGCTGCGGCCACTCAAATCAATTTCTTTTCTCTCTGTAGACTGGATGAACTACTTTCCGCACGTAAGGTACACAACTGCTTCGTAACTCCACTTCGAGAACTTGGGCTCAAGGTGGACTCAACAGAGCAACAATAATCCCAGTCTAGCCCGAGCACCTCACTCACTGCTGGCCGTTTGCAACTTGAAGCACGACCCGGACATGACTGAAATTTGCTTGAAATCTCGCGAGATCTCCCGGGCTGACATGTCCAGTCAACAGTTCGTTCAGAGTAATCTTCTCTAGGTTAGGAAACATCTTCTGGAGAGATAGTCATGCGATTTTAGTACATTCCCACAAAACTCCCACATTAGCAGGACCTACCATCAACCGCTTCGCCAATCTTTCCTGCATCCTATTATCCGAAAGAGCTCCACTCCTGCCATTCTTCATAGCCACGATATCAATAGTAAGATCCTGAAGCGCACAGCCCACAATCTCAGGTAAAGAGAGAAGTCGCTGTCCAGTACGAACAAGTATCTTCGCAAAGCGCAACCGCGGAAGAATCAACCCCTTAAAGATTCTATTCTCGCTAGCACTGAGCTTGGGGTCATTATAAAAGTAAACATTCACCATAAAATCTGCGTAGAATTGTCTTCGGAAAGGAGTGGTTTTTTCAAGGAGTTCAAGTTTGAAGCGAGGCTGTGGAGTCCACCATAGATATCGCATTGCTTCATGGAACCATAGTTTGTTGACTCGGGCGTAGCGAGCAAAACTGGTTCTTGGGAAGATTTGGCCGTAGACCCAGTAATAGTCTTTGAAACCTGCTGCGTCCCAGCTCAGAATTTGCGAGACGAGTTCTGGTATGGAAAGGGCGCGTTGGGCGGCTGTGAAGCCGGAATGGGGAGGATGATGGATTCGGTGGGGAATAGGTTGCATTTTGCTTCTAGAGGGGTAAAGGAAGAGATAGAGTGAGAGATAGTTTAGGAACAGAGTCCTATGGGTGTAGCGGATGATCCAGTGGGAAGGGTGCAAGATGAGGAGTATGGTGAAGGAGAGGAAGGCGGGAATAAGGAGGTAGATTGAAAAGCAGATCATGTTGATGATTGAGTATCACATTCAAGTTTTCTCGATATGGTATGGATGCCTTAGTCAATGACTCCAGCTGTCAGAATATTCGTTAGATGATGGGAAGGCAGCATGACTGACAAACTGAATGCTTAAATGAGCATGACAAGAAAGGGAATTACCACAAGATATACCTACACAGAACTGATGAGAGGATTCAAAGACTGATTGTCAATGCAGTAGATCTGCAGGGAGAAAAGACGATGGGTATCTTTGCTAAACCACCGCCAACCGAGCTAAAGGTTAAGTACACGGACAAAAAGAGTTATTCGCAGCACCTCATCTCTTCGACTTGCGTCCTCCGATTCCCAGTCTCCCCAGATTCGGCAGACTCGACTTGTGTTTATGTGCAGAACCAAGAAGAGTTGTGGAGCTGGTGGCTCTGGTGTCCAGCGCTCCCCGATTGCCGCTCCCACCCATACCAGCCGCTCCAGGCACATGGCCAATGCCGATACCGATGGGAGACACCATGCCCGCGCGCGGCGCGTCAGGCAGAGCCGATCGATCTCGCGCTCGGTCAACCGTCGCCGCAGATAGTGCGGCAGTTAACGAAGGGTTCTGCAAGGTGTCTGTCGGGTCCAGTGAGTGGCGCTGCGCAGCCTGCGCGCGACGCGCCCGTTCTTGGACAGCCTTGAATTTATCGAGGAGTTCTGTCCACCGAATATCGTCACGACTCTTGACGCGGGTGCCGGACGAACGATCGAAAGATGGTGCAGTTTGGGGTGTGCTATTGGGACTCATGAGTACGTGCGGTCTGCTATGGGGAGGGCTGGTTCCTGTTTTGGCTTGGGATATGCCCGTTGCTTGGGATATTCCACTTGCGTACCTGCGGGGACCACCATGGAGGAAACCGATGTTGCTGACGCTATTCAGCCGGTTTTTAAGGGCGGCAAAGGCGGAGCTCTGGGGGAGGAGCATGAGGACACCGTATAGACATTTGTACAGGTAGGGGTATTTTTCGGGTTCGAGAAGTTGGAGACGAAGGTCTGGAAGAGGTATTAGCCAAGGACCCCAGGATACACTAGGGGAACACCGTACAGGTGAAGACGGGGGACTCGAGCAGCTGCACCAGCTTGTCGATTTGGATCAGCATGTTGACCGTCATTTCAAGCTCGGCACTAGAGACGTTAGAATTGGCATTCAACACTTTCAGTATCGAGCGACTTACAAGATCTGCAAAAGATTGTAAGCCTGCTCATAGGCCTGAGCAAGAAGGCACAGGGAAAAGGTAGACACGGCATTATGGCACCAAGACCGGAATAGGGCAACGAAAAACATTTGTCCCTCCTAAAGCGCCTGTTAGTTTCTGATGTATTAGAATGCACCACAGGCAACATACCCTTGTGTCAAGGTTCCTCAAGCGCTTTCTCATATCAGACAGTTCAGGGGCGGTAATAAGATTGTTGTTCAAATTCTGCACCATGATGCTGGCAAATTCGAGATCCTAGTCGGGTGGAATTAGTAAATGGCCCAGCCGGTTTGACATATACGACATACCTCTTCCTTCTCGAGGCAGTCTGCCAGGGTCCGATAGATTCGCTCAGGGCTCAGATTCAGGCACAACTGCCGGATAATCAAATTGCCCCGAACCTCCAACAGGTGTCGGTCAGTGGAGAAAAGCTGAAGCAGATTCACCATGAACGAAGTGAAGTAGCTATCCTCGCTGTTTCTTGAGATTTGAGACAGCAGTTGCAGGTCCTTAGTCACAACTGCTTCTGCAGGGTCAGAGAGCGTTTTCAACAGAGCTGGGAAGGTTCCGTCATTGAATGCAACCACTTTTCGTGGCGCTTTCCGGTGTAACATGATCAGCCACGAAAGTGCAGCTACCCGAGTAGCTTCATTTTCATTCAAGAATTGCAAAATCAGCGAGTTCACCGCTGCAGCGTAATCGAGATCGGCTGGCTGTGCGGGCGCTGAAATGATACTACTCCGCGGTGTCGGAGCCCGAGAAGACTCTTGTGTTGTTCTCCTTGAATCGGGGTTGGGAATTTCTGAAGGTTTTCTGTCTATGCTCTCCTTGCTAGGTGCGGTTGAAGGAAGTTTGGATGACGCTTGGGCGTATTCCTCAGGGGCGTCATCTGAAAGAGAGTATATGTATTCGAGGAGGGACTTGTTGACTCGGTTCGCTGCCTGTCGCACCGAATCCGACCCACTAGACATCGCCGGGAGCACTTGAGTCAGCAGCCTCGGGACAAACGGAAGGATATCCTCAGGGCTGATCTCAAAGAAAGCATCGATCCAGCGAAGTGCAGTCAATTGCATCTCCTCCTCTATATACTTGTTAGTCGTGTGGCTATTAGACCCAGAAACGAGGGTGGGATTACCGAATGAGGTATCGACAAAGCTGACTAGAATGTCCAGAATCTTGGGATAGTCGATATGAACGTCTTGACCCGGGATCCAGTCATCATCGGCCTGGATCGCCTCATCGTCAAACAGTGAATCTGATGCCGAGTCTTCGACCGCAATGTCATCCTTCTCACCATCCTCTGCACCAGCGGTCTCAAGTGTCTGCTCGGTTTTGGCGCTCACAGTATCACTGGCATTAGAACGCCTGCGGCTCTCTTGTCCCTTTCGACTTTCTGCGATTCCTTTCTTCAGACGAGTGATTCTCTTGATCTCCGTGAGAAACCTGTCTAGAAGACCCTGTGTAGCAACGTTGACATCTTTGTGAGGTCCACCAAGAAACTTAATCAGTCCTTCCAGAAACTCAGGCAAGAAGGTGACGAGTTCTAGGTCAGGGATCGTATCGAGTAAGGTCAACCAAGATACCAGGAAGTTGCGAGTGTATGGCCCGATCACATGAATTCGTTCTTTGAGCAAAGGTATGAACTTGGCGAGGGAGAATGCGGTAGGGAGTTCCGTATCATGCGCGTCGTCTGGGTCGGCCGTCTCCTTCTCCGAAAGTTGTAGCACAGAGACATATGAAGCTGCAGACTCAGCTACAATATCCTTAACCAGTCGATCGAGAAGCTCCGCGCCATTTTTCACGGAGAGTTCCGAGTCGGACGCGAGCTACAGTGCATGTTAGCATAGCCTTTTGTTTCAGGCCAAGCCATTCTCACCTTGGCCAACGCATCGAATATCTCATTGAAGAAGAGCAGAACCTCTCCCTTGGCCACCTTGGCGATGTTGTACATGCTCTCGCAAGAATAATAGCGGACTCGTGCATCTTGGTCGGTAAAGCAAGCTAGAACCGGCGGGACAATTTCTTTCAAGTAAGGCGCAACTCCTTCCTATAGAACAAGCATGTCAGCCCTGCATTTCCAAAGCATTCCCTGTGTATCCAATGTCTCACAGATCCCAGTGCGATCGAGGCAGCCGCCAATCCGATCAGACCTCCATTCCTCGCATGAGGTTGGTGCACAGCGTAGGCATAGTCGTGGCAGAGCTGTTCGACAATCTTTGCAATCTTTTCTTGTTCTCCTCTGAAAACGGCATCTCGAACGATTTTCTCTAGCCTGGAGCGAGTGTCGCGTGTTAGCCGGGGATATCGTACGACCCTCCTAATTCCGAGAAAACGTACTCCAGAGCTCCCTGCTTCCTCTTATCGTAGAGCTTGTCGTTCAGCAACCGCTGTATTGAATGATCCATCTCTCCAACGAACGGAGAATAGCTGTTTCAAGCTGCGACTAGGCAGTGGTCATGGTGGAGGTCACGTAGGTCGGGGTTCGGTTCACGGGCTCGCAGGTCGGGGCCACTGTAGAAGGATGTCGGATCGGTATGATTCTCTGATCTGAAGTTTCTTTCGTCCAGGCAGAGCCTCGTTGATCTTCACAAGCTCGATGGTGGGGAGAAGATGCGTTGTCAACGCGGAGATGGATGAGTCCAAGCGCGGTGTGACGTATGTCAGCAACGGGCCTGGACTCGGCCCGAGAATAAGTACCACCAGAGCTGTCAGCTCAACACACTTGCATGAACTAGATAACAAAGGGACATGAAAGGATTTGGGATTGTTGAATTTATAGAGTACGTTTCGTCACTTCAGATTTAGCTCATATAGCAGTCGGTTGTCGAACTTTTCAAGGGTAGGCTCAGATTGCGGTCTAACTTTGCGTTCTCGGTGTCAGGCACGCATGCAGCGGCTCTTTCGCTCCTTAAACTGACCGACAACGTGGGTGACCTAATAGGATCCTGCCTTCGAGTATAGAAAGCTTCTATCTCTGAGCATTTCTTTTCCTGACTTCTTCATCTTTCGAGACTTCCAAAATCACTGACTTCGTAACATCGTTGAGATTCAAGGTGTCCCTATCTCAAACCTGCATCTTCGACCTGATATGATACCCGACAAGCCAATATATAGCTAACAATTGGTATGACCGAAGAATCTCAGCATAGCAAGAAAATCGCCATGAACTACTGTACCTCGAGAGGGATACACAACTTGAAGAGCATCAACATGCAAAACTTCGAGCGGGTCGCAAACAGACCGAAACGCAAATATACCAAAAGCTCTCGGCGATCACCTGTCACAAGAACCTAACCAGGATAAATTGGACTAAACTGTACGAAACAGGTCTAAGTCTTAATCGACTATCTATACTCCGTACAAACTTGAGGCTTAGATCGGCTACCTTACTCCCCAATCAATCATCAAGTTCGCAATTTTCGAGTTGTCCATTCATAATCAGGTAGCGGACCAACATTCTCATACATGCAGAGGAGATCATATAATGAGGTCCTTTATCTCAGATTGTACCAGACTACCTAAATGTATCGATTGGGGAAATTCTAATCAATAATCGCTTCATGTGAAAACACCCAATAGACCACGCCTGTTCGCCTCATCAAGATCACACCCATCAAAATCGATCAATGACTAATGTACTGGAAAACCGATGAGACATCCTTTTCGGTAGTTTCCTGTCGAATAAGCAAGTCCTGAATCTTAGCCAGCGGACCCTTCTCTCCACTATTAACGAAATGGTTCCAAGAACTTGTATCACCGTAGAGCATAGCAGGTGCTTTAACGAATTGTGTGCCGTCCTCTCGACAACGCTTGCATTTGAAAGTGTCGTGTGTATCGCTACGGGTCTCGGGCTTGAATTGGAACAGTTCTCGGAGAGACTCGAGAGAGAAGTGGCGCTCAACATCTTCTGCCGAGTCGACAACGCAAGACGAAAGTGACTGCTTGTGCGATTGGCGCTGGAAAATCTTTTCTTCGATCGATCCCGTGGCAATGAATCGGTAAACAAAGCAGTCTTTCTTCTGCCCGTCACGCCAGACACGGGCCAGCGCCTGCTGATCAGCGGCTGGATTCCAGTCGGGATCGAACAGGACGAGTCTGTTGGCACCGATGAGGTTGAGACCACATCCACCCGCCTTACTGCTGAGAAGAAAGACAAACTCTTCGCCATTCGGGTCGTTGAACTTATCCACAAGCTTCGTTCGCTTCTTGATGTTCATTGTTCCATCCAGTCGCAGACACCCATAGGCACGAGATCTGCATAGTCTCTCGAAGAGATCAAGAGTCTGGGTGTAGTTGCTGATCAGAACAATCTTATCATTGGTGTCTTGACGGATTCGTGCAAGCATGCGATCGAGCACCATCATTTTTCCAGAGTACCAGCTCTTGATGTCTCTGTCACGACCACGAGACTCTGGGGGTGTAAAGTCTTCGGGGAATGTGTACTCGCAGCCCGGGAGGTCTTCTGCCAAGTTCAGAAGATCCGGGTGATTGCAAAGCTTCTTCAGAATTCCGATGGCCTTCAAAGGCTGACTACCCTTTCCTCGTAGCAGACTTCGAATCTCGGGACTCTGAATGAAGTGGTTGTAGAGATCCAACTGGAACTTTGACATATTACAAAACACCACGTGCTCGTACTTGACAGGCAAGTACTTCGATAGAAGTTCGTTTGTTCGGCGGATGATGAATTTGTTCACGATTCCAGAGAGCTCCCGTAGGCGTTCGTCGCCCAGTTTCCGGTCTTCTTCCGTACAGGCTGCATCACGGCCTCGAAGAATTGGGAGTTCGAACCTTTTGCGGAACTCACTCTGCGAGCCTAGCAGGTTGGGATTGGCGAAGTGAAGCAAAGCAAAGTACTCTGACAGATCATTCTGGATAGGCGTACCGGAAAGGATGACACGCCGGCTGACGTTGAGACTGTTCAAAGCCATCCAAGTCAAGCTTTCCTTATTCTTGAGTCGATGACCCTCATCACACAGAAGCAGTCCAATCGGTGTGTCCTTGAGAGCATCCACATACATGCGAAGTGTCTCATAGGACACAATGAGCACAGGTCTGACAACGCTTCGACCCGATGCAATTGCCCACTGCTTGATCTGAGAAGTAAGTTCAGCCTTGGAGGCCTTCCCATCAATTGCAAAAGGGGTGGTAGCATCTTTGCCCAGCCATTTGACTAATTCGTTCGCCCAGTTGCCGACCAAACTCGATGGACATGCGATTACGCATTTCTGAATGGTCGTTCTTCCCGCCTCCGGATCCTGTTTAAGTAAAGTCCACATCAATGAGATGCATTGTAGCTGGAGAAATTAGTCGAAAGGCTTTCCATGTAGAGTACTTTTCCGACTGCATACCGTCTTGCCCAATCCCATTCCATCTGCCATAATGCAACCATTGGCGTTCTTATCAATCAAGCCTGTTGTACAACGATACAAGAACTGTGAAGCCAAGAATGTCAGTCTCTTAGTGTAACAACACGAAATCATGAGCCATACCTTAACTCCCTCCACTTGATGTGGTCGGAGGATCTTTGCCAGCCTTGGATCTATAACAACAGGCACCTTTGGTCTTCCTTCCACCTTCTTCTTAATGCCCAGAATATCTGCCAGGCTCTTATGTACTAGAGGCTCATCCAATTTAGCCTCGCCTTCCTCCCTGGGTGCTTCCGGATCTTTTGGCTTCGGCTCCTCGGGGACGTCATCGACAGTCGGATCGTATAGTACAATGGCAAATTCTCCGCTTGGGTCATGAAGCGGCTTGGCAACAAAGGTCGCACCTTGCCGCATGCCCAAGGTAGGGGCAGCTCGTCCAGCATTGTATTCGTCCGTCTCTTTGTTGACCAACGGAATCCGGAACCTCTGTCTGAATGTCGTGTCTGTATCCTTGGGCTTGAACACGGGGAATTTGTTCACTTCACGAGTCGCCAATGCGAGTCGATCGTCATTTGTGTATGCCTTCTCCGCTCCATCCTCGACGCTGCCATCTGCGTCTGCATAGTTGACCTTTCGTCTCTTTCTTGCTGGCTTTTCCGATGCTCGAGTACGCGTTGCAGAGCCTGGACATTTGAAGGGCTTGGAGAGGCGATCGAGTGCATTCACGGATTTTGGCTGTAATGGGGTCTTGACACCGCCGTCTGCCGCGGCTGGCCGAGGGCGATACCTGGATAGATGTAAGTACTGGCTCCACAAGATCCAGAATGAGAGAGTGTCATACATTTAAGCAATTCGAAATCAAATACCAAATCTCAATCAGATGCAACTGTACAAACTCCCCCTGTACAAAAGGAAATGGTCGTTGTTGGAGTGGTTGCCACCGACGCGTTCCTGCCTCGCGTCTGCCTACAACACCAAAGTGCCGCGGCCCCACGTGACCTCCAGATCACCCCACTACGGAAAGCTGGGAGGATTGACGAGTGGGACTGCACATTCGTCATATATCAGGGCTGATTCAATGTCGTCTGATTTCTGGGCTGGCTACCTCAGCGGTGCCCTTGGTATTATAATTGGCAATCCCCTAGATGTCATCAAGGTTCGACTGCAGGCAGGTCATACAAGAGATGCATCTGCCCAATCACAATTGAGCCGCTTCGAGAAAGCGAGCTCACTCGTACGAGGTTTGTGTGACTTTAATGACATTCTTTCTTTATTTTGCAATCTGATGAAAAGCTGTGTTGATTCCGGTGATAGGTGCGGCGGCTCCGATTTTGGGATATGGAGCTCTCAATGCGCTGCTCTTCGTGGCCTACAACCGGTCTTTGATGGCTATGGACAGCAGCATTACAGACCCCACTAACCCCGACGGTGTGCCATTATACAAGATCTGGATTGCTGGTGCCGCAGGCGGTCTTGCCAGCTGGACTATATCCTCTCCGACAGAGTTCATCAAATGCAGGGCACAGTTGGACTCTCGTCCAGAGGTCTCATCCTGGACCGTTGCCAAGAATATATATCGCAATCGAGGCTTGAGAGGCCTGTACTACGGAGGAGCAATTACGAGTGCACGAGATTCAATTGGTTACGGTTTTTAGTATGAAGATGAGCCCTATTCCCCGCACTATACTTGCAAATATATATATCTGATCAGATGCTAACCAAGCACCACCTTTAGTTTCTGGTCTTATGAACTTTGCAAACGCTTTATGACATTTGAGAATGAAACATCTCATCAGGCTACTATGAAGATTCTCCTCTGCGGTGGCATTGCTGGCATTGTCACCTGGGGCTCTATCTTCCCGCTGGATATGGTCAAAACGCGACTACAAGCGCAGACGATCCATGAGCATTCTCTTGCACAGACAGCCCCCGAGAACCAAAATCTTCTACGGCAGCCTCGGGCGACGCTGAATTCCTATCAGATGGCCCAAGAGGTCTACCGGGCCGAGGGCATGGGCGCCTTTTATCGGGGCCTCGGGATCTGCAGCATTCGAGCGTTTATTGTAAACGCTGTTCAGGTAGGGCCTCTCTTCAATATCTCTTCATCACTCTGGGAACAATTCAAGACTAATATGGATGTAGTGGGCTTGCTACGAATGGCTGATGAAGAGCTTCAACAATGCGAGTGTACATGTGCCAGTCACAGATCGTATATAGATGTGTACAGTACAAAAGCAGAGAGTGGGAGGAGCCAAGCATTGAATATAGACCGGAAACCCGATTGCGGTTAGACTTTATTTTGGTATTGAGGGATTTCTATTGGAATTACTGCGGAGGTTTGCTCGAAAGGGGGATAAATTTCACCCTGATGCCACAGTCCGTGGGGACTCTAGCGAGGACCGGCAGTTTCGACCCGTGGGCCCGCAAACCGGCTGAGCGGAAGACCGCCGAGAATCGGCAATATCAAAAATGCCTCACGTGAGTATCCACCGACACATGCAGGAAAGCAGAGTCGCGCATTATTGTAGACATGAGAATCGTAACAGTTCAACGTGCATACTTTTGGGACTTTTGAATGCTTGAATCCAGACCAAGCGAGAAGTCAGCCAGGTAAGTGGCATGGCTTCCTCAGAGGGGTTTGTCGTGGCGACTCGGAGTCCAGCTCAGTCTTTCATTTCCACATTGTCATCCTCCGAACGCTTGCCATTGTCTGCAGCTCCCAATCCAACGGCAGCTTCGGCGATCCTTTGGCTGTGAGGCTCTTCGCGCAGAATACGGACTCTGTGAGTGTAGATCGACTGGTCAGCGAGGTTGCGATGGAAAAGTCAGATGGGCGGATTGGTTGACGGCTCACCTGCGCTTGTGGTTCTTGCCCTTGGTGTGCGCCTTCAGGTTGTACTCGCTCTCAAACCATTTCGAGCATTCCATGCAATAGTGCTGTCCAAGACCTGGCAGATCCTCAGTATCCTTGGTTTCCTTGTACTGGGAGAGATGGCGAGGCGATTCGATGTCGGCGAGGACCTGGTCGTAGTCTCTGCACAGATGGTTAGCCATCCTCCTCCCCTCTGATGGGTATCAAACTGTTGTCGATGGATTGTACCTGGTGCGACGCTTGGTCTTGATTTTTCTGAGAGCACCCATCTTGTGTTAGGCTCGGCTTTCGTTCCGCGCTGCTAGTATCAAAGAATGAAGACGAAGGAAAAAAAAGCCGTTATCGCCGATTCCGGAGTAATGGTCGGGCGGAGTGGAGCACGGGGGATGGGCTGGGACGAGACAATGGACGAGGTTTTGGATTGAAATTTCCGCGCCGGTTTGTGGGCCGTGAGAAGCGTTCGAAACGCCTCGGGTCTGATTGGCGGCCGACCTCTTTGGCCGCAGCGGGCGGGAGAAACAGTCGGCACGCCTCGGCTCATTCGGTTTGGTCACCGGCTTACGGGGCACCGTATTGGATGGTAACTTTGGTATTTTATGACGTTTGCATCGCGGCATGTTGCTCCGGGGGAGTCTTGTTGCGGCCACCTTGTTGATGGGCTGTGCCGTTCTACATTAGTACATTGAGGCAAAAGAAATTACACGTTTGAAGTTGATATCTCGTGATTGTTTGATCTTCTATAGTCATAGGCCAAACATCAAGGTCCAATTGCTATCTGGGAGGTACTGGGGACATCACCCATCAAAGCCCGCATGTGAAGGTGTCGACCAAAAGGACTTGCGGATAAAGGATAAACGGGGTACAAGCCGAGTACATAGTGACTTGAGGACCATCAAGGCCCGCATTGACCGTGCTTCTTTCCTTTTGCCCTTGGCCCGAATGTTGCCTTTCTTGGCCAGGTGTCCCTCCCCAGCCTGTAATCGCAAACTCTTTGATTGGTGGTCGCCCACACCCCCGTCACATGCCGTGTATTGCAATTACGGACACTCTGGGGTGCCCAGCTGCTCTCACATGGCAGTACAGAGGTAGGTATGGCAGTCAGGGAGCTTCAATACAAATAGAAGACTCAATATGAGCACTATCTGTAGTATTTGAAGAACATCATTTGTATAGGATCCTAATTATAAGCCGCATTGAAAGATCAAAGAAAACTCCAGCTCGCTCCACCTCCCCAGCCTCTTGTTAGTGGTGTTGCATGCGGAGGTCGGGCAGTATGTAACAGTACCGTATGGGCGTATCGCCCTGGTAACAGCGGTTACGGCTCTTCGGTCCCAGTCGAATTCTCTCGCCCACTCAAAACCTCCAAGCTTCCCTTTTTTCTTCTCTTTCTCTTCCCTTCCCACTCTCCACTCTTGAATTGCTTCCACAGGTGAAGGTGGTTGCTTAAATTGGATGCGTTGTGCTGTCTCAATATAGAGAAAGCTATCCATCATGATCTCCACTCGGCTTGCGCGTGCCGGTGCGCTGGTAAGCTCTCAGCCCTGCATCCTCGGCCTGTAGTGGGCAATGTACTGCTGTGCATTGCTCATTTGCAAGCCCTCCCAGCTCCAAGACTGCCAAATCCGCATTGAAACTAACATGATTCTTTTCTTTCCAGGCTCCTAAGTTCCGTCTTGTAAGCAGCGACCATAATCTTGCATCGCAAGAATCGTCCACTGGCGGTTTTCCCCAGAGAAAGCCAAGAGTCGGACGAAAATGCGCATATGACATCAACTAACATGACAATCTCTAGATCAACGGAACTCGGGCCTTCGCTACCATCAACAATGACCCTCTTGACAAGAAGGTCGAGATGACCATCCACGAGAAGGGCAACTACATTAACTACAAGAAGATGTCCGAGAACCTCGACATCGTTCGTGCTCGTCTGCAGCGCCCTCTCACCTACGCCGAGAAGGTCCTGTACTCTCACCTTGACGACCCCCACGGTCAGGACATCGAGCGTGGTACCTCCTACCTCAAGCTCCGCCCTGACCGTGTTGCTTGCCAGGATGCCACTGCTCAGATGGCTATCCTTCAGTTCATGTCCGCTGGCATGCCCTCCGTCCAGACCCCCACTACCGTCCACTGTGACCACTTGATTGAGGCCCAGGTTGGTGGTGAGAAGGATTTGGCCCGTGCCAACGACATTAACAAGGAGGTCTACGACTTCCTTGCCTCCGCTACCGCCAAGTACAACATCGGTTTCTGGAAGCCCGGTTCCGGTATCATTCACCAGATCGTCATGGAGAACTACGCTTTCCCCGGTGGTCTGATGATCGGTACTGACTCTCACACCCCCAACGCTGGTGGTCTCGGTATGGCCGCCATCGGTGTCGGTGGTGCTGACGCTGTCGACGTTATGGCTGGTCTGCCCTGGGAGCTGAAGGCCCCCAAGGTCATTGGCGTCCGCCTCACTGGCCAGATGTCTGGCTGGACCACCCCCAAGGATATCATCCTGAAGGTTGCCGGTCTCCTGACCGTCAAGGGTGGTACTGGTGCTATCATTGAGTACCACGGTCCTGGTGTCAACTCCCTGTCCTGCACTGGTATGGGTACCATCTGTAACATGGGTGCCGAGATTGGTGCTACTACCTCCATGTTCCCCTTCAACGACCGCATGTACGACTACCTGAAGGCTACCAAGCGTCAGCAGATTGGTGACTTCTCTCGTGAGTACGCCGCTCAGCTCCGTGAGGACGAGGGTGCCGAGTACGACCAGCTGGTTGAGATCAACCTGTCTGAGCTCGAGCCCTACATTAACGGTCCCTTCACCCCCGATCTTGCCACCCCCATCTCTCAGTTCAAGGAGGCTGTCAAGACCAACAAGTGGCCCGAGGAGCTCAAGGTCGGTCTGATCGGCTCTTGCACCAACTCCTCCTACGAGGATATGTCCCGTGCCGCTTCCATCGCCCAGGATGCTCTTGACCACGGTCTCAAGTCCAAGTCTCTGTTCACCATCACCCCTGGTTCCGAGCAGATTCGTGCTACCATTGAGCGTGACGGCCAGATGGCCACTATGGAGGAGTACGGCGGTGTTATCCTTGCCAACGCCTGCGGTCCTTGCATTGGTCAGTGGGACCGCAAGGATGTCAAGAAGGGCGAGGCCAACTCCATCATCTCTTCTTACAACCGTAACTTCACCGGTCGTAACGACGCCAACCCTGCCACCCACGCCTTCGTTGCCTCCCCCGACATCGTCGTCGCCATGACCGTTGCCGGTACCCTTAACTTCAACCCTCTCACTGACAAGCTGAAGGATGCCAACGGCAACGAGTTCATGCTCAAGGCTCCCTCCGGTGACGGTCTGCCCGAGCGCGGCTTCGACCCCGGCCAGGACACCTACCAGGCTCCCCCTGCCGACCGCAGCACCGTCAACGTTGCTGTCTCCCCCACCAGTGACCGTCTCCAGGTCCTTGCCGGTTTCGAGAAGTGGGACGGCAAGAACGCTGAGAACATCCCCATCCTGATCAAGTGCCAGGGCAAGACTACCACTGACCACATCTCCATGGCTGGTCCCTGGTTGAAGTACCGTGGTCACCTGGACAACATCTCCAACAACATGCTGATCGGTGCCATCAACGAGGAGAACGGCGAGGCCAACAAGGTCAAGAACGCCTTCACCGGCAAGTACGATGCCGTCCCCGCCACTGCCCGTGACTACAAGGCCCGCGGTATCAAGTGGGTTGTCATTGGTGACTGGAACTACGGTGAGGGTTCTTCCCGTGAGCACGCCGCTCTGGAGCCCCGTCACCTCGGTGGTCTGGCCGTCATCACCCGCTCCTTCGCTCGTATCCACGAGACCAACCTGAAGAAGCAGGGTATGCTCCCCCTGACCTTCAGCGACCCCGCCGACTACGATAAGATCCGCCCCGAGGACAAGGTTGACCTGATGTGCACTGAGCTCGCCGTTGGCAAGCCCATGACCCTCCGTGTCCACCCCGCCGATGGCAGCAACGCCTTCGACATCTCCCTCAGCCACACCTTCAACGAGTCCCAGATTGAGTGGTTCCTTGACGGCTCTGCCCTGAACACCATGGCCCGCAAGTCCGGCAACAACTAAATGGAGGATATCATTATCTCCCGTTAGTTGATGTGTGTTCTTTTGTTGCCTTGTTTTGAAGTTCCTCAGGGGTTTGGCTATCCTTAACTGGACTCGCCCTATCCCGTGTAAACTACGTTCTCTTGATGTGTTTAGCGACCCGAGAAAGAGAGCAGAGTGGCTACTGTCCCTCTGGGGGCCATGCCACTGCAACTCCGTGTGTGCATGTCTGTCCCCTTTTTTCGAGCCGGGTATGAGGAGTTGTGCTCTGGGAAAAATTTATGATCTTTTGTCTTTTCCGGCCTCAGGCCTCGCGTTGGATTCCCGATTACTTTTTGGGTGGGCTCAATGGATATAACTATCTGATCTTCTCACTACATTGTTTCCGTATGTCTTTCAGGATAGCATGCATACACTATTTCCTTGTGTTATATCTATTCCTTTGTATTTTTTTCTGTAAATGAGTCTTGTAATATGTAGAGGATCTCTGGTGATATTCCGGATCCGAGGATAAGACCAGGCTGAGCTAATCTGCCGAGGCCCATAGATCTCTGCCCCGCGGAAAGAGGAGAGCTGCATTCAATAGTTACTACGGCGCAATCGGATTCGCGGATTCCGTGATTTAATGTACAAGGCGTATAAAGTCCTTGTCTAGAATGCGGAGAACGGCTTTACTCCGGTAATCTATCTCAGGAATAACGACTGTGCTGAGATATACCCCGAATCAGTCCTACTCCCTCTTCTTCCCCGCCATCAGGCCTCCAGTTATATTGCTTGGACTGGCCAAACGAGATACAAATTCATTATCTGGGCTCGTCGAGCGATAATTGTACAGTCTGAGGTGTGCAATCGACAGACCATCTCACAGCGATGGCGACGCAGCTTGTTGCTCTCCCGGAAGTTGAGCGCCTCAGCGCCTCAGTGATTCGGATTTTGGGCGGGAACCCGGGGAAGGTGAGCAGCGCAACTTGATAAGAGGGAGATTGGGGATAGGAAGTAGACAGAGTGGCTGACCAAGGAACTACCGCTCCGTGCATTGATATAGTTTACTCTACAAGGTATGTGGTCCTCTCGCCGATGCTACTCTATGTACCTACTGCGCGGCATACTGACTCATTTCAGGAACAAACACATACCTCATCGGCCGCGGCTACCAACGCATCCTAATCGACACCGGCCAGGGCGAAGCAGCATGGGCCAAACAGCTCCAAACCGTCCTCTCCGACGAAAAGGCTACCGTGCACCAGGCCCTCCTCACCCACTGGCATGGTGACCATGTTGGCGGACTGCCGGATCTAAAGCGTCTCTGCCCCGACGCCCAGGTCTTCAAACACCATCACCAGCCGGAGGAGGAGTATACCGATATCCAGGATGGACAGGTTTTCACCGTGGAGGGTGCCACGCTGAAAGCTCTGTTTACGCCCGGTCATACGGAGGATCATATGGCGTTTGTGTTGGAGGAGGAGGATGCGATATTTACGGGTGATAGTACGTTATAAAAACTTACCCTGCCTGGATTCTGATCTAGTATTGTCGATGTCTATGGCGTTGAGTTACTGTGAGAGAGGCGCTCAAGTACTAACTTCTGTACCACAGACGTCCTCGGCCACGGCACGGCCGTCTTCGAAGACCTAAAAACCTACCTATCCAGCCTCCACCGCATGCGCGACCGCGTCCAAGGCCGCGGCTATCCCGGCCACGGCGCCGTCATGGAAAAAGCCTCCACCCGCATTGCAGAGTACATCCAGCACCGACAGCAGCGCGAGGACGAGGTCCTCCGCGTGCTGCGGTATGGCAAGCTAGATGTGGCGGCGGGTGAACCTGAGCCTGAGCGACGACAGGCTTGGACGCCACTGCAGCTGGTCAAGCAGATTTATGTCGGGGTGCCGGAGAATTTGCATTTGCCGGCTTCGCATGGTGTGTCCCTGGTGTTGGCTAAGTTGGAGGGGGAAGGGAGGACGGTGCAGGATGGGGATGGGGGGTGGAGGTTTGTTGGGGAGAGGAGTGCGTTGTAATGATGATGTTTTGGTTGGTGGTGGTTGATATTGTAGATGGGGCTGTATATACCGACTGCCTTTTGTAGGGGCTATCTATAGATTCATCAATTCTTTGGGTACTTAGCTAGTACCGGATGGTGAAGCTATCCATGTCAAGACTGTCTGTCACTGTTACGTCAGATCGCGGGTGCACCCACAGACGTCAGTGAGCAGTCATTCTGTTGTCGTTGCACCGCCAAGTCTGTTCATTTCTTGTAGTCTAGACTCTCGCCGACCCGACTGGCTGGGTTGAAGAGGGCCCAATCATGGTTCATGGACAGGGTATATCGTAGTAAGTGGCTGGTATACTTACAGTAGTATAGTATAGTATAGTTGTTGAGGCGGTTTGAGGAGCCAGCGAATCCTAGCGAACTGGTGGAATCTGTTTGAAATAGGATATCACTCTGCCTAGAATATTGATAGTGTACTTTCTAGTAAGAGGAACTAATAGTTAGTCTGTCGAGTTGTGACACCCATCGACAAGTAACCAAAAGAGGGGAAACTGGACAGCGCTAAAACGCTGAAAATCCGCTGGGATGATCGACCTCTTGCAGGGGCGAGTTAACCAGAACATCTCCTCTTGTCTGAGCATACCAGCTTTTTTATCTAAAACCTGGTATATCCCAAGCGACCCAGGGGTTCTCTGTTGTTTCTATTTCCCTTTCCCTTTCAGCCCTGATGTGAGCGCTATTGAGGAGCTCCACCTGTAGCTTGATTCCAAGAAAAATTGGGGAGAAACGCTGACCTCACTTCACTTCACTCTTCCCGGACTTCCCCCGCCCTTGCTGGCTCCAGTCTTGAACCATCCCGACGTCTTCTTCCTCCCCGTTTGGCTCGTAACTTTGTGTGGGTGAGAAAAACAGATTGCTGGTTTGGTGAGGTGTTTCCCAGCCTGATCTGGTAGGTTCTTTTCAATTCCAGTGAGTCGGGCTCTCTTTTGCTTCCTCATGTCCATGCCCAGGTGGCGGGGCAACAAAAACTTACGTCCGGTTTGCTAATTGCGAGGGTTCCTGGTCCTCATTGTTAGAGGTGTTTCCTTCCATTCGTATTTGCTTCTCGCATCTTACTTGCACCTCGACGTCTATCTCGTCTTCCCATTGATTCCGTCCCCTCCATCGTGTTCATCGGCTCTTCGTTCCGCTGTCACCCCCGCGTTCTCTCCGCCCGTCATGCCGTCGCTCGAAGAACCCAAGCAGAACGAGGCCCGCCTGCTGCTCGTCTCCAACCGTCTCCCAATTACAATCAAGCGATCGGAAGATGGCAAATATGACTTCTCCATGTCCTCTGGTGGACTGGTGAGTGGTTTGAGTGGCTTGTCCAAGTCGACCACCTTTCAGTGGTACGGTTGGCCCGGACTAGAGGTGCCCGAGGCCGAGATCCCAGTGGTCAAGCAGCGTTTGAAGGAGGAATATGGTGCAGTTCCGGTGTTCATTGATGATGAGCTTGCGGATCGCCATTACAATGGTTTCTCTAGTGAGTTGCTCTTGCTCTTGCTGTCTATGCATAATGTGGTCTAGAAACCAGTTTAGACCCATGCTAACCCCAGACTGCCTTGCGAATCAGATTCCATCCTCTGGCCGCTATTCCACTACCACCCCGGTGAAATTACCTTCGACGAGTCGGCATGGGAGGCCTACAAGGAAGCCAACCGGCTCTTCGCCAAAGCCATCGCCAAGGAAGTAAAGGATGGAGATCTGATTTGGGTCCACGACTACCACCTCATGCTGCTCCCGGAGATGCTGCGCGAAGAGATCGCGGACAGCAAGCAGAACGTCAAGATTGGTTTCTTCCTGCACACTCCCTTCCCGAGTAGCGAGATCTATCGCATCCTGCCTGTTCGCAATGAGCTTCTTCTCGGAGTTTTGCATTGCGACTTGATTGGTTTCCACACTTACGACTACACCCGGCATTTCCTGAGCAGTTGCTCGCGTCTATTGTGAGTCAGATAGTTCCTGTTTACCTGTGAAGCAGTTTTGACTAATTAATATAGGGGACTTACAACGACTCCCAATGGCATTGAATTCCAGGGCAAGATTATCACCTGCGGCGCGTTCCCGATTGGCATTGACCCTGAGAAGTTCAAGGAGGGACTCAAGAAGGAAAAGGTGCAAAAGCGTATTGCCATGCTCGAGCAAAAGTTCCAGGGTGTCAAGCTCATGGTCGGCGTGGACCGTCTGGACTACATCAAGGGTGTGCCCCAGAAGCTGCATGCACTGGAGGTCTTCCTCAGCGACCACCCAGAGTGGGTGGGTAAGGTCGTCCTGGTGCAAGTGGCTGTACCTAGTCGACAGGATGTCGAGGAGTATCAGAACTTGCGAGCTGTGGTGAACGAACTGGTCGGCCGCATCAACGGGAAATTCGGTACTGTTGAGTTCCAGCCGATTCATTTCCTCCACAAGTCCGTCAACTTCGACGAGCTTATTGCCCTCTACGCCGTCTCTGATGCCTGCATTGTCTCGTCGACTCGCGATGGTATGAACCTCGTCGCATACGAGTACATCGCAACCCAGCAGAAGCGACACGGTGTTCTCGTCCTGTCCGAGTTTGCCGGTGCTGCCCAAAGTCTGAACGGTAGTATCATCGTCAACCCGTGGAACACGGAAGAGCTGGCCGGTGCCTACCAAGAGGCCGTCACCATGAGTGACGAACAGCGTGCGCTGAACTTTGCCAAGCTCGACAAATACGTCTCCAAATACACCAGGTATGTCGCCCCAGTCTACCCGCACTTCAGCAACCATTCATACTAACCAACATTTTGCTACAGCGCATTCTGGGGTCAATCCTTCGTCACAGAACTCACCCGGATATCCACCCAGTCCGCCGACAAGTTCCAAGCAAAGAAGCTCGCCGTGGGCACCTCCAATTCGGCCGATGGCAGCGTTACTCCGGATCAGGTCGCGTAGATTTCCCCCGCTTGGCTGCTTGATCGGTGCAAACGCCTTCTACGAATTTATCCTACTTAGATGCTCTCATGACATGGATGTGGCGACATGTATTTGATTTTCTTGATTTTCTTGTTCTTTGGGCTGCAGGGGAATGCTTTTTTAATTTCTGATTTTGAGACAGTTGGAGCCTGGGGTAATTATCTTCTCTCTTTAGATGCTAAAGACTGTGTTTGAGGCTCTTTTGTTTCCTTCCGGATCATCGGTATATTAGATGTATGACATGGTTACTGATGGGGATTGATTCGGGGTATGTAGAAGAGGTAGTCTGGAACAGATTTCTCGAAGCTCTTCGGCTGCTATTTCCTTGCTTGTTATAATCATGTACTACGCAATGAGGGATTTTGTTTCCCTTTCGCACTTCCCCCGTCCCTGCTGTCTTTCTCTCTTATCAGGTATTTTGTCCAATTTTTTGTGTACTACATCAAAGTTGAAACTCATTGGTCAGAGAATTCTCACCGACTCTAACTTCAAGTTCTGCACGAACAACGCATGGCTGCTCACCTCGTATTCTCGAATTCCTGCGACCCCTTATCGATCCGCTCAAACGCTTCGAGGGCGCGATCGATGTTGTCGTTCAAGTAAACGCTGGCATTGCGTCCCCTATCTGGGGTCCCCTTCGAGCAGCGATCAGGGTATACACATCTATTCTAGCAGTGATTGCATAAAATGGTAGGTACTGACATCTTACCAGATAGCGATTCAGCATCTCGCAACCTTGGAACAACTAGTCCTCATCATTGACAAGATCGCACAATCTATACAACGATCTGAAGATTTGAAAACACTCTTCGCCGAGCATGATGGTGTACGCGATGCTATCGGTCGACTTTGTTGTGAATTACTCCGTCTTTGTGCTTGTATTTCCAAGTATGAAACCGCTGGATTCGGTATATCTTGAATCCATTTGGAAAGGAGTTTGATGCTGACGGCGATTGATCAGCGTGCGCTTGATATTGACCTTGCGACTCAGGCTGCTCATTTTCAGGAGTCGAAGGTCGCGAGAGAGATTTTGTTGGCTGAGACTCAAGGTGCGATGACATATGCCTTGAGGATGATTGGGAGTATCCTAACTTACTGGTTCCCCGTAGAACAGGATGTGAGACGTTTACAGTGCTGGTTGGTACCGGCATGTGTCGAGGATGATCTTCAACGACGATTCGCCGGGTATCTTCCGGGCTCTGGGGACTGGATTCTGTAGTCGGTGGGTTTCAAACGGTGGTATACCGCAACTTTCAGTGATACGCCTTCCGGCAATAAGACCTCACCTCCCAATGGGGAATCCCACTTGATGCTTCAAGTCATCGTCAGACCGGGAAGTGGCAAAAGTGTCCTGGCTGCTTACTTTGTGGACCATTTACCCCAATCTGGAACAGTGTTGTACTTCTTTTTTCAACAAGCAGGACTCGCAACGAAACATGATGATACACGCGACAAGGACCATTCTTGCTCAATTTCTTAAATTCTATCTGATATCTACAGAGATGATCATGCCTGTGTACAAGCGAAGCGGACGGTTTGTCGCAGATTCTCTTACATTAGTGATGAAAATGCTGAGAGAAGTACTTACTCAACTTCCACTTCGGCCCGGTGGTGGACCTCACTACATCATTCTTGATGGTATTGATGAATGTGAAGATTGGTCTGCTTCAAAGGATCAACTTCTGGAACTCTCCCTAAGAAAGGATCCGTCAAGATAGTGGTACTCTTTTCGCGAGTTGCATCGGTTTCATGGTCATCGGGTGTGCCGTCTACGGATCATTTGATTATCACAATGGAGTCAAATCAAAACGTGCAAATACGAGCATACGCTGAAACCCGCGTCCAAAAAATGGTTCACATCGCAAACACAGATCTCAGTCTCCGGGTTGTGAATCGGACCACGGAGCAAGCGGATGGCCTTTGGCAATATGCACGACTTCTCCTGGGCGAGATAGAGCGTGCGCCAAGTCGTGAAGTGGTTGAGTCGAAGCTTGATTCTCTTCCAAATGGGTCAGAAGAGCTATACACTCATATTCTCTGCGCGAAAGAGGCCACTATGACCGATGCCGAGAAAGTCTTTGCAAGATACATGTTTCTCTGTGCCGATATCAGCAACTACATGCCTGATTTCCTGGCTCAAATGACGGATATCATCCAGCAGGGAATGTTGGATCTTGTGTTCTGTTACGCTAATGGCGGGAACATGCCATTTGATGTACCATCATTGGCGGAGAGACTCGGCGCACCTTTGATTGAAGTCTTACGTCCGACGGAGCATACATATGAGGTGAGATTTGTCCACCTATCCATCTATCAGTATCTCGCGGACTCGAAGAAGTTTGCCAGGGGCTGCAAGATCCCAGAGCCCCTACAGGCTCGGTAGGCCAGCGGCTTGTTTAGAGGTGCTGTGGCTGTGTGGTACTTCACCAAATGTAAAGATTCAGCCTTGCACTTGGAATCCCTTCGGAGCGATGATCCGGCCCTCGGTCTAGACTACTGGTCGGCATGTTACTTTCCAATGGCATACTGCTTATGGGATGCGCTCAAGATGCAAGAACTTCGTGAAGGAACTCTCTCAGATTCATTACTCTACGAGGCAGAGAGCACGCTCAGGAAATTAACCGCGTTTTTGAGCACTCGGCTATGTCTCCGGTGGTTCGAGCTCTCGACCATCATCAACTACACTGGGAATTTTGAGCAGTTGCTCGATAGAATAATTGAAGCACTTGAGATTCCTGAGAAAGAAAACGAAAGGATGTGGGGACGTCTGCGCTTCCTTCGTGGGTGGAAGAGCGCTGTGCTACAGACTACGCCGTGGGCGCTTCTCGCTGGAAGATCAGAGAGATTCTGGGAAGAGACATACGAACGACCTATATACATCGATGGGGACACAGGATACGAGGCTATGCAAATTGCCCAGGCGTGGAGTGTAAAGTTGAAGATGTTTAGCACTGATCGTAGGGGTGACGCAGCCGGTTCAACGGCCCGGTATATGTGCCCGAAATGTTTGGGTGTGATGAGTATGAAGGATATAAGGAAACATCAACTAATAGAATGTCGGTGAGGAAATAGGTATCTTTGAATATATTCGTCAAGTGTCATAAAGCCCTAGCGCTTCTTCTAAATAGTGGGTATCAGAGCATTTGAAAAAATCCTATGATTGGATTCGCCCCTGGTATCCAAAACGGCGAAGACAATCTCTTCATTGACTCCATTCCATTCGGGTTCCTCAAGAACTTCCTTATAGATCCTGGCAACCTCGGACGGGGGGTTCTGGAATGCACCGCATCCCATAGCGCCCAGTACACAATGCGTTCTGTGGTGCTTTGCAAGAATCCGGAAGATTTGTCGCATTTTGTCCTTTAGAATTTGGACATCTTGCGGGCGAGCTATTTATCATCATCAGCATTAGACTTGACACAAGAAACGAACTATGCTAGCATGGATAACTTACCAAATTTCCTCTTATCCCCCGTCAAAGCAGGCCGTCTCAAAGCCGGCACACTAACAACACCCACACAAAATATCTCCTCAGGCTGATAAACCCTCCCCCACGACGAAATCTCATCCCGGAAAACCGCTACCCTGGGCGACCAGATAGCGCCATGGATGGGGAGAGGATAGAATCGCTTGTAAAGCGTAGCAGCCAATGTACTTCGCATACACAACGCTTCTTCCTGCGCCAGCGCTCCGCGAAGCCATCCCCCACCGGGATTTCTTTCACTGGCCATATTCAAGACGCCAATTTTGGCGGTTGGATTCGCGTCTAGGATTGTCTGTGCTGCGGTGAAACTATCCATGTTTTGGACGGATAGTTTTGGTTTGGTTGTGGTGGTTGGGGCTGGGATAGGGGCGAGGAGTCGGGAGTATAGGTTTGCTTCATTTGTGGCGTTGGTGGTGTTTAGGATGCTTGGTGTGAGTGACTGCGTTTCTTCTGCTATGCCTTGACGCTCGATTTTGTTTGGAGGTCTCGACGTGTTTGATGTATACGACATTTTGCCAGGAGTTATTCTTGGATGAACAATAGGTTGGTTGTTTGGTGTGGATTGTGAGGACTTCGAAGATTAGTTGGCTGGTTTATAGATTCGATGCCCAATATGACTCACTGCGATAGAAAGTGGCGGGGTTCTTATGAGGGGACAGTTCGCATCAAGACATCACTTGAGAGGCTGACATGGTCGATGAATACGAGATACAATGGGGTATTTAATGATGATGTGCTGCTAGTTGGCTGCCAAGTGCGTATACTTAGCCGCTTGTGGTGCCCGCAACGATTGGGCCACACTGCTCAGCCCCACGGCCAAGCTTTTTGTCAAGACTCGCCAAGATAATATTCAAAGATCGCTTAGAGAAGGAAGAGAGGTCATTATCAATAGAAAACCCAAGTATTTTGGTACATCTGAATTAGTATTCACATCTATTCGTTATACAAAAAGGAATCTAATCTATATTCCATCAAACGCTCTCAACATACATCTCCATAGAGACATTATAAAGTCGCTCCACAACAATATTATACAACTTCACCTTGCATCTCAACATTTTTAATTTAAGCACGGCACATGCGGCCAGAATTGGACACAGTCCAAGCATCACTGCCGACAGCCTTAAGAGCATAGAAGAACGAGTTGGGGTCCCACTTGTTCTTCACGCTGAGTAGAGGGCTGTAGTTGTTGCCGAAGAAGGTATCCTGCCAGTTGAGCTGGCGGAAGTTACCCTCGTTCTGGTAGCAGCCGCTGTTGGGGGTGACGGCCTCCAACTGGGGGACGTACTCGTTGGTGATCTTCCACTGCTCAGCGACCATGTCGGGCCAAGGGGCGGTCTCGTTCCAGGCAGTGCCGATCTGCATGGTCACGGCGGCGTTGCGGAGGGCGGGGAAGACGGCATTCTTGACGTTGCCGGGGTTGGTGACGTTCATGCCGACACCGACGGCGATGACACCGGACTCGGTGATGTTTCGCAGGGCAGCGCTCATGCCCTCGTAGTTGTTCACCAGGGTGTCACGGGGGATCAGACGGCCGCCGTACTGGTAAGTAGTAACGGCCAGGTTACCCCAGGGCAGAGGACCCATGTACTTCTGGTAGTGGTCATAGTACGAGGTGTACTGGGTCAGGCCAAGGGCGTAGGTGATGCCGAGGTTGGTAAGAGCATCAGTAAAGGGAGTCAGGATAGCCTTGACATCAGCGGAGGTCTTGTTGTAGGCGGTCACGGGGTTGATGATGAAGACGGTGTTGGTCATCTCGTAGATGACAGTCACACCCTGGTCAATCATGGCAGGCAACAGCTGGTGGAACTGAGCGACAGCCTCGAAGAAGGTGTCGGCGGTGATGTTGGCGGCAGTGAACTGAAGAGCAGCACCGGAGACGGTGGCATCCTGGTGAGCCTTGACGGTCATCGAGACGACAACACCATAGTTACCGGCACCACCACCGCTGAGAGCCCAGTACAGATCAGAGTTCTGGCTGCGCGAAGCAGTGACGACCTTACCAGCGGCGGTGACAACCTGGAATGCCAAGGTCTGATCAGCACCGAGACCGAATTCGGTGCTCAGGGCAGAGTGACCACCACCCTGGGTGTAACCACCAGCAAGACCGACAGTAGGGCATTCACCAGTGACTACAACAAGACCCTTGGCAGTAGCAGCCTCGAGGATCTGGTAACCGACCACACCGGCACCGATCTTGAAGGCGGGACCAGAGTAGGTCGAGTCCGACCATTCGGTGTATTCAATATCAGTGAGGTGGTGGGTCCAGACAGAGAGAGCACCGGCACCAGTGGAACGGCCCAGGTAGCTGGTTTTATCCGGGTCAGTCCGAGAGTTTTCTATTGTATTGGGAAGTTCCAAGAGAGAAAAAACTTACTCATGACCAGTGTTCTTAATCACAAAGCGGATGTTGTTGTCACGGGCAAAGTTAACGGCAGCCACAATATCGGCACTGCAGGAAACATTGACAGCGTAGTCAGGGAAGTTGCCAAGCGTGCAAGCCTTGCTCTCAGCAGAGAAGGGATCGCAGGTTCCGTTGGCAAAGAACATCTGCATCACCGAGGTGGGGGAATCCAGGCTAGAGATGTGGTTAGCATCTGTTCCTTACTGGGTAGTCACAACACATTCATGAAACATACTGGACCTCAGGCTCCTCCCAGGCATTCCGCAGAGCCGTGCAAGCAGCGGCATCGTAGTTGGGATCGTGGCAAGGGCTACCAATGGGCACAGTGGCGATCAGACGACCACCAACGGTGCTGTTCAGCGAAGCCCAAGCTGGCGCCGCGGGCCAGCATTTATCCCCAGGCAAGCAGCGACAGCTTGAGGTTGAGCGACGGTCGCAAGAAGGAGACGCAATGGCCGTGGAGGCCAGAGCCGCAACGGTTACCAACCAGGCCTTCATGGTGGAGAGATGTGGAAAGTAAAAGACTCGAGATGGCTTGCCTACCAAATGGGAGGTATGTTTGCCGATCACAAGTTTAATTCATCGAAAGGGGGAGGAATCGCGGATCCTCGGGGTTTTATGGGAATCTGGGATTATCTGATGGCCCTCTTGGCACCTCGGCCTGGATTCGATGGAGTGTCACCACCGATCGGACATGTTCCCCAGATCGTCTAGCTTGGACAATAGTACGGACTCTACGGAGTGCAGGGACAACATGGTGGACAGAAGTGGATTGCGACATTGGAGATTGGCACTTTATCGGACCTCTCATGGGCATTGAATATCATCGGATTTGCCGGACTTGAGCCGAGCAACGAACTCCTCTGGGTCTGCTAGACTTGTTGAGTCTTTTGAGGCGTTACAGACAGGTTCTAGAAACTGGTATATTTGGAATTTGGTTTCTCGGATATGTGGGTATTATTATATACGGGAAATACTACTCCGTACATTCCACGGAGAAATGGTGGAAATATTAATCCTTTGGTAGTCCCTGTTGGTACTTGGTAGACTAGGGTCAGTATGGAGTAGATTAATTGGAGATAGAAAGCCGAGAGGCAGTGTGTTCAAAGTTTACTCGACTAACTTAGTCCTATTGCACTAATGCACTCCGTATACTTAAGTTTGCCACAATTTCAATCCCTGCAGATTTACTCCGTTCACTACTACAATTCGTAGAATAATGGGATTCTTCCATGCAGAACGCCCCTGTATCCTGCAGTACTAGTCAAAACAAAATACCTTGGGACCTTCCAGAAAGAAAAAAATATCTCAACAGTAAGCCACTTCTCCGAGTACTTTAGAAAAAGCTTTGCCTGCCGTAAATAGTTCAGCCACCGCAACCACAAGGTGAAGAGGACAACATTGGCAGACCAAATTGGGCAAATCTCAGGCGGAACACCCGGAATCCGGGCATTTCTTTACGCAAATTTCAGTCGAGTCCACCTTTCCGATCGATCGGGTGTCTCAGTTAAGGCGATTCGTAGCCAATCGTCCGCTCGTATAGCCCGGGAAAGTGGATTCCCGCCTGAAATTTGGAAGAACTTTGACCAAGCTTTGCCAAACGGAGAAATCGACCACGAAGACAAAGTGGATATGAAAGTGGGGTCTTTTATTATATTAGAGTTTGCTTGGACCAACGACTTCGCTATACAGTCATACCGAAGCCAAGCCGGACCATGGATGCTTTTTCAGGGCTGGGAACCGCTCGATTGACCTATTGGCGCTGGGCCAGCCTGGCTGCAGGACACGCTTTGTGTATCCCCGGGTTCTCACGTAAAATAATTTGATGCCCACGTCCTACCATGGATGATCGCGTAAACCTCCTCGTTTCCGTTCTTTGCCGAGTCTTTTTTAGTGGGAAAGTTCTAGTGGCGCGCTCGTAACTCAGGGCCAACTTTCCAGCTATTCGCTATTCGCTCTGATTTTTGCAAAACAGACATCTTGAAAACTATAATCCCTATTGCCCCCCAAAGATCGTGCCGGTTCCTGAACGGACTCTTGGTACAGAGGATTTCTTATTAAGGGACGTGCTTCTCCAACGGTGATGCCGCAGTTCTAGGGGTTTTGACCGTCTCCACTCTCTCCCTCGAAGGACGAAGAGATCATCACCATGTCGAACAGTAACGGCTACTCCCTGGAAAGGGGCATCTGGGCCGCGGTGATCATTTCGGCGCTGATCGTTATGCTGAGGGTCTATGCAAAGATTAAGATCAAGCGGTTCCACGCCGACGATGTCTTGATGATCATTGCACAGGTATGGCGAATCTTGAAAGCGGCACTCTTTTTAATGCGCATTACGCTGACATTGCTATTGCTATAGGTTCTTATCATTGTGTCTACCGTTTTCCTGAGCCTCTGTGTGCAACATGGCTTTGGTGGTGACCTTACCAAGTTGCCCAAGGCAGATTCAGAGCTTGTCTTGAAGTATATCGCTATTCAGATTCCCCTCGTGACGTTCAGCACCACCATCGCCCGTACCGGTTTCATTATCTACCTCCTCGCGGTTCTCGGCACAAATAAGAATTATAAGATTGCACTCTGGGTGGTTCTAGTGATTCAGGCAGCGGGAAATACTGCCTCGGCGGTGCTACCTTTGAGCATCTGTCGCGATGTGAGGGCCTTGTGGGATTTAGAGGCCGCTATGCACACTACTTGCGGTGACACCGCAGCGGTCATCAAGTTCGCCTATTACTCCAACAGTACGTTCCTTGAGATTTTTGGGCAGGTGGATGAAACACAGACTAATTGATTCGCAGCTTTCAATTCGGCCACTGATTTCTTCCTGGCGGTCTTCCCAACGGTGGTTTTCTGGAATCTTAATCTCAAATTGCGCATCAAGATCGGTCTGATCGTTCTCTTGAGCGTGGGATTCATGTACGATCCAAATCCCAGCCCTTTTCCTTCACCAAACCTAACAATAATCCAAACTATAGTGCCATGATTGCATCCATCATCAAGACCACGAAGCTGGACGAGCTCCCGGGCATCACCAACCTCGGTGCCACTGGCGGTGTCGAACTCATCCGCTGGGGATACGTCGAAAACTCCATCATTATCATCACATCTTCCATTCCTTGCATTCGCCCCTTGATTATATCCTCTGTCCGCAAATTCTCCAGCGTCACCCGCTCCTACGAACTCAGTGGACCCTTTAGCGGCCACCGAACTCAGGGAAACGAGACGAACCACTCCAAAATGGCACGACGATTCAACAAGTCCCACAACTTGGAGAATGGCAGCGTCGAGCGTATTCTGGACCACAGCACACACACGCATACCAGCACCACCATTGGTGGACGGCCAGATACACCTGAACGGGAGTATCCCGGCATAACCAAGCAGGTCGAGATCTCGGTCGTTTCTGATGATCACCATGGGCGACTTTGATATCTGTATAATCTTTCACTCACTTCTTTCTTCCCCTATTTTATCTTTTTTTTCCCTTTTCTATCAGGGTACATGTAGTTAACGATTGCATATATGCACATGGTTTCATAGCGTCTAGACTAGCATTACATAGCTACGATAATGTTTGAGATTCAATTATACTACGCACGTGTGGCTCTCACCACGTGGATTTTTAAGCTTATTTGCTGGTTGCGTGGGATTTTGCCTGCGCCCTTTCTACCTCTCTCTAAGCCCTAAAGAAAACAGGCAGACTGCCTCACGTTGAACCGCACGCAAAGCGTCGCTGGGTTTTCAAGCCCCAGGGGCTCTTCACGATATAGACACGGCCCCATGCGGACTGCTGGACCTCACAGCACCGCTAGAGAAAACGCGATAACGACCCACCTTTCTTCAAAAATTGTATCAATTCGCCACCTCCGTCTTCAATATCAAGAGATCCATCTACAGTGGAAAACCGCGTGGCAGATCTGCGATCTACATGACCCACGCAGATATGAGACTCCACCACGGGGCTGACGGCTGGGGAACCGATGGTCTGGGAGATCGGGACGCCGCAAAGCTGAAACTTGTGGTGATCAGCGGCGCAGGGGCCAATTTTGAGGATTGTCCGATCTTGGTGGAGACGGCTCCGTGCGATGAAAATCTTGCTGGATCGGCGGGGACCGAGGCTTCTTGTGGTGATTTTGGGGGGTTTTTCGAGAGGAAAAGAAATTGTGATTGCGACTTACTTGTTGTCGACTGTGATTGGGAAATTCAAGATGGACTAAATGATAGTATGTGATATCAAGACTTTTCGGCCTAGGATGTCGGCATAAAACGCTGGGACTATGCTTGGTGTCGTAGATAAGCATGATACTATCGTTCAACTCAGCCAAGGGGCATGAATGCCATCCAGAAGCATCTCGCCGGGGAAAATAGGGTATGCCTTTGTCAGTCTTGCGAGTAGAAAGATTGAGGTTATTTCGCAAACTGACTGGCATCAAAAGCTCAGTAGTCACTTGGTGGGATATCCAAGAGACCGTTCATCAGTATGGTCTGCTTCATCTTCCTGCAGTCTCCCGTTTAAAGTCTCGGTTCTGCCTTCTGCGCACGCAGCCCGTGATAACTACCAAATATAATTTGAGAATTGCCGTCTCATATTCAATCCTTCTTTGGGCTTCGGACCCAACAGGCGGGATCAAAGCTTAAATTGGCATCATTATTGTGTATAGCCTTCGTCCCCGATTAGTTGCGATGATAACACGAGCGGTTGACTTAGGAAGCTTATATTCATGAATTTGAGAAGCTCTCACAGTACCGCCTTCTTCAGTATGCCTTAATCCGGGAACACGGGGTTGAAATTGGCTTTCCTTGGCGACTCGCTAAGTATAAGAAGGTGAATGCGGAATAGTACTTTCAGTAACTAAATCACACCAGATCTCCCTATATCTACCTAGCGACAGTGGGGACTGCATATTACTGCCTATTGGAAGCTATCAGGGAACTTTGATGATTCAAAAGACTTTTCAGGGGATTTTCGAAAAAGAGAGTCAAAGAGTACCTAACAAGACCGTTTCACTTATCTTTTGATTCGGACTTTTGAACGGTGAGGCGGGGTGCTATTTTCTGACCTAGATGATAAAACTAAATAGCAATTCATGAAAGTGACCGGTTACTGTGTGCAAGCCTTTAATCACTATGTGGTATATAAAATCTGAATACTTCACCATGACCGTAACTCCCACAGTCACGCTGACGAAATTCCGCTGGGGCACTGAACCCTTCACCTACTTGTACGCTATTCTATTTCCAAGTTAAAGCTCGCCGTTCTGTATTTTATCTGCCCCTTTAGACAGTTTTTTTTTTGGGATTTCATCCACAAGATCCTGTTTCCTTCAGGGACCTATGCACCAAGTTATTGAGGCGGGAAAGTTATCACCCTTAAGCGCCCAATGCTTAGCACGTGGAGGATTCTCGAAGTCCTTCAGGAACACGAGTACCAGGATTACAATGCCCATGGGGATCCTTCGTACGCTACTATTGAGCTATCCTGTGATGAGATCGGTGGCTTGGGCAGACAGTCTAGGATGCGTATCGTTATGCAAACCCCGCATTCCGGTACAGAGCATAATAACTCGGATGTTCAGGCAAAGCAAGCTACGAGACTTAGGACAGAGGAGTTGCTCGCTTTATGACCTTCGCTAAAAGAGGCTCAACATTCACACCTCCCTTCCTCGGGTATAGTGAATATCGACAAGACCGCTCAAGGCTGATCCCTAGCGGCTTTGTCACTTTTTATGCTTGGGAGGTTGTCCCTGGAATACGACTTGGTGGCTATACTGGATGGGCTACTAAGTTCTGGGAGCTGGATGAGAGACAGCTGCAGGCAATTCCGGACGCTTTTCAGGATACTTTCTTGTGAGTGTAATCTAGTGTAAATATTGGATTAGTACTAATCGAAACTAGGAAACTCACATCGATCGATATCTGGCCGGAGGCTGCCACAGCAGCCAATCTAGTTTGGAACTCGGATACTGGAACTCTGTAAGTATCCCGAGTCTGATTTTCCTACAATGTGCCGAATTCATGACATAGGTGTATAGTACTTGGGTCAATGTTCGATATTGCGCAGATATCACGCCACAGCCCTGGAATGACCTCTGGCTCGCTCGGTTCAAGCCTGTCAAAGTACCCAACAACTCATGGGCGGAATTTGGCTGGAATAGCGATACCTCAGAGTGGAAGTTTTAGTCACTAGCTACCATGAAAATGATTTGGAAAACTAGCGAGCTCATCGGACACATCAGTCTGATTCCCGTCCTCTCGATGGGGATAGTTATTTTAGAAAGCCAAGTAGATATGCCGATGTTTACTCGTGTTTAACAGTAGTTTCGAATAAAGACCCATAGTACGGGGTTGTAAAATATTATCTAAAGCATGATGGAGACCCTGGAATACATTAGAATATTATATCCCAGCAGGTGGTGAGGAGATAGCCATATTATATTGCTCTCTCCCGTTGCGGCTATCGTCCGCCGCAAAACTGGGACAGCGTTCATGAAGGTTGGTCGGGGATAACTTAGTTAATAAACTGGGCTAGGTAAGCTCCTCCCTCAATGGGCTTGGTCTGTCTTTGATATGTATAACACTTCCGCTGGCTCCTTGAATACCTCTTCACCTTGCCCTTCCGACCGCCACTTGCATGCTTAAGGGCCTTTTCCATAGGTTTCTTGTCCTCTTTTTTTTTATCATGGCCTCCTCGCCGAGACTGGATGATCTGCACATTTTATCAGAGTTTGAAGATGAGGAGCGCAAGGCCCTGATAGGAGAATTTGTGCGGTCGTACGAGTGGCTTTCCGAGGTCCCTCGCGTGAGCATGTTTGCTCTGTGGTTCAGCGACATCAACATCCTGAGGAAGGCGGCGGGTCCGAAAGCATACCCAGAATTCTCTGAATCGCGAGCACTATTAGCATCTGCAATTCCAGCTTACGATATCGCTGAAATTTGTAAAGTATACCAAATGAGATATCTCAGATTCTAGGCTCACATTCTCTACTCTAGTCCAACTAGGGGCCGACTGCGAACAGGCTAACCAAGCGCCCAAGCGAATGGTGCAAAAGCCAAGCAGCCAACCCGAGTTTCCTGAGCAAGATCCCATAGAGCAGGTATGATTTATTTGCGCAAAGGGGGACGCCAATCTCTAATGTCGTTCACTTCAGGCCCTAGTCCGCGACAATGAGGAATAGATGGCGTCTGGCTCGGATTGTAGCAATACAGGGAGCTCTGAAAGGTGAGGATATGGACTTGGATTCCGGCGAAGATCAGCACAGTTGCGTGGATTCTGACGATGATGGAGATAGATATTTACATTCTGACGTCGCTGAGGATAGTGAGTTAGGTTCCAACGACGATGTGGACAGTAGCCTGAAATCCAACGATGATGAACATAGCGACTTGGATTCTGACAAAGACAGGGTTATTGTGCACCCAGCATCACCCTGACAGAAACGTGCCCCCTATTTGGTGAAAGATTGCTAATATCAACACCCATCGTCCGGGCGGTTAGAATGTCTGTCTTCTCTGGGTGGTTTGAAGTTCCGAGATAGCTAACAGACATCACGAGAGTTTGTCTCGATTTATGCAAAAACTCACATATGATATCAACATGCTTAATTAAATGGCTACCTTTGAGGTAGTCAATATGACCCAAAAAAATTGTCTTTCCAGAGGCATTGTATGAGATAATGCAGCTTCTATGTGAGTGGATAACGGCCTCTTGCGTCTGCTTTACTTGGGTTTGCTCCAAGTTTGCACGACTTGTCCCAGATTCTATTGTAACTACCAATTTTTGTTCCAGTTCACTAATTGTAATCTCCAATCTAAGATGATTAAATCGGAAGATAGGAAAATATCATCTTACGTTGTTTGTTGTATGTTGTGCTGGGAACAGAGCAGATGCAAACAATGCAAAACTCTCCCCGAGAAATTCTCAGTAGTGAACTCCGCGACTCCGACTCCGCAGCTTCAGTGTCCGGCCCTATCCCAATTACTCTGTCCCTGCTCGACACCTCCCAGGGCCTGTCCTCAAGTTCTCCTCAATCCTTGATCAGGGGCTGTCTGTGACAGGGATCACGAAACCACAATGGCACCGAGCCACCTCCTCCGGGCGATAATGCCAATCCGCTCACTTGCATCGCCAATGAGCCTGGCACGATCAAGCACCATTCCTTCCACCCTCTCTCTCCGCCAAAGCATTCGCTACAACTCTTTCACACCTACCGAAACCACACAAGAACCCATCGGCCCTCCACCAATCTCCCCGGCCACCCCGACGCCGACCATCCCCAAATCCCAAACCCTCAATCCGCCCACGCTGCTCCGCGACTATGCCTCCTCCACCAAGACCGGCACTGTCGTCTCCGTCGGCCGCATGGACCGCACTGTGACAGTGGTCTACCGCTCTAACGAGTGGGACAAGCACATCCGGAAGTACTACAAGAAGGAAATCAAGCTCTTGGTAGCCGACCCGCAAAACTCACTGCGCAAGGGTGACGTGATCGAGTTCTCTTCCGGCGCTCCCAAGAGCCGCCGCGTGCACCATGTCGTTGAGCGCATTATTACTCCTTTCGCCGTGCCTGTTGAGGACCGACCGGCTTTGTTGACGCGGGAGGAGCGCGAGCAGGAGCGCGAGAAGCGCTGGGCCGCAAAGTATGTTCGCAGGGAGTCGAGGCGATTGGGTGAGGAGCTTGATTTGGAGGCCATTGCCCGAGAGGAGGGCCTGGTTCAGGAGGGAGAGACGCTTTCTACGGCAGGATTGATCCACCGCATCTTCCTTGGACAGGAGCGCATCGGAAAGGTGAAGAAGCTGGTGCAGGAGCGGACCGCTGAAGTCCAGGCATGAAAATGTGCTACGATAGGACTTCAGGGACTTCGATTATTGGCCCATGTGTTTTTATCAGGTCTATTGCCCTTTTTCATTTTGGATATCCGTGCTGGGACTACACATCGGATTATTTGTACTATACTATCTTACATTACAGCATTCATTGATTGATTCACCATCTTACTCATGGCCTCGAGGGCTTCCTTATTTTACCAAAATCTCCTCGCGGAGTCGACACACACTCAACTTCTAATCAAATTTAGATTCTTCGTGAAGGCATAGGTAAAAATTGATTGAACATGACGGCATTAGAGAAGTATGTACGAAAAGAGAGCCCCGTCCATCCCAAGAAAAGAACCAGAGCGTATACACTGCAAAATAGATCTGCCCGAGTCTCTCTCTCTGTCTCACTTGGTCATGGCTTGACCATCCCCAATCCTAAAGGCACTTGCAAATGGAAAGTAAGTAACAGGTATCACGGAAGAGAAACCAACTCCTTTACCCAGAAATGACGAATTGCGATCCTTCTAAATCCCAAATCCTCCAGAGTGTGCCGAGGAACAAACCCCGAGGTACCGTAACTTCGTAGACGAAATGGCCTGATGAGCCTTTTGCGGCTCAGCAGACTATGCTGGATCAGGTGTCGTCAAGACCCTGCTATGAGCGTTGTTCCTGACAGCATTGAACGGCTTTCACGAGGCAAAGACCCGCACCTTGAGGTCGACACTTCCTGTGGCGAGCACACAGCGGATAGACATCTTGCTTGCCGCGTTGGGATCGTCTTTTGTCCCGTTTGACGCTGCAGGCTCTGCAGAGCCATTGGCTCCAGCAGCTCCATTGGCACTGCTGTCCTTGATCAGCGGGGGCGCCCACCGGATCGAGCTGACGAAGTGGTCATGAGCATTGATTGTGCGCACACATTTGCACTCTTGAGTAAGATCCCAGCATCGTACAGTCTTGTCATCTGCCACCGAAAGCAGATACTTGCCGCCCGGGTGGAAGACGAGAGCCCGCACCCAGTTATCGTGACCCACCAATGTTTTGATCAGGTTGCCCCGGGCATCCCACAGACGAATGGTCTTGTCACGAGAACCTGTAGCAACGAATTCGGCAGACGATGACCCAGGGGGTGGCTTTTTCAGTCCGGCCAGAGGTGCCAGATGTGGGTAACTCGTGGTAGGTGCGAAGGCTACACATTCGATCACATGCTCATGGCCAAGGAAGGTGGCCTTGGGCTCCCCTGAAGAGATATCCCAGAGACGCGGGACTTGGTCATCTCCCGCAGAGAACAGGAACCGTCCGTCGGGTGACGGTGCCACATCTCGCACCCATGCTGAATGTCCCTGCAAAGTCTTCACGCAATATCCAGTTGTCACATCCCATATCCGTAGTGTCATATCACGAGATGCCGACACCAACAGATTGCCGGACATCGGAGACCCTGCAGCCCCTGATGGAATGAAGCGAACCGCGGAGACGCTGTGATCATGGCCTGGTAGGGTGCGGATGTTCTTATACTCATCTGCGGGGTCCCACAATTTGATGGTCAGATCGGACGAACAGGAGGCAAGGAGAGTGCCACCTCGCGGTCCACCATAATCCACATCAAGAACCGCCCTCGTATGGCCCTTGATGGTCCTTTCCAGTTCACCCAATTCCCAGTCCCAGATTTTGATCGTGGTATCTTCTGATCCAGAGGCGAGGGAGGAGAATATAGGGTGGAAGGCCACACAGGTGACGGGTTGCCGATGCGACTCCAGGTCGTGGCGAGCAGGGGCTCGGGGTAGCCAGGATACCGGATCCTGGTTTCTTCGAGAGAGTGATGTAGGGGTAGCAGTATCCAGTTCGGTCTGAAGGTTGGCTATCCGGGTCTCCAGATCCATAATCTAAATATCCACAGCACGTCAGTCTCCTTTTTCCTTAGCCCTTGCATGGATGCGGTATGCCGCAGGAAAGTCCCCCCACCTTCTTCTGTAGTCGGACTACGCTGGTCCATTTCTTCTCCAGCAGTCCCTCGTATTTCTTCAGTGTGGCATCCTCGACAGAGATTGACTCGCCAAGTTCTTCTCGTAGCGCAGCGCAAGTCTGAGGCAAGTTGGCATGGGTCATGTAGGCAATCATCGCCTTGTGTCTGTCGCATAGAGACCATCCTGTTAGTTCCCATAAGCTAAAGAGATTCCAATGAAGAGTACATACAGCTCCTCCGCCTGCCGCGCCGTGAGGAGCTGGCTCATGGTGCCGGCGGATTTGTGTGTTTCCCAAGCAGTCCTTCACTGCACCTCCGCATGCACCGGAGGCTGTCGCAATCAGGGTCCCAGTCGGACAGGAAGTTCTGGATGGTAAAGATGCACCGGAGGATCTGGAATCAAGGTGAATTTAAATCAGCCACAAGATCGATCGGAATTGCGTAAGATGGTGGGAAAGTCGGGATCGCAGAGGTCAACGTCGATCCACCGCGGGGTCACAACAAAAACAACCCTCGACACCGCCAAGCCCGCTTGTTTACTTTCCGATCACCAGCCCGCCGCTGTTTATTTCCTTCCCCTCTTGAGCCAGAACCAGATCTTCGCCAGGCCCACCCATTCTTGTCTAAGTGTTGGGCTTTTACACTTGGGAGTCATCATTCGTGTCTTGAATGCTGCCCGGTGCTTCAGCTTGGCTGGCGATCTACATCCCTGATCGCAAACAGAGACCGTTTCGGCACTCCCAACCCCCGTCCGTTTCTTTGGGCATCAAACGCTTGCCGGTACGAAAATCTTGTCTTGTTCCAGGTCAAAAGCACTTTTTTTCGACCTTCTTTGTTAAGGGCCTTGTGCGCTGCTCTACGGATCGCATGGTATGCTAACTAGGAGGCATCTACAGACATCGCTCGTTCTCAGACACTTCTTTGATCAATTAGTCCGTCACCATGGCTGAAGGCGAGGACGACTTCTCCTCTCTGCCGCTACCCGAGCGCTTCGCTCACAAGGTTCGACTCTCCTTTGCGCACCGTTGAATACATTATGGGAGACCATGGAAGCCCACCAACTGACCGGTTGGCTCTGTAGAACTGGAAAGTACGGAAGGAAGGATACGAGGATGCCAAAGCACAATTCGAAAAGTCTCCTGATGAATCAGACCCTGTGTTCACGCCGTTCCTACAAGATCCTGGGCTGTGGAAAGGGGCGGTTGCAGACTCCAATGTAGCTGCGCAAGTGGAGGGTCTAGGGTCTTACTGTGCTTTCTTAAAATTCGGTGGACAACAAGCATGCGCAAGGTATGTCTAGATCTAGAAATCTCCTCCCTGCTCTGTCGTGGTGTTGACAAGATTCAAGGACTCGACCTCATACAATCGGGCCGATCGCGGAAAAAGGCCTCCCCTGCGCCAGACCAGCAGGTAAAGCAAGTGCCCAGGAAGCCCTCCTATTAAGCGTCGAACTCGACTCAGCCGACCCCGTCCTTGAAGACCTTCTACCTGTCCTCTCCCATAAAGTACCCAAGACGATCGCCGGTGCTCTCTCGGCATTGACAACGCTTTATCACAACTTCGGATGCAAGATTGTGGACCCAAAACCGACACTGAAAGCGCTTCCGAAAGTGTTCGGTCACGCTGACAAGAATGTCCGAGCCGAAGCACAGAACTTGACGGTGGAGTTATATCGATGGCTCCGGGAAGCTATCAAGCCCCTCTTCTGGGCCGACCTGAAGCCAGTGCAGCAAGGTGACTTGGAAAAGCTTTTCGAGAACGTGAAGCAAGAAGCCCCGCCCAAGCAAGAGCGATTCACCCGGGCGCAGCAGGATGCTATGGCCACAGCCAGTGCGACCCCCGGGGGCGGTGATGGAGGGGATGACCAAGGTGGTGAGGAATTCGCCGAAGAGGAAGCAGAAGAGGTGGATGTATTTGATCTGGCTGAGCCTGTCGACGTGATGCCTAAAATCCCCAAGGATCTCCACGACCAGCTCGGCTCATCAAAATGGAAGGACCGCAAAGAAGCATTGGACGCTCTTTATACTGCCATTAATGTGCCCCGCATAAAGGATGGTCCTTACGATGAGATTGTGAGGGCTTTGGCCAAGTGCATGAAAGACGCCAACATTGCCGTTGTCACAGTGGCTGCCAACTGTGTTGATCTACTGGCAAAGGGCCTACGCAATGGCTTCATGAAATATCGATCGACTATCATGGCACCTATGCTGGAACGATTGAAGGAAAAGAAGCAGTCCGTGGCAGACGCTCTGGGTCAGGCATTGGATGCGGTCTTCTCATCAACGGATCTCTCAGACTGTCTGGAGGAAATCCTTGAATTCCTCAAGCACAAAAATCCTCAGGTGAAGCAGGAGACTCTCAAGTTCCTGATCCGCTGTCTTCGCACGACCCGCACTGTACCATCTAAGCCAGATATCAAGGCAATCGCTGATGCAGGTACCAAAGCAATGACAGAGTCCACCGAGGCTCTCCGGTCTGGGGGTGCAGAGATTCTCGGTACACTGATGAAGATCTTGGGCGAAAGGGCCATGAAGCCATACCTTGATGGATTGGACGAGATTCGAAAGACCAAGATCAAGGAGTACTTTGAGACTGCTGAGGTGAAGGCCAAGGACCGACCCAAGCCGATCGTGGCTCCTCCCAAGCCCGCCGCGCCCGCTGCTAGAAAAGCAGCTCCGGGGAAGAAGCCTGCTCTGGGAATGAAGAAACCAGCGCCCGCGGTCGCCGCTCCGCCTCCAGTTGAAGAGGCTCCAGCCAAGCCAGCCGCCAGGGCGATCCCCTCCAAGCTTGGAAAGCCCGGCCTTGCTCCTCCTGGAGCGGGCCTCAAGCTCCAGCGCAAGCTCGGTGGTCCAGGAGGTATTGCGTCCCCTGGACGACGAGTCGTCTCTCCACCGACAGAAGAAGCAGCACCTCCACCCGCTGCCCCCAAGTTTGGTCTTGGACGTGGCCTTGCTGGCCGTCCAATTGCCAAGCCTGCTGCCCCTGCCGAACCAGCCCCACCCCCTGCTCCAGCAGTGAGCGCAATGTCGGCAGCAGATCGTGCCGAGTTGGACGAGCTCCGAGCAGAAAAAGAAAGATTTGTTCGAACAATCGAAGATCTGAAGACCGAGCGTTCCAAGTTCAATTCGCAGATTACAGAGCTGCAGAATCAGAACGCACAGTTGATTGAGGACCATACCAGGGACGTATTAAGCATCAAGGCCAAGGAGACACAGCTGGTTCGCGCACGGAGCGATGCCGAAGCCGCTGAGCAAAATGTTCAAAAACAGCAACGCGAGATCGAAAGGTTGAAGCGTGAGCTAGCACGAGCGCTTCGCGCATCAGCAATGAGCCCGCCCAACGCCGGGTCAGAAGCTGGCAGCCTCGGTATTCCAGATTCTACCTCTGTCTACCAGGAATCTGCCAGCAACGGACATATTGCGCGCTCAGGTCTTCACCTTGGATCTCGATTTGAGAGCACACGTCCACGAAGCTATGCCTCAGCCAGCCCAAGTGAGGAGAAGGAAAACAACGGTCTTGAGTCGCCAGGAGGATTTGGCAGCCGAGATGCTGGCTTGGGTTTGGGCCGACGCAAGCTCAGCCCTACCTATGGTCTTTCTGGAATTGGAAGCCCAACACGATCATCTCGGGGTTCTCTCCATGGAACCGAGGACGAAGGTGCGCCTCGGTCTTCAGAGCCTGCCGAAAATTGGAAGCGTGCCGCAGAGGTGACAAGTCAGCTGAAGGCGAGAATTGAACAAATGAAGGTAGGTGCTTAGAGCATGTTTGTATGGGTATACATCTGGATTGACAGCTAACATTGAAAATAGGCTCGTCAAGGGCTGTCACGACCACCCGCACAACGTTAATGAGCAACCCCGGGTGACTGCGATCATGATCACGCCCCTTCCTCTCTACTTCCTAACTCCTTCCTCTATTCTACGCGTGTCTTAGATTAGGCTTTGTTTGTGATGCATTCATGATTTTTGGCCTTGGTGTGGGACATATCTGGTCTTCTGGGCGCATTAGGCTGGGTCTTTTGGTTTTCTGTCCCTTTTCTGCGCCGGTTCTTTTTTTGGTTTCGTGTAATATTTCCATACCTATCTTGTTATTGTGCTTTTTTCCTCCTTCTCTACCTGCCTGTGTTTTGGGGCATTCCATCTGTATCATAGAGGACATGGTTATGGAACTATCCTATCATGATGTTAGGTGGATGGACTATTATTTTCGGACACTGGAATTCCCAATTTAATCTTGGGACATGGAAGACTTCCAGGATATAGAATCTCAAACTGATATTTTGAGCCCACTACTGCCTGATATGTGATGATCCTTTACAACGTAACACATCTTCTTGATAAAGTGGAGTTGCTTACTTCCCTCAAGGTACAAATAATGTACCAAAAACAACACTCAGAGCCCATAAAGTTCCGCAAAAGGATCCACATCCTTATCCTCATGTCGACTATATTCAATCCAATCCGCAATACCCCTCGCCTTCTCCTCCCCCCAAACCTCCCCAATCCAAGCCAAAGTAACATCAATCCCCGCACTAACCCCGGACGAAGTCCAAACATTCCCATCAACCACCCACCTCGCCCTCGCAACCCACTCCACCGCCGGCCTCAGATCCCTCATCTCCCTAAATGCCATTTTATTCGTCGTCGCACGTCGACCATCCAACACCCCCGCCCGCGCGACAAGGCCTGACCCCGTACACACGGTAATCAGGTATTTCAGGCTTGGGTAGACGGTTCGGATGAATGTGATTGCTTCGGTGACGGGGCCACTGCTGCCACGGGAACCGCGGCCGCCGGGTACGAGGAGGACGTCTAGGGGTGGGGCTGTGGCGTAGGTGTGGGTTGGTAGGATGGATTGGCCCGTTGTGCTTGGGATGTCGGGGGAGGCGGTTGAGATTGGGGTGAGGGTTGAGGAGAGGAGGGATAGAGTTATGGGTTCGGTGCGGGAGAGGACGTTTATCACGTCGAGGGGGCCGAAGGCGTCGAGGGCTTGGAATCCTGGGAAGAGGATTACGCCGATGCGGAGGGGTTGTTTTTGTGGGGGGTTGTCTGTAAGGTTGTTCTGTTTAGTATGATGATGGTTTGATAAGAGGGTGTATATGGAAATGGGGAGACCCACCGCTCATCTTGTATGGATGAAAGGTTATGTTGGAAGTATAGTTTGATGGGTGATTTGGAGGTAGAGAAGTAGACTTAAAGGTTGTTAAAGGTTGTTTGGGAGGGAGGGAAGAGAGAGTCGTTCAAATTTGGATAAAAGGAAGGAACGAGACTGTGTTTTCAAGTAAGTGCAGATGAACTGGAAAAGTTGACCTTGACTCATCCATAAAGAAGAATCGCAAGCCACTGGAAGTTATCCATTCTCGTATCCATGTCGAATAGCGAATAGCGGGGAATAGCGGGAATTGTTCACCCACGCTAACAGTCCTGACTAGGATTGATGCATAAATGCTACCGGCTTAATTCTGAGCCACCGAAGAGTCATTTCATAAGAGACGATGCTGGTAATTGGGTATGCTCTAAGGTTCCCGCATTGATGTATTTATGTCTAGCTAATCAGGCATTGCTCTAGACTGATTTGATGATCACTAGAATATACACGCCTGTTAGACGTTTTCTAGACCGCCAAATATATCTATCCCATTTGATTGCTCTCAGATTCAAGGTTGATGGAACTGCACCCTAGGCATTGTAGAAGTACCAAATCAGTGGAACGAGAAGCAATCCTTTCACATAATCAACCTGAAATCATCGAATTGAATGGAGAGCACAATTGAGCAAGTTTTGGGAATGGAGGTCGAAGGTATGGAGTACATAGGGCCTAGATCACGTGAGTTCATCCCAAGCGAATCGGCCGAGGTCAAAATTGCCGGAAGAAAAGTATTTTTTGTCCAAGGCAAAGGAACAGAGTTGGGTTACGCCAGTGAAGATCTACTGCAGATAACAAAAGTACAAGCAGACTGCATGAATGCCATTCTAAACATTTACTACACTAGCCATGAGCATCGCCGAAACGCGCGACAAAAGGCAGATTGAACAGTTTGAGAAATGCATTCATGGGTATCTGCAAGGAAAAAAAGGTGGTACATAAGGCGGTTCGTGAGAGAAAATATGTGTTTTTTCTTTTGTGTTAGAATGGGACTCTCAAAGGGCCACAGGGCTCTTTCCCACCCATCTAAAGCTAAAAAGAAAAAATTTTCGGCCGTCAATAAGTAAGTCATCCGGAGCCTGGAACACCTTGGAAAAATTTCCCTCATTGGAACTTTTGGAGAGCGCTTTCGAGAAACGGCCGATCACGTCAAGACAAAAATCAAGTCATCCCGGAGATGGGGCGAACTTAGACCTTGATGGCGTTCTCAACAGCCTTGCGCTTCTTCTCCTGGCGGGCGTTGGCCTTGGCACCCATGATACCACCACCCCAGTGGCGGCGGGACTCATCGTACTTGTCGGTGTAGCCCTCCTTGATGGCGGAGAGGAGCTTGGAGAACTCAGCCTTGTCCTCAGCACGGGTCTCGGTGAGAGCCAGGACAGCGGAGGTCTGAAGACAGTAGAGTTAGCGTGCGCTCATCGTCACAATTTAAGAGCGTTAGTGTGAGCATACCTTCTTGTGGACAACGGTACCGAGACGAGCCTTGCCCTTCACAATGGCGTAGGGGACACCCATCTTGCGGCAGAGAGCGGGGAGGAAGACAACCAGCTCAATGGGGTCAACATCGTGGGCGATGAGGACGAGGGAAGCCTTCTTGTTCTCAACGAGGCCAACGACGTGGTTGAGACCGTACTTGACGTTGTAGGGCTTCTTGGAGACATCCTCCTTCTTCTTGCCCTCAGCGACAGCGGTAGCCTCCTGGGTGAGACGCTCCTTCTTCTCGGCCTTGGTCTCAGGGCGGTACTTGGCGAGGAGCTTGAAGGTCTGGGCAGCGGTGTTGCGGTCCAGGGTGTTCTGGAACTGGGCGATCGAAGGAGGAACCTTCAGGCGCATGTTCAGAATCTTCTTCTGGCGCTGCAGGCGGACATATTCGGGCCACTTGACGAAGCGGGACAGGTTGCGCTTGGGCTGGATGTCCTGGCCGATACCGAAGTTGCGGGAACGCTTCTCGATGAGAGGGTTCTACGGGGAGGGGGATTAGTACATTCATCCTCTTTTTCTCACGCTCCCAGGGGAAAGAAGAAGTGACTAACCTTAGCGGCCTTCTTGTTGGAGCCAGCCTTGCCCTGGGGGTAGGGCATGGCGGCGGTCTTCTTTCCGGACTTGGGAGGCTATCATTGAGAAAAAGAAGATCAGCGATCTGGTGCATCTTCTTTGAACTCTAAGGAGCGCCATGCAATTGATCACCGTGTTACGGGTGGACAATGGCATGGCTAACTCCAGCCAAAATCATCGCCATGATTGTTCCACATCTCTTTCGAGGCTGTGGGCAATCGACGGAATTTCGCTTCGATTTCGAAAAATCAGAAGCTAGACAGAATTGTCTGACGGCATCGCTACGGTGGGCGAAGCCTGAACCAAAGACGTTCAAGTGCTTACCATTTTGTCGACTGAAGATCGGTGCGCTGGGTGACGGTTGACGGATGAAGAAGAGAGAAAAGTTTGCTGGACGGTGGATGATCTTATGAATTTCCCGTGGGTCGCGCTAGCGTGGGCATGTGACTAGGGCTTAGGGCTAACCAGACTTGGAGGTATGGACATGAGTCACGTGATATATATCAGATGGAACGGGTATAGCTGAATGCATACCACATTCCCTTCCAATCAAAAGGCGCTTTGCCGAGTCCCTTTAATAGTATCTCATATTGAACAAAAGATCTTGAAATGGCCAATGTTTATTTGAATTGTTCAATATTGGAAAATGTGGTTCATTATTATATCTGCATTCCTGCGGGCAGCAACCAAGACTCTATATACAATCAAAACCATTAAAACGCCGTAGAAAATGACAAACTAAAACGGCCATGCAAAAGAACCAATACAGATGCATCAAGGGCCAGATCTTGATCATGAAAGATCGACTCTATCATGGCAGATCCCTCTCCTATCACCGCCACGCCCCCAACCCCGGCAGCGCCCCCCGTCCCAAACTCGCACTCGCAGCCTGAACAGCCTTCTTTTTCCCCATCGTCCCCTCCTGACTCCGTACCCCAGCAACAATCTTCTCAATATTCGTCTCAACAACCACACCGCCAACAATCATCTCACTCAACACCGCATGCATAGTCTCATACCCAAAGATCAGATCCAACTCGCAGACATTCTCAAACATCCGATCCAATGCCTCGACAAAGACCTGGATGAGATCGATCAGCGCGAGCGGGGACTCGGTAGATGTGGAGATCATGATGAAGGAGAGTGTGGCGTAGGTCCGGTAGGTTATTTGGGTGGGCGCGTCGGAGGGCCCGGTTGAGCTTGCGGCGCCTTGGGAGAGGAGCGGGGGGAGGGGGAGGAAGTTGCAGGCGCTGGAAGGGCGCTGGGCGACTAGGTGGTATATTTGGGCGATGAGGGATTGTTGGGTTTGGGTGTCCTGGTGGTGTTGGTAAGCGGGTTGGTATGAGGTGAGTGTATGTGCGGGGGTAGAGGGAGGGTCATACCAGGGTTGTGTAGAACTTGGTTAGCCGGGGCTGGCCATTGTTATTGAAGACGAGGACTGCGTTGATCATCTTGTAGATCAAAAGCTATTTGACGCAGCAAGATCAGAAACGTGAGACGTAGTGAAAGGTGGAGATGATCGCGGTCAAGTCTTGAAATGACCGAATGACGATGCGCTTATCAGCGATACCGATAACTGCAGCCGCGGCCTCGGCCTGGTCCGTGCGGCCAAATTTCCGGAGATCGCGACAGGATTGCTTCAACTCCAACAGCATCACAACTGACAATCACAACCGTTGATAAAAATGAGGATACGTCCAGGGAAAGTCCCTGTGCCTACAAGGCCCGTCCTCCGACCGGTGATCGACCAAATACCCAAACCAGCCACACCACCCTCCAAAATCACCCCATCAAACCCAAACAAGCGCACTCTCTCAGACCTCACACCATCTGATCTATGCTACTACTGGGACACCAAACCCCCAACCCCCTCCCAACTCGCCTTCGCCGACAAACTATTCATCCCATCCCGCCACTCCCCCCTAAAACTCTGGTCCGCCAGCAAATTCCGCACAACACCACTCTCCTCGATCGAACCCGAAGTCGCATTCCTTGGCCGCTCCAATGTCGGCAAGAGTTCGCTGCTCAATGCCATTATGGGCCAAGATATATGCTGGACATCTTCTAAACCGGGTCGGACTCGGGAAATGAATGCGTTTGGGATTGGTGGGACGAAGGGTGGGGAACATAAAGTTGTGTTGTTGGATATGCCGGGTTATGGTAAGGCGAGTCGTGCGGAGTGGGGGATGGAGATTATGAAGTATCTCCAGGGGCGTAAACAGTGAGTTTCAATACCTACTCATCGACTGGTCTCTCGTCACAAGTCAGTCTTTCTACCGAGTACTGACTGCCACTCCAGACTCCGCCGAGCCTTCATCCTCATCGACAGCGAACACGGCATAAAACAAAACGACGCCGACATCCTCGGCCTCTTCCGCCGCTATGCAATCCCGCACCAAATCATCCTATCCAAAGTAGACAAAATCCTCGCCAAAAACAAAAAGCAAATAAAGACCGGTGCATCGGCAATTGGGATCCAACGGCTACAAGATCTGCTTCACAAGCTGAAGCCGAAGGTGCAGCCTGATCCGAGTATATCGGATGGCCCCGGTGCACTGGGTGAGATCTTGACGTGTAGCGCTGATACGCCTATTGGACCTGGTCGGGTGTTGGGTGTTAATGCGGTGCGCTGGGCTATTTTGTCGGCTGCGGGTATTGATGGGAGCTTGGAGGGTGTACAGCCTACGTCTGGGGGTTCTACTTGATTGGTTGACGTATGCTGTTTAGGACAGTGCATGAGAATCTGGAGTCCATGAATACCCAAGATCATGGGCACTTTGTATACCTGTGCCCGCTGTGGGATACATCACGACATTTCTGGTCGGTTGAAGACGGGCGAGACAGGAAATACCCGGCCGGTGGGCAGTCGCTCTCTAATGCCTATTGCCGCGTCGGCTGGACCTGTCAGTCAAGATGGAGTCTCCCCGGCTCCTATCAGTGATACAGGGGCCTGCTAGCGCCGACGGATTTGTTGGCCACTTGCAAGGTTGTGCTGGGAATTGGCCAGCCTGCCTGGAGACAATTCTATTATACCCACTCTACTCAAACCATGCAAGGACATGTATCAATAGCCAATTTGGATTGTATCTATTACCACCTGACAAGATCATGAAGCTTGGAAATAAGAAATGTGAAGATCAGGGTCAAGTGTGTGGCATCAGCCTCCGAGGACACCGCAGAAGCCAGTAGCCAGCCATCCATAAGAAAAACTTCAGATACAAGGAATGGTAGTAGTATGGAGCACAGCGATAATGACGATAACAAACGTAAGGAAGAAATAGCATTGTAGGTTAAATGCAGAAAGGACAAAGGGTGCAAGATAGACAGATATGATGATGAACGTGTAACGGATATGAGAACCACCCCTTGCGAAAAATGAAGGCAAAAATCAAAAATGATGATGATAATGAGAATTGAAATCAGGAAATGTCTAACGCCAGTCCCCTTATCGTAATGCTGGATGACCGAAGGATGCCGACCGCGCTATGCAAAGGGTTGTTTTCAAGGGAAGTGACCAGAGCCGTAAGGATAGGGTATCGTGAATGGAGTGTAATGGAGAACATATGGCTGGTTGGGGAATAGGGAATAGGGAAAAGGGAAAGGACGAGAAATAAAAGGAGTAATGGTTAGAAAGAAGAGAAGAATCCAGTCTGGCGTATGAGAGTCGTGACTGGAAATAGCCACAGATCGAGAAGTGCTCAGTCGGAGTCGGAGTCCGAGTCGACGTTGCTGGTGGCAATCTCTCGTCCACGACGATTGACAACAATGCGTTTGCCGAGTTTGTTTTCAGGGACACCGTCTCGCGCAGCACCGAAATCAAGAACCTAGAGAATTGTATCAGCACCGAGTTATGATCAGTAGTTGGGAAGGGTACTCACCTCGATATAAGTCAGACTCTCGCGCTGCACGGCAGCGACACATCGCCGGTCATTGAATTTGACTTGCCACACCCCGCTCAAATCGGTGAGAAGGTCTCGCACACACGCTCCGGTGCTGACATCCCACATCTTCAAGGTTCGATCCGATCCGGAGATGACCTTCTGCCCGTCATGCTGGAAGCAGGTGATAGCACCGGTGTGTGCACTCAACATGTTCTTGCAGTGACCGTGCTCAGGATCCCAGATGCGAAGGGTAGAATCTGCCGCGGCAGAAACGAGATAATCACTCTGCAAAGAAAGTAGACCAACCAAAGAGGTATGGCCTTCGAGATTGTGTAGCAGAGATCCATCATCCAATGACCAAACCTTGACCATGTGGTCCATTGCACCGCTGATGCAGCGGTTACGTTTGTGGTCCAAAACGACGCTGTAAACCTTCAAGGAGTGGCCCTGGAGGGTATGAAGAACCTGGCCGGTGGAGATCTTCCAAACCCTAACTGTGCAGTCGTAACTTCCACTGACAAGTGTGTCGCCGTGGGCTGCAATCGCCCGAACAGAGTGGCTGTGTCCCGACAATACACGCACGAAGTAAGGACAGTCGGTATCGTCCGCCAGAGGCCCGTTAGGGTAATACGAGGGGTCGCCCGGTTTCGGAAGCTTCCACACGCGCAGATTCGAATCACGAGATCCGGTAATGATGAGAGGAACCTTGGGCATGATCTCTGGACGGCCATTAGCGTCCTTACCCACCTCTGTGGGCAAGACAATCTGCAAGCAGCGCACAGTAGACGTATGACCATTGAAGACCTGGGTACACCTAGCACGCTCAATGTCCCACACACGAACGGATCGATCGGTGGAGCCCGATACCAGCGTGTTTCCGTGATATTCAAGGGCCCAGACTCCGCCCTCGTGGCCCTCCAGCGTGGCTTTCAGCGCACCAGTCTTGGTGTCGTAAACGTTGATATTAGTGTCATCACTTCCAGTCAGAATCTTGTCCGTGTCAAACTGCAGACAAGTAACAACGTGACGGTCGTGAGCACGGAAAGCGAGGTGTTGAGGCTTGACTTCAGGCTTCATCCATCCCCGACGGATAGCATGATGCCGGCGATACAGGGCCTTGTAAAGATAGAGACCACGGAGGGTGGGCATGCCGACATCAGGATAAGGGATAGCAGTAGCGGCAGCGTTGGCGGCGGCATATGGAGCCTCCGATGCCGCAATATCCCTCTTCCAATCAGGTTCAGAGTGATCAGTGCCACTGGACGAGATCTTGCGCTTAGCTAGCTTGCGACTCGAAGCGCGAGTGTTTGCCTTGCGCTTGGGGCGTCGATTTGGAGTCAAGGATGCCAATGGCGCTCTCTCCTGGGGGTGGGAAGAGGAAGCAACGGGAGAGGACTCTTGGTCAGCTCTAGCAGAGTACTGCTTGCTGAGGTCTCTTTCAAAATCATCAGCGCTGCTGCACTGCCAGCCCCAGCCTTCTCGGATAGCTCGCTCCAGCTCGCCCTCGGACAGAGCATAACCATCGCGATCAAGGAGGTCCTTCCACGTCTTCTCATCAGAGCTGACAATATGGCGCCATTTCTTTGAAACCTGCGATGCACGACACATGGTTTGAACATCAAAATACTTGACGATATTTAGGCTGAGTTCAAGAGGGAGCATTGTCAAGAAATCACACTTCAGCGTTGGGTTCACGACATCTGCCACGAAGTGTAGAGTGGGTTTAGGGCATCGTCTCAAGAACTGGTACATCATATAACTTTTTAGCTCGTCTGGCACAGAGTCGAAAAATTCGAGCACCTTGGGCATATCCATCAAAGATGGCGGAGACCGTGACGTTTGAGCAGCAGCGAGACTCTTGACCCGGACCCGAGAAACATCCGTATCAAGCAGGCGCACAGCTTTTGAGTAGCGTGGAACATTGTGATCCAAGCTGGAATCCGTGTCAACATCCGGTCCCTCGGAGTCGAAAGAGGACTCGCCGTGCAGTGCATTCATGGCGGCAACCGGAGACAGGCTGGGACTGGGTAGGCACATATCTTGCGCCAGGGCATTGTCAATAGCCGAGAGCTGAGCCGTCAGATCGGGCCTCCGCTGTGACGAACTTTCGGTAGAAGCAAATGATACAGTCTGGCCGAAGGAGCTTGGATTTGACGTGACTGCCGCATTTGCGTCCGACGATTTGGTGATCTGTGGCTCTGGTCTTTGAGCCAGGTCTTCCAAGAGTTTCTGGGCACCAGTGTCGGACGGGCCAACCTCGGCGGACAACGGCGACCGCAACAGGGTCTCCCTGCGAGGGAAGTTTGCACTTTGCACTCGCTGTTTCGAGGCCTGTCCCTCGCCCAAACTCCCAATATTGTGTTCAATTTCCGGAGTGGCTAGACCGGCAGGAGACAGATGGGTGGATGTCGATGCATAGTGACGGGTACGTCGCGCAACAGGCTCCGACGGGACTCGATTTGCACGTGTCCGAGGAAGGACGGTTGGGCGAGGATCCGGAATCGAGACAGGGGAGACGGGTCGGCGTTGAGGATTAGGATGATTGATCCGAGCGACCGATCGTGGGGCTGTCAGCCGTCGGGAAGCACTATCATCTTCGGTGATAAATGAGTTCACAGAGCGGATCAAACCGTTGGAAGACTTGAGAGCATCGTTCTTCTCATTCAGCTAGAAATATATGTAAGCATTGTGAAACGGACCCCAAGAAGCGGATAGAGGAGGAGCATACCTCGGTGAAAGCTGCATTAGTATCGTTCGGTTCATTGAATACGATCGACTGGTCCCCAAGTTTGAACCGAAGATTCCTCAAGTTCGCTGGAGTTGGTGTAGAGGCGAGGGGATATAATCTCGCGTCCAGATCCTTTGTGGCGCGCGGGGGTTTGATGAGGAGAGGTGGGAATGAGGTTGTTGTGGTGGTGGTAGTGGTCACCACAGTGGTTCGAGTCGCGGGAGCAAATGAGAACTGGCCAAAGGTATCGTTGCTAGAGGGACCCTGCCCAGCATCGTCGTGATCGTGTTCATCCATCTCGCGTCTTTGAGAGTGAACTAAGCGAGGATCCAGGTGGTGATTCGCATGGGCGTGTGGTAGAAAGATCGACGCGTTCGGGTCGGAGTTCGATTCGGAGTCGAGAATGTCAAGCGATGGAGTAGGCAGTGGTGGCTTCTCACACTAGCTCGGGTGGGGTTGGCAGTTGGTTTATCGAGTTGTTTGAACGATCGGATACCACCAGAATCGAAAGGTTGACTCCGGGGTCAGAGAAGGGGTGTTAACACAACACCCCGTTAGAATGATAGCCCAACACAAACATTTACAAGAGGAGGAAATGTTCGAACATGGCGATGGGCAGGGAAAAGATGGGGTTTTGGGAAGTAGGAAGTAAGGAAGGTTCAAAGGGGAGGAAAGAGTGGCGGCTGACGAAGGCCGGGTTGAGTTTGGGGGGGGGGAGCGGAGAACAACAATTAATCCGAGTCCCGCCCTTACAGTTACAGTGTGACTTGTACGGAGTATACTGGACGTCATGGAACGTGCTCCTCGATGTGGTATAGACTTAATCTTCATACAGATTTGATATTGATGTTATTTCTGAGGCTGGCTATTTTATCTATCTGCTCTCATATTCTAGCAGATCATCTATACAAAATTTCATATCAATCCTGGTCGTCTATTATGATCGAGAATTTCATCGGAATCTTTCCTGCAGTGTGAAAACCTTGAAACCCTGCCACCACCACCTCCACCCATCAAAGCCGATTTGTGGTTCAATATGGGCTTCCCTCTGTTGAGACTTGCCACTGACGAACATTTCTTTCACTAATAAACCGACACCCTATGAAAAAGATCTGCCCAATATATAGCCAGTCGTTCTTTTCAGGCGCCCACTAGCCCAACTCTCAGTTTGTCTCAGGAAACAGTACAAAATACAAAGTACAAACCTGTTTACTATACGGTCGCTCTTGATGCGGAGAGAGTCCAGACACAGTCGCCACATACAGTCACGTGGAGGTGGGGCCTGCTCCAAGCCGGTTGGCTTGTTTGGTTCCAACTTGTTAACTTGTTCGTTGATCTACTTTAAACTTGTTCAACCAGTCAACTCTGGTCGACGCAATACGATATGCCCGGTTCCAAGGTGGCCAAGTCGGTTCACGCCTTGGTAGGGTCCAGGTCCACTCTACAATATGAGCGCATATCACATTCAAGAATACATTTGAACTCGGATGATCAAAGTTCCTTTCATGGAAATCAAGTTTCGAGATCAATGCTGGATTCTTCTTAGCTGAGACCAACAGATTTTCCTCGCATCGGTGTTTGTTTATGCCATGATGATCCAGTAAGGTGACAAAGGGATAGATCCTTCCAGGGTGATAAAATGCATCTCCACATAATCTGATCCAAGGGGTCCCCGATGAGCTGTCCCCACTCGCCCTAGATTCGTCTGTTGACAACATGTACCCTGTACGTCACCTGCAGGTACCCTATGGCACCCCTGCCCATCCTGATAATCTGTATCTGATATTATCGGAATATAGCCACTTGCTATTGGTGTGCACCCAATAAACAAGGCCAACCTTATGAATACATACTCAATATATATATATATATATATGATGTTTCGTCAAGTACACCAGGTCGATGCCGTATGCTGCAGAGGAGTTCAAGGGTCAAAGCCTCCGAGGCTAAACGTCGTTGTCATGGCTGTGATGGCAACGGGTTTATATCACCCCTTGCAACCATAGCTCACCAGCTCGCCCAAATCGATAACATCCTACTAGGTTTATTTTGACAGGTGCAATAATCAATTGCTTCCAAGTGGTGCTTCCGCTTGCACTACTGGTGATGCCCCTGCTACTCCTCTCCAGGGCATGTGTACTGGAAGATGAACTGTCAGAGCCTCAAATCATGCCTTTGATAAATGAAATATATGCGTGTCTCAACAGTTGCCCCGGAGCGTTCACGTTGCTGTGTTAACAGAGGAGTCAGCTTGGTAGAGCATCCGCATGCCTGAAGGTACCTAATCGCCGTGATACTCAATTTGCGCTTCCAGTGAATGACAGATCCTCCTACTGGATGTGGTGCCCCATGAAATAACCAGGCTAATTGCTCCGGATAGCCACCATGAGATCCCTGGCGGCCACTGCAAAAGGCTTGTCAAATTCGGATTGATCGTGTTTGCCTTGGGAGGCAGGCCATGAAAAAATGCCTGCACGTGCCAACCCACCAGGTGACTTTCAACGTTGGACATGATGCCTCAGAAACAATCACTGAAGGCTACAACCTCCCAAGGCAGACGACCTCACCTACCATCACCACCACTAGCCATGGTGCCCCGTTTGGTTATAAAATGCCCCCTCCCTCCTCCCTCAGCCATGCCCTCTCCTCCCCTCAATCCTATCAATCCCTCCAATCCTCCTAAGCCTCCAAAACCTCCCAAAACCTCCTTCAAAATGTCATCAGCCAAGCACAAGCCCCAGCCTCTTAAGAGAGCTTCGATCGACGATGTCGACGTCGACGAATTGAGTGCCTTGGAGCGAATCAAAGAGAAGAAGAGAAAGCTCGAAGAGGACATCGAAAGCCTCGTCGAGAAGAAGAGAAGAAAGCTGGACGAAGTAACTGTCCAGAGCAGAAAGGGCCGTCCTGAAGGGTACAGAGCGCAGGCGCTCTCTTCCTTTCACCGGAAGGAACTTGCCCCTGCTCAACGGTGCCTCGCCCGGGTGGAGGCCACCATTTATCATTTCCCGGTGGTGGTGAGTACTATCTGATGTTCTGATGAGAAGATACACGGATGATACTAACGAGTGACAGAGGACTAGCATGGAGCTGTTGAAAGTGGTCTTGCATAGCATGGTATGAGATTCACCTCACTGCTGTTCTCACAATCAAGGATGTTTGGATGCTGACTGGCGGTCCTACAGATCTCCTCCATTTTCTTCATCCGGTTCGTGATTCTCGGTCTTTGAATCATATGAATCACGATCATTTCTCTAACCTTGACTGGCAGTGGACTCCTTCCTCAGACCTCCTTCGGCATTCGTGCTCTGCCAGTCTGCTTCGCCGATGAGAGCTTCTGCTTCGAGGAGCACTTCATGAACGAGGGTATCATCCCAGTGGATAGATACCCAGTTCAACTGAGGGCCGGCGAGATCATGGTGATGGAAAGAGGCAAGGATCGTTTGACCAACAGCATCATCAGTTGTCTGGTAAGTTGCATCTTAACGAATCGAGACATTCAATCCCATGTACCTCGACTGACGTGGGTGAAGGAAACGATCTTCGCCAAATTCCTGCTGCAACGCAAACTCCTGGGCCTTCAGTTTGTCGTGTGCAAGGGCAAGAACAATCGAACGGAGGTCTACGAGAGATACACCATCTCCATCCACTACAGCGGCAAACGTGGACCTTCTGATCGGGAGGGGAAGAAGCTGGACTTTCACGATACCAAGAAAGATCTGAAGTACTCCATGAAGGTCCAAAAGGGTATCATTGCCATGTTCCGCCGCATGTTCATGGAGATCAGCAACAGCACCTTACCAAGTACGCATGCCGTGTCTCCTTGATGAATGAACCTTTTCAAACTGACAATATGAACAGACACTCGCACCCTTGCGGTCCACGTCTTCCATACTCCTCTCGCACCGAACCCCATGAACGGTGACAGCTTCAATCGTTTTTGGACTGAGCACCTGAGCTTCCCCCGAATCCCGGGTTGGCAGAGACAGACCATTCACTCCGACTTTATCGACACCGGATTTTACGGGTAAGTTATAAATTCCATCATCTCAAATCCGACTCATTCGGCTAATGATCAACAGAGCGAGACTGTCTGTTACTTACCTCGAGGCACCAATCACTGTCAGAACTATCAATGGTGTACCCGAACCAATGCCAGCCCAGCTTAACTTCTCAAACCACCGAAACCGCGGCGCCGATGTGCATTGGGAACATGGTCTTGACTGGGTCAAGAAAGAGATCGCCAAGAGAGCCGCAGCCAAGAAGGCAGCCAGAGAGAAGGCCCTCAAACAAGCGAAGAAGGCATGATAGGTGTGTATGATTATGTGCACGATGAGGAGGACAAGGTTTCTCGACGAGAGTCCGCTGGCGGAGTTCTTTGAAAGATATTGTTACTCTGAGATAGTTCTACCATGTTCATCGATATCATTGACTAGCAATAGGCCTAGTCTACAAATCAAATCGATGTTGCTCTAAGATCAAGCTGCATATTCCCGAAGACTTACTTAGATCGAAAACGGAGTTTTGACCCCTATGTCCTGCAGTGTGCAGACTAATTCGATCTTTCTACACCGGCTCCTAGTCACAATCCTTTTCACACCGTTACAGCACTACCATATCAATAGCTCAAGTCCTTCCAAGAAAACCGTTTCCCATGCCTTGAATGATTTGCAGCATGTGGACCCCCCGTCCGCCTCCTCGGGTCCAGATACCCATGTTCCAACCTCCCAGACTGGCAGAAATGGAAGAAATGGCAGAAACACACACCTAGCAAGAAAATTACCCTTCTTCAAAGACAATAGTGTATTCCATGATCTACAAGACGACCAAATATTCAGAAAATCTGGAGAAAAGCAATCCGGATCCATGGTACAACAGTTACACTATTGCGTGCATTATCCAGTTTCTAGGGGTCGAACTATTGGGCCACCATTAGCCGCTAGTTTATCCGACCATTGAGATAGCGGGCACTTCAGTGGTTTTGAAGGTGTCCACCAGCTGTCAAACCGGTCGTTTGGGTTCAATAGTGTTTATTGCGATCGGTTATTTTTTGAGGACCCGATGTTTTGTTTTCTATAGGACCTTTCACGTGTTGCGAGGGAATTTTTCGAGAAAAACTTGAAAATTGGATCTGATTGTGCAGGGTAGAGTATGCGGAAGGTGTACATACGGAGTACATACACGATTGCCCCTATGATGGGAGCTGCTATATTTACCTTTTCAAAATCTATGTGCAATGCATACCCCTTTTCTATGCAGATCGAGAATGTACCCGAAAACATGACAGAAAGGGCAAGGTTGCCATTGCTTCCAGGGCGATTAGTCTGATCAATTCTGAGCCAATGACAAGTCTGATATCTGGAGAATAGCCCCCCATCTTGACGAGCGAACAAAAATGCCCCGGAGTGTCACAGCATCGCCGCTCCGTCACTGGTGGGTCCTGATGTACACTCCTTAGACACGGCACACTAGACTGATGAACGGAGCTGCCCGGCGCAGATGATCTACACTCCAGATCGCATCTTGATTTGCTCGGACCAAATTCGAGGTCGCACGAGCTAAATCGCTAAAGGAAAACAGTCCCTGTCGTGCTGGAGCGGGTGGTGGTGGTGTTTCTCAAACAAACGTGCCTGTTCCTGGTTAGGGTCTCATGTAGTTCCTGGTTCTCGACGTTCAAAGAGATCAAAGGTGATCTCAAACGAAAGACTAGACTTAGCTGAGCGCGGCTAAGGGGTCATCGCCGAGAAAGTGCCGTGGTGTCAACCTTTCGAGTGTGGATTGTCAGCCTGTCAGAACTTTTTGTAGGAGTCCAAGTCCATGGGTGAGCGATGTTTCAGCCATCGCCTGGGGGCGGAAGTGGGCTTGACTATTTCCAATGCTAGTATGATATTAGTTCTGTCGAGCTGCCGTGGAAACCAACACCAACGTGCGCAGTTAGACGTACATCATTCCATGATTTCCTATTTCCTGGCCCTCCAGGCCTCCCCCCGGAACGGACCTGATGATCATTGCCCTTCTGCTTGATAACCAAGTTCGTAGCGTGTAGGACTGCGCCCCGACTATTATTTGTCACAGCGCCACATCGAGTGGAGGAGCTTCCACGATGCGCGACGAAGGCGATGACGTTCCCGATCGGAGGAGCAACCGGGTGAAAATGGGTCGTGAAACGATCGAGCTGGCGATCGGATGTGCGAGGGATGCCTGCGACAAACGCAGTAAATAATTGCCCATGACGGGAGCAGGTCTCCATAGATTTTCTCCTTTTATTCGGCCGGGGCGAGTTATCCACTCGACTCCCGTGGCAACCGTGCCTATTAATGGCGCGAATTTGATATTTGGACAACCCGTTTGATTCTAAATACAGACTTCGCCAACCACTGTCAAGGAGGAAAAAGAAAGGGGATGGACCAGTCTGCTGGTAACTTTGGAACGATTTGTCTAAGTATAATCGAACTGCCGACCTGGCAGAACTTAGAAGCTCAAGTGGGGTCCTGGTGAAAGGCGTCTAAGGTACGGGGGCTGGAAAGAATCAGCCCAAGAATTATCGAGAAGGATACTGGTCGCGTTTGAGGCGCCTGAGTAGGGTTAGTGGTATTAAAGTGTTGCCCCTTTCCATGGACAGTTTAAGATAAGATTTTCTGTAACTTAGTCTTTCCAGTTGAAAGACGACAGGATTAGTGAACTTTCGAGTTGACATACCAGGATAGCGGATGTTTTATTTGATCGTCCATTCACCCAGTTCCTGGGGACAGTATAGGAACGGGTAATGGCAACACGTGTATTTTAAGGTTGCCCCGTGGTTACCGCGACGGATACGCAGTCATCCGCAGTAAGGGGGTGGTCGAGCCTCGAGGACACGAGGGATCGAAGGATTCGTGCCCTTGTCGGCAAGCAGCGTAATCTCCAAGGAACTAGCGTTAGATGACCAGGATGTACCCCGTAGAATTGCATTTGGGATGATTCCATATTGTTGCACGGGTGTTTGTACTCTGTATCTGCACGAGTACTCCGTGTATATATTGGACTTTGTACTCCGTACTTCGTACTCCGTCCACAGATACGGAGTACACAGTGTACAGTATCCGACAGACACTGAGGCACTGGTAAGAAGTCAATTTCCCGCATTATGCCTGGGTTCCATGGGTCTCCGTGCGCCAGGAACCGGACTTGCAGAGACTTGCAGGGCGCTAAACACAAATCAGATACACTTCGGACTCGTGCGGTGCAAATGTGAAATCCGACTTGGATGTAAGAAGTGGGTGCCTGTCGATACTTGCTGCTTTGGTCAACACGAGAGGACAGCCCGCGTCGATCGCATCACGATTTCACGGCCCATCGCGGCCCATGACCATCGTAGCCCCTCGGATCCTTGCAAACAAAGTCAGGAACCAGATGGGTTGGCGTTCCAATGGCAGGCCCCATCTTGGATGCGGTGCTCCACCGGTCGAAATGAAACACACCCGTGCGAGGGCCTGATGAGGCCAGTCGGAGCCAAGCTGGAGTCTATTTCCACAGGGTGGCCCATGTAGTTCGAGTGAGTCGCCAGACGACAGTGTAAGGGTGGGTCGCCCCTATTGACGATGGGTGGGCTGGGGGGAATCATAGTGGCCGATAGAGCGCTGGGATGAGGTTGATGGTGTTAGTCTGTTAGCGACTTAGTGGGTGGCTAGTGAGTGCCAGAGTGGGCGATGAAAAAAAGGCGGAGGACGAGGAACCAATCGATCTTACGATCTCCGTCTCTACAAAAAAGATCCGGGGGCCCTCTTGTGCCCACGGATCTCCTCAATTCCTCTCTCTTTCTTCTCCCCTACTCTTTCCCCTCTCCCCATTGTATTACTTGATTATATCCATTGCATTTTCTCGCTTGTCTTTGAAACGGTACGTGGTGGGCCCATTTGAGAACCGCCCAACTCTTCCCCTCGGATCTGACTGAGGAGTCGGGACTTGTACCTGAACAGAGAATCGCTGACGGTCTCGACAGTGCACTCCATCGAATCAGGAGTGGGAGAAAACAAAACAATTAAATCCTTTTAAGCGTGTTGAATCCCTCGGAGAGCCTGCGAATTTCCCTCTCAGCTGCTAGGCAGCGACCAATTGCATGACCTCCCTCGACTTTCGCTCGGCTCTGCAATAATCCAATGGCGCATCGGGACCCCTCCCCAGTGCATGTGCCTCTACGAACATCCAGCCGAACTCCCTACAAAGCCATGGAGAAGCACGAAGAGGTTGGCTATGTCGAGCGGAAAGCCTCCAAGGCGCAGCGCATCCTGGGTACCGACTTGCCTCTTCCCAATCCCCAGACCAAATGGGAGAAGCAAAAGTCTCGCCGACAGAGCTTGCGGACCCCCGACAGCAGCTCAGCACAGCAGAACCAACAGAACCAGCATTCAGGCTTTGCAGCTTTCCCTTCCTCTCGAAACTCAATAGCCCCGCCTCCGAATCTCCGCGTTCGTGCCTCGTCGCCTCTGCTCGGCCATAACTACCAATCTCAAGAAGCGGCACCGCCAATGCCCAAGCACTCCAAGAAGGTCCACCAATCCGGGTCTTCGTCCACTCTTTTCTCCTATTTCAGCTCCAAAGAATCAATCAGATCTTCAAAATCCAGTCCGACCACTCCCAAACAACAGCAGAGCCTCCAGCCTCATATCCGTCATGAACTGGGCCTGGACCCCCAAGTGACGTACAAGCAATCCCGCAGTGCAACGAAGGAGCAAGAAAAGGAAAAGGACTCCAAACGCAAGCTGCGCCCTCCCCGCATTGACCTGTCGATCCTCTTCCCGAAACCTCGAAACACTGCCCCTCCACTCCTGTCACCCCAACGTATGACCAACTCGCCGTCTCCGGTCTCCACTGTCGTTTCAGACTACCCCTCCAACAGGATGGACCGAGGTGGAATTCCACCCTCTGCGAAGAAGTTTGGAGAGCCCCTACCGCAACGAACATCGGTCATTCCCAATGAAGGTCCCAAGAAGAATGGCGACCGCTCCGATCTACTTTCAATTCCCGAATCCAAAGATGGCGAGTGGTACGATCATCCGCTTGAGCGCACTGTAGGCACCAGTGAAATTGATCTTGCCTTGGACCGATACGCTGGGCGGCGGTCCCTGTTCAGTCGCTCCAGTGTCTATACGGCTAGTCGCGAGCAGTTGAAACCCGAGCCTAATCGTCCCGCGGAAACCGGAATCGCGGCTCGCAGAGGCCAAGCCCCGGCTGGTATTCAACACAAGGACTCGTACTTGATACCAACCACGCAGCCGACTGAGGCAACTCGCCATCGCGCGTTGACAACCGAATCAAGCAACTCGCGTGGCGGAAAGAGTGCGGTGAGCAAGAAGAGTAGCAAGAGCACACTGAGGAACAAGGATCTGCAAAACTCTAGTGTCCTTTGTCTCTCTTCGTCGGAAGATGAGGAAGAAGAGGAGACACCCACGACTCAGCAAGGCAAGGCCAACAAAGATTCTCGCCGAAGCAGCGTGGCCACGTATGTTGAATACGAGCCGGAGATCTATACAGCACGCGCTGCTCAGGCTGCCACGGCCAAAAAGGTTCACCGCGCACCGTCGACTAGCAGCCGCGGATCTCATCCAAACACACGTAGCCAGTCAAATCGCCGACATACCTCCATCGCCTCTACCGGCAAGTCGTCGACGACCACTCGACGCACCGCGAACTCTAAGCGGTCAAGCCACATCCCCATCATCGCCGAACCGGATATTCTCAATCAGTTCCCACAACAGCCACTGCATACCCCTCAGGAATTAAAGGAGATGAACCGACGAAGCCGAGTCATCGCGGTCACCCGCCAGGAGCAGGATCTCCTTGAGGCGATGCGCCAGCGAAAAGGCAAGATCACGCCAAGCATCTTCCAGTACAGCAACGGTACATCAGAAACCGATCGTAATTCAATGGCCTCGGGCCCGTCGCGGGACTCGTTCTGCGGCTCCGACACGTCCTTCTTGCGCCTCAGCGCTGCATTCCCGCCGTTCCACGCGCGGACAGACCAAGGTGCAACTCACATGGACAAAGACGGTTCTCCCTCGCAGAGTTCGGGTTCTGATACTGAACAGAAAACTGGTAATCCGATTGCCTCGCCCCAGTTCAGTACGGGCTATACCGAAAGTCTCCCATCGCCCGCCACGAGCGCTGCTTCACCCCTTACGCCAACCCTCCCTATCCACCGGTTCTCACCGCTGCCCTCGCCGAAGCCTCCTCCCCGTGGTCCTCCTCCCGCCATCCCGGAGGACCAGAAGCGACACTCCCGCCGTCGTACCGATAGTAGTGAGGCTATTATGCTCAACGACAACGGTGAGCCGCAGCGCAAGCACGACCTCCCGCTTTGGTCCTTCAACTTCGATTGGGACCACGACCGGGCGAATGTGGCCCCCGTGTTTTAGAGTTGCATATGCAGCTTCATGCGCGACACGTTCACTTTCCGATTTCTTTTCTCACCTACATTTCAACCTCTTGTATAACCATTGATTCTTTGCCCTCTGTGGACCGTTCCGACCATCTTTTCATTATCATATCTCATTTTATTACACGGCATCATCCTTGCATCTGGGCGTTCTCGGTACTTACTTTCTTGGTTAATTGGGACCAACGAGTTTTTATCTTCCTCATCTTGTCTTATGAACCCTTTACTCTGTCACACACTCTCTGACCAACAAATTTCCTTACCTGTTCGCCACCTCTTCGTGGGCTTCTTATATACCCGCTCCTATGTTTTGCCATACTCTTTGCATTTGGTGGCTATTTGATTTACCTGGAGGACTTTGACCCACCATCGTTGCTAGATATTTTGATTAGCTAGCTAGCTTCCCATTAATCGACTGCAAGAATCTTGCATGCTGCATCTACATCTCCACCTCATACGTAAACCTCGTTGTTCCCTTCTAGAAAAGGTAGCCTTGACCTGGCTAGCCCTAATTCGTGTGGTGCTTGTGCATAACTAGGGGTCACAGTCCACGGTGGCTGGCCGGGGTGGTACCGACTGGATAGAGATACATTGATCAGCGCAATAGATGCCTGTGAATTGATCTTGCCTCCCTCTGCAGCTGCATTCTCCGAGGACATTAGAATTGACAGATGGACGAATGATGACATCGGATGGGGGGCAAGGAGGCGGCGGGCTGGTGGGCTTGACGTCAGGCGATTAGTTGCTGGAGGTTTGGGTGCCCGAATAACGCCTCCTAGTAATAGCTCCGACTGGGACAGTGAATGGAGGCGCAAGAAGAAAACATTACCGAAGACATGACTGGACTATCCGTAGTTTCCTCTCATTTTAAGCTTCGATGCCCAAAGGAAAGTGTACCAAATGGTTGAAGTTCTGGACTCGTGACTGCTCAACTGCTTCACCCCGTGATCCACACCGCCGATTCGTCGCGCACCCAAACTTTCTTGCCCCCCCCTCCAAATACCCCAGATCCCCGACCTCAAAGTACACTTCCTCCCCTTGCAAATAACCCCCTCCTTTTCCCTCCACGCCTTGACGTTGATGTCCTGCTCACTCCTTTGCTTGATTTAACACCCCCCGACAGTTCCGTGACTGTTCCACGAACGTTCGAAAAAAAAAACCGAAATACAGTTACTGTCCTTTCTGCACTATCCCAGCCACCTCGCACGGAGCTCCGCCGTGATCGTCATCCGAAGCCCTGACGCTGGGCCCTAGGCGGGTGATCCTCGACTGTCCCCTGCACTGGCTTGTGGGAACTCGATCTTCATACATATTTGTCTTTTACTTCCCAGGCTGTTGTCGCTCCCTACTCAAAACCTCCCGAAAATCGTTACGTCTCCTCTATTCCCATTGTTTAGCTAGGCGGACCCCGTGTCGTGTTCGTTCCACGGAGAATACATCCAATTCTGACCCCAGGGCGCGAACACGTATTTCGACACACTTGTCACAATGGGGGATCGCGCACAACGCCAGCCTTCGTGGCTACGAGATTCGACTAAAAATGTCCCTTGGGTATTGGTATGAATTAGCAGCGGGGCGCTGATTGAGTTGGCTAGTTGAGATTGATTCGCTGACTTGGCTTTGTTTGTCATAGCTTGCTGCACAATCCACTGGATTTGTGTTGGTAAGTCGCCTTTCGAGTTATGATGCTTTCGCTGGCTGCCGAGGGACTAACATGTCAATGCCTCTCGCATGTAGCTATCGCACTATTCCCAAATCATGCCACCTGCGGGTGGTAAACGATACCTTACCTCTACCGCCGTTTTCCTGAGCGAAGTCGTTAAACTCGCGATCGCCCTGACTATGGCTCTCTACGACGTCTCGAAGAATGCGCCACCCTCAATGCCCGCCACCTCCCTCTTCTTCTCCCTCTCAAGCGCCGTACTCTCAGGGGATAGCTGGAAGTTGGCAATCCCTGCGGGCCTCGGCGTTTTTTCCAACTCCCTCCAATACATTGCGCTGTCTAATATGCGCGCGGCGACTTTCCAGGTTACATTCCAGCTGCAGTTTGTGACTACGGCCATCTTTGGCCTCATGGCTCTGCGGCGAAGCATTGCCCCTCGAAAATGGGGTCTGCTGTTGCTTCTGCTGCTTGGCGTGGCCTTGGTCCAGTTCCCGGATGCAAGTGCGGAGCAAATGTCGTTCGGCGATGAAGCCTCGCGTCTTCACTTCCCCCGTTCTTTGGAAGAATGGAAGGCCGTGAAGGGCGTTGGCGGTGCTGCTAAAGTGCATAAGCGCTCTGCTACGTACGAGGGTATCGAGGAAGATATTCTCACGGCAAACCCGCGGCTGAACCCTACCGTGGGTTTGCTTGCCGTTATTGGCGCTGCGCTTACCTCGGGTATGGGTGGCGTCTACTTTGAGAAGGTCCTCAAGGACAGCTCCAACCACATCTCTTTGTGGGTGCGTAACGTGCAGTTGGCTATCTACTCTGTCTTCCCGGCGCTCTTCATTGGTGTGGTATTCCGGGATGGCGAGCGGATCGCGAATGATGGCTTCTTCCAGGGCTATAACTGGACTGTCTGGGCTACCATTGTAATTCAGGCTCTAGGTGGTATCATTTCCACATTTGCAATCAGCCATACGCAACGAGACCCCAGGTGCTTGGCGACGACCAGCAGTATCATCTTGAGCATAATTGGAAGCATTTGGCTCTTTGACTTTGAACTGACGGCCAGCGTATGTCCAAAATTTATGACTGGATTGCGATTTCCGCAGATGCTGATAAGTAATTTATAGTTCTTCCTGGGCTCTGCTGCAGTCCTGGTGGCTACCCACTACTATGGCAACCCCAGTTTCAACCCCGCTGCAGTCAAGGTCGGTGGAATGCGTCCACCGCCCATTCGCATCGACAGCTATGAGAAGGACTCCGGCCTCGATAATGGATCCCCCGTGGGAGACCTTCCCGACGAGATCTCCATCAAGCTGCCGACTACCCCTTTCTTGTCTGACGGCATGTCATCTTCTCGCCCCCAGTCGCCGAACCCGGGCCACACGCGGGTGAGCTCCAGCCGGAACCCCAGTGAAGCACACTATTACGAAAAGGAATAGTGATCCGACGGAATTGCATATGCCTGACACCCAGGCTAACCGTTTATTTGATGTGCTTATGGAGATATGACTTTTGGATACCTGATGGATACGGTAATACCGCTATCTAGGATGAGGCTCCTGTAGCATTCTTGCCTGACCTTTTGTGGGTTTGAATCGATCTGCGCGTGAGCTTGTTGTATAACGTTGATAAGTCGCTGAGACTTTCGGTCATGTATGCATATATACGAAGCAATGAAAATCTACGATATACCCTGACTCGAGTTCCAGTGAAGGTGTAATGGTGCTGGCACGGGACATTCTATCCACGTGCCGGTGTCTTGCTATACCCTCCCACCTCATCCCACACAAATCCTCCCCACCCCCGTCACTTTCATAATCCATTGATCTCATCATGAAGCGTAATCCGTTCAATCTTTCTAGACACTTTGATCCCTCGCCCAAACGGCGTCGAATTGAACCCGAATCTGCGATCTCTCACCAAACGAGCAGGCTGGGGTTCATTGACCAGAGGTTGATCGAGGGCTCACAATGGCCAGGGTATCCCGACTTGGTTCAACAAGGGCCCCATTCAATTCAGACAAGTACCTCGTCGAACCATGATGATGATGTCCAGTTGGATGCTTTTGGTATGTGTGGTCCAATTGGTCGCACAATCACAGACTGATCTGTTTCCAGATCTTGAGCTGCTTGCACAGCAGAAGAACAATAGCACATTCCAGCCCTCGAAGCCAGCCTTTCAGCACCCTACACCTGAAGAGGAAGTATTTACTTGTCCGAAGCATCAAGATGCACTGCCGAAGACGTCCCGGTTCTTTGATTGTGAGTGTCTAGCAGATACTGCATCAGACTAATCCATACAAGTACTCTGGGTCTAACGAATACCTCTAGCCTTCTCTCGCACCACACCTCTTCGCGGACTAGAATCTAGCCAGTCCGATTTGATTTCCGGCCCACCCTCGAGCCCATTGATGATGATGCATCAAAGGAAGGAGCCCACATGGAAAAGTCAAGGGCAATTGGAACCAGGCGTCGATTCGCAGAAGCATGACTCAATCCCACACACGCCAGAGCAGCCGTATGCCTCCCACCCGAATATTGCTACAACCGCAAGTGGCCATCGGAATCAAGGAAACCCACCATTCAGCCATATCCCCCTTTCAGTGCGAGGCATTTTTCTTGTCTCCGTGAATGACCTACCCGAGAAATATCGTTCCATTTATCCTTTCCCACTGTTCAACGCAATCCAGTCCAAATGCTTCCATCCCGTCTACAAGACCAACGACAACATTGTCCTCGCAGCACCGACGGGAAGCGGGAAGACCGTTGTCATGGAGCTAGCTATCTGCAGACTTCTGAACGTATTGAAAGACGAGCGCTTCAAGGTGGTCTATCAAGCCCCAACCAAATCCCTCTGCTCTGAACGATTCCGAGACTGGAATACCAAGTTTGCAGCCCTGGACTTGAAATGTGCAGAATTGACCGGTGACACGGACCACACTCAGCTGCGCAGTATCCAAACCAGCCAGATTATTATCACGACGCCCGAGAAGTGGGATAGCATGACACGGAAGTGGAAGGACCACATGAGGCTGATGCATCTTGTGAAGTTGTTCCTTATCGATGAAGTCCACATCCTCAGGGAGACTCGTGGAGCTACGCTGGAAGCAGTTGTGTCACGAATGAAGAATATCGGATCAAATGTGCGCTTTGTAGCGTTGAGCGCAACTGTTCCGAATTCAGAGGATATTGCTACATGGCTCGGAAAGGACGCGACGAACCAGCATGTTCCTGCGCATCGTGAGCATTTTGGGGAGGATCTTCGGCCGGTCAAGTTGCAGAAGTTTGTGTATGGGTATCAGTCGACTGGGAATGACTTTGCTTTTGATAAAGTCTGTGGGACAAAGTATGTTACCATCGGGTTTTCTTCTGACGCTATCAAATTGCTAACGGTGCCTTTCGCAGATTGCCTGAAGTCATCGGCACGCATTCTTGTCACAAGCCCATTATGATTTTCTGTTTTACCAGGAACTCATCTGTCGCAACAGCGAAAGATTTGGCTAAGCTATGGAACATGACCAATCCACCGGCTCGACTTTGGAAGGCCCCTGGAAAACGCATTGAAGCGAGTAACGACGATTTAAAAAGTTAGTTTGCACCTGCACTTTGGTTGAAAGATAGGCACTAAAAATATTTAGCAACCATCACGACGGGGGTTGCATTCCACCACGCCGGTCTCAGTGCCGCGGACAAACAGATGGTCGAGAAGGGCTTCCTGGAAGGACAAATAAACGTCATATGTTGCACTTCGACCCTCGCCGTTGGCGTCAACCTGCCCTGCCAACTTGTGATTATCAAAAACACCGTCGGCTGGCAGGATGGTGGTTGCAAGGAATACTCCGACCTCGAGATGATGCAAATGCTCGGTCGAGCAGGACGACCTCAATTCGATGACAGCGCAACAGCCGTCATACTTACTCGCAAAGAACGAGTAGCCCACTATGAGCGACTGGTTTCTGGCTCCGAGAGTCTGGAGAGCTGCCTGCATCTCAATTTAATCGAACACTTGAATGCGGAGATTGGCTCGGGGAACGTGACAGACGTTCAATCGGCGACCAAGTGGCTCGCGAGTACTTTTCTCTTTGTGCGGCTGCGTCGAAATCCAACTTATTACAAGCTCAAGGAGGGTGCGAGCCAGGAAGATGAGGATGAGTTGCTTCGTCAAATTTGCGAGAAAGACATCAAGCTTCTGCAGGAATGTGGCCTTGTGGAGAATGAAAAGCTTTGCTCGACTCCGTTTGGAGATGCGATGGCGCGGTATTATATCCGGTTTGAAACCATGAAGAAGCTGCTTTCACTGAGAGCCCAAGCAGATCTGCCTCAGATTGTGAGTACATATCATCCTTGATCAATTCTGGTCTCAATCTGACAGAAAATAGCTTGATGTCATCATCCAAGCGGAAGAGTTTCACGAAATCCGTCTCAAAGCCGGCGAAAAGACACTCTACCGCGAAATTAACAAAGATCCCGGCATCCGATACCCGATCAAAGTTGATATAGCTTTACCATCCCACAAAATATCTTTACTCCTCCAATCCGAACTCGGTGCACTCGACTTCCCCGCCAGGGACCAACTGCAAAAGCACAAGTTCACCTTCCAACAGGACAAAAGTCTCGTCTTCTCCCACGTGAATCGACTAATCCGCTGCGTGATTGACTGTTTGATTGCACGAGAGGATTCGGTCGCCGCTCGAAGTGCACTTGAATTGGCACGGAGCTTCGGTGCTAAAGTCTGGGACCATTCTCCGCTCCAAATGAAACAGGTTGAGCAGATTGGTGTGGTGGCAGTTAGAAAATTGGCTGCTGCTGGGATCACGGATATTGAGGAGCTTGAAGCTACCGAAGCGCCGCGAATTGACATGATCTTGAGCAAGAACCCGCCTTTCGGGACCAAGTTGTTGGCGAGATTGAAGAAGTTCCCCAAGCTGAGGGTGACTATGAAGATAGTGACAACGGTGGGTGTCTCTCGTGGATGGGTTGTTCGAGATACTCATTGCTGACCTTGAATCGCAGGAAGCGAAAAAGGGAAATGTCAAAGTCCGTTTCAAGATCGACGTTGCCTTCATGAATGACAAGATCCCCATTTTCTTTCAACGGCAGCCGGTGTATGTTTGCTGCTTGACAGAAACATCGGATGGCCGGTTGGTCGATTTTCGTCGTGTCAGGTGAGTGCCTCAATGGATGTTTGCTCTTCGTCACGCTCACAAATTCTAGTGCCAGCAAGCTTCAAGACGGTGTAGATGTCACTTTGATTGCAGAAATAAAATCTACAGATCAATATGTTGTCTGCCATGTTATGTGCGATGATATTGGTGAGTACCAAGTCCCACGATGATGAGTTTCGCTAATGCTACTCCAGCTGGCACCTCCAGAAGAGCTGAAATCAGGCCTAACCTCCTATCGCATCTGTTGTCGAAGGCTCCATCTCGAGGAACACAGCCAGGAGCCACGGCAAAGCCAACGTCAAGTGTGGCCTGTGAAAGTATATGGGATATACCAAAATGCCCGCCTCAGCCTGATGCAATCCCGGATGCATTTGATGGGGACGACTTGCAAGCCGACGACTTCCTGGATGTTGCGGGTGGCCCGAGCAAGCAACAGCAGCCTGCCGAGTCTTTGGGACTGCCATTTGACGGCCTTGACTGGCTTTCGATTGACGACAGTTCTTCAAACTCACAGGGCGCGCCGGAAAAGCCGCAGAAACAAGGCAACAACAATTGGAACGCAGACTTGGAACAGCAAGATGATGACGATGGTGGACTGGAGCCTATTCGTCTTCCAAATGGCAACTGGGCTTGTAGCCACAAATGCAAGGACAAGACAAGGTGAGTAATCCTATTGAAACCTGTCATGATCGTCGCTCACAGATCTAGTTGCAAACATCTGTGCTGTCGAGAGGGGTTGGAAAAGCCACCCAAGCCACGTAAACCCAGAAAGCGAGCTATCTCGAATCACAAAGCAGGAAACCTCAATCAGTTGAAAATTTCGGCTTCAATCAAGAAGCGGGACGATTCAGGCGGCGTCAACAAAGGAAAGCAACCGGTGAAACAAGTTCCCAAGTTGACTGTGGAAAGGAGAGACAAAGGTTCCTCGCAGTTGAAATTTCCGACATTGCCGCTCGGAAGACGAGCTTCCAGTGGAGGACAAACTGGAGCCAAGGGCACAGCCAAGCAGCCTGCCTTGACGACCGAGGGAGCAAAGGCAAATGATCAGCCGAAGACGTACTCCAGTGACTTTGATGACGATAGCCTGGATGACTTGCCGCCTCTTTCTTCCCTCATGGGATCTGTTAATTCAGCTCCGGCTAGGCGGCACGCTTCGCAAGGAGACAGTGTCTTTGATAGTCCGTTCCCCGAAGTCGGAAAATCAGGGGAAAGAAATAAAACCGAAGACCTCCATTCCCTGTATGCTCTTAAGCCCCGAGAAGTTATTGAAATTTCAGATGATTCCAGCCCTGGACCCGGGAAAGATATCTTCACCAACCCTGGAGAAATTGGAAGCTCCGTCGCCACTGTACTTCATCCAGCTTCAAGTACCAGTATCGCTTGCCCTCCAGCCATGAAGTCGAGCTGTTTCTCCAGACCCTACGAAACAGGAATTCTTGAGCGATTTGGAACATGTCCATCAACAAACCTTCTACTGCCTGCACTCAGAGTGAGACACACCCTGACCCACCTGGAACCAATGTCCGCTGTTGACCTTGTCTCTAAAGACCGCGCGCACCGAACACCAACAAACAGTTCATCTGGATGGGATGATATCGATCGATTGTTGCTGGAGGAAATGAAGGATGTTACTAATCATTATTAGGAGGCAATTTTCAGCTGATCTGATCTCTTGTTCGGGAAGTGGCTGCATCTATTGACCGAGTCAGGAATATGACGGGCTGTATATTTACTTTCAGTCTACGTCGACATTACACAGTGACATGATTACGACCCCTTTGTACCATGGGCAAATATGGTATCAAAAAGCCATCGCGGATATGTGATATTGAGTACTCAGAAACTAGCTTCACAATCAATAAACACAGTATATCTCACATCTACTTGCCGACATTCCTCGCAATAGCAGCCGCACAGTCCGCAATCATCGTCTGCTCCTGCACAATATACTCTTTAGTCCAGTCAGTCAATTTCCCCAGCGCTGCCTTGACATCATCCAGATCTCCAGGGTTCTCGTAATTGTTAGTAGTTGGCACAACTTGCTTCTTCCAGTTCAGCCATCCGCCATCAACGACCTTGTCCTCAGTCAGAATGTCCTTATACACGTTCATCCGCCAGTACTTGTGCTCGCGAATGACAGGAGCAAAAGCGTCGAGCAGTGTTCGGAACATGATATTGATAAGCTCGCTGTTGGTTGCAACGGAGATATAACTCTCCTCCACTGCGTGAGTAGGGATGATACCTGGCTGAATAACCGGGGCGTTGGCGGCCATTCCAGTTCCGATGCTGAGGAAGCAGTCGGTTGCACGGGTTGGGCCAAATACGCCGAGCACTTCGGTCCAGAGCCTTTGGTAGGAGTTGTCAGCTTATCAGTCCCAATAGGTCTAGCCAATTTTTGACATACCATCCCAGTGGATTATTTGCACCCAATCCACCATCAACAAGAGTGTATCCATTGACCTGCAAAGGCTTGAAATATGCCGGCGCAGCAGAAGTCGCCCGGGCTGCCTGCCACAACTTCATATTCACCAATGCACTATCCTCCATATTGTTTGGATTCTTGTACGAGCGCAGGAAAACAGGGGCCCGGTTATTCGCAGCCTGGGAGTTGGTAGCCATCAGGAAACTTTACATGTTTCCAATGAGTTAGCGCAGTGACAAGGGCCAACTTCAGCTTGGAGATTCCGTACATCTTGCAAGGCCCTTTCTCGTCAAGTAGGTCAACGTCAGAATCGCCCAGCTTATCCTTGATGAGCTTCTTGATAATATTCTCCAAGTTAGTCGAGTCGTAGAATTCGCCGTGAGTCGCAAGATTGAACGCTTTCTTTATGTCGCCTGTTTCGGGGAAAACTTCTTTCATCACGTTATCGTACTGAACGATGCACTCGGCGACTGTCATTTGAAGGCGACCGAGCATGATGGCGATCAAACTAATTCATTTTAGTAAGAAGATAACTGCGGCCAAGGAGTCGTGTTTGCATGGACAAAGATGGAGATGTCACTACTTACCCTCCAGTACTAGTGCCACCGATCATATCAAATATCTCGCAAGGTTTCTTACCAGGGGCTGCCTTGTCAAGAACAGCTTGCAATATCAGAAGACTGGCAATACCTCGAACACCACCGCCATCTGGCATCAATCATTCTATCAGAACTTAACTCTATCGAGAAAGCATCAAGAGTATCTGAAAAAATTGACCTACCAAGTGACAGCACCCGCAGAGGACGCTTGTCTCCTCCAGCGAAGGCATCTGCGCGAGTCAAGTCCAGGGGAATCTGCGGCTTGAAGGCATCATTCTGCCTGTCGATCTTTTTATCGCTAATCTTGAGCTTGAGATCATTGACTTCGTCGAGTGTTTGCTGCACGCTCATCATCTGCTGAAGAACATTGGAATAAGCCGGCGGCGGATCAAGGTCTGTTTATCCCATTAACCTGCGATCGGCTAGAAAATCAGCCTAGCTATGCCACTTACCTGTCTCGTCGCCAACATCGAAAATGAGATATGCGTCTTTTCCGTAGAGCTCCCAGCCTGGGAATCGAGCGCACACTTGAACGGCCAAGACGTTGCCCGGCTACTCCTGTTAGTTACACTCCAGCACGCCAATCCAAGGTAGGTTTTCTCACCTCTAGCTGCCTCAAAAGGTCGTGATCACGACCGAAGATTTGGCCAGCCATCTATAAGTTTTGCGATTATTCAGTAACTGCTCTTCATCTTCAAAAATGGGGACAACATACCCAGCCATACTCGTCCGTGAGGAAGCGATTCTTGTGGCTCATCCAGACAAGCTCGACGCTGTCTTTCGTTCGAGGCTTGTCTGAAGACTCATCTTCAAAGATCGCCACCTCGAGCCAAGTCCAGTTCCCTAGGGAGGTATCATCCACATGCCCCTGGTCATGCGTATCCGCGAAGAGCTGGATGCTTTGGAAACTCTTGATTGTTGCAGCATTGAGTGCCTAATCATTCTTAGTAAAAAGTCTCTGGTTTCCCGAGGTATATCTCAAGTACCCACGTTGGTCTTGAACCAAATCCGATTTTCAATAGCATCGGATTTGCCCGAAACAAGAGGTTTGCTGTCATCTTCAGTAGGGTCGGCCTTGAAGATATAGTCTCCGTTAGAGGGAGAGGGCGCATCATCCACATTCCCACATGGCAGAGTCGGGAGACTCTTGACAGTTTTTAAAGATGGCTGAGGAGACATGATGTTTAGATATGAACTGACTTGGTCAACTTAGTCTAGAAAAAGTATGTTAAAGCGGGCAGGATCAAAATCGCGATTTAGAGGGCGCATATAAATATCTATTTTCGCTGTTGTAAAGTGATGAACCAGCCCCAGCCCTCTTAGATGCAGTCAGCAGCCACTTCCCTCTTTGAAGCTCAGATGTGTGGGCTGAACCCGTATTCGACTACTCGTGATGGGCCGAGATGCGTTCCAGCTGCAGCATAGGTAACAAAGATTAGAAGGTGCTAGTACTATGGTTCTGTCGCTCCACGTCCGGAATTAACACCTTAGGCCTTTTTGGCCGATGGAGAGAAGATTTCTGCCCGTGAAAGAGTTCAAGGGTCCTGCTGTATTCAGCTCAGGACAAAATGGATTTTATCCAAAAGCCAACTCAACATTACCGAATTTACAGTACCATCGGGTAAAGTTCCCAAATGTATATATTTACTGCCAAGTGATGTTTGGGCTCGGTTCATCCGCTTTCTCATTAGCTGGCGGGTGTTAGCTGAGTCCTCAGTCTTTCTGATTAGCTTTTCGGGCTTTGGTAGTTCTGTCGGTTTACCTGATCAAAGTTAGATACATTTTGGATGCCTATTTCAACTATGAGGAAACATATTTGCTTTCACCAAAGTCTCCGGGTAAAACCAAAATCATTATCTCATGATCGCCATCCCTCCTCCCAGACATTATACAAAGCGGGAAACATAGCCCTTATGCTGAGGGAATGCACAGGGAACTGTTCTGCCAACCATCCTATATGCTCTGGGGCAAAAGTCTTCGCGGATTTCAGGTTCTCAGGGTAGATCTTAGCTCCATGGCGCAATAATACTTCCATGATGCCGATATGACGTTGAATAATTGCTTTGCTGATTGCACTTTCGCGGATGCTTGGTAAATCAGGATCTGTTCCATGCACCAGGAGGAGGGTGACGATTTCCTCTTGACCGTGTTCGATTGCTGTAAATAAAGCCTGTTCTTGGTCAAACCCTTTACCCAACAGCATCTGGGATATTTCCGTGTCGCCAACCTCTGCTGCAACCTCTAAGAGATTGATCTGGCATTTGTCTGTTCCATGCTTGGCGAGCAGCATTTCTAGGGTTTTCTTGTTGCATTGCAAGATAACTTCCCATAAATGTCCATCTTCCAGATAGGCACCGTGAGCCAAAAGCGCTTTGATAACCTCGTCGTGGCCTTTCTCGAGTGCTAAGTACAAAGGAGACGTGCAGAGATCAGGGAACCCCGTTTTGAGATTACCGTCGGAGCCGTTGGCGAGTAAAAAATTCACCAGAGCTAGATGGCCGTATCTGGCTGCGATTGATAATGCTGTTGATTCGTGTCCTCGTCCTCCATATGGATTTAGAGCCTCCCTAGGATCATGTTGTTCAATGTACTTGTAGTCAATGTCTGCCCCATGCCCAAGGAGCATCGAGACCAAGGTTGTATCACCGGATACAGCGGCAAAGGGAAGGACTGAAGAGGGATAGGCGTGGAGGTTTGGAGCATGAGACAACAAATATTTGACCACGTGCGTATGTCCTTTTAATGCAGCTTCTTTGATAGGAGCCAGGGTGGATCTTGTGTCATCATCCATAGGGAGTGCCGAGCCGCTTCTATTGAGTAGAACCTTGATGACCGAGAGAAACCCGTTTTTCGCTGCTGGATGCATGGGTGTTTCACCCCGGTTGTTCTCAAAGTTTGGCTCAGAGCCCGCGTTCAGAAGGTACTTCACAAGCTCCGAATGCCCATGTTCCACAGCGTAGAATATCGGATGTTCGAGGCGACAGGAACGCGGGACCCAGAGTGAAAATTCAGGTTCTGGTGGGTGTTCCTCATGGACAGGTCAGTCTTTCACAAGGTATCCCTGTTGGGTGAACTAGGCTACCGCAGGAATTGGTCCTAGCTTAGCTGCTTGAAGAATACCATCTCCATTCTGATGGTCAAGGTTGTATCGATATAGGAGGTGCTTTAGCAGGAAATAGAAGCGGCGATTAACTTGCACTAGTGCGTTGAGATCTTTTTGTGATTGTAATTGCTGCCAAATTAGGAGTATGATTTCGTTCGACAGAGTCAGAATAGTCATTGCGTATGCATTTTCAGCAGGCAATTTGTATGCTCACGGATGGGCTCGGTGTGATTTGATCCGCTACCAGCGACCTGGGCGTTGACAAGCGAGATAGATGTAGGGGGAAGAAATGATGTCGCGGGGGCTGGGGCTTTCCAGTGAAACCAGACGGGATACGGGTACATCCTAAGATATCATTGGCTCCCGTCGCTAAGACCGTATGTGAATTATGCACTCGAAACACCCCGCCAAGCCAGACCTATGAACTGAGTAAAAACAATATCATGAGTAATCTTGCACCTAATTCGCTCACAGGATGCATCCACCTCATACATGCTCCAAATTCTAGAAAATTGACCGATGTGGGAGCCGGACCTTGTAAGACCTTGCGTGCTTTATTCGTGGGCGAATGGCAGCGGATGGTATCGGCAGCGAGAATGATAGATGATGAATGGATGAATCAATGTCTCTTCAGTCTTGAGAGGTTTTACAAAGTATTCCATTTTCTATCTCATTTCATTCCTGGCCGTACAATGGGGACAATGATGCAAAACCCTCGACCATCGACTCTTCTCCATTAAAGACCTTCATCGCTATGGCTCGGATAAAATGGCCAATTCCTGTCGGGGTGGAGTTTTCACTTACTTGATATTTTCCTAATTTGAAAATGGATTGGCAGATGCAGTACCTGAACTATTCGTCCCAAGCCTTGCCATCAGATTCGTGATCTCCAGCTAATTTATTTCCAATAGAATATTAGAATAAAGGCGCTATGGATCTCATCACGGTAAAATACCTCTTCACTTTTTTCTTCGCAGTTGCTATATTTGACCTGGCCTCTGATTCCGACGCGGCACTGAATCTAGCTTGCGGTCAAACGAGACGGCCTATGACTGTTACATGATTCATCCTCATGTTCTGCTCGATATCCCAAACCTCGATACCCCAAGCCTAATCAATTGCCCAAGTCAAATTTGTGGCAACTGCACTCTGAACAACACAGGATCCTCCCTTTTCATTCTGAACACTCATGTTCAGCACCCGCCACAGGATTTCCCAAGCCACAATGAACTAGCATGCCACAGCGCTGGACGTGGATCCTGTATAACCCAGATTGATAAATGTTTCATAGTTCCAATAATCCGCCTGTGTACCCTGGCCGCTGACCGTGGCATTTCCCGTGAACTTTGCAGTCCAATAGGCGCTGCCTCGAGTATACTTTTTCCATGCAGCAAGACCAGTCTGGAGCGATTTTTGGCGTGAAGAGAAGGTATTATCAATTTCAGCCTGAATCGACCACTCTCCAACGAATGTTGGGAATTTTCCATCTCCTGCAGAGATTGCGGCATCTTCACAAATGTAGTCCGTGATGTTGGCAGAGCTTGCCAAGCGGCCTGCAAAATAATAATTGTGCAAGTCAAACACCAAGTTTGTTCCGGCACTGAAATTCGAAGACCAGTACGCTTCACCCTTGAAGCTGCCCTGGAACATGACAGGAATTTGAGAATTCACGGCCTGGACCTTGGAAATAACTTGGTGAATATAGCTTGCCAAGTAAGTGGCTCCACTATCGGTAAGGCAATATGGGGATCCGAAGAGTGAAAGGTCTTGGACGTCGACAGGCTCATTGATTGGCTCGAGCGTGAATGATTGAGGAGAGTTCGAGCCTTGAATGAAAGCAATAGCCGCATCGACAGCTTCCAAGGAATACTTGAGAGCAGTTGCATTGTTGAACCAGCCATAGTGTCCTTCAGCTTCACCAAACGGGAAGCCATTCACACCCCCAGGGAGAGAGTGAATGTCTATAATGATGTGCATACCATATTTGTTGATAGCGTAAGATGCAATGCTCGAAAGGAAGGATACTTGGTTTCCGTGGTACAGCTGCGATCCCGGGACCTCGACCCATGCGGCGTATGTAGTCGGAATGCGAAGCACGTTGATACCAGCTGCACCAAGCTTGTCGATATCGGCAGTAGTAATCCATGTGGCATATCGGCGTTCAAGAACTGGTCCACATTGGCTGCCAAGGTGGGCACAAAGTCCCCATTCGTCCACAGCGCCACCAGAATTTTTGGACCACCAAGTAGTATCGATGGTTGATTCCTGAACTAGCCAGCCGCCGAGATTGACACCCACGGCATTGAAGGTCTTCCAATCCAGGTATTGGGTCGATGCAGCCTTGCGAGCCATGGCAAGGCATACCAACAAGGGGTATAAAACAAAATTTTTGATCAATGTCATTTTGAAGAATTGGTCGATACTTTGTATGACAGACTAGTTTGTCCGTTGGGAGAAAAGTGAATGTTCCGTTGACGAGGTTATGCTCTCATTTATAGCACCGAACCTGCCTTCATCCATAACTGCGATGCCCCCATTTGAAGCGGAAGCGTATTCTAGTTCTTCTCTTGCAAAGGAAAGAGAAACGCCGATCGTGGTATAGTGGAGTGAATCCTATCCACTATGGAAGTTCTGAATCCCACGGAAATTATCCTCGTAACCGTGACCGTAGCCGTAACCGCAAATCCACAGGCTTTCTCAAAGACTCTCTAGTATACTCGGCCAGGCCCACATTCCGTACGAATGTGTTAGTACGTTCTCTGGTATGCTCGGCCAGGTCCATATCCGTACAAAATACACTAGCCATTAGCTCCGGTTTGCTAGACAGTCGAGCTTGTGGAGGTTCTTGTCCTCGTAACAAGCAAATCCCAGGGCGCCGTTGCGGAGTATGGGGCAAGAGGTTGGGGTGCTGACCAATGTCGAGTCACTGTGAATGACCTAGAGGTCTCGAAGTTATCAGGCACTCGGACTGAATTAAACCGAGATATCCCGAAGTGGCTGAGATTCGCTAGGATGGTGTCAGTCGCCATGTGGCAGACCCACGCGGCTGGACCTAAGGGTCTTTCGGTATCTCCCCACATCCCGGGGTAAAGGGCTATCCCCGCACTCACTAGATCCCGATGCAAATTTCCCCAGCCTTTGCTAGCTTATGCGCTTTTGTGGAGTCGAGAACACGAATGCGGGGAGTTGGTCTGCACAGTCAATGTCCATGGAAGATAAAACCGGACGTGTTTGCCCCACTGTCTGTAGGAAGGTCCATCCAAACCTATTTATATCAATTGCGCCGGACCCCAGAAAACGACAAGAATGGAAAAAGAACTACATGAGACCTCTTTTTTTCAATTTTCAATCATGTCTAGCTTTAAGCATGCATTTTCCTTATCGTCAGATCAAGTTCAAGCAGCTACTCCTCCGGGCACAATTGCCATATCAGGTGAGACAGACATGAATCACAAATTATACTTGCAAAAATTTCTTTGTAGGGTTACTGTCGATGATACTAATATTCGCAAGGACTAGCACATGCCTTGCACGAGGCTGAGCATGGGGAATTAGCTCGAGATCGTGAATTGGTGCTCGTTCCTCAACCCAGCTCAAGCCCGGCAGATCCACTGAACTGGGCAACCTGGCGCAAAATCGCAAGTTTGACCTGCATGTCGCTATATGCGGCTATTGGCAATTTCACTTCGGCATCTATCGCGAGCGCGTTTCCCCTTCTCGCCACTCCGCTGGCCTTTAATCCTCCTGTATCAATGGGTAGTTTGACTCATCTGATTGCTGTGCGTGCTTCAATGAAGAATCAAAGGAATGAAAGCTACTAATACTGAGCAAGGTCAATGTGCTTATGATGGGCGCCGCCAACCTATGGTGGGTGCCTCTTGCTAATATCTTCGGCCGGAGACCCATCATATTGGGGAACATCTTACTGCTAGTACTAAGCTGCATGTGGGCCGGGCTTGCGAGAAGTTTTGGAAGCCTGTTGGCTGCCCGCGTCGTCATGGGTATCGCAGTGGCGCCAGCAGACACAAGTAAGAAGCTGTCTTTGGTTCTCGTGAATTTCGAAAGTGGCTAATCGATACGGTGTACTTCTAGTTGCGCCAAATGTGATCGGAGAAATATTCTTCACTCACCAGCGTGGTCGAGCCATGGTAAGTCGAACTTGCCAGGACTTGGAGCTCAGAATTAACACCTTGTTCTGAAGGGATTCTACACGGTTTGCATCTGCTTAGGACCAATCATCGGGGGTATGTCCGGTGGATACATTGCTGGTACAAAGGGACTCGCATGGATCCACTGGGTCAATGTGATCTTGAGTGCCATCTTACTACTGGCCTGTGCCATCCTTGTGCCTGAAACTTTGTTCGACAGAACTAAGGCACTGCCCTCCAGTCAGAATCAGGACCTGATTAGCAGTGAAGGAAAGCCGGACGCTGAGATTGTTGAGAATGTTACCTCGACCTCTCCCGACGATAGTCTGAATCGGCAGACTATTTATGACTCCATGCTAAAAATGCGTAAGTATGAAGGGAACTTCCTTGAGAAGTTTCTGGCTCCGTGGAAAACACTTCGTCTGCCAGGTGTTTGGCTGGTTATGTTTTGGTACGCCGGTCTCGTGGGTGGCGTTGTTACCATCACCACGGTTGGACCGTCTCTAGTTGCCGCACCGCCATATCTCTGGGGTAACAATGCCGGTCTGATCATGACCGGTGGAATAGTCGGTGCCATCCTCGGGCTCATTGCAACAAATTTGTGTGCCGATCGTGTTATCATCAAGAGAAGCAAGTTGCAGGGCAATTCATTCGTCGAACCGGAAGCACGCTTGCCGATAGCAATCCCAGGGTTGTTTCTCGCGACTACAGGTCTCTGGACATTTGGCTTCTGCGCGCAGAACCTTGGGCCGGCGCATATGTGGGTGGGAATGCAATTTGGGCTTGGAATGCTTTGCTTTGGCTTGATGCAGGCGCCTTCAATTGGATTCAATTATGTGAGTGGCTCCTACCCATAACTGACAGATATAACTCCCATTACTAATTCTTACTCCTTCGGCAGCTTATTGATTCTTACGGTCCACTTGCGGCTGATTGCTTTGTGGCAGTGACCTGCATGAGGGCTATCATCAGTTTTTCATGGACCTTTTTTGCGGGTGAATGGGTCACGAGCGCTGGTCCAGCTATCCCATTCGGAGTGTTTGGAGCTCTCATGGGAATATTTTCCTTATTCACTATTCCAATTCTGATTTGGGGGAAGAGAATCAGGATTGCCACCGCTAATTGGGTTCATGGCTTTACTTGATCTAGGGATATCTCATTAACTGTATCTAAACTTAGTCAAATAAGCGCCAAGAGTAGGTCTATTGGGATCCAGAATCATATGAGGTGAAGAGTCTGGAGTCCTAAAAATTTACGTACCTTACTATCTGATGGGAGTTAGCATGTGATTTGGTGCAGAGCCATACCCTAGTCCGGTTACAGCCTACTGTTGGAAGGCATAGACCGATTTGAAGCGCATTAGGCCTTTAGCTCCCCTTGAGATATACTGGCTCGCATGGAATAGACGAGAACCTCGTTGACCCTGTTTTCTGACCTCGTCCGCCTCTTTCGCCCCTTTCAAACTTCCAACATTAATTATCTACAATCCGTACCAATATAGATCAATCATAGCTCTAGCTCAGGACAAGTACTGACGTCAATATGGTGTGTAGTATACTTTGAATTAAGCGAGAGCTTCTTTCGGGGATCGGTTATTCCAGAACTGCTAGGCGAGACTCGAAACATCTTTGCCAAAGCTAATTCATATCGCCGAGCAAGGTGGAGCCGCGCCCCCGAATGAGCGGGGCCGAAGACCCGATAAACTTGGGTTATCAAAAAACGCAGTGTTTATTATTGTATAAAAATTGGTTTAAGAAGGGAATTCGATTTTGCTCACAAATGCTCCCGTCTACACTTCTAAACGGTCAATTGTCCCGCGAGCTCAATACACCCCCCCACGTCTATCTGAACACTCACGATGAGCACCAATCAACTCCAACTTCCCCCGCAAAACCGGTACATCACCACACATAACGCAGATGGCAAGGCGGTGTTTTCAAATCAACTGCCAGACGCCATGCCGAAACAACTTTTCAACGAGATACCGTTCGGCCTAGCTTACACGTCCAGCGAATTCCCTGCCCAACTGTCCGCAGAGGCCGATCTTGCGAAATACGAAGCCAACCTGTCCACACCTCCTGGTCTGGTTATTTCCACCGGGACCGTTTGTCGGATCGTCGATTTTGCCCCCCATGTTGGGAGTCCAATGCACCGCACTGTATCTTTGGACTACGGGGTTGTGCTGGAAGGCGAGGTGGAGCTTTCATTAGACAGCGGAGAAAGGAGAATTTTGAAGAGAGGCGATGTGGCAGTTCAGCGAGCTACAAACCATGCTTGGAAGAACGTTAGCCCTGATAACGGGTGTGCCAGAATGCTCTATGTGCTTACTCCTTGCCAGCCCGTTCAGGTAGAAGGGTTGGGGCTGCTCGGCGAAGCGGTTGATGGTATTGGTGTCAAGGCCAGCGAATAAACAAATTTATGGGCTGTTACTTGTATGAGTTTACTTAGAACTGCTAAGCAAGGATCATGCTATTTCTCCGTCAAAGATGGAAGAGGAATGCCCGGACATCAGTGTCGCATAAACTGAAGGTAGTGACGTCTAACCAAATATAAAAAAGCGTTGAATTTTTCTCTACCTCCAAGAGCAGAAAAAGTAATACAGCATTTTACTTAGCCGTATTTGCAAAGTCGTAGCTAGCCATGACCGTTCCATTCCACGCCCTTGTAGGTAGGTTTCTGACCCCAAAATATGTGGTGACGTTGGAATCCTCAACGTCCCACTACTTCTAAATAGTGCAACCTAATCGGGTTAGCGTGGCAGAATATGGCCTGATCATTTGTTGCGGCCTGAGGCTACAGTAGTGTGACGGCAAAAGAAGCCCGTATGACTAAGAATGTTGCCCATGGAGCATTTTTGGTCTAGCGGTATTTTACCCCATCTAGATTCGACATAGTGTAAGTGATCCGAGGTCTGGAATAATCGGATGTTGTCCACCTCTTCCGACACGTCCTCAAAATGAGGCTACCTGCCCCGCGAACTCCAGTCAGCGATGGCCGAAGACGCTTTTTATAAAAAAACAGCTAGAAATTCTGAACCTGCAGAAACGACATACTATTCAACGAGATATGATTCCACTGACAAGCCTTCACACTCCTTGAGCCCACTGCCTCACCTACTGCCTCGTAACTAGCCATGGACAATGCCAGCCGACCATCTATGGGTTCTCGCACACCTGAAATGCCCCGAAGTCTTTCCCGGGCCCTTTTCCAATGCAGAGTATGCAAGAAAGGATATGACAAAGCTGATCATCTGAAACGCCATGTCAAGTCTCGTATGGTAGCCTGGAAGGCATTATTGGTTCTTCTAACATCCCGAAAATCTGGTCTAACTCTTCAACACAGATACCGTTGATAAGCCTTTTGTTTGCGAGAGATGCGGCAAGGGGTTCTTGAGAATGTTGGTTCCTTATCTGTATACATTATTATCATCGCTCAAATTCCTGATAAATTACCAGTGAACTTCTCCGCAGGCACACTCAGAGCCATAACTCTGAAAATAATCGTGACGGAGCGGGCGGCTGTTCAGGGATTATTGCACGTGCGTCGCAGGCATGCAAGCGATGTGCGGCGTCTAAGCTCAAATGCGACGATAATAAACCCTGCCGAAGATGTGTGCGGCGAAATCAGATCTGTCAATGGTCCCCGAGAGATGACACTCTTGCGAGCCCGGAGGCTCATGTGAACACCTTGGAGCATGATCCACAACCCGCGGGACAAGCTGGGAAAGATATTTCGGGCAGTGCCGGAGCTACGGTCTCTTCCGAGAAATCAGTGTTCGCACGCCCGTTTGAAGGTACTGTACACGTTTAGTGGCCACAGACTCATACGACTAGAAGCTAAGCCGATCATCCTTTAGGAGAGAGTGAAATTTCTTCCGGACTCGAAAACATCGGTCAAGGATGGGAAGGTCTCAATGCATCTAATGCATTTCCACTCATGGTTCGTGGCCTTCTGTCTCGTATATTTGAAAAATTCGAATTATTCTCACCAGCAATACAGGAATCTGGCCAGTGGAACTCATATGACAGTTTGGGCGTCGACTTCGGGCTTACTGACGAAGATCTGGAGTTACTAGACTCCATTAATAGGCCGGTTTCAGCTCAACAAGCACCGGACTACCCAAAGCAGTTTGCTCCACCACACGATGCTCTGACTAGTAGGAAACCCACTCGTCAGATTAGCAAGGTTGATTTACAAGATTCCCCACTGTCTCATTGGAGTCCTTGCAAGGAGGACAATGCGCACATGGACCAGCAGTATTTGTCTCTGCCCCAGCATCTCGACAACCCACAGTCATACGGTGTCCTTGAGCCACAAAACCTCAGATATCCTCTTTCAACAGAGAGCCGAGATGCAGCTTTTGCACTTGTTGTCAAAATTTGTCAATGGAAAAACCTCAATCGAATCATGCAATGTTTCCCAAGCACGAAGCTCTTGGACAGCCTGATACATAATTTCTTCACCCGACACAGATCAGAAACTGACACTTGGATTCACGAGCCAACTATGAACCTTAACCAAGAAGGTCCTGAAATGATCTTGACGCTTGCCGCTGCAGGAGCAGTTCTTGCTAAAGTTGATGCAATCCAGAGGCTTGGCTATGCCATGTTTGAGGTGGCTAGGCTCAAGGTCAATAGCAGGGTAATTATTGGTAATCATGACTGTCTGGATGAATTTCTGACGTTCGATAGTTTGAGGATGACAACACCCTCGCTCGTCAGTTGAAGCAACAACAAATGTATACACTCATTCTACAGATTGGACTTTGGAGCGGCGACAAACGACGTGTCGAAATTGCAGAGAGCTGTTTCCAGCCTGTTGTCACGGTGAGATCAAGGATCCCAATTCCACAGTGTGATGATTGGGGCCTAATTATGGAGCAGATGCTGCGGCGAGCCTCACGCTTCAAACACGAAGTCTATCCCATTATCGCTCCCTCGGCGACTGACGATGAGTCAACCCTTGACCACAAATGGCGTACATGGGTGGAGCTGGAATCCTTTAAAAGGTGATCACCATATGCGTCCCGCTGACAAGTTGTATCTCAAATGTGCTGACTTAAGTAATAGGCTCGCCCACTATGTCTTTATCCATGATGCCCAAGCATCTGCGTTACGATCTACAACCCCACTCATATCTCACTCGGAGTTCGATCTCCCTCTGCCGTTCTCACGCAAACTCTGGAATGCAAAGACCGCCGCCGAGTGGAAAGCCATATACATTCAAGAGGTTCCCCAATGCCCATCTACTTCAGTATCTCTGGCCACCATCTTGCAAGATATCACCACTTTAAGCTCCATTCCTTGCTACGTCGACTTCCAACTAGCGGCCCTGGCAACCATGAACGGCATATCAAAAATGATAGCTGACTGCAACCGGATACTTCGAGACTCAGGCCGCCAATGGAGCACTGCGGTCGCGAATTTATGGCAGCAAGAACTGGTCCAACTTCTGGAGCAGTTTCAATTCCTTGCAGTCGAACCTCTCAAGGATTCACTACCGGCCATGTCTCTTATTTACCAAACAGTTTCACTTTCATTATATTTGCCACTTGGTGTTCTCGAAACCTTTTCAGGCAAGGATGGCGAGGAGCGATCTTCTGCCATATACGAATCATTGATTCAACATATAAGCCCGACACATCTGCGAAAAGCGAGCTGGCACGCGAGTCAGGTGCTACGTATTGCAAGATCCATGCCTCATGGATCGCTTGTGGCTTCTCGGGCTGCTTGCGTGTACTTTAGTGCACTGGCCTTGTGGTCTCTTGCCACAGTGTTCTCGTGGAAGGGAATGAATATGGTGACTGGAAACCGCGGCACCGACCAAATTTTGTTTTTGGATGGCGAGGATGACGGCGATGCACTGCGCCGATTCATCGCTTTAGGTCAGGGAAGCCCTGCTCTATCCTCTGCCGGCCAGTATGTGCACTTACAAGACCGGGGGGCAGTCATGCGTCTCTTTCAGCAATTACTCTGTCCAGAGAATGGTGGATATGCAATTGATCAACAAGGGAGGGCTCTCAGTCACGCTTTTACCATACTGGGACGAAACGGCGACGCGATAGATGGAGGAACGGAAGACGACGACGACGACACCCAATACTAGCGAGACAGTAATATCTCTTGAGATCAGTGTGGAGTGAGATCAGTGTGGAGCATGTTCTGGGGGAAGTGAATTTAATGCTCGTATAGCGTTTTTGCTGTAGCAATTTCGACATTTCCTAATTATTCTTTCCTGCATTCAAGACCACGGCATGACCTAAACCTATCACGAATGCAGTTATCCGATCACAAAGAGCCCTCGTTGATCATTCAACTAGTGATTAGCATAGATATCCTAGTCAACGAAAGCCATGGAAATGGAGGAAGTCTCTTTTATACGTATGCTTTGTTCCCTGCTTCTACCCGGGGGCTTTATGTCATTGCCGAATCAAGCTTGCATTAGTTCCAAGTTGGCCAGCAATTTTACAAAGATGCTATTATAGTACTCTGGTGGTTTTTTTAACTCCCTTCTTTAAGATTGATATTCCACTGTGGATGATTATCTTAGAACATATTAGTCCTTTGAGAATGATCAAGCTACCGAGACATCGCTTTCGAAATTACTCTAGTTGGACTATTAGCTTTGATAGAGTGAATCCTCTAGTCTGAATATTTCCGTTGAGAATGCTGTCTATCATCGTGAGATCCAATCTACGATCCTCTCCTGGTGTAGTGATCAGTGGAGGGCCTTTAGGTCAATCGACTTAAGACTTTATATCATAAAGATCCCAATACTATCGATATCGTGAATTCTCATCTTCAAAATTCAAGTTCGCAGCCACTTGGTTTCCAAGTTTTTAAGTCACAGCTATACCTTACATCCCTTTCCGAGTCACATCCAAACAATGGCTCTGTATAGTGCCTCCTTGGTTTATTTGCTATTTTTCGGCCTGCTCTTTCCTCCCAACATGGTCGAAGATGCACCCATTGTCTTTTCTGTCGGCATGAGTTTTTCACTCGCCGTTGCAATTGTCATCTTCTGCAGCGTCTCTGCACAGCGCACGAGTTTTATTCGCCCGCGTAATCCTTTGAATGATGGTGAAGGCCGTGAATCTGATTATCTTGAACTTTGGGCTTGGCAGTATCTTCAACAGGGACGAGGATAGAGATCTTGAAGATTTGAATTTTCGTCGAATATTTGGTCAGCTCTTTTATTGTTTTCATACTACTCCTAGATTGTGGTGGCTTATGATGTTGATAGTAAACTTTAGACTTCTTATCTTGGAAAGTGGATCCACGGGCACGTGTCCGGAGTTCCGGGGTTCATGTCGTGGCTTTTCCAGTGGCTTTACGACTTGACTATTCTTGAGCCTCATTCATTATCGCATTTACATTCAATCTATACCTACACTCAGTATATACTTCTCTACTGCATTTTTGCGCTCAATATACTCATCATGGTCCGCGCCAAACGCCAAAACACACAGCCTCTCGAGGATGCCTCCGTGGCCCCCGCGACGTTCACCGACGGCCTCCCACTTCCCAAACTGATCGCATTCGATCTGGACTATACCCTATGGCCCTTCTGGGTCGACACACACGTCAGCGCACCTGTCAAGGCCCGTGACAATAACTCACGCGTTGTGGATCGGTATGCCCGCCCAATCAGACCTGTCCTCTAGCCTCGTTTCTAACATGCAATGCCTTCCTGCAGATGGGGTGAATCATTTGCCTTCTACCCAGCCGTCTCATCTATAATCTACGCCTGCAAGAACCGATCGATTCCCTTGGCGATCGCTTCACGTACGCATGCGCCCGATCTAGCTCGCGATATGCTCAAAGCCCTTCACATCATCCCTACCTTCTCGGACAACCCCGCAGCAAACAATGCCAAATCTATTCGCGCTCTGGAGTACTTCGACTTTGTCCAGATTTTCCCCAGCAATAAGACACAGCATTTCTCGCGCATTCAGCAAACTAGTACGGTCACGTACGAAGATATGCTGTTCTTTGACGACGAGGCGCGGAATCGCAATGTGGAGACGGAGCTCGGGGTTACATTTTATCTTGTCCGGGATGGTATGACTCGGGACGAGGTTGATAAGGGCGTTTGGGCATGGAGGAAGCGCAATGGTATTAAGCAGAGAACGGTTGTAGATGAGATTTAATCTTTGCTATGAGCTCGCTACATATACTCTATAGGACATGTCGATATGAAGGGGATACTTAAGCTTGGCTTATGGGTGTTCGGTATATTGGACGGTAATGATTAGATACCCCAGGGAATTATGCCTTGACGTACTGTACAGATTCTTGCTTGAAAATTCCGCATTATTACTCATTGTTTCGCTTGTAACTATTCATTTTCTCTTTCATCGTAAGCTATAGTTATGCATCCCTCCCAAAGACCTTCAAGACCGCGACCCACGGAAGCTGCACGGGCCCGCCCAAACTCCGCAATCGCCGGCCCCAAATTGAACCTTCGCGCTGAGCACCAAAACATCTACAAAACAACTCCCCAACAAGGAAAATATCCCTCACAATGGCCACCCTAAAACCTCCTCCAGCGCAGCACCGCTCCTCCTCGTCCTCACATACACCCACCGGTCCCCCCAAGGCCCCCCTCAAAGCCGATCCCTCAGCCACCATCGCAGACACAGCAGTCTTCCAAGGAACATACCCCGTAACCATCGGCGCGGGCACAGTCATACACCCACGAGCGCGATTCTATGCCTACGAGGGCCCAATCTCCGTAGGTGATGGATGCATCATCAGTGAAAAGGCAATTATAGGAGCTGCGCCGGGTACATCAGCGTCAACGAGGCCATCACCGTCATCCTCGACGGGTCCATCCCCAACATCCTCATCTACCGACGTCACATTGTCAACACCACAAATACAAGGATCAGGACAAGAAACAATTACGCGCATTTCCTACTTCGTCACTATTGGCCCACACTCTACAGTCCTACCTGGCGCAAATATCCATTCCTCGGCCACAATTGAGTCCCTCGTCACGATAAACCGATACGCGGACGTTGGCGCACACTCCAAGATTTGCTCTGGTTGCCAGATCCCAGCCAACGGGTCTGTTCCTGAGTGGACGGTTGTTTGGGGCTCTGGGATTGGACAAAGAAGAAAACGAGCTCGTACTGCGAGGGAGCCTGCGCCGGCGGTGGTGGTTGCGGCTCAGGTTGCGCAGATTCCTGTGCCGCCGCCGGCCCCGGAGGGGAAGATCATTGAGAATGCGAGGTTGATGGTTCTTCAGAAGGAGAGGGAGGTATTGGGGAGGATGATTGTGCCTGCTGGGGCTTCGAAGAAGAAATAAAGCTGTGTTGGGTCCTCTAATACTGAACAATTGGAATTTCAGGTGTTGATATGGCGGCGCTCTCCTCGGGGGAGGTTTATTTTGCGTATACCCTATTCTTGCAGTCTAATCGATGATGAAGGATCTTTTCCGAAGAACATCTGTGTGTGAAACTCTCTACAAGTTAGAAATGTTACGGTGCACATGTCATTACAGCTGGTAACAAGATTGAACCTCCAGAAACTGCACTATACATTGAGCATCTAGTTACAATAACATAGGGGAAAAATTGCTCAGCGGCTTGAAACATCACGGCCACAAAGGGGAAAAAAAAGCAAAACCTCGAAGGCAACCCAACCCTTGCCTCTTTTCAGAAATAGGAAATACATCCATAGAAACGTACAGAAAACAGAACCATCCTACTAAGATGATGCCCCTCCACGAGCCGGGCCACCGCCTCCTCTCATCCGCTTCCCACCACTTACACCTTCATCAGCGCCATCTTCCCGGGTTCGCTTGTTGCTTTGGGGCGTAAACTGACGTGCCTGGACATTCAAACCACCACGACCAGCAACAGGGCTGGCGGGGGTTTGATTTTGGGCACCTCCAGCGTTTTGGTTGCCTCCGCGACCTTGGCCGCCACGGCCTCCTCGGCCACGAGGGAGACCCGTACCACGTTGAGCTTGAGTCTGTCCCTGGACTTGCAGTTGCTCACCCTGTTGCGGCTGGATGTGGCCGAATGGGTTCTGTGGGCCACCACCACGGCCCCCACGACCCCCACGAGCAACAGGCAGGCCGGACTGTAAAGCCCGCAGCATACCTGGAGCCGTACCTGATGGAGGTTTTGAAGGCAGTGAGGATGGTTGCTGCTGTGGCTGTGGTGCTGGTACACTGACTTCGGGAGTAGTACCTCCAGGCACGGGTTGGGGAACGGGCGGGGCAGCTTGCTGGTGAGCTTGCTGGTGAGCTTGCTGGGGAGCAGGGGCTGGACTAGATGCGGCTGGGCTCGGCTGTGCGGGGGAGGCAACGGGCGCCGGAGATGTACCTGCTTGGGCTTGGGCCTTGGGAGCAGCAGCGGGAGGCTTCGCTGACTTTGCAACCTCCCAAACTTCAACCACTGGTTTTTGAGGGGTCTCGTTGGCGGCCTTGGAAACAATATCAATCTTTACCAATGATGTCTTGAGGCGTGTATCGAGCATGCTAATGCGAGCGGCTGTCTTCTTGTCGGAGAGTTGCACGGCAGCCTTGACCTTTTCGACGGTTTCCTCCTCCTGGGCTTTCTTCAATGCGGCCAAGGCTTCTTCATAGGCCTTGGAAGCCTTTTCGGCCTCCTCTTTGAATTTCTCCTCCGCCTGAACGACCTTGGTGCGGATATTATTCCTAACAATGGTCCGGAGGGTCTCATTCTTCGCTAAAAGTTCACGAACCTGTTGATCGGTAAGGTCGAGAAGATCAGAAGGAGCCTTTGATGGCGTGGTTGGTGTTTGCTCGGCGCCGGCCACGGGGGTGGCAGGGACGGGGACCTCTCCAGATGACAGCTTCTCAAGTTCCTGACGATGGCCAGCGCGGATCTCGGCCAGTTTGCTGTTGTAAGAGTCCTTAAGTTTGTCTGCGCGCTCTTTGACCCTAGCTTCCATCTCCGCATCCTTGGTAGCGATCATAGCATCCTTCTCCGCCAGGGCAGCCTCCAATCGTTCAATCTTAGCTTCCAGCTCCTTGATCTTCTGTCCGTCACCAGGCGACACCACTGTGGTAGTCGTCGTGGGGAACTGTGACGCGGGTGTGGCGTTCACCGGGGCAGCCTCCTCTGCGGCTGGAGCAGCTGGTGTGGCCGTCGGGGGAGCTGGTGTCTCCAAGGCCTTGGCCTTGACTGTCTCGAGCTCCGCCTTGGTGCTCGCCAACTCACTTTCCACGACGTCCTTTTCTTGCTTCAGGGTATTGATCTTTGACGAGAGGTCTCTCGACCGGGCCTTGAACTGGTCAGCCAGTCTTTGACGCAGATCGGTTAGGCGAGTCTCCGCAGCTTGCTCTGCAGCTTCGAGTTTTTCTGCAGCTTCAGTTTGAAGAGTGTCGCGCGCAGAGATGGCCTCATCTCGCTCCTTTTGCAAAGTGCTCAGTTTCTCATTCAATGCCTCCATCTCCTGAGGATCAACGCGATCATATTTCTGCAGGATGTTTTGCACCCGCTTCTGATAATGATCCCGGTCGGCCTGCAACAGCTGCATTTCCCCATCCTTGGCCTCAATAATGCCCTCAAGCTCTCGGATCTTGGTCTCCAAGGGTTCGATTGCCTGACTGAGCTCATCAACACGAGCAGACTTTTCGGCGAGAGTAGCTTCAGTTTCCTTGACCTGGTTTCGAAGGGTAACACTGCTTTCGCGGAAGAGGTTCAGCTCGTTGAGAGTGTCCATGAGTTTGTTATGGCTCAAAGTATTGTGCTCGTTGTCTGCGGTAGCTCGGCGTTGTTGCTCAAGCTTTAGACGAGTTTCGTCAAGCTGAGACTGCGTGTGCTCGAACTGTTGCCGGAGGCGCTTGGCTTCTTGGGTAGAGAGGTGATACTGGACTTCCACAATTTCCTTCTCACGTCGAAGGTATTTGATGACCTCCTGCAGACCCTCGAGGTCGGGAGCCGCCTGATCGGCATCCTGCTCGTCGCCTTCGAGCACGCTGGCACGGTCACGTTTAAGAGCAGCAATCTGGGCAGTTATACCCTCGAGCTGAGTGTGAAGAATGGAATTTTGATGATTCACCTCCTCGCGGCGTTTCTGCACCTCGGTGAGCTCACCTTCATACCGCGCTTTCTGCTCGAGCCAGCTCTCTTCCTTTTGGGCGAGGTCCTTCTTGTACGTCTCAGCTTGAGTCCGCAACTCAACCATATCCAACTTCAACTTGTTCGCCTCGGCTCGAACGGCTTGGACATTCTTGGCAGCCTCGGCATGCTTGATAAGCTCTGCCTCATAGTTCTTCTGGAGGTTTTGCGAAATATCGGACTGTGCCTTGAGATCATCCTGGTGACACTGTGCCGCGGCGACGTGTCTTTCGTTATCGTCCTTTAAGCGAGTGATTTCAGACTCCAGATTAGCCTTCTGCTCCTCCAGATGACGTGTGGCTTCACCCTGCTCATCGCGGAGCTTGGAAATCTCCGTGTTGGTGGTGGACAGCTCGCTGGAGATTTCTTCAATTCGGCTCTCGAGATCTTGGATCTTTTTATCCTTCTCCTCGATCAGGCGATCAGTCTCTTCACGGTATTGCGCATGCGTATCGGCTTCGGCTTCCATCCGTTCCTCAGTCGACTGACTAATGGCCCGATATTCCTCAACTTGCTCCTTGGCATGAGCAAGCTCACCCTTAGCGAGATCAAAATCACGCTTGAGCTCTGAAATCTCGATGAGAAGCTCCTGCTCGCGAGTAAGACCACTGGCATCCGTAGCTTCTTCCGTGAGAGTGGAGCGCTCAGCCGGACCAGCCGAAATGCCAGGGCGTGACTGAACAACTTGGAGACGCTCTTCAGCACTCTTCAACTCAACAGCGAGCTCGTCGACCCGTGACTGAAGGTGGTCCCTGGTAGTCTTGGTTGCAACTAATTCCTCGCGAACGGCGCCCAGGCTGGTAACCAAGTCATTGATTCGCTTCTGACTCTGCTCCTGGTCGTAGTCTCGACGCAACACGGCCTGCTTGGCACTCTCGGTCTCGTCATGAAGCTTCCGTTTCGTAGACTGTAGCTCAGATTCGAGTGTTTCCACACTTGATTGCAGTCGGCGACGGCTGTCAGAGTCGGCGTGCTCTCGCTCATTAAGAATCGTCTGAAGGTTTGCGTTCAGTAAGTCAAGGCGACCACGCTCATTACGCAGACTCTCTATGTCATCAATCAATCGCTTCTCGATGCTCTTCCATAGATCTTTCTCGGCCTTGAGATTAGAGTTCTCTCGCTGTAGACTCTCAACAAGACCCTTGGCCTCAACAAGATCCTCGGCGGCTTGTTGCGTTCGAAGCTCCAATTTGCTGGCATTTTCGAGCAAAGTAGAATAGCGATTTTGAAGCCCACCATTCTCGTTCTTAAGCATGTCAAAATTAGTCTGAAGAAGTTCAGCACGTTGCGAGGCAGCAGCAAACTGGCTGTTCAATCGGCTAATCTCGCTCATCAGCTCGCTGTTCTTTCTTGAGAGCTCGTTGACTTGTTGGCGTAAGGAGGAGTGATCTGCAAGCGACTCCTCGCGGAAAGTATCGTAGTGAGCTTGCAACTTGCGAAGAAGATCGCCGTAATCTGTGGTGTCCTTCATTTGGCTATCAAAGGCACCTGGAGGCGCAGAACCGGGAGGGACAGATTGAGAGAAAGCCGTGTCTCCTCCGACGGTTTGGCGACGGTGACCAAGTAGGCTTCGGAGTGTGTCGCGCTCCTGAAGGTAGTTCTTCGACTGGGAAACAAGATTGGCAATCTCGTCACGGTAGGCCTGTACACGGATTCTCAGTTCCTTCAATTCCTCGACTTCCTGTTGGCGAATAGCATCCTTGGCGCGAGCCTCTTCGCCCTCCATCTTATCACCAAGCTCCCGCAGCATACGCCGGAGCGTCATATTCTGCTCTTGAAGCTCGTGGAAGTCCTTGAAAGTAACAAGGTTGCGAGTAATGAAACTACCGGTCGGGCTGAGTTCCGCTGCAGATTCTTCGATCTCGCCGCGAGCGATCTTCTCGAGCTCGTCACGATCGTACTCTTCGCCGTGCTTGGTAATGGCCAACTCCAACACCAGAACCTTGACTTGGGAGCTGAGGTCTCGAAGCTGTTGGCGAAGGATATCGCATTCACGGGTTAGGCCCTCGACCTTGCCCTGCCACTTCCGGGACTCCTTGATAGCGTCATCGCGGTCCTTCGAAGCTATTTCCAGGAGGCCCGACATGTCCATCACGGCATCCTGAAGACGTTGGTGATCACTCCGAAGATCGTCGATCTCCGGCTTGGTCGACTCCAGCTCAGTGACCATCTCATCGAGCGTAGACCGTAATTCTTGGTTGGTCTTCTGCTCCGCAGAGAGCAGGGTACGCATCTTGTCGTACTCTGTGTACATCTGAGTAAAGGTCATGTGACCCTTGGTCCGGGACATACGCGGGGAAAACGCGCTGCCAGGTGTTCCAGGTCTCGTGGGAGTGGCAGGTCCTAGTCCATTCAGAGAACGAGCAGGGCTTGCGGAGCGATTGTGAGATCCTTGTGACTCGAACTGGGCAAGTGTCGCCTCGAGCTCAGATACGCGAGTCTCTGCGGCCTCCTTATCGGCATGCTCGGTCTCCATTTCGACACGCAGGCGGGAAATTTCTTCCGCGGCTTCGTTCTTAGCGTGATCCAGGGCAAGCTGACATTCCTGTGCACGTTGCTTGGCAGAGATGGCAGAGGATTCCTGCAACTTGGCTAGTCGACTAGTAGTCTCCAGTTCGATGCGGAAGGTCTCTTCAGTCTGAATAGCAGTTTCTTTTAGCTGACTGATGTTGGCGAGAGACTCTTCGTAGCGCTGCTCAGTCGAGTCGAGTCGAGCCTTGAGCGTGTTCTCACTGCGTCGCAGGGTATCGATGGTGTTGGCTGCCTCTTCATTTTCACGCTGAAGCTCGGCAATACGCGCGCTCTTCTCCTTGCGGAACTTGGTGTATTCCGCAGCCTTCGTCTTCAGCTCGGTCTCAAACCACTCATTGTTCTTTTTGGTAAGATCGACCTCTTGCTGGAGGTTCTGCTCGCGGAATCGTGCGCTAGCAGCAGCGGAGTTTGCAGCCTGAAGATTCTGCTCGGCAGTGGAAAGCTCCCGGCGCAGCTCGATTGTTTTCTTGTGCTGAGCTGAAAGCTCCTCAGCTAGCTTATCGTGGGCTGCAGACTTCGACTCAAGCAATGCGAGGCTTTCGCGTTTTTCGGACTCAAGTGTCGAGATCCGTGACTTAAGGGAGTTGAACTCGGTCTGGTTCGATGTGGTCGATGATTTGAGCGTAGAAATCTCGGACTCCAAGGCTGAGCGCGTGTTTTCTGTCGAATGTCAGAATAATCACAATATAGAAACAGAAAATTGCGTTGGACTGAAAGTACCGGATTCGTGTAGTTTCTTTCTTAGATCTGCGACGTCTGCGTGACCCTTCTCCACGGTAGTCTTCAATACCTTTACTTTCGACTCGTTGGTCCGCACAGCATTTTCAAGCTCGACCTCCAGGCGAAGCTTGTCAGACTTGAGCTCATCAAACTCATGTGCCTTCTTAGTGATGGATTGAAGAAGCTGATTAACCAGGTCTGTGGTCGGGGCCTGAGTCAAGGTGGAGAGAGTAGCTTCCGGGATGGCATATTGCGAAGACAGATACGGCAGGGCGACCACCGTGTCCGCCATAGTGAAATGGAGCTCGCCAATGGCGAGGTGGTGTGACAGTTGTGTTGAGGTGAAAGATAATTGAGTCGCGGCGCAACGCTGTAGCTGTATCGATAGCTCTTGAGGTTCCGAGACGCGGGTGTGCACTGGAGTCAAGTACAGACGGCGCGATTGGAGAGCCTTAGTACATGGCGATACAGTAAAGGAATGTGGAGTCGTAGCGATTAAAAAGGGACGACAGATGGATGGGGGAGGAAAAAGGAAAATCGAGCCAGACGAAGTGAGGCCAAGAGTCAAAGGGCGATGGTGCCGTGCGCGCGCCTTGGGGTTGCTTCCGTCAAAGGCGGTTGGCACGCCGATAGTCACGTGATTACTCTTTCAGCCCCGTCGAAGCCTCCACGGTCTTGAACTCTTTGGTCTTCGGACCTTTGATTCTCTTTGCTTCGGGCAAGGCAACCACCTTCTCATCTTCTCCACCACTCCCTTCTACTGTTCAACGGACTGCATTGCATTCCTTTGAACCACTCCTTCTCATATGATCGAGTTCGCTCAAATCTTGCGAGCTTTTCTTTAGCTCAACCACTCATCCACACCTGGTTGTGATCCTCGACCTAGCTCTCTTTCACCGACCGAACCTCTCATCCTCGACTCCAGCCGATCCTTGGTCCGCTGTCGCAATCATGTCATACCTTCAACAGCACCTGAAGAGCTTCAACGCCAGCGTTGTAGAGTCGGCGAACCGCCTACCCCAGCAGCGACGGATGGCGGCCAACAATGCCTCGGTTTCTGCCAGCAGCTCGCAGGTACCTTCGTCTGCACCGACTCCTTCCTCGACTGTCGACTTGAAAAAGAAGCGACATGATGCAGACATTGTCTATTCTCAGCCGGCAAATACGGGCACTGGCAAGGACATCATGACTCAGGTCCTCTTTGCGATCGAGCACATGAAAACCAAGGGTGTGCCTCTGAAATTTGGGGATATCGTATCCTATCTGTCACTCCAGCATCGTGCCCATGATCCAGCCTACGTCCAGGCCCTCCGCAGTATCCTTCAGAGACACGAGAAAGTGGACTACGACCCGGCCGGCGCCGGTGGCGAGGGGACATTTAGCTTCCGGCCTCCGCACAACGTTCGCAACGCCGAGCAGCTTTTACAAAAGTTACAGTCGCAGAAGACAGCCGCCGGTATGAGTGTTCGTGAGCTCCGCGAGGGCTGGTTGAACGTTGAGGAAGCCATCAACCAGTTGGAAAAAGAAGGAAAACTACTTGTGACTCGGAACAAGAAGGATGATCACGCGAAGATGGTCTGGGCGAATGACCCCTCGCTGATCGAGCATTTCGATCCAGAGTTCAAGCAGATCTGGGACAAGATCAAGATCCCTGACCCCCAGGCTGTCAAGGAAGCCTTGGACAAAGCGGGCATCATTCCTACGAACAAGAACAAGGTCATGAAACCCCGGATTAAGGTGGAGCAGAAGAAGACCAAGAAGCCCCGACGCAGTGGCAAGACGACCAACACCCACATGCAGGGTATCCTGAGAGACTACTCTCATCTCAAGCGGTGATTCGCTTCTGCCTCTCTAGGCAAAGGTTCGCAGTATTCGAGCCAAGGAAAACTCTTTTATTCTATCTGCATTGCATCGGTGTTACGGGCCTGCTGGTATTTCTCATGGTGGCTATCTCAAGTTACCTTGCTTTTCGAGTCTTTTTCTGCACTAGTCTGACAAGATGAACGCTGCCAATATTGCAAATTATTTTAGATACCCAGATAAACCACATCAAACCTGACATTCAAAACAAATTATGCGAACATCTAAACCCAGGTATCGCACTTCCCGTACCATGGCTTAGCTTCTGCTTCTGTTGCCGTAGCTATTTATGCCAATACCACGGGCACCTTCACGACTCACACCCTCCACCTCCCAAATTTTTTACAGTCTCAGAAAATATCTCAAGTTATCGACAAAATGACAGACCTGAGACCCTGGTTCGACCTCCGATCCATGCGCGGGCACTACCAGCCCCGCAGCATCATTACTGATCGGTGACTATTTCGGCTCCACAAGGCATCGGGCGGGGCTCATGAATCCTCTTTCTCTAGGTGGGAGACTAACTTGTTTTGGGCCGGGAAGGACCTCTTCGGTAAATATAGTACTGCCTCCATGTAGTACCATTGCCCGCGTTCATCACAGAAGCTGCTAGGTGGAGGTACCTAGCACATGATCCATACATACATCGCCCCACACATAGGTAGTCGCCAAGACGATGATTCACGGGGTACCTTCCACGAGTAACTACGAACTATCGTCATCGGATAATCAACTGTGGCTTCGGTTCTTCATGCTCTCGTCATTCGAATGCATAGAGATCTATCTGCTTCCCAGTTCTCGCCGGCCTTCCTCTGAGCGAGGATTGACTGCTTGACCTTCTCCCATTCATCGCCGCGCCATGCTCACTAAGAGATGGTTCCCACTGCCGACCTTTCGTGTAGGCAATCTGCCCTCTCAATGGAATTTGGAAAATGAGCTCAGCAAGACTAGCTTTGAACTCAACTGCTTCAGGTCTTTGGCCAAGTCCTTCAAAGGCACGGTCGCGCCCAGCTCCTTGGCGAACCATGTTCGGAATTCCATCTCAATCAGCGAATCGACTCCGTTCTCTCGGACGCTGAGAGAGTCATCAAATGAATCCTCACTTACATTAAGCAAGTTGGCCATCTTGTGTCTGAGAGACTCATGGATGATTTGTGCAGCGTCGGTTTGGGTTGTAGCTGCCTGGAGTTGATCGCGAATAAGAGGTGCTGATTTTCCGGCCTCTGCACCAATAGCACCGGAAGAGCCCTGGGGAGCTGGCGGGAGCTGAGAGAACATTGGATACTGCAAATGACTGGGTTGCGCTTCGTTTCCGAGGCTGTAGGAAGTTGGGTTTCGGAGACCGCAGACCAGCTGCGCGCTATCAGAACTCAAGGCAGTGTGATGACGTTGGTCAATCATGTACTCAACCACAGCCAACACCTCTTCTTCAGTTTGTTGATTGGCCATCTTGAACGTGTGCTTTCCAGCATACTCGGAGTTCTCAGCAACAAATCCAACCCCAACCACGGCGCCCAGGTTGACACTAGCACCATGCATTCCCTTGGAAACACGGTGACGTGCAAGGGCATCCTGGAAGTTGTTGCCAGCGTTGTAGTTGGCTTGACTTCGGTTGCCGACAATACCGGTGATCGAGCTCAACATTAAGAAAAAGTCGACATCTGGAAGAAGATTGTGGAGATTCCAAGATCCAGAGACCTTTGGAGCCAGGGCGGTCTCCCAGTCCTGGTGAGCCATGGAGTCGAAAGCTCCATCTTTCAACACAAAGCAGCATTGTATACATCCCTTGACTGGGGGCAAAGTCTCGTTGATGGATGCAAAAACTTCACGGAGACGAGCGTCATCCGAGATATCACACTGGAAGACATGGCTGGTGCAGCCCAAGGCTTCCAACTTGGCAATTGTGTTTCGCCCAGCTTCATGCACAGTTGCTGAACGTGAAAGAAAAACGAGGTGTTTAGCACCCAAGCTGGCCAACTTGAGGGCAATACTGCGACCAATTCCACCTAGCCCTCCAGCAAGTATGTATGATGCATTAGGATCCAGCTCAAGGGGGGTTAGACGCTCTGGCAGAACAGAGACGGGGTGTGAACCAGGAACAAGGGTCATCTTGCCAATACTCTTGCCAGTCTGCAGGAGACGCATTCCCTCTTTCAACTGACCGTAATCAGAGACTAGAGTTGGCCGAGCCTCATGAATCTTTTCACTTGACCACAACTGCATCGCCTCTTGCAGCAGTTCTTGGCAGATCTCTGGGCGCTGCTCAGCCAAAGCGTTAAGATCCACACCCGAGAAGGTGATATTGTTCAGGAAGGGAGTCATATCAAGCTTCGAACCGCTTTGGAAATCAAGCTTTCCGATCTCGACAAATCGGCCGAATGGCGCAATGCAGGTCCATGACTGTCGCAGTGCTTCGCCACTGAGGGAGTTGAGAACGACGTCCACTCCTTCAGGTGCAATTTGTTTGATTCCCCTCGAGAAAGTCAGGTCTCGACTAGAGAAAATGTGATCTTCGGGAATGTCGAAGCTATCCATGATGAATCGCTTCTTTTCAATGCTCGAAAGGGTCACGAAGATCTCAGCTCCCTTGACACGTGCGTATTGAATGGCTGCTTGTCCAATGCCACCTGCAGCAGCATGAATCAAAATCTTCTCACCAGCTCTCAATCGAGCGACATGGCCCAAGGAATATATCACTGTGCCATAAATGATTGGCAGCCCTGCAGCGATCTCGAAACTGAGAGTTTCGGGTATCTTGATTGCCAGTCCGGAATGGAGGCGAGCGCGGGTACGCAGGGTGCCCATCCTGCCTGGAGAAGGATCCCCGAGACACATCACCCGATCACCAACTTTGAGGTTACTCACGGACGAGCCAACCGCGACAACGATGCCTGCTGCCTCATGTCCAAATCCTGGCTGGTCAATCTCTCCCATTGCCACCAACAGGTCCTTGAAGTTTAGTCCAACAGCACGAACGTCGATCTCGATTTCATGAGGAGTAAGTGGCTGTCCATAGAGATCCTCATCGGTGGTCCATGTGAGACTGTCTACTCCAGGCTGGGGACTGACTAGCCGTACTGGTCGTTCAATCGCGTCCCACTGCTGAAGAATTGCTTTTGGTCGCTCAAATTGATTTCGAATTACTGTGCTTGCAATTTTGTCCTTGACGATGTGATTTGTTTCAATCACTCGTCTTCGGACACGATACTCGGCATTGGAGCCGCCGGGGTCCACTCCGTGTCTCAAGTATTGATGCTCAAAGACTCGGAATATCGCATCAACATTGCCTTCCGGTGTTCCTGTGGCCTCCCCATCCAGAGAAAGAGTGACCAAGTTGAGATTGTTGCGATCCAGCTCCCAGCGAATGGTGCGGAGCAAACCAATCGCCATTTGAAACTTGGGCTCCGTCAAGGGGTCACCTGTGACCCACAACAGGGAATCACTGCCAGTAATCAGCTGTTGGACTGCCTGGAATGTAGTGCTATCCAAGCTGTTAAGAATAGGCTCTTCGGCCTCAAGCAAAGAGATGGAAGTTCTGCCTGCTAGGTCTTCGGGACGAAGCATGCCAAGCTGGCAAATTGAGAACTTCACTCCCGCATCAATCAACTTGCCGGTTAGTAGGCGAGAGATTTTCGAATGAGACTGGAGGATCACAAGAACTTCCAAGGAGGGCACAACAGCTTCTTCATGTGTGTGCTTGGCGGTAGATACCATCAAGTTGAAGTCAGCGAATTCGGCATAGGTTGAAGTCGAAGCCTCGAAGTCAATTCCAGAGAATCCAGTGTTTCGGAGAGCTTTGTCCCAATCGGCCTTGCGAGAAATTGAATTGGTTTTGAGAGATCCCTCGATTTCCTGAAAGAAGGTAGGCAAGAAACCTAATGAGACATTGGTGTGAAGTGACTCCGGCCGCATTTCCTGGAGGATGCACAAACGACCGCCTGGCTTTGCCAGAGAGTTCAGTCGCGAAAAGGTCGATTCTATGTTGGGTATCCTGCAAATGCAATTGTCGATGATGATGATGTCGAAGAATTTGGGCTCGAATCCTTGTTCGAGAAGATCGGCTCCTAAGTCAAGAGTTTTGTAACTCACGACATCTCCCCACGCAGCAAGGCGTTTTCTTAGCGCCTCGGAGCCGTCGGCGGAGGGATATCCAATGACATATTGGTTGACAAAATCTGCATCATTGTCTCCACAGAGAATCTTGAGGACTTGTTCAGAGAGAGCTCCTGTGTGGTTCTGCACATCCAAGATGCGAACGCTGCGACGGCTGCTGCGCAGAAGAGTGAGGAACTGGGTAAGCGTAGGGAGAATGTTTCCGCGCGACAAGTTGCTCTTTTCGGAATCCCAGACAAGATCATCCGTCTCAGACAAAAGCTTTTGAATCGTGGTCTCCTTGCGCAAAATTGATGAAAACCTTGATGCCATCTTAATCAGCAACGCACCTTCAGGATTCCTGGCCTCGACCTCGCGGTAGAGCTGCTTTTTCAACGTGGCATTTGATGAGTACTTCAACCAGGTTTCCAAAGGCACATATGGAATAGCGTCAACAGTGAGATCCGCAGCGATACTCCGGAGGAGTTTGAGATAAGTCGTGTACTGATCTCCTAAGCTAGAGGCTTTCGCCCCTCGAATGGCCAAAAGACCGTCGTTCGCCAAGAGAGTCGAGGCTAGTTGCAGTTTGCTGAGCCATTCCAACTGACTAGCATAGCTCGCAGGAGTGTCTGTGGACTTGGGTAAAAGTTGCTGCAAGTCATTGTTGGTGATCAAGGCCAAATCTGGGTGCCATTCGATGGAGTAGCACGTTCTCCTGTCGTCTGTCGAAGCGTCACTGCTTTCGGATTTGAATGGAGCAAGTCGAGCTCCGGTCAGTGAAAATGCTTTTGCGCTCGGATTCGAAGGGTTCCACGCTTGGATTGCACTTTCAAAGCTACCGTGCAGACTGGGAGAAGCTTGACTGGTGCAACGCAATGTCGTACCAGGCTCAGAAGACAGGTCCGTCGTCGACAGCCACATCTCTCGAACGGAGCTTGGAATACAGCCGCGTCGCAACATTTGCTTTCCATTCAGATCGTATATCGCCGCGAATACCGCCTGGAATGCGTTGTCAAGCGTAGTCGGATGAATGAGGTGCTGATGCGCATACTGCTTTGGCATCAGTTGCTTGATATTTTGCACAATAATGTCGCCTGTCATCAAGCCCTGGTTGCCGTCGCTGACGGTTACGTTGGACAAGCCCTGGAAGGAATCTCCGTGGTTGATACCGATATCCTTGAGATGCTTGTAGATAGGGGCCAAATCAACCGGCGCTTGGCAGCTGCTCTCTCTGGCCTGCACAAATGCCAACCATTCAGCCTGGGCGGTCTTCTCTTGACGAGAGCCATCAATGGGATTGAGTGACTTCTTGAAATTTGGTGAGATTTCACCAGTGCAATGCTCGATCCACTCCTCAGTCTCTTGGTTGTACGAGGCCACTTCGAACCTCCTCCATGTGGTTGAGAGAGAGGTTTTAGATTCCGGCACAGGGTAGAAGGAAAGGCACACTTCCACGCCTTGGGTATCGTCTGGAACTACCAGCATTGCCTTGAACAAGATGTCTCTTAGATGGACGCCAATCATATCCGAGTCATCTGTGACCTGTTGCATTGCTTCAACTGCCATGACGACATAGCCGGCTCCTGGGAAAACATAATTGTCGCCGATCTAGATTTGAATTAGAATTTGAGACGACTCGAGTCAGTGAGAAGGGCGATGAAAATACTTACCAAATGCTCCTTCAGCCATGGGTTCTCAGCAACACGCAGGAAATGGCGCCATCGTGGACTGTTGGGGTTCCAATCTGCGACAGGAGCCCCGAACAGATCATGCCTAGGGAACTCGCGCAAGCGCGTATTCTTGATCAAGCGGGTCTCGTAGAGAGCTTGTTCCTCATGGTTGAAAGGATAGGGAGGTAAATCCACCATCATCTTCGGTGCAAGTGAGGGATTTGTCGCCCGATTTACCTTGTTCAGATTGATAGGTGCACCACGGACGACCAAATTTCCTATCGTCTCAAGCAGACTATTCAATCCATCATCCTTCCTATTTAGAGTTGCCAAATATGGTATGTCGGCATTGGAGCCGACGATCTCCTTGGCTGCGCTTTGCATTGCGGGATGAGGTCCGACTTCCAGAATAACGTCCACCCATGTGTTATGAGTGGAGGAGCCATCAGTCGGGACAGGGTCAAAGCACATTGAAGATAGGGCATCGGTGAACTTGACAGGGCACACCATACTATCACGCCAGTGCGAGGCCTTGCCAGGAGCACATGAATCATCCAACAAGCGACCTGTAAGGGTGGAAAACATCTGCACTGTATGATCGAAGTTCAAACGATGCTTTGACGGCAGCTCCCCTAGCAGCTCGTCGTACTCGGCTGAGAAATATTCCATGTGGGCAGAGTGAGCGGCATGTTCTACTTTGAGCTTCCGGTTGAAAACCCCCTGCTCGTCGAGCATTTCCTTCAAAGCATCCACCATATCAAGGTCACCGGAAATGGTGTGGTTGTGGGGGCTGTTATAACAAGCGATAGACAACGAGCCACCGGAGAATCTTGCGTGTACTTTTTTGAGAAGATGGCGCGAAGGTTCTTCATCAAGGCCCACAGCAATCATACCTCCAGTGAAAGGTGGCTTCGACTCTCCTGGGCGAAGAACATGGCCTCGGAAGTAGGCCACTTTCCATGCTGCCTCTCGCGAAATTTTACCGGCACAGTAGGCTGCCGCAATTTCTCCTGATGAGTGACCTACCACACGATGAGGAACAACGCCCCAACTGAGCAAAAGGTCGAGCAGTGCAATTTGAACCGCGCAAGATAAAGGATGGGCGAATGCAGATTTGGATATCTTAGAATCTTTCGCCTCCCGATTGAGCTCCTCCAACAGTGACCAATCACTGCCCAGAGACTTGAAGTAAGCGCCAGCCGCTTCCAAAGACTGTCTAAAAAGGGGGTAGACAAGAAGTTGTTGACCCATCTTTGCATATTGAGCTCCTTGGCCGGTGAAGACGAAACCAATCCTCAAGGCAGAGCGGGACTTGATCGCCTTCGAAGGCAGCTTGGGAAGCTTATCTTGAAGCTCATGCACAGAGCTGCACAAGGCAAAGCTTTTCCATGGAAGGCGAGATCTTTTCTCGGAGAGGCTGTATGCAAGATCATTCAAAGCTTGCTTGGGGGAAGACTCGAAATCCAGAATCCGGGATGTGACATAGTCCTTAGTATGTGCAACAACCTTCTCTAGCCTCTTCTGGTCAAAGGCTGAAAGGATGAATATTATCGGAGATTCAGGAACCTGAAGGCATATTTTGTTGGGGGCCGGGTGGTTACTCTTGGCCCCGTTTACGCCGTTCGAGCCATTGACGCCATTGAAAGCGTTGGTGCCGTTTATGCCATTGGTGCCGTTTATTCCATTAACACTGTTACTGCTTTTGACGTCCTTGACGCCATTGGTGCCATTTGTACCGTTAAGGCCTTTCACACCGTTCACGCTCTTAACAACGTTGGCGCCATTAATGCTGACACCGTTAGTGTTTGGCGCAGGTGCCTCAGAGTTGGGCTCTTTGGTGTCAGTCTTGTAGTGCTCGGAAATTTTTGCGACAAGAGACTGTATTTCCTCGTTCGAAGGGACCGTTTCTCTGGTTCTATGCCGAGCTGCGATTCGTCGCTGCCGCAGATAATGATATGCATCATCCAAGATGCAATGCGCATTTGTACCGCTAATGCCGTAAGAGCTGATGGAGGATCTGCGGACGCCGGAGGTTGGCCACGGAATGCAGCTTGTGGGAAATTGAAGATTCCAGGCAGGAGAGATTTTCGGGTTGATCTTCTCCAGCGTCGCATTCGGGGGAATAACACCCGACTCTAAGATAAGGACTGATTTGATCACACTGGCAATGCCGGAACCACCTTCAAGATGTCCAAGGTTGGGCTTAACAGCACCAACGTAGAATGGCGACTCTCGCTGCTGAGTCTCAAATGCAGCCGCAATAGCAGTGCATTCAATCAAGTCTCCGGCTTGTGTGCCAGTCCCATGGCTCTCGGAGTAAACCGTGTCTTTGGGATCCAGGCCCGCGGCCAGGTAGGTTTTTCGAATCAATGATTCCTGCGCTGTTGCACTGGGGTATGTTATGCCAGGAGTGTGACCATCATGACCTAGGCCAGTACCCCGGACGAGTGCCCGGATGGTATCACCATCACGAATAGCGGCAGATAGGGGCTTGAGAATGATTGTTCCAACACCCTCACCAAGCCCATACCCATCCGCTCGAGAATCAAAAGCCATTGACTTGCCCCCAGGCCCCAAGAGTCCGGAGTGGGACATTTTCATCAAGTGTGCAGGATAACCTATCACGCTCACGCCGCTAACGATGGCCTGTTTAATCAAAACATTGTCAGTCAAGGTTTTTGATCTCCCGTTATTTTTCAAAATCACTGACCATTTCACTTTCTTTCGCAAGGAGACTTTGTCGTGCGAGATGCAGAGCCACCAGACTGCTCGAGCAGGCAGTATCGACTGTGAGACTAGCCCCTTGCAAGTTGTAGAACCAACTCACTCTGCCTGAAATCATAGAGCTTTCTGCTCCAGTGGGCTTGTGCTTGAAGGACAATTCCAGATCGCTATTGAGACGATCTGCATGATGGTAGTTGAAGCCATTGACGAAAACAGACGTGTTGGAAGAGATCACATCTTCCATTGGAAGACCGGCTGCACCATGAAATATAAGTATCCCTGTTACAGGAATTAAAGCCTTGAGACTCACCATTTTCCAGTGCATGGTAAACGTTCTCCATCAGAATCCGTTGTTGAGGATCAAGACTTTGCACTTCAGTCTTGCTCATTTTGAAAAATGCAGCATCAAATCCATTTGGGCTTTCCCCAAGGAAGCATGCACCTTTGGCATAAAACTTCAACAAACAAATTAGCCTCCCTCAAATTTTGGTTCCTGGGCCACATACTGTTCCCCCATGGTCAGAGTCCGGATGGTAGAATGCCTTTGAGCTGAATCTATCCTCCGGTATAGGCCGAGTCGCTTGTCGTGCTCTCAGAAGAAAGTGCCAAAAGGACTCAGCATCAGTTGCCTCATCAGCAGCACGCATGGCCAAGCCAATGATGGCCATTGGCTCTCTATCTCCAATCCCATTTTGAGCAACGCGCTCTGTATGGTTGTCCGTGTCTCCGTTGAGGTATGGAGTCATTTTTTCAGTGACGAAGGAAGCTTCAGTGAATTTAAAAAACTAGTTGTCGTCTTTTTTTTTCGATTTCAAGTGTCTGATTTTGTACTAATATACAAGACACAATTGCTGGCTCAGAGACAGTACTAGTTATAAGTGAGGCCCACAGACAGCAGAATGTGGACCTTTGCCCCGCTCTTCAATAGCAACATTCGCGTGTATCCTGTTGAATATTTGCATCTGGAGGTACTGCAGTTTCTCGATCAGACATGCTTCTGGTACCTTTTCGACTGGCATCTGCATGGGAGGGATATTCGCAAAATGCGGAATTAATCAATTTCGACGGTGGAGATCGACCCTCAGCGACCTACGACTAGTATGGGATCTAGAATATTTGTATACACACCGCCCAGCAAAAAGATGCCGCTAATAAATAGTTATTCTGGAATTTTTAGAGGATTTGGAAAACATAGGACGAAGAACGAATCCTGAGGTTTTGTAGATATACAAAGTTGGGAACATTGGCTGTACATAGGGTTACAGTACAATGGTACAATGTTACGGTAGGTACTGTAACGTGTACCAAGCCCCCGCACTCAGCCACATCGGTAACTTGTGTATTATGACGATACACGTCCGGACTTGAGCTCAATGCAGGTATCCTAGAAAGAGTGATCGCATTGTGTTGTATTTTTTCAGTACATTAGCCTATGTCGACTCAAACATGTTTCCTCGAGTACGTGCATCCGCGATGCATCTATTCATTTAGCTCTGCACAATTCCCTGACGGTCCCCTGCCCTCATCCACTCACATTTCATTCATTTTCGTGGTTCTTACCTGGCTGGCTGAGAGTATGGCCTGTGCGTCATGTACTTAATAGAAATCAAGGTTGGCGGAGTAGCGAGGGTGCATCTTTCATAGCCATCATCTCATAATAATCCCGCATGCGCAATAGCTACTGAATGATTAGCTAGACGGAGTGGCAAGGGACGGCTGAAGCTCGTGAATAGGCAGCAATTCGGCCGAATATCAATATTTTCAAAAGAGTGCATCCTGACTTAGCTGTCAGGTCCCTGCCATATCCGTGTGTCTCTCATAGGTTCAACTTGAAGCGCATGCCACGCGGTAGATCAAATGTGCATGAAAGGAATTGTGTTCTATTCAGAAAATACATCCCTGAATTGTTGGATAACTGTTAACAATAGCCTAGGGATTTGTAAAAAAAAAAAAAAAATTTGTAAGACATCCCATCTAGAAAGTATGACCCGAACCATTCATTATAATGATATCGAGGAAGAGGAGCAGGTATCTTCGAGCTAGAATCAGGTCAATAAGTACCCTTCTCTACAAATGTCTTATTTGACATACTCTCTTGTCAACTCTGCTGCATTGACTGACTTATAAAAACATTATACGGATGTGTGCATCAACTGTCCAAGAGAAGCAATGATAACTACTGGGAGGAACGGACAGAGTAACTGGCGCGATTTCACTTCTACTTTCATGAAGGTATGAATGGAGGAGGAGGGTTGACCCCGAAAATGGTGGCTGAACTGCCTCAATATAAGCTCTGGTGCTTGAACGCTCAGAAGAGAGAATTTCATCTCGTAGCCAAAGCGAATGCGGGGCCATAGGAGACTCCCTATCAGTAGGATAGGGAAGGGGAAGCCCGGAAGGCTCCGGCCTCTATAGATGCCGCTTCTTGACTAGGCCTTCAAAGTCCTCCACCTTAGCAACATGGTCGTTCCACAGCTCTAGACTATCTGGGAGGCTGCTGATGTCAAATGAATAGAAGACCAATGCCAATGCCTTGAGAACCATAAAAGTGGCGAGATGCTTCCCTATGCATTCTCGACTGCCCAAACTGAACTATAGCCAAGGTATTAGTACTCGAATCAAGGCAAACTATTAACGGGTCTTACCGGTATGCTATAGTAGTTAGCTCTTTTGGCCTCTTCGGGATCGTCCAGCCATCTTTCAGGGCGAAATTCGGCTGCATCCGCACCAAAGTATTCTGTGTTCCGGGATGCTGCCCAGTAATTAATCCCAATGACTTGTCCCGCCCGGAAATGATACCCTGAAAGGTGTGCCCCTCCTTCAGGTACCACACGCGAGAATGTAACACCGGCTACTGGCCATAGTCTCATGATCTCCTTAAGAACAGCCTGCAGATAGGGCATCTCTTGGATAGCTTCATGGGGCAAAATGCTGTGTGAACTGGTATTTGATCTCACCACTCTTGGGTCGATTTCATCTCGCAGCCGCTGGAGAACGGCTGGTTCCCGGTACACGTGGTACATTGCCTGACACATGAAGGAAGGAGTGAGCTCAGTGCCTCCCAAAGCGCCTCCAATTCCAATGCGGACTTCGGTTTTGTCCATTCGGTCAGCTTCCTTTTGCTGGAACCAAGTATCCAAAAAGCATGCTCCCCTTGTTGAGTCCTTGGCTACCTCTTTTTCTTCGATTTGTTTCTCAGCAAAGGAACGAACCTCCTTCTCGCTCATTATCCAGGAAGGCACATAGTTCCAGAGAACTTTATGCCACTCTGGAATGATGCCAACCACACTAGCATAAAATGTGCTCGCTCGAGTAAGTTGCAGGAGCCCATTGACATCAGCATCTTTCTCCACGCATCCAAAACTTTCTCCGAAGATAAGCAATGAGCTATTATCCATACTCCAGAGCTTTAACCAATGCAGTAGATCAGACTTCACCCCTTGCTCAGCCAGCTGATTCAGCTTCTTGAAGAGAATTTCGAGTGATTGGTCAATTAGATATTCCATCTTCAAAACCTGTGACATGGAAAATGAGTGTTGAAACTTCCGGCGTAAGTCTCTGTGCATCTTGTTGTTCCGCATCGATACCAGCGTTTTTCCGCCAGGGTTGGTAAAGGAAACATAGAAGTCGGACTGTGTGCCTGTGAGATAAGCCCCATCTTGGAAAAAAAAATATTTGCATAGACTGACCTTTTCAAACAATGTACGAGGGCCGTAAACCTCTCTTGCGACCTCCATGTCAGAGATACTGAATTGGTTTGGTCCTATCCGCACAACGTGGCCTGACAACATGTTAGATACTCTTTAGTTCTGCGCAAGAATATGCGGGTCTATCTCACCATGTTTCTCATGCAGTTTTGCTATTGTGTCCCGTGAATGACAGTTGAGCATTTCAATGAGATACCATAGTCGGGTATATCTTGCCCAAAATGGACCGGGGATATTCCGTAAAGGGTCTCGATAATGCCTTATGATCTTCGTGACGCAGAGAATTGAGAAAGAGAGCAGAGCTACTATGACTATTGTCACCGTTCTGTTGCTATCATAAAAACTCAGAGTCGTCGCCATTGTGGTGAATCTCAACATCGATGCTCCGGGTATGAAATTAATGGTAGAAATGTGAATGTGCTCAGGCACGTTTTATATATATTGTATGCAGAGATTTACATAATCTGTACTTCAAAGTCACAGCAGCATCATGCAGATTGTAGCCACTCTGCAACGTGTGATTTGGTTTCCCTCGATCAGCGATCAGCGGTCCAAAGCCGTACCAGGTAGGGCTCGGGCCCCTTGAACCTGAGAAGATCCACCACGAGTCAATAATGTAAGCAGTTTCAATTACTTGCTTGACTTCCCTTGAGCCAGAAACTGTTCTGTTACATACTAGTGTAATACTGGCTTGAGTTGCTAAGTACTGTACCTATTCTAATAATTATCAATAATAATTATCCGTGCGCTATAAGCTACTTCATGCGGCTGCAGGTGCTGCAGGCCCCCAGTGGAGACATATCTGATGCACCATTTTCTCCTACTCTCACTCATCTTCTAACTGTAACCTGTTGACACGTAGCACCCTAATTTCTGGGTCCGTTGGTGAGCATTCATCCACTCAGCTGCTCGAGATTTACAATCATGCAATTTCCATTCTTTCCTCTCGCTGGATTCATTGCAAGATTTGGAGCATTATTAGTCACCGTCATAGCCATCTCATGCCCGTTAGCGATAAGATGACCTAGGGCCTATGTAAAGACCAGTAGGTTGCGAATGTCATTCAGAGCAACTGTACCTATAGATGCAAGGATTTGCCTTCTCCTTGTCTGGAGCATTTCTCCATCATTCTATTCTTCCAGGCTGTCTATTTTATTTACAAGCCAGTTGCCGCTGCTTCCAGCGGGGAACTTCTACATCTGTGACCAATCCTCTACATCTCAATAATAAACCTTGAAAGAATATGTATCTTTCATGGAATTCTTCAAGTATTGAAGCTTTAGGTCATACGTCTCAATTAGAGCTGAAAACATTGCCTAATGTCCAAAGTCGACTCAATTGGGAAGATCCGCAGCCCAGTTTACCACGGCATCGACAAGACCATCAACCTCGGTCTCAGTGTTATCGGCGTGGATGATTACTCTCACTCGCTCTTTTTCCTTCGCAACCACGGGATACCCGACCTCGAGTGAGAAGAAGCCACAGCCGGTAAGTCTATCTTCCAGACTGTGAGAAAGACCAGGCTTTGTCAGAAGAGGAATGATGGGTGAGATGAATTCCATATTTTTCCAGGTTTCAGCAGCGAGTACTCTCACCCGGCCAGCCTTGCAAGCAGCTCCCCAGAGGTGGTGCTCGGTAAGGGAACCATAGAACTGGCGGATTCGAGCTTGAAGCCTTTGCCGCCTCTGTCAGAAAATATGTTAGAATGTGTCAAGCTGCAGGAAATTTTTGAAATAAATACCGCTTCTCCTTCATCGCTGCTAATAACATTATACGACGCTTTGACAGTGGCCATGGTGAGAAAGGCTGGACCGGTTGTGAAAATGAAATTACGTGCGTAATTGACGAGAGTCTCTTTGAACAATGGAGGGCAAAGAACCGCGGCTAGAATGATCAGTCTTGAGGATGTCCACCTTGGAATGAATATTAACTCACCTCCAGTAGCATTGATACCTTTGCCAAAGGTATGCAAGCGTATAGCGAACTCACTTTCGAGTCCATGGTGGCAAATGAACCCACTTCCCCGAGGACCCATGATGCCATTTGAGTGAGCCTCGTCAACCACCATCACTGCATTTTTCAAAGGAAGACACTCCTTGACGACCTGAACAATCTCGGCAGCTGGGGCGATGTCGCCGTCCATACTATAAATGGACTCAATTGCAACGAAAATAGTCCTATCACCCTTTGCAACTGCGGAATCGTTTTCCAGAATCCCAAGAAGGACTTTCTTCAACGACTTGGGATCATTGTGTTCAAAAGATTTGATCAGCGAGGCACGGCTAGCGCGCATACCGGTGTGGACACTGGCGTGAATTTCACTGTCATGAACGATAATATCAGTTGGACGAGGAAGAATGCTGAAGATAGCAACATTGGCATCAAATCCAGAGTTGAATAACAAACAGGACTCCGCGTTGTGGAAATCTGCAAGGTACTGCTCGAGCTTGAAGGTGTAATCCGAACTTCCATCTGCTACTCGGCTAGCAGCAGCGCCGACCTTGAAGTTAGGGTGCCGCTCAATTTCTTTCAAGACCTCTGCGCGGTGTACTCCCGAATTCAAAGACAAAAAGTCATTTGAAATAAAATTGACACCATTCTCGTAAAACTCAGGCGGGCGAAGAGTCCAAAGTCGGCGGATATCTCGCCGCTTCTGAATTGCCTCTTCGAGACTTTGTTGAAGTGCTTCAGGGTAGAAAACCATAATGACGGTTTGTCAGGGAACAGTGGGAATGTGAAAATTTGATATTATTTGTGGCTTGATTGATACAGTGCACAGATGAAAGAACTCCCGTTTTATACTTATATCTGCAGTAAATCAGGAACTTGAGACATACTAACTGCGGACATCTACTCCGTATCTTTGTTCGAGTGGCGTTCACCATCTTTCTCCACTAGTTTTATTCACTTACATTTTTTGTCTTGTATTTCTCATTTATTTTAGTTAATTTTATTTCTCAAGGCCGACGAAGGTACAGTGTACTTACTATACTTAGTGGTATCTACCAGGATGCTCGTTAATTGGTTATCACCCTTTCTAGACAACAGTTTTCACCACACTGAGATCTAGATCCAGAGCGAGCAATTGATGCCTTCCCTGTATCCAGATATGAAGTAGCGGTGAGCGGCGCTAATCTTAGAGTACTATGAAAGTAAGATGTACAGTTACACAGCATAAGCTCCGAGGGACCTGCATGTTCACCGCCCACAAGTATGTACTGTACTGCCCTTTTTTCTTGCGCTTACCCGTTTTCAATGCAAAACAAACCTTCGATAATCGCGCGATAGTACCTATGTATTATTAGGTCTGTCGCGTTCAGAGAATTATCCACAGATATTTTGATTTGGGTTGTAGTGGCTTCCAGAAGAAGTACATCTCGAAGAATACGGGCAATTCAGTCTTACATGATGACATGGTGGCATCAATCACTCTCCATCTCGACGAATGCGCCCCAACTCCATCCACGTATAGTATGGTGGAGCTTGTCAGATGGAAAGCTGTGACTACGTACGCTGTATCGGATAAATTCAGTTAAAATGCTGAATATATGGGGAGGACCCAGATTGTTGAGTCTTTGTCTGTGTCACCATCGGCAAACTGCAACATACAATTTCGTACTTTATCGGGTCAGGGTCAAAATCATCCAGATGGGGAGATATTATTCAATGCTCGGACGACTTTCCGCAACCAAGGGTCCCCTGATTCTCTCCTTCAAGCATGCAATATCATGCATACCCCTCCGATGTACCGAACTTTGTATTTGGCTTAAATTGGGTCGAGCTCCAGGTCAGATAGATACGCTAGTAAATTACACATGTTGGGTCTGTAAATTACGATAATAAGTTCGATCGTAATCTAAATCAATTGCGGAGATATATCTCCGGAGCTGTCTCCCCATAGCTGACCCACATGCTCAAGTGGTGAGCGGGGTATCTATACAAGGATTATAGAACTACACGCAGGCTACGTATCCTAGGTCCGTGTATGCTGTTTTGACACCAGACAATAGGTCGTTCCTGGCCTTCCACCATTTCAATCCTTGCTATCTCAAATCCTCTTACGTCTCTGTTGTTTTCAAGAAGATTGACCAACAACCCTTCATTATGGGTGACGCTGAACAATTTGACCTGAGCTTGCGTACTCATGATGATTCTACACTCGCTCAATTGAATGCAGCGAAATGGAAAACAACTCTCGCCCGCCACCCAGGAGTCGAGTTTGTATGGCTGCAGTTCTTGCTCGTCGAGGGTTCCACTCGAATGAGGATGATACCTGTGGCATATTTCTCCAAGATGATCGAGGTTAATCGGAACCTGAGCCTTTCATCTGCCCACCTTCATCTTCTGCGCAATGACCATGTTACTCTGGAAGCAGCCCCCACCGGCACAATGTACCTAGCGCCAGATATTTCCACTGCCTTCGTTCCGTCTCGAGAGAGTTCACGGGTGCGAATTCTTGCAAATCTAGTCAATGAGAATCACACTCCACGGCCAGAGTGTCTGCGCACCAAATTGGTCAACTTGTCGGATATCCTGTCTCATTTGCACGGCTTCGATATCTTAGTCGGGTACGAAATCGAGGTCATCTTCCTCAAGAATGAAGACAAGGATGGCAGAGACCCTATATCAAGTCATAAACTTTGCGGGATGATACCTGGGATGCGGGCTATATTGCCTATGGTGGAATCAATCGTCAGGACATTGGATCTGGAACAGATCTTGCTTGAGCAATTTCATGCAGAAATGACTCCTGGGCAGTGGGAATTTGTCCTTCCGCCGCAACGTCCGCTAGAAGCTGTCGATACCCTTATGAAAGCCCGAGACATCATCTCCACCATCGCAAATGACTATGGATATCGTGCAACAATGCATCCACGACCATTTCCTGACCATGGTGGCTCAGGAGCACACTTACACCTTTCCCTAAATTCCTCGGTTACCTCGGATCCTGAACACACCGACCCATTCTTTGCGGGTATCATCAAGCACTTTCCATCTTTGATGGCATTTTGCCTTCCACTTGACATTTGCTATGAGAGAGTAGCCACCGGAATCTGGAGTGGCGGGGAATACATCAGTTGGGGTTGGGAGAACAAAGAAACGCCGTTGCGACGAGTCGCTAACAATCGATTTGAGCTTAAATTGCACTGTGGCCTGGCAAACCCATATACTTCTCTGGCTGCTATTCTTGCTGCAGGTATCGATGGTCTGAACAAAGGCCTCCCGCTCTCTGCAGGAGACTGTCAAACTTCCCCGGCATATATGTCGGAGGAGCAGCGGACCAAGCTCGGCATTAGCCCCGTCCCTCGAAATCTGCAGCAAAGCGTTGACCATCTGGTCGAGGATAAAGGGCTGCAGAAAATTTTGGGTGAAGAATACACAGCCACATACATTAGTGTTACGACCGAGTGGAACAGGCAACTGAACGACATGGATTCCATGAGTCAGCGAAGAATGCTACTAGAGAACTACTAGTGAGGTGAAAGCGGTTCAAAGCTGTTGGTTTATTTCAATGGACGGTGACTGCAAATCGTTTGAATCCCGGGTCTCGAATCTCATGACTTCTGTCATTTGATCATCATCTCGCAACTTTCACCTGAAATAAAAGATATTAATGTAATAATGAGTTTCTTCTCAAAATAGTCATATCTCCAGGGTAGCGAACTTCATATCAAAGACTCGTTGGATAAAAGCGCACGAAGTAAAAATTTTTAATCCCGAAACTAACCGAGTCCCTCCCTATTGATGGTCGATTGGGACTAATTGCAGTAAAAGCCGGGTCGGATTAAGGAGACTTTACTTCTCTTTGTTTGAGGACGATAAAAAGAGCGATTAGTAGGGATCCTATCCCAACAGCTTCGGCGAAACAAGACAATCAGTAAAAGGCTAAGTATTATAACACGCAAGGGTCAAGGTTCTCACCTGGCTGTATGTAATAGCTCTGTTGGAATATCAACCGGACGGTTTCTTTAAGTGCCGGAGGTACCGAATTCATTGACCGTCGGTGGCTCATTATTTGTTTGATTAACTAGCGGCATGTGAGCAAGAGTATGACTTGAGGGATGGTATGAATACTGACCTGGTTTCTTTCGACTTCATTCCTGAGGGCAAACATAAGACGGCGTTCAATCTCCCTCGAAAGCAGTGCCTTCGAGAGAGTTATCCCCATCATGAAGCCGATCTGTTGTACAAGGTAATATGTAGTGACGGAAGCGGCTGCATTTTGTTCTGGCTTTGACGCGGATAGGGCCACAAATTGAGAAGACAGAGTCATTCCCATGCCGACCCATGCGAAGAATCCATAAGAGATTTCCCACATCTGCGGCTGATATATGGTCCATCGGATCAGGATGAGGAGGAAGCTCAAAATGGCGATTGTGAGGCCAATGATTGACCATCGAAGATATTTGCGGGTCCTATGGATGCGAGCTCAAGGTCAATAAAAGAGCAACCTACTCTTTTTCCTTTCTTTCGAGGCCAAGGACTTCCTCCATTCGAGACTTACCTCTGTATTAGCTTACCAGTGACGAGTGCGCTGATCGCAAACCCAAGAGTGACTGGTCCCCAACACAGAGCTCCCTCTGAGGCTGAGATTCCTCGAGTGTTGACCCAGTAGTCTGAAAACATCGGTGTCATCTATATAGAATGTACTTAGTCAAAGGACACATTTGCATGACGGATCAGCATGGGGCGGGGAGGCGTACAGCATAACTCGCCAGACCAATAAACAATTGTGCTGCATAGCTCAATCCCAGCTTATCCAAGCTAAGCAAGGAGAGAGGAAGCAAGGGGGTTTGAGTCCAATAGGCTTCGTTGACACAAAAGACCGCAGAGCATATCAAGAAGCTGGCTCCAAGAACAGCCAGGATACTTGACTTGTTTTCCATCTCCTGTGCCTCAGCCAGTTGAACAAAGCAAAGCAGAGAAACGATAGCTGATATCAGGAAGACAAGGCCTACGATATCGAATGGCTTGGACTTTGACCCAGCAACTTCGATTTTGCTTTCGTCGATAGGTTCCTCAATAGCTCCATATGTGGTGTCTGTAGCGATAGGCGACCGGGGCTTGTCATCGTGAAGTTTGAGCCAGATTATGGCGACACATAATACCGCGAATGGGACGTGAATTATGAAAGCCCTAGCATGAGACCGCAGATAAATTAGCCACCGGAGTTTATTGGTAATTGAAACCTTAGAGCCTCACAGTTGCCACCCAATCTGACTTGTAAGAAGTGCGCCGAAAGGAGCACCACAGGTTATTCCAACCAGCGAGACCGTCGTAACATAAGACCGTAGCATGGCAACTCGGTGGAAATTATCAATATCTAGGATCAAAATTATTGTTAAGAGTCGAAAGAGGTCTCACTTGGCAAATTGAATCAAAAAGTGGAGACAAACATACTGTTCAAGAGCACAGACACGAGCTCATTCATTCCCGAACCTCCAAATCCTGTGATAACACGGCCAGCGATGGCATACTCGATTGTGCTAGAACACCCGCTGTGAATATGTCAGCAGGATGGCTGAGATACATTTGATATAAATAGAGACTGACGTCAATATGCAGCCAGCTGCATACAAGCTCAAAGCGAGGAGGATGGCCCTTTTCGGTCCCGTTGAATCACATATTTGACCATACTTCGACAATCAGCAAATTGTTTGCTTCTTAGCGAAGATTAACTCACCACTGGAAGGCCAACTGTATAGCCAAGATTGTATGAAGTGATGAGCCACGAAGCAAGACCTGATGCGTTGAGAGCTGAGGCGACATCACTGCCTGTGCTCAGAACAAACGTTTCATCCGCATTTGCTAAGAAACAAGCTATGTTTTGACAAGAATTCAGCGGTGAATCAATTAATGCCTCGCCACATCGCACATTACTCACCCAGCAAGAGAGCTGCCATTGCCAGCTTCCCAATCGCAAGCCCCTTGGGCACCTCCAGGGCCTCCTCATCTTGTTCTGGCCTATCGAGAAGTGCCTTTTGCTCCCCAATGGTCATCTTACGAGATGCCGTACTGTCAGTCGCAACAATCAGACAAGAAGAAGATAAGATTTTTGCGGTGTGCGAAGATCATAAGAGGGCAATAGGCATTTTATCTATCACCCACGCAGGAAGGCAAATTCTATTCAGGGAACCCATCACTTTTCACCTAGATCGAGCTATGTTGCTGCAGAAATTGTGGGGACAGTATCTCACTATTGAATCTATGGCCAATCATGAGTCTCGATTGATATGCGCCAAGCCAAGTGTTCTTGCGTGACTTGAGATTGAGCGCGACTTGAGATTGACATCGGATCTTCACCCCTTGCTCAACTCGACTATGTTTGTCGTGGGGGCAAAACATGTCGTCATTTAGGCTTCAATCTGCTGAACGAACGCTTGAGTGGACTCCCTGACGTTCAAAAAATCAAAGCCAAATAATGGAAGAGACGCGACCACTTCACAGTGGCGGCTTGGGTTCGTGGGTTTTTTCTAGGGTGGTAGGACGATCTCGCACGCAATAAAAGCAAATATGAATAAATGGACAAAATTCAGCCGCTCTCCTTGTCATAAGCTCCATGATTGGCTGACATTCTTTAGACTGTGAAACCTATGGACATCTTCAGAGGCAAGGAAGCTGGAGGGTTACAGCAAGCGACAGCGACATCATCTATCGGGTCCTCGGCATACCCGAAGTGGCATCTTGTAGGCTCTCCATTGCCACCCATTTCATCTCGTAGAAAGTGAAGGGCAAATCAAAACAGGTTCAAGTTCAGTGCACACGAGATATCAATTCAAAAAATGATCAAAATACCGCCACATTTGCTGCATATCGTCGAGATGATGAAATGACGGTGGAGATCCTTGCTGCAGGGTGCGGCTGGCCACGATTTTCCTGTGAAGAGGTTCACGAGGATCGCGTGGAAATAATAAATAACTCATCAAAGAGACCTATTACGAGGCAAGGATGAATCTGATCTTCCATTCCCAGAGGTTTAGCCTGTAACTGCCACATGGCTCAGCTAAAGCTTACGCTTCATAGTAGCTAGCTATTATCCGTGATTCTGGCCGTATACGAACTTCGGATTCTTTGATCAGAATTCTTAACGACCACCTCCTCTATACAGTAGATTATGTCGATAGCAGATGTTTTGAAATGCCGTCGCCGGAATGGCCCGGTAATCTATAGACTCGCTCTCGTTCTTTCATCACTATGTATCGGAATAGTCTATCCCAGAACGCCTCATGGGAGAGGTGCTTGTGATCCCCCTTTGATCCAAAAATCAACTCAAATGTAAAACGAGAAGATATGAACCAAATCAAAGAACTTCCAATTGATTCTTAAATTGGTTACCAATGACAATTAGTTCCATATAAACAAATACGAATTTGGCTACTAATGAGCCACCCCTTTATGAGCCTTCACCAGAATACAGTACATCTGACTTCCAAGCTCTCTCTTGCTTCCTCGTCGTTATTCTGTCCCTCAAGTTCAAAGGAGCTGTGGATTGCACCACACACAGGAAGCTCGGGAGAGGTGTCCGTGGGATCTTGTGGTGCCCGGAGAGTGGCTTCGGTCTCGTTGTCAAAGAACTGAATGATCAAAGCTTCAGATGGTTGCTGGTTAGAGATAAAGTGCCAATCGTGTCCCTTGCCCTTAGTATCACTCGGTTCATGTGCAGTGTAGGCCCATGTCCGATATTTTCCAGCCTTATGTTCATCATTTTCCTTCGGTTGACCTTGAGGGGCGGAAGTATCGATAATCTCTGCGAGATGAGGGGGAATGTCTTTGTCGAAGGACACATCGTAATACTCCATGGGGGAATAGTCAGATTTGGGGAACGAATGAGTCGGTGCAACAGCGAGAGGATCCCGAGTAACAGTCTTCAGCGGACGCCAGACGGAGAAAAGTGCAAATCGTGGAATACCCTCCTCTCCGCCAGTCTTTCCCTTATAATGGTCTTTGAGGTCGTCCCAGTCCACGCCTGAACGCAGTAGTTTATTTTCTGCTTCAATGACTGGTTCTGCTACTGACACTAGATCGCGATGCTGCTTTCGAATTTGGCGCCGGGCACCTCGAGGAGTAAAGTCCAGGTGCACCTTAGGCGCAGTGGATACACCAGCATCGGGCCGACTACCATAGATAGGGCAGCAGATTGTTATTTCTTCGTCTTCTTTCTTCTCATTTGTTTCAGACGCTTCAGGCTCTTCAGAGTACAGATTGCTTCTGAGAATTGCCCCCGTGGGTATAACATGCTTGCAGCCAGTGACTTTTTTCAAGAGGTCCTCAACTTCAGGGAAGTAGATTGATCTCAACAAATCCTCATCTTTCCAGCTTGAACGATCGTATGGAGCCGAGTTCAGTCGTGACTCGTAACGACGGGCAGTGAAGCCATGCTTTGAAAGTTCGAATGGAGAAGCGTCGCCGAGGTCCAGGGAAGGGCGAATATCAGTCAACGGTAAGTTGGGGGATGCCTGGAAATTCCTAAGAGCGGGTAGGCTGTACGCTCCGGTTCCTGGAGTAGGCTTGGTTCCCCGAGGAAGATAGTTAAATTTCCCATAGTATTGTGTAGCGATAGAGCCCATGGGTGGCGATTTGAGATTGTTGAATCTAGATAGTGGAAAAGTGGGGCAATGGGGGAGACAAATAGCTGAGTTGGACTCTTATTGCCTACCACAGAGAAGTAGGGCGTATATATAGTCCTTATCACGTTCCGGGCGCTAAGCCCAGCTTCTGATTGTGTCTAAGTACATGAAAAATGCTGCATGCGATCAACGTGGAGTATTGAAGATGCCCTAAAATCTCCGAGCTGTCAATACATGACAGTTGGCGCTTACAGTACGGAACCTTGCTAGCACTTGAGGCATCCCGAGTGCTAAAAGGGTAAGCGCATCCCTACTGTTCTAGTGGAAGTTTAGAGCTCTTGGACTTTGAACTCGCGACTATATGCAATGTAGCAAAAGAATTGAAGAAACGTTGGAATGAAATGAGGAGCCAGAACTTAGTTAATCTGCCCTTAACTTCTATGACCGGCTCTATTATCCCAGCTTTCATATGCTTTGATGAGTATTCCTAGCTTTGGGCGACTGTCTGTATCCCTTCAGGCCATTTCTTTCAGCACGGAGAATTACATGACCAATCACGAGGAAGGCGCTTTGGACCATGGAAATAGCGGTCAATTGGGCTTGGAGGGTTGACCTGAAACTCCTTACTAGCTATAGCTCTTGGATGGCATCATTTCCAAACTGAACAGAGAAGGAGGGGCCAATCTGCATACCCCGCTTAGAATGAGGCGCATCATGAATTGTCTGTGCTTTGCATTTTGCCAGCTACCAAGATGTTACACCGCATGTGCGAAAGTGTAGGTACCTCGCTTTCTGCCAAGGTCTTTTAGATTTGCAGATGCAGTAGTCACACGCTAGAAACGTGGAGCAGGTCCCTGGTTATTAGATACCTGAGTCAACCTGCTGCAGGTCCAAATATTGATGAAGAAGTAATACAAGTCAAAACACAAATACACTGGTGGTCACGAAACTTACAAGTGACCCACCATCATGCCGAGTGGACGGTATTGAAATTACGTCCCCACCGGCAGAATATCTGGATGAATCACAATCTTCATCAATTGCTGCTACTGTATGTCAACCACGCTAAGGATGAGATCTCAACTGGTGACGATAGTGGGTATCAGACAATATAACTATGGCTAATTATGGGTAGCTTACTAATTCCATGAAAAGCGGGAAGTTTTCCCTGGTCCCCTCCAACCTTAGGCCACCCAGCAGTGCACACAGTTTCTAGATAATAGACCAACATATATTTGCATATCTGCAGGAACGATTCTCAAGATGCACTTTGCGCATCATTCAACGGCTTTCCAATGATGGTTTCATTCGGCAGCACGTTGTGCATTGGAAAATATCTGTGATTCCACTATGGTTGAACACGTTGAAAGAGACTAAATCTTCTGCCCAATTACAAGGCTAGGAAGGATCGGTCCGCTCCCGTCCGGTTCCAATGAACTTCAATTTCAACTTGGTACCACTAGTGAGTCTAGTGTATCTTTTGAACAGGGTTTAAGTATGTGACTAGAGCTCCCTTCGAATTAAGAAATATTTTGGTTGAGTGTGCTACAACCCATGAATTTTCAACATCATCCGAAAGTACCTATCGTGTTTGCCCGTGACATTTTTTTTGACATCCTTCTCGGCGCAGGGACCCTGCTTTGAGCCAGCCACTGAACTCGGCATCATTCGAGGTCAAAGCTTTAGTCGCAGGTGTCACTAGTTAGGCATGGTTCGTTGTTGTTCTACATGATGTGGCTCCGCATGGCTTGGCAATGCGTCGGGGCGATCGATCCGATCGAGATAAGATCCGCCGTCACGATCTAGGCCCGAACTCCTCCGGCACTGCGAGGGTACACTTGGTTAACGCTTACGGATGCGATTGGTATGCTATAGCTTCGTGGCTTTCTGTACGATGATCCTGATTTTTAGGCCGCCTCACTCTACTTAATACTGATTAAAACTTCTGTCCCGTATGTAACGTTTTGCAGGTCTCAAGACCTGACTGTTATTAAAAGAGTGATACTAGCGGTTTTTCGTACTGCGTATTGCATGTTTGCGGTTCCGTACAGCCCATACCAGTACAGTACAATTGGCAAATATATACATACTTAGTCCATGAAGGAAATAAGGAGAAAGCAAAGAGCCTCGGCGCTTAGACAGCTGTGGCGGAATGCATACATGCAGGATCCAGAGAACGGGCCATTTTCTACTTCGAAGCTCTAAGCTATGCTTTGTCCTGGAAGAGATCCAATTCAACCCCGACATTTGATCAGGGTGGCTGACTTCTAGGCAATTGGTGAGGAACCTTGGTAAGGAAGTTCTCGGCCAGAAAATGAGAAATTAACATTGCAAAAGCTTCATATCTCCCTCCATGTCGTTCACAGTTGCTGCTAAAACGCGGTCGTTCCAAGAACGAATGCTCCTCAACGCTGAGATTTAGCAGCTAAGCGTGCTGCTCCGCGTCTGAACAGATCACTAACTTATCCACCTTTCAGGTGGCCACTATCCCAGAGCTACAGCAAGTTCATCTGGAGTTTCCGTACGGCAGGTGATTACCGAGACTGTGAAACTAAACCCTGAAAACAAAAGCTCCGAAACTGATACATCAACTCCCCCAAGACCTTTTCCATAGTACAAAACTCGGACAATTCATTCAGTACTACTGTAATCCAAGTATCATTGCGTCTACTGAGCTGCCCGAGCTCCGGCCGATGAGAATGGCAGGTTACACAGCATGAATTTTATACGAGACAGCATGCCACCAGAACCCGCTAGTACATCGTTTTCGGACTCAATTGGGAGAACCTTAGAAGTTAAAGGATGATCTGGGCAAGGATCGATCATTGAGGAATATCATCTTGCAAAAGTATCCGTAACGGCCCACATATGAGGTCTATGTACCTGTTTGGCCCGTGAGCTGTTCTGCAGGCCTCGACCCATCGAATATACCTCCTCATGTGTGGAACCCTGTACTCCTAGCTACGCGACAATGCGGAATCTCAATCTCACGGTCTCCACGTATCTCCTACGGCGTAAATACCTTGTATTTCGATATACGTCTCTTTTGCCCGGACTTGAGAAAGCTGCAAAGCAAATGGCGCCATTGCGTACACGTTGACCTGCAGGACGTATATGCAAAGGCTGCGTCGAATGTTGAACACTTCATCTGTGGAGTGATGGAAACGCACTCTCTGCATGTCGCATGTACCTCGCATAGCGTAGACCCATTCGGAGTTACAGTAAATTGCACGACATCAATTGAGAATACCATCAGCTCGCACTGGTAACTGGAAGGATGGAACAAACAATCCTGGATTCATTGAGGAGCACATAAATGCCTCAAGAAATGAATCTGACTTTCGTAATAGCACGTTTTACAACCAACTATTTTGCCATTGCATTCAAGGCACTTTAGCCGATCCAAAAAGCCACAATGCAGTCGTAAGACTGCTGACACCTGCAATGCAGGGCATGCTGAGGGCATGCTGAGGGATTATTCGGTGATTCGTGTTGAGTTTTCGAATCCAGATTTGTATTCAATTCAATGGGCGGATAGTATCTTCTCATGCTAGTATTGTTTTGAGCCGTTCTGTCTTTGAAATCTTGTCAGTGCAAGTTCGGCGAGATGGATGGTCTCTAAGGCTCGGAGATTATTACGAAGGACAGATACTTGGGTAGACTCAAGCATGGATTCTCTCTATGAATCCTTAATAGACGATTCGTTATCTTATGGCCAGGTTGTTGTTACGCCGAGGAGAAAGGGGAATTCACTGTATTCGTACAGTGAATGTATTGATTCAGTGAAGATATCGAATCTGAAGAGCCGGAAGAGAGGGTCGAAAACACTCATAGACGATGAAGTCCTTGTTCAAACTCCCTTCCTCCTTTCCTGAGCTCTCTCAAGTCTATTGGCATTGTTGCAGGTTATACAGCTTTATATTTCTATCTTCCTGGTCTCCGTTTTGATGCTTAACACGGCACCAATCAAGACGGATGCTGGCTTGAGCATCAATGTCTGAACACTGTATATTATAGCCTCAACCACCAGTAATCAAGTCCAAATTCTAAGTCATCTTGTTCATTTCTCTAGAGGTATCAACTCAAAGCCGCAGTGATGTACAGTTGGCATAGAAAAGAACAAAAGTATACCAAAAAAAAGCCGAAATCAAGGACCCTCCCAACAGGCATCAATCAATCAATCAATCAATCCAACGACCGATTAATGCCCATTCTTCCCACCCTCCGTCCTCTCCAAATACTCCACCAAATCCTCAATAGTACACACCTTAATCCCCCACTGCTTACCAAACCGCAAACACCCATCACGCCTCATCATCCCATTATTCCCCCGAATCTCCGCAACACCCTCCACAACCTCCCCGCCCTCAACCAACTCCGCAATCACACCCACAGGCGCCTTACCGGCCAGCCGGCAGAAGTCGACCGCAGCCTCGGTGTGGCCCTTGCGTTCGCGCACGCCACCGGCTCGCGCCTGCAGCGGGATGATGTGGCCGGGCCGGCGGAAGGAGTCGATCCGCGCGGAGGGGGATGCGAGCGTGCGGCAGGTCAGCGCGCGGTCTTCGGCGGAGATTCCGGTTGTCACGGACTCGTCACTGGCGTCGATTGTGATGGTGTAGGCGGTGCCTTTGGGGTCGGCGTTTTCGGTGACCATTTGCGGGAGGGCAAGGCGGGTTGCGAGGGGTGGGGGGATGGGGGCGCAGATTAGGCCGCTGGGAGAGAGACGAGGATAGTTGTTAGCATGTTTGTTTCTCTGGCTTGGAAGCTGGTCCTGCAGCGGATATCTCCGAGCGGAGTGGTTTGCTTGCCGCGGATGTCGGCTGCGGGATAGATGGGGAACTCACCTTGTGTAGCGCACGAGGAATGCCATCTGTGCAGCGGTAATAGACTCGGCTGCAATTATAAGATCTCCTTCATTCTCACGGTCTTGTGAGTCGAGTACAATGATGAATTCGCCATTCTCTGGGGTGAGTCATCGTCAGTTACGGAAGTCATTGGGAAGTCTTGCAGATCTCGAGATCAGGCCAGAAACATTCTGATTATAGCCTGTAAGGTGTAAGAACTCACTAAAAGCAGCAATTGTATCTTCAATCGTGTCGAATTGCTGTGCAACCTCTGTTGTGGAAGGCATCTTGAAGGTGGTGGGAGGGGGTTGGGTAGCTGCCGTTATTTTTGCCCCTCAGTGCGCAATGGCGGGACTTTGAGGAAGGAAGAAGGGAAATTGAAGGAGATTGAGGGAATTGAAGACCTCGTAACAGACAGAATGCAAGGATGAGTATTTGCGACTTCACAAAATGAGGAAGAAAATTGGATTGTTCCAGAAAAGTTGCCTCTTGCTAGTGCCCCGTAATCGCTGACAGTGTATTAGAAATGCCCGTGATGCCGGATTCCGCGCGCGGGGAGCCGGGCGGTGAGTGGGTGCCGAGGATATGGTTCGGCGCTTTCCAGTTGCGGTGTCAGGTGGTCGGAGAACGTGGAACGAATTTAGGCATACTACCTGATTTAGGTATGACTAGAGAGTTTAATCCGGGGTTTTAGGTATGGGATGAGACATTAGGTGAGACAATAATAGTGCCATTGATATCAAAACGTAGAGTAATGCGAGGCACGATATACGTTCCGCTTAAATTCCGAATGAAAAAAATTGTCACGTCTAAGTAGCCGCACGAATATAACAGTCATGCGATGAGATGCCAAGGTTGGATAGTTTAAAAAAGAGAAATGGTCACACGATGTGACCAAAGGGAAGTATCGTCACAAATTGGGCGAGAAAGATCGAGATCAACTCATGCCATCCGTGCCCATCCATCGGACTTCATCCGCCTGTCGCTCGAGTGCCCGACGCATCATGTCCTCGTATCTTTGCTCCTTCTCCCATTCGTCACGATGTTTCTGTCGCATGGCAGCGCGGGTCTCTTCGTCAACCTCGGCCTTCATAAACCACTCGTCCTCATCGTCTACCACAACACCATCGAGGTCCGCGGGTATAGAGAACTTGATACGACCGATGCGCTCTCCAGTCCATACTAGCAGCTCGTCGCCGGTCAAGTTCCCTCCTGTAGGTAGAATCTTGCGTGCCACTTCACTGCTATTGTTTTGCGGGTTTGAGTCCGGCCATAGTCCACGAGCATTGGACTCTTCGTTTGGCTGTCCCGGTATCGGTGTGTGACTGGATCGCGAGAATGGAATTTGGGGGTGGAAAGTGTTGATATTCCAGCGGCGGACTTCTGCTCGGCCATTGCGTTCAACCCATTTGATATTGCCCTCGGAGTCGGAGTAGACGAGGCGATTCCCATGAGACGCGACCGAGAGCAGTTTGGAACTGGCTGCACTTTGTCGATTCTTATAATGTGGTGTTAATTGCGACGTCATTTTAGACGGGTCGTCATTAAATCCTTGTGATGAAGACTCCAAGCTGTACAATTCTAGAGAACCTCGACCGTTGTATTCGCCACACGCGACGACAGTGTGAGACTGGGGGTATGTCGAGTCTGAAAAGACGGGAAATCGGGGTGCAGGAGCCGAGGCAAGGCCACATAACCGGCCTCCAGAGTGCACGGTGCTTTGCAGTCGGGGGAAGAACCGCCGATCATAGCAAAGGATACTGGGGAATCGGCCCGCAAGAAGGATGGAGTTCACATGAGGTGCGGGAGGGTGTAGGATGGAGAGTGGCCCGGGCTGGAAGAGAGGGGCATAATTCTCCCTAGCTGTAGGATCAGGACTGCGGATGCGTGTTGGAGGCTGCCCATTTGCTTGTAGTTGTAGTAATGGCGAGTCTGGATGAGCAAAGATATCCAACTCGGGTACCAAAGGCGCCATGTTCTTCTCGCACCGTAGGCTGATAGCTTCCTCTTCTTCTGTTGCGGATAGCCGGGCATCATGAATCTGCAAACTAAGTGTTGTCGCTAGTGTCAGTGGCACAGAGTAATCGGTCTCTTGCGAGAGAGCAAAGATCGACCAAGGGTATCGCTGCTGCGAGACAATTTTAAGTGTCTCCAAGTCAACCTCGTTCAAGACATTGCCCACAGCAAGGTAGGCTCTTCGCCGAAATGAGTCTACAGAGACACCCTCCCCAAGATTGATGAATTCCAACGCAGACTTGGAAGGCGAAAGCTCCCTGCGTCCAGAACGATTGGTCATGAGAACACCTGGCTCACTCATCCCGAGTATTTTGCCTTTGGATGACTGAGAGTCGACGCGGTGGGAATGATTGAGATCCCAAATGCAGACCGTGCCATCGTCAAGAGGAGCCACGATTTTGTTCTCTCTCGCAGAGCTCCAATCTTTCAACAAGCCCATGCCCTTGATTTCAAATGGCTGTTTCCTCCGGCCTTGGCCATTGGATCGCATAGGCTGCTGCACCCATGATAATGACATCGGTCCATGCCGAGCAATATATTCCGAATACCAATCCACATGTTCTCCCTCCGCCGAAGAGTCCCAATCTGCGGCCGCCCGCGCAATGTCTGAAGGCCTTCGTTCTTCATCTAGTTCCCCGTTTCCCGACGGCGGAGCCGGAGGTTGGATAAGATCACGCAATGAATTTTGTCCTAGCGTGCTCAACGGCGTGGTCGAATTTGAGAGAAGACTCTCCGAGGTCCGGCCTGCCGGACGATTGGATTGTAGGGCCGCCCATGACTGCTCATAGCAGTGCAATTTCCAAAGGTTATTGTCGCGGGCGAGATCAAAAAATTGCTTGCAAACCAGTTGCAGCTTCACCTTCTCACGGGGGTGAGAACTATAGTATTGAGACAGTTATCAGCGCTGGTGTTCTTTTGTTTCTTTGTGGAGGAGTAGACCAAGTGGTGCGGGGAACACGCGGGAGGGGAGGAGGGGTTTGCGACGGCTCTTACAGTCGATGATTTTGGCGAGGATTTCTACCGGCAACTTGTCCATGAGGGAGGCGGAGATGGCTGCTGCATCGGGGGCAGGTGGAAGAGGAGGAGGACGAGGATCAAGGGTCTCAAGGGTGAGCATGCAATGTTGCGACTTGAGAAAAGTTCCAGAGCCTTCCTCGATCTGACGATCTGCACTGATTTCGTCACGTGTCTCAGGGCAGCAAAGTAGATCGTTGTTTACTTTGGATACGTTCTCGCTGATGAGCTATTCAATTCAATTGTGATCTCTAGCGACTAAGTACTATAAAAGAAAGACTAAGCCTCTCTAGTAACGGATTCTGGCGCGTGGGGTTCGATCTAGAATTAGGATGTCCGGGGCCAATTTACTTGAATCAACCCCACCGTAACATGTGTTCCGACAGGTAAGATGATCGAGACTTAAGCTATTTGAGAACCATGTGAAATGTTTATACATTATGCTATATAGAGAGTATGGAGCAGCAGGTCATGGTGAAGTAAAGTTTAGGATACTCCACAGCAGAACGCCGGCTCAACCTAAGCTGTTCCCACCCTATCATAAGTCGTAGATTCAAGCCAACATAAGCGGAGAAAAGAAGAACAAGATAAAGCACGCGCATTTCTATTCATCCGGCTTGAAAACAGCATCCTGACAGAGAACAGCCACTTTTTTGAAGAACCGACGCCACTCCAAGGGATCACCCTTGATTTTGACAAACTCGACTTCGAAGAGGCCCTCGGAGACACACTCAATAAGGACCTTGCCCTGGAGTGAACACATTCTACCATCTTTGGCAATCACCCGAATCATGGCAGAAGTGTCTCCAGAGCTCACGGCAGGGACCGAGGGGACAGGGACCCCAAGTCGGTGAAGAGCTTCGCAGATCAATGGGACTAACAACTTCAACTCCCATGCAGAATAGAAGCGCGTCAGCGAGCGAGGTGGGATGATATCTTGGAACACCTTGGCATTCTGAGTTCGACTCAAAGGTACAGAAGGCTTCTGAGAGAATTGTGACATGGACGGCTCATCTTCCAGATGGGACGAGATCTCCATTTGCTGGGATGAAAATGGCTTATCAGCAGGCTGTGTGGAGTAGTACTCTCCAGCTAGGTGCGGCGTATGCCAGTCCATCACCATGTTGCCACCCGCCATCTCAGGCTGGGTGGAAGACATGCCTTCAGATAAATTGACCTCCTGATCATGCATATCCACATCCATGGGGTCACTTCGGCTGGCGCCGGGCCTCTTCTGGGAGAGAGGATCTTGACTGAAGTCGATATGTAGCGATTCAAACATTGACGTGGCAAGATTGATAGGATCCTTCAATTTCGTGCCATCGGATGAAAGGTATTTGTTGGATCGTGTATACCAGGGGTGTCTTCTCACATCTTCTAGCGAGAAGCGGCCCTTGGGGTCGACAGTCAACATACCGCGGAGTAGGGATAATGTGGCAGGGGGCAGCTTCTGCCACAGCTCGTCGGTGGGTCGTGCATTTGTCGTGAGATATTCGTGAAATTCGTAACTATCATCTGTGGGACTGTCCCACGGCGTATTACCGGCGAGAAGGACAAAGAGGACAATACCACAGGACCAAATATCGACCAAATCCGGATGGTACCCTGATCCTTTGTTCTGGCCCCGGGTACTGCATGTGATGACCTCGGGAGCAATATATGGTGGACTACCACAGAACGTGGTTGAGAGTTTCCTTGTCCCCTTGTACTCGAACAGCGCTGCCAGACCAAAGTCCGCTATTTTCAGGTTTCCATCACTAGTCAAGAGCATGTTCTCCGGCTTGATGTCACGATGTCCTACACCCTTGGAGTGCATGAAGCTCACAGCACTAATCAGTTGCGAGAAGTAGACATGAGCGATATCCTCTCCCACGCCCTCGTCTGCCTCGATCTTGTCGAACAGATCCCCACCCTCGGCCAATTCCATCGCAATCCATCGCCAAATCTCATCCTCGCCGGTCTGGTAAAAGCTGATGATGTTGTTGTGGCCTGTGACATGTCGGTGCACTGTAACTTCTAATGAGAGTTGCCTGGCGCTGATCTTGCCATGGCGCGCGGCATAGTCCTTGTGGATGTACTTGACTGCGAAAATGGGATTATCCGCATCGAGGGGAGCGGCTTTTTTAATACTGCAAAGTTCGCATTGCGTTAGTATATTTCTTCCCAAAGTACTCATAGACTTGTAACTCACCAAGCATACGCGCCCTGGCCGATTGTTTTGGAGACGATACGGAATGGCACGTCGATTGGCAGTGGAGCCAGCTGGGAGTGCTGCATCGTGAGGCCGGCGAGGAAGGAAGGTACTCGAGTGGTGTCAGGTATGGACTAAGATTAGGATGATAAGCGCTACGAGTGGAAAGAGTCCATTGTGTAATTCGAAACGAGCGATGGCGATGGGCGTTGGATGGTGGGAGGTGGGCGAGTCAGATGCGCGGAGGCCGCAAGGGCCAAAAGTGCGCCAGCCAGACGCGGGACGAGACGCGGGCCACTTTATCCCTTTTGGGTAGTGTGTTGACAGTCATCATAGCATAAGAGAAGAGACGATACATAAATAGGTAGATTTTAGATAGGAAGTAGAGTATATATTTGATCATAAAGTATGGTTTAGCTTTATTGAGTAGTACTATATATTCTATTCCATGCCTGGAATATATGAATCTCTATACTGCAGTAGTTCCTGTGACCCGCATGTTCCCCTCTCCTTCGATCGCACTAATAGTCCAATTCTCCGCGCTTCGGTCTGTGCTTGTGACTGTCGGGTGATCTATTTATAATTTAGATCCTACTTTCCACAATAATATACACCATGATATATTCTATCATAAAACATACTCTTGTAATTTGTCAACCCTCAATTTTATTCTCAGGTGGTCTCAACTTGTGATAACAGACTCTCGCCCGTTCGCAGCACTAAGCGGGGGCCATTTCTGCGTTGCCGGGGGGGCGAGTAAACAAACTCCCAACCAGAAAACCAAAAGAACCACTCTGGCGCTTAGCGCCTCTTTTTCTCTTCCTCTTTTCTTTGTCTCCTCCTTCATAATCATCATTCCATTGTCACTTTCTCCCCGTATACTCTTAATACTACCCCCACACTTCTATCCTTCCCCCTCATATTTCCACCTCCATCTCTCCTCGTCGCTTTTGGTCGTGGTGGGTCCACTGTTGTTCGGATCCGTCGTCATTCCAGACAGCAACCCTCGTGCTACAGTTACTCGCATTCCACGGACGGCCCGGGAACCTGCAGCCTTCCAGATCACTTCTTTGTTAAAGACTCTTGCTCTTTGAAGACCACTCACTATGGACTACAACATGGAGGACACTCAAAACTCGGCACCCGAGACCCGGGAAGCTACCAAGCTGAGTGGCGCTGGACAGCGCGGTGACACGCAGAGCGTCACCAAGCGGTTCGTGGTTCCCACGTCCAAGACAACTTGACTAGGAATTTTGGCGGAAGTACTGACGTGTCTCATTTCGATCGTATAGCCTGCAAGCTGAGCTGATGCAGCTCATGATGGCGCCCTCGCCTGGTATCTCTGCCTTCCCCGACGCCGATGGCAACCTTCTTTCCTGGACGGGGACTATCACCGGCCCCACGGAGACGCCCTATGAAGGATTGACGCTGAAGCTCTCCTTTGCTTTCCCTAACAACTACCCTTACTCTCCGCCCACCGTCCTCTTCAAGACCCCCATCTACCACCCCAATGTCGACTTCTCTGGCCGAATCTGCCTGGATATTCTGAAGGACAAGTGGAGCGCTGTGTACAACGTCCAGAGTGTGCTTCTGAGCTTGCAAAGTCTCCTGGGCGAGCCCAACAAGTAAGATATCATTACCCGGATCTGCAAAGTCGTCCATTCGCGAGGCTTCAATCACTAACAAGAGATAATAGCGCGAGCCCACTGAACGCTCAGGCTGCCGAGCTCTGGGACTCGGATCAAGAAGAGTTCAAGAAGCACGTCCTGGCCCGTCACCGCGATATCGACGACGAGTAAACCCTCCCCCCCTTTGCATGGTTTAGGATTCCACAATGGCGTCGGTTGGTCACGCGGATGCTTCTTCAACCCGATCATATCTTTTCGGGCAGGCATCCGGCGTGGTGCACATGCATAATGGCCTGTTATCAGCAGGCTAGGAGTTATTGGTTCTCGTTTTTTATGGTACCTTATCTGGTTCGGTTTTATTTTACGGCAAGCATTCAAGTACCGGCGCGTGTTGTCTTGTGTTTTGCTCCTGAGAGTTTTTTTTCCTCTTTGTACTTTCCCTCGTGGGTTCCTGTAATGAAGTAATCCATCATCGATGGCTCTCATACTTTATTGGCCTTCCGAGTACCCATCAAAGAGTGAGATCTAATACCGGACATGCATGTCCCAGACGACTACAATTGATGCTCAAGCTAAGATTGCGAAGAACGTTCCATGGCTGTGCATGGAAACTCTCATAATATGAACTCAAAAGTGAAAGCTACCATCATGTGATACACATCAAATACAACCACACCTCCACCCAATCAAGTCGTACTGAAATACTGCTTCTCATCCGTAATAAGCAGACCCGCAATCGTCGCACTAGTAAAAGTACTAATCGCACCCGTGAGCATCGCACTAACAGCCACACGGGACACATCGCCACTACGACCGGGCGAGATCTGAGACAAGACACCGATCTGGTTACCCAGGGAGCCGATGTTGGCGAAGCCGCAGAGCGCGTAGGTGGCGATCAAGCGTGAGCGGTCGGAGAGGTGAGAGTATGCTTCTTGGTTTTGGAGGGCGTTGTAGGCGACGAATTCGTTCTATCGATTTCAATGTTAGTAAGTGAAGAAGCAAACCAGAGATGTGGTTTTTGTGTTTTGGAGGGCGTGTGAACATACCGAGACCAATTTCAGACCAATTAGCTGGCCCACCTTCAGCAGATCGCCGTTCCGCGATACACCCAGCAGGAAGGCAACCGGGTAACAGAGGTAACCGAGAATAAGCTCGAGGGTCAACTCGGGATTGTTGATACTTAAGTAATGACCCCACCAAGTGAGAAGGCCATTAATAAGACCAATCAACGAGATAATACACAGCAAAGTCGAACCAATCATAGCCGCAATCTTCAGACCAAGCCAAGCTCCATTTGCAAAAGCGTGCAGAGCATTAGCAGCGCGGTGTTCCTCATTATCAGGAATAACGACCCGCCCAGCCGTCAGACTCTCTTCTTCCTCGGGCCAACGCAACTTCGAGCACGCCAATGAGGCAGGGATACTCATCACACACGAAGATACCAACGCCTGCGGGTTCACGCCCATTGTGATATAAGCGATCAATACACTACCGGCGATAGTCGCGAAACCAGAGCACATGACCTGGTGCAGTTCGGCCATGGTCAGATGCGCGATGAACGGTCTGATCAGCATTGCCGACTCGCCCTGTCCAATGAAGGGCGAAGCAGCGGCGACGACGGCCTCGGCGCCAGAGACGCGCATGCACCAGAAGAAGAAGACGGCGAATTTGGCGATGAACCATTGCAGGATGTTTGTGTAGTAGAGCAACTGCACGACGGACACGAAGAAGATGATAGCCGGGATAACACCGACCAAGAACCAATTTGCCGGCTGCAGTGGCGTTTTCATATTGTAAAAGTCATCGGCAGTGAGGAATTTAACTCCATCAGCAGCGAAGCCAAGCAATTCACGAGCGAGCAGGGAAATAAAGTTGAAAATGTCATAACCAGCACCGGACCGAAGCACGAATAGCGCAATGATAAATTGCACCAACATCCCCACGATAACCGTGTGCCAGACGATCTTGCTGCGGTTCCGCGAGGTCAAATACAAGACGAAGATGAAGACGATCAAGCCGAAGAGACTAACGGCGCGGTTTGCGCGGGTGTTATCTGCTGATTCAGGCGAGGCGAATGATCCAATAAGGATTACGCCGACGCAAACGACGGCTCCGAGGGGAGTGCGGAGTTTCTCGGGGATGGCGTTCACGATTGGCGTGGCGGTTTTGTTCCAGAGGAAATACATTGGTCGGGTTATGATGCTGATTGGGACGTAGAAGAATATCAGGCGTAGGGTGATGGCTAGGTAGAGCAGGAATGGGACTACCCAACCCAGGTCATGCCGATGCTTAATGAGACCGGTGATCCACCAGCTAGAAAGAGACGGTATAAGTTTCTCTGCAGGTTACGCGCGATATCTTTTGGATATCGATCAATGGAGCTTTGTTGAATTGATTCACTTACCCGGTAAACAAAATCCAGATCGCAGCGTGGAAAGCACGTCTCCAATGCTTCAGCGCACGCCGGTGCCATGGCCGTGGGGCGGGATTGGTCTCGCCTGTCTCCTCGTCTTTCGATCCCTGGCTGTGGCTGCCATGATCAAGGGGGCTGGGTTCAGGAACAATGCCCTTTTCGAAGACCGTGTCTTTGGAAAAGACCACTTCATCCTCGCGGCCTTGCTCGGCAAAGGCAGTGTGGTGATGATGTTCATGGTGATGCTGGTGCTCAGCCTGAAGTGCCGGATCCTGATGCAGTGCGGCCTGATGCTCAGTCGTGTCTACCGAGACATTGTTGGCCTCGGATTGTTTCTCGGCCATGGTGTCGACAATGGGAAGTTGAAGTCTCCCTTATAACGCCGCGTGGTGATCGAGTCTTGTTGAATATACTCGGGAATGCACGACGTTACGCGGTCCTCTCTTTATGCACAGCAGCTAAGATCTGCAACAATCGCAAAATGCACTAAAAAGCAAAGAGAACAAATCTGCCGTACAACCTCACGGGCTAGGAGTCAATTTATCAACCCTGGCTATCGGTTGTCCAGGATAGAATCAGGTTATCAGAAGGCCGAGAGAAATTTCATTGTGGCTGGTCTTGGTGCTCGCATTCCAGTCGTACCATTGGGGCGGGGGCGAGTCTTCGTTTATCAACGGCATTGACATTAGCACAGTATTCCCGAATGAATTTTTTTTTTCTTTTTCATTTCTTTTTGTGCGGGGAAACACCCTAATGCGAGATAAGTGAAGCCAGTGGGTAAGGGAGTGGGTAATCCCTCGGGCCATATCCCAAGAAGGGTGGCTAGCCGGATTTCCATTTCTTGCGTGGTTTATCACTGGTGAACAAACTTTTTGAACCTGCCCTTGTTAGCAGGAGAAAAACGGGCTCGCCGTCGGGCCACCCGTCTTACAACCCCCGGTTACTGGGGAGAGGGGGATCCGCATGTAACCCTTTTGCGCATTGAGCTGCTATGCGGGCAAGTAATAGCGCTTTGCTGACACTAGTCGCCGCTATCTTAGCGACCGAGCACAGAGCACACTTGTTGACTTTTGCTGGTACTGCTATCTTGCTACTGGTTGAGGGATGTGGTTGGTTGGAGGGTCGATCCATGAGCTGGGAGAGGTGGAAACTCCTCAACGGCAAGTGGAGAAACGGAGAGGCGCCGGTGGTGGTTTTTGGGTTTTTTGAGTTTGGTGGTTCAGGAGATCGTGTGCCCCTACGAGATATTTTTGTATCTTGTCTTTTCTAGAATCACACAAAGTCTGGGGAAATAGTCGTGTGGGACAATTCTACGATCTCCAGAATCAAAGATGTACAGTTGATGGTGACTATGTGTGGAGTACAGTATACTTGAACAGGCAAGCCCATGTCCAACTCGCAGACGATCCTTTTTACACTCTGCTCAACTTGCCTCTCACTGGCCAACTAATCCCTTGGCTCCACCTCTTGTCCCCCTTGGCAAGCTGGCAGTCTCAGAGGTTCAAAGGAAAGTCGAAAAATTTCTTGGATAGGCGTTCCAGCCAAGTCTTTCAATCTTCCAGGGTGATATTTTCTCAAACTCTCAAGTCTTGGCTCTTTGCTTTTATACTACCCTGGCTTGATATGCGATCCCTGTTGACCAACAGCAATAGGCGATCTCCGCCACCCCGGTCGGTCGATCTTGGCGTTACAATTGGCGTAGTCAAGTGCTTATGGGGCGGTTCGGGGTTGGTGTCACGGGACGAGGATAAGTTATCTCAAACCGACAGTCTTGCACGTGCTTGCGGGTGAGTAGTGAGGACTCACCAGTTGACAGATAACATATCATCCTGTCTATCGGTGTAGAGGTGGTTGTTTTTCCCTTGGCAAATGTGGTTAATGGGATTGGGCATTCTGACGAGGTGAGATTCACCGTAATCTGAGGAAAGAAAATTCTTGTAGAATCCAAGTCTGAGAGTATAGGCTCTGGGGTAATCCTGAATAGAAAAAAAGAGGAAATATGGCACAATTCGTATATAAGCTTTCTTGAGTCTACTCTGTATGCGCTGCAACCTGCGCGCGTTTAGCATCGGGTGGCAGGGCGATCGATGGCCGGAAGCGGTATGCGGAGAACCGGGGCGTTTGCCCCTCGCGGGCCAAACTTGCCAGTCCCTTGGGATGAGCTCGGCCAACACTCTCGGTTCAACCACGAGACCACAATCTATACTCTCGAGCTGGCCAATTTATCAAAACCAGCGCAATGGAAAGTGATAACGCCGACTGGGAGCTGGAGGAGGGTCTTCCTCAGTTCGAAGAACCGTTCATCCAACAGTACTTGAAGGGTCGTGATGCGCTTATCGCTGAGGAACAGAAGAGGCGCCATGGTGAGATACTCGTGAAGCGATAGATTCGCGAGGTGTGAACGACTTTATATTCTTCTCTATATTCTAACTACTTGATAGATGCCACTTATCGCAAGTCTCTATCCCCCATCGCCGCCCGGGCCTGCAAAATCGTCTCGCAGATTCGGGCCCGCGAGCAGAGTGAGGTGTGGACAACCGGCTTGGATCCGACTATTGCCCACGAGGCTGATGAGATCCTCTACCCCGGAGTGATGTTCCACCATGCAAAGGGCCGCATGGAAAAGACCAATCTGTGGAAGATTGTTGAGAAGATGCCCAAGGGATCGCTCTTACATGCCCACATGGATGCCATGTTCGATATCGACTTCCTGATCGACCAGGCCTTTTCTACGCCGGGCATTCATATCTTGGCACCAAATCCCCTTGTCTCGTCTCAGGACTTTGAGAAGGGGCCTGTCTTCTTCCAATTCTCAACTCAGTCAACGGCAGAGAGCGAGAAGAAGCCGAGTATTTGGGCGGAAGGTTACGAGGCATCCTCATTGATCCCAATCAAGACCGCTGCCTCGTCGTTCCCCAATGGTGGTGAGGCTGGTTTCCGCGAGTGGCTTCGCAGCCGTTGTATGCTCATGCCCGAACACTCATACCACCATCATCACGGCGTCGATGCTATCTGGGCTATCTTCACTACAACCTTCCCTGTCATCAACTCGATCCTAATGTACGAGCCAATTTTCCGAGCGTGTTTCCGCCGCATGCTGGGTCAACTAGCTGACGATGGTATTCGGTATGTGGAATTCCGTATTGCATTCGTCTTCGCCTGGAGGAAAGAGGGCAAGGATCAACCGGAAGACAGCTATGATGATTGGTGTCGTACCGTTGAAGAAGAGGTCGAGCAGTTCAAACAGACGGAGCAAGGAAAGTCATTCTACGAAGCGCGCATCATCTGGACCACAATTCGGCGGTTCGGCAACAAGGAAATCGTCGACACGATGAAGGAGTGCATTGAGACTAAGCACGCTTTTCCCGATCTCATCTGTGGCTTTGATTTGGTCGGACAGGAGGACCTGGGAAGACCCCTCAAGGATCTTGTACCAGTGTTGTTCTGGTTCCGCAAACGCTGTGCCGAGGAAGGAGTCGACATTCCGTTCTTCTTCCACGCTGGTGAATGTCTTGGCGATGGTGACGAGACAGACCACAATCTCTTCGACGCCATTTTGCTGGGAACCCGACGAATCGGCCACGGCTTCTCGCTCTACAAACACCCGCTCCTGATCGACTTGGTCAAGGAGAAGAAGATTATGGTCGAATGCTGCCCTATTTCAAACGAGATCCTCCGTCTCGCAAGCTCCATCAAGACCCACCCCTTACCCGCGTTATTGTCCCGCGGCGTGGCCGTCTCACTGTGCAACGATGATCCCGCCATCCTCGGCCACGGGAAGAACGGGTTGACGCATGACTTCTGGCAGGTCCTTCAGGGTCTGCAGAACATCGACTTGGCCGGTCTGGCTATGATGGTCCAGAATTCGATCCGGTGGAGCTGCTATGAGGATCAGTCATCCGGTGAATGGAAGCACGATGTTGAACAGGGTATCTTGGGTGAAGGATTGAAGGCGGCTCGTCTGCGAGAATGGCATACTGAGTTCGAGAAGTTTTGCGAATGGGTGGTTTTGGAGTTTGCGGAGTTTGATGAGGAGGATTAGAGGTGAATCGGTGATCAGCGTGCAAGTGTGGGATATCGCGTGGGCGGGACGTAATAGAATGTACAGGATTTGAAAGCCTGGGAAATAAGCGGTGTAAATTTCAACAATCTCTGCAAAAATAAAAGTCAGTTAGCAATGACATGGAGATACCTCTTCTCAAAACTGCGTCGTGATTGAGTTAAATGGTGCAGCCGACAAAAGTGGAGAATCAACAACGTTCGGTCCTAAGGGGAAGAGGGCCCGCCTGACTTGGGCCGATCCGATCACTTATCAGCTTGCCTTTATCAGGTGCCCACCACGATACTCCGCACGTCATCGTCAACCCACAACCCTCCCCTTTCACCCACTCTCTTTGCTTCTCGCCGCCGGAGCCAGCGTGATATTCCTTCGTTATTGCATCTAGGATGATGGCTGTGCTTCGATGAATCTTGTTTCTGCTTGACTGGGCCTCGTGGCGGCTGTTTGAAGATGGCGTACTTTCTGCCCTCGTTCTTCCAGAAGCGCCTGTTGAAGTATGCCCTTTCGCGCCTGGGCATCGTGGATACGGAGGCTCTGGATCCTGATAATCTGGGCATTCGCTGGGGTCAGCGGAGTACGGTGGAACTGCGTGATGTTGGCCTCAAGCTAGAGGTGAGTCTAGCGGGGACCCCGCCAGGCGTGGCGGTCGATCTGTTGCTTCTGTTCGAGCTTTCAAAAGAGAATATTAATAGCTGAACTCTGATTTTATAGAAGCTAGCGACCCTTCTCAACCTCCCGCCGACATGTAAACTCCTCAGTGCCCGCGTTCGTTTCCTTCGGATCACCGTTCCGGCCGACATCTACAGCAGCGGTATCATCTGTGAAGCCTCCGGTATCAACGTGCATATCCAGCTATTATCAGACGAGCCAGCCCATTGCAAGCACGGGGGCACAAAATCACAGCCTCTGTCGGGGCATGGCTCCGAGGAGGGACAACTCCTACCGACCGCTACCAACCTGGCCGAATCATTCCTCGAAGCCGAACCGACAGAGGAAAAGGAGGAGCTGCAGGCAGCAATATCGTCACAGTCTCATATACTACAGAAGAGTTCATCTTTTACGGATGAGGAGGATGAGGAACTTGGACTGGGAAATGAGACAATGTCCCTCCCGAGCTTCGTTGCGGGGTTCCTCAAAGGGGTGGCGGATCGATTACAGTTGAAGATAACGGATATCACTGTGCGGCTTGATATGGAGTTGAAGCAGGATGGTCCTTCTAAACGACATCCTGAGGATAAGCCGGATATCGTGGCGGGATTGTTCACGGTGGGCGAGATCGATGTTCATGGCGCCTCGGACTTTACTGCGGGCGCCGACGAGCCCTTGCCAATGCGCGAGGGCAAGCGGCTGATTTCACTCGCTGATATTAACTTCGGGCTTGTGTCCGATCCTGCCGTGTTCTTGAACTATGCCCGTTTCACCGTGCCTGCATCTCCAACGACTACGATGCAGTCGAAGGAGAGTCAATCCTCCAGCCGAGCGTTTTCGCCACCACCGCCGTTGGAATCGTCTGATTCAGATATTGGCCTGGCTATGACCAGATCAACGATCTTTGAACCATCTCTTGGACTTGGCTTCGGAAGTGCCATAGATCCCGGTCTGGATGAATCGACTATCTCCCACGACACAATTTCCCATGATGGCCGATTCTCAGATGCAGAGTCGGACACAGAGCATAGGCACGACAGATATCCCGACGATTCCCAAATCCTCGCGGATGATGATGACCCGTTCCACGATAATCCTGGGTATTTGGATTCAGTCATTGATACCCAGTTTGATGATTTTGATGATGAACCGCTGGCTGTGCACAGTCAGACGCGGGAAATAGCAGAGAGCGGTGACAGTTCGTATCACCTCGGTCTAGCATTCCGTTCTAACCCGGGACTCGCGGAGTCTACTGATTTAGGGCACTCTGGGATAGCCTCACAAACAGACAGTTTCCGTGGGCCCCATACGTATAGCTCGCATGAGGAAAGCCAAAGCGCATTTGGATTTGGATCCGATCTTGCGCCGCAATCCCCGGAGCGTAATGCTGAAGAGGATATTTCCACCTCTCGACAAAGCTTCCCACGCTCTCCCCAACACGAGTCTGCCCCACCATCCGAGGCTGGCAGTGCATCGACTGAAGGGGGTGCTCATCTGATGGAGTCCAAGTACTTCTCTCATGATGAGGCCCAAAGCTTGTATATGAGTGCTATGAGCCAGGGCACTGGTGAGAGCTTCATCCCAAACATGCCAGGTGCATGGGACTCATTTCACCCTGGTGAAAAAGCAGGGAGCCCTACGGAAGACCGCAAAATGGGGACTGCTCCCATTGATGATACCCACATAAGCAAGGAGGAGCAAGGTGAACTTTCGGCATCCACTCCAAAGTTGAACGCTCCATCGGACTCTTACTTTGGCGAGCAACCAGAAGAGAGTCAAACTCAGTCCCAATCTGCAGCCACCGACAGGGCTTCTACGCCCTCATCGCCCGTATTGCACAAGCCGAGGGAAATAGGGAAGCCTATATTCAACGTTGATAAGATCCTGATCTGGTTGCCATCGTCTTCGGATGAGGCAGAATCAGATGCTGCCGTGCCCAAAATGCTTGCGGAGCGCACAGAGAGTGACCCCAAGGATCTTCTGTCTAGCATACGCGAGCCCGCCGCCGAGGAAAGCATGTTTGCCTCAAAGTCTCCTCGGTCACCAAAGATGTTGAGTGGAAAGAATCATACAGACCACCAACACGGGCACATCGACAGCCAGGGTCTGGCGATAGAAATATTCGCGGTCTCCCTTCACTTTGATATAGCCACGGGCTGGCTTCTAGTCAAGGCAGGCCAAAGATTGGGTCAAATTTTCAGCGGGGATGAAAAGGCCCCATCTCGAAAACAGAATATGCCAGACCAGCCTACTCAGCAAAAGCCTACTCGGCAAACAGCTCTCAAGCTCGATGTGCACAAAATCTCTGTCAAGTTCATAGAGCATGTAGCGGGACATTCCTACCCTCTGGATAATGCGGGCACGCCGCCACCACCGCCGTTCACTTCTTTGGAAGACATTGTTCTCCAACTTACTGCTTCCGGCCTGGCAGTTCAACTGGCGGCAAATGAAAAGCGCATGAGCCTCCATCTTGATATCTCGAAATTCGCGTTTGGCATTGCTTCCGATAATCTCATCTCATTTAACGAATCCTTGAAAATGCGTGAATCTACTCGAGACATCAACACGCCTTCTCAAGGTGATATCTCTCTTTCGTTAGTGAAATCGGCAGAGTCTGCCAAGGTTGAGGTTACCACCCTCCCTCTCCATATCAATCTCAATACCCAGCATCTAGAAGAGGTTCTCGGATGGATGGGTGGCTTGAGCACCATCCTAGAGCTGGGAAGCTCCATGTCCTCTACATCAACAATGAGAGGGGCTCAGAAACCGCCAAATAAGCGCGCACGAGGTGTGCACTTTGAGACTCCAGCTCCCGCTGCCCACAAAGATCCACAGGCCTCTGTTCCCTGGAAAGTTAATGCTCGGCTGGGGGGCGTCGTGCTTGATGTCACTGGCGAAACACATTATCTCAGCCTCAGCACAACTGCAGTCAAAATTGTTAGTCGATTCGAGGGCATTGGTGTCCAGATTGACAAGGCAAGACTCAGCGGACCGCACCCACTTGACGACATGTCTGATGCACCTGCAAAGGTCACTCTGGCCAACATCAGAGTTGAATTCTTGTTCTCGCCAAAGGAAGTGGACCTTGATCGACTTTTGACCTTGATCACGCCGTCCAAGGACAAATACGATGACGACGATGATATAATGCTTGATACTTTGCTTCGCCAGCGAAGGCAAGGATCGGTTCTTCGTGTCACGGTAGCAGGAATGAAGACCGTTATTTCCAGCACTGCTGGCTTGGCTCCCCCTGGCGTCCCTTGGATCCGAGCTAGGCCGCCTGTCCACCGTGACGAAGTACTTGCCCGAAGACGATCGTCCTGGAATCCTTATTTTGACACTTGTCCGAGAATTCGAAACTCAAGTGCATGTTGGCGGAGATGTTGGCGATATCAATGTACATCTCACTAACGTCGAGGTTGCATGGATCAGCATGCCTTCTCTTACTGCTACGCAAATCGGCTCGCTGGTCGTCACCCGGAACCACAAGGAAGAGTTAGTCGGCGAGGCCTTGCTGTCAAGTAAAGAGAAAAGTCCGATTGCGCCGCGTCCGCCTGTTCTCATGGCACGTTTCATCCCCGATGAGATGGATCCCACCTTCAAGATCAAATTGCATCATTTGCGTGTCGAGTATACGATTCCATCTGTCATGGCGTTCTTGGGATTAGGCCAGAATACAACTGGTGGAGAGTTGGCGGGCGAGATGGCGAACTCCATTGCTAACCTTGCGGAACACTCTGATCAAATTGCTGGGGCGTCAGCTTTCTCTCCGTCCAGATCCGAGGCCTCGGGTGCATCCAGCAAGCCAACAAAGTTGGCTGTTGTGTTTCAGGACTGCGTGCTTGGTCTGAACCCGCGCAATTCTCCAGCCAAGGGACTGGTGGTTCTTACCAACTCTAAATTTAGCGGCACTCTCCATGGTGATGAATCATCGGAAGCCACCCTGGACATCAGAAAAGCATCGATCATGATCATTGACAACGAGGCGAATGCAGGAAGTGCTGATAACCTCCGCCAACGCACTTCGGCCGTCACGCAGAGTGACCAGGTTCAAGAATATATTGCGCAGGGATACGTCCCCGTCTCGTCGATATCTACTGCAACCGCTGTGGTCAAAATGATGCGTCTGGCTGAGGACGGTGCCAAGTCATTAGATGTCGAGTTGAAAAATCGTCTCCTAATTTTGGAGACTTGTGCCGATTCCACTCAAACGCTCATCAGCATTCTGAACGGCCTTCAACCTCCCACGCCTCCAAGTGTCACGGTCAAGTACCGTACCGAGGTCACCCCGATCCAGGATATGCTTGCCTCTTTCTCTGGAAATGCTTTCGATGCTGATCCTTCTTTCTCTTCTGGCGAGAAGACTGATCCAGCACTTGATCTTGGAGGCATCCCGGAAGAGGAAGAACTGGCCAATGACGAACTTGAATATGTCAGCGATTTCTACCCCAAGCAGCAGGATTCATCTATTGGTGACGCGAACATCGAATCAACATCTATGGGTGGGAACAACGAACTTTTCGACAGCTTCCATTCTCAATACCATGTCTCGTCCAGTCTCACTGAGCTTGACTTCCGCGAGGACCACTTCGCTAAGCAGTCTGCTGTTGGGGGTACTGCGCATCGCTGGGATTCTACAGAGAACACCTACGGTCTGTCAAACGACAACAAGCTCCAGAAAAGCCCTCTTCGCGTAAGAGTGCGGGATGTACATGTAATCTGGAACTTGTTCGATGGCTACGACTGGCAGCGAACTCGGGACACAATTTCCAAGGCAGTCGAAGACGTTGAAATCAAGGCCACCGAGCGACGGGCCCGAACATCTCGTATGTCTCCCGCAGCCGAAGATGAAGAGGAATCTGTGATTGGTGATTTCCTCTTCAATTCGATCTATATTGGCATTCCTGCGAATAAAGACCCCCGCGAGCTCCACCGGGAAATCAATCGCGACATCAATGACCTTACAAGTGAGACTGGAAGCTATGCCACATCTACCACCGTCACTGGTGCGACCGCGCGACAGGGCCGATCAGTCTCAGGACGTGAGAAGAAGAGACTTCGCTTGCATCGCAGCAAACATCACAAGATGACATTCGAACTGTCCGGTATTTGCGCGGACCTGGTTGTTTTCCCGCCGGGCTCAGAAGAGACGCAGAGCTCTTTAGATGTACGAGTGAAAGATTTGGAGATCTACGACCACGTGCCTACTTCTACTTGGAAGAAGTTCGCGACTTATCTGCACGAGGCTGGGGAGCGGGAGAGCGGGACGAGCATGGTTCATTTGGAGATTTTGACTGTAAAGCCTATTCCGGAACTTGCAGCATCTGAAATTGTTCTCAAGGTGCGTGAACTGCAAAAATCTTCTTTTTGGGAGATTCAACTAATGTCCTTTTTAGGCTACCGTTCTACCGCTTCGACTTCACGTCGATCAAGATGCTCTTGACTTTATGAGTCGCTTCTTCGAGTTCCGCGACGAATCTATGGAGGCTTCTGCTGCCCCTGGAGATGTCCCGTTCCTGCAGCGCGTCGAGGTCAATGCTATCCAGGTCAAATTGGACTTCAAGCCGAAGCGAGTCGACTACGCTGGACTCCGATCCGGCCGCACGACCGAGTTCATGAATTTCTTCGTCCTGGATGGGTCTGACATGGTCCTCCGACATGTCATCATCTACGGAGTGTCCGGATTCGACCGACTGGGAAACACCCTCAATGACATCTGGATGCCGGATGTCAAGGCCAACCAGCTTCCAGGCGTCCTTGCTGGTCTCGCGCCCATCCGATCTTTGGTCAACGTGGGTGGTGGTGTACGACAACTGTTTGTCGTCCCGATGCGCGAGTACAAGAAAGATGGTCGCATCGTGCGCAGCATCCAGAAGGGCGCAGCTGCCTTTGCCAAAACGACATCCAACGAGCTCGTCAAGCTAGGTGCGAAATTGGCCATTGGCACACAAACCGTCTTGCAAGGCGCGGAGGACTTGTTGACCTCTCCGAATGCCGCATCCGCTGCTTCCGACGAAGACCGCGTTGATGAGGAAGAAGCGAAGAAAATCTCTCTGTATGCCGATCAGCCGATTGGAGTTGTCCAGGGTCTGCGGGGCGCCTTCAGCGGTCTCGAACGCGATCTGCTCCTGGCGCGTGATGCGATCGTCGCGGTCCCTGGTGAGGTTGTGGAGAGTGGTAGTGCAAAGGATGCGGCCAAAGCAGTCTTGAGGCGCGCACCGACGGTCATTCTCCGACCTGCCATTGGTGTTTCCAAGGCCGTTGGACAGACATTGCTTGGTGCTGGAAATACGCTGGACCCGAGCAACCGGCGCAAGATGGAAGATGTAAGTGGACGATTTATTTTCATTTGTTCGTTTCAGGTACACGTACAGACGGCTGACTTGATCCCAGAAATATAAACGTCACTAGATAAGCTTCGCTTTGATTCGGAGCTAATCACCGAGGTGAACACAAGCCCTTTTGTGTGGCTACTTTTTCTTTGTGTTCAAATATTTCTCTTTCCCTTTTCGGAATTATGCTATTTTCTGTGTGTTCATGAGCCCGTAGATACTACAATTCCTTCTGCTATTTTTTTTTCATATTGCGTTCTGCGTTCTGCGAGCTACTTGCTTTCCTTGCCAATGATACCACCCCTTGCCGAGACATGACGGATGACGACTGCATGTAAAAATTGCTACTATTGCGAAACGCATGAATCTGGGAGTCCTTGTCCTTGACCGATCTGGTTTGTCTACTTGATTTTGATTTTTGCCTGATTTAATTTGAGATGAACTTTGCTCGGTCGCATGAATTTGCTGTTCTGTTTGTGATTACGTCTGTGATTAGCTAGTCGGATATTGTCCGAGCGTATATTAGATTGGAATTCCATTCTCGTTTCAGCGAATTGCCAACGCATTCAGGGTCTCTGGCTGGGCAGGAGGTGAAACTTGGGCACTAAACTTAACCATAACCGTAGTGGTGGGTGTATTGGGTGGGAAAGCGAGGAGGCTAATGGCATTCTCACATCATAAACATATCATCCTATAGTAATTCATATCGCAGCACTCTCATAGGCTCAAGTTTGAAAGTCAAATAGATGTGCTTCTGGGGCTGAAAGAGGCACGCGACTGGGTTGCCTGAGGTGGCAGTGGCAGTGGCAGTTGGATGAGATCAGATCGGCTTGTCTAACCATCTCCACCACCACCACATGAACTACCTCCACCAGGTACCAACGGCCAAACAAGAAAAATGTTCCGATCAAATTTTGATGAGTCCTTTGCTTCCCCCTCGCTCTGTCTAACCCCTTTGATGCACTCATGAATCATGCAATCGCCAGGTACGAGGTCAACCCTTCGGACAGACCGAGGTGAACCATGGATGACCTCGCAAGAACAAAAAGTATCCCACGAGGAATCCCCAAAGAGAAAGTGCCGGAAAACTTACTCGATGCCATCCCGAATTGTTCCTTTGATGAACTTCTCCCCTCAGATTTTGAAGTTGAGAACTTCAGGGACAATACCGTGGGTCTTTGTCTCCGCCATGCATCATCCACTTGGCCGAGGCTGACGATTCTTTCTTACGATCTCCTACTACGCGTCGAGTCTTTTCTCTCTACAGTATGAGAATTTGACTCTTTGGGTCGTCCCTTTTTGGGGGGCGCATTATTGCCACCTGGCGGCCCTTCTCGGATCAACTGGCAACCAACGAACGCTCACAGGTCCAATGTTGACTCTTTGGTATCTAATAATTTCTTGCTTGGTTTCTGCCCAACAAGGTCATCGCCTTCGCCTTTCAGCCCTGGGCGACCATCTTCATACCCACAGGCTCGTTCTGCGCACCGAGTGGTCCATTACGAATCACAACGGTGGATCGGGGTTCATGTCAAAAGCGCGCCTAAGGCGGGTGATTGGCCGGGGGTGGGACGGGAGGGTGTGCGACTAACAGACGCTAAGATCATGAACAACTCACCAGAACAAACGATCAAGAGATCAGGAGAGGGGAGATGATTCGATTCCCACCGAGCGGGTCTTTTTTTATCTGCATGTCATTCTTCTGGAGTTGCGATGCATCCACTCTGCCGGGTTTGCGATCATTTCACCAAACGATCACTGGTTAATTGGTCAATGGAGGAGGGACTCGGATTGGACGCCTCTGGGGCACAGGGACAGACCCTCCACACACCATCAGAAGAAGAAAGATGCAGTGATGCACAACAACTCACACCTGGTCAGACCGACTTTTCACCCTTTTTTCTTCGCCGGAAATGGACAGTGTGACGTCGTCTACTCTACATAATTCTACATAATCCCATTATATCACCCAGTGATGTGCCCAGGACCACCGGCCGAACCAACGGTTCGTTGCTTCCGCGACCCAGCGTTCCTGGAGACCAGCCAGGTTCCAGACCACGTCGTCTTTTCCATGTGGAGAAGTGGATATCCAGCAAGAAAGAGATGAAAAAGACGAGTCCAGGCACCTCCGTTCGGCTCCGATCCCAGACTGACAGACATTGACATTCGTTGAGCCGCCTCTTCTTTCTTTTACTTATAATTCTTATTATCGCACTTGATCCCTCAGTCAGCTTCGTAGTATCCTGTTCCTAGGTTTTTGTTATCGTACCTTGCATTTGACGGTGTACTGGGTAAGTCGACGGTTTCATTGTCCCTTGCAGTATTTCCCCGCTCTGACGAATCAGATGTATAGCGGTCGTGCTGGATTGATCTCCCGATCTACGTCTGCAATCGATATGTCAACCCGCTAAAAAGCATTTGGACACGAACACCCTCTTTTTACCAAAAGCCGTGAAGAACTGCTCCCCAAACGCAACCTTTCAAAGGGAAACAGAATCAAGACAAGGTTATTTCCAGATGTATGAAAATCCGAACTACCGCGACCCATTCGCGGCGTGGCACAACAGCGAGCTGCCGGACGGCTCACTATGCACCAAGTGTCTGGAGCTTCATGGCTTTCATGCACCATGCACGCCTCTTAAGCCCCTTCCTGCAGATGCGGTGTCACTTCCCCCTCGGTCGATCAAGTCTGGGATCACGGGGGCCCTCTCTCTCCATGACTATCGCAAGTATTTGTCGCAGTCCGCAGAGTGCGTGGGCGATCCCGTCGATCGCTCTGAGAAGACTCTCAAGCGCAAGACGGCAACCTCCAATTTAATTCGACCAGCACCGCTCACCATCACCTCGCTTTCTTCTTGTGCGATCTCGGTATCCTCTGCGGCGTCAAGCACTCCGCCACTGTCGCCGTCGTATTCTCATAGCATCATCTCGTATCAGAGTGAGCAGGAGCCCGAGGTTTCAGAGGCATCAACTGGTACGGTTACAGCCACTTGCCCGATTTGTATAGTAGTTTAATGAAAAAGAGACAAGCACTGACCTCTCTGCAGTTATCCTTCCACCATCCCAGGGCCCACGAGTGCATCTTGTTTCGGAAAGGTTTACACGCCCTAGACCGAACCGGAAGCGATTGGTGAGTGCCCTGAAACCACTGATAAACATCCGATTTCCCCTGCACCGACTGACTTATTCCTTTTCTTTCCTTCTTTTCTAGAATACCTTCCGCGAGAAGCTTCAGAGGGACGCACAGGCTCGGGATCAGGCTCAACGGCAATCGCCTCCTTCCCGTCCTCAAGCATCCACTCCGATGCTGGCCACTACGCAGGCCGTTGCCACCATCTCGCACGGTGGTGCCTCCTTTGAGATCTTGAACCCGAGAAAATCCCTTGATGTGGCTCGGATTGTCTCCTTTATTGAGGATGTCGATGACTGCTCGATCTTGTCTTTCGACCCCCGCCATGACTCGATAGTCTCGTCCAACCCGTATTCGGTGGATGAGAGCTTTGATAGAGATTCCCTGTCGCAGTTCACCGACGCTTCTTTACCCTCACATTACTCTTCCCCTTCTTTATGTACTACTTCTCCATCCATGGGATGCTCCACACCTAAACGGCAAACCGCCGATATCCCCTCGTCGTCACCTGGAGTGCACGACCGAGTCCGCTCACTGTCCGATTACTCACTCCGCAAACACAACTACTGGACACCCGCCCGCCAGCAAGATATCACCAGCTCCCCAACAGAAATGCACAAGATGCAACAAGACCGAATCACCGACCTCCCCTCCCAACGCACGGTGTCGACCACCTCACGCTCACCACAAGACCCCGACTCTGAACCCGACCTCCTCCCATCAGACCCGCAATCCCCCACCTCCGCACCAACCTTCCTCTCCGAAGAAAGCGACATCGGCGAGCCAGGCTCACCCGTCTACGCAAACGGCGAATGGGCCCAAGTCGACGAGCGCGACCGAGGAATCTTCCTCAATATCCAACCCATCCAACCCCATTCCACAATGGCCATACTAGCCGGATACTCAGAGCCTCCTTCACCGTATGACACCTACTACGCAAATACCATGTCAACACCGTTACCTTCAACGCCATCTTACACCCAGCACTACGATCCTTATGACCCTGTTTACTTTGATCCACATGTTCAATCTGTCCTGGCGGCCGCGAATGCGGATACGATGGGTTTGCGTGGGAACTCGGGGCGTGCCCTGGATGATCTGCAGCGCAGATTTAGCAGTTCTGTTTCCCTTGGTCTTGGTGGAGCGGGGTCTGGATCGGGGTCCGGGGCTGGTGATGGGTTTGGGCTTGTGCATAAGGTGGATAGAGAGAGGAAGGGGTCTTTCTCGCAGAGGAAGAAGTTGAGGAAGTTTTTTAGTTGGAGGTCTGGGCATTGATGATCATGATTTTATGATGGATTGGGATTGGGATTGGGATTGGGATTGGGGTTGGTGGAGTATGGGCCTTTGGTCCTTCTTTTGGTGACTTTTTCTTTCTCTTCTTCTTCTTCTTCTTCTTCTTCTTCTTCTTCTTCTTCTTCTTCTTCTTCTTCTTCTTCTTCTTCTTCTTCTTCTTCTTCTTCTATCTTGTCTTTTATACCATGTATATCTTTTTATTCTCGGGTCTGGGACTCTGACCACGTGATATCACTAGATGATATGAGGTCTATCAAATTTTACCTTTTTCTTTCAATCAACACTCTCAATGTTCTTTTGTAATTTGCTCTGTAGTAGGTCAGTTGGTATATTCGATGGCTTTTTGAATATGAACATGCTCTTACTGCTCTTCTACCCTACACGGATCGTGAAGTATTTGAAGAGAAGAAATCAAATGATCCATTTGTGTATTACTTATTAGCTATCGTCATCTAGGTGACATTAAAACTGCCGCGGCCCGCCTCGGGAAGTGATCGGCTCTCGGAGCACATAGTGAGTTAGTCTCTTCGCTGCCCTGAGCAGCTCCCTGAGCAACCGGATCGCTCGACGGCGCACTAAGGCATCTGCTCCGCCAAGGCTTTTTGAAGAAGGTAACGGGCAGAAATCAGCGCTCCCGTAAGCGGTCAGGCCCAGGCTTTCTCACATGATACCGATTGGCTGAAAAACGGAAATGGGAGCATTGGTGGAGCACTTACAGGTTTGATATCCGTTAAGGGAAGGAGTATGTACCTGACCCCCAGCCAGCTGCCAGCAAGCCCCAAAGTACTATATTTCAAAATAGAAACCCCCGGACAATGATATCCGTTATAGGTAGGACTAAAAGGTCCCTTTATGCAGAATATGGTTAATAACCTTCAGCTTTAGTATGGAGAAACCTCGGCAAAGTCCATGACTCCGCAAGTCAGCCTCGCTAAGTACGAAGTACTACGATAGTAGTAGGTAAAGCCTTTAGGGCGGGTATATAAGAGACAAAGTCCCTTGCCAATCGCAAGTCTAAATAGCTTTGTGCCAATCATCTATTCATTTTGCAATTCATAAACACTACAATGGTCCGCCTCCTCACACTCGCCCTCGTTCTTGTCTCGGGCTTCACCTCTACCAATGCCCTAGGCATCAACTGCCGAGGCGGCTCTGGCTGCAAATATGTCCAGAAGGGTATCCACGCCGCCAACGTCCTCACAAACTACCTGAACGGCGTCGAGGACCACACCTGGTTTAACAACCGCCAATATATCGCGTGCGCTACAGCCCCGGTCAACGACGAGTCAGTCCCACCTTTTGCACTCTGTGCCTACTTCCAGAACTCGGGCGGCGGCGATGGAGCGCGAGTTAAGAAACTTGCGGGTTCTATTCCAGGCCATGGGTGCAACACGTGCGGCAATGTGCCTTATTGGTATCCGGAGGGAAACAATAATGTCAATGATGGCCAGTTGACTTACGATGCGGTTTCGGATCCCGGGTCGAGTTGCCCCGGTTACCCTGGACTGTGCTAAGGTTATATGATAATGTAAGAAATACCTATTAGGACGACGATATCCCAAAAATATAGAACTAACGAGCTCTAACGATGTAGCTCTTTTCGGCGTCGAATTAGCCGTTAATTGGCGTTGTGGTATAAAATGAACTCAGGGAGTCAGCCATCGTTGTGTTTGTTTGAAATCAAGGCTATGCTTTGTCGATACTGGTGATACTATCCCAGAGACCAAGAAGCTATCAAAAAAGCTCCAATAAATTCCTATCTAGAAGAAAAATACCTCTCCTTTACCTCCGACCACGTCACCCTTCATTCCAGGCGCAATCCCCACCTCTCTCAGCTTTCATTTCAATCTTTCCGTAACAGCAGCAGGATACTCCCTCGACGAATGAGCCGGTCCCTTCCTCTCGACTGACAATCGATCCGCGATCTCATCACTAGTTCTGAAAAATGGTACTGGCAGGACCTCCTTAGACCCACACGCCTTGACACAGCTGTGGTAAAACTCTTGGAAGAGTTCGTCGCTGTACACGCCACCTGTGATTATGGCGCGTGGTGGGATTGTAAAGTCGTTGGAGCTTAGTTGGGTGTGTAGGGATGATGGGTGTGGTGGGTGTCCTGAGATTATGAGGGGGACTTCTTGTGCAGATTTGGTGATGTTGTAACCTGCGTAGAATACTAATGGTTTAGAAGAGATTAGATTAGATTATGTTGGTTTGATAAGGGAGTATAGGTGGGTATACCATTGTACTCTGGCAGCATGGTTGTTTTGATTAGGTTGGCCATTCCTTTCATGGCGCCACAAAGGATGATCGGGATGGGAGCAGACATGATACTGTGGAATAGGGAGTGGCAGAGTGGTCTTGGTCAGAAGGGTGTATGATATAGAAGAAAGGAGGTGAACACCGCGAGAATTTGGTTGTTGAGGTGAGACTATTTGTTATATATGGATGCTCTTTGAGGTCGATGAGGGTCTATCGGAATGATTTTGGTACCAGGTATGAAAATTATTATCTAATGATGAACTTTCGGGGTCTATTTTAAAGCCGACCTAGTCTGTGGAATGACAAAAATGCTCCGAATTATCCGTAACCCCAGAATCTATGTCTATACAACCTACAGACGTCCTTAGTTTATTCAATGGCTTTTCGGTTCGGCTCTTCTATCCCAATTAGTTAATAACAATATAGACTGTAAATTTCATGACTACAAAAAAAATCCAAAAAAATAAACTCCCCCCGCCTAGGGGTATGCCCGGCCGTCCGTGGAGCTCGAAGCGTCAAAACTGGCCCAGTATTTTTTTCTTCCTTTTGTTTGCTCACTCCTCCAGGGCACACCAATGGTTCACCAATTTATGGTGGATACCAACTAGGCCATCGGAGGGGGGGAGGGATTGGTTGACCTAAAAATCGGTGATAAGCTTGCGAATCGTAGATTGAGATGAGAGTCTATCGGAATGATCTTGGTACAGAGAACTATTAATTTACATCAGGTTTTGGTGTCTTATTGAATTCAAGTCTGTGGATGGCTCGCTTGAATCCTAAATGGTCTTTCTACTATTCATTCTAGCCCAACATAGTCGATAGATAGCCATTTATACTGTATATTAATCCATGATTACATTCAAATACAATACATTCATGAACAGAGAGTCATCTATATATACAAATCCACATCCAATCACCATCCCATCACTCCTCTTTCTCATCCTTCACACCAAAACCACGCCAATCCCACCACAATCCGAAAGCCGTCAAAAGGCCCATCACACCCTCAAAAGGAGCAACACTCTTCCACCCCCCACCACTCCGATGAAACACGACCATAGCCAGAAGCCGACCCGGAACTGCCGCAATCATCATAGGGATGTTATTCTGGTAGGACGCGATTGCGTAGAATGAGCCCAGTGATAGGGATGTCAAGCTACACTCATTCGTGAATACTCAGTACCAAAAGGTTGTCTCAGATTGACTAGTGCTAGTGTTTTGGGGGGTTTATACCTCAGTGCTTGAATGGTGCCATTGCTTAGTCCTTGTAAGGGTGAATCCGGGAGAGATGCTGCGGCTGCGGGATATAGGAGGGTGTAGATTCCGCTTGCCAAGAGGGGGACTGTTTGGATGCCGAAGACGTAGGGTGCCAGGAGGAAGGGTTTCCGACCTGGTTGGCCTTGTTTGGAGGGCATCTTATTTTGGAGGATGTGTGAATATTGGGCTTCTGGAGAGGGGAGTCGTGTTGGCTTGAACTTTGGGAGTCGGAGAAGGATCCGCGATTAGGCATCCCGGCTAAGACGAAACGATCACCGGGCGGGTGTCAGCTTACGGAGGAATTTCAACCAATTATTCCAGTTGAGGCTCAATCAGCAGTGGGGGCTGGTTCGATGTGATACGATAGTCAAGGCAGTCGACATGTAGTTTAATTGAGGAAAGACGATTGTAAAAAACATTGGGTATCAATTCCAAATATGTACATTGAAGATAATATTAAAAACCCAGATCAATCAAGATCAAGGCCTTTCCACTACCGACGCCAGAGCCGCACTCACCATGCTCTTCCTACGAAGACCATGATGATCGCCCCGTTTAGAAGCATCACGTCCCACATGAGAAGTATAATGACTCTTCTCTATCCGGTGCGATTGCATAGCGCCAGAACTGCTTCTGCGTCGTCCACGGGCCTCGCCCGCAGACGACTCTGCCGGTCCAAATCGGCTGCGATGTAATGTAAGTGCTCGCCGCCGGGGTGAGGACCGCGGTGGTAATGAGCTGGGGTGGCAGTCATCCGGGAGCATGTCTGGGTTGTAAGAGCCCTCGCCCACGACTGTCCGACGTACTGCGTCGATATCCCCTTCGTTGCATTGCAATTGGGAAATCTGTTGCCGTTGTATACGGACATCCCGGTGGTCGGGTATACTTGGATTCAGGCTTGGAGTCTCCATTCTGTCTAGAGAAAGGAAATCCGGTGGGATGAATGTCGGACTGGGGTTAGAACACAGCGAGGGCGAAGAGTCACAGCGTCCGTCCTCGTCGTGGTCTGTGTCCGGTGGTGTGAGGACATAGCCCGAGTACCGGCCAGACAGTCTGGCTCCATTATGCCGAAACCGCCCCTGGTCTGGAATATCACCGCCAGGTGCCTGGAGAGTATGTTCGTGCAATTTTTGCGTTAGGGTCGATATAGAAAGACGCTTCTGCTCGTATGGAAAAGGCACAGAAGTAGGCGGAGGTTGTTGTGAACGAAAGTAGGAGGATCGGGGGCGGGAGAGAGTGCGGAATCGGTGCGACTGCGGCGAGGGGCATCGCGACGACAGGGGCGAGATCAGTGTGCTATCGCAATCGGCCATGAGTCGATCATCGGCATCCACAGCCAAACGACCCGGTCGCGACGAAGGCGACGAGAAAGAGAAGTCTTCGAACATGACAGCGGGCTAAAAGTACTGTACGTGTCGGGATTTGGACGTTGCAGTAGCCTCGATGGGGGTTCGTTTCGGAGAAGGGTGGTTCGAAGAAGATTCTCAGTCGGCGCCCGATTCCGTGAGACGAAGCCTGCCAACGCTTTGCAAGGCAGGGGACATGGAGATATAATGCGATGTGTCTTGGGGGGTGGAAATCTAAATGGAATTTGCGATTTGCCCCCAGACCCAATGAAAACCGAAAAATCTCGACTGAATGAACCAGTGAATGGCAAGAGGCAAGACCACGTGATTCGTCGGCAAATATCCTTGGGCGTGGAGAGTTTTCGAGTCTTTTAAGAAGACTAAGAGTCTTTAAAAGTTTAAGACACTTTTAGACGCCCTGCTCCACTAGGCAAAACTTTATTTCTTTTTTCTTTCTTACAGAGTGGGGGTTGGATTATTATGTAGAGTGGAAATTCCATATTGTTAAAGACAAAGACAACATGTCCAGACAAAGAAAGTCGTCAAGCGGATTTAGTATCCACATCACCAACTATGCAGTAGTCTTGCCACAAATCGACTCAAACACTCCCATAGTATGCTGCCACACTAACTTCCCCGTGTCATTCTTGCGAAGTTCCTGCAGGGGCTTCCGATTTCCATTATCGGATCCATCCCAATGCAACAGATACGCACCACTACCCTTGGACCCGTCGGAGCCCGGTGCCGCATCCTCAACGTCTTTAGACGCTCGTGGCGGAAACCGGGGGCTAGTGGCGGCGTATAGATGCCGCTCACCACTCTCGTCCAATGGCACCATCCAGGGGCGGGCCAGAACAAAAAGCGCACTCATGGCAGTGCGGGTGATCGCCCCGAAGTCGCGCATTAGTCCTGTCTTCACCACACCGGGGTAGGCGTGTACAAAGGAGGTTGATGGGTACACAGGTGCCAGATGCTCCATCGACAGGGAGGTCATGGTGATGGCGTGTTTGGCGCAGTTTCGGAGCGAGTAGTTTTTCTTTAGTGATAGATCGTCCAGGATAAGGGGCGCTTCGCCACCGGCCTCCAGGACGGATACCACGCGTGACAGATTTCGGTAGAGACCCGGTTGGGCTGGGATGGTGGAGGAGCCATCGGCAGTCGTTCCAGCCTTGGTCAGTTGAGGCATGAGATTGGTCAAGAAGCGCATGCGAGAGTAATAGTGCAGACTGAGTTTCTTGTCCAGTCCTTCATCCGTTTCTATATCATAGGGCTGTCAGTGGAAGTCCGTTAATGCAGAGAGTCTCATAGGAATCGAGGATAATTCGTACCATCTGGCCCCTTGGTGGTCAATATTCCAGCAGTCATAAACAACAGATTAACCTTGTCCTCCTTCTCCTGGATGCTCTTGCAAGCCTCATCCACACTCTTGAGGCGGGCGGCATCGCAGTACACAAAGCTAATCTCTCCCTTGGGGTTGACTTGACGGAGTTCCTCAATGATTTTGGACGCCTGCTTCTCATTACGGCCAATAAGATAGACTCGCGGGGGATACCGTATCTCGCACCAAGGCTCGAGCAGTCACTTCGCCAATTCCGCTGGTTCCGCCCACTGGTACATCTCTATGTTAGTTCTTATGGAGAAGAGCAGCACGGATAGGGGGATCAGGGGCGTCAGGTTCACGTACCGAAAACAGCCACCAAGCCTGGGCCATATTCTGCCAGGTTGACGTTATTCTTCAGCACATTCTCAAGGGATGCCATCTTTCAAGTTGGTTGATGATGGACGTCGGATTGATCAGGGCTGGGGATAACACCATGTTTGTGTCACGTGATCTCCACATGAGGCTGCATTGCTGACCTCCCATCAGAGGGAGAATTTCAGTTTCAAGAAACATGTGACTTTTGCTCTGTGATTTCGTCTTCTTTGACCAGAGTCCACGGCACCGCAGTTAGATTGCTGTGTCATCGAGCGTAATAAGTTGTGCAGCTTCGATTATATATCTATTTTGCAGGCAGGGGAGACAAGATCAAGGTCTGTGTATGTGCGTCAACTCGCGATACCCTTTCCAGATGCCGGCGGGTCATTTGCAATGAGCAGAGACCTCGTCAACAAGAATATCCGTTCGTTGACGGACGTCTTGTATTGTATTAAAACAAGTGAAGGTTTGGATTTGTAACAGGTTTGGGTAAAGAAAACTGTCAGGCAGGCAATATGCATCGATGCCCGGGGAAGCGGCTTCTGAGTTGCACGACTTGGTGGATGCGCAGGGGCTTCATGCCGACAAGTGTGCGAAGCATGGCAAAGGTCATCTTGCGGGAAGTGTCGTTGTGGACTGGTTCCCGAGGTAACCTCTTACCCAGTCTCGCGGGCCCCATCGATGTATACCTGGAGTTCAGCACACACGTACGTGAGTTGCAGGTCTGGGAGGTCCGTGTAGCATGCATCAGGTCGGAGGAGGACCTGCCCGACAGCTGGTCGCTAGGCCGCTTGGGGAAGGTTTCTTGTGCTCGGAAAGGGCTTCTTCCTCCACAGCTTGGGTCAACTTGGGGAGGCCGCGCGGTGGCCGGGTTTCCTTTGATCCGTACAATGGTGTCGACGGCGTAGTCCAGCCTTACGGCGTGTGTATCGTCACGGCCGGGAGAAGTTGTACCGTCAATCATTGCAATGAGCATGAAGTGATCGTAGGCTTGGGATCTGGAAGTAAAAGAGGGAAGGTGAGGGAAGCTGGAAAATGAAGAAAGACTGAGATAAGTGGAAGTCCTTTTAAACCGGCACGTGGAGACAACAAAGCAATGGCAATCAGCAGGCATGGAAACCTCCCAGGAGATCTCCCTTCAGTTACCCCACCACTGGAAGTTGGCAACCTTAGAAATGCTGGGACAGCAGTTTCCGGTCATAAGGTTGAAGTGTGACAAGTTCACAGGAAGTGATGACTCCTGGGCTTGCGCAACCATATTCTCAACTGGTTCCTGCAGAGGTTAGACTTGAGATCACGGAGAAAGTATTATACGATACGAGAGCTTCTTACCAGCACACGTTTAAGTGTCATTGATTGCCGGTTTTTTGTGCGAATATTCCAAGAAGTGTTTGTCGTTATCATCAAGGGAGTAGTTACCACCTGCTCTAGGTATTGGAAAAATTTATTGTCGTTTTGGAAGGTTGTTCTTCACTCGAGGTGGATGGTTATCTCCTCGAATGGATGAACGAGACAAATATATATTCTGGGTACGACGACCACGAGTATAGTCAAATCACACCAGGTTACCTAGAGCAGTCAATTGCAACCCTCCTCATGAATGGATTCATGATAATTTTGAGTGTTGTAGTAAAGCTTCGACTCCAACTAAATTGTGGCATGGACTAGTATATTTTCTCCAATTGTTGGCGAATTTGGAGCAAGTTGACCCCAACCGCAGTTTTGCTTATCTGAAATCTCCCCGCACTTCGGATTTCCCGTCGGAGACCCCAACTGTCCGCAAGGATTGGAATGCCTCAACTTCCCTTCTCCTTCTCCATCTTCACCCCAGCACAACTACCATGGCGACCTTTCTAAAGAAGCCCCTGAAGCTGGCCCTGGTGCAGCTTGCATCAGGTAATTGACCTCGTCGTCCTTCAAGCTTACCACTTTTGCACTAACACAGCTATCTGCTGCAGGCGCGGACAAAGCCGTCAACCTTTCCCATGCCCGGAGCAAGGTCCTCGAGGCTGCTCAAGCTGGTGCACGATTGATCGTCCTCCCAGAGTGCTTTAACTCGCCCTACGGCACGCAATACTTCCCCAAATACGCCGAGACTCTCCACCCTTCCCCTCCCACCAAGGAGCAGTCGCCCTCATTCCACGCCCTGTCGGCCATCGCCGCCGAGGCAAATGCATACCTCGTCGGTGGAAGTATCCCCGAATTGGAGCCGGAAACCAAGAAATACTACAATACCTCGCTGGTGTTCTCGCCCACGGGTTCCTTGATCGGCACCCACCGCAAGACACATCTTTTTGATATCGATATCCCCGGGAAGATCAAGTTCAAGGAGAGCGACGTGTTGTCGCCCGGTAATGCGCTGACAGTCATTGATCTCCCCGAGTATGGCAAGATTGGCCTGGCTATCTGTTATGATATTCGGTTCCCGGAGTCGGCTATGATTGCGGCCCGCAAGGGCGCGTTCCTGCTGGTTTACCCGGGCGCGTTCAACACCACGACTGGGCCTATTCACTGGTCGCTTCTGGGACGGGCTCGTGCCGTGGATAACCAGACATATGTGGCCCTGTGCAGCCCCTCGCGGGATCTTGAGGCTACCTACCATGCCTACGGTCACAGCTTGATTGCGGATCCGAGCGCGGGTCTTTTGGCAGAGGCCGAGGAGAAGGAGACTATTATTTATGCTGATCTGGATAACGATACCATTGTGAATACTCGCAAGGGTATCCCTATCTATACTCAGCGCCGGTTTGATGTATACCCTGATGTGAGTGGCGAGGGCTCGAAATAGATGGATTAGAGGTAGCCAAGAGAATGCGTTATAAAGCGGTATATTATGATTGCTAGTATAATACCAAGACCATTTGGGCTTTTATCATTTCAGCTCTGTTAGACTTAAAAGACTTACGCCGTACAGGCAATACTAAGATATTGTCTCACATTGGAGGAACCGATGGAAGAGCGCACCTCGAGCACAGATTGGAGCTATGGATGTTAATGCCTGAGGCTGACACGGAGTTTCAGATTCGAGGTCACATGACCTTTCGCCGACTTACCAATCAGATCCACCCATTTCCATAAGCGAGCCCACTTCCGACCGCACCGACCCACACGAACTTCACCCGCCGGCCACAATTCTCAATTTCTCTCCCCATCGACAACTTTCGCCCACAGTCGCCGACCACCCCATCCATCAGTCAGTCTCTCACAACAACTCATCCAACCTCCAAGAATTCACATTAACAAATCATCAGAAATGTCCTCCGCAAACACCGGCAAGAAGACCCGCTCGGCTATCTCCGACGTGGTGTCTCGCGAGTACACCATCAACCTCCACAAGCGGGTATGTTGAAAATACCCAAAAAGACGAGATTTCCCTCTCTTCCCCCCCTTACGCGAGAAATCGATTCTGTGAAGAATCTGTGGAGGTACAAATGGACAGAGAACACACTCTCCTGAAATATGGAGTTTCTTCTATGAGGAAAATTAGTGTGTGTGCGCACTTGGGTGCGAAAAAGGGAATTCAATGTTGAAAAATGTTGCCCTTTCCTTTTCGAATCAACATCCAAAATCCACACCACCGCATCTCCCTCGAAAGAACAACACTCGACAGTCTGACGATTGGGAGGGGGAGTTCCGACTTGTTCTTCTCCAAAGGGGACCAAGATGATCTTGACCCTGGTGAAAAGTAACAGATTGGACCTCCTTCTCTCAGTTGGCATGGCCGCAACAAAAAGAAGAAATTAGTTTTATGAAGTCCACCTCTATGGCCGAACCACAAGAAATTCTCGCAGGGACTCGATCTCGATCTCTACCAGATGGCATTCGGACGGAAGACTAATTGCAACCCTTCTTTCAATGGTTATAGTGCCACGGTGTCAGCTTCAAGAAGCGTGCTCCCCGTGCTATCAAGGAGATCCGCGCTTTCGCCGAGAAGGCCATGGTAAGCCTCACCCTCCTCCCATCCAATCAGCACCAGATTTGCTAATTCCCTCCTTTTCTCCCTGCAGGGCACCAAGGATGTCCGTGTCGACCCCGCCCTGAACAAGAAGGTCTGGGAGGCTGGCATCAAGGGCGTTCCCTTCCGTCTCCGCATCCGCATCTCCCGCAAGCGTAACGACGAGGAGGGTGCCAAGGAGCGTCTGTACTCCCATGTTCAGGCCGTCAACGTCAAGAGCGCCAAGGGTCTGCACACCGCTGTCGTCGATGACGCGTAAATGGGTTGTTTGATACCACCGGTGTTGTCGCTTCTATGATTCCATGTTACATCTGGGGTTTGGTCGGGGCTCTTTTAAAATAAAAATACCTTCTTGCACCATGGTTTTCAAAATTCCTCGAGTAGTTGCACTTCTCTATCTGTAGGCGATCGTAGCACGAACCGCTGACTTGGAGCTATCTTGACCTTCTTTATCCAAGACTACAATATGTTTACGGGTCTTACAATCACAATGGATGCGGAAACTCTTCATTCACAAAGATGGCCTAAAATGCATAGCCTCGCCGGATGTATGTCGATAAGAAAATGCAGGTAGGAAACACTCAGAACAGGAAACAAGACTCCGGCCAACTTTGATATCGTACATTCAATAAAAGAGAAAACAAATCCGCACCCTGACCCGGAAAATTGAGAGAAAACATTCCTCTCTCCTTTTCACATGTAATCATCATCTCTTTCTCGAATTCCCTCTTCAGTTCTTGATCTCTTGGACCTTACTGTAGAACTCCTCAATAGCATCCGCGCGGACACGAACCGCCCATTGTTCGGGCTTCTCCTGGTCAGCCTGAGGAACCAAGAACTGAACACTATTGCTCTGGCGAGAATAGTCAAAGTCCTTCTTGAGCAACGTGTTCAAGACGATGTTGCCACCAGGATCGGTACGGACCACGATACGAGCACGCCCCGTCTCGGGGTGCTTGAGCAAGCGTGCAATACCCTTGCCCTGGGAGGTCCAGCCGGTGGCCAGCTTGAAAGCCTGGGCCCGGCATTCATAGACCAGGGTTTCCTCTTCCTCGCCCGCGTTGGCCCGAGACATGTCGAATATCTCACCAGGGGCAGTTTCCTCATCAGGAGTGGCCTCTCCGGAGTTGACGCCACTAGAGGGCTGTGTAGAAGCCAGAGTCGAGGCGGGAGCTGAAGTGGCGGTCAGTTTGGAATCGGTGGAGAACTTGATCGGTGTGTCGAGTTTCCAGGTTTTGTCCGCAGCTGGCGTGGCGTTGTTTTGGCCAAAGGAGATGGATTGGCCAAATGAAGTCGACTGTCCGAAGCTGGCCGAGAACAGGCTCGAAGTAGAATTGGAAGTCTCTTTTTGGGGAGTGGGGGCAGGAGACTGGATCCGATCAAACAGACTGCGACCAGCAGCAGCAGTCGGCGCTGGAAGAGGTGTGTCCAGACTAGACTTGGCGGTTTCCGTCGTCTCTGAAGGCTTGGTCCGCTTCGAATTGCGCAGGGCAGAGGCAAAGTCGTCATCTGTACTAGCTTCATCCTCCGCAGGACGCTTGGAAGAAGTAGCCTTCCCCTCGTCGCCTGATCCGTCGCTATCCTTGTCAGCGTCATTCGGCTGCGGGGTAAGGCGACCAAAGATGTTCTCTGATGCGGGTAAAGGGAGGCTGGAGGATTCGAATATGGAACCTGTGGAGGAGGCTGGAGAGGAAACATTCAGAGAGATATTGTCGGAGGGCACGAACAGAGAGCTGGGAGCTGGCATCTCTGCAGGCTTGGGAGAATCAACCACGGCCTCCGCCGAGTCTGGCTCATCGGCATCAACCCACTCGAACTTGCCGTTCCTAAAGACAGACTTCTTCTTGGTGGCAGCTTCGAGCTTCGCACGCTTCTCCCGTTGCTTCTCAGCATCGCGGCGTTCCCATTCCTCTTCGTCATCTGATTCTGAGTCAAAGTCTTCCGCCTTGCGCTTGGCCTTCTCCTCAGCCATGGTCTTCTCTGCTTTCTGCTTGAACTGTGCCATGAAATCCACGGCGCCAACGCCATTCACAAACTTGGGAGGGGCAACAGCAGGAGCGGGAGAACCATTCTGGGCAGTCTTAGATGCCGCCTGTGCGAACATGTTGCCAGCCAACTTAGGGGCTGGAGAAGCTGCGGGTGCTGGAGAAGCCGGTTGCGCGAACATGTTGCCCGCCAACTTGGGGGCGGGGGAAGCAACGGGTGCTGAGGGAGTGGTGGTGCCATTCGACATTGATTTGGCAAACAAGTTACCTGTAGCGCTCTGTGCTGGGGTTAACGCAGCGACTGGCTTAGCTGGGCTTGAGCTAGGCGAAGAGAAGGACTTGGCGAACAAGTTGGATGTAGCGGAGCCGTTGGGACCGTCAGCATGGACAGGCTCCTCGATCGCCTTCTTCATCTCTAGCTTGGGGGCACCCTTCACAGGGGCACCCAGGCCGTTGCGAACCTTGATGTAGAAGAGGATCAGGTGATCGAAACTGTCGATTCCAGGTTCATACTTCATGACTTGTTGCTTGAAGTGTGTATCCAATCCTCGAATCTTCCACAACAACTCTGCTTGCTCTGCTACCTCCTTGCTTGTACCAGGAGGAGGGGTGGGCTTCGGAAGCTCTGAAGAGACTGCGGGTTTCTGTACGCTAGCAAGGCCAGATGGCGTGGCGGTGGGTGCTTTCACTGGGGTGGGTTGAGGAGTCGCAGTCTTGCCACCAAGCATGTTGGCAAATGGTTTGACAGGGCTCGGTGCAGGTTGCTCTGTCGCAGGCTTCGGTACGAACAAGTTTGGGGCTGTAGCCGGCTCGGCCGGCTTGGGGGTTGTAGAGGGGCCACCAAAGAGATTCTTGAATGGTTGAGGAGATTCGGGGGGCTTGTCCGAAGCCTGCTCAGCCGCGGGCTTCGGTGCAAACAGGCTTGGCGTCGCCGCCGGCTCAGTAGGCTTCAAGGTGGTAGGAGCGGCACCGAAAAGACCTCCAAAAGGCTTGATCTCAGCAGGCTTGGCGGAGGTTTGCTCCGTGGCCGGTTTCGGCGCGAACATGCTGCTTGACGAAGTCTGTTCAGTGGCAGACTCGGAGACAATTGACGGCGCCGTGGCAGTGGCTCCGAAGAGATTCTGGAATGGCTGCGATGTAGCAGTAGTAGAAGCTGCATCGTTCGTAGCAACTTTGGGGGTAAAGAGGTTGGGAGTCGAAGTCTGCCCTGCAGGCTTGGGGGCGAACAAACCGCCCGAGGCAGATTGCTCAGCAGCAGGTTTCGTCGCGAAGATATTGTTGGTCGCAGATGGGGTCGCATTCGCCTTTTCAGGCTCTTGGGCTGCAGATGTAAATGTGAACAGGTTGGTGGTGGGCGCGGCAGCGTCTGCCTTGGGCCCAAAGACATCATTCGTAGCGGCCTTTTCAGGCTCCGATGGGGTGGGAGTGGCACCTGCACCTCCAAAGAGTGAACCAAACGGCTTCACCTGAGAGGTTGCTGCGGGAGCTTGACTGGCAAAGGTAGACTTTGGTGCGAGGCCATCTGGCTTCTCACTTGGTGGTTTCTCAGCAGCAGGAGCAGCAGGGAAGCTCAGGCCACCAAATGGATTGCCGGCCGGTGCAGCAGGCTTGGAAGCAAAAATATTCGGAGCTCCCGAGTCACCGAAGATATTCTTATTCGGCAAGGACGAAGCCGAAGCAAAGGGATTTTTGGGTTTCGAATCAGGAGATGTCTGCATGGAATCCGCGACAGAGTTTCCGTTGGCACTTGTGGCCGCCGGTCGCCCAAACAGGCCGGTGCCTGCTGAGCTGGCCGCATTTTGCGGTGCACCGAACGAAAAGGCCGGCTGAGAGGTGGGTTGAGAGGTGGGTTGAGCGGTGGGTTGAGCGGTGGATTGACTTCCAAACCCGCCAAACATTGCGGTGGGGGCTGGTTGAGGAGGAGTATTGCTGGCAGTAAAGGGGTTGTCGGTCGCAAACGGGTTGCGTGGTGGGATATTCCCAAATCCACCGGCGAAGTTGAATGGGGTAGAGCTATTTCCACCAAAAGAAAACGGCGCTGCGTTCCCTTGAGTGGGCTCACTAGGTGTTGCGCTAGCTCCGGGGAAGCTTTGGCTTTGACCAAAGTTGAAGCCACCGGACTGATTTGTGGGTGCAGCGAATGAGGGTGCTGGGAAAGCTGGAGCGGATGAGAGCTGGGAGAAAGTCCCGGCGGGCTCAGATCCACCAGTAGGAGTTGTGCCACGAGGGCGTCGGCGGATTTCTTTGATCCTGGAGTAGGGATCGGAGGTCAGCGAGCTTTCCATATTTGGCTTGGACATGATGGAAAGAATTGTGGATGGCTTTGCAGAGTGAGACGATAGTGTTGCAAAGTAAGACACGAAGCACAAGAGTTTAAGGATACGCATTTGCAAAGGTTGAGAGTGCTGAACGAGAGATGAAGTGGGAAAGTTTGATGAAGAGAGCGATGAGGTGAGTATCAACTCGTCTGAAACGCGTCCACGAGGCATCACCGGATGGAGGCAGCTCCTCGACCAGGTTTGCTGCCTACAACCAGGCACGTAGCAATCGACTCTAGGCACCATCTCTCACCCGCAACACATACGTCCAGACATGAAACCATCAAAACACGACAGATGAACCAAAAACGAACAAGTAACTTACTTTCTGTTGGCCAGCTGGGCAGCCGTAGCCCGTTGGGGCTTCTCATCAGGTGTGCCCGACATACCGAATTCGTGTTCAGTGTCTTTAGACCCTTGAGGACCTTCCGCCGTGCGTTTGGACATGCTACAGCAGGCTTATATCACCTGTGCTCGCACCTAGCTCGAGGCTCTAAACGGTTGCGGGCAACAAGTAAGCCTGAACACCTTCCCTCGGATCGACGATCGTCAACCTTGGCGCTCGTTCATACAAGATGCGACTCCGTGAGTCTCGGTTGGTTTCGACGGATGGATGATTATGCTGGCCTGTCACGATAGATAATCGGATTCGCTCGAGTGCCAACCGCGTGTGGAGAAGATCAGGTCGCAGGGAGTTTATCACGCGCAGCTTAGATATCACCAAAAGGATAGGTTCTCAATCGCTGGGTGCGATCTCTCAGTCACTGAGATACCAAATCTCAGGTTGTCCTTGTTCGAAGTGGATGCTGGTCGTTCCCGGTGTCTGGTTCCGTGACACGACCTCGTTCGCGATCCGTTGCGCGAGCGGGTTCGAGGTGGGCTCAACGTAGTCAAGTTGATGAAAGTAGAATAAAGGCGATATATTTCTCTCGGGGGAGAAATAGTCCAGACGAGATGCAGGAGGTGGGTGAAAGAATGGAGATGGCCCTGATTATTTTTTTTTACGTTCGCGGAGGTGGTCGCGGAGGCAAGAACACCACAGCAGAAAAATATAGTCACGTGATATCTTGGCATGGCCATCACCAGAATCCCAAGCTTCCCCCAGCCTGGATCAATGTACTTTGGTCCAGTCTTATGAACCATGATACGTGAGTCGTTGATTTGCTATTATTTGGGGAATTTTGGAGGAGAACTGATTGGAAAGGCTCGGTAACTCGGATGACCTTGTAGCTTTGGGCTTTGTAGCTTGTTTGGAGACTTTCCTGATAATGACGTCGCGACCTTGTGAACAAAGTCCGTCTTAAACCCGTCCAGCTGGACTCGGCTCCGTGCACGGTGCATTTGCGGTGCAAATAATGATGGGTGGTCGATAACTAACGTTAGTTATCTAAGTCAGACAGTCCCCAAAGTTAGGTTACTCCCATGTGGAATAATATTGTTAAGACATAGCTAGGTACCCATGATTCTCTTATTTCAGCATCCTCGAACCTTAGTATGTAAATATCAACCCTCTCAACTCGCATATGTCTACATGCCTTCCTATGACAGGCGGAAATCAATCAGTCCACTGTTCACGGATGCTTGCATGAAGCCCTTGATCGGCTATCAGATCAGGCAAGATCGCGATCTCGTGTTAGGGTACTGCCCTCGAGGCGCAACATGAGCCCTGCCCAAATGTAACAGAGCCTAGGACGCGAACCCTCGTATGGGTCGTACAACAGTAGGAACATATCGAGGGAACCTCTCCAGGGTAAACAGGCCGTACACGCCTCGGGCCGATTCGATATTCTTCTGACTTTGGTACCTCTACAAATGCCATGAGGTGGTAACCTTGTAGGCTAAAGACTATTCAAGGGATTCAAACCCTACGGAAATGGACGAGGACGAAAGAGATGCGAACCTTATTACCTATGTAAAATTTTCTACAAAAGCATTCTCTGCAGAGAGATCAGATTTCAGACACGCTAGCGGAGTATCGGAGTAGAATCATTTGCTGCTAACGCATTCGAGTTGTGCAGGACGGCCCCGTCTCGTTATTGGGTTTAGCTTCTAACCTGAGGTCGAGGTATATCCTCACCGAGCAAAGTATATATCTTCCATGGACGGTATGTTCTCCCCTATCTATGACAAAGGGCACCACTATTTGCCATTTTAGTAATGGACATTAGGAAGTATGTTCTACAACAAACACGGCCTATTCGCGGGATAAGCAGAACCTGGAGTCATGTAAAAGTCTAGTTAATTAGTTGCTACTGTACTTGATTGCTACCGTAGGTTTGGCTGACTCCCGTCGTGTCCATATTCCCTGTTCTTTGTTTGAAGAAAAGGCATAGTTAATTTGACCCCTGAGTCACATTTTCCCCTCAAAGTGGCGGCAATGAATTCTGCAGCTAGTCACATTCCATTCCCGTCGGTTGGCTACACTCCACGGGGCTAGTTTCGCTAGTTTATTAGTTTCTTCTTCCACTTCGTGAGGAGGGAAGCACTGGCTCTCCCGATTGGTCTGATGCCACTAATATCGACAGGGGGGATCTGGACTCCCTTGTGGGGCCCGATCGGCATGTTCGATTCCCGTTCTAAATTCTGCACTCCCCCCGATCATGAGGCAAGAAAGCCGGCGTGACAGCCTCACAGGCCGGACCGGTCAGGATGACTTGCTTCAGCCCATGTTCTCGACGGCCACACTTGTGAGCTAGCCCCGGATTCTGGGGTCATTCGTCATGTATTTCCCCGTCTCGAGTGGTATCCGGGGGTGGCATTTCTCCGCGCTAACCTTCGTGATGCCTTGAAGTGTGTCTGAAGGAGGAGGGGGGCTTCACCCCTTTTCCTAATTGTCATGCGCGTTCCATGCGGTTTATTGATCCTAGTTGCATGATGGCTGTCGGGGGGTCCGAGGAGGGTGGGTATGTATAAGATCAACCATGTGTCCTGTGCACTGTCAGGGTGGACCAACTGCTTTTGGTCGAACCTAGCGTCAAGATGCGTTTTGCACCGCTGCTCTCCTGCCTTTCGGTCATAGCTTGTGCGAATGCACAGCTATTGCATCTTCCGCAAGTTGAGAAGCTGGTCAAAGAGGCCCTGAAGCCTCTGACCGCGTACACGAACTACCATGGTCCCAAGACCGGTACTGCGAACTCGATTGTTCAATCAGTGGTGGAAGCAGCAACCTCAGCTGCGGTTGATCCGTCATACTGGCTGGCAGATATCAGTCACCAAGGTTTGGCTGCTTTCAACTCTAATCCATCTGGATACAAGGTCTTCCGCAATGTCAAGGACTACGGTGCCAAAGGTAAGTTTGTACCCAATACCACCTTGGTTGTGAGACGCGTCTAACACGCTTATAGGTGACGGTGTGACGGATGACACTGCTGCCATCAACTCTGCTATTAGTGATGGTGGTCGTTTTGGCCCTGCAAGCCGCGAGTCTTCCACGACAACCCCTGCCATTGTGTACTTCCCTGCCGGAACCTACTTGATCTCGTCGTCGATCATCGACTATTACTTCACCCAACTGATTGGCAATCCAAACTCAATCCCAGTCATCAAGGCAACCCCCGGATTCACGGGCCTTGGCTTGATTGACGGTGACCAATATCAAAGCGACGGCAATCAAGGCTGGGGCTCCACAAACGTGTTCTTCAGACAGATCCGGAACTTGAAGCTGGATTTGACCTCTATCCCAGCAAGTTCCGCTGCTACTGGTATCCACTGGCCGACTGGACAGGCCACTAGCATTCAGAATGTTCAAATTGCGATGAGCTCTGCGTCTGGTACCCAGCACCAGGGTATCTTTATCGAGAATGGTATGTCAAATCGCACGATACATCGGTATTTGTTGACTTCTTGCTATACCGAGAGTACTTACTGACTTCTTTTCAAAGGCTCTGGAGGCTTCCTGAATGACATCACAATCACTGGTGGACTCTATGGAGCCAACGTTGGCAACCAGCAATTCACCATGCGCAACATTGCCGTCTCCGATGCAGTGACCGGAATTTCTCAAATTTGGGACTGGAGTTGGACGTATCAGGGTCTCACCCTGACCAACTGCACCACTGGCCTCTCGATTAACAACGGAGGTGCTGGTAATCAGCTCGTTGGCTCGGTCAATGTCCTCGATAGTACTATCCAAGACTGTCCCACTTTTGTGACGACGGCCTGGGCAAGCTCTACTTCGACCAACGGTAGTCTCATCTTGGAGAACATTGCTCTTGACAATGTTCCAGTTGCCGTCAAGGGAACTAGTGGCACTGTTCTGGCGGGAACAACAGGCACCACCACCATCAGTGCCTGGGGCCAGGGCCATAAGTACACACCCAACGGCCCCGCCAACTTCCAGGGCAGCTTCACCGCACCAACGCGTCCCAGTGCGCTGCTTGCGAGCGGCTCCTCAAGATATTACACCAAGAGCAAGCCCCAGTATGAGGCATCACCTACATCCTTGTTTGTTAGCATTCGCAGCGCTGGCGCTAAGGGAGATGGCTCTACCGATGATACATCAGCCATCCAGTCAGCAATCACCTCGGCGGCATCCTCTGGCAAGATCGTGTTCTTTGATCAAGGAACATACAAGGTCACAGGGACTATCTACATTCCTGCGGGCTCCCGGATCGTGGGTGAGGCGTACCCAGTGATTATGGCCGCCGGAAGTAAGTTTTCAAGCATTACCAGCCCTGTCCCTGTCATTCAGGTGGGCAAATCTGGCGAGTCTGGATCCATTGAATGGTCCGACATGATTGTCAGCACCCAAGGATCTGCCCCGGGCGCTGTTCTCATAGAGTGGAACCTGGCTGCAGCATCCGGCTCCGGTATGTGGGACGTTCACACCCGCATCGGAGGATTTACCGGCTCTCAACAACAGGTCGCTCAGTGTCCCACTACTGCTGCGGTGAGTGCTGCATGCGAAGTTGCTTATATGTCTATGCACATCACTAGCACCGCGAGTGGTGTGTATCTTGAGAATGTCTGGCTATGGACTGCCGACCACGACCTTGATAGTGCCTCCAACACTCAGATCTCCGTGTACAGTGGCCGTGGCCTGCTGGTTGAAGGAAAAAATATCTGGCTGTAAGTTGCATTTTGTTAATCATTCAAGACTGCATGGCATTTGCTCACATCTACCTTAGCATCGGAACCGCAGTGGAACACCACTCCCTGTATCAATATCAATTCTCCGGTGCCAGCTCCGTCATGGCAGGATTCATTCAAACCGAGACACCGTAAGTTCAGACCTACGAAGAATGCACAGCTCGTCTTTGAAGACTGACCCATTTACAGGTACTACCAACCCAATCCAAATGCAGCCAACAGCCCTTACCCAACCAACTCTGCCTTGAACGACCCTAGCTACAGCAGCTGCCTCGGTGGAAACTGCGACGCTCTCGGTCTCCGAGTACTCAACAGCAAGAACATCAATATCTACGGAGCTGGCTTGTACAGCTTCTTCAACAACTACAGCACTGCCTGCTCCACATTCCCTACACCAGAGAACTGCCAGAGCATGATTTTTAGTATCGAGGGTAGCACCAGCGCCTTGGTAGTTTACTCGCTCAATACCGTGGGAACAACCAATATGATTGTCAAAGATGGCACCTCCCTTGCAGTTGTCGGTGATAACCTGGCGACTTTTGCTGCCACCATTGCCTACTTCACTCTTTAGGACGTCTTTTTGATTTTATTATCTTTCTAAGTACATATCATCAACATACTATCTTCCAGTCTTCTTTGTTTACCATTCTACCCTACAACCTTTTGTTTTCTTTGTTCTTCTATATACACCTTGTCGAAGTCAGATTTGTCTTGAGCTAGACATAGCGAAATTCAATTTATGAGAGCATTCCAAGGCATTTGTTCAGACTCTGTAATTGCACTGCACTGGTAGGTAGTCGACCCTATCCGATAGTATTCGGTTAACTGTTAAACACCCGGATATAAATCCGAGGGTGGAGATCTGGGGTGGTGGGGGCGTGGGGGGATTGGTGCAATGACTCCAATGAGGGGTCACCACTCCCGGTAAGAGAGCAAAGATATCCCGAGGCGAGCTTGACGGTTAAGCATTGTAGAAGAGTATTTAGAGTGTAGTACCCGCAGCCAAGTCCCAAATTTCTTCTACTTCTACCTATAAGCCCGAGAAGTGCCAATCATGTCTGCATCTAAAAACGATCAAGTGATACCTTTCGAAGCACTACCGCTGGATCCCAATGGCCCGCGTGGGAACGCCTGGGGTCGATTTGGACCCAACGACGAGCTCGGTACATTGAATCTTCTTACTCCGGAGGTCATTGTTCAGGCTGCAAAGGAGATTTGCACTGGAATCCGCATATCACTTGACTGGCCGCTCAGCATGCCGAGCTACCCTAGTTTCGATCGAAATCCGTTCAAGCAGGAGCTTGTTCTGCGGAATCCGAATTGCATTTATGATGACATTTTGAGCTTTAATAGCCAGGGGTCGACACAGTGGGACGGATTTAGACATTATGGTACGTGTCTCTCTTTTTTCCAAGTCTCTGTATTTCCTCGTCGATTTCAAAGTGCCGGGGTGGGGACAGACAGAACCTTGAGAACTTAAGTTGATTGAAGCTGATGCTAACTGAGAACTCTAGCTAATCAGAAGATGCGCCGCTTCTATAACGGACACACAACGGAGGAGATTGAGAGTTCTGATGTGATTGGTCTTCACAGTATGAACAAGAGTACTAACGATCTACTTCAACCCACGCTAATTAGTTCATGACAGCCGTTGCCGAGCATGGCGGCATGACAGGCCGAGGGATTCTCCTCGACTTCGCCGATTGGGCCGAATCAAACTCAGTATCCATCTCAGCTCTTGAGTCACAGGCTATCACTCTCGATAGCATCAAACAGGTAGTCAAGGACCACCAACTTGAGTTCCGCAAGGGTGATATCTTGTTCATCCGTAGCGGGTTCACGGCCGCATACAACAAGCTAGATGATCAACAACGACGGGATATGCCCAATCGTCCAACACCGGATTTCATTGGTGTGGAGGCGACTGAAGGAATGGTACGCTGGCTGTGGGGGCACCAGTTTGCTGCTGTGGCTGGTGATGCACCAAGCTTTGAACGTGCTCCGATCCGTGGCAGTCATGCAGACCCGAATTTCAACTTGCATGAATGGGTTTTGGCTGGATGGGGGACTCCGATTGGGGAGATGTTTGACTTGGAGAGGCTCTCTCAGCATTGTAAGGCTACTGGAAGGTATAGCTTTTTCTTGTCTAGTATGCCCCTCAAGGTATGTCGCTCTCGCCCTAAGTAGATCGTTATTCGATAGAGCTGACGAAGGCATCTTTGATAGGTGATTGGTGGAGTGGCCAGTCCACCAAATGCTTTTGCTATTTTCTAGTTAGATGAAGCCCTGCCTAGGGAGCCTCTGTGCAGCTTGCATCAATGACGGCAGGATATCTGTAAACGATCAAGAGCAAGACAGCTTTTTTAGCCAAATTAAACTCATCTGAAAATGAGTGTAAAATCTTCCGGTCCAATTGAGTATGATATTGTGTTTGCGAGGATTCACCTGTTTTGAGGCTGAAAGAGAACCCCGTGCCACCGGGGAAATGTTAGTCCGACCTTCCCCTCCGCTACAAGCGTAGCGCGAGGCTCAACGTAACTCGATTGTGATTGAGCCACGAACCTTGGGGATTGATCTGGTTCGTGATGGGAGGAATCGTTGACCAATATCCTCTTTTCCAAAATGGTGGTAGGCACAATTGCCGCCAATTTTGGGTTCGTGGCCCCTTTCTCCTTGCGTGACCACTCTTCTCAAGCTGACCAATCCAGGACTCGGAAAATGCATGGCTCTCCCCATGTGCATTGCCTTACCTGGTGATTGCTCCCGCCAGTGTGATTTTGCTTATTGCATGTCGTCATCTACTAGGCTCAGTTTTAAGACGGTGGCAGCCGAAATGGACTGTTCCGTTTATATCAGAGCAAGATGAATACCAAGGTTTCCCGCTGGAAGGGGTAAAGCACTCCCTTGGATGGACTCTTGCACTTCTCACGTTTACGGGCATTGGCTTCTCTGCTGAGCTGGTGCATTTATTTCCTCCGAATTTTGAAATAACTGCCATTGTTCTTCTTGCATCATGGGTGAGTGATTGATCGTCACTGATAAGGGAAACATTTCCATTGACATATACTTAGGCCACCGCAGCCGTGGTGATCACGGTCAAACGACCGAGGTCGTGTTCAGTCCTCCTGCTAGTCTTTTACACTCTATCCTTTATGGTTGAGATCATACTGGCCACTGCATCCTATGGAAAACCAGAGTACCAGGCAATTTCTCGCTACATTGCTGCATCTGCGGCTTTGATGGCTTGCTTCACAATTCTGCTGATGCCATTCCGAAAACCTTCACTCCCAGTGATTGATATCAGTACTGTCGGTCAGACACCATCCAGTGACTTTCGCAGTCCAGAAGACAATCTACGATTGTGGCAATTTCTAACTGTATCCTGGATGGCACCCCTGATCTCCCTCGGGCACAAAAGACAGCTCAATGAACCAGATGTCTGGCTCTTGGGTTTCGAGTTCCAACACAGTCGGCTTCACGAGAAATTTCGCCGGATTCGTGGGTCCGTTCTTCGCCGGGTACTGCAGGCGAACGGACTCGATGTACTCATCATCTCTGTGATTGCCGTCGTGCAGATGATTTGCACCTTCTCCACGCCGGTCCTCCTGCAGCAACTTTTGCAAGCTATGCAGGACCCAACTAAGCCAAAGCGTGTCCCCCTGACGTATGCAGTTCTTGCGCTTGTGCTTCGTCTGGTGGCCGCGCAGTCTCAGGTGTTGAATTTGTGGTATGGAAGACGATGCTACGAGCGATCTAGAGGTGAAATGGTCATGATGGTCTACGAAAAAGCCCTTTCGCGCAAGAATATACTTGGCTTGCATGTTGCAGGTGAACAAAAGCAGCCAGGCGGAGAAGAGACCATCGAGGGTGATCCCACTATCAACGAGGTTGAAGTTCTGCCCACCACCAAGCCGGGTTTCTGGGGCCGTTTGTTCTCTGTCAAGCGGAAGCCGCAACTAAAGAAACCCAAGGAGGCTGCTACATTGGGTAAAATTTTCAATCTGCTTCGTGGCGACGTCTACGATGTGGCACAGCGATTCTGGGAGATCGATGTTTTAATCGACAAGCCTCTGGGCTTGGTCATCGCCGTTGTTCTCGTATGGACACTCTTCGGACCGTCTTGTTTCCTGGGCATACTAGCAGTCTTGATTGCCCAAGCTCTGAACGCCGTCATTACTCGATTCCTCCTTCGACGGGAACGACTGACACGAGCTGCTACCGATGCTCGTTTGCAGATCACATCCCAATTTGTGGAAGCGATTCGGCATCTTCGGTGGTACGGCTGGCAAGACCACTGGCTTAGACAAGTAATGGAAGCTCGCCAACACGAGCTGAACAGGCGAATCATTACCAAATTATGCACTACTTCGATTAACTTCATCAACGCTTTTGCAAGCGGTGTCTTCCCCGTGGTTGCTCTGTACGCATACACTATGTTAGCTGGTCATGAATTGCGCATTGATATCATCTTCCCTGCCCTGCAACTTTTCACCATGCTCGAGACACGCTTGCGTGAAATCCCAAGTCTGATTACCGCACTCATCAATTCTTCTATTGCACTTGGTCGTATCGAAGACTTCATGGCAGAGCCAGATAAGGAGCAATTTGAGCCCGAGCAACGACCAGATGAGACACCATTTCGACTTGATTCATGTTCATTCGCATGGCCTGGAAAATTATCACCAGTACTGAGAGACATCAATGTGACCATCCCAAGAGGGCTTACCGTTGTGAGTGGAAAGGTCGGAGCCGGAAAGACGGCTTTCCTTCAAGCACTGCTTGGGGAACTCGATCGTCTCAGGGGTTCCTGCCGTCTACCCAACCAGACTATCGGATACTGCGCACAAACACCATGGCTACAGAGCATGAGCATTCGTGACAATATTCTCTTCTCTGCTCCGTATGAGGAACAGCGTTACAAGCGGACTCTAGACGCCTGTGCTTTACTTCCGGATCTATCCCAATTCAAGCATGGCGACTTAACCTTTATCGGTGAAAATGGGGTTGGTCTCTCCGGAGGGCAAAAGGCACGAGTGGCGCTTGCTCGGGCGGTATACAGCGCTTCGCGCGTGCTGCTCCTTGATGACCCACTCTCAGCTTTGGACCACAATACGGCCGAGTTCGTGGTTCGCAAATGTCTCTCTGGGCCGTTGATGCAGAACCGCACAATCGTCTTGGTGACACATCGTACTGCACTAGTGCGCGATATCGCTGACCAGATCATTGAAATTGACGAAAGCCGTGCAATCGTTCACAGTAAGGCTGCTCTCTCGGCATCTACTAAGAGAGATGGAATTGGTCTTCTGCTAAATCTGAACGACTCTGAGACCGAAACTGATGAAGCCAATGAAGATGAAGAAGCTGCTGCAGTTCCAGATAAATTCTTCGAAGAAGAGCACCGCGCAGAATGGGGTGTCAAGGCTCGTGTTTATTGGAACTATATCAGGGCCGGCAAGTATCGATGGTGGGCTCTCCTGGTATTGGTTCTCGCAATCTACCGACTCATGGCTGTTGGACAATCGTGGTTCCTCAAAGAATGGGGTGAAGCCTATAGCCAAGTATCCCTGTCAAACAGTCATCTGTCAGTCTGGCAAAGTCATTCTGTGCAAACATCACTGTTTTCGATGTCAGGCGTCGATGCGTATTTCATACCACAAAATCCCATCAACCAGCTGCCATCTCCACACGAGGATGTTCGTCCTTGGCTATGGACGTTCTTCGGCATCATCTGCTTCCAGGCAGCGGCCGTTCTGGTCTCCCAACTATTGATGCTGGTCATTGTCTACTGCGCCGGCAGGACACTCTTCCACCAGGTAATGGTTCGGGTTAGCCATGCCTCATTCCGCTTCTTCGATGTGACTCCTGTGGGCCGGTTGATGAACCGCCTCACTTCGGACATTAGCGTAGTGGACGGCAACATTAGTGCACAGTTCCAAACAATTGCATTCTATGCAATCACATGGATCTCTTCGATATTGGTCATTGCCACGGCGACCCCTACTTTTCTCGTCTTCTCATTGATACTGACGATTGCCTTCGTGCTTATTTTCCTTCGATTCCTGCCAACATCGCAAAGCCTCCGGCGACTTGAGATGGTGTCGTTGACTCCGCTCTTATCCAACTTTGGGGAATTGCTGCATGGTCTGACTACCGTGCGCGCATTCCGTGCGGAAGAACGCTTTCAAAATCGGGTCATCTCTGTGGTTGACAAGTTCCAGGGCATGGATCACTTCTATTGGTCATTACAGGCATGGCTCATGTATCGATTCGAAAGTCTATCTGCGCTTTCAACCTTCTGCCTGACTGTCTTGGCTCTCTACACAAACACCACACCTGGACTGGTAGCCTTTGTGCTCATCGCAGCCAATAATTTCGTCGACTCCACGCATGCTTTGTGCAAGCAGTACGGTCAATTACAGATGGATTTCGTGTCTGTTGAACGTATTGACGAGCTCCTCCATATCGAAGAAGAACCAAAAGGCACGATCGATCCTCCAGCGGCATGGCCAACATACGGCAGCGACGTCACCTTTGAAAACGTCACCCTTCGATACGCCCCACACCTCGATCCAGCTCTGAAAGAGATCTCCCTCCAGATCCCCGGCGGGTCTACCACCGCGGTCATCGGCCGAACGGGAAGTGGCAAGTCTACACTGGCCGTATCACTCCTCAGTGTCGTCCGACCCGAAACTGGCCGCATCCTGATCGACGGCATCAACATCGCCGACGTGAACACCCAAGCCCTCCGCACAAGAGTCACCTTCGTCGCCCAGGACCCCGTCCTCTTCCCCGGCAGTGTCCGTCTCAACCTCGATCCCACAGAGGAATTCTCCGATCAACAGTGCGCGGACGTCCTGGAACGACTCTGCGGCCGTCATGGATGGAATCTTGAGACACACATTGAAGCGGGAGGTAAAAACCTTAGTCAGGGTCAACGCCAGCTCATCGCTCTTACACGTGCTGTCCTTCGACGCAGTCCGGTTGTGATTCTTGATGAGGCTACTGCTTCGATTGATCATGAGACTTCTCTTGAGATTCAGCAGATTATTCGTGAGGAGCTACAGTTATCGACTGTTATTACTATTGCGCATCGGGTTGAGGCTGTGAAGGACGCGGAGTATTTTGTGGAGCTGGACCAGGGGAGGGTCTTGAGATACGGGAGTGTCCGAGACTTGTAGTCAATGGGCGCAAGATATTAAAAGCGCAGAAAAAGGTACTCCGAGCCGTGAAGGCGTTGATGTGGCTAAATTGGCGCCATCGAAAACCAATTTTAGATTTCGTATACATATTTTGTTGAATAGTGCTTGTTGTGCTTCACCGAGCTATTCTAACCCACCCCATCTGGCCACTTGGTTGTACAGTCTAAAGTCTCGTACCTACTCGCAGGTGCATACATTACGAAGGAAATAAAGTGGATCCAAAGTGTCAAGGCGTTACCCCAGGAATATTTTTAATGTAAAGTTGTCAAAAAACAGGGTATCTAATATTTACAGCTTGGCCTTGCCCTGAGCCTTCTTCAGGATAGGCTCCATCTTGGTAGCCTTCATGATGTTGCCCTTGATCTTGAGCTTACCGCCCATGAACAGACGCTGGGCGTTGGCCTTGCCAGCGACAAGGGAGGCGAAGTCTGCGTCGGAGAGGGAAAGGGTGACTACACAGCAGGGAAAACATCAGTATTAATCCAGAAAGATATAGTTCTGCAGGATCTCTCAGCACTCACCGTCAGCCTTGGCACCAGCGGGGGCGGCACCCTGGCCAACCTCGCCCTTGTTCTTCAGGTCGAGATACCAGCTGGCCTCCTCACCCTTCTCGTTCTTCAGGTTGAAGGAGACGATGGCCTTGGCCTTGTCGACGGCGTCCTTGCGCTCGGCGGCATCAGCCTGCAGCGTTTGGTTGATCACGTCGAAGGCGACGGAGGCGGGGAAGGTATCTGTGGAGGATTAAGCTGGGTTAGCGGAGAAGCTTCGTGGTTGAAGGTGTATCCCTTGCGACCGGGTGAGGATGGGATGGGATGGGATGATTGGGTGGGGGGGGGGGGGGGGGGGGGAGATGTACCTTTCTTGAGAGACATGGTGGATGAATGTGGAGGATGGATGGAGATTGGGAAGGGAAGGGAGAAAGAAAGAAGTAATAAGTTATATATGACGAATGATGAATTAAAATGCGCCGTGGCAGCGCAACATGTGAACTTCTCTACTTTAGCCCCCGTGCCGTGCCGAGGCTTCCCCGTGATTCGTGAACCCCGTGAATCCGTTGCTCCAGTTCCAAGGGATCCACCCCACGCGACTCGACACAACCCCATGGAGCATGGACGATGAACAAGTCCTACAATCGGGGAGGACATGGCCAGGATTATTCATTATATTGTTCACAGTCCGTTGCATATGTCTACAAGGAGACGATCCCATCCATCTCCCCAACCCCACGAGTCTCAACTAATGCACACCGGCGTCTTCCCCAACAACCCTAGGAAATTCCCCAGAGTATGCAGACTTGTGTCTGTTCCAGCTTCCGGAGAACCCCACTTGAGCCGGACCTAAACTGCCCCTTCCGATTTGAATGGATCCATTATGTATTTACTTAGCCTGTTGGCAGGTTGTGTCGCACCAATCCGGTATTCATCGCGATACACTAAACCGCGACAATCGTTTCCCTTTTTTACCCTCCAAGGATCCATCTGTGGTCCCGACGTCATGGCCGACGCGAGGGTGGGAACCGCTTCATATGATCGGGTCTGCCCCACGAATCTCGTGCACTTCACGCGCCGAGCTCATAAGTCCTTCGTGCTGTGGCTGTACTGGACGGATTCCTCGTGGCACTGACTGCTGGGAGATCGCCACGGGCTTCAGCATAATAGGCACGTCAGCGCTGCGTTCGTGTTTAGCATGTTGTTTCCATCGCGTGCTGCCGCTTTTCCGAGTTAAGGGTGCTAATACTTCATCCCATGTGCCTGTACGCAAGACGGTATCTTGAAAGTTGAGTTCATGCAGTGTTTTTCGGTGATCGAAAACGAAAGATGCTACTTGCGACGCATCCATTACCACATTAACCAGTTCTATCTCCTGCAGGTAGGGTTCTATCTCCTGCAGGTAGGGCAATCTCAGTGGCCGTAAGAATTGGCTCCCGTGCCTGCCATCGGCTTGCCTGGATCTTTTGTTGGCCGCATTTTGGAGACAGGGCTCACTTGCCAGCGACAATGGCGAAAGACCTCTTGCACCTTTCCAGTGAAAGACGATCGTCCGAAGCCCGGGAAAGCTCTGCAAATACGCATGCAACAGCTTGAAATGATCCGTGGGCGAACCCGCTTGGTAGGGGAAGCTCTCCATGTGAATGGTAAGATGTCGAATTTGGGACCAGCGCTTACGGGACGCAGGCGATGCGCCGAATCCCAGGTTTGGCTGGAGCTAAAGTACAGCTGCTGGATGAACTGATAACAGGGAGAGACTGTTCAGACATTTCAGCGATACCTGCTCAGCTGCAATACGCAACGAAATCAACGTATAGTCGACCACGCTTCGCCTATACCGATGACTGGGTGGCTGGCCCTCGCAAGTGATTCGCAGATGGCGCAAATTCTTCATTAAGGACAAAACTCGCACGAACGACGGCACATCGGTAGCAGCATGGAACAAAGGAGGATATTGCTTGAGTAGCAGATCCGTCATCTCCCAGGTCCCATATTTGGGACTTCTGGGCGGTCCCTGCTGGTGCTGAGGTGTATACACGAACGTCTGCTCTTTGCCAGTTCCTGCATCGATCACTGGCGGTAAGAAGGTCTCCGCGGTATGTGCGATAATGAATGTCACTTGTCGGATATGATGTCCGATGCGCTCGAGTGCAGAAACCCGAGATGGCCGGCTTAGTGATCGACAGCGGAATCGAATCGTAATGTCCGTGAAAAGGTCTGGTGCTGACTGGGCCGCAAGGTCTCGGCAGACAAGACGACATGATATCAAGTCGTTCGTTGATAGATCATGGTTTAACCTTTTACAGATTGACTCCCTTCTCCAGAGTTGAGTCAAGATGGGCTCGGGAGGCATCATTAGTCCCGGTATGGCCTAGGGTGTTCCAGGCTTCGAATACTCAATTGAATATTTCATATATCAACGTCGCCTCCTACCCATCTTCACCAGGCATCTTATATCCGTCACGGTAGTCCCTGATCAGGCCAGAAACCCCCGCCATGCCCAGTTTACTTCCTACTGTACTGCCCTCATCTGTAGGTTCGGATGTAGCTGTCGACCTACCTTCGTCTCGGGAGTTTCCCCTCATGCTGCATGTCTCCATTCGGTAGTTTTGGTTCCAGCCACTTCATAGTATGAGTCACTGGGTATCACATTTGTATGTTGATGGTCACAAATTCAATGCAGCACCTAAGCGCCTGGTATAGGCCAGATAGAGATGCATCTCCTGAATAGGAATGTAGGGCCGGGCTAGCACTTCTGTTTGTGATGTTTGCACTCTCCCTCTAACCACAAACGCGTGGACGCGCCCTATCATCACGTGATGATAGGACATGTCAACTTGAGAGGAGACTGTCAAGAGATTATTTGTTGGGGGATTATGTAGAATCAGATAGATTTCAAAGTAGAAATAACATCCATTAGAGATCAAAGGTTACTAGGAAATATAGAGAAACTGAAAGATGATCGAGTCAACCCGCAGAGCCGCATAGTATGAACCCTCACGAACGTCCGCGATAAGCCTTGGCAGGCGGCAGCGCTCAGAGTGACATCGCCAGCCAAAATTTCCGCAGCGACAAGCTCTCAGCCTCAACTGTCTTCGGCGAGGGCGCAGCAGGACTGGCTCCGATTGCCTCACCTATCGATAACCCGCTACTTTGATCTACTTAATCTTGCGACCCCTCGGTGCCTCTGGCCTCTTGCCTCCTCCCCATCCATATCTTCCCTCCGTGTTATCTCCACTCCCCCGCGACTGCGCGACTCCGCAGACCTCAAGTCCCTCCATCGTGAGGATCGCATCATACAAAGAAAGGTCAGTGCTCTCATCAGTCCTTCCAGCACAGCACTCGACAACACAGCAAACAGAGCGACACCTCTAGATCAATGGATGATGCGCTGCGTGTCATATTTGCTTTTTCTTGCGTATCCTGTCTGCTTTTCACCCGGGTGCCACCGCTCCGTTTGCCATTCTTGATCTCTGGACTTAAGGCTGATTCATATTAGTTTGCCAGATCAACCATCCCTATCCCCCACCATCTCCCGCGCCGGCGCTCGCTCTGAGTTGAAAGTGAGACTAGACCTGTTGTCCAGTCCTTTCCATGGAGATTCTCTGCCTGACTGCGATCGATTGACTTCCTGGGAATCACTGGATTACTCTCGATTGATATTCGATTGACATTGACGTCTACGGCTCATAATTCTTTGCTGATCAAATCCTTCGCTTCGCACTGAAAACTTTCCCTGGCGACTCTACGGCTTGATCAATCCTGTCCGGTCACGGGCAAGTACACCTACCACTCAAGCTCGCATCGACACATACCACTCCGTCGCCCGCGTTCTTCATTTACCCTCTACGGTGGATAAAACTCCTGCCATCTCATTCCAAGTTTGAAACAAATTTGGCTGGTTGGATCTACAGTACACTTGATTCTCAATTTCACTCCCATTCGCATCGTCCCGTCCTACCACAAACATGGATTCCTCAAAGCAGAGCAAGATCAACAGTCTTGTAGAAGATCAAGAGACCTACAAGTTTCTCCTGGAGGACCTGCTTGAGCAAAATCCATCTGATACCGCCGGTATCGCTGAACTTCAGGCCACCATCAAAAAGCATGAAGATGAGATTGCGGAGCTGCTCGGTAGCCCCCCGGGTGGCTCTTCAGAGGCCTCTTCGAGGAACACCCCGAATGGTGTCGTACCTCGGTCACCCCCTCCAGCCTATCCCACAACACAATCTCATTCTACTTCGTCTCCCGCGGATCCGGTATCTGCGCCCTACCATCCTTCAACGGCACCTTCACCCTTCCTTACTCGTCCTACACAAGCTGTACAACCTGTACGGACTTCCATGCCATCACGACCTAACGAATCTCGCAAAAGACAGCGCCAGGATTCTCTGGGCTCGACAGTCCACCCTCAGTCAGCAAAGAGAACAGCTGTAAACCGCCACAAGTCCCGATTTGAGGAACTCCAGGCGGACATGGAGAGCCAGTTGAAGTCTTCCAGAGAGCTGCATGAAGAAGCAAAAGATCCGCAAACTGTCCAAACTCGGGCCGTGGTTGAAGGAATTTCGACCGACGAGGTTCTGGAGAAGATGGAGCGAGAGCAGAAGGAAGAGGAGGATGCGATCCGGTCAGAATTCCAAATGGAAATGGACGAGGAGATGGCTCGCATGGTGCAAGCAGAAGAAGCAGCCAGCGACAGCGATGATGACCGCAGCTCCAGTCCATTACCAGTAATGAGGATACCCGATCGCACACTCCCAATCCCTCACATACGTCCTTACGGAACTCCTTCGCTCATCGATCCACAACCGCCTCGTCAGTATCCGGTGCCAACGCATTTCGACTACAATCCAGCTCCGCCGGGCTCATATCCATACCGGGATGATGATTTGCAGGAAATCCCCAGGGAATACTTCAACTCGCGAGTTTTCGGGCCGACTGGCTACAATCCGTTTGCATATCGTCCGCCTGGACCTAGTGCCTCAGCCCTGAACTCACCTGCACTTGGACCGCCACGGTATACACCAATGTTCGGCGGCCCGAACCCGCTCATACGTGGTCGATCTCTTCCATGGATGCACGATCCTATTCCCGCGCCTGAGATGGCTGCAATCGATCTGCTTAGTAACAATCCACTTGGATTGGAAGACGCAGATGACCTCGAGTGAGTACGATTTCTGCAATACTAATTATAGATACTAATATATATGCTTGCAGGCGATACGAGGAGCAGAATTTCCCTCACGATATCAAAAATCTGATCACCGGCATCAAGGATATCCGTGAAGCGACCAAGGCGGAGAAGGATGAGACGCCCGAAGGTCTCAAAGTCACATTGATGAAGCATCAAAAGATCGGTGTAGCCTGGATGAAGGCCAAAGAGGAGAGTGCCCACAAAGGTGGTATTCTCGCTGACGACATGGGTCTCGGCAAGACTGTCCAGGCCATTGCCCTCATGGTTGCCCGGCCCCCAACTGATCCTGAACGTCATCCCTCTTTGATCGTCGCGCCGAAGGCTCTGATGGATCAATGGAAGCGAGAGATCCACAGGCACATTCAGCCTGGGAAACATCAGCTTTCGGTGTTTGTCTACCATGGTGCCAATCGTGTTGATTGGAGAAAGTTGAAGTCCTATGATGTTGTCATTACGACCTTTGGCACTCTGACAGCCAGCTTCAAGACACTCCTTAAAGCAGAAAAGCTAGAGGAGGAAGGCAAGGACGCCAGCATCGTCAGAGACACTCGAAACTCGGCGACACTGTTCACGCCCGTGAGCAAGTGGCATCGCGTCATCGTCGATGAGGCGCAAAATATCAAGAACCCTTCGGCCAAATCGGCCAAGGCGTGTTGCAGGCTCAATGCCACTTATCGTTGGTGTCTGACTGGAACACCGATGATGAATCGGCTTGAGGACTTCCAGTCTCTGCTGTCTTTCCTTCGCATTCGACCTTACAACAACAAGGAGAAGTTCAAGCGAGTAAGTTGACACAATCATCGCATTGGAAACGTGTTGAATTCTAAGGATTCTTTTTAGGACTTCCGGGTGGTGAAGACTGGTTTCGTGCCTGAGCCAGTGATGCAGCAGTTGCGAATCCTTGTCAAAGCCGTCTGCTTCCGGCGTACCAAGACATCGAAGATTGACGGCCAACCAATTCTACAACTTCCTCCGAAGGTCATTGAAAAGGTTCATGTTGTCTTCGATGAGAAGGAACGGGAAGTCTATGATGCGCTCAGCTCGAGGACGCAAGCCCAAATCGAAAGGCTACTGAATGCTGGCATCTTGGGCAAGAGTTACAGTCATGTCTTGGTGCTTCTGCTCCGGCTGCGGCAAGCTTGCTGTCACCCACATCTCATGCAGGGTATCTCGACTAAAACAGCTGATGTCGATGGTAGGGACATGGTGGCCAATGCGAAGCTATTGGCTCCTGCGGTCGTTGACCGGATCAAAAACAACGAAGGCGGTGAGGACGAAGGGACTTGTCCCATTTGCATGGACATTGTTGAGAACGCCGTCATCTACATCCCTTGTGGTCATTCCGTTTGCAATGAATGCTTTGCACGAATTTCTGATCCTCAAATTCTGGCCCGTGATGACGATACTGGCATGATCAAATGCCAGAATTGCCGTGGCCCAGTCGATCCGCTCAAAATCACCGACGGGGAATCATTCAAAAAGGTCTATGATCCAGCCGCTGTGGCTGAGTCTTCGGCAGCTGCAGAGCAAGATGATGATCAGTCGGATGGATCTGAATCTGATGATTGGGACTCAGGCACAGAGACCGAGGGGTCGTCTGATAGACCCAAGAAGAAGTCTCTTGCGGAGCTGCGCAAGGAAGGTCAGAGGAATAAGCGTGCGAAGCGCAGATACCTCCGCCGTCTTGAGAAGTCTTGGATTCCCAGTGCCAAGATTACCAAGGCTGTTGAGATTCTGGGGGAGAATGAAGAACGTGGAAAGGGCGAGAAGACCATTATCTTCAGCCAGTTTACCTCCCTTCTGGATCTTCTGGAGGTCCCCATCAACCGTAAAGGTTGGAACTACGTCCGCTTTGACGGAAGTATGAACATCACGGAGCGCAATGAATCCGTGGCTCGGTTCACCGATGATCCCGAGGTCAAGATCATGCTCGTCTCCCTCAAGGCTGGAAACGCCGGTCTTAACCTTATCGCTGCTTCCCACGTCGTCTTGTTTGACCCATTCTGGAATCCCTACGTTGAGGATCAGGCCATCGACCGTGCTCACCGCATTGGTCAGACCAAGGATGTCTATGTCCACCGCTTGCTGATTGAGAATACTGTTGAAGACCGGATTATCCATCTCCAGGAGCAGAAGCGAGAGCTTATCAGCGGCGCCCTCGATGAAGGTGGCTCGATGAACGTATCACGACTGGATGTCCGGGAGTTGGCTTATCTTTTCGTAAGTCCCTTTGCTATCCCACTTACCCGGACGCTTTTACTGATTATCTTCTTTTACACAGGGCGTTCGTACCTAAAAAGGTGACCATCATCAAAAGATCGATGGAGGTCACCTGTTGATTACAAGATTGTGTTTGACCTGGCGCATTATTGCTGTAGATTTCATGCTGGGTTTGAGGATGCTTTATGACGATTCTAATGATGTTCTTCTTCTACACACGGCACCCTTATCCCCATATACCCCCTGTCATTGCCCTACGAAATGTGTTCTTCCATGTTTCTGGTTTCTTTGTTTAGTGTTTGATGATTAGCTTCTGTCGCTTTTAGAGAAAGAAGAACCGATCCATCGAAACGAGATTTGGTTTTCTGCTTTTCTGCTTGCCGAAAACGCACTATTTTATTTTCATTTGCATATAGGAAGTACTTCGAATCAAAAAGAAGATTCTTGGCTTTTCGAGATCTTGTTGAAAGAGGACTTGCATTTTATGCCAGTAAGCTCATTTCAGAGGGGAAGGGAAGAAAAAAAAGACATTGAGATGGTAGGTAAAAAAAGAGTCTAAGCTACTAGGTGTTGGTTGGGGGGAAAACCAAAATAAAGAAATGCATTATCGTTGCCGTCCCTTTCTTCAAACCGCCACTGCCCCAACCGCTTTCATTGTATCGTGAATCCGAGGACTGAACTTCAAGTCGAGCCCAAAACTTCCGGTCGTGGAATATGCCGCCCCTCTTTTTTATGTCGCTGTCAACAAAGACGGAGACAAAAGGGGAAGTGGCTGTGAGGGTCCCCAACGTCCGGAACGGAAAGGAACTGTCGGGGACCTGTTGGAAAGGTTGACCACTTTACAGGTCGGCGTCATCCTCATCTGGCAGGGGCTGGGCAGCTGCATCGGCCATCTCCTGGCGGTACTTCTCGAGCTGCTCGTGGTCGACGGTGACCTCGGGGGGAGCAAGAGCGGGAGCGGCGACGAACTCCTGTATTAGTAGTCAGTAGGCTGCTAGTAGCGATGAACAATGAGAAAATTCGGGGAAATACGCACCAGCTGGGGGTTGCCAACCAGTTTCCGGGCGAGCCACAGAAAGGGCTTCTCGAAGTTGTAGTTGGACTTGGCGGAGATGTCGTAGTACTGGAGGTTCTTCTTGCGGTGGAAAGTGATGGTCTTGGCCTTGACCTTGCGCTCCTTCACATCGACCTTGTTACCGCAGAGAACGATGGGGATGTTCTCGCAGACACGGACGAGGTCACCTGAAAAGATGAGTTAGTCAATGAAACACCATTCGAGTCGCGCGAACACGGAAAATACGTACGGTGCCAGTTGGGAACGTTCTTGTAGGTGATACGGGAGGTAACATCGAACATGATGATACCGGCCTGACCGTTGATGTAGTAACCATCACGGAGACCACCGAACTTCTCCTGACCGGCGGTATCCCAGACATCGAACTGAATGGTTCCCAAGTTCTATCGAGTTCTTCAAGTTAGTCGGCCGTTAAAGATGAAATGCAGGGGGTCATGGCAACGGAGTCGGAGCGGGGCTCGGCGGGGCATAGCATACGGTAGTGAAGGTGAGAGGGTGAACCTCGACACCGAGGGTGGCAATGTACTTCTTCTCGAACTCGCCAGTCAAGTGGCGCTTGACGAAGGTGGTCTATCATATTGGCTGCGTTAGCGAAGGCTGGTCATTCCAGAGGTGAGGCGAGCGTTGGGCAGATATTTTCATCATTGTTGACAATCGCGGGGCAAGGGAGGTAGAGAGGGGTTGATGCCAACACCGAGACCATCATGGGGTACCAAAGAAGGTGTCAATGAATGGCCAGCAACTCCATCTGCCTCTTCCTTGACCTGGAATCGAAACCCGTGAGCTCAAGCCAAAGCCGCTTACCTTGCCAGTACCACCGTCACCGACCAGGACGAGCTTAAAGGTGGGTGGGGCCTGCGCAGCCATGATGGATTATTTTTTTTCGACGAGGGTAAAAAAGTGAAGGAATTAGAAATCGCTGGTAAATCAGCGGATGGGGTATGGATCACGGAGGGGTTGGATTGTTTTGTGGTGATGGGGGAGAAAGAAGGGGAGAGTCTGAATAATGCGAGATGGAATTTTTGCCCCGGTCGCGGGCAGGTCACGTGGCCTGCTGTGTGTGCCCATTGGCCTGACGTAGTGTCAACATGGCAACACTGCAACACCGCCTTACTTGCATCATCATACTATTAGGACTATCGGGACTATTGACAATATCGAGAGCAATAAGAGCTAACAGAAATCATATTGATCATAAGTAACTCAGTACTTTAAAATCAGTAGATAATATGAAACTACAAAATCAGTCAACCCTCGAGAGTTGGCATTGCCTCTTTTGTTGCTGTTGGCACATCCCCATAGGGCTGGCCGGAAGCAGGCCTCGAATCATCCTGGGAGTGCAGTCCTGATGCCCGATATAGTACTTTACCCTTGCTTCCATCGGGAGATAAGCTACGTATAAAAAGATTTTCTCCATGACTGGCAGCAAGATTTACCAAATTTACAATTACACCCAAAAGAACATCCAAAATAGTCATGCATCGTCATTCGTCAATGAATTGGATTGTCATAGTACAGAGATAAGGACACTGCCGCAGGAACTCCCTCCGTAGCCACGGCAACAGCAAGGAGACTGGGCTCGGACTAGTCCCTACAGAGGAACAAGATGACACCCCAAGAGTCCCCGACCGCCCCAATTGCGTCGCGGAGTCAGCTGCAAATCCAGGTCGGTCGTGCCCGGTGCGCCGTCGATTTTCCTGCTTACCTTGACCGAAAGCGGGCGCTGGATCGATGGTCAGTATGATCTCTAAGAAATAGATGGAAGATGCATGAACAATCCCACGTACCCCTTCGTTCTGCTGCACAGTCTCGGCAACCTTGGAGAGACGCTCATGATTCAGCCAATGCACGGCTCCGAACCCTCGAATAGTATCGCCGGCCTTCAGCCCTGCCTCGGCCGCTGGACTCCTGGGCTCCACGCTGTTGACTCGTGCGAACGGTGTACCCAGTGCGCTGGCATCCGCAATGCTGATACCTGCCATCGATGCGGGTATGGCGGACGGAACAGTCGTGCCATTCCTGGTGGCGGTTGCGGCCGCGGCTTGCGCATTTTGTAGTTGGGCAAAGTGAGCGTGCAAACCCTTCTCGAGGTACTTCATAACATCTTTGTGGTCATTTCGTAGATGGATGATTCGTACGCGCGTCGTTCGAACTGCCATCGTCTCAGTATATTCGGTCGGAGTAGTTCACGAGCCTTGCCCGGAATGTAGCGCACCTTGGGCAATGTCGATATCGTCGCGCGGAAACCCGTCAAACGTCGTCAAGGATGTGGTCATATTAACTCCATGCTAGCGATATCAATACACGTTAGCAAGCTCGGAAATACACGAGAATCAGAGCTGTCATCAACCCACCGAGCTGAGCACACTGCTGAGCGCCGACAGCTCCGCCTCGATCCGCTCTTTTTCCTGCATGAGATCGGGCATCGTCAACTTAGAATAGTCGCGGGGTGTGGCCCCGGACGTCGGTCCGGAGGCCACTGTAGGAGCGTGAATGTTGTCGTCCATGGGGATGCCCATAGTCCAAAGGTGGGGAAGATTGCAGCATCCATTAAATTGCGGCGTGAAGGGCGGTGGGTCTCCAAGCGCTTTCGGTCTCTTTATAAGCGCGACTTGGCGCTTCCAAACGGGTATACTTCAACCAACTATGCATGCCAATATTCTACACTCTACATTCTAGTTTCAACTCCCTGGTCCTGGTTGATTTTTTATACTTGCAACTAGCGGGCTTTGCTTGCATTCCATCGGAATCCCGGAATCATACCGGAATCTCTCCCTGAGAGCCCACATCCTTGCGTATGTACTTGGGCCTGGAGACAGGATTTAAATCCCACCTGTTGAGCTGCCTCACGTCATGACGTACATGGATCAGTTTCAAATTGTCGGTTCCTCAGCAGACTCTACCGCTGCCTGGAGCCGACGCGACTTGTGGTCATGGCGCTGACTTCGTCGCTCTTCCCTCGGCGAGGTTGGGAGTCAACCGTTCAGTGCTTCGACGGAAAGAGAAAGAGAGCCTTCCATATCCTTCTCAGCGCCCACTTTCTTTGGAGGTCGCGGTCTCCGTCGCGACTGCCGAACAATGGGTGCTTCAACATCGGACGCCGCAGCTTCTGGTATGACTGTGTTTGCGTTGCCTTCCTGGGGCTGTTCACAACCTTCATGACTCCAGCATCGAGTATTCGACACCAAACAGGCGTAATTGCCGCTTTGTTGCAGGATGGAGAACAGAAATGTTGATGCGATCGAGGTTGAGACAGAGGAGGTTCGCGTGGAAGATGAAACCGAACAGCTCTTGGCAGAGAAGGAGGAACAGGTCCTGCCATTGAACCCGAATACCTCCCATCCATTCAAGAGATGGATGGACAGTTTTCGAGTACGCAGACGGGTTCCTCCAACAATCCCAGAACGACATGTCCACGACTGGCCAGAATCATTGCCAACCGAACTCGCTCCCCCCAATTTGAGTGGACGCCGAGACTCGCTCCTGTCAGGACGTTCGTCGCAGTTGGGAACAGTGAAGACGACCACTCTCAGCATTACGAGCCGGAGCTTTGCAAGATCGAGAAGGACAACACAAAGCACTGCTGGTCAGAGTAGTCTCTCGGACGCTCGGTTCTCAGCCGATAGCTCTCGTCCGACCTCGAGCCAGTATGTTGATGATCAGGCAGAGATTCGCGCGAACAAGAGGCGTCAAGTGTTGCAGGAAATGGTCACGACTGAGGCGGACTATGTCATGGGTCTCAAAGCTCTTACAGGGGTAGGTCATCTGGCAACGGCTCTATATGTTGGAAATGGGTTGGCTAATCGAGTGTTGCAAGGTTCTCTCGATCTTTGATACCAGACCTGAGATCTATCACAACATTCAGAAGATTCGCGGCATTCACGAAAACTTCTTGACCCAATTGCAAACCATATCCCCCATGTCTTCTTCACAGGCCCCTGATGACGCTTCTGATCTTACGGCTCGGGGGCTCTCGAAGCGCTTGGGGGGTATCGATCTGCCTGGACTGAAAGTTCTGCAGAATCGGTCCTTGAGAACTCGCAACTTCAAAGCGACCATTAATCGGCGTCTCAAGCCCATGCAAGCGGAGCCATTGGAGGCTCTTGAGGTTGCACGCGCGGTGGAAATCTTGGTCAGTATTTTCACTTGTGACAAGTGCAGCAAATGCTAATTTAGTACTCGGCTTCAGTCAGTGTCTTTCCCTGCATACGAAGAGTTCTGTAGCAACTACGATCTGTTCACCCAAGATTTGGCCATCCTGCGGCAGTCTGTTCCAAACTGGGCAATGTTTGATCAGGGTATTGAATCACTGTCAAAATCGGTTGCCTCCATCGAAAGCCGGAAGCACGAAGACAACAAATCGATGACCATGAGTGATCTGATGATCAAGGTGAGCTTTCTGGTATCCCATATGGGATGATGCGAAAGATTAACAATTATTTAGCCCATCCAGCGACTTTGCAAGTATCCGCTTCTCCTCCAAGACCTGCTACGCAGCACCCCTGTCAGCGATTGTCCATCCTCTCATAGCGGAATGCGGCAGATTTTGGACAACCTACGCGTTCTGGTAGCCCGAATCAACTCGGCGACGGGAAATCCCGTTAAAAAGGATCGAATCCAAAAGACTATTCTTCTCCAGGCGCGGTTTGAATTTTCTGATTCGGTAAGCATGTTGATATCACGGCCTGGAAAATTGGTATACGGCTGCTGACATTTGACTGCATAAAGTACAAACTACAGGACATATATAAAGACTTGGGTCCAATGACAGTGTGTGGCGTGCTGCATGTCACCTACCAGACGCCCAACCAAACGATGGGAGACTTTATGGTCACGGTTCTCTTCAACTCCTATTTGCTCCTTTCCAGAGGGGCGGAGGATGCTCGGAGACTGGAGGTTGTGGCCTGTATTTACCTGGGTGATTTGAAGGAGGAAACGATTCAAAATGGACAAGGTAAGTAGTCCCCAATCGTTATCGTTGGTTCCAAAGTCAATATCTAACTCTCCAGGCCTTTTCTGCTATGGATGCCCGTTTTCGTGGAAAATCCAGTTTCAAATGGAAGAGGAGAACTTCGAATTCGTGCTCAGTGCATCATCCGCAATTGAAGAGAGACTGTGGAAGACAGAGACCCTAAAGTGCTCCGCAGCCCTTACTGAAATGGGTAGATCGGGTGGTACCTGGGATCCAAGAAAGTACTCTCTTCTAAGCCTTCCGCTGGTACCGTTGGATCACGTCCAATATACGGTATCTTCCTTGGCCAGACGCTCTTCGATGGACTCCGTGGCGATCACACGCAGGGCCAATGTCCAACCAGTGGTCATCAAAAAAACACACTTCCCCCACACGACGGAGGAGACCCCCAATCCACCGCCGGAAGGCGAGATTGAGCGGCCCAAGACCACTGTTGCACGCGGTGCCGTGACTGTGACTGCAAGGCGAGCGGAGCGAGTTCGACTCGAGCGATTGATCTCGGATGCCTATACTCGAGATGTGCTTCCCATGCCGGGAATGGTGCTCTGCCGAGGTGATCTATTTCGTCGTGGTTCGATCATGCGACGTCTTAGCCTCCATGCCACATTCGCCAAACGGTCCAGCTCGGTCAGCATTACGAGCAATTCCGGACGAGCAGTTCCCGATGCACGCTCCATTGACTATCCAAGTGGGGAGGAAAAGGATTTGTTGACTACTCACGACGGAGGTAACGACCAACGTCGCTCAGCGGACGCAGACTGCGAGTCACCTAAGACGCCTACATCCACAATTGGACGTCAAAGGACCATTCGATTCCGGACTACACCCAAAATAACGTCGGAATCTTCACCACGCAGTGAGAAACGGTCTAGTCAGGAAAGCAGCTCTGAATTATCTCCGACGCGGAAGAAATGGCCATCGTCGATGGGCATACTTAATGCGCTTTCACCAAAGAATCTGATGCAAAGAAAATCCAGCATGGGGCAAGGGGACGGGAATTGAAGTGGAGCTATCGTCAGATTTGGTAGCTCGGATGGTGTCACAGACAGGTGGCATGTTGGTATGTTTAGCGTGGAATGTCATTCTTACAGTCGGGTCTATTCCTTATAGAGCATCTTTTGTTCAAAACTCCTTACTCCAATGGACGGTTCTCTATCGATGCTGGTCTGCTCCCTCGGACGCTTGTATTTGTTATGAAGGTATCCCGGACTAGGTCAATGAGTTTAGAAAAGAACAAATCTTTATAAAATTCCACTCCAAGCTCTTAATTGGCTAGTAGCAAGAACATCAATCCAAACAGGATATGGAAGGGAAGCTGTGGATGCAGGGCTTGCCCAAGCTAGGAGCATGAGAAAATGAAGCTATTTAAAAACGCCAGTATGGGCCATAGGGAAAATCAGAAACTGAGGACATGTCAGTTGATAGCTTCTGTGGGAATAGTAAATACCCCAGAGACCTGGCATTGACTCTGACGCCACTGTGGAGTGCAAGTCAGGGCATGATATTATGCCACGATACAACTATGAGCTCCAGGCGCAAAGAAATGGAAGGAATGACAACGAAAGAATCAATAGCATGCCCCAATCCCCACCAGTGGACCCGCGAGCGACCCAAAAGACCCAAGACATTCAGCCAAGCAGATTGGATGACGTCGTGAAGCAGGCGGACGGGAGCTTTCCATGACACACGAGCATTTGCTAAACGGCGCTGGAAAGGTGACGTCATCCATCATCATCATCACTACTTTAAAGCTCCCACAACCTGTCTCTTTTTTCCTCCTTTGCTATTTGCTACCAACCATCTCACAATCTCATAATCCAATTGAATTATTCACCTTCAAAGTCTCATCTCAAAATTATCCAAGATGCCTCGCGCCAACGATAGCACCCATAAGATCTTTTACAAGGGTCGCTCTGAGGACTTTATCGTCTTCGTTGATGACCTGGACACCCTGAAGAAGTGGAGGGGGGATCGCAGTGTTCCTTTGACTGATGTTTTGAATGGATGGAAGATCTTTGTGACTCATGGGTGAGTCTTTGTGTCCTGACTTTGATAATTGGTATCTGTCCATGGGCAGACATACTGACATTCTTTCGTATCAGCCACGGCGCCCAAGGCGTCCTCGACAGCGCCAGCAAGAATGCTCTGGAGAACGAGTTCGGCACCTCCAATGAGGATGATTGCTTGGTTAAGATCCTGGAGGGTGGCGAGTACCAGACCAGCGCGGTTCGTTTCTCTTTTCCATTCCTCCCGCCTATTGGTTCGAGTGTGACACGATATACTGACTATCATTGATATAGGGACGCGAGCGTGAAGGTAACAAGAACGACTCCATGGGCTCCATGGGAATCACCCGGTAAATGAGCTAGTTCCATTCGAATGGCTGAACCCATGAACCATGCAACCATGACCGTTTCACCACTTACCCCCCGTTCTCGAAATTCACGATGTTTATCCCTATCGTCTCGACTTTCTTCTACGACCCTCAGCGCTGCTGGTTCATGGTTCACCATTTGAAATGCTGGCTAAATTTGTCACGGGGAGAAACTTTTTGCTATGTTTTCGGAAGGGTGTTTCCATTCGGGTTATTTTGCATTAGTTAGCAGTGGCAGGCTTCCATACCTGAGTTATCATGAAATAACGAGAGGGCGAGGCATTTAAACTCGTCATACAAATACTACATTATGCTGTCCCTAGTACTCGTTGTTATTTCATAATTGTAGCATAGTAATTCGCTTGGATTTTGAGATAGCAGGTATTAAATGAAAGTGGATAGAGCCTCCAAACAAATGGCCCCAATCCAGGGTATATAGCAATGAAACTCAATGAAGCACCAAACAACCCAGCAAATATTCACAAATAATCCAAAATCAAACTTCAGAAGCAACGAAACCACACTCGGCCCTTCGCTTAACAACCCAAGCTCCCAACTCCGCCCAAACAGCCTCCTTCTCGGGTATACTCATCCCAGCCGCAAGTCCACTCGTCGTCGTAGCCACAAAAACAGGCGCTCCAACCCAATCACTCCCATCCGTACACCCCATATTCTCAGCCTCATCCTGCCATCCATATCGAAACTCCTCTCTGCGAATCACCCGCCCATGTCGCACACGCCACACAGCCTCCCAAATGCCCTTTCCTACGAGACAGACAGCCTCGGGTCGTTTCGCGGCGACTTTGGCTTCGAGCACGGGTACTCCGGCGTCCATCTCGGCTTTGCTGAGCATGCTTGCGTCTCGGGAGGGTCGTTCCACGATATTGGTGTTGCCCACGTTGTAGAGGGCTGGGAGTTTGTATGTGTCTGAGGGCGGGTGTCGGATCGAGGTTATACCGGAGGAATGGAGGAGTTTCCAGTATAGGTTTGAGGGGTGGGCGTAAGCGAAGCCTGTTGATCCGGTTAGGATGCCGGGGTTCACGCCTACGAGGAGGAGGGTTAGGTTTGACGGGATGGTGTCGCGGAGGAGGGAGTCGGCCGGGGTTAGATCGCGGGTTGGAGGTGGCTTTTGGCGGCGAGAGGACTTTTTTGGAGAGGCTGTTGGGGATCGTGGGATGGAGGATGAGGAGCGTGAGCGGATGATGCGAGATGGTTGGGTCATGCTCGTTGTGATTCCAGTACTCTCCACTTTCGGCCTTTTGAGACTGGCAGTCGTACTGCGAGTACTTCTTCTATGCTGGGGGATACTCTCAATGTCGTCTGTGGATGCTTCAAGCTTAGGGTCGAGGAGGCCATCACGACCCCTTTTGGATGGACTGGCCGGCCTATTGGTGGACCCATCTGCCGAGCTATTTCTGAGAAGGAACCGATTCAGTTGACCATGAAAGCTTGTGATTTTATTGACTGGGACATCGTCTGTAGCTGGAGGGTCTGAAGTGTCATCGTGCGCTTTCACGGGTTCATCGTGTTGGATATTGGATGAGGGCATCTTGGCCGAGTCAGTGTATATATGTGGGTTCTGTTAGGATCGTTAGTCTGGGTATTTGCCGCCTGCCCACGATGGAATTAGATTTGCTTCGTGTGATTCTTGACAGACTGCAAGACCCAGAAAACCTGGCGGGATCATTGGGATGAGTCAATGTTCGTATTCCTAGAAACTGGTCGACGCAGGGTCGAGACAGGTCACGTGAGTATTCACATGCCTTGTTTATCAGGCGCGTAACTCCAATCGCTGTTCACCAGAGATGTACGGAGTACCATTGATCAGATTGAAGAGTGAAGTATTTTAGGTGAAGATGCATGTATAGTACAGCCAATTAACAAGCTGTAAGTTCAGGGAGGTTAGCCACAAGCTAGATATTTTGGTGTTGCTCAGATGTGGGACCCTGGACTCGCAGGGGAATATATAGTGGACTGGACAAGTATATAGCTACCCCAGTGGGCGAATTTCCAGTTTATGGAAGGTATCATTATGTTCAATCAACTATGTACAAGATCTGCGTCCAATGCACTCAATACGCTGGACCGATTCCATCGAAAGGCTACGCTTTAAGTACCCTCGATCGTTTGGGTAATGTCCACGGTTCTGGACAAACAATCTGCCCGCAAAGTTAGAAAAAGTCTCACAACACTCAAAGACTTAATAAACATACCTCGCCTTCACTGTAAGCCCAAAAATATACCCCAATGCCAATCAGGTAATACAACGCAGGATCCGTTCCTTGGTAGAGCAGCGCTGCAAACAGAGCACTGAGAGGGTATACGACGAGTCGAATCTCGATACTTCGATGTGGTAATGATCCGGCTAGTGGTCGCAAGGGCCACTCCCAGGCCAAACCGATCAGACCCATGAGTAGGTTAAGAGTTTGGAGGACTGGGATTGGAGAGACGGCGGCGTCAAGGTTTTTCGAAATGAAGTCCCAGAAGACTTTTGGCCAGATGAAGCCCTCGATCGCGCTTGCGATTTGATCTGTAGAGGTTGGAATGTTAGCTGCGCTCATTTTGAATGCGATCGAGATTGGAGAGAGGAACATACAGGCAGAGGCCGTTAGGATAATTAGTCGCGCCCAGTGATTCTTGATGAGCCTGCCCATCTTGTTGGATTATCTGGTTTCGAGGCAATAGCCTGTATGTATATTGGATGAATCTCTCGACCAGCGACAGATTCAAAGTTTTGCACGGCAGTCCCTTGCGGGAAGCAACGCCGGTGAGTTGCTGTTTGAAGCGCTCTTGTATGAGGGCGATTAAAGTGATGCGACGGAGAACAGTGGATTTTGCGACCTGTCCATCAAGCCGAATCTCTACCAGTCGATCACCAAGAGAGTAAGAAAAGGTTGGCAGAGCGACGGTGAGGTGATTGTCCAGACAAAGTCTTATCGCAGTCGCATGATTAATGTGCAGTTAGAGGAAAAGCTGGTGGAATGCGTTCAAGTGCGTGCTGCTCCTGCAGGCGGGGGATCGAGTATAAGAATTCTATACTTAGACTCTCAAGTAGCGAAAACTCACCCACCGAACCACTCGAAGCGACCTACGAGGCGACAGGATCGGTGACGCTTGGGCGCCCATTCGCCCAAAAAAGGTCACTGGGTACATGGGTGTATGGGATACTCCAGTGTATGGCGGCATATCGAAGCGAATGCTCAGTCAAGCTAGTAGCTATTTCATCTGTGATCCACACGGATGCACTTAAGCGCCAACAGCCAATGAGTCTTCGTAACTGTGCAGGGCGGGGAGTCATGACTGGATGTTCCCCTCTTTTCCCCGTGTGCTGAAGAGTGCACGTCCGCGGTGTGATTGGGTAAGAGATGATGTGACGGAGCGGATCGCGCTGTTGGTCCAGAGCAAATCAGCGTTCATAGCGTAGGTCCTTGGCGTGATGAGATGCAGAGATGCAGCTCGTGGCACGCGCTTCCAGGGTTTTTATTTGGTTCCTGGAGGAGTGGTGGCCCGTTTCACGCACAATTCGAATTGTTGTGGCGAGTGGCTGGGGATGGATTCTACCTGTTTCCAGGACGATGTACGATGTCTAAGGAGTTCTATCTCATAAGAGTTCTATTGTGCTCGAGACAAGGGGAATCGGGGATGTCTACAACCCACCAGAGGGTCAGATGATCATCCCAGCACTGACTTGCTGTCGTACACCTCCCCGATGCTTCTGCTCATACTGTAGGATGCACGTCCAGTCCGGTTGTGGCGTACAAAGCTCAAGACAGTCAGAGAGGAGAAAGTTGTGATGGTCGATGTGATATGCAGTGCCAAGTGGGCCCCGATTTTCCTAATCCCGTTAAAGTGGGAAGGTCATGATAGCGGCACAAGTTGCACTACAATTCTTCCCCCCCCCGCTAGCTACTTTCCATTCTATATTTGGGATTCTCTGAGATGCACATCTCGGAGGAGATCACCAAAAATTAGGTCTTTAAGACTTCACTAGATTTACTAGAACGTCCGGCCCGAGGGACAGGAATAATCACCCACGAATTGAGAACCCGGTAACGACCGGGGCACCAGTGTGACGAATGCAAGCGCTTGCAGGTTGCATTCTATAGGCTGATTTGCCAGTGACATTCTGCCTTAGCTTCAGTTGCCGCTGACCACTCACCAGCCTTGTCCTCTATCCAATTGTCGGACACTTTCCTAGATGGGCTTTGCAAAAGTCAAGGTCATCGATGGCGTTGATCCACCTTTCTCGCTATCTTGCCATGTGGAAGACCGGGGATTATTGATTTCAGAAGAACATGCTTCTTCATCTTCTATTTGATTTCTTTTCCACGTTGGAGTCTGGGAGCTCATACATGAAATGAGTCGAATGTCAATAAGAATTGGATTCGGAAAATGTGGCCTGCAGTAGTATAAAACCCCGCGGTTGATAAAACTCATGCCAAGCAGAGGAAACCATACAATCTTATGATCTTTTGTATCTCGACCACACTAGCCAAGATCCTTGCGGCAACGATAGTTCTAAAAAAAGGCCACAGCCAAGGAGTCTAGTGAAAGTGAGGTAACACTTGACGAGAACTCGAGAGCTTAAGATCCTTTGGATAAAAGAGAAGACGGTGTAGGAAATAGAATCTCACCAACCACCCGGACTTTTTTAGAAGGTTTCTAGGACCACCAATGAACACCTATCACATCAAAAGAGCGACCATTGCGCTCGTAGCCTCGTAGAAGACCCGAAAAGCACGGACTTAGGGTTAAATCTATTGGGTGAGCCTTTGTCGGGTTCGTTTTCGGGGCTCTCAGTTGCTGTGGCTGCTAGAAGCGATGTAATTATAGATCGGCCCCCCTCCTCCCTCCTTCACACCCCTGCAGCTAAAACCACAACGCTGGGAATCTTTGAACCTCCCCTCCAGCCTTCGGTTTTGTCTTTAGCAATCGATGCCACTGCATGCTGACTGTGACTGGAATTTTCTTGCAAATTCATCTATTCGAATGAGCGTTTAGTTTCATCTTGCGCTCTGGGAACAGCGATCGCTTGAATTTGTACAACAGCAGCACCAGTCCTTTTCCCCGTAAGAATCCGGCCCGTGAGAGTTGTTAGACGATCGCATTACATCTATTGTGCCCAAGAGATCTACATCAACTCTGTGCATGTTCGCAAAATCTGCACTGTGATCCATTAGGCCGAACTTTGGCCTGAAATCACTCTCCCGGTCGGCGGGGTGGGTTGTGGTTGAGAATCCAAGTTCATGGAGAGGAAAAGACGCCGATGACCTATTCATTTCTCGCATCTTAAACGGCTCAACCGATACTTGACCTCGAGATCTCCCTCACAACAAGACTGGTGATCCCTCACGGATCTAGGTTCCCCACTCAAAAGTTCAGGTTGCTGGCCAACCTCTGCTCGTCGTTCCTTAACCAAAGCCCTATCGCAAAGACTGTCGCTGGTCGACGTCACTGCTGCATTTCAAAGACGACAATATGGTCGTAGCTAATGAATCCTGGCTCAAAAGAGCCGATCTGACTCCAACCAAACTGCTGTTCTACGCCATCTTCTGGGTGGCTCATTTTGGCGTTTTCGCTCTTGGATGGTATGAGAGAATTCCTCTGATACAATGCTGCGATAGCCACTGACATTCACATAGGTATCTTCAAGTAATAAACACCCAGCTTGCTGGGTTGAATGTGCTCAAGTACTCTGTCTGGATCTCCAGAGGCGCAGGCCTTGTTCTGTCTGTAGACGCAACTTTGATCCTCCTTCCCATGTGCCGGAATGTTCTCCGATGGCTTCGACCTCAAATCAGGTGGTTACCGCTTGACGAGTCTGCATGGTTTCATCGCCAGATTGCGTATGGTCTCTTGGTGTTTTCTGCGATTCATACTGGCGCCCATTACGTGAAGTAAGTCACGAAGACCCTAAGTGGACTACTGGAAGGAACTTGTTAATCATTCCACAGCTTCTACAACATTGAAAAGAGCCAGATCCGTCCTGAGCTGGCCGTGCAAATTCACTATACTCAAGCCGCCGGTATTACAGGCCATGTAATGCTATTGTGCATGATGTTGATGTATACCACAGCTCATCACCGCATCCGACAGCAGGCGTATGAAACTTTCTGGTATACACACCACCTGTTCGTACCATTCTTGCTGGCTCTGTATACCCATGCCACGGGATGCTTTGTTCGAGATACAGCAGACCCAATTTCTCCATTTGCAGGAAGTCGATTCTGGGGCCACTGTCTCGGCTACGAAGGATGGCGATGGGAGCTTGTGGCAGCCGCCTTGTATCTCTTCGAGCGGCTGTATCGCGAGATTCGATCTCGTCGGGAGACGGAAATTACCAAGGTTATTCGTCATCCCTATGGTATGTGGTACCCCTAAGCGCTTCGCAGAAGATAAATACTGACAACGTGCAAAAGCTGCGATGGAGATTCAGTTCCGCAAGCCGAGCATGAAGTACAAAGCTGGTCAATGGTTGTTTCTCCAGGTCCCCGACGTGTCCAGTAATCAGTGGCACCCATTCACTATCACCTCCTGTCCGTTCGATCCATACATTAGTGTTCACGTTCGTCAAGTCGGCGACTTCACTCGTGCCCTCGGAGACGCTCTTGGATGCGGTCCTGCGCAGGCAAAGGACCTTGAAGGTCTTGACCCTCTCGGCATGTACGAAGTTGCCCTGCAGAACGGGCAAATGATGCCCAAGTTACGCATTGACGGACCCTACGGTGCTCCAGCAGAGGATGTTTTTGAAAATGAAATTGCCGTTCTTATCGGAACTGGCATTGGTGTCACGCCGTGGGCTTCCATCTTGAAGAATATCTGGCATCTACGCTCTAGCCCGAACCCGCCTCGTCGTCTCAGACGTGTCGAGTTCATCTGGATTTGCAAGGATACGTCGTCCTTTGAATGGTTCCAGGCTCTTCTGTCTTCATTGGAAGCCCAATCTGCCAATGCAGCTGCTTACGAAGGCAGCACTGAGTTCTTGCGGATTCATACCTATCTCACCCAGCGCCTTGACGATGACACTGCCGCGAATATCTACCTCAACTCTGTCGGTCAAGCTCTAGACCCTCTCACTGAATTGAAATCTCAGACGAACTTTGGCCGACCGGACTTCAAGCGTCTTTTCACTGCTATGCGTCTTGGCTTGCTCAATCAGACTTATATCCAAGGTCTCCAAACGGCTTCTACCACGGAGATTGGAGTGTACTTCTGTGGACCGAACACAGTCGCTCGGCAGATTAGTGATGCGGCAAAGTGTGCATCGACGAAGGCAGTTCGCTTCAAGTTTTGGAAGGAGCACTTCTAGTTTTGCATGTTTTGCTTTTACGCGAGTCTTTTCCTGGCGATGCTGTACATCCCCAGCGCTTATGACATTATGAGTGACGAATCTCTCTGTTGCTGTCTTAGTCCGTTCTTCGTTCTAATTTAGTGTCGCCTTTTTAGACTGAAGTATACATTTGTCGGACGGCCTGATGCCCTGTACTATATAGTTGATGACTACTGCACAGTTTGGAATTGAAAATTTCATAATTCATTAGCATTATTTCATTAAGTAGATTCGCCCTTTTGTTTTCTCCTTTTATTTTTCGGATTTTTTTCTTTTATAGAGGAAGGGACAACGTTGAATGAACTCGAATGAGTTCACTCTCTGGATTCCTTCACTTCACTTCAACGCTCTCCATCTTTACTCCCAGGTCCTTCAGCCACTCATCCGCCTCGACCGCAGCCTTTGCTCTGTGGGCGGATGCTTCTTCCACGTCTTTGGCAATGTCCACGTGGATTCTCAGTTGCTTCTCATCAAGTAAATTGTAAAGCCCACGAAGCTCGTCGAAATCGGGACCATCTTCCTCACCAGCAAGACGCTCAAAGGCGAGCATCACCAACTCCTTGGACCAGGGACAGGCACGGATTGCCCGGTAAAAGACGTTCGTTGCGGCCTTGATATCATATGCCCGGTCGAGTTCAAACAGGATATAGAGTTTCCAGAGGGTGATGTTTGAACATGCGTTTTGGTTGCCGAGACTGGTGGGGGCCTCAAGTTTACCATGGCCAGGAGAGTATGGGTCCGAATCTTCGCCGATGGCCTTTTCGAATGCCGACCGTGCAGCGTGGATGTTCCCCCCAAGGAAGTATGGGCGACAGAGTATACTGTAAATATTGAATAAATGGGAGTATACTGGTGGCTGCTGCGGGGCAACGGGTGACGCGGACGCGCTAGCTTGAGCGGCTTCCTTATAGCGGCCCATGCGATCGAGTTCGCCAGAAACCAACGAATTACGAATTCGCTCAGGCATCACAAAGCGTGCCTCATTCCACATGAAGAGAGCCATGAACATGGTGTTCTTTGGGAACAGGTCCAGGCTTCTCTTCAGCGTGATTCGAAGCTGACGAGGCTGGAATTGGCCCTTCCGAGAAACGTGGAAATAGATCAGCTTGGCTTGGGCCTGAAGCAGGAGTTCCGTGGCGAAGTTCTTGAAAGATTCCTTTTCAGGTGAAAGGGCATCTAAGAACACATGGGCGGAAACGTAAGCATCAAGTGAGGCATCCAGTGAGGCGTTTGAGAGAGAGTCCTTTTCGACGTAGCGAAGCAGGGCAAGGCAGTCAGCCCAAGCCACATACTCATATGGCAGCTCGAGGTAGAGTGCTTGCTCACGCGACTGATGCAAGAACTAAACGAATTGGTTAGAAGCTTGATTGAATACTGAAGAGAAAGGGGACTTACGTTCTCAAGCCTGAGCTGTCCAAAAATGTTACCTTCCTGTTTGTCAGTAGCAGCACAGAATGCTACCAAGTCGATCTCTCCCCGAGGTAGTGCATGTAGGAGATAGGAGGCTTTTATGAAGTCGCCCTGCTGGAGCATTTCCCAGGCCCATGTGTTCCAAAGAGGTCCACACTTCAATCCGTGATTTGCCGGGGAGGTTGTGTCATTGATAGCCACGGCCCATAGCTTATAAGCAACCTCATGTTCACGTGACCGGCAAAGCATCAGAGCAGTGGCGTTCTGAAGCTTGAGATTGAGACGACGGCGCTTGAACAACTCTACGCCGAAGTCAATTGCTGCTTGGGCGTCGCAGGCGTATTCCACTGCCAGAGCATACTCGGCCAAATGGTCATCTTGGTCGAAACGCTCAACCAAAGATCGCAGGGTCCGTCGCACCCAGTCTGTGTCAAGAGAGTGTGATTGGCGAATGGTGGCTCTGCTCCAAGACTGAAGAGAGTAAAACCAGTCTGCCGGAGCAAATAGCGTCTCGGTCGTGTGCAAGAAGTTGACGACTGGGAATGAAAATGGCGAAATGGAAGCGTGCGACTCATTATCAACCTCAGATGGGAGCCAATCGGAAAGTTGAATATTCACTGTGTCCATGGATTCATTTCGTAGGAAATTATCGCCGTTCCAAAGCCGACTCGTCTGGGAATTTGCGACAGTAGTGAGATGCGGCAAGTGGCAGAAGTATAAGAAGGCATTTACGATATCTTCAGACGCAGTCGGGTGCCAGAACGGGGACAGGATTTCGCGAAGGTCAGACGCAAGAACCACCGAGTACGCAGTATCCACATCAGTTCCGTAGTCGTCTACACTTCGAGCAGGCATTCTGAGACTTCGGATGCGATGCCTCTCAGAGCTTGCCCAAGATGAGAAAAGGGACGAAAGGTCAACATGAGCACCAAGCTCACGACTGACAGAGTCGACCCTGGATTGCTCGCCTCGCCAGCCCTGTCCATCAACCTCACCCAAGCGCGCAACTTCGGAGTCCCAGTATTTGCCAAACTGCAGAATAGCCTGGTCGCGGTCTCCCTGAAGGTGCGCATCCGGCCGGAAGCAAGCGAAGTCAAGTGCAGCCTGCCAGAAACCAACTGCAAGTTCAGTGTACCCTGCTTCACGAAGCAAAAGAGTCAAACGCAAAAACAGGTAGCGTTGAACTTGAGATATACCAGATGCATTCGAATCGCCGTCAATGCGCTTGATGTAATCGACCAACAAAGACTTGTAATCTTCAAGAGCAAAGTCTTGGAAGTCTGTTTGTCGAAGATTCAAATGCATCAACTGGAGACTGATGGATTCGGGATTCTCCTTCAAGGTCTTGTCCCATTCTTCCCATAGTTTCTTTCTGTCCCAGAGCAGGCCACCTTCCTGAAGGCGGCCTAGCAAGAACAGATCCTTGTGAACAGTGTCACCACACTTCGCCAGGGCTTTGTCGTAGAGCCCCAGTCTCGTACTGGCCACGCTCTGACGTTCTGCAGATGTCAAGGGGCGATCATCTTCCCCAGGACCAAGAATCAGAGCATATTGGAGGTCAATGAGCTGGAGCCACGCCGCAACGTCTTTCGGGTCGTCGATCAAAGCATGCCATAGTTTTTTATTGAGAGCTTGGCGCTCAGCTTCAAACTTGACTTCACGATCACCAGGCTGGCCGTCCTCACCACTGATAGGTTCCATGCCCTTGGGATGCATATCTTCGACCTTTGCTTTGCCATGGATAGAACGGTAGGCATAATGCTCGTCGTTTGAATCATCTTCATCGATGTGGTATCCAGACTCGGTTTTGGTAGCATGATCGAGTGGCATAATATGATGCTCCAGCTCCTTGGCGGAGGGAGGATTGGCATCCTGTTGGAGGCGGTAGAGCTGCGTTGGCTGCTTTACAGGCCCAGACAACGGGCCGGAAAAGGTGACGTTTCGAGACTTGATGCTCGTGTCGCGTAGAACTATGGTGTCATCTTGTGGGTAGCTTCGATCGATGACCAAATTCGGAGGCAGACCCAGTACCCGGCCTGCGCCAGATCGATGGTACAGAGGGGTGTCGTAACGATGTGCGGTTCCATATTTGAGGCTAGAGCGATCGCCCTCCGTGTCGATGAAATAGAGCTCATGGGACTTCAGATGAGAAAGGTCTCCGGATGCAGGTTCCATAGCCAATTCATGAGCGGTCTCCTTCCCGTGAGCAGGCTCGTCAAGCGAGGTACGATCGCGAGTAATCTCATTTTCCCGAGAAGCTCGAAGGTCCCGGGATGCAAGCCGAGCAGCGTCAAGGTCCCGGGATCCCGATTTGACAGCTGATGAAGCTGCTTCCCCCTTCTGGCGGGCGTGCTTGTCGTCTGACGTGCGATCACGAGTTCTCTCATGTTCCCGAGAAAATCGTTGTTCCCGAGTAGCGTGAAGGTCCCGGATTGCCGATTTGATAGCCGTTAAAGTTGCATCACCCTTCTCGCGACCAAGCTTGTCTTGCGAGGTGCGATCGCGAGTTCTCTCATGGCCCCGAGAAGTTCGGCGGCCTGGTGAAGGGGATCGGGGGCGGTTATGGCGCGAGGATTGAGGACGATGATGAGGAGAATGACGGCGGTCCCGTTTCAAGGATTGCCGGGGAGAGCGAGATTGATGTTCATGGCGCCGTTTCTTGCCAGCCGCGTGATCAGCTTCCGGAGGAGCCGGCAGAGGCTTGAAACTGGAGAAAGTAGGGACAGGCTTCTTGTCCTTGAATCAGTGTTAGAAATTACCCATTCGATAAAGACCACGATTATGTACATACCTGAGAACCCGACGAATCCATCGTGGGTCTAGTTAGCTTGTTATCCTGTGGTGTGCCCATCTGATAGTCCGGATCAATGAAAATCCGGCGGTGAAGGAGGCGGTGGAGGAAAGTAGATTCTTTAGAAGTTCGGAAAAGGTTATTCCGTAAGTGAGAGGTACAGTGACAAGGCGGTGAGGGGAGAAGGCAAACCTTAGTGCCGGAAGGCGGTGAGAAACATGGGGAAATGAAAGGCGGTGAGAAAGAAAGGCATCAAGGAGCAAAGTCCGGGAAGGCGGTGAGGATTGTGAGGATCTTCAGGAAATAAAACTTTGAATATTGAAGGCGGTGAGGGAAAAAGGCGGCGAAGAGAGGATTCAACTCTTAGGTCAAAGGCGGTGAGTGAGGGGTGAACATGGGTCAGTCCGGGGGCCCGAAGGCAGGTCAAGCTGCCTGCTGACCTACAACATATATGTACATAACATGGATTTCTTTGTTACGAATATAGGACAAAACTTGTCCTGAGGAAGTTCTACCAATACCGACATCTAACTTTCTAGTTACAATCTAATCTCGAGATCAAGATTTACTCTATGTAGTTGCAGTACGTCTCGTTAAAACCTCGTCAGCAAAACGGATAATTATTTAATAACTCGCTGTTTTATTAATTTCATTAACTACTTTAGCTCGATTGATGATGAGGAGAGGAGATTGCTTGTAGTATGCTGCTTGATTGTTGTAGTAGAATATGAGGTTTAAACCCCATAAACTGTACAGAGTATAGCAACTCTGGGACCATACGAGTACCGCTCAGGGTCGCAATGAAGTATTGTCAAAATCACGTGCTTCTCTTTATTGCCTGGTTTTGTTGGGGACATGACCTGGGCGGTGAAGTATACAGCAACAACAGCTTCCGGGAAAAAAGACGTTCCATTTAAGGAAGGCGGTATGAGCGGGCGGGACAGAAAAAAAAGTTCCTGGTAAACCGTTCGACAAGAATCTTGCGCGAGCCCCCCGGGAACCACTCAGCATCTTTGAACATTATAGAGATGGCTCACTGTGGTTTGTAGTGGAATTTGAAGATTATATTCATTCCCCACCATGGCGTCCTCTCTCGCGGCGCAGTTGTCGCAAATCGCGGCCAAGTCGACCCACGAACTCGACCTTAAAAAGCAACGGGTTTCGCATTCACAGTCATTAATTTTCGATCGGAAGGTTGCCTCTACACAGGACTTTGATACCATCTACGATATTTGCTATGATGGCTTCCGGGAGCTTTGTTCTCTTGATGCTCGGTTTGAGGAGTTTGGGCGCTCCATCTTTAGCGAGCAAAGCAAGGCTGAAGATCGAACACAATTAAGCAGCTCGCAAAATAAGGAACTGGACGCTGTGATTGAATCATTCCTGGCGCTTGTTGGAGGGCGACTGCAGTTGAGCCCTGCAGTCAAGGCTGTGGACTGGCTAGTCAGACGTTTCAGGTACGCCACAAACTCAGGATCATAGGATCAAGGATGTCACTAACCACCACGTTAGGGTTCATGAATATAACACGGCTTGCATCCTACTGACGTTCCTTCCATACCACACCACCCCCCTCTTCCTCAACCTGCTCTCGATCCTGCCCAACGACCTGACGCCGACTTTCAAAATCCTCTACCCGTATAAGACCGGCCTCATCAACCCACCCCGGCATCCGATTGTGCACAGTGCTACCACAAACAAAGCATTTTTCGCTGCACTGAACGAATACGTCCTCAAAGCCTGTCAGCAGCAGGCTCAGAGCCATGCTTTGCTTTCCTTCTGGGCCGGTGTCATCACAGAGGCTGTGGCAGGCATGCTGGACAGCGCACGTTCTGGTCGGAGGGAAGCCGAGAAGCAAAAGCATGAAGATATTCTTATCCGTGTTCTGCCGCTTTTAAGCCGAGCTTTCACCATGAAGAGTGTTTCGGAGCTGATCGTCAGTTGCTATATGATCTCTGTCGTGCTCGCTCAAAAGGCCTCCCTTACTGATGATGTCCTGGATGGGTTGATGGAAAGTGTGGTGACCTCCTGGACCGAAGAGACCTTTAGCTCTGGTCTTATCTGCCTCTCGGTCTTGGCGCAACAGAAATCGTCTGCCAATATTCCCAGGAAGGTTTTCAAGGCGATCTTGCGCCTTGAGCGCCCCATGCAGCAATTGTCCGAAGTCACCGCTCAGTATCAGACTTCCAAGCTTCTACTTGGCCTTGTTGCAGGATGCGTTAGCAATCTTGATAAGCAAAAAGACAATATTCGTCTCACACTTCTCTCGTCCATTTTCGAGACCACTGTGCTTCAAGGCGATGACATCCAAGCAGCCATGGCTCTCGTCCTGAAGGCTGCAAGCGACTCTGAGGAGGCCCGTGGCATGTCTCTGGATATTCAAACTCAACTTGCTGAACTCGTTCAGGGATTCAGTCGATCCAGCTCTTTGCAACCGATTTTCCAGAAGACTTTGGCTGAGGCATCTCTCAACATTCCTGCACTTGAGCACAACTTGCAAACTGTGGTTGAGGCCCCCGTGCCACCCCCGGCCATTGAGGATGTGGATATGGAAGATGCAGATGATGAGGATCTGGACAACTTCACCCCAGCCCTTGAGTCTCTGACCAACGAGCCCCTGTTCTCGACATCCTTCCTCAGCAAGCAGTCTATTCCCGAGTTTGAGAACCTCGTTCAGGTCTTCGCATTGGCAGGAGATTCAGAGGTCCGAATCGAACAGTTCACCAATCTCCCGATTTTGGGCAAAAACAACGCTACCAAGAGTCCCCAGTTCATCTCGTTCTTCACTCGTGTTCTTTCGGGTCCCTTCCCCATCGGCACAAAGGTTGCTGCGTTGAATGTTCTCTCCTCCGTTCTAACGTCGACGTCGGGTGAAATTGATCCTCAAGCCTTACTGCCTTTCCTGATTGTTGGCCTTACTGACCCGTCGGAACGCATCCGTCGTGAATCTGCCGGAGTTCTGGCGATAATTGGTTCTCTGTACAAGAACAACAAAAAGCTAGATGGGAGCAAACCCTGGGCCTCCGATGCTATCTATGGTAAGGGCAAGGGATCAACTACCGTTCAGTGGCTACCTTCATCCGATGTATACAAGGTGCTGGAACACGCGATTCTTCCCGCGCTCGAGGAGTACATCCTTGATCCCAACCACATTGGTAAGGTGATTGACGCTACGCTCCGAGGGACCGTTCTCTCAGAGTCTTCGGGCGCCCAGGAGCTGAAGAAGTCTCTCCGGACAAGTCTATTCACCTTCCTCTGCTCTCATGTTGTCAACATGCCGGTCTTCTGCCCCAAGTTGAATCTGCTGCGCATTCTCAACGATGTCAAGAAGGTGTCAGGTACCAGCCGCACGAAGGAGCTTCTCCCTGTGCTCGAATATTGGCGCGATCTCAGCCAGACAGAAGTTGATGATATCTGCACGAAGGAGCGCCTGTCCGCCGCTGACAGTGAAGGCCAAGTTGTGGCTATTGTTGCTTCTAGGGAAGAAGAGGCGTTTGAAATTCTCTTGTCAAACCTCACCCCTCGCGCGAAGTCTCTCAGAACTTCGTTCGTGGTAGCCGTGTTTGACCGGATGAAGGACATCTGGCCTAAAGCTCCCGAAGAACGTCAATTGACCGCGGCTCAAAAGCTCCTGGACATTTCTCTTGGTTTGTCCACAAGCGAAACATCCATGGCCGACTATTGCCGTGATGTTCTCCGCAGCGTCGAGCTGTCGGGAGCCATTCTTGTGAACTTTGTCAAGAAGATTCCTGCTTCTCTGACCGATATTGAATCTTTGGGACCCGCCCCTAAGCGACGACGGACAAGCCAGAATAACATGGTGGCCATGACTGTCAAAGATGAGGCGGAGCTGAGAAAGCTCATGGACAAGATGACTTTCATCCTTGAAATCATCGATAGCTCGAACCCCGGCTCTCACCCTGAGTTGGCAGACGGCCTCTTCCAGACACTTGCTGCCCTCCACCACTTCAAGTCCCAGATCCAATCCGGCATGAGCTATCTGCTGAGCTTGGCCTTGGGAAGTCTTCTGGCCATTGTCAACAAGTCCAAGGGGTCTCCCAAGCCCTTGTTCGATACCTCGGCTATTCGCGCCGATTTGGTCGTGGATTGTGTGCGGACCACCGACAGCCCTCAGGTCCAGAATGCTGCTCTTCTGCTCGTGGCTGGTCTGTCTGTTATTGCTCCGGAGCTTGTCCTTCACAGTGTGATGCCTATCTTCACATTCATGGGATCCAGCGTTCTTCGGAAGGACGATGATTATTCAGTTGCTGTCATCGATCAGACCATCGACCAGGTTGTTCCGGCTCTCATCCAATCCCTTCGCAACCAGAAGCGCGACATCGTTTCGGGAACTTCCGAGCTGCTGCTCAGCTTTACTGCTGCATTTGAGCATATCCCGTCCCACCGTCGCCTCCGCCTCTTCCATGCTTTGATTACCAAGCTCGGCACTCAAGACTTCCTGTTCGCTGTCCTGGCCATGTTGGCCAACCGATATGCCACAGACAAGGATGTTCTGACCCTAATGACTGGCGTTGCCTCAGACACTACTCCCGTTGTGGAGCTCACCACTTACAGCAAGTATCTGAACCTCGTCATCGACGCCGTGAAGCCCAAGCCTGGAATCTCCAAGGTTCTGCTTGGTATTGGCAGTGATGATGGACGCGACCCCCAGAAGGTGGCCGTCGATCTGCTTCGTGACCTCGCTCACTTGCTTAAGCATTCCTCCCTCAAGGCCAAGTTGGAAGCTGCATTTGAGATTGAAAATGAGGTCGCTGATCAAGTCCGGGCTTGCTTCTCGCGGGTACTGGAGCAGGTTCTGGGCATCGGCGAGTCTGTGCAGAGCATGAAGCCTGTTAGCCAGGCCTGTGGCGAGGTTTTGGGCTCCCTGTTCGGCACACTGTCTCTCGTTGACTTCTTGGATACCATTGAGGTGCTGCTTCAAGGGCCCAATGATGATCTCCGACGCAAGGTGCTTCGTTTGTTGGAGAACCGTCTCCGTCAAACTCCTGAGCGCGATAGCGAGTCTCAGATCCGCGTGCTGGACTTCCTACCTACCTTGGTTACCATCGTTCAATCCTCTCCAGATTCGCTCCTCAAACATGCTGCTGTCGCTTGCATTGATCGCATCACTGAGAAGTACGGTCGCAAGGACCCCTCAAAGGTCATCCCAGCAGCTCAGGTTGTTGCCAGTGCATCCTGCCTTGGTCAGAATGATGAGCGCATTCGCATCATGGGTGTCCTGTGCCTCGCCTCCATGGCTGAGGTTCTGGGCCAAGCTATGATCCCTGCTCTCCCCGACGCAATGAGCCGGTCTCTCGAGCTGCTGGAGCTGAGCTTGACCCCCAACAAGGAGAACTCGCGCCTCCACGATGCTGTCTTCTCGCTCTTCTCCGCTCTGCTCGTCAATCTGCCATTCATGATTTCAGCTGGTCACCTCGACAAGATCCTGCGACTTGCATTCAAGTCCACCGAGGCGGACCTTGAAGATAGCTCCGATGATAGCCGCCTGGAGACTCTTCGCCTAATGGCCTCTCGCAAGATGGATCTCGCCACTACCCTTGGCGCTATCGATCGCAACTGGCACCATGCCGTTGAGACTGGCCCCATTGCCGTCAACGAAATTCTGGAGGTCCTCGCGCTTGCTGTTGAGAAGAACCCCAAGTCGGCAGTTGTCAAGAATGTCAACGTCCTATCGAAGATCCTCTTCAACGCTTTCGACCTACGCCGGGAGCAGGTCAGCCTTGGTGAGGCAACCGACTTCGACTCCTCCGATCTTGACGAGGCTGAGAGTGCTCTGAACGATGTCACCATCAAAATGATCTACAAGCTCAATGACAGTACCTTCCGCCCGCTCTTCATCAAGTTCGTCGAATGGGCCACCACCGGTGTATCCAAGAAGGACGAGCAGGGCCAGGTCTCGCGACTCACCACTTTCTACTCCTTCCTCCAAGTGTTCTTCGGCACCCTCCAGTCTATCGTTACTGGATACTCCAACTACATCTTGGAGAATGTCGTCGAGATCTTGGGTATGGCTGGCCCTACCAAGGCCACCAAGGCCCTGTGGCTGGCAGCTCTGCGCACACTTCGCAACTCGTTTGAACACGACCAAGATGGTATGTTTCCCCCTCTGGCTACCAGCCTCAAGTCTTTGCTAACGCACTTTTACAGAATTCTGGCAATCTCCTTCGCATCTGGCCAGCATCTCCGGACCTCTCATTTCACAGCTCGCCCATGCAACTACCTCCAAGACTGCTGCGCTCGTTGCTGAAGAAGTTGTTCCCGCCATTACCGAGTTGGCTGTCGCTGCTGATTCCACCGACAACTACAAGGAGCTCAATATGGCTCTGATGAGGTACCTTCGTCCTTCGACGGCTCCCAACGCCAAGTCTGCAGGTGGCGATAACCCCTTCACACGTCTTGCTGCCCTCAAGGCCGAACAGGCCCTTACTAAGCAACTCGGCGAGGAATGGCTTGCTTTGCTTCCGGAGATGTTGCCTTACATCAGTGAATTGATGGAAGATGAGGACGAGAGTGTTGAGAGGGAAGTCCGGAAATGGGTGAAGCAGATTGAGGGTGTGCTTGGTGAGCGACTTGATGATATGTTGACTTAGGGTGGCCTTGGGTGACCGTTGTACAAAGATCCGCATTTGTTTGGCGTTTGTAAAGTAGACCACCCTGGAGGGCATTCTGTCTGCATAAAAGAATCTTATTTATTTACACTTCATATAAGCTTCAATGTCTCCTCGTAGCTCCCGTGCCTCCTTCATTGATTTCAGTACCCATTTCGAAAATAGCACTCAGTTCTCTGGAATTGGATGATCCTCGGCAGCAACCCCGACGTTCCACCGGTATTTGAAGGCCGGATGATCCTTTCTTGGACCGGTCTGGCCAGGGGATGAGTATAGGTTTTCACGATAAGTTCCCTTTTGCACTGCGTAATCATCCCAGAAGAGTCCTCGCCGGCGTAGTTCAGGGATGAGCAATTCAATGATATCCTTAAATGAACCAGGCTTGATGGCATATGCCTGTTTTGAGAAATGTCAGAAGGCCCACGGCTTGAGAATTAAGATTGAAATGATTTTATCTCACCAGGTTGAACCCATCGACATCAGCTTCTTGCACCCAACGTTCCATGCTGTCAGCAACCTGTGCTGCCGTACCCACGGGGTAGCACCAAGACCACCAACGGTGATGTGCTGGCCGACAGTCGTCTTTGTCCATTTGGCGACTTCGGGAGTAGCCTTGGACCAGCCCTCCACGGCCGACCTGTCCCACTGGGTTAATCAAAGGCTTTTGAGCTTAAATTCGGAGACTACTAACCTGATAGCATTGCTCTCAACATGACGCAGCTCTTCATCATCACCATACTTGTCCAGATCAATACCAGTCCACCCTCCGAACAGAGCAAGAGCACCATCGATCGAGCCCAGGCTGCGGTAGTACTTGAACTTCTCCACGGCCTCTTCCTCCGTACGACCAAGGACCGGGCAAAGCAAGGCCAAGAATTTGATACTCTGCGGGTCTCGACCAAACTCCGTCTTTGCCAGCTGACGAATCTCAGCAACATTCTTAGCAACGACAGCCGGACTATGGCCGGCCACGAAGATGGCTTCGGCATGTTGGGCTGCGAAGGTCTTTCCGGCCTTGGATGTGCCAGCCTGCAGGATGACCGGAGTACGTTGGGGACTAGGCTGGCAAATATGAGGACCTGGTACATTATAGTACTTTCCGACGTGGTTGATCTGCCGCACACGAGCTGGGTCTGTGTAGATCCCATGCTCGCGATCGAGAACCACGGCATCTTGACGCCATGAGGACTCCCAGAGCTTGTATGTGACTTTGATGTATTCTTCTGCCAGTGCGTATCGGTCATCGTGCTGTGTTCTTGTCAGTTTCTTCTCTAAGGTATGTTGTTTGTATATCGTTGGATCTTTATGACTGACATGTGGCTGCTCGGCTTGGCCTAAGTTTCGCGCAGCAGAGTCAAGATAACCCGTCACAACCTAGAGGTCTTCGTCAATTATCTTCTTTCGTGATTCTTCGCTGCTCTATTTGGAAGGCGAGCACATACATTCCACCCAAGGCTAATGATCGAACAATTAGCTTACTGTCACCAATAGGGCTTGATAGTCGTTGCACATACCGTCCTTTCGTGAGATGATCCACGGTTGACAGTCTCCTCGCGAGATGATAGGGCGGCTCGTAGGTTGTTGTCACCGTCACTCCGAAGCCGATATTCTTGGTTGCTGCCGCCATAGCTGGGACGACAGCCAGAGGCTCATTGACTGGCCATTGTGCGCCCGAGGTAATTGCAGGACCAAGATTGCGCGGTCCCTTATAAACATCATAACCGCCTTGATGTAGCATCTAATGAGCTTTTGGTTCAGTCGACGTGTGATCCTGACAAATTGACATACCTAGTACATCCGCGATGAAGATGCCGTGAAACTTCGCCGACTCAAGCAATTGGGCCAACTCTACCCAGTGCTCGATATCGTTGAAACGGTGCGACTCATCCTCGGGGTGGCGCCAGAGGCCTGGCGATTGGTGTCCGCTGCCTACATTTTCGTTAGATACGCCTCGTATCGAGGGATAGGCACCAATAACTCACACATCTCCACGAATGCATTGAGAATGAGTGACTTGCGAGGCTTCTCAGAGCCCGCCACATTATTACTTTCGCTCATCTTTATCAGGCGTTGATTGTCTTGAATATAATGCAATCCGATCGAGCTTCTATACCCGTCGCCAAATGCAGCAGCACCGCGAGCTATAAAACCTTCGAAGGAAAAAGAGATTCTACAAGTACGATGTCATTGGAGGGGCAGCATGCAATTTGTATCGAGCAGATCAACGAGCACATCATCCCCGCGTGCGTCACTGGTAGTTTTTCTCGCTGGTGTCTCATGAGTTATGCGCATAGCATCAAAGTGGGCCGTGATGGCGCGATGCGGGAGATGCTGAGAGGCCCAAAGAGCCACGGCATGCTTGACTGGCCGAAGTTGAATTAGACTTGGCTCCACGCACGAATAATATCTCTACGTTTAAATTATTTATTATTCTTGGCCTTACGGATCTTCCAAATTTCTCGGGCGAGAGATGTGCACTCTCCGAAGGTTCGGTCGATAGCACGCCGCAAACTTTGGGATTTACCCAAGGAGGGTCTATTGCCCAATAGCGGTAGCGATTGATTCTCCTGTAAAATCACCGAGGAGTTTTCGAAGATTCATTATCCAATTGAAAATTTCGAGTGGATTTTATGTCATTTATACTAGTTAAGTCATATGCATCGCATCTGGCTTCATTGTCTGCACGGTCTTGGTTGGCTCCAAGTTCCAACCGACGGCAATCCTCACTGGTTTTCTTAATTAAAACTGGGTTGGAATGTGTCACACAGTAGAAGAGTAGAAATAAAGAGGGTTAAGTATGATGATCCAGGTTTTGATAAACACATAGTCTCAAACTTGCGTCCTCCTAGCTTGGCAGATCGCCCTCGGCTCCATGGAAAGCGATTGCTTTTGAACTTTAAATTTTACTCTTTATTTCTCGCAGCCTCGAAAGCACCTCATAACAAGCATATATCAAATCATCGTGGTCTTATTGTGCTTATTGGCTGTGATGATACCAACGACACGGCCTGTTCTCAGACACCATGAACACCCCTGTCTCTGAAGACGGACAGCATTGCGCATAAAGGAGATGGCATTTAAACATGCAGGGTCCCTGGGCTTTCCCACGTTTTTGGGAGCATATACTGGACTTGTTAACACCTGCATAGGAGAACGCTCTTCAACTGTGTCCAGTTCACAGAACCGTCCATCTTGTGCTGAGCGCCAACCACTCGACGTGTCATAATGTCCAGGCTGCACGTTCGCGATGGCACCTCCACGGTTCAGCCGCCTCTTTCGCAGGCAGTGGGATACATCGTTGTTGTATTGATCGGTATAATTATAGCCTTAGGTGTGACGTCGGCAGTATTCCAATACCCCTCAAAGCCGAGTTAACAAGAGAATAGTGATGATGTTGGTCACAAAAATCTTGAAGAAGACCACGGGGGAAGATAACAAGAAAACCGAAATGTAAACCCCAGCTCTTTCTCCTTGCAATGCATCTTCAAACCAGTATACTGATCATGAATCAGGTTTATGACTGCAAATCGCTCTGTGCGAACGGGTCTCACTGCATCAGCTGTGATCTCTGTCAGTAACCCTCCTGATCGCACTGAGATTATGGCTAATCACAAACGGGCAGTCCTGGCTTTGGTCAACTGCGCTGCTAGGCTCTTCATTCGTCGGATATGACTACGGTGTTGCAGGACCATTCTGGTTTGCTGCTGGTTGTAGCCCAATGATTGTCTTCTTCGCCCTGCTAGGTATTTCTTGCAAGCGGAAGATTCCTGAAGCACACACGTCTCTCGAAGTAGTTCGAATTCGATATGGTATGCTCGAAACCAAGGTAAAAAGAAAGCTTGCTAGAAGCTTACGCTGACGGACACAGGTCGAACTGCCCACATTGTGTTCATGATCCTATGCTTGGTCAACAATATTTTCGCTTGCGCAAACATGCTCCTTGGCGCGGCTGCCGTTATTTCCGCTGTGTATGTTTGCACTTAAATCCGTTTAATTCAGAAGGCTAACCAATACAGATCTGGAATGCATATCGTCGCCGCAACCTTCCTTCTTCCCGTCGGTGTCACGGTATACACCTTCGTCGGCGGTATCAAAGCGACGTGAGTTAGACTTCGTACGCCCGTCACATAAGCATCCTAACAATCAGTAGTTTCTTGACGGACTACTTCCATACGGCTGTGATCCTTATCATCGCCTGTTATTTCTCCATCAAGGCCTTTTCTGATGACCAAATTGGCTCAGTGGGGAATCTCTTCGAGCTTCTCAAAGCCGCAGCCGAGCGTCATCCTGTTTCTGGCAATCAGGGTGGAACTTACCTGACCATGACCTCCAAAAGCGTCAGCCTACACTCAACTTTTCGAAATTTGTTCTCAATTAACAAATCATCTTAGGCAATCCTTTTCGGTATTCTTCATACCTGCGGCAACTTTGGACTTGTTGTTGTAAGCGGGATTCTTCATTATCTAGAGACCACTTGGCTGATTCCAATCACAGATGGATACTAGCTATTTTATCAAAGCTTTTGCCGCCTCGCCTGCTGCAGTTGTCCCCGGTTACACAATTGGAGGTATTGCCTACTTCGCAATCCCCTGGGCTCTAGGCACAGTCATGAGCTCTGTTGCCCTTGGATTGGAAAACCAGCCAAACTTCCCAACTTATCCTCGAGTAAGCTCATCAACTTCTACCTCCAACAAGGCTTCGCTCCCTTGCTTACACTGGCTCTAGCGAATGACTACTTCCGAAGTCAGTGGCGGACTGGTCCTTCCATATGCAGCGATGACTATCGCAGGTAAAGGAGGCGCTGCCGCTGTTCTTCTCATGACTTTCATGGCTGTGACTTCTACACTCTCTGCACAAGTGATTGCGGTCAGCTCGATTCTAAGCTTTGACGTGTATCGAGAATATTTCAAGAAGTCAGCCACCGACCGTGACTTGATCCGTTCCAGTCACTTTGGCGTGATCTTCTTTGCTGCCTTCTCTGCTGGGTTTAGCACTATGCTAAACTACGTCGGCATCGACCTCGGTTGGACACTGTACATGCTTGGTCAGTCAAACTCGCGTAGTCAGGAAATTCTCAGGACTAACAATTTTTGCAGGGGTCGTTACTTGCCCCGGAATTTTCCCGATGGTTTTCACTGTCCTATGGCGCCGCCAGAGCAAGGCCGCAGCCATCCTCTCGCCCATACTAGGTCTTGCAACTGGACTTGCCGTGTGGCTTGGGACAGCGTCTCATTTCGGGGGCGAAGTCTCTGTTGCTAGCACTGGTCAAGTATTGCCTTGCATGTATGGCACTGTAGCTTCTTGCTTCTCGCCAATTCCATATTCAATTCTCATCACTCTACTCCGACCACAAAATTACGACTGGGCGGATTTCCGAAAAGAGAAGCTTGCGCTTGAAGAATTGGATAGTGACTTAACCACCACTCATATTACGGAGTCTCCCAATCACAGTGAAGAGAGTAGCATTGAGAACGGGCGTGTTGAGAGTGCTGCTTTAGAGTCCAAAGAGCTGAAGCGATGGGGTCGTATTGCGGCTTTCTGGTCCATCGCGACATTCTTGGGACATTGGGTGATTTGGCCCTTGCCGATGTATGGATCTCGCTACGTTTTTGAGAAGAAGGTATGCACAACCCGTCTGTCATTTGGCTTGACTTCTACGTTTACGGACTCTAATCTCCATTTTAACAGTTCTTCATTGCCTGGGTCGTTGTTGCTATCGTATGGCTATGGGGCACAATGCTGGTCGCGATCTTTTACCCCCTTCTCGACGGTGGAATCCAGCAAATTCGTCGGGTCTACCGAGGTCTTACTAGAAAAGCCAGTATTGAGACTAATGGTACCGAAAAGGGAAAGAAAGTTGACGGAAAGATTATCCCGTCTTCTCTGTCAACAGGGTCAACGAGCGAAGTCCCTCAGCAGTAGACACCCAAAGGTGAGAACATATGATGAGCTACACTCAAGAGCCAGGACAGGACGTGGCTAGAAGCATATTCTTCAACAGAGATCTTACGAGGGATCCTCAGAAAAGGCCTTTTCCAGCTAGGACTATGTGACTCGAAGATTCCATTCGATTTTGATACAGAGATTTCACTACAATGTACCTCCCTGCGGCTTATGTATCATGGGGTCTATAACCAAGCCGTTGCCGCTAGCTCGCAAACTATGTGATTTTCTCCGGTATATCGAGAATAATATAAATGTTTCCAAACAAATCGTATTCGAATATCAAGAAGCTTAAATAAACGAAAGACTATTCGCCGCCTAGCGGACGATATCCCACAGCGACTTGCACTGGGTGAACAATGGTAAGGAGTGTCAAGAAATCAAGAATTCCACGTCAAATCACATGCGTTGATCAAGATATCATCCGACTTAGCTGGATGGGAAACCGGCCTTCAGGTTATCATAGGAGGACGCCGGGTAGCTCAGCTCATTCTGGCTCTGGTCCAGAGCACCGGTGCCGCCAAATTGGTTGACAACCTAGCCAGATATTGTCAGCTCGTGTGCAAGCATCATTCGTTGACAATCAGAACATACCGTGGTAATCAAACTGTCTGAGCCGGTCTTGTCGCTGCTGCTCTCCCACCACATTCCACCGCCAAGACCCTTGGACTGGATGTACTGCGCCTTCAGCTGCGCAACCTGGGGAGTGTCGTAGCTAACCATCATGCGCTGTGTAGAGTCATAGCTGTAGCTTGCAACAGGTTGGCTGAGGTAGTTCACAGTGGCACCGGTCATGGGCAAAGCCTTGTAGTCCCACACACCGTTCTCCCAGCTGCCACTACCAACTCCAGTATAGTTAGTTCCAGGTCCATCGGTGTTCATGAATGAGCGGCCATAAAGAGGCATGCCCATCACAATCTTGTTCGCTGCCACGCCATTTGCGGTATAGTAGTTAATAGCTTGGTCCGTGTTGAAGGGTGTACTAGCTGGATTGCTAGTCGATGCGTAAATATTGGCATCGTGGCCGGCGATAGTGTCCCAGCTTCCGGAGTAGTCATAGGCCATGAGATTCCAGAAGTCCAGGTACTTGTCCATTTGGGCTAGGTGGAGCTGTTGGTAGTTTGCAGGACCTGGATGTTATGTTAGATCTGAACTGGATACACTGAAATGCTACTGGATCCTAGCTTACCGGCAGGGCTTGCAACTGTGATCAGGAAATGGTAGTTACTCGCGTTGGCCGCGCTGTAAGTATCCAGGGTCTAGATTCACATAAGCTTTAGTGCCTCAAGATATGGAAGTTGAGGTCTTCTTACCGAGCGTAGCGTTGCCAGGGTGGAGACTAGGTCGTCAGCCTGAGCACTATTGGCAGGGTACTGGGCCAGTCAGTTATTTCCATTGCCAACGAACGGAGAAGCCTTCTACTCACCTCCCAATCAATATCAACACCGTCGAAACCAAGGTTCTTGACCAGGTTCGTTGCAGATGAAGCAAATGTTGCTCTTCCAGAGGCAGTGCTCAAAGGACTAGCAAAGTTGCTCGAGTAGGTCCAGCCGCCGATAGACAGAAGTACCTTAAGCTTTCGGTTCTTTTGCTTAAGCAAGAACAACTGCTTAATGCAACCGTAGACATTGTTTCCAGTATCGCTCCACGAGTCTCCAGTATAATGTTTCTCGGTATCGGCCCAAGAATCCGACATGTACACCTCTCCGGTTTCCGGATGGACGTTGGCAAACGCGTACAAAACATGGGTCAATCTCTCAGCAGGGAGATCCTGAGGGTTGAAGTTACGTCCATAGATAGCCTGATATTGTTCAATGACACTTGTTAGCCAACTTGAGTTGAGGGAGTAGACAACTGTAACTTTATAGTACATACCCAGTTGACAAAATAGGCAACGGAGCGATATCCAGCCGCATCGCGAGCACCAAGCTCGGCTGTATGAGTGTCATGGGAAGGAATGACAGCAGCTCCTGCGAACCATCCCAGGCCCAGGAGGAAAGGAAGGATAAATCTCATGATGAATGAAAGTTTGAAGAATTTGTCGAAGGAATGTCTAGTCGAGCCAGCGACAGTTGATGTTGGAGAATGCCGAACGAGAGTTGGGACGGCGAAAACGCCACTATTTGTAGTTACCGGAATCTACAGTCCAACAATAGAGTTGTCTCCCCTCCTAGTCGGATAGTCGGACAAGAGGAATGCAATCGAGCGAACAATAGCCTCATGGTCCGCCAGACCGAACGGCACGCTCTCTGCAGAGTGACTCTACGAGATAAACCCCATAGTTCCATATTCGATTCCTACTCGTTCACGCAACCATGCAATTTGATCCAAAGTGGAAAACGCGAGGAAGATCAGAGGGTTCGGCAGCAGCACATGGTCAACGTGGTCACCACAACAGTCCGGGCAGCCATCCACAAGAGACCGTCACATTCCCGGGGACTGCAAAGAAGCCATTCGAAAGCACCGGATAACGAAGGCTTGCCAATATCCGAAGGCATCACGATGAGGAGATATGCAACGGCTCGATGATGGTGGAGCAACGTGCTACCAGGCAGCCCGGCGATCCTCTGTGTCGGATCTCGCCGTTGAAATTACTTGTCGCCAGCGCCCAATCAGGGAGGCTAGAAGGCCCCGAAAGGGGTAACATTCTCATCTCCGAACTTTCCCCTCGATCGCCCTAGATACTTCGGGGTGTATCTTGAGGTTGCTCGTTAGCTTCAGATTTCTTGCTCAAGCCGGTTGAGGGTGTTGCATTTCTGGTCCCTATGCCCCCAGTCTGGGGTTGGGATAGCCGAATGTAACTCGAATCATTGTGTCATCCAGGCCACGATGGGAGATTTGATAGGACTAACAAGAAAGAGCTTAGGGCAGCTCACCCGGCGTTGCGACTGACGAATCAGATTAAAAAAGGCCTTCATCCTCGGTGCAAGCTGCAGGAACGCATCACCCGCGCGATAAGCCAATGTAACACTCATCCCCATGCGACCGGGGCATGTGCCATACCACCCAAGACGGGGTGTGGCCCCCCAAAGTTGATCTCTCGGCTCTTCAGAAGACAGTCTGGACGGACTAAATGTAAGCGTGATTATTCAGTCGAGTCATTCCAAAGTAAGATGTGGTGGAGAATGACAACCGAAGGGGGTACAAGAGTTTGTTTATGTATGACACGAGTTGTGAATCCGGGGCAGTTTGCAGAGAGCCTCATCGCTCCATTCCTGCGACAGGGCTATGCTTCCCAGAAGAAAGTCCCCGCAAAATGTCTGAGATCTCGATCTTCAACTGCCTTGAAGAAAGGCTGAAGAGAAACAAAGTGAAACCGGGGCTGCTTGGCGTAGTTGGAAACAGGAACCAGGCCCCTCGGATTGTTGCGCAAGTGCGCTCGGGCCCCGCAGTCGCCCTGAGCTTAATTTCGCTTACTGCGGGTGATGATACTCTTGGAATTGCATTATCTCGGACTGATTATCTTCAGCTCTGGTTCGTGTAGGTGGTCACGTATTTTCCTATTTCGGAATATGCATACACGCCATGATTTGAGAGAATTTGATCAAATGATGCATGACATAGCTGTTACCTCTACAGCTTAGAATCCACCCAGTTCAAATTGCCCTAAAGACGAGTTAATCTTACTCTCATTTGAACCTAATCTAGGTTGAGTTGGAGTTGTCCGCGCATGACCAGGCTGCCGAGCCCCCAGACTTTCTGTAGCTGTCGATAATACCAACCACGGACCCATACGCACCCGCTATCATCAGGAACGTCCCCGAGATTACCACGAATATGCTCCAGCACACCATCAAAGTCCACTTGAGTGATTTATCAGCCTTGCCATGACTCCAATTGTCATATAGCCACATACAACCCATGGGCTGAAAGGACATAATAGTTCCTAGCAAGGCCCCGATCAAGGATACGAGATTGTTGAAAACGGGAATGGCACTTGCAATGATATAGGCCACTACAGTGATCCCGAGGGTGCAACTCAACCAGCTCACCCAGCGAACGGCAGTGTTGGCAGTCAGATTTCGGGAGCCTTGCAACATTCGGATAAAGATGTACTTGGCGGGCAACTATATCTTGTTAGTATTGCACAAAGCAGCGAGTGGGATACAGACTGAAAACCGACATGAATAACTAGCATAGTGCTAGCAATCAAACCTGGGAGTGCAAAGCCATAGCTGATCTTTTTCGTAGTAGGGCCTGCCGAGCCAAGGGCGGGCGATGCGACGTAGGAGCCACAGTAGTAGTATACGACACATCCGATGGCAAGATAGACTGAGGTTACCACCGTTTGGCATATAATTAACGACCTGGTATAGTGACGAGGCTCGCGCATCTCCGACACTATAGAAATGAATGCAGATGTGCCTGCATAGGCAAAAACAATTGAAGACACTGCGGAAATAGCTTGGCAAAGCTCGGGCTAGCAACAATTTTATAGTCAGATACCCAAACCCCTGTCTTGGGTGCGGCAGAAGGACGATCCTGCACGCCAACGGCGATAGTCACAATGAAGACTGTCATGATCATTAGATCAACAGCATCTTCACATTATCAGGATGATACCTACTCGAGGTAAGGATGAGTTCAAGGAGAGAGAAGTCTCTCCGCGCGGTGGTGGTGCAGTTTTCGCTCATTGTTGACTCGTGGGGATTGTTGCTATCAGTGACTGTCGAATGATTTGTTTCAGATTTGAAGCCGGGTATGCGAAGTGATTTGTGAGCGTGACTTCTGAAGCTTTGGTGAGCAGCGGATAGATCGTGCACACAATAGACACGAGAAATGTTTCTCGATACTTAGTCGGAGACCCGAGGCAGAGAATGTGTCCGGGCAACCGCGTAGTCACTCCATAACTGCTGGGTTTCTCCCCTTGTCGGCTCCCTTCCGTGTTTTTGCGGCTTCCCATTCCTTCTTTGATCTCAGCACGCGGTTTGACCAATAGAGCTTTTTGCCTGCAGGATTTCCGGTTGCTTTATCGGCGGTGGTTTTGATACCGGATTTATCGTCATTTTCGTTCATTCCCTCAACCAACTAACAGAGTCTCTGGTGATGTGACAAGGTGCTCCAATATCTGACTGGCTGTTTCGTGAGAGAAGAAAATTCTGAGACGTCTAATTAAATAAAAGTCCATCTTTGTTTTAAATAAGTGATTCTTGCCGAGCTTTCATGATTTCAAATTGTAACACTTCGGCTACTACGGCGGCAACTTCCTCCTGAGAGTCAGCATTTCTCCCTAGCTTTCATTCAGGGACAATGATATAGACAAATTCAAGCCTCAACAAAGAATATTAGAATCTAGGACTAGAGTAATTCATCAAAAGGAATAACGTCATAGCCTAGACAGGGGCATTAGAAAGAGATTGGATGTACCTCAGCTTCCGCTCGAAAGGATGCATATACCAAGAAGGCCCACCTATTGCCTTTGGATTTCTTTCATGATACGGATCCGATACTGAGCTCTTGCTAACAGAAATAGGTGATAGGCTCTCAGAAAGAGTCTGGAGCGATTTCTCTGAGACCCTGGTGTCCACCTCAATCAATATGTTCTCGATCTGCGGATAGCTTTTCTGGAAGGAAAAAGAAAGTCAATAATCAATATAGTAGCTCGGCTTCCTTGTATGTGCAAAGACCTTGATATATGATGCTAAGCCATCCACCCGTCGACGGCTTGACATTCCATAGTCCGATGCCTTGATCACCATTGTACGCAGAATCGGGGCAGAGACACTGGGAATTTGAAGTCCGGGTCGCGAAGGCGCAGCACCAGTTTGAGAACGTGAAGGCGAGGAAATGTAACCCCGGATAGGGCAGCACGCGCTTTCTTTAGTCCTCGCTTGATTTGGATGAGATTGCCGGTCTGAATCAAATCGGCGTAAAGTTGGCAGCGAGCTGGGTCGATTATGGAGAGCTGCAAGGCGATGTCTGGGACATGAAGCCAAAACCGGCGCATCACTTGTGTCCACAACGTGACGTTGACACAGGCACATTGAATCAGGGTCTGTCGATCGCGCAGGAGGATAGGGAGTCGGCTCGATTGATTCTGTTCGGGTCTTGCGTAGCTGTCAACCACAAGCCAGTCAATGATGCTGGCAACTAACTCTGGGCTTGACAAAACACGCTGGGAAGCGGTTGTGGGCACGGGGCTGTTCATGACTTTCAAATTGGGTGGTTGAGATTTTGGGCCTTTCTGATTGACAAGGTATTGGAAAAATGGCGAAGTGTCTGGCGGCGGATGGAGTATCTTTGATGGCCAGACTACAAGCCCATAGACCGGGAAATCCCACCTTTGTTGGCGTGTTCGTGGTATGATGCCAGGCTTCGAATCCCTTTACTTTAAAATCCCCAAATCAGAAACTTCAACACTGCAAGTCACCTTTATGTCGAACAAGAGTGGCAGCTCTAGCCAATATGAGTTGTCCACCATCCATATAATTATATTATGATTTGTCGGGGCATGTCTTCTAGAGATTCTTACCAAGTTCAACAGCCTCGGTGGAACTTTATACTGATTTCTGTCTACTTCCTGTGTTGGAGGCCCAGGAACAATTATATTATTACTTGGTTCATTCCGTGGAAACCTATTCTGTATGGCTGTATGATTGAAGGGGCCGCTGCGTCCTCTGCAGACTAATTCTAGGCAACGGCCGTCCTCCAAAGATCTTTCACTCGTGTTTCACCACCTACAGTTCTCTTGATTGAAACTGACGACTTCGAAAAGAGGCCTCTCATTCACTTGAGACTGAGATTCTCACGCCCGGGAGTTTCTCTTTCAGGATTCGTAATAGGGTTTCATAGACTCGTGTGCGCCGGGCGAAACGGATTTGTCTGACATGCGGTAATTTTTGCTAAGGAGGACGAAGCAAATGTAAGTAGAAATCGACAAATAGGAACTTTTCGAACAGACCTTGACATGGCAGGCTAAATTTCGCATCATACGGTGTCTATCTTGACCAAGTATTTCAACATACACGCCATGAATGTGAATGACGTGGACGTTCGGCGCGTCAATCTTGGGGAAAGCAATATTGCGTTGGTAACCCCTTAGGTGAATTGATACATGTCGGAGGCGATTGAATGTCACGCCCTGGACGATTAGTTTCATTTGTGCCAGGGAGCGTGCGGCGAGCGAGGGGATCTCGAGTCTCTTAACACAGTTGGCGTAAAATTGCCGACGATGTTCAGGAACCCGGCCAAGGCGCTCCCACAGAGCTCCATCCTGGCTTTCCCAGAGGTTTCTCATGGCTTTAAGGCACCACATGGAGTTGGCTTGGGCGGAACGAGCCAGGGCCATTTTCGCAGTTTGGCTTTCTTCACTATCATCATTTCACCTAAGAAGCTACCAACATTGCTTTTCCCAAAATCGAAGCGCCGAATCTCGAAGTCCTTCAAATTCGCTCCTCCAACGATACTATAAATACTGCTTCCAGCACCCATTATATCGATCTTCCTTTCACCATCCCTATCGGCGGTTTCTCCATAAGACGACCCCTCACTTATCAACGTCTCCAGAGGCTTCTATGACAGGTGGATCTGATCAAGACTGAGAGCAACCAGACCAGCACCGGTTTCAAAATGAACAGTGTCCAGAGGGTTCTCAACCTTCCCGAGGTCCTGGACATCGACTTCAGCTTGTTAGCCGCCCAGTATGACCGACCATGGACACAGCTCACCAATGATGAAATACCAATGTGGAGAGAAGTCCCTCGTATATTCTTGGTCTGCGCCCTCGTGAATCGAACCTGGTTTTACGAACCCATGCGGCATCTCTAGCGTAATCCGTCAATGCACTTCACCGATGGTTTCTACACGCCTTTCGCAGAAATTGCACCAAAAAGACAACAAGTTTACGCCAAATTTGTGCGAGAGTTCGATTCTTGGGTGTACAGACGGCCTGAGGACGTCTCGCAAGGTCTAACTTTCCCAAATCTCCATTTTCTGAAGCTCAAACTTCCTACGCGTAGGATGGTTGTATTACCATTGACTGCGGCTCCGGAACTTACAGTTTTGGAAATCGATGCTAGTCACAACCTACATCCAATTTCTGGTGCCGCTCAGTGGAAAATCATTTCGAGGCTTGTCAGATACGTCACGGTATGTTATTTGACCTATACATTAGGGGAATCCGTCTTGGACTGACTTATCTGTCTTTGCAATCTAGAGATTCTTTCCAAAGCTGAAAACATTACGGTTTACCAGCAATTCCTGGGTAAATCAGAAGATGTTACAATTTTGCACTAAGATTCTACCGGGTGTCAAAGTTCATAACGACGGCCCCTACATGATGTGATAGGGAAGAGTGCCAGTTGACGGAGAATTGAGGAGGTGTGATACCGAAGACTGCGTTACCAGAATTGGTCAAACGCGCGCACCGGTTATGGCTTTTTCTTCTGGGTCTATTGCTTATTTTTCTGATGCCTTAGCGCACCGCACGCATGTTTTTGGACTTTGGGATTCTTGGGATTTTCGTGCTCATGTTGACAGCGAGGTCGCTGTCTTTTTTCGTTGGGGGGGCACTGCTTCGCGTAACCATGCGGTCCACGTGACTAGCGCAACATACCAGTTTATTCTTAGCTCGGACCTAGTCTAGGAAGAAATCAAGAGTTTATGACATGATCACGCTTCAATAGTGCTCGCAGTACTTGCTACTTACTTGGGTTTAAGGATGGGAGCGGGTGCTAACTGCAATGGCTTGACTGAGTTAACGAAAGTGTCTTACATCTTTTTGGAATTTTTGGAGTTTGAAGAGAAGCACATACGAAGTACTCGCTTTAGTTTCTCGGGATTATCATTCATTATCAATCTATTGCATAAGAATTCTAAGTGAAAAAGAACATGACAATGCGCTCGTTTAGAATCAAACAATGAGGGGGTATATCCATCAAAACAATCAAAGGTAGAAGGCTCAAACTCATTAATGTAAAGAAAATGCCATGCAAAACAAGTCAACAGAACAAACAAAAACAAAATCAACTTTTGTGTAAGCCACCGGGTATTAGGAAATTATGAAGCCGAAATCCAGAAAACAAAGGAAAGATAAAGACATTATCAAAAGGAAGGACCTTCAAGACGCAGTGTGCACTCCTCGCAAGCCGGAGCTAATAACCGTCTCCGAATACCCAGGGGGTGCGAGGCTGACATCAACGACCGACTCGTTGAGAGGGGCAACCGAGCGTGGCTGGAAGAATTCGTCCAGTTCTTCCTGTGTCACAATCATGCCCAAATCAGACTTGAGGGAATCGGCATACTTTGGTTGCGTGATGACTTGAACAGGGAGACGGAGCGAGATAGTCGGGGTGAGGACATTCGTGCCCGGGGTGTGGTAGGTCAATGATAGGTCGAGCAAGTAAGTTCGCGAGATCAGGCAGGTGTGGAAGGTCGGGACGAAGGTTTTGTTGTCGGGGAGGCTGATGGGAATTACTACTGATGCGGTGTAGTATGTATCGCCGGAGAAAGAGGTTGAGGGGCCGGTTGAGTCGTCGGAGGTCATTGATTGCACGGAGTCCCGGCGCTCGCACTCGGTCGATGCAGAGTGCTTGATCCATTTTGCGGAGGCAACGCACATGTTGGAAATGGGGACGGACTCGGTGAAGAGACCTTGGCCAACTTGGGAGATGGGGGTGGAGCCAGACTGCATGGGGAAATCATCCCACGGTCCTGCGCTGTAGAAAGTGCTGGCCTTGATCTTGCTGGTCATCGAGCCGAGCTTGGGTGGCTGCTCATCACCCACGGGATCGAATCGGAGGTGAACTGTTGTCATGGTGCTGACTGTATCACTGGATTCGCAACTAGGAGGAAGCAAGCGAATCGGCTTCGGTTGAGATGCTAAAGCCACCAAGCGGCCGAGCTTGCCTCGCAAGAAACCACGCTTGACGCTCTTCTCCTTTCGGGTGCAATAATAGGAGTGGTCGGCCACATTGATTGGAGGCTCTTCCTCAACAGTCGGGATAATGCGAACCTTCTTGGCGATATTGGCCAGGGTCTTGAGGCTGCCGTGGTCGGTTGATGACCTCTTCAATACCGCTGCGCGAACAATGTAGGAGATCTGGCTCATCTCGGGGGCCATGTCGTCCAGCAAAGTCTTGCCGTTGCCAGCTAGCATGGGATCTCCCAAGGTAGGTGGGAGCATAGTGTGGGCATTGTGAATGTGCATGTTAGCTCGTGGGTGGGTGCATACTTGTGGCAGCAGACGATCGGGTACCACAAAGGTGAATGGAAAAGAATATGTGCGGCCTGCTTCCATAATGCGGGGGCAGGGATAGTCTGATTCATCGATTGGCTGGCGCAGCTTGAGAAACATTTGCTGTGACCCTGTACGTCCGGGGCATGAGGCCCGCTCGACAGTGGTGTGTGATGTACCTGTACAAGTTGTTAACCCAATGCGCTCATGGTGATACTAAAAATTTCCATGGTGACATACCTTGGAAGATAATTTCAACCTCATCAAAACGTGTGTCGGCATCAACTGTGATCTTTGCGCTCCCCTCGATCTGGTCGCTGGTTGTATAAGAGTTGACCAGGCCTGGCTTCTGGCCGACCAGCTCGATCTCGACTTTTGGTTGAGATCGACGCGTGAAGACATCTAGCGTTTCTGAGCCATGGCTCATAATCGATCTGGCAGTCATCACGTTGAGATTCGGGAGGCTCTCGAGCCTTTGCAGGGACGAGAAAGTGGGAGGAGATTGGAATGCGGGCGAACAGGCGCTTCTTGTACTCTGTTGTATTTAAAGTATGCGGGGCCGGGAAGGACAGCAGGTTATACGCGACTTGATTGGAAGACCCTGCGTTATGGCGTGTGATGGATATTTTGAGTTTCTTGAATTGACAAGAAAATAGAAAGAGGAAAACTGAGGTGCCTCGGCCTTTCGTTTCTATAAGAATCAAAAGAGAAAGGAGCAGAGGTCTGGAAAAAAAAAGGAAGTAGAAAGTGGAGCCGTCGACAACCGCGATGGGGCTACTGTTGTATACTCCGTCCAAAGGAGTAATTGCGGTTACGCAGGGAAAGAAACTTGATGGGTCTGTGTGGGTGCAAAAAAGTTGCGGAGGAACCCCATTATATAGAATACATTGAAACAATGCTTCACTCTCATGAGATGATCCTCCATCACGTCAGAGATGCTTTACAAATCCATGGAGTGGCTTTTAGCCTTATTCGTGAGTCATCCGCATCAACCAGAACCGCTCGCCTAAATCTAACTCTTCGGGATTTGTTTGATCATTGATGGCGTACGCGACCTTGGGAGAACGGGGAAACACGTGTGGGAAGGATCAGTCCAAGCAATCGTGGAGAGTGCAGTTAAAGGTAAAGCTGGGCTGGTTGAGCCAACGGAGTCATTGGACCATTGGGCTGGGGCATCGATGATTGGAGGAGCTCAGCCTGGTTGGCCTAGTCACGCCCTAAATCGGGCCCTGCTCACGCCCTTGGATTGACATTCCGCTTGTCGTTAAAGGAAGTAGTTCTGAGAAAAAAAGAACCCTTGGCTAGCTCGGCCAGGGATCCGAGCTAGATCATGCAGACATGATGATCAGAAAGATGAGGACCACCATGGAATGTGTGACCTCGAAATGTAGACCTCCGTAGCCTTTGTCTTGATCTTTTGGTGATAGGGTTGGCCGAACATCGAGTCCTGTCCAAATCTGATTAACAAGCTCCCTCAAAAACCAGAAAAAAAGACCAAGCTCTGACTCTGAACAGACACGGGGTGGGTCCGAAGTTTGAACCCAGTCAGGACAATTGGTGGAGCGCGCCTTACGCCGACATGCACGCCCTTCGGCTCTCCACTGGCGGCTTGCGACAACCGGAGTGATCCACTCACATTCCCTGGTGGAAGACGCTCGGTCGTTGATAGCCCAAGAGGCCAATCATACTGCCCAGCCATCGCGAGGAGTCTCGGGCAGTGATTGGAGCAACATCTGGCTTTGGCTGACTGATGATCTGGGATTTCAAAGCATAGGAAAACCTTCCGCCCTCGTATTCGGTTTGTCAGCCTAGCAGTTAATATCAATCTTCACGAGATTCAAATGATGTCGACATGAAGAGTTCTTGTTCTCTTGTGATCATGACACCATTGATGGGGCTTCGTTAAGGACTTTCCCGAGGAGAAAGGACAAGCATGACGACGGTAGCCGGTGTCTCGGGAGGATCCAGAACTTTCCGGCCATAACCGAGCATCTGACCATGCCGAGTGGGTGCTGTGCTTCGGAGTCGACAACGGCATCAGGGGGGAAATCGTTTAAGCTTGCTTCTCGTAGGCCGTCAATCTCGGTGTTTTTCAGTCGGCTGGACTGTCTGTCATCGGCGTGGTTGGAAAACGCCGAGATCGCCATCAGGTGACCTCGGGAGGGAGACAGAAAATGGACATGACATCAAAAAACAGCCATGGATCAACATACAATCCTTGTTTACGATTTGAATTATTCTAACATTTATGCAATGACATCTTGATATCAAAAGTTGTATTGTTGCCTATTCACGACACTATCAATGTTTACAGGGCTGTCCCGACAGATAAATTACGGTGTAGATCCGTGGTGCAATGCGGATGAAACCGTACTCAAAAAACGTCGACGCATGGAAAACCACGCTCATTCTTGTCTCATACTGGCCAGACACCGATGTGAATGGGCAGCATCCAGCTCAAGATTAGCCGAGTGAAGACGGCAGACCGAGCGAGGCAAGAGACGACATCCCAAGAATGGGAGCGCTGAAATAGAAAGAACTGAGGCAAGAAAGGAACACGGGAGAAATGGGATGGCGGTGGAAAGGGCCCGCGCATCGGTGTGTCAATTGGCAAAGAACTAGGTATCAATAGTTGGAGGAGCAAAAACGCCACATCTAGACGCCAAATGTATCCTCGTGAAATTAGTAGGCCACTCTCGTGCGCATATCCTGGAAAGCATGTTAGCGATGGCACACATCGAGTTGTAGGGGAAAACTGGGGTAAACATACCGAGATCTTACGCTCGATCTCGCGGACAGAGCGATCGAGCTCAGCGGCAATCATCATCTTCGTATCATTCGGCAACAGGAAATACATCTCGCACAGGTCACCATCAATGACACCCTTGGAGGGTGCATAGTAACCGCGATAGATTAGGTGGTCGCGACCAGCAAGAGGAGGGTGTTGAGAAGCCAGTTGCATCTCCAGACTCTGGAAAAAATCGACATCTTCACGGCTAACAAAAGGAACAAACATGCCAATCGTGCCCTGGAAGCCGGTCCATACCAGAATGTCTCGACCACCAGCCACCAGCTGCGCCTTGTGAATGCCGGTGGGAATGTCTTGCACATAGTAGTGGACCATAAGCTCCAGACGGTTGGGCGTTCCATGGAGGTAGCCTCGTTCGTGGACAAGGTGAGCACCAGACCCGTCCTCATCGGCCTCCTCTGAGAACTTAGTGGGGCAACGAAGCAGCCAGATATTGCCGAACTTGTCACCACCGGCGGTGGTTTCATAGTCAACCATCGTGGTAGAGGTTGTCCAGCGAGCAATGGTGTCATCCACGAAAGGAATCAGTATGTTCTCCTGGTACTTGTAGACGACATAGGTCACGCTGTCACGGGTGTCGCTGACCACGATACGGCTTCCTTGAGTCTGAAGACCGACAATGGTATGCGGAACGACATGAGCCTGGCATTTGCGAAGCAGCTGCTTCATACCCAAATCGTACAGTCGGAGAAGTGACCCAATACCGGCGAGCACTCGGCCCTGGAAGGCAAGAAGAGCCAAAGGAGGCTCATCTACCTTTGTTTTGTGGATGAATTCCAACTCACGACCATCTTCTTGGAATCGATAGATGTGGATAAATCCGCCCGAAGACGAAGGAGCGTCCGTCGTGAGATCCTTGGCCGTTCCGACGACCAAGAAAGTCTCATCGTCTTGGCTTGAGAATGGCACTGCGGCAATGCTAACAGCAGCCTCATTGTCTTCCAAGTCAAGGGTGAAGACCACTTGCTTGGAGGAAACCGGGTCCACGATTTGAATGCATGATGCCCAGTGTCCGGTGCCACGAGGGTAACCAAAGTCTTCTGGAGGAAGGATATCAGATTCGCCATTGCGAGTTTTTGAGTCCTCGATGAGGCTCTGCTGGGTGGCAGAAGACAGAACGTGGTTGTCTGACTCAATGACGTAGAAAAGGGGTTGTTCGGGATGCTTGACAAAGCGACGTGGGGTATGTGCCAAGGGGATTGATTCTTGGAGCATGTTGTTGTCAAGTTTGTCGATAGAGAAAATTCTAATAATCGTCAGTGGCATGCTCAAAAACTGATGATGCGGTTATGACAAAAGGTAGAAAGGGTTTGATCTCAGTAGGAACAATTGGAAAAATAAAGAATAATTTGTGTCCACATAGTAATTCGGATCCTTTTTTCATCATATGATCAAGAAGAGGGAGAGGAAGAGAGTTGTGCTGAGAGTTAACAACATACCGTAGGTTCTTGCCCTGAATGCCAATCATGCCCTCTTCGCACTGTTCGCTAGAGAAGTTCCAGCCCCATTCGATGCTGGCACAGTCCAGAGGTGTAAGCATGAAGCTCTTCGTTTGGATATCGGAGTATCCGAGCCATGGCCGCGAACTGAGGGCCAAGACCGCAGTTTGACCCTTCACAGAAACTTGTGACAGTTTCACGGGTTTTGCTCCCAGAAAACGTGTACGCGTATCGGAAAGCTCGCCGGTAACCTCATCTAGGACGGTGCGAAGGTAAACACCAGAGTAGAGACCAATATGGAGGTAAAGGGTGGTGCCGCCTGAGCTTGAGTCGGCCATTGCAATGATGTTGAGTGCTGACGGCGCCGACGTCAAAGCTTGAACTGACTTGTTCTCGAGGGTTGAATCGGGATCCAGGCTAAGGATTCGGACGGTAGAGTCGTCACAGCCAACAGCAAGGAAAGAACTGCGCATCCGACCCTCTGGGACTTCACCCAAACTCAGGCAAGTAACAGTGCCAGACATCTGACGGCGTTCGTCATATTCTGCGAGTGATCCATCGGCGTCCATCTCGAAATAGACGATCTCACCAGAGCTCAGAGCCACTGCTACCTGGCGTTCATTGGTGGCGGCAGCAACAATGGATCGGTGCTGGGGTGCAGGCCACTCGTTGACGCGGCGATCGGCCATCAAGTGACGAATACCACGAGGATGAACTTGGATCAAGGAGTCCTCGCCCAGCTGTTGTACGGCAAGCGTCGGTGCGGTGGAGAGGAATCCAGTATCGGAAACCTCTTCAACAACCTCACCGATGCTGAGGACAAGAGTACCATTCGCAAAGGAGAGCACGATGTACGCATCGTATTCATCACCACGGGTGAGTTTCGTGGTCCAGACCGCCGAGGGCACTGTTCGAAGTTCTGACTCGACAATCTCCGAGACTTCGAGCCCATGCTTCAGGGTTCGGAATGAGCTTCGTGCACCAGTGCCGCCCACAGTGTAGATTTGTGGGGCATCGTCACCAGTGAGATTGGCAATTTTGCTGTCGGTCAACGGATTGAGAGAGTTCAAACTCTCCATGAGGTTCAAATTCTCCGCGGGGCGAGGGCGGAAAAATATGGGGTCATAAGGAACGGACGGGTCGGCCGAGAAGTCATCACTGGTGTATTCGGTCTCCTCGTCATCATCACCAAGTTTTTCAAATTGGTAAAAGTTATGGTTGCCCGATTCACTGGCAACATAGAGGAAACCACTCTTGAGAATCAACAGGCTGGATGCGACGGGAACAGTATCAAAATACTTGATTTTTAGCCTTCGAACCTCGCCAGTGAGTTGACCATTCTCATCTTCAACCATGTCAAGGTTCAGCTTGAACATGTCCCCGTCCTCAGTCTGAAGAAGGAAGAAGAAGGCACCTCGCATTTTGTGCATCACGCCCGCCACGATAGTGCGTTTCCTCTCCGGGTTCTCAGTCGCACCAGTCCGGCGCGGAATGGGCACACGGAAGGCATCCTGGTTCGAGTGGCGGTAGGTAATGTTGTCCTCCGCGCACACAAGAACACCGCTGGGGCCATCTGCTCCTCCCGGCACTTGGAACAACATATTCGCCGTGCGGTCAACAGGGTCCGACCACTTGCGAACGACATGGTTGAGACCCAGATCAAGCTCATAGTAGACCAGCACCTTCTCAATCTCCTCGTATGCTTGACCAGTGGGATCCTGGTCAGCTTCCGAGTAATCCACCTCAAGGGCAGCAAAGATAGGGTTTTCATAGCCAACGTCCAGAGCAGTCATGGCAAAAACCAAGGTCTGTGGCTTGTGTGCCTCGAGGGGAGAGGAAATGGTGAGCTCTGCCTGAGAATTACGGTTCAGAACGTAGACCAGCTTGTTCTTCTCCAATGAGGCAATCAGGCATGCTCGACCCTTGGGATCCACGGCCAAGTACTGGCCCGGAACTACCCGGCGTACTCCAGACTTGCCAAATGTTTCCAAGTGGATCCGGTTGAAGCGGTTCTGGGAGGGAACATATTCAATGATCGTGATGCGACCCGAATCAGATCCGATGATAATGTAATCTGAAGTAAGAAAAAATCACTCAGCATAGTTCGCGCATAATTTCATACAGCGTCAACTTGGCTGGCCCGGGTAGGTTCTGCAGCCCATCAAGGGACTGGATCCGGAAAACCAAGACCATGCTACCCGGGAAGCTTGAAGAATCACTAAGTTGAACTCGTAAATGCAACCTAGGGGGAAAAACTGAGACATACCTTTGTTACTTCCAGCCAGTCGAAATGCTGCTAACGAACGAATGATGCCAAAAACATCTTGGGAATAGATCGGTGTGACCTTGCCCTGAGTCGGGTCCGGACGGTGGATGGTCAGCTTCGAACCCGAGGCAGTGACAATCTGCTGCTCCTTAGTACCCGCAAACTGACCAAGAATGGCCTGTGTGATCGCAGTAGGAGGCTGGATCGTCAGTGAGTACATGAACATGTGCGAAGTGGTCGCCATGATGGGCAATTGAAGCTAGACGCCAGGTCTTTTTGCACCCCCGACGCGAAGCAAAATGACTGAAAGGTGTCACGAGCAATTGCAGTCTAGGGGGTGTGATAATCACACTAGTCCCATAGCTGCTAGAATGAGTGGTGAGGTTGAGAGACTCCTGGGGTGGTTTGTGGGAGTCCCGAGGGAGGTCAGAAGAAGTTTTCTGCAGGAGCTCGAGCAGAGCAGCGGGAAGCAAAGTGCAAAATTCCGAAGTGCGCGGGAAGCTGTTTGGATGATCACGTGGTGGACCGCACCATCGGATTCGACCGCCTTCCGCCGCTATCACCGCCCTTATGTAATGTGCCCGTTGGGCCTAGGTAAATCAAAGGAAGCATCATCGCCTCCGCATTATCTGGCCACCTTCTGCGGCTATCTCTGATTTCCTTCTGGCATTGCTCTCTCTTCGGGTATAGCTAGAGCTTTTTCGTCTCTCAAGTGGTGTACCCTTTGGTTTCCGTGACACTCTATACCTCCATCTTCCCCCAACCTTCACTCACTCCCCCCCCACTTGGCAGCGGCTGCCTACCTATCGACCGACCATGGCGGACGATACTACAGCTACAGAGGAGGCTCCTATCACCTTCACCGTGAAGTCCTCCACTGACGCCAAATTCACGCTTAGCCTTCCTCTTTCCACACTAGTCTCCGAGCTCAAGGAGAAGCTTTCTGGCTCTGAATATGCCGATACCCCCGCCGAACGCCAGCGCTTGATCTACTCCGGTCGAGTGCTGAAAGATAATGAAACACTCGAGAGCTACAAAATCAAGGATGGCCACACAATTCACTTGGTGAAGAGTGCTGCCAGCAACCAACAACGCTCAAATGCATCCGCTCCAGCCAGCTCCACGGCATCAGGGGCAGGTACCACCACCCCAAGCCAGCCCGCGGCTGGTGTCCCTGCCAATCTCGCCGCTGGTACTGGCAACAACCCTCTCGCCGGTCTGACTGGCGCTCGATATGCTGGTTTCGCCCAACTTCCCGGGGCTGGCCTCTTTGGCCCTGATGGTGGGGTAAGTCTGACATCCCGTACAATACAGATGGGGTTCCCCGTCCAATATTGACTTGTATTACTTCTCATGCCTTTCGGTTGACTAACTTTTGCGCGACCAAATCTAGATGGGCCCTCCCCCGACAGCGAAGCCATGCTGAACATGCTGGAGAACCCTCAAATCCAGTCCCAAATCAATGAGGCACTACAGAACCCAGCAATGATCGATATGATGATTCAACAGAACCCCATGCTTCGCGATATGGGTCCGATGGCGCGGGAACTGATGCAGCGACCTGCTTTCCGCCGCATGCTGACCGATCCCTCGTCTCTCCGCCAGATGATGCAGATGCAGCGGGCTATGGGAATGGGCGGTGGTGGCATGGGTGGCGGTGATAGTGCTTTCCCGGCCCCTGGCGTGACCAACACAACCGAAGGAGCCCAGAACACCCATCAGCAGAACACACCAGCCAACCCATTCGGCCAAATGCCAAACCCTATGATGGGGGGCAATCCGTTCGCCGCTCTATTTGGCGGCCAGGGCTTCGGGCAGCCTCCCGCCAGCACTGGCACTCCTGGCGGCACCCAGACCGAGGGTGCTCAAGGAGCCCAGGACACAACAGCCCGATCTGCGACTGGAGAGGCCCAGGGCCAGACTCCCGGTGCTGCTCAGAACCCTTTTGCCTCTCTTCTTAATCCAGCTTTGTTCGGCAACGCTGGCCAAGGCGGCATCAACCCATTTGATCCCCAGCAGAACCCATTCCTGCGCGATCCAGCTCTTATGAACCAGTTGATGCAGGGTATGGGAGGTCCAGGTGCTGAGGGCGGTGCTGCAGGTGCCAATCCACTGGCTACTCTATTTGGGGGCGGCGGTGGCTTCGGCACTCCACAGCCTCCCGATAACAGACCCCCAGAGGAGAGATATGCCGATCAGCTTCGGCAATTGAACGATATGGGCTTTTTTGAGTTTGAGCGAAATATCGAGGCTCTGCGTCGTTCGGGCGGCAGTGTCCAAGGTGCCGTCGAGTACCTTCTTACCCATGGGTCATGAGTTCCTCTTCTTGTTTCTCGTGTTCTTTCTGAGCAGTGGCCTCTTAATCATGTCCCTTTACCTACCATATGTATTTCATGGGCCCCTGCCTTCATGATGTGTCGTTACGACTGGCCTACCGAATGCCGATGATCTTTTTACATTCCCCATTTCCGCATACATTTCTTGAATATGAATTGTTCCTTGATGGATGCACCATCACTAGCAGACCTCCTCCTGTTCTGACGGCATACTACTATCTCCATTGACATATCCAGCGTATTTGAGGCTCTAGGGTATCTTACTCTTAATTAGTAATTTTCCATTCACATTATCAAGAAGTTTCTTGCGTAGAGTGTATTATCTCTCGATATCTGTGGATTCTCCGGATGCTATGCAGCCAGCAACCCAGCTGAGAGTACGTACACGGCTTAGGTACCTAGTTAGATCTCCATTCTGGGCTTTGGATGGCACCCGAGGGCAGAAATATATACTCGTGGAGTCAGTTCGATAAATGGGGTTATTGGGATGAATGGAGGAAATGATGATGAAAACACCATCCACCTTTTAATCAAAATCAGCTGAGATCTCTCTCCATCCTGAAAACTTCGGTTAAATTGTCATACGGTTGCATAATGAAGCACGACGTTCAAGAATTCCGTTCTTGTGATTGGCGATCGTCGTAATCTGCCGCATGCCACCCATTAGGTAATCCGTGTTGACACGCTGGAGAGGCCGACACCCTTCGAAGCCCCCCCTCGACCCTTCAGTCGTGCATCGAATACCTCATTGCTGACACTGTGGCATTCAGTGCCGATTACACTCATTATTCTCAACCTCTCTGAGTCCGCTGGTTCTATTTGCAGCCCATACTGCCGACCACAGTCGATCGACAATCCGCCGAACACCTAGCATCATTGTCTAACTACCCGCCACTCACCTATCCCTTGACGATCGCCTATATAAGTTCTTCACGCCCCGAGTCTATCTCCCTGGACGAAGATCAAGGGTGCGACCGCCAGTGAAGCTCTGGTGATCTGCGCTCCTTTACCCACATATTTCCGCTAAGTCGCCGACGACATACGTGCATGGGTATCTAGAAGCTGCCCTTTCTCTCCGCGTAGAGCGGCGCAACTCAAGATCCCTTTCGCAATGCATTCAATTGCTCCCAGGCCGTTTCGGGTCCACAACTGGGCACTGTGCTTGCTCCTCTTCGTGTCCAGTGCTTGGGCGTTTTACATCCCTGGTAAGCCCTCGAACAAGGGTTGCGCTGCTTGTGCAACGCTAATTTGGACCCTTCTTTCTCTCTAGGTTACTCGGTCACCCGGTACAACGACGACCAACCGATCCCTTTGCTCGTGAACAAGATCTTCTCCGACCACACCCAGCTTCAGTATGCCTACTTTGACCTCCCATTCGTCTGTCCCCCGAGCGGCCGGACCCATGGCGGATCCCCATTCGGCTCTGGCCAGAGCATCTCGCTCAACCTGGGCGAGGTTCTGCGGGGAGACCGCATCATGACCTCTGATTTTGAGGTCGTCATGGGCAAAGACGTCGAATGCCAGTCTCTATGTACCGCGAAAGCGAGCCGTTCAGAGGTCAAATGGGCGCGCCAATTGGTCAAGGACAACTATGTGATTGAGTGGATCCTCGACAACCTTCCCGGAGCTACGAGCTTTGTGACCGTCGACCGCAGTCGCAAATACTATGCGTCCGGATTCAAGTTGGGCTACCGCGACATTTCCCCGGCTACCGGCCAGTCGCGCTATTTCGTCAACAACCATTTCACTATTGTTATCCGCTGGCGTAGCGCACCCGAGGGAGGCAAGGTTATCGTCGGATTTGAGGTCTATCCCAAGAGTATCACCGCAAATGACCGCAAGGAGGACGGTTGCCCCAAGGCCGTACACAAGAACCAAGAAGGTCTTGGCCTGTACATTGCACCCAACATGTCGCGTCTGCGGGAGAAGTATGGCGGACTGTCATATATCCCAGAAGATGATGAAGATGACGATGGTGCCACGCTGGATATTCCCTACACGTACTCCGTTTATTTCCGGGAGGAGAACAAGGTCGAGTGGGCCAACCGCTGGGATCTGTACTTCACCAACCAGGGAGAGGGTTCGATGACCCACTGGCTGGCGATTATCAATTCCCTGACTATTTCCACAGTGTTGGGAGTGACTGTCTTTGTCATCTGGAGTCGCACTGTCCAGGGCGATATCAAGGGCCGCGGCGACGGAGCTATGGAGGACCGCAAGCTGAAGGTGCAATCTCGACGCAAGCGCTCTGGCGAGAAGAAGGGCGAGGGGCTGTTGAATACTGATGTCGAGCATGATGCGGATATGTCATCGGATGATGAAGCTTTCGAAGATACTAGCGGATGGAAGCTTCTCCACGGCGATGTTTTCCGAGTTCCAGCCTACAGCGGCCTCCTGGCTCCCCTTGTGGGATCCGGTATGCAATTGCTGTTCATGGCAACAGGCCTGCTGGTGCTTTCTTGTCTGGGTGTTCTCAACCCCAGCTTCCGTGGCGGCTTCGTTAGCGTCGGAATGGGTCTGTTTGTCTTTGCCGGCGTCTTCTCTGGCTACTTCTCCGGACGACTGTACAAGACCTTTGGTGGAACCGGCTGGCGGAAGAACACTCTGATCACAGCTCTTCTATTCCCTGGTCTGACCTTCTGCCTTGTCCTCATCCTGAACCTGTTCGTTTGGGCTCAAGCATCCAGCACGGCAATCCCATTCGGCACCCTCATTGGCCTTCTTGCACTTTGGCTGCTCATCCAAGTTCCCCTCGTGTACATTGGTAGCTGGGTTGGCTATGTGCGGGCGAAGCCATGGGAGCATCCATTGAAGACCAACGCCATGCCTCGTCAAATTCCACCTCAGCCCTGGTACCTGCGTAGTCCTGCGGGTCCCTTACTGACTGGTCTGATCCCCTTTGCTGTCCTCTTCATCGAGCTGCTCTTTGTGTTCAAAAACCTATGGCAGGATAAGAGTGGCTACTACTATGTGTTTGGCTTCCTCAGTGTCGTCTCTGTCGTGCTTCTTGTGACGGTCGTCGAAGTGACCGTAATTGCCACTTACAGCCAGCTTTGCTCCGAGGTATGATCTTTTTCTTCTCTCGTATACTTTGGACTCTTGATTGACCTCTACAGAACTATCACTGGTGGTGGCAGAGCTTCTTGACCGGTGGAAGCAGTGCCTTCTGGATCTTCGCCTACTGCATCTGGTATTACATGTTTAAGCTGCACATCACCGGCTTCGTGTCCACCTTGTTGTTCTTCAGTTACAGCTTCCTCGCCTGCGCTGTGTATGGTCTGTTGACTGGCACCGTCGGTTTCTTGGCTGCCTATACCTTTGTCCGACGTGTCTACAGGTAGGCATAATTCCCGGCTAACCCTGGAGTCGAATGAATGCTAATTATCTTATGACTGTAGTGCTATCAAGGTGGACTAACCAGACATCCATCTTCAAACTCCTTCGGCCAGTTTACTCGACGCCTAACCAACCCTACTTTCCAATCTCTTCCATTCTTCCGTATCTCTTACGATTAATCTGCCCAACAAGCATTGGTGATGTTGATCGACCACCACGGCGTCCTGTCTTGAATTGCATGTCTCGACTCTCAATCTGTCGAGACACACCTCCCTTTCTTTCAGATACACGTCTTCCTTCTGATTATATTCTCATCTATCGTTTCCATCTTTCTCCTTTTGTGTGTCTATCTGACTCGAGTCATCCTGCCACTCAGCCAGGCGATGCTGCATTCACGGTTGGCTGGCCGACCCCGTTGGATTTGGTTTTAGGCGCTAGGCTGTGTTTCGTTGAGCGTTAATTTATTTTTTATTCAACTATGTCTCGCCGTATTCCACAATGTGGGCGTCCTGGTGGCTATGACATTTTGTCGTGTATGGTTTACACTTTTTTCCTGGGCATTAGAGTGGTCCCTTTCTGCGGCCTTCGAGTACTATGCCTAGTTAATCTACAAGAGCCCCATCCATTACTTGTACAGTGTATGTTTCGCAGCTGTCTCCAGTCATCGTGACGAATCCCTCGTTCTCTATAGAGTACTAAGCCTAAAATGGGCTATGAGAGTTCATCACTAATACATTGCCCCTCCCCCGCCGTTCTATCCCTAGTTTCCCCAGCCCACAAGTACCGCACATGAAAATTCTATAAGCATCCATCACAACTATGCTCTGTCCGTGCTCATGATTTTCTCTATTCGGAAGTTTGCCCTTCTGCCTTCGGCTCGGTGCCCGTTGCGTTCTTTTTTCCCAAAGTTTGCTTGAATCCCCAAGGCTCCGTAGCCGGGGCCTGTATTGAAATCTACCAAAACTGACTATCGACGTCGCTGCCTGCCAGTCATCTTGCGATTGCTGGCTAGATTCGGTGTTTCCTAGAAAATACTTAAGCAACCTCTCTCTTCCATCCAGTCCTCGCTCTCACCAACTTTCTTCTCTCGATACTCATCCAAGTCTTCGAGCTTCGAGCATCTTTACACACTGTTCCCTTTTGATCTCGCACCTCAGTCGGTTCCTCAAACCCGACTAAGTCTGTTTATCAACTCGCTACTCAGTTTCACTCTTGAGACTTTGATCTCGTTCCTGATCTTCTGATCCACCTCACATCACGCCTCATTTCATCTCAACATTTACCCACTTCGAACCGTCAGACTCCTCTCAATCTTGCCGGCCATCCAGGTCACCTATCATGGCCTCATCCATCTCTCCCCAGCCGAAGATGGTGATCAATGAGATTGAGTTCAATCCCATTCGGGACACTCCCCAGGAGCGGGCCGGTCTTGACGCCCTAGTACTTGATTGGGACCAAAGAAAAATGCAGGGTCTTCGCTGGACTGATTTCAGCACCAAAGAACTTGAAGCATCGCGACGTTGCGAATTTTGCCGCAGTATGTTACTCTGTGCTTGCTATTTGTTATATCAGATTTGCTAACGATCCGATACAGAGCGACTCACCTCCTCCAAACGCACCAAATTCGTCTGGTATCAAGACGGAGAGCGCTACGAGGTTGATGAAGCCGAAGCAAAGTCTATGAAGGATGAAAATCATCGCATCACACAGGAAATGGCTTTCAGCATTCAAATGGTCGAGGACCTTGAGTGGGCCCTACTCGTTCGCCAGCGCCTGGTTTTCATGGCGGAGACTACCGCAAAAGAGACAAACAACCTCAAGGAGGAGAATTCCGCAGAGCCTTCTAACAGCGTTGCCAACTACTACTTGTGCCCTTTTTACGTTGTCCCTGACCCGGAGTGCTTCTTTGACTACTCTGAGTTTACCATCACCGACGAGCCGATTTGGCACAAGCCAGGGCCAGATGGGATCACTCGCCATCTCCAATCCCAGATGAATCTCAGCACTGTGACCGGAAATGTCAGCTGGTACGATGCTGAACTTACGGAGGAGGACTTCCAGGAGTATCTCCGAATTCATGGACAGCTCCCTCTTGAGGTCCTGCAGACGGGACCTTGTAACCGCCATTTGCAACCATTGATGAAAGGGGTAAGTGTACAACAGCTCATATTTGATTTTGACCCGAGTGCTAATTCAGTCACAGAAGTACGCCTGCTGTGACAAGGGCATTTTCACCCCCGGCTGTGCCAAAGCTCCACAGCACACGAATCGTCAAAATCTGGCGAAACTTTACAAAGAGTTTCGCCTACATGAAACGCCCCAAGACAGCAAGAATCCGCGGCAATGTATTGCCCTCGACTGCGAGATGGGAATAGCCGAGAATGGTGAATCTGAGCTAATCCGAGTCAGTGCGGTTGACTACTTCAGTGGAGAAACGATCTTGGACTCCCTAGTGTTCCCAACTGTCAATCTCCTCCACCCGAATACGAAATACTCGGGTGTGACCTGGCAAATGCTACACAGTGCTAGAAGAACAAAGCAGGCATTCCTGGGCCGTGACGCGGCCAGAAGACGTCTCTGGACATTTGTAGGGCCCGAGACAATCGTCATTGTCCATGGTGGACAGGGTGACTTCCTGGCCCTTCGGTGGATCCACCGAAGGGCCATTGACACCCAAGCGTGTGAGGGCCGCCGTCTCACACCTATCGGGGCAGCCTCACTCAAGAATCTAACAAGGATTCACCTTGGAAGGGAAATCCAGCCAATTTCCCGAAAGGGGCACGATAGCCTTGAAGATGCGCAGGCGACCAGAGATCTCGCGCATTTCTACACGCAGAACGTTGATCCACCGGTGGAGAAGATCGACACTAGTAACCTCTGGGTCGAGGGAGAGGTCGTGGAGTAATCACCCTCCAAGGATAGAGACTGGGAAGTCTGGCGACTGGGCTGTGCTGTAGAAGGTAGATAGTCACTTCATTCAAAATTTCAATCCGCATTGATTGAGGCTTATAACTCTTAGTCGCACCAGAGTCTATTGAGACAGGCGCTTGCTTACACGGCTACTGTAAACTGTACAATCACCGATCTAGATCTATAGCTGTCACGTCGCCTGATCAAGAACGAACTGGATCCAGAATTACGCAATGACAAGCGAATTAACCTCGTGGAATAAGGAACCTCCCGGAATATTTACAACTAGAATATAGGGACCTGCGAAATCGACGCCGAAAATGACAGCTTCTGGCGCCAGCTACCGCTTGACCGCCCGCTGAGCTCCGTACTGCCTCCTATTCTGCACCTAGCTAGGACCGTTAGTCATCCTCCGCTCGACCTGTTGTTACGCTTGACTTCAACGATTATTTCCCCCGTTTCCACTGGCGACCAAAACAACGCCAAAAATGGTTCCCCCTCTGCATTTAAACCTAGAACTCTCTCCTTTTCGCTCTGCCTAGTCGAGCGCCTATAAGATTCTTCGTCCGCCCTCTCTCCCGAGGGTCTTTCAACGCGCTCCTTCCCTCCTTTATCCTAACCCCGCTACCTGGATCGACTTTAACATACTTATTTCCTAGGCCTCCTATCACAGAATTCAAAGGATTGCCTTTATCTCCGATTTCTCCTTGTAGCGCCTATCTCGGTATGTCACGGGGCCCTTATCCTAGATCTCGAAGTCACGGAGGTCGGGCGTTTAACCCTGCCTCCCCGGGACTTCGGGGATCTTAGTGATCGAAGAGTCGGTGAGCAATAGGATGCATTAATCTCTTCAGCTGTAGCCGATCGGCAGGATGGTTTTTAGCTCTCAAATCTGTCCTGATCGGGCGGTGATTCTTTTCATGTTAAATAGCCAGCTTAGAGGCCGGGTGTTACGAAGTTTTCTGATATGAAGCTATTCACACTTGGATGCCCTGTAACCTGACGGGCACAGGCTAGCGGCTCTTAGTCGCTAGCCTGTAAGTTGCGAATCAGGAATGCGAGTTCTATGCAACCGAGACGAATTCCTTAGACTTATTATCGGCACTGTTACGATGTAACAATGAGATTGCGCTACTATTAAAGCGCCGGGAAATAAGGCCACACTACCGAAGTCACAGCACGCAGAGAAACGCTCCGAATGGAGAGCTAGACAAAACAGCAAGTCAAGTTGCGCTCATGTGATTTTGATGTAGCCAATAACCCCCAAAAGGATTTATCGTTCCCTTCCATTGTCCGGATATGTCGAGCTGACCCCATCGATTATGGGCTGAAGAGGAGTAAAGGTATGAACCATGGATAACCACACTTAAAACCATGCGTATAGCCAGCCAGTACACTCTATGTACGGAGATCCTCAAAAAGGGCGGTATTCCGTCCAGCGCGTATCCTGCCGGCTTTCAGGACAGTGGCTACCACAACCCTAGAAGTGGAAGCAGACATCCTTCTCACACCTCCGTCTCCACCACCGCGCCCAGAACACCATCGTGACACTCCACACTCTACCTCGGGATCACCCCATTCTGTGTGCATTATCGCGAGCCCAGAAACGGAGGAACAATGTCGGATCGTACGCTTGCTTCCCACGAGCGGAAGCGTTGAAGACCATGAACTTGGAAAGCTTGAACTACCTGGAGACAATCGACCCAGGAACGCTGCCGCCGTAGCGAGCCGAGCCTTCATGGAGACTGAGATCGACTCAGACTGAGAAACAGCAAGAGAAAGAGAAGAGATTGTACAGCCCACGTCCGACATTGTCGTCTGCCCAGATGCCTCAGGAAGTGAGGGTCACTTAGGTGCGGCCGTCGTAGCATTTGACGACAATCACGAGCCCATTGAATCGCAACAGGTCCAAGTGGAACCGATGGACCGGTGGTTGGTGCACGTAGCGGAGCTGATTGACATTTACCACGCTATCAGCTCAGTATTCAAGATCGCCCATCATCGCCCAAGAACAGCAGATAGTGGACCAACGAGAGCAACGGTTCTCTGTGACAGCATATCAGCATTGCAGACAAACCCCCCGAACAAATCTGGACAACGGATTATCCACGCAATCTATACAGGCGGCGGCAAAGATTCAAGCCAAGTGAATAGCGCTCCGCCTTCAGTGGGTACAGGACAACGTGACAATCTGGAGAACGACGCAGCGATCGACTAGCCAAGGATGCCGCATGTCCAGACTGTTGTCATATGAGGCAGATGCAGATCAGGAACAAAGCCGTCCCGACCAACATTTTCCGATCAACTGGACATTCCCGTTGTATATATTGCCTCAGGGTCTCCCCCTGGAAGAAGAAGATCATCAATTCCTCTAGACTACTACAACACGGATCAAGCACAGGGTAATGAAATGCTATCAAGCTACTCTCGCGATTGCAATAGGGGTTAAGCTCCATCATTCTGTGATAAGTCAACTGATGGCGGCCACCCTTCTGCAATGTGTTGTTAAAGATTTTCTATTCGCGGTCAAGTCCAAAATTGCTTTTGGGGCGAGGCCTGAGTCACAAAGCCCGATAGAGATTCCGTGAGGTAGTATTCCGCAATTATCCTGCTAACCTCGGCTATAAAGCAAAGGAGCCCTGGCAAGAACCAACAACTGACAGGAGTAAAAAAGATAGTAATGCGTCAAAGGGATGGATTTGTGGACTTCTGCGTGACTCAAAGAGTATAAAACAATGCCCCATAACACACAACATTTTGTTTGGGCTTGTGGCCTATGCTCAGCCCCCAGACTTCATGGGATTTGATGACCAACCGCATGCCAGAGGCAAGCCTGCAGAAAGACTATCACTGGCCATTCACACTTCTCCCCAGCCCTCCATCAGCCAATTCCGTCTGCGACCATTTATTTTCCTTTTCTTCTCTTCTACCGTCGACCCCGTCACAAACAATAAGGGAATGTGCACATTCTTGAGACCAATTTCTAGCCAGAGCAATAGGCCCCTGGGGGCCGACGAGCTCCAAAATGGGGAGGTGTAAAAGCACGAGACATCAGGAAGTCTAGATAGACATCATCTGAAGGAATAATGTCAGCCACCGATATCTCATCACACAGACCTGATGCATCTCTTGCAGCAAGTGAAGACAGCCGGATAGCTGAGTCTCTTATCCCTTACGCTCCTCGTGACTTGGGGCTCAGCTCACCCGAATCCGAAAACCTATAAAGCTCCTGGTCTCTCCGGCGCTCCTCACGTATCTTTTCAACATCCCACTCCCATGCATTTTTCGTCCCACAAAACACCCAGTACATGAAAACAAGCTTCCGGCGGGCCCAGGTCTTGTTGCACTCGTTTTCGGGGATTTCACTTTCGGCAATTTCGCCCAAGTTATGGCATAGAGCCACTTCTTCGGCTGTGGCCTGCTCAGCCTCTGGGTTCTTCTCCAAACATAAGACAACCACACGAAACTCATGTCTGTGAATATTATCTGTTATTACAAAATGCTAATTAGCTGGGTACCATGACAGGAAAAAGAGGGACTTTCAGTACCCCATACTCGCTGTTCCGAAGTTGCGGAAGGCTGATTATCTCCACTAGCAACGGCGACTGCCAGTACTTCTGCCATACTGCCCTGCCCGTTGTCGATACTAACAAGGAAACTTCGGGGTGGAATAAAAAGCCCCTTGCTTCCTCTAGGCTTTTGAGTGCCGGCGTCGCTTGAGCTGATGAAGTCGGGAAGTCACTAGCTGTGTTTGCCCTTAATTTATATCGCTTGACCCCAAGAGTTGGAAGCGAATTGGTCTTGGCTCGTGTTTGAGACTTCAGCCTCGAAAGGATTTTCCGGAGCTTGCATCCAGGCCAAGATAAAAACAGTACCTTTGCTATCACCAGGATGATCTCCCAACCTCCCCCGCGCCGCCCTGGTATCCAAGCTAACAGCTTCCTTGATACAAATTAAGTATTGAGCTCTTCAGATTCAAACCGATGCAGCGACCACAATTTTTGGCCTTTTCCCCGTACACATTGTCTTGATGCTCTCAAGGAGCATTGATTCCCCTGTTCCCGTTTCACGATTTTCAGACCATCGGTAATTTCTATTGCTCCGCACTGACCATACGCGAGATCTATCAACTTTTACGATCGGAAGGATCAAACATTCCTGTACTTGGAAAGGCCTTTCGGGTCTCGACCGCCGATCATAATAAGATTTAGGAGTTTTTTTCGCGTCACGAATGCTCTTTCTGGGCGAGAACCTGGATGGGCGCCCCTTGTGACCTTATCTACGGCGTACGGAAGCATGATCTGGCTAGCGAGCAGGGGAGTGATTCAAATTCTCTAAGTTGAGCTTGGACTTGATCAATTTGGCCCCAAAGATTGTGAAATAAATCCAAAAAAAACAAACAAAAAACATCATCCAAAATCGAACTTTTTGACCCGTTGGCCGTTTTCCATCTACGCCTATATTCCTAGGCGCACCGGCATTCCAATCAGTTTATTCAAATCGTCAATGATGTGGGACAACTGTCCTCTCTCATTCAACACATCTCTCACCATCCCGTGGCTGGCCATAGCAAATGCTAACTTAACTGGTCTCTGATCATGTGTGTCAAACCAATTCCAAAGTTTATTGAGAATGTTTTTGTCGTGGTCGCTCAATTGGTGCCCCGTCAAGAACCCGCGCTGACGAACCTTCCGGAGCCAGTCGAGAGATTCTTTGAGGGAGAAGATGGGAAAGCTAATGAATCTCATTTTCCACACCATGCCTTCGCACGAAGGGAAAAGGTTGTCCATCCAGAGGATTGTGCTCATAATTATCCTGATTTTCTCTGCGGATGTCTGGGGTCTATCGGGTGTGGTAACAATTCGGGCTTCTCTAACCAGAAACTCCTCGTCGATGATATAGAGCACCTGATTAACATCCATGGGCTCATATCGTCGCTTGAATTCTTTGTACGCAGATTCAGGACCGGTGCTTAAGCTGGAATTTCTCAGGAATCCTCTCAAAGAAGCTCGATTGTTTTTATTGATCGATTCGAGAAAACTTTTCAATGCTTCAGAAGACGCACTCGTCGGGTTCTCCAGCTCTTGCCCAGCGACCCACAGGAGCTTTTGAAAAAAGTGTCCGACTTCATTGGCTGTTGCAAACTCCTGATTATCCTTCGCCTCTTCGCGAGAGGATCCTAGTCGATGGGCCATCGATACGTTCTTCATGACAGTCGGGCTCATTCTCCTGAAGGGCTGAAAGAACCCTCACAGTTTGATGAAAGAAATTGATAAAACTGTTCGAGCAAGACAGTTGCACTTGAGAAAAAGAAGAATTTGATTTATCTCACGACTGAAAGATAGAAATATGCAATCTTCGAGGTATTTATAGACCTCATCCACCACTGGAAATAAAGCCCAACACCGAGAACGCAAAACAATACCACCCATCCTCATCACAAACAACGATTTGATATAATATTGAAATGTTTAAGAGCAAGGATTCGTGCTAAAATTTTCACTGATGGTGTGAAGGATAGCAAGGGTTATCGGATGAATCGGTGAATCGTATGCGAGGCTATTCGCTTCCTTGCACTTTCACACATTTACCCAGGTTACAAGAGCTGCAGGTCAGCCGCAGACAATGGAATACTTTGGCGCCCAAGATCCCCTATCTTGATCTTTACAATTGGTTCATGTATATGAACTAGGAGGATGAGTTGCATATTTAGAGCTTATTATTGAGACGTTGGGATCCCTGATTTGTCCGCTGGAGCTGCACCAACACATATCCGCGCCCAAGTCCGGGATTCCTTGGTTTCTACCCGAGGTTATGGTGGGCACCATCAAACAGTTTGAGATTTTCCGATGAACTGTGGATCTGTAGGGCTGTTTTGCATGTAATGGATCTTTTGATATCTGACACCTTAATTTTCGTTTAAATGCAAAATTAACGACCAGCTACCAGGTAAGACAGAAGAACATAGATGAGGTCATGAGAGGCACGTCTGGGGCCCAGAGGATAAGGATGTCACTCTTGAGAAGCGGGGAATGGGGCCATTCGAGTTGGTCATAGGCAAATCTGATCTGAGGTATGATGCTACACACGTGAAATGGCTCGGGCCTACTGCACCGCGCCACGCGACACCCTTTTCAACTCAACATGTCATCCAATGAATTCTTTCTTGCGTGAAACTAAGGGTCCGTCGTGCCCGAATAGAGCCCTGGTAGAGGCGTTAGGCGGCTCTCTATTATTCTCAAGGGCTTTGATAGTGCCTTACTTGCGCCCGAGTTTCATGGATGGGACTAATTTGTCGAGAGAGACCTGCACCCAATCGACACAATACACTGGGGTACAGCTGGAAACAAGGCATAAATCCATATCAGTCTGTAAACGACCGATGATGGGACGAGATTTTCACGCTGCAGCATGGGAACTAACCTATCTCTGAAGCCAGCCTATCAAGGGTAACTCTACGTGAGGCCGTTGGCCACTTGATGGCGCTATTATTTTTAAAGAGTCGACAAAAGTTTGCCCTACAAGAGCCGCTTACACCGCTGGCAACCTCTAGAAAAAATGAAGGGCTTTGCTTCTCAGTACACATGTGGCTCCAATCAGGATAGGCGCAAGCGACGTAATCATGTAGTGGAAGAACTCTGCAGGAGCGTAGGAGGTGACCCCCCTACTCACGGCGGAATGTGCACCTGGATGTTTACCATCTTACTCATCTCGTGGCTCGGGTTTTGTGGTGCACTAACACCCTTTGGCCTTTCGTGCTGACTTTCGGAGTCCTTGGTTCCAGAGTATCCGTGGCATAACTACCTACAGCGTTTCCTGCACGTCGACTCAATGCTTTCGTGGTACCTAGACTGGCCTCGTCAATACTTGGATAGATTAATAGTTATCTTTCGAACCACTCCATAAGTACAGTCACCTTGTAGAGATCATTATCTCAACTGCACCGCTCGCAAGGCCCTGCTTTCCGTTTATCCAGCGAAACCCGCCCGCTGCACAGTGAATGTTGCGTAATCTCGTTGCGAATATAGCATATGTAAAGCTAGTAGTCAACAAAAGTCCTTCCAATACAGAGAGAATAGGGTTTACCAATTTTAGTTCCCCCCTACATTCTGCGAGATACCTCTATGTCCAAGGCTTTCGGGATTAGACTTCAAGCAGTTCATCAAGGGGACCTCATGGAAGGTAAACCGATGTACCTGCACTGTCTGTGTAATTGTATCTCTCGTCAGGAGATAGGCTCTGGGGGAGACAAATCGAAATGCCCTCGTTGACAGGACCTGCGACGGATATCTGACTAGAGAGTGCCAGAAGAGCCAACGATTGGCGAGGTGTTTTTGGGAGCTTATTAGAAAAAAGACGTAATAAGAATATTCTTTAACTAACTAGCTACTACCAAAGCGCCCTCAGCATTTGTGGGTGTGCCGCAGCCTAGGCGGTTTCATTTCATTATTTGTGTTCTCAATTCCTAAAACGTCACTAACTTCTTTTGCTTTGCCAACTTCAATATTACGCCGCAACTCTCCGAAGTGTTCCTATTTGTTGTATATAGTCGGGATTCGCCTACCTTCTTGATTATACGTCGTTACTCTGTCCTGGCAACTTTAAACGCCGTGATAGAACAAACCATATTGGTTTCAGCCGTCGTTTCCTGTTCCTCGCAACTTTAAGCATGTTATGGCCATTCTACCATAGCTGCTTATTCTGTAGATAGAACCAACGCCCTGGTGATTGCTCATTACCCCTGCATTCTCCATGGTTAGTAGTTTTTTTTTTCGCTCAACGTAGTTGATATAACGACTTAGTTGGAGACCACTACAATCCCCAGGTCGAATATGAATATGGGAAAGCAAGGCGCTTAAGGAGGAAGAAAAAGAAAGCAGCAGAACAGCAATCAAAAGAGCATGGAGAAGTAGATGAGCAATAAGACAACGTAGCCAATAGCCAACAAGAACATCTCTTGGCTGCCAAAATCGACGAATCAGTGGCGAGAACGGGCAAGAGCTTAACAGTGACGAACGCACCAAAACGTTGCGGGCACCTCGCGCAGGGTAGTACTGGTGACGTGCGCTTCACAAGCTCTGCACGCCGATGCCCTGAGACGGCAAGTGGAAGGGAACGAAGGTTGGTACCCGAAAAGTAACTTTATTGGATACAGCCGTAAGGTGCATATGGATAAGAAAAGAATAGAAGGTTTATTTAGTCTGAAAAGGGTAAGGGCAGAGTTTGGTGATGCACCATGTACCGGCACAATACTAATAACAAGGCGAGGCGAGAATAACTTCATGGTAAAAGGCAGTCATGAAGCCTGCGACGTTGTGCTAACGACGAATTAAAGAAAGCAATATATCACGAGGACATGAAAAGTGCAAGAAGTACTCTTGCAGAAATTAGATAGACTTGTCACTATCAGTGAAGATTACCAAGTGAAGGTAGCAGACTAAGAGTCCTTAATGGATGAAATATTAGAGCAAGGGCCCGCTTATACGGGACAAGAGTAGTACAGGGATACAAATTAACAAGAGAGTGAGGTAATAGTCGAATATATCGGGCCTTTCTGTCACGTGCGGGAGGTTTCCTGACGGAACAACAAGAAGCCCGTAAGGCTAAGAATGTTGCCTATGGCACATTTTTGGTCTAGCGGTAATATGCCCTATCTGTGTTCGACATTTCCCCTTCCTCTCACTTCGTCCGTTTCAGGGCACTGGTGACGCGCGCTCCTCATTTTAGGGCATTTGGACAAATTTTGACACAGAATTTCTCACTACGTTCTTTTCAGGGCACTGCCTCGTGGCCCTTCAACGCAGCCACGAACGATGATGTCTAACCATCCGAGTCCTTCGAGTCAATATCCACTAGCCCAGTTTCAAGTAAGAGACTCACCAACGCCCCGTGACCACCCAACGTAGCCCACCACAATGGCGTTCGGCCATCGGGGTCCTTGGAATCCACATCCACCGCGTAATCGTAAGTAACTGCTTCACCACGGCCTCGTGTCCACTCAACGCAGCTCGAAATAGCGGTTCCGCCGTCGATATCTCTCACCCCTCTATTGGCTCCTTCCGAAAGGCAGGTTCGGGCCGTCGCCTCTTCCTCTCGCTGGGCCGCCCACAACAGCGCGGAACCTCCAGAGTTCTGCCAATTGCGTCGATATAGGTACAGATTAAGGAGAGAATAATTCGTCGTTCGGTTTGAGCAAACGAGTTAATGTCTCTTCCGTTTCCAGAAAATTTGCAACTGAAAGTAGCAATTCCGCTGGCAGATGAGGAAGAGCCGTTTTTACATTTTCTCTGGTGACTTTGCGAACGCTTAAACCATTATTGCGATGGCGACCTCGATTCGCTGGGTTCTGTGACGACCTGGACGTACATAGGAGGACCGACTCGACAATAGGAACAAACAGGGCCGAATCGGGATGATAACAAAATGCGAGGCTTATCGTGGAACATATCAAACATCACCCTACCAGATAGTTTTCTCTTCCTTTCCCTTCCCCAGTCTTGATACCTTCGTTTAATGTACAGGATTTCCACCGTTTCCTTTTGGCTTGTAACAGGTTCTCGAAGGCATTGAATAAAAGAAGCCCAAAAGACATTACAAGACAGTGTATTGGGGCGCTAACCCGAAAACAGAAAAGCTAACCATATCGGGTAATTCACAGGTCCTAATATTACAACAAACATAAACGAGTTGCTGTTGAGGCCTTAGAGAGGAGGCCTCAGTCATGTGTACCCTTGCCTATTTAAGACTTCCCTCTCTTCCTTTTCCTCCCTTCCCTCTTCTTTGCACATCACTCATATATCCACGTCCAACCCTTAACCCTCCACAATGTCTACACAAGCTCGACCACCTCTCTTCCACACAACGGTCACATATAAATCTTCTTTGTTCTTCCTCCTCTGGACTCTGGATACCTTCGATCGTTCATATGATGGCCAACACCTATCTTGAGGTCGAAGAAGGCAGGAAATCCGAGCCTGTAATACTATAAATTACCGATGAAATTATTTAGGGATTGGATTGTGAGATGGGAGTTGCTTATACTGGCCAACCCGAGCTCGTTCACATCGGTGTAATAGATTATTTCACTGGGGAGACGCTACTAGACTCACTTGTTTTCCCGCAAGTGAAAATGCGTCACCTGAATGGAAAATATTTAGGTGCATTGGAGAATGCCCTATAATACCCGCGATACGATACGGGCAGGATGGTTCTCGGGCACCACGCTGCCCGTCGCCGTCTATGGGACTTTTTGAGCCAAGGGACTATCGTGGTAGTCCCTGGGGAATACCAGGATTTCTTATCCCTATGCTGAGTATATCATGATGGGATTGACACTCTCAATTGCGAGAGCTGCCTTGCGGCGCCTCAAAAATCGCCCAATCTGAGAAACCTGGCCAAGGTTCACTTGGGCCGGAAGATTCAGCAGGGGCAGAATGGCCATGACAGCCTGAAGGATGCGCAGCCGACGAGAGACCTTGCACATTGGTACGTCAAGAACCCGTCTGCGAGAGTCGGGGTCCGGGTGAACGGTCTTGTGGATTGGTAAGGTGTCTTCAATCCAAGTCCTCCAGTCTACGAAAGTACGAAATCTCTGCACTACTCCCTGAACAAATGTAGACCTTGGTCTGTGTTCACCAGGAATATCTCCGAATTCATGGACAGCGCCCTCTTGAGTTCCCGCAGACGGGACCTTGTAACCGTCATCTACAACAAGTCACAAAGTGAGTGAGTGTATATCTATTCATATTTGATTCTAAACTGAGTGCTAATTCAATCACAGAAGTATGCCTGCTGCCATCAAGACATATTCACCCTCGACTGTGTCCAACCTCGGCACAGAAATGAGCAAAACTTGCAACAACCGAAAACGGATTTTCGATTCATAAAGCCTTTTTTGCCTCCCTCTTTCTCCCTCTGCTTTTCACACCACTTATATATACAACTTAAGTGTCCCTCCTCTGCAAGCTCAGCATGGCTTCGATTATTCTTCGACGAGAAAAAAGTCTAGACACTCTCGAAGACGTCCAGGTGACCAGAAACCTGACTCATTGGGCCAACAGCTGGAGGAGATCGCGGAAAGATGACAAGGGGGTGGTCATGGCAATATCCTTTTGACATTCAAGTGGGCCGAACCACGCTCGAGAATACAGTCATCGCGTGGTATCACTGGACGGGAATAGCTGGGCAATTGGGAAGCGAACAAAGGGAAATCCCGAAACCCCCATTCCAGGACTTCAAAGCTGCCTTTCGAGCATGAAGTTACGCTCATCCTACACTCAACCGACAATTTGCCAAGGCAGTCAGAGCACACCGACCTATTTCACTGAGGACCCAGCCGGCCTTGAGGTTTTCACTACCTCTCACGTGGAAGAATTATACACCCCACGGCAGGACTTGATATACCACCGACGAGTGATGGGTCCCGAAGATTTACTCCGTCGAGCATCCAATTTCATGAGCACGGCAAAGATTTGGACCTGCCATCTGCTCGAACCAACATGGAAATTGGGAACATGACCCTGGAATATCCAGACAAATGATGGACGGTATTGGACACAGAACTACGGGAACACACATTACAATTCCTCATGGCTCCATCAAGTTCTCGCCAGCCTAATATGGCAAGAAACGTGATACAATTCACGGCCATTCAGAACACTCTGCAGGAGTGGGCCGCCTCAACAATCTGGTCCTTACTCAAGACCCAATGATACAATAGGGACTCCTCGTGAACAATTTATGCACGGATGAGCTTGCTAGGCTACGGCGCTGCCAAAATAAAGCCGCTATAAAGCCACTGAATTACAACGTGTCTCTATTGTACCTAACAGAGAAGAATTCCGAACTAGTCCACCGACGAAGCTAGAGCAATCAATAGAACTCAATAGAAGGCCCTGGGAGAGATTTGAATGGACATGGCTTCTTTCTCAACCATTGGACTTCTAGAATGGCTACCCTCTCTAGTCATCGTTCTAAACATGCTTTTTCGTGTTTGACTAAGAACTTGTAGTTGACCAATTATGTGTACCTCAAGCATGACGTATATCCTTTCGTAGACTACTACAATACACTTAGTTAGAACCTTACCGGAATATCATTCTGACTGTCTGAGATTTCATGACTCTTCTTCTCGAACTTATTTCCTATATGACACCTTTCCTCAATGTCCGCTTCCAGCCACCCACCCCTGTACAGTGCAGATACCCTTGCAACCTCATCGGGGAGAAAATACCAAACCAGGAGATGATGAACTCGTGGCCGGCGGGTTGTTCTCGGGGGACCGGGCTGTTGGTCCCGTTCACCATCGGAGTACCGTGCGTCGGTAGCATGTACCGTTGCACATCTACGTAAAGCTGTAGGCATGTCGGTGTATCGTTGGTATACAAGATACTTGGCACGGATGGAGGGAGGAGATTTGACTAGTCTTTGGTTTGTGAGTACTTGTAACGAGTGCTACTTGCTACTTGGTAGTCTACTCCTCATCTAAGTATGACTCTATCCTCCAGTAAGCTCCTCCTCCCAGACAAGGATTGATCTTCTGGATCTGATCGACGTTGATGCTGGCGCCATTCTGCATCGGGTGAAACAGTCCCGCCATGAGCGATGACGATGCTGTGTGGCAGGGCAGGTGATTGTTACGTATCACGGGGATGTATGTACTGTCTCCCTCCCTCCGCTATGTTGTTCGTATCTATATTTTATCTTGGACGGAGTGGATATGTTGATTTGACTGTGGAGACACTGAGTACTTCCCACCCGGCGCTAATTATCCACTGGGGAATGCGAAACAGCGGTGACGCCTGCTTGGCGCAACGCCTCGGAGACCGGGGGAACGGGATTGTAAATACAGGAGGCTGAGATAATCAAGATCATGGCTTTTTAACGTACTATTCTTGTTTCTTTGGAAATGTGGAATGTGTATAGTGTGGAAGTCCGGGGCCGCGGCGGCTGAGGACGGGAGCAATGCTTTTTTACCCCATGGCGTGCTTGTGCAGGGGGATTGCTCATGTGTTGTGAAACGGGACTATGGGGATGAAGAGAATATTATTATTGGATGATAGGAGAATCCTGAGTATTGTAATAGGGCTTACTATAGTATTACTATAGTATAACCATAGTATAGGTGTAGGATAGCCAGAAGATAGGCATGATAATCTGTCCAAAAAAGGAGAACCTTTTTGACTGATTATCATCCATCTACATACACCGCTTCTTCCACATGTCATCCTCGAAGAAAACCACATCAGACAGCCTCGTCATCGTACTCTACAGTGCCTAGCTCGGCAGTCACGGACTTTGTTGATCCAGACTCTGCCGTTCACTTTGGTATGTCCATCCTGCCATCCTCCATAAGAGTAATTGACCACGCGGGCCTTTCTTTTTCTTACTCTCTCCAGTCCCTTCGTTCGGACATAACTGCAGCTCCCAATTGGCCACAAAGATAAGCAAGTGGGGCGAAGAGCCCCCGCTAAGCCCGAGTAGGAAGCGAATTAGCCATGATTGGACTGATCGCAGGCCGGCTATACTTCTGGGCTAGACTAAGACCCGACTAAGAAGCCGACTAGTGCTGGATTTGGCCACCCCAGGGGTCAACGGAGTGGATGCTGATGGACGCTGATTGGGTCGGTTTGCGGTGACACGATCCAGTGGAGAACAAAGTTGGGCCCGGAGCATCGGCGGGATCGGCTACGTTACAAGGGTCTGTCAACCGTACTGGTTTTGGGCTGTCAACAGGGCCGATGAAGATAGGTCTGCCTGGGGTCGAGTGAATTTTAGAAAAAAACTGGTCATGGAAAGTGTGTCTTGGTAGTGTTGAGTGTGGATTATGTGATTCTGCCTGAGGTGGTGAAGCCGGGGGGCTGATCGGGGGTGTGAATCTTACGCCGGCCAGGGTGTATTACAGCTGTAATCAGGCGTAATTTATGCTTCATCAGAAATCCCACTCTGCCTTCGTCAGGAGGAGTCACTTACTCACTCGCTGGTCAGTTGGATCATTATTCAACCAAACCCAGCCCACTTTGGACTGCAAGTGGCAACTACTCGGCACACAGCTGGCGTATTCCATTTGAGTTGATCCCTTTTGGTGCATGCTGATGAATGGAACCGGACTGGGTGCCTCGAGCTGGATACCAAGTCCTTTGTCAAAGTGACCACATGACCCTTGAGAAAGGCTGATCGGCTGAGGAATTCCCCAAATCTAACATGATGTATCCCTTTATCCCGTCAATTTCCATTAGTGATATCCAGTGTTTGTTGGTGGTTCTGCTTCCAGGGAGGTCGATATACGTCCGTAGCTTCCGTATCTTGCGTAAGCGTGCCTGACCATACTCGGATAAAATACGAATAAAATACCATCCATACCAGTTGTTACCACTTCTTACCTACTCCACGTCGATCGGATTTCTCCACCGTAACAATCACACCATCGCACTTCAGAATGAGCCCATCTTGCACCTTCTCCCAGTCGTACGTCAGTCTTTCTTTTTTGGTTGCCCCTGATCTTCCATGCAGGAAGGCTAATCGAATCCGGAGTAGTCGTCATGCGGAGAATAAGAAACTAAAAAATGCATGGACTTGAAAATGTATAAGATAAAGTATGAGGGCTCTTGTACCTCGGAAGGCTCCGCAACTACTTACAGTAATAATTAGTAGTATGGGGCAGTTGTCTACCCCGGCAATTGTTCCGTACAAGCGCCGTACATGACTTTTTTAAATTATTTTCTCGCTTTCTATTTTATTTTTTTATTACAATGGATCATCCTTCCCAAATAATGTTCATAATCTGATTGATTATCCAGCCTATAATATTCTAATATTATAATAATATAATATTATTTCAGTATCTCTCCTTCTTTTGGGTCTCGGGCCTCCTTTGTATTATCTTTTTTTCTTTTCTTTTTCTCTCTTCAGTTCCCCACATACTCCATTCACTCGGCTTCATATATCTACCCTCCCCTCCCCCAACTCCGGTACACTGTGCTTCTTCTCTTCCATTCCTATAGCATATTCGGGTTTGGACATTTCTTCCCTCTCCTTTTCCCTCTGCTTCCATCATGGCGACCAAGAAGCCCAACATCCTCTACATCATGGCGGACCAGATGGCCGCGCCATTGTTGTCTCTGCATGACAAAAACTCACCCATTAAGACTCCCAATTTGGACCGTTTAGCCAGCGAGGGTGTCGTCTTTGACTCGGCCTATTGCAATTCCCCTCTGTGTGCGCCCTCGCGCTTCGTCATGGTGAGCGGTCAACTGCCCTCGAAGATCGGCGCCTACGATAACGCGGCGGATCTGCCCGCCGACACTCCGACTTACGCCCATTATCTGCGTCGCGAGGGGTACCACACGGCGTTGGCGGGTAAGATGCACTTTTGCGGTCCAGATCAGTTGCATGGTTATGAACAGCGCTTGACGAGCGATATCTATCCTGGTGACTATGGCTGGTCGGTCAATTGGGATGAGCCGGTGAGTTTTGTTCTTCTTTTCTGGCGTCAATTGGATGACACGGGCTAACTTGAACGCAGGAAATCCGCCTGGACTACTATCACAACATGTCGTCCGTTCTGGAAGCCGGGCCCGTGGTACGCACGAACCAGCTCGATTTTGACGAGGAGGTCATCTACAAATCTAAGCAGTATTTGTACGACCACGTGCGCCACCGCACCGACCAGCCGTTCTGCTTGACCGTCTCCATGACGCACCCCCACGACCCCTACGCAATGACCAAGGAGTTCTGGGATCTGTACGAGGATGTCGAAATTCCCCTGCCCAAGAACGGAGCCATCCCACACGATCAGCAAGACGCCCATTCCCAGCGCGTGCTCAAGTGCATCGATCTGTTCGGCAAGGAGATGCCCGATGAGCGCATTCGTGCCGCCCGTCGCGCTTATTATGCCGCCTGCACTTATGTCGATACCAACATTGGCAAGCTGCTCAAGGTGCTGAAGGATACCGGGTTGGACGAGGATACCATTATTGTTTTCACGGGTGATCACGGCGACATGCTTGGTGAGCGTGGCCTCTGGTACAAGATGACCTGGTTCGAGAACTCGGCTCGTGTGCCGATGCTCTTCCATGCTCCGAAGAAATTCGCTCCCAAGCGTGTGTCCGAGAATGTTTCCACTATGGATCTACTGCCCACATTCGCCGGTCTGGTCGGTGCGCCTCTCGTGCCGGGACTCCCGCTCGACGGTGTCTCTCTGGTGCCGTACTTGACTGGCGAAGATGGTCCTCGCACTGATACCGTGTACGGCGAGTACATGGGCGAAGGCACCCAGGCTCCCTTGGTTATGATCCGCCGTGGTCGCTGGAAGTTCATTTACTCGACTATTGACCCGCCCATGCTGTACGACCTGGTCAGTGACCCAGAGGAGAAGGTCAACCTGGTCGCAGGTTTGCCCATTCCTTCGACTACCAGAGCTACTGCCACCGGCAAGCCTGCCAACCCTCTATCCGTGCCAGCCAATCTGCCCACCCCCGACGATACTCCTCGCGTCTCGCCCATCCCACAACGCGCCACCAACAACTCGACTCAATACCCCTTCCCCTCATCTACGCCCACACCTCCTCGCACCCCCAGTCCGGCAAAGTTCACCGCATTGCCCGATACCACAGAACCAGCTAAGCTGTTGGCCTTCTTCCTCGAGGAGACCAACAACCGCTGGGATATGGAAGCTATCCGACAGGATGTGATCCGGTCGCAGCGTCGCCGGCGCCTGGTGTACTCTGCGTTGATCCAGGGTACGCCTTCATTCTGGGACTATGAGCCACGCGTGGATCCGAGCAAGCAGTACGTGCGTAACCAAGGCAAGGGAGTGCTTGATGATGTCGAGTTAATCTCCCGCTGGCCGCGCGTATTGCAGCAGGCCGCTACTGCTCAGGGCATTTCTGCTTGAAATGGAATTGCACTGGGTTGTTGAGCAGTTGAGCCGCGTTTCATGGATTTCTCGCACAGTTTGATCTGATCTTCAAGACAAGCCTGTACAAAAGAACGGCCCCCGATACTGTTTTTGTTTCTTGCATGCTGCACTGCACCCTTGATGACTTGATTTCGACATGACCCGATTCATTGCGTTTTGAGCATTCCATTTCGTTCCGCATGGCCTTTTCTTACATTATCATCAATTTCTGGACACTTGTTTTCTTGATGTCGTTCTCGTTCTCATTCTGCTCTTTAACATCATCTCATCAGCGAGGCGCTATACCCGGGAACTATCATTTCCTCTTATGTTGATACTGTCCTATTCTATTCATTTGACCACACGAGTTTGCATCTTCAGGTTGAATTTCTGGCTTTTGCAGAATTGCGTGGCATATCTTTTTTTCGATTCGTTTCTGTACATACTACTTCCAATTTTTGGTTTCAAAATCCCGGGTTGGGTGTTCTCGCCCTAGGTGATATATGGGAAAGGGTCATTGTCATGGAAATGGTTATGGAAATGGAATTTGTGGATATGGATATTTTCTAACAGACTGAACTAAACAAAGTATCGTACATTAGCTAAGGTAACGAACAGAATGAAATTGTTTACTTATGCCTGTTCTCTCTCGGTTCTGTTTAACTTCTGGAGTAAGTATAACATACTTCACGTTAGCTACAGATGAACGATGTATGATGTCACCTGCGGCAAGAGTAAAAGCATAAAACTTTGCTCAGCGAGTAGTAGGGTGCTCGTATTGGACTAAATTCTTAGTCTTGGGCTGTTTGCGGAGTTGCTGTCGGTACTTTTTATCTGATTCCCCGCAACGCGGGGCTGTCGTGGTCTCGGCTTAGTCTTGTGTGGAGAAGACTCTTACGTTGACTCGGAATTTCCTAGAATTTGAAAAGGCCCGCGGGAGATCAGACTAGTTTAATATGAGTTCCAGGCCATAATTATGCAAGACTACTAGCTTTTACTCCCAAAGATCATTGTATGTTGCTCAGACGTTCCTAACTTTTAATATCACGTGACCTATAGTCAATGACCTCATCTCTCCGGAGCGACTGGCAAAGATATTCTCATCGTATACTTCTGTAAAACACCTATTAGGTACTAGTTAATCTACAACGTATTGGATAAGTGCTGAATTGAAAACACTGTTTAATACTTCAAGAGCCATGCCTACAGTAGGAGTGTGGAGTACATAATACGATGGACCGGAGCTTGGGGCCGAGCTCTTCGGTCAAGGCTTAATTTCCCCACTTCTATACATCAACTTCCAACCGACTTAACCTCGACTTCCCCCGTTCACCCCTCAGACCAACATTATCCAAGCTCCCTCATCAACAGCAGAACATGCCCTCCCTAACAGTAGCAATCTCCCAATCCCGCACCCTCCCCACAACACCCCAAACCCTCGCCGCCCTCGAACGAACAACCCACCTCGCCGCCCGCCGCGGCGTCCACCTCCTCCTCTTCCCAGAAGCCTATCTCGGCGGGTACCCGCGCACATGCGCCTTCGGTACGGCGGTGGGTAGTCGGGACCCTCGCGGGCGCGACCAATTCCTGGCTTATTTCAAGGATGCGGTTGATCTTGGCGATACGCCTGCTGGGGCTGGGGAGGATTGGGTGGAGAGACGGTTGAGTGTTGCAGTGGGCAAGACGCAGAGGGGGGATGGGACGAGGGAGTTTTTGGAGAGGGTTGCGAAGGAGACGGGGGTTTTTTTGGTTGTTGGGGTTGTGGAGAGGGCTGGGGGGAGTTTGTATTGTTCGGTGGTTTATGTTGATCCGAGTAGGGGGACGTTGGGGAAGAGGAGGAAGGTTATGCCGGTATGTTTTTGGACTCGTGGATTAGATTGTAATTACGCAGTGGCTGTGTAGGGGATTGGGATTACAGCTAATACTTGGTTTCATGATAGACTGGATCGGAGCGTCTTATCTGGGCTCAGGGTTCACCGTCGACACTTCGAGCCGTTACTACCACCCTGAACGGTATACCACTGACCCTAGCCGCGGCAATATGCTGGGAAAATTACATGCCCCTCCTCCGACAGAGTCTATACTCCCAAAACGTCAACATCTATCTCGCTCCCACGGCCGATGCCCGAGACACTTGGTTATCACTAATGCGCACCGTCAGCCAAGAAGGGCGATGTTTCGTCCTCTCTGCAAACCAATGTGTTCGTGCCAACGAGCTTCCAGATTGGGTTACCGGTCAAACCAAGGGAACAGAATCAGGCGCAGTTCCCAGGAAAATCGTTGCCTCGCCATTGCCAACACAGGACATGCCGAGCGGGCGAAAATTATCCATCACACCAGAAGGTCCACATGAAATTGCCTGGCCTCAGTGCTCGACTCATGCAGACAACCAGCCAGTTACTGAAACGACTACCTCAATCTCAAAGATTGACCTTTCCAGCTCTGACTCCGAGTATATCTGTCGCGGCGGGAGTTGCATTATCTCGCCCCTTGGCGAAGTCCTAGCCGGACCTTTGTGGGAGGTTTGTACCGATGATACACCGGATAGTGAGGAGGCGGCTGTTAGTACTGCACCGCTTGGTATGTCCGCTGCGGAGAGGGAGGGTGGTACTGGTACTAATGCCGTTGCGGCTGGGGATGGACTCGCTATTGCGAAGATTGATCTGGATGATTGTGAGCGTGGACGATTGGATTTGGATGTTGCGGGTAGCTATTCGAGGAGTGATGCGTTTAAGTTTAGTGTTGAGGGGTTGGATTTGAATCCCCCTCCTATTTGAGGGGTTCTATCTGATTCAAGTGTCCATTTAACGAATGGAGTAGGTCATTTAAGGCAAATCGATGAAATCTATAAGCTAGCGGAGGTTTGAACAGGTTGGTCAATCTCAGATCAGATTTGATGACCTCAGTCAAGTGGAGTACCTCGATTAAGGTAGTGGGACTTGAACCTTGGATCAGCTCTTGCAACTTCAAGTTATCTCTCAGGAGTGATGCTTTCGCATGTTACGTCAAGGATCTTGAGTTTGTTAGGCACTTAGCCTTAGAGAAGATTCGAGACGGATTTTTCTCAATCACTCATGCTGATCTCCTATGTATGAAACCATTTTTTTTTAATGCTGGTGGTTAATGTAGATTGTAGTGTACTGACAAAAATCTCATTCTATAGGTACTTAAAGCCATATCATACATTTCCAATACTCATACAAACGTGGCCAGCGCTGCACCTCATCCACAATTTCAAGAACTCCTTATGTAACTTCCAAACGACTCTCATACCTGCGGCCTATCAACCCGAACAGTCCCCTTCAACTTCGCCGTATCAGTCTCCCCCTCCCCCTTCTTACTCTTCCCCGGTTCATTCACATACGGATGCATCGTATCCGCGTTCGAGAGACCTTGCTGTTTTGCCGACATACTTGTTGAGCCACCGGGTGGGCCCATTGCTCGTGGCTGCCTCGTATATGGAAATTAGCTGGATACTCAATATTAGGTATTGTTCATGGGGTGGGTGTAGACTGACCTCGTCGTGGGTGGTTATATTGGTTTGTCTTGTATCTGTGGTTGTTTCTGGGTTGAAATTTTGTTAGATTCGAGGTTAATGACAAAGGGTTGTGGTGGGGATGGGATGGGACTGACTGGCACTTCCTCTTTGCGAGAGATAGAATGATGCTGGGACGCCTAATGCGATGGCGACTAGCAAACTATCACGGACAATATTTGTTAATAGGGAACGATTGACTCGGACTGAGAATATGTCTTTGACAGGTGATGAGATACATACAAACGAGAAGTTCCCCCTTTATTCCCTGCTTGAGTAGCAGCGAATCTTTTCTGATTCGAATATACTGGACGCAACCCGCGAGTAACTGGAGTTAGTCCCGCGCGTTGAGAAGGTTGACGGTTGAAGTGCATAGTTGTAGGTCTTCCAATGGTACAGAATGTGTAAAGAGATTCAGAAATTGTACAGCGTAGAAGGAGTACCTATTATTTAAATAAACCATGACAGTCAAAGGGACTTACTTCCAAATGCATCGAGTAAAGCAAGAATATCTCAATCTTGTTCTACTGTAGTATTTTTGTTTGGTAATTACATCATTATTTAGTCAGATCGATCGTGATGTTATCAAGTGGAGATGTACGTAATCCAGTAGGTGTTATCTTGTAAGGGATAAGAGCTTAATTCTTGTCTCCTCCCGAGAGGTAGTCTTGTTACATATAGGTGCTGTAGGGGACGCTAGATTATCTGCTGAGGTGATCATTCTAGCTTTAGCTATAGGTCCATACGTACGGAGTGTTAATAGTACTGTCAGGTAGCTGGGGTTGAGTCCCGACGATCTTACGTCATGGGGCTCAATTTGCAACCCGCTTGAGATCAGTTACTGTAAAACTTAGCCGGGGCAAATATGTGGCTTTAATAGAAACTAACTAATCAAGGGTTTCAGGAGTCTTACGTTATAGCAATGACAGTCTATATAGCCTTGAGATTGGCTTGTCTCTCACTCGCGATGACGTAGGATAATATAGATCCAGAACGAATACCCAACTTGGAGATCTTTAATTATGCTTGGGCATCAACATCAGGCCAATCTCTGCAATCCACCTAACCAAGACAAAGAGGGTCCTTAAGATTAGTATGAAGAGAGTTCAAAAAAAATCGATAATGCTCTCCATCCATCAATCCATCCACCTATACACTATATATCCAAAGAACCTCCCAAAAAGATAAAAGCCAGATGATCGGTGCCCCAAACAACACAAATCGAAAGCGGGTGGGGATATCAATGCTATCAATCGTGGGTCATTATCGCCATGCTGGAATATAAGAATTCCTGCGTTTTATGTACAACTGCGTTTCTCCTTGTCTTGTATCTCTTCCCCCTCCGTCACCAACGAGGCGTATGAGCGTTGACACTCTCACTCTATCATCCATACGGGGGCTTTGACTAGAACCATTGGTGGACCTTTACCGCGTACTTCCACTGTTAGGAAGGATGCAAATCGGATGCGTGGCTGGGTTTCGCGTTCTTCCGTTGGAGCGGGCTTCTCTTCATGGGTTGCTCCAGCGGAGGGGCGAGTTGGTGCTGGGCCGGCGGGTTTACGACCCATCAGTGCTCCAAAGACAGACTTCTTTTGAGGTTTGTGGGTAGGTGCGGAGACGATGTCCCCGGGTCCGGTCGAGTTGGAAGCAGGCGAGGAGTCGTCCTCGACAGCGGCAGAGTCATCGGGCTCCTGGTCTGCGGGTGGTGGGGGTTGATGCGTGAGAGGTGGAAGTCCGCCTTCCACTTTCATGTACCCTTCGACAAAGGTGATGTTAGGTGGGAAGTACTCCACACAAACGTCGCGGGCCTCGAGGGGGATTTTCTCCGTGATGTTGATGGTATTCTCGATGATCATCCGCACACCAGCCTCCAAGCCTGGCAAGGCTGGATCATGCAACTGACTGCTCAGGAATGAGGCAAGCTCTGCAGTTGAATGTTCGACTAGCTCTGCGCGATGCTCTTGGGCCGCCGGAGTAGACAGTGTATCACCGAGTCCGTCAAACGTTGTTCGGCGCCAGTTGGACAGCCGCACAATTGCATTCTCGCGGTCTTCATCTGTGGACGGCCGCATCTGCTGTCGTCGGAGATTCATCTCGATACTCTTCAACTGAATGCTCAGGGTTGGATCCAGGGCAGGATGGAAATGTCGCTGAAAGACCTCTTCCACTAACCATCGACTGATCACGGCCCTACCAACTGCCGTCATCTCCTTGGTACCCACGGTGGTCGCATCATCCGTCACCAAACCATGCAACCATGTCGGGATACCACGCCAGTCCTTGCGCACCGAGAAGGCCAGATCCTTGATAGCTCCATCCAGCCGTGTGAACCGGTTTGCGTATTCATTATCATCTAATACAGTGCGAGACACGGCCATACGCTGATGTGCCACCGTATTCTGGAGATGCTGTACTTGCGCTTCCTTGTCAAAGTAGTACCGCTTCACCTTGGAATATTTGGTTTCTTCATTTCAATTAGCATTATTTGTTTTCCTTTTTGCTCTCCAATCATCAACTCACGCAATTCCTCATGTTTCTGCAGTAATGCCCGCACATCAATCTCGCTTGGGTCTTCAAGTGTCCGCGTCCCGGTTGGAGTACCCCGTCCCGGTTCTGGCATGGTCTGTACGGTACTGCCCCGTCGATCTGAATCGCCCGGGGCCCGTTCGTTTGCGAGTGGGGTTGGGGGTGGCTGCTGCTGCTGTTGCTGCTGTTGCTGCTGCGGCTGGCTCTGGGGTGGCACCTGTGTAGAAGCCTGCTGCATGGCGTCAGGATGGACTTGCAGACGGACTGGGGCAATTGGCTCCAGGGTCTGCCGGGAAGGGGGCCGGGAATTTAATACCAGATCCTGCTGGAAACGTGATTGGGATTGCTGGCCTCGATGGCCCAGGTGATCGGGGGTATAACGGGGCGACTCGGGCGGCGCGTCGGTGGGCGATGGGCGGCTACTGGGTTGCTCGAGCAAGCTTGGATCGGTGTTTGAGCGCTCGAGAGGGGATGGGAGGGGGCGATGGTGCAATGGTAGGGGTTGTTGGAGTGAAAGGGATTGCGATTGCGTGTGGGACTGGTGTGCTGGCGGCGGTGGTGGTTGCTGCGATTGTTGCTGCTGCGGGGGCCACTCGAGATTGTCGCGCGACGATCGCAAAAATTGCTGCTGCTGGTACTGTTGCTGATAGGCTAGTGATGCGGCCCGCGGGTCATATGATGGATTATTCGAGACGGGGGACGAGTTGTCCGAATAGCTCGGTAGATGTTGTTGATATTGATCCTCGTTGGTCGGGCCCAAAGTATTATGAGGGGAATGTTGCGGCGACGTGGGCTGGGAGATGGGATGGGAGATGGATTTCCCTTTGACGGAGACTTTGCGCTCCAGAAAACCCGACGACGGTCGCACAAACAAGCTCTTTTTGGAACGACGAGGTTGGGGTTGCTCCTCAGGGGCGACGACACTGACCGTCGGTCGGTCGCGTTGTTGCAGGTGGGGCTGACGCTGGCTCTGGGAGCGGTGCAACGAGGAGGCGGAGGAGGATTGGGTGGGTTCTTGAAGCTGAGGTGGCCGCTGATGTGAAGGTGGTGGCGGAGGCAAGTCAGTAGCAGTCGCAGGGCCGTCGTAGTTGAGACGATAATCCGAGACGTGACGGTCTGGGTATTCGTCGAGTCGGTGATTGCTATTGTTGTTGATGGGGGCCGGTGGAGCAACAAACGCGGGGTGAACCAGTTGTTCAACGGAGCGGGCAGGATATCGCGATGGAGGAGAAGGAGTCGATGGAGGATTGGATGGGGACTTGGACTTTCTGCTCTTGAAGAGGGGCATGACTTGGTCAAGGGCCACAGTCAGGGTCCATGAGCCACGCAAATCCAAATGTTTCCAAGATTAAAAGGAGGAAGAGAGTTGAGAGGTCGGAGGGTGGGGAGGGGGCGTGTGTACACGAAGGAAACAACGCAGCGGGAAGGCTGAACGAGTGGAGGATTCGTGGTGATCGGCAGTGAAAGACGATTGGATGGACTGTTTCTAATTTTATACTCTCAGGATCAGAGTCCACGAGAGGTTTACGAGGGAAAGAAGAATAGGAGGGGAGGTGGAGTCGAGAGTGGAATGTGAAGGGATCAAAGGACGATGAATGGAGATGATAATGATCATAGGAGAAGAATGAGTGGAGAGGATGAGAATCACATTGATATCACATCTTCAGATGAGCTGAGAGATTGAGATAGTAGTACGTTCCATAATAATAACTCGAGGCTTTGGGCTCTGGGGCAAATACAAAGAAAAGTCAAAACAACACCACAGCCCAACAGAGAGCATCAGCCTCGTATCCGCGCGGATTGTGGGGGCCAAGAGGCAATAAGCGCAGAGACTAAACAAATGAACACGGGCCTTGTCCTCGAAACGAGAATCTCGAAAGTTGAAACAAAAGATCACCTCTATGATATTGAATTGTGATGTATCTCAATCAGCTTGCAGGATGCAGAGCATGGCATATAGAGTGCATAGTACATGAAGCATGCATTGCTCCAACTTATTTTTATCACAATTTAACAAGGAGACGATGACGATCATTATTGCTCCTGAAACACATTTAAAACGGTGATCTGCCAATTATACGAGCTTTGTTTACTATTGACCATGAACACTCTACATATACTGTTCGATTTAGATAGATCTCAATTAGTATTGCCATTCAAAGCATCCCTCTATCTAACACTTTTTGTCTCTATACTAGATTCTCCATACTTCCTTCTCTATTCTCTATATTTTATACTTCATACTCCAAACTCCCTCACCCTCTATCCTCACCACATCTCTTCCAATGTTCTCTCCTCCTTCAACCTCAATCCATCGAGTACATGAATGGATATCATGGACTACTCCCACCCCCAAAATAAACCTTCTCCCCCTCATCCTCCCCACCTCCCCTCGAACCCGAAACCGAAAACACTCCCTCCTCCCCAAGACAACAATCTTCTCATCCAACCTCCCCCTCTTCTCCCTTTCAACCTCCCCCCAAAACTCTCCAATACCACTACCAAAAACCTCATAATCATCCACATGAATCGGAATCGTCACCTCCGGCTCAATCAATTTCATCAACCGCACTCCCTGCGCCGCGTCCATACTAACCATGAACGCGAGCGGCGAGAGTGTGGGCGAGGGAATCATTGTTCCGCCCAGGTGGGCGAGCATGAGGTCGATGGGTGCTTCTTCGGGTGGGTATTTTAGGCGGATGGAGTGTAAGTCTTCCGTCATTAGGGTGTCGCCCGTTATGTAGATGCGGTAGCCTGGGGTGAAGTCGGTGGGATCGTGGGTGTCGGTGCTGGTGCCGAGTTCGAGAATGAAGCCTGTTGTTGGGGGGATCTATAAATAGAGAGAGGAGGGTTAGTAAGGTAACAAACAGTATCGTCTAGAGGATGAGTGTTGGGATATCTTGTCTGGGTAATACGTACAGCATTGGCCATTTTATTCAACAGTCCGACTACCGCGTTGCTGGGTACGTGTTTACCAGGCATGCCTGTGATACGGAGCAGTGGTCGTTTGGCTCCCCCAGTACCGCATATCTCGACGAGACTTGTTTCAAAGGGAGCCAGTGCAGAAACGTTTGTAAAGGACTCGCTGCCTTTGTTGGTGAGTTGGGTTCGTGCGTGGGGGCTGGTGATAATAGGGATATCCCGGCGGAGGGAGGCTTCAACTTTTTGGTCAAAGTGGTCACTACTTGACGTTAGCTTTTTCATTTCCTCCGAGTTTAATTGACCGGTTAATTGGACAATGAAAGGTCTGTTGGTGCATTCTACGCACCCGTGGTAATGTGATAAAAGAACCAGATCAATCCGAGGTAGATCATCCAACTCAACGGCAGGATTAGTGCGTCGTTCACTCGAGACACCCGCACCGAACTGGGCGTGATCACCAGCGTGGAGGAAATTGGGCTGGTAAGGTCAGTAAAGAGCTCGAACTATACTCAAGGACACTTGAGTATATTAAATATAGCCACTTACATCGGTCATGATCCGAATTCCAGCCCACTCTCTGTATCAATTAGTGTGCTACTACTATTGCGGAAAGAGGTTAACTCCACAAACATAATCACCGTCGCATTTCCGACAAAAAATACTGAGGCATTCTCGTTGCCACCATCAGTCGGATGATGTTTCGTCTCTTTGGGAGTTGGGAGGGTATCGGGGAGAACGACTGCACGAGGGAGATCACGAGTTGGGGGTTGTTGAACTGTCGGATCGATGAAGATGCCCTGCATAATGCCAGTCATTTTGACTCTATATGTAACCTGATGGTTTGGAAAACGGTTGAGGGCGTTATCTACGCATAAAAACCAAAACGACACTCAAAATCGCGTCTACATGACGTCAACGGACAACATCCCATGAGGTACCATAACATAGTTCATAGTTCATAGTTCATAGTTCATGGATCAATTCAAATAATCGTAACGGAAATCTGCTATGTAAGGGCCATACATACAATTGGCAGACAGAGACATAAGCGTCAAGGGAGGCCCACTGTGCCTAGCCCAAACACATATCAACTCGAGGTTTACGGCGAAGCTCGAAGGGAGGAGAAAAAACAATATTCACAGGGTTGACAGGAATTGAGTAAAACTCAGGATTTTACTCGGGTTAAGATGCACCACATCGGCCCATTTAGCAAACGCCGTGCGTCTTGCCAGACTTACCCTGCAGAGAGTGCTTCTCATTATGGTAGCTATTGTGAGAGTGTCCCTTGTGGCGCGGGTGAGCACGGTGGCTCTGCATGTGCCTAGAATCTGGGTTAGTTGGACAATTTCTTACTGACCGGAAAGGCAAAACTTACGACTTGTACTTCGCAATCATACCCTGGTCCATAGACTCGAGAGTCTGCAGAGCCAGCTTGAAATCAGTAATGAGACTGTCACAGCGGTTCATGCTAAAGTCCTCGCGGACCACAATACGCATAAGCTGCATCTTGTTGCTGTTCGGGGCCATGGTGTATGCGGGAACAATCCAGCCACGCTCACGCAGCTGATGCGCCACTGTGAACTCATCGTACACGCGGTCCTCGTTGGGGGGCAGACGGAAGGCCACCAGGGGCAGACCATTGCCGCGACCCTGGCTCATGATGATCATGCCCATCTGCTTCAGTTGATCGGCCATGTAGTCTGCAGTGCGGGTGAGGTTGACCATGATCGAGCGGTAGCCATGCTTGCCCAGACGAATCAACTGGTAGTACTGTCCAATGACCTGCGAGGCGCCCTTGGAGAAGTTCAGGGTGAAACTGGCCTGGTCGGAACCCAGGTAGTTAATGTTGAACACCAGCTCCTTTGGCAGGTACTCGGGGGATCGCCAGATCACCCAACCCACGCCGGGATAGACGAGACCGTACTTGTGGCCGGAGACGTTGATGGAGACCACCTTTTCAAGACGGAAATCCCACTCCAGCTCGGGCACGGTGAAGGGAGCGACGAAGCCACCGCTGGCGGCATCAACGTGGATCGGACAGTCGATATTGCGCTCCACCAGAAGGTCATTAATCGCCTTGACATCCTCGTACTCACCGGTATAGGTGGTACCAAGGATAGCACAGATGCCGATGGTGTTCTCGTCAACGAGGTCGACAGCCTCCTTGGGGTCGATGACGTAGCGCTCCTCGGTACAGTAAACATATCTCTCCTCAACCTCGAAGTAACGGGCGGCCTTTTCCCAGCAGACCTGGACAGCACTGTTCATGACGATGTTGGGGCGCGAGTAGTCCTTGCCCTCGGCCTTGCGCTTGTTCTGCCAGCGCTTCTTCATGGCCAAAGTGCCGAGCATGATCGCCTCGGAGGAGCCAATAGTTGAAGTACCCATGGCATTCTCATCCCGGGCGTCGGTCGGGCAGTTGAAGAGACGGGCAATCATGTTGACGCAGCGGTTCTGGATTTCCGCAGAGTGTGGGTACTCCTCGTAGTCGATGAAGTTCTTACTGAAGGACTCGGTCATGATGTCCTCGATCTCCTCTTCCTACAAAATGGAGCATTGGTATCAGCTTTCGTGTTCTTTTAGGCCATTGGAACATCAACAAGATTGTTAAAATCATACCATGTAGGTGGTGACGAAACTGGCCAAGCTGCAGAAAGACGGTCAGCCCATAAGTTCCTACCCCGCATACCATTGACCACGACTTACTTGAGCTTGGGGTTGCCATCCAGGCTGAGCTCGTCCTTGATCATACGAGCTGCAACCTGGCGAGGCATCTCTCGCTCTGGCATCTCATGCTGGGGCAGGTGGTCGGTAGCGAAGTGGCTACCGTAAACATTTGTGTAGAAGTCATTCTCATCGGGCTGGGGAGCAGGAATGGACTCGAAAGAACGGGACTTGGGGTCAAAGACCTGGTCGTCATTCTTTACGGAAGCAAGATGAACCATGATTGTAATTGGGGGGAGGTGATTGAGAATGAGGAATAGGGGGAATGGAAAAAGGAAAGATGGAGGAGGAGAGAAAAAGAGCAGAGCGTGTTTAGTTGGGTAATAACACGTGCGGGGACCATGACGCAGTACGCAACTTTTTCAGCTTGCAAACAACAACTCACTGAACCCCTTTCCATCGTCCCATTCCTCCTGTTTCATCTTAGTCACTACCTCGCTTACGCTTCTCATCCCTCATAAATGATTATGATCTGCCAATGAAACCATCGTTTTCAATGGTTTATCCCCCCATCAACGACAAAGCTTGGTCAAAGCTTGGCAGAGTGACGATCCTCGTCCCGATACATCCGATCTGCCCCTCTTGCCGCCCCTCTTCCAGTTTCCACGACCACTAGCCACGCCTCCTCACTCCTCAGTGATCGATCCTCTTGTGGCCTCACTAATTCAACTATCCAGCCACTGGCGCCACGTTGACCGGGACCAGCGGTGTGGATTCAATCACCTCTGATGAAACCTCGTCAATTATCATTGCTTCACTAATGGCTTATTCAGGCTCTGTGCACGTTGACATAATGCTGCGACACGAATTCCATTCTATCCGGCCGGTCTGGACCGATTCTATCGATCTAATATCTGACAAAGTTCTCCGTACGCTGGCCAAAATTCTCGCTGCCTGGTTTCCCGAAATACATTTACGTCTCCCAGCTCTTGTTCAGAGCTTGCTCTCGCGGATCAGCTTCTCCACCTCGGCAAATCGGTAATAAAACTCCAAGCTGCCTGGGTTGAGCAGGGTTCCCGAGGGCTGGATCCGCTTTCCGGATACAATCTGCTTGACTGGAAGCTCCACTTTCTTAAGATTGACCGTCGTCTAGTGAAACATTGCATTAGTTCACCCCATTGCGACCCAGAAAGTCAATTCAACTGCAATTGGGATTACTTACCGGGATCTCCGGAGTCTCAAAGATAAATGCCGGCACATGGCGGGCACTGAGCTCCTTGCGAATCGCACTCTTCACGCGATTCACCAGGTCGGCGGTAAAGCTTGCTCCCGGCTTTATCAGGAGGAAGAGCATGACACGCTCATCCGTGTCGGATGGCCGGCGCTGGCCCACGCAAATCGAATCAGCGATCTCCTGTGGGAAATGGCCTTCAATGACGCGGTAGATCTCTGCAGAGCCGAAACGGACACCCGAGGGGTTGAGCACGCCGTCGGCGCGGCCGTGGAAGACCAACTGCTTGGTGATGGGATGGATGGCAACAAAGTCACCATGAGTCCAAACGTCTGTAGGAATGAGCAGTGGTTCATCAACTAGTAAAAAGGGGGGTCACTTACTATCAAACCTGCCAAAATACGCATTAAAGTACTTCTTCCCATCGGTATCGCCCCAGAACATTGTGGGCATGTTGGGGAAGGCCGAGGTAGCCACCAGTTCACCGGGGGTTCCCTCTTCGATCGCAACACCCTTGATACCCTCGCCTCCTTCGATCGTCGAGTCGTAGACCTCAACTGGCACGCCCAAACTACAGCCTGCACAGCCTCCCACGTACACGGGAGACAGTGGGTTGCTAATGCCAAAGCATCCAGCGATATCAGTGCCACCGGAGATATTGTTCAGACGAGTGTGAGAAGGGAAACCTTCATCGTAGAACCATTCGAATAGAGCGTCTCGTAGGACCATGCCGGTACTAGTGACTACCTGCAAGGCACTGAGGTCGACTATCTCGCGAGGTTGGATCTTTGCTCGCTGTAGTTCATGCAGCCATCGTGGAGAAATACCCAGATGGGTGACTCTGTTCATCAATTAGTTTCATAATTTGCATGAAAAGGTAAAGAGGACGTACCTCTCTTGAGCGGCAAGCTTCACAAGTGCCGTCACGTCAGGAATAAAGGGACTGCCATCGTAGAGAACGACACGAGAGCCAAAGACCAGAGTCTGAATGGCAGACAGGTACATGATCCATCCGGTGGTGGTATATTGCAAAGCAACACTCTCAGGTCCAAATTCAGTGTGTAAGCCACCCTCCTTAAATCCATTTAACAACACTCCTCCCACCGAATGGACAATGCACTTTGGTTGACCGGTCGTGCCAGAAGAGTACACCACAAGGAAAGGATCCCTGAAATCGACGCGCTCAAACTCCAAGTGATCCTTCCCACCAGCCTTGGCGAGGAAACTCGACAAAATCAACCCTCGAGGAATATCATTGACATCAGCCGGCTCCGAGGCGAACCGCGGCAATGAAACAATACCCCGAAACTCAACGACCGACTCCATCCCTTGAGCGATATCCTTCATCTTACCGCGCAGATCAATCGTTTTCCCATTATATACCGCCAAATCATCCATGAACAGCCACCGCGGCTTAATCTGTAATAACCGATCCAAAACACCCTTCACACCCATATCCGTCGAACTAGACGAGAAAATTCCACCCAGCGCCGTCGTCGCCAGCAACACAACCAATGTATCGATGCTATTCGCCGAGCAAACCGCAACACGATCACCCCGTGCTACACCATTAGCCTTCATCGCTTGCGCCAGGGCACCAGTGCGCTGGCGTAGTTGCGCCCAGGTCAGGTGAACTGCGTTCTTTGCATCACCCTCGCGGACTTCCGTGATAGCAATCTTCGAATCCTCTTTACCAGTTGTGTTGCCCGCACGACCGGTGAAGAGCAAATTCTCGGCGAAGTTCACTTTCACGCCTGCGAACCAGGATGGGACGCTGTCCATGCGGGCGGACTCGTCCACGACGCGAGTGTAACTGCCCTCGTGGATGATTGGGAAGAATTTCCAGCAGAAATCCCAGAATGCAGTTCGCTGTTGGATGGAGTAGAGGTACATCTCGTGGAAGGACTGGGAGAGATGGAATTAGCTGGTTCTCTGTATACAGGGTTCTCATCTTGCGAGAGTTAACACTCACGTTGAATTTCCTCCCAGTCGATCGCTCCAGCTCTCGTCGGAACCGGCCCATCTGTGTTGATTCTGGGTCGGGATGCTCCCAGAGCTTCCGGGGGGAGGTGCTTCTGCCATTGTTTACGATGCAGGCTCTTGCAAGCTCCAGAACAACAGTATAGATGAGTGTTTACGTGTCTTTGCTGTGAGATATGAGCTTCTTTATGACCAGCCCCCCTCCAAAGCAACCGAGGGCCGACGCGCCAAGCGCCGCCACGACCCCCATGGGAGATGGTACAGTAGACCCCACCTCAGACCTCTCTGAGTATGTATCCAGGGACCAAGTGGGATCTATCGACTACTCCGCTGTTACCAGGGCTACGGTAAGACCAATTCAGCTCTCCGAATTATCCGAAACTACTACCAGGAGATTCAATGGCATGTTGTTGAATTTGATGTGGATTATGCTAGAATACTTGAAGGGATAACGGGTACAGTAAGTACATGGTGGCGCCCCACTAACGCCTTAACACTACGACTCAAAACAACTGATCCAAGTGAGCAACCGCTTTCGCAAGCTCAACTCCGTCCTTACAAGTTGCAAAAACGAACCGATCAAATCGCAACACCGCATACCGTCTCTCTCCAACACTCTGCCACATCAACATTTCGTGGTATCCCCGCGGCTGCGGGCGGGACTCACACAACGCCGACCGGGCGAATTCGTCGCCAGTGGCGCTGCGGAAGAGCGGGTATTCACAAGTACCCGCCTGGTCAACGCAACTGGTGCGGGGGACAAAGAAGGTTGCTTCCTCTGGGGATAGAAGTGGACTGGCCTTGATGTTGGCCAGGTCTTGAACCGCACTGTCCCGCTCATTAGGATGGTTCAGGAGTACCACGATCTGGAATGGGATCTTTTTTCGGCGAAGATCACATCGTCGGTGAATTGCACCTCGGCATTCTTTTGTAAAGAAATGCAATATGTCTGAGGGAAGTACAGGCCACCGTTATACTCGGGTATGAATGGCATGCCTGGGGAGTGGATGTACTGCGTTGGACCTTCGCCACGAGGACCTCGTTCGAGCCAATGCTTCCAGCTAGGAATGAGTTGGAGGAACCAGAGACCCCAGTTGCGGATGAAGAGGTGCATGAAACTACTTCCATTGACGAGATCGCCGTTGTGGACGGTTGAGGCGAGAGATTTGTCCAGTTGTTGCTTTCGTTCGAGGTACCATCCTTTGAAAAGGTGCTCGTAGTCGAGTTGGCGGTTAGACGAACAAGCGATGGAGAGACGCCAGGCTAGAGAGATGGCGTCTCGGAATCCGGATGTGATGCCTTGTCCTCCGACTAGATTTAGGATTAGTCGAGGATGTCATGTGGTATGAATATCGGATAGCATACATGGTGGAAAGACATGGGCTGCGTCACCGCAGAGAATCACCCTGTCGAGCGCCCATTTATTGCAGCTTCGAGCAGAAAATCGAAAAGGTCTTGATCGTAGGACTTCGATACAGTCCTCAGGAAACTCAACATCCTCTTTCAATCTACGCATATAGTTAGCATTCATCATCCAGCACCCCCAGCTCGTCTCCCCTCCTCTCATAACAAAACTCACCCATATCGACTCCCAGGATGCGTCAAATAAGGATAAACCACCTCACGCACTTTCTCCTGCCCAGCCATCTCCATCTCCTCCTCACCAGGCATAATCACAAATTCAAACCGCCACAATCGATCCTCCGGACGACCGAACCGTCCACAGACCGCGGGTCGAACGGGATTACAAAGGAACCGAAAGTCGTTGGGGAAGAATAGATCGTAGACCTGCTCTGGGGTGTATCCGAGATCCCATAATGGGAATGTAGGGTGTGTCTTTGGCGTTGGGAGATGTAGATGCCAATTCAATGCGACCCAGGTTTCTTGATACTTTGTTCTAAAGAGGATGGCCGTACTGGTCAGCGTGTTTCGTTTTTTCTGCGTTACCATTAGTTCGACGACTTACTGTTCAGCCCAGTTCAGTTCAACTCCCTTGGGTTCCAGGTACATCTTCCGCGTATATCCAGTTTTGCCATCCGCCGCAGCGAGGAACTTGGCGCGTATCTTGCGCTCCGTGCCCGAGACATCTTTGTATGTAGCATATACCCAGTCCTTGTCTTCGGAAATAGATGTCAACTCGCAGCTACATCGTAGCTCGCATTCGGCAGCTTTTTTCATGGCAATACGGAGATATTTCTCGAGAATTGGTTGCTTATGAGCAAGGACTCCGACGTGACCTGTATTTCCTTCGCTCTGTATTTGTAAGATTAGATATTGCTTGTCTTAGAGGAATGGGGTTAACGTGCCGAAGCGGTGTCGAAACAGAGAAACGGCTGTTCTTGCAGACTATGATGAGTTCCCCCGACGAACCGGACCTTAGGCATATCTATGAAAATGAAGAGTTAGCAGATCCCTTCAAGTTGGCTGAGAGTTGGTGGCAATTACTCGATCCCATTTTAGTAAAAACATGCTCGTACAATCCAAGCCCCTGCAAGAATCGAATCCCATCATCATCGAGAGCAATTCCCCGCGGATCAGTCGTGATGTCAGGTTCCTTCTCGAGAACAATATTTCGAACTCCGAGTTTGCCCAAATACCCCGATAACATGGCACCCGTTGGTCCGCATCCGCAGATCAAGACATCTGTCGTTTCCCACTCCTGAGATTTTGCCATCTTGTCCAACTTTGCTTGGATAAATTATTGCTATTCTCTCTGTAGAAGTTGCTTGATGATAAATATTCATTGAAATATCTTGTGATCAACTCTAATGCTAATTTATTGGCTGTTCGTTGCGGTGCGTGCCAAGATGTGGGAACAATATGCAGCTTTGATGCGGGTACAGGCCATCTCTGAGATTAGAGTTATAGGTCCCTCTCGGGTATAGTCCCTCATTGCTATACTACAATCCTCTAATTTATGAATTTTGATTTATTTAGCTGCGAGAAGGGGGATATTTCTGTACTATTTGTGGGGTCATGGCCTTAGCCTGTTGATCATCACAGCCTTACAGCTACTTCCGTAAAGTCGATTCTTCGGATATGTCCGATATGGTACTTGGGTGGAAGACGCTCGATGGGAAGTCACTTATTCTATAGAATGTTATACATCATTTGTGTTCACCAGCCAAGAAGGCATGTTATTCACTACCTCCCCGGAACAAGCGGCGTCCACACATTGTGCCAGACCCCCGAACCGAATTTGCCGTCCCGTCAAGCCTTGCCCGTAATGAGCATACTTTGCAGAATTCGTCATGATTGTTTTGGAAGTCGGTGGAATGATTGGTTCCTGCATCATGCACCAGCAGGTATCGGTCACAATCTGGGCCCCGAATTTCTCGAGCTCATTAATCAATCCATCCTTGGCAGCTCGACCGTAGGTGTCACGGTTGCAGGTTACTACTAGTGCGGTCTTTGCGCACTTTTGACGTTGAGAGCAGAGTTGCACCAGCTTCACAAGCTCTTCGTGTGAGAAGTGTGGATTTCCAAGGGAGACCAGGTCAATCTGAGTGCGTCTCTCACTTTCTGTGAAGGCGTTGAATCGGTCCCATTGTTTCGCAAGGTCGGAACACGATACTGTAACTCTTGCCGTATCTTTTAGATGAGCCTGAATGTCCGCTAGCTTCCGAGCCTCTATAGTGATGCCCGCAATATGAAACATCGGAGCACTGGAGGTTGTCGCAAATGCAGCACCAAAAGCTTTCAAGTCTTCTGTCGGAACAGACTTCCTTTCTAATCCCGTAATAATCGGCACGGAATCCGCAGCAATATCCCCTGCAATATATCCAAGCAGTGGATATAAAGAGTCATCAGAGTCAACGTCAAGATCCAAGTGAATCTCAATCCGAGCTTTGCGGTTTTCTGTCAGATGACAACCGGTATTCAACGACCGTCCAGTCAAGGCAACGCAAACGTCCAGATAGTCCGGGCACTTGATGGTTCTCGCACCAAGCACGCTATTGGCAAAGACCACTGCATTAGACTCAGCCCACATTATATGATCACCAGGTTCTGGCGCAGTGTCTAGAAGATAAGGAGCACATGTAAATGTTGGCTGAGCTCCCATCTCAACATAAGCCTGTGCCAGTTTCTCAGAGGGCTCGCCCAGTGAGGGATCCACTCCTTGCGAGCGCCATAGTCGTCTATCAATGGAAATAGAGTTGAGGGACGTGGGTATTCGGACCTTCGCTCCCCATCGACAGAGTGTTTGGGCAAATTCCAGTGTTGCTGGGCCGGTGTAGATGCAGCAGTCGATGTGGGCTTGTTTCACATCGATCAATTCTGTCACGCCTTGGATATTTGCTGTGCGGAGAATGACTCGCATTGCCACTTGTTCTGCTTTTCCATGAGATCCGTTGAGTAACTCGCGGTCCAAAGGGGATAGTTGAATTGCCGAGAAATCGGGCTGATGAAGAGGTGGACGGGGTAAAAGTGCGGGTATTAAAGACTCCAGTGATTTCGTTGCAGTTGTAACTTGAGTCTCTGATATTCTTACATACTCAAATTGCAATAGCCTGTTGAAGGATGACATTGGGACATGCAGGACGGGGATGCTTTTCTGGAACATCTCCTCCGCAATAAGCACGCCGAGGGTCAGAATCATCTCTTCTCGAGCAAAAATCAAAGCAGAAGGCTGGTTGCCATTCAACAAGAGCTCAAGAATGACTCCACTGCCGGAGCAAGAGCCGCGGCTACTTGGAATTGCTAGGACTTTGCCCGCCACCGATTTGCCCACCAGGGGGTGATGAGTGTCGATAACCGTACCCGTTTGGGCATTTACGCCGCCCCAGAAGCTGAGGGCGACATTGCTCCCGCTCAGTTCGCCTTCTGCTGCACCTGGGATGAACACGCGGGCTTCAATAGAGTCCTTTATGATACGTCAGACTCTTCATGTTGAAACGTTGACGGATGACTCAACTTACATCCATGGCTTCAACAATGCCCCGCCAAGGAGTCGAGATATCCCAGGAGTGAAATAGAGCGTGAGTGATTCCAGGTCAAAAGGCCTTTCGATTCAAGAAATATCTGTATTCCAAGACGACCCCCAGAGACTGTGAAAAGATAGCAAGCTAACATCTGTTGAGAGAGGAGTTGATGAAAGAACGGGTGACAGCTCCGAGGGCAAATCGGAGCCGATAACCGACAAAGTGACAACCGCGGGGACCCCCACACAAGATAGAAACATGTGGATATCCTCTGTATCAACGATAAAAACAATCTAACTTCCACAATAACATAATCAAAATGACAAACATGACACTCCTAATACTACCACAGGTTACGCACCCGGCCCGGTCTACTCCAAAAACGCAGCAGGCACCTCGGGTCCCCACGCAGCCAACGAGTCAGCGCCCGCCTTGAAATACCCAATCGGCGTATCCTGATTAACCAAATCCCCATCCGCATAATGCTCGACAATGTTGCCAGTGGTATCCCACCAGTAATCGAAGATCTGTGAGCCCAAAATATGCCGACCAACACCCCACGCCAACTTATACCCTTTCTTCGTCAACCACTGATGGCCCAGCTGCTGGGTGTCGAAGTCGTGCACCTCAAAGGAGCAGTGGTGAACATGTGAGCTGGCGGGATTGGCGCTGAAGAAGATGCAGTGGTGGTCTACGAGGGTATCGCCGAGATCGAGGTGGGCGAACATGGTTACGAAGATCTTTTGGCCTTCGTTCTCGATGTAGAGGAGGTCAGTTGGTACAATGTTGAAGTTTGTGGTGTAGAAATGGAGGAGGTCGTCGAATTTCTGGGTCGTATATCCGAAATGGCCAAGCTAAGTATTAGATAAGTATATGTCATGATGCCTAATTGAAGAATTTATGAAGAGGAATCAGTTTGTTACTAACCTTGTGCACTGCAGCGGGACCAGGCTCGAATCGATTGAACTCGCGGCGTCGTGACTTCTCGCCAGTATAGTTGAGTACCACCTTGTCCGGATGGGATACTTCGACATTGGTTAGTTCTTGTCCAAAGACCACATTGAACAGATATCCCTCGGGATCGGTAATGGTGACCAGCGAGCCTCCGCCTGGTGCGTTGGTCATGCTCTGCACGGGACCTGCAGATGGAAGACGGGATGCTCTTTCGTCAAGGTTGATAATTAGTTGCTAGATCATCAATATGTCGTGTTCAAGTTTCCTGCTCACCTGTCGAATTCCTCCTGGCTTTGTGCTTCAAAGGTCCCGCCCAGGAATTGCTTGGGTCCTTTTCGGGCATAGTAGACGTATTGGTCGGATCCGTATCCTTTGAACCAAATCTCATCGTCTGTTCTTTTCGCAATTTGCATACCAAAGTCTAACCCCGTTAGAATAATTTCCGGTGCTACAAAGATAAGGGAGAAAAGAACATACCGATCATAAAGGTCTGAATTTCATCAAGATCGGGATGCTGATATCGCATGTGGGACAACTTCTTCAGGTGAATACGATCATCGGGATTGATTCCTTGTTTCGCCAGCCAGTCTGCTCGTGAGACTTGTTCTTTTCCAACAGCGACCACATCGGGCACTGTTGCGCCACGATTAGGCTGGACTGATTCGACTGCCATGGTGTATGAGGACAACAAGGTAATTGCGAGTAGATAATCCAGGTCAACAACGTATCTGCAACATAGGATATTATTCGCTAATAGGATCTCCTTCTTTATAATAGGCAAAGGCAAGCCGGTTTGTGGCCAGCCGAGGATGCCCCAGAGAGTGTGAATTGTCAGCTGCATGGGCATCTTTATTGTTCCCACATCTTCAAAAGGCAACAGCCGGACTATTCTTCCCCGCCTGCGGTCCAGAATCACACCCCCTCCTTGCCGATTGTCACTTGCCGAGATGATAACCTGGCGTGAGTATTCACACATCGAACATGAATGTTATCATTGTCATTAAAATGGTGGTTGCTAAGGCCCCACCCGGCAAAGCGGATATGAGATGTAGAGGGGCCTACGTGTGGTACATATAAATTGTGTTTCTGGCTGAATTATCGTAGAGGCTAGTCAAATACATTTCCTTGGAATATTTGCGATCAAAATTATGGCAGCTTTCAAGAGACTCGTGCGCTTCACTACCGGCGCTCAAACTCATTATGGAGACCTTGTCAGTGTTGCTGGGAACAAGTATACGGTTCGGAAATTGGAGGGTAGTCCTTTCACTAGTCTGAGGGCTACCGAGGAGATTGTTAATGTTGAGAAGGTTGATTATGGCTTACTGATCTACATGAGGGTTCAGACTGATGGTCATATTTCAAGCTCGAATGCCCGATTGAAAGTACGCCTATCGTGGTCTGCATCGGACTGAACTATAGACATCATGCCCATGAGGCTAATGTGAGCATTCCGAAATATTTCCCCTCTGAACTGCAATCTAATCTTTACTCAATTTACAAACGAGTAGCTTCCTGTACCAACATACCCTCCCGTCTTCACCAAGCCCGCCGATGCTCTAGCCGGACCCTTCGATGCGATCGACATTCACCCCGATGCCCGAGAACTCCTCGATTACGAAGGCGAACTCACCGTTGTGATCGGCAAAGACGCAAAGAATGTCTCCGAAGCAGATGCCCTAGACTACGTGTTAGGTTATACCGCCGGCAACGACGTCTCTGCTCGCAATTTCCAGATCCCCGAAGCATCTGGCGGCCAATTCTGCTATGCCAAGTCATTTGATAAATTTGCGCCCATTGGGCATACCATCGTTGCAGCACAGGAGATCCCCGATCCTCAGACCCTGAAATTGACCACCAAGGTCAATGGGGTTATCAAGCAGGAGACGAGCACGGCCGATATGATTTGGGGTGTTCGACAGATCATTAGCCACCTTTCTCGGGGTACGACGCTGCGGAAGGGCACGGTTATCATGACTGGTACCCCGTCTGGAGTGGGATACTTCCGTAAGGAGTTCCTTCAGAATGAAGACGTGGTCGAGGTGGAGATTGAGGGGGTGGCTGTGACTAGAAACCGCATGAACCATGCCTGAGTCTGCAGAGAATATTGATCAAGAAGGTTGGGGTTGACGGAAATACGGGGATAGGGCCCACATTGATAGGTCCCACATCTCACATCTCTTCACCGGCTCCTGGCGGTTGTACTCGCACTAGGGAAATCATAAACTTAGAAATATTCAACAGACGGCCTATTAGTGGACAGCTCTAGAATCTAGACTTTTCACCGAGATCGAATGGATCCTGCTCGCATCAAATAGACTCCCGAGTACCGAGTTGAATAGATCGCCACAAGCGGGGAGTAGCTCAGATGAGCATCTGGTCGGAGGATGGGTGCGAAGTACCTCCGCGATGAGAAGTTAGTTTTTGCGCCTCTTTCCCCCCGCATTTTTAGTCCTTTCTTAGTTCAATTCTTGCATTTCTATTCTTGAATCCCCTATATGCCATTTTTTATTTGATTCGAGAATGTAAATACCGGTGACATGCTGTCTAATTCTTCACCCTCGAACCCTCACCTCACCGGCCTCAAGGCCCGGCGCCGCCGAAAGACTTCCAAGGAAGAGCGCATCTGTCCAGTTTGCGCGCAGACATTCAAAAAAGCGGAGCATCTAGCTCGGCATTTGAGATCGCATACGAAAGAGAAGCCCTTTAACTGCCCAGTTTGTAACAAGGCCTTTGCGCGACAGTAAGTAATCTTGGCTGTCACTTATTGTACATTCGGTTTCTAATCGAAGAACAGAGACACACTACTACGCCACTCACGATCGCATCCTGCGGGAAGTAATGCGTATACCAGCACAGCCGGAATGTACCGAGCAATCGATGAGTCTATGGATGAATCTATGGACGAAGAACATCAGGAATACAATGTCAACCCCGAGCTCATCTCGCAAGCGATCGGCTCTGAGATCCCAGCGGTTCCGCTACATCTCGACCATCTTAACCCCATGGCAGGAAATATGATGGCACCAGTCTCACCACCAAACAGCTCATCCATTGACAAGCACACGCCAAACATGTCAATCGGCGAGACAAGCACGTATCCAACACAAGTCACTCCCTTGACGTCTCTCTTCTCTCTAGAAACTGGTGACGCCTGGAGAAACCAAGCCAGCCCGCAAAATCCGATGTGGGATTATCTGCTTGACCGCGAGTGGGAGACTCTTCTCACTGGCGAGGACTTTGATTTGGATGCTGTGAATACATCTTTACTATATGCTACGTCGGATTATGTGCCTGTGGATACTATACCTGGCATGGATATAACACGACTCCTGCCTTCGGTCCAGACTGCTTCGATGAACAGCGATAGTGCTAAACAGCATGCCGATACGGTACAGAAGAAGTGGCATACTTATTCAGAACTTGCCTCCTCGGGACAGATGACTCCAGATGTACCTCGAGAGGCCAGCTTTATTGATGAGGCGTATCGAAAGCGACTAGCGGACCGTCTCCAGCAACGAGTGCAGCATGGTATCTTACCTTCGACTCCTTTTCTTGTCTGTTCTCCCTTTCCTTTGACTTGAGTGACCCTACACTTTCCTTATGCTCATCACCATTGATAGGACCTATGCATCCAAGCATACTTTTCCAAATTCCATCCCCTTTTCCCCGTGGTGCATATGCCCACTTTTCGACCTGGCACCCAAAATGCCGTTCTCCTCTTATCTGTCTGTTCTGCTGGGAGTCTCTTCGTTGCTTCCTCGAGGGCCATTTCCCACGGTATCAGTATGTTTGAGCGGTTAAACAAAGCGATACTCGCATCGGTATGACACCCTCCCTCTTTTCTCAATTCAAGAGTCTCATTGACAATTACAGTGGGACACATACATTTCCAAATCTGGTGGATCTTCTGTAGTGGCCTTACAGGCTTCGATCGTTGCACAGAATTTCGGTTTATTGCTGGGGGTATGAAGCGCCTTTACCCGAGAAATCGACTAACCTCGTGCGAAGACTAATGGACTGCCTATCAGCGACCAAAAGATTTGACGGGAATTGAGATGTGGCATGGCAGTATAATTGCGGTAGGTCTGGCCGTTACTTCAACCTGGTTACACTCAACTCACATCTTTTGCAGTGGGCGCGCAAGGCTCGAATTTTTGACCTGAGACACTCGACATACAATCTTCTCGACCTCGACGGCCAGGCCCTCGAGGACGCCTGGCTACGCTGGGTACAAGTTGAAGTTAAGAAACGGTACAATACCCACCAATTAAGGACTCATTTCTATGCAAGTCACTGATTTAGACTAGAATCGTCTTGGGTCTTTACATCCATGACGCCGAACTCGCCCATTTACACCATCACGAACCTATCCTCCGACACTCCCCTGATCGTCTCCCTCAAATCTCATCCAATGAACTGTTCACAGCATCTAGTGCTGAACACTGGAAATACCTCATGCTAGACGAACAAGCACGCACTCTCACTAATAATCCTCCTCACAATTCTCCACCGTCACAACAAAACCACCGTCCTCAAGGAGTTCTCCCCAGCGATTTCGCACTTGTCGGCATGCTCGAATCTATAAGCGCAATGGCCTACGAAGTACATGATCAGACTACTCTCCAGAATCCCTGGGATCCTACCTCTACCTCTACACTGCCACCACCTTCCTCTTCATCTACACCCCCAACAACCCAATGCCACACCCTCCTCGCAACATGGTACACAACCTACCAACCCACCCGCCACTCCAAACCATCCTGGCCCTGCCTAATGATGCTCTGGCACTCAATCTACATAACCCTGCACGCAGACATCAACGCCCTCGAATGCGCCGCCGGGAGGGAAGGTTACGATGCGGTCCAGAAATACACACCCTACGCACGAGCTTGGGTGCGTTCCGCCGATGCGAAACGCTGTTTACTCCATGCGCTGCTTATCCAGAAGAATTTCGAGTCTTTGTCTGCGGGTGCGGAACCGGGTATGTTTGTGCCGAAGTGCTTGTATTATTGTGGGTTGGTTTGGGCTTGTTTTATGTGTTTTGGTGGGGATAGCCAGAGCCGTGAGGGTGAGGTTGAACCTGAAAAAGATAATGAGAATAAGCTCAACCCCGGAGATTCCGAAGGTCAACGGGAAAATGGTTGTATCACGATTGGTCCAGCGGAGAATTTACAATTCGCCGAACTCCGTTTACCAGGCGTTGATGGGATAGGCGTGTTTCTGGAGCAGATGGGTGGCTTACAGCCTCGACGATTAGCTGTGGGGAGTTTATTCCGGATTATTGATTTGTTGCAGCGGATCAGTCATTGGAAGATTGCGCAGAGTTTGGCGATGACGCTTTTGGTTGTTGTTGAGGAGACGCAGGATTTGTTTTGATAGAGGGGAATACATTGCCAAGTAATCACTTAGGTGGTAGACTGGAGGGGAATGGGGGATATCAAAATCATGGTCTACCCTCCCTGATGATGGGGAATGGAATACATGGCTCTACAGCAGTTCTATGCTATCTGCAAGATTCTGCAATATATAATAATCTCAAGCTCAGGTGGCAAGCTCCACTATCTACCAGCTATAGTGGAGATGTGACCTGGGGCTTCCATTTCAGCCTTCGCAGTCCAACTCAATAGCCTGTCATATCCGACTCCACTGTCTGCCCCGTCGGCCCCATTGACGAGGTGATCATTGATCACCGCTAGTTACTTTTGTCGTCCCACTGCTTAATCAGAATTTGAAATACATACCTAATTCTATTTGTAGTTCGTTCTTGTGTCAAGCCTCCACTGTATAATCCACTGCCAGCCACCGCATGGGCCATGGAGAGTACTAAGTAGCGGTGTACAACAAAGTACATCCTCCAAGCTCGAGTACTTTTATCTTCCTCGAGTTCTACAACGAACTCCCAACAAAGAAGACATCCTGATTCCTCAAGGGAAAAAAAAATCATTTTAATCAATAAGCACTAAGATAATAGGTATGTGTTATATTTCCATTGGTGTATCATTCAAAAACGCGGACTTGCAAAAAGGAGAAAAAGGAAATTAAAAAAAAAAAAACTGGGGATAGAAGCACGTCCCCTAAAAGCACGAAAGCACAGCACACAGTAGTACAGTAGCCCACAAGTACCCCAACGTATTGTTGTTGGCGGTCTTGTATAATCGTACATCCACTTTCTTGCCTTTTCTTCTTTCGCTTCTCTTCTTCTCTTCTTCTCTCTTGCTGTGTCTTTCCCTGGTGTCAGGCCCAATTCCAGACACTAGGTCACTCTCACAGCCAAGAAAGCCAAAGAATTCATCTCTTCCGTCTCAAGCTTAAGTTACTTAAACATGCGCTTGAGCTTAGCGAAGAATCCGCCCTTCTTCTTCTCAGCCTGCTGCTCTGCTGAGGGCTCGGCCACGGCCTCCTCGCTCGTCTTCGCAGCTTCGGGCTCGGTCACCTGAGGAGCGGTGGTCTCGGTCTCCTTGGGAGCCTCGGCGGGAAGGTCAGCCTTGGGCTTGGGCTCTTCACCACGCTTGGCTGCGGGCTCGGGCTTCTTAGGCTCGGTGCCGGCAACGGCGATGGGAGCTGTGGTGGGGGCCTTGTCGGCCCTGGAGGAGTTGATGGCAGCGGCGGCCGCGGCGACTGCATCGGGGGAGGCCTTGCTTTCCTTGGTCTCAGAGGGAGAGGCAACCGGGGCAGCAACCGGGGCAGCAACAGGCGCGGTCTCGGGAACAACAGCTGGAGCAGCAGGCCGGGGCACCTCGGTGGCAGCGACGGGCTTCTCCTCCTCGACCTTCTTGGTCTCGCTCACGGGAACGGGCTCGGGAACGGTATACGCAGCAGTCGAAGCCGGGCCAGCACCAGCCAAAACAGTCTTATCAGCCGCGGCGCTGGCAGCGGCCTGCTCCTCCTCAGTCTTGGCGATCTTGTGCGGCTTCACCTCGTCGTTGGAGAAGATGGGCTTCTCGTAGGGACGCTTGGCGTGGGCGGCATCCGTCTCGACAGGGGCCACGATGGGCTCCACGACGGCCGGAGCGGCGGATTCGGCGGCCTTGGGGCGCTCGGGGAGTGAGGAGATGGGTGCGACGCCGGTAGTCGCAGCAGCGGAGGTGGTCGACTCTTCGGCGGCGGTCTCGGTGGTCGATGGGTAGAGGTCTGCGGCGGCGGTGGTAGTCGTGGCAGTAGTCTCGGGGAGGATGGCTGTTACAAAGCTGTTAGCTTATGCTTACCTGAGCTTTCTTAGCAGGTTAAGTACTTACCCTTGCCCTCGCTCTCGGTCTCCAGCTGAGGGAGCTGACCGGCCTTGGTGGCTTGTGTCTTATCCACAATGTCCTGCACAGTGCTCTCTTCCGTCAAGGGCGGCTCAACCTTCTCCGCGAGCTTCTCCTCGGGCTGCACGGGTGCGGCAGGCTCCTCAACTGCCTTCTCAGCCTCCTTAGTCTCGGTCAAGGGCTCGGTCTCGGTGACGACGGGGGCGGTAGTCTCAGTTGTCTGCGCCTCAGTAGTAGGCACCTCGGTCTTCTCGGCAACCTCGGACTTGACACCGTTGGAAGCGGCGCCATCCTCAACCTCGTTGTTGGGCTTTCTAGAGCAAGAGGAATGAAATCAGCACTGTCGCGACGAATTGGTTGCCCACTAACAAAGCTGACGGCACGCAACCACTTTTTTTTTCCGCGGACACTTACACGACATTCTTGATCTCCTCGGCGACCTTGTCCACAGCCGCGACGACAGCGGGCTTTGCGCCACCCTTGTTCTTCTTCTTTCCTCCCTTCTTAGCCATGATGGTCGTTACAGTTCGTTGGGTATTTCTGCGCGAGATACGGTTAGAATTGTCACGTCGAAATGACGACAAGAGTGCCCGAGGAAGAGGTGGGTTGGAATTGGTAGATTATTCGGCAGAGGGTGTATGCTCGTATGGATCTTGTCGAGCGCATTTGAAATGACTTACGGTAAGTGGTAGGTTGGTGTTGAGAGTGGAAGAGGTGGAAGATGGAAGGAGGATGGAATTGAAGGTTGAAGGTTGAAGGTCCCGACGGGAGTGGGCCAACAGTAGGAGTAGGAACAAGAGAGTAAGGGATGCGGTATGCTGGATAACGCCAGTTGAAAGGATCCGTGGTTCCTAAAGCGAGGTGGTTCTGGAACGCGCAAGATGGTAAGAGAGGGGACTATCCATCATCAATGGTCTATCTTAGAAAGAGAGAGGACAATTGGCATCTATTCAGTTCCTTTCTCTCTTTGTTTTGCTTTGGCCGTTTTACCCGCGACATATTCCCTGGCCGTTCGCAGCATAGTCTTGGATATTCTCGAAGCTAACAAACAGAACAATTGGCAATTGACGATATCTTTACTTTTTACAGTATGCAGTACAATGTACATTATCTATTGATAGTTTCCCCGCAAGCGAGTATTTGGCCGTGCTCTGTGCACACACGATCTGCTCCCCCTTTTTTTTTCCCTTCATAGTTCCGTTTGCAGGAAGAGTGTCGTGTGCCTGCGGGCCAAGACTTGACCTGCAGGATGAGACAGACAGCCCTAATGCCGCATCGGGTAATAGGGCTGGCTGGGGCTCCTGGGCTCCTGCAGGGCGCTACGATCCTTCCAGGGGTGATCGATCTGGGGGCGCCATTTCGCGATTGATGAGTTGTGCGACCGTTAAAAAGCTAGCGGCTCTTAGAGTCCTGTGTACCTATATCCCTGCATAGGGAGGAAGTTACTATACTAGGGAGGTGTTCAGATAGGGAGTACTGTATCTAGATGGTATAGGTACTACTTCCGAATCAACGGGACAGCTGGCATTCTCGTCGGCCCGTCTGAAGACGGGACGATGGACGGACATTCTTCAACGTGGCTGGTCTGACTGGCCCCCGTGATTACATCATTCCCGGTCTGCCTGAACATGGTTCATTTGATGAGCAAGACAAGAATAGAAACTTGATGATCATCATCTCTCTATTTTGAGTAAGATCAATATAATTGGAACAATGATGTAGGTGGGATAATCAGGCCCACGATGATGTAGCAAAACATAAATGGATAAGGTCGTGGCTTCAAAGTTGGAGAATTCATAATACAAGAGTGGTGTCTACGATATGTATACGGGGAATGTACACAGATACTACAGGATATATATCGTAGACGAGAACAGATAAATTGCAATTACACTACCAAAAAGAGATTAAAGGAAATATGCAAAAAAGATGACCGACGCAGGGGTCGAACCTGCAATCTCTTGATTCGTAGTCAAGCGCCTTGCCATTGGGCCAGCCGGCCGCACCCGAACACCTTAACCGATAGGCCAAGCTGCTGGTTAATGGAAAGAGCCACAGAATTGTGCTACATAAGCCAGAATGAGGAACTACACGTTCAATTAGCGAGTTAATCGCGGCAAATTATCAAATCGTAATGAAAGTTTTTTCATCACTTGTTTCCATTGTGCAGATGTAACATTATTGTTTCGACTTCACAATAATGTTCGTACATCTCACTCAAGCTCATCTTTCAATTCTCGACATGACTATTCTTTAAATCTCTCAACTCTGATTGTATCTTTTCCCTATCATACTCTCTTTTCTAGATAAACAATCATATTATCTAGTTATCGTCATTTCCTGTCATGGATTGCCGACCCGTCTTCACCCTTTTACATTACATAACGGGGGACCAACGTGCCGGACTCCGAATCCTCCCCCCACACTACTGTAGTGTTCTGCACTGTTCGCCTATCGCCCGTTTCCGGTTTCTTCTCGTCGGTCCTCAAATTGCCCCTCCCTATCTCCACTGACGTTCTTCCTTTCTTCCTCCCCACTCTTTTCCCCCTCATTCGCAATCTGGTTGAGGCAAGTCGAGGCAAGGGCAAATGGTAAGGGGGGCCGGTCATCTCATCATCATCATAATCAATTGTAAAGTCTGCCTGACTTTACACCGTGTTGTATGTACTTCCAAGTACAATAATCCTCGATGATGCAAATGATGCAACCGTGAGGCTCTCTCGTGGCTGGTCGATCAGTCCGCCTTGGGCCAGGGTGATGGTTTGCTCCGGGTTTTTCCAGAATGATTCGATGCAGGCCAAGTCGCCACTACTGTAGGGATTCCTGTCTCTGACTACAGTACTACCGCTGCTTGCAGCGAATATTTGGTAGACTTCTCCCCAACCTACAGTTATCTTTGCGATACGAGAACCTCTCCTGGCTGGCGTACAGGGCACGCGGCATGGGGGCCACCCACGGGTTGCCCGGCGCGAAGTTTGAACTGGAAGCAGGATCCAAGCGCCGACGGAACACTGGACATCCAGTAGAACCAGGATAGATAGCATCTACCAAGGAATTGACTCTGAATCCAGTGCTACCTTGCCTTTTACTACTTCTTCTCTTGCCTCCTCGTACTTGCTATTATACTGGTTACTACTGTGCTATCGTGAACTCCGCTGGGGATATTCTCTATTTCTCCGGTTTACTTCCCTCCGGTTTACCCGTCAGCCCACTTTTCTCTTTTGCCCCGAAATCTTGCCCGCATTAGTGTCGATGGGCCAAAATCTGGGTTGGAGCAATCAGCGTGCAGCAAAGTCATTTAGTCGTGTCATATCTATTTCTTCTCTTACGATGAAAGGGGGGGCAATTTTCGCACAGACCGAACCCAGTAGATCGTACCGGGAGCCCCAATCGGGGATAGTCTGAACTTGGGTAAGTCGGAGTCGCCTTGCCTCCCCCATCGCCTTCACCGGAGTCGGCCTGCCGTCAAGGTAAAAAGCCGCAGGAAAATTCCCTTCCATAGATAATAAGAGTGGATCATATCAGAGTGTGTAATTGATTGTTGCAACCAAGTGAATATTACTGGAACAAGCAATTCCCATCCTTCCTCCTCCTATGGTTCTGGGTCTTATCGCCCTGTTGCATCCACTTCGTTCCATTCCATTACCTCGTACGGCGTAGTTCGGGAGTTTCTCTCCAGAATTCCCTCATTTCCCCATACTTCGTGGCATTCAACCAGTACGACTCTCCTCCTGTACAGTATTATTATTATCCTCACTTCTCCCTGTCCTTCTTCTGCTCTTCCTTCTTTTTTCCTTTTCCCCTCACACTTCAATCTCATATTCACACAATCTCCCCTCTCCATAGAATGGTCATACACTGTTTGACCCGTTCCACCCACTCTACGTGCTTGCACACCCTCCGCGTCCCTTCCCACCGTGGGATTGGTCTGCTCCTGTGAGGCTCTCCTCCTCAGCCTTGATCTACTCGTACTTTCAACAACGACGCGTATCAATTCTCTTCACTCGGATTCTTCAAAATGCCTCTTCGCGATACATTCAAACGGGTCTTCCACCGTTCCTCATCCAGCAAGGATTTGAAAAATGGCAAACCCAAGGTCGAATACTATCGTCGCCATGAGATCCCCCCCTCCAAGTTTCGCGGTCCCTTCGATAAGGAACACCAAAAGCGTCTAGCGGCCTGGTCGTTCGATGGTGCAATGGCCGAACGGCCGCGTGCTTCGGATGACTTGTCGCTTTCCCCTTGCGCCACTTACGATCTCCCCGACGGTCCTTTCGGTCCTTTGGATCCGCTTGATGGCGATGATACCGGTGATATTTCCCCCGGCGACGACGGCGTGCCGATCGATCCAGGTATGTACTAAAAACAACCATCACACCATCACACACACACAAAAAAAAGATAAGAGTCATGGAGAATTTGTCACACTCTCTTCTATGACTCGGATCATTTTTCCCCTTTTCCCTCTCTATCCTCCTCGCCGATTTACCCGAAACAAAATGACTCCACGTCCTGACACGCCGCCCCTCTTCCAGCTTTCACCGACTCCGACGCTTCCGTGCCCGAGCTACTTGACTCCTCCCGCCCCACTGTCGGCTCGCAATCATCCACTATCGTCAACTCCAGTTCCGAGAGTTATTCTGGTTCCATGATGACGCTTCTTCCGGAGGATCATCCCATCGGTCCTTATGAGCTCCCCGAGGATCCTATCGCCTTGCTCAAGGAGTCTATTCGTTATACCTCGCCTATCGTTCGGGCTATGTCGCCTGCCTCGCCTTATCCCATGTCGCCACGGGGTAAGAATAAGGGGAAGACACTGCCTTTTTCGGCGGAGGATTTGACTCGCGCTTTGAATGCTGTGCAGGTCTGCGCTTAGATGGGATGGGTTTCATCCGACCACCACCACCACCACCCCCACCAACCGTCTCCTACTACCTTTCGTCCCAATATCCTGGAGATTGGTCCCTTTTATATTAATCTCTTGCTTTGTGCGACTCGATGTCGCCTCGCTACCTTTTTTTTCTTGCTGCCACCTGTTATGGCAGCTGTGTGGGTGACTCGGATAAAAGCCGATAACCATCACCCACCACCGTTATTGATGAACCACGATCGAAACGGTTATTTCATTCCATCACACACGATGGAATCCGGAATTCCTGGCTGGAGCCGGGAATTTTTCCTCTTTGCTTAAGGATAAGCGAGAGACTTGCAAGTGCACAAGTCCCGCCCTCCTTATGCTGTTTTTCCCTTACTTGTCACGCATCTTGCATTTGAGCGTATACCCGTTACTGGCGTTTGATTGTTTTTGGCTCGGTTATACACGAACTAGGTACCGTGTTGCTGGTTGCGATGATGAACTCCTAGACTTGCTCTGTTCTGTAGTCGATAGTTGGATCAGATATCTAGATGAGATGAATGAAAGTCGCTAAACAAATTTAAATCAAACACTCCAGACGTAGTCAGAGTTCATTCAGTAGTTATCAAGAGATTCAGTAGGTATCAAGAGTAGCGAATGACTTGAGCTAAAGCTGCTGTTTCAGACTCAAAATAAGATAGATCCGTCCAGGAACAAGGTTATACTTCAACGGATCGGATCATATATCCTAACTTTCTTCACAAATATCCCAGACTCTGTATGGACTAGGGAACTCTATTCGCTCTCCAGCCCCGCAAGCCAAGACATATTCCCCGCACAAGCTAACCACATCGCAGACTATTTGCTTTCGGGATTTGATATCGACGAATCCGATGGTGATATTTTCAAGGGCTTGGGATCGACAATGTAAGAATTCTGAATGGGGGTTTTGAGTGGTTGATGGGTGAATCTGGGTTTGGGGGGTGCATGGGTGTGGTGAGGTTAGATAACTTTGTTGTGAGGGCGTTGGAAGTGGGGGTAGTGTGTTGGTGGTGGTCGATATCCTGGCGGTGGTGAGATTGGGATTTGTTTGGGTGTTTGGTTTGTATGATGGAGGTGTAATGGATAGGTCTGCTCGACTGGTGATTTGAGAATGCGTGTCTGTGTGTTGGCTGGTGGTTGAAAGTGCGATGAGTATTCTTTCACTGGGGTTCTGGATATATGTTGGTTCGGGAATGTCGAACATATTTGTTCATGCTATCAGTGAGCTTGCGTTTGTCTCTGTTGACGTTTTGTTCTCGATATTGAGAATAGGCTATTATGCTGGAAATATAGTGTAGACGTATAGAGCGAAAGTGTGTTGTGAGTAAAGGGCTGGTGACAAAATATAGCATGCCAAGCATATAACCCTATACATTTATCCCAGATTAGATTACAATACTCGACACAATAATCCTCCCTAACACTGTACATACTCACTATTATATCCCTAAGTCCAAGAATGCACCGCATCATGCGTAAGCTTCATCGTGATCTTGTACGACATCCAAAGGGCGAATTTCCAGTCCACACCATCACAATCACCAGTACACAGAGCCCTCGTGTTGTGCATTGTAAAGTCAACCACGAACTGCCACGTGGAGGGGCCTTGATCCCGCTTGTTAAACAAAAAGGAGTTCAGGATACTGAAATTGAAAGTGAAGTTGAAATTTCGAGAAGACAAGGCTATGAAAGACCTGAACATGGATGGGCAGGGTCGTGCTGGTATTTATGTTCAGCTCGTTCAGGCGCCCTGGTCGATGTGTGATGACCTCAGAACTAAACTGGACTGTCTTAGGTCATCCTCCCCACTAGTAGCCTTCCCCTGATTTAATATTTAGTCCTTGGAAAAATGCAGGACAGTGCATCCAAGGTGCTGGTGATAATTTTCCGCTTTTCCTTTAGTTGTTTGTTGGGCTTGGGCAGGGGTGGTTGATAGGTCTCGCCCATAGTGTTTGCACTCCACCACTTTGTACTCGGGGCAGGGATTGTGTAACGCTGAGATGAGAGGACTTGCGCATGCCTTGATTGCTCAATTTGTTTAGTTAATTAGACCGGTCAAGTAAACTGAAATGTATACGTTTTCAGCTTCATCTTTCCTAGTGGCATTTTTGTATTGAGCCCTCTTTGTGGCGGTGGGTTTCATGCTATCTAAATATACACACTCCAGTTCAATATGAAATTCTGCCTCGGCGTACCAGATGCGACGTAAAATATATAATTCCATGATGTAACTGTTACCTAGTCAATTCGTGATAAGTGCCAACGGCCCAATTTTAGGTCGCATATCTGCACATTTCAGGCATGTCGTACAGAGTGCGAATGGAGATCGATCTGGGCGATCATTTCCAGATACACACCGAGTATCGCCGCGTGGTTAGATCCATTGTTTCGAAATATTTATCTAGAAAATCTACATTTTGGATGAGTCCATTTCTACTGGTCCAGATTAATCTTTTCGAGACGTCGCACACAGCGAAGTCACATGACTGACCACGCCCTAGTCTTTGAGGCTGGATGCAGAATTATCGATGGCTGATTATCAGTTTATGCAATAAAAAGAGATTATACCGACCCTCTGTGAAACAGTGATGAGCGAATATTCATGTGGATCACGAAGTAGATGTAACACTGTTCCCGAGAAAGTGGTAAATCTAGTCGGCTCATCCTGGACCCGTTCTTGCTTAGTCGATATCAATGATTTTAAGGCGTAGAGAGTAGTATATTTCGTATGTGAAGAAACACTATTGATCTAGGCATGGTTTTAAAAATGCACGCCGTGGGAATCGATGAGGAGGCAGTCCTCGCTTGGAAATTAGATGCAAGGTACCGTCGACAATAGCATCGAAGTGGCTATGGCGGGCAGCAGTCTCCACCAGAAGTGGTGTGCCGAGTTTCAATAGACATTGCTGTGTTTAGTTAGGATCATTGGCATTGTATTCAGTCACACCGTATAAGAATGTCACACCAGGGTCTTTGCGTAGATGATTAGATGGGAGGCCCGAGACTCCCCGAGGGGTGTCATGACGAAATGTATCACTGGAATGGGGCACCTAAAAGTAGCATTTATTCACCAGGCACTGACTACGCACACCGTTATTTAAGCCCTGAAGGTACCCTCAATCTCATTGTAGACCGGCTCTTATTGTCCTTCTTGACATACGCTTACCCTCCACGTGGGAAGAACTCTTATCAATTGTATACATTGGACTCGCAAGGATATCCATATATACCTCAAGTGACCCCAGTTGTATCTCCATCTGTTCTTCTGCATGTATACTTGACTCTTTTGTAGACCACTGCTGCTCCGAATCTACCGCTCCCGGTCTATACACTTCCTATACACACGAACTGTCTATCCATCCATCATGCCTCGGTCCATGCGAGACCTTTTTTGCTTTTCGCGCCAGCAAGGTACCGAGAACGATTCAACATTAACAACTTCAAACAATGTAATTCGAGTGAGGTCTGTCCCCGGCACGGCTGTCACAGCCCGCCTCCCTACCCCTCGAGGGGTTACTCGAATTCCCATCAGGGCACTGTCTCCGGCACCATCACCCGGGTCAGCGAGTACATCCAGTACTTGCCCCTCGACTTGCAGCAGCTCGGCTGCAGAATCCATTATCACCGCTACCTCCGTGACCAGTGATGGCTCTTCCTTGACGTCCGGGACACTCGCCAAGCTGGGAACTATACCACGTCAGTACAATGGCACACCGTATTTCCCGATCCTGCAGCTGGATGGCACGCTGAGACCGCCATTGATCGCATCCCCACTGATCTCATTCGGTGGCTATGGCTCCTTTGGGGGCCGGTTCGTTCCTGAATCGATCATGGGATTTCTGTACGAGCTGACCTCGATTTTTGAGTCTGCCGTCTTGGATCCAGCCTTCTGGGCAGAATATGCTTCCTTTCAGATAAGGAACACGCCTCTCCAGATAGCTCGCAAGCTCACAGACTTAGTTGGCGGTGCTAATATCTGGCTGAAGCGTGAGGATTTAGTCGAGTACGGCAGCCACAAGACTCGCAACATCATCGGTCAACTTCTACTAGCCCGACGAATGGGTCGTGCAGAGATCGTCACGGACTGTGCCTCGGCCAAACATGGCAACTTCACAGCGGCAATGTGCACGCGCCTTAACCTGCGGTGTGTTATTATCATGGGCGCAGACGACGCACAGGCACAGCAAGAGGACGTCCTGGAGATGAAGATGCTCGGAGCCAAGGTCCTGACTGCACGAACCCCATCTGGTATGGGCACACTGCGCGCTGCAATCACAGAAGCACTCCGCTATTCAGTCTGCAACCATGAAACTGCATACTATCTCATGGGCGGGCCCGTGGGTCCCAACCCTCTACCAACCTTGACCCGCACTTTCCAGGCACTGCTAGGCGAGGAGGTCGCAGCCCAGATGCACACAGCGGTGGGCTGTCAGCCAGATGCCCTCGTCACCGCCGTTGGCAGTGGTGCAGGGGCGGTCGGTCTATTCCGACCATTTCTCCACGAGCCTTCCATTCGACTGGTGGGTGTTGAAAGTGCAGAGGCCGCAGCGCTGACCGAGGGCTCGGTTGGCGTTCTTCAGGGTGCGCGGACCCTGATGCTCCAGAATCACGATGGTCAAATCCTCGATTCGCACTCCATTTCACCAGATATGAACCTTTCCACCGTGGGGCCTGAGGTGGCTCATTGGAAGGAGTCTGGTCGAGTTGAAATCTCGACGGCCACGGATGCGGATGCCCTGGACGGGTTCAAAACTTTGCAGCGCCACGAGGGTATTCTGGCTGGCCTGGACTCGAGTCACGCGGTGAAGAGAGTCATGGATCTAGCGAGGGAATTGGGTCCAGGTAAGAATCTTGTTTTGTTGGTGACGGGTTGCGATACGATTGGTATGCGTGGGACGGATGTTTGATGACTCTAAACAAGGGTTGAGCGTTGCGGTGAAGACAAAGTGAGAGGCGAAAGAGGGATCGGTCTGGACATTTTTCTGCCTACCCCTCTGTTTTGTTGGATTTATTCTGCTATACTTTGCATTGTTTCGTATTCGCTATTCTCAATACCCTGGGGACTGGCGTTGAATTGTGTTGCTTTCCAGGTCGTTACTTATGCTGTTTATTATCGTTGTACATATCATACTGTTTTCTCTATAAGGGGGGGTTTTCCCGAGACACTTTCACCTGAAATAGTCCTTTTCTCTCTCCTCTAACACTAGTAGTATACGGCAACAGCTTAACCCGTGAGTCTGATTCAGAGACTACACCATTTCTCAGATGCAATGTAACTATATCGCCTCTCCTTGGCCTAGATGAGACATTGCTTTTGTACAACGCTTAGGGCTAACCAGAAGCCAATCAGCTTCACTGCTGCAAGAGCAAGTGCAGTTCAGCCTGTTTCTATTGAAACTTATTTCAACATGGACACATTTTCTTTTTCTTCTTTTGCTTCTTTCATCTAACTCTATCATAAGTAATTTGCAAGGGGGGTCATGTACATCGTCCTTGGAAGTGTAAAGTATCCAAGATTTGAGCAAGATCATTCGTAGATCAATTTTTCCGTTCTTCACCTCTTCAATCCTCGTGGGTCACCGACATGTCTAGCACCTCCACTCGTCCTCGCCCACGAGTCTCATTGCCAATGACATCATTCAGTCCCTTGAATGCTCCCGGCTCAGCAAAACCCACCACTTCCCACTCATCGCCGCTCACTTCCTGCGATTCAACCGCCTCGATATAGTTGAGAATTTTATCCTTGACGGTGCCAGCGGCCTTGGGTGCCGCCTCGGAGTCATCTCCACCAGCCTCGTCGTCAGAATCATCTCGCTTTGACTTCTTGTTTCCCTTGCCACCCTTCTTGTTGCCTTTAGCCGGCGCTTTTTCTTCCTTGGCGGGTGCAGCACTCGCGGCGGCCTTGACGGACTGCTTCAGCAGTGACACCGGGCACGTAACCCGAAGACGCATCCGCGCGCGCATCACGGGAATAGGTTGCCACGCGATAAGAGCCTTCATAGCGTCGAGCGCCTGACTCTTCGCGGATCGATTGGAAGAAACTCCGGTCCACAGGGGCTTTTTGGAGAGTTCCTCTCCAGCCCCATTTGCCTCGCCACTTTGTTGTTGACCACTAGCCGACAATAACTGGTCTAGTGCTTTGGATATCATACCCGATGTGTAGACACGTTTGGTATTCGGGTCGACGAGTCGTCCGGACACAATATCCAACACCTCCTTCTCTACTCGTTCGAGAGCATCTTTGCGTTCGCGCTCGCCGACTTGCACCTCGCCCTTGCGTAGGATTTCCTGCAGGATTTCATCTCGAGGGGTGTCTGCACCAAAAGCTTTTGTGAGTTCTGCGGAGGGGGCGGTTTGCGCTTTTGATACGGAGAGGAAGACGGTGGGGACTTGGAGAACGTTGTCGAGATCTTTTTCAGCGCCGGATCGGTATTCGAGCAACTTGTTTTTGTAGCAGGCGAGTTCGAAGCGCTTTTTGCCTGGAAAAAAAATAAGACATAGAGGTTAGCACGGCGTCAAAAAAAAATGAAAGCTCTATCGCAGGCGTCAGTCTTATCGGTCTTACCTTTCTTCAGTCGGACTATCGACACATTAGTGAATTTAATCTGGTTGGAGGGTTGGTTGATCGGCATGGTGAATAGAGGCCACTTGAGCCTGGTCCAGAGTTGCGATAAAATGAAAGCACCTGCTTGTAAGCCGACTTTATCAAGGACGACGGATGTTCTTTTCCGAGCGGCGGTCCGAAGTTATTTACAAAGTTTCCCAAAATTGTCCCTCCATCGTACTTGCCCCATTCAGGATCTGCGATGAGTCAGCAGCTTCCTTTTTCAGGTTTCACCCCCGCATGACTCAGCGAGTCACGGGGTGGATCGGCTTATCGGGCGGAGACTCCTCATCCGGCGTCATCGTTCCCAAGGTTCCCCTTCCTTCCCCCCAACCTCTTCCTCTCTATCATTCCCCGATTGCAGGCCCTGTCTTGCATCGATTTCCACTTTTGACTCATAAACACTTGGGTGACTGGTTTCTGTATGTTATGCCCTTTCTCCCTTCTTGTTTACTCTGTCGTCCGACGAGTTGCCCGATCCGTTACTGATAAGAGCTGCCGCCCAGGCCTCCCAGGTACCCGCTTACCCATCAACAAGCCATTATCTCCATCTTTCCATCTCTCTGTGAAGGCCATTCATCATGAGACTTCTGCCCGCCACTCTGCTGGTGGGAGCTGCTTCGGCAGCGGCCCCGCCTTTGCAACAGGTCATGGGCATCCACCGTGAGCACGTTGAGGACTTGGCCCAGCAAGGCTCCAACATCATCGAGGACTGGGCCAAGCAGGGTTCCAACACCTTTGAGGACTGGGCCAAGAAGGGCTCCGATGCCTTCTCCAAGCTGAAGGATGACTTTAGCACTCTTTCGGATGAGGCTCGTGGCCTGTGGGAGGAGGTTGCTAACCACTTCCCCAACACCATGGATCACGCTCCCATGCTCTCTCTCCCAAAGAAGCACACTCGCCGTCCTGACTCCCACTGGGATCACGTCGTCCGTGGCAAGGATGTGCAGAACATCTGGGTCACTGGTAGCGACGGCACCAAGGAGCGTGAGATTGGCGGCAGGCTCGAGGCTTACGACCTCCGCGTGAAGAAGGTGGATCCCAGCGCTCTAGGTGTGGATCCCAATGTCAAGCAATACAGTGGTTATCTTGATGACAACGATAACGACAAGCACTTGTTCTACTGTAAGTTGGAATCCTATGTTTAGTTCTCTATCATACTAATCTCAAGAAGGGTTCTTCGAGTCCCGTAACGACCCTGAGAACGACCCTGTCGTCCTCTGGCTGAACGGCGGCCCTGGCTGCTCTTCCCTGACCGGTCTCTTCATGGAGCTCGGCCCAGCCTCTGTGAACAGCAAGATCAAGCTTGTCCACAATGACTACTCCTGGAACTCCAATGCTTCAGTCATCTTCCTGGACCAGCCCGTCAACGTTGGTTACTCGTACAGCGGCAGCAGTGTTAGCGACACTGTCGCTGCTGGCAAGGACGTCTATGCTCTGCTGTCCCTGTTCTTCAAGCAGTTCCCTGAGTACGCCAAGCAGGACTTCCACATCGCTGGCGAGTCCTACGCTGGCCACTATATCCCTGTCTTTGCCTCTGAGATCCTGTCTCACAAGAACCGCAACATCAACCTGAAGTCCGTGCTTATTGGTAACGGTCTGACTGATGGTCTTACCCAGTACGAGTACTACCGCCCCATGGCTTGCGGTGACGGTGGTTACCCAGCTGTCCTGGATGAGGCTTCCTGCCAGTCCATGGACAACGCTCTGCCCCGCTGCCTGTCCATGATCAAGGCCTGCTACGACAGCGAGAGCTCCTGGGTCTGTGTCCCGGCCTCCATCTACTGCAACAACGCTCTGCTTGCTCCCTACCAGCAGACCGGCCAGAACGTCTACGACGTCCGCGGCAAGTGCGAGGATACCTCCAACCTGTGCTACAAGGGCATGGGCTACGTGTCCGAGTACCTGAACAAGGAGAGTGTTCGTGAGGCCCTTGGTGCCGAGGTTGACGGCTATGACTCGTGCAACTTTGACATTAACCGCAACTTCCTCTTCCACGGTGACTGGATGAAGCCCTACCACCGTCTGGTCCCCGGTCTGATTGAGCAGATCCCCGTGCTCATCTACGCCGGTGATGCTGACTTCATCTGCAACTGGCTCGGCAACAAGGCTTGGTCTGAGGCTCTCGAGTGGCCCGGCCAGAAGCATTTTGCCAGCAAGGAGCTGGAGGACCTTGTGATCGAGCAGAATGAGCATGTTGGCAAGAAGATTGGCCAGGTCAAGTCCCACGGCAACTTCACCTTCATGCGTCTGTACGGCGGTGGCCACATGGTCCCCATGGACCAGCCCGAGTCCAGCTTGGAGTTCTTCAACCGCTGGCTGGGTGGTGAATGGTTCTAAGCGTCTGTCATTATCGCTATGATATCTTGCATTGCCACCTCTTGACCACCCAGTTCGTGTTCAGTTTGGGCTGCATGCTTTTAACTGCAACGGATGTCTTTGGCTGGTGCGAGTTAAGCTTCAGTACCAATTTGCTTGTGTTTAGATGGAGTGGTTCATGTCGATAAGTATATACACGCAATGTCAATTTCAAATGAAATTCTGTTTACATGATTTATCATAAAATGTTGTAGATATTATAGACACGTAGACGGGATTAATGTGGCTTGTCTGGAAAGTTAGCAGGGCCAACCTCTAGTTAGGTAACAAATCTATTGTGTCGGCAGCACTAGTACGTATGACGGTAACCCATAGTGACATCCCGAAAAGATAAGACAATCAAGGCTTGATTGCCTCGCATATGAGGAGCCTTTAGTGTAAAAAAGGTTGTGCATTCCGGTATTCAGTCCCAAGTCCGATGATGGGGACCATCTACGAGGCCAGAGACAATAGGCAAAAACTACTAGGAGCAAGTCAACTCCATTGCAGCCCTAATAGCCACATGAACCCCAACAGGTAGGTCCAGTCCAGGCCAATTTTAAAAACAAAACAAAGCGATCGGTTCATTTCATATTGGTATGATTCATTTTCAATTTTTAGGACCGGCATCACACCCAGTCCAGCGGGGAAAAGATCCCACGGATGCCCATAGAAACACACCGACAATAAAGGAATCCCTCCATAAACCCCCGGAAAATAAGACAAACACAATACGTTTAGCCCTTCTTCTTGCTGACACCGACGGTGCGGCCACGGCGACCAGTGGTCTTGGTGTGCTGGCCACGGACACGCAGGCCCCAGTAGTGACGGAGACCGCGGTGGGAGCGGATCTTCTTCAGGCGCTCGAGGTCCTCACGGAGCTTGGAGTCGAGACCGTTGGAAACGACCTGGGAGTCCTTGCCGTCGGTGATGTCGCGCTGTCTGTTCAGGAACCACCCGGGGATCTTGTACTGGGTGGGGGTCTGGAGGATGGTGACGATACGCTCAAGCTCTTCGGTGGTAAGCTCACCGGCACTGTATAGATCGAGAACTGTCAGCATTTCCGCTCGGGAAGGCGTGTTGTCGATAACTCTGCAATGTCCTCAGAGTGTCTTGGTGGTTGTTCCCCACTCCTCGGTTTCCGTCCCATCCCTTTAAACGCACACACAGACGATATGAATTTTCATTTCAGGTCGACAATATCGTAGTCCGTCAAGTCACCATCTCCTGTCTCTCTTCCATTCCCTGTAAAATCCAACCGCCCAAGACACCCAAGAACCTTGCAGAGAGTCGCTGGTATTTCCGATAAAAACGTACCGCTTGTTGAGATCGACATCGGCCTTCTTGCAGACCAAGTTGGAGTAACGGCGACCGACACCCTTGATCTGGGTCAGGGCGTACATGATCTTCTGCTTACCCTCAACATTGGTGTTGAGGAGACGCAGAATGTACTGGAAGTTTGTCTTCTCGCCGGACACGAGCGCTGTAAATCGGGCGACAAGTTAGCTGACATTATTCTTTCATCGAGGTGCCCATATTTGTGGCAGGCGGGTTTTGTTTGATGCTCTCGTTGCATTTGTAGAATCGAAAACTGGCGTGGGAGAGGGCAACATACACATGATGGGCGATGGGCGCGCGGATCGCGATGTGTTGACGACAAGAGGAATGGTGAGGAGGAAGTCTCGAGTGACTTTTGCTTCCGTTGTGGGATAGGGTAATTGGGGCGCTAGCCTGTTTGGGAAAAGTGCGGTGTGAGGGCTCGCTTGATGGGAGCACTAGTCCTGTTTCGGGGGTCTTGGTCATGTGCCATTTTCCCCTTGGCTTTTTGTGGTGTTCATCAGTGATGTCACCTGACTTGTATGTAAAATTGGTAACTGCCACTGAAATTAACTGGCTGGGATAACCTGTATGTTTCAATGTTACATGTCCACTGATGATCACTAGGCAGTGCCCTACTCTTCTTTCTTTGATACTCCATCAAGTTTGAATTCAACATGTTTCTCCTGGCACGAGCCCATGGCGCTTCCAGTCGAGTCTTTGTTCTGTCCCTGGGGCCGAAAGTAACCCTGCAGCTTATACTTTTTCTCAGTTTGAATCGATCTGGCCGTGGGCTGCCGATGAATGTCTTCGTGTATACAGCTTCCTCTCTTGCAAGGTATCTTCATTAAATGGATTCGACCATCTCGGGTGGCACTACACAAAGAACACTCCCTGCGCTCTCCAACTACTGCTTTGTAGTGGGAAGCCACGAAATTTCTGGACCTTCTGAACTCGAGCTTCGACGGACTCGATGTTCTCTTTGTTTCCCAGATGACCCCCGGACTTTGGGAAAGAAGTGTCCATTCATTCAACCCAATCGACGCCACAGACCAACCTTGACTTTCCCGCCAACATCTTGGACTTCATTTTCTGTTTCTCTTTGTTCTTGGTTACCTCGTCTGTCCGTCAAAATTGTCAGCTGATGCCAAATTTAGTACCAGGAGCCCAGCATAGCCGACTTCAAAGGCAGGTCCCCTACAATTCAAAATGGGGCCTCCGAAAAGACCAGGGCTTGAAAGACCCATGGACGTTGTTCAATTGGATTCTCTTTCATTGTCTCGAGGGAGATTTTATCATTTCTATATCTCGGAAGAGAGACTCGATGGAGTGATTGCCTTGGTCAAATCCTCCCCCCAGCTCGACAACATAAGAATCCTTTCAACCCCCCAGAACCGTCTTGCAACCCGTCAATCTTCTTGTCTCTCGCTGCTCAATTCCTGACTTGAAACATCATTAGATTACCAGTCCATCCTGATCGCGTCTTGTTTCTCTCTTCATCTTCCGTTATTTTGAGTTAGGAAATTCATTCCTACATTCTTTGACTACCCTCATTTCCTCTACCAACCCTCGTGCCCAGAACTTCACAGCACGATGCAGCAGTTTCCCAGTGGCCCTGATGAGATTCAAGTGCCGTGGGAGCAAGTGCCGAAATATTCCCTGGATGCGCTTCCAGACCCTCCGGATGATTATATGTTTCTTGGGCGTCCTTACAATAGTAACTGGAGCAAAATCCGAACCCCCTTACTCTATCAACTGAGAATATTCGCCAAACTCTTTCTATGGGGATTTGAATGTGGCACGGATTCAAAGGGCGCTATTCACAAGTCCCTTGCTAAGCTCAATTATTATATGAGACCGGAGTATCAATTCCGCACGCAAGACGAAATGTTCGACCTCTCACGAGACGGTGGCCCGCGACTTCTGCGATACACAATTAGACCTACACCCTTCCCGGTCAGCCGCCATTACCCTGGGTTGCTAACGGAGGATGAGATGCGGCAGCTTGGAGCGGAACATTATGCCCGCCCAGCAGATGCACCGGCGGATTTGGACGACAAATTCATTTTTCAATTCTTACTGCCACCCCACACGCCTATGACTCTACCAGCAATCCCTCAACCACCTCAGCTGAGCCAGCTTGTGGAGGGGGCCCAACAATCACAGGCACCGGAGCCGCAAAAGTACAAATATCTGAACGATTTCAACCCCAATCCCGTCCGAGAGGCAATTGAAAAGGCTATGGTCAACCTTTGCTACAAGAAACTCGAGAGGCACCCTCATGCACCGACCATGGCCCCAGTGGGTACCCGGGTCGCCGTTTCTAACAATGACCTGGGCATTGTGCAGGTCGGCACTCATACGACTGTTTCGGAGGTGCGATTGAATCCGCACACACATAAGTTTGACCCGGCGGGATTTCCATTTCCATATCGTGGTCGTGGTCCCGTCTGGGCCGATGGGTCGTGTGCCATTGATACCGTTATCGTGATTGGCATGCTGACCCAGGCCGGTTGTACCATGATTGACCGGGAAAATGGTATGGAAGAGAAATTCACGGAGATTGAAAAGGCCTACATCCAGGTGACCAACATGAACTGGGATGCCTTTGATGACAAGGTGTCGATTGAGCTTCGCCATTCGTTTTACAATCTCCTATGTGACCATATACCCGACATCAAACGGGGCGAGTCAGTCCCGCCCTGGGTGGTTTGGGCCGAATCCACCAGGAACTTTGCGCAATTTCAGGTCAAATACTTTGAGGAACCGAAAGATGCATGCTCCATGTGTGAAAGAGTGGAGACCGAACGCATCCCCGTGGTTGGCAATTGCTTGAATCCATACAAGCAGGATGGAGATAACCAAGGTGTTGAGATGTCGAAGTTGATTGAACGGGCGTGGAGTCTAGAGCCTATTCACTACAGCTGTGGGTATTGTCTTGAACCGAAGGGGCCGAGCAGGTTGAGATACGTGACAGAACTCCCTCTTCGCTTGGTAGTCACCGCAGGTTCTAGTTTCCGTGTTCTGGGCCACACCCAAAACCAGAAACTTGTTTACAGGGACGCGGACGGAAACATCCAGACAGCGGTCTATCGCTGGATGGGCGGAGTCTACTACAAAAACGATCATGTCCGGGTCTTCTGGAACGACAGTGAAAGAGGCGAGTTTGACATGGGCAACCTCCGCAAGTACGACGGCCAAGATGCAGGGGGAGTCATCATCGGTAATGTTTCGCCGTACTCACGAGAGGAACGAGTTGCGCCCGAGTGGCTCCAGGAGGGCCTTCCCGTCGCAATGTACGAGCTCGTCATCAACCCAAGCCAGGACATGTTGCACGCCGCGGCGGAGACTATCACCGAGATGTCCAACCTCATCGCTCAGGATAAGCCCTTCCTCGTTCAGCATTACCCTTGGTTTCCGCTCGTCGAGCGCAAGTCGCCTTACCTCCCTCTGGAGCGCATCCTCCCTGACACCGGCGAGCGATACTACGAGAAGGCTCTCACACCAACGCCAGAAGTGCAACAGCCGCAGAACACCGACATGAATGAAGTCCTGGCCGAACAGCTCGCCGAATGGAGAATGCAATCCGGCACCGACGTCTTAGAAAGTCTGAACGCCGAAATGGAACAAATGGATCCCGGTCTTCTCCAACGCCTCGCACACAGCGAGCCTCTCTTCAGCTCATTCAACGACGACCCGAACGACCTCATCAATCATCTGGAAATGTGGCCCGAGGCCGCGCCCCCACAAGAAGGTGGTACAACTACATTCCCCAATCTTCCCAAAACCCCGACCATGCCCAGTGCTCCGGGTGCTCCGGGTGCTTCGAAGAGTCCGTACTGGAATTGGATCAATTTGTCTCCGAACAAGAACGCCAAGGCAGGCGGGTTTAGAAGTCCTGGCGAGAAAACGGTGACGGTGGTGAATATTCGTGATGATTGTCGTGTTGGTCCGTCGCCGTACCAGTTGTACAAGGTTCCTGTCAAGTCTATCAAGGCTGCGATGAGGCGACTTAGTGCGGCGCAGCTGCAGAGTCGGAGTCTGCCGAAGAAGAGGTCGAGATTGGAGGAGTTGAAGGATGATGAAGCGGGCAATAAGAGGACGATGAGGAAAAGTAAGAGGTGAACAGTATAGAGTGGGGGTTGTAGGGGGGCTTGGAGGAGTTGAAGGATGATGAAGCGGGCAATAAGAGGACGATGAGGAAAAGTAAGAGGTGAACAGTATAGAGTGGGGGTTGTAGGGGGGCTTGGAGGAGGACTCGATGTTGGCCCTCGGTGCTTGATATACCCGTTTTCTTTTTGGTATTGTTTCTCGATTATTTCTTTTCTCGGGCTGGCCTCAACCGCGAGATGTGTTATTCTGCGTTTTGTCCGGGTATATTCTATCTTGCTCATGTTTGCTTTCTTTTGTGACATGAATAGTTGATTGTTCGATAGTGATTCTCTAGAGTTAAGTTGCTTAGTTCATGCTATTTTGTTTCTCCCATTATCTTCCGTCTACAATATTTAAGTTATACCCAATCTATTATTAATAAGAATTGGCCACACAACCAGCACTAGCATGTCACAGCAGTAGTGTGTAATTATATATGTACCAGTGTTGTCACATTCCTGTTGTGGTGCTGTTTACCTGACAAAACATCGCCGATACAAGTTGATGGAGGAATGAACCAATAAGAGCCTTGATATTAACCATCGGGTATACTAATTTGGTAAGGAAACTAAGGAAACTAAACGAGTGGAGGCGGCCGCCCCCGCTTACCCCAGACTCAGACTCTCTCTCCTCTTTCCCGCCCTGTTCTCCGTCTTTTCTTTTCATCTTTCCCCCTTCTTCTCTTCTTCACCATTGCTATATTCTTGGTTTTTGTCCTTTCCCAGATCTGAATGATTAGACAGTTTCCTGTTTTGTTCTAGGCTACGAGGTTCTCTAAACTCTTGATACTCGAGAAAAGCCTATGCATTGCCATGTTCCCTGGCTACTAACCAAACAGGCAACTCACCAGAATCCTCATACAGACAGACTATCGTCCCATCCAGGCTATCACGGGTGATTCGGATTATCAAATATCTTTCACTCATAATCTATGATCTATTTACATGTCTATACCCAGTCTCTATACTGACGGGCCAGATCTATCAACACAGGGGGAATTCCAACACAATAACAAAACAGAAGCAGGACAGTCACGCACAAAATCAACAAAAGAGAAACACGAAGCAGTCTCTACCGCTTACAGACGAGCACGAGGCTCACCCTTAGCCTTGCTGGGACCCGTGGCCACGTTGCTCTTCTTAGGAGCAGACACATAACCACCCAATTGATTATCAGTGTTGACGACATTACCCTTGGCATCACGACGGATACCCAGCTCAACCAACTTGGCAAAGACCTTGGCAAAGTGATCGAAGAACAGCTCCTTGTCCTCGGCATACCGCTGCACCCACGGCAAGAAGGCCGGGTCAGTCTTCAGCGCCATATCGGTCGGCAGCATCATGAGCGGCTCCTCGTCCTCCTCCGCATCGGGATCCTCATACACAAACTGGGTCATGCCCGTCGCCAGTTTGCGGGGCTTCCAGTCCAACTGCAGCAGCAACTTGAAGAACGAGTTGGAGAACCGAGTCGGGTTCGTCACCCACGGTCCCTCGAATCCACTACGGTCGCCGTGGCAGCGACCGAGGTTGTGACCGCCAGACAGCGCAACAATCTCTTGATCGTTGAAGCCCATGCGGTTGAAGATGAAGCGCAAGTGATCAGCGCCCAGGGCACCGTCGGGCAGGCGTCCTCGGGGTGGAACCTTGGAGTCATCGACCAGGTCGGTACGTCCACCCTGCCAGGGGATATCAGGTCCGCCCAACTCCTTGATTGCGACTACGCCTGCCAGAGTCCACAAGTCCGAGTATGTGATCCATGGGTGCTTTTCCTTGATCGGCTCGAGGAACGCGCGACCGTGTTGCAAACCCGCGTTGGCCGGGTCGCCACCTTCAGTCTCATAGCGCATACCGGCGCCGTTGGAGCCGCCAGTATCGGATTCGGCATCATAAGTACCAGCGGAATGCCTGCATGGAGAAGAGATGGTTAGCAAATCTTGTTCCTGTTTAAGGTTCACTACCGGCATCCCGACCGATCGTCGGGATCTCGTCATTCGCCGACCGAGACGACAAAAACATACCATGCCAACCGCACAAACACAGGGCCTGCGCTTCCATCGTCATATCCGGGCTTCTGGAGCTGAGCAGCGATATCCTTGCGGACCGCCTCATAGTCACCGTGGCGACTCATTCTCGGCCGATAACGTCTGGGGTAAAGAGTGGTGAAAGGGCTCGAAGGATGCGGATGCGGATCAAGAACGCAAAAATTGCTTCCGAACCGACTAATTTCTGGTCTTCAAAGAAAGGAATGAAGATTTCAAAACAGATGAAAACACAGAAGAGAAAGAGAAAAGAAACAAAAGGGGATCGAGGAAAGAAAAGAAAGGGTCGCGAATCCTGGAGTGGTTGATTCTCCCACATGAAGACCGCCAGTGGATCCACAGGACAAATCCAATTTGTCCGCCGTCGACCAGCCAAAATGCCGAGGTTCTTTTTCGGTCGATGATACCCCGTTTTATCCCCGATGAGCTCTTTTACAGTCTCTGACTCTCATGCTGCAGGCGCAATTCGGCTGCTTGGTTTCGTGTGCGAATTCTTCCGATTCTCGGCCATTCTCGCGATTTCAAAATCTATGTAAGTGTGGCTCGGACTGTATCTAACTTGCGATCAGTTTGAGTGAAGTCATAATCATACTTTTTTGGCGGCGATCAAATGCCGTCGGCCTGGAAATCTGATTGCCTCGGAACTTGAAAGCCGACCTTATCGTCTAGCCCGTGCTACAATCACGATACGATAGAGCTTCGATATCGCGTGCGATCGGGTTCTCGAATTGATTAACTAGGATTTACAGATTTACAGATTATTTGCTTCACTGCAAAACTTCCATGAATTGAGCTTTGAGGTCGCCAACCTGCAATTACCCACCCCGAACATTTCCTAGATAATCAAACATTCATGGCCAATCGGCCAGGAGTACATGGCCTGCAAACGAGCACCTGTAACTCCTAACCTGCAACAAACTCCCCCGGAATGAGACAGAAAGATGAAAAGAAAAAAAAAAAAAAAAGCTCAGAAATAGAAGAAATGCAAATCAATCACAGTCCTTTCATGAGCCCATCCTCCTTGATGTTATCCTCCTCCCACTCTCCATCAGCATTGTCCTCATCCTGAACCATCTGCTCCTGACCATCATAGCCCCGATTCTTCCTCATCTCCTCACAATACCGATTAACGCGCTCAGCGCGTTCATCGAACTCCTTTTGTGCCTTCTCCTCGAGATAACGAGAATAGTGCTCAATGCGGTCATCTAATTGCTTCTGTGACTGGAACGGGCGTCCTTGCGCCTCCACAGACGCAACCCGCTCCTTCAACACCCTCACCTGCTGCTCCAACCAGTCAACTTTATTCGCGTACATCTGGCCCATGACATCCATACTTTGCGCGAGCTCCATGTAATTCTGGTGCTTTTGAGTGTTCTGTCTCTTGAGTCTGGTAATCATATCCTCCAATCGATCCTGCATCTTGAGATTGTTCTGTCCCATGCACTGCATCATGGTTGAGACTTGGAAGATGTTGTCGTCGCTGAGGATGCCGTTTCGGTGATACTCGTTGATAGAGGAGACGCTTGCAACGATGTCGTCGACGATGGAGTTCATGAGTCGGGTCTTGTCTCTTGAGTTGCTCATGTGCTTGACTTGTTCGACGCGTAGGACGGAGTAGCCGGGGACGAAATCGGGATTGGATGCGTTGGATTGGAAGATGGTGGGTTTTCGTGGAGGGGTTCCTGGCTTTGGCTTCAGGGTTGGACGGGGCCTGGCCATTTCGGCGGAGTCGTTCTCGGTGTCGCTGGGCATGATTTTGTCTTCTGATGGTGGCTGTGATGGTGGCTGTGGTGTAGGATATGGGGATCGAGAGACGAAAAGTTTTGGGAAAAGTGAAGCGAGGATAGAAGACATGGGAGGGCGAGGAGAGCTGAGATGGTTGAAGATGGTTGAAGTTTTTGTTTGGGATAAGAAGGCGCTTTGATGCTGTTGACGCGCTTCCTTTTTGATAGTATCAATCAAACATGGCAGGTGCGTCACGCAAACCGGGTCGCGGGTTCTTCAAATTCTTTCATGGCTGGGGCGCCGCCACCCTTGTTGAAAATAAGGAAGGAGCGAATTTCTGCCAGCCTTTCGAACATATCAGGGAATAAGAGATGTTTGGTACCCTTCCTAAAGAGAGGAGGAAGAGAAGACCAGGGCTTCTTATAGAGGGCCACGATAAAGAGTGCAAAAAGTGATAGTACTAGAAGTATTGAGCAGTAGTTACAAACTCCCATATCATCATCCTCAGTTGCCTATCCGACATATACTCAATTGTTTAGACAGTTATAGATAGGTTCAAGGGGATAATAGTAAAGAATAGATCATATTACCTTTCATCAAGCGTGCCTACCGTTTCTATAGAACTACAGCTCGGCCACAATTGCATCGCCCAATTCCTTTGTACCCATCGTGCCCCCTAGATCAGGTGTACGCAAGCCCTTATCAAGCACATTTCGCACTGCATCCTCTAGATGTCTAGCTTCATCCTCCATGTTCAAGGAGTACCGGAACATCAATGCCACACACAAGATCATCGCGACAGGGTTAGCAATATTCTTTCCCGCAATACTATCAAACAGATTAGTATACCAGGTAACCCCTAATCGGCAGTGTTAGAACTCACGTTGGAGCCGAGCCATGAGTAGGCTCATACAGCCCATACGGCCGCTTGTTAAGTGTCTTATCACCAGGCAGCCCATTGAGACTAGCACTCGGCAAAACACCCAAAGTCCCAACAATCGAGCCCGCCTGGTCGGAAATCATATCGCCAAAAGTATTATCAGCGAGAATCACACCGTTCAAGGATCGTGGGTTAGTTGCCAGGATCAAAGATGCAGAGTCGGCCAGTTGGTGGACTAGTTTGAGCTGTGGGTATTCGGTGGTCATGGTCTTTTCGACGACACGACGCCAGAGGCGAGATGAAGCTAGGACATTTGCTTTGTCGAGGGAGATCACTGGCCAGGGGGGATTATGGCGTAGAGCCACTTCTGCGGCGAGACGGGTGACTCGTTGGATTTCTGCTTCGGAGTAGCCCCATTCATCCATTGCTGTTGAAGGTAGTGTCAGCAGGTTAATAAGAACTCGGTTGGGAGATGGTACTCTATATACCATAAGTTGGATCCTCGACTTTCCTCCCAAAGTAAGCACCACCACAATTCTCCCGAACAACTACAAAGTCCACCCCTTCACTTGTACCATCCTTCTCAGATCCAAAAAGCACCTCATGCCGAAAGGGGCTAAACTCCTTCGCAATCGATGCACTAGGCGAGCTAGACGAGCACGGTCGCAAATTGGCATAGATATCCATTGCTTTGCGAAGCTGCAGTAGTCCACCCTCGGGTCCATCGAGACCCCGGCGAGCGTTGTCCCACTTGGGGCCGCCGACTGCTGCGAAGAGAACCGCGTCCGAGGCAAGAGCTGCTTGCTTGACTTCTTCGGTAATGGATTTACCGGTTGCATCTATGCTGCAACCGCCGATGAGTTCTTGGCGGAGATTGAATTTGTGGTCGGGGCTTTCGAAGGCTTTGAGGACTTTGATTGCTTCCGTCATGACTTCGGGGCCTATACCGTCGCCGGGGAGGACGAGGATATTGTGAGTTTGGGCCATGGTTGAAAAGGATGAAAGGTATTCTCGATGGGTTTGTCGTAGAAGGGCGAGCTGGAGGATGAGATCAGCTTCTAATCTTTTAAGGTAGTCTTGCTTGCTTGAGGTATAGAAGCACTCCTATATCGGGGTCGGTGTTCCAACCGAATAATGCGGGGTTGAAGCGTCTCGGGCGTTCTCCGACGTGAGGATATCCGAGATGCGGAGGGCAGTGGATGTATCAATGGAAGGTTATTCCTCTGGTATTATAATTGAGAGTTCGCAGGGGCTGTTTACACACGATAAATGCTTTTTGGTGCTAACCGGGCCATAGTTTTGTAGCCTGTTTTGACTTTCTACCGTGTTACATAGTTCAGTTGGATCCTGAGGCAGTAAGGTGTCGAGGATCTAGGGCTGTATCCTGGCACGTGATCTTATAGGTTGTTCAGGATGTGTGGTTGTCTCTGATTGTTAGGAGTCATTAGACATGAGATAATTTACTTTGTCAATTCCAGACCCGGGATGTACAGATTTTTTCAACGAAATATTAGATGTGAGGACTGGTAGTTGAGGTTAAGCAAAACCTTTCACATGAAACCTTCTAGAAACTGCCCGTTGGGCTTACATCATACGTTCCTCCCCTCGTATTTGCACTGTTTGCACATCGGCGATTTCTAATCCCCGCAAAAAAAGTCCATGAGGAATTATACTTCTCTGTACAGCACCACCTCGCATTAACATCATGTCGCGGATTGAAGAGCTCCCAGACGACTTCGATGAGTCGCTCAACCTCAATGAGGCACCACCCCAGGTGGCTCAGGACCTGCCCCAGCCCGGCTTCGACGCCTTCGCCGCAAACAATGAAGCGCCTTTTCCGATCAATGAAGAGAGATTGAAGGAGATCATGAGTGACCCTAATCACCCTGATTTCCCCCCAGCCATGGCCTCAGTCAAATCACATTCCAAGGAAGAATTGCTGGATATGATGAACAAGACCCCGCTGTTTATGACGGATATTGAGAATGCTGGTGATGAGAGTATGTTGGATGTTCCTTTGCCTATCGCGTTTTACCTCTCTTTCACTTGGGAATGAAATGCTAACACCTTTTTCTTCCCTCCAGATGGCGAGAATATTCTTTTGGACGCTCTTCAAGCTCTCCAAAATGAAGGAACCCGAGCTGAGGTCGCTCAAAGTTTCAAGGAACAAGGCAATGAGGCTGTCGCAGAAAAGCGTTGGATCGATGCCAAGGAGATGTATACCAAGAGCATTGCTGTCGTCTCTGCTAAGGAAGACAAATGGGATAAGCCTGAGGATCTCAAGGCGGAAGAGAAGCTCCTACGCCAGATGGAGGAAGTTTCACACAACAACCGCGCATTGTGTAACCTTGAGCTTGGTATGTTCTCGTTATTACGCGGTTCTTTTAGAATTGCTGCTTACAGAAACCCTGGCTATAGGCAACTACCGCTCCTGCACACTTGACTGCGCTGCAGTTCTCAAGCTCAACCCGAAGAATGTCAAGGCCTTCTACCGTTCCGCAATGGCCCTCCTCAAGCTGGATAAGGTCGCGGAGGCTGAAGATGCTGCTTCGCGAGGCTTGAACATCGATCCCTCAAATAAAGCACTTCAGACCGCTGCTTCCAAGATTGCCGATCGCAAGGCTCAAGTGGAGCGTGTCGCTGCCAAGCGCAAGGCTGAAGAGGAGCTTGCGCGCAAGCAGAACCTAGTTCTAAGCACGGCTCTGCGTGCCCGTCAGATCCGCACGCGCAAGACCGATCAGCCCCCAGACATGGAAGATACCAGGATTCGTCTCGTTCCCGACCCACTCTCACCGGAGAGCTCGGTTGAATTCCCTGCTGTCTTCCTCTATCCAATGGATGCGCAGTCTGATTTCATCAAGTGTTTCTCGGAGCTCCACTCGATTGTGGATCACCTCGAGTATATCTTCCCGCTCCCGTGGGATACTAAGAAGGAATACACGATCAACAATGTCGAGTGCTTCATGCAGACCGTCACCGGCGGCCTCATCAAGGCTGGAAAGAAGCTGCCTTTATTGCAAATTCTTTCTGGTGGCAAAGTTGAAGTTGTGGACGAGCTGGTCAAAATCTTCGTTGTGCCACTTTCCAAGACTGGTGCGTTCATCGCTGAGATGAAGGCCCGTAAGGAGGGTTGAGCTTGGAAAGTTGAGCGCTGTGTCGCCAATTCTCACCCTATACTTTCCTCTCCTGGAGCTCCGACGCCTTAGGCCAAAGTCAGGACTCATGCGCTTCCCTCTCTCTGAAGCGCTTACGATAACCCAACTGGTTATGTGGTTACGTCGGCTACATTACCACTTCCGTGCCGATCCAGATGATCCTACTAGATCGGTAGCACGATGATCTATGACACCTCTATACTAAAATGCATGCTGCTAGGGCGTATCTGATACCCGTTGAATATTAACAGCATATTGTACATAGACATGCATTGAAATTCGATATAGATCAATCTCCTGTGTCCTGAAAGACACTACTTAGGACAGAAAATTGAATTCCTCATATGTAATGCGAGTCGCAAATTGTCAACGCCGAAGCCGCCTTTCTAGATTTAATGGATCTGAAGAGCTCCGCATGTTCTGGCCGTGAAAGTACCGGTCCTATTCATCCCAATTCATTATACGAGATCACACCTCCCTCTCGCGTATTTCTCCAGCCTTGGACCGGAAGGATTTCTTGGCCCTGCATCCCAAGCCAGATTGGCTTATAGTCGGTCTTGCTGAAGGATTCCAGGCACAAACACAATCTTATTCAGCCGACGAGGCCGAGGATATTAAATGAGGGGTTATCAATTCTATAGGCTGAATGCCTGTATCCTCAAGCGAACCCCTGCATGTTATGATGACGAAAAGCCGAAACCACAATAAGAAGTCCGGAGCTGGGGATCAACAGGGGATCCATAATTTCCCCAGATGTCAGCAATGACAAGGACAGGAACAACCATGATTCTTCACATTTATCCGGAAATACAAGCTAGGCGATTCATTTAGCCTTTCTTCAGGTCGTGGTAAATGCGGGGATAAGCATCTGCATGGGCCCTTTTGGAAGGGCATTTTTGCCGGCGTGACCAGGGTCGAAGACGGAGGTTCCTCCGCCATGACGATTGGGAGATTTTCCTCATATCATCTTCAGCCAAAGAACAATGTTTTGGATCGGGATTTTATTTTCAAAAATGTGTTTCTTTTGATATTATCGCCACTGGATCATATTATCTACCGGTCAACTTGTGGTGAAACGTGTTCATCAGCCTTAATCCAACTTGAAACGTTCGGGGCTTTTGGCCAAGTCTCCTAGCTCTCCTAGTTCCCCATGACCCCCCATCACGGATGGAGAGCCCATTCTAGTCAATGCGCAAACTCCGGTGCTACCCTTTGTCTTGGTTTCTCCATTGCCCTGTAGATGATAATCAATCCCACCTAGTAAATTATTTGAGGCTAAATGCAATCCATTTTTATGATACTCATGTTGAAGAATTGGATCTTGACGGAAAAGCGCCCATCTCACCAGCCCAAAGCTAAAGGATAATAACCATAATGCCTTGTTGTCTTTGGAATAGCCGCGACTCCGGCGCCACGGGCTAAAAGTCCGAATCTATGTGGATAGTAGTGGATTGCTAGCGTCCGGAGGAATTGTTCAAGGGAGCTAGTAGCTAGACCCTGTCTTATAAAGTCCAGTCAATGCCACTCGAGTCGAGTCTTTTGTAGAGACAAAGCAATTTTCTAGGTAAAATTATTGTTGATTATCATCTAATTGATCTTCAAGATGGTTCATCTCTCCGCTAGCTCTCTGCTTTTGGCGGCTGGTATTCTACCAACTCTGTGAGTATACAACACTTGGATTTGGGAAAACAAGTCAATTGGTGCTAACTAATAACGCCCAGCGCATATGGAGCTGGCTTGAACACTGCTGCTGTTGCCCTTGGCAAGCTCTACTTCGGTTCTGCCACTGACAATGGCGAATTGTCGGACTCTGCCTACGTCACGCAGCTCAGCAATACCCAGGACTTTGGCCAAATCACACCCGGAAACTCGCAAAAGGTGAATTGATTTTTCTGTACCTAAAGGCTTGGGGTCTACAATTACTGACAATTGCTTGATAGTGGGATGCAACTGAGCCATCGCAGAATGTCTTCACCTACACCAACGGAGACACCATTGCTAAGCTGGCCAAGACCAACGGTCAGAAGCTGCGATGCCACAATCTTGTCTGGCATAACCAGCTCCCCAACTGGGGTAAGAACTCCATATATTCTGTTAAGAAGGTCTCTATACTAAAATTATGATAGTTACCAGCGGTTCTTGGACGAATGCCACGTTGATTGCGGCTCTGAAGAACCATATCACCAACGTCGTTACCCACTACAAGGGACAGTGCTACGCATGGGACGTTGTGAACGAAGGTTCGTATCTCAAAATATGATTTCTCCAGGCAATCCATATCTAATATCAAATAGCTCTCAACGAGGACGGAACCTACCGCACCAGTCTGTGGTACAACACCATTGGCGAAGCCTACCTTCCCATCGCATTTGCCGCCGCTGCCGCCGCAGACCCCTCTGTTAAGCTCTACTACAACGACTACAACATCGAATACTCCGGCGCCAAGGCCACCGGTGCTCTCCGCATCGTCAAGCTAGTCCAATCCTACGGCGTGAAGATCGACGGAGTCGGTCTCCAGGCTCACTTCATCGTCGGCAGCACCCCCAGCCGCAGCAACCAGGCCAGCACCATGGCCGCATACACAGCTCTGGGCGTGGAAGTTGCCATCACTGAGCTCGATATCCGCATGACCCTCCCTTCGACTGCTGCCCTCCTCGCCCAGCAGTCGACTGACTACGCCAGCTCCGTCGGTGCTTGTGTTGATACCAAGGGCTGTGTGGGTGTTACTATCTGGGATTGGACTGATAAGTACTCCTGGGTTCCCGGCACTTTCTCGGGTCAAGGCGCTGCCTGCCCCTGGGACTCGAACTTTGTGAAGAAGCCTGCGTACACTGGTATCCTCTCTGCTCTGGGTGGCTCGGCCACTTCTACCGCTACGACCACTCTTGTTACGAGCGTTAGCAGTACTTCCACGACTACTTCTACTGCTACCACCAGCACTAGCACGTCCACAGGCGTTGCTCAGCACTGGGGCCAGTGTGGTGGTTCGGGCTGGACTGGTCCTACTACTTGTGCGAGCCCGTATACTTGCACCTACTCCAATGCCTGGTACTCCCAGTGTCTGTAAGGGGGTTTAGGTGGTGGTTGAGAAGATTTGAGTGGATTTATTTAGCAAATTGAATCTTTTTGTCCACTTTACTATGTCTATTACAAACCTGTTCCAATACAAGTTTTTGTTGTTGGTCAAAATTGCAATATCAATCTCTTCCATTCCTTTCCCAGATAAAAGAAAAACAACTTTTGTAGGCTACCGCCAGCGGAGCGGAGTCAAATTAAACCTGCAGGCGACAGTCACGTATTTTCTGGCTGTCTTTAGGTTTGGCTTATGCTAATGTCGATTTTCCAGATCGGCTTATATCCAATCAAAGCGTAGGCTCTACTATTCGGGCAGTTTACACGAATAGATCTATCAGATTTAAACCTCCGTAATCATCTCAGAGGTCACTACACGGCTAGTTTGCGGGACACGGCCTGCCCTCCCTTACAGATTCACAGTCTCGAACGTCTTTAGGCGCTCTTGGACGTGCCTATACTTTCCAGAGTGTTGATCTTTGGATATCAAATTAGCCATTACAAGGGTAATATTCACTGTGGAACCTTTCTGAGAATATGTCTGCTTTAATTGTTTGTTTTTGATTTCCAGTATATGGCTAAACCGGTCAACTCCCCGCCCTTTTGCAGTTCAAATCAACGCTCGCTTCAAAAAGAATCGTAAAAGAAAAACGTAACAAATGACAAATAACACCAAGTAAACTGCTTTCATGCACCAATGCCATAATCAAGGAGACTCGTTATCATAAGTCCGACGCCCAAGACCAACCCAAATTTTGTGTCAATTCTCAAAGTAGTACGGAAACGCATAGCTGTCCATGTGATCGCCAAATTGTTCAGCACCGGGCGGTGCTGTTGTCGGAATGACTTGGGTTGGAAAGCTTTGAAGCTCATCGTAGGTCTCGGGAATGTAAGGCTGTGAGCCGACGAACACAGGCGGGTAGTATCCCAATGTGTGAGCGTGAGGGCTTGTTGTGGTAGGTGGATGGTCAGCATCCACGCGGAGGCGTTTCCTCTTTAAGTCCTGTTGTGACATTGATGAGGATGGTCTGGGATCGTAATTGGGATGTATGGGTAGGTCTTGGTGGATGAATTGACTTGGGCTGTGGGAGGGAGGACGGAGGGCTGTTGGAGATAGATCTGAGGGTATGTCTGACGGGGCGAAGACAGATTGAGTAACAATGGTGCCCTGGGTAGGGCCGCTGCGGAGGACGATTGTTTCTTCGACTGTTTCTTGTTCGTGTGTCGAGGCTTCTTCTGTTGGGGAACTTCTTCTGCTGCGTGATCTTTCGCTCAGGGTAGCTTCCACTGCATCGGGCAGATTCGCTCGGGAAATCGACACTAGGGCTTTTCCATCTGGAATTGGTCAGCTTCTCTGCACAAACAGGGTCGATAAGGTAAAAATACCGGTCACTCCCTCTTGAAACTTCTCCTCCTCTTCTCGCACTCGGTAGACCTCGTCCAGTATCTGCAGTCGTTCCGTTGGGGAGATCTGTCGACGGATTGGTTGGTCGGCTTCTTTGAGTCTGCGAGCGGTAACTCCATGGCTGGTGTGTAGCTCGCATAGTATGTGAACTAGTAGTCTAATGCGCTCTTTTCATCTCGTCAGCAGCAAGCCAGACCTCAAATAGAATGTGACGTTCTCTCGTACCGGCCTTGGGAAGATGATCTGGCTCGCGATGGCTCACCCCTGAGGGCCACCATGGAGGCTTAGTTTCATCTGGCTCCAGCTGCTGCGTCCTGCCAGCAACAATCTTTCGTCCATTGTAGGGATAATTGACCTGCTTTCGAGGCTCCACAAGCTTGACGTATGCCTTTGCCAGGACTCGGCAGTTGGTCTGTTGCAGATTCTGGAAAACCTTTTCGTAGTACCGCTGCAGGAAGTCTTTGTCCCGGATTGAGATCAATGCTTTCTGGTTGCTTCTCATACTAACTTCTTCATTCCAAGGTCTTTGTCTGCTTTGTTGTTGTTGCTGTTGCTGCTGTTGCTGTTGCTGTTGCTGGAGCTGAAGTTGTTGCTGTCGCGGCCACATGGCTGGCTGGATCGTAGGCCTAGGGCCCATGGGGCCACGGTGGTGTCCATCGGTGCCTATAGTCTCTGGACTCTGGGTAGCACGGTTAAGTAGTGGCCGAAGCGCAACTTGACCACCAAGTGCCCTTTGTGGTGGTGAGGGCGTGGTAGCCCCAGCCTCAACTAAACTCAATCAGTTTCCACCGTTCTGGTTCTAACGGGTATGTGACACTTACCTAGAGAATGTGAGGTGACAGCTTCTCCAGACCGCGCCACAGCCTGTAGAAACGCATTCGTGACTCCAGGAGATAGAATAGCTTCCCGGCTATTTCGGATAGACGGAGAAGCTTCGTGGCGGAGATTCCCATCCCGATCGATGTAAATGAGGGCAAAGTGCGGGTATGCCAGCTCGTCTTGCTGGTTCTGCCTCGACATCGTGGGCGAGACCTATCGATCTCGTCAGTTCTTTCCTTCTACTACTGTAGCAGGTGGATGAAAATGCTCAAGGCAGAAAGGTAGATAATACCATAGAACACAAGTTCATCGACTGTGGCTCAAATTCCCACTTAGTGGGGGGATTGTCTAGGCTGAAGGCACTCCAGCCACAAAACGGAACAGAAGAAAAGGAGGGCTTACAGCCAGTGATCATTTCGGAAGGTGTGAGAAACATACGGCAGCATTGAAGGAGGAAACGAAGAGCTTTAGAGGCTTTTCATAAAGGAGGGTCCCACCGAAAACAGAGGGAGAGTCCACTTGGGATCCGGAGATTTATAGACCTCAGCCACTCCAGCCGGCCATTCTGTGGCGCAACCACAGGGGCAGACGAAATAGAAGTGTGGAGAAAAAAAACACAGCTCCTAGGAAGGAGAAAGATGGGCAAGATTGGCAATGGGAAAGGAAAAAAGCACGGACAGCCCAGAGATACAGTGATGAACCGCGCGCCCCCGGGGTTGGGCCGCTAGGGCGCACGCACTATGGCCGAATCATTCTGGCGGAGGTATTTTCCTTACCGTTAGTCTACCGCATAGCTGTAAAGTTGTAAAGTTGTATAGCCCCATAGTTGATCTACTATTATGAGAATTGTGTGGCTCGGTTGCTTGGCTAGCCCTTGCCAGTGCTTCTCTCTCTACAAGCCAGTGAGTAAATGAATGGCTGAGCTCCATAGATCAATAGATGTTGAGAAAAGAATAGCATGAATTCACTTCCTAGCTCATTGTATGTCTCTAATGGTACTACCTAGGGATCCTCTCTTGGTGCATACCAGACTAAATTAGTTGACGGACTCGGTACGGAATCCATTTGAAAGTACTGACTTGCTCTTACAAAGTCGAGTATCGTCTACAAACTGGAATTGTCAGGAATTAGCAATACCTAGCAATACGAGACCAGATTAGCATTGATTTGACAACTGCCGCTCACGATCCTCATTGGCAGCCAGCGACCCGTTCTATCGGTCAGACTAGATGGTAGCTCCAGATAGTCACACCAATACAAGCCTGTTCCAACCTTGAAGCAAGGCTAGTTCGAGTCCATTACGCTGGTCCCCGGTTGTGCCGACCTTTGGAATGCAGATCAGTGCCAGCCGTTGGATGACAGAAGTACGAAATCGTCGGTCTCAGACTCTCATGTGCTCTGTCTAGTTTTCTTGGATTTTCTAGTTTTCTCTTTTGAGCTTCATGCATTAAGATGGACCCCAGGGCTCCTAGGATAGGTGCAGGATAGCGGGTTTCCCGTGCCTGCAAGCCTCCACTCTCGAGGTGAGCATCGTGGACAGCTTGGATGCACAACTTTGTCACTGCTGTCACTCCAAGGATCCCGCATTTACCCTCATCAAATTGCCGGTGTGTGACTTTTCTGTCTCGATTCGAGCGAGCTGATTGAGAGTCCCACCTGGTTCAAGGGCCAGCATACGAAGATCAATGTTGGAGAATGCAGATGGGCTGGTGAACGTTAGGGGACTCAATAACACAATACGGCCCACAAAGGCACCCTTAGTTGCTCCGGCCCGCGTTCTCGCCATGCAAGACGATCAGATCGTCTGTGAATGTACGATCCCGTCCAAATTTCCACATGGTCTAGCTGCCATTTCTCTCGGTGTGGCTAGTAATGGATTTCTATTCTCGTTGTCTGCGCTAGTGTCTTGGTCCCACTGTCAGGGAAAGAGTCATTTGCACGAATAGTTGCTTATTCTACACTCTAGTCTCCTCATGGTCATCGGCCAGAACCACTGCCGTGGGACCCTAACGCGGTTTGGCGCTGACAGGGAAGCGATCAAGCCATCGATTGTGGCTGGAATTGGGTTTTGCAAGCACATTTGCGCTTCAGCAATGTCATGTGTGGTATGGTAGTTTTACCATTCGTGTCCCACAGATATTCACCGCTGCTGTACTTTAGTTCATGCATTGTTTCGGTTGGTTTTTCTAACGGTCTCTGTTCGCGGGATGTCTCCATGTTGGAACCACTTAGACCTGCAAGATGACCCCTTCTTACTCAATTAAGGAGTGGGCCTAACTGAGTACATAGAGCCATGGTTCTCAGTCCTGCCCATTCCTATGAATTATTCTCTGCATGACGGTGACAAATTACTCCTTGTGGTTTCTAGGGTAAAGCAACTCCAACAGGCTCCGCTTTCCGGTTACCAGCCGAGAGAAGCTATTGGATGCACAATTAGGTCTTACCGTCCTACCAGAAGCAAATATGGACATCGATGATCACAATATCCAATGGAATGGTCTGTAAACGCTGTGGCTTCGTCATCAGGTCTGTCTATTAACAGTAAACATCGCCCCGGACTCATGGCTGCACGGTTATGCAATGTGGCGGATGTGAATACGATACCCGCGAGAGGAGAGATCCTCGATCGAACTTAACCATGGATACCCCTGCCACTGAGTAAGATTTACTTTTTTTTCCTTTACTGTCTTTCTTTTCTTGCAGTAAAATTGACTACAAGAACTAGCCCAGATTCCAAATGCCAGTGTCATTAGTGCGCCACTTTGTGGCTGAGGGCCTTGTATTGCAGATCAACCACGCTCTTCGCCGTGAAGGGGAGATGATCCTTGCCGTAAGAACAGTACGAAGGGGCCTCCCCGCGAGGGGAGCTGAAACTCGAGAGCCAATGCAACACTCTCATGAACCGTGGGTGCCACAGTCGAGCCACATTTCTTGTCTCCTTGGTGGGCATAGTTTTAAGCTATCGTGTAGTTTTTGCCACCCAGGACCCGGGGGCCGGACCAGATTCCATCTTGCTTCGGCCGGACGGGTTCAACTCGGCCCAAATGGTGTGAACCGAGGATGTGAAATGGATTATTGGTCATCTACGCTAAGCGTCATAGATAACACATTTTCTAAACGATTGAGGAGGTCGTTATGACTACTTTTTTATGATGCATATTAACGGTTTTGAACCTGTCTCAAGGATAATTCAGCCACTCACCACTGGCACTCATGCTAAATAGCCCAAATCCCGGAGTTAGCGCCCCCACCAACAGGTAAGTGTTAAAGTGACAGCCTGGTTGTCGATCGAGGTCCGTAGTGACATGCACCCTCATGTCGGAGAAAGTTTGAAACCTTGGACCCCCCCACGGTCCGATCTATGGTTCGTCCCATAATTACTGTCTTGAATATCCTCAACTTCACTGGCTCAGAAACGCCGGTCAGATTCTTCCCCAATAGGCTTAATTTCCAGCCTCAAAAATCGTAGTTTACACACTACACTATTCAGCCGTTGCCAAATAGGTCTCGGATGATCCAGTGTGCTGGGAATGCCAGTGCCGAGAGGCTTTCCGCTGTCCTCTCGGTGTCTCCGATGTGTCGAACGAATGAGATTGTATCAAGGTCATGCCGTAACGGAGAACCCAGATCAAAGTTCTCCGGCTGCAAGTCATGCACAGGATGTGGGCCCTTTAAGTCACCCCCCAGTTAGGGTTGACAAATTCTTGTGCAGGGCGGGGTTTTCCTCATCGGGGGCCTTACTGGTTACATGTCATTACGAATGACAGAATATGGAATACTGTCTAGAGGGAGGGGAAGAAGCGATCATCTTACTGCTACTGGTGATAATGTGCCGCTTGACATGGTACTTTAGACATACTTCGATAGTTCACGCCTTTGACAGGGGTCTATTGCTGTTCTCAGGCTCAGCCTATCTTTCTACAAGTTCAAAGCAGAGAGGAGCGATCTTGTAGATCCGCAGTAGCGAGATTCGAAATATGGATGATTCACTAATAACCTCCTTTTCAGCGCTGTTCACCGCATAGACAGGCCTTTTGCATGCATCTCCAGCACCGAGTACCGGGATAATCACCTGTAGCTCTATGTAAGTACACGTAGTATATCGTGACTCCACGAGATGCATCTTTTTGTCTAGTTAATGCCTGTCTGCTGCATTGTACTAGTTGCCTCCTTGACAACCAGGCGGGCTACCCCAGGTCTAATGCGACAAGCACCGGTCCGTGCCTGGGCGGAAGTTCATCACCGTCGGTTCAAGCCCACTGTGGCTGGCTGAAAGGGATCCTGTCATCTCCTCTTTAAATTGTAGTCTTTTTCTTTTTAGTTGCCCCAGGGTCATACTTCCTCAACGAGCAGTTAGTAACTTAGTGTATAGTCGATACACGCAAGGAAAGGATCTCCAACTTGCATTTCCTGGAAACTGGGAAAAATGGATCCCTCGCAAATGGTCTGGTGTGGCGTCGGAGTGATTTCTATTGCTCCACCTGTGCCTCCTCTCTTAGCGAGCTGCAGGCTGCCCGTTCCAGATAATCTCCAATGAGTCCAATCAAGTCTGGTGGGCCCTCTTTTCATTTGTTTATTTTATTTTTGAAATTGGAATGATGCTATGTAACTCCGTACAGTATCGCAGATTTGGAGCTATCATTATAATTATCATTACGGGATTATTACCAATGCTGATCGACGTCACCTGCCAGGTGTTTTTACTGTAAATCTTTAAAAGGATATTATCATCTTGTAGATCGCGCTGCCGATCAAAAACCGCCTAATGGCGCTGCCACCTACGGCATTATTGAGCGCTTAACGGTCGGAATGTCTCATCTGATCTCAAATCCGCTCGAGAGATCGGGGTCGCCGTTGATTGATTGCCTAGGGTGGATAGATACATTCGACTCTACCGTGGATTGGACGGGTAGCTGATCGCACGGAGTAATTGCATGCATATCATGGAGTGTAGGCTAAGGCTCCTTCTGGTACAACACTCAACTACCGAGTCCTATTTTATACTTATGTAGAGTCTATTGTATGGGTGAGATTAGACATTCATGAGAGTATTGCTCTAATCGCTTCCTATTTAGACCAGACAAATCTGACCCTGCATTTTTGCTTCTCTTCAGACAATCTCGAGGGCTTGAAGGATTCATGCAAGGTGGGATTTGAATTGTTGCCTTACTCACCGCAAGGTGTTTGTCAATGGACTCATCGTGTGTCCGACTCATAAGAGCCAATCTCTGGAAAATGTGAGCTTGGCACTTGTTGGTTGATGCTCTAAATGGTACTACTACTATATTTGGTAGGGATGGAGCCTGAGGATACCTGATTACGCCACACAGCTCCACTGAGTGAGGCGCAGCAGCAGATGGTTCTGCGGCTGAGGAAGCTGAACTACCGTAAAGCCCAAAGTGCATACTTCCGCTTTTACGATTATTATTTACCGCTCGATGGACTTGATGCCACGCATATCTCCAGACAGATGGGAGTGGCAAGGGGGTTGTCACTCTCTTGAGCCAAAGGGTCTCGCCTGACCAAGCAGGCAGCAAGGGATTTTGTGTTCTCAATCAAATAGTTGCTCTTTTGTTTATTTGATCTTACATAGTATTTGCCTGCGTCCTAAGGACTTCAATAGACGTGTTGATGCCTGAGGTTTCAAATACACGTGCGGAGCATATTCTTAATCAGGACTAGCGTGATTATCACATGTCAGCGTGTAAGGGTAATTTTTGATACACAATAATACCTTGTAACAACAACAACAACAAAAACATGTGGCTGTCAGTCACTCACTTTTCGTTACACCGGACTGTATCGGGTATCGTCAATACACTCATACAACTCCCCTGGCGGTCTCGTGACTCTACTACTTCCCCCCCCCCCGGTCCATCATGAGCCATCTTCATGTCAGCAAGAAGACTTAAATCTCACCGATCTCACCCTGCGAAACACACATCATCTCCCGTCGATCTAGATTATTATTCACCGAGAACCACTTTCCACCTCGCACTACTTTCTTTTCCTCGTCCGGGGCCCGTGTCCCCACTCTGACCGAAAAGGCTCCGCTGCATTAGCCCGTCCGCCCACGGCTGATCGCTCTCAATCCGGACCACCCAATCCACCAAATTTCTGTCGCTGTCCCCGAGGACCACCTCTGTGACTCAAGCCAAAAGGTCGATCTCAGTTCGAACAACAACATCCCTTCCCCTGCTTGTCTCTTGCCTCGGCGGCCAATCATTGTCGCCCATTCGTTTGTTACTTGAGATCTCTGTGGTGTCCAGGCACTGTCAGCCACTTCTCATACAATAATCCTGAGCCCGCCCTATCCCTGGATTCCCCGTGAGGTCGTCCGTCCACCTCCCTCTCTCTGTCTTCGTCTATTTCCTGTCCGTGCGGCGTGCGTAATCTAAGGCGCTTTCCACCTTTCCCCGTGGCTTCCCTCGGGTCCAAGAGGCATCTCGAAGGGAAACAATTATATTGAGTGTACACCGACGCCCCCGGCTCCCCCTCTTTTACCGCCAAATAGCCTGGGGCCGTGATATGGTTCCTTCTTACACAATGGACCCCAACACTGGCTATCCCGCTGGCTATCCCGTGCCGACTCAGACTCCCCCGAACCAGATGCCCTTCTATCCGAATTCGATGCCCCAGTACCCCCAGTCCAAGACGCCTCTCCAGCCTGTCCAACAACAACAGCATTCCTTTGGTGCCATGCCCATGCAGCCGGGTGGCCCTGGGGGAGCTATGATGCCTACTGGCTATCCCCCGCAGACATCTGGTACGTGGTCAATCGTTACTCACCCCTTTTATGTTGTGCCCCTTCATTATGATTTGCCAGACATGCCCATCGCCTTTTTCCTGGCGGGGTCGACCCGTCGCTTTGGAGCATTTGTTATCCAAGAGCCTGGATCCGCTTTGAGTTTTAACATAGAGAGGGTGCCGAACTACCCTCCAGTCCCTCGTTCCCCTCCCTCTTCAGACGGCGCATCGCCAATCAGTCCTTCCCTTCCCCTTGAGAATCCTGCAGCTACGATGGATCCCTTTGATAGTACCAGCGCAGCTGTCCTACCAATGGCTTCTTGGCAAGAATGCGCGCCACGATTCGCGCGATCTGGCTTGATCTACAGGCGGGAGGGTTCTCTGGTGTCGAGCTTATCTTGAATTGACGTCTGACCGCTAACCTTCTATGACCGATAGTTTCTATGGACGCGTTCACATCACCTTTCACCCAACCTCCCCTCCCCGCCAACATGACCCCATTCTCTCAGCCAGGCACCATGCCTAATGGACCCTCGGCCGTCCAACAGGCATTTTCTCAAAACATGGCTTCGATCCAACAAAATAACCTCCTTGCCAACCAGCCGAAGCCTCCTCAGATGAATTCTCCCCAGATACCTCAAACCAGGACCCCAGTTCAAGCCCAATCCCCAGCGCAATATCAAGCCCAAGCCCAGGCTCAGGCTCAGGCTCAAATGGCGGCCCGTGAGAAGGCCCGCGTCACCACCCTGCTTGACATCAACACGACCCTATTACAGGAGGTGGTCAATCTACAAGCATCTGGAAAGGCAGGGACAGCATCCCCTGGTGATGCCAACGCGTCTCCAACTGATCAGGGCGGGGATGCTGCCAAGGCACAGGGCTCCAAGCCAAGTCCAGAGTACATTGAGTGCATGCGCCGACTTCAGGCCAATTTGGCCTACCTTGCAACGATAGCCGATCGCGCGAAGAAGTCGGGTGGTGTTGCCCCTCAAGCTCCAGCGATCATGACACCTCCTTCGAATGTCCCCGCTGTTCATGACCTGTACACCAAGTTGAACGAGCTTTTCCCACGAACGGGCAAGGGCTCGACTCCTCAAACGCTCAGCCCAGGTGGTATGCAAGGCAATGGCGGGCCTAGCCCATCGCCAGTATCGGAAGTGGTCTGAAGAAGATTGTGAGGTTTGTGCCTCATAAATTGTCCTCGTGAGCAAGCTTCTCGTCTTCTCTGGTACTGCTATGATCTTCATTTCCCAATCCCGTCTTGTCAGGACGGGTAAATCGGAGCACGATGCCCCCCCTTCCTCCTCCTTTGGCATCTCTCCACACATGAACATCCGAATGGAGGAAGAACCCTCAGGAGCGGCGCCACCCGTCCATTCGGCGGCCCGTCCTGTCTGCGCCACCCCAGCGAGAGGTCCTGCCCAGCTGGTTGGTACATTGGTGTGGTACAGCGTACCTCATCATGTGGAATGTTTGCGCGCTCTGGCCACATTCAAGAAAAATAGAACTTCCTATCTAATCAGGCCATGCAGATGAATCCAGCCAGAGAGCCGCCTCGAGTATGGCTACTGTAATCGTTGTTTCATCTGATCTTTTGCTGGAGGCTTTTTGACATGTCCATACCTCTGCTTCATTTGTTCATTATGCCATGCGCCATGACTTTGGACGAAGTTGGGGGGAACTTCATAATCCTATGTATTCTAGTTAACTTTAAAAAGATATGTCTCAGTTACTACATGAAGCTTTGTCTAGCAATAGTTAATCATGTGGCGTACATCCATGGCTGCATAGATATGGACATGAGCAATCTGATCTCCAGTCCCTAGCAGCTAGTAATCTATGACTGCATTTCTTATAGAATGAAGAATGTCAATATCTGACATATTACCCTAGATTTGATATGCTTCTAAGCTATAAATTCCGAGTATCTACTGCAAATATTCATGTCTCTAGCTATACTAGTCATTCTGCACGGATCGGCGCTCGTTAGGCGCGTGGCTCGGCCATGGGATCGTATCGTGTGCTGCCTCCCGCACCCAATCAGCTCTTTTCCTCCACTCCGCCTCTTTTGCAACGCGAATGTCTCTGCTGCTATTGCGCTGCAGACAAAGCGTACAAAGCCCTCAAAGCCGTTCGATCGCTGCTGCTGTTGCTGCTTCTCCTGCCTCTGCCGTGCATTGGCCCTTGATCGCGCCCCGACTTTCTCTCGATCCATCACCTGCGCGTCACTTTTGCCCACCCTCGATTCCATCGTTTCGCTCCATCGCGCTTTTCCACCAAGTTCCTCCAAGACAGTGCAAACTAGCTTCTCAATCTCTCCTTCATCGCCCGTCGTCGCTCTCAAAGAGCATCATGGACGCTAGCGGGGACATTGGCTCCAAGCGTAAGCGCAGCGCTGTCGCTGGTGCTGGTGCTGTGGAGCGGCCTGCAAAACACCTCAAGCCTGAAGGTTCGGTGTTGACTCCCGGTGACTCTACTCCGGCCAATGGAACTGTATATGATGTGGAGGAGGAAGAGGATGACTCGGGTCGCTTGTTGCCTCTTGCGCCTGCACAGGCAGATTCGCCCGAGTGGCAGGCGACTATTGAGTCGGTCGTGAAGAGTGTGGTCTCTATCCACTTTTGCCAGACCTGTTCATTCGATACCGAGCTGTCAATGAGCAGTCAGGCTACCGGTTTTGTGGTTGATGCCGAGCGAGGGTACATTTTGACTAACCGCCATGTGGTTGGTGCCGGTCCATTCTGGGGTTACTGTATTTTCGATAACCATGAGGAGGTAAGTCAGAGAGCCTTTGTCAAAGAAAAAAAAAACTTCGATGGTCTGGATACTCACTGTTTCTGAACCAATAGTGCGATGTCCGCCCCGTCTACCGAGATCCTGTACACGATTTCGGTATCCTCCAATTCGATCCCAAAGCCATTCGTTACATGAAGCTCACCGAGCTCAATCTCCAACCCGAAGGAGCTCGAGTTGGTGTCGAGATTCGAGTCGTTGGTAACGATGCAGGCGAAAAGCTCAGTATCTTGTCCGGCGTCATCAGTCGTTTGGACCGCAATGCTCCAGAGTATGGCGAGGGTTACAGTGATTTCAACACGAACTACATCCAGGCTGCGGCTGCGGCCAGTGGTGGCAGTTCTGGCAGTCCCGTAGTCAATATCGATGGTCATGCTGTGGCTCTGCAAGCCGGTGGACGTGCCGATGGTGCTGCGACTGATTATTTCTTGCCTCTGGATCGTCCGCTCCGTGCTCTGGAATGCATTCGCCAGGGCCAGGCTGTCACCCGTGGCACCATCCAGACCCAATGGATCCTAAAGCCTTTCGACGAATGCCGTCGTCTGGGCTTGACACCAGAGTGGGAAGCCGCTGTGCGCAAGGCTGCTCCCACCGAGACCAACATGCTTGCCGCTGAGATCATCTTGCCCGAGGGGCCTGCGGATGGAAAATTGCAAGAGGGAGATGTTTTGCTCCAGGTAAATGGTGAGCTACTCACGCAGTTCGTCCGCCTGGATGGTATCTTGGACTCTAGTGTGGGTCAGACTGTCAAGTTGCTGGTTCAGCGAGGAGGCGAGGACCTCGAGGTGGAGTGTGAGGTTGGGGACCTCCATGCAATCAGCCCCGATCGATTTGTGACCGTTGCTGGAGGTACCTTCCACAATCTGTCGTACCAACAGTCCCGGCTGTATGCCATCGCTACCCGCGGTGTGTATGTCTGCGAGGCTGCTGGCTCGTTCAAGCTTGAGAACACCTTGTCCGGGTGGATCATCGACTCGGTCGACAAGCGGCCAACTCGCAACCTGGATGAATTCGTAGAGGTGATGAAGACCATCCCAGACCGCGCCCGTGTGGTCATCTCGTATCGTCATATTCGGGATCTGCACACCAAGGGGACCAGTATCATTTACGTTGACCGTCATTGGCATCCAAAGATGCGTCTGGCCGTCCGCAACGACGAGACTGGTATCTGGGACTTTTCGGACCTGTCTGATCCGATTCCGGCAGAGAAGCCTGTTCCGCGGAAAGCGGACTTTATCCAGCTGGATGGTGTGAGCCAGCCTGCCGCCGCCGAGATTGTGCGTAGCTTTGTGCGAGTGTCCTGCACCATGCCCTTGAAGCTTGATGGTTATCCTCAGGCCAAGAAAACCGGCTTCGGGTTGGTCATCGATGCCGAAAAGGGTCTGGTTGTTGTCTCAAGAGCCATTGTGCCCTATGACCTCTGTGATATCAACGTGACAGTCGCTGATTCGGTCATCCTCAGCGCAAAGGTTGTGTTCTTGCATCCGCTGCAGAACTACAGCATCATTCAATATGATCCCAGCCTTGTGCAGGCACCTGTACAGAGCGCTCGTCTCAGCTCTGAATACATCAAGCAGGGACAAGACACCATTTTCGTTGGTTTCAACCAGAATTTCCGTATTGTCGTGGCCAAGACCGCGGTGACTGATATCACTACCGTATCAATCCCCGCCAACGCCTCTGCTCCGCGGTACCGCGCGATCAACTTGGACGCCATCACGGTGGACACTGGATTGAGCGGACAGTGCACCAACGGTGTATTGATCGGTGAGGATGGTGTCGTGCAGGCCCTGTGGCTGAATTACCTCGGTGAACGTACTCCAAGCTCTCACAAAGATGTCGAGTACCACCTTGGTTTTGCTACCCCATCTCTCCTCCCGGTGACTTCCAAGATCCAGCAGGGTGTCACCCCCAAGCTGCGTATCCTGAACATGGAGAGCTATGTGGTGCAGATGAGCCAGGCCCGTATCATGGGCGTCTCGGAGGAGTGGATTCAGAAGGTTGCTCAAGCCAATCCTTCTCGCCATCAGCTCTTCATGGTTCGCAAGGTGGACTGCCCGCCGGCGACTTTCACATCTGATGTCGACAGTTTCCAGGAGGCTGATATTATTCTCACACTGGATGGCCAGCTCGTCACGCGTGTGTCGGAGTTGGATGTCATGTATGAGAAGGAAATCTTGGAGGCTTTGATTGTTCGGAATGGTCAGGAGATGCGGATACGCGTCCCCACCGTTCCCACTGAGGATCTTGAGACTGACCGCGCTGTTGTTTTCTGCGGTGCTGTCCTGCAGAAGCCCCACCATGCTGTTCGTCAGCAGATCTCCAAGCTCCATAGTGAGGTCTACGTGAGCGCTAGAGTATGTCAACCACACCCCCATTCTAGGACTTTACTTCCATGTTACTAACCATTCAAACAGAGCCGCGGTTCCCCCGCTTACCACTACGGACTTGCGCCTACGAACTTCATCACCGCGGTCAACGGCGTCTCAACCCCCAACCTCGACGCATTCGTTGAGGAAGTGCGTAAGATCCCTGACAACACCTACTTCCGCCTACGTGCAGTCACTTTCGACAACGTCCCATGGGTGGTTACCATGAAGAAGAACGACCACTACGTAAGTCAACTGTTTTTTCTCTGCTTTTTCCCAGAACCGCATCACTAACAAACACCTACCAGTTCCCCATGTCCGAATACATCAAGGACCCCTCCGTCGAAGCTGGCTGGCGCACCATCTCCCACGACAAGGTCGAGGGTGTCGGCGCCGCCTCAGACGCCGCAAACCTTAACCCCGACGCCATGGACGAAGGCGGCGAGGCTGGTGGAAGCGACGTGGAACCTGACATGGAGTAGTCGGTACTCACCCCTCTCTCTGTCTTTCGGGTTAGGTTGACTTCCTAGACACAATTCACGGTCTCCTGGGCGGCTAGTCTTGTCTTGTATTATATTTGGTATCGGCGGCGTGACCGGTTGGGGCGGGTGTAGGTTGAGCTTGGTCTGGCTTACTTTGATCGTGCGTTCGCTTTGGAATTGAGATGTTCTTTTTGTACATGATCGGTCTGTGATCTGGGGGTAAAACTAGTGTGGACATTCTGTATGGCCTTGAGTTAGGTCTAAAATATGCATCTGGTATTGAATCTAAACATTATTTGGTCGTATTTACCTGAGTATTGGTCCGATCCATTGGGTACCTAAGGGTCCATGCAATTGTTATTTCGGTGTGATGGTTCAACTCCAGTCCAGGGCTGGTGGTCATAGTACCTAGAACGCGGAGATAGGCAGCCTTTTGCTAGCTGTCTGTATATTTTACGTTCCGTGATGAATTATTTATGATCGACATGAGGTGAGTTAAAAATGTCTCGTCTGGTTGTTCTGATTCGAACCAGATGTAAATATATAGTTGATGGAACCGACATTCTAGGGCAGGGACCATCGAAAAACATCCATAGAACGGACTTAATTGAACAGCTGAGAGTGAATGGATTATGGTATGATACCATGGTCGATAAATGAAAATTATTTACTAGAGTCGAAAAAGCGCAAAAAGAAACGCCTCATCGTATACGGTTGTAAGAGGGAAGAGCCAAAAAAAGAAAATATTGTGCATCATCCGTGAATCGAACACGGGCCTCGTCGATGGCAACGACGAATTCTACCACTAGACCAATGATGCTAGTCAATGTAAAGATGCAAGAAATAATGTTTTATGAACTAAGCCCACACTCGGTATGTTAAATCGATGCAGAAACGACACCAAAGTCATCCAACACAGCCTGGAGCATCGAAGTACGAAGCCCACTAACTGGGAGTTTATTGTAGGTGGGCACGGACCGACCCTATACTGATACTCGACAGGATATTCATGGAGGAACAATCCAACAACTTCAATTGATGAACATATGCAGACCGATGGATGCTTGTTATGCCACTGTAGTGACCTCCCTCCCAAGCAGACTAATAATGCAAGATAACGCCAGTAAATTAAACCACCCCAACACCAAGAACACCATTCCAGTTGCAATATTAAGTCCCAACCGCTGCTGTCGGATATAAACAAATAATACACCAGCCAAGGATCCAGTTGTCCACCGATAGGATAACTGTCTATTGCTGGAAAGACCAACCACCATTGAGTCGGAGTTTTTGCCGCTCAATACGATCCTTGCGAATCTCCTCCATAGTGAGACCATCTGGACCGTTCCAGTTGGCACTACTGGTGCGGTCGCGGTATTTTTTGATCTTCTTGTCGGCCTTGAAGGTCTCCTCGAGGGAGAATGGTGCAATGGGACCGAAAATGGAGTCGACTTCCATTCCGTCCTGCTCCCGCAATAGACCCTCCAGCTCTTTGGGTTGAGCCCATTTAGGCACCGGGAAAATCTCGGAGTCTGAATCATCCTCGTCTTCGCTGTCGGTGGCGATTTCTGGGAGGTGGATGTTTTCCCCACTCGGGTACTTTGGTGATGGCTTTGCGGCAGGTGGAGGTCGCTGAGCAGAGCCAGGTGCGGTAGCCTTCTGTACGGCCGGAGGTGGCGCGTGGTTTGGTTCCGCAAAAGGAATCTTATTGTTTGTATACTTCGCCAACTCCGAGGGGTGAGCAGGTCGTTGAGGCTGGCCGGTTTTGAAGATCGAAGAGCCAGACTGTCCAAACATAGACGGCTGCTGTGATACATCATTAGAATAAAACGTTTCATTGACCTGTACAGAACATGTTGAGCTTACCTTGCGAATATTTGACTGACGGATCGGAGGGGCCATCGTAGGCCGCAATGGCTGCATAGGATTATGCTCATCCTCGGTCTTACGTCGCTTGGCCTCACCCGAAGGTTGGACATTGTTGGGATTGGTAACTGCAACTCGATAACCCGATTCCTCATCCAGATTCCTCTTGGGTGGCTTGGCGGGGTTCGGTGCTGGAGGATTGATGGGTCGACCGTAGCCCAAGCGAGATGCTGGCCTTGTCGCACCCAAGTCATTCCGTTGAGAGGACTGCGATGCTGTCTTCTCGTGTTGAAGCATGGGAGCCTGGGATTTGTTAGTAAAGAGGCTCCCCCCTCTAGTAACGATCATGAAACTTACGTCACTGCCTGCCTGCACACTGCCTTGTCGCACGTGTTTCCGAGCATTATTCTCCTGTCGTCTCCTCTCAATTGCCCGCATATGGGCAATCTTCTTGGGATCCTCTGAAGCAGAGAGTTCCCGCTCGGCTCTTTCTCGCTCAGCCTCCGCTTGTCGCCGAGCCTCCTCTTCTTGCTGTTTCTGGTAAGCTCGTTTCCGTTCTGCTTCACGCTTCTGCTCTTCCTTTCTCTGCTCCTCCTTCCGGCGGACCTCCCGCTCCTCTTGCTCTCTCTTCTTCCGCTGTGCTTGCGTTTGGCTCGAGACAGAGCTCTTGAAGCTGCTCGCCGAAGAAGCCGTGTGCAGAGATTGATTGCTACCTTTCTTTTTCAAAGAAGTGGCTTTGGGGGCAGGGGCAGAGACCGCAGGAGGTGCAACAGACTCCTGGCTATTCGAAGTCATGGAGGAAGGTATAGGCATTGGACGAGAGAGTGTGCTTCCGACACGAATGGAAACAGGCCGGGGGTTGGGCTTTTGGGCTGGCTCGCGGGTGGGTGGCTTGATGCGTCGATCATTCTGCTTCGGCTGGGGAAGACCAAATCTCGACCCGTCGTGAGCGGACTCTGGCTCACGCGATTGCTGCCGTTGTGACGGCATTGGACGTTGGGCGGCACTGGCGGGCCTTTCTTCTGGCTCAACAGATGATTTATCTTGCATTGCCTTGATTTGCAATGCCCGCTGCTTTTCCTTCTCACGTGCTTTTTCCTGTCGGATCTCTTTTTCCTCTTCATCTCGCTGGCGATCTTCTCGTTCCTTCTGTCGACGCTTCTCCTCCCTCTCAGTGGAGCTCCGCGTCCGACGACCTTCTTGTCGCGGAGGGCTGGAGATCTGACGAGGCTGAGGTTCGGATTGACTGTCCTTGACTTCTGCAGCAGCATTAGCTTGTTGCTGGGAACGAAGGCGTGGCTGTTCGGGAGACGAAGACTCGATTCTTGTCGAGCCACCCGTGCTTGTGAATAAGCCCTTAGCGGACTTCATGATGGATTGTAACCTCATTTTCGAGGCGCTGAGGGGCCCCTCAAAGCGCCTCGGGGATCCGGTAGGGGTAGTTGATGCTTCTGATGCAATGTTGGAGACAGAAGCCGTCTTGTGGTGACCGTGTGGGCGTGGTGAGGAGAAGATAGAATATGATGACTTGGGACGTTCTGGTTCCGTGGACTGCTGCTCCACAGCGGTTGTCCCAACCGATTTACTTGGTGATTGACTAACATCGAAGAGCTTCTCCATCACGTCTGTGGTTTTGCTCTTTGCGAGGTCGAGTCGCTGTGGTGAACTCAGAGGCCTGATCCAGTCATCAACCTCTATTTCGTCAGAATTCTGTAGAGAAGTGGCGCGTTCTGTCTGGGCCAAAGGTTCCAGTTTTGTTTCAGGCTTCGCTGCAGGAAGCTCCGGATATGGAATCTGACCAGCGGATGGGCCAGCCATCGCAGCGATTGACTTCTTGGGTCGGGATGGCTGGAGTTTTCCGAGCATACTGATCCTCTCATGAAGGCTCTGCGTCGACTTCTGGTTGTGTAACTTGCTGACCTGATCCACGTCCATGATTTCTTCCGCTTCTTTCTCGTCATCCAGATCCTTTGATCCAGCGTCAGCCATCTCATCGTCCACCACTGCTTGGGTCACTCTGTGCCCTGCTGAGTGCTTTCCTAGGAGACTAGGGCGGCCAGTAGGGTTCAGCTTTGAAAGATCAATGTGGGAAGTGCGGGAGCGCCGCGAGCCCTTCAGAGGCTCCCGAGCTGGCAAAGAAGCAAAGTTCAAGCTGCTCTTTCGCATGGGGAATCGTCGTTGGGGGGTGGAACCATCGGACGGAGAGCCGATATCATCGAAGTTGTCGTCGAGAATCGTGTCCTCCTTGACTACATCTTCCATTTCAACTTCTGGGCTTGGAGGGCCTTGCTTCTGGGCTTCCGAAACCTTGATCTTCGACAAGGTTTCGTCATCATCTGACCTTTCTGTCAATTGTTGAACAGGCGGGCTTTCTTGCCGCTTCTCAGCAGCTGCGACTATCTTAGGCTTAGATTGAGTCCTGGCTCTGGGCGTCGAATTCGACTCTGATTCAGGAGCCTTAGAAACGGATTCTTGTGGGCGCATGGTGCGTTCATTCGTTGGGGTTGGGTCCATGTTCAGCGGCTCAACGGTTTCCCCACGCATACGAACGTCCTCCTGCGCAGAGTGGAAAGAATCCTCCGTTGGTTGCGGTTCAATCGAGACATCCCCCTGAGAGCTCAATACCACAGGCTCGTCGGCCTCAAAGGGTTGCGTGGATGTCTGGGTCTCTGGCTGTGTATCTGGCAGAACCATTTTATCGTCGTCCGGCATTCCATGATAGCCCGAGTCCGTGTTGTACTGCGAGAAAGAATTCAAATTCTGGGTGAGGTCGGGATATTGGGGCTGCAAGCCCTTTTCCAAAGTCTTGGCGCGAGAGGCAGCGGGAGAAGGTGCGGATGCGATTCCCGTCGCATTGGTTTTCGAGACGACACGATGAATGAAAGGACTGGGACTGGGAGCTGCGTTCTTCTCCACGCGTTTGTGAGCGGACGAAAAGATCTCACTCAGCGGCTAAGGAAGGGAGATTAGCTTCACTACGGCCATCTTCACCACTCTAACTCCGGAGGAAAACCCACCACTCGATTCTCTTCCACATTACGCTTCCGGGCCGTTCGTGGAGTCTTGCCTCTCATCTTTCCTGGCGTCTTAAACACATCGGTAAAGTTTCTGCGCCAATAGTGAGCAATGAGGCGAATGCCCGCGAGATCGAACGGTCGCAACTCACGCTTGGCCCTTTGAGAAGATCTCGGCCATATGTTCATTCAACCAGTCCATTTCATGGCGAACGGGGTATTCCACTTCTTCCAACTCCTGCTCAACCAAATCGGCCATGTTTTCTTTCTCTGCGGCGATCCATGGGGCCGAGCCGACGGGCTTCTGAGCCCTTGCGCCAGCGGCGGCCATGATGTAAACAACGCGCTGCGGGCAGCGGGGTCAAAAAGGTCGAATGGCGCAACGAAAATTAAAGAAATGCGCAAGTTGAAGATTTTATTAACGGTAAATAAAGCCCATTGGGATCGTTAGTGGGGAGTGGGAGGTGGTGGGTTTGTGGGTGTTGGAGTTGGTCGAGAATGAAGGTGGTTTCGAGATCAAAACAGACATCCCAACGGGGCAACGCGTGGTGGTGCGGGCTCACGTGATCTGCACTTGGCCCGTGCTCTGGAGTATAGTCGACTCGATTCTACACATGCTTCCATGAAAAGATCATTTGAAATGACAATATAGTATCCTGGGTGTATTTATCATATGTTTAATTTATTTATAGACGAAAGAACATCGAGCTAAGCATCGCTGCTTATCAAGAGGCGACAAAACGTGGTTGCCCCGCAAGAAAGACTAACAATCCCTTTCCCCGATTAATAGCATGATTTAACAAGCTTTAATTCGCCTACATGGCGACAAGGCTAAAGAAATTGAGAGCTTGAAATCGTGATTAGCCAGCAAATCAATCATTCCAATGTGTATTTGTACTTGATCTACTCACAGATAGTAGTAGCCTTGGGTTTCTAGATGACGAGATATACAATCATTCGCGAGCGATCCATAGCTACTCACCTAAAACCTCGAGCTCTCCCAAAAAAGAAAAATATGGTCTTGGGTTAAGTAAGATATACGAAATCTCTGGACAGGTTTTGTGAAAGCTGTCCAGAGTACTTTTGATCAATCCTGGCTAGGCAGCTATGCTAATATTGGCGGAAGATGACGGAGATTGAGTGGTGCTTCGACAAATTATGACGAGATAAGGCACGACCAGCATGGATCAGGTCTCTGAGTAGTTCATGGGATTTTTCATGAAAAGGGTCAAGCCCTGTTAGCTTGCGAGTAATGACCAAATTCCTCGTAACCAGTCAAGATCCACCTGTATACCTGTATCTACCTTGGAAACAAGTAGAAGGCAATTGACATCATCAGTTTGTCTAGTCGGCAGGAAAACGGTCCAGCCTTTTGGGTCTTGGCGGCCGCACATGACAATCGGCAGTTGCAGTTGCATCACACCAAAACAATTCGGCCCACTGCCCATCCTACCCTTATCGTTCCTTTTTTCTCTCTCTCCTTCTCCCTTCCCACCCCTCCAACTTTGCTCTTCGAAGCTTGAATTCCATTCTCTCATCTCTGCTATTACAACCCCCCCATCACCTCTGTCAACTTGAATCCGATTTTCGCCATGGCCGACTCTGGTGATGTGAGCTACCCTAAGACGGGCAGTAAGGTACGTCCCCTAACAACCGACTCTTCCCGACTTTTGCTGCAGAGTGATGCTAATCAGCACTTTTTGATGCAGTAACTCCTACCTATTCTTTATCCACATAATCCGGAAAGATCCAAAAACACGTCCACTGACTCTGGATTTTCCCGAGTCTAGGCATTCGCGAAGCTGTTACAAATGGTATACTTACCCCCGTCGCGTGAACAGGGAGATGTTGTGGCCTGACCATATCCGTCTAATACTTGCTTTCTCTAGGCCCCGTCGTCGATAACCTCAAGGCAGAGGCTTCCAAGACCTCCAGCGAGTTCCGCGACCTGAAGAACGCCCGTGTCACCCCTTCGACCACCACTAGCAATGGCCAGCCGTTGACCCGTACGTGCTCACGACCAGGAACCGACGCAGACAAATGGAATTGGGAGGGATGCTGATGTTTGTGCAGACTACCACTCGCTGTTATACAGCTTGTTGAGCGTGAGTTTCACTCGAGTCCCATTCTGCCATTTTAATCCCCTATTTTTTTCTGACCCCTCCTCTATCTTCACAGTGGGAACAACCTCGTGCGACCGCCGTTTCTTATGCTACCGTAATTGGTTTCATTTTCGCCGCTCGTTATCTGCCTCTTCTTCGCTGGGCCTTCAAGTTCCTGTACATGTCGCTGGGCTGTGAGTTGGTCGCGTGACCCGTGGGTATCCGATGGGAGACGAACTGACCCGTTCTTGCAGTGACCGCTGCCGTTGAGATTGCCGGTCAACTCATCCTCAAGCAAGGCATTGCCAGCTCTTTCCGCCCTCGCCGCTACTACACCATTCCCAAGGAGACCCAAGAGGTTATCCTGGAGGACCTTTCCCAGCTGTTGGACTTTTTCTTGATTGAGTTCCAGCGCATTCTGTTCGCCGAGAATGTCGTCCATACCGTTGCTGTATGTGATCTTGTGATGTGCAATATGACAAAAGGAAGGATTCTGATATGTTGTGTCTCTAGGCTTTCACTGCTGCCTTCACTGGCTACTGGCTCGTCCGTTTCGTTCCTCTCTGGGGTCTCGCCGTTATCTCCGTGACCGTTGCCTACCTCGGACCTCTCGTGTACATCAGCAACCGCGAAATCATCGACGAGCAGATCAACAACCTTCAGGAGATTATTAGCTCCCAGACCAACCAGCTCAAGGATCTTGCCGGCGAGCGTACCTCCCACGCCACCGGTGCCCTGAAGCAATATGTGGGCGAGTACAGCCACAAGGCCCAGGAGTACATTGGCCGCCGCTCCGCTTCCCCCGAGATGACCAAGGCCCCCGCCCCCGCCAAGACCGAGCCTGTCTCTGAGCCCACAATCAAGACCGAGGACTTCCCCGAAGCCCCCAAGCTCGAGCCCATCCCCCAGGTGGTTGAGTCTGTAGAGACGGCCGAGCCGGCTCCTGCGGCCGCGGAGAAGGAGCCTCTTTTGGCTCTGTAAACGAGCAAGTCCTATCTTCGGGCTTGATCGGTTGTCAATCATGATCAATTCGATGATAATGGAACCCACTTTTGGAAACCATTTTTTTTGCTCACCGGATATGTTTTTGACGACACGCAGGAATGATGGTGAGGCTCTTTCATTTGCTCTCCGGGTATGCTAGGATGAATGTATATTGGGCCCTAGCACTCCCTCGTTCCGATGAGGAACAACCACTTTCCCCAAAAACTTCGTGGAAATGCCCAGACGATGAATTGATGTTCATGTCTTCTGTGCTTTCCTTTTTTTACCTTTTTACTTCGTTTCTTCCCTGTTCTTACCCTTATTCTGTCTATTCCGTCTTGTTGAAACCCGCATCGCTTTTGATTACTTCGTTTCGGGTTCATATTGTTTTAATGCAATTGTCCTATGAATAATTCCACGACTTTGACGTTTGCCTACCACCTACCATACCCATCCTCAGTTTCGAAAACCACCGTAGCGTAGCTCTCGACCCAGATCAGATCCCGATGTAACATTCGGGTCCTCAAGCCTCTCTGAACCACCAACCCTCTCCAAAGCTACTGTAGTCCTGTGTCCTGTACAAGGGTAAGCCGCGCCCTTTTATCAAAGAATGAACCACCAGCTTCACGCTGGTACCGCGCTTAAGCCCTCGACTCGACCGACTTGGGCAAGTGTTGTCTTCGAGCCTGCGGCTGCGCGCGCAGGCCTAGTCATGCTGTGCTGATCCTTTGGCAAGTCCCGTAGAGTAACGGTTTCCCCGCGCGTCGTGTGAGGCGAGATGACCGTTGAGTTTCATCGCGGACGGGGCTGTATGCTGTTAGGTGTTGAATTTCTGCGCATCGTAATTCGGGCTAGGTCTGTTGGCGGCGTTACTTCCTTGGTATGTATGCGACGGTTCTCGGCCGTAGGTAATGAGACTCGTCTTGTTGTAACCTTGTCTTCTTTATGAAGGTTTGCTTACCCCGGATGTGTATGTGTGATGTTGTACGGTCCTTCTAGACTATATCTGAGTACCTGACCTTCGAAGTACTCACTAGTATGCACCTCCCAAGGCCCGAGCCCTCGTAGTAACATCTCGAATAAGACCTCTTACTTTCCCTACCCCTTTTCCAAAAGCCCAATAGAGTCAAAACACAGACTCACACATACCGCTTTTTGAGATCCAATAGCCTTGGCCATTGTCGTTGTCTTGTCTTAGACATTGGTACCCCAGCCTCCTTAGTATGCCACTTCTAGTCCCAGACTCGTCGTGTTGGGCTGAAGACCAAGCGTAGAGCTGCCTGACGATTCTATGAGCATGACTGGTCTAGTTGTGATGATGAAATTGACTGTTATGGTTAGCTTCTGGAATCCGTCAAGTGTACGAGATACCGTAACGGTGGAATATAGAACTAATTCTGCCGTATGCTAGGGAGAAATTCGGTAATAGCGCTTCTGGCAGATCTCGACTGCATGGGGCGAGTGAGGACAATGGGGAAAATATTACAGAACGGACTGGAATGGAGAGAGTCAGTGTGGTATACTGGGATCACCCGCCTGAGTACGGAACAGGATCGAAAAAATGGAGGAGTTTCTTTGCCGCCACCAACGTGTCGTACCTCTGCAAAGAAGCATGCATGGAATGTTCTCTAAATTTTTCTTCCGAAGAGTGCAGCACCCATTGGGGGAGGATCAATCTGGAATAATTTTTCCCCCGTGATGTCAACTAGATGCAGAGCTCAAAGGGCGGTCTCCTCGGATACATCTAGGGCTGTACATGTACATCCTTTTGTCAATGGAAACTGGCGGTAGCCGAGACGCATGTCTCTCCTGTACACATATGGTTCAAACCCGATGGACAAAGATGCTTTTGAAAGAAAGAGTCCTGGCGTTTGTGAGAGGATGAACCGCATGATATTTCTCTTTATCTTCTTGTATGGACTGGCATTTTTGATCTTTGATCTGGTCAGAAGTTTATCTCAGTGACAGTGTAGCCCACTGCTAGACCGAGAAAGATTCGCCTACAGGATATGTCGCTTCCCGCGATACAAGGAAGAAGTTGGCCCTGCAGCTTGCCGTGGGTCTCAGGCCTCTTTGATGCCCGGATCGACGCCTTTGAAGAGAAACGCGCTCTGATTAGTGTTGTGACAGCCATCTTAATCGTCTGATGGCTGCACTGGTCCACTTGATTTCTGTTTAGTTCGTAATTAGCTATTCAGTATAGCATCGATAGCGGGAGTAGTTTTCCAAAGATGAGGCCAACATTGTAAGAGCTCTTAAGGTCAACCACTCCCTATGTTGATTGAATTAGGGCAGAACTAGAGAAATCTGATAGGATGAATATCTTACTATACTACCATAGCGCAGACTACCGCAACGGCCTGTTTGCATGCATCAACATCCTGGAGGGAGCGGTGGCCAGCTTCACCTCCATCAACGCACAGCCTCTCCACATGGTCCCAAAAGAAGTCCTATAAGCAGCAGTATCTCATTGGACTTCCTCTGTACCCCTTTGGGCTTGCAGGTCTTGGATACCCACAGCTGCAGCGGTGCAACCGGTAAGGCCTCGAAGCTCAGAAACAAGGGTTTCAAACTGAGTGTCCTGGGGGGTTGCTTCTTGGTCCCTGACTCGCTCATTTGCAGCTTTTACCTCAGGAGCATCAATGGCGGTCATCGATGACAACTTGCCCACAGCATGGCGGTCAGGCCAGATTGAATATCTCCGAAGTGAGAACGGGCCTCAATAACTCAATTTCGGGGGCGGTTTTGCATCTTGCATTGGGCATCGTGGGAAGACACAAACAGGCCCAAGCCCCGAGGAGACTCGTCCGACTCCAACTGCCTCGTGATGGGCTGCAAGGAATCAAAGTGACTGGACGAGGGGAATCGGTGAGCACGAGAAAATGAAGCCATTCCAGAGGAAGTCATGATGTACCCCTCCCTCCAGTGGACTCGTGGTTGTTTCTTGATACTACACCGCTACGCACTCCTTCCTTATACAGATTTTGTTTAATCCTAATATTAGATTTTAATGACCCTATCCTGTTCTCTCTAATGTTCTCTATATCATACCTTCATACCTTCATTTCTGAGCTTCTCTCTATCATTATCACTTCCTAGTATCAAAACACATCGCGTCGCAGGCTGTATACCAGCTCAAACAGACAAACATCCAACTGTAATCACCCTCCATGACTTGGTAAAACAGAAACAAGAAGCATAAACACGCGCAGAAACCAGCACAAGGTGGAACAAACCTCTGAACAAAGCCTGGTGACTGTCTTGCTTGATGCTTGAGACGCCCATTGAGGGTGGATATCCAGGTCTCGCTTTGCACGCCTTCTAGAAAACGCCTCTTGTTCCACACGAGAATTACTTGCTTCTCTTTCTGCCGACTCTGCAACTTTTCTACTTCTACTCGTTCCTTTTTCCTCCCTCCAACTTCTTCTTCTCGACACTCCTCTCCAGCCCGGTTCCCTTCTTACTTCTTCATTGTACCTTTTCTCTTTATCTCTCTATTCATCCCAGCTTAAACCCGAGACGTATTTCTCTTATTCATGGGCTCCATTCGTGATTTACTCAATCCACTCCCGGAGGTGACCCCAGGCCATCGAGGCTTTATGATGCCGCGATCACGACATGCCACGGGGAGCCCGCCAGCTCCAGAGCGTCCAAAACGATCAAAGACGGTCAAGGATGGTGCCGTGTTTCGCCCTGGGCCTATTCAAGGGGAGCTTCGCTATCCTCCTCACGAAGAACGGACCCCGCTTCTAGAAGAGGAGCACCGCAAGGCTGATCTAAAGCCCTTTGGCAACATTGCCGACTTTCCTCGTCACATCCCCTATCAAAGCGACAAGAAGACCTTTCATGAGAGAACTGGACGAGATAGCTTTCATCGTAAGTTTATCTCAATACAATCTGTCTATTCTGAGCTCGGATACTGATGATACATGATCTATAGTGTTCCAGTATACTTTCCAGAGAAAGGATGCGGATCCCGAGCCGTGGACCATAACGTGGGACTACAACATCGGACTGGTTCGCACTACCCATCTGTTCAAGTGCCTTGGCTACTCAAAGGTTTGTCCTCTGCTCTGTACCGACTCAATGCGGAGCATCTTTTCACAACTTGTTCATAGACCACCCCCGGCAAGGTGCTGAACAACAACAACGGCCTACGCGAGATCAGCCACAGTATCACCGGAGGAGCACTTGCAGCTCAAGGTATGACCAGATCAAATTTCCCTACCTAGAATTGGTTGGCCGATACTGACATTGAATTGCTCCTGTCCATCAGGCTACTGGATGCCCTTCGAAACCGCCAAAGCCCTCGCCACCACATTCTGCTGGGAAATCCGCTTCCTGCTCACCCCCTCTTCGGCCTCGATTTCCCAGAAATGTGCATCCCCCCAACCGACCGAGTCAGATTTGGTCGAATGGTCATTGACTCCTCCATCATCCAAGAAGCCACCGAAATTGCGCGCCGCTACCGCTTGCTGGAGCCTCGCAGCTACGATGAGATGTCAACAACCTCTTTCAATTCCCGGGTCCCAAGGAAGATGGTAGACTATCCCTCGCAAGACTCCAGCCGAGGACCCCATATGCAGACCAAGCTCGCCCGACGCAGCTATGCTGATAGCATCAGCAGTGCGCGGGGCTCGTCCTCCGAGCCATACTGTGGTTCACCTCAAAGTCCGTCGTACAGAGGCTTCACCCCTGTCAACAGACCTCCCAGTTCACACCCGGTCACCCGCACACCCTACGATTTTCTCCAGGAAGCCACCGAGCGCAGAAAGAGAGTCATGAGGGCCGCTGGCGAGGAAAGTGACTCGGAAACAGAATTCTCTACAACCTCACGCTCAGATGTGCACGCCAAGCCAATCTTTCCAACGCCTTATGGAAGCGAGCGTGTCTCTGCTGATGGGGACTCAGAGATGGATGATTCGGAAATGACGTTCTCGGATGATGAGTCTATGTTGGAAGATGACGCCGACGAGGAATATCGAGAGCCAGGTCCTGGTCGGCTCTCGAGCAGTGATACCCGTGGAAAGGGAAAGGCCAGTCTGAAGAGGAACCCCTCGCGCTCTGTCAAGGAGAAGAATGGTGAGAAAGATTCTCGTTCTGCCCATTTTGCGAAGGAGGTCAAGGCTGCTCATGCCTTGCTTCATTTGCATATGCAACGGGCTTCGTCTAAGGATGTGGATGGTGATGAGATGGAGGAGACTATGTTTGGTCCTCTGTTGGGACGGATGGAATCTGGAGGCAAGAAGAGACGTCGTGCTTCCCTGTGATGCAGTTGATCATCCCTGAGATGAGCTGGGGGGGGGGCGGTTTTGTGAGTGTTATGCATTGGAATGGTTGTTTGGTTAGACTGGACGGCGTTGGCAAGGAAGGGAATGTGTTTCTGGAGTTTGGCATCGGACTGTGTACTTTGTGATTTTTTGTTAGTGTAGCGTGTCAATCTCAAGTAATTTAACAAGTAAACACCTGGCCACTTGATTCATGTTAGAACACGATGCCATCGACGCCACAATTATCGACCTTATTGATAAGCCTGTTACTCGGAAGAAAAACCACAATGGTCCATTTAGTACATCTACTTAGGAATGCAGTCGTCTTCTGGCAGGTACAATCGAACAGAAACAGCCAAGAGTGTGCTTCAATACTCGATGCCTTTACTTTCAAATTAAAGGAAGAAAATATTCGAATTCGCGTCTCGCAAAAACTGGTCGGCTCTGCCTGACCACCACGAAAAAAAAAATGCGGACTAAAAACACAAGAGGATAAAGGAAGAGATCAGAATCCAAAGAAAATATGAAAGTAAAACCATATCAAGTCCCCAGAAAGAAAAGTATGCACCACGACGCCCCATAAGGTACCACCTAGTCACTCTCGTCCTCCTCAAAATCATCAGCAGAGTCCTCCTCATCCTCGCTATCTTCCTCAATCACATAGGTCTTCTTAGCCGCCGCAGCGGTGCGGCGAGCGGGACGAGCGGCTGCCGCACGTCGAGGAGCGGGCTCATCATCCGAGACGTCCATCTTGCCAGCCGGGGAATCCAGGATGTCATTGGCCATGGCATCGATGTCGTCCTCGGAGAAGTCGTCATCTACGGGCTTCTTCTTGTTGGTCTTGGCTAGCTTAGAAGCATAGGCCTTGGCAGCGGGAGAAGGTACAGGCGCGGCATCCTTCTTTGCGCGACCACGAGCTGCAGCCGCCTTAGGGGCAGCCTTGGCTTTGGGTGCAGCCCTGGCTCTTGGGGCAGGCTTGGTAGGTGCCTCATCCTCCTCTTCCTCGTCCTCCTCATCCTCAATTCTCGAGACATCCTTGGGCATGACCTTAATTGAGCGACGAGGAGAGTCCTGCGGCACGAGTTTGCTGTAGTCGGTCTCGTCTGGGTCAAACTCGCTGACCTTGGCCTTGCTCGGAGCCATGAGGCTGGCACTGCTGCCGGCACGAGAGCGCTCAGAAATAAGAGGTCGAGTATTCGAATCATCGCCGCCAATACCCTTAACCATTTGACTGACGTCGCCCAAAAGATCGTCTCCGTTGTCGCTGTCGGAGTCGCTGATGGCGGTGTACTTGACGGGCTTACGAGCGCGACCAGCTGGGGCAGCCTCCTTGGCCGTCCGCGCGATCTCAAGGAAATCATCGTCGGATTCGTCAGCAGGCTTTGCCTTGGCCTTGGGACCACGCTTCGCTGCCGGCTTCGCTGCTGCCTTCGTCTTCGGCTTTGGCTTCGCAGCAGGCTCCTCGTCAAGATCCATAGGATCAGCGTCTGGCTGGACTGACGCACGTGAAGAGCTAATTGGGGGGACTTGGTCAAGGTCAATTGTATCGTCCTCGGCCGTAGTCTTGGACTTTGGCTTCGGCGCGGCGCGGGCTTTTTTAGGAAGGATTTCCTTCTCAAAGTCAAAGTCGTCATCAGAATCACCAGCCCCGTCAGCGCTTGGTGTAGGCTCCTTGGTGGATGACTTGCTGAGGAAGTTAGCCAGGCTGTTGACGACTGGTTCTTTCTTCTTGGCAGGGGCTTTCTTCTTTGCCTTTGGTGCTGCAAAGTCTTCATCGTCGGGATCGTCTCCAGCAGCAGCCTTGCGCTTGCGTGCGGCCGCGGCACCACGACCTCCGCCGGTCATGAGCTTAGACGAATGCCGGCGGCCCATGTTCTGCATCTTGCGCATACGACGTTCCTCATCCTCAAGCTGGAAGCGCCACTCGTTGATGAACTCTTCCAGGTCCTTCCTCCAGAGATCCTCCTTGGACAACTTGATCAGGTCGTCAACCTCCGTCTCACGGTCACCGATCTGGCGGCGAAGTCTCTCCACACGCTCCTGAGTGAGCGACCACATGGGCATGCCGAGAAGGTAATCGTAGGAGCTGGACAGCACCTCGACATCCTTGTCATCAACCTCCTCGGTGTCTTCCATCGCAGGCTCATCCTCGCCCAGTTTGGACGCGTCGGCAACCTTGGCGATCGGCTTGAAGCCCTTCTCCTTCAGCTCAATGACCAGGTTAGACTTCTTCTTCTTGGAAATGACCAGAGTGCCCTCAATGATCATCATGATGAAGCGAGCTTGGTTGCTCAGCTTCTCAAGCTCCTTCTGAAGCTCTCCGAGCTGGTGCTGCTTACGTCGCTCATAGTACTTGAGACGCACGGTGAAGAACTCCTTGAGGATGTCATCGACAGTTGCGTACTTTGTGATGCGGCCCTCAGGGTCAAACGCAACCAAGTTGGTCGTCGCGATTGTCTTGGAAAGCTTGAACTTCTCCTCCCAGCCCTCCGATGAGGTAGCCTTCATGTTCTTCTCATCAAGCTGGATCACAAAGTGGACCTTGCTGTGGGTGTTGTAGTCCCTGTAGTCCTTAATGAAAGAGGGGACCTTCTCGGCCTTGATGATATCCTCCAACTTGTCCTTGAAGTCCTGAGTCCAGGTGCGAATAGGCAACTCGGTGATCTCAACCTCCTTGTCTCCAGTCTCCTTGATGATTCCGCTGAATTTGAAGCGATCGCCGCCTATGTTGACAACCTCACCAGTGAAACCACGGAACCAAGGTTCCATTGGAACAGTCTCCTGGCCATCCATCAAACGATTCAAGTTGGCCACAATGTCCTCTGGGTTGTAATTGGGGATGGAAGAACTCCAACCGGTTCCAATACCATCAGCACCGTTGATCAGAATCATGGGTACCACAGGCATGTAGGTTTCAGGCTCAATCTTCTTGCCATCGTCCTCATTGTAGGTCAGCAGCGGCTCATCGGCTTGGTTGAAAACCTTTCGAGCAAAGGGTGACAGCCGAGTGTAGATGTAACGAGCACTAGCACAGTCGCCACCACCTTGAAGTCGACTACCGAAATTACCACTGGGTTCCAAAGTGTTGATGTTGTTGGAGCCAACGAATGTCTGAGCGAGACCAACAATGGTCTGCTGAAGCGAGACATCACCGTGCTGGTAGGCGGTCATTCCGGAAACAAGACCTGCCAGCTCGACGACCTTCATATCCTTCTTCAGGTTACGGCGGAAGCAAGTATACAAAACCTTCCGCTGACCAGGTTTCAAACCGTCGACCACGGATGGAATGGAACGCTGGTTATCAGCCATGCTGAACAGGATCAGTTCCTTGTTGATGAAGTCCGTGTAGCTAATCTTGTCCATGGAGTGATCAAGGTACGTGCCGGGCTTAAATTGACGCAGCCACTCCTTTCGCTCATCAGCCTTCTTCTTCGAGAAAGCCAGCTCAATGAGAGCTGCCTCGTGGTCCTGCATGGTATGGAACTCCTTGAGGTGGCGATCGAGATCGCGGAAGTAAATCTGGGCATCTTCGGTGGAACTAGTTCCCAGACCCTTGTAGTACTTGTGATCCCATCCGCGTTCATCCTTGTGTTCCTCCTTCCAGGCCTCATATTCAGGCATGGTGAAGAAAGAGCGCGACTTGGTCGGATTCTTGGGGTCACCCTTCCAGACCTTGATGATGGGAGTGATGAACTCGATCAAGAACTCCGGAATCTTAAGCAAGCTGGGGAACTGCGCCTGGAGGAAGTTGATAAGAAGACCCTTGATGTGACTACCATCATGATCCTGATCAGTCATGATCATGAGATGGCCATATCGGAGACCCTTCGTTTCGGTATACTCCTTCTTGTGTTGCAGTCCGATGAAGTTTTTGATGTTTTGAATCTCCTGGTTTTTTGAAATCTGATCGAACGAAGCATCACGCACGTTGAGCAGCTTTCCACGGAGAGGGAAAACACCGAAGAGATCGGGACCAACAACTGCACGTCCCGCCATGGCTAAGCCCTTGGCAGAGTCACCCTCAGTGAGAATCAGGGTGCAGTGATGGCCATCCCGGGTACCAGCCTTGTTAGCTTCGACCAGCTTGGGATTGTTCATGCGCGTGCGGCGGCCAGTGTCACTTTTCTTGAGGATCTGATCCGCTTTCTGGGCGGCAAAGTGCAGGATATTTTCCATGACATCAGTCTTGAGAACCTTCTTGTAAAAGTCTTCCTCAAGAACACACTTGCTACCAAATTGGCTTGCCTTTGTGGTCAACTGCTCCTTCGTCTGAGAGGTAAAAGTTGGATTGACAATAAGCGAATTCACAAAGATGAACATGTGGTTCCGAATTTGGGCCGGCTTCAGAGTAGCACCGCTCTTGTTCTTCTTTTTCACCTGCTCCGCCAAGCGATTGCAGATCTGGTCGGTAATGTAGTTGACGTGAGTACCGCCAGATGTGGTGGCGATGGAATTGACGAACGAGACCTGCTGGAAAGAACCATCCGAGACAGCAAAGCCAATTTCCCACCGATCATTGGGGCTGCAGGTGATGATTTCATCCTTGGAAGCCGGGCCTTCCTCGCCGCGCTCCTTGCGGATAGCCTTGGTGTACATCTCCATGTACTTGCGGAAATTGCGAATGGGAATACGAGTGCCATTCAGCTTGACTGTAACGCTCGCCGTACCTGCCAAGTCGTAGACACGGCGCTTCACGAGGGCCTCAAAGTCATCGTCCATGCCCTCCATACCGAATTTGGCAAAATCAGGCTTGAACGTGACTTTGGTGTAGTCATCGCCCTTGGCTTCGGTGATCTTTGCCTTGCCCATCTTGGTCATGTTTTCCGTCCAGGTTTGTTTGTACCTCTTCTTCTGGCGCGAGTCCTGAGTTTCCACGGTGAACTCAGTGGAGAACACGTTGCAGAGCTTGGCGCCGTAACCATTACGACCACCAGTCACCTTCTGCTGCTTATCATTGTAGTTGGATGAGGTCAAAAGGTTACCGAAGATCAGCTCGGGAACGTAGATCTTATACTCGGAGTGAATCTCGACGGGGATACCACGTCCATTGTTCCAGATGCTGATCTCGCCCTCCTCACGACTGACTGTCACTCGAATTTCGCTCATGTTCTTGTCATTCTTCTTGTTATCGGCTGCGTTGACAACGATCTCGTCGAAAATCTTGTAGAGACCGGGGACGAATGATACCGGACGGAACTCCATGGATTCTGTCTCAGAGTTGTAAACCCACATCGACTGAGTTGTACGTTCGGTGGAACCAATGTATGTATCAGGACGTTTGGTAATGTGTTCGAGTTGCGTAAGCTACCAAAATCATCAACTTTTATTAGCCATCATGTCTCACAATGTCATAACTTGACGCGCACAACTCACCTTCCGGTACTTATCGGCTACGCTACCTTCCTCCGGTGCTTCGCCAGCGGCATCTCCTCCAAATGACTCATTTTCCACATCAGCGAGAGGCTGCTTCGAGCCAGCCCTCTTGGGAGCAGCAGCCTTCTTCGCTTTGGGAGGAGTCTGGGAGAGCAGGGAGTCGGCATCGTCATCGGACATGTGAACGTCGGAAACTTCGTCTTCGCTATCCGCCTTGGCCTTCTTCTTGGCTGCTGCCTTCTTCACTGGAGCCTTTTTGGCCGCGGCTTTGGGTTTGGCAGCCGCAGTCTTTTTGGGAGCAGGCTTGGCCTTGGTTTTCTGCGCGGCGAGGGAGTCAGTGATTTGCATCACCATCACTGAACGAGTCGAACTGACCGGGGCTGGCTTCTCAGGCACAAAGTCTGAGTTTTCATCATCACTGATGTTGAAGATGGAGTCACCATCCATGATTGAGTCGTCCATGATGAGATCGAGGGTCGACGGGGTGGCGCTGAAAAACCGAGAAGATCGGATTCAGGCCCGCAAACGAGGGAATCGCCGGGTCAATAAAGCCCGCAAAATTGGGTGGAAGATGAGAGAAGTTAGCGAATGAACTAGAGAGCCAGCATGGCGGTGCTGGAAAGGATTGGCGAAGGAGGGGACGAGTTTCTTTGATTCTTTGTTTTGCATGAAACGCGACTGCCAGCGGAACTCGGGCGGTGACCGGAGGTGGCCACTCGGATCATCATTCTTCCTCACCGCCTGCCCCGCCTGCAGCCCAAATAGGCAATTTCTAAACAAACTCGTTTGGGCAAGCGCGTTACTGACAACCTAAAAATAAACTGACGACTACTGTGTACGCATGTCCATCAAGATTACAACGGGTAACCTCAGAATGACCTTGATAGCTACATGAATCTCGAGGGGAAACATACGATTTCTTGGAACGCTCTACCAACCCTGGTAGCCCCTAAAGTAATTCTCCAAGACAAAGAGATACAAAGCGGGGTCTACCCATATCAATCATCAAGTCAATAGAGAGATTTGAATAATATTAGAACCGCCTCAAATCACTCTTCGCTTCTTTGTCGCCAAACAGCGTCCACTCCCTCGACAAAGACAACTAGTCAGCCCTCAGCCCGCTACCCGATCGGCCCACCCTGCTCATTAGTTACAATTTAATTCCTCGAATACCTACCCACGGTGGCTCTCGAGTGCCAGGTAATATCCTGGGGTTAGTACTTGGCCAGAGAGGAAACAAAGGATGGTAGTATGGTAGTAGAGAGATGAAAATTGAGTGACCAAGGTGAGCAAGTTTGAAAGGAAAACAACCACATATCTAAGGAACTCATCTGTGCCGCGGTCCACTCTCTGCTTGTGACTCGTCATGTAGTCATTCTGATCCACTGGGAAGTGTTGTACTTACGCCTGACACTACTGTTGAGAGAAAGACTCTTCACTTCAAGTATGGAATACTCTGGACTTCCCTCACACCACCCTTAATTACTTGCACAGCCATATACATGGCGTGCATTGCAAGGCAGGGCATCCGAGAGCTACACTCCCTAGGCCTCTGGTACTTTGGCACAGTCTCACGGATATATTGCCACAAGAAGGTTGGCAGGCATGTATTGCCTAGCGCGCAGCAGGTCCATAGTCCTCATCTTTAGCCCTTGCATACTTTTTTTTTTCTCTCTGGTAAGCATGACCGCCCGTGATACCGCGATAGTTTGATGCGATGAATGCTGTGAGTGAGCCTGACCCTGAAAAGAGTGGTAAAATCGGAAGGCCTCTTGAGGTGAGCATATGGGTGTATACAGAATCGAGAGAGAAGTCCAACTAAGTGCTGTATGTAGTTTTATGAATAATTAAATAATTAACAAGGAAGAGCAGACTAAGGTTCCTTGGATCTGCCACCGAAAGTCCGCTGTTCCTTTGACAAGACCATAGAACCCTTGAGACACTTAGATATCCAGAAAGACCCATTTTTGAGTCAAGGTCTAACGCTTCGGAGGTTATACCCGGTGACAAACCGCATGGACCAGCGGAGAGATCCACTGCGACAGAAAAGACCTCGAGAGACTGACAGGGAACTGTGCAGTCACTCAGTAGTGATGGTGGCTGGAAAGGTGGCCTCTCTTCACCCCTACACGGACCGGAAGATTTAAGGGCTTTCGCTCCTTGATAGGCTTGCCACTTGCCAGCCCTTTTCTCCTCGTCCGGCCCTCTGCGTCACAAGATGAAACTCGGCTGTTCAAGGGGGCTTTGTAATGATGTTTCATAGATCCCCCTCGAAAGTTGACCAATTATCGATTGATTCAACCTTATTTATCCAATCAATAGTAAAATAGATTACACAAGTAGATCTTTTTGTATTTCAAGTACAATAAATACCACTGCCCCGTGCATCACCCCCTCTCCAATAAGAAGAGTCAGAGTAATTTGGCTGTGGTACCTGCAGGACACTGAGATTCAAATCGAGGAATTTAACAGTCTCATCTATTCCATACATAGTGAACTCCTGGAGAAGGGAATGCAATCAAAAACGAACCCCATGTCATGATTGTCATCATTCTGTTCTCTTTTTCTCCATACTCTGTACCGTTGGCCCACGGATCGCACGTCTCCCATGGAACGGCGATCGGAGGAGGGTCGCGAGGCGCGTATTGGAGTAAATAGGGGACTAAACCACCACCACCTTTAGAAGAGATCAAATGATAAATAATGACAACAATAACCCTCCTCTCTTTCCTAATGTAAAATGCCAAGAGTTAAAAGTACTAGCTGCTCAATAATATTTAATGATTATCACTTATTTGACGGTCCCCGTCAGACAGTCGGTGTATGAGCGATCGACGGGGGCGAGACTCCTTGGAGGGGAAACACTAAAGGGGCTAGCGAATTAGTGTGGATGTGGATATCCCACTCCTCCTGAGACTCGCTCCCTTTTTCTTCTTCACCAGCCTTTTTCCGCCTTTTGCTGCTGCCGTTACGACAAAAAAAGCGTATTGCGATCCTTGATGGTGCTGGATCACCTCCAGGTGCGTTGCGTTCTTGGGTTCCCCTCGCCGCCACTGCGCCGGTTGCTGATTTCATTTGCCTCTCAGAGATGAAGCTGGTCTTGAATATCTTCTCAACCCTCCGACAATCGCTCCCCAGAGTCTAGTTCGGTGACTTGCTCCATCATATCTCACCCGGGTGTTCCTATCCACCCGCCGCAAGAATGGATAGCTTCGAACCCGCATCGCCGGGCATCCCACACGCCCCCAACCATGATTCCATGGTGACCGTCTCCCTTTCCGATAACCAGTCCAATTCAGAGCACACACAACCGGACTGGCGTACTCTCGACATCCCTCCGACACCCGTCCTGGCGACCCATGAGTCGGAAGCCATCAAGAACAAGACCGAGTCATTTGGCCCCATGGCACTCCTCGATGCCGCAAGATCCACCCCCACCCCTGTGGACGAGCCCCCAACTCCCACCTCGGCGGAGCCTAGACATGCGAAAGCTGGGCAGACAGGAGAAGAGGACGATAATGAAGTAAATTGGGAGAATCTGGATCGAACGGAGGAACAAGAGCCGCGTGGAGAAGGATCGGACGATGTAGGTTGACAGGCCAAGCCCCTTTCCCCTCATGGACCGTGCGGTGCAGCCCGTGGAATGGAATGTGGAATTGACACTTCGCTGCTTATCTAGTCAACGGCTCTACTGCTCGCTCGCCTGGAGCAAGAGAACAATGCGCTGGCCACCAATCCCAAGTCCGGCTTGTCCAATGCCCCTCGCATCCAGAGACACCAGCGACAATCCCGTTCGCAATCGCTCTTCCAAATCAAGAAATTGATCAATGAGCCTACACGGTCAGAGCTACGTTACTCACAACTTCAACCACCTCCAATGACCGAGCTAGAGTTCTGGGCCGCCCTGGTGGCAGATTATCCACAGACGGCTCAGCGACTGCCAACTCTGACGTCTAATAAGATCCAACAAGGTGTTCCTCCGCCGCTCAGAGGAGTGGTATGGCCTAGTCTGGCTGGTGCCCGCGATCCCACATTGATTGAAGAGTTCCAGCGATTGGTTGGCGAAAGCAGCCCCTACGACGGTCTGATTGGCAAGGATATTGGTCGTAGTTTCCCTAATGTGGAGATGTTCCGGGATCCCAACGGCGAGGGCCAGCAAATGTTGGCTCGAGTCTTGAGATGCTTTAGCTTGTATGATGCGAAGATTGGCTACTGTCAGGGTCTTGGGTTTGTCGTTGGGCCATTGTTGATGCACATGTCCGACGCAGAGGCTTTTTGTGTCCTTGTTCGGTAAGTACCCGCGAAGAAGGTCACCTTTGGATTAAATACTGACAGACCTGATCAGATTGATGGAGCACTACAACCTTCGGACTTGCTATCTCCCTGACTTGTCAGGTCTCCACCTTCATGTTTACCAGTTCCAAAACCTCCTGGCCCGGCATCGCCCCGAGCTTTTCCAACACCTGGAGCTTTTGAATGTCGAGCCAGTGTATGTGTCACAATGGTTCTTGTCTTTCTTCGCAGTGGCATGCCCCTTGCCAATGCTTCTCCGTATCTACGATGTAATTTTCCTTGAAGGTGCTTGTGAAACTCTGATGCGAGTTGCACTGTCTCTGATGCAGCGCAACGAGAAACGCATCTTGGCTTGCACCGAGTTCGAGGATGTGATGCAGTTGTTGTTGTCACGCAGTTTGTGGGACACGTGAGTATATCCTTATCTTATCCTCCACATCATATTGCGATAACGCTGACACCGTGATCCAGATATGCGTTCAACGCAGATGACCTTGTCAATGACTTTGTTTCATTGACTTCCCTCGTTACTCACGAGAGCCTCCAAGCCCTGGAAGTCAGCTACAATCAATCACAGGGCGTCCCCACCGGAATATCATTCCCCCAGATGCAAGCTGCAGCATCTCGATTTCTTGGACGTCTCTGGGCAGGCTCGAGTTCTCACAATTCTGTCAAGTCTCTCAATCCAAATCCCAATACCTCTCGCCCCACCAGCACCATCCGTCGCTCTACCTCCAAGCAGAGCTTGACTTCCACATTGAACTCGGTGGAGTCGACATCCGATGCGAGTACCGCACCAACGGAGCTGTCCGCCGCGGTAAACAGTGACCAAAAATCACGGAAGTCAAATATGTCCACACACCACAAGGACCGCGATCTCCATACCCAGATCGAGGACCTGTTGATGGCCCTGAGTGACCTTCAACGTCAACAAGCAGATTTGACCCGCGAACTACAACAGGAACGAGAGGAGCGCGAAGAAGACCAATCGTTGGCGAAGGAAATGCTCAAGCACATTCAGGAGCAGCCTACCGAATCACAGCCCCAGGAGTTGATCGCTAAAGCGCAAGCTCGCTTTGCAACCAGTGAACCCAAGGACGCTACAATCCCCCAGACGAAACACCAACTTTACGATGATATGACCCGATGGAAAGAAATGCACGAGGTGGAAGCAAGCCGTTGTCTAGACCTGACACGGCGAATGGACGACTTCGAGAAAGAGAATGCGTCACTCAAGGAGCAGTTGCGCGAAGCCCGTGGTCGTATCCAAGACGGATACCGGGACCGTCAGCGACTGGAGCGACTGAACAAAGAACTCCGTGCACTCAAAATGCCTGAATCATCAACCCCTCCCGACACTACCTCCACATCCGCTGATTCCGAGTCGGCCTCTGCCTCTGTCTCTCCCACCGGCGGCCTCCGTGAACTGAGACTGGTCCGGACCAACTCACATAAGGCCCCAACCTTCAGCAAGCGTTCAAGTAGCCTGGGCCTTCAGAACGTGCTGGCCACCGAGAATCACAAACCTGCTGCGGAAGACACCCTCCTCCTCGAGCTGGTCAACGCGAAGACCGCCGAAGCCGTGGCGAAGCAGGAACTGGAGGAAGTGAAGGGCAAACTGGATGCACTCCGAAAGATGATCAGCAAACCCCATGCTCCATCCGGCGCGAAACTCGAAAACCGCCATTCTTTCCTCGGCCATTCACCGTCCCAAGCGAGCATCTCCAAGTCCTCCACCGACCCGGTCAGAACACCTGGGACGTCCAGTAATGTCGGCGCTGGCGGCGGTGGTTTCTTTAGTGGATGGGGCCGACGGGCTCCAACGACCAATGAGTCCCCGTGATTAATGGTTCTGAATGCTGCAGCTGGGCCTCATTGCCCTCGGCTGTTCCATGCCAGCTACGTTTAATGTGAAAACCACATGTAAGAATTCGTGTCAATGTTGTTTTGAGCCGAAGTTTTCTTGTTTTTGTCCGTTCCTACTTGTACATAGATGATATCCCCCTCCCGAAATCGGGGAGAGAATTGCACGTACTGCCTTTCTGTTGTGAGGCTACCATTGAGTGATTGCAAACTTGATGATATTTTCTCTCTGTGCCATAATCTGGGTTAATCCTGTACGCCCATGACAGCTGTAGCAGGGTCGTGATCGATCTGTAAACTGATCATGATGAAATACCTTCAATGATAACCTTGATCACACTCCTTCCCCTGCCGAACCAGATCGAACGCCTCTTCCCCTTGTTTGAATTTGAACCTATTAGTGGTCAATCGCTTGACATCGATCTTGCCACTCGCAATCAGATCGACCGCAGTCGGATAACAGCCCGCAGTGTACAGAATAGATCCTCGAACATGGATATCCCTAGTACAAACAGTCGTGATGGGGAAATCAACACTTTGCTCAGATATCAGTATGTGTCTTCCACCTTTACGGTTATCACACTCACTTCACCACCCATGCCAGCTTGCACATAAGTCCCACCCTTCCGCATCACATATATCCCAGTCTGTATACAAGCCTGAGCACCCGTAGCCTCAAGAATGACATCAGGCCCCTCACCCAAATGAAACCTCCCCTTCATGATTCCAGCCACCTCTTCACTCCAGACACCATCATCCACACCCCCAGGTTTGTTAGGAGGCACGAAGACATCATCAGCACCAAAGTCCTAGCAAACATGCTCGTGATTCACTAATATCAACACCAATCACTTTCTTCGCCGCGTAGGCCTTGCTCACAGCCTGACAGAGTAATCCGATAGGTCCGCAGCCAAAGACGACAATGGTCTGATTGGGTTTCATGGCGCCGACTTTGGTGATTTGCACTGCGACTGCGACGGGTTCAACGAGCGCCCCTTCTTCCATGTTCATGTGCGCGGGGAGTGGGTAGCAATAGTCCGCTTGGGTGAGGCTGCGGTAGTAGTCGCAGCTTTGGTTTTTTGTTAGTCTGGTTGGGTTGGTTGATTAGAAGGCCTGTGAGAGTTTGACGTACTGTCTGCATGGTACACCTGGCTCGATGGCGACTCGTCTCCTGGCGTGAGGATTTTCACGGCAGAGCCTACTTGGACGACCGTACCGGAACTTTCATGCCGAGGACGATGGGTGAGTTGAGGATGAGATCTGTTTGTGATGCGAATGAGTCCCGGATCTCGAGAAGTGATTGCGATAATGCGCTTACCTCCTATACGGCCTTTCTGCCAGCTGGTGGTCAAGTTAGCCTCATAACATGCATGAGATATCAGACACGACATACTAGTGGACCTATTGGTATACTCACGTCAGCCCATTTTCTGGATAAAGAAGGGTCAAATCGAAAACTAACATCGCTGCCACAGATACCAGTCTGCGCCACTTGAACAATGATATCCCAAGGATCTTTGAGCTTTGGCGCAGCGCGATCCTCAATAGCCACGTCCTTGACGGCGTGCAGCACAAAAGAGCGGTTCATTTCCTCTATTCATTTAGTGGTGGATTGAGCCCAGAGACCTGATCATCCATACAACCATCTTGTTTCGATACAATTCTTTGTTGAGAATAAGAGATCGATCTTTGCCCAATATAAATCAAGAACGATTTTACGATCAACTCGAGATTCTCTTCTACTTTCATCATATTCCCCGCTGTGTCCGCGCGCGGACTGGGTCGTCCATTGCACGGCGACCCCACCCCGTTGGGCGATCATGAAGACTAGCCGCTCGGCGATCTCGTTCGGGCTAAAATCCCAAGTTTCTACTCCAAACTTGTGCTGTGACATCAGTTAGAGAGGGGAGCTGGAAGCAACCCCTGGAAGGAGAAGGGGCCTCTATTGTGGACTTTGATAACTCTTGTGGTAATATCACGAATCTGGTTTAGTTCCGAATATAAATCGGATTGGACGAAGTCAGATCCTGTTCAGAGCCCACTTAGATAAAACTAAATCAGAATAACTGGCACTTGGATCAGGGCCATAACAAGATCCACGGAAACATCCTCATTCTTGCGAGTATACAATCTTCTTGCCTCGCGGCCCCTGTGTCCGTATCTCCCGAAGGCCCTCCAACACTCCAACCAGACCTCCCCCACGTATCTCAACCGGATGTGGTTGAATTTGTCCAGTCTGAACCAATTTCTCGCCGACCAAAACCCATTTCTTAGCAAACTCCTCCATCACAGGGTCGGCAGGGAGCTCTGCCACACCAGGAAATTCAAATCTTTCGCCAAACATCGTATATCCCAGAGCTGTGGTGGCAACTACGCTCTCCTCGGGTCTCAATCTCTTGAATGGTTCCGGAACGGGCACTTTGATTGAGTGATAGTGACCACCTGCGGGCGCCAGGATTTTGCTGCAGAAAGTAGCTGACTCTTCGTTTCCAAGGCAATCCACGATGTGCGTGATTGGCGCACCAACGGCCTCTATTTGCTTGACGAAGTCCGGTTGATTATAGTCAAACTACTTCTCGGCTCCGCGGGACTGAACCAGTCCACTGTTTGGGGCGGAGCAAGTTGCAAAGACGCGACATCCTGACCTAGAGGCGAAATTGTAAGTCATGTAGCATACATGTCGACATTATGTCTTACAATTCTGCCGCTTGGATAACGATAGTACCCGTCGCTGAGCTTCCTCCGTACACAAGCAGAGTAGGACTCGAATTGGCTGGGATATCGAGGGACGGTAGGGGCGGCTTCATAATGGCGTATAAAACTTGGGCGACTGTCGCCAGCCCAACGCTTAGCGAAGCCGCCTTTTCACAGCTCAAATATTCAGGCTTATGCATTATAGCGTGTTCCTTGGCAGTGATGATGTCTGCGGTCTTACAAAGGTTCCCACTAATGCACACTTTTCACTCGAAGAATCCGTATGTCTCGGTGTGGTTATTGCAGAGAGAGGCGCAGTAATTTCTGTTCAATAAACCATATACGAGCTATCCACTACTGTAGATGGAAATTTAAGTTTTTGGAATGGAGCCGTCCCCGCATTGAGTAAGACAAAAATTACCTAGGTAAAGTTCCACCATTGAACAATAAGCTTTGGGCGAGTTTCCGTTGTCAGTAACCGGTATTCAGCTAGACTTCAACCTCGGTCCCATTGCCGAACCTCATGTGCCGAGCGGGCATCTGGTTGTACATTGACCTCATTGGCTTCGAATAGGTAAGGCCCTTGTAAAATGAGATTTACTCTGACCCCGATCGCCGTCTAGTCATGTAGGACTTGCAGATACGGGTTTCATTTTGATCGTGCGAAACTTTACTCTAATTTCACATATAGGCGTTGATATTCGATGCTAGCAGGGCCTAGCGAATCTACGAGCATAGCGCGTGAGGAGTTTAGAAATAAGGCTAGCACAGATGATTGATCATCTCCGAGCTGTTTTCGTGAAGCGGGGCTCCAGTATGCGATGTGACCTACTATAATCAAATTAAGGCGATAGGTCAAAGCCCGTCAGAAAGAAAAAATAACTTCTATATTCCGGCATATATGAAACTGGAGACGAGTGGCCGGCATATCGTCAGCGAACTGCATTTTAATGTCTTCCAGCCCTGGCCTGTGGTTGAAAGCTATGGTGAACATGAGCTATGGCGGAAGAAGTCGAAAGGTTTCATCGTGATTGGGAAGATCTAGTCAACCTAGGAACCGGCGTAAAGTTGGGTACCATTCGTGGGGCCTCTCAGGAGCGCTTCACCCACAACTCTGCTTTAGCCCGGGCTGGATCGCTCTAGAGATTCATTAGCTTCATGCATTTCAATTGGAAATTAAAAACGCACCAACCAGGATATGATTTGGCCAGAACCGCGGCTTCATCCTCAGGTTCCGCGCCCAGACTGTCATGCTTCACATGGTATGGCGAAAGCCACATCCCTATGCGCCAAGAAAGTCCTAACATATCGAGGCCCTGACGGGGCATCAAGCGCTAGAATGATCCTGAAAGTCAAGTTTACTTCCTCGGCTTGCTCGACCCTGTTCAATTCTTCATTGGATAATTGGGTCGAGCCTATCTTCCCGCCCTTTGGAGATCCGGGGGCCCTCAGTTTAGAGGTCTCTCCGAAACTCTATATATATCCAATTGCTTAACGCTGGTTGGTGTACCTCATTCCAATTAGATCGGTGGCGTCACCAACGTACCGTGGCTGGGCGTTGGAGGATATGGTCCACTTGGCACTTGCCATTTGGGCATCCTGGGCCTGAGAATCAACCAGGAAAGGTATAAAAAGGCAAGTTACCCTTCTTGCTGTTCACTTGGACAAGAATATGGAACGGATTGAGCCCATTGATCGAAACTCCTCAATTGAATTAACTTGTCCTTGCACTGTCTCTTCAACATGATTTCCAACAGCATCTCATTCATCGCCGTCATTGCTCTGTCCTCCCAGGTTGCTGCAGCCCCGACACTCCAGGAGCGAGCTACATCTGGTCTGTCAAGGTGACTTGAGTAACCATGCCAATAGATTAATGACTCAAATTTTTACAGACCCGACGGCCTTCACCTTCCTTCAACGTGCTGCTAAGCTATCATCTGCCGCGTACAGCGGCTGTCTGGGAACTGCCTTTGATGTAACCATTACCAAGCAGATATACAACGGGTTTACCGATACAAATGTAAGTAGGTCTACTAGAGTGTATAATATTCTCTTGCTGAATTATTGCAGGGCTATATTGGATACTCTCCGACGCAGAAAAAGATTTCTGTCGTTATGAGAGGCTCAACGACGCGTGAGTTTTAAGAGTTTGCTTCTGTTCATTAGGCAAATCACTGACAACACTCAGCCACGGACTTTATGAATGATGCCGATACGGCCTTGGTCACTCCTTCTCTGTCGGGAGTAAACTTCCCTGCTGGTGTGCAGATCATGAAGGGTGTTAATGACCCATGGACTTCTGTACACGATTCCGTGATCAGCGAAGTGAAGTCTCTCTTAGCAAAGTACCCGGATTACACGCTGGAATCGGCTGGTCATTCACTTGGTGGCGCGCTCACTTACATCTCCTACGTTGCTCTCGCCCAGAACTTTCCCGGAGTCTCGATCACCAGCAATGCTTTGGCTGCTTTTCCGATCGGAAACACGGCTTGGGCCAACTTTGGCTCCTCCCAAAACGGTACCTTGAACCGAGGCAACAATGCTAACGATGGGGTTCCAGTATGTTGGGTCTCAATTTTGATTGCCTGAATCATGTCTTCTAACGGGACCAACCTAGAACATGTATGTCCAGTCACCGTACAACTTCCAGCACTATGGAATTGTAAGTTATTGCCGTTGCTCAAGTTACTCCAATGGTAGATGACATTACTCATTCTTTCTGTCTTCACGCAATAGGAGTACTACAGTTCGGGTACCGCGGCAACATGTGTACAGTGTTCGGGGGAGCGCGATACTGCTTGCTCTGCTGGAAACGGCCAGTACGGCGTTACCGCGGGCCACATCCAGAGTTTTGGAATCACCGAGGGCTCCGCTGGATGCGGACCCTGAAGTAGACCTGTATGAGACATGATATGAAGTGCTTCATTGTATCTGAGGACTGGTCGGCAGTGAGGTCGGGTTCGTTGAAGCAGGTTATGGCTGGCGAGGAAGTACCACGCTAGGGACTTTGTTGACTTGATGGATATGGGTCATATGATCGGCCATTCAACATGACCGGGAGCCTGTCTTTTTGTACTTGTCGTGCACACTGTGTACTGGTTGGAGCGTATCACAATGTCGACATTGTGTCTACTCATTATATTGAACTCATTCCACTCCTGCGTAACCACAAGGGCAAACTAGGTTTCAAGTGGTCAACGCAATTTATCGTAGACTAGGGGCCAGAAAGAAGAGCATTCGGCCCCTTTTATATGTCGTCAAAGTTACTGTCAGTCAATTATTAGAAAAAAGATTTTCTTATGAAAGTATTTCGATTGTGGCCACTGGAATTCGGAGAGCTAGTTGGGACGTAGCCAACTTCTCGTAATCTGCTTCGTTCCCCAATCCTCAACTGGGTTGATATCATGCCAAATGCAATAATAATCGCGAATGGTTTGCCTCGAGTTAAAGATGCCGTCTCCAACGTGAAATCGGCACAATTCTTTCAGTGAGTCAGGCCCATACACCATCAGCTACAGTAACTCACAGGAAACAAGCTAATTCTACAAGGGGTCCGATGGAACAATCGAGGACTACGAGCTTTACGGCCATTTGATCACCACCACTATCGTCCGATAGGTCACGGCATCGAGGCTACGGATCAACAGCGCTCCATAGGGTAGCTTGCCGGCTCGACCAAATACCTGTCGGAATTTAATATTGGGATGGAGATGCAAAAGAACTACAGTCTTCCAGCGATGAGACAGCGGCTGTCCTTGTTCGTCCTGTTTAGGAGACATTGAAAAGCAGGACGGCGAGAGTGGTCCTGCGACGTAAACAGTCCCGGGGGGGGGTTGGCTCATCTGAGCCGCGTAGAAGATTGCCAAAACATGACATCGGACATATGAGAGCTCACTTTATGTAGTCGAGGTGACAATGCTCCGGATGGCCTGCTCCACCCAACGAGAATACATAAGAGCAAATCCTAACCCAGCACGTAAGGAGGCGGAGACAGCTCCGGTGATGGAACGTACGGATACCACGGATCGCCCTCATAATAAAGGTCTAGATCGTCGAGCTGTAACTCCGTAGTCAGTGTCATCCCACCACAGACCCACACGATGAGCCACCCTGGCCCTCAGCTCTATCTTGGTTTAGACATTAGCTTAAAAGCTAAGTAGATAATAACGTCCTTGAACGGAATAGAAATACTGCTTGGTCCCTGCGACTACTAAATCGGCTCCCTGTAGCGACCAAAGATTAATAAAAGGTAATGAAGATTCAATAGCTACCATTTAAATTTTCGAAATCTTTGAATATTGATATGCGCCTCAATCTGGTCCCTCGCGCATCGACCGTTTTTACTGTCGTTAGAAGACGGCCGAGCATTTGTTCCTTTCAGTTCTGGAGACTGCTCGCCCTGGCTTACATGAGAAGCAAAAGCGGGTCTTCTCAACTCGTGGGTTGAACGTGTCCCGGCGGTAATAGTTTCAGCAGAGGGGTACTCTTGGGCAAAAGTCCCAAACCGACTGCTATAACGCCTTTCGGTCAGATGGTGGAGTGCTTCCTCCGTCATTGACCCAACTAATTGTGCAGAGTTACCCTTAGATACCGCTTTCTTGATATCAAGTAGATCAGCTAAAGTAGTCACTACTACTAGATCGCTGTCACCGTCCGCCGCAATCACCTCTCCGATTCTGTGTATTTTCTGAGATGAAACTTCATTTGCAGCTTTGCATACTTCGAGGCACTGCTTAGAGGTATTGATATCTTCTTGTAAACGAGATCTTTCATTCTCGTCACCGGGGTCGTTTTTCAAGACCAGGCTCTCCAGGCGAGCCCGAAGTCGATTGATGATCGCTGGAAAATTATCGCGATTCTCATTCAGAGCTTGACGTGTGAGCAGTTGCGCTTCGAAGCAAGTTTGTCCGCTGTCACTGGGGTCATCTTGTGGTCGGTCTTGCAGAAAAGAGAATTCTCGGCTGAGATTCGATACAATGTCTTGCATCTTCGCAAACACGGAGACACTGCGTGGTAACCTCTCGTTCGTCGCTTAAACCAACGGTTTAATCTAAGGCGCTTGTGCTGTCGATATTGAATCGTTCCATTTTCTCATCAATTCGTTGCAGATGCACCCGGAGATTATAAGCCGTGTCCTGAATCATCTCGTTGTACTGCTTTAGGACTTCCTGGGACAGTTTGGCGTTATGGCTTATAAGAGCGTCAGCAAATACCGAAAAGCAAAGGAGATTTCCCCGAGAGAAGAGTAAGGCGTCTCCCAAAACGGTCTGACATGATGCCGGACAAAAGGGAGCGAGAGAACACTGCCGATGGACTGAGCGGCATTAACCACTCCCAGGACCGAGCCTGCTGGATTACCGAAGTAGTCTTCCCATTCGCTTATAGACTGCAGACCGTTCATAAGAGATCGTGGTTAGGAAGAAGGCCGTGTCAGTATGTCATATTCCTCACAAACAATAAGCCAGAATGCAAGTACCTACCATCATATCCAGCCACCGCAGTTGAAAGCAATGGAATGAGCAGAATGAGGTTCAGCTGTAGGAGATGAGGTACCCGAAACCAAGGGCGATCATACTGAGGCAAACAGATGCTAGCGCCTCGCCGACAATGTTTTGATCCTTCATCGTGCTATGGATGTTATCAACAAGTAATCGGGGCGGATGTTCATCCAAGGAGGAGTGAAGGTCCTAATATACTTTTCCCTGATGGAATTTCATTTGATCAACAACAATGGCCAGAACTGCGTCGGTAACACGAGATTCCGGGAAGTACGGAATAGTCTGGCCAAGCATATGGGAAAGGGACGCACCGACTTCATAGCCTGTTTCCCCGTGGGGAGATGTACCCCAAGTTTGTGGGGCGCAATGGCGACTAACATTAGCCGGTGGTCTAGGTTTGTGCCGTTTAGTTTGCGGACACAGGTGTCCGTTCCAGCAGACCATTCGCGTTCCGAACCCGGCGCTATCAGACAGTGTGCTCGAGATATTTCGAATGAACAACAAAGTTGTCATAATCACCGTGGTACTGGCGGACTTGGGTACCAAGATGCTCGTGGCCTGGTAGAAGCCGGCGTTAATGTTGCTTTGTGGTACTATGGGTCTTCTCAAGCCGAAAGCCTCGCCAAGTCACTTGAAAAGGACTTCAGAATCAAATCAAAAGCATACAAGTGCTCTGTGCAAAGTTTCGACGAGGTGCGTTCTACTTGTTGCCATATCTTTTTCCGACGTTAATCGTCAGTCCCCACAGGTCCAAGCGGCAACCAATGCTGTGGTCCACGACTTTGGTCGACTAGATGTAATGATCGCAAATGCTGGTATTCCATCGAAGGCTGGTGGTCTAGATGGCAAGCTGGAAGACTGGCATAAAGTTGTGGACATTGGCTTCAACGGAGCATACTATTGTGCTCGGGTTGCGGGTGAGATCTTTCGGAAGCAGGACTCAGGTAACATGACCTTTACGGCTTCCATGTCTGGCCATGCAGCAAATGTACCCCAGCAGCAGGTATGTCATCCATGAGTGAGGATCGTGGTTATACATCACTCTAAAGGCTTGTTATAACGCTGGCAAGGCAGGCGTCATTCATCTGGCAAAGTCACTGGCCGTGAAATGGGCTGATTTTGCTAGTGTCAACTGCGTCAGCCCCGGCTACGTCGACACACCCATCAGTGGAGACTTTTCATTCGAGATGAAAGAGGCGTGGTATAGTCTGACATCTTTGAGACGAGATGCAGATCCTCGCGAGCTGAAGGCTGTCTATTTGTATCTCGCGAGCGATGCCAGCACGTACACAACAGGGTCTGACATTGTGGTGGATGGTGGATATACTTGCCGGTAAAGAATGAACAGATAATTGCCGGATTTGGGGGGGGGGGGGGGGGGTGGTGTGGAATGGATCACCATGTACATCACTGACATGAAATTGTTGAGAGAAGGAGTCTTCGAATATAAATTCTAGAATAAATTCAAAAAGACCTACCAAGAGCGATATTGACATTGATTTGGGCGGAAACATGAATGGGATAAAAAGGAGCGTATCTTATCTTGACAGCGCCCACGGCACTGCTGGCACAGGAAGCGGAGAAAGAAAGAGGGAGACTGAGTCAATTGGTCTATCTAGAGCAAGGAGGCGAAGACGACTAGAAGAAGAAGAAGAAACAGAAGGGAGCAGAACAGGGTCTATAAGGCCCTGAAGCGAAAAGGAAGGGAACAGGCCTGGACCTGGCAGGAAATCACCAGCTTGCTTCATGCAGGGCCAAAGAAGACGACAAACCCTGCAAGCCCTATCGAGGTCAAAGGGATCGAGTCATCATATCTTGTGATTGATATTGTTACTTGTGATAGTTGCTCAGACTGGGTGGCAGATCTTCTGTCTGAGTCCCCCATTTGCTTTCAGTTAAGCCCAACTCCAGCTCGAGGACGCCACCCTGGGTAAAGAAGTCATGGGTGAGCCAATTTTTTGACCATGCCTCACCATTTAGCTTGGCACTCTGGATAAAGATGGACTTGTAGTTGGCATCGAAATTCACGTTCCGGATCGTGGCTGTTTTACCAGTGACAGCGTTTTTGATGCTCACTTCTTTGAAGTAGGGTGGAGTGATCAGGTAGACATCCTGTCCAGGAACAGGCCAAAGCCCCATCATACTCAGCATCACAAACGAGCCCATGGCACCACTATCATCATTCCCTGCGATACCGGCGGTTGTGGTGTTAAACTGAGACGGGATATAAAAGTGGCTGTATTTGGCAGATAGAGCGGGCCGACCGCTGTAGTGGAATTGGAACACGGTTAAGAATGCCTGCTCATCGCCCACATAGAGAAGACCAGATTCGTGAAGGAACTCCAATCGGGATGTGAATTGCTCTGCGCCACCAAGCGTTTTGATAAGAGCTCCCATATCATGAGGGGCATAGCTATTGAAAAATTGTTACCTAGATGAGCTTTGTGATAAACAATAAAAGAGACTCACAAGGTATAAAGCCAGGAGCTTCCTTCGTAGGTCTCATGACCACTGGGATTCAGATAGCAGGAAGTAAAGTTCAGCAGAGGGCTACAGAAGATTGGATCTTGGTAACCCCAGGTACCGTTCGTGTAGCGAGGCTGCAAGAATCCAGTGAAATTGGTGTCGGCACCATTGATACTGGACTTTTGATCCTCCTTGAACATGTGTGCCCAGTTCCCCGAGCGAGTGGTATACTTCTCGTAGTCTGCTTGCTTGCCCATACCCTTTGCCATCTCGGCAATGCAGAAGTCGTTGTACGCATATTCCACGGTACGCGAGATACTGCGAGTATGAGTCCCAACGCCATATGGGTCGTAATCGTCGGTGGGAATGTATCCGAGACTCTTCCAGCTTTGCAGCCCACCGCGTCCCTCGACATTCCAGTTCGCGGGCTCGACTTCTGCATCCTTCACAACAGCCTCGTAGGCAGTGTCCCAGTCAATCCCATCAACCTTCTTCAGATAGGCGTCGGCCATGAGGACATCGGCATTAGAGCCTCCCTGTGTGTAACCCTTGCAAAGTGACATCCGGCAGTCAGGAAGGTACCCCTCGTGGCGGTAAATGTCAAGAAGACTTCGCATCATCAGGGATTGTGAAAGAGGGTCAACCAATGTCAATAGAGGATGAATACTGCGGTATGAGTCCCAAATACTAATGAATTTGATCAGTTACAATTTTCTTGTAGGGCTTTGAAAGATGCTCTTACCAGTAGTAGCTGTCATAGTACGGCTCATCACTTTCCCACAAGGGATTCTCACCGGTATAGTCCTGAGGACTAATAAGAGACCGATATGCTCCACTCCAGAAGACTGTTTGAAGGTCTTTCGAGACTCCATCCGCGTCAACAGAGACAACACTCAGTTTCTTCCTCCAAGCATCTTCGGCCGCAGATCTGGTGCCATCAAAGTCGAAGTTGGGTTGCTCCCGTTCGGCATTAGCGCACGCTTGTTTGACATTCATGAAGCTCACGCCAACGCGAGCTAAAATCGTATTGTCTTTGGGAGCGTGGAATCGAGCAAATGTACCCGCAGATAGGGTGTCGGGGCTATTTGTACCATCAGCCCGCAATGAAACGGTTTTCCTGGTGGTGTTGGCTCGGTTCTTGGTCCAAACACCGGTATCACGAAGCTCTGCACCCTTAAAGTCAACACAAAAATGGAGATCATAGCTTCCAATGCCAAAGCTAGGGTTGAAGGTGCCATTTCCTGTCAGGCGGCCGTTGGAAGAGTCAACATCAGCAAACCCATTGGTTCGCGACTGTGGCAAATCTATCAAATCCACTAGTACCACTGGGCTCAGCGACTCGGATGACGCTCCATCAAAGGTGAAACGATACAGAGCGGATCGGTTGGTGGTAGTCATTTCTGCCTGGACACCATTTGCCAGTGAGATGCTAAAATATCCCGGGCGGGCCTTGGCTGAGTCCCTCTTCCATACAACCGCTCTGTCGTTGAGCTGCCACTTGCATTGGTTGATATCATCGTTTGGGCAAGAAGGCTGGGCGAATATCGGAAAGTTTCCCAGAGATGGGGACTGCAAAGTGTCAGATCTTTATCGGTTTCTCAAATTTCAAGATGTTACTCACGCCACCAGTGCCAGAGTCATGCATATGGGAGAACCCGGTGACAACCGTTGTATCATATGCGAAGCCTGCCTGGTTCTCACCTACTGTATCGGCGACAGCCTTTGCCATTCCTGTTACCCGTTAGAACAGAATAGATTGCGAGTGGCTCGGTACTCACCAAATGGCAAGGTTGCTCCAGGGAAAACGTGGCCTGGCAGAGACACTCATTAGCTGTTGAGGTAGAGGTAAACGGCTCCAGGTTTTCGCACCTCCGTTAGCCGTCCCAATAAGAGGGTCGACATAGTCCAGAACATCAAAGCTATCCGTTGAACCAACCGCAGCCGCTAGGGAAATTGAGCCGTAGAGAGCCGTGATTAATATCCCGGTGGGATGGGTTTTTGACGGTAGCATGTTTGCTTGAGCTGTTGAGCTGGCCCGCCGATCCCAACGCGCAATCAAGGGTGAGCAAATAGAACAGGCTCCAAATGTCGATAATGTCGTAAAAACACGCGTGTCACGCAGGAATCAAGCTTCTCAGTACAGTTTTCACAGTCGCGGGGAGAGCATTCCACGCGTCTCGATCGACAGGGTTGCGGCCCCCTTTCTAGGCTCGCCCAGCTATTTAAACTGCGATCTCAGACATCTGGACTAGACCCCTCCAGCGAGGGGTGTAACATCGACTGCTGCATGGTGTCACATCTGTTCCCCGTCATTGGCAACACCAGCGACAAGCGACAGTGTACTGTAGCAACAAGCGTGCAGCGGGCGCGTGGGTCCCCCGAGCTCAAAGTGTACCTATCTAGCAGCTGCAGCGGCATTGACTGCAGCGATAGGCAAGCTTCATACTCGAAAGAGTAACCCGGCAAAAAGGGAATATGGCCGTAGAAGTGCAACTTGCAGGGTTCTCTAGGGGAGCGCTGATCCTTATTGCTTTTTGGACAAATTGGGCGAATGAATTACCCCGAGCTGCGGGGAACGCAGGCCCCCTGATTTGCAAGAGTCGTGGGTTTTCCATCGAGTGGGGAATTGACATCAACCTGGTTTTCATCGCGCATGTAACCTCCGCACGCTACCTCGAGGTCAAAAGGTAATCTTTGAAAGAGGGGTTGGGGATGATCGAGGAGTGTACAGCCAGAAGCTACACTTTCGGATGTTTCCCGATCTATCGGCTACCCGCAGCCATCGAACAACAAACAAACAAATAACACATACAGTATAAAGGGATCCAATAAGCCCTACGTCTACATGATCAACTCATGGAACTACAGTTGGTCGATATTTTATGTCATGTTGTTGGAATTTTCCTTCCGGGCAAAAATTCACTGTGCAATTCATCTATACTTTCGCTAAGGCCCTTATGTGAAGATATAGGTCGGGTGTTACCACATCACAACTTCCCCAAAGTGTGTTTATGGTTCTTTCTCTCTCATAAATGCAACCCTGAACAATCCCTCAGTGTAAAGGGAACTGATTGACTCGAGGACTGCATATAACTGGATCTAATCTGTTGATCCTGACGAACATCCTGGCTAGCAATAGACCTGCACTGTCCTAATCTTATGAAATGCATAATATCGTAGTCAACTTGACCATCAAATAAGATCCAGGACAATGCTATCCCAGGATCTCCCACTGGTATCAGGTGATGGCCGTGGAATAGGTGAGAAAGTAGAGGGAGTTAAAAATGTTGGCTCTCTTGAAGGTAGACGGGAATTGAGGTACGTTCGAATCTGAATGTTCTCAGTCTGGACCCTTGAAAATTCCTCTCGAAGAACTGCTGCTTTCTGGAGCAGCGACCGGTGTGATTGAACTTCTTGCATCATTGAATGAAGCTGATAGATAAAGTCTGGATTACCGGACATATCCTGCCGGTCTGGTTGAGCTAGAAGGCCCAGTATGTGTGGGTACATATCCGCGATCGGTGATAAATTTGTGGATGAATGATCATGCTCAAAGGCATCGGTACCCTCCGGTCTAAAGTCCATTGCTGAAGAAACCCCCGGGATATTGCTCATACCCGGCCATGGAGATGCTCGAGCACTGCCCGAGGCACCTCTGTAAGAAGGTGAAATGAAGCCCGAGGGGGCAGTGGGAGTCGTGTCTTTCGAAATACTTGAAGATGATGTTGCGGGAGGTGAAGGCGGCACCCGGTCCCAACCCTTCGCCTTGCATGATGGGCAGTGGAAGCTCTCAAGTGGTATCGGAGGTGCAGTAGTTGGCAGGCACTGTGCATGGTAGGATCTACAGCACGTTTCACAGCCCATCAAATTCTCCGGGAGATAACACCCTGAGCAGACAAAGACATGTTCTCTTCCAGCAGCTAAGAATAATCAGTCAGTATAAATACTTCTTGTAGGGTAAACCTTAGGAAAAAATAATCATACTGATCCAGTCATGATATATTCGGCTTTGCTCCTGTTCCGGGAGGCCATAAGGTTTTGATGAGGAGTGCGATGCCGTCTCTCGTTCCCGATGGGGGCTGGCCCGATATGCTATCGGATCTGCTTCTATCGACTGCCTCACAGTTCGAATAGAATATCCCTGGATATCGTGGTTTGAATTCGATTCCTGAGATGTCCGCAGCATGATTTTCCTTGGAGAGAATCAAGAACCTGGAGCAGCTAAGGCTCGAAGGAAAATAGTCGCAGACCGGCTGCTACGATGCCGAACGAGCCGGCTTGCCGAATCTGAGCCGAGACATCTCCGTGCTTATCTAATATGATCCCTTGATGAGCGTCATAATGTTTGTTCTGTGTCGATACTTCCAAGCGTTCGCAGCTCCTTAGGCTAAATTTGGGAATTGCAGAATTCCGGGCGTGTAAGGTCAAGGGACGTTGCTGGGATATTTTTGTACTACGAGGGAAATCGCGCGCAGCCAACGAAACGTGGCAGTGGTGGGATCACCATCTTCTTGTGAATCGCACAATGCCAGGAGTTCCCTCTAATAAGGCATGCGAGCGGTGTAAGAAGAGACATCTGAAGGTATGTCTGTGCTACTGAAATTTTCTACTTTGAAAAGCTTTAACTGATCAGTTCCAGTGTGATGAGACGCGTCCCCAGTGCCAGCGGTGTGTCACTGCCGGCGTGGAATGTCCAGGCTATGTCCAGACACGCAAGTTCATTGATCAAGGTGCTACAGTGAGGCGTAGGTATGCTCCATATCAAGAGAGTCATGCAAAGCCAAGCATATCAGCAGCCAGTATTGGCCAGGTTTGTTACATACAAGTCTACCTGCCAAGCTGGGAACTGATGTTGTCAAATAGGTAGATGAGCACCCGCCTAGTGTGGTACAGAACGAAGGCCAACTGTCAGTCAGCCAGGACAGGCCAGGTGAAGCTCCATCTGATAGTGGGAATGTGGGCACTACATTCAGCTTCCAGCTGGAACCGTCAAGAACAGACTTTGGGACCGACATCCCAATGGCTGAGGTGACCAGCTCTGCAATTCAGCCGGGTATCGCAGCTGGTGCGACTCCCTCGGGTACCCAAATTATCCCAGGGTCCCAATATGGCCCAGACATCAATCGGATTGCTGGGAGCTCGACAAGAAGCCCCCTGCAAAACGCCGAAGTGTCAGGCAATGCAATCATGGGGCTTACTCCAACCCTTGAAAAAAGTTATAATATTCCGCCTCCTGACCGTCATTATTATGGGAGACAATTTACTTCAGAGAGTCCGTCTCAACGAAGCGAGAAAGAAGAATTCCAGGACATTTTCTCCGAACTAATGACAGGCACAGAGCATGAGATAGCCTTTCTTACCCGTCATTTCGCAGAAGTGTTGGGTCCCTGGTAGGCCTATGATTATGACTCCACTGTCTACTTTGATATTGATAAATAATAGGCTGGATTTATCCGACGCTGGAAAATTCTTCTCGGTTTACGTCCCGATCCGGGCTCTCAATTGTCAATCTCTGAAATACGCCATCGCAGCTTCGGCAGCCAAACAACTTGGACGAGTGAAAGGGTCCAAATCATGCACTGGGCGAGGCACGTTTACCAGTCCTGCGACGACCGAGACATATCCAAATGCTGAGCAAGTGGACTGGTTTCTCAAGGCGGCCAACTACTACTATCTTTCAGTGTCGGATCTGACCACATCCACTTCCGATGGCTATTCCGTTGTATCTACATCGGCTGTTCTCGACTCGCCTATTGACTTGGTCGGGCGGTGGCTGAACACACAGTCTGTCCAGAACCTTGATGACGGAGCACTTTTGCGGAAGACCGAGGAGACTTTGGCAACGGTAACCATTCTGACATTATATAAGTTGTTGGACGCGAAAGGAGAGGAGTGGCACATGTATGTCATCTTGTCAAGTCGAGCTTTGCTTTCATTCTGCTTACAATGAAGCATAGGTACCTCACAGGTATTCGCCAAGTCTTCAATTCACTCCTTCAAATGAAGCAGAAGAACTCGACCTTCTTCTCTCACGGCATCCGAGCATGTTTCTGGAATTTCTCTCGCCAGGATTATCTTGGGTCATACTACATCCGTTCGCCTACACATTTTGATCCTACAAATTTGCCTCTTTGGCGCGCAGCGGGGATATCAATCGACGAGCTAGAGAAATTCCACATCATCGCAAGCGGGTCGATTGATTTATCTCAGGAAGACCAAACATCCAATGGGCTATGCTGGCTTGTTTCCAAGGTCGTCAATTTCCTCGCTAAGTCCAAACAATCCCAGATTGCCCAGTGGACGGGTTCTCCACCGGAAACTTCATCCGGCCCACAAGATACGCCCACCAGTTCCAGTCAACAAACGTCCTATCCTGACACAAACGTCTGGTTAGACCTGTGCTTTGAATTTCAAACTTGGTTCGAGGGTGTCCCGGAGACAATTCGCCCATGTGTGCGGATTGAGCACCCCAGAGATGTGTCGAAGCCACCAGACGGCAGCCAAATCCCTTTCCCCGAGGTTTTCCACAGCTTACCAACATGCGCGGCTGCTATGCAGCACTACCACTTTGGGAGAATTGCATTATTGTTGAACCGCCCGCAGGACGTTATAAGTGGACCAAGCACCGCTTTCGACCGTCTCCAAGGCTATCGAGAAGTCACCAAAGAAGTCGAGTACCGCAGCCGAGAAGTGTGTGGTATTGCCTTAGGGCGGCCGCATAGCGAAGTGCGGATCTATATGATACCACTCTTGTTTGCTGTGGGCCAATGTTTGGAAAGTGCGAACGAGCGCCAGATTATTGTGGACCTTTTGCGAGGCGTCGAGGCAGATCTGGGTTGGGCTACGGAATACGCAGTGGAGAAACTCCACTCTTCATGGAATCGATGAGGTTAACAAACCAGCGTTTGGGCTATGGTTCTCATTCTCAGCTTCATCGATTCATCATAGTACATATTGCCATTTACCGTCGTACTATTCAACAATGGGGTTTTGTATCTCAATATACGAGATTCTCTTTTGAAGGTCGCTAGTGGCTTGCTTATTGAAGCGGAATTCCTCCGTTGGAGAAACGGCGTTACCACAAACTCGGGATTTCACTCAGCTCCGAAAGGCGTATATCTTGTCCTTGTACTTACAGACTACTCCTAATCGCAATAGATAATAAAGATGCGACGACCATGACTTAACACCCAATTAGGCTGCACGTGCTGAATGCTGATCGGCTCAATATCAGTATCAGAGCATCTAAAAAGCTCCGAAGGAACAGAGAATGTGTACTCTGAAAATCATTCTTGAACTAGAAACTGATCTTCCTGATGGTCACTCCCCGTGGGATTTAGTAATAATTGTCAAATAGTCGCAATCAAGATTCTCGGCTTCGTCAACAGCCGAGTCAAACACTTTCGGCATCTCATAACCTACAAAGATCCCGACAAGCAACACGAGCTAAACCCACAGTTCTCGCCGCTCCTTTTGTTAGTCGCCAAAGCCACCAGCAAAGCTAACAGGCTATGGAACTAACATGACGACACCATTCAAGAGCAGTCCAACCCGACATAACCCATATTTTTCGCCCGAGAGCAGCTCCGTTATCCCAAACAAGTAAACGCGGCCAAATGCCGCGGGGTATTACCGAGTACGTTTTCGTGGCAAAGGTAGGCGACCTTCCAAGAGTCAGAACCGTCGCGACTCGCGAATAGGAGGATCGCTCGGTGATGTGGGTGTGCGGGGAGGAATCTGGGGTCAAAGTGGGGTTCTTTAGGGTGATAGTGGGCATTTATTGATCAAACCATGCGCTCGCTATTGCTCTCTAGTCCGAACAAGGTAGCTCAGAAGTTAAACCCACTTATCCAAAAAGTATGACGGTGGGGGTGTTACTGGTTATCTGGATAAAAGGGGCTTCTACGGTAAATATACGGTGCTGGCATGATGGGGTAAACTCGACTTTGCTACTGTTCTACTCGGTCCTTGTGGGGTTCGGTAATCCCCAACTAGACATTCCCGGCCCAATTCCGCGCATATAACCTGTATGGGAACTTGGTCGCATGGGTACTTAAAATAATGTATTCCCCTATGTTGCAGCGGTCTTGATAGTCAGCCAGTCGAGCTAGTCTCCTCGGCCATTTTTTCAGATCAAGATTGACCAAGATTCTTAAAATCCACCCAGCCTGAAGACGCAATTGGTTCAACATGGAGATGAACTATGATGAACGTGTTAGTACCTCTCGTCGATGTTATCTATATAGAATGATTACTGACAGGTTTTCTTCGCCACCTAGGCCCTCCATCAGTATGCATGCCTGTCCCATCACTACTAGATTCTATCTAACTTGCTCTAAACAGAATTGAGGAGGAGCTAGGCACGACCATATATCCCGGGACGGAAATTATGGCCGATGTAGGCACCCATCACTTCGTGAAGTCCTCAGCCAAGTCCGACCGGGTGCTGGTTCCTCAGCCCTCGCAAGATCCTCATGATCCTCTGGTCAGTATTCCAGGAGCACCAACCAGCTGAGATATTATCTAACGAGTCGATCGAATCCAGAATTGGAACCGTTTCTGGAAGTTGAGCGCTATGGCTATATCCACTGCAACGTCTTTCAGTCAAGGTCTGGGACCTCTTGCTTTGGCACCCATGTTCCCACAATTGATGGAGTCATTCAATTCGGATCTTGCCGGCGTGGTGCAATTCACGGGAGTTTGTATTCTGGTGCTGGGGTTCAGCAATTTCTTCTGGTATGTTGTCCTGTATTGTGACTGAGAATCATCGCTTACCCTCGTGTGCAATAGGATCCCTATCCAAACATCCTACGGTCGACGACCCGTCCTGATCTTCTCGACCTTGATCTGCCTGGTCAGCAACATCTGGCGGGCACTTGCAACTTCATACGGTAGCTACATGGGTGCATGCGTTCTCAATGGGTTTGGTGCTGGTCCAGCAGAGACTTCCCAGCCCGAGATCATCGCAGATATCATGTTCCTCCACGAGCGAGGTGCCTATAACACGCTGTACTTTACTGCCTACTTTGGATCTTTGATGGTAAGTCTCTTGCTCTTGTGTGTGGTAGGAAGCGATACTGATGTCTTAATAGGTTGGTCCAATCATTGCTGGGCCTATGGCTGAGCATATCGGCTGGCGTAGTTTCTTCTGGCTGAACGTCGGTGTCCTTGGCGTTGTGCTTCTCTTCCAAATCTTCCTCTTCCCCGAGACTAAATGGCACCGTGTTCATCCTGATGAGGTTGCCCATGAGGCTACAACTTCGGCGAATGATGACTCAGAGAACGAAAAGCCAGTGGAGGCCACCCAGCAAGAAAATGTCAATGTGGAAGATGCCTCTGAGCGAGATCCATATCTACATAAAGGCCATCCTTCCAAGCAGCAGTTCAAGCTCTGGCAGCTGGACGGAAACAACATCAAGACTGTTCTGCTCAGCTTCTGGGTCCCATGGAAGCTATTAAGCTTCCCGATCGTCGAGCTGGCGGCCTTTATTGTGTCTTGGTCGGCTAGTTGTTTCTTGACGCTGAACCTCACTCAAAGCCAGGCATTTGCCGAGCCTCCGTACAATTTCAACAGTCAAACTATCGGCTTCTTCAACTTTGCTATCCTTGTCGGAGCGTTCATCGGCTTGGCCACCAATGGACCTTTCTCAGATTGGATCTCCATGAAAGCCACTCGCAAGAACCGAGGTATTCGTGAGCCGGAGATGCGATTGCCCGCTATCGCGATCTATATGGTAATCATGATCATTGGAAACTTTGTGGTCGCGTTTGGGTATGAGTATAAATGGGACTGGCGGATCATTGTCATCATCGGATATACAGCGGCTGGTATCCAAGTCGCTGCGCTGCCTGCTATCGCAAGTACTTATGCGGTGGACAGCTACAAGCCTGTTGCAGGCTCGATCTTCGTCTCCATCACCGTTAACAAGAACTTGTGGGGATACGGCTTCAGCAAGTTCATCACCCCGTGGATTGAGCAGAGTGGGTATATCAAGCCTATCATGTTGAACATGAGTTTGACAGCCCTGTGGTGTCTCTGCGCGATTCCATTCTACATTTATGGAAAGAGATTCAGAGGATGGACGGCCAAGTCCTCGGTGCATAAGATGTAAGCTGCGGGGCGTCATGTCGCAGGCTAATGGACAATTCAACTTCAAATAAGATTTTTCTTCTCCGTGTCCTCTTTCAAATGTGACGGTTGGCGTAGCCATAACCGCTCTCTTGGTATCAAAATAAATAAAATGCATAGCCATCCCGCCGTAAAAATGCTTAAAAATCGTCGTCATCGGGATCATAAAGGTCGAGGTCCAGAGTAGCCTTCGGTTTAGGCTTGGGTGCGGGCGCTGGTGCTGACGCAGGTGCTGGGGCTGGTAGTCTTGCTGTGACAGGAGCAGGGGGAGCAGCCGGCGCTGCAGTCTTCGCGACCTCGTCCGGCTTTGGTTCTGTCGGTTGCACTGGCGCTGCTGGGGCTGGTGATTCGGTAACCTCCAGACCTTCTGCCTCACGGATCAATCGCTCCACCTCCTTTTCACGGTCGGTACCCTCGGCGGGGATCTTGCCCATCAAGCCCATGCGTATCCGGTCCTCCGGGGGGTAGGGCAACAGATTCACCTCGCGAGTGACGTTCGCCGAATCATCGAGCCACTGCGTCGCATTCTTCGTCACCGATGAGACAGGTTCTGCACCGCCTTCCTCTGTGCCTATCTCGCCGTTCGTGTCCGTCATCATCACATCCTTGTCCGCAATCTGTGGTCGCGTGTCCTGGCGGGCTCCCAGTCCGGCACCTTTGGCGACATCAGCTGCGGCTTCCTGGTTATACTTGCTGATGCGACGCGCAAAGTCTAGAAGTAATCGGTAGTCGATCTCTTTGCGGGCGGCTGCCCTGCTCTTGGCCGCCTCGCTTTCGTCCTCTGAGTCCAGGTCGCTGTCGATCTCTTCGTCGTCGCCGCAAGCAGTCCTGATCTCCTTGTCGAACCCTTCGAGATCCCTCACAATGTCTTTCACACGTTCTTCCAGCCTCTCCGCCTCAGACCGTAGCCGTAGAATCTTGGCGTAGTTTTCTTGGTGGAGTCGAAGGGTGTCGATGGAGGAGGATAGCGTGTCGTCAGCTTCGAGTAGGGCAACTGCAGCGGCCGGCGCTCCAGCTGCTCCCGGAGATGTCGTGAGATGTTTCAGGAGAGTATTGAGTTTCGACTCGACGTCAGTCAGAGAAGACTGCATAAGCGCATTCATTTTGGAGGTGTGCGCGGAAGGAGCGCGCGCCCTCTGAGAGTGAATTGCCGATGGCAGACTGGTTCTTAAGGGGCAGAGAAAGGTGAAAATGGAACTGAGCGTCTAATCAGTGCTTTCGATGCTATGCACCCGGTGCTTGAGAGGAGACTTTGCTTCAGAATATGAGCGAGTGCATTAGAAAGTGTAAGAGCACAACAAGGCGGCAGATGAGAGCTCAGTTGAGCGGAGCTACGGAGTCGGTCAGGACCGGCAGTACCATTTACTAGTGGGGCATGGTATACTTCTCTTTTGATACTTTTGAGCAGACTTCTTCTACTTTCTTGTTCGTTGATAATTCCATTTCATATTGATGAGAGACCATGAACCTTGGAATTCTTGCTAGTATTGATAGATTACATATTGTAATTTGCTGTATCACATATCATCCCTTTAGATTCAGTTTCGCCCAACTTGCTTGTGGCCCTAACCCTCTGTTTGTCGAAGACGTTGGCGACTGTCTCCAGTGCCATTCATAATTATATAAATCAATCATGATAGAATTTGATGAGAAGGTAGATTTCATATTTACTATTCTCCCTTTGTTTAGATGTCTTGAAAAAGCCTTCTTTTTTATTTCTGCGGCTCCAAAATATTTCTCTTCCTCACTCTCTCCAACTCCATTCTCTAAAGTCCATCCTTCCAGACACCATGGACCCCAAGATGTCTGATAACTCGAGCAACCCAACTGTGCAGTTCATTGAGCTCAGTCCTGAGATAGTTTTACAGCCTCCACTCTCTCGCAAAGCCTTTAGCCTGGTCTGATCCTTATACTGCCTTCTCACTACTCACAATGTGAGCACAACAACATAAACCCTAGACCCGGAACCTCTTCAAAGGTGGGCTGAAGAAGGCTTTGTGGTGGTTCAAATTACATTCAAGGCTTCCCAGAATGTGGTCAGTCTGCGGGAAGCCGTCAAAGTCGCGAAGAAAGGGCTTGCAGAATCTATCCATTGCAGGGGTCTCTCACTTGGACTTATAGGCAAGTCGAGGAACTGAATATGGCCTGTGGCAATAAATACTGATAATTACATCAGTCTATGGCACTCCAAAAGACTTTGCAACTGGATTCAAAATCTCTCTGCAGAAGATATTGACCGACGAAGAGGATTTGGTTGCGGCGGTCTACCATGCCCGCTGGGAGTTGAACCATTCCACGAATGGGATCATGCATGTACCGGGTGCTGAAGGCAGTGGCCTACTCAAGAAAAATGTCAAGAAGCATATTTATGCCGACGCTGTATCTCCTGGCTTTGTTATTCCTGGACACGCCGATTTCATTCCGAAGACAGCTGCAGTGGTACATACTCGGAGCCTTGCGTTTCTCCAAATGCACCTCGGCGAGATCTTTGACCTGGAGGATTTCTAGGAGCAATTTCTCCAGCAGCTACTTGAGGAGCGGTCCGTTGGGAAACATTATGGTGATGATGGTGAAAGAACCATGTGTCAATCATGTTCCCACGGTACAGGCTTTGTTCGACTTTCTACAAGATATGAATCCCACTAACCAGGAGCTCTCCTTAGATGACTGGTGGAACTGGCCAGGAACAAGTCAGCCATTTCTATCTCCATTACTTCATTACACACCAACCCAGAGGACACAACCCTCGAGCGAGTCAGCCGCACTGTAGGTGTTAATAGCCTGGTGGACGAGTTTGTCCTTTGCCTGAGCCACTCGATGATGATTGATTGGCTGTGAGTTTTTCCTCTTCCTCATGACATAGTAATGCAGGGACAACACATTTTTACGCCAACTCGTTGTTCTAGACTTCCCGGAGTTCCCCCAACAGGCAAAAAGCTTCGTATCCCCTGCACCGCTGTGGTCCACTTCCGCGGCGATCGCATTGTTCAAGAGCATATCGCATGGGATCAGTAACAGTACTGGTGCAATTAGGTTTACTGCCTGAATGGCTGCCATTCCATTTTCGCCTTGCCTGATGGACGAGTCCCAGACCCAGGACATCATTTCGAGTACCGCCTGCCAGCAGCAGGCATTGAGTCTGCTGAGAAATTCCAAGATATTCACAGCATGCCTTCCAACGAGATGATCAACTTTGGAATTCGGCAGGTGAAAGATAATTGAGTGGATTGGAAAATTGTCTCCCAATATTGACCTTGCGCAGAAAACTGGAAACCATGGGCAGGTTCCCGCGATCAGCTCGGGGTAGTTAGATTCAATCAGTGAGCTAAACTAAATGACCGATCTTCCGTTAGTTAGTAAAATGCTGTTTGTTTCTTGATGTGACAGAAAACTAGTCTAGCTGTGTGACGTGGAGAATGCTACAATTGCACGTTGACCGCCTCGTGTAACGGACTGCCTTGCCTCCGAAATCCGTTCCTCGTCTTGATCCATCGGTTCTGATAAAGATCCCGACAACATCAATCCGGTTCAACCAATCGGTGATGTAGACTCTTTCGTGCGTTCCTTGCGCGGTGGCTGGGCGAACCCCGCACTTTGTGTTGGCCGAGCACTACGCTTAACCACATCGAGATAAGCAGGACATGACAACAGGCTACAGTTCCTTGGTGGGAATGCTTCCAGTGCTTTTCCCCAGATTATTAGCGTGGGAATTGTGGAGGCAATGGAGCTCGGATCTCTCGATGCCTCGTCACTTAACGTCATGGTCACCGGCCATGTCCACTTCGGTCATAGTAATCCTTGATGCCCCACAGCCTTCAGGGCCTTTTACTGACTGAACAGAACTTACAAATGTCAGGGTGACATATTGGAATTATCCTCCGTTTGCCCCGCGCAGCTTGGCCGAGGCTGATCCGGCGAGGAGCCTTGCCATGAACGGCCTTTATATAGATTCCGGGAGTCCCGGACAGACAGGATGGCCGGGTTCTTGATTATTCTGCGACGTGTGTGTCTGCTATGAAGATGAAGGTGGTCCTTTCTCTGCTGGGACTGGCCTTGGCCTGCTACGCGTCTGATCTCCCCGTCGTCGATCTCGGATATGAATTGCATCAAGCGATTTCGTTAAATGTAAGCATATTTCACTTGCTTTTCCAAGGCGAAATTGGTTTGACAAGGATGGACAGAGTACCTCTGGCCTGTATAACTTTAGTAATATTCGATATGCCGCTCCTCCGTTAGGCGACCTGCGCTGGCGAGCTCCTGTTCTTCCAAAGCAGAACCGCACACATGTTCAAACCGGTGATGTCGGACGGATATGTCCTCAGGCTAGTACCATATGGGAAGATGACATTGAGCCCGCATTCATCCTAAGCTTGTTGTACAACACAACCTTCACCAAGTCAACGAATATCTCCTCGTATACCTATGAGCCAGCGAAGGTGGACCCACGAACAGCCGAGGACTGCCTGTTTCTAGATGTGGTTGTTCCTCAGAAGATATTCGATCGCGCGAAGAAGCACACCGATCGTGGGCAGCATAAATCGTTCGTGCCAAAGAACAAGCTAGCCCCGGTACTAGTGTGGATATATGGTGGTGGATACGTGGGAGGCGAAAAGAGCTCCAATGACCCGACAGGTTTGATCGAGCGAAGTCAGGTTGTCGGTGACGGCGTCGTATATGTTGCGCTTAATTATCGAGTAAGTTTGAATATTGGTGTTCGCCAAATGTTGAAGTCCCATCTAATCTGGTCTCGTTTTAGCTCGGCGCGTTTGGCTGGTTGTCAGGCGATGCAATCATCGCCAACGGAACCGCCAATGCCGCACTTCATGACCAGCGGTTCGCTCTGGATTGGGTATACAAGAATATTCACCTGTTCGGTGGTGATCCCACACGTATCACGGTCATGGGCGAGTCCGCTGGAGGAGGCTCGATTATGCACCAAGTCACGGCATATGGAGGAAATGCCGGACCATCCCCGTTCAAGCAGGCTATCATTCAAAGCCCAGGATGGGTTCCCATAATGGATGACGAACAACCCGAGCAGACTCTGCAGCAATTCTTGGGAATTCTGAACGTCAGCACGATTGAAGAAGCTCGGAATCTGTCATCTGAGAAATTGATCGCTGCAAACTCTTATCAAATCGCCACCAAGTCGGAATGGGGCTCCTTCATTTATGGGCCAGTCGTTGATGGGAGTTTCGTTCCCGCGTTACCAGGAAAACTCCTTGCAGAGGGCAATTTCGACCGTAACCTGAATATCATGGTCGGACACAATACCGATGAGGGATTGGTGTTTACCTCGCCTGATAGTAGAAACGAATCTGGTCTGACTGCATTGCTTCATCAGCAGTTCCCTTACATGAAGAAGAACGTCAGCGATTATATCTCGAACGTGCTCTACCCACCCAAGTATGACGGTTCATACGGGTATACCAGTTCGCTCACCCGCGCCGCGCTAGCCATCTCGGATCTCATTTTCGTCTGCAACACTGACTACTTCAATCGAGCTTTCCACAACCAGACATTTGCGTACGAGTTCAGTATCTCGCCTGCACTGCACGGCCAGGACGTTTCATACACCTTCTACAACAATGGTTCCTCGGCCACTGGGTCAATTCTCGGTGTACAAAACGTCACCGTTGCGGAGGTTATGCAGGATTACTTCACCAGCTTTGCGCAGTGCGGCGAACCCAGCTCACCTCTGGGTCCAGCATTCCACCGTTATGGCCAACGAGGCTCGCTCATGAATATTGGCAACCATACCATCAGCCCGGAGCGGGACCCGACTGATAATCCGCGCTGTCGGTTCTGGCAAACTGCGCCATTTACCTAGTGAAGTCTTAGCTGGGATCTATGAGCTGTCGTTGGACAGAAATGAGGCTGTCTATGGGGTTGTATGTACCTTAATGAAACCTATTATAGTAGTTGCCTAATTACTGTCAATGCGACTTGGTGGGTTTGCAAAGTGACCCGCTGGGCGAATCGTATCTGGGTCCCATAATTTGACAAGGCTGTACATAATGAGTAAGGCTATAATGCTACTAACAAGGCTTTAATTGATGCAAGACGAGAAAATCAAGAGAGTTACACTGGCTTGTTCTACAATGATCACTCGGAATGACCGACTCATTTATTAGTTGCCCAAGGTGTCAACCAAGGAAGCTTCCACATTAGATAGCGATAATAGCCGCAGCAGCTTCGCGCTTATTTTTTCTTTGGGCAAGTTCCCACTCACTACCTAGTTGAGTAGTACAACTATTGATTCGGACATCATCAATATTTAGGAGAAGATTCCCGGGTCAAGGAAACTCCGAGTCACATCTTGCTGATCATCGCCATAATTTCCAGTCTTGGTCGAGGAGCCTGGTCGACCGCCCCTGGGGACTGACTGCGTGGAGTCACTGGAGTCTTAAACTTGCTTGGTGCTAAGCTGAACTCGGTATGAGCATAATTAATGAATCCAACAACAGCAGACTCGAAGATTATTAGGAGACATCTCGATCGCTAATAAGTATCATACCATACAGAAAGGGATGATTCGCGAAATCTCCAGCTGATCTGAGTCCTTGCGGGGCAAAGGTATTCAAGAGTACAGAGTACAGTCAGGGCTAATACGAGTCTCCTAGTTCACGAATGACCGCTGACCGTTCGTCCTACACACCTCTCAGCTCGGATCTCAATTCGGTCGGGCATGGTCGAGATTGAAGGGGTCATTCCTGGGCCAGGCGAAGCCGAAGCACAGCTTTACGGGGCTCGCCATCGTGTCTCACAGCCCCACCGCGCATCTGCAGGGCACGAAAGCTTGCTTTCATATTGGAATGACTGATCTCTTTCCAGTGTTTGTTTGATCGGGAGTCTGTTCTGATAACTTCTTGGAAACATGACGGCCCCTCGCCAGGAATCGGGGCTGGGGCCATGAAGAATCAATTACATCCACGGCACCCTCTGGTCACACTTGCAAGGGTCCAATGGGCCCCTTCAAGAAGAAAAGTCGGCCCCCGAGTAATCTGCATAATGGGGGCCAGCTTATCAAGGTGCATGCATTGGTAACAGAGCCAAGGGTGTATGAAATTTTCTTACTGAAAATTCTGTAAGGCCGGTCGGGATCTCGCAATTTTCTATGGTCCGTAAGGTCTCAAAACTGGGGTCCGCAGCGTAACAGAGACACATGGTTGAGGCAATAAAAAGCGAGGGCCACCGCCATTGTCAACGTGATGTCGTGACAAACATGCAGCAGTACATACAATAACGTTAGTAGCTCTTGAGTTTCATTGAAAACATCTCGTGACCTACTACTGCATGTAACTTCAAAGTTCAGACCTATCCAATAACCTACAAGTCATAATGAACTATACCCTATCTGAACGATCAAAGGCAAACAATCTCTGCCAGTCAGCAGCATTTCTGAGACATTGGACCCTGGGCGTGCACCTTATTTTGAAAAAGGCGTCCCCGATGCAGCAAGCCACGGAGGAAGGTGGAGGCTTCGGGCGAAGCTCTCCGGGCGACGATCTTGGGTGCCTGGAGAGGGTATCATCGAGTTTGTGAAGTTTTTTTCACAAGGCTATCCCGTATCGAATGGGATCGCCGTCGGCTATGACCGTCTAGTTCTATCATTAGCGATTGCTACCAATGACTAGTAAGTTTGTAGTTAGGTGTCTCGGGCTAGCTATGGTAAGACATTGAGGCCCCGGCCGTTTAGCGGTGGTCGGCCCACTACTGTACGAGCACAGCCGCGATGCCGATCCCTAGGTTGTTGCCGTTTGGAGGGTGGTAAACTGATTAGGTTCTGGAGGACTGGATTCTATGGATGGTTATTGACCCCGGAGCTTTCGATGAGTCCGCTGGCTAGGCACCTGCATGAGATGAATGTCGGAAGGGGGCGGGGGCCAGCTCTGGACAGAGCACAGGGAAAGACACTTTGCGACCGGTAGGAATTGATCGGATTAGACGGGATAGGAGGGTCAGGATGAAACTAGAAAGCCACGAGGCGGGATAAGGCTCGGCATAGGATCCGACTGAATTGTACATACTACGATTCATGAGGATTTCGGAGCGGTGGTTAACTTACTAAGTAATGGACATGCAGGGTTCAACTTAGCGAAAGAATAAAAGGGAGAAACGTGCTCGCAGCCTGGTCTTGTATTACTTACTTTACAATACTGCACTTGGTTCCTGGCGAAGAGTTCAGTTCTCGCTGTTCAACTTCCCAATGTCCAAATACCAAGAGAAAGAAGAGACCCAAAGATCCAATCATCGTCTCAATATCTAGCAGGTGCTAAGTACGGTGAAACCAACCACGCCCCAATGGATCCCCCTCCCAAAGGCCAAGGACGCCTCCGTATTCCAACTGTATAACCTCCGCCCGTAATCCGTATGGAAGATTCATCCCCCCAGCCCAAGCCAAGAGATCCCGACTGGATCCAACTTGGCCCCTTCCCAAATGGCCCGCTCTGTCATTGATCAGTCCAACCAGCACTAAGCTTGTTGCCCCCAAGTGCATCGCAGTTGTTAACCGGACCCTACATTGGGACATGCACAGCCAATGGTGAGTCTTTTTCCCTCGGGCCAAAAAGCTTGCCCGCTAACGTTAATGGAGCAAGCAATAAGTTACATCCCATGTCTATGTAATATTCGTACGGAGAGGAGGACAGAGCTATTCTACCCCCCAAGCATAACGATGAGATAATAATGATCAATTCAATTGAGAGATGACCCGGGAGTATTTAGGGATAGTAGTAGTTGTAGGATAATACTGGATCAACTCCCGCGGACCACATGGCTATACGACATTCCCCGTTTCCTGATACTATTAATACTCCATGTTCAAGAGCATAGATCTTCCGCGAGTCCCGCGTGTTTCGCCGGAATCTCGAGCTCCCGCAAGGAAACCTTACTTTGGGGAGAGAAGTTTAACTTACAGTTGTATTAATGATTAATCATGACCCATTGACCCATTGACCCATTGACCATTCAGCTTTACCCTTTGGGAACCGCTGGACACGAAACTTTGGGTTGGCAGGCACCTACATTCCGCCTTGTAGGGCCCTTTTCTTTCTACTAAAACCTTCAAAAGCACGCCAGCAGCCACGGAAATACTGTAATCACGAAATCATCTCCGGATATTTCGCCTATTCTACAGCTCATATTTGTTTTTCCTTCTCTTCGAGTTGAGTATTCGAGCCGAGCAAAAAGAAAACCTACTAAACCTACTCGCCGGGGTTGCCAATCACCATTTACAGTATTGCCGCCCCCAATTCGCCTTGTCACAGCTGAGACTAAAAAGAGACTAAAGAGACGAAGGCTGACAAGGGTGACGGGCTCCTCTTTTATTCTTATTTTTCCCTTTACATATTCCCTTTTGGGTCGACGCTTATTTTTGCCCGACTTTCTTATTTACTCCATCCGTTCCCCTCCTCCCAAGTTGACTTGACCTCTCCTCTCTCTGCTTCCCCGCGGGAGTTCTTGACCGACTCCTATTAAAACCACCACTTGATCCTTCGGTCGCAACATTCATTCATCTCATCTGAATCCGATCTTGAAACCATCCCTCGCCTTCCATCCCAACTCTACTCCACCCCCCACCGGCGCTTATCGGTATCATTCAAGCATCATGCGACTGTATCCGTGGTCAACCCTCTCCGTGGTCGGTGCGATCGCATCGTCGATCCCCCTCTCTACCGGTCACGAACTCCATCTGCCATATCTCCCATCGCTCAGCCCGGAACATGATTCGGATGCCTATCTGGTAAGTCAAAAGTGGCTGTAATTATCCGCCAATCGCAATCTCGAAAGCTAATATACCACCCAGGCTCTCAAATGGACTGTAACTAATGGATCCCTCTATGCCAACAACGATCAAATCTTCCCTCCGACTATCTCTATGCAAGTACATGCGCCTCAATATCGGGGTCAATCCAATGCTCGTGTGGGCGACGAGGATCTCGAACTATCTTACTCCCTGCACGCCCGGCCACTTTCATCCGAAGAAGCGGGAGCTACCTCCAAGATTGTCCGCGTGCGTGTCGATTTGATGGATCTCCAGGGTGAAGCCGTCACTCCTAACGCCGTCGTATTGGACCTCCTCGCCCATCCTGATGGAAGCCAGCGAATTACACGAATTCGGATGGAACCCGGGAAAGGCCATCGCGAGGGCCACGATCGACCCTGGCATATGAAGTTCTGGCAAACCCAAATGGCAGGAATCATCAACCACAGCAAAGAAAAAGAGAACAAGCAGATCTCATCACCCGCTCAAACATCTCAAACCAAGACCGAGGGTTCCACGCAAAAACCTCCGAGCGATGCCGCTCAGACAGACGATAAGGAGGAAGTCACTCAGGTCGGATACATCTTCTCTCCTTACTGGTCCCCAGCGGCCTACTCTCACCGTGGCCACGGCCACCACCGCCACCCGCATCACCGTGATCGTACCTTTATGCGTATCGTGCGACCCGTCATTCTCCCTGCCGTCCTTGGTGCCGCTGCGGGTCTGGTTGCCTGCCTGGTAGGCTTCGTCATCGGCCACCTGTGCATGTCACTCTCCGTCCGCCTTGGTCTCCGCAAGAACAGGCAACAACGACGGGCTAGCGCCGTCCACCTGGAAGATGGGACTTTCAGGGAAAAGTCTGTCTTGATATCCGTCCCTGAGATCTACGTGACAGATTCAGATTCGGACTCGGAGGCTTAGGCTTAGGCATTTACGGCACGATAATGGCATTTTAGGCGCGGCGCTTTTGGCTTGGTTTGGGTGGCTTGGCTTCATTTTGATTTTACTACGGCGCATTTCCATGCATCACCACCACTACCACTATCATTCTTTCCTTTCTCTCGCTTTTCCTTCTTGTTTCTACTCATTTTCTGTACTAATAGCCTTTGGAATGTGTATACCCTGGCATGAGTATCATGCGTACGATCAATTCAATCATTTTACCCACAACTACCTCCTATTCTCTAGTAGAATCATAAAGTTTCCGTCTAGCCTATTACCGTCTTCTCAAATGATTCGTGTGCAGATCATCATGTACAATTTTGTGTTTCGCACTGTTCTAGAACTTTATATGCATGAAGCGACTAGAAGCACATAATCACGCCGCGCCTACCTATGTATTCCAACCAATGAGATCCTTTGATCCATTCTCACTTTGCTTCTGGTTCATGTAGCACATTTCCGAGCCAACTTACATCAACCAGCACTGCTTGGCCGAACGGTCACACAGCAGTACCACGGCCGGCTGGCCCAATGGCAAGGCGCTTGACTACGAATCAAGAGATTGCAGGTTCGACCCCTGCGTCGGTCAATTTTTGCTTTTTACACAAGCTGTTCATGCTGTCAATCATCCTCGGTGTGGTTGGTGGATATGAAGAATGAAAATTTTTACTTCGGGGGGACGGATCTTGGCGGCCCACCCGAGTGCATTTTAATTATTTCTCGGGATCTAGGCCACGTTGAGATGTCTCGCCGGTGTAAAACGAACTTTTCTTCGGACCCCGCGGGTTTCTTCGAGAAAGATGGTGGATCGGATTTATTTCTGTGCCTGGATGTGAGTGTGACCTAAGACGGTGATGTCTTACCTTCTTACATGTCTGCCTATCATTGTAGAAAGAGGACGCGCTCGGTGAAGATGATTCACGGCCTAGTCTCGGGCTAAAGAACCACATATCGACTAAATTAACCATAACGCTTCATTGTATTAGTCGATCTACGGACATGTAGGAGTGCAAACCAATTCTTGACATCAGGTTGTACTGTAATTATAACCCTTGTCATGTAATATCATGATAGCCCTCCAGTCCGGGGTCATTGTGCAACACGCATGATTAAAACGAATACCCGGCCCCGATAAATCGCAATTGAGCAATAATTAAAGTTCATTGTATCACTGCTGCCTCTCACAAAACAACCGTTGGTGTAGATGAGATGCGGGGATCAAAGCTTCTCTACCAGCGCAATCCATCGAGTAGTGAACCTCGTTGCGAGCACCTGGTCAAAGTCCACCATCCTTTAAAGTTACACCCTTGGTTCGACTAATTTAACTCCCGAAAGCTTGAGGATGATGCAATTGCATTATTCGTTACCCGCGCGTTCCAGTAACAATGGACATCGATGATCGGACACGAGCACGTCCCCTCGGTCGGCAATTGATGCAAGCATTAGCTTGAATGTGGCTGCCTGTCGGAGCTTGCGAGGTTGTCATTCACTACACACTTACTCCGTACTCCGTACATGGATACCTAGGCCAAAGGCATAAGGCCTTACCCGAGCCGTGTTAACCTTATCCAACCAGGGAACCCCGCACGCCACGAGTCCCACGAGAGCCACGACCAACGCCATATGTGTAAATTGTAATGGCGGTCTATTGTCATGCCAATTGAAGGGGCACATGCTCCGTGGGGGTAAGGTTGGCGAGGTCATTTGCATACAGTACTGTGATTTGGTGTCGTTGACGTACCAGAGATGTATGGCATCGCGGAGGTTCTGAAATATATATATATATATATTCCATCCGACTTGTTGCAGGTGGCTTGTACACTTCAAGAATGGAATGACATTTAGTAATTTGAAGCATTGATCAGATTCATGAGTAAAATACTGATCTAAAGAAGCATACTGAGTAACTAATATGAGAAGTCGCCTCGGAAAAATACCCTTCTCACTGCTCAAACACACCCTTAACCCCCCCACGCCTCGAACCACCCCAAATCACAAATTTCGGCTCAAAGCCCTTTCCCGCAGATTCTGCTTTACAAAGGGTCTCACTTCCAGGAAGTAGAACGACGTTCTCTGGGTATAACTTCCCCAAGAGGGCCAAGGCAATGACAGGGTCCTTGACGGGAATAACATGTACACCTCCTTCCTGTGCACTGAGTAAACCGCCGGTTTCAGATTGCAAAATGCGCAGAGCGTCATGCACGATATATTCCGGGGTAAATTTGGAGACTTCTTTGTCTGGGGCATTCTGGATCGGATATGAGTATCGATGACCGCGTGCGATTTGGCCTAAATCGACACTGATGCATTTCTCGTTATCCAACTCAAGTCGTAGCTCCAAGAGCCGGGATGAAGTGGGTTTTGAGGCAATTGACACGTCGATAACGGCGCTCTTGACGTTGGTAGCTTTGGTTTCTGGGTAGATCTGCATCTGAGACGCGGGAGTTGGGCTGCCTTCTGAAATCTCTCCGCGATGCGCAGAATAATAGTCCTGAAACTTGTACTCGAAAGAAACTTCCGTCGTGGTTTCATCAATCTTTGTAGGCAGATACTGAAGCAAGTGTAATGAAGTTGGACCCCCGGCCAGGAACGCTGGTAGAACAGTACCATGCGCGTACTGGAATCCATATCCCACCGCAGGGTTGGAGAGTAACCCAGGAGCAAGTAGCGCTTTGGCATACGCAATGACGCCCTGCTGAGTAGCGTGTTTGGTCAAAACCTCCGCGAGAAACTTGCTCCTCCCAGCTTCAAGGTGTCGAATACCTCTTGCATGTCGATCCACCGGGATGAGCACGTCTTGGTAATTCTGGAATGGCAATAGGGCATCGCGGAGCAGAACCATTTGATGCATGTATTCATTGAAAAGCTGCATTAAAGGTGGTGCAGCTCGATCGCCGAACATCAGGTCCACATTCGGGCGAGTAAGAAGGTGGCCCTCGCAGGGACTGCGTAGGGACATGTCCGGATTGAACGATTTGGAGCTGGATTCGCGTGCCCATTGTACGAGGGTCTTGCCAATGCGATTGGCCTGGTCTTTTATTTCTCGCCGTGAGATGTCGAGGGGCTCCACGAGCCGGAGGGTACTCTCACGAGTGTCGGTAGCTAGGTTGGCAGCGACGTTGTCTAACAGCTGTGTACGGGCGGGCTTCGAATTTGGAGGATCGGTTCCTAGACGGAAAACGACGGCGTCAAGAAGAGGAGCGAAGCCTTCTACCAGCTGACGGGGGGTGTAGACTCCCGCTCGCAGGCCCCAGGCCTCTTTCAAGGGCTTGGTATCGTGTTCACCAGCATCGGCATTCGCTTGGAAGTGTTGCCCAACAATGAGACCGCCGAGGCTGGACAGCCTAAAGATATTCTCCGAAGCCATTGCAGCTGCGACTCGCGAGATCATGCTCAGGATAAATAATGCACCAGTCAATTTGAATAGACCGAGGATTTGCATGATGCAGGCTCATTGTGGACGGATTGCCAGCTTTTATAATTTGCAGCAAGGTCTTTGATTGTTAATCCGGAGAAAGTTGGTCTCAGTTCGGAGAGGGTTGGTCATGGAGGTCATGAAGCTCCGTGATGGGGGCGGAGTTCGATGGACGCGACCAGTAAACTCCGGTCGCCACACTTTGTGCTCTTCATTAAAAGAGCAAGAGGAGATCAGAGCTGACAAATTATATCGGACTTTAATGGACTCTCTTTGTCAATAAGTGTCCATCTAGAGGCTCAGGAGGACGGACTCGGTTGTATGTGATCGAACTGCTTGAGGGCACACAGAACGATGAAACTCCGAAGCTCATCAGTACTACCGAGGCCACAATGATACTTCAGGTAATTGTGTAAAGTCTCATGCGGATACTCTGAAAGGTAATATCCCAAAGTTAGACCCTTTTGGGCCGGATGGACTTCTGAAGAAGGATACTCGCCGTCCGGAGACGAGGCGGTTTCGAGGCTCTTCATCGCCTGCCTCCACTCCTGCTCCGTCCGAGCAGCCCACATGGTATGAGCGGAAGGCAGGGGCATACTGAGCACTAGTTCATCATCCAAAGGCTCATAATATGGAGAAGGCTCGCCCGTCTCCGGGTCATGATTGCTTAGAAAATGCACAATGTTCGCAAGGAAGATGGTCCGCCGTGCGGTCTCGGTAGTCGCCCACTGCTGGAACGATTGTACAGGTGTATACGCCTGTGCTGTCAAATTCTCCTCCGGTACGGTATGTGATCGAATAAAATCTCGAGTCATCTTCACCAAGAAGGGAGCTTTCAGACCTTTCGAGCAGGACTTTTGTTTCCAGCCATCATTGCCCTCGGCAAGAGATGCCCGCAACTCGAGGACGCTATACACGAGCATGGCATGCAACGCATCCCACTGGTGCATGCAGCTATATGTGCGGTACGACGCAATGAGTCGCTGTCGCTCTACTTCCATTGCGTGTTTTGCGAAGCGTGCACCCTCGGCGGTCTCCATTGCGCTACCACAGCAGACCGCCATGGAGGTTCGTGCTAGTGTCGCTATGTCGGGCACGTTCTCGTCATAGAGGCTGCGATGGAGACTGGGTGGGGTGAAATCATCGCGCAGGAGATTCCTTGGATATTGCTCCAAGACTCGGATCAAGTCCCGTAATGGGTACTGGATACTTGATTCAGGGGAGCTTAGGTCTGCCAGGCGTGGAATCGTGAGGGAGTCGAGGAAGGCCGACGGTTCAACCGCCGCGGGGTCAGAGACGATGTCAGCGAAGACTCCTTGCATCGGGTGCCGTGCATTTGGAGGCTGGCCTGCATCCATGAAATTTGGAGTGCGGGCTAATGACGGGGACAGCTGAAACGAAGGCAGGTCCCCAGTGACATGGTCGACCAGCCACTCGGGATCGTGAGCGTCCTCAAGGAAAGTGTCTGGATAGTTGGTCTGGTGCGCGTCTTGGCGACCTTCCTGATCGATGAGCACTGACTGGTACTCGCCATGACTCAGGGACAGGGAAGCATAAGTGCAAGAAATCCCCCGCCCAGCACAACGCATACACGGCTGCAAGTAGCTGCATTTAGCTTTGGCCTGGACGCACGCGTTGCAGGCCTTTTGCCTCGTGGGGGGTCTCTTGAGACCTCGACATCGTCGTCGATGTCGAAGCAGCAAGTCGTCTGGATTATCTCTGTCAATTTTGCTTTTCTTGTTGCATGTAAATGCAATGCGCCCGAGCAGAATCACACGTACGCCGTTGATAAGCTTTCAAGCAGGACGCGCAGACATGTTCCTGTTGCGCGTCGGTCGCCATGTGGTCTGACTATTGATTGATCATAAACCTGATCAGGATTTTCACCATAAAAAGGATGATGTTGGCCTGTAGCTCTAATCGAGTAGCTCTAGTCATACACAGTAGTCTCAAAGGGGGGTTTCTACTGAAATATGGAGGTGACGCGATCTCAATTCAAGGCTTACTAATTGTCTATTGAGGTTGGAAGCACATGGCCCCGGGTTCCCATCGTGATCATTATGATGGAAATGGCAGGAGAAGGGAACATGGCCAGATATAATATTCATCAAAAGCCTCAACCTTGGAGCATTAATTCAGAAATCAACCTGCATAACGTCACCCCCCATTTCCTCCGAACTGCAGAGGTAAGCAAGCCTGGCCCAGTAACGAGGATGTGCGACACCAAGGTATGTCACTGAAGACTCGGAATAAAGTACTCCATAATTAAGATATTAAAATATATTAATAATGATGCCGTCGAAGAAAGAAAAGAGACGCCACAGTGAGTGTTCTCCACTATATTCGGCCTTCTCCGTCATTGTTGTTGTGTTTTGATCTTGACTCCAGGATCTGTTGATGGCTTCACACTGTGGCTGTGCTCAGCCACACTTGCGGTGACTCCGGGGACCAAATTACTCTTTTAAGTTAGCTACTGGATGTATTAAATGGCTATTACTCACAGGATTCAATAGTGCGATCGGAGCTTGCGAGGGATCCATTGACTATTCGGCTAGATTGGGCCCGAGATTGAGCTGTTTGGGCTTAACTGGGGTCGATCACCGCCACTCGGTGCCTTGATTCTAAGCGATGAGTGCTCCGAATTGCTTTTTGCCTTTTTGTATAGCAATTGAATAATGACTGTGATAACAATGAAAGAGATAATGATATCTCGCTTCGGAGTTGCATTACTTCCTCTTCCCGTGCGGAGTAAGCCATGTGTTTGGAAAGGAGTCCATGGTTAATCACTTAATGCCGACTTTCCACTATGACGGCACTTGCAATTGAGTTTTGGAGCTGAGATTCCCGGGGCAACGCTAATCCAGTCATGATCATTAGGTCCAGCAGGACTTGACTTGCCCACTCTTCTGCCCGACGGTGTGACGCACGCATGTTCAAATTATCAATGTCTGCGTCTCTGTGATCCCAGCAACATCCCAGACTCTCACGACGTCTTCAGACCCCGCATCCTGTGCGATAGATCAATCACCTCGGGGAGAAGAATCACACAGGTCGTGTCCCAAGGACACACCCCAAAACCCTGAAAGATGGAAAATCGGAAAGTCAAATAAGAATAACAATCCCTGCCTCCCTCAAAGAAGACTCGAAGACTCCACTATGGCCCTGGCTCCATCGGACGAGCCTATCAGATCTACGAAGATCACCTCCCAGGACCACTATTCATCTCGGCTAGTCGATCTCTACCTAATCGAGAACCAGATCTCGGGGCTTCTCCAGGGCTCAATGCTCATCCTTGATGATCCCTGCAACCCAATGACTTCATGATGAACTTCTGTGCTGCCTCCCTCAGTCCCTTCCAGGCCGTGCTGGGTGTTTCCCCTTCAGCCAACGTGGCTTGGAAGTGTTGATGCAGGTCCTGCAGCAACAGCAGGACAAGCAGGATTAGCAGCATGAGGTGGACGACAAGCAGGACCAATCCGAGTCGAAAAAGAGTGCAGCAACCATAAAAAAGCAAACGCCTCACAGTCTCCGCCGCAGGAAATCCACTTGGCTGATCACCGTGGCTTGGGGTTTTCTCTGAGTGGAGAGTTCAGGCTTAATGTGAGCTTCGCTTGTCCGCGACAGTCCTTCCTCTTTTGAGCTCTGATGGACCTACCCAAACTCAGCCTAAGACTGGTGCTAGTGTCTTTTTTCTTCATCCCAGTGGGCCATTTGGTTGGTCTCTGAGGGACTGAAAGTCTGAAAGTCTGAAAAGGCTACTTGCAGATCGATTGTTTGGTTCCCAGCTGGGGCGTTCCTGCCCTGTACCAAATCTTCATTTGCCCCCTTCTCCTTCCTTCCTTTCTTGGGTGTTTTTATTTTATAAAAGACCTTGCGCCGAGCCCTCACAAACACTGATTTTTCCTTCATCCCTGTCTTCTATCTTCTATCCTCCATCCTCCTTACCCTTCATACCAATATCCACACATCTTATCCCCTCCCTCAACTATCATCACAATGAAGACCTTCTCAAGCGTTGCTCTCGCCCTGCTGGCTGCGACCAGCATGGTTGCTGCCGAGATGTCCGCCTCGGACTGCGCGGTATGTACCACTTTGCCCTTCATCATACGTCACTGGTGATGCATTTGTCGAGTCAATACTAAACTGTGACGGTCCAACAGCAAATGTGCATCAACAACATGAACGCCAAGGCCTCCGAGCTCAACTGCCAGTCTGGTGATTTGGCCTGCCTGTGCAGGAACCAGGACTACGAGTACGGCGTCCGCGACTGCACCGCCCAGGCTTGCCCCAACGATGATTCTGCCACTGTTGTCAAGATGGCCCTTGCCTCGTGCCCTAGTATGTCTCCCTCGTGGCTTATCCCATATTGATGAAGAGAAAGAATCATCTCGCTGACCATGATCATTGCAGGCGGCACCTCCTCGGGCTCTTCCTCAGGCTCTTCCTCGGGTTCCAGCGCGTCCGGCTCCGGCACTTCTTCGGGTTCTAGCTCGGGCTCCGAGACTACCTCTGGCTCGGGCAGCGAGAGCACCGGCACTCACTCTGGTGATTCGACCTCCACCGGTGGTTCAGGTTCGGGTTCGGGCTCGGGCTCGGCCACTACCACTGGCTCCGGCAGTGAGAGCACTGGTACTCAGTCCGGTGATACGACCGGCACCAACTCCAATGGAAGCGGCACCGCCACTGTGAGTATTTGAGCATCCCAGACCATCTTTTCAGCTTGCTAATCCATGATATAGGCTACTGGCACTGAGACTACCGGCACTGGTGCGACCACGATGATTACCACCGCTAGCGGCTCTGAGGCTTCTTCGACTGGCACCAGCTCGGGCTCCGGCTCGGGCTCTGCTACTGAGTCTGGTGCTGGCTCGCAGAGCACCGGTTCTGGTTCTGGTTCTGGTTCTGGCTCGAACACTGCTGCTCCCTCTAGCAGCAGTACTGGTGCTGCTCATCCCATGGCCACTGTCGGAACTGGCGCTGTTGGCGCTCTTGGCCTGGCTGCCCTGTTTGTGCTGTAAGATGTCCTTGAGACATGACCTTGATCCTCCTTCGAACCTTAAGAATCCATTTTGAGACGTTGAGAGGGGATCTGTGTATTTTCCCCCTATGTGGTTTATGAACCACTGTCACTATCACTACGAAGTATGTCGCTGTTAATGCCGATCTAATGAAGTCATGCTCCACCCAGGCACGTGCCGGGCGTCTTCTCACATGTGATTGCGGACCCTAATTCTATTCAATACACATGCATATAGTATAGAGTATGCATGTTGTAGTTTCGAGTAAGATAGATTTCACTTTGTAGAATAATCATCGATCATCAGACCCCAGACTCGTAGAGGCCTTAGCTCTTCCATGATTCCGCCGGAAAAGTGGCAACGCCAGCAGTCACTTTCCCGTTCATCCGGATCGGCGCTCTCCGAAGGGCTGAGGGGGGGGGGGGCACATAATCCCCACGGACACACTAAACTGAGCATATTTTTGTTGTAAATCTTCAAATACTGCAGATTCAAGAACACAATTCATCCGTCTGAACTTCATATTATTATACTCCTCGGGTACACTTCTCTTTATCCTCGGTGGATCAATTTCCCAACGGTAACCCAGTTTCTCCGCCTCCGAGCCGAGGCTCATTGCAGTTGTCCGGGGAAGTTTCTCCTCCAAGTTCCAACTGAGCCGCCGTTCGGCTTCGGTCCGTCATCGCTAAGCCGATTAAGTTGTTCTTCGCATTAGCATTTGCATTTTTTTTTTATTCTTCATTCTTCCTTCTCACTCTTCACTTCTCCTTACTTCCCTCCCTCTACTCTCCCGTCCTCCCCTCTCCCCTCTTCATCCTCCCCCGGTCGCGCTCTCCCCGGATTCTCAATTCCGAAACTCCCTCCCTCCTCCTCCCCCACTCAACCGCCCGCCCGCCCGCAATCATGTCGACCTCCGCGTCTTCCCCACAAGAACTCAAGGATGAGATCAAGGCTCTGGATGTCAAGCCTGTGAACCAGACTATTGCGCAGCTCCGCTCGCTTGCGGCCGGTGCTGCGGGTGGTCTCTGTGCTGTTGTCGTTGGACATCCCTTCGACTTGGTCAAGGTCCGCCTGCAGACCGCCGAAAAGGGCGTTTATGCAGGCGCTATGGATGTGGTGCGGAAGACCGTCGCTCGTGAGGGTTTGGCGAGGGTATGTCTTCTTGTTTTTACTGTTTGGATGGTGGAATTGGACTGTTGAGCTAATCGGCGCATGTGGACAGGGTTTGTACGCCGGTGTGTCTGCCCCGCTGGTGGGCGTGACTCCGATGTGTAAGTGATTCCCACAGAGCTGCAATGGCTTTTCGTATGATATGCGAGGCTCGAGGGGAATTTTGTGCTAATCTGGCCTCTCTGCATAGTTGCTGTCAGCTTCTGGGTACGTTTCCGTCTGTCGCGTCTACGTGACCAAGTTCGAGTGTGGGGTTTTCAAATCTAACGCAATAATGTAGGGTTACGACGTGGGCAAGAGCCTGGTTGAGAAGACCTCGGTCGTTCCAGTGGTCAACGGCACCCCCCAGTACTCCATTGCTCAGATCTCCGCTGCCGGTTTCTTCTCCGCCATCCCCATGACCCTGATCACCGCCCCCTTCGAGCGTGTCAAGGTCCTGCTTCAGATCCAGGGTCAGAACCCGCCCCCACCCGGCCAGAAGCCCAAGTACTCTGGCGGTGTGGATGTCGTGCGCCAGCTGTACAAGGAGGGCGGTATCCGCAGTGTCTTCCGCGGCAGCGCCATGACGCTGGCTCGTGATGGTCCCGGTTCTGCGGCTTACTTCGCCGCGTACGAGTATATTAAGCGCACTCTGACCCCCAAGGATGCGGATGGCAACGTGACTGGCGAGCTGTCCCTGACGGCGGTTGTGGCTGCGGGTGGTGCCGCTGGTATTGCCATGTGGATTCCCGTTTTCCCCGTTGATACGATCAAGTCTCGTCTGCAGAGCGCACCGGGCAAGCCGACTATTGGCGGCACCATCAGGACTGTGTATGCTAGCGGTGGCTTCAAGGCTTTCTTCCCTGGTTTCGGTCCTGCTCTGGCTCGTGCCGTGCCCGCCAACGCGGCTACTTTGTAAGTTTTGTTCCTGGGAAGTCTAATCCAAACCCAAACCCAAAGCTAATTCCTTCTTCTCTCTTTTCCAGCCTTGGTGTCGAGCTCGCGCACAAGTTCATGAAGAAGATGTTCGACTAAAGTAGTCTTGTTCATATTCATGTTGATCTTGTGTGTGTGTATATATCCCCATCTCATTTCCTTCCTTTTTCTTAAAGTGTCTTTTGCAGCGTTGTTTCTCGTCTATCTGTGAATAGACCCTTGCGACGGTTGATGACCGGCCCGATCGGCTTGCATGGGAACTTTTGAACTTCCGGACGTGATTTTTGAGCCGGTTTAGAGATACACCGATACCCTACCCCCTTTTTCGGTTCGTTGATTTCTTGATCTGAATCTTTTTTCTCTCTCTTTTGTATAGACCGTGTCTTCTTAAAATGCATCAATGAACATTCGAGGTTCTGGTCTTTCGACCTCTCTTGCGAGTAGTGATACTTTCTAGCCTAACCGTATACTGTCCAGATGGATAGCAGATGATTGATTATACTTGCTGAATCGGGTGTACATGTGCCTTCCATACGCAAATTCAAGTGCTTCATTCTCCCTTCGGCTCTTCTTTCTTTTCCGTTCGTAAACGAACATACGGTCGTTGCTTATCAATCTCCTCCCTACTAAACCAATGCCCATGAAACCCATAAGGAACCCGCTGCGGAAGAAAGATCTTCGCAACCACAGTTCTCATATCTCGAGCATCAATAATCCACAATTCACTTCTGGTGTTTTCACTAGCATGTCCATCCGCGTCTAGTTGAGATTTATCAAACATCAAAGTCAAAAGGTACCCATCACCTTCCTCCTTTGCATCCTCTCGCGGAACGAACTGGGGTTCTTGTGCGTACCATCCCTGCGGAGCTTGGAAGATTTTGATCGGATCTTCTGGATCTTCGCTGGATATTATCTCTTGAATATTTCTTTTGTCGACGCAGCCGTCAATGGATTGGGTGTCTTCGTCTATCCCCCGACTGATTAAAGTCTGTACGTCGATCTTGACGAGACAGTCAACTTTCATCGGTTCACCGGTTTCAGCCCCGAATATCGCATCTCGCGAAGAACACCCGTAAATGAACTTTGGACCGGTGTTGGCGTAAATCGCCGGAACGATTGGCATTTCGAATGGTATAGCAGATAGAGCCATTTGTTGTGTTATCATGTTTTTCTTCGTGTCAGAAAGAAGGAATCGGTAATAGTATATCTGACTATCACAATTCTCCTTCTCAATCGGCTTGATAGCACCCATGGAATAAAGCATGTTGCCATTCGTGTATCGACAAGCAACCATACTAACAGCTTCAACTTCAACTTTGCAGTCCTCATTAATTTTTGAAGCAGGTTCATCCCAGGTACTGGCGGTATGAAAAATGAAGCATGGTTCTGTCTCAAACCAGCGGACTTGTTCGGGATTTCGGCGAGGAAAGATGCCGAATCGGGATGGTGAGTTTCGATCGTAGTGGATTATTGGTCGGCCTCGGAGCATATTCGTGGGATCGAGGGTCATGGGGAGGTCCAGGATTATGGTGTGAGTTGGGGAAACTCCGAAGTCGTGCATTAATTTTGGGATTGATACTCCTGGCACTGGGGCGTGTAATGCGTGTGTTTGTGAGTTGGGAGTTGTTGTTTTGGGAATTAGAGAGTACCATACAAATGGTGGTAGGAAAGATGATTGGAATGAGATGAGATCCCCTGTGACTGGATCGACATGAGGCTATTTCGAGCACGTAAGTGGGTCTGTCCTTTGCGGGCTCGGATTTGTGAGTTGAGAACTTACGTGAGCTGTCGTCCAGTCTTTCAGGAAACCAAATGGTCCAGTGCACCCAAAGGCATCTTTATCCTGTCTCGAGACTTCCTCTTCATTCACAGCAGAATCCCCATTAAACCAACCAATCGTATCCAAACCGGGTAATTGAACTCTCATCGGCGGCCCCGTTTGACACGTTGCCAACGCTCTGTTATCATGGTAGGTAATACCCGTATTCGCAACACTAATCTTGCGAATCTTGTGCTTGTCGGCGCTGATAAAAGACCACGCTATGAGGGCCAGAAATCGGCAAAGCCTGAAAAATGTCCCAATTGTAGATCTCAATGGATGAGTCAATGTTGCGATACTCGGTAGTATAGGCAATCGTAAATTAGGCATCGACTTGGCCCCAAGATAGACATCTGTTAATATGTACCGGTTCACGAAACATGGCTCAGCGGTCTTTGTCTGGTTATCAAGCTGGAACCAGATACCGCTCAGCATGCCGTCGCCATCGAACATGTGGACATCCTCTGATGAATGATCACCGAAGCTCGGGTTTCCGCCATTTCGTACATATTGACCACCGTGGAACTCGACAGGGATAGTTCCAGTGTATGTGCATGGTGTTATTGGAAGTTGGCGATGGATGGGCGCGAAATTTCCACTCAGGCAACTTGGATTCTGTTAGCTTGTCTCTCGATTTACTGCTATGGGGAGAATGTAGTGTACCGATGCTTTGTTTTTGTTGAAGTTTTCTGTGCTTCAGTCATAGTCTCAATTCGAATCCTGTTCTATGTATAACACGAGGGGATTCATATCAAAGTTGATAGGCACGTCTTTGGATACCGATGTGGGCCTGTCCTTGGAAACTTCAACTCTAGTGACAGTGCGTTCTCACAGTGCGTTCAAGGAGTATGGCCCTTGCATGGGACGGTTGAACGATACCACAAGCGATGACGTCACAGCAGTGGTGGCTGAGCCTAGACAGCTTCGTCAAAACACAGAGTTATTCTTTAGTGCAGTCTTATCAGTATTAGTAGTGGGGAAAAAGGTACCGATCTGGAGAGTCGGGTGACCTGACTACCCCTGGTCCAGACTACCAAGCCACTTTACCGAGGGGTAAATGTTGAAGGTCAGCTTCGGTTAGGAACCAACGTGGAGTGAGCATCTGATATTACCATTGTAGACTACTTGGCGGTCTAGGCGGACGGGATATTGACGTGATGGTTCTTTGGTAGCGGCCTGAAGCACGGGTGATCAATCGGTGGCAAACTAACCAGTTCAGATCGGGAGCCAGATCGGGGTTCCGCTCGGTAATATTACCACGCGGAGTTACACCTGTCAGGTCAGGATCAAAGAATGGACTGGACTTGGTAGTAACCATTAACCAAGGGTTTAATAGTTTGATGGTTTGTGGTCGCATAAACAAGAACATTTTTTTGCTACACCTAGTTGAAATCGGAACTTGAAGTTTGAACTGACTATGGACCCGATTAGGAAGAAGAAGGTGATCGTCATAGGTAGGAGAGATACTTCTTTACTACAGACTTCGAGAACAAGGCTAATCCGACGACCTTCAAGGAGCTGGAATTGGAGGTATCGCGACAGCAGCGAGACTAGCACAATGCGGAGTTGAAGTTTCTGTCTACGAAAAGAACGATTTTGTGGGTGGAAAATGTAGTAACATCACTCACGATGGCTTCGTAAGTGCACATTGTCAGTCGGCGAACCTAGTGCTGACATATCTTCAAAGCGCTTTGATCGAGGGCCGTCTCTATTGCTCATGACTGAGATATTTGAGGAAACGTTTCGTCATTTGGGAACATCAATGTCTTCAGAAGGTATTGACCTTCTCAAATGTGATCCCAATTGCAACTTCTGGTTTCCCGACGGCGAATGTTTCACGACATCTACCGATATTGCTCGAATGAAGCGCCAGTTAGAGCGACATGATAGCCGACATGGATTCGACGGCTTTCTTGCCTTTCTACAAGAATCCCACCAACATTATCATCAGAGTGTGATTCATGTGCTGAAAAAAGATTTCCCTGGCTTCATCTCACTCCTGAGGCCGGCCTTTCTGCGCTACCTGTTTCGATTGCACCCTTTCCACACTGTATGGCAAAGGGTTTCTTACCTTTTCCAATCGCACAAACTGCGCCAGGTGTTCAGCCTCGCCAGTATGTATCTTGGTATGTCGCCATTTGGCACACCGGGCACATACACGCTCCTCCAATATACTGAGCTTACTGGCGGAATCTGGTATCCTCGTGGTGGATTTAATCAAGTATGTTATCTATATCTTGTGGTGGGAACTATGCTGATACAAGTAGATTGCGCGATCATTGGCCGACGTAGGTAAAAGGTTGGGTGCGAACTATCATCTCGCATGTCCAGTGAAGGGCATTGCTATCTCTTCAGATAAGAAGGCGTTAAGTGTCTCGTTAGATACTAATGAGATTATCGAAGCTGACGCTGTTGTCGTCAATGCCGACCTGCTCTATGCATACCAGGAGCTTCTCCCATCCTACAACTCGAAGCCGACTGTCTCAAGAAAGAAGGAGGATATCTCATGCAGTGCTATTACTTTTTACTGGTCATTGTCTGAGAAGGTACCACGACTCGAATCTCATAACATGTTCGTGGGACAGCCATCTGGACAAGAACTTCCAGATGTATACTGGAACCGCAATAGATTGTCAAAGCCCTCTTTCTATGTTCATGTGCCATCGAGAACAGATCCTTCAGCTGCACCAGAAGGGAAGGACACAGTGATGGTCCTCATCCTGGTTGACAATATCGACACATCGAAGACTCCCAAAGAAAACGATATCGATGGCTTGGTGGCAGACACGCGCGAGTATTTACTGTCAGCTATCGAGAAACGAACAGGAATCGTGGGACTCAAAGCCCTAATCGAACACGAAAGCTTTCATTCACCACCAACCTGGCAAGATATGTTCAATTCCGACCGGGGCTCTGTGTTTGGACTCAATCACAGTTTCTTCAACATCCTCGCTTTTCGACCGCATATCAAACATGACTTCATTGATGGGATCTACTTTGTCGGTGCCAGCACGCATCCTGGAGCTGGTGTTCCAACATGCCTGTCGGGCGCTAAACTTACTGCAGAAAGGATCCTGCAGGACTTGGAAATTCCTATAGCTTGGCAAAACGGGAGCTCTCATGGCAAGAAGGATCTCGGCAAGACCACTGCATCTGGCTTTTGGCGAGCTTGGCCACGAATTGCGTTACTTGGCGTGCTGTTGTTAATGATCGCACTATGGCAAATGTGAGCTTGCCATCCGCTTTGTTTGTGAAACGGTCTTCGGGGGTTCCAAAAGCCGATCTTCTTGATCTTGTTGTGATCTTGGGCTTTCCTCCTGCTTACGATCGAAAGCCGACCTCGAAGCCCGTTATCCAATTTAGGTCATTGTTACATCGTGTATGAGAGTACCACAGAATAATACCATAGAACCAGGCCAAGGGATAAGGCTGGTAGCCTAGCTATGCAGTTAAACCTGCTTCCTCGAGCTGTAGCGGTAGATCACGATCGATCGATCGATCCACGGAAAATAATACAGCGTATTATCAATACACACGCCGGCTAGCTACATTATTGTACTCTTGTAGCTCCTTGCTGTATCTCCTAACTGACCAACATTTAGAATTGCTACTTAGAAGATTATTTGTCATTAACTCCATGTTACAAGGTTGACTAGATCTCGTTTACCTTACGCCGTCGATCGCATTCAGCCGTAAATCGCGCTGTAAGTTGGAACATCCGCGACATTCTATCAGCGAGATCGAAAACCAAGTCTAGCCCAGCATTGAATGGCAGGCAAAACATCGGTCATTTTGGCGAATTCCTCGGCTCCCGGTATACCAAGGTTTAAGCCGTGTTTCTTAACGTGGACATCCTTTCTTACAGCTAGAAACCGGGCTAGCAGTAGTGGTTGTAGTAGTCAGCGATTAAACTCCTTTGAAGAACGACGTCCCTTCTTTCTTACTGACATGCCACTCACACCACCAGTCAGTCGGCGCTATCAAGGGTTCTCTTTCATTCAATATGGGCTATGATTATTGGCTTGTGTTTGTCTCTCAGATTCAAGTCGCGCACCCTAGCTTCTAATCACTTTCTCTTCTAGGCACTTGACCTGGACCATTCCTCCAGCAGTCTTGTTCACAGTGGCTTATTGGCCATTCTTCACGAGAATAGAGATCTGGAAGATATCTATCCTGATAAATGTAGGGATATTCACATTCATTATTTGGGCAGTTGTTGATAACTTCTCCAGGTAGCAATCATCGCCACGATACCATGGGATTCATTTTTAATTCGTAATCGCATCTGGACCTACCCAGCTGATGCTGTGGTCGGCATTACTTTTTTCGACATCCCGATTGAGGAGTTATTTTTCTTCGTCATTCAAACATACTGCACCAGTTTGCTCTATGTTATTCTCACCAAGCATTTGGTTCTTCCCGCTTATTTGCTTGACCACGCTCATCAATTCAGCAAGAATGTTGGATCCGCGACGATCATTGGCGGAATTGCCTTCGGTGCGCTGTGCATCCTCACGGAGAACAAGTTGACCTACATGGGTCTGATTTTGACATGGGCTCTGTCGGTGATTTTGTTCCAATGGTAAGGATATCGAGAATGAATCACTGCGAGCTTCGAGGCTGATCAGATTATCTACTAGGTCTCTTTGTGGGAGCTTTCTGCTCGCATTGCCAAGAAAGCAAATTCTCGTGCCAATTTTGATTCCAACCTTTTATTTATGGTTGGTAGACCTTTTGTCACTTCAGCGTGGCACATGGGTCATTGAACACGGCACAAAGTTGGACATTCAATTCTGGGGGTTCCTGGACATCGAGTATGCTCATGTCAACATTCGTTCAGGATATTCATAAGCTAATTCTTCTTAGGGAAGCGACATTCTTTTTCCTCAGCAATGTCATGGTTGTACTTGGTATGGTCACAATGGACCACGCCGTTGCTTTGGCCCAGTATGATATTGTTACCTCGGAGTTGCCTGGAAGATCTCTTCCTTCATTGGGTCAAATCGCTTGGTCATATATGGCCCAGAAGAGAAAGCCTCTCGACGTTGGTTTTTTAGACGGACTACGCGCGGCAGTGACAGAGCTGTCTCGCAAAAGCCAGAGCATGTACCTGGGAAGCGCAATGTTCCAGGACGGGCTCCGAGTTGATCTCATCTTTTTGTCAGTCAATTCTTCTACTCACTACCAGGCTTTTATGGAAATCTAACGACGTTACAGATACTCCTTCTGCAGAGTCATCGACGATTTGGTCGACGAGGCTCCTAGCCGTGAAAAAGCCCAAGAGAGCATCAAAGAAGCATCTCAAGTCTTGCACTGGCGTTTCTCCACCAAAAGTCCGAAGAAGCCTTTATATGACTACCTTAAAGACAAAAAAGGCCCAGTTTCGTCCCCACTGCTCGATTCTATCGCCTTGCTACCTGCTTCTCGTCTCAGTCTGGCTCCATTGCTTGAACTTTTGTCCGGGTTTGAAATAGATCTTCTATTTTCGCCGGAAGACCGTGAGTTCCCTATTGAGACAGAAGCAGACCTGGAAGTGTACGCTCAGCGCGTAGCCGGTACCGTTGCAGCCGGCCTCCTGGAACTGGTCTTCAGTCACTCTGAAATAAAATACAGCGCTGCCCAGCAAGAGAAGATTATAAATGCAGGTCAGAAAATGGGGCAGGCGTTGCAGTACGTCAACATTGCGCGTGACATCAAGCGTGACGCAGCGATTAAGAGAGTCTACATTCCATCATCGTGGTTGAAGACGAAAGGATTGACGCCCACTGATGTGATAGAGAGACCGGAGGATCCCGCGCTAGCTACATGCGAATCGCAGATGCTCGCAAAGGCAGACAGTGCTCATCGATCGAGCGTGGAGGCGATTGACCAGCTGCCGAAAGATGTTCGAGGGCCTATCAAGACTACGGTGGAGAGTTATATGATGATTGGACAGATGGTTCGCAAGGCACGACAGGACTCGATCAAGATAGAGGGAAAGCTCAAAGTACCATTGTGGCGGAGGTTGACGCTTGCATGGCGGGAGATGTATGTGAATCATTAGAGTGTGCATTCTATGTCTTAGTCTGCCATTGTGTTTTATGTTATCACGGCATTTTCAGAGCTAGTTAACGGATAATTATATACTGAATGAGAGCAATGAACGCAATCTATGAAGATCGCTATAATATTAAGTGCACTTGACTAGACATCTGTTGTCCTCATTTGCATGGTAGCGACGATTTAACAGCTTATAGAAACACCCGAGGGAAACCAACAAAGTCACAAATCAACGGTGTAGACTAAATCCGATCGGTGTCAATATGGTCCCGTCGTCAAAAGATCAAGGAAGGGATGACGTCAACAAGGCAATAACTGGTTATCTTGGTGGAGGCTGTGATCAGCCCCGTTTTTGATAAGGGACTGGTCAATCCAACCGAGGACCGCTGATTGTAGCTACAGTAGCTGCAAGGGCAGCTCTAACAACAATCTTTCTACCTAAAAACCAAGGGCGCTTGTTTAGGTCTCACCCGCAGATTAGAATTAAACGTAAAAGGTCATAGCTTTCCGATCGATCGACCCGGTATTGAGGGTGTATGACGAAACATACCGTATATTTCGAGCTTTGAAATACGGGATCGCGATCAGATCGGGATCCTCGGGTTGAACCAAGAAATGGTTGCTGACATCGGGTTGTTATGATAGAAATCATAATTAATTCCCATCGGGGCTGAGTTTTACCTTCAAAGTCACTCTTGATTTGTACATTATTGACACAAAGTATCTCTCGGTTGAGAGGGGCGGCAAAATCAGAAAACACAACTTTCGTGTATGCGGAATGGCTCCTCCAAGTGCTATCGTCGTGGGTGAGTAGGGACTTGTCTTACAGCTAAGTGCTCGTTATTAACAAAAATCTAGGAGCTGGAGCTGGAGGGATAGCAACGGCTGCTCGGTTGGCAAAAGCGGGATATCAGGTCACCGTCGTTGAGAAGAATGAATTCTTAGGAGGTCGATGTTCGCTTGTGCATCATGAAGACTACGTCAGTCATCTCTATCACTGAAAAGCTATGCAAAGATGGTTCATGTCTTTCGATGCATCCTAACATATTTTTAGAGATTTGATCAAGGCCCTTCACTCTTGCTCATGCCAGAAGTGTTCCACCAGACATTTCACGAGCTGGGCACTACTCCAGAAAAGGAGAATATCCGATTACTGACATGCGAGCCCAACTATCGCATCTGGTTCTCCGATAATGACCATCTGGAGATGTCAACTGATATCAGCAAAATGAAGCCTCAAATAGAGCGTCTCGAAGGTCAAGATGGCCTTGAGGGTCTGTTTGGATTCCTGAGAGAGTCTGGCCAGCATTACGATCTTTCTATGAAGCATGTCCTGTGTAAGGATTTCCCGAATATCTGGGCTATGCTTCGACCGGGTCTTGTTCTGTCGTTGTTGTCATTACATCCGTTTGAGAGTATGTATGGTCGCGTTAAGCGTTACTTCAAGTCCGACAAGCTTAGACGGGCGTTTACTTTTGCGAGTATGTATCTTGGGATGAATCCGTTTGAAGCTCCTGGGACATATTCGCTTTTGCAGTATACCGAGCTTGCGCATGGGATTCTCTATCCAGAAGGAGGATTCGTGAAAGTCAGTCCTGTCATTTCTATGGTTTTTTCGTTATTGCTAAACTAATGGATGCAGGTACTCGAGGCATTGGCCCACGTTGGAGAACGCTTCGGAGTGACATACCGTATGGGCACTGAAGTCGCTTCCATTATTCAATCTCCCGATGGCACGGCTCGTGGTGTACGACTCTCCTCCGGCGAAGAGCTTCTCGCCGACACTGTCATCATCAATGCCGATCTAGTCTATGCATTCAACAACCTATTGCCACCAACCACTTACGCCCAAAGCTTGACCAAACGACCAGCTTCATGTAGCAGCATCTCTTTCTTCTGGTCATTTGATCGAGTCGTCAAGGAACTCTCGGTGCATAATGTATTCTTGGCGGAAGAGTACAAAGACAGCTTCGACTCCATCTTCCACCACCACCAACTACCCACAGAACCCTCCTTCTATGTCAATGTTCCAAGTCGAATCGATCCTACCGCAGCACCGGACGGTAAAGATGCCGTGGTGGTCTTGGTCCCCGTCGGCCACATCGTGGACGACCCTTCTAATCCCCAAGACTGGGATGCTCACGTAAACCGTGCTCGCGAAGCTGTTCTCAAGACAATCGAATCTCGAACGGGAGCTTCAGGGCTGCGCGAAAGTATTCTTCGCGAATCGGTCGAGACACCTATGAGCTGGAAGGAGAAATTCAATCTTGATCGGGGCGCTATCCTGGGTCTTTCGCATTCATTCTTCAACGTTTTGAGTTTCCGACCTAAGATCAAGCACCCTGATATCCCGAGACTCTATTTTGTGGGAGCCAGTACGCATCCAGGAGCTGGAGTGCCCGTTGCTCTTATGAGTGCGAAGGTTGCTAGTGAAATTATCCTGGAGAATTCGTGCAAGAAAAGGGGCGGAGGATCTATGTGGGTGATATGGTGGTTTGTTCTACCAATTTTGCTTGCATTATTATCTTTCTTTGGGTATGGTTCCATGGATTGGACAAGGCTGCTTCCTCTGGAAGGGAAGATGTGAAGATGTATGTAATCAACGAGGGATTTTTGATAGATACGAACTCTTCTCTAATATATTGTTTATTTTGCGATATACTTTCCTAGCTATGGTCTTCACTGAGCGACTATGCCAAGGCTATCGACTTTTAAAAGCTTATCAATCTTTTAGGCATCATTTCTTCGGCATTACTCCGTAGATAAAGTAGGTGTGGGGGCTTGAGAAGCCTACAGGGCCCCGCTTTGCACGTTTTCAGGATCTCGTTCATGACTCAGGCAAGATTGGCTAGTTATTGAACGTGGATATTGTTCTGGCGTAGATATTCACTACTATCTCTCACATGTTACATGTTTGATCTTTTAACCTTCTTATTTATTGACAATCTGTCTAGTGATGCTGGGGTTTTTTTTTGCCTTTGATGGCCCGAGCCAGTTGGTTCTCGTACAAGTGAACAGCTAGCTCTCTTTCTCTTTCCCTCCGAGTCCTCAAGGCCCCGGATTGGCTGCATTGACCATGGTGGCGCAACGGAGGTAAGCGACGTGCGTCTTGATTCGTTGACAGCTTGACTTAGGGGTCCTCTTGCCTCTGGGGGCCAATCCCAACTCCCCAAGTCTCGTTTTGTTGGTTCGGTCCGGTCGGAGGTGAGAAGCTCCGATAGTTTAGGGGGGCCAATTTCTATATTTAAGTGATACGTTTTACGAGTCTGACAGCCAACCCTTGCAAAGACAACGCTCTGCGCTGATTTGAGATGGAAGTGTGAAAGAAAGTAGTTAGATTTGGAACAATTTAATAGTATATGAGAAATAGAAAACATATGGAACCATTTAGAGAGTACATTAGCTTATCATCGTCGTAAACAATCCTTAAAGAGCCTCATCTCCATAGCTCTGGCCATCTGGTCCAATCAAGTGGAGACTCCGGCATTTGGAGAATGAAAACTTCATCCTAACGAGAGTCTGGGGAGACTAGTTCAATTCACTAATTTGCTAACTGTTCGTAGTTAACCGCCCAGTTCCGTACAGCGCTAACTAGAAGTTTCAGTTCCCCCAAGGAGCCGCATATCCGCCCAGTGCTGCCTGCGCGTGAGGCTGTGAGCGTTTTTCCTTCAAAACGGAGCGGCTCCCATCTTGTCAACTCCGCCCCCCTCTTCTTCCTAATCATTTTTTCGTCTCACCCCATCTCACTCTCGTTTTCCCATCTTTCTTTCCATCTTCTCCATCTCTTCCATTTAATTTTCTTTTATATTCTATAACTGTTTAACCCAACATGTCCTTCGTCACGGGCCATCTTGTCCGTCGGGGCACGGAGCTTGCCTCCGCCCAATTTAAGGACCCCGAGAAGCAGCCGGAGCAGATCTCGGGCGCTCTCGCTGCCTGTCTGGCCTTGACCGTTTTGGTCTTTGGCTTTGCTATGTGGGCTGTAAGTTTTCTTTAATCAATAAGGATACACTCTGATAGATATCCCAAACTAATGACGTCGCTAGGTGGAATATACTTATGGTGGTGTCGTGGCTACCCTTGCCGCCGTTGAGGACTCCAACCCGGATGTCTACGTTCGCATCGATAACCCTCCCGAGGAGGACCCGACCAAGCCTTTCGACCCTAACGAGCCTGAGCTTGCCGCCGCTGCTCGTCCTCAGCCCGTCACCAGCAAGCTACGCACCACTATCAAGCATCTCCGTGCCCGTGCTGGCTTCTGGTCTCGTTTCCGTGGTCTGGCCATGTATCTGACCTATGGATTGGCTCGTGGCATCATCTCGAGTTTCCTCCCCTCCGGCTCCTTCATCACTCAATTTTTTGTGCAGTCCATCCTCAGCGTCCTCCTGTCTACCTGGCAGATGGCCTGGGTGCACATTGTCATCTCTGAGCCTTCCCCCAAGCGCTTCTACCAGCGTATTCCTAGCTTCCGCACCTGGGTTAAGATTGCCCCTGCTGCTGCTCTGGCCGATGTCTTGACTGCCGCTGGTTTCTTCCTCCCCATGGCCATTGCCAGCTTTGCCGGTTGGCTCGAGTCCAACAATGGCAACGAGTCCTCGATGGTCGCTGCCTGCCGCTACCTGGTGGTGATGGGTGTCCCTGCACTATTCGCCTTCCTCATTTCCATCCCCGCTCGTGTCATCTTCGTCCGTGTCGCGGCTTCCATGCTGCCCGAGGAGGACGAGACCATTGTTCCCTTCGACCGCTCATTCGGTGGCAAGGTTCAGCCCCAGATTGTCGGTGGCAGCGGCCATATTGGTCTGCTGGATGCCTGGACCACCTTTGACTGGGCTGCTCGTGTTCGCTTTGCCAAGGTCATTGGTAAGACCGTTGCCATCGAGGTTGCCCTGGGTCTGTTGGCTGGTATCTTGATCTTTGTCCAGATCATCACCATGGCCCCCAACGCTATCAAGCACGATGGCTCTGCTAAGCCTTCCCCTGCTTAGATTATAAATCTGGAATACCTGGAACTGTGGCCATTTTTGGTTATGGTGGACCCTATATTATCTAGGATAGCCCTCCTCGGGTCTGTCCTCGACTTACGATCACACTCTCTCCTGATGCCTCTCCCTTTCCATTTCTTTACTGCATTATTTTGTCTATAGCTCTTCGTTGGCAATAAATCAAACTATTTGACCTGCTATATCATCAGATTTATCTTTCTGCCCCACTTTTTACGTAGATCCGGCTTGGAGTGGTATGGCCTGTTTCTTTAAGGTGACGGATACCTACCTATATCTTCTGGATGTTCAGTAAAAGACTGAAATGTCATTCAACTACCGCCAATCAAGATTTGAAACTATACACTATTATTCGATCACATTCAAAACTGTCTCGAGTCTGTACACCCCGCTCTCCCTCCTCACCGCCTTCATTACTTTTTGCATTTCCCCTCTCTCTTCCTGTTCTTCTCCTCCCCAACTCAGGTCTCCTTCGAATCCTCGACAGTCCTCGACTTGCTTTCTGACCCTCCCGTCCTCTCAACAACCTTACCTCTTCGGCTATCAGCCTCTCGCTATACACTCGCTCTCCATTTTACAATGGCGACTTCTCCCGCCGGCCGCATGCTGTCCCGCCAACTGCAGCAAATGCAGTCTGATAAGGACATTCCCGGGATCAGCTGTGGCTTGGTCGATAACAACGTCTTTGAATGGGAGGTTATGCTGATGATCTCGGACGATGTCAAGTTGTACGGAGGTATGTGCTGGGATTCCCTTCTTTGCCGATCTGCTGGGGACCCTTAACTCTACCTTGTGGGACCTATCGAGATGGGCGAACACCTTGGAGACAGGGCATATGGAGACGATATATAGTCGAGTAGAATGTTAACGGTGTTTGTAGGTGGTTTCTTCCGTGCTCGTCTCTCCTTCCCGCCTGAATACCCCCACATGCCGCCAAAGATGAAGTTCGAATCGCCCCTCTTCCACCCGAATAGTAAGTGATCGCCAATTCCGATGCCTCGGGCATGACCCGATCAAAGATTGAGAATTGTCGGCCCGGAAAAAGAAGATTGGAGGCTAACATATACAGTCTATGAGAACGGCGACGTTTGCATCTCCATCCTGCACCCGCCCGAGGAGGATAAGTTCGGTTACGAGTCTGCCGCCGAGCGCTGGTCGCCCGTCCAGACCCCCGAGACTATCCTGCTCTCCGTCATCTCCATGCTGTCCAGCCCCAACGACGAGAGTCCGGCCAACGTTGAAGCTGCGCGGTTGTGGCGTGAGGATCCGGCCGAGTTCAAGAAGCGCGTGCGCCGGTGTGTGCGGGAGAGTCAAGGGGAGGAGTAAAGGAGGACAGACGGACAGTTATGATTTGATATCTTTGGTTTTCATGGTTGCATTTGGCTGGTTATGTTCTCGTTCTTTCCTTTTGTTCTTTCCCATCTTCTTTTCATCGTTTACTTTCAATCTCTTTCCCTGGTATGCCTGAAGTCCATATTTCATGGGCTTGGAATGTTTCTTTTCTTCTCTTTTCTGCGGTTGCCTTGCTCGTGGTGTTGCTCTCTTGATTTGCATTATAGAGCGAGCGCTTATGGGAAATTTTGAATTTTGATTATGGGTGGAATGATCTAGCATTCGTGGTTCCTCGATGAAGCCTGTTCTTCTCGGGGATTATATTTTCAGCACTTGAAGTGAGTTTCACGGATTTGGGTTTTTGGAGTTCATTATGCTCTATGATGGGGTTTGGGTCTTGAATTGGATTTTTTTACTTTGACCCTAGGCACTTCTTCAACCCCCTTCGTGCTCGTACTATAGTAGGGGTTTGTTACCGGATGACAAGGAGACATTAAAATTGGGGTTGAATAAATGCACTTGAAATGTGTATGTTCAATATGCTTGGAATATGTATTCCAAGGTAACTCATCAAATGTTCATGGTATGGTCAATGTGAAATCACGCTATGTTTGATTCTATTAAATGCAAAAGTGACAATGTGAAAGAGGCAAGATGCCAGTGAGAAGGATTCCCAAAGAATGTTGAAATAAAGAAAGAGCACGGTCATCTAAGCGCTGTTTTTGCGGCCGGTCCGCATGGAGGGGAGGAAAAGGCCCGGGTGGACAAGGGTGAAGGATGTGCAGGCCAAGGCGATCATCCTAGAAACTATCAGCACAGGCAACTCAGTCGAGTAATCCGATGAGTACTTACATTCCATCCAGAACGAGGAACTCGTTCTCTTTTTGCATCAGCGGGCTGCCCCAACCACCAGCCATCTCGGGAATACTATATCCGACAATTAGTTGATAGCCCTTACTTCAAAGTCAAGGTGTAACCTTACCGATAGATACACCGAATCAGCACGGTGAAGTATGCAAAGACCTCGGCGATAATAACAAGTTTCATCCGTCGAGGAGAAATCGCCGGCGTAGGATCATCGAGAGTCTTCTCGCTCACCAAGCCATTGCCGCTGCGGTACACATTCCAAAAGAAGTGGAGACCGAGTAAGCCACAAACCGCCATCGTGACCACCTGGAAGGCAATACCTGCGATAATAATATCGTCACCAGCCTTGAGGAGTTTCTGGTTAGTCTTTCCAGCAGCGGCCGCAACACCACCACCAGCTGCCTGCAGAATCAACGAGCCGACATCACAGCTGATGAAGATCCAAGTGAAGAGGCGCGGCTTCAGCTTCGAGTGCTCGGGACCCAGGTTCAACACGATATGCTTGAGGGTGAGGTAGACACCGGCAGCGACAAAGGTCGGTGCTAGGACGAGACACACGATTTGCAGCTTGAATGCACTCTCATTCCATGGGTTGGAGTTCATCAAAACTCGACCCACGTATCCAGCCATCTCCATGATCGCACCGGCACCTAAGGCGACCATAAAGGTCCAGGTGCGAAAGTAAACTCCATAGCCAATCTGGAAGACACCGAGAACACCGAAGAAAACTGTGAAGAAGACGTTGCCGCCAAAGTTGGGATAGTAGCCGTAGGTGGTAGCCTGTACTGGGCACAGCGGGCTGACAGCCGTACAATCAGCGTAGCTCGGCATTTTAGTCGGGGAGGTGTCCGTTCGCAAGATTTCGATTGACTTTTGCGCTTGAGACGATCAGGTCGGGAGAGCGATGAGCGAGTCAACCCCTCAAGTGAGTGTTAACAAAGATGTTGTTGGTCGCAAGCAAACGCTGGCGATGGCGTTGATGATAATGCCTCTCTCTCGCAAACAGAGAGAGGAAAACATCCCGTCGCCCCCATGGTGACCCATGTACCCTTTTAAGACAGTCAGACCAGGCGTGGAGAGCACTAATTACTGTCCGGAGAACTTGCCAAGTACAGTCAGTACTGACGCTGACGCGAGTGCGAGGCTGCCAAATCAGTGGAGCCTTGCAAATTATATGAAACGGCCATATTCTGCAACGGCGATTGGACCTTTCGCATCGCTTTCGTTCTCGTTTTCGTGCCCGCCTTCGTTTCTGGCCTCGCTTCCACTTTTCCAGGGCCATTCTCGCTGCTTTTCGACCCCACCGGGATCCACCGGAGATCTTTAGCTATCGCCGGGAGGGGGACCATGCATAGAGAATCGGGGAATTGGCATTGGCCGTGGGCAAACGAAGGGCGTTTGGACTGTTCGGTTTGAGGCTCGAGACAAGTTTGATGTATGTATGTCATGGGCGGATGGCTGATCCCCTGTGGAGCGGTCGGACCGAAGTCATTTTCGGGATTCTACATGGGTTCTTTCCTTCTTGAAGTTTTAAAATAAAGAAACCATGATTCCCGTGGGAAAATAGTCGATCTTGGTGAGATTTATCATCCAATCTCGGAGTTAAGGTCACCAAAACTGTCCAGGAGTCAACAATCGGAGAAAGCGCAATGCCACGTGACTCTCGGGCTTTCCCTTCGAGCGGCGACGTCGCTTCGTCAACTCGCGCGTCGTCGACATGCCTCCAAGACGGGCGCATACCAAGTCGCGCAATGGCTGTGACCAATGCAAGCGACGTCGTGTCAAGGTGAGTTATCTACACCGTCCATGCGGGTCCTGCATCAACCACCCCCCATCTTCCACAGCCCTATCTTACCCGTCTGACGTCTTCTACTGGAAGACCCTCCCCAAGCTGACGCAACACAGTGCGACGAAAAGGGCCCCCCCCTGCTCGAATTGTATTTCACGGGAACTCAGCTGTACCTATTTAAAAGCCCCGCCACGCGATGCACCAAGCGCGCGAAGACGCAGTAATGTGCCAGTCCCAGCCGGAGAATTGGACATTCCCCGGGCGTTGGCGCCCATCAGTCCAGCCTCCACTCCATCCACCATCTCCGGAGTGCGGGATCTCGAGTTGATGCATAAATTTGCCACGGAAACATTTAGCACCGTGTGTACTTCCGAGTCAAAATTCCATGTTTGGCAAATTGTCATCCCGCGACTGGCTCTTCAATATGATTTTTTGATGAACGGCATTCTGGCTTTTGCTGCGCTACATATAGCCACTACAACGGAGTCACCGACCTCTTTGGCTTATATTGATACGGCTTTACAGTATCATAATTTGTCATTTGCGCCATTCCGTGCAGCGATCGATAATCTTACCCCGCAGAACTGCGAGGCCGTACTAGCACAGTCGATCGTCACGACAGTTATTGGCATTGCCTTACCACGAGTCACAGCCCCACGTGATGAAAACTCCAATATGATCGAGAATATGCTCGTGGTCTTTGAGCTACTGCAAGGCGTGAAGAAGATTATCCATATCGGCCGGTCCTGGATCAAAATCAATCTCTATTCTCGTCAGAGAGACCTTTATGATACAAGTCTGCCAGAGCTTGACACCGACGCATCGGCTGCCTTTGATCGACTCGCCATGTTGAACGAAGAAACAGTGGCTGGTATGGATCCGCAACAATACCTTGTTAATAAAGAGGTCATTGAGCATCTCCGGACTTGCTACACCTTGTATGCAAGCTCCCTAGATCCGGGGGAGTACTTGCATGGCTTGCGGCGGTTGATAAGGAGTTTGTGGATAACGTGAGGCGCCGACAGCCGTTGGCATTGGTGATCCTGATGCACTGGGGCGTGTTACTAGGGGAGCTGGATGGCCGGTGGTGGTGGGCACAAAATTCGGGCAAATCACTAGTTCTGGAGCTGCTGCGTGTCTTGCAGCCTGCGGATGCTCAGTGGACTGGGTTCTTGTCGTGGCCTCAACGACGAATGGGTCTATGATCACGGGACTTGAGATTGACCTTACTCTCAACGCATGTTTGGCACATTCAGTGGTGAACTGATTATGATTATCGAACCAAGTTATGGCCGGCAAGCAGATGAAGTTGCGGCCCATGACTGTCGCAGCTGAAGACCGTGATTGAAGACACTGGGCGCCCCGAGATCAAGGTCCAAGATGCGCCTCCTTTGGCTAAAAAGGCTGCCGGCCAGCGAATGTGTCGGGCAATCACACTCTCCTCCTCTCCCTGGATAGAGAGTAAGATTCCCAGTCGTGTTGGCTTGGGTCAGCACTTCTAGCGAGCCTGCCCACCATGAGATATCTTTCAACAAAGTCTCCCGTGTTTGTTTGACACCGAGTCTCACCTATTGTGGGCCTCGATACTCAAAAAGGTACATTTCTGCTAAGCAAGTAGCAGATATGATTCTGCATACCTGACTATGAATTGCCCTACCTTTCATGATCATCATGGAAATCCTGTACATTACACCTCCATCTCTTCTTTTTGTATATTTGAACCTCAAATTGCCATCATACATCAATACAATGGAAGTACTACCTCACTACTTGAACGACAGTTTTCTCCTACTCAGAACACCACCATAACCCCAGCCTGACCACCTCATCTCTCAAATCCTCGCCCTCTCCACAGCACGCTTATAAATCTGTCGAATCCGCTTCTTATTAACCTCCTCAATCTCCCACTGATCCGCCCGCAAGCTCAGCGGCCCACCTACTTGTTTCAACCAATACGACCGTCCACAATCAAACAACCAATTCCTCGACGCAACCTGCACCAACTCAGCCAAAAAGCACTGCGGCGCACTCCGATCTTCGGTGAAAACCACCCGTGGAAGATCACGACGAATCGCCGGCGGAGCATTTGAAATGGCAATGTCCAGGTACTCGTCAAATGTGAGCGGGTGGTATAATTCCGACCCAATTTGGACGATTCCCGTTGTACGCGCTACCGCGTGTAGGAGACATGCATTTGCGACGAAGTCCACGGGGATTTCGTCGAGGATGTTTGTGCCGCTTTTGTAGCCTTCTGCTGCGCGCCAGACCTGCGTGGCACCTCGGTCGGCCATGAAATATTGGAAGAATTTGTTCATGGGCGTGGAATTCTCCAGGCCGTAGAGTGGGTAGGGATGGCGGAGGGCCTGGCCGAAGATCGTTGGGCGGAGAAGTAAGATCGGTAGAAGGGGGTAGCGCTTCGGAAGGAGTCGTTCCATTAGATACTTGGCGTAAGCGTATGTCGACGAGAATCGATTCGTGTATGGGGATTGATCTAGTGATAGCACCGATGCTAATTCGTCCTCCGGATCATGGTCAGAGAGTGTATATCGTCGTTCGAGAACGGGTCCATCGGGTAGGAAACTATTTGCATAGGCGGTTGATATCTGAATCAAGAGTTTCAGGCGTCGGAATTGTGAAGCGATACGTGCCATCTCCAGCGATGGGAGACAGTTATTCTCGATCGCATCGTGAACGGTGGCATCCAGGGTGATTTTGGCAGCGGTGTGAATGACGAGGGTAACCTTATTCCGCAATTTTTCTAGAATAGCGGGTTGAATGCCGAAATCGACTGCTTGGATGTCGCCGATGACGAATTCTACTTTCTTCGAGGCAAGGATGGCTTTTGTGTGGTCGGGCATGGCTTTCCTCCATTTTTCAATTGCTTGTTCTGGTGTCCCGCGGATTAATGCGTATATCCTGCGTGTGGGAAGTTGGAGGGATAGTTTGTATAATAGACAGCCTCCTAATGAGCCGGTGCTTCCGGTGAGAAAGACTGTTTGTACTTCAAAGATGTTTGCGTATCCTTCCCGCATGATCCGGTCGACATGGGATGGCCTCGGGGCTGGGAGTGATGACATGCTGCGGATTTGAGATACTAAAGGCTGTGAGATGTTGTGTTCGTCTTTCGAATTTCACTAGAAGCTCGGAGTGCTTGGGTATACCATGATAGATATTGGATATCATGTATAGGTCTCGGAGATAGGTTGGTCATGCAATCCTATTAAGCACCGATGATGGTTGGTAGGACAAGTATTTGCCGCGACTGTCGGACGTATTGTATCAAGCCCTCCCGATATGTTCCAGCTAGATAAGTGCCTATCGAGGGTTAGCTGCGGATTAAAACTGCTTGAGATATAAATAGAGTATAATGTCTTGCCTTCACTTTGATATCTCAAGGCAAATTGAAAGTTATCTCCTTCGCAAGAGGATCGCAAACATGTGCGGAACGAGGCTTCGTTGGATCTGTACGACTAGGCAGAGATTTTCAGTCCGCGAGATAATTGAGATCCGGGCTGGACTGATTGCCAACGTAGGGATAGCCAGAACTTCTTCTGGCGATCTGCAGGGGAAGGCGGCTCATGCCGATGACTAGAAAAACAGGTAGCACGGATGCAACATTCAGGCCAGGAACACTGGTGTGAGTGAAGGTTACGGGTGATACAGGTAGATATTGAAGAGTGTTCGATAGAAGACAGTTGTCGTATGTAGCATTTCTTGAAATATGTGTTATCTGCTGCTGATTGGTGAGCCTGATGGGCAAGCCAATTCCAATGCCCCGTTTTATACATGATATGGGGATGGAGACAGCCGGGTTGGCCAGGAAGACAGAAATGAGCCGAGTATGGAACCCTATAAGCCAACGGGGTCTGAATTGGCTCCTAGGAGTTTGCCTTGTACCACTCAGGGGCTTTTGCTTCCACCCCCGCACCAGCAACGGCCATCTCCATCGCGTTCCACTTGGACAACGATATCCATATCCTTTTCGCGAAGGTATTTCACTGTCCGCTGACGGACATCCTCGAGGTCCGCGCCACGAGAAGCAACCACGTGAATGACTCCGAGGACCTTCTGGTTCTTGCGTTCATGCGCATGGTCATGGTCGTGATCGTGCCCGTGGTCATGACTGTGGCCATGATCATGTCCATGGCCGTGGCTGTGGTCGTGATGGCTATGGCTATGGCTGTGGTCCTGGCCGTGACTATGATCACAGCCGCCATGGCCAGAGTTATCATGAGCATGGTCATGACCTGAAGACGAGGAACTGGTATCGTCAAGCCAGAATTTGGGCACAGTGTAGCTCACAACCCCGCGTAGAGTACTCACGCCGGCCAGGGTTTCACGAACATTATACTCGGTATCCGCCGGTAAAGTTAAAAGTAAAGTTTTGGCCGTGCTACTGACCAGCGGTACGGCCGAGGCAAAGATCAAAATAGCGATGAAGCATGAAGCCAAGGGGTCATAGCCTGACCATCCTGAATAGTGCACGAGAATGGTCGAGATCACCACAGCCACCGAGCCCAATGTATCGGCAAGAATATGCAGGAAAATGCCATGCATGTTCTCATTTCCATGAGAGTGGTCATGGCCATGGTCGTGACCATGATGGTGGTGTCCGTGCTCGAAGCTGAAAATGCCGACCAGGTTGACGAGCAGGCCCGCTACACTGACAGCTAGCAATTCACCGATACGATGCATTTGGCTTCCGGAAGACAACCGCTCCACCGCTTCATAGATAATCTCCACGCTAATAATCCTGTTTATTGTCAGAACTTGAATATTTTGACTCTTTGACCGAGGGTACTCACATGAGGAAAATGCCATTGGCAAACCCAGACAAGGTGTCCACCTTGCCATAGCCATATGGAAACCGCGCATTTGGTGGCCATTTACTCATGACAGCAGCGCAAAGTCCAACAACGAGAGCAAGGCAATCGAAGAACATGTGGATACTATCACTGAGCAGACCGAGAGAGCCGGTGACAAAGCCGTAGGATAGCTGAACAAGCATAAATGTAAAATTCAGGCTAAAAAAGATTAGTACTAAAATAGAGAGCCTATTGCATATATAACGTACCACATGAAGTAGAAGATGCTGCGAGAATCTTTCTCCTTGAGAATGCTATGCAAAAGGGGATAATCTTCGCTGCGATGGAGTAGCCACTTTGTGACGCGAGTAGTTTCTGTGCTTCCATGGGAATGTCCATGGTGGTGGTTATGGGCGTGGGTGTGCGAATGCGCATCAAGGCGTAGCTGGCTGTCATCCATTCTAGCAGCGAAGAAGGAGACGCCAGCGAGAATACCGCGTGCGGCATAAATAAACAAGAAATCATCCTTGGTATGGAGTGAGCAGAGGAGAGCCGCCGTCGCAGTGCTGACAGCGAGACCGAATTTATCACCGGAACGAAGCCCCGAGGGAAACCAAAGCATCATAGACAGCGCGAAGGATAGCGCAGCCGGCAAAATGTAGATCAGCTCCCGCGTACTGAATGGCAAGCCACGAGAGACGATTAAAGTCAAAGCAGCCAGAGAAGCTCCAGTGATGAGCGCGAGAGGTGCGTCAGTCGTAATGACGACAGATGATTGGCCTGCATCTGAGGCCTTGCTGTGCTGAGCCATAGACTCAGCAACGAGCCCCGGCTCTGGAATAGGTCCCTGACGACGAAGCGTCGGGAACGGAGGAGGAAGAACAAAGACCGATACCAAAAGTGCCGCATAACCCAGAAAGGGCGAGGAATCCCACGGCTGGTTCATACCAAGGAAGCTCAAAAGCACCGCTGTAACCAAAAGGGCAATGGTGAAACGCTTCTTGCTATATCGCTCCGAGGTCCCGCTTTGAAAGGTCGTGCTGGCCGCGCTTGGCAGGCCAGAACTTGTTGCAAGAAGAAGTGCGAAGGCTACCAAGAAGCCTCCAACCTTGAATGCAGCATAGATTGGCAATCCAACAGAGAAGATCTGCTGTAAAGCCAATTGGGCTGTCTTCGCATTGGCTGCTGGCAATTTTATGGTTGAGGAGGTGCCCATGGACCCACTTTGTTGGTGATTCTTCCTCACGATCTGACCACACCCGAACGCAAGTAGGGTCATGGCGGTCATGAGCCCAACCTTTGATCCGACCTGCCCAACTGACGCAATTGGTGGTGTTGTGGAGTTTTCTGGAATGTCCACGGTCGCGCAGCTCCGAGAATACCAAGACAAGGCAATCCAAGGCAATGCGATAAGGGAGCCGGTATATATTTCATGTCTAGAATTTGACGTTAGCTATCACTCGGTGACCAAGAGTTGTCCGCCTACATCAGCTTGGCTTGATGCCCCGCTTGCGCTAGCGAGGCTGAGCTGTGAGAATGGCCATGGGTATGGTCGTGCTTGTGTTCGTGGTCATGCCCGTGAGCATGCGTATGCGTATGCGACGCATCGTGGTGGATCGAGGACGCGGTATGGGTGTGGTGATGGTGCCCAATCGAGTGGGAGGAAACCGAATGGTTATGATGAGACACGGATGGCTGTGAGGCATGACTATACGAATAGCTCGCACTCACAGCGCCGGTCGGCTCGGATTGTGGTGGGCTGCTGGCACTGGAATGTCCCAGCGACGAAGGTGGCGGTTGCGCCCAGCGAGCAGATCGATTGTGACCATGTCCTCGACCACGGCTGTGGCCGTGTGAATGTCCCGTAGGTGGAGCAGCGATATCCGCAATCGAGGGCAACGCCCCCGCTGACATTGTCTCCTTGTGTGTTGGATGCGCAGGTGGGCAAGGGAATCGAGCGGCGGCGAACAGGACGGACAGGGGCGACGCCAAGAACCTGGGGAGCGTAGCGGAGCCAAGAAAGCTCAAATCGGGCAGTTCAGTGTTGAAGAAGCACACAGCATCGCGCAGAGAGGGTCAATTGAGGGGAGTGGGGCAAGCACTGATCTGTCACTGAGCGAACGAAGGAACGGGGGGCAACAAGGAAAGGAGGTCACGGAGTCGCGCAGTAGTTTGTGGAGAGTTGCGCTGAGGCCCTCGACACCTCCGGGGGGCAAGTGATAGCGTTCATTACGATAGTGTAACGTTAATACGATAAGTACCACTGATAACCGCCCTCTTGGATTGACACAACATACCAGAAAGGCATGAAAAGATAGTGAATAATTCACTATAGCTAACTAAGACAACTTTGTACCACAACGCTTGGATTTTCATTCCTCCAGCATAGGCACATCCTCCAGAATAGTCTAATGTCTACTGATATACTCCGTACATTACGTTACAACCTTATACAGGCCCTATCATCAGCTCCCACGTGACACTTATCACTCTCCGATAAGCAACGCGCCATCACTTTTGGACACGCGAACAACCTCGGCCGAACTGGTGGATTCACTGGATTGGTCTCCCCAAGATGATCGACTCACTCATCACCATCGCCTTCGTCTTGTCCAGTGCATTGACGGTGGTGATTCTACTGCTCCCCTCGCAGTATGTCCCACCTCGATCATCGACAGGACAGGCGGAGAAGGAGAAGCCCACCGTACAGATCCTCGTCTTGGGAGATATTGGACGGAGTCCGCGCATGCAATACCATGCCTTGAGTATTGCTAGGAATGGGGGGAAGGTGGTTATAATTGGATATAAAGGTAAGATTCGCTATCAATGTACCTTGTTAATAACTATGTAGCTAATTGGCTTCTTGCCTCGCTGAATAGAATCCGACCCCCACCCTGATATCGTATCCAATCCTAATATCACCATCGTTCCCTTGCGTCCTCATCCGGCTATCCTACAGACCAGTAATAAACTTCTGTTTATGATGTTTGGACCATTGAAGGTTCTCTTCCAGGTCGCTTGTCTCTGGCAATGCCTTGCGTACACGACCGCTCCGGCGCGGTGGATTATCGTGCAGGTAGGTCGATATCTAGCTACAGTCAGGATAGTATGGAGCCGTTGCTTACGCTTAGTAGAATCCACCTTCTATTCCTACGTTGGCCGTGACCTCCGTGTCATGCTTCTTACGGCAAACACGGCTCATTATTGATTGGCATAATTTTGGATACTCGATTCTGGCACTCAAGCTAGGTGACACACACCCTCTGGTTAAGCTATCGACCTGGTATGAAAAGACTTTCGGCCGCTCAGCTTCAGCCCACCTCTGTGTAACAGATGCGATGGGTCGGGTTCTGAAGAAGGACTTCCAGCTTCAGGCGCCCATCTTGTCATTGCACGATCGACCAGCGAGTCACTTTAACCCCATTACCAGCTCCAACGAGCGCACCGAGTTCCTTACGACTCTGCCAGAGACAGGGTCTGTTCGCCCATTGTTGAAATCAGGTGCCGTTCGTGTCCTGGTGAGCTCCACATCCTGGACTGCCGATGAGGACTTTTCTGTCCTCATTGAGGCTTTGGTGAAGTATTCCGAACTCGCCGTGGCCCAACCACACCTTCCAGATATTCTAGCCATCATCACTGGAAAGGGTCCGCAAAAGGAAATGTATTTGAAGCAAATCGCGACCTTGGAAGCAGCGGGAAAACTTCAAAGAGTCACCATTCGAACCGCATGGTTGACCGTGCCAGACTATGCGCGACTCTTGGCATCAGCATCTCTAGGTGTCAGCCTGCACAACAGTAGTAGCGGTGTTGACCTCCCAATGAAGGTTGTGGATATGTTTGGTGCGGGACTTCCGGTTGTTGGCTGGAGTCGATTTGAAGCCTGGCCGGAGCTGGTAACCGAAGGTGTCAACGGGATGGGCTTCGGAAGCTCGGGGGAGCTAACCGATCAGTTGGTTGAGCTGTTCGGTGACAATCAAAAACTAGATCGCCTGCGGGCAGGTGCCCAAAAAGAAAGCTTGCGTCGATGGGATGACGAGTGGGATCCCATTGCAGGAGCATTGCTTGGCTTGACATAGATGATACCAGAGACGAATGAATCTGTATGCATAAAGCTTGCCGGAGCGAATTATCCTGTCGGTTGAGAGCGATTTGACCAATTCATGTTGGATGATCCTTGCTCTGTATTGCATCCAGAGTAAATGACGGCAAAATTTAGATGCTCGCCTGGAATTTGCCCCCGCAATATAGGCACGTATCAAAAGCCTCAAAGAGATTCCTGAAAAGGGGGCAAAGGCTGCCTCCGTGTATTCCAGCCACCGTTTCTTCGTTGATGTACTCAGTCCGACATCGAGAGCAGTACTTGGATAATCCGGGTTCTTGAATGGCCAGGAAGCTCAGTCCACAACGCACTAGAGATGAATCAAGTCAGTTCGAATTCGTGTTTGGGAGACTTGGTTGTGCAACATACTAAAGAGATGGCCCTCTGCGCATTGGGCTTCACCGGCTGAGACCCATGCAATCCCGGCATCGCAAATCTCGCATCTTTCAAACATATGAGCTCCCGGGCCACTAAGCTGTTCTATAGACTTGGCAGATAATGTCGGAGATTCTTCATCACATCTGGCAATCTCCTCGCTCAGGTCTGCGCCTGTCAGGACTGCGAGTCGTTGTAACGACTCCCGGGCATGAGATCGGATAGCAGAGCCCTTTTGATCAACAATGGCGCAGCAAACTGAGGCATAGATAAGCCTCTGACTCTCTGGGTCTTGTTCGGCCGTTCCATCCATGCTGGACAGCAAATACGATATCACTGCCTCACGCTGATCTGCCCGGGACCATGACTCGGTAGCCGAGGTAATCGGAGCGAGAAGTGTATGTATGTCGGGGGAGTAATTTGGATCCTCAGAGGCAAATGCGAGGACGGATCTTTCATCGGATGTAACCCGATATTCGATCATATCTGTTGGATGCCTCGAAAAGAGCACGGCAACCACACCACGATAGGAAGCCAGTCCCCAGACTCGGGCGACGCTCTGTCCTCCCAAATCGCGGTCCAGGTCAAACTGTTCGAGACGGTCCTCGACGACTGTGCTCCATTGAGGTTTTCTCGGGCTAGTTTCTGTTCCAGGTCCATCCAGGTTAAGAACGATCCCTACCGCACTCATTGTGCCCAGATGAAGGCTCAACGCTCCGCTCTTCTCATCGTACAAAGTAGTCATTCCTAAAATAGAGCAACAATCAGATATCTATTTGGTCGATTCGGATAACATTACTGACCCGAGATTGGTTCCAGGTATCTTCTTGGGCCTTCACCACTCTCTTCGGCGAGAAGAGATAAAGGCCACTCCTGGGCATCGACTTCATCCGGACTCGCACTGCCATCGTAAACAGCTCGCGGGATGGACACGGTTAAAAATCCCACACTGGAAGGGGCTACAAGTGTAATCGCAGCTGGCTCGTTCTAGAATGGATCCAAGATTAGTGAGTGTGTATTATTTCTGATCGGATCCAACATACGGTAGAAGCCCATTTGAATGGGCCATTCACAGGACGGGAGGTCCATTCCGAGGCGATTGGGCCCAATGGATGATCCGAAAGTCTTGCTCTTGCTTCATAGTGGGGGATATCACCATCAACCCGGTCAGATGCATGCAATGTCACCGTCGTCTTGAAAATTCGTAGCTGCGTCCCGAATACCGCAGCAATCATTGCGGTAGCAGTGTAGACACTATCTTCACCTTTTTGTGATAATTGAAGCCACGGACCACAGGAGACCGATAATACCCTCGATTTGGATTGAAGGGCACTCCTAAGAAGCGATCCATGGCAGGGTTGCGGATAACGTTCTTGGTCATCCTCCATCGAGTACAGTGCCAATTTGGCGATTGAGTAGGGTACAGAGGAGCTTTTCCCGTTCACCAACCTCTTAACACGTAGCAGAATGGCTTCATTAGCATCGTTAGTGACGATGAGTAGGTGCACACCCCAGCGGGCCTCGGGCTCGGGTGCTAAACCCGAGTTGAGGGACGGTGCAAGTAGAGGTTGACACCATTGAAATGATCGAATATTGGATCTTCGCAGTTCCGAGCCACTAAGCTGCGCCGGGGCTGTAGGATCGAGATGGAAAATATGGTTCACGATGGCGACTCTTGTCCACTGGCGCTGGGTGCCAGTTGGCTCCCACAGAGATAACAAGAGATTAGATGTCAACACCGCCAGCACACTTCGGCGAAAAGAGGCCAGACCTGGTGGTGACCAAGCAACACCCACTACCGTACTGGTGGACTGCTCCGCTGCGATTGAGAAGTCATCCCGATTCTGGGGTGCGATGACCTGCCACTCGGCAAGGGTGAAGAGATTGACGCGGATACGAGTAATGTTCCACTCATCTTGATTTTGAGGTGCAGATGACTCTGTATTGGATTTCTTTGGTGTCTGTAGGCCTGTTAGTCTCTCGTTGCTCACCGAGTATCGATCTCTCTAGACTCTCGACATACCAGGATCTGGACATACTCGCCCGCGGCAATGGCAAGGTCGCCATCTGCTGACCAGGAGAGGGCGTCGAAACAGGAGGGGGAGAAGGGTAAATCCACCAGGCTCAGCATCGCGCTGAATTCAAATCATCAGTTTCATGCACTGTTCACATTTGTATCTTTGATGGTTGAGGTGTAAGGAAATGTTCAGTGCAAAGCGTGCTGGTTCCGCGCGTGTTGAACCCACCCGATCGGGACTAGCGCCATTCCTGACAGTATTACTTGTGAAGTTTGAACCAACAATCAATTCGAAATTAACGAGTAATCAGTTACCAAATAGGTTTTTATGTCCTGAAACACTTGGTGCTTAAATATAGTTACTTTCCGCTCTATCCAATACCTCCTGTATTGAAGCTAAAGAATCCTTGGAAAGTGTCGAGGACCGTCTTTAGATCTCCTTCTAGCTGACTATTATAGAAACGGTGAAATCTAAAAGGTTCTGATATTTTTCTTGTTGGAACCTAGATACTTCAATTTGATCACAAGAGGCTCGCCATAATATATACAAGGGGGGTAGAGACACTATACTCAGTGTCAAGATGCGAGGGTATCATGAAGATGTCGATGACTTCGTCCGACGTAAGACCTTTTTAGTCCACGCGGTCCAGCTTCTGCACAACCATTGCGGTCGCTGCGCCGCCACCATTGCAAATGGCAGCCACACCATACTCACCAGGCTGGAGCTGGTGGAGGAGGGTGACGAGGATACGGGAACCGGAGCTACCCAGAGCATGGCCAAGGGAAATGGCACCGCCCAGCAGGTTGACCCGAGCGTCTTGGAGACCAAGGATCTAGTCGGAAAGATGTGAGTCAGTACCAGTTTTACAGGTGTCAGAATCGGTTGAGGGGTCAGTGATCTCTTACCTTCTCGTTGGCCTTGATCACGGCGGCAAAGGCCTCGTTGAACTCCCACACAGCCACCTGGTCCGCGGTGATACCCGCACGCTCCAAAGCGATGGGAACAGCCTTGGCCGGAGCCACGGGGAAGTCAACGGGGTCGATCGCAGCATCGGCCGAGGACACGATACGTGCCAGCGCGCGACCACCGCCACCAAACTCCCGAGCCAGAGCCTTGTTACCCAGAACCAGGGCGGAGGCGCCATCGTTCATAGTGGAGGCGTTGCCGGCAGTCACCGTGCCGGTTCCGTCACGCAGGAAAGCAGGCTTCAATGTGGTCAACTTGTCAATGCGCAAGTTCTCGTAGCCCTCATCCCGTTCGATGATGGTCTCGCCCTTCTTACCCTTGACAGTCACTGGGGCAATCTCATCGGCGAACTTGTTCTCCTTCCACGCCTGCTGGGCCCGCTCGTAGGAGCGAATGGCATACTCGTCCTGGTCCTTCCGCGAGATATCGTACTTCTTGGCTGTTTGCTCGGCGCAGATACCCATGTGGAACTGGTTGTAGACATCCCAGAGGCCATCCTTGATCAGACCGTCCTCCAGCTTGATCTCACCGAAGGGAGGCAGCTGGCTGGAACGGGGCATGTAGTACGGCACTCGGGTCATGTTCTCCATACCACCGGCGACCTGGGCCTCGGCCAAACCCAACTGAATGTTCTGGGCTGCCAACACAACGGCCTTCAGACCGGAAGCGCACACCTTGTTCACAGTCATGGACTCGACACTTGAGGGCAGGCCGGCGAACATGGACGCCTGGCGGGCGGGAGCCTGGCCGACCGATCCTTGCAGGACATTTCCCATATACACATCGGTAATTTTCTCCACGGGGATGTTGGACTTGCTCAGAGCGGACTTGATGGCGACCGCACCGAGCTGGGGAGCCGAGACGGAGGCGAAGGAGCCATTGAACTATAGGTAGAAGAAATGAGTGAGTATGTGGCGAATAACTGAGAGCCGCTGTTGCCGGCCCTCTCTCATCGAGAGAATCTTACCTTGGCAGTTGGTGTACGAGAGGCACTGAGAATGTATGCATCCTGAATCTCCTTCAACGCCGGGCGGGCGGAGCTGAAGTGTCGCTGAGCGCGGAATGCGGGGATGGCGCCTCGCGTAGGGAGACGGGCAGACAGCCCTGCGGCGTTGATCATGATGTTAAGGAGTGAGGTGAGTCGGACGGTCGATTTCAAAGATTAATGAATTCTCGAGGACGAGGAGAGAAGTAAGAAGGTCGGAAGGCGAGTGTGGCATGTAGATAAGCAGCATACCAGCCCGCCTCTTTACCCGCTGGCGAGCCGCCTGTAACCGCTGAGCCGAGGCTGAAACTGTCCATCCACATGATATCATTGGCCTCCGAAATGGAAGTACATAGTCTAACATAAACATCGGGAATAGAACTGGGGACTAGTTGACGCTTACTCAAAGTGAAGTGAGAGATATTTCAACAGTAATCTATAGAAATTCATCCGCTACTTGATGATATTTATATCGTTAAGACAACTGATTTCTTGAAGACCTCTTCCACACGCCGCCCATATATACATCCGATCGCGATCTATATAGTTCGCTCATTCTCCGGTCTTGAGAAGTGGTGAATTTACCACTCGACTCAATACAGATGAGTTTGTTAGGTGTTGAGTACAAAAAATATACTGTCTATCTCAGCACCAAAACGTTTACAGGTAGGTGACAATGAATCCGAGGCAAGTCAGTCCCAATATATTTCCTCTTGAGAATCCAAGTCAGACTAGGAAGTTCTGGAATCGACCAGTCGTCAGCCATCAGTCAGCCAGTTGAAACCAAAACTCAGATTGGTTTCGCATTTCAGCCCTAGGACAAGAATAAGGTTCTGACACTTTTTATTTCTTTTGGCATCCAACGATCTGAGCCCTAGACAATTGACAGTCAAAGAGGCTGGGCCTGTCACCTGACTGGAGGCTTCGGACTTTTTCCGCGCGTCGGCATGATTCGGAGAGTTTATCCGGATGTGATCCGAGCCCAATTGGGACAGTTAGCCCGGCTCCCCTCCTCCCACCTTTCCAGTCACCGTTAGTCGCCTCGTGCACCAACATCTTCCAGCTTCCTTCCAACTGCTTCCAGTATTCTCCTGGTTGCTTGCGTCCTACTTCTTCAGCTCGTACCAGCGCCCTATATCTATCCCGCCTCATCCACAATCAATATCATCATGTCGACCTCTGCGCGCCGCCGTTTGATGCGGGACTTCAAGGTACGTCCGATGGCAACGCAATGAACTTGGAGCTCTAGCGCTTGGAATCAATTCGAACCATCTCCTGGCTCGGATGATATACCCTTCCAGGACTTTGAAGCGACCGTCCCTGAACGGACTCCTACCTCTGTTCCTTCTTGCCGCGCAATCCCCGAAGGTCCTCTGGGAAGGTTATTTGCCCCTCCACTAACCACAAGCTTCTGATTACAGCGCATGCAAACCGATCCCCCAGCTGGTGTTTCCGCATCACCAGTTGCCGATAATGTCATGACTTGGTATGTCCAGATCGGCCTCCTAAGCCTTGGCTTTCGATATCGTTGGTGCCGTTGGCTGATGAAGTTACAGGAATGCCGTCATTATCGGCCCCGCCGACACTCCCTTCGAGGATGGTACATTCCGCCTGGTGATGAACTTCGAGGAGCAATATCCCAACAAGCCCCCGGGCGTCAAGTTCATTAGCCAGATGTTCCATCCCAACGTCTATGGAACCGGCGAGCTCTGTCTCGATATTCTCCAGAACCGCTGGAGCCCCACATACGATGTGGCTGCTATCCTGACGAGTATCCAGAGGTACGAGCTTGCAAGGATGCCTTTTTATGTTGCAGTGGAAAATAGCAAGATACTGACATTGGATGGGATTTTCTTCTAGTCTCCTCAACGACCCCAACACCTCCTCCCCGGCGAACGTGGAAGCCTCAAACCTGTACAAGGATAACCGCAAGGAATACATCAAGCGGGTGCGAGAGACTGTGGAAAAGAGCTGGGAGGATTGAAAAGAAAACCATCGTCTCACAACTTGGTTCTCAAGCTACGCTCAGAGCCAGTCCGTCTCGGCTCATCAACGAAATGACTCGGGCAAATTGGGGGTCAAATATCAAATCTGGGCCGGTTGATCTGCACAGCGTGGGGTTTAGGCGCATGGTTTCTGTTTTCGAGGTTATTCTCGTGCTATTTCTTTTCTTTGAATCCTCCCCGTTCCTTTTCTCAAATCTGTTATGTCCTCAATGACTCCCCTCGTGCATTTGTCAACTTCTGTTTCCACTTCGTTCCATAGCCTCAATGCATTAGCCTACACTATGCGTACTATGAGCCTGATCAAGGCATTCTTCATAATAATGATAATGTAGCTAATAGAAAGCAACAAAGCTTCAAGACAAGAAAAGGGTCTAGCAAACGGCGGGTAGATAGAGTAAAAGAAGCGCGCATGACTAGTGCGTGCGCTTACGCGCATAGTCGCAGTCCCGCACGTCCCAAGCAATTTAGTTTGAGGCGGTCGGCCAAACGTCCCAAACGGGGGCGTGTCAACAAATCCATTCCGACCTCGACCTCCGACCGTTTCACTCCTTATTCGTCCAAAATCGTCGTGCTGGGCTGCGCTCCTGTACTTTCTATCTTTCAAGAAATTCTATTCTACCGCCTTCTGGACGTGCGCACACGCACACGTGCAGACCCCTGACCCTGGACCCTCCAGCCAGCGTGAAACACCTCGACCCCCGGGATTTATCTGCCCCTCTTTGGGGTCTGCCTTGACCCAGGAGAGCGCCTGTGAACTGCAAATATGGCGTGAGTTTCCCCGAGAGAGTTTTTTCAGGGCACTACTGACTACAAAATATAGGTCCTCGGGGTCCAACACCATTAAGGGTAGGCGCACGCACAATGTGGAGGAGAGCCCCGATAGACACACCGACAGAGCCCAACTAACCACGCAATACAGTGGTTGCCAGATTCCGTCCCCAGAACAAGGTTGAATTGGGCTCCGGTGGTAAGCCGGTTGTCGAGTTCGAGAGTGAGGAGTCATGTATTATCAACGTGAGTGGAAGATGGAGGGCTGCGGGGACGTGGGAACCACGGAGTTGGGCTAACAAGCACATATCTAGTCAAATGAGGGCGCCGGCTCCTTTACCTTCGATCGTGTATTTCCTATGGACACGGCCCAGGCCGATATCTTCGACTTCTCGATTCGCCCTACCGTTGACGATATTTTGAATGGTTATAATGGAACGGTGTTTGCGTACGGTCAGACCGGTGCGGGAAAGTCGTACACGATGATGGGTTCCGATATTGATGACGACGTGGGCAAGGGTGTGATTCCGCGCATTGTCGAACAAATCTTCGCCAGTATCCTGACGAGTCCGAGCAACATTGAATACACCGTGCGGGTCAGTTATATGGAGATCTACATGGAGCGGATTCGCGATTTGCTCGTCCCGCAAAACGACAACCTGCCGGTTCACGAGGAGAAATCCCGTGGTGTCTACGTCAAGGGATTGCTCGAAGTGTATGTTTCCAGCGTGCAAGAGGTCTACGAAGTCATGCGCCGGGGTGGAAATGCTCGAGCGGTGGCCGCAACCAACATGAACCAGGAGTCTTCTCGTTCGCACTCGATCTTTGTCATTACCGTCAGCCAGAAGAATGTCGAGACGGGTTCTGCCAAGAGTGGCCAGCTCTTCTTGGTGGATTTGGCTGGTAGTGAGAAGGTTGGCAAGACAGGCGCCAGTGGTCAGACTTTGGAGGAAGCCAAGAAGATCAACAAGAGTTTGAGTGCGCTCGGCATGGTCATCAACGCCCTTACCGATGGCAAATCGAGTCACGTCCCTTACCGTGACTCTAAGCTCACCCGTATTCTGCAGGAGTCTCTGGGTGGTAACTCTCGAACCACCCTGATTATCAACTGTTCGCCCAGCAGCTACAATGACGCAGAAACCATCTCCACTTTGCGCTTCGGTGTTCGTGCCAAGGCCATTAAGAACAAGGCCAAGGTCAATGCTGAGCTCAGCCCTGCCGAGCTTAAGCAGCTTTTGCGCAAGGCCCAGACTCAGGTGACCAGCTACGAGAGCTATATCTCTGCGCTGGAAGGCGAAGTCAACTTGTGGCGTGGTGGAGACAGCGTTCCCAAAGACCACTGGACCCCAGCCCGGGGGAATGAGATCGTGAACGCTGCCAAGGCCGAAGCCCGTGGGCCTCGACCTGGCACCCCATCCCGTCTGCAGGAGACTGCTCGCTCGGACACGCCAAGGCCCGACTCTCGTGTGGGCGATCGCTCCAGCACACCCAGCCTGGTGCTGGAGAAAGATGAGCGCGAAGAGTTCCTCCGTCGGGAGAATGAATTGCAGGACCAGATCGCCGAAAAGGAAACCCATATCGCCAATGTCGAGCGTAGTCTTCGTGATGTGCGAGAGGAGTTGAAGTCGTTGAAGGAGAATGCGGGAAGCTCGGTCAAGGACAACGAGCGTCTGGGTGCCGAAGTAAACGAACTTCGCATGCAGTTGGAGAAGGTGTCGTATGAGAGCAAGGAGGCGGGCATCACCATGGATGGCCTTCGGGAAGCCAATGCTGAGCTGACCGGCGAGTTGGATGAGGTGAAGCAGCAGCTTCTTGATGTCCGCATGAAGGCCAAGGAGACCACAGCGGCGCTGGATGAGAAGGAAAAGAAGAAGGCGGAGAAGATGGCCAAGATGATGGCTGGCTTCGATCTTGGTGACGACCTGTTCTCCACGAACGAGCGCAAGTTGCAGGGTCTGATTTCACAGGTCAAATCTCTTCACGAAGTGAGCGCGGCCGGGGAGACAATCGCGCCTGATGATCTTCTTGAGTTGCAAACTGGTCTCTTGGAAACGCAAGGATTCATTCGACAGGCTGAACTCACCATGAATGACCGAGGTGAATCCGGCGTGGCGCAGGATAGCCGTTACGCGGAGCTGTTGAAGGAGTTTGATGACTTACTGCGTGACTACGAGGAACTTCTGACCCGCAGCGTGGGTGAAGGTGATGTTGACGAGATTTTCCAACGCGTGGAGAAGGTCTTCGATCGCCGAAAGGAGGCTGAGACGGCCGCTATCGCACACCTCCAAGCTCAGATTACCCAGAAGGACGAGGAACTGAACAAGATGCGCCAATCGGTACCCGAAAACAAGACCGGAAACTCGACCTACCGCGCTGCTGCCGATGATCTGGAGCAGCGGATTGCCGAATTTGATGCCATGAAGAAGTCCCTCATGCGTGATCTCCAGAACCGTTGCGAGCGGGTGGTCGAGCTTGAAATCTCCCTGGATGACGCACGCGAGCAGTACAACAACGTGCTGCGTTCGTCTAACAGCCGTGCTCAACAGAAGAAGATGGCCTTCCTGGAACGTAACCTGGAGCAGTTGACGTCTGTCCAGCGCCAGCTGGTGGAGCAGAACAGCCTGTTTAAGAAGGAGGTTGCTATTGCAGAGCGGAAGCTGCTTGCACGCAACGATCGCATTGCCAGTCTCGAGGGTTTGCTCCAGGAGAGCCAGGAGAAGTTGACCCAGGCCAACCACCGGTACGTTGATTTCTATTCTGCTCCCCAGTCTCCGTGCTTGAATCACCGCTGATCTGACTGACCCTTTCTTAGATTCGAAGCCCAACTCACCGCCGTCAAGGAGCGCCTCGAGGCTGCGAAGCAGGGCTCCACTCGAGGTCTCCCAGATGGCAATGGGAGTTTCAGCTTTGGCGGATCGCGCATCGCCAAGCCACTGCGTGGCGGGGGCGGGTCGGACGGGCCGGCGAATGCGAACGTCGCGGGCGTGCAATCGCAGGAGGCATCGGGCAAGCGCTCGAGCTGGTTCTTCGACCGTAAATGATCCCGCTACTCCCTCGGAAGGATGCTCGTCTGTGGCGATGCTCCTCTTGAAACTCGACGGCTGTCTGCCGTGGACCCCAGACCTCTTTCAGTTTGTTCTCCTGTCGCTGGCCTTCGGCTCAACCTGATATCTATCCTAACGCCATCCCACGAGTCTCATCTATTTCCGTTCATTTTCTTGTTTCATTCACTTTGTGTGTCTCTATTTGTGTTGTGATGTCTATGCCGATTCTTTCTCGCTTTTCTTCTTGCCTCTTTCAATTCTAGTACATTAGATCACGCCCTGTATGCGGGGAGAAGGGGGGAAGTTTGTGGATCTTGCTGATACCCTTTGTACATCAAACCCAGATAGATATTGCAGCGGAGCAGTCGTCTATCTTAACGGTAGTCTACGGCTGTGATGGCATGATTCAATTTTCTGATCATTGGTGGCGGCAGAGTAAATGTTGGATGTAATTACATAGTTACGAGATTTTTGATGTCCTGATGTCTTTACTTTCTATCATTCCTTTTTCTACTAACGTTTGTCTAACCCAAACTAATCTAGGGTGTTAGACTTCTCCGGTATCACCTCAGCACTACTCGTCACATCTCCAGGTAAATGGACCAACCATTGTGGTCATTTTCCCTGTTTAAGCCCGCCAACGTCATTGGCGTGCGGCTCTTGTGCGGCTGAAAAAAGAGCCCCAGATCCCTCGTATTACCCGGTGGGGGCGAAGAGAAGAAGCCTGGTGGATTTTCTTTTCCCTTTTTCAGCCCAGGACACATCTTATTCCCTTAGTCTCTTGGCCTTTTCCCCAAGTACGAAGGACCACCCCCTCCATCGCTCTAAACGGGTGGGATGGAGTCCAAAACTCCACAGCCAGAGAAGGGGGAATCGTTGCTGGTCGCCTCGCTGGCCGAGTTGGACCATGTCGATGAGACGCTCCTTGTCCAAACATTGCAAGACTCAATCGGTGACAATATTCGTGTGCAACTATGGCATCCTCCCAAGCTCGGCTTGCCCCAGCCATTCTACGATAATAAAGGACGGCGGGATAGTAAGGCCAATATCTACGGTCTAGCTGTTCTGGCTCATCGAGATGGCAAGACTGGCTTCCTGGTTGCAGATAGATTGACCAAGCGACAACTCAAAGGTGATCCACGGCCGGGAGAGAGTTCGTTACTCTCGGTTGTGATGGTTGGTATTCGATCACCTTCCAAGACGTCGAGAACGCACGCCGATCATGCAGAAAGCGAAACGACCGAGCACATTCGTGTCATTGCGAAGCGGCACACAATCAAAATTACAGATTCAGCGGCAGTACTGAGTCTCCTTGATAAATTTGAGCTTTCCTACACGTTTCTTGGAGGACATAGCATCGATATCACGACCCGATTATGTGACTATGGCCTCGAACTTCATGATCCGGATCATACAGTATTCATTCCTGATACCGCGATAACAACGGGACGTGAAGCCTTCGAACAAGAGACCAAGGCCGCACTACTAGAATCTACACCCTTGCCGGCTGAGTTGGTCGCCAGTATTGTCTCGCGCTTGGATCATCGCAGTAAACCTGATTCTGGTTCCATGGGGGTTCAGTCAGAGAACCTAGTCATATTCCTCACTTTTCCTACAACGGAAGACGAGTTGGATTCAACGCAGTCAAGCCTACAGCGGGAGGTACAAAGGTGTTTAGAAAGAAGGACTACAAGTCCCGCGAAAAGGAAGAGAGAAGAGAGCCAGCCAGATATAAGAGTTCAATTGATCCCTTGGGAGCAGAAATCCCAGGCGACACGAAGAGATCTGGAGTATCATTGGAAAGAAAGGCATGACCGCTCTCTCTGTCCTTTGAATTACTTACTTGTACCCATCACACCATCCCGCCAGGCTCTTGCTCTAGGGGATGCTCAATTCGGGTCAATCTATCATGGTAACGATGGATTTGTTTTGATGGCACGCAACACTCTTGACCAAATGGTAAAAACCAAAGTCAATCACTTGAATGGTCGTCTGAGCGAGGTTGCACAGCCACAAGAGGATTTAAAAAAGGGTAACTTACCCGACTCAAGCCAAGTGGAGTTTTTGATTGGACCCGATGAACCTTTCTATTACAATCCTCCCCTGTGGGAGCCGGTAAATGGAGAAGGGCTAATATCGATTGCCGTCTTCTACTTGACCAACAAACTCTCCATTGATCAAATCCGCGCATTGAAAACAGAATTACTCATGGATAACACACAACTCGACGGTCAAAAAGCGTGTTGCTTTGTACCCTGGGAAGACGGCCATACAACTACGCTTGACGGAACGATCGACGATATTTGGCGAATATTCTGGGAAATGCGACGGTGCACATCCTGTCAAATGCCGATCTTCTTCATCGACGAACAGTCCGGCATCGATCAAACCATTCTCATGGTAGATACGGATCATTATATTTGGCAACACGATGATGAACGGGCGACGGAACTTCTGAAAGACGTGGAAGATGCTTCTACCAAGGGTCTTTTATATGGCCGTATCAAAGGGCGTGATGCCCATGATGGACATGTCAATTTGAGTATGGGGAATTTGAATTTTGATGAGTTTTTGGAATCTTGTGGATTGGATCAGGAACATCGGTATCCTCGTCCGGGCTGGCCTGGGCATGGGATATTGGAAAATGAGGAATGATTGGATGGGCTATGATAGGAGCTCGAAGTCCTCGATTGGTAGCACCCGATTTCGCCTTCTATGCAGCAAACATGGAGATGCTCTTTGAATATAACACATTGTGTAACACGAGATCAAAGGATTCGGGGTACTACGCTCCGTTGACATACCTCTCTTAGTAGAAGAGCGACGTGCACTGCATGCGCATGAAGGTGCATCCATACTGCAGGCAGCACAGGGCAGATCAATGAAGGCTCGTGCCTGCGAGGGCGGCCACATGTATATCAGTTACTAGATCAATCTTACCTCTCTGTATGCATAGTAAATTTCTGGTTGAATACCGTAAAATTCAATTATGCAGTGCTAATGCAGGATGGGGCTATCACTCCCCAATGACAGGGAGTGTAGATGCTCCTACTACACTGTGCTCGGTGCTATTCCAGTAAAATGGAATGAGGAGATTTGCAAGTTAATTGGAATACATGCAAAACTGAAATGCGATATTTTTGATCATTACCGCCGCTTCTCGTTGGCTGTTTTGCAGTAGCTTGATATGAAGCAACGATGAAGATCCGAGTAAAATCCACCATGCCTACCTCACCAGCTCTGTAAATATACAGAGTCTTTTGGGAGTATCGGACATGGTTTGAGATATGCTCTACAAAATGACGAGCTATTTCCGGTTTGATTCCCTTGTAGATAAAGAGTAGTTATTCTATGAGAAAAAAAATAACATATTAAGTTTCCTCTGAATCAAAGTCTAATCCGACAGCCAGGTACCAACGAGGCGGCCTTGACCTATTTGCACGATGCATCTGCATCTGCATCTGCCCATCTCCAACTAATCGAATTCATTGGAACAAGAAAATCATCAGTCAAAACTAAATCCCTCTACCATCATGTGCATGAAGTTCTTAATAGCGCCATTTTTTTCAGCCAGCCACATCCCAATCAAATCTGATACTGCAGCACCAGGGTGTCAAAGCCCGGGCCTCCATCCCACCGTGTGTATGTATAAAATCCCAAGTGATCCCTCGGATCAATATCAGAATACAGCATTTCCTGAAATATTAGACAAAGGCTTTCGTATTCCCCCAAGTACCTTGCCAGACAAACAACGATGACAGTTACATCGCAAACAAGCCTAGTGAACGCTTTCCCATCCCTCCCTCCCTATCCAGAGGATAGTGAAGCCAAGCAAAGCGAGGTCCTCACCTTCGATGAGCTTGAGCCCTCAAAATCACAATCCCTTGATGAGAGCGCAGGTCCCGCTGCACCTGGGGATACTATTGCGGTGACGGCGAAAGTCTATGCCCCTCCCCATCTTCTCCCGATTTCACCCTACCCTCTAGGATGCCAACAAAATCACTTAATCTCCAATGCACCAGCTACCACACTACTATTATGCCCTCCACAGAGGCTGGTAAGCTGTCAATCAGGAACTCCGTGTTGACTCCGGCTGGCTTACATTTCCCCGCGCGATGGGCGGTTCTGACAGCGTGGCGATAATCCTCTAGAAGAACTACTCCACATCCAAGATTGGCTGAGCCACTGATAGATGATGGTTCGACCTTTTTCAAGGAGACAGCTGTTGCCTACGCATTGCATTCCGTCGTACCGAGCGTGTCGTGACCTTCAACCAGGTCTTGAACAACGCTTGGACCGATGAGATTCGGTACAATTTCCCAGCGGATCTGGTGGGCTGGAAGGGAAATAACCTTGAACATTACCTATGAGAAAGGAGTATTTTTGGGCACATTCAATGATGTGGGGGCGAAATTAGCTTGGGGGGCGGCTGCGGATTCGTTAGAGTACAGGGCGGAGCATGCCAGTGATGTGATTTTTAGGGACTGGGTGACCGCGCAATATTCTTGGGATGCGAGTATAATCGATGCCTCGGGTGAGATCAAGCACTAGCTTTTACAATGCAGACTTGATATTTGTGCACATCAATTTCTCGAACAGGTGCAACCTGAACGAGTTTGTGACAAGCGTGGGACCGAGGAACGAATCCATAGAGAGAGAGAGAGAGAGAGAGAGAGAGGTTGACTAAAGTTGGCAATATTAAAGCTACCTGCAAGGGGAAATCCACAGGAGAAACCAAGAATTCCTTCCCAGGCGCCCTATCTGGACTTTTGGCCGAATCTGGGGTTCAACTCGATTACACCGAGCAAAGCATGGAAGAGAAAACCACTCACTTCGTCCCCTGTTGTGCTGGGTGCTAAATGGAGGATTCCATCCATAAATTAGCTGCGGTAACTGGACCACCCCAGTGTTATGCGACGCTAGCTACCTATGAAGGGGGCATAGGCCTAAATGCCGAAAGAACTAAACCGGTGGCCACGGTGATATTCCTCGCTTGAGGCGGAGATCCTGCCCGGTTAAACGATTTGGAGATGGATTGGCGATGACTGCTCTAGAAGTTTTGGCAGTCAAGCTAGCTTGGCTATTGTTTGTCCATATTGAATGCAAAAGTACTTTGTGTGCTGACATTTTATATATGGAGAGGCTAGGCCACGACTTGAATGTTACAAAATGTAGGTCTTGTCGGTACTTTAAAGCCATTGAAGTCGATAGCAGAAGAGCGCTGACCACCGCCCAGAAAATGTAATCCGAGGCCGAGGATCTCCCATAACACGCTCCTACCTCTACCCATCATCAACAAGACTAATTCGCACACCTTCCATGCCCATAGTTGTGGCAATACGATCCATCCAGTCGGTAGTTGGAGGCTGGCGTGTTTCTGGTGTCACTCGAGATTCAATCATTAAACGAGGTCGACCCGGTGACCCTGGCGGTGTCAAGGGAGAAGATGACCCCTCATGGCTCTCGGCAGACCGAGGACCTCTCGCAGCTCGCATTCGATCTGTAATGATCCGGTTTTCTGCTTCTGCGTCTGGACGCTGCGATGGGTCGAGGAGGATGATAACGTAGTTGAGGAGAAGAATACTGGTCCGAATACCCTGCATGGTTAGGGTCGAGAATCCGTCAAAGAAGTGATATGGGATCGGTCCGATGAAACTGGTCTTCGGTTCACGACCTGCCCGGAGAGTCGAGGCAGTCATGCTGAACTCGGTGTGTATGCCTCGTAGAGAAGCGCGGGTAGCGAGGATCTCCCGTAGAAGCGTGGGACGGTCGCGTTTCTGCACGTTCAAAGAGAGACCTTGAAATTCGCGCGTTCGCCTCACAAACCCTGGAAGCTTGACAACCTCGCGGAAGGCGCGCTCCGTGATATCTGTATAGACAGAGGAATCTGGCTGCTTGGCATTTTCTGCAGCGATATGCTCGTTGAGGGCCTGCCACTCGGGTTCCTCCAAGAAACAATCCTCGCCACTGACTAGCGCAGACGTGACTAGGGTGTTGCGAAATGCGATGTACAATGCGCAGCCAAATCCACTGTAGTGTGCCTTGGGCCCTCGAAGCCGCATTAATGCCCGAATGCCTGCAGCATGATAGATCCATCCATCTTCGGTGGTGCAGCAGTGCATCTCATAGACTGCAAGAGTGATGACGGTGGCTAATGCTTCGTCCGATTTTGCCTTGGACTCGTCATTCAACAAGGCGGAAAGACCACGTATCGCACGGATATAAAACTCTCGACCGGCGTCGGAGTATTGAGGGTTATTGTGTCGACTGCCGGCATACATGGTGGTTACGCTGCGGACAGCCAGATCAAATGGCGTGGTGTTGCCGTTTTCTCTTGAGGCGACATACTCGACCCAATTGACCGGGACTCGAGTTTCAGTAGCTTTAAAATAGCATGGATACGCATCAAGTACAAAGTTGATGAACAATTGGATCTGTCCCGCCGCCGCAGCCTTGGCGACGAGCGAGGGGGTCACACTTTCGTTGCTGGGCGAGAGGGTTAAGTAGCGCGCGTCACTTCGGCCTTCGCGGGAGATCCATAAGAGTTCTTGGCTGGATGATCGGCCTTGTTGAGATGCTAAGGGTGCTGGCGATGCTGAGGTTGACTGCGATCGATAAGGTAGATCGGAGCTTGCTTTTTGCACCGTGGACGGGCTACCTTCAAAGCGACAAGGAAGACGAGAGTTGTGGCACCGTAGACAAGGGGATTTCCCGTCACACTACAGAAGTCAGATATTTCTCAAAAGTTGAGATAGAGACTCGAAAGTGGTAGATTTATGGCTTGCCCATTAGGGATGTCACAGTCCATAGAAAGCTTGGACGCTTGTAGATACTCTAGCTCCCTTCACCTTCACCCCGCATTATAGCGTGGCGATGGCAAAGCTTGAGGGAGCTTGGCCCACCTGCGACCAGCACAAGTGCCGGACCTGAGTGGGTTCAGATCCAGCTAGATGGATCGGAATTAAGTAGCGTCCTCAGGCTGATGGCAACATCCGAATGGGGGCTTGGACACGCCTCTTTGAAAAGGGCGGCTAAAGGGGCAGGGGTACAAGAGGGGGAACACGAGAAGTAGGAGGGGGTTAACCCACCTGAAGGGATGATCGGGCGCATCGCAGACAGCGACGGGGCGCTGGGACCATGCTGGTCAAGGCATGAATAATAGAAGCCCAGAATCGGAACAGTCGGCATTGAGTGGAAAAGGGCGAAGTGACAAAGATAAACGTCCACAAGCGGAGGGCTGTGGCTATGATGTTAGGAGGCGGTCATCTTCCATCAGCTTGGGTTGGGGGCGATGAGGATCCATCACTCACCTAGAAACAGCAGTGATTGGCGGTTCCAAGGTAGAAAGCCTATACTAGCCGGAAGAGTTGTTAAGGAGATGATCGAACAATCATTGAGCAATTCAAGCCCACAATGACCCCGTGCAAAGCGATATATAATGAAAAATGAAAGATCTCAATCATTAAGAAGTGGTTTAAGGTGGAGATCCTCTTCGAGTGCGGCTGAAAAGAGGCTGAAGATCTGGTCACGAGACCCAGTCATGTGCACCTACCTTATTTCGTTCAGCACTTTAAAGTGTTACAGTATACTATTTGGATCTTAGGGAATGTAGAGAATACTTCATGAGAGAGGTCGAATGACTCCGGTTCCTACGACAACTGGCGTATTCCCGGGTATACTGAATATCCAATACCAGGTTTCATGTACATGGACGATGCTCGAGGGGGATGATGATACGACAGGGGCATCAGAAAACCAGCACGAGAAAAAAAAGAACAAAGAATATGCGAGACCAGGAAAAAAGAGGGCCCCAAACCTCCCATAATGAGAAAAGAGGAAGATAAAACCAAGCATCAACACAAAAAGACAAATCACATTTGCGCCGCATTCGCCCTCTTCAAAAGCGATCCTTGCACACTATACCAATCCATCGTACAGTGACAAGGCGCTGACAATGGTCTCGTCACGCTTGCTGCCCTCCTTGAACTCTTCGATATCCAAGCTGCCGTTCTCGTCCTTGTCCATCATTCGGAAGATTTTGCGCACTCGCTTCTCCGGTGTGTCTTCGTCCTCTGGAAGCTTCACCATCGACCCGACCTGTACACCTCGTCAGTGGCATTCCACAAGTCCACAAGTGGGGGAAAAGTGAAACGGGGGAGCTGGAGAGCCTATGGGCCCCCTCGGCATAGAGCGTACCATTTTGTAAATCGCCTCAACGATGGCCAGCATCTCGTCGTAAGTAATCTTGCCGTCCCCATCGATATCGTACAGTTGGAATGCCCAGTCCAGCTTGTCCTCCATCTTGCCTCGCGAAGTGACCGACAGCGCGCAAATGAACTCCTTAAAATCAATCATGCCGCTGTTATCCGAATCGAATACCCGAAACACATAATTGGCGAAGGATGACGGGTCGCCGAAGGGGAAGAATTGCCGATAGATCTTCTGGAACTCCTCCTTGGTCAAAGTGCCCGACGGGCAGTCCTTCAGGAATCCTGCATGTAAAGCGCCCACGATCAGTCATGCCCAGTGTCCAGGAAGCGCTTTGATATGATGACAGTCTGCGCACGCAGAGGAACCGATCACATACCCTTATACCATTGCTGGAGCTCCTTCTTGTCGAAGTGGGTTGCTTTCTGTAGCTCGTCGAGCTGCGAGGGCGAAAGCTTCGATTGTCTGCGAAGTCCGAGTCAGTATTCATGATCGCAAGAGCCAACGTCCACCCAGAGCACCATGCGAAAGACCCAGCCGTGAGGATGCCCCTGAAATGCCTCGATAAAGGGATCTCCAAAGTCCCAGTCGCTTCCGCTAGAGTGCTTCCGGCGCACCGCAGGGGTGAGTGAGGGGTAACGGGGGACCCGATCGGACTTACGACTTGCCCATGATCAAACACCCAAAACCGATATTGTTAAAGATGGTTGAAAGCGCATGCAGAGTCGAACACTCGGCGAGATCGTCAGGAACAGCGTGAGCGCAAAAAGGCGACGGAAATCGGTGACGCGGGGTAGCACGGGGGAGGATGATGTGGCTGAGTTGAGATAGTGTGGCGTGGCTGGTGGATGCTGGAAAGGGAAAGAAGAGGCTGTGCACTTAAGGCGACGTCAGAGTAAGCAGGTCGACAGCAAAGGGTTGTACGATGGTGGAAATTGTAAAACGCGAGCGAACGTGCAAGTTGAGGTCACTGCAAAGGGAGAAAAATAAAGCCAGTTTGGGATGTGGCGAGAAGAAGGGAAGTCCAGACCATCCGGGGGGACAGCGTGGCTTGGCATGACACGACTACTGTACGCTTGTAATTACCGCGGGACCTCCGTAAAAAAAGACGTTGATATGTGCAAATGATGGGATGCCCTTCTTTTGCACAGAAATAAACAGACCATTCTATCTCGTTCCAAACAACCAAAAAATTAATCAAATGGACAATGCAATCATTTCCAGGGCTATCAAAACATGCGAAGAAGAGAATGAGGCGCCGGGTGCGGGTTGCCCCGGATGAAAGGACGGCTAAATAAAGCGGGTCCATGATGATACGTTTAATCCACCTTGATGGAACCGTAGATACGGTGGATGAATGCCCAACTGGCAAAGAAGCCAATGGAGCCTGAAACGGGGAATTAGTGAACTGCCGAGTCAGGGGAAGCGGAAGTAACATACCAGTCAAAATGAAGACAACGAAGCCAATCAACGCCGAGTAACCCACGTAGAGCACAGCGCCCGTCAGGCCGCCGAAGCTGACGCGAGTGGCCCAGAAAATAAGAGCATTCAGGAAGACGTAGCCACCGGTCATACCGGCACCTGCGAAGGCACGCCAGTGCCAGCGGTAGTTCTCAGCGCAAAGCAGGAAGTATACAAGCAGGACAGTGGTCGCTGCAGAAGTGATGATCATCAAACCGTAGCACAAGAACAAGAATCCGAACATGTAGTAGATCTTGTTGGTCCAGAGCGAAGTCATGATGAAGTATAGCTCGACGAAGATGGCGCCGAAGGGAAGAATTCCAGTCAGGAGGATGGATGGGATGGTGCGCAAGCTGCCGGCCATAGGAGGGACCTGACGGGGGATCTGGTTGGTCTTGGTTGGGCCCTCAATTGGCTGGAAACACGATATTAGTATAAAAAGAAGCGCACCGGACAAGAACAACGACATACCGATTGCCTGAATCCAACCCAGCTACCAGCCACGCTCAATGGCACGCTGATCACAAACCAAATCAAAACCAAGGCGAGCATGGTACCAAATGGTACGGCACCACTAGAGCCCTTGGCCCAGACAAACAGGTTGAGAAGGAAGAAAGTGCCAAAAATGACACCTGGAAGCAAGAGAGGAGTCATAATGATGTTGCGCTTCCAGGACTCGCCGCCAAACGTCTTGTACACGCGAGATGAGACGTAGCCTCCGATGGCACCAAAGAGGGCGGAAATCAGAAGGATGGCAGTGGCCAAGAAACCGCGGTTAGCTGGCGAGAGGAGACCGAGGAGTGCGAATGCTATATGCTAATGTCAGACGGTCGCAGTTCCAAGAAAGCACAGACAACATTGAGTGACTTACCAACAGTAACACCAGTCATCATGAAGAGCTGAGCACCGTTACCGACCAATACACTCAGCAACAGAGGAGACTTGGGGCAACGGAAGACATCGCCGTGGACCAGCTTCCACCCAGAATCCTCTTGAATTCCATCCTCAACTGCGGCCGAGGTACCATCCAAATCATCCAGACTGATCTGGTCCAGCCGGTTGTAGCGAGCGATATCCTTCCTGAGTGCGCGCACAAGAATCATGCTGACCATACCAACCAGGAACACGACAAAGACGGCAGAATTGATGAGGGAAAACCAATGGATCTTCGGGTCATAGACATGCAGATATTTGTCCCAGCGGGTAGCCCAGGCCGTGGGGGACTCTTTCCAGTAGACGCTATACGTCCAGATGACTGGAGTATCTCCGTCTTCATTCAATCTCAGGAGGTTTCCTTGGGTGCCGCACTCGGCCGTCCCATCCTCAAGAATCCGCGAGTCGAGCCGGGACTCGGGCTGCACGAGCACTCCAACAACTCGGTATTTATCCTTGCCGCCGAAACCGACGCGGTGATAGTCGATCACGATATCGAAGTGATTGTTGAGCACGGATTGACCGTTCTCGTCCACGTCGCCAAGCGAGAAACCCGGGTTGTAGAACTGGGTGTTGGTGTTACCGTCGTAGTTCAGCTGCGCCGCGGGCAGTCCGTCCACGAGCCAGTTGATGTTATATCCTTGCGAGATTCGGCGATTGGTGAATTTGGAACTGCGCCCGTCAAATACGACCTCCCCGCAGACAGCTTTACAGGTCTCATTTTGCGCCATGTGCAGCTCTAGCGGAGAGGTGCGGATGCGATCACCGAACAGAATACTTCCCAGTGATTCCCGGACATCTTGAGCACCTCCTTCTGGCCGGCAGAAGTGGAACGCCGGGTGATAGTAGTCGTAGGAGAAGACGGAATGGAGCTGGTCGTCGCGCGACAGCCCGGGGGTCAAATGGTTGACATTTAGCGGGACGGATTGCCCTTTGTCGTAAGAGGACGGAGCAACACCAGGAAGATAAAAGGCGGATGAGAAGGAAGGAATTGATAGGAGGGCCGAGGCGAGGAAGGAGGCTTGGTTGGTGAACCGCATGGTGGGCGTGGAGCGTTCGATGGATTGCTCAGACCAGCTTCATGTGTTTTGGTGATTTATCTGATTTTGGAGTAGCGCGTATAGGTTCCGACCATCGATTCCACAATCGGAGCACACCAATTTACAAAGCTCGATTAGAATGAGCTCGAGGCGTCATGCGTGTATCTCACGAGAGAAAAAAGGAATTCGTGGCTGTAAGAGGACAGAATGGCCCCCGAACTGACAATGACGATCCACGAGGCAGCCTCGTCAGCACGTGACTCGGAACCAGGCACAGCCTCTAGTTTAAGAGTCACGTGTTGATAAGCACCATCCAAAAAATTTCCAGCGGCCTCGTCGCCGAAGGAATTCCGTTTTCTAGAATACACAACCAGTCATGGCTTCAACAGAGACTGCGCCAGTGCGCGCCCAGACCCTATCCACACTTCTCGAGAGTCTCAATTCCTGTCTCACCAGCGCCGGATCTTCCCTCCCGGCCCCTCGCAAAGATGCGCCCACCGATGTTTCCATCGCGCCGCCGCAAGACGGTATTTCGCTTCTCGACACCAAGAGCGAAATTCTCCTCTCTTACCTGCAGAACCTCGTATTTTTGATTATATTCCAACTACGGCAAAAACAGTCGGATGAACCCGAAATCGCGGCCGACAGCACACTTCGGGAAGAGGTTGTGAATAAATTGGTTGAGCTTCGGGTATTCCTTGATCGCGGTGTCCGACCTCTGGAGGGACGTTTGAAATATCAGATCGACAAGGTCATCAAGGCGGCAGAAGACTCAGACCGGACAGAGCGCCCGGCTAAATCCAAGAAGCCGAAGAAGCCCAGCAAGACTGTTGGCTCTGACAGCGACGTGAACTCCGAGGATGATGACGAGGCAAGCGACAGCGAGGAGGATGACGAGGATATGGATGAATTGGCATACCGTCCCAACGTTGCGGCGCTTGCCAAAGGCAAGGTGGAACAGAGGCAGCCCCAGGCCAAGGCCGCAGCCCGACAGGAGCCTAGTGATGGCATCTATCGCCCACCGAAGATTATGCCCACCTCCCTTCCCACCACCGAACGTCGTGAACGCCAGGATCGCCGCCCCCGCCGATCCAATGTCATTGACGAATTCGTCAGCGCCGAAATGTCCGCTGCGCCAATGGCCGAGCCCAGCATCGGTAGCACCATCATTGATGGTGGACGCCAAACCAAGTCCAAGAAAGATCGCGAGCACGAGGCCGAACGCACCCGGTACGAAGAGACCAACTTTGTCCGTCTTCCCAAGGAGACCAAGAAGGATCTTGCCAAGCGCGGTGTCGGGCGCCGCGACGGTACATATGGTGGTGACGAATGGAAGGGCCTTAACGAGGGAGCCGATCACATTGAGCGTCTTACCCGTCGGTCAAAGAACAGCGGCTCTGCTCTCGAAAAGAGCCGGAAGCGCAAGAACGAGGATGGACAGCGCAGCGATGGTGTGGCAGTGGGTGACATCTTTGACAAACGTCGCAAGAAGATTGATAACTGGAAGCGGTAAATTTGTGGACTTTATTACGGCATTACTTTTGCTTTTGTTTCTCTCTTTTTCTTCGTTATGTGACAGGCACCGAGCCTGTGATCATCTCCCGGAGTTGGTATGGTAAAAATAGGGCTTGTTATGTATCTAGTTGCCCACCACTATGTCTGCATCAACGCATCCAATTGAATGAATTGGCTCAACTGCGAATTTCTGACTATATTTACTGTAGATCTATGGTTCCTTGTAAGCTGGGCGGCGCGCTGATCGACCACTCCACTCGGGATGCCGAGTCCTGGACGAAGGCCAAGCATGTTGCTGTACGGAGTACTACTACTACTACTACAGCAGGCTAGCTTTAAATGGCTGACAACATGTTCATCATTATCTCACACAGGCAGCATGATTAATTTCTTGATTCTGACCCCTGTTCAAACTCATGCAAAATTGAGCGAGTTAGTGTAGCTCCGGAAGAAGAAGTCGACCCGTTCACATGTCGAAGTGTGGTTATGATGTCATCGCCTGCCAACAGGTCCCGGCCTAACACTCTCGATATCAATCATGCCAGGGCTGATTCTTCTGTCAACACTCAATATTACAGCTGCTACCCACCGTAAACATGGAGAATCCAGGTAATTCTTTCTTTCTCGCTGACTATCCAGATATCATGACTAAATCGACCCATCTTCAGTGACCGAAATCCGGACAGTGATCCGCCTTCTCACTCAATCCAACCCATCTTTACAAGAAAAGGCTCTAGAGCGGTTCTTCGCCTCCAATGCATCCTTTGTACACCCCTTCTGTCGAGTACCCAGCTTTAATGGAAGTCGCTGGTGGGTGATCAAGATCTTTCAATGGTATAAGATCATGTCTCCTCGGATTGAAATGGAGATTCACTCTATTGGTTAGTACCTTGCCATCCCTATTACCATGAATCACCAGAAGAAAAAAAAAAAACTAATCAGGTACTGCCAGCCTTCGACGAGGATAAGTTGAAGCTTTACGTCCACATGTCGCAAATCTTCTCGATCTGGCTGGTGCCTTTCCATGTTGCACCGGTGACTCTGACGACGATCTTGGATCTCACCGCGGACCCAGCTCTGACCAACGCGCCGACCAATGGTGACCACACGCGGTACTACATCACCAAACAGGAAGATCTGTATCAAACTTCCGAGTTTGTTAAGTTTCTTTTCCCTCATGTTGGACATTGGTTGGTCCTGGGGTGGCATTTGATTGCTACGTTCTTCTGCATCGTGGGTGTGACTTTGCTCTGGCCTATGCTGTGGATGGAAGAGAAGGGATATTTGCCCACTTGGATTTCACGGGGGAATCTGGCATATGATATTGCGGATAAGATTCCTGAGATTAAGAAGGAGTGACCACTTGGGAATAGGGGGTTGCTTAGTACTACTAGCGGGTTCAATTTAGTTCTACAAGAAAATTTGATATCAATTTGAGATCTTAATATTATGGTTCATCAGCCTGAAGCCTGTTCTTCTGGCTTTCTTCATTCGTAACTTCTTCCTTGCCCTCCATGTCTAGAAAGTCTTAATTCACGCTAGTCAGATGATCATAGTCCAGAAAGCAACACTCGTCTTAATCATGCGTCATTCGTCCCCTGCCATGGTCATAAACCATATCACGTTGATCCCCATCATACCGTTATTCAGCCTTGTCAGTCTTGTGCTGTTTTTGAAGCTCTCTGCGGAAATTTTCCTCCTGTTCCACCACCATCAAAGGCAATGCTCGCCCAAGACCAAAGAACACGAAGAGAGCCCACTTCCATCGGAACGGATTGACGAGCAGGACAAAAATGTACCAATAGATAAGTTCAGCATAGGTGAAAAAGTCAAAAGCCCGCGTGGGAGCGAACCGCTTCATCAGTCGTGTAAAGTCAATCCATGTCTTCATCCGCTGCTCCGTGGGACGAGTCAAGGGGTCGGTTAAAAACATGATGAGGAAGCGCGTGTAGATGCCGATGTGCATGTTGCCCACCGTGCCGATAGCGTTGACGTAGGTGCTGTTGTTGGCGCAAATGTCGGGGTACTTGGGCGGGAAGACCTGCAGATACCAGTCCGGGGGGCTGTATGGCTCTTCAAAGACTTCATCGGGGAGGAAAGTCAGAGAGGGTCGCTTAAACCCAGTCGCCATAACGATGATGTCGCCTTCGATGAGACCCTCCTTGCCAGGACCACCTTTAGGCACACCTTGGGCTCTGTGATTGAATCGCACGCCGTTCTCCTCCACGGAAACAATATCGCCCCGGAACCAGTGTGCTTTGCCTTCGCGGATCTGATTGAATAGTTCCGAGTTCGCCATGGGGGTCTGGGTGAAGATTCCATCGTCGGTAGGAGCAATATCTTGCAGATCACGGTAGAAGAACTTGCGGAGCAGCCCCTCGGGAATCCAGGAGAGCGAAGTTTCCTGGCCGAAGATATTGAAGGCTAGCAAGGATTGAACCAACACGTTTCGGGGGATGATCCATTTGTCTGAGCGTGAAAGGACGTCAATCTCCGCGGCACCAGACTTGACTGCGAATTCTAGAGCTTCAATGGCACTAGCACCACCGCCAACAATCAAGATCTTCTTGCCCTTGGCATCTTTGCCATCCAAGTTTGACGAGTGGAAGATCTGCCCCTTGAAATTGTCCTGGTCCGGCAATGTAGGCATCTGGGGATCGCCACAGACGCCGACAGCAGTAAGCACTCCATCAAATCGACCATAGTTCTCCTCGTCGTTGTTGATGATCCATTGACCATCCTTCGTCTTTTTGACCGAGGTGACTCGAGTGTCAAAGACCGTGCGTCGTTCGAGGTCGTAGCGTTTCCACAATTCAACAATCTGCTCCTTGATTTGCTGCTGAGTGGGATAGGCACTGTCGTAGTGAACCGAGGGGTGGAATCGGTACATCAAGCTGTGTACCTGAAGGGCTGAGGTGGAATTGACTCGCTGTTCAAACTGTCAATATGCTTCCCATGTTGAGAGTTGAATGGGTCTGAGGCGCGAGACTTACACTCCAGATTCCTCCAAGGCCTCGATCCTTGGATCTAGACTCAAAGATCTGCACGTCAAATCCATGGCCCACGCAATGCGCTGCAGATGAGACACCCGTCAAGCCTGCACCGATGACCGCAACCCTCTTTCGGGGAAGGTTGGATTTAGTTGCCGTGGGAGGTGGAGGAGCTGGTGAAAAGACATATCTCAGCACCGCTTGCAAGATGAGGTAGAGCCAGGTGAAGGTCTGCACAAAAGGGTGCCGTATTAAGGCGAGTATCGACGACTGAGATGCTGCCATAGCGAATGGAGCTGGCAAGGAAGAAGTAGATGGGGTGTTGTAATGGAACAGGTCAACGATGGAAGTTGGGATATTTTGTATCAGGACCAGGAGGGGTGACGTGATGAGTGGAGCAATTGGAAATGGCGCTTTCTTCACATGCAATTGTCTCAGTGACTGGGATCATAAAATCTGGTCATAATGCTGGTTGCTGGTTACAACTTGTGGTGTACTAATTGTGGGACGGAACTACCATGATGTCATCGTTAAGTCTGGTTTTGGCCAGACCCGCCGAACTACGGAGTACTGTAAACCCGTACACTCCCGACTCGGCATGCCGTTAGTAAATACTGAACTATATAGTATGAGAGCTGAATTGCAGTTTAAGATCAAAAATGGTCAATTAGTTTAATTGAAGGAAATAGATAGCAGGAATAGTGGAAATCATGAAAGCATCGACAGGTGGAGTCCTCGACAGGTGGAGTGAAGGTTACCCTTGTGCTCTGTACAGGCTCTGCATTATTGACACGTGCATGACAGTTAAGCTTGTTTACCAGGTTTTAGGTACTTCTCAATACCTTTCACATGTCTACCATAGCAAAAAAGGCCATTGCTTTGAGCACCTTGTTGGGCCACTTTGGACCTGAGTCCTCGCAGAGCCACATCCCGAGGTCAAGGCATGAGGGTGAACGGAGCTTTCCCCTGAATTGAAATCAATCCTGGGCGTGCTATCGAGTGGGCTAGAGGCTGTGGTCAAAATGCTTCTCTTGGTTTGGCCTGAACTCCGTGCCACGGATCGAATCAACGATTTAGGCTTCTACTGCAGATGTTTGCCGTAGCAGGTGATGGTGAGTTCCTACGGCTTCTTGCTGAAAGAGGAGTAGAAGCCAACAGCTCCGGACATTACTATGGTTGTGCATTCCAAGCAGCGGCTCGTTTTGGTCATCTGGAATGTGTACATCTTCTGCTGAACGCAGACGCGGAGGCTAACCTGGGCGGGTGAATACGAGATGGCCCTTCGAGCGGCTATCTTTGGGGAGCATGAAGAAACCATCCTCTTCTGTTTTGATTGCCCATGGGGCAGATGTCAACTTGGGGAAACAAAGGGTACACAGTATGAAGGAGGGATAGGCAGAGGAAGAAGAATCCGAGGAGGAGTGATGATGCACGGGATTTGTCATGCAGAGTTTCAATTAGATGAGACGGCACTATTCGCAATGTCTCTGTTGAGTAGGAGAAACTTGGTTAATTCCAGTAGATATAGTGCATTTGCTTGCCCTGTTTGCCAGTTAAGATGTGATCAGGGTGACTGCAGAGGGACCATATCGCACAACTCTCAAAGGCCTTCGTATGAGTCCGAGAGATTGCCCAGAATTCATCATGCTTATAGACTCCTTTAAAATGGACGAATAAGGAGTCAAAAGGAGAAGTACCGCAGCTAGAGAACTGACATAGATCAACATTGCTGCCTCAGGATGAAGACTTTGGGCGGTCAGCAATGAGCGATTATTCTGCCGGTCGCGGGCCCTTTGTAGCCGATCAATTTCCGCAGCTTTGCGCAAGACCAGCTTCTTACATTCCCTCTCGCTTCATGATCTAACCCTCGCGCAGGATCGAGGAGTGTTAAAAGACTCTCGGGGCTCACGCGATGGTGTCGTTGCCGCTATCCACCCGCTGATCATCCGGTTCCTCCATCTCCTCGCCTCCGCGCGACCTCCGCATCGCCCATTCCGTTATGGCTGGCATTCTGGACGAGTTCCTCGGCGGCCTGGCCGTCCAGATTCAGAATCGGGATGGCGCCAAGTTGCAGGATTTCCTGCAGATTGAGCCTCCGCTATCAGACGCCTACCAGCGCATGATTCAAGAGCTTCGAGAACGGTATCCATCGGGCCCTAGCGATTCGGAGCTTCTACAACGATGCGAGGCGCTAGTACCGCGCACCAAGGGTGGCTCATCTTGGACAGCTTTCCCGGCCTTCATGAAGCTCTATTTTACGTTCCTGCGCGACGTCAATACCGATAATCTGCTTGATACGTACAACCAGCTGAAGGGACTACTCAAGTGAGTCGCCATTCTCCGGTGGGAGATTGATTTTGCATCATCTCTATCTATGATCTACGTCGTGGCGAATTAGAGCACTAACTCTTTCCCGAATATAGTCAATGCGTGTTAGCGCTTGGCGACAGCCAGATGGGCGTGATCGTTCTCCCCACCGTTCTCTACCTGTCGAAAGTGCTGGCCAAGCTAGCAATGGGATTAGACCGCCGGCCGGAACTAATCGCGCATATCTTACGCATGGAAGGAGCTATGGATAACGATGAGAGTGTTGAAAAAGTGACATTGGTGGAGCAGTCGGCAAACGTGGTGCGCGAAGCCTTCATCAAGTGCTTGACAGATCGCACGGGGACACCAGGCCCACAGGGAAAGCCCGAAGGAAAGCGTGTTGGCATCTACCTTATGGCCAATCTGTGCCTCAAACTTCTCTTCCAGGTATGTGCCGCACCTCTATGGATGGTTTTCAACACCTCTGTCGCGACTTGAGAGCCATTCGAACTGACTTATTCAACTAGTGCGGCAAGTTGCGAAATGCCGAACAAATGTTCGCCAGTATCAGCGCCCAGTCCCCTCCTTTGGCTTATTTCCCTGCTTCACAGCGTGTGACATACCTTTACTACCTCGGCCGTTACCTATTCTCCAACAACCTTTTCTATCCCGCTCTCATCGCCCTCCAAGCCGCGTATGACCAATGTCACCGCCAAGCTATCAGCCAACGACACTTGATTCTTGCGTATCTGATTCCATGCAACATCATCATGGGCCGATTCCCATCCCGGAAACTACTACAACGACCGGAGGCAAGCGGATTGACCGACAAATTCGAACATTTGTGCCGATTGATCGTTCGCGGCGATTACATCGCTTTTCGAGAGTATTTCTCTCCCAGTTCACCCGCCGCCGAGTGGTTCTCCCGCAAAGGAATCTTGCTCACACTGCGCAACCGATGCGAGATTATGGTGTGGCGGTCATTCTGTCGGAAGGTGTTCATTTACAGTGGATTCCATGGGGACCCGCAGGCGCAGGCGCAGCGTGGTCCCCCGCCTTATCTTTACCTCGAGAAATTGACGATAGCCACGAGGTGGCTTCAGTCCCAGCATGGGCAGACCCAGCAATTGAATGGAGCCAATCATGCAACACCTAAATTTCACTTCTATGGTTCCCAGATCATTCCCGAGTCAACCGATCCCGACTTTGGCGGTCTTAACGGCTCGGAGACCCCGACAGCACAGCAACTGTTGGAGAAATATGGCGACTATCTCGCGCCGGACGGATTCTTCGACGGAGGAGGTCATTGGCAGGACAACATGCCCGGCCAATTGATAGATGGCAACCCGGGTGCTGATTATGATGCGTTTGAGCTGAATCCCTACGCCGAGGCCACAGAAGATGGCCCAGACGCAGACAAGCAGTCTTTGCTTATGGACGAGGTCGAATCTATCCTTGCCTCACTTCTCACTCAGGGACTTATGCGTGGTTACCTGACTCATCGCAATCCCCGCTTTGCCATTCCTGGTGCTCGGCAACGGGGTGCCTTGCCGACAGGCTTCCCTAATATCTGGGAGACGATCTTCGCTCGTGAAAGAGAGGATGACAGTGTCCCTGGATGGGTCCGACCTCCACCTCCAGGCGCACTGGGCGCTGGGGGTGGCCGAGTGGTGAATCTGTCAGGCGCACGACCAGTTGGCGTGCAATGACGAATCATGATTTTGCCAGACTATGCGACCCCATCATCCTTGAATCTGTTTCATGATACCTACACGTCATACGCAATGAAAAAAAAAACTTGAAAAATGTTTATCCGATCTATTCTATCCTTCACACTAGTAAATAAAACCCAAACGAAACTAATGGAAAGGTAGGAAGCTCCGAAAAAGACAACCGTCATGCAATCAATGCAAAGGACAAACGGGCGATATTCGTGATTAATTCAAAATTCAAGTCCCAGCTTCAAATCTTACAGCTTGGACTTGTTCCACCAGATGTCTGGCCGCCACATCTCATTCAAAAGTCGGCTGGCGTTGACCATATCCGGTCCGAGCTGGTCGAGTGAGGAAACCCCGAGAATCTTCATGGTGATTTCAACTTCCTCAGCGAGAACTGGGAATATATTAACAAAAGGTCTAGAAACGTCTTGCAGGATGGAATAACGTACTATCGGTGCACTTCTCCACGCCTTCAATCCCATAGGCTGCCATGGCGTAGAAATATGGCCTGCCCACACCTACAGCTGTTGCCCCAAGACACAAGGCCTTGAGAACATCGGCACCATCACGGAGGCCGCCATCGACATATATATCCAACATGTCGAAAGCTTCAGAGTAGTATGTCCGGGTTTCCAACAAAGTCATCAATGCGCTGGGAGCTGAATGAATCTGTCGGCCACCGTGATTGCTCAAAAGGACACCCTGCACGCCGTGTTGCACAGCCAACTTTACATCCTCCACGGTCTGAATCCCCTTCAGGACAATCGGTCCATTCCATTCTTCAGTGATCCACTCCAAATCCTCCCAGCTAAGACCCGGATCCAGGTATCCCGGTACAGGCCGGCCACCAAATGCAGGGCCAAAAGCGTTGTCGGCTGCAGCCTCTCGGGTTGTCTCCCGTGTGCCTTGATCGAGAGCTTCTTGTGCTTGCAAATAGCGATCCGCCGTCCGTTTGCCCAGCGTGGATGTATCTACGGTAATCCATAGACTGTGATAACCAGCTGCCTTGACCCTCCGAATCAAAGATCGAGCTAGGTTCCGATCCACGGGGACGTACAACTGGAAAGCCAGCTTGGACGGACTTTGGTTACCGAGTTGGCGCTGTTCGTCCAGGTGTGCCTCCATAATCTCCTCCAAGGGTTTACTTGTCGCCGTGCTGACCACGGTATGCAAGCCCTTTCGAGTCGCGCCTCGAACGAGCAGTGGCTCTGCTCCGGGATGTGCGTTGCCTAGAGTTCCCATTGCGGAAACGAAGAATGGTTGACTGCCGGGGTGACCCAGAATTGGACGCGTTGGATTCAACGAGCTAACACTCCTCATGATCCGTGGACGGAAGTTGATTCGAGACCAGTCGTCGAGATTGGATTGGAGAGATAGACCTGAAGCTGCACTGCTGGAGGCGTAGACCCATGTTTTGTTTGGGAGCACTGCTTTTGCAGCAGCCTCGAAGTCCTGAATTGTGACGCAGAGGGCCACATTCGGTGGTGATGTCTGGTATCCGTTTGACATCGTGTATTGCTATCTTTTTGATTGAAGAAGACCTCTCATATAGTGTAGTGTGATTTAGAAGGAGGCACAATACAGAGAAAGATAAAAGGCTATAATTGAGATAATAGACTTCTCCCATTTTTAATAGACGCTGGTATTTAAGTATACCGCATATAAGTGTCTCTCTACGAAGACAGCCATTGAGTCACGGACGAGTCTTTTCGCACGAGAGAGCTGGAAAATGATCTCCGTGCCGAGTTCGGGCCGTGGATCCTGTACTCATCTTCTGCAACTTCCTTTGCTGGATCATCTGGCTCAATTGAATTGTCACTTGACTTTTACTTAACTCGATTGACTTCATTGATACTGCCCCAAGACGACCATTCATCGGCGAGAGTTGCCCGCCTGGAGCGTCGGCTATCCACCAAATTCGTCGCAAGCCGATCGGTTGGCACTGTGAGACTCCACCCTTCAAGTTTACAACCCCTTGATTGGTGGTAAATCTCATGGCTACTCCAGAACCGAATTTGAGATACCATATTCCGACCATCACGAACTCGGTCCTTACCCGAGAGCCAGAAAATCACGATGATAAACGTGCGATTTCGAGAATCCGGGGGACACGCCCCTCCCCCGACTTAATCCCCAGTCGGGACTTGCCCGAGATGGTCAAGCGACGAACAATCCATTTCTGGAGAAGACGACGAGTTCTTGCGGCTTCAAATATCCTGCGTGGTGCCACTTGGAGAAGGCCTCCGCAAGAAAGAGCCCTGACCTCTCTGCATTGTCGGCATCTGACATACGACGGCAATTGAACCAGCAGCACGGTAGCACCAACACCAATCCCAGCCACCATCAGCCACTATGGGCGGCTTTCGGGCCGTCGAGGATCGGCCTACCCCAAAGGAGGTCTACAATTGGCGCTTGTACTCTGAAGCCATCATCATTGCCACTGGATCATTGCTGTAAGGTGGATCGCCGCTGAGGAGCGCGAGATCAGTCTTGCTAATTCGGACATCTCATAGTTTCGGCTACGATTCGGCTTTTGTGGGCACGACTATTGCACGCGAGAGCTTCCTAACTGATATCCACATCACCAAGGCCAACAGTAGCGCCATCTCGAGCAACATTACCTCGATCTTTCAGGCTGGCGCATTTTTTGGTGCCTTGTTCTGCTTTTTCTGTCAGTCAATTGAGCCTAAAAAGGAAATGAAGGAGAAAAGTTACTAACTGATCTTTGCTTTCTAGTCACTGAGCGTTTCGGTCGAAAATGGACGCTACAAATCAATGTGGTTGTGTTCATCATCGGCGCAGTGATGATGACCGCAGCCACTCATCAATTGGGTCTAATCTGTACATCGACCCCTAGTTTTCATTCATGGGATTATGTAAATTTCGCTAACGAGCAGCTATACAGACGCCGGTCGTGTGCTGACGGGTATTGGCTGCGGCGCAATTACAGCCACCGTTCCTAGCTATATTGCAGAGCTGTCTATTCCTTCCATCCGGGGTATCCTGACTGGCTTCTTCGAGTGCGCCTATCAGATTGGCTCTGTGATCGGGTTCTGGATCAACTTCGGAATCACGGAGAACATGTCCGCCAAGTCATCAACAAGTTGGAGAATTCCTATGGGAGTACAACTCATTCCAGCGGTGATCCTGTTCATCGGTGGATTTTTCCTCCACGAGTCTCCTTTGTGGCTTATGCGCAAAGAGCGTAATGAGGAAGCCTACCGAGCCCTCGAGACGTTGCGCAGATTGCCTGTGGAACATCCCTACCTCCAACAGGAGATTCAGCTCATTCAGAACCGGTTGAATGAAGAGGCGAGTGTCGCAAGCAAGTATGGACTAGGATCATGGGCCTTCTTCCGCGGCGCAATGGACGAGTTCTCGCGACGAGGCATGCGGAACCGGGTGTTCCTCGTGTTCTGCGCTTTTGCTTTGAACAATCTGTCCGGTGCTTCTGGTATGTGATTATCTTTCTTCAGAAGATCCCACGTGCATTTCAATTGACCATTTTCAGCTATCAACTATTACTCGCCTACTCTCTTTGCATCCATCGGAATCAAGGACACAGCGCTGTGGACCGGAATCTACGGTCTCGTGAAGGCGGTTGCATCCCTTATCTTTTATATAGCCTTTGTTGACAAGATTGGTCGTCGTCGTCCAGTCATTCTGTCGTCGATTGTCTGCTCCTGCTGCCTCTGGTATGTCGGTGCCTATGTTAAGGTAGGTAACCCGGCCGCTGTTATTGCGAAGGGAGGTACTTTAACAGACTCGACAACTCGCGGGGGACACGCAGCAACTGCTATGATTATGATTTACGCCATTTTCTGGTCATTCGGCCTAAATGGTATCCCCTGGATTGTCTCTGCGGAGATCTTCCCGGGTGCGCTTCGAAATTTCTCCGGAACTTGGGCAGCCCTTGTCCAATGGGCTACTCAGTTCCCTATGAGTAAATGTCTGCCGTATATGTTCAACTCATTTGGATACGGAACTTGGTTCTTCTTTGCGGGATTCATGGTCGTTGCCACGCTTTGGTCTTACTTCCTGCTTCCTGAAACAAAGGGTTTGACGATCGATCAAATGGATAGGATCTTGTATGTTCTAAGCCTATCCCTTGACTCTACGTTTTACTGACAAATATAGTGGTTATAACCAACCTGGGCACCGCGGTATTCCCCATACCCGGATTACCCAGACCCAGCTAGCAGCATCGAATGCAGGTGTGCCTGAGAAGCCAAGTCAGACTGAACACTTTGAAACTGTCTGAAAAGAAACTCAGCGATCTAGATTTTGGATTAGGTCGACGAACTAAGCCACTCTCAACGAGCGGCAGATTGATGCATCAGTCTACACGGCTTCTGGTTTCTACTGTATGAATAGGCTAGGTTCGATGAAAGCCAAACCTTGGAACTATCAATAAGATTGACTCAATGTCACGTAAATCGGAATATCCAAGTACTAAAGCCAAAACATAAATACACACAAGTACAAAAAGACAAGTTTCTTATTATTCATCAAGGTCAACTCAAGGCCAACTCAAGGCCAACTCAAGGCCAACTCTCTAGGCCAGGCAGTATTTGCAAGCGGCCTCGTCCATGGTGATCAATATCACCCGACTTTCTTAGAAGCTGAAACGAACACTGTTAGGCATCATTCGTAAGACTCTAGTGAAAAAAAAAACATACAGCATCATCCTCTTCTCGGCCTTCAGCTGTTCAGGCTTCTTCTCGCCCCGCATCGGCGACGTAACCTTCATACTAGGAGACGGAGTTGCCATGGAAGTTGGAGTCGCACGCTTCATCGGCATAGACATAGATGAGGACATGGGCATGGACGAGGTCGCAGGGATGTCAACATTTTGGTGGTGCTATGAGATAGAAATAACTGGATCAGTCCCTTGGCCTGTGGATATTTTGCAGAGCTGAAACTAACCTCCTGGTTTCCACCACGGGGCAAAGCGACGGCGACGGCGGCAAACAGGGCATAGATGATTTCGAAGCGCATGGTGAATGGATGGACAGTGGGATTGCGTGGTGCTGAAAATAAGTTTATTTAGATAATATTTGGCACCTGGGAGATATTGGTCGAGGAACTGGCCAATGAAGAACTATGAGCTGTAGCAATATTCCATGGGCTTTTATATCCGAACTTCTACTCAGGTGAATAATAATTCTTATGATGTAATTATTGCTAGGAAGGAGATCTGCCCACGAGAAAGGCAGATCAATTCATGAATTATCGTGAAGGAGGGATGTAAACTCGGATAATTTACGTCAGATGGGCCTACCAATAGTGAGAATAAGCTCACAGCGACCCCTGTATGGCTAGATCTGCCTTTCTTCCCTCCGAGTGTAGGCTCACTCTGATGTCAGTGGAATGTGGGCAGGGAGGGAGCTTCATGCCTGGTGACACGCATATCCTTCCGACCCATCCCTTGATCCGGATGCCAGCAGCGATCGAGGCCAGAGACATTGTGGTAAGCTGTGTTTGAGAAACCTCAAGGGAAAGTTTTGTATTCCCCTTAAGAGCCAAATCCGTGATATAGTACATTGTGTCTCAGTCGTTGGACCTTCGACCATAATGGTTAAATATTTGTAAAGTCTATGTCGGGTACAGCTTCAGCTTTCAGCCCTTTTTAGATGCGCAATAACGCCTCCAACTTGCCCACATAAAGCAGATGGATATGTTGAGACCTAATCCAGCTAAACCAATGCCCATATACAAGGCACCTCGGTATCCACGAAGGACATTGCGACCCGCGTCATTGACATGCAACTCTACAGTACCCGCAAATCCGAGGCCCAAGGAGATAGAGTAGTTGACAGTGGTGGCCACGAGGGATGCAGCTAGCCCTTGATGGTGGCGATGCATCGCATTGCTCAGGATGAGTGTGCCAGAGGGGAAGGACATATCCCTATAGACAAAGGGATCTTGTTAGCATATGACATATGATGAGATAGTACTATGAGATGACGGAACACATACATTCCCTAGGAGGTAATCAGGCTCACGACAAAAGCCTGTGCCCGGTAAGTTTGCTGCACGGGGACAGTGGCAAAAATGCATAAACCAGCTGTAAAAAAAGCCCATGGCACAGAACATGATGACACTGGGTGGCCAACGACCCAGCAAGAATCCAGTGACGAGTGCTGCAATGGCACCTGAAGGTGCTGCTACCGACCATTTAGCGGTGGCTAGTAGTGGCGAGTCTCCTTTGATGACCTCCATAAACTGGTAGAAATAGTAAATGATGATTCCAAAGCTGGACCATCCGGCCGCGATGCAGCCGACGACCCATGCTAGGTCACCTGTGAAGATTGATCGTGGTAACAGCGGATACACTGCTCGACGCTCAATCACAGCAAATACACCGAGGCGGATGCAACCGACAATGAGAAGCACGTAGGTATAGGGGTTCTTCCAGCCAACAAGTGCAGCCTGATTCCAGGCAAAGTTGATCAGTGCAAACCCCGATATTCCAGTGGCGGCTCCTAGTGGGTCGCGGAGTATGAGGAATAATGAGCCACCCGGCGATTACCAGTAGAGTACAAACCATTCCCATCACCCAATATCCCCAGGGCCACCAGACAAACTGGGCAAAGATAGATGAAAACACACCACCGACTATAAATCCGCCAGGGGCAGTGGCGCCAAACAAAGATCATTTCCTTGCGAAAGCCCGGCGGATAGGTTCGGCCAAAGATTGCAATAGCATTAGGAAGTAGTATTGCTGGCCCAATTCCCTGTAGAGCCCAGCAACAGTCGAAAAATATCTTATTCGACCATACACTGAACCCCGCGAGAAGGGACCACAGACTAAAACAGCCGAAGCCGAGCACGAACAAGCGCCGGTGACCATAGACATCTCCGAGTCGACCTGCGACTAGGATGAAGGTCCCCACGGTCAAACTATACGCAGCATCAAACCAACTCAGCTCGGCTGGGTTGGATGTGCCAAAGCTGAGGCCGATGATATGTACCGGGGCAATGGACATAGAAAGACCTGCTTGGGTCATGAATTGTGCTATACACACTACGGCAACGAATGGAATCTTTTGAGACAAAGATTTCGGGGGCAACGTTTGTGACTGTGAGGTCTCTAGTCGAGTGAAGGCCTCGGGATCAGTGTCTCGCTGTGTGGGTGGTTTTTGTAGGTCGACTGAAAGCCCTCGACGTGAGTCAGTCGACCTAGTGTGGCGAGAGCTATGGTCCATGACCTGCGATTATGAAAAGTGTAGGATTGTGAGGAGTGGAACCGTGAAACCATATGTCCACATATATGGCCTATTTTATGTGTATAATGATCATATACTTACACTCGTATATATTCTCATTAAATGTATGAGATTCGCAGTATGTGTAGTACAGCAGCAGCGTGTCCCGTCGGTTGCCGACCCGACGGAACAAACTCTACTTTCCTCGGTAGATCTTCGGGGCAAGTTTCTTGTTTGATAATCCATGAAATCTAGAACTTTTGAATGAAACTAGCTGTAAATATAGTCTCTAGACTGTTTACAGGCGAACCCTGCATTTCGCCTAAGTCCTATTCAGTCATATGCAGGCGTACTTTAAGAAGTTTTATGCGATGATCTCACCGACTCAAAAGAGGACGAGCTAATCTCCGTTGATCGGAGCTTAAGCCCGCGTCATCGTATCGTAACGGGGCAGACAAAAGCCATTCCACCTACCATCCTGCCGATAAACATCGATATTTCCAGCTAGAGATATTAAATATATATAGGAGGATTTTCTCCATCTCATTTTACCACTATTTTCCCTCTATCAAGCCCATAGAAGTATATAAAAACATTTTCTTTTTTTAATTTTAAGGTGGACCCACGTGCAGCTGCACTTACCTAAGTATCACATGCCGCGCTTTTTTTTTCTCCGCGTCGACTGATCTGGCGTCAGTTGACTCAGTTTCTCCTCTTTTGTTCTTTTCAAACTCCCCAAGATCTCGCGGCTCTTCAGCGCTGCGTGCTGCTTGTTCTTGGCCATGTTCAGTTGATCTTTAACGGGCTTCTGTGATCAGCTCGAGTTGCCGTTGCTGCTCCGTTGAAGATACCGGCAGCCGTGGTAACCCCTCCACACTCCTTCCCCCCACTCTTTGTTTAAACAGTCCCGATGACGGACGCTCCGCCCATTGTCTTCATCGCCAGGTATGTAAACTTTGCCTTTGTATTTACCCTGACCTGAAGCTGACTTCACTAGGCACGGCGCGCGTCTCGATGCGGCCGACAAGGACTGGCATTTGACATCCCCAACCCCATACGACCCCCCTTTGTCGTACGGTGGCTGGATGCAGGCGCGGGCACTTGGTCTTCGCATTGCCAGTCTCTTGCAAGACTCCGAGTTTACAGGCAAGGATCCAGAGCCTAGTTCCACCCAACTCTCGGCCTCGGACTCGTCCCCCCGATACAACTTCATTGTCCACACCTCCCCATATCTGCGATGTTTACAAACAGCGATCGGCGTGAGTGCAGGCCTCAGTCACTATCGCCCGGGTAGTGAGACCTCTGCGGTGGTGGACTCGCCGTCCGTATCTCAGTCTCAACCAGGAGAAGCTGGAAGTCATGATCCCCGACCGCTCCTGCGTGTGGATGCGTTCCTAGGCGAATGGTTGTCGCCTGATTACTTTGACCAGATTGTTCCACCACCGGCCTCAGACAGGATGGTCGCTTCGGCTAAAGCTGAGCTCCTTCGTCGGGGCGAGGGAATTCCGATGTCGCGGGAAATACGGTCGTCGTCAGGACACTTCCCTGGCGGATGGGGTAATCCGTCTCAACTAGCATCGCCTGATGAGGAAGGTGACCGCCGGCGATTCTCACGAGGCTCGTCAACCAGCACAACCCCTTCTGGGCAGCAACCTCAGCGACCGCGCGCCAGCACCTACGATAATCTTCAGGGCCCCGTTCCAACTAGCGATCCCCCTCGAGCCTTGGGCCGCTTGAACACCGATCTCCCCTCCGTTACCGATGCAGCTTACGTGCCGCCGACTCCCGGATATGCAGTTTCTCCCTCGGATCCCATCCCATCCGGCTACGTGGCGCATGCACGGGACGCTTGTACCAGGATTGACTACCAATGGGATAGCATGCGAACACCCTACTGGGGCACGGGCGGTGACTATGGTGAGGAGTGGAGCAGCATGCATGAGAGAGTACACGCGGGTTTCCAACATATGGTGGACTATTATCGGCAGCGGGGGAGTGCCGGTGACCGTTCCAGGGCCATGTCAAATGGCTCGATGCGGCAGGACAGTCCTGCCCAGACCGTGCTTATTATCATCACGCACGGAGCGGATTGCAACGCATTGATTGGCTCCCTTGCGGGGCGCTCTGTGCTTCTGGATATTAGCACTGCGTCGCTCACTATGGCAGTGCGACGAGACCGTGTCAAAAAGAGCGCAACCCCAGACTCCGACCGCTCCCCCGTGAGCTCCTCTCCTTCCTCGCCTAGCAGTCAGGGTGGCCGGTCTGTCTCCCAGGGGTACTCATTACAGCTCATCGCCTCAAATGACCATCTACGTGCGGGGGTGAACCCCTCTCAGCTCGCTTCGCTGTCCTCTCCCTCGGCTCCACAGCCACTGCCGCCGCCTTCTATACCGACCTATCGTAATCGCCTCGGCTCCCGTCCTTCCGCATCGATCCTGCAAGGGACCTTTTTAATCGATCCTACTCCTAAGGTGGGACCGAGTTCTCGCAGTTGGTCCATGAATTCACGCCCGTCTCCTACCTCGACTCCGCGTGGCACATCGGGCCTTTGGGGCTCGCTTGCATCGCCCGCCGAGGAGACTGATGGAGATACCGAGGACGTGTTTGTGCCCAATTTTGGAGACCCACGACCCGGAGGCCAACGACCTGTGAGCCAGGACTCGTCACACTCAGATGTTCTCATTGACCGGTCGGGCTGGACGAAGCAATTGCCTCAACGTACACTTTCCCAACGTGGACTGTGGGGCAGTGCTCCGTCCTTGGAGGACCGCGACGCAGCTTCGAGACGCCGATGGACAGTGACGGAGCAGAAACTGTGACGGCAATGATCCAGTAACGACTTTTGTTTTCTTGTAGCTATAATCTCCCTTCTTTTTTTTTTCTAGGATACCTCTTTGCATGGCGCCAGGCGTTAGGCTCAATTTGCATCTGGCCAGTCTGGTCAATCGGAATACCATTCCTTTTCCTCCTTTTCCTCCTTTTTCTTCAGGCATCCAGGCATCAAGGCACCAAGCTACCCAGCCACTGCGGTTTCCCCGGATTCGCGCCCTTGCCCTTTGTCCCACTTGCCCCTCGTAATCAGCTGCCTCTACCTCTCCCGTCTTCATCTTCTTGCTCCTCTTTTGCTCTCCTCCTCTACGTACTCAACCTTACTGAATCTATTTCCGTCGGACTTTTCATGTCAAATCTCGAGTCCGACGGTCTGTCCGTCACCTATTCCTCGGACCGTACCGGTTCGCCCGATCTACGGTTGATCCACTACAATGATGTTTATCATATCGAGTATGATCGCTTGCACCTCTCACAACTTCCACAAATTAGACACAGACTAACTAGAGCTTGGTAGGTCCGGATCAGCCGAGCCCATTGGTGGCGCCTCCCGCTTCCAATCCCTCGTGAACTATTACCGCTCCGACCCGCGATTTACCGGTCAACCTGACGTCCTCACCTTCTTCTCTGGCGATGCCTTCAACCCGAGCCTGGAAAGCACTGTCACGAAGGGTCGCCATATGGTACCCTTCCTGAACAAAACTGGAATCGACGTTGCGTGTGTGGGAGTGAGTATGGGTCATCGTCGTTCGAATATGGGCTGAAACATTGTGTGCTGACATGGTCAGAATCATGATCTGGACTTTGGTGTGGCACAATTTCGACATTTGTCGAGCCAATGTCATTTCCCATGGCTGCTGGCCAATGTTCTAGATCCAGCCCTGGGAGAGGATGTTCCGATCGCCAACTGCGGGAAAACGTGCTTGCTGACCTCGTCGAATGGGATCAAGATCGGTGTGATTGGTCTAGGGGAGAGAGAATGGTATAGTTCTTGGCAAGCGCTTCGTCACTTTTTTCACACGTACTCATCTTTCTCCAGGCTTGGTACGATCAACTCTCTTCCGCCCGACTTGATTTACAAATCAGCTTCCGAAACTGCGAAAGAACTGGCACCACGACTCCGAGAACAGGGTGCGGAGCTGGTCGTCGTCGTTTCCCATCAGCGCGAGCCGAATGATAATAAGCTTGCCAGAAACCTACCTCCAGGGCTAGTGAACATCATCCTCGGTGGACACGATCACTACTATTCTCACACAATTGTTAATGGGACTCACGTATTACGGTCTGGGACTGATTTCAAGCAGTTGAGCTACATTGAGGCTTTCCGCAAATCTGGTACAGGCGCAGGATGGGATTTCAGCATCACACGACGGGATGTCGTGCGGTCAATTCCGGAGGACCGGGCGACCGTGGCCATGGTTGATCGACTAACGTCCAGCCTCAAGGCCAAACTTGAAAAGCCAGTGGGCTACACAGTCAGTCCGCTAGATGGTCGATTCTCCACTGTTCGTCAGCGCGAGTCTAATCTGGGTAACTTTGTCTGCGATCTAATGCGCTACTATTACGCCGCCGATTGTGCCATGATGGCCGGTGGGACCATTCGCGGCGATCAAATCTATCCGCCCGGTGTTCTACGGTTGAAAGATCTGTTGAATTGCTTCCCCTTTGAAGACCCAGTAGTCCTTCTACGCGTTCGCGGCCAGGCTTTGCTGGATGCTTTGGAAAATGGAGTCAGCCAGCTCCCGGCCCTTGAGGGTCGATTCCCTCAAGTCTCCAACATCTCCTTTGGTTTCAAGCTCGACGGCCCGTCTGGTTCACGTCTGACGTTTGCGCGTGTGGGTGGAAAACCTATCGACCTGGAAAAGGAATACCTTGTAGCCACGCGAGGTTACATGGCGCGTGGAAAGGATGGATTTACATCGTTGCTGGTGAAATCTGAGGGTGGGGATGTGGAGGAAATTGTTTGTGAAGAGAACGGAGTCCTCATCAGCACTATTCTGCGTCAGTATTTCCTCAGCCTCAAAGTCCTCGGCAAATGGCGTCGTTGGAGTCCTAGTCTTCGTCGACATTGGGGCCTTGTGCATCGTGGTCTACACACCGGCGGCTGGCTCAAGCCACCTTCTGCAATGCCGTCACCAGAGACAGAGAAAGCACCCTTCCATCAATTGGCCCCACGGCCACCCCTTCAAAGAACCAGTCGAGAAGCTCACTATTATGGACGTTTCCCTGAAGAAGTTGATCATAATCAAGTTTCTACCAATGGGACCAACAGCGATGCCATGGATTCGGACTCTGACGAGGACCCCGAGATCCTCACGTCACCTCGGCCAACGAGCAACTATGTGACATGCCCTGCAAGGTCATCTGCGGAGGAAGAACATCGCTTGAAGCTCGCACGGCGTGTTGTTCGAAAATGGATGCGACATGCTGGCTTGGAGCCGTCGGTCCTCAGCACTATGGACGGCGAGGGTGAGTTTATTCCACCCTGGACGTCTGGCATTTCCCCTCGGATCGAGGGGCGGATTGTTATTGAGTGAAGACTCTGTTTGGAGGTATTGAGACATCTTACGGGGAATCTTCAACCTGTTTAGCTTTGTGTTTGCTTGTCTTTCTACTTTTGCTTGCATTCAGTCACTTTTGCATCTTCGCTCTGTGCGCGTTGCGGGCGTTGTGACTTATTGTCGGATGAGGATGAATTGCCTCGGTGGCTACGAGTTCATGAACAGTACTCCTACACATAGACAGGCGCTATACAAGGCAGATACATTGGGTTGTGAAATACTTTCGGGTTATTCTCTTAGACAGGGTCAATTTGAGCTCATGTCAATTTACATTGCTAAATAAGTTCGTTAAGGATCATTAAATCTTAAGGAGGAGCAACAGAAAGATAGCTGGAAGATGACTCGCAATAGTAACTAAAGAGAATGATGGAGAGAGGAGTCGAAAGAGGTTCCGAAAAGAGGAGTGAAAACAGTATCCAGAACTTCATTCATGCCGTGATTTAGATTTCTATGCACCTCTACGCATGAAGATCTGACCTCTTACAATGTACAGTGTGATCAAGCGGCCATCTCCTCTGTACCATTGTGATCGAGTGAAGAGGTAGATTTTCGGAAGTATAGAATAAGGTTTCGGAGCACGAAGTCCAGATACTGCTAAGCTCTAATTAGGGAAACTAGACTATTTAAAGGCTCACGGGTGGATATTATGACGCAAGAAATTTTCTCTATCGCAGTACAGTAGGTAGCTGTTATGAAGGTGTTAGGTTTTGTGTTAGAATGTTTAGACTTAATACGTCATCTTATCTATTCGCCGCTTTCCAAAGCCCAACCTCACGCCAAAAACCTTGACCTCGGTCCCTCAATATGCTTTGGGAACTTGATATCCTACAATCTCCGAGAACGTTCATCGAAGTTCTGCCATATATATCATATGGACTTTCCCTTTGAGCATTCTCCACAATGCTAGTCGTTGTTATTATTGAGCTGGGGGTCTATCGAGTGGACAATCAACGCAAAAACTTCACTATCTCGTTTGGCATAACTATGCTAGACTTGGAGAAAACTGTTTCTTTCGGTTTCCTTCTGGCGATATATCTTATACCAGTCTCATTCAACCTGAAACTGGCTCTTATGGGTAAAGATACCGGCGCGGTGACGAAATGATGAGCGATAGATGGAAAGCCCGCGGCCGTCGCTAGATGGATATTGACATCGTGTTGGCCTCTTACGTACTGGCCTAAGGTCTGTTACTTTGCGATTGAGAGTTTGAGATATCTACTCGAGATACGAGTTAAACCTACTGAGGTGGTTGTGACTTTCTGAACCTAGGAATAGCTACCAAACATTCTACGGGAGTGATGATAGGTCTCGGATGCTTGTCCGTCTTGATATGCACCAAGGCTCTCCCTCTAAGGTGAAAATCATGTTTCTCTCCTTTCCCTATGTTTTCGATACTCTCATCTACAGTACTAAACTTATTCGGTGTTTTTATTTTCGATTGACCCGTAAGATTGAATTGAAGCTCTTCTTAACTTCTGGTTCAGGGGAGCAGCTGATTATCATCGCCTGCGTCTAAACTACCTAGGGCCTAGGGGGGATACACGGCGTGCCTATGAACAGTCTAAGGACTGTATACACAAACATTTCCATTTAAAAGTTCTAGATTTCATGGATCATCAAACAAAACTTGCCCCGAGCATGTACCGAGGACGGAAGAGTTCGTCCCGTCGGATGAAAGGCCTAGCTAGGGTGGCTACTAGGTGCCACGCACCTACCCAACGCCCATGACTAGGCTCCTCGTGAAAAGAGGAATTCGTCAGTGTCATTGCATCTTACTTTGGTATATCTGGATTTCTATGCAGCTCTGGCCATCAAGATCTAACCTTTAATAGTGTACAGTGTGATCAAGCGACCACCTCCTCTGCACCCCATCCACCACCACCAGCAGTCATAATAACCACTCGGTCATGCGTCTTCACAGAAACAGTATTCTTGCCCCCGATATTGATGTGTCGCTCCTCGCCAGTCTCAACGTCCTTCGTAATCCACTGGTTCAGACCCGGCTGTGCATCTTCACCACCCTCCAGTCCATATGGACGATGCACACGACGCTCGGACAAGATAGAGCACTGCATCGGAGCGAGGAACTCAATGTCACGAACCACACCCTCTCCACCGGGGTTCTTGCCACGACCACCCGAGCCATCGCGCAGTGTGAATTGGCGAAGCAGAGTCGGATAACGTTTCTCCAAAATCTCCGGATCCGTAATGCGAGTATTGGTCATGTGAACCTGCACACCGGATTCGCCCTTCCAAGTAGGGCCAGCACCACTGCCACCTGCGATTGTCTCGTAGTATCCGAATCCAGGCGTGATGACCTCCCCAGTCTCGGGGTTGAGCTTGGGGTTTGTGCCGAAGGTTAGGTTGTTGCAGCAACCTTGAGACGCGGCGCAGGCACGGAAAGCTTTGAGGACGACGTCGGTGATGCGCTGGGAAGTGACCACGTTACCTCCCACGACTGCAGCTGTCTTGGTTGGGGACAGGATGCTGGGTGAGGGAACGCGGATGTCAATTGGGGCTAGGCAGCCTTGGTTCAGAGGGACATCGGCGTTAATCATGCAGCGCAGACAATAGATAATGGCTGAATGGGTGATGGCAATAGGTGCGTTCCAACTACCGTACACTTCTGGGCCGGTGCCGTCAAAGTCGAAGATGGCCGATCCATTGGATCCATCAATGGTGACCTTGAGACGGATAGGTGTCCCATCATCCATGTAATCAACCGCCTCCAGAGGCTGGCCACCGAGCTTCTGGTGCAGTCCCTTAAGAAGATTTCGCACGGCAGTCTCGGCAGTAGCTTGGATGGCGTACATGTATTTTTGCACGGTCTCGACACCATACTCGTTGAAGAGAGTCTGGATGAGACTGATACCACGAGTGTTGGCAGCGATCTGAGCCTTGAGATCGGACAGATTATCACTGATGCAGCGTGCACCTGAACAGCCGGGGTACTGAGACGGCTTGGTAACCAGCAACTCGATTAAACGGGCTTCATCGAGAACTCCATCGCTGACGATTTTGTCGCCTTCAATGGCAGCGCCCTCTTGCCAGAGCTCAGTCGACTTGGGGGGCATGGAACCAGGCAAGATGCCTCCGATATCAGCGTGATGACCGCGCGATGCGACGTAGAACATGATCTCGGTACCACCGGGCCTATCAAAGACAGGAGTAATGACCTATCACGTAAGTGTTAGTTGATATTTCACCAGATTGAAGATTAGGGGCGGCGTCTTACCGTGATATCGGGCAGATGGGTGCCACCGCAGCTAGGGTGGTTGGCCACAAGGACATCGCCATCCTTCAAGTTACCGAGCCACTTTTGATGTTGGTAGCGCACGGCAAACTGCATCGATCCCAAGTGGACGGGAACATGGGGGGCATTCGCAACAAGCCCTCCATCGGGAGAAAACAGGGCGCAAGAGAAGTCCAATCGCTCCTTTATGTTCGTAGACACGGAAGTCTTCTGGAGAGTTCGTCCCATCTGCTCGGCGATAGACATGAACCTGTGCCCGAAAATACTGAGACGGATCGGATCGATCTCAGAAGTTGTCTGGGTTTCCAGAGCTGAGACCGTATGGTTCTCCTTCAGGATGTCAATGACAATGCATGTTTCCAGCAGGTTTGCGACAGAGTTGGGAGCCACAACAATCGTCTGTGTCTGATCAATAATAACGGCAGGACCGAAGATGCGGCTATACTTGTCCAATTTATCGAGCAGATACACAGGAGTGTCAATGCGTGTGGGATATCCGTCAAAGTAAGCGGACGTGGTGTTCGCAGGCTTGGTCGTGACATCGTGGAGGTTGGCATCCTTCAGCTGCAAAAGAGGACTGTGCTCGGTGCGAACCTTGGAAGAGGCAATCGTGCGCACGCGAATGTCATCCACCAGCACAGCTCGCTCGGAGTTGAAATTGAATTCGCGACGGTGGCGCTCACGAAACTCAGCCAGGAAATCCGAGGATCCTTCTGGACGCAGGATCATAAGACTTGTGTCTGATCCTTCGTAGCGCATGTTGATGTACTGTTCGTGTCGCACCTGACTCGATGGGAACCCCTGTCCTTGCATCTCTGTCGTTGCAGCGGCGGCCATACCATCAAATCGTTGAAGCAGGCTTGAATGAGAAGACAGGTAATCTGAAGATACTGGCTCCTGTGACTCTTTGACAACTTCTGCCAGTGCTAGTCCGTATGCGGACAAGACTGATGAATATTTGTGAATGATAATGCGCGAGATACCCAAAGAGACAGCCACAGAGCAGGCATGCTGGCCACCGGCACCTCCAAAGCAGGCCAGATGGTGAGACGCAGTCTCGAAGCCTCGTGCCTCAGTGAGATTACGAATTGGTCGAGCCATCGACTCGTCGGCAACCTTCAAGAATCCCAAAGCAACTTCCTCGGGAGTATACTCTGGCTGGAAGTGATGCCGACGCTCAACATTGATCTCCTGTGTCAAGTCGTGGAACTTTTGCGCCGTAATCTCTGTATCAAGTGGCTGGTCCTCGTTGGGACCAAAGATGTGTGGGAAGTACTCGGGCAGCAGTCGGCCCAGGAACAGGTTGGCGTCCGTCACAGTCAGGGGTCCTCCCTTTCGGTAGCACGCTGGGCCTGGGTGGGCACTTGCAGACTCGGGGCCAACGTAGAATAGACCGTTGCGCCATGTGAGAATAGAGCCACCGCCAGCAGCGACTGTGTTGATATCAAGCTGAGGAGATTGGATCAGAACACCCGCAACCTTAGATCCAAAGACGTGTTCCAAGTGCCCATCAAATCGAGAGACATCGGTGGATGTCCCACCCATATCGAATCCAATGACGGGAATCTTCTCGACAGGGTCCCAGCTGGTTGCTGCAAAACCAACCACCCCAGCAGCGGGTCCTGATAGGATGGCCTTCAGACCACTGAATTTGCGGAAATCAACCAGTCCACCATCGGACTGCATGAATTCGAATCGGCATGCTTGTTGGCTCTCTAGGCCACCTTCGAAGCTGGCTGAGATGGAGTCGATATAAGTCTTGATCACAGGCGTAAGGTAAGCATCGGCGGCAGCAGACATTCCACGAGGCACGAGCTTGATCATGGGCTGCAGCTTGGAAGATAGGGTAACTGAGAATCCCATTGACTCTGCAATCTCGCCAATTTGATTTTCATGGTCTGGATAGGCGAATGAATGTACCAGGGCGACTGAGAGAGACTGATACCCTTGCTCCTTGAGACGCTGGAGCTCTATGCGCACCTGCGCCAGATCCAATTCTTGCACAACCCGGAACTTCTCACCTGTAATTCCTTCCACAATCCGAGCGCCAGAGAAGCAGTTCTCGTCGGCAGACGGATGACATGGAACCACTCGCTCATTGACTTCGACAACACCTTCGGGCAGCACTCCGGGTCGAGCCATGGACAAGTCAAAGATAGCTGGACGGGACTGGTCGCCAATCTTGAGTAGATCTCGGAATCCCTTGGTTGTGAATAATACTGATCGAGCACCCTTGCGCTCAAGCAATGCATTTGTAGCGACAGTCGTGCCCATTCGTAGGCAGCCAATGCGGTCGAGCTTCAAGGGTTGGCCGCGGGGATGTGACTCGCCTGTTGCGAGCTCCAGAATCTGGCGAATACCCTCGGTGGGTGCATCTTGATAATGTGAGGGATCTACTGAAAGGAGCTTGAGAATGATATCTGACCGACCAGGCACAATGGCGTGAACGTCGGTGAAAGTGCCACCGCGGTCGATGGAGATGGTGATCTTCCCTGATTCGGTCATCTTGTGTATGTTTGAGTATGTGACCGACGCGAATCCTGGTTTAAAAGAGGTGTCGATTAAGGACAGGGCTTTAGTTACTGCAGCGGAGAACGATAGACTGATATACCCACGATGCGTAATCAGTGTTTCCCCAGATTATTTCGATGGCCATCTGCTCATCTTGTATGGCAGTCACGTGTCGGGCCGACGGCCAAGTCATCGGGAGCATCGGGCCGATGGAAATCACGCGATAAGCCACAGATAAGAAACAGGAACGGAGGGGCCGAGGGGCAAACATCGGACAGTTGTGCGAGGATGTGATGGATTGACTCTTGACTCTAAGAGCCTCATAATTGGAGGGCATAGTCAGTTCAACGGGCGAGAGAGAAAAATAAATAGTGCTCTACCTAAAGTTGTGGACCATATCTAGGCCGAAGCTACTCACACGCTAACTTGTGCTTTCGCACGACTGCTCTTTCTCGGATATGGTGGTTAATAGATCGAGTACCTAGATGAGCTTATACTACCTATTCAGCCTTTTACTTTAGCTATTCAAACGGACTGTTCAAAAGACTGTTCAAAAGACTGTTCAGAAGACACTTAGAAAGACATTTAGAAAGACATGGAAATACTTGAGATTTAAAAGATCATTCAGATTCATTGATAAAATCATAAAAGTGCTATCGTCTCAAAGTATTCTCAATCCAATCTGTATCCATATCAATATCAATCTGATCCAACGCACCCTCCCACAGTGCCGGATCGTCATCGAGATCAATCTGGAAAGAAATATCCTCCAACGAAGGAAATCCAATAGGATGCAACCAGTCATCAATCATAACCGGAGGTGGGTGAGGCATCGGTGCTTCCATTCCAGGACTCTCTGGCTGGTTACTCTTGGGCGTGTCGGGGATATCTACACGAGGACTAGGTTGCTCAACATCGTTTGGTGCAGTGGGTTTGGGGTCAATGGCCGCACGGAGCTCTAGAAGCAGGGCATGTCGGGATCCCAGATAGGTATTTCCTCTGTCGGCCATGCTCCGGAGAAGACTGAGGGCCGCCTCCATCGACCTCATATTGGCCTCGTTATATGGGAATGCCGCGTTGACCATGACGAGCAGTAGCGCTGCGGAGAAGATGTAGTCGCCGTCAAGGTATCCATACGTAGCGATGAGGTTATGTTTGGCGGCGGCATCCATGATCATAGTCGTGGCTCGGGCAGCAGTAATACAGCTGTCGATGACCGCGACAGTATTCGGAGCCAAGCCGTCTTTCCAATCTCCAGCGGGTGCACCGGAGGCAGCTGCATCGAGCCGTCGTTGGATGATATAAAATACGAGGGGACGCGCAGTCATGTTCACACATGAGTAAAAGTGCAAGTTGATCGATACAGTCTCACGGTTGACATGTGTATCGAGTGTGCTGAAATCAATTCGAAGACCATCTGGGATTGATCGGAGCCAGCTCGCGAGATCATTGGTGATGCTCTGTACAGACATGATTAGGTTGGAACCGGAGCGAGGCTTTTTTCGATAGATCTCTGTCACATTTTGTTAGAACGGTGCGGGGCGCTTTGGAAGGAGTGTTACGACAGTGCTCACGTTCGCCAATTCGCCCTAAGATACGTGAAAGTTGTGTGTAATAAGTCAACACAATTGATGGCCATGGGTCGGTGGTTGATCCATCCTAAGAAAGAGGTCAGCAACGGTAGATCAGGTTCAAGATCGGTACAACTTACTAATGCAGCGGGCCAGGTGATGCCAATATCTTCATCCTGGATGGTAATGGGGTTACCAGATTTAACAGAGAGAACCCTGTGCTTAGGCATGAGCATATGTTTCGCTCTTCCTTCGATAGGTCTACGGGGTCATACCGGTCCAGACTATACACGGACCACCACGCTCTGCGGCGGCGATTCCGGTCTGTCTCACTAATTCCAGGATCCGAAACCTCTTGGTGAAGTCCCAGAGAGATGGCCATTCGCAGAGCGAGGCCAATCTATCAATCGTTAGCGGTCTGCTCTCTGATTCCCGAAGATAACGGCCCGGTACTCAGCATACATAGATAAATGCAGCATCCCGTCTGTTCAAATTCTGCATGTAATATGCCACATAACACAAGACCTCGACAAAGAAGATAGAGCCCTCTTCGTGGATATCTGGCAAGAATCGCAGCGCAAATTTGAAATACTTGAAACCGGGGGGACCCTCATCTCCCGACCACTGGTTGACTGAATACATGAGTCCAAAGGCCATGACCAGGAGAGCTTGGCAGTAGATCAAGCAGGTCTCACGATGGGAGAAGTCGTGTGGCTGACGATAGACGATATCCAGTCGTTCTTCAAACTGCTTTGGGTGGATGAGGGAGAAGATGGTGCCAATATAAGCGTATTGTACCCAAAAGAGTCGTTTAGCGAATTCCAAGGTTGGTAGCTGGGGTAATGAACGCGCGATGGGTCGTCGAAGAGATGTAGGATCATCGTAGAGAGGCCGCACATCCCAGGCCAAATTGGTTGAGCCAGGATTGAGGCGCCCGGCCAGATGGACGGTCGCGGCTGGGCCCACAGAGTCTTTGATTCTTTAGCAAACCGTTACTCGTATGGGTTTATGTGATTGATATACATACGGTGTTCTCCTGATCGGTTCAGCAACAGATTGCCGGTTCCCTTGTACCACCAGTCATCTCGCTCCAGAGGCACCTCGCCTTCCGAGTACCAGGCCGCTGTAGATGGCACACTTGACGGTGCACTGGGAGAGGTATGCCAATCGCTTTCGGCGATGGATGATCCTCGTACTGCTCTAAATTGTGACTGGGACGACTGTGACGGTGGCTGAAATTGCTGTGACTGGGTCCGCGACTGTGCACGAGACTGCGATTGCAATTGACGATATTCTCTAGTAAGCCTGTCAGTGGTTGTTTTATAAGATTTGACTCGAAAGCCCTCACCTCTCCGTAATTGAGACACGCTTTTCAGCCTCCGAATATACACACGTCTCGCCTACATCGACACAAGCCGCACAGGGGAGTGGTGGGCTCCCGGCACAACGTGTCTTTCGGGAGCGACATCGATTGCATCTGGATGGAAAGAGTCAGTGTTTGTTTCGATAGTTCATAAGGATACAATCTCTCTTATTAGACTCACGCGACTGGAGATCGCCCGTTGGCGCGGTCTTGTCGGTCTTGCCGCTCTTGCGACCGTTTGACGACGCCTTTGCCGCGGACCATTTCCGAGGGGAAGGCGGGATTGTGGAGTATGGAGAAGACAGAATCAAGAGGAAGATGAGTAGTTGAGGATGGTGGATATCAGCCCAAAAGTTAGTAACCATTTAATTTTTGGGGAATTGTTATTGAGTTATCTCTTTTTCGTCTCCACAGTTCCATCATCTCTTATCTTGTTCCGTGTATTCGGCCTCTTTCTATTCCTGGGGTAGTTAGTTATCTTCTACTCTGATAGAATTTTGAGTTTTTCATCGGTCCGATGTGAGATTTCCCCCGCCTTTTTGCTTTTGCTCTTCGGGTTCAGCCAACCTGTCAGCAATCTTAACCATCAATCAAAGGTCTTCCATGCCGACCAAGAGCCTCAAGTTATTGGATAATTCAAGCCAAGAGATATTAATCACTCGGTGAGTGCTTCGTATATGCATATTGGCTTATTTTATACATACACATTGGGTCGACAGTTTCAGAAGATAGCAACGCCATTCGGAGGACTGGCCACACCCCCAGGCACTTTCAACGGCACACTGCTGAAGAAGAAACTGTAGCGCCCACGCTGCCGACTTTCCCGACTCAGCCGCTCCAAGTCAAACAGTTCGCCGATAGAGAACCCCCCAACCTGCCAATAACCATTCGTGCAGGAAGAAATCGGTGCTCTGCGGTGGATAGGCTTCGAAACTCGGCATGTCGCCTGCGACAGCCGCAAAGCTGTTCTCCCAGATCCATTGCAGCATCTCCTCTGATGATTCCACTCCGATCACGGGCGGTGCCTTGTAGTCTGCCAGTTGCTGACACTCGGTCGCAGAGAGTCGCTCGTATGCCCGGGTCCAACCCGTCCGAATGAACAGAATATCACCCGGTCGGAACGTGGTCTTTTGACTTGCAGCCACTTCCCGGAGCACGGAATTCGGTAGACGAGGAGCCGCACGCAATCGACGAATTCTCGTGTGCTAGCGTACCGGTGGGCCGTACGTAGTCTCGCGAAGCTAGGCAAATAGCTCGCAAAAGGTAGCTAGCTCTATACGCCGGTATCTTTCCTCTAATTCATTCCAGAGCTCGCGAGAGGTCTCTAGCCCCGCGATATGCACACTAATATAGGGAGAGAGGTACCGGAAGATAATATAATAGGCCTCGGCTTCGCTCCTCGACTAATCCTTATAAAGCTCGAAAGCTTAGACCTCCACTTCGAGGCGTGCTTCGATAGCTCTCTGCTGCACCGCCCCATGAAGGTAGGGCTCCACTAGCGGAGTAATATCCGCCGTGACTAGCTTAGCATATTTGAACTGGACGCTGGAGGTCGCCCGACATAATGTTGAGGGCGCGGGGTAATATATAATCACAAGTTAAAGAATGGAATGAGTAAAGACGGCACCCGAGTGATTGCACTCGGGCTCATAACCTGTTGTATTATAAAAGGAAGCTTAATTCTTATCAGTTCAGAGGGATACAAAGAGGCCATATATACAGCATGAAGTCCAGGTTGATTGGAACAACTTCGAACTTTCTATAGATAGTGCAGGAATTATTTCCGATGTTGCGGCTTCATTCCCGAGCAACGACAGCCTCAAATCACAACATACAGTATCTACAGTCCTCCCACCTCCCGAGACCCACCCACCACACCGACGGTACTAAGGGTCTACCGCCTATCAAACTTGTCTCTAAGTTGGTATACCTCGCGTAAAGTAGATAAGAAACTTACTGAAAGTCTAATCTAGACGTTCATGGATAGTTTCATGGTCAAATGAGTACTTTTTTGTTTTTGGCGTTATAGGCGTACTATAATAGCTTTCAGGTTAATCGTGGACAGATATTTCGACTGGAATACAGTGGGGACGCCAGCCAATAGGATTCTATCTATTCACAGCGAAACGAGCATTGCAGAGATGGCTGCCCCTCACTCCGTTTCCAAAAGAAGATACATGGATTTGCTCTTTCTAAAACAAACTGGCGCGACGGGGCGTACCTGCGATAGCTGGACAGCCCGACCTGTTGTACTCCTGGATCCTGGCCATCTTCCGATTTATTTGTTTATTGAATTATATCAAGAAGTTCCAGTGGTAATTGAGACATCGAGAAAGAAAAGTTCGCATTTACTAGGGTGTTTTGAGGTGCTCTGTTCGCTTGCGTCTTGGGTTCGCATGGTGGATTGCAATTACAAATCTATGATCCATTTTAGATGCCTACTATAACCTAGCGTATTGTATTACCTATTACCCCTCGAAGAAATTTGATTGATCACCAATGGAATATCTCGATTTTGTCTTGTTACATTTTGCACCTAAATCGAAGCGGGGGAGTGGAGAGCAGATGCATGCTGCCAGAGTGGGTAAAGTGCACGTCTAGAGCAAGGAAGCTAGTTACTATGGAACGGAGCGCATTTTTTATTGAGTGGACGCTCAATCCGGCGGCAACATGAACTTCTTCGAAATATTGTGGTCGCCACGCAGTGGTAGTGAATAAAAGAACAGTTCAATTGCGCATCCATAGGTACAGTGATTCTCGAAACCGCCTTGACCAGTACACACAAAGATACTCTTTCCTGGGCCCACTGCCAAGACCCGGGCGCGAATTACCAATTGGACTGCTCACACGCCGCTGTAACATGCTCCCTATCTACGTAGTACAGAAGTTAATCAGTATTTACCCCTCATTCAAAGCCTAGCACGCAGCTTTATGAGGGAGAGATACAATATTATACTGGTTTCACTGCATAGCGGCCCTCAACTTAGTGACCCACCCATTCAATAATTCGCACGAGGGTCTTGGCAGTGGGCCCAGGAAAGAGTATCTTTGTGTGTACTGGTCAGGGCGGTTTCGAGAATGGCTGTACTTTATGTAGATCGCATACCCTCCATCGGATTTTGAGTTTTCTGGACGGGTATCTGCACGAGATGATAGATCTCAGCTGAACTGTGGAGCTGAAGGAGCTGAATGAGCTACATTCACCGCCCTTTACGTAGGTATAAAAAAATGCTATGTAACTCCGCCGTGGACTAGGTTAGAACTTGGACACCATCAATTCTGCTCATTGAATATTCCACAATAATGCCTGCAACAACCCAACTCTTCAACATCAGGACTGTCGATTCTTCTGGTGAAGAGAAGTTGACTAACCGCATCAGTACTGAGGCAGAAATCGACGCGAAAGCCACCCTTGGCACGGTTCGAAACGTGTTGGCAAAGGAAAAGAAACTTGACTCAGGAAAGTAGGTGATCTATACCCTAGATATGCATGTAAGATTCAAGACTAAAGTTTTGAAAAAGGGCTCGACTTTCGTTCTGCAGTAAGGATGGTGCTCGTGTGGGTGATGATATGAAGTGGAGTGTATATCAAGCGATAGTCACGGGGGACGAAAATGTATGCTTCTATGCACCAATCAAGAAACCACACAAAGTGGTAGAGTACCTGAAATGCTAACATCAGAATGTGGTCCAGGACGCACCAAAGACTTCCAATAGTATTCAGATCCTTGACGTGTATCTTGAGTTGCCCGAGGAAAAGGAGACGAAGAAGAAGGAGCTAAGCGCAGCGGCTCAGAAGGTCTTGGATAGCGATCTGGATATGGACTTAATGGTATGGAGTGAATTTTATCCATACATGATGATTTTCAGAACTAACTATGTGCGTGCGTAGAAAAATAAACCAGAATTGATCTCCGCAACGCTGAAAGAGCTTGCTAGCAAGTATAACCATGCCAACTTCAAGGCCGGGGTCTCTAAGGAGGGAGTTGTGTAAGTGCTGAACGTTGGAAGTTTTCAATGGCAAATCAATTCTAGACCACTGGGCTGAGATATTGAGGAAATAGGGTTGCTGGCAGCATGTCTGAAGAAGACTGGGACTCGGTTCTTCGAAATACCCAATTCCTGAACGGCCATAGAATGGTGTTTACCACCTATGCAAATGGAACTAAAGGATTCAAGAGGATCGATAAGGCTCCATATACTGGTAAGTGTAGTATATCATCGACCTTGCTTATGTGACTGTGTTCTCTGATATTTTATATGAAGCATTCTCTATCAAACCCAGAAAATTGACCAGCACGGAAAAGGCCGACAAAGGAATCAAACTTGAAGTAACTACTAATTTCATCACCTCCGCTATACTAGAGCGTTAGAAATCTACGTTCCTGGCTAATAAATATCAGACCGAATACCGAATCCCTAGATACGTTGTGACTGATGACTCTTATGTCAACGTCTTTGAAACGGCAACTGCACTCTCTAAAAGTGTTGCATCGAGCTCTTTCTCTCAATTGGATATCGAAGCCTCAGCGTGAGTTATCTGGGACATGAAGACTGAAGTTTTATTACTGATCTTTCTTAGTGGAGGAAATATTTTCGGTGCCAGTCTATCTGTAAAGGCCGGTTTTAGCCAGAGTGAAAGCCAGGCTATGGCTTCGTCTCAATCATCTTCGGCAAGAACCATGAACATAACGTACAATGTAAGGTCGCTTCGTTTGAATAATGCTTTTAGCACAGACTAACCAGGTCTTCCTGTTGTTCAGTTTCCGAGAGTTGTCTTGCATCTTGACTCGAGAAGTCTGGAGCTAACAGATGAATGCAAAACCGCCGTGCAAGGAGTGACAGACGAAGCAACTCTTGTCCAATTCCACCATAATTTTGGTATGCTAACACGTTTATACTTCACAGATCTATACCTATGTATTTAAATTCAATGTCTAACTCCTCTTCACAGGTCATTTCTTTTCTACCAATATTCAGCTAGGTGGCAAGCTCTATGCCTCTGAGCAATTCACCTCCTCGGAATCTGCAAGTGCAGAAGAGAAATCAAATGCAATGAAGGCAAGCGCTCAAGCTTCCTTCTCGTATGGAACATTCCAAGCTTCGGCCAGTGTAAGCTATGAAGAGAATGGAAAGTCATCAGGCTCAAACCAAACCAGCAAAATGTCAAATTCGCTCACATGGGAAGCCCAGGGCGGTGACACAATTTTGTGCAATGAGTGAGTTGGACCCGCAAAACAATGCCCCTGCCTATGCAGGTAAGCATAGTGCTAACATATAATTTTCTCAAGCCCCCCGAATTGGTGTCACACTGTTAAGCCGTTCAATCACTGGAGAGTTATCAACGTAAGTATTCCTGCTATTGAGAGACTCAAGTGTCAATATACTGAATATAAGCAGCAACAAGATGTGATACCATTGGTGGATTTTATCGGAAGCTTCACTGATTTCTCGCATATTCCCAAGCTCTTTGCAGATATTGTGGCGGGGACTAGAAAGCCTGTTAATCGTCGGTTCCGTCTTCGAGCTAAAGAAACAAAGCATGTTGGAGCAAATGAATATTATGGCCTGCGTGAGGATGCGAAAAGGAGACGACTTGGTATGTTTGGACAGTATTCAAAATTGATAAGTTCCTGCTAATATGTTACAGAGCCATTGTTGCTTAAGTACGGTCAACGTTTGATGACAGATGGTTCTCATACGAATTATTTCCACGCACAATTTTTCTACGCACAATTTCTAGAGCGAGTCAAGAGTGAATCCTTTACAAATAACTTTAAGGAGTATGTCGGAATTGACCAATATGACGATGGGTGTGACTTTGAAGTTGAACTACAAGGAGAGCTTAACCAAGCCCCCAAGGTAAGTATTTGTGATTCTTTTATATCTAATTTTTCCTGCTAATCTACCTATGAAGCTCCAATACAACGTACCTTACCTTATCCGCACAGTCAAGCACCAACGCTATCTGTGTGCAGATACATCTGGTAGCTACAAAGAAACATTCTTCGGTTACATGTTTTATGCTCGAAAGAGTCGTGCCAGCAAGTTCATGTTCAGAAAGGCCGGCGCAAGGCAGGTAAAGGGTGACATTGGTAACGGCGAGGAGGTCGAGTTGACTCTATGTGATGAGGCCGGGGGTCCTATTGCTATGGTGCAGCGTTATGAGGACGATGGTTCAACCCTGATGCTGAGCAAGTTTGGAGTGCACGATGACTTTAGTGTGGAAAACAATGCTTATATGACATATATCGAAGAATAGAGGCCATAGGTATGACATGTCATATTTCAACAATTGACATGTGCCTCCCATTGTTTGTCGATCGATATGTGCTCATGCGACGAACTTGCTCCCTCACCCGATGAAAATTTAATGCTTGCAACTCCGAGAATGAAATAATTGATTCAAACAACTAGCACTGGCTTCAGCAGCTCTTTGAAAAAATTCCATGGGAACCATGTTCCCACACCGTAGAATAGGTTCCTGTACACGACCACTAGCCAATCCTCCACTGCCACCAACACCCGTGCCGGTCATTTGTATCTTTCCTGGCTGTCAGCCTGGGAAGATAACGGTGATGTATCACCAAAAAGAAAGAGCATCCGACGTTAGATGAGGCAAAGGACGAAATATTTGCCCCGGTCCTGGGCTATAGAATGGAGAGTCTTCGCGTTTGGTGCAAAGGAGAAAGTTCATCAGCTAGGTCCCGGGAAGTGCAAATTATCAATGTGGCTTGCATTAGTTACCATGACTTTACCCATAGAGTAACGAGACCAAAGTCATGTGATACTTAGAGTAAACCAATCGAACTGTGATGTGTAGGGAAGTCGTTAAGTCACGAAGGGGAAAGAGGGGCCGTAGGGGTAGCGTGTGTATAGCACTTTCGTGTAAAATACATTCCCCAGGGTCTGATTAATGTATGGTAAGATACAGAGACTATCTTATAGAATGCGGTCTGAAATGAAGCCTGAAAGACTTGATCGAATCAGAGCTCACATATGACGGATTTATTTTCTGGGAATGAAGTTGCAAGAGTGTGAAGGTATATTGTATTATATAAGACCGGACTGTACCTACCAAGACCGCGTATGGGCAGGGACAAGATGAGTTCGCAACATCCAGACGCGAAAGGAGGCTGGGAACCAAAGCCACTCTCAGCCCTTCGTCGCCCTTCCTCACTCCTCAAACCCACAAACCCCACCGCCCCACGCAATCGAACTACCCCGCTCCACAACGACAAACCTCTTCACCGGATCCCGATCACCTACTCTACTACTCCGTATCGCTGCTAGAGATCTCTCATTCCATAGCCAAGTGCTTATCGATATCACCCCAGTCCATCTAGCCCGGAATGGCTTGTATTGTAAGCTTCTCCCTGGCCTAGGCGGAATAGCCTGCTGTTTTGCCTGCGGACCTAGCGAGCCCTTATACAAACTCTAGAGAAACCCTATCGAAAAGATACAGCAACTTCACTTAGCGGACTGCATTTAACAAATTATTTGCCGAAATTTGAATCCTGTCTTAGAAACGCCTGATATTACTATGGACTCAGACACTGTATCTCCACTACCAAAACGATCAGCCCCCGAAACAGCATTAGCGTCCGTCGTGCTAGAGGAACCCTTAACTATATCTATCGACACAGCCACCATAAAGTCGTGTATAATCCTTGAACTAGCTATACTGCGACCCTAATCGACTTGCTCTTCTGAAGTCTCTTAGCCTCCTCAACCTCTCTAGCCCTCGGAACCTCCCTAACCTCTCCACTCAATATTTACCACTAGCTCTGCACCAAACCAACGGCCTACCTATACCTCAGTTCTTCGAGGGCCTAGATCTTCTCTACCGCAACTATCCCCTAATCCCTATCAATCCGTATCCTCTTCTATATCCCTGAAACCTATACTCTCAATTGAAGACGTTTATGGCCGTTCTCATAATATACTATCCCTATTCACGCTCAACAGGAATCCAGCAAACGCTCCGCTCGTCGAGCTCGTAACATAAATACATTTATCACGTAGTCTCTATCCAGGTCTTCATCCCAGCATTACCAGCATTGTCACAAGTTTTGGCTGAGCTACAAGCAGCGGACAACGGTTAGCCGCCTTATCCAAGGACTTGTCACAGTTGCGCCACCAGGGCAGCCTAGTATCTCAAACGGCAAGTAGGCCACAGCAAGCTTTACCAGGTGAGGCTCAAAGTTCACCCTCCAGGAAGTTTGGATCAATCTCATGAATCAATCACCATGTATTTAGAAAGTAGTTGTGTCCTGCATATCGCGTTTCTAGTTGAAACCCTGGATTGAGATACAAGTGTGATAACTATTCTCTAACTACGCGAGTAGGTACAACTATTTGTAGTCACACTAGCTGCCCTTCTGCCTAGAGTGGTGGTGGCAGCTCAATTTGGCTACCACTACCATATTTAGTATCACTTAATCTGGGATCCAACTAATGAAGCGATATGTAGGCTACCTCAACTATATATACATCCGTGTATTTACATGCAGAATTCTCCATTTCCTGAGGACGAACTTAGAGCCTCACCAAGGCCTATCGTGGCCTGATTGCCGTTCCCATTGTTAGGCTGCCCTCGTGGCGCGCGATTCCAGAATCGCTATGACACCTCTGCGAAGTCCAAGACGCGTTGATCGTCCTGGCCCGCGAGACGGTGTCTGGTTTAACTTTCTTACCTTCGGTTGAGCCTCCCAGCAGGCTCGATATGCAATTAAACGCATCCCCGACTTCTCTTCTTGATTCCCTTCGGAGTTACTTCAATCTCAGGCAGTCCACTAGTACGTAGGGACTGTTTCTTGCGCGCCGCGGACACAACGATCGTCGTCGCGAAATTGGTGCGCTTTAGTGTAGGCAGACAACTAATTGTGGCCGGCCGGAATGGATTGGGTCTGGAAGCAATTCACGAGATGGCCGTGAGCTTCAGCCCGCGTAATCGAGGAGCACGCCTCGTCCGACAATGCCACCGTTTTCCACCCACACTATAACTACGAAGCGAGTAGTCAAGAATCCAAATCAGCAAGCTCTGCCAGATGAGCACGATCAGCATGATCTGCGAGCGGCAGCTCTCCGACATGCAGCTAGAGTAGCCCCTGCATATCGATCAATCACTTATGTATCCCATTCCGCGTCGAGGTCTGAATATCTTCCAGCGAGTATCCGCTGAAATACGACCCATCCTTGGCTCCGTAATGGCGAAACCCGTCCCACTGAGAGCTACTTTGGGTATTGAAGGTCAAGATATCGTCGTTCACGGGCCGCGGAGCCTTATTCTTGACTGTATGCTCAAAGGCCGATCGTCCAAAGCAGGAAACTCTCATACTGTTGAGAGCCTAGTCGGTTGACACGCGCACCCCCTCGACAATCTCCCTCGCGGCGCCGGCGGTGTTTTCGGGGGTGAGCAGGTTGAGCATGCCCATCTCGTCGTGCTCGCCAAAGAGTCCCCATGCATTACCGCGTGGGACATCTGGGCGCAGAGGCAGGGGCTGGAATGTGGGCTTCTGGACTGGCATATTCAGGGAACGGGCATCAAACAAATGTCGTGCTGTTAGGTTAGTAGTGCTGGAGATTATCTTCAAATGTGTAAGAAAGACAATCCATATTGAATCTCTATATCTTCTTCTACCTATAAGCATCCTACTTACCCCACAAAATTGGGGGAGCATCCCCGCTGTGACCCCGACCTCGGCCACCGGCAGTCAAGACCGATGAGCCTTTTTGACATGGCAGGTTGAAACGGTATAGATTTGCGAGGTTGTAAAGCAGATTCATTAGGCAATTCCAACTTTGAGCCACGAGACTCCTATGAAAAATTTAATCTGTTGGCATTTGGTCTACTGCCCGAGTCCTATCAGATTCATCCACTTGCCATCGATATGAAACGGATCCAGTAGTTCCAAGTTGGAAGGTGTCGAGGTTCAAAAATTGTCCATCTCGCTAGAAAGTCCGATCACCGTCTTACGTTCTCGGGCAAGGTCCGACTAGCAATGCCGTGCACAACACTATTGGCTATAAATCTCCGAGACCTATTTGGATGACTTTTTTATGTACATACACATGTTCTGCATCAATTATTATTGTGAGGTAACCTTCTCTTGCAGAAAGAAGACTGTATCTATTTAAATCCGTGCGTAGCTGTCAATATCTTAAATAGGTAGTAGTTTCGTTGCAATCCACCTGCCGAGTATAGCTGCGCAATATATATCCATGACTGACCGGAGGACAGCCGCCGACTGCCAGCATCCATTACGATGTTGAATTATATCTGACCCTGCTACAGATGATAGTTCGGTAGAATCTTCAATTATGGATGTAATTCAAGTAAAAATACGATAAAATGGATATGATGTCGCCATACTTCTTGATTCTGTACCTGAAAGTGGCGGCCTTGTGGCCTTAGGTCCTAGGCCATCCAGAACCAAGCCACAAGCACGTGACCTGTCTCTTGGAGTTCCACCTCATCCAGGCCCCAGCCATCACCACCCAATCCCATTCTCCATGGTGGATCGATAATGAACAAAGACATCGAATCAGCCCCTGCCGCTGTCGTCATCCTACCGGCACTTTGCGGCCCCCGGGCGCCACCAGATGATCGGCTTGGCCCCCTCCATCAGGCGAGCACGCTGCAGGATGTGTATTGCAACCCTACCACTCTATGGGAGCCACCTGGCCAAGAATTGTGCGTGCCGTGCCAACATGTCTGTGTGGAGGGTCAGAGGGCGGTTGCAAGTTTCAGATTCTTGTGCAACGAGAAAGGGATGATCAAGTCAGGAAAGGATCGGGCCTGGTGATGGGTCTCTCAACAGGCATCTGGGCCAATGTGCACACGCGTTCCGTTGTTGACCCGCTGACTGTTCTCATCTGGACGAGTTATGTATGGGATACATAACACACAGGAATCGGAAGATCGGTCCAGGTCACATCCGCGGTACAGGCGATCATCAACGGATATTTTACACATGTCCGATACATAGCCCTACGAAAGACCGACCCGTGGATGATCGCGGCCTGCACCGCCAGCAAAGCCAGCAGGACGATGGAGTCCCGAGAGACCAGCGTGTACCTTTCTTTTGCATTATTTGCGACTTGTGCAGTCGCAGGGGAAACGGTTGCCAGGCTTTGTCTCAGACGCTGATCCATCTGGTGGAGTCACAATAAGAGCGGATGACGAACGACATTTGCAGACGCCGCTGGACCCGCTGTAACACGCCTCCACTGTCCTCGTCGCCCTTCGTTGAGCACCGCCTGCGCCTCCAATCAAAATTTGCTGTACCAAAAATATCTTTGACTGTGCTGTTGTGCATCCAAGCCCCAGGCTTCCAAGAGAATTCAAGACGTATCCTATCTTTAGCTCTCCCCAGCCGACACCTTTCATTGTTTCATTGTCACCCCATCTTTCTTGTACTTGCTGCGACTCAACTGACATCGCCCGCCAATCTTTCTGCTATCCGCACCAGGCAGCCCACTTCGAACAGATTCAGCGAACGTGAGCCTCAAAACAACGTGTCCAGAAGACCAGGCAGTATCAACCTTAGCGTCCCGTTGTTGCTTCCTACTCCCTGCTTGAGCTTCATAGTCGACTAGGCCCTTCGCTTTTTGCCCTCGTCCGCTTCCTTCATCTCGGCTTTCTCATCTTGCTCAATTTGCGTCGGTTACACACGATCCACCGCACCATCGTCCTCGTCGCCGTGATTGTCGAGACTCTATACCTTGATTTGGATTTGACACAATTGGTTGTGCTTGAAAAACCCGTTGATCGGGGAGCTGTGCACTATGGCTAACCCCATGCCGACGTCTCCCCATTCCCCTCGGGCCCATTCACCAAATCTGTCTCATTCGCCTCAAGCGAGCGAGAGTAGCCTGTATTCTCACAATGCTCCACGTGAGGTGAGTTGCAAAGAACAAGCTCGGAGAAGTTATGGTAGAATGCGGAGAAGGAAGTCGTTAACATAGTTCGCTCGGACTAGCACGGATACGGTTACGAAGAAAAAAACGACCACTCTGAGAGCTCCCAGTCCCTCCTCTACCGGAACCAACCAAGCCCCCTCCAGGCGCCATACGATGACCCCTACGCTTCCTCCGATTCTTTGCGACGCTATACACTGCAGGATCCGGGTGTAACAATTTTCCCCGATGGACCCTATCAGGATCCTACCGCCGCAGCGGGGCTCAATCGCCGGTCGGGTATACAGTCTCCCATGTCAGAGACTCCGTCGGAGGCCTGGCAGCAACGGCAAGCACCTGCATCGGGCCTGCGCCGTTATGCGACCCGAAAGATCAAGCTTGTTCAGGGTTCTGTGCTGAGTGTGGACTATCCGGTGCCCAGTGCCATTCAGAATGCTATCCAGCGGGAATACCGGGAATCAGAGGAAGGGTTCCCAGAAGAATTCTCCCATCTGCGCTGTAAGTGCTCTTGCGATCGTGGATATCATGCGCGAAAGACGAGACAGGCCAAGCTGATTGAGTGTTAGATACGGCTGCCACTTGTGATCCCGATGAATTCACCCTGCGCAACGGATACAATCTTCGACCAGCCATGTACAACCGACACACCGAGTTGCTGATTGCCATCACCTACTACAACGAAGATAAGGTCCTCACAGCCCGAACGCTCCATGGTGTGATGCAGAACATCCGGGACATTGTGAACCTCAAAAAGTCAGAGTTCTGGAACAAGGGTGGCCCGGCCTGGCAGAAGATTGTGGTCACCTTGGTCTTTGATGGTATCGATCCTTGCGACAAGAATACTCTGGATTTGCTAGCCACGGTCGGTATTTACCAGGACGGTATCATGAAGCGATCCGTTGATGGAAGAGAGACGGTTGCGCACATTGTAAGCTTTCACAGCATCTAGTTGGTTTCATGATCGGGCCCGTTTCATATTTGGCCCCGACGAGACCAAAAATATGTTTTTCATGCTAACTCAACTTAACTTTCAGTTCGAGTATACCACGCAGCTTTCCGTCACTGCTAGTCAGCAGTTGATTCGGCCCCAGGGCACCGAGTCAACCAACCTCCCACCAGTCCAGATGATCTTTTGCTTGAAGCAGAAGAACAGCAAGAAGATCAATTCCCACCGTTGGCTGTTTAACGGCTTTTGCCGTATCTTGAACCCTGAAGTGGTTATTCTGATTGATGCTGGTACTAAGCCGGGCAAGAAGTCTTTGCTGGCCCTCTGGGAATCATTCTACAACGATAAGAATCTTGGCGGATCGTGTGGTGAGATTCACGCTATGCTGGGTAAAGGCTGGAAAAACCTGATGAACCCGCTTGTCGCCGCGCAAAATTTCGAGTATAAGATTTCAAATATTCTCGATAAACCCCTTGAGTCTGCCTTTGGCTATGTTAGTGTGTTGCCTGGTGCCTTCTCAGCTTACCGTTATCGTGCAATTATGGGCCGGCCCCTTGAGCAGTACTTCCACGGTGACCACACTCTCTCGAAACAGCTTGGTAAGAAGGGTATCGAGGGTATGAATATCTTCAAGAAGAACATGTTCCTTGCTGAGGATCGTATTCTTTGCTTCGAGTTGGTGGCCAAGGCTGGTTTCAAGTGGCATTTGACCTATGTCAAGGCTTCTAAGGGTGAGACTGATGTCCCCGAGGGTGCTGCGGAATTCATCGGTCAGCGTCGTCGCTGGCTGAACGGTTCATTTGCGGCCAGTCTGTATGCCATGATGCATTTCGGTCGAATTTACAAGAGCGGACATAACATCCTCCGTCTCGCGTTCCTCCATCTTCAGATGTTGTATAACTTTGCGGGTCTTGTTATGACCTGGTTTTCTCTTGGTATGTTGATGACTTTGCTCCTTACTGATTCAATATTCCCCCTTATTGTTTGGTTTTTCTCTATTACCTTGGATTGCCACTAATGGATGAACAATAGCGTCTTTCTGGCTGACTACATCGGTTATTATGGATCTTGTCGGAACCCCGAGTGATAGCAACAAGAACAAAGGCTGGCCCTTTGGCAATGAGGCCACGCCGATTGTGAACAACTTCCTGAAATATGGCTATGTGTTCTTCCTCATGCTGCAATTCATTCTGGCCCTGGGTAACCGACCTAAAGGGTAAGCGATTGTCAAATGCACCTGACTTTGCAACATTCGTATGCTAACTGATATAGTTCCCGCCTGGCCTACACCCTTTCGTTCATCTACTTCAGTATTGTGCAGTGTTATATCCTGGTTTTGTCATTCTACCTGGTTAAGAATGCTTTCACCGGAGGTACTCTGGATTTCGATATGAGCCAAGGCATTAGCAAATTCTTGTCGTCCTTCTTCAGCTCTGCCGGTGCCGGTATCGTCTTGATTGCTTTGGTGTCCACCTATGGCATCTACTTCCTCGCTAGTTTCCTGTATATGGATCCTTGGCATATGTTCACATCTTCTTGGGCTTACTTTGCTGGTATGACGTGCTCGATCAATATCCTGATGGTGTACGCTTTCTGCAACTGGCATGATGTTTCTTGGGGTACCAAGGGATCGGATAAGAGTGAGGCACTGCCAGAGGCCCAGACCAAGAAGGATGATGCCAAGTCCAACTTCATCGAGGAAGTGGATAAGCCGCAGGCCGATATCGATAGCCAATTCGAGGCGACCGTCAAGCGTGCGCTGGCGCCGTTTGAGGAACCCGAGGAGAAGGACGAGAAGAGCATGGACGACTCGTACAAGGCCTTCCGTACCAATTTGGTGCTCCTGTGGATCTTCAGCAACCTGATCTTGACGCTTTGCATCACTAGCGAAGGAATTGACCGGTTCTGTCTGACAGTACGTACATATCCCACCCCCCTCTAACCTGGCCCTGGCTGTGACAAGCAGAAGACTGACTGATTGATTAGAATACCTCCACTGTTCGAACGTCCAATTATTTCTCGGCCATTCTTTGGACGACCGCTGGTTTATCCTGGTTCCGCTTCCTCGGCTCGCTCTACTTCCTGGGCAAGTCCGGCATCCTTTGCTGCGTGTCCCGACGCTAAGCTGCCTTGGGTTCGGTGGCTGGCGCCACCTGGCCGATCATGTCTGTGTGTATATACAATCGTCCCAGCGTCTGTCCTGGGATCGATAATGATTTCTTTTGTGATATGATGTGTGGTATAGAAAATTTGGATAGATGGTCTAGTTCGCGTTCGATTTTTGGTTTCCTGCACGACTGCATCATTGGGGCGGTCTTTCCGTTGGATCGTTGGTGATCCACATGTATGATTTGATTCTTTTGGGAGATATGATCTTTCTTCTCTTTCAACGGATACTACACGTCTTGGTGCCATTGGGCAAACGATTCATAATGTTGTACAAATTTGAAATTATTTTTTAGATTTACAGGGCTCAGCCCGGCATGAATTTTTTGACAATATGCACTTTCTTATCTTCCGACTCTTAATTCTTTCTCCGCTCCCGACTTTCCTCCACGTTTCTGGGGTATTCTGCTCGATGTGCTGTACATACAGTCTGGGGGATCGACGAGTGTCCCATCGAGCTGCAGTAGTTTTGTGGACACTGCGAGGTCAAAAGTGGGCACAAAGTGGTCCCTCTCTATGAATGCATCGTGAAATTTCTGGGGAGGTGGGATGACAGGGCACAGACTTCCTGCACGGATGACGGCGTGTGGATCTGCCCAAGCGCTGGTCAACTAACGAGTTAGCCCGAGGCTCGATATCTATAGTCTGATGCATTCATGGCCTGGCCCCCGTTCTTGAGCCGTGTCTCCCCTGTTGTCTGCGCTCGGACGTTGCATCGAGAACCAACACACCATCTTTGTACCTTTACACCCCTGAAAACCTGAAGTACTCGGACTACAGGAGGCCGAACTCCTCAAAAATCCGATGGCGTCCTTAAGCCAATAGGGATTGCTCGCTCGGACGGAAGATCAGCACCACCAGCGTGCATTGACAGGGCCGGTTGAGGCGTTCTCTCGGCGATGATTCTTCACCGAAAAATACAATCTTCAATCATCACTTACAAGAGCTGTCTGGCTTCGAATCTTGAAAATCGATGCACTGCCTCACGGGAATGCATCTACGGAGTACAGTATGAGATATGCACAATACTATCATTGCCCGCACCCCCGCATCGTCCTGTGCCGATCGCCTGTGACTGGGCGGGTCCCTGATAATGAATCGGTATGCTTCTGATTCCATTGATTTGTTGTCGGTCTACCTTTTGATGGAGTCTCATGGAGACAATGCTTTCTTAGCGGCGGTCGGCTGGTGTACCGTCCTTTTCTCTCTCCACTAACCACACGTCGCGCGCCATCAGAAAGCATAGTTGTCCCGAAATCCTATGGTATAGGCGACAATGATGCCATACCGTCACCCGACCCGGTTCTTGGCTCAAGAATTCTTTCTGGCCCCTGAGGCATTTTCCTCGGAATACATTCTTTTCTCGTAGAGATGAAACATGGGAAACAATCTATATAAACCCCGTTTACGTCCACGTTCGCGAGTCTGGCAATTTGATATATCAGCTTTCCATCTAGTCGTGATTGTCACGGTTCTTGATCCACTCTTCTGTCCATCCCGCATCCACCCTCAATGTCGCAATACCTTCCCCAGATTTCGTCCCAATCCCTAGAGGACAAAGTGGTCCTGATCACCGGTACGTTCTCCTGTGGCTCCACTCACACTCGCACCCTTCGTGCTCTTGCCTGGCCTCATTCTTAGCTGTTATGCTTACTACTTCACCTACAGGAGGTGCCAATGGCATTGGCACCAGTCTGGTACAGCAATGCCTCGAGAGCGGTGCCAATGTCTGCTTTGGTGATCTAGACAATATCTCCGGAGAGCGTCTGCTGAGGAAATCCCTCGAGGGATTCAAGCCCGCAGAACCAAAGCACCCTCAGAGGATAGTCTTCCAGTCCACTGATGTAACCAACTATCAATCAGTGCTGGCCCTGTTCGATCTCGCTTTCAACACTTACAAGCGCATCGACCACGTCGTCTCTGCAGCTGGCATTGCAGAGATTGGCAATTGGTTTGACTTTGGACTCACATTACAGACAGTCCGCCAAGTGAGTTTTGCTTTATCCTCAGGCTGCTCAAGCCCTGCCCTTTTCTGCCCATTTCGTAGTAGTAGTAAAATAACAATTTCCATCACAAATAAAGACCCCGACTCAAAAAGTCCTCGACGTCAATCTTGTCGGTTCGATGTATGTCGCTCGCATTGCCTCCGTCTACTTGCGACACAACCGCGGCCCGGGAGTCGACCGCTCTATTCTCCTCTTCTCTTCCGTCTCTGGATTCAAAGAGAGTCCATCTCTATTCATCTATCAAGCATCCAAGCATGGTGTCATAGGTCTCATGCGCTCCCTGCGCAACTACATCTCCTCCCCGTATAAGCACTATCTCCGGATCAACACCATCTGCCCTTGGGTGACCCAGACCGAAACTATGAAACAGATCGAACAGCAATGGAAGCAAGCCAGCTTGCCCACCAATACCACTCGGGAAGTTTCAACAGTAGCCACTGGGATGTTGACTGACGCCTCTCTGAACGGCACTTCCATGTTTGTCGAAGGTGGACGTGCATGGGAGATCGAGGGTAACATTGAACGCCTGGAAGCCCAATGGCTCGGCGAAGCACCGTCCAAGTCCCTCGCAGCAGGACAGGAGCTGCTAGATGATGGTGCCATCTGGACTGCGAAGCCACGCAAGAGAAGCAGCATTTCTAACGGCATTCCTCCGGGAGTTCCACTTGAGAAACTGAAGGGGATTCAACAGAATGGTGCCCGGAAGAACTCGATGAATGGTTTGACCAATGGCCACACTAATGGAGTGACTTTGGTGACCAATGGAATTGCGAATGGTCTCACCAATGGAATGACCAATGGGATCGTGAATGGAGTACATTGAAGTTCCCACATACTTTCCGATTTGATACCCATATGTTCTGGTGACGGCTCGCCTGCCCGGGAGAGGCTCTTTCCATTCTTCGTGAACACAAACATCGCACAAGGCACGGCTGCATGACTTTGAGAGAACAAAATTACTTAAGTCTAGGACATACATTGAAATGAAACAAAGATATCTCCACACCGTTACTTGATTTGACATAATGAGGTTGATCGCCTACTTAGTGGTGACTTACGCGACGATATATGCAGGGATCGCTGTGTTCACGCCCCACGAGTGGACCACAGCGTTGATCATTTCTGGACATCACCCTCGACCGGGACAAGTCTAGAATTGAGCGGGCGTGGGCATTATTCTTCATAGTAGACTCGAGGTGAAAAGAGAACAGATTTTTTAAAGTGGAGCTATGCATTAAAAAAGCCAAAATTATGTCTATATCTATATGATGATATAACTTGTGTACAAAAGAAAAAGAAAACACCAGATAGATGCAATGAATGATATCGTCAAGGTCCGTGGCCTCTCCATCGACCCAATGCCGATGAACTTCTCTCCACTCGTATATAACTTCTTTTACTCCGCAGTCCTCACATAATCACTTTATTTGAATGACTCGCGGGTATGAATGCGGTCGATGTTGTACGGGTTGCCATCGTATGTCGGAACACGATGGATTTGGGATGTATGTGTGTCAACGTGCGAGAGGGACATAACCTCGTCAGCACTCTCCTTTTCTAGGGCGTGCGACGTAGCTGGACCATGCTCCTCAGCCGACGGCACGCGAGTAGCAGCTTCGGCGATGGTCGACTGATCAGCCTGAGACGGCTCGTCCTCCTCAGGGGTCCTATCTTTCTGAACTGCACCTTGGAGAAGGCTCTGAACGAATGCTTCGGACTGCGCAGAGAACTTGCAGTATTTGCGAATGGCAAGACCCTTCTTGTATAGAATGAAGGGGAAAGGTACACAGGCCAGGGCCAGGAAGGCGGGAACACATGAGGCCCAGTGAATGCCCAAGTTCTGGTACATATAAGTCGTGAATAAGGGGAAGGCAAAACCGAAAAGCGATCGCAGAAGCGAATTTGCAGCCAAAACAGAGGCAGCGAAGATGGTATAGGCATCAATGAGATAGTTGAAGACACTCAAGAACACAAGGACCATGCCGAAGCCGAATGGAACGCCAGCGGCAACGCTTGCGAGCCAGTGAACATTGGGAGAATTGGTCCAGGCAAACCAGAAGAGTCCAACAGGGAGGGCAATAGAAGCGATCATGCAGGGGGGCAGACGGCTCTCTGGGGGTGAGTAACCGCCATTCTTCTCCAAAAGCTTGCCATAGCGAGTATTTTCGGGAATGGAATACGCAATAGCCGCCAACATGCCGATCATAACGCCCAAGAAGGCTAGTGCAGAGATACCCTGGTTCCACCCGCGGTGAATTTCGTAAACAATAGGGAATGCACCGAAGAGCATGTAGAGTGTGCCGTAGATAATCGCGAGGTAGATCGAGAGCAAGAGCACAATTGGCTCACGGAAGAGGAGGATGAACGGACGCGAGAGGGCAGTCTTCATAGCTTCTTTCGGAACGGGACGACCCTGGTCAATGTCGAGCTTACTCAGATACACCTTTCCGGTCAATTTGGAGAGAGTCTTTGCGCGTTGGCGAAGCAGAACGGGCGAGTATGTCTCCGGCTTCAAGGCCGCACCTAAGAACCACATCACGCCACAGAGAATGGTCAACAGGCCCATCACCCACTTCCAACCAGCCTTCATGCCCAAGAATCCTCCAACAATGGGCCCGATGACAGGACCCAAGAAGGGCGCCAATGCAAAGGCAGACAGAGCCAGGCCTCGTTCGCGGGCCATGAACATATCAGCAATGACACCACCGGAATTGGTGAACGGCGAAGATCCAAAGGCGCCTGCTAGAAAGCGGAAGATCAACAGTGTGGCGATGTTCTTTGCTCCTGTAGTTCCAGCGCAGAAGATGGTCAAGCCGCAATAGGTACCGATAAAAACCACCTGACGACCAAATAGTTCACTCATGGGAGCCCATAGAAGAGGACCCAGTGCGAAGCCCAGCACATATAGGGAGACTCCAAGGGTGGCCACCTCGGTGGTGATTTTGAATTGCTCCTCAATCTGCACGATACCGCCAGTATAGGCGGAAGAGACCAGAGCAACCACGAGGGTTTCCATGGCAGCTACCATAGTGATGCCCCATTTCATCCGGGTGCTCAACTGGAGCGGATTGCGAAAGTCCTTTGGCATCCATTGCACCACGTATGGGTCGTCGTCTGTTCCTGAACCATCATAGTGATGGTCAAAAACCTCTTGAGTGATAGCACCCGGCTGGGTGACTAGTCGCCAAAAGGGGATCGATCGAGGCAGATGCGTTGGGCACTTGGCCTCTGTTGTAAATGTTTCGGAGGCCATCTTATTCAACTCCTTAGAAAGGAGCTTTTTCGGCAAGCCGAGGTCAGCACAGACCCTGAGGGATAGGGATAGCTGTGAAGAATATTAAGGTTGATCGATTATCCCCTGGCAATAGTGCTGTGGCCGAGGAGAATGGCGTTGCGATTAACAATATAGATATTGTTCAAGTAGGAGTTAGTGAGATCTTGAACAAGAACGTCAGTCGAGGGAGCCTAGCTGGTTTTGTTCGGTCTCGACAGGGTCTTGCTTGGGCAGGATTATTCAACAGAAAGCATTTTGCCGGAGGAGTTACTATATCGGGCCAGCAATTCTCTTCAAAGTGGGTCAAACGGGGGGGGGGGGGGGGGGGGGCAGCGCCAGAATGATGCGTTCTGTTTGGCCCCTACAAGTGTGATAAGTATACGATGGCGTACATGCAGAACAAGGCTGGACAAACAGAGCCTTGAAATGGAGCTTGAAATATGCAGATTGCATTATTATGAACCGGGAATGCTTATCATGCAAAAGATGGCGTACTTGGAATTTAGTACTTGGTAAAATGGTACTTGGTAAACTGATGCCTTTCGAAGATGACTCTAAATGAATTTGTTGTTCAATCTTCTAATCTCTTCACCACGAGAAGAACAGAAACCGCCCCCAGAAAGCTACTGTCAAAGTGGTACGATAACATTCAAAAAGGATGCAAAATCTCGCCATCGTGGCCATTGACTCGGCCCGATTAATTATCGGCTATGCCGATTCCCATCCGGAGACTAAAATATATAACCGCTTTGATTGGTCTAATATTTCCTTGTGGGGCAAATCACTCGGATTTAACCCACTTACCGAGGCTCATTTTACATTAAATGCCAGGAACAAGAGGAGTGTCGTCGTTGTTTTAAAATAATCGGTTGGTCTGGATTTAAATTGCGGATTCTTCCATTTCTATTTCTAAAGCCACACGGACTACGGAGTTCAGTGGGGCCTGTCGTAGTTTGTTGTTTCTTTAACCTCGGCTGTAGAAGCCCCAATGGAAGCATTGAAATCTCTAAATTTGTTCGTACAGAATAGAAGCTCTTAAGCCCAAGGACCTTCGATATGGTCTATTGCTATTGTGTCAACCTTCGGAGATATCCCAGATATCCGGCAAAAGTATAGCGCACAGATCGTATTACATGCAGTGCCATGCATGGATTACAATCCTTCACCTTCGGGATTCCCCCGCCTGGGTAAATTGAACCCAATCGCAGCCTGAGTGGGTCGCGCAGGATTTGATCTTTTTTGCTCTCGAGATGCCGAGGCTTTATTATTATTTTAGCTACATAATCATGAAATTAACAAGAGTGCGATAGATCGCATACGGCACAGTATGCAGTATCTCATCATTCGTGTACAGTATGTGACTACTTCCCCTTCGGATAATCCTTGTCAGAGGCCGGCATATCTCTACTCCCCCGAGGAATTTCACTTCGACTGTCAAATATCTGCTGCCTATCATCGTTCTAACTGTAGAACTCCGTATGCTACCTTGACCTGTACCTCTTTCAATCTATCCCATACATCTTGCGTATTCTCTTGTCACGCAAGAACGATATAAGTGCTAGTCATCATACTATAACAGTAGATGAATCCTCTCGAATATTTTCATTGACATCGATAAGCTCTTTTTCCGATCATCATTCATTGACAGATCTGTTGACAGACCCACCAAATGAATCTACGACTAGCGTTTTGCCGTCTGACTTCCAGCTTAGTGGATCCCCTTGGAGTATAAAGTCAATAATTGAAACATTGATTGGTCTAACTCATCTCTCATTATCATATTTATCCCGAGTTTTGTGCATTGTTTTTACTTTCTTACAAGCTCTTCTCGATTTCTCCCACTTCAGCCATCACCTCCCGGACAGCCGTCTTAGACGCCTCTGCCACGGGCTCATAAGGATGGCGCGGCTGCAACATCTCCTCTGCACCGGCAATACCTGCTAGTGGAGCCGTGTAGTGGGCGACTGCATACTTGGTTGATGCGATACCACTCTTGATGGGACTCTCCGCCAACGCAGCCTGACCCTGCAGCTTCCTGGCTTCCTCGACCTGACCCTTCTGGTACAGGGCATAGACGCGCGACGCAGTCTTGGGGAATACATTGGCAAACGCGGCAATGCACCCAGCACTGCCTGCGGCGAGACCGCCGATCAGGAAATCGGATTGTCCTCCAAAGGTCGCGAATTCCTCCGGCTTGAATGTGGCTGACAGCCGGGTGATCTTTCCCACCGAACCGCAGGTCAGCTTAACACCTACAACGTTGGACTGGCCGTTGGCATTGGAGGCAGCAGATTCCCGCACGATGGCGGCGATAGTCTCTGAATCCATGTCAACGCCGTTACACACGCCGGGGAAGTTATAGAGGACGACGGGAATGGGACATTTAGCGGCGACTTCGGAGAAAAATCGCTTGACGACGTTCATGTTGGTGGCTTTTCCAAAGTATGCTGGGGGAAGGACGAGGACGTAGTTGGCTCCCGCTGCGGCAGCATCTTGGGCGAGTTCGAGAGTCTGTTTGGTCGAGTGGGCGCCAACACCGGCCATCAAAGGGAAATCGGGTCCAACAGCCGCGCGAGCAGTGGCAATAAGTTGAGCGCGTTCCTCACGAGTGAGCAGGAAAGCTTCTGAGTTGGTGCCGAGAATGACCAAGCCGGCCAGACCTGTTCGAGACAGATAGGCAAAATATTGGGATTGCGCGGTCAGGTCGAGGGAGTCTGTGGCGTGGTTGAAGAAGGTAACGGCGGGACACCAAACGCCCGAAGGTGGGACGTGAGGTTGAGGGGAGACTGTCGCGTGAGAGCCCATTGCGATGAGTTTGGAGGTGTTCTTAGAGTATTCTGTTGGGATATCGGATCGTCTTCTATGGACTCGGACTGGGTGACGGTGAGGGTAAATATGAGGAGACACAGAGTACGGCCGATCTACTCTTATAACAATAAAGAATCAATAAAAATTACCCCTCCATTCCCCCGCACTACTCTGAGTGACAAGAGAATCCGAGTCTGCGATTCGACTGTTCTGATTGCTCGATGAGCGCATCTCGGTTCGCCATCCCGAGTGGATCAACTGAACAAAATCGGGACGACGAACCGATCGTTTTATCTTTGGCTCTTTAGCTCTTTAACATGAGCGGGGTATCGGTTGAACTTCGATTCAATCATATCTATTCGCTGTATTCCCTATCATACTAATGACACAGGACAGTATCTCTAACCATTCTTCGAAGCCCTCCAACGATGCTCGGCCGGCGGATGAGTTACCGGTCGATCGGTTGCGGCCACCGAGTTAAAACAACGGCGGATCGCGACCCGGGGACAATTAACAATCTAGACATTCATATAGTGAAAAGAGAATGAATGATGTTGATAACATGGTTGATAGCATGCTAATATTTCCACCGAGACATAATCTGGAGTTTCTGAGCGACCTGCGATGTATGGCCATATTTCGCTCTACTGACTTGCATGCCGGAATTTTTTGGTTCTCTTCCCTGGCCGTACAAATAGAAGAAGTCGAATTGAGGAGAGAGCAGAGTTATTCCAAGGGCACATTCGTATCTCATTACCACCACTAACAGAAGCTAGAGAAACTTGGAGACTCATCCTCGACATCGCAGCCAGATATCACATCGAGATCACGTGACTCGCAGCCTCAAGGTGTTAGCACAATGACTCACCTCACAGGGAAAAATTGTCGTCGATCGAAGAGAGTATGAGCTGCTTAGTTAGTTCTCGGATGTCAAATGATCATTTTCGTCTATGGCCTACTGATCAAATCGAGCCGCCGCCTTGACTTTTGATGTCCTCCCACAGCCAACCATGCCAACGCCCCAACTGTCGATTGAACCCCATATCGCTCACCAATGCGAAGATGCAGAGGCGTTTCACGTCTGGCGCCAAGGCCAAGTATGTGCCCAGCTCTACCCGGACCAAGACATAGTGTTCCGGCCAGTCCCTAATGGGGGAATTGTCATCCGAACCTTGTCGGTGTTTACTGGCAAACTGAATCGGGCTGTGGGCTGTGGAAAGGATGGAGACCTGGACAAGGACACTTTGGAGATGTTGGAGTCATTCTTTGCTGTGACTGGGCTAGATCCAGAGATCCATGTTAGTCCTTTTGCGAGGCCGGCTACGTTGGAGTCTCTGATTGTTCATGGGTATGAGGAGACGGGGATCTTGAGCACTTATTGGTGTACTCTCGGGGACTCGGCAAACGAAACTTCTTCAACGGGAACATCGAGCACGACAACTTCTAGCACAGTGGCTATAGAGACCCGACTGATTGCCGCTCACGAGACAGAAGATTTCATTGAGGCCTCTATCACGGGGTTTCAAAGCAACGGGCGCTCCCGGGAGCTGCTAGGAGGACTTGCCAGGATTGCGACTCGACGAACGGACACGCAATTGTTCATCGCCCGGGTCGACAACAAGATTGCTGGCTCTGCTGCTTTGGCCAGCATCAAGACCTCTGATGGGGGCGTGGCGCATCTGTATTTGGATAGCACGTTGCCGGGCTATCGGGGTCGAGGCGTTCAACAGGCGTTGATCCAGGCCCGTCTGCGCGAGGCCCAACGCCGGGGTCTGTCATTAGCAACGACCATCACCCGTGTTGGGGACGGTAGTGCACGTAATGCGGAACGGGCTGGTCTGCGCATTGCGTATACAACCAGCATTTTCACTCGACCAGGGTTCCGAGAGGTGGATAATATCCTTGTTCAAGAGTAAGAGAGGCTGAGACTAGGTTTGGGGTCAGTTCAATCCATTAGCATATAGAAATCTTAATTAAGGTTGCTGGACCTTATGGACCGTCCCCTGCCAAATGATTATCACCGAACGGTCCCGGGGACGACGCCCAGGTCGTGGATCTTCCGGTTTACGGAACTGGTGGTAGCAGCGTGTACTGTATTGTTGTCAGTAGTTTGATCCTGCCTGTTAAAAATAAACTACCTGGAGAATGAATGGTCAGGCGATGAGAGATAGTATTCAAATGGTCGTGTATACCCACGGCAGCCACCTGGCTCCATCAATCAACCACGGAGCATCAGTATTCTGAGGTTTGTCTGTTCCGATATCTGTTCCGAAATACGGACAGAGTCTGACTCAGCGCATGGATGGAGTCCATTTGCATTCAACCCCGGAGTGTCCGAGAGTTTGCGACTGAATATCCCGCGAATAGCCCCTAGCTAAGGCAAACAAGGCGAGCGAGGCGGCCCTGGACCTCTGGGGGCGGAGTACTCCGTACATGGGAAGCAAGACATGGGCTATCTCACACATGAATGGATGACGGAGTAATTTCGGATGACGGAGTAATTTCCATCTGGAAAAATCCTCATTCTAGGTGGATAAGGCGACGATCAGGCTCCGACGTGTCTTCGACACCCCAAATTGGCTTTACCCCGAAGAAAGTCTAAACAAAAAGCCGCAGTGCCCAGCCTGTCCCCAGATGATTGCATAATGGATCGGCGAAGGCAACAAATCACGCAAGGCGGCGTGATCCACGCTAAGGCAAGTGCCTTCGTAGTGCCCTGGGCGGTGCGCGGGCCGACCGACTAAGCCCAATGGCGTTGGTGGCGCTCTGCCGGGAGTTGGAGGATGTGCAGGATGATGGATCTGGCGTGGTTGGTTTCCCCAACAAAATACGGGGATATCCGGGGTGAAGTTAGTGAGACTTGAGGGGAAGATGTGGAGAAGAGACTTCAGTGATGGAAAGAGGAGTCTCGTATCCTGTTTCACTGGGAGTCAAGAGTTGAGAGTTGTCATTATTATTCAATTGAATGATTAGGTGATGATCTTCCGTTTCCGGCTCCTGCATCACGTGACCGCACCCTTGCGCAACAGAGTTTTCCGCCAAGGTTCTGCCAGTGTTCTCCGCCCTTATCCTGATCACCTGATTGGCCAGTCATATGGCCCAAAGTCTTTTTACTTGCTTTTTCACTTTCTCTCGGCGCCATCCGAACCGGTGAGACTAAACTGGATCAACAGGGATCTCTCGCTTGTGGCGTGTCAGCGAAGCTTGGGGAAAAGGATAAAATTCTGATTCTGATATCTGGGATATGATCTGATCAAGGACATCTCGAAGATGCCCTTGAACTTCCCACGTTCAATGCGGGTTTCTTCTCCCTTCCCCGGCTTCTTCTGCTCCCCGCATTCTGTTCCTCATCCACCGCGGGGACTGTCTCCATCCGACGAGATCCCAAGGACCCAATGTCGCATTTCTTTTACATAAGATCCAAACCTTCTTATCACCGAATCTGCCGCTGGGGCGTATCGGGGCGCAGACTGCGTCTCGCCCAGAGGCCAGACGGTGGATCTTGAGGCCCCCCGATGGAACCGCTTCCTGCTGCTTGCGGCCATTTCGTTGGGCGGCCGATCAAACCGAGTGGAGCAGCGTTGTACTCCACGTGTGGAAGAACATCCAAGGAGTGCTCACTGGCTCACCAAATGCTGTTAGTCATGGAAAAACCCGCATTTCGCCTGTTGGGTACTCTCCCCAGGCCACCTGGATGATGATTCCCCAGAGATAACGCCGGATCCGAGCGCAAAAGTCTCTGGCTGGCTCCATTTCCTTTAATACCAGCACCATGGCCTCGTTACTTCGCCTTTGACCTCTCTACTTTTTTTTCTCATCCGGTCAATCCGACAAATTCTCCCTCCTCCCTCCCCTTCGCCCCTTCTTCAAGTCCCATTTCTGGCAAGATGGGCTTCGACGATGTCTCTAGTGGACCTGACTCCAGCAAGATCATGGAGTCAGACGGCGACAAGAAGGTCTACGCGGCCGCCCCACCGCCATTCGAGAAGGATATCGTCGGTGAGATGAGCGAGGCCGAACGTCATATCTATGATCACGGTATCAAGAAGTTCAGTCGTCTCGGTTGGAAACGACTCACCGTGGTTCTCATTGTCGAGGCCATCGCCCTCGGAAGTTTGTCTATTCCCTCGACCTTTGCCGCCCTGGGCATGGTTGCTGGTGTGATTTCTTGCGTGGGCCTCGGCTTGGTGGCCATCTATACCAGTTATATCGTTGGCCAGGTCAAGCTGGCTTACCCCGAGGTTGCCAACTACGCTGATGCAGGTCGTCTGATGTGGGGTCGCTTCGGCTATGAACTCATCAACTTGATGCTTGCACTGCAGTTGATCTTCTTGACCGGATCTCACTGCCTGACGGGAACGATTGCTTTCCAGAACATCACCGAAAGTGGTATCTGCTCCGTCATCTTTGGCGTGGTGTCCGCGATCATCCTGCTTTTGCTGGCCATCCCGCCTAGTTTCACCGAGGTCGCTATTCTTGGCTACGTGGATTTTGCGTCAATTGTTTTCGCTATCGGTATTACGATTATTGGCACCGGAGTTCAGGCGACGAATGCCCCTGGTGGCCTTGCTGCTGTGGACTGGTCCGCCTGGCCTAAGCCCGGCCTGACCTTCACCGAGGCGTTCATTGCCATTTCCAACATCATTTTCGCCTACAGCTTCGCCATGTGCCAGTTCTCATTCATGGATGAGATGCACACCCCGAGTGATTTCCCCAAGTCGATCTGGACCCTTGGTATCACCGAGATTATCATCTACACCGTGACCGGTGCGACGATCTACGCGTTCGTTGGACAGGACGTGCAGAGCCCGGCGCTCCTCTCCGCAGGAAGTACTCTCAGTCGCGTGGCCTTTGGCGTGGCCTTGCCCGTCATCTTTATCAGTGGTTCGATCAACACGGTGGTTTTTGGACGGTTGGTTCACGGTCGGATCTTTGCCAACTCCCCGATTCGCTTCATCAACACTAAGATGGGTTGGATCACATGGCTGGGCGTCATCGCCGCGGCCACAATTATCGCCTTCATCATTGCGGAGGTGATTCCGTTCTTCAGCGATCTGCTCTCGATCTCGTCCGCTCTGTTCATCTCGGGCTTCAGCTTCTACTTCCCCTCCCTGATGTGGTTCCTCCTGATCCGTAAGGGCAGCTGGACCGAGCCCCAGAACCTGATCCTGGCCATCATCAATGCCTTTATCGGGTTGATTGGTTTGATCATTTTGGTCGCCGGTACCTATTCGAGTATCGATGATATTGTAAGTCATGCATCCATCCGAACGCGCATCAAAAACAAATTGTTAACAGATTTGTTCACAGATCATCAACTACAGGACCGGCTCCGTGAAGGGTGTTTTCACTTGTGGTGCCGTGTAGTGAGCGAATGAGGGCAGGCTCCTCATAATACTTTTTCTGTCCATGTTGTCCTGGTGGGCCTGCGTGATCCTCCTGGAAGAGGCTGGCATGTGGCAGGTCTGTCATGGGTATGAACTCGGTAGACGAGGGGATATACGGCGCAGAATCTGATTTGCATTGTCACGATAGACGTCCGAGTCTGGGATTCAACCAAACCGGATTTGTACATATACATACTACATTTATATCTTCATGGAACTTCCATCGACCATTTCGCTCCACATTCTGTTTCTCATGACCTCACTAGGGTCCGCTCAACGGACACTCTATGACAGAGTGCGGCTACCTTATCCGTTCTCTTGGCTATGCATACCTCTGGTGGCTGTTGCACCATATGACCTAACAGGTATATATTGCACAGGCAACAAGTGAGTGAAACACAATGCAAGCAAATTCCGAGCGAAACATACGGGCATCACTAATCTAGCACAATCTTTTTGAGGCATCTTTGAAATGTTGGCTGAACAGAATTTCCGATATATCACAATCGTTTTTCTCAATTGCGCGAACGATTCTGTACTGCTGCGACCCTCATCCGAGTGCCGATCGCTACCTAACTTAACTAAGGTTAACGGGTGGGCCACGGGCCTCTGTTTAGCGCGAAGCTGTCACGGCTAGGGCAGTACCCAATGAATGCTAATTGGATATAGCCACTGTTCATAGAACGTCTTTGCGCAGAGAGATTGACTTCGAAATGCACGGGTATGCTGTGATTGGGTCGTTGAGCGCAGAGGAGTCGACCCCTGGAGAAGCTACGTACATGTCATAGCCCAAACCAATCTTGCTGATCATGACGTCGTTCTAGGTATCCCGAGTTGCTAAGTCATCATCACGAATCATCAAATTTCCTCAAGAGAAGCAAATATCTCTGATGGCGTGAGATCATAGTTCATGATGAAATATGGCGGAAGGAGAGGTACAGCCTCATAACCGGGCAAAGTGGGGAAGTTTAGTGAGAACCCTCTCACCAGCTGACCAACACCTCTCATATGCCGTGTTTAGTAACTTTGGGGGCAGCGAATGGTTTAACCACACGGCTTGCCTTCATCGACCGAAACTAAGCCGCAGACCCTTTTATGATTGCGACAGACGCGGGTATAGGTTAGCATTGACCCTGGTCGGCCCGAATGTCTGCCACAACAACCAAAGTCAATCCTGCCGGCGTCGGGTGGCTGAAATTCTGTAGCCTGTCGCAAAAGGGGCCAAACACGTGCGGACCAACCAGACACGTGCAGTTTCGCTTGGGTATACACCAATTGTTAGATCGGAAGGTTAAAGTGGTTGGCTTACTATAACTGCCTTTTCTCGAACTCCATCGCAGCCTTCCATAGCCCTAGGCTGCTCTGGGCTGCCGTGGAGATGTTTTTGTTATATACAAATGGGCGCCGCCCCAGAAGGGGGCCTTTCGGCCGTTTTTATTCTCCTAACCTTTCTTTTCTTCATTTTCAAGCTTCCTCGAAGACTTTGTGATGAGATGTACTTTCCTTTAATCGCGGCCTTTTTGGTCCTGATTGTCTCCGTAATTGCCTATGTCGGTGATGAAGCCCGGAATCTGAATACTCCCGTCTCTCAGGGCTGGAGCCCAGAAGACGCCAATGGATCACCAGAATATCGGCCTCTAGAAAGAAGAAGCGGTGCAACCTGTGGCCCCTCCGCCAACAACGCTGTTTGTGCTTCCAACCTCTGCTGCGGACCAAATGTATAGTATTCCCAACACCGCCCCACTGTTACATCTCACTTACCGATGACTTCCAGGGAGTATGTGGAACGGGTGCCTATTACTGCGCTGCCCCATCCTGTCTGTTTCAGTATGGCCCTGCTTGCGATGCCAACCAGACCCCTGCCGGCATCAATACTACCTCCGTCCCCCGACCAAAATTAGGCAGCACTCCTTACGGTGTGAGCATCAGGGACTGCAGTATCCCCGGAAAGGTTGCTCTCACATTCGATGATGGCCCGTACATCTACACATCGGCTCTACTCGACATCCTCAAATCCAAGGGTGTCAAAGCTACATTCTTCCTGGTTGGGAATAATGGCGGCAAAGGGCAGATCAATGACCCCAAGACGGGATACCCGGCTCTCATACAGCGCATGTACAGTGAGGGCCATCAGATTGGGAGTCACACTTGGAGCCACGCAGACTTGTCCACCTTGAACCGTCAACAGCGGTATGATCAGGTGGTCAAGAACGAGATTGCTCTCACGGACATTCTGGGATTCTTCCCCACATATCTCCGTCCGCCATATGAGTCCTGCAATGCAGATTGTCTAAATGACCTGCGAGATCTTGGCTACCATGTGGTAAGTCTACAACATTCATCTCCTACCAAGCACCCTGCGGAGTCTAAGAAGCCGTTCTTTTGTACAGGCAAATTATGACATCGACACGCTTGACTGGCAAGGTGACTACGGACATAGTCAAGGTATCTTCTCCAGCGGCCTGAAAGCCGCCTCCGCGGGCCACGGCTTCATCTCCCTTGCCCACGACATCCACGACAAGACCGTCCACACCTTTGCATCCTACATGATCGATACCCTCCACGCTGCTGGCTTCACGACCGCTCTGTATGGTGAATGCATGAACGACCCCCCAGAGAATTGGTATCGCAATTCCATCACGGGCCAGCCATACAATGGTAGCCTCTCCCATAACAGCTCATCTGCCTCGACTGCCAAGTCGGTGTCTGCCAGCAGCAACTCAACAACGACGAACACCATTCATACTTTAAGCACGTCGACATCTTCACCTACGCCGAGCGCGGTAGACGGCGGCGAGGGGGCTTTCGGAAGTCGTACGGGCAATGCGACCAGTGGTGGCGCTTCTGGCACAAATAGTACAAATGTGACGAATAGCACCATTGCAAAGAGCCAATCAGCGTCGGGAGGGGCTACGAAGCTTTCCACCACAGCAGGAAAGCTTGGAGAATTGGGCTTGACTTGGGGACTGCTTAGCTGGATGTTTTTGACATGGGCGTGATACATCCGTGGTAAGACGCGCGAGTAATCAACTCTTCATGACCCAGTTATTGATCTACCAAAATTCTACGATTAATTTTACTACATGTTACTCTCGGAGTAGCCCGAGGGACGTCGGGAACTATTTGTAGAGGGTATGAAGTATGCGCCTGTCTGTGGCGTCAAGGTATAGAAGCTGCTGATCAGCCTAGACTCTCTACAGAGAAATGTGCTAGGTTATTGGAGTTAGTTAAACGGTGGTAAAAGTTTCTTCCAAAGAGAGTTTCTTTCCATATAAAAAAGCTATATACTTGATGTGCGCAATGACTCGCGTGGTGGGGAGAAAAAATCAAAAGAATATGGGGGCATAGTTATAAGACCAGCACATCGCAGGTGCATGATCAGGATACTTTCTAGGGTATGTGTAGCAATCTGGGAGTAGTTCTCGGGGTTACATGGAGATGACCAGAAGGGGGGAAAGTAGCTTTGATTTCCATGCAAGGCGACACTATTCCCGTACGATGCGCCCGACAGGCTCTTGTTAAAATTGCCCTTTTTAGAAGTTCGCCCGGCCTCATCTAAGGGAGGCAATAGTAGTAGGATCCCCGAAGAAGCTAGCAGGACCTACGGTGCAAATCGGCTTATGGTGCAAATCTGGAGTGGCCAGTGGTTGCCCTGCTGCAGGACATATCTGATCTTTCCATGAACATTCAGTCCGATACAGTAGAGCTGAAATGGCCCTCGAATTGGGTTATGAGCTGAATCATTCCGGGTCGCGCTGATTTGTGATCCAAACTTGTACCAACCGGGGCTTTGGGTAAGGTTACTATCCGCCGATGGATGATGGCTCGGAGGTTTGTCGCTTCGGAGCTACTTGTCGGGGGCAAAATCTAAGCACAGTCAGACGTTCTAGCCTCAAGAGTGAAGACGAGTCTCATGGATGTTTCCATGCAGGTATCGGCGAACAAAAGAGTGGTACCAGTAGTAAGTAGTGCCCGGACTTGAGCGATGCATGGTACATGGAGGATTTCTGGAACGTCTCGAATGGTTTTCCTTATGCAGGGGGAAGTGGTTACTCCCCCACGTGTTGGCACGTGCTTGAAGATGAAGATGTTAGACTGTCAGTGAAGAGATATCATTCGTGGATTGGTGATTTGAATGTTCAAAATTTGCAGTGATGATCGGAGTAGTTAAGAAAAGGAAAAAAAAAGTAAAACAAAAACTACCATTAAACAGTCGAGCCTAGATCCATTTTGATCCCATATGGGCCCGGCCCGATGCCGTGGGGAGATACACGTGCGCGATCCATTGGATGGAGCGATTGCGGAGTTCTGAAACAAGCTTCCATCAAGCAGATTCCAAGACTCTTAGCAGCTGTAAGTAAGTAACCACTGTAAGTAAGTTAGGTACTGATGTACTTACTCATTTCGCGGAGAAACACCTATCTGACAATTAGATTCGATCAGAAATCTGGGAAGTGTCTCGAAACATGGTATATGTTCTCTGGTTGCCACTTCTTCTAGGCAGACAATTACTTCCATGAATATTGAAGCTCTTCATCTTGAATTGCTGACCGAGTAACCACCATGAACCCAATCAGTTCATATCGCTTAGATTGTCACTCCTTTATCTCTTAGTCGTGAACGTGCTCTTCCTACGCAACCATTGGAACTTGGGTCAATGTCACCAGGGCTGGTTTTACGAACGCCATCTTGGCATCGGGCGACCGTGGATGGTCAGAGTGGCAGTTCTTGGCAAGCCATCGCAGCCTTTGGATCATCTTGGCGTCGGGTGGCCATTGGTGAACTGCACGCCTCCTGCTTGGCACGGCTGGTCCCCATTGTCCACTCAGCAGCTCGCAATCAAGCACGATGTCGCGATATCTCTGCTGGTTCAGTATATCAGACACCAAAACCATTGATCTTGACAAGCCTCAGCCAAGCTCGTGAGGATGCACACAAGCCTCTCCAAGCCTGCCTAAGCTTTGATGCCTAGAGATTTCCAAGAGAAAGTGGAGTTGCTGCTCGACATCTATACCTTGCTTGTGTTTATAAGGGGCGACACTTCCCCCTGCTGCTCTGTGAACACCCCAGCTGATTGTCTTTTTTTTCTGCATCTTCCAGAACTTTTTTTGGAAGCCCTTGTCAGGCCAAAGACAAAAAAACAGTCCTCAGACATGGCTGGTGCTCTCACTGAAGGCGGAAACTCCGCCTTCCGCAACCACAACAACGACTTTGCTCATGTCGAAGACCCCATTGAGCGTCGTCGCTTGGCTCTGGCCGAGATTGACAATGCCAAGTTCGGCTGGTATCACGTTCGTGCTATCGTCGTGGCGGGTGTGGGTTTCTTCACTGACTCCTACGATATCTTCGCCATCAACTTGGCCTCGGCCATGTTGGGTGTTGTCTTCTGGCAGGATGCGAAGACCAACGTGGGCAAGATCCCCTCTACCGCTGATACTGCCATCAAGGTCTCGACCTCCGGTGGTACTGTGATCGGTCAGCTCGCCTTCGGTTGGCTTGCGGACCGCATCGGTCGTAAGCGCATGTACGGTATTGAGTTGATCATTATCATCATGGCCACTCTCGCCCAGGCTCTCTCCTCCGACTCTCGTGCTATCTCTATCGTTGGTATCCTCATCTTCTGGCGTGTGATTATGGGTATCGGTATTGGTGGCGACTATCCTCTTTCTTCTATCATCACATCTGAGTATGACCTACCCTTTCCTATCTTTGAAAGTTTCCTCGCTAACCATGTGGTGTCTGCTAGGTTCGCTACGACAAAATGGCGCGGTGCTATGATGGGTTCCGTCTTCGCCATGCAGGGTATCGGTCAGTTCGCGGCTGCTATCGTGGCCCTGATCGTGACTACTGGCTTCAAGGAGTCTCTGGAGACTGCTAGCTCCGTTGCCAAGTGCTCTGGTGTTTGCCAGCTCGCTGTCGACAAGATGTGGCGTGTCGTGATCGGCTTCGGTGCTGTTCCCGCTTGCGTTGCCCTCTACTACCGTCTCACTATCCCCGAGACTCCCCGTTACACCTTCGATGTTGCTCGTGATATCGTCAAGGCCGATGAGGATGTCCGTGCCTACATTGCTGGCAAGCGCGAGGGCCACCCTGATGAGGTCCGCCGTGCGTCCGTCATCCAGAACCACACCGCTGAGCTCGTTGCCCCCAAGGCCAGCTGGGCCGATTTCTGGCGCCACTACTCCCAGTGGAAGAATGGCCGCGTCCTCCTCGGTACCGCTGGTTCTTGGTTCTTCCTTGATGTTGGTAAGTGCCTCTGTTCCTTTTCCTTCTGCTGATTCGCCTGGAGCTAACATGCTGGGCAGCTTTCTATGGTCTTGGTCTGAACAACTCCATCATTCTCGGCGCTATCGGCTGGAGTGGTGGTGCTAACGTCTACGAGTCCTTCCGTCGCAATGCCGTTGGTAACCTGATTCTCATCTGTGCTGGTGCTATCCCTGGTTACTGGGTGACTGTGGCCACCGTTGATACCATTGGCCGTAAGACCATCCAACTGATGGGCTTCATCATCCTCACCATTGTCTTCATCGTGATCGGTTTCGCCTACGACCCTCTTCTCAAGTCGAACAACGGTCTGCTGGGTCTCTACGTCGTTGCCCAGTTCTTCTTCAACTTCGGACCCAACGCGACCACTTTCATCGTCCCCGGAGAGTGCTTCCCTACCCGTTACCGTTCCACCTCCCACGGTATCTCCGCCGCCTCTGGCAAGGTTGGCGCCATCATCGCCCAGTGTGTGTTTGGCCCTCTGGTCCACCGTGGCGCCAAGGACTCCTCGTCCACTCCCTGGCTGAAGCACGTTATGCAGATCTTCGCTCTGTTCATGCTGTGCGGTGTCTTCACCACTCTCCTCATCCCCGAGACCAAGCGCAAGACCCTCGAGGAGCTTTCCGGTGAGGACACTGACACTCTCGTCAACCCTTCTCCCATGATCCACCCCGAGAAGGTTTCTGGAGAGAACAAGTCCGAGACTCTGCCCGTTTAAAGGGTGTCTGAACTCGGCAAAACTTCGATTCCAGGTGTCTCGATGCTCCGTGCTCTGACTCTGTAACTTAACTTATTTCCTTTTGTATCACGTACCTTATACCACATACCACAGCTTATTAATAGATTGAATGCAAGTGCTGTAATCACTTTGTTTCTTTCTCCAGTAGAAGTGAGAAAAGTACGCGATAATTGAATGACAGAAATTGAGATGAGTGAAATCGATGAGAAGACCTAGATGTGGTCCCTCGATGAGTTTCCGCGGTTCATGACGGTTCATGACGAAGAAATTCCCAACGTGTTCAGAAGAGGAAAAGGAAAAAAATGGACGGGGCGTATTTCTGATGGTTTAAATACCAGGACATCCCCCCTTGTCCGTTGAGAAGTTTGCCTCCGTCTTCATCTCTCCAACTCTTTCGGTCTCCCACCACCAAACCTCCACTTCCAAGGCGCAACCAGCCTGGTCTATCTTCCCCCGATTTTACGTCGCACTCCAACGCAGACCAAACAGAACAGACGACAGATTGACAACTGATCTATCTGCGACCAATTCTTCAAATTACGACCACTTTCGCCCTACATTCGTTTTGGAGACGGCACCCCCCTAGTAAAATGTCGGAGCAACCGCTCCTCACGCCAGAGTGCACCGACTCAAATCCCACTACAGACTCCCCAACTGCAATCCCCGAGCTATCTACCTACGTCGCGACCGATGCCGATGAAATCCTCGTTGCCCACCGGTTAATCGCCGACAGCGTCGCGCAACAGCGCCAACTCGCCGCCCGAGCGGTCATCTTCCACCCTGGGTGGCTCGGAGCCATGGCCGCCGTCATCGCCGTTATCTACAAGCTGTTATACCATGACTCGTCGGATCTCCCCTTGATCGGAACTACGGGGGCAGGATGTGTGATGGCCGGGTTGACGCTGGTGCGCGTGTTCACGGGCGGGTACATTGAGCACGCCGAGCATGTAGGAACGAGGGCATGGTTGGAGGCGGAGGATGGATCGGAGGAGGACGAGCAAGATATTTTGGTGACCAAGTTTGGAGAGAAGATTATCGGCGCGCTCGTTGTCAGGGGTGTCCGGGAAGGTCGCAAGGTGCACGGCGTCATTCGGGCGTGGACGGTGCAGCAGAGGTATCGCGGGAAGGGAGTCGGAACGGGTTTGCTCGAGGAGGCGATTCAGATCTGTCAGAAGAGACGGTGGAAGGGGCCTGAGTTTGATGAGAAGCATGCGAATGCGAAAAAGGTCTTGCCAGGCTTGTTCAATGAGCCGTTTGAGAGGAGAGAGAGACGGGCGCGGGGAGCACTGGAGAAGCTGCTGAAGAAGAAATAGAAGCGCCAGAAGGACGGATATAGATTAGTGTCAAGTAATGTACATGATAATGGTCAGTAATACTTCTCTCAAAGCAGACAACTGGTGATGCCAACAGAGTCGAAGAAGTCTCACTGAGGAGCACTCCTCGCTGGTCACATGACATTTTACCTTTATCCCAAGGGTATCGATGTCGATCTTTAACCTCCTACGGATGGACTGTCTCTCATTATCGACTTCAACAAGAATGACCGATTCCGACAAAAGAAGAGAGACACGGGAGAATATGTCTGCCTGACACGGGATACGACTACTACCTCGACGGAGCTTTTACCTTTTCAACCATGAGCGCTCAACTTTCTCCCACCAGGATAATTACAGTAATAGCTTTGACTAGGATAAACTGGGTGGCTCGGAGAGACATGTGGAGCTCGCGGTGCCCAGGGTCCATCTTGAGGACTTTAGACTGAGACATAACTTGGCAGTTGTGGCAAAGAATGATGCAGATTGTCCGTTGCTCTTGGAGCTAGGTGGTTTTACCAAAGCAGCAGGTTTGGTAACCTCTCCTGCTACCAAGTACGGTATTTGCTAGATGGGAGGGGAAGAGACTGTTCGTTCAGGCTTGACAATTTTTTTGATGTGAGTAACGACCCTTAGGCAAGCATTTTTATTACGGTGCTAATGGCACAGCGGATAGACCTCATTATGCATCATGCTGCTTTCGAATAATGCTCCGAGGGTGGGTTGACCGAGGTCATCAAATCATGCAATTCTTCATAACATCCATACCCCATATCCAAGAGGCCCAAGTGGGGTATCTTCAGAAGTTGTGGATACCGATTTGCCCAGCCGGGATCCCACAGAACGTTCCGCAGCTAATAATAGTTTGCTCGAATCAATGAATGCTATATGTCTATTCTCCGATGTTATTCCGTCAAATTTGGCGTCAATGTTTGCTAGAGACTGAGACCATATCAGATGTTGCGAGGGAATTCCACCATTTGGTGCACCTGTTCCTGAGAATAGGAGCCTGGACAGCGATTATAAAGAGCAGGAATCACCCCGAGTCACACCAGTACACAAGCACTTCAACTTTACACTCCAAGTCATTGCAAGACTCATCAATATTGCAAGCTACAACATCTTCAGACCTCCCTCGTCGCCAAAATGCAGATCAAAAACGCCATCTTCGCTGCGTGCCTCGCTGCCACTACTACAGCTCTGCCCGCCACCCAGTCCAACACTTTCAACCTCATTGCAATTCATTCCGCATCAGGCGTGCAGTATGCTACCTTCAACGCCGCCAAGAGCAGCATTTTTGCTGGTCTAGCCTCCCAGAATGCCAGCTGTGCCCGTCCAGAAGAACAAGTTGCTACTTTCTACCTCAACAACGGCGCCCTCTATCTTTATGACCAATCTGCCACTCCTCAAGAACTCTATGTTGATCGTTCTGGAATGGGTAAGTTGACAACAATATCTCTGAGTTTATGATATTACGGGACTAATATCGAACAGGTCAGGGTAAGATTGGATATACCACTGGCGCTCAGTCCGCCCCCAGGAACGCTGAGCGGGAAGGCTGGGCAGTCAAGGATGGACACCTGCAATTTGCGGGCAGTGATCTCATTGCTTGCCCCAACAGCATTGAAAACTCTTGGTCTATTTGGGCCGCTGCTGGTGTGTCCAACCCGGCTGGAAACAGTGACTGTGTTGGTATTGCAGCTCGTGTCGAGGAGACTTCCAACCCCAACGGATGCCTGTACACTGAGTAAGGCATGCAGGGCGGTCACTTTTGATGAAAGGAGGATTCGCTACAGCTGGAAGCAAATGTTGTTCACAGCTCTACCTCTTATTCTGTTCGTGTATTCATCTCATATCATGTAAGCCCATGCACATGATGGAAGAAATTCAATATCAATTGTCTTAGGGTTCACAACATCAGATTCTCTGGTTCTCAATTATCACTGTTCACCTTCCTTTATGTGGTGGTAGTGATCATGTGTAATGAAATAGCATGGGGACGGAAAGGAGGACAAACGTGGTCCAGGGTCTTGAAGGTGGATATTACGAGAAGACCAGAGAGATCATGCATCAAACTGCCTCTTCTCACATTTGACGTGTAACACTTTCTATGCCGCGTATACAATCATGATCCCAAGGATCAGGTCACCCATCCGTGTCAGCCGTTGTCGACTTGAGTTAGCCTAATTTCCGTGACGCTTTGCTGATTTTGGCGCTAAGTCGTCGCTAAGCTACTATTTACCCGAAGTCACATGTTTGCAGATTATCCGCCCAAGCAGCTATAAGCTAGCTCCGAAGGCCTCGTTTCGGTGTAATAATCCAAAGAATTCTAAGCTACAGTTTCGAATTAAACAATGGATCAAACCACACACTGGGTCCACACCTGGGCCGCGATGCCCATGCGTTCCGAACCAGATAAACTACCCCCGAAAGAATTTGTAAGTTCTTGCCTACGCAAATCTCGAGTCTAATGTTAATCAATTATTTTCTCCAGACTAGAGATACAATCATATTTCACAATACCACGATCCGACAAACTGTCAAGATCACCCTGGGCACTGAGAAGTTGTTTCGTCTCCGATTATCCAACGCCTTCGGCACCGATGATCTGACAGTAAACCAAATAACGGTGGCCCTGGCAAAGAACAATTTATCAGGAACTACCAAAATCGAAGCGCATACGTTACAGAACGTCACATTTGACGGCGGGCTGGTTACAACAACAATCGTAGGCGGGGCGCAAGCTGTCTCTGATCCGATCGATTTTGGATTTCCCTTATCGCCAAACACAGTGCTCAGCATTAGTCTCTTTCTGGAGAACGGACAGTACAGTAAAACTGGGATTACTTCGCATCCAGGTAGCCGGACCACGTCATTTTGTAGTCTGGGAAATTACGTGTCTGAACCCGAATTGACTGACCCTTCGGTTCAGGAGGTGGAACATTGGTAAGTCGCTGTCGCATCCCAAGAAGCTGAGCTCTGATGAATTGTCTCAGGTTCTATATATCAGGAATTGAAGTTCTGGCTCCGCGTGAATCGTGCGCCTTCGTTATTATTGGCGACAGCATCACGGACGGAAGATGTAGTACAACCAATGGCAATGATCGGTAAATCAAACTCTCTCAAAGTCTCAATGTTTCTGTCGTGTGTCTATATTGACTGTTTTGAATCACAGCTGGCCCGATCTTCTCTTTACCCGCCTCCAGTCCAACCCAGCCACTGCATCCATTTCTATCCTCAACCAGGCAGCTGGTGGCAACCGCATCCTCGCAGATGGAATCGGTCCCAATGTTCTCAGCCGCCTCGACCGTGATGTCCTATCTCAATCAGGAGTGAAATACGTTCTCATCTTTGAAGGTGTGAATGATATTGGAACTGCTGAAGCTAACGAGGAGAGCCAGGCGATGATTGGCGATCGAATAATCGCCGGGTATAGACAGGTCGCGACAAGAGTACATGCTCATGGGATTTCAATCTTTGCTGCAACAATCACACCCTTCGGATTGAGAAAAGAGGAGCATGTGGTTGATGCGGAGGCTGAGGGCATCACGGGGTATGCGAATCCAATCCGGGAACCCACGAGACAAAGAGTGAACGAATGGATTCGGAGCAGCGGTGTTTTTGACGCTGTTATTGATTTTGACCAAGTCCTGAAGGACGAAGAGGAGAGTGGGGTGTTGAGAAGAGAGTTCGATTCGGGTGATCGGCTACATCCTAATACGCTAGCCTTCAAGGCGTTGGCGGACTTTTTCCCTTTGGAAGTCTTCGATGGGGTTTGAGCCCTATGAAGGAGCACGGTTGAAGAAACTATCTAATGAAACTGTAAATAGATTGCTTTCGATCTTGAATTCAATAGAAGTAACATCGATTTTATTCAGTTGAAATCTAAGGCTATACATGATCATTTAAGGAGTGAAAGTGCATGCGCCTTCGCATGAATCTTTTACACAGACACATAAGTAACCATTGACCTCGCGGGAACATTGGCCTGGAAAGCCCCTCCATTCTTCGATACAACAGCCGTCAGAGGCTCCAAGTTAAACTCGTTGTTTGTGATGTAAGGCTTCACCCACACACCCGATTTAAGACCAGCGATCCGTACGTTGGCTTCAATCGTTGAATCGCCCTGGTTTATTAATTGAGTGGCAAGGCGTCCATCCTTGTTCTTGAACGAACTGACGGTGAGATTTGCATAGGTACTGGCAGCCTCAATGCGGCGAGCACCGGGGCGCACAAACCTGCTGAACTGAGCAAAAGACCAAAATCTCTTAGACGGAATCACCTCGTTGTTGATGAGATTGATCAGGCCACTATTTGTAGTCGAGTTTTCAGCGCCAATCCAGTAGAGGAATCCGCTAACTCCAGCATCCCTTAGCGCAACCTGGATGTGATTGGCCCAAGTCAGACCCTCTCCGGGGCCTCCATTCTTGTAGAAATCGTAAGGTGTATAGCCACCACTCAGATCGGCCCACTCGGACTGCCAGGTCTTCTTGTTGGTACTCAAAGGATAGCTAGGCGCCGAGTCATATCCGTGGCCGGTTACTACGTCAAGGTAGTTGATAGCTGGATCTGGACCCGCGTTCAGACCTGCCATCATGGCTTCTTGGTCATCCCAGCCAATGCCATCGCAACAGGTTATTTTGACATCGAGACCAGATTTCTTGACAGTTTTGGCCAGCACACGGATAAACTCAGCAGCCTGTGTACCGTTTGAGAGCATGCCAGCATAGGTAGCAGCAAATTGGGGCTCATTCAAGAAACCCAAATGGGTGACTGTCACCCCAGACTCTTTGTAGAACCGCGCGTACTGGACCAGATAGTTGGCATAAGCCTGCATCCAGTTTCCACTGGCACATGGCTCGTTTGCCACACCACAGAGGTATCCACCGTTGTTCTCATCGTTGTTGGTCTTCATGTAGCCCGGAGCGGACCACGCATTGGCATAGAGAGTATGGAGACCGCGAGAGTAGGCTTGTTCAGCGAGAGGGAATTGGCCGCTGTTGTAGTGATCCCAAACATACTCAGGAGTTGCATTCGAACCCCCTGGATTCTTTGGCTCGATTGAGTTCATGAGATTGCTGTTGGAAGTATTACTGGAGCCGATGCCATTGCGGAGAATGGTGAACCCCGCACCGACATTCTCATTATAGAGAAGATCGAGAACGAGTGATTGATTCACGGCCGGTAATCCATATTTACCGAAGATGTCTTCAGCACGTTGAAAAGCCTGAGAGGCTCCAAAACCGTCCACTTCTTGGAATTGAACTCTGGGATTGACAGAGACAGAGATGCCAGACGACGATGTAGGTGTTGCTGTGACCCTCGCGACAAGCGCCCCGAGGAGAAAAACCTTGTCAATGACGGAGAGCTGCATTGAAACTAGTAGAATCAAAAAGAAAAAGCTGTAAGAATCGGCCAAGTCTCGTCGAGTACATGGGTTATGTTTTTAAAGGATGTTAATTTCGCTACGAGATTCTGGGAATGGTATCTTGTTGATTACAACCGGTACCAAAGTTCAACGAGTTTAGCAGAATAATCTGCAAGCTAAGCGGTGATTCTGGATAAAAGCAATTCTAAGTTCTCATTCTCATGTACGAGCAGGGATTGCTAGTGCATCCAGCCGCCTTTCACTCATCTACACGATATCTTCACTTCCCCGTGGGGGCGCCCTGTCTTTGTTCTTTTGCCTAAACTAAGTGGCCGGGTGATTACGGACAGATGGAATTTGCCGTCAATTCTCGGTATGATCCCCTGCACCGAATTACTCTTTCCCCGGTATTTTGGTTAGTCTGGGGAGAAGGGGAGAGTCGAGGGAATCTTCTCCGTTCTTACCTTGGCCTAGATTTCTTTTGGGCGATTTCCCCGCACATCCCTGACCATACCGAGTAATAATCTTCCCCATTACGAGTCATACCCCGGGGTTAAACCGACCAACATACTTTACATAATGACTGCCATCAGCAGGAAGGCCGGTAGTATTATCGGGCGTCTGGGCTGATCATAATGCGTGGGCGATAGTTCTATCTATCAGGAGCTTAACAAGACCCATTGGGCAAGTATGTCATGAGCAATTTCCAAAATGAATATATGCCCAGAATGCCCAGTCCACCACAGGCTAAGACTTTCGGTGGCTTACCCCCACGCGTAAGCCAGTCTGAAAATCCACCAATCATGGTAATCTTTACCTCCACCTTGTGGCTTTCAAACCGAAGCGAAATGGCAGATGATGGGGCAACTTGTCGTGTTCAAGCTCTCGTTATTTGGTCACAAGGCTGGACCGGGATAGTGACATGGAGCTTTAAGCGGACCGGCAAAATTGCTTATCCCAGCCAGCCCATTCAGATACTATCCAGGATGTTACTGCTGTGACTACTCCGGGATGAAACCAAAATGTGGTTAATAAGAAGCCAGTGCCCATGCACAGAGCCTTCGACAAGGTCTCTGACCGTAACATCTTTCTGTTCACATTTCAATCGCGAAAAAAATCCGAGATGGCCACCGCACAAGGGCCGAAAGATCCTGTTGGCCTCCATTCGACCCACCATGAGGTCGTTGCTCCCGATCACGAACTTCAAGGCTGGGTTGGACTGGCCGAAGACGCTCGCAATGCGACCGCGGAGGAACATCGATTAGGTTTCTTCGACGCGGTGAAAATGTATCCCAAAGCGTGCATGTGGACAATGGTGGTCTCATTGGTTGTGATCCTTGACGGTTACGACACTGCCTTGATTGGATCGCTGTTTGCCTTTCCTGCTTTCCAGCGCAAATTCGGCCATGAGACCAGCAAACCAGGCTCGTATCAACTCGAGGCCAAATGGCAGACTGCACTTGGTCTTGCTAGCCCATTGGGAAATATTGTTGGCATTTATATCAACGCATTCTTGACCGAAAAATGGGGCCACAAGAAGACCTGTTTGGGAACATTGGCCTTCCTGACCGGTGTTCTATTCATCCCATTCTTCGCGAAAAACATCCAAGTTCTTTTCGTCGGAGAACTTCTCTGCGGTCTCGCATGGGGTGTATTCACCACGCTGGCTCCTGCATATGCCTCCGAAGTGGCACCTGTCGTGCTCCGCTCCTATCTCGAAACATACGTTGTGCTCTGCTGGGGTATTGGCCAATTCGTCGCCACCGGTATCCTGGACAGTCTCAACCATCGTACTGATGAGTGGGCCTGGCGTATCCCCCTTGCGGTGCAGTGGGTTTGGCCTGTGATCATTGTTCCAGTGCTGATCTTTGCGCCGGAGTCTCCATGGTGGTTGGTCCGCAAGGGTCGTGTTTCGGAGGCCGAGAAATCTGTCAAACGTCTCTCGTCATCGCAGGACCCGGATCACGCCAAGAAATCCGTTGCACTGATGATTCAAACTACCCAGTTGGAAATGGCAATGACTGAGGGGGCCTCATTCATAGATTGCTTCCGTGGCAGTAACGCCTGGCGCACCGAGATTGGCTGCATTGTCTGGACATCCCAGGTTCTCAGCGGCTTTGCCATCACTTCCTATGCTACATATTTCTACGAACAAGCCGGACTGGCCACATCCGATGCCTATAAAATGAGTGTCGGTCAGAGTGGTTTGCATTTCCTCTGCACCTTGCTATCCGTCTTCATCACGGGTAACTACGGTCGCAGGTCGGTCCTATTCGGTGGATATATTGGTATGGGATTATCCATGTTGACCCTGGGTATTATGGCATGCGTCCACCAGACTACCGGCCTTGGTTATGGAGAATCTGCAATGTTCCTCCTTTGGTATGTCTTCTACGAGCTAACCCTCGGCCCTCTTGCTTTCATCATTGTTGGAGAGATTTCCTCTACACGCTTGCGGTCTAAGAGTATTTCCCTGGCGCGAAATGCCTACAACGTCGCGAACGTGTTCAGCTCCACTGTCGCCCCTTATACGCTTAATCCCACCGAGGGTAACTGGAAAGGCAAGACCGCGTTCCTGGCCGCTGGCTTCACTGTTGTCCTTACAATCTGGGCCTACTTCCGCCTTCCTGAGTCTCAAGGACGTACTTATGAGGAATTGGACATTTTATTCTCGAAGAACTTGAAGGCCTGGGAATTCAAGGATGCCCAAGTTGACGACGATGCTGCTGAGACTATTACGAAGCAGAGATAGCGGAATGGCGTTCAACTGCGGTCCGTAACCTATTATCCAGTTATTTTGATAGTGTGATGTTACGAGAGACGGCAGTTGTAATTTAATGCCTGGGAGCACGATAAATAACCAAAATGAACCAAAAAACCACCAATTTTTGAACAGAAAGTACTGTAAAGCCTATGTTGACCTCATATCTCATATTTCCTGTCACTCCAGCACGCGTACAATAGGAAGCACAGCCAATGCGCGGATAAATGTAATGAAGCCTCGGAATACTGATAAGGGCCGACCGGAGTACCAATCCTGAGAAAGACCGTCCAATTGAAGGATCCAAATTGTGTATTTAATCTTAGCCTGTGGCGGGTACATTGATCACAGCCCAAGAGCCGATAAATGTGGATGTTTACCCCGTCTGAGGGGAATAATCAGAATGTTTTCAAATCTCAACTCGACATTCATTGCCAATTGCCTCTGAAAATGAAGATTGAGAGTGGCCTCGATGGATGGCTACGGTACGCCGAGCTTCCCACGGAATCTAGAAAGACAGCCCGGCATTATTCTGGCATCATTGTTCTTGACAGGGACGAGACGAGCCCCGTTTATACAGCAGGAAAAGAGCTGCAAGATGGTCTAAACCGCATTCTTGGCCAGCGTGTCGATATTGACTTCGAATTGCCCAGTCAATCTTCATCATTGATCGTCGTCGGTACTATTGACTCGTTCTCTGCCGCTGGTGGGAATATCAAGGAAATTCCCGCCCTCAAAGAGGATGGCTTTTGGCTGGATACCCACGCCGACAACAACTGTACCCACATAATCGGTCAGAACGAACGTGGTGCTATCTACGGTGCTTTTGAATACCTCATGCGCCTGGCACAAGGGAATTTCGGTCCTGTCGCGTCTGCAAACAACCCGAGCGCCCCTATCCGATGGGTGAATCAGTGGGACAACCTGGATGGAAGTATCGAACGAGGTTATGCGGGGCCGTCCATCTTTTTCCGAGATGGTGAAGTGGTTGATGATATGACCCGCACTGCTCAGTTTGCTCGTCTCCTCTCGTCCATTCGTGTCAATGCTGTGGTCGTCAACAACGTGAATGCCAACCCCAAGCTTTTCAGTGAGACAAACCTCGATGGCCTCCAACGCATTGCAAATGCCATGCGTCCGTGGGGAGTACGCATTGGTATCTCACTATACTTTGACTCGCCTAAGGAATTTGGTGGTCTACCTACTTCTGACCCATTAGACCCTGCGGTCAACAGCTGGTGGAAGGAGATCACAGCCAAGCTGTATGACAAGGTTCCCGATCTCGTCGGCTACACGATCAAGGCCAACTCCGAGGGCCAGCCAGGACCCCTGACGTACCAACGTACCTTGGCTGACGGTGTTAACATGTTTGCCCGAGCTTTGAAACCTCATGGTGACGGTGTCGTCATGTACCGTGCGTTCGTGTATAACCACCATCTCGACGAGTCTGTATGGGAACACGATCGCGCCAATGCAGCGGTTGACTACTTCAAAGAGCTCGATGGGGAGTTTGACGACAATGTCATAGTGCAGATTAAATGGGGCCCTATTGATTTCCAGGTCCGCGAGCCACCCTCTCCATTGTTGGCCAACCTTCGCAAGACCAAAGCTGCCATCGAGTTTCAGGTCGCGCAGGAGTATCTCGGCCAACAGTCACATTTCGTTTATATGGCTCCGCTGTGGAGAGAAGTACTCGATTTCGACATGAGGATTGATGGTAAGGCCTCTCACATCCGCGATATTTTCTCTGGTGAACGTCTTGGGTGGAATCGCAGCGGCTACACCACAGTCCAAGCGACACAACCTGGATTGGGCATCATCTATCTCTCTCTAACTTGTATGCTTATGGCCGGATTGCCTGGGACCCCCTCTCAGACCCAGTCTTGATCGTTCAAGAATGGACACGTCTCACCTTTGGCCTCGACAAAACCGTCGTCGACACCATCACTAAGATATCCATGGAGTCTTGGCCTACTTATGAAAATTATAGCGGAAATCTGGGTATCCAGACTCTCTGCGACATTATCTACACCCACTATGGTCTGAGCCCAGGCTCCCAGGATGGTAACGGATGGGGTCAATGGACACGTGCCAACGCACATTCAATTGGCATGGATCGTACTGTCGCTACCGGGTCTGGTAATTCAGGCCAATACCCACCTGAAGTTGCCGCGATATACGAGAATATCGAAACAACTCCTGATAATCTTCTCCTTTGGTTCCACCATGTGCCTTACACCCATCGTTTGAAGTCTGGCAAAACGGTTATCCAACATTTTTACGACGCACACTACGAGGGTGCAGCAAATGCGCAGAGGTTCCCAGTGGAGTGGGCAAAATTGAAGGGCCTCATTGACGATCATCGCTTTGAACATGTGGCGTTCAAATTGCAGTATCAGGCCGGTCATGCCCTTGTCTGGCGGGACAGCGTCAACTATTTCTATTTCGCAAAGTGTGGGATTCCAGATGAGAAGAATCGCGTCGGCAACCACAAATGGCGTATTGAAGCCGAGGATATGGAGTTGTCTGGTTACAAGGTTGTTTCTGTCACACCTGCCGAAGCGGCGTCTGGGGGGAAGGCCATCATTACCAGATCAAACGATGCGCCTGGATCTGCCCAGAAGGAACTTCTATTCCCATCCGGTATATATGATATTGCTGTCAATTACTATGATCATCTGGGTGGACGGGCCAAGTACGAGATCTTCCTTGGAGAGAAGTTGATTGGAGCCTGGACTGGTGATTTGGAGGACAGGCTTGGACACGATTTCTCAGAGTATTTGGATGGCCACTCGGCAACTAGGGTCACTTTCTGCGGAATAAAGATGGAAAAGGGGGACCTCCTCAAAATCGTTGGTCAGCCTGATGGCAGGGAACTCGCTCCATTAGACTATGTTTCCGTTTTGCCCGAGGGTACCATTGATTGAGTGATCTTTTGTGTTGGTATTTAGTACCGATCTCCTATATTAGAACCAGTTCCTGAGCTAGATTGGGATTTGTCATTTGAACTAAGGGGTAGGAATCAAATCATAAATAGATACTCTGGCCTCAGAGAGCAATACCCTCTGAATCACCCTATTCTCCCCCACTTCGTAAAGTGGGACGCCTTTCCATGTTGACAATCCCCACGGTCCAGTATGCATGGTACCTTATCTTGCCACGTACACTTAATGAAGGCTTATCAATTTGGCCCCAGCTTTTCACCTGAAAGCAGAAATAGAAACACCACAGATCCTGATTGCAAAGTTCCTTAGCGGATAATGAATGGGTCGGGTCGGGTCGGGTCATTGACCGGATGATGTGCCTAGACTTGATCCAGGTCTGTGGTTAAGAGCATTCAGCTCAATAATCAAGCCCTCTATTCACCTAGTAATCAATTCTCCTTTGCATTTTTGTATAGTGACATGGATCAGATAGGGTTGCGGCGTTACATAGGAAACTTTCCCCAGCGCCCATAAGCTATTAATCCGAAGCGGATCGCGGCACGAGAGTGGGTCGGACCAGCAATCACAACATCCATCATGGGTCATCATGGAGTCCTCCGGAGATCCAATGAGCCTGATGCGCCCTTTGCTCCACCAGCAAAGCGCAAGGCTGCGGCTACAAGTTAAGGAACGACCCTCCGCAGTAGCTCAGGGTCTCGAAACTACTAACAATCTAGCCTCCGGGCATCTGTGTGTGAAAACCACTTGCTCCCTAAATATAACCCGTCATCCTGTCCGAGGCTATAATTCTGATAACCCCCTTTCGCGATTGTCTACCTTGGTGCCATTTTCAAGACCTGGCGTCCGTTAATCTATTATCACGGCCTGAATCACACAAGTCCCATTCACCACGACCCACTTAAATTGTCAAGCACTGCCTCTCGTCAAGAATTATTTGTAATGCCATCAACTCAAAGTTCTTACTTCCAAAGCTACCCCAATGCCGAAGGATATTTCGGTCAGTTTGGCGGCAACCATTATCCACCCGAACTTCGGCCAGCACTAGAAGAACTGGCCAGCAGCTATGAGGAGCTTCGTCAAACGCCAGAATTCCAGCAAACTCTCAACAAAGTGCGAGGCGGGCTTCAAGGGCGACCAACCCCGATACATCACCTCGAAAATATTTCCAATCAGGTCGCGGGCGCCCAGATCTTCATTAAGCGAGAAGATCTCAACCACACGGGCGCACACAAAATCAATCACTGTGTTGGCTTCGCCCTTCTCGCCAAGAAAATGGGCAAGAATAAACTAATTGCTGAGACTGGAGCTGGCCAACACGGCGTCGCGCTGGCAACTGCAGCTGCCTACTTTGGCCTTGAATGCGAAGTCCACATGGGGGAGATGGATATCAGTAAGCAAAGTTCAAATGTCGGTCGCATGCAGCTGCTCGGCGCACGTGTGGTACCAGCAACTACCGGCCAGTCCGCGCTGAAGGATGCCAGCGATTCCGCATTCAACGCGTATGTTGAGCAACATGAGCACGCGCTCTATGCGATCGGATCGGCTATCGGGCCACATCCATTCCCAATGATTGTTAGAGACTTCCAAGCTATAGTTGGTCGTGAGGCCCGCGAGCAGTTTATCTCCATCACAAATGGAAGCTTACCCGAGCATGTTGTTGCCTGCGTCGCAGGCGGTTCCAATGCGATGGGTATATATTCTGGCTTCATTGATGATCCAGATGTTGCTTTGCACGCAGTAGAGCCTCTTGGCATATCTGATGAACTAGGCCAACACGCAGCGACGCTATCATATGGAAGACCGGGAACCTTGCATGGCGCTCGATCACTTGTGCTACAGAAAGACGACGGTACGTCTGCTGATGTCTCCTCTATCGCATCAGGACTCGCCTACCCCGGCGTTGGTCCAGAGATTGCAATGCTCCATGAAACCGGTCGGGTTTGCATCGCAGCGATTTCCAACGAGGAAGCCATTAGTGCATTGTTCCGCATGGCAAAGTTCGAGGGAATCATCCCCGCCTTGGAAAGTGCGCATGCCTTAGCGTTTGCGATCCGCTTGGCTTCACGGCGTCCTTCATCTGAACGAATACTGGTCAACCTTTCAGGGCGTGGCGACAAGGATGTTGAGTTCGTACTTGAGAACTATGGGACAGGCGCCTAACTGGGACTTTCATGAAATACCGCTTGTCACAGTCGTCCTTGAAATAGACCACCAATACATACTCAATAACTAAATCTTACAGTCTGATTTTGCCACTAGACAAGTGTAACTACTATTCGAAGTGAAGATATATTAAGGGAGAATGCATACTTATAGCTTCCAGCACAGGCGTCACAAATTTTGTCCATGAAATTTGAACAGGACTTACCTGCCTTACGCCTAAGGTTCTCCTCACCATATACTATATCTACCTTGCCGGCTGGTATGTCAAAACAACTTCAAATTTCAACTGCAACATAGCGGCATCCATGATGTAGATCAACTATCGTAATATTTAGAATCATGTATTCATTGAGAATCTTCTAGTTTTCTTGGCAGAGCGAACTACGTAGGTTTAGCACATAGGGGCTGTCACCAGATTAGTCCAAGATAGGATAATTATGAACCAATCACAGATCTGCTTCAATGACCAGCCAAAAACATCTATTATCGCCTATTAGAGCGTGACTTTCAACTGTGAACTAAAATCTATAAAAAAATTTTCTTTTAATATTTTCTTTTGAGTCCTACAGAATTGTGTGTTTCTCCCCTGCCTTCCATTCCGACTCATCGATTCTTACCCTGCTGATAACTACTTGACAGTTCCTCTACCTCCCCGAAGGAGACCGCAGGAACACAATACACCAGAAAACAAGATATGGAGATTTCCCCAGACAGCAATAATCGGGATACTGGCAATGACCTGGATGAAAAGCCAAGAGAATCTCCGGGATCTGAAACATTCAGTTATCCCTCCGGCCTGAAATTGGGGTTCATCTTTGTGGCTCTATGCTTGACGGTCTTCTTGGTCGCATTGGTTTGTGTTCCAATTGTCCCTGCGGGTGTTGGATCCGCTGATGATACAAGAGCAATAGCTAATGAGTGAGAACATGAACATGACCAAACAATCATCGCTACCGCCATCCCAACGATCACCTCGCAATTCCACAGCGTGGAAGATATTGGATGGTACGGTAGTGCTTTTCTGCTCACGACTTGCAGCTTCCAACTCTTCTTCGGCAAGCTTTATTCCTTATTATCTATCAAGTGGACTTTCGTTGCTGCCATAATAATCTTTGAGATCGGTTCGGCCATTTGCGGCGCCAGCCCCAATTCCGTTGACCACATTATCGGTCGAGTTGTTGCCGGTATTGGAGGCGCGGGCATCTTTTTTAGCGCACTGATAATCATCCCTAAGTCAGTACCTTTATCGAAGCGACCGGCATTCACGGGGATAATAGGAGCTGTGTGGGGCATTGCGAGTGTGGTTGGTCCATTACTAGGAGGCGCGTTTACGAGTGAGTTCTTGCCTGTCTGGGCCTATCATGTCATACGGTATTTCATCTAATCGTTTAAATCATTCTAGGTCATGTCTCTTGGTGCTGGTGCTTCTACAGTACGATATTCCTAGCTTCCAGTGATTTCAAGCTAATATGTTTCCAGTCAATCTCCCCATCGGTGCCATAGCCCTCCCCTTTATCATTATTTTTCTCCCCTCGGAAGGACCACAAATGCAGCCGAAACAGAAAGGCTGAGCTGTCTTGAGACAGTTCGACCCTGTTGGACAATTCTCTTCGTGGCAAGCATCATATGTCTTTTGATTGCACTCCAATAGGAAGGAAGCCAGTATCAGTGGAGTGACGGCCGTATGATTGCTTTGTTGACTGTCTTCAGCGTTCTTCTTATTGCTTGGGTGGTAGTGCAACGGAGGGGAGATGACCATGCCACAGTCCCGCTCCGTATCTTACGGCAACGAACTGTTGCGTGCTCCACTTTCTATATCTTCTTTGGGAGCGCATCATTTATTCTGCTCATTTACTATCTGCCGATCTGGTAAGCTCCAATACCTCATCGCTACCGCAAGTGTCAATGTTTTTAACATCAATGATATAACAGGTTCCAGGCTATTAAAAAGGACTCTGCAAACCAATCAGGGATTCATAGCCTGCAAACGGTGTTAAGCGTTGGTAAGTACATCGCGTCAACGCCACTGGAGCACGGAGCAACTAACCAGGATCGTCAGTGGTATTTGCCATCGTGGGTGGACTAGGCGTCACGTTTGTGGGATATTACGCCCTATTCATGATAGCAGGGTCAATGATAATGGCGATTGGTGCGGGTTTGTTTTCTCTTGTTTAGAGTGCATACTTCACTTGCCATGTGGTACGTGAATATGTGAATGGCGCCTATTGCTGCCTTGGCTAATGCATCCTAGGCTGGGATTTCAAATTGTTTTCGGTGCTGGAGCTGGAATGGGACTTGAACTTCCAAACATTGTTGTCCAGACAGTTCTTCCCGATAAGGACGTCTCCATCGGGACATCATTGGTGGTATTCGCTCGTTCTCTTGGGGGTGCCATTCTTGTCTCGGTGGGACAGAATATCTTCAGCAGTCACATCGTCTCTGGTATCCAGGCTCGGGTTCCCGTGTTGAATACCTCTATCATTCTACAGGCCGGAGCAACTGAGGTGCAGCAGACAGTGGAAAATGCTGTTTTGGGCGAAGCTGACGAAGTAGTCGCTTTGGTCCTGGAGGTATACAGCGGAGCTATCATTCAGACCTTTGTACTTGCATTGGTCTTGACCTCCATATCCATCCTGGGTGCAATTGGCGTCGAATGGCGAACAGTGAAACGTCCTCAACAGATGGATCCATGCTCGAGAAGAAGCTTGATATTCTTCACCAATCCACCTTTCACCGCAAGGTGTAAGGGAGTGGCCACTTTCTTATAACTCTCTCTCAGCGACGGGCCGGTTGACTTAGACGAGGCCGGTTGATGGTAATCACTGTTGAAGCTGGAGCTGTAATCATTGCTGGGAATAAGGGGGTTGTCCACAGCTTCGCTACCTACTTCTGAGACTTCATCCTCTCGAAACCCGCTGAGACCCGTTCCACTGTCGGAATCAGAGTCGTTTCGTAATAAAGTATTGACAGCGCTCACGGCACTGCTGGCACAGGAAGCGGAGAGAGAGAGGGAGACTGAGTCAAATTGGTCTATCTAGAACAGGAAGACGAAGACGACTAGGAGAAGACGAAGAAGAAGAAGCAAAAGGGAACAGAACAGGGTCTATAAGGCCCTGAAGCACAAAGGAAAAGGAACAAGGCCTGGTCCTGACAGGAAAACCCCGGCCTGCTTCATGCAGGGCCAAAGAAGACGACAAACCCTGCAAACCCTCGAGGTCAAGGGGATCGAGTCATCAAGTATTCTTGTCACTTGAAGTTGTTCCCTTATCGATGCTCGACTGGCCTTCGGTTGGATCATCGTTTTCCATTAGAATATTGCTTGATATTTACCGGAGCTGGAAGTTAACATCAGTAGTTTCCGAGCCAAGAAGAAGCAATAATATCGACGGGTCCTTGTCGACTGCTGCACAGTGGAGGACTGTCATCTTTACAGGGTGATTTTCATCCTTCATCCCGAAACAAACATCAGCCCCAGATCGAAGTAACAGGTGTAGAATGTCGTTGGCATTGGTTCCAATCTCAGAGGCGCACATGACGTATGCTGCATATAGCGGTGTTAGGGAGTTATACGGCGGAAAGTTTATCTCAGCTCTACGTTTGATGAAATATTCCACCATTTCGAGATCTTCGCCAACTACAGCTATGACCAGAGGGGTACCTACCTGCAAACGGCTTGACTTCAACCTCGCTACCTGACTCGTCGCGTTCATTGTACCAAGGCTCCTCCCATCCGTGGGCGTCTGCATTAGCATCTAGAAGAAGCTCTACGGCTCTTTTGGATTTTGATTTCCGCACGGAGCGCGCAAGCGGCGTTGCCCCGTGGCCACCAGGCTCGTTTGGGTCCCCGCCATTTTCCAAAAGAGAAGCAAGCACGTTCGGAAATTCAAATTCAGCGGCAATATTCAAGCTTGTCATCTTCCAAGGGACATGGTTCATGCTCACTCGTTGGTAAATTGTGTACCATGTTCGGAATACCGGTTCATCCACGTTCCAAAGGGACAATATCGACGGCATCCATTTTGGATTGTCATCAAGCTCGGCTTTCTGGGCGTGTTCTATCTAATTCATTACTGCATATTTTAGGAATAGATTATCTATGGTATATTTAGTAACTCCTTTGTGAGTTTCATCATCGTCCTCATTGAATAGGAGTGGGAAATCGTGGAAATAAGTGAAAGAAAGCAGAGTGATGCAGATTTTCGCGAGTAATAATTCCGAACATTCACTCCTGGGGAACAGAAGCAGAGATCACGAAGATCTTCTGGCTAGTAACCCCCACGACGAAAAGCGGTTCCCTCGTTCTCGAATTCACCTCGCCGGTCCCTGCGAACGCGGCTATCACCTACGGCGTCCTCTAGAATAGTAACAGCCTATCGGCAATAGTGTACGATCGGGAGGCACGGCTGCGTCAGTGCTACAACTGTCAACAATTTGGACACATAGGAACCACCTATGCCAACACCGTCAAGTGTGTATACTGTGCGGAGGGCCATCAGTCTCGGGATTGCCCTTCGAAGGACGCACAGGAGAACAAGTGCGCTAACTGCGAGGGCGCGCATACTGTATAGAGTAAAGAGTGTAGGATTCGTTAGCAGGAGGTCGAGCAGATAAATAAGCGAGCTAGATACCGGGGAAGATTCTATCTAGTCCCCGCGCCGTTTAGCATCCGTTAGCCACCGGCGAATATACAGCCTTCCTCCGTCAGCTTATAGGGAACACCACAGGAGAGCTCTTTACAAGAGCTTAGTAGTGCGAGTAGCGACGTACTAGCCGCACAGCCCAGCAACAGGGGCTCGTAGGATACCGGTCCTGCTGCAATTCGATCTATACGGAGCGTAGCCCTAGCCACCGCGAAAACCACTAGGATCACAAAAACTAAAGCTACTAGCAAGACGACAACTTCGTCGAAAGGCAGCAACAAGAAACGAGGGCGAAAGCCGAAGGAGAAAACGTCAGATTCGATAGACACCTAAGAGGATAGGTGTTATGCAATAACAATAAATGTGCGCTACTATATATATTGGCTCCTGGGTCATATCCGCTGATCGCGGATATAGTGGTCTTTTTGGCCTAAGTGTATGATCATGTGACCCAGGCATGTATCGTAACAATAGGGCTAAGGAAGAACCTACCTTAGAACCTCTATAACCGCTTATCCTAGACAACTATCAATTTGAACCGAACGCTAGCGTTACCTAACACTAACTAGTCTTCCAACCGACCTTCCTACCGCTCGACAAGGAATCTAAATCCTAGGCAGCTAGGGAGAGAACCGCCAAGGCTTACGCTACCCGCACAAAGGCTATAGAGGAACAGAGATTGCAACAATCGACTAGCTAGCTAAGTCAACAGACAGAAGAATCCTATAGTAGGAAGTTAGTAAGGATATCTAGGATAACTAAGGAAGCAAATTAATAACGAGCAGACTCTCCGTCCGGAGCTAAGGTCGATATACAGGACCTAGCACGCTAACTAGCGAAGGACAACCCTCTATCTACTTTATCGCTCTCTTCTCTATTAGAATAGCCCTCGGACTACGAGTTCTAACTATCTTTGTTACTAGATCGACCGAGTTCACTACCGGAGATAGGCAGCAGGAAGCAGAAGTAGCTATATAGCGGTAAACTACTATAGAACATAACAAGTATGTAAGGATATACTCTATAAGTCAGGATAGAGGCCTGTCAATCAGGTAGGAGAAATAGAGCCAAGTCAATAGTGTAGAAAGGTCAAGACTGTTTCTTGAGGATCGCAAAACCTCTTCAACATGGGTCAATTTATATACAGTCTCATCACTCAAACAGGAAGGAGATGTATCCTTGGTAGGGAAATAGGAGCGGGGTGAAACACAAGGCTTATATAACCTCTGTCAAGGGTATTCCCTGCAGGAGTTCGTACGCGTACTAATGCCGAAGCCCTAGCGAGCCTCCACAGAAAGCCTAACGGCTTATTAGGTCCGGGAAGCCTGATGCACCAACACATAGGGAAGGCCCGCCGGCTTATCAGGCCCGGGAAGCCTAGGGCACTAACACTTAAGAATAACCTTATGCCAGGATATATCATAACAATTATCCTCCCTCCGCGGATCGCTTGCCCTTAAGCGAGGTAAACAGACGTGTAAACAATCATAAAGAGTAGCAGTTAAATAAGGAAGGAGTGTGTAGGCTAGAAAAAGGGAAGGTTAACACTAGGGGGTTGCCTAGTAGAGGGGTAAACAAAGGAAACGCGTTTCTTTGTTAATATCGCTAATATCACCCTCTCCTTTTCTCCTTCCTCCTTTATCCTCTTCTATCTCTTTTTCTATACCCTTATTAAGACGTACCCTTTCACTATTGTTTCGCTATCTATTCGCTATCGAAAACCTTACGATACCTCCTAGAACCCGTACTATTACTCGTCCTCTCCTAGATAACCCTGTTTTTATAATAATCCTCTAATATATACTATCTGTGTACAACGATCGCCGAGTAGGACGTAACCCTAGGCTTACCTTTCGCTATAGAGTGTATTCGCGATACTAAGGCTTCGGTTTCGTATAAGTAGTGTTCCGGCTATACTTTAATATATATTCCTGTAGGTTTCGCTAAGTTCTTTAGAGACAAAAGCTAATAATTCTGTAGGCCGCGACTACGATACTAGGAGATTGTTAGGACCTAAATCTTATATTCGCGTAGGCTCGTCGGGTATTCTAGATAGTTAACCCGGCCGATCCGGAATAGTTTATAGAGTAGCTATATCCCTTAGAGGTCTGCTAAAAGGTCGCTAAATTTATAAAGGAACTAGCGTATTACTTCGATATTTCGGAACAGGCTTACTATAAGGAGTATTAGTTAACTAGGAATAAGGTATATATTAAGGTATAGTTAATAGATCGTAGGTTTTAGTATATTTTAATTACTATTTCGCTAGTAAAATTATACCGACTATAATACGTTTCTTATAACCTATTACTCTAAGCTTCCCTTTATTCCTACTCTTAGTCCTCTCGATATTAAGGAGGAGAAGGCTACGTAATTCTCTAAGTAACTCTTTCGCCTACTTCCCGGGGATAAGGGATATATTACTTAGACTCTAAGAAAACAGGCCTTTTTCGATAGTATTTCGTAGGTAGTTTACGAGGCCTAGGATAACTAGGATTCGGATAATTTCTATTAGTAGAGATAAGTTAGAGGAGCAGACTATAATTAATTTTCCTTTACCCCTAGAGGAGATTTAGGGGTTATCTTTTCCCTTCTCTTTACTTAGTAGAGCTAGGTACTTTTATTATAATTTTAGTAGCTATTTATCACTTTTCCGGTAGGGATCTTTTATATAGATCTCCTTACTAATAATCTAATTAAAGGTTACTCTTAAGGCTTCCTCTATCTATATATTTTACCGGCTTTCGCTAGGGATTCGGTATATTTTTGTTACTTCTTCTTAGTAACTAGGGAATTCTTTACTCCTTTTCGTTTCGAGTAAGATTGTATTACTTTTATAGTGTTTTTTATATCTTTGTAATAGACTTATTAATAATCTAATAAGATCTCCCTTCTTAAATTATATAGGAATATAATCCTTATTATAGTATTTCGTTATAGTTTTGCTTACCTTTTACTAGTGTTCCTATAGCTTTTAATAGAGCGCTTTAAGTTTCTTAATTTATATAGATACTACTAGGACCTCTCTATAAGAAGTTTTATCCTTAAAACATTAATAGAAATCTAATAAGTAGCCTATTAGTGCTTAGAATAGAGAGACACTAGTTATTACGTTCGCTACGTTATTATTTATAAATTTAGTAGATCTAAGGAGGTTCGGCTATATTACTTAGTTATTAGTTACGAAATATCGAAGGTAATATTTAAGCGTTTAGTTTATACGCTTTATTTAACTATTAGTTTAGGGGTAAAACGCTATTAAAAGCCTTAGGCGTACTTAGGTAAGGTAGTATAGATTTAACTAAAACTTACTAGTGAATAGGGACCCCTAGTCTAAAACTATCACGGGCTAATGCCCGATGTCGGTTACGTATATCACAGGACCTTAGTATATTAACGTAGGGAACGCGCAGGATTAACTTCCCCTCCTTAAGCTTTTTGTAAACAGTATATTAGCCTAGTTAGATTGAATCTAAGTCTTACTTTAGCCCCTTATATACAAAAAGCTTCCTTCTATACCTAGAAGTATTATTAGTTATTAGAAAAGCCCTAGGAAAGCGACCTAGGCACTTATTAGAAATACCCCTAAATCCCTAGCGATTTAGCGTCGAATATATATTAGAACAGAATCCTTATGTATAGATCTCTTAGCGCTTAAGACGTATTAGAAAGCCCTAGAAGATCCTGATTCCTAGGTATATCAGAATATTAGACGAAAAGCGACTAAAGTATTACTAGTACGCTACGTAACCCCTAGTAGTAATATAGTAATAGGAATTGATAAGCCCTCCCGGGTAGGCGCAAACGCTACTATAGTAGATAGCACAGACCTAGGCTATACAGAACGAAGAAAGGGAGCGGCGTTATTAGTAAGATACTACTTAAGAGGAGCGGATATGTTACCTTAAGGTAATATTAGAGTAGTAGGCCTTACTAGCTGTAATAACAACTATAATAAACAAAGAGCAGGTAATATTAGCGTAATTAACTACTAAATCGGTACCGATTCCCCTATAAACAGAGACGATTTACTAACTGAAGCTACGCTTACTAGACCTAAAACTATTTAATAGAAGTATAAGCGACTAGCTAACCTAGCGAATTTTAATTAAGAATAAGCTTAGCGTAGATAGCGAAGCTATTAGTTCTCCCTAGGATTAATTTATTTACGTATTCTCTAAACTAGAGAAGCTAGTATAGAAGAACACTAGAACCTTTATAAAACTCTGCTAAAACACTAACGAACTATATACCTTACTCGATTTCCTTAAGAGTATCTATAGAGACCTAAATATT